CTAACCCTAACCCTAACCCTAACCCTAACCCTAACCCTAACCCTAACCCTAACCCTAACCCTAACCCTAACCCTAACCCTAACCCTAACCCTAACCCTAAACGTGACAGCCTGCTATACATCGCCGCAAGTGAACCCTCGCATGAAATCTTTGACACTTACACACCCGAATCCGATTAGACTGACAGGCTGATTGTACACGTCTGTTGTCCGCGGGCGGCGTGTTCTCTCTGGAGATACTACACAAACTCGCCATCGGATAGGCTGGAACACTGCCGCGGCATGGCACCTGAAGCTTTGGCAGATTTTCGTACCTCTTCCGCAAACTTGCACTCCGAACAGTATCAGCCGTCGTTTTGCGAACACGCGCAGCACACGCTCCAGCGCAGACTCTTCTTCCTCGGTATTGATCCTATGACTGTCTACAACAAGCCTTGGCTGAGGTGTTTGGCGCTATCGAAAAATACGCGAACTCGAAGCCCTCTCAACAGATCGAATTGTCGGCCGGTGGCGTCAACACTCGCGACACCCTCTAGCGGTGCTCCAATATGCTTATCTGAAGATTGTCAACGATACGGCCGACCGCTTCAGGCAGCCAAGGCCCAAGCTGGAACCTGCTGCCACGATTCCATTCTTTCATACAAAGTCATGCTAGACCTTGACCGGCCAACATTTCACCTACGCGCGTATGAGTCGATGAAGCACATTCTCAACAATATTCTTCTGCCATCAAGAGTCCTCCTGATATGGTCTTGTTGTCATCGTAGCTCGCAATCGAACCTGGCGCCGCGTTCCGGCGCTCCCATACAAATTTGGCACCCGAAACGAATTTGCCCAGCAGGTTCCATTCCTGCTGTTGTAGTTCCACTAACAGCTGTTCAGCTTGATCGAAAGAGTACGGAGACTCGCATAAAACACGAAAATACATACCTCATAAGTTTACTACAAGCGCAGTCTGCTGTTTGTCACACAAATGTGCATTAAATGGGGAGCCAGCCGGTACGTTTCGCGACGACGACGAGGCCAATTGGAATATAGCATGACAACACGCTGGAATGCCGGAGGAAGCTTAGTAACTACGGCATACATCATTTCCTAGCAGTATTCGAAAAGAATTTACGATTCGTATCCCGCCGTACGAATTTGCGGCGGAAGCGCAAGTAGCCGGATATTTCGCCCCGGCGATGGAATTATAAAGGCATGCCTCGAAGTCACTCAAGGGGCCTCCTAGAAGCTTATAGAGCACGGCATATGCCACTCCGAAGCAGGGTTCGAACTTGTCATCGATTTGCACTACGCTATAGAAATCTGGCATAAGGACGAATTGCCAAACTTTCCAGCGGCGGCGACGAGCACACCCAAGCGTAGGCTAATAACGCATTGGAGGACTTCGCGAGGCCGCTCACAGCACTTTGCCCTCGATGGCGTCGTTCGAACGATGGCCGGAGATTTGCATGCTGCCATACAAATCTGCACCAAGACCTCAATCAGCCATAGTTTTCGCGCCGACGATCACATCGCCTAAAGCGTAGATTGACCGCCTGCCAAAAACTTTCCAGGACCCTCTCAGCGGGGTCTCGTCCCCCTACGGCTTCGGTCGAAAAGTGTCGGCTGTTTGCGTCATGCCAAACAAACGGAGCGCAATCGACTATTGTTTTCGCGTCGACCACGGTACTACTTGTGTGCCAGGCCACTAACACGCAGAAGTCCCAGATGAAGCTCCCCAGGCATGCCATACACTACTCCTGAATACGCTTCGAAGTTGACAGCGGTTTGTGTTTTGCCATACGAATTAGTACTAAAGACGCAATTAATCATTCTTTTCGCAACGACGACGAGATCACCTGCACCCCAGACCAGACATACACGGTAAGTCCTAACGAAGCCCGTCACACACGGCACTACCATCTACGGAACAAGATTCGAAAATGCCAGCCTCCTGAACTTCGCCACACATCCTTGCAGCAAAAGCACAATCAGCCATTACTTTTGCGGCGACAACAATATCACCTGGTCCCTAGGCTAGTAACACGCAGACGATCCCGGAGAGGCGCCTCCCCCACGGCACTGCCCTCTACGAAGCAAGATTCGAAACTACCAGCCTCAGTATTTTGGCATGCAAATCTGCAGCACAACCGCAATCAGCCGCGCTTCTCCTAATATTCGTCCTGTGGTCGATCGAATAGTATCAGAATGAACGTCTCAGTCTCTGCTGTCATCCCAGTCTCGGTAATGCCAGTCTTGTCGCCGTTGGCGGAACCTACCGCTGTTCTCAGCCAAAGTGGGTCTAAAGCATATCAGAGTCCGACAAGTTGCTTTCAATCGATGCAGCACTCGGAGAGCTACCCAAGGCTCAGTGCCAATCCAGACTCCGTCGATCGGAGGATACAAATGCGTTGTTGGTGCTCGCGATCAAACATGATGCCGCTTAGTCGACATGCACCTTCGAAGTTCAAATCCGGCTAGTCTCTCAGCAGCGACGATGGCAAGGCGGACCCTATTGGCTATGTTAGACTTTGACTGAGTAGCGGCTCCCCTCGGCTATGTGTATAAAATTACCGCGGCAACTACAGCAAGGCGATCTAGGCCCACGAAACGGAGTCAGATCTTGGAGTTGCTACGGGGTGCAGACGCCTCTCCACACCGAATCCCTTCGTGAGATGGTGTGACTGCTCGAGCCTTTCTGTCGGGACAAGTCGGTAGTCCCGTCTGTGGATCGATTGTGAAGACTACTAGAACATCGTATCGCTTGTGGTTGTCTCCCTATGCAGAGCTTGACGAGACCGGCTCAAGGGGCGAGCACCAAGTCATCGCCTTGATCCTAAGGCACGCGAGGACGCCCTATCGAGTAACGACAGAAGTCTGTTTAGCTATACACTGTGTGCATTCAGGTATGACTCAGGGGATACATCCACTGAAATGGTAGGGGTCTTGCGAGTGGATTCAGGAGACTCCTCGCAACTTTACCCCGCGCGTTTATGGCAACTCGGACGCACTGGATAGCTCCACAGGCAAGCCCGCGCAAGATCAACCTAAGACACGTGGCGATTGCCGTACACGAACATATGCAAGACAATCATGTTCCGGGTGGCAATGATTGATAGCCGGATTGATAACCGAGCTTATGGTTCCCGCGCCCTCTTGTTCGCGACTTGCCAAGTACTTGCCAAGCCACCCCGCGGAAACTCTCTCCTTCCTGTGGGTCATTTCCCCACAGTATGGTCGCAATATATATTCTTCAGCATCATCCGAAGAGTGTTGCAATCTCCTGTCTCTTTCCGCTACGCTCACTCGTTATAATGGCCGCCCAAAACCAACACACTGAGAAAGACTCTGCCTACGAAATTGAGGATGTCACACCCCCGGAGATTGAGCAGGTACCGGAAGATGTCGACCATGGCTTCACTAAAGAAGAGCAGAAGCGAATTCTACGTCATGTTGACAGAAGACTGGTGCTGACATGCGGCCTCTTGTTCTGCATCTGCCTGATGGATCGGACGAATCTTGGTATTGCTGTTCTGTCCGGAATGCGCACCGATCTCAACCTGATCGGGAACCGATATAACATCATTACGGTCGTCTTCATGCCAACATATGCTCTATCCATGCCGATCGCCAACATAATACTCAAGAAAGCCGGAGCACGCGCGTTCCTGCCTACGGTCTGTCTTTTGTGGGGCATCACCCTCCTTGGAATGGGTTTCGTGAAGATCTGGTCACAGTTGATCCCGTTGAGACTTTTACTTGGAGTGTTTGAAGCTGGCTGCTTTCCAGGCTGTGCATATTTAGTATGTCTGAATCCGTGTCCTACCTACGACAGACTGACGAGGGATAGTTGAGCTGCTGGTATACAAGATATGAGCTGCAGAAACGAAATGCCGGCTTCTACATGGTTGGCATTTTATCTCAAGCATTCTCCGGCATTCTGGGCTTTGCTTTCTCGAAAGCGGAAGGCTCTGGAGTAGGTCCTGCTTGGTTGGGACGGCTCGACGTGAAAACCGGAGTGCATGGTCCTGGCTTGTCAGGCTGGCGTTGGATGTATGTTCGCTCCTCCCGGGGCCGTGGACCCCTAAACTGACGGCGTCCTAGTTTCATTCTCCAAGGGATCGTCACCGTTTTCATCGCTCTAATCGCATACGTGACGATTGTGAACTTCCCTGAGACCGCTCACAGGACTTTCGGTTTGAAATTCTTGAACGACGCCGAATCGAAGTGGATTGTGGCTCGTCTTCAGGCAGACCGGGAAGATGTCTACGCAGAGAAGTAAGTTTTCTTTTACCATCATCAATGTGTAAAGGCTCACGCATCCAAGATTCCGTCTTCGCGAATTCCTCGCCAACGCCCTGGATCTCAATACCTGGTTTTTCACGATCATCTTCCTCTGCAACAGCTGTCTCACTTACTCAATTGCCTATTTCCTACCCATCATCCTTCGAGACGGTATGGGTTTCGGAGTGGCAGCTGCTCAAACGCTTACGGCGCCCCCACACCTTGTCTCTCTACCGTTCATGTACGGCTTTGCGTGGGCAGGTGACAAGTACCGCAGACGTTCCCCGATTCTCATGTGCTGTGGAACAATCACCATCATCGGCCTCTCCCTTCTAGCATTCGCCAAGAACACAGGCGCAAGGTACTTCGGCGTCTTCCTGGCATGTATTGGTTCGAACAGCACGATTCCCGCACTGTTGACATGGCAGGGCAACAACGTAAGAGGTCAGTGGAAGCGTGCTTTCAGTAACGCTTTGATGATTTCGAGTGGTGGCATTGGTGGCGTCATTGCTGGCTTCGTTTTCAGAACGCAAGATGCTCCAGCGTATATTCCTGGCATCACAACGGGCATTGTATGTGGGGCGCTGATTCTACTGAGTTCGGTGATTCTTGCGATCCGTTTCTGGAGGGATAACAAGAAGGCGGACCAAGGCCAGAAGACCCTCGAGGGTTTGGAAAGATTCAGATACACATTGTAGGAAGCTTGCCGAGGGGCATAGTCGTCGACCTTCGACGCTCGTTTGCGACTTAGTAAGCCTACATAGTAGAGAGGCGTGTGCCTGGGCAAACAAATCTTCACTGGACGGCATTTCGGTTTTCATGATTAACAAGGGCTAGAGTAAGCGGCATGGCGATAGTCCTGCTGTGGCGATCGGATGCCGACGCGCCAAGAAATATCGTGTTTCGCGTTGCGTTCGCGTTCGGCCAATCAGAGTGATCCTTCTGCAAGACGACGACACAACATGAACTTGTTGACAACTCGCTCTGCATTGATTGTGGAATGCCACAAAATGTCCATCGCTCTGAGCCGGGAAAGTGAAGCGGCTGCAGGGAGCTTTCGCTGATCTGGACTAATGTTATCGTGACATTTCAGACAAACAGACTTCTCATGTTCTACATGCCTACAGGCCCATCAAACATCCTCTCGGAGATCCGCTACTGTTGCCTCCGTGTTCTCCTTTCCGTGCATCCTCCGCGCTACCTTCGTCGTGAACTTGGCGTCCGGATTGGGCGAGAGCAGCGCACCAACGATAGCCAGCACGCCGAAGGCAATACTGATCAGGTACACGATCTTCACAGCCTTTGAGAACGCCGTCTGGTACGCAATCGTCACCGTATCCAGAATCGCCGGGGTGAGACCCTGTACGCCCTTGAACGAGCCAGTCTCAAAGCCCTGCAGAAGCGCGGGAACCTGGTCTGCAGCAATGCCTGCCTCCTCAGCAGCCGGCACGACGATTGTCCCAATATATTCGGTGAACTTGTTGGCTTGAACCGTGCTATAGATTGCGAGAGCGATCGTAGCGATTGCCGTACGACCAGAGATCAGTGTACCAATCGATGCACCAATATTCTTGTCGGCCTGGGTGAAGGGCACCAGCGTACAGGCCACGTTCTCGACATAGCCCAAAGAGAAAGCGCCTAAGAAACAAAGCGCTTCCGCGGTCTTCAAGGTGTTGCGATTCGTTGATGCCATGCCGCCAATGAATGCCGTCATAGTCACGGTCGCAGTGACGAACTGCCACTTCGCTCTTCCACGGTTGACCAGGAAACCTCCGAAAATCTGTCCAGTCAGTGTTCCACCTCCCAAGATGCAAGAGAGCCAGCCAATACGCAGTGGTTCCGTTGCCCACAACGTCGAGATCTGCTGCGGCCAGAAGACATTCAGAGGATAGAAGACGGCCGATGCAGAACCAGCAGCCATGATGATGCCGCCAAATGGCAGGTTCTTCAAGAAGTACGCCGGCAGAAGCGGATGTCTCGCTCCGTATAGCTCCCAGACGAAGAAGCCCAGGAGCATCAGTATACCGACGATCAACGTCGCAAGCGTATGGGCGCTGTCCCACGGGTAGATCTGCCCGCCATAGCTAAGTCCTGTAGCAATAAGTATTCGTCCTTGCACATGTGCGGCAAGCTTACCTAAGAGGAACAGGACCATTCCGGCGATGAAAAGCACGATACCGATGTAATCCAACTCAATCAGCACTCTGCGCTTGGACGCCTTGGTATGGAGCTGCTCGAAAACAGGAGGATGATAGAAGGCCGTCGCCAAGATGATCGCCAGACCAGTCAAGATCAAGTTGATGTAGTAAGACCACCGCCAAGTGTGGTTGAGAGAAAGGAAGTGCCGAGCAATGATTGGTCCAAACGTCGAAAAGGGAACGGCCATGAAGAAGAGCAACGCATTGTTGTAGCCACGCCACTTGTTCGGGATCAACTCGGCCACACAGATTGAGAAGCTCAGTTGCGATGCCAACGCCAGGCCAATGAACACCTGCGCAAAGATCAAAGTAACGATGTTCTGTGCCACTGCCCCGAGAATGCTTCCCAATAGCGCAAATGCATTGCCACCGATGAAGAAGTATCTCCGGCCAAATATGTCGCTCAAGGAGCCCCAGACCAGAGCGCCTGTGGTCGCAGCCAACACATAGCCTGTTGCAATCCAGACGTAGTTTGGATCTGGCCCAAGGTCTTGATTGATGATGCCGAGCAGGTTGAAGGTCATCACGTAGCCAGCGTAGTTGGACATGTTGGCAAGACTGAAGGCGGCGATTGTGCCAATGAAGCTGATGCTCGTGTAGTATCCGGGCGGGAGATTCGCGAGCTGACCGCCTGATTCACATTAGCATGGCCTCTGCTGCGAGGCATATAACGTACCGATAATCTCTGGCGCCAGGTCATCGGTCGTTTCGACGTGCTTGAGCTCATGATTGTCGGAACCGGCGTCGCTGAGCCTATGATCCTGGCTGATCTTCTCCTCGGTCGACATCTTGAAGTGCTGAGGATTCTTGCTCGACGACTGATCGCTATGCACGGACCAAGGTCGGGTCGAAGGCAGATTGAACGCAAATTCCATTGCGCTCAGGAGTGTGTGGTACAGAAGCTACCCCTATATGCCATAGCACAGGTCGGCGGTGGTATCGAAAGGCGTCGCCATCTGGATAGCCGCGGTGTTCAGATATTCTGGGGCCCGGATCCATGAATGGGGTCTTCTGTGGGAGCAAGTGCAGGCTCGTATGGGAAGGATGAAAAAGGTCCAATCCGAGCGAACCTTTTCTTTGGGGAAGGGAAGCTTATCCCCGCACGTCAAATATAATCCTTGCATTAACACCATGTATCGAACGGCGGGGTAATGCCGGAAGCTCTTCATACGGATGTCTTTCTGGTTTCCCGCGGCTCTGCTTGACAAACGGATTGGTCTTAGGGTGGTGGACTCCATACCAAGGTTGGTAAGTTGTATTTCTGGGCTCTGTTAGAAAGCTTCTCTCCAGACGTTTCTCGATACACGCTTGCAATAGCAGCATAACCTCGGCAACCGAGAAGTCCGCACGCATGATTGAGATGAGGCATTCGAGCCTGGAACGCCTCACACGCAGGGGCTAAGCGTAAGCACAGAACGTAGAGGACGAGGATTGTTTCTGTGCTTGCGGCTCTGTCATTCGCGCTGCGGCCTTAGCAATCCGAAGCTTCAGCGCACACAGTCAACGCTAACGTGCTACATTTCCTCCTTGCTTCGGCGGCTGTCTCAGAACAGGGCCATGATATTCGGCGGTGATGCCACTGCTCGCGGGTGATTCAAAGGGCTCGACGTAACGAAGAAGCTCCACCGGTTCAACTTCTTGCACAGCTCTGCCAATCGTTCAAGATCAAACATCTCCCCAATGGGAACACCCCAGCCAGCCAGACAGTAGTTGTGCATCGACCACTCGTTGTTGCGGTTCGGTCTGACCTCGAAGCTAACGCCATCGCCGGCAACAGCCACAATATGGTTGTCCCACATGAACCGTGCTACCGCCTCGCTCTGTATTAGCCCACTATGCCTGTGCTTATGCTTCTGCGTCTCGGCCCGATAGGCTTTCTTCTCGTCCAGATTCAACGACTCCCATGTCTTCGTGAAGCCGACACGTAGAAAGAAGATGTCGCCATGTTTGAACTCGATGTTGCACTCCTTCGCAATATCCATCACGTTTTCTAAGGTGACGGCATGACCAACCATGCCATTGTGCTCAAGCCCATTCTTTTCGGCGTACGACACGTAGTCGATCAGCACACCGCGGGCAGCGATGCCCTCCTGAGCCCAATGGCCGACGCCAATGCGGTCACTCTCCATCTTGCTGATTTCGTCGGAAGTGGTGCCGCCATACCACCTTCGAGTCCCATCGCCCATATCAGTGCTGTAGTGTCGGAACCCATCCCATTGCGAGGAGGCTTGCGGGTTGAAGCGCCAGATGTCATCCCAAGCAATACCCTCATAGTTCGGTATTGGGACAATCTCATGCTCACACGGAAAGCGGTTGAATCCTGCGTCTCGAGGCGTGTCATCTCCCAATTCAAGCACACGCGTTCGCCCGTCTGGATCTCTGACTTGGCTGCTTGCGCAACGTGGCTGGTGTTAGATAGCGAAGCATGCCAAGGCCCTCATCTCTGCTGCCGGGTTTGGCCGGCCAGTATCTTTGAGGATTCTTCAGCTCATCGAACTTGGGAAGGTCGGCAAAGGAGGACATTGTGAATGTTGGACTTTGGATGGTGCTGCGAAGTCTCAGATGAGAATGTATTTATCGGTGGTCGGCACAAGGACAGGTACCGGTACTGAAGTAGAGTGGCGGTACATCCAGAAGTAATGTGCCCGAATAGGATCGATGCGGAGAAAGCCCGCGTGCTGCACGTGGTTCGTGGAGAAGATGCCATCTTGGCGAGCCCTGAGTAGGAAAACCGCGGCTATGCCTTTCGGAGAGCATTTGACCATAACCGAGGAGGCCTTGTTGTGGCGTTTGGAAAGCATCGCACATTGAGTGAAGCAAGCGGCGTAAGGAAGCAGTCGGACGCCAAGGCCTCGGAGGCAACATCGTGGGAAATGATGAACACTAAACATTCTCGATAGGCCACTATCGCCAGATGCAACGTGCAGGAACCTATCATTCGTCTTCGAAATCATCCTCCTCCCAGCACCACTGCAAAAACTGCTTGGGTACATCAACATGCTTAGCACGAATATAATCGGTGAAGCCCTTGCCCCTGTTGTCTAGCAACGTCGAACTGCTCACGCCCCGGCCAAGAATCCCGTAGATGACGAAGTGAATGGCGTAGATGGTTGGGAACTCGACTCGCTCAATGCGATACTCGTCCTTCCAATCCTTTCCAACCAGACTCTTCATTCTGTCCAAAGTCAGGAAGCTCCTAAACCATTCCCAGATCTCCGGTCGATCGGTGAAAAGCCCCATGTTGACGTTGGGGCCTTTGTCACCAGATCTTCCGATCACGATATTCCCGAGCGGCATGCGAACGGTTTCTCCAAAGGACTCCATCGCTTTCGGATTGGGAGAATCATAAGACTCACGCTCTCCGAACGGCTCGTACTTCGGGGGGCGGCTGACGTAGATTGTTTGCTTGGTATGGCCGTTGCGGTCGAGCAAATGAGCAGCTTCGATGATTTCGTCCTGTGGCATTATGCATGGATAGTAGACGTAGAACGTCTTTGGATCCGCTGTCCTCATATCTTGAGCCCAGTGCAAGCCCGAAGGCTTCTGTTGAGTATCGTCAGCCAGTATCAGCTTCAATGCCGACAATGGCTCCGGCTTCTTAGCTTGTGCGAAGATTCGACTGTATGTCGTGCTCTCAAACATTCTCCTCGGGTCTGGTCTTGGATCTCCAATCATCTGGAACTCCAGAATGTCGAATTGTTTCGTCAATCCCTGCTCTGCCAGACGCTTCCTGATCTGTGTCTCGTACAGCTTGTGCTTCCGGCGCGTGGAGTAGCCAGCGAAGTTGGCTAGATTCTGCGACTCGTAGCCGCCCTTGAAGAAGACTGCCAGCTTAGTCGTTGGTGGCGGCGGACGACCTTTAATGCCGGAGAACCGGACACGATCCTTCCCTTCTTGCTTGATCTGCACATGGTCCAGTATGGCGGTCACATCGCTATTGAGATACACGTTGCCTTGGATCTCGTACAGCAGTTGGCATTTGATGGTCTCCTCGGTGACCATGCCGCCTGTACCTGGATGCTTGGTAATGACACATGAGCCATCTTCGTTGACTTCGGCGATAGGAAAGCCAGAATCGACAAACGTCTCCAAAGGAAACCGGTTGAAACCGGAGAAGTTCGACCCCGAAGCGTACGCCGAACATTCGATAATGTGTCCAGCAAGGAAAGCTCCTGCAAGCCGGTCGTAGTCTGTATCCTTCCAGCCAAACCACCACCACGCAGCGCCAATGATTGGAGCCGCGTCAGCAACTCGGCCGCAAATGATGATGTCTGCACCGTTCTTCAAGGCTTCGACAATGGCTCTGGCACCGAGATAAGCAGTGCTGGCCAAGACTTCGTCGGCAGTGAACTTCGCGTCTCGATGGTTCTTGCCGCTGCCATCCTGGAAACTGTCGGGAAGCTTCCCAGTCTTCCTCAACGAAGACCGTACACGACCCGTAATGTTGTCGCCGGATACATATGCGACGTTCAACTCGTAGTCGTTGGCAGTAATGAGCTCCTGACATTTGCGTGCAAGATTCTGCGGACCGAGACCGCCGCCGTTGATGATCACTTTGATGCCTTTCTGTGCGATAACATCCATGCTGAGCTGCAGGCCCTCCCAAGAATTCTTCTTAAAGCCTTGTCCGGTGCCAGCATCCATTGCAGCAGCCTCCTGTGCCATGTTGTTCTCAGCAAGCCAGTCTCCGGTGATGAAGTCGACGGGGCCGCCGGTAGCTTGCTTCCGCATCTGCCAGCCGGGTTCCATTTGACCTCCAGAGCAGTTGGCGATACGGACAGGGCGAGTGCCCCGTGCGCTGCCATTTGGTTGTCGCTGTACCGACCCCATGATTAATCGCAGTTGCCTCGTTGTGATTACAGCGTCGACTTGTGTGACAGCAACAAAAGTAGTGTTGATCTTGACCCTGCTTCTCAAGAACTACGTTCCGTCCGTTGCATAGCCTTGCGGGGACCGAAGCCCCGACAAGGCGTATCGCAGAGACCAGGACGCCATACCAGTACTCTGTCCTCGGCTATTGCCTCAACTTTGGCCGCGGGAATCGAAGGATCTGCCAAATCCGACAGTTGGGCAAGTGGAAGGAGGGCAACCAAGATCTGGTTCTCGCTTCCAGGGCTATAAGCTTTCCCCTACCCCGCATACTTCTCCAACTCTTAGCTTACCATTACGCCACGCTCGCGTGCTTCACGCGACAGCTCCCGACTCACATATATTGGCACGTCTTCCGCGGCAACTTCTGTTTCATAGCCGCGGCTTCTTCTCAGAATGCAATGCCTACCAGAAGTGTCGAGCACACAATCACAGTTGACTCGTCCAATACCACGGCGAAACGGAAGGCTTTCGATATTCGCCCAGGCCATAACCAAGCCGTCAAGCGACGTGCAGCGCGAGCATGTACAGCTTGCAGAGGAAGAAAGATCAGATGCGATATTACAAAGAACGAGGGCAAATGCACTAATTGCAGACTTGATGATGTCGAGTGCATTGTCGTCGCCTCAAGGAGAGGTGGCACGGAGAAGCATAAACGGCCTCCACCCTCATCGCTGCCGAACGCGTCGAAAAGTCCGGTAGGTTCTGGTGCTGGCATCGCCACTGATGCGGCAACGGCGACGCCCATCGTGGCGACGAATCCCAGTCCAAGCGTGTCTGGACATGTACCCGTGTCGGTGACATTCGAGGGCGACGCAGACAAGGTATGGAACCACGCTGACAAGAGTAATGATACGGACCACACCGAGTCTCACAACGACAGCATCCAGTCGAGTCCCGGCGAAGATACAGCGGCGGTCCTGCGAAGCCAGCGCTTGGAAGAACACCCGCACTTACTCCAGTACCTTCTGCCTACCTTCCTCAAAGTTCCCAAACGACTGGCAGCAGAAGATCTGAATTATCTCGAGGCAAAGGGTGCTCTGAAGACGCCGTCGCCTGCGCATCGCAGGGAGATCTTCCAGGGCTACTTGTATGCCGTACATCCATTCATGCCGATGCTGGACATCTCCGCCTTCAGCGGCGCGGTGTTCGAGTCGAATGATGAGTGTCAAATCAGCCTGTTGCTGTTTCAGGCGGTTATGTTTGCTGGACTTCATGCTCTGGAGCCGACTACTATCAGAGATCTTGGCTTCAGCTCTGTCAAGGATGCGCGTGAGGCCTTCTACAACCGTGTGAGGCTTTTATACGAGTTCGATATCGAGGCCGACAACGCAGCGATCCTGCAGTCATTGATATTGATGAGTAATTGGTATGGAAAATGGGACGATCGCAAACACACCTGGCACTGGACTGGCGAAGCGTATGATGTTGCACGAAACATGGGGCTGCATCGCGAGCCTGCGCAACGGTTTCCTGCGAAAGCGCGACACTTTCGTCGGAGGCTATGGTGGAGTCTGTACACGAGAGATCGGCTCATTGCTTTGGGAACCCGGCGCCCGATGCGCATCCGAGATGACGAATACGATGTGTCTCTCCTAACGCTAGAGGACTTCGATCTTGAAGAGTATGCCAGGGTATATTCAAGCCATCCAATTTCGCAAAGCACTGAAGAAGTCCAAGCACTCTCACATATGTGCATACAACTCGTCAAGCTGTGTGTAGTCATTGGGCACATTGTCTCGTCTCAGTACACGGTTCTGAGCACGGAGGCAGAGCTGCCGCTCACAATGATGGTTCTGCCAAGAAGCTCTCCTGACAACGAAACAGAGCTTAGTCAATGCGACGCGGAGCTCACGACTTGGTATGAAAGCTTGGAACACGATGTCAAGAGAAACGCGTCGGCTCCGGCTTTCGAGGATCCAAGCAGCTGCTGTACAGTGCACTGGACGATCATACACCTAGTCTACTCGACCGCGATGAATGTGCTGCACCGTGCACAAGCACTCAGATCTCCTTCGCCATCTTCAGATGTTCGGAGGACGCAGTCCGCTTCACAGGCAAAAGTCAGGGAAACTGCTCGAGATCTCACGAAGTCTCTGCGGTCAATGTTAAGCCTCGATCAAGTCCGTTTTCTCGGCCCTTTCGGAGTGACCGCCCTTGTAGCGACAAGTCTGTCGCATGTACTCGATATCGACGCGGATGACGAAGACATGCGTGATGCAAGTGCATTCAGGCTGTCGCAGACGCTCCAGGTGCTCCAGAGCTTGCGTCTCGGCTGGGCTTCGGCAGATGCCGCGGTCTCTTTCATTACAGCCGTCACGCGTCGAGCCGGCCTGATCATTCCAATGCAAGGTGCCTCGATATCATCTGCGGACCCAGTTCACGCTCGCAGAGTCGTGCCGAAGCCACGAACGAGGCCTGAGCGCAGCAGGGGCGTGGAAGACTCCGCCATCCTTGGCCGAGACTCTTCCGGGAGTCATACGCAGCGACGAGATCAGGAGATGAACGAGCGAAATGCCCAATCTATTTTGCAGAATCTCATGCCTTCGACGACTCTGCTACCAAACGCGGCTCCTCTTCCACTTGTGTCTGATTTGCTCGCTGCGCCAGGCCAGGGATCTGCCGTTAGGGATTCGAACACCCCTTTTACTGCGGGATCCATACTGATGCCGGAACCCTATGGCGACCAGGGCGCAGAGATGTACTCTGCTGGTACATCAAATATTGCACTCCCTGGTCCGTTCTGGGACTGGAACGTTGAGGGCGACGAAGGAATGGACCTTGATGCAATGACGTTTGGTTATGATTTTTACTCGAATACATTCTAGATCAATCAAATGACCTACGTGCTAGGCACAACGTGCTCCTTCTTACGGCCACAGAAACTCCCGCATGGTTCGCAGCCAAAGATCGTACCCAGCAATTGAGCCTGCAGTCCCCAATCCACGGCAAGCGACAATCAATGCGTCAGGAGGGTTTCGGGCCAGCGTGTGACGAGCTTCTTTACGTGCGAGGCTCTTCTCCTACATCAGCAACCCACGTTGCCGTTAGACGATAGCCAATGCAGCAGAAATGGAGTTGCCGCGGCTACTAGATATAGCCGAGGAGTGGGACGGCCAAAAGCCTCCTCTTGTACAGGCCGATTGCCTTTGTCTCCATCTTGTGGCCGATCACTACGGATTCGGCTGCGTGAAGCCGGCCAATCTCCTGCTGATGGGCAGAATCAGGCACTCCAAGTCCAGATATTGCCCACTACTAAAGACTATAAGTCTTCAGAATATTCACCCATCAGCTACATCACGGGCACCAAAGGCGCAACACTAAGACTTGGCCACAGCCTCTGCAAGTTGTATAACGAGAAAGTATCGAAATCGATTGTGGCAACACACACATCAACAACATGCCCGGAATCCTGAGTAACGCGCCATCGGTGAAGGGCACCGTGCGATACAATCTACCTGATACTTCGGTACGACCAGAAGATCGTGGGTTGTTTTCTGGCCCGGCACATAAATCCGGTGAAGATGTCGACGTCGATCTCTTTGATCCCGTCCAGGCTCCTGAGATCATTCAAGGGCCCGAGGGACTCGACATTCAGGGCTTCACCTACGTCAAGCATCAGTCATGCTTAGGCGAAGATGACTGGCTTGCCGGCCATAACGTTGAGGAGAAGTATGTTCCAGAAGTCGAGGAGCTCGTCAAACAAGTCACTGGCGCCAAGAAAGTCATTGTCAACCACTTGGGTATTCGAAAGCGGCTGAGCGAGAAGAACAACGATCCGACATTCTACCGAAAGAAAGGTGATCAACATGACGATGCTGTCAAGAAGCTAGCCGGCCAGGACAAAGTATGGGGTGAGCCGCACAGGCCCGATTTTCGAGATATGCGCTAACAGAGAACAGTAAACGGACGCAAGGATGCCGGACTTGAACCAGCACGCTTTGCACACTGCGACTACACTCTCCGTGGCATGAAGCGCACAGCTCGTTACTGTCGCTCTGACATGAAGGCCGCCGCGAAAGAGGCTCTTGATGCGGAAGACGAGGGTCGCACCGATGGGCCTCGATATGCCGCTTATTCTGTCTGGCGTCCCATCAAGCCGGTCAAGCGTGACCCCTTGGCTGTGGCGGACTGGCGCACCACTGATCCTGAGACTCTGCAGCCTGTCGAGTACCGGGCCACGAGTAATGTGCTGGATTCGGGAGAGTACATGCTCGAGCAATTGACGCAGACGCCAAACGCCAAAACCTCGGGACAAAGATGGTACTGCAAGCCGAATCAGCAACCAGATGATGTCCTCATACTGAAGTTCGCGGACACTGAGACAGAAAGACGAGACGGCATCAGCGCTGGATGCGCGCACTGCTCGCCATATGTGCACGGTACGGAAGGGGAAGAGCCGCGGATGAGTGTCGAAGCAAGAGTGATGGCTTTCTGGTAAGAATGGGAGTAGATGGAAGATGTATATAGGTGCAGGCCCATGAGGCACACGATGTTTCGCACCAGACTTAACCCGAATAGTCTGCAATGACGAGTCTTTGATTCGCATCATCGCAATTGTTCTTGATGTGACATGCCCTTGCCATCGAGTGAATGCATTAATATCCATGGACTGCAATGACCAAGCAAACGAAGCAGCCAGCCGCTCGGCTCGCTTCACCATACGCGAACTCGACTCCGAAAGGCTGTTAATGCAGCGGGGACGACGTCAAAGAGGATCAGTTCGCGTGTTGTTTAATGTTGTTCGAACAAAAAATGTAGGTGGCGAAGTTGCGAGTTGCCTGGTGCCGGAACTACCTAGTTGCCTGGCGTTCCGGCGCTAGGCGTTCAGGCAAATGTCTTGGCAAAATCGTCACTTTTCGAACGCACCTAGCCACAACTTCCAACACCAAAACAATGAACAATACGCTTGAGGGGATGCTATGTGATTCTCTACATGGATCCGCTCGCGCGCACGACGATGAGTACGGTGGCATGCCTAAGCAATCGAGATGAAGACGACAGTCCTCGCACGCAGAGCATGGATATTTTGCAGTGAATGTTGGGCTATGAGTCCTTCGGGCCCAACCTATATGACGACAGAATCTGCGACAAGTGTCTCTCACTTGAGTCTCGCTTGCCTCGCCTGTGTGCCGACGCAAAGACTCCGCGGCATAATCATAGCAGAGTGTCGCCCTTGCCCTGGCGATGACGTTTTACTTCGGTCGGTCGCTGCTGAGGTTCCCACTTTGGCGTCGAGAATGCCGGAGCCCGAGCAGAGCAGCATGATTCCCACAGCAAGCGCCGAATGGCTCTGCTCCGACTTCGACGCTATTTGAGATCGAGGTCAGAGACTATTCACTTGGAGCTTCGTCACCTAGTCACTGATTCTCACAAAAGTCAAGACGAAAGCGACTACATTCACTACTGCACGGCTGTCCGCGGCGTCCACATCTGGCCGAAGATTGACAATACACTCAATAGTGCACATGGACGCAGTGCTTGTCGCTGCACGTCCGTTGGAGGCGACGACCAAGACGCCCAAGTACGCCGACCAGAAACCAGTCCTCTACAAGGGGAAGTCATCGCGGGTCTACACTGCCGGAGACGAGGACGGGCGCTGAGAAACGCTCGACCACAAGAAGAACACATCCGGAATGTTTATCTGCGACCGCCATCAATTCTGAAGCTGCGACCACGGGCTTGGCTGCGATTATTCGCATGCACGGTATCATCGGTGTGCGGTGCCTGGGCATCAGCCTGCATCTCCGGTAGGGCAGAGCGCGGTTGATGCCATTACCGAAGTAGTCGACTTTCTGGCAGACGATGCCAGTGACGATCCACACCGACACAGTCTTCGCGGAGATGGTGTTACCTTCCCGAGACACGAGAACGACCACGCTGACATTCGGAACATCAGAAGATGGCCGACAACAGGCGAAGAAGTACTCAGTCGGCGGTGCGACTACATCCCTGGTCGCTCAACTCCTGGAGCCGCTGGTCGCGGTGTTGGCACAATCATCGATGAAGCTTTCCGAATGGCGCGAGCCGACTCCGTCACTGGCTGGCGAGTATGCGGCCTCAAGGTGATGCAAGACGATCTAAAATCCCACCAAACCTCACCTTTTAACTCACATCCAGCTAAACAAAAGTTTGGCAATTATGACTACTACCACTATCGCAACGTCAAGATCGAGAAGCTAAGCTGCTATTACGACATCGACAAACATGTCTTCAAGGTGGCATTATCGGTTCCAACATCAACGGATACGCTCATCGAGGGAACTTCACGTCTTCGAAACGACTCGGTCGCTGCGCTGATCGTGACCATACCGAAGGTCAAGGATCCCAAAGTCGTCGAAACACTTGTCGTGTTCATGCAAATCGACAGCGCCATGCGACAAATGCAGGAAGGCTTCGTCCGGAAGGCCATGACGTTCGTTGATTCTACGCCACAAGATGTCAGATGCATTCTGCGGCTGATGGATGCAGAGCGTGCCCGTATATCTATTCTCGAGATGCCAAACGCGGTCCACGAAAGCTGGCCACATGAACTAGAGCGCTTGCAATGTCTCGAGACCGATATGCAAGCCCACCTGCCTCTCGTCCAGACGCTCTTGGACCTCAGATTGACGAGGAGTGTCCTCTATGCAGAGCGCCCCGTGGTCGATACATCTGCGAGCACGTCGGTGTGTGTAAGCGAATCTGGGGGAGAGCATGTATGCCATGCAAGGAGCATTGTTCTACTTGTTGCGACCATGTCGGTACCTGCACGAAGCTTTGCGGCGAGCCATGCAGCGTGCCGGTGTGTATGCAGCCTTGCGAGAATATAATGGCCTGCAATCATCGTTGTCCTGCAACCTGTGGAGCCAAGTGCGTCATGGCAGAAGATTGCATGGTTTGTGCCGGAAAGCGCAGCGAGAACGATGCGGCATCATCGGCGCGGGTCAAGCTTCCGTGCGGACACACGCACGATGTCCGGGAGGTGGAGCTTGCGAATAGTGTCACCCTTCCGTCCGATAAGGCGGAACTGGACACAATCACGCCTCGGAAAGTTGTATGCCCGACAACCCATTGCGGCGCTGATGCAACGTGTGGACAAAGTTTGTTCAATCGCTTCGGGCGCAAAATCACAGCAACTGGTCGAACAGCAGATTTTTTCTTCAACAAATTCATGATACTCGATGCCATGAAAGAAAAGATAACGAAGACCGTCAAAAAGGTTCACAGTGGAATGGATCCCATATTCCAGTATCTGGATGCACCTTTCACCGTAATCTCTCCAGCTCACGTCTCTGGCTTCTGCGAAGAAGAAGTCGTTGGCAAATTCGCGAAGTGTGAAAAGGCGCTCCTCCAGGAATGGAAATATCAGAGTACAGTGTCTACCAGTTTCGATACTGCGGCCCTACTGGAGAAGCTGGAGTTGCCAGAAGCTTTGCCACGCACGCTGGTACATGGAATGGAGCTGCCCGTGCGGCCCATGCTTTTTGGCATGCGACTCTGTCGTGTGATGTGCCTGATACGGCTTGTTGACGTCATCCTGAGCCGCGAAGACGACGTTTGCGTCGAGCTTGCGGCCACTCTAACCGACATGATCATCACCAAGTGTTGCAACAATGTGACTCTCCTGGAGAAAGAAGCTGCAACGGCACTCGGCACCCCAGCTGTTAGAGACCGCCTTCGAGATGCGTCGCATGTAGGCGGCGTTCATCACGAATCTGAAGGGCTTTGATTGCGAGAGATTGATCGCCAACAAGGTCGCGCTGGAGGCAATTCGGTTCAATGTCTTGAGACAAGGCCAGCAACTCGAGTCTTTGGGCCATTACGGCGCAGCAGACCAAACGACCAGTTGTATGGAAGCGATGAGCTCCGGCAAGGAAATGCCAACTACTTTCCTCAACGACAATTCGACCTTGTCATACGGTTATCAGTATGACCATAATCTGGTCTCTAAGCCGTGCAGCAACGCACAATATGGGCATTTGATGCTGATGAAAGTTGGCGACGAGGAGAAGCGGTGTGAGGAGTGCTTTGCGGAATGAGCTAGGCCAGTGTTGTGATGAAGGACACTACCTTGCGAGTCTTGACGGATAGAAGCAGCTGAAGTGAGATTAGTTAGCATTACTTGTCTGGCCCGACTAGCAGGCGGATTCAAGAAGACCATTTAAGAAGTCCATCTAAGAAGAGCATTTAAGTAGACCATTCAAGAGGACTATTCAAGAAGACCGTTCAAGAACACTATTCAAGAATACCCTTTAGGAATATCATTCAAGAACACTATTCAAGAACACCATTCAAGAACACCATTCAAGAACACCATTCAAGAACACCATTCAAGAACACCATTCAAGAACACCATTCAAGAACACCATTCAAGAACACCATTCAAGAACACCATTCAAGAACACCATTCAAGAGCACCATTCAAGAACACCATTCGAAAACACCATTCAAGAACAACAATCGACAACACCTTTCACGAACACTATCCAAGACTATGATTCAAGACCATGATTCAATATTTCTGTGGTATCTATCTAGGCAACGGCGTCACCCTACACCGCCAGCAGAGACAGGCCCAGGCCACCATCTTGTTGTTAATGAGCACCAAGTGTAGCGGCAAAAAGCTCAAAGGTAACCATGTTGCAGGCCGCATCACCCAGCAGTTCGTCGCAGCAGGTGCAGGCACAATGGGTGTCAACCAAATGCAAGGAATGAATGACAACGATGTAGCCTAGGAGATTGGATACCTCAAAGAGTCGATCGACGAGGCCAGATTGTTCGTTCTGCAGACGGTCATCTGCACAAGCCATGCGATCGGCCTGAAGAAGCTGAAAGCACTCAACCCGAGAGTGCGAAAGACTATGTGGCGAAAGCTCTATGAGATGGCAACACCCTACATTACCTATCGCCTTGAACACTGCCAAGGGAAGGCCGATGAACTCGCCATCTACCAGATCTTCCAGCTGCGTCCGGATGCAGCACAGAGCGAACATGACAAAGCCGCCGCTTTCAAGCAATACTACAAGGCGAAGTTTGTATTCTACTGCGAAATGCTTCTCCTCCATCAGCTCAACAAAGGCCTCCTGAACGCCAGCAAGCCGTCAGGAAAGATCTGCAAGGACGCCAAGGCGGCCATGGACGACTTCATGGACCGTGACTTCTTCGATGAGATGGAGCAGCAATGGGCGGTGCTGATGAGATCCTACGACTGGACGGAGATGCCTACTGATCCAGCTTGTCAAGATGTCACTTTCCGAGTCCCAAGAACAAATGGCAGACCTGGAGAAGTTATTGAGATGCCCGAATTTGAGCGAGGTGCGGGTTACCTTGATGATTAGGGGGTTGAAGCTGGGAAAAGGATGGAGCAGCTACGTGCTCGTAGCCCGCCCACAGGATCCTCGTGGTCGGAGTGGCGTCGGCGGTCTCCTGCAACCCGATAGCATCCGTTGTAACGTCCTGAATGGACCATGACGCCCTGCTTGTGCGTATCCTATTGGGTCTTTGCGAGGCTCGACTCCTCGCCCTTATGGTCTCTTACGGGACCCTAAGGAGCAGAATGGATCTGGACCTCTTGGATACTGCACCATAATCAGAACGCGCAATTGAGTCATTCTGACGTACTTGTTCCTCTTCCTACCATCTGTGACGTCTCGTAGGCTGCTGTCGTAGTCCGTAATGGCCTTCTCGCTGCAGCCGTTCTTTTGTTGGAGTTGTCAGGGACTTCACCATCAACGAGAATTCGCAGGTGCAGAGAAAATGGAGCGTCGCTCAAAGACATAATGGTGGTAGCAGATCTCGAGCTCGACTCAACTTCCTCCTAGCCTCTGAGGATGATTCCAGAAGTAGTCACAATGGAGAATGATCATTGACTACTATTATGGATCGACTTTGGATACTGAGTCGTGTCTTTCCTGTTCATGTTGTTTCGCCGCAGGTGCAACTTTATCGCCACACAGTATGGCTGCTACTTGATCGCGAGCGGCACGATGCTGCTACGAGCCGGTCTTGTGAATATCGTGTCCCAGAATAGGTATTATGCTCGCGGCCCATTCACTCCCAGTCTGGTGCCTGCCGATCGTGTTCCATCGGTCCCGTGCCACTTCCTCCGCAGCTTAGACCGCCATCCCTGCCTATCTTCTAGCATGGATGTTCGCAATACGATGCTCTTGATCTTAGATGATAGGACGTGCCAGGCAACTCATCGTATGTGGACCTGTGGGAGGAGTTGTCAGTGAGCATCAATAGCTTCGCGAAGGAGATTGCACACCGCCGACCACGTATCTGCCGTTCGAGATCACCCAGTGGTGCGAGGCCTCGTTGAATTCAGCCGCTTCCAAGCTCACCCGAAAGTCGAGGTCGTGCATGTATCGACGGATGATTTTCGCGCGACTGGGGAAACCCTTGAAGGGCTTGCGATTGGCCTTGAAGAGAAGCGACTCTAGACCTGGGTCACGCACCCATTTGTGCGCTTCAGCAGCATGGCGTGCACGGTCCTTCTGCCACTCGCTGGTAGCAGCTTCGGCCGGAGCTCGCGCCTCTTGTTCCCTGAGAACGCCCTGGATTTGCAGTGCTATACATACTGGACTTGAATGACTAGTAGTGTCTGTCTATACGATCAGTCTCCCGCTTGGCCAGCGGCTTACAGTGTTTGTAGAGGATGGCAAGGAATTGCTTCTTGAGATGTGCGGATGCGTTGGCCATAGTGTTGATAGCGCTGATGTACTGGGCAGAAGTCTTGTCGACAGAGTTGGGATTCTGACCAGGGCTGCGCAGCATGTGCGATACAACCTCGGCTGGGAAGTAACGACCATGCATTAACACCTGCTGGATAATCGCCGCGTAGGTAGCGTTATGCACAATATCTTCTTGGGTACCGCCTGCGACATTGCCGATGCGATAGACCATTCGCTTTTCCGCGTCTGATTTGGCTTGAAGAACTCCAAGTTGTGTAAGGACTGTCTCATGGACGTTGTTGGCTTGTGTGGTGGGTGGCGCATACGGGCTCTGCTTGGGCGTGCGCAGCATCTTGCTTGTGCTTGCCTAATGGGCTACCAGTATCTAGCTATTATAAAGTCATGGCCCGAGACTACTTCTAAAGTCTTGCATTGCACATACACTCTTGAGACGACTAGTCTGGCTGGCCAACCCTCCGATCCACTGATTAGTTGGAGTTGACGGCGCGATCGGGCTGGCTGAGACCTGTCCCGTAGATTCCAAGGTTAGTTACTGATGTCGTTATCGTAAAAGGCAGTCTTATCTGACTGAAGTTGTGCGTTCGGGGTAGTAGGAGTGGAACTCGGCTGGCCGAGTGCACCATTTGTGCCGTTGGCATTATTGGGATATGACATGATTGCGGCCTGGCGAAAGGCGCGTGGTAAGAATTTGGAAGTGATGAACGACACGAGTCGTCCTGGTGTAGGAATTTGGAAAGAAAAATATCTGGAAGGTGGTAAGTTTGTTGCAAACGAGAAGCAAAGGGAAGGGAAGATATATGGCGAAGTGGGGCAGACTGGGTACCTGAATATTTGCAAGTGAATACAGACGAATCTATTGTCGGCTATTGACGGGTCGATGCCTGATTCAAACTGTAGTGAAGTGTTGATCGAGTGAAGAAGAAGCAGAATGGAAGTTGAGCATATCAGGCAAACTATTGATGGTAGTTTTGCCTTGATTTCCTTAGGCCGGTGTCTAGCAGAGGCGCTGTATATCAGAGACAATTCTTGCATCCAGCAGTCGTGTGACACTTCGAAAGTCCGCTCATCCTGAGATAGGGATCAAAAGATACCATGCGAAAACCGTGCTGCTGCCGTCTTGTCGGCATTATTCCTCGTGATTTCCGGAGGTTTGAAGAATCCACGTTGTCTTTTGCGCTTCTGATGGGACTTCACGTCCACGCACAAGCGCTTCGATCGAATAGCTCCATTTCGTCTTGGTCGCGGAACTGCTTGCCAAGCCGCAGCACACAAAGTCGATGATCATTGGTGACAGCCTTGACGACGCCACCGTCAACGGCTTGGGGAACAGCGACCAAAACGATAAGTTCTCTGAGTACTTCCACACCATTTTGTCTCAGGACACTCGATAACTTGAGCGTCATATCAGCCTCGAGCTCATTGACCCAAGCCTTGAACGTATCCTTCTGAACAGCAACCGCAGCATTCGTCGCCAACTTGCGTTGACCATGACTCGTATGGTCACGCTGCGGAAGAGAATTATCCCCCCAGTGTACACGACCTTCAACGCCTACAGGCTCTGGTCAGTCCACAGTTCTTGGACCAGGTCAAAGATTTGCGTGGATTAGCTGACCGGATTGGTCTTGGATGAGCGAATGAATGATATGAATTAGTGGGTGCATACGGTGCTGTACGTCAAGCGAGGTTGTGTTGGACAATTCGTTGTGGTGCATCTCCTCCATGTAAGAGATTGCCAAGTTGTATGGCGGTCTGCCGAGGGCTGGCTGCGTCGGACGGTAACCCAGCTGAACGTGAGCGCCGACGAGGTGCATCTGCTGCAGAGATTTTATGCCGAACATGCATAGCTGTGCTATGTACGGCCATAAGCCTCCTTCGTCGATGAGAAGCACTGACGGAGACAACGTGTTTATGAGTTTAAAATTCTGAATCGCAAAGGAAGCCGTACATGCGACAAGGTTCTTTCCGAGCGACTCAAAGGCGTTAGCATCAGACAACAATCCGAGGTAGTTCTCTCTTCTCTCGCAACGCTTGAGCAGGAAGACTAATTCGACGAATCGGTCTCGGATGGCATCGAGGGTGATCTCCTTCACCCATTTGTCGTAGAGTTGTTGGCGTTCTGCTAACGACAAGTCCCATACTGACCGGGTTCGCTTGGTTGATGTGTTCGCAGCTCTTGCAGCAGCGACAAGTTCGGTGTCAATATCCAACGGGCGGTTTTCGTTGGACACTCGAATCTGAAGAAGATTCTGGAGCCTCATGGCGGCGTTGTAGTCCAATTCAGCCATCCAATTGGCGAACAAATAGCTGGGCGCTATTCGGAGCATCTTGCACAGCCATGATTTTCTTGTCGCGTCGTTTTTGTCGTCCTTGTATATTGCCTTGTTTGGCGTTGCGAAAGCGGCGCATACTTGCGAATGATGCTCTTTGAGATGGTCTTGGACGACCACGAATGTGCGCTCACCATTGGCGATGTACCGGAAGATGTTGTGCGCAAAACGGGCAACCGTGGTCTTGTGCGTGTTATTCTGGACCACAGGCGGACTATTCTTGAATGTGGGCTCGTCATTGTCTTTGAGCTTGGCATTCATAGCCTTTCGTAGTCGCCCCAGACCGTATGGCTCCATGCGGTCCGCATCTCACGATCGGCTGCCGAGCCGGAGGATAGACAGCCGGTTGTCTTCGGCGACAGCCTTGATTACCCCGTTATCAAAAGCTTGATTGGTGATCGCGATGAATAGGATGACTTCTCTGCTGATGCCAGGTCTATTCGAGTTGATGGTTGTAATCACGAATATTACCATTACCATAGCCTTGCCCGTGCCCGGTGGGCCTTGCAGCGCTGACACCTTGTAAATTAGCATCCGCAAAAGTGCTTTGGCCCGTCGTCGAAGAGAAATTGTTCATGAGGTACTTGAAAAAGGCTTCTTCATCGGCACTAGGTCGACCAGGGTGCTTAATCAACCCGTCGTCTTCGCTTATGATTGACTGATTGCCAGATGGATCGTGTAGGTCCTTCAGGTTGAGAAGATGTCCGATGTAGGCTGCGGCCAGTTTGTTGTTGGATGGATTGAAGCATAGCTGGCTGCATATATGGCCGTATTTGCAAGTCTTTGGACATCGGCTTCTGCATGGAGGATGTGACTTCAAACCCCGATGGGTTTGACAGAACTCGGTGTAAGGATGTTTGCAGTCTGGGAAAGTGTTATCGCACTGGTCTTCGCAGTCGTTGACTTCGCCGCAGTATAGCATCGGCCACCGATGGTCACATTCATGTTCAACAGTCACAAGCCCGTGCGACAACTTCGCGTTCTCATCCACAAAGGTAGACGGTAGCGCCTCATATTTCTCCATCGCCTGCGGGCATTCGGTAACCTGTCTATCAGCCTGTGAAAATCTCAAAGCAAGTAGTCGTCCGCCCTGGCTGACCAAGCTTGACATGAGCTAGTCCTCGCTGATCTTGGCGCCGAGTGTGCTCACCGAGTCTAGAGCTTTGAGGACCGTGAAGAAGGCAACTTGCATTCGACGCATCTCAAAGGCAGTTCGCAAGAGATCGCACTCGAGGGCGATCTCCAAGTCCTGCTTCAGGTCGACCACGTCATTCGTGCATCTCTTGACGACTTCGTCTCTGATAGTTTCCCCAAGCGATTGGCAATAGTCGTTATCGTGCTTGAGAACTACTGCTGCAAACGTCGTGAGACAAGCTATCCGACAGAGCCGGGAGCCATAGATCATCAGCAGGATACGAAGATCCATCCCATGGATTGGCTGCGTGTTGGAGGCTGAAAGTTTTCCTAGTGTTGCGACGACCTCGAGATCATTGCTCTCGGTCTTCGCAGAGCTAAAGCTGCGCTCGAGGGACTTCTCGCAACGCATGAACTTGCCGAACACATTCTCCTCGACGATTGAGTCTACTTATCCAGGGTCGATTGGCATGCTCCGAGAGTTGAGGAACCCGATCATCGGCTTGGCGTCACCATGCACTTCTCTCATCACAGACTCTATTCCCTCCCGCATCAGACCGAGGGTCATGAACTTGTCGAGTAGAATGTCGGAAGTCTGGCCGAGACGCTTCGTCTTAGGCTTGAGCCAGCGAAAGATGGATGCCCCTTCTCGAGCATCGACATCACATCCTGCGGTAGGACAGTGCACCTTCGTTGGTCGAGTTCCTGCAGCTCTGACTCTGTCCGCGGCAGAGCGATATTGTTAGATAGTTCAACCTGGTGAAGGTCGTGAATGTGCTCGCATGATAGTCTGACCTGTGGTGGTGGTGGCTCTTCGGCCTCACTGATCACCTCGCTGCAGTAAGGACAATCTTTGGCCTCAAAGCAGCTGCGGGGCACCCATGACCACACTCCAAGTTTTCTTCGCAGGGTTTATCGCAGAAGACAATGTCGCATGCTTCACCAGACCGCTTTGAGCGGTATCCGACATGCCCGCAGCCAGCAGAACATCTAACCTTGCATACCTCGCACGGACTGCTGCAGTTTCTGGTGCATTGGCCGATGTGAGAACAAAGCTGCCGACTGCATGGCTTCTCGCATGGTGGGCAGACTCCATCCTGATGCTTGCCGCAGAGCCGTCGACAGTCATGGCCATTATGACATACTTCGATACATTGGTGTCTGCAGGCAGGATGCGGGTTGATACCGTGGTGTGTCGCGCAAAACTCCGTGCACTCGTGGGTGCAGTCTGGAAATCGATGGCTGCACTGCGAAATGCAGGCGTTCTCCTCCACGCCATAGCACAGCTCTGGCCATGTGTGACCACAACGACCACCCGTCTCCCGCCCCGTTGGACGCTGGCATGGTGGTTGGACCCGCTTTCCATCTGCTGTCAGATCGCACTCGTATCCGCAACTGACGGTGAACGGTCTACCACATTTCTTGCACGTCCAGTCGTCGAGATGGTCACATTGGTGCTCCTCCTCGGTACATGAGCAGCATTGTTTGCCACAGCTATGGCCACAATTCAGCCTCGTATCGCATCTCTCGATGCACTTGGTGAATAGATGTGCAACACCTGAGTGGCAGGGCTCTGGACAGGCGTGTTTGCTGCCTTCTGGCTGACTACACCTCACAAGTTTTTTGCCGCAGGGTGTCTCACACGACCACGCATCCAGATCGGCAGTGGCGGTGTAGAGTCGTGATGTCTTTGCGCAGGAAGATGAGATGGGAACCGAGGTTCCGATGTTGTTGAGTCGCGCCTTCAACTCCGAAGCCTGATATGAGTTAAAGGAAGTTGACAAAGCATCGAAGGACAATTTGTCCGCCGAGATTGGCTGCTTCATCTGCTGGACGATTCGTCTGCAATTTGGACCCGTTCCGTATGTGGTCGCATTGGCGACAGCGTCTGGCGCGATCAAGTTTAATATTCTTGAATAGACTTCTTGAATAATGTTCTTGAACGATGTTCGGCAATCGCTATCCTGAATGATGGCCTTGAATGGTGTTGTTGCATGGCATTCTTGAATAATGCACTTGAATGGTGCTCTTGAATGATGCTCATGAATCATGTTCTTGAAGGATGCTCATGAACGAAGCTCTTGGACACAACCTGATCGGATTTGCTGCCTCGTGACACAACCTTGGTGGTGAGTCAGTCGATGGTCGAGGATCGCGAGGTAGACCTATGTTTGCACCCAACGATTGCTCCATGCGTTCGGGTAAATACACCTGGATGGCATCACCTGACTCACTTCGGCTACCATCCTCGTCTTCGAATGACTCACGAGAATCTTTGATGCGTTTTCAGGGTCCTTGCTTGTGTCCAGAAGCAGATTCGCCTGTCCGACGAGCTGGCCAAGGGGTCATCGCGTCGTCTGGATCTCGAAGATCTCCGTAGGCGGCTCGGATAGGGCCTTGTTCTGACCCTTGGTGACGGACAAGTGCAATGAAGCAGGCTCTGTTGCCTTGAGAACGTTGTCCGCGCACGAATGGGGACGGACGCTTGTCAGGCCTCGAGCCCTGTGTAGATTCTCCAGTCTGACTGTCTCCCTAGGATCTCTTGATCCCTCAAGCAATGCAGACTAGTACAGTAGCAGCAAGGCCATTAACAGGATCGACTTGCCTCCGAGATAGGCGACGTCGTGGCAAGTTTTGACCATGATGGCAATCCCTTTGACGGTGGCCGTGTACCATGTGTCGGACCCACACTTCCGCCACTCAGCCTCTGGCGGCTCGAATGATACTTTGGAATTGGGCGTGTTGTCGATGGACGGAATAATGAGGCCGAGAAGCGCGCTGTGCGTCATGTCCGTAAGATAGATCTCCCCAATCTGCAGACCTGGTTGCAGGCCTTGGCAAGGCTGGGCAAGGCTGCCACCTTGACAGGTCCATTCGCTGGCCGCAGCACCGAACCCATAAGACACGGTGATAGCCAGTGGGCTGTGAGATATGTCCAAACGCCTACACGATATGCCGGTTTGACTCGGCTATGTGCGACCTGGGTGTTGAGTATTCCATGCGCGTCGTTACGGTGCGCTGCTCCAAGCGCGTATCACGTGTCAGCATATATATACGCCCGTGCGGATTCTCAAGCAAGCACCAGAATCAGTACTGCTTCTTGCTTCCGAAGCCGCCCATCTGCACAACGTATCGTTTCGCAAGCGCGCTCCTACCTGCAAATTTCGAAGCCTCTTTAGACCACAGCTCACGATGCTGAGCCTGAGCGTCGCGTATGGCTGGGCAGGGAGCGATCCCCGTTTGGGATACCCGCGGAAGGACAAGAATGGAAAACCTTCCAGGCCCCAGATCTCGGATTATGTGGCGTCATGCACTCGTTACCCCACAGATTCGTGGCATCCGCCCCTGTCTAGATCTGGGCCATTGGCGGAGCCGCGGAGCTGACTCCAGGAAACGCGTGCTACGGTCATGATCGCGACTATCTTACTAAGAGGTCTTCCCGCTTCCAGGAACGTACTGCTAAGTAGCAACACCAACTCCCGCCAAGACAAAAATCGACTAAAGATGGGCTCATTGGACATCGAACAGCCAGAATACGATGTCATCATCATCGGCGCAGGCTTGTCAGGATGCTACGCCTCGTATCGCATGCAGCAGCTGCAGTTGAAGCAAAAGGTCTTGGAGACGGGCACATCTGTTGGTGGAACGTGGTATTGGAATCGATATCCCGGCGCCAGATTTGATTGCGAGTCTTACACATATGGCTTCTCGTGGTCAAAGGAGTTACTTGAGGAGTGGGACTGGACCGAGGAATTTGCTCCGCAAGCAGAGACAGAGCGATATGTTCAGTTCATATGCGATCGCTTCAAGCTGTGGCAGAATATGCAGTTCAACACCACAGTAGCCAGCGCACATTGGGACGACGACAACACTCTGTGGAGATTGACTGACCAACATGACCGGAAGTACACCTCTCGCTTCCTGATAACTGGCATCGGTCTTCTCAGTGCACCAACTCTACCAAACATTCGCGGCGTGGAAAGCTTCGCGGGCGACGCATTCCATACTTCGCGCTGGCCCAAAGATCAGATCACCTTCGAAGGCAAACGAGTGGGAATCATCGGTGTGGGCGCGACAGCCATTCAGATCATACCCGAAATCGCGAAGAGTGCGGAGAAGCTTACCATCTTTCAACGCACACCGAATTGGGCTATACCGCTGCACAACTCCCCGATCGACAAGGCGGCTATGGCTAAGATCAGGAAGGGATATCCTGAACTGTTCGAGAAGATCAACAGAACGCGATTGAGCTTTATGCACGATGGTAACCCAGCATCGATATGGGATGCTACGCCAGAGGAGAGGGAAGTTCTGTGGGAGTATCTGTACGCCCAGCCAGGCTTCGGGTTCTGGGTCAGCAACTACAAGGAGATCCTGATTGACAGGAAAGCCAACGCGCTTGTCAGCGATTTCGTCGCCAAGAAGATCCGGCAGCGCGTGAAGGACCCGTGGACAGCAGAGAAGTTGATACCTAAGACACATGGTTCGTACCAGGCGGCAAGTCCTCAAACGTCGCTAACATAACCAGGTTTCGGCTTACGCAGAGTGCCAATGGAGACGCACTACTATGAAGCCTACAACCAAGAGAACGTGCAACTGGTGGACATACTGGAAACGCCCATCGACAGCATAACAGACAAGACTGTCAAGACCACAGCGGCAGAGTACGAGTGCGACATTTTGGTGTATGCGACAGGCTTCTCAGCCAGTAAGTTTCATCGCCGGCGTCTTCGGCCTTGCTAACGTCTTGATAGTCACCGGTTCTTTCGACGCAATCGACTTCCGAGGCGTGAATGGCACTCGCCTTGTGGACAAATGGGCAGCTGGGCCAGAGACGTATCTTGGCTTGACTGTAAAGGACTTTCCCAACATGTTCATGTCAATCGGTCCACATCAGGCATACGGAAACATCCCCAGAAGCATAGAATATGCTGTTGGATGGATTGCCGACTGTATAGCATACCTCGAAAAGCATCACATCACGCGCCTTGAGGCTAGCGAGAAGAAGGTTGAAGAGTGGACAGATCACGTCCACGACCTCGGCAAGGGCCTTTTGAGCAACGAGATTGATAGCTGGATGACAGGAGTCAACAAGAATCTCCCAGGAAAACAGAAGCGCGTCATCGCCAGGTACTCGGGAGCCGCGCCGGACTTCAGAAGGACATGCGATGCGGTTGCAAGCGAGCAGTATAGAGCATTTGTCTTGTCATAGCACTAGTAGAGCACAAATGTCAAACAGCATCCCATTGCGATCCTTAAACCTACTCAGAGGTCAGCCACGACGGAAGAGCTAAGCAGATTTATCATGACCAAGACGTGAAGAAGGCAGAGTTGGCGCAAGACTTCTTCCAGAAGATCGATGGTGTGCTGCGCGCCGATACACAATAAGCATAACTTCCATGGACGGTGCACGAGGGTATTGACATTGCGAAGTAGGGGCAGAGAGACAAGCCTAGATTAGAGATCCTCGCCGGGCAAAGCTTGACGCTTTTGCGGCGTCGGGAACGCGACATGGAACACTCGCGGGAGAAAAATGATCTCGAAACATAGAGAAGCGATTTATGACTTGGCTATTACGTTCTTACTCTGCCTCCTCATTGTCCCAGAATAAGAACATACGGACTTCAATGCTCTCACGCGGTGGACCTGCGTCTTCCTGATTCTCCAGCGGAAACGATGAATGAACAGCACACTTTGCACGACCATCGTTCTTTGAATCGAAGATCTTGAACACCCAAGCCTCTTCTGGCGTCATGTTGCTGGCGTAGTACCATCTCTGATTAGGGTTGTGTGCCATGTTTGTGACCTCGTAGCGAGCAGCGTTGTCTCCGTTTGATGAGTACTCGGCGCGCGCCTTGTGGCCGAGATTCTTCGAAACGTTTCCATACTCACCAGCACCTGGTGGGGGCAGATTGGCAACAACGGTGCGGAAGTCCTTCTCATCAACCGTTTGGAAATCGCAAAAAGCCAGAGGGTCGCGTTTGACATCACGGACAATTGGCTGCCACACATTCATGATCGCCCATCGTTTCTTGATCCGACGTTCAGCCTCCTCCTCAGGCAGGTTGAGAAAGAGGATCTGCTCGGACCCACGGTATGACTGGTCGACATGGACGAAACGCTGTTTGGGTTTAGCATAGGGACCGACGATAGCCTGAAAGACTTACAGCAGGATTGTTCTTGGTGACGAAGTCGGTGTCCTTCTTCGCTGCAGCATCTGATTGTGCTTCATCAAATCTGTGCCGCCGAGTCATGTGCGACACGAAATGCACATGATCAGCACCAGTACTGCATAAGTGTTAGTCGATGCCTTGCGGCCAGATACGTGACTTACAGCTTCTTCATAAGCTTCTCGCATTCAGGATAATACACTCGCTCAATTGTCTCCTTCTCAAGTTGGTCTTCGCCCAGGCGTATATTCGGAACCAGCTGGAATCCATTCTTATCCAGAGTAAAGTCGTTCTGCACGGAACGCAGATCCTGGATGTTCATCTGGTAAGGGACGTGTTTTCTGCGTTTCTCGAATGCCGTGCCAGGATAGGTTTGGATAATACCGCCATCTTTCACCTCCAAGTAGTAGTACAGAGTCGAGCGCTCCGCTGGGAGCGTCATGGTTTGTGTGGCCATTGCGGAATGTGGTTTGCTGGAGAGTTCGGTTACTACCAACGCTTGCAAAGACGAAGGCTTCGAATAAGTCGGTGATTATAAAGGCTGATGGCACGTTCTGGAAGCGTTGTTGATCTCGACCATGGTATGACGCCGACGTCGAAAGCCGCGGACTTAAGCTTTGTCCAGACTTGGTATACCCGCGGTAATGCAATTAACTTCAGGTTTGTCGCAGCTATGATCTCTCCAGAGATGGATCTCGACCCAAATCTGGGGCGCGAAGGGGGTCATGCTGTCCGCCTTTGCCATGGTGATTTGCTAGACGGGCCTACGGAATGCGATTGTGGCCCAATGGTTCTTGCGATGTTGCGCTGAAGCTGCGAGTCAAGCACGTGGAGGATCTGGGGTCGCGGAGACAAGCTTTCGGTTAACATTTGCGTTCCCCCTCCCAAACCGTTTTCGGCCCTGATTTCGTGTTCTGGACTCTCGTCCGCCTGCACACGAAGCCAAACACTTCCCAATCTGCCGGGTAACTGAGATTGATATACTGGCTGCTGCTCCTTGCTTCTCTACCTCCTGCACTCATTCAGCAGTACCTCGTTCTTCGTTCCGACACCATGGCTGCAGTCACTGATTCGAAAGTCATCAGCGAGCACGACGAGCGTGAGAGCTCTCACAGCACGGATGCTGAGAAGACCGCTGTCGGTATCGACCGCGATACAGTCAACGGAAGCGACGACAAAGTAACATTGAAGACATGGGCTGTCGTCACCGTAGGTTCCTCCCCCATTCAGCAGCCTCTTCGTACTGATGCATTTGCCAGGTCCTCGCAGCCAGCTATGGTATTTCCTTCTGGCCTGTCCCGTTTTTTAGCACCATCCAAAACGAGATGTCCGTGTCGTTCGGTAGCTCTCCCGCAATGGGCTCATGGCTTACCTCTGTGTATTCCATTGGCGGAACCATCGCTTTCATGGTCTTCGGCGCGAACAGCGACTTGTTTGGCCGGCGTAACTTCATCATACTCGGAAACATACTGATGGTTGTCGCTTCAATCATTGCCGGCACCTCGCATCACATTGGGCAGTCCATTGTAGCACACGTTATGTTCGGTGTTGGTGGAGGAGCATGCCAGATGGCAGCCTTCGCACTGCCGGAACTGCTGCCGAATAAGTGGCGACATGCTGCCGTTGTCATGGCCGATGCGCTAATCTATTTCGACGTCATTGTCGGACCAGTGGCTGCCCGTATCGCTTGGAAGAGCGGCGCTTGGCGATGGGGTTACTGGGGTATCACCGTCGCCCAAGGTATCAGTCTGATCGTCCTGGCGCTGTTCTACTACCCACCGAAGCATCCCAAAGGTATCGCTTGGGGCGAAGCACTTCGCCATCTCGATTATGTCGGCATGATCTCTTTCACGGCTGCCGCTGCCCTCTCGCTTTCCGGCATCGTGTACGTTCAGCTGGCTCCAGCAAACTCTCCGATCGTCATTGGCCTGCTGGTATCCGGCTTTGCATCCTTGGTATTCTTTGCGCTCTGGGAGACCTTCGCCCCGCTCAAGATGCCATTGGCTCCAACTCGTCTGTTCACCGCCAACAAGGGCAGATCGCTGACTGCGCCATTCATTGCTGCCTTCGTTGTTACCATGTTCTACTACGGCAACAACATCACCGTTCCCACCATGATCGCGGTCTACTGGACTGGTCCAACCACAGCACCATCCACGACATATGGACTCGCTACCGTACAAGGCTTTGGCATCTTCACTGGCGCCATGATCCTGACTCTGGGAGGAAAGAAGTTCGGCCATTGGAAGCTGCAGATGTTGATTCCAATCACACTCATGACTCTCTTTGGCGCTTTGCTTGGCGTCGTCAAGCCGGAGAACGAAGCCATGGGAGTTGCATTCGCATTCATCTCATCGGCAGCTTACGGGTATGCACAGTACCTTTCGATCGCATATGTGCAATTCGGCGCAGATCAGACCGAGTTGGGAATCGCGGGTGGTTTAGCGGGCGTCGCTCGTTATGCCGGTGGTGCCGTCGCTGTCACCCTCTTCCTGACGATCCTGAGCACCGTCCAGGCTTCCTATGCAAGCACGCACGTCATCGCTGCCGCGGAAGCCGCCGGTGCCTCGCCCGCTACTGCAGCTGCCGTCCTCGCAGCACTGCCGCTGGGGACTGCGGCTTTGGAGAAGGTTTCGGGGCTGACTCTTACAATTGCCGAGGCCGCAGGAGGCGCTTTTGTCGATAGTTACGTTCACGGTGTTCGGTATGTAAAATCGTGTCTGTTGAAGTCCAGAGAACTGACCATACCAGCGCCGTTGCATTGTCCTCGCTCGGGTTCGGCATCCTTGCCATCATCGCTTGTCTGTTCCTCGAAGACATCGGACCAAAGATGACACCTAAGATCGAAGTGTTCCTTGAGAACGATGTTCAGGCGGAGAAGAACAAGTTCCACTAGAGACAGTAGGCAAGGCATGCACTTGACCGGAGATCAGTGCGGAGACACCTTATGTATCCACTAGTCGATATCAAGAGCTTTTGAACAATATGTCGGCGTGACTTGCACACAAGAAAGCTTTCATCTGTGTCCGGAAGCAATAACCCTTTCGTGATGACGTCCTTGGGGGAATGCAGTGCAGATCTCAACACTCCAAAGGACCCAACGTCGTGTTCGCGCTGAGGTGCCTCCTCCTCCCCGTCTAGACTGTGGGAGACGACCGTCGTAGCGTCAGCTTGCGGAAGTTTTGTAGATTTGAAAACTGTGCATTCTATACTATTGGGGAAAGCCTTTTCACCACGAGTTTGTGTGGATGGTCGCAGGGTAAGTGAGCCGTGGGCCACCTCGTGACGCGGTTGTTCGGAGAGAGTCGTGAGCTGTTGATCATCAGACTGCGCGGCGGGTCTGAAAGTGCCGTGAGGCCGATCGGAGAAGGAGGCGAGGCGCATCGGAAAAGGGCGTGAGGCGTGTCAGAGAATAGACAGAAGCTGTAATGACGGCGAGACAATTCGATGCTGCACAAGCGTTCCGTCGATCTGATCACATTCAAGGCTCCACAGTCGTTGAGACTGCTCGCTAAGTCACAGCACAGACGTTCGATTATCCTCTGTGACAGCCTTGATAACGCCATCGTCAAGAGCTTGGCCGGAAACAGCGATCAAAAAGGATGACCTCTCTGAGTACACCCGGCCTCTTCGAGTTGACGGTAGTAATGACCCAGAGAACCATCACGAGTGTCTTGCCTGTGCCAGGCGGGCCTTGTAGAGCGGTGACCTGCTTGATGAGCATATTCAGAAGCGCCTCAGCTTAAGCCTGGTCAACGATGTAGTTTTCGACAATATACATCAGCCATGCTCTATGATCAACTCCTGGGCGTGCTGGATGCTGTACCAGCTGGTCTTCTTCACTGGTGATCGATTGTTTACCGTCTGGGTCCCGCAGGTTCTTCATGTTGAGCACCTCGCCAATAAGTTCTGGAGACAGGTGATTGTTCGTTGGATCCAATAGGGCTCAGACGAGAGGCAGATTTACCCGCATATCGGTCTCGAGGCTCGGTAAGCGCTTCAGCTCGTATGGCCACGCTTCGTGGACCGAATTCGGCATCTCCAGGATCGAGATGTGGTAGGGGCGAGTCGTCGACATCAGGCGAAGTGTGCATCGCACTTCGTGCGAGGTTGGATCGAAAAATGTCAAGCGCTTTCTGACGAATCCCGCCTACGCCTCAGTCGATTGGGGCGTGTCTTCGACCCGCATGAACACGGTGCATGCCTCAACCACGTTCAGATTCTGTGTCTGTGGGAGCAGAACTATCAGCGCGACCCCGAAGTTGTCCTGCAAGCGCGATGTGTGGTTGATCTTGGTATCCAGTGGCACCGGAACCGACGCTACTGCCTTGCTCACTGTCGAGTCAAAGCCGAGGACGGTAGTCTGCTTGTCAATCTTCACATTGCGAGAATGGAAGTAATCCCGTTGGCCAGACTTCTGTCTGGCCGAATATGAGTTGGAGAATGATTTGAGCCACATCAAATCCCCTTGCATGACCCTGTCTCCACAAACTCGCGACCCAGTGACAGCGTCGGCACGCGCAACGCGAAAGCTAGAGCCAACATCGCGACCAGCAGCTCCATAGTGGAGCGGCCTGGTAAATAGTCAGGACGCCGTCTCAGCATCTCGCTTGCTGGTGGGTAGATGCTGATGCGCCGAATGTCATCGTGATCGTCATCGCATTGAGGGCAGCCGATGATGGCCGCGATGATGCTGGTAGTGGTTGAGGAGAACATGGTGAAGTCGAGGAGTGCGTGGAGGTGGGCAATAGGGTGGTGGTGACTGGTGAGGGGTGATTGTGCTGCTGTGAAGGGTATGAAGTGAATAGTATGTGGTGACTGGTATGCCGTGAACATGGTCCAGTCAATGTGCTCTGCGAAGCTCTTTCAGTGAGGACAGAAGTTGACGTCGTGTTGGGAGCGAGGGCGTGCTTTCCCTTGCACAATGCTGCCAGTCGCCCGCCTTTTCATGTTCTGAAGCCTCCGCATCTTCGCGAAGAAGGAACGCCTGATATGGTGCAAGTATGTATGAGCTGTTCTGTCCGTGCTCCATACGATACGTCATGTACTCGGGTGCGATATCGAACAAGTCTCCCCAAAGTATTGTTCTCGCTCGGCCGTCGAGGCGGAGCAGCATGCTGAGACCCAATGCACGAACAACGCCGACGACACAGAATAAGATGAACATGCGCGCTTCGACGACTCGGCCAGGGCGTCACTTTCCTTGGCAGCCTCTTTGTCGGTTTGACCTTGCTGCTGAGCGAGCAGCTCCATACCAGCACCGGCCGCGACAAATTCTTTATTGACACGTGCACCGACGAAGTATCTTTCGATGTTTGGCTTGCTGTGTCGGGAGATAACTATCAATAGAATCGCTGTGTTCGCCTCATCCACGTTTCGATGAAATGTTACCTCCAGAGAGGCTATGCTGTTGTAGCATCCGGTCTTTGCAATGCGAGGAAGACCATTCAAGAACTCGGATGGGTGTCGGCCTTGTGAGTTGTACTCGCCGACGGCCGGATGGTGGCGGATATCTTCCTTGACGAAGCGGGAATACTCTTTGACGTAAGCATAGTGGTCAGCGAGGTCATCGGGGAGAGGATCCAGGATGCAATACATAGCGTCTGAGGTGGCTCGATCGACGAGAGCATTGTTGTACCACGTTCCGATGGTCCTCGCTCTTCTTTCCATTCTTCCACCTTCGTCAACCGACCCACGGCCTACGAACCATCGTCGTATGCCAAGTTCTGCCAGAGCGAACAGTGGATCCAAGCGGTCGAAGATGGCTGGGATAATGCCCTTCTGCCAGGGTGTATTATCATAACCGGGTACGCGAAGTCCCAAGTGCTCGAGACTTTCGAGCCGATCTGGACTGAGTTCTCTGTTGCCGTCGAACTTCTCGAATTTGGCTCTGAGATCGGGTGACAAGGATCTTCGTCTGCTCGGGTTTCCGTATTTGTCAAAAGAAGTGTTCAACTCAGCAATGATCTTACCGAGTGCGACGATCTCGGCAACTTCCAGCGTATCGGGGTTCAGAACCAAGGACGCTTTGCACTGGATACCAATTCAAGAGGCCACCGTATCCGACCAGAACATCAATCGCGTCAACCTTCTAGACACGCTCGGCCGGTTGATCGAAGCAGCAAAGGGGCAGGTAAAGTAACGCCACGATTCCTTCGAGCCGCATCGGCGATCGTGCTGAGCCTTATCGCAGACGGAGTCAGGCTGGTGCTGAGCCTCATTGAAAACGTGGCGAAGCCTGTGCTGAGCCTTGTCGAAAGTGAAGCCAAGCTCGCGGTGATCCAGGTCGGAGCCGGAACCGAACCACAAACGAGAGCACCGTCACCAGACTCCGCGGTCTGGACTCGAGCCGGTATGGATGGAGCCTCCGAGGCATCGCGGATCTGCCGTTTGGCATTGGAGCTCTTCTTCTTGATTTTTTTTCGGATTCTGTGCTTCAGGTGCAGGTGGTTGGTCAATCCGTTCCAACTCGACGGGTCTGGAGTTGACTCGGCGGGTGACTTCGTGTATGATGTGATCTTCCCTGCACTCCCTGAATCTAAGGCAGACGTCGCGTCATTTCACCGTGATCGTGCTGTCGGTTGGAGAGACTGGCCAAACCCCGATGAGATGATCACAGAGATACTCGATTAGCTCTGCAGGCTTCGTGCCATCCACGTCGATGCTTTGTATAGTGTCAGCTTGAGACGTTGAAGCTCGAGCTGTGACCTGGACTCTTCCATTCTGCTCGGAAGTAGCCATGCCATCCAGACCCAACAACTGGTCGATGCACTTCTTGACTCTCTTGACCGCTTCAGCTGCCCAAACCATGGTGGGATGGCTCTGCTTTAACACAATCGACAAGTATCAAGGTTGTGTGGATGAAGCCGGCTACAGGCGAGTAAGATACCTATTTGAGTCGGTAGATGTGATTCATGAGGATGAGTGCTGAATAACTCAAGGCGGACAATCAACGACACCGGCCTTCCCTGCGTGGAAAGAGGCCCGCTCGATGGTACCGGCGAGATCGTGAGCTTTCATTGTCTTGACCAGCTTGTTCGGAAGGTTCGAAGGGTCGTGCCGTAGATATCGTCGAGTGAAGGGCAGTAGCCGCCTTGTGAAGACTGTACAAATGTTTAGATAGGAAGGGCGCCGAAGGCTTATCATTGTTTCGCTGCTGTACGTGGTGGTCTTGGAGCGAGTCTCGCTCGAGCCTTGAAAACCAGGAAAGGAATACCCGGTGAATCCTAGCCGACGAAGACGCCGTAGAAATTTGACGAGGGTCAAGCTGGCGTAATTCAGAGACAGAAGAGAATGATTGCACACTTCAGCCTTCATTGATGGGCCGAAGACTTGGAATGGGCAACCGTGGTGAGAGGTGCGAGAAAGAAATGGGGAGTGAGGTTGTCAGGGAGACGGGACAGAGGTGAGAAGTAGCTTGGTCCTGCTGCCGATGCAAAGCAAGCGAGAAGCAAGGACCGGGATCATCTTTCCAGTACGGCAGCAGGAACGAAGACGCGTCGACGACAGACGTGTTTTTCCCGCCTTGATTTTTTTGGTGCCTACCTCACGCGTTCTCGGTAGCACTGTTTGGTGCATGATACGCTGGCGACAACGTCTTGCAGCAGCAATCTGTTGACTTCCTACTATTATTAGTCGTCTGCGGCCGAATATGTGGCGTTGTGGATCAACATCGTCACCTCTACAGGAGGAGAACGGAAAGAAGAGCAAGAACGAACTGCCTGGTGCTGCTTGAGCCGGGAGCCGTGTCTTGGCAAGGCTGCGCAAGGCTCCGCGGCTGCGAAGTACCTAGCCTGCCCAGGTATCATTGTTGATCGAGGCCTGTTCCAAGGTCGAACGTACGTCCGGCATACCTACGCTCCGCACTCGAGCTCGACTTCAGAAGCAAGCGCACCACAAACGCTGTCACGAATACGGTACCCAACGCCGTGCATCCCGAAGCCTCAATGAGCGCTTTCAGAACGCAACGCGTGATGTCCTAGCCATACATGCAACACACCGTCCGCACCAAGATATCGTACACGAACACCAGGAGAGATCCATGATAATCAAGCCTCGAAATACAGCATGCCACAAGATCGCAGCCAGTCTGAAGTTGGAAGAACACGAGGCCTGGTCTCCGAGCCAGCTGCGGTCTGCCGTCGTTCGTTGGGCAACATCTACAGCGCACGATATCACCATGTTTGTGCCGAAGCCGCCAAATACCGGCGGCATCAGTCGATTCGCGTCGTCTGCTTGCGAATACCATGAATGACGAAGCAAAGGTAAGAAGCATGGCAGACCGCTTTTGCCATGGGCCAGATGATGGCGAGCCGATCTCAGATGGCATTCTTCTCACCTGCGTCGGCACGTCACGCTTCGCATTGTCCGAAAATGAGCAGAGCGCGTTGCAGAGACTTTCAGTTCCACTACCTCAGCATCGCTGGTAGGTAGGTGTCATGCGAACTTAGTGTTCTTCAATATCGGCTTCTGTTGCTTCCGTGACTTCGTTCCAAACATCGAATTGCCGGCCTCGGGCCGAATTCTGACATTCTGACACCAGCTTGAGTAGTTGTGCAAACCGAAGGTCGGGCCTAGACCAAAGCAAATCCTGCCGCCTCAGACATGCATCAGTTTTCCCCGGACTCCCCGCAAAGCTGGAACCGAGCCAAGGCGTCGAAGCCGTGGGGAAGAGGCAAGTGTATAAGACTGACAATACCTATCTGGGCCCAACACAGAATCGCCGTTCCCCCTATCCTCGATCTACGAACAATCGAATTCCCTCATCATGGCAAAGCTCACCACATACAACATCGCAATCTGCATCACGGTCTGCACAGGCGGCTTCAGCTATGGCATGGCCGCAGGCAGCCTTCCCACCAGCCTGGGTCAGCCGGGCTTCTACAGCTACTACGGTCTCGATCCAACCACCTCACGTGAGTCGACACGCTTGGGTCATTTTACACTGCTAACGCCGGACAGACACTGCCAACATCATCAGTGCCCTTAGTGCTCTCTTCTTCTTCGGATGTGCCGTCGGATCCCTAGCGCAGTCATGGTTCGCCGACTGGCTTGGACGCAGAAAGACCATAGGCATAGCCGGTGCGATTGCCTCATCGGAGGCGCTCTTGTTGCAGGCTCGGTCGTTGTCCCGATGCTGATCATCGTTCGAATGCTTCAAGGCGTTGGTGTGGGCATGCTGTTGGCCTTGGTACCTCTGTACCTGACAGAGGTAGCACCCCCCAGAACACGAGGCTTTTTGACCGGTCTCACCACACTTTCCTTCGGCATGGGCTACGTGATATGCTCATGGGCCTCCCTTGGCTGCTATCACTTCAAGAATCAGACTCTCGCCTGGCGACTGCCGCTGGCCCTCGGTGTCATTGGCCCCATTCTTGTCCTCACCGGAGTATGGTTCATTCCCGAATCTCCACGCTTCTTGATCTGGAAAGGTCAACGTGAACAAGCATGGATGATTTTGAAGAGACTGCACCATGACCCACGAGTCGCATCCGAAGCAGACGCCGAAGCCGAGTTCACACAAATCGTACGACAGGTTGAGGCCGACAAAGAAGACGAACCCACCTTCTACAAGATGTTCACCAAGCCCACCTGGAGACGTCGGGCCATCCTGGTCATCTTTCTGTTATTCGCTGGGCAAGCTACTGGAGTTTACGGCATCGCCAATTTCTTGCCTTTGATTCTTGGCAGCCTGGGAATGACCGGCGATATGCCCCTGATCTTGAACGGTACGTGTCACTGATCGTCAGGCAGACCACGACTAACGGCGATCTTCGCAGCTTCCCAGGTCACGACGGGGACTGTGTCTGTGCTGGCTAGCATAATCCTGGTCGATAAAGTCGGTCGTCGAAAGTTGTTCTTGATCGGCTTTGCAGCCATTGCAGGCGTTCTGCTATCTGAAGCATTGCTTCAATGGAAGTACCTTGGGACCGACGACAAGCCCGGAAACGCCGCATGTGTCTTCTTCATTTTCCTATTCATTGTTATCTTCCAGGTGAGCATGATGCTATTCTCCCCGACTTTGCCACTGATGCTCGTAGTGCGTCGACGCTCCGGCACTCGTGTGGGCGTCCGAGATATTCCCTACCAATTTGCGGGCCAAAGGAGTCAGTCTGGCCGTCTTCACCTTCTTCGCTGGCGCCATCACTTTCTCAACACCTGCTCCACTGGCCTTCCAGAACATGTACGTGTACCCAATCCTCGATACTCAACGCAGGCATGCTGACAGATCCTGCAGCAAATGGCGCATGTTCCTCATATATGCTGCACTGATGGTCATCGCGGAAGTCATCACCTATATGTACATCCCTGAGACGAAGGGACTGCCTATGGAAGAGATAGGAGCCTTATTCGGCGATGAAGTCGTCGTTCACTTGACAGCGGACGGCCAAGGCATTGTCGAGGACAAGCAGGTGACGGATCACATTGAAGATAACGGGTTTGTGCAAACTGATGAAAAGCAGGTGCACCACGAAGAGAGAGCCGGCGGCGAGTCACGAAACTGGGCTCCAATTGTCTGATATCTTGCGGAGGGTGTTTTCGCCATAAAGCGCAGAGTCCGCTTTGGCATCGAGCCGTCGCGTGGGAATATCGACACAAATGCATACTTGCGAATCTTCTGTACCTATAGCTAAAGAGCGTTTACAGACGGAAGAATCAATCCTCTCGAGAATGGACAGCAGCACTACCACGAGACCTATTACCTTACCTTTCTGCACGTACGTGATCACGGACTGATCAGGCCTGGCCTCCGTCGTCTTCTCGCCTATTGTTGGGACTGATTGCTGCCAAGTCGCGCCTAAAATTTGTGGCGCCACCCCCGCGACCCTCCAAGTCGGTACCGAACCATGTTTTGCAAGCTTTGAGCTCTAGGCTGAAGCTGTGGAGAAAATCTAGGCTTCGCACCTACCCCGCAACCACGCGTGCCCTAGTACTTGCCCTATTACGAATATTCTATCAGTCTGCCGTCCCCAAGGTCCACACGGGATGTCGCACACAAGATCATCTAGGAGCCGCACCAGGCGCCGGGCATTGATCTTCGCATCCCTCAGCGCATATCTACGGTACGAAACCATCGGGTCCCCACGTCGAATACAGATTATCGCCAATGACAGCATCATCCGAGGGACATCGTGAGCAGATCTCTTCTCATGAACCGATTGTGACTACCAAGAGAGCATCAGCAGCGTGCCAACGCTGTCGTGCCAGGAAGGTCAGATGCAACTTGAATGCAAACGGTGGTCCCTGCACAACTGCGTGCTTGACGAGGCCGAATGTGTGGTCGTAGCTTCCAAAAGACGACGTGAGTATCGACTTCGGAAAGCTCGATTAGCGGAAGCCGCGAACAATTCCAGCTGCGATGCCTCGCACACGACAAACGCGACACCGCGATGGAGCAATGCACAAGGCTCTCTCACTGGAAAGTCGTTGGTCACAGCAAGAACGTCCACTGTTTCGCAGCCGGAATTAAATGATGGAGCTGCGGATCGAAGAACAATGATGCCGCCAGCATCGCCGCTACCTCTCTCAAACGCCACTTTACAGCGGACGAACGGTATTCACGAGAAGGACCCATTCCCGGAACTTCCCAGCTATATCGCCAGATCCCAGCAAGAGTTCCGACCAGAAGAGCTACGATATCTGCAAGACTCCGATGCACTGATCATGCCCAGCCAGAGTCTGCGTGACCATCTCTTGCTTGCTTACATTCTTCATTTTGATCCTCACTTTCCCGTCATCGAAGTTCAAGCATTACTGGATGCTATCGAGGGGCGATGCGCTACTCCTATCAGCCTTCTTCTTTTCCAAGCGGTGATGCATGCAGGCAGCCATTTCGTCGACCTAGCACTCCTCCAAGATGCCGGCTTCGGCACTCGAGTCGATGCCAAAGCGTGTTACTACCGGCGTATCAAGGTTCGTCAGGCCAGTCACTGTCCTCTGCTTCCACGTGTACATGCTGATATTTAGGCTGCCAGGTACTCCGCGACTTGGCTTGGGAAAGCGATCGTCTGGTGCTTCTGCAAGCAACGCTTCTTCATCAGTGGTGGTGGACGACAAGCAGTGACTTGCAGGATCCCTGGTACTGGCTTGGATCATGTATCACGCTAGCTACAGGCATCGGCATCAACCACCCAAGCACCCTAGCTGCCAAGGACAATAAGACACAACGGCTGTGGAGAAGGATCTGGTGGGTTTGCGTTGTACGAGATCGGATCTTTGGACTAGTTCAGCGGAAGCCAACGAGAATCAGAGACGAGGATATCGCCCTCCCGGCCCTGCGGTTTCAGGACTTTGATACAAAACCACTCGACACAAGAATCCCGGTATTGGCGGGGTGTGTCGAAGTCACTGATTGTGTCAACAAGGTCTTGTTGGCGGACATTTTTATCTCCCAAGCGAGTCTTCTTCTGACCGTGGGACGGATACTAATCTGCTCTTACAACCTCCAAGGCTTCGTGAACTCCACTTCTACCTGGTCGCTCTTCGCTACGCCAAAGAAGCAGGAAGAGATTGACCAAAGCCAGCTCGACCGTTTGCAAGCAGAACTCGATGATTGGTCCAGTCAATTGAACAGAAACTGCCGGATCAATGACTCCGACGAGGATGAGCTACTTGCGGATCATGTATACGCTGGTCGAGCAGGACTTCGACTCTGTTACCTCCTGGCAAAGGAGTTGTTGCATCGACCACAGGCCTTCGAAACTGATCCGGAGGGATGGGCAACATCTCGAGGAGACTGTCGAGAAGACAGCTCGACCGCCGCAGCGCGTCTGCGTGTAAGTGAAGTAGCATCGGAAATCACGGAGATCCTGGGAAGTTTCCACCAACGAGGCAAGCTACTTTTGCTTCCGCCGTTGACCTTGACTTGTGTTATGACAGGCGTTGCATGGTTCTTGGTGGAGATGAGACGAGCCCAGAAATCACCTGCGGAGCTTCCCGATCATCCATACCATCGCCTCATCCGGGCAGTCTTCGTTTTCAAGGACCACTATCCAATATGGGACGAGACTGTTGCCCTCTTGAAGGTTATGGCTATCAATCAGCATGCCTGGTTTGCACGCACGATGGCCATGATCTCGCCTTCTGTGCCGATGATATCGACTCCAAAGTCTGCCTCGAATAGCACGCCAAAAGCCGACAGAGTTCTTCACCAGATTCATGTTACCTCGGTGGCATCCAACAAGAGCCCGACGACAGCTCAGACCGCAGACGAGATTCACAAAGCTTTTGGTGGCTTGCACGATGGGACATATCTGTCAAGTCTTGATCATCAACATCTGGACCATCAGCTCTCTTCAGGCACAATGTTCATGCCGTCAATGCACCCATTCGCATTGACACCGACAGCTTTCATGTCCTCTGACGCCATGGGCTACGATGAGCTTGCGCTGGGACAGGCACTCGATGCCTATGGACTTGGCGACTCGCTCCACGGTCTGATGCCTGACTTTTCTCATGGCCCGAACCACGACATCCAAGGGTCTTCGACGATATCCACGGTGATGTGGGGTACGGGAACAACGCGTTGACAGCGCCAGCCCTACCATGGATGTTTCTGGCCATCAAATCGAACCATTGCCACGGATGGGTCTCCCTTGTTGCTTCGTCGAGCTGTTAAACATGTCAGTGAATCCCCAACGGCTGTCGTTTGGAGCAGACCGAACGCACTGCGGAGGTTCAATCCTACTACTCTGGCTATTCCCGGACCGCTCTCGTCGATTGTACACGTCGCCTTCTCCTTATTCCACGCAGCCGCACCATTGTTTCCCATATCTGTTTGCACGAAGCTGCACGGGGAAGGGAGAGTGTTATTGGCGCCCGATCTCAAGCCGCGTCTGCAAGAACGACCCGTAAGGCCAAGATGCGGCAATCCAGTCAGCTGGGTTCGATTGGAAAAGGAATAGCAACGGACTCTCGCTATGAATCTCGACCGTCAACCAGTTCAGTGCGGCTTTCGACAATTCGTAAGCCGTCATAGGGTGGGGTTTGGCCAACCCCCGAAGGACTTGACCCGTAGGATGCGAAGCGGCTCGAACTGCAGCTACCATCACGCTTTCTACGCGGGAGAGGTAGATTTCGACGAGATACCTGTCAATGTCGAAGCCCAAACGTTGGGGAGGACGCTCGCGATGAAGATGGACATCACCTCTACTCACCACGATTTGCTCCGGTGAATAAACAAGCTGTAGACATGTTGCTGGATAATCGGGGCGAGAGAGTCATCACTCCAAGCAGACAGGAGTTCACGATCGCTTGCACTGTCAAATCAATGCATCCTGTGAAACCGCAGGTGTACTCGCGATTTCCTCGAGCCTCGCTGCACGAAAGCCTGCTGCAGCAACAGGTCCATAGCTTGACGAAGACCACCGAACATAGCTATTTCAGAGCGAAGTTGGCGCATAACATCCGGACAACTGTCAGGTAGCACTGTCTGAGCGCTGTTGATGAACAACCAAGGCGAGAACACCAAGTTTTACCTAAGCCAAGCCCGCGGGAATGGATCGGCTATGTGTCGGTCCGAATGTCGGTTCCTGCATGAGCCGGCCTCCACCCTCTCCAAGGGCTTGAATGTCAGAATGTCAGAAATCTCCACACTTACACGACACTCATAGCCCAACGAGCGTGGGCTACCTCCTGGCCTCAACTTCAAGGTCAAGCCGCATAGGCATTAGTTGGCATCATGTGCCGCTGATGTGGGAGGTCCAGGCCGTCCCAAATTGATGTTCAGCTCGGCGTTGATTCGTCTTGGGCCCATTCTTACTGACCATCACTGAACATCCTGACTGACCATGAACTTAAGCTCCCTCATGACTTCGCATGGGCGCCACCTACATCGAAGACAGCCGCTGGCATGACATTACTGACAGTCGAGAACGAAAGCGACGTCAGGACCGGCTCAACCAGAGAGCTCGGAGTACGTTACTCTGTGATTCCGCGGCTACAGCTAACATACACGAGGGAACCGTATCGCACAGATCAAGAGAGCACAATCCGCCCCCGAGTCGACTACATGCAGTGACAGCTTGTGCTCACCCTCTTCATCGTATCCATCGCCTGCCAAGTTTCCGGCCAACGGCACATCATTCCTTGCGCTCCCCGCTCTAGCCGCAGAAACCCGAGCCATTACGGAGATCCCGATCAGTGTCTACACGGCGCTGTTCAACAATGGAGCTATGTTAGGCTTGGAGTGTGGCTACAACATTCCGTCCAAGTCCAGACCATGCGTCGACTCGATACCAGATTCGCTGAAACCGACAGCACTGCAGCTCACGACTCTCCATCAGACTTGGATGGACAGATTTCCATTTCCGAAAATGCGGGACAATATGATCAGTCTCAACCGGATCTTTCACGAAGAAGACTTCCTGGCTGACCTCTTCAACATGCATTCTTTCGATATCAAGCCCGGGAGGCCAGGCTGGGATCCAACTGCGTGGGTCATCGGCCGACAATTCTCTCAGAAGTGGGGACTCTTCTATTGAGCGCCTATGCTGCGAGCGAATTCACCGATAGCAGCAGAGCTCTCGACTTTCAAGCAGAGTATTGATGAATACACATGTTGCAATCGCTCAAAGCTATCAAGCATTCCTCTTCACTGCTTCGACAATGGTCTTCGCCGTCAACTCAGTCGCAGTAACGTTCGGACAATGCCCAACATCTAGCTCAACGACATCTATCTTTTTCCCCTTCTCCTGCTCAATGAACTCGATGCAGCCTCGTTGAAAGCTCGGGGTCAGCACCTCATCCCCTTTGCAGAAAATCCAGGTCACGGGATTCTGTAAATAGGAGGCGTACTGGATCTTGTCGTTAAACGCACGCACCGAGTGGCACCACTGCCTCGAAACCCATAAGTCGGCCTGCTCTTTTGGTAGATCGCTGAAAACAGTCCCTGCGGACTTCTCGCTCTGTCTCAAGAATTCGGGGTTCTGGGGTAACGCAGAGTATCAGCAAGGCAAATCCGTCTCCTTCGCACAGGTGCTCTCCACGAATTGACTCGGCAGCAACACTTACCTCTTCCGAAGGCTGCATGAAGTCGAACTCAGGCAGACGCCCGGCACAGGTCTCCGTCGAGTTCGATCCGACGGCCCCAACAATGCAGCTTAAGTAGATGATTCGGACGATGCCGCCGCGCTTGCCAGCCCTCGCACGTTCGGCCTTGCTCAAACCGTGTGCGGCGTCGGTGGTGACGAGTCCTCCATATGAGTGGCCGACGACAACGACTTCTTTGCCCTGATCCACAAGAGCCTCGATCTTTTCATGCATGTATGCCGCGTCCTCTGTCAGACCCTGGGGCTCAGCATTCTTTGGATCATCGGTGTACGATCGCAGATTGTGCGTTTCTGCTTCGAAGCCTTGTTTGGTTAAGGTAGATACCAGATCATTGTAGAAGACCACCGGGCATGCGCCGCCTGGAATCACGAAGATGGTGGGATTGCTGCTGGTGGTAGTGTCTAGAACCATTGTGAAGCGATAAGGACTCGGTGCTGTATCACTTTCCCCCAAAGTATTCCAGTGTACGTGGAATGCTTCATCTTCCGCAGCACGTTGCTAGACGAGGATATATACCGTCTGCTGGGTGATGCTCGACATCTTCGTCTAAGTGAGGCTTACAAATGCAGTCTCGCTGGAATCCATTGTATGTGGAGTATGCCATTTTTCTATACACTTACAGGTGGGCATTGTTACCCTCTTTGTCTCGGGCCAGGAGCAAAAGAGCAAGATCTGGCATGTCCTGCCAAGGCGCCCTGACAATCGAGCTAGAAATCATTAGCGCACCCGCCCCCGTTGTTCCATTCTGCTTTCGGTGCCGACAAATACCTGAGTTCGAGTTAACTCCACTGTTTTATGACATTGACCCCGCAGCCCCATACACGCGGGCACCGCCATGCATACATGGCTAAGACGGCCTCCACTGCAGCACGTAGGCGTCTGTCGGCTTGATGCGCTGATTAGAGGTCGGGCCGTTGATGCAACTTTCATGAGGTATTGTACCCAACGCTGACAAACGCATGGGTGCACGCAATAGAGCGTCGGGCTATGCGGAGAGAACGGTAGGATAAATCCAGTACAGACCCGACTCAAAACGCAGCGCCCACGTGAGCAGCATGAAACGATGGGTTCCCTATCTGCATCAGCAGACCTCGCGCTCCTCGTGATTCCAGGTGCAGCCTCGCCGGCGAGCTTCTATGAAGACTTCGTAACAGAAGTCCGCAAAGTCACGGGCCTTCAAGTCGACGTTTACAGCAATCCTTCCGGAGCTGTCTCGGATCCGCCAGCTGGACTGACAGAAGACGGACGCTTCTGGGCATCGAAGATCGAAGAACTCAGCTCCCAAGGCAAAGAAGTGATTCTTGTACCACACTCATACGGTGGACTCGTTGCCAACGAGGCTGCAAAGGGCCTCGAAGTGGCCGTACGGCAGCAGCAGAGTCTCACTGGCGGCGTGAAGAGGATCATATACGTGACATGCGTGGTCGGTGGCGTAGGAGAGACCAGCAGCGAGGTCTGCTCGCCGTTGGATTTTGACTGGTTGCTCCCGATGGATGGCGTACGTAGCGTGTCCGTACGAACATTCACTTACTGACTGTGCCAGAACGACCAATTCGTCATCAACACGGATAGAGGCGCGCACCGTGTGTATAACGACATGCCACTTGCGAAAGCGCAGAGCTTCATACCGAAGATGAGTCCGCAGTCGGTGAAGAGCTTTAACGACAAGATCGTCTCCGATTCGTACACACACATACCGATGACTTATGTCCTCTGCACGAGAGACAACTGTCTCACGCCTGAGTGGCAGGAGGGAAGGATCGCGTGGCTTCAAAGCCAGAGACAACAGCCCGTGGAGACAGTGCGGCTCGATGCCGACCATTTCCCGCAGCTAGGTGCTACACAAGCGACGGCGAAGGTTGTGGCGGATGTTGTTGCCGGTCTGTAGATCCGTTTCAACAGCCGGAGCAAGCCAAGCGCGAGTGGATTTGTCGTAGAGAAGTCGACTGTGCGGTATAACTATCGCTTTTGCGTATCTCTGTGCTGTTGAGACTCGGGACCCTCTTCGTCATGCGGAAATATCATATCGATCCGTCTGATCTCTGACCGGCTTGTACAGGAAGTACTCGAAAGTAGCTTGTGCTGCCAGTCCATTCAGATCCGACGCCGCTACGCCAACGAAGGCACCCGTGAAGCTGCCGTGCGCCTGATGCCCACCACACTCATCCGACAGAATCGAAGCTGCGTACACCGGACCAATAGCTTCCAGTTCTTTGCCTTCCAGTGCGTAGAAGAACTGCAGTGAGTCGCCCCGGAGCCTAAGCGCCAGCCTGACCTTGCCCGTGTCCGGAATCGCAACAGGTTCCGGCAAAGTCTCCAGTTTGCCTTCTGGATACGAGATCTCCGAACTCTGCAACTGTAGCTGTCTCTTGCCATTGGCGTCTGCTGATACTGTGAGGTAGAAGAAGTTGTATCGACAGTAGTACGCCGTAAGGCCAGCAAATTGCCTCTCGTCTTCGGGCGAGAAGTCCACAATCGTCTCGGCATCATAGCTGAAATGCGTCTGTCTTCGTGCGACCAACGCTTGTTCGAACCACGATCCAATCGACTCGCGACCGATAAGCGTCAGACCTCTCTCGCCTGTGGAGAAGATCCGCTCGGGCTCTGGCGTACGAAGCCACTGGAAGTCCCGAGGCAGGCCATCCTTGAAGTCGTATCGCTTCTCTACCCAATACGACTGCTCATCGAATGTGCCCGGGACTTCGACATACAGGGACGGTACAGGCCCGTTCTTGACGTACAGCCAGTCGTCCTTCCAATATGCTTCCTGCAGGTTGGTCTCACGTCCGAGGATACAACGACGCTTCTGCGTGATCGGCCGCCCGCCAAGATGAACCATGTAGGTCTTGCCCTCTGGAGTCTCGACGATATCTCCATGGCCCGCTCGCTGTATTGCGGCAAACGGCGAATCCTTGGAAGTGATCACGTATTTCTGCGGATGGTCTTCGTAAGGGCCCCAGATATCTCGGGATCGAGCGAGCGTACAGGCGTGGTCGTAAGCTGTACCACCTTCCGCTGTGAGCAGATAATACCATCCATTGCGTTTGTACAGATGTGGTCCTTCGACGAGATCGAGCTCTGTACCGCGATACACGTTCTTCCTCGGACCTACCAGCTTCCCGGCTTTGCCGTCAAATTCCTGCAGCATGATACCGGCAAAGGCGCGAGGTCGTCTAGTATGATCCCAGAGCATGTTGACAAACCACTTCCGGCCATCTTCATCGTGGAAAAGCGATGGATCAAAGCCGGACGAGTTGGCGTATATCGGATCAGACCATGGTCCCTCAATTGCTGGCGCGTGGACGATATAGTTGTGCGTGTCCTTGAATGAACCGTCTTTGCGTTTCACGTCGGTATAGACAAGCCAGAACTTCTCGCCGTCGTGAGTCAGACACGGCGCCCAAACGCCACAGCTGTCCGGATCACCACGCATGTCGAGCTGTGCTTTCCGAGTCAAAGGACGTGTGACGAGCTCCAGTTGGCCAAATCCTTGGAATGGTGGATCTGGACGCCGGGGAACCATTCGAAGGTCGACGTTGCGATGTAGTAATCCTCGCCAACCCGCAGTATCGAGGGGTCGGCGTTGAAGCCGGGCAAAATTGGATTGCGAACTCGAGGCATGTTGTTTACGTACGAGGCGATGGTGTCGATTAGTCCTTGATCACTAAAACGTCCAAGTTGCCCTCGCGATCTGGGACTGAGGCAATGTCGAGATCATATGAGGTACTGCACTGCAGAGAAGTCCGCCGGAACAGAACAAAATAGCCTATTCAGGCTGAATTTGTAGGGCTCAGTCATCCGAGCGGCCACTGCCGAGGGCTTGAAATGGCCTGAACATTTTCTCCAACTTGGATGGCTTCCCAGCGTCGCCGTTGCAACAACTGGCCAGAACTCGACTGGACGAGCTTCCCTTTTCGTTGGAGGATGTTGGCTGTTGTGAGGTGACTGATGTAGTCCGCACGGCTGCTTGGGAGCTTCGTTCAGGCGTGAAGGGTGGCCCCCAACGCAGTGCGGGTTTATTGGGATGTCCGGGGTCGACGCGCTTTGCCATCGTCTACGCTTGCGCACAACTTCACGCGTGCGCTGAGCTTGACTTGCATGCGAGGTTACTCGGGCATGTACTATGTTGTGAGAATGAATCGTCGCTGCACCGAAGCCTGAGCATAGAATCTGAACGTGGAGCAACGACTTGAAGTACGAAGTAAGGATCCAAATTCGCGACTGCAATGACGTCGCGGCCTTCGGAAATTGCAGTGGCGTGCCCGTGTGGCTGGGGCTTTGTGGCACGCGTCTCTGATATCTCGCGCTCCATTACTGAATAAAGTCGTGCAGTCATGCACACACAACACACTTGGGCAGCCCTGAAGCTGTACTCCGTGGCGTGAGACTCTTGGCGGATAAGATGCACACTTCAAAGCCTGCCCAGCAGTACCGACACAACGGTATTATACAGCATCGAGAGCTAGCCGTCGACCTGGCAATGATTCGACGGCTTTATCGCTTGAAGGTCGCCCGTTGGCTCGAGCCAGCGCCAAGGGTGGCGGACAACAGCCTGTAGCGACGAGGGACGGTGACAAGACGGTGGAACGCCAGCGTCCGGCGATTTCTTCGCGGGCTGGATGTTTGAAGCACGCAGTCCCAGCCGATGATTATCTCAGTCCACTCCCAGCACTTTCACGAACGCAGCCATGTCCTCGACGGTATCCATCTGCCAACAAGCCGTGATCACCTTTTGCACCTTGTTCTCGTCCAGCACGGCACTTGCGAGACCCCGAAACTTCGCTTCGATCTGCTGCTCCGTCATTGGTCTCGCCAGCGAGCCTGTGGCATGCTCTACTCGAAACACTTCCTCGTCTCTGCCATCCAATATCACCTTGATGACCGCAGCATCATCTGCAATGCCCTCATCGGTCTGGACGGCGATCTTTTCTCTCAAAGTCCTCGCACTGTCGTCTCTGCAGCCGTCATCAGAGAACTGTTTTGGGCCTGCTTCGCCGTACAGCATACCGCTCGCAATCCCATGGTACAAGCTGAAGATAGTCTCTAGGCCCGTCCTTGGATGGCGGACGTTGCACAGGCGCGTGCATTGCGGACTGACTGTGGCCTCGATCCTCTCGACGCTCTTCGCCGTTGCGTTCGCATCACTGAGCCATGACTTAACCTGGATCCCGGCATCGATCAGCGGATGCACCACAATGCCACATGGATACGGCTTGAACGTGTTCTGCAAGATCTGCCAGTCTTTTGTCTTGCTGCGTGCCAACGTATCGATCTCGTCCTCTTTGACAGTGTCAGAGACAAGCCTCGCCCATGCCTCGATACTGCCCTCACAGCTCTCAACCCCATGCGATGCCAGTCCTGCGGCCGTCAAGCCGTTTTGCGCGCCTCTTCCCATATGCAAGGTCTTGGTGTCTGTTCCAAACATCGCTCTCGTCCCTGCAGCCATCGAGCTTGCATGACCCAGTGCTGCTGCAAATCGCTTGCTGTCGAGCTTCATCCCCTTCGCGACACCAGCAGTGGCGCCAAAAGTGCCAGTTGTGCCGGTGATGTGCCATCCAGACTTATAGTGACCAGGACTAACTGCCATACCCACCGCAATCTGAGCTTCTACGCCAACAACGAATGCTAGCAGAAAGTCCTTTCCAGTCATAGGTTGCTGCTCTGCCAACGCAAGTAATGCCGCTAACGCAGTCCCGGAGGGATGATTTACAGTCCTCAGGTGCGTGTCGTCGAAGTCTGCTGTCGTTATCGCGACGCCATTGATGAGTGCGGCGTACTCTGCACTCGTGCGATTCCTGCGGCCAAGGATCGTTGCAGCTTCTCTTTCGGTCTGCGTGTTTTGGACGTACCGGAAGACTTTGGCAGCTGGCGCGTGAAGCGCATAGCCGAGGCCGCAGGCGAGAGCATTCAGGATGGACTTCTTAGCGGCAAGTACGACCTCGGATGGGAGTTGATCATACTTGAGATCTGAGAGAAAGGTGGCTAGATTCGCCGTGTGATCTTCCATGATCCGTGCACAGTGTTCGCCGGAAACGGTGTCGTGCAAGGCGAACGAATATATTTGCCCGTGAACCCCACACGGAGCACTGCTTCTCCAATCGGGGTAGATGCTGTATTTGACATGCGTGAGACTGCACGCCTCAGGCAGCCCTGGAAGCACATAGAACCCCCCGCGTTCGGACTCTATCCAGTATTCTCATGGAACATCATCTGTGACGAGACATTCCTTAGGAGGCCAGCGCCATCGCCTTTCGTCTCAATACAAATGCAGTTCAATGCCCATATCGTATGTGAATTCGTTCGCGAGTTCTAAAGGGTGAAGGGTTGAGTTCATGTCTCGTCGGGCCCAGACTTCCTGGAGAATGGACCAAGCCGTTCGATCAACAAGCTTGTTCCTCCGATCAAGAAATGCTTGATACTCCTTGGTCAACAGCGTCCTTGTCGATGTCCCTCCATCAGTGTGCAGCGCTGCGGTGAACAATGGCCACAGAACACAGTCGCGCAGTGGAATCTGGAACGAATCGTCGGTCGTGTCACGCAGCATTTTCACACAAGAAAGAATGCGCATCACGAGACTGTCAGTCTCGGCGCTCTGGACATTGTCACTCGACCCAGAGACCTCTCTTGATGCATGCTGGGCGAGCAAGATCGTCAATCGGAACGCTTCCCAGAACGGATATTGTAAGCTGTGCTCGGCTTTGACATCGGGTGTCCAGTCCAATAATTGTGGCTTGACATTCTGACCTTCGCCCAGCTTAGCAATAATGTCCAGCAGAGAGCGAGGCAGCCCGGACACCGGCTCGATGCCACCTCTCGCCAACGGAGCGACCAGTCGACTCCAGATCCGTCTGCAGGGGTTACGCCGTCCGAGCGTTGCTCCTGGTAGGTCCAGCAGGCCTGCACCTTCGACGACCCACACCGTGAGGCTGTCATGTTGCATTGCCGTGGGGCCGCGCTCAGTGATCATCGTTTCCAAGCCGGACAGATGTATCGTCCAGAGAAGCAGGGTCGATATCTGAACAGCGAATAACGTCAGCCTCATCGGAAGGCGCTCAACAGCAGATGGGCGAGGCTTACAGAGACCGTGCACAGGAGGAGGCCGGTCACTAGCATGTCGTCGTCGTGAATCTGTCCACGCTGAAGTCGCCATTTGTACAAGTCAAGAGCCTGCCCGAGATAGTGCGAGAACCGAGACCGGTGTGATGGAGTGTTGTAGGCTTGATATGCGAGACATACTCTCGCCACCAGCCAAGATGTCTCCGACAGAGGCACTACCTTGGTTCCTAGCAAGTTCTCTCCGAGAGTACGACAAAGCCGTAATTGGCCATCTGTTCGGACTAGAAGTAGGCAAGATCTTGTCAGTCGAGCCTTAAGACCGTCCTACACAATTGCGGAAGGCATCGAGTAAAGCAAAGGAAGCTGTTCGCCGGTTCTAGACTTACATGCGTTGAGAAGACTGGCCTCGGCTTCTTCGTCATTTGAATCCAACGCCGCGTCCTCGTGAGTCTTCTCAGCAGTGACGGCAACAGGCTGAGTGCTTGGAGGTGTTGCAGCGCTGCAGGCGGGAGCCTTGTTTGGGGGATGCGCGATTGGCGTGGAAGGCGTGACCGATTCGTTGACATCCCGTTCTGGAACTGATCCGTTCAAAATCGGGCTGTCTTCGACGTCCCGTCCACAGCGTCCAGAGTCGGTTTGATCATCCTTAGCAAGCCTCTCTTGCCGTGTCGACGTGCCACGGCTTGACGTCCATACGAAACGGACCGCGTAGCCTTCGCAGTGTCGCTTCGCGCGTACGCATGATCCGCAATTGGGCTTCCCTTCATCACACTTGCGATGAAGGCGTCTGCAAGTCCAGCATCCGGACCGGGAACGCCTCGCGTAGCCTTTATCGCGGTTGTCCGAAACCAGCGGAGGTCGCACACGGGACCGCGCCATTCAGTTGAGCTCGGTGGGCACGAAGTCTGGGGTGCGCGATATGCATGTGGTTATCGGAGCCGCCCCCAGATTCGATGCGGTTCTGGTGCCCAGATACATCCTGTTCATGAAGTGATGGCGTGTATATCTGCTGCAGGCAGATTGTCGCGGGTCCGGCACGAAACAAGGGGACCATGGCTTGCATGGTTGAGTGGGGTTGATCGGCTGGCACACAGAGTTTGGGCCACATTCGCCAGCTCTTATCGGCGCCACATCTGGACTAGCGTCCGAGCCATATGCTTGTCAATTGTTTATATCGCGTGGCAGACCGACATAGCTGTTCATGCGTACTCGCCAGCAAAGCTGCGTAGTTCCTCAGGTGCATAATCCCTTCTCAACAGAGCAATGACAAGAAAAGTGCCCGCTGGCGTCAGCAGCGTCGAGGTAAAGGGTCTGGGAACTTTACGTGGTGTATCTTATACAGACGGCGTCCGTCAGTTCTATGGGATCCCGTACGCGCGACTGAAGAAACGATGGACACTGAGTAAGCTGGCGGCATCGTGGGAGAATGATGCTCATGACGGAACCAAGCTTGGGTTTGCAGACCTGCTCCAATACACTGCTGAGACTGATTGTGGTCAGGAAGCATTACCCTATACCTCCTCAGCATGATAGCACCAATGATCCGAGAGTGCCAGTAAAGGAAATCGAGCAGTTCTCAGGCTGGATTCCCGACGAACTTGAGTGTCTCAATCTCAACTTGGCTGTGCCGCCACAGTCCGCCTCCGGAGCTGGTCCATATCCTGTGATGGTATATATCCACGGCGGCGCATATTGGTTTGGAGGCAACTTCGTGCCCATATATGACGTTGCAAACTTAGTCTCCCACTCCGTCAAGCAGGACCATCCGGTGATTGCAGTTTCGATCAACTACCGTCTCGGGATAGGCGGTTTTCTTGCGTCAAGGCAGATTGGGGAGGAGCTTAAGAAGGACGGCTTCGCAGGCAATGGCAATTTCGCTCTGCGAGACCAGCAGGTGGCATTGGATTGGATCCAGAGATACATCGCCCAGTTCAACGGAGATCCAGACAACGTCACAATCTTTGGAGAGTCGGCCGGCGGTATTTCGGTTGCCCATCAGGTCATGGCAGCGCGACCAGCAAAGTTTAGACGTGCAATCCAAATGTCTGGGTCATTGAACTTGACAGAGAGCTGGCCAATCGAGCGACATCAGAAGAGATATGACTGGCTGTGTCAGTATTTGGGCATCGACCTCTTGCAGCAGACAGCCTCGATCAACTGCGGAATGTGTCACAGGAGGAACTTTGCAAAGCAACGCTTGTTATCGAGCCATCCGACTTCACTGTGTACAACACCTGTGACGACGGCCACTTCCATGGAGAACGACCGGGCCTCGCCTATGGGTCAGCTCTGCCTCCATGGCTCGACTCGATCATGATCGGCGACACTCTGGACGAGGGAGAGCTGTGGCGAGGCGTTGTGTCCAAGCATGACGTCCCGTTCTATCGCAAACGCTTAGAGTTGCACATGTCGACCGCTGAAGCTGCTCGGGTGTGCGAACTGTATGGTATCTCTGCTGAGGCTCCAAGAGAACAGTCGATCCAAGGCCTTGTTGATATGACTGCCGACATGATGTTCAAGATGCAGAACTATGTCATTGCTCATCGATCAAACGTCAAGAAGACTTTTGCATACCACGTTGACCAGCGTTCGACGCTTGATCATTGCCTCAAAGGACAGGCTTACCATGCCATCGACCTGCTGTACGTCTTCCTCAACGGGAAGGAAGCCATGTCGGCAGAGCAGATTGTACTTGCAGAAAGAATGGCATCGGATTGGATTGCTTTTGCGCATGGAAAAGAGCCGTGGGAGCCTTTCGCCAGCAACAAGCGATGGATGATATATGGACCAGAGAAGCATCAATCCACATGGGATCTTCAGAGTGAGGTCCAGGACGAGCCAGTCCGTCGATACAGCCGCTTTCGGGCGCTGCTGAAGGATGGACTGTACGAGAAGCTCTACAATGCCGTCCAAGACATTGCGCACGAGCGTTACAGGCTCGAAGGATACAAGCCAGAGCTTCCGAATTGAGGTCGCATTCAATAGCGAGGCGGCATTCTTGCTTTGCCATAGTGGTCGCGGTCATCACAAGTCGTATCGACAGACAGAGGAGCTTAGATCACGAGTTCGTTATAGGCGTGTGCGCTGAGCGGTGATTCATCGGGACGGTCTTTGTGGCATGGAAGATTCTTGGGCGAATGCCAGTAGTCGTGGTTGGGCGTGGCCGTAGATGCGGGTGATCGACTGGCGCCCTCCACCACTCGACATCAGCTCAACACGTTCGCTGTGTTGTCCGCATTGGGCACAGAGCGCTGATTTCCACCTTTGATACACGCGTTGGTCTTAGATAAGGGGCATACACATTCAGACCCGGTTTGCCGGTCGTAGAGCTCGCATCATTGGAGGCTGCTCGATGTCGCTCGTCATCCTTGACCTCCACGCCATGGCTAGCACCTACCGATAGGCTCTGCCGGTCAGTGTGTGCATGCCGCTTGAAGTGATTGAGAGGGGAAGGGAAAGTGCCACGCACGCGACAAAAGTTCTCCACTCACGCGCTAGAGAGCTAGACCAAATCTGGAGCTGATAACCGCATGCACAGCTCCTCAAGTTTAGCTTCACGACGAGCTTTCAGACGAACACATTTCCAGACGTCGACCTTGGCTATAAGACCAGCACGACGCGATGATGTTGTTCGACAGCCGTCAAGCAGTCTGCAGACTGATCGCAGTGGTACGCCGCGACGCAATTTCACGCAGTTTCAGCCGTCTGCCATGGCCGACGCCGTAGAAGAACATGACGCGCCGGGCACAGTCCTCCTGGCGGAAAGTATGTCGATCCTTTGAATCAAAGCCGCGATGCGGAGAGCGCTGACACTTCTGCAGAACAGGGAAGCACGAATCGCATTCTGCTACACCCGACGCCTTCGGAGGACCCAAACGATCCGTTGGTATGTTGCTCGCGTTTTCTGATATGGACTCGGTCTAATATGCAGGGAAGAATTGGTCGCCGTTCCGGAAGAACATCAACTTCGGCCTCGCTTGCGTATATGTCTGCTTGACCTTCGTCCAACTCGACAACGCGTACGTGGCATATGAGCCCTACTCCGAGGATCTCGGCGTCACCTATGACAGCTACAACCAGTCGATCGCATTGAACTATGCAGGCCTGGCCGTCGGCAGCATTTTCTTCATCCCTTTCGTTCATCGATATGGCAGGCGTCCGCTATATCTGGCAAGCATGGTGGTGCAGCTTGCAGCATGCATCTGGGCCGCTACATGCACAATTCCGGCGAATTGATTGCCAACTCCTTTGTCGGCGGACTCGGAGGCGCACTCAGTGAAACGATTGCAGTCGTTACGATCGGCGACTTGTACTTCGTACACCACCACGCGTTGTTGAACGGTATCTTCCTGTTCATGCAAAGCATCGGTGCTTATATCGGGCCCGTCGTCATGGGCTACGCCGTGCAGAACGTGGGATGGCGATGGATGTGGAACATCACCTCGATCATGATTGGCGTGACGCTTGCCGCAAGCCTGCTTCTGTTCGAGGAGACGAAGTACGTGCCAGTGTGCAACGGCGAGGCCAGCAGCACTCCGACCCAGAACACATCGCCTGAGAGCTCGAGCTTGAAAGCTGGAGATGGCGCAATCGATCTCGATGAGACCCAACGTGTCACCACAACCGAGCTGGCCTACAATCGCAGGTCCTACAGACAGCGAATGGCGCTCGTGACTCCAACAGATGAACCAATCTTGCGCCACTTCTATCAGCCAATCTCGATACTTTTCGCCATCCCTGGGGTCGCTTACTGTGCCATCACATACGGTACCATGCTGGCGTGGATCTCCATGCTAAGCTCGGCACAGAGTTACTACACCTTACTTCCGCCATACAATCTCGATCCGAATCAAGTCGGACTTCTTAGTCTGGGACCATTCATTGGCCTGTTCGTGGGTACCATTATCTTCTCGCCTGCAAGCGACTGGTCCATCGTCAAGCTCTCTACCCGCAACAAGGGCGTCTTCGAGCCCGAAATGCGTCTCTGGCTCTCGTTCCTCGGCGCTGCATTAGGCTTCGTGGGAATCTTGGTATTTGGTTACTGCTTGGGACAGGTCAGTACATTTTACTGCCTAGAGAAATGCCGTTCAGTCCACTGACGATCATCGTTACATCAGGGTCGCTCAATATATGCTGTTTTGGCTGGCTACGCCATCTATAACGCAGGCTGGGTTATATGCGCGGACGTCTCCCTTACTTATGTCCTGGATTGCTACCACAATGTACGTTCTTGTCGAAGCCGCGTTGAAGTCGACTAACACCAAGACAGATCGTTGGTGACGGCATGGTCGCGATTGTCTTTTGCCGCAATATTATTTCCGTTGTGATGTTATTCATATACACGCCATGGATCGAGCACATGGGTATCCAGAACACCTTTCTTGTGGTGGCAGTCATCTGCTTGGTCGTCTGCGTGGCCTGTCCAGTCGTGCTCCTGCTCTTCGGGAAGCGCCTCCGGATTGCCACTGCAAAGAGGTATCGAGATCTGTCTGGAAGGCAGGTGAGACATCGTTGAAAGGCCTGTGACCATGATAGGAAGGAGGCTGTTATGGTGGCAGTCTTTGCGGGGTCACATGCCTATACACAAGCTTCGCTTTAGGAAACTTTTTAAGAATCTTCTGCCTCATGGCCCTGTGTTCCAGGACATCAGCCAAACCTTCACTTGGTCACCCGCATCTGCCAGCACCACCTCCTCGATCACTTCGAATCCACATCGCTCGTAGAGTCTTTTGCTCTCAAGCGAAGTACTCTCCAAGACGACGACAGCAGGCCCATCTCTGCTGATTTCACTGAGCACCTCATTTAGCAGTCGTTTGCCAATTCCTCTGCCCTGAAGGGCGGGTCTGACCGCTATGACTTCCAGATACCACATCTCGCGTGGGGCGAAGGCCGTTCTCAACCTATCCAGATTGCGGTCGTGTTCTTCCATCATAGTCTGTAGGCGCTGCTTGTATATCAGTACATGTTTGAGTACGTTGCACTCTGTGTCCGCTGACTACCAGACATACCTTCGTATCAGCGCCAGGATCGACGATCGGATTCACATAGTTACAGAACCGAAACCACTGATCCTCGACCGCCTGGTACCAAGACGACTGCTTTCTGTTCTGTGGCGGATGTACAATCGCAACTGCCCCGAAGGCGCTGTCTGTGTCTGAACCGGCGTCATGCTGTTGTCGTAGTCTGAACAGCAAGCAGTCGCGCAACGAAGTCTTCACTCTGTCCATCTGCCATCGTTGGATCGAAGGGTCCAACGTTCCCCAGGGGGGTGCTCCAGGCCTCACCCATGCCACGAGTGGGTCATGCGAGAAAGAAAGCGATATCGTACGCGCAACCTCCTCAATGGTCCTCTGATCTGTTCCGAGTCAGTTTGATCACCTCCGGTAGACTTCACAGGCCCGCTGTCCTACCTTGACGAAGTCGCTCGAGCGATCCGATCGGCTGGTGTGCGGGACCGGATCGTGCGGTATCTGTCTCCAAGTTGGTCATGTTCCGTAGGTGTAAGCTAGTATCAAAAGGGAAGAGTGCACCTCTTCATCAGAGGTGTCTAGACGCATTGCGTACGAATGCAATTACTTTGCAATGTCAAGGAAGTGATGTTCTTATCATCAGCATTTCCATGCGAATGAGAGCAGAGACATGATCCGCATAGCGCCGGCAAGGTGCACCGGGAGAGCGAGGTAGGTGAGGTAGGGTATCGCTACGCGATTAGGAAAGGGTCAGTTCTAGCACGGAGATCAGTTGCGCCCGGAGGTCCGAACGCGATCCCCACGCGTTGAGAAAAACGCCTGTTACCCCGCGTCGAAATTCTTGTCCTCCTGACTCCTGGCAGCCACTATCTTTGAGTCATACCCACTTCCTACAGTTGGACCACTGCACTGCCCTTAATCTCCACGATCATGCGTGGATCTGGCAACTGCTTCACCCCTATCGTTGCCCTAGCCGGAGCGACAGCTCGTGTGGGAAAGACCTCATTCCATGCCTCGTTCATGCCCACATAGTCCCGGCCCATATCCACGATGTACACGGTAGCTTCGATGAGGTTCTTGACGCTCGCTTTGCCTCCCGTTGCAGACTTGATGATGGTGTCAATATTGTCCAGCGCGGCAGCGGTCTGTTCGCGGATGTCGAGGGACAGAATTCCATTCTTGTTCTCGCTAACCCCAGGCCACGTGCCATCAGGCCTGTTGCAAGCGATGCCGGAAACGTAAAGAACGCGGTGTGGTGTTTCGGGCGCGAGGCGTGCCTGAGGATAATGGAACAGCGGCTCCGGTGCGTCCGGCTGCGCGACATATGCTGTACCGTTCAGGGACATCGTGTGTCGTCGTGTGTACTCTTCGGGAGTGTAGCGATGAGCACGATCCCGATGAAGTGTTGCTGTGTTCGCCTTATATGACCCTCTTCAGACGATCATGGATGCAACGGCCTAGCACATTTCAAAACGCGTTGCGATATGGTGGGATTCGGTGCCTTAGCCCTTGCTGCCACACATCGCGACTGTCGGCCTGCCTTGAATTAACGCGTAGAAGACTTGCCTGAAACGGAAGGAGACGTGCCGCTCTACTGGCGAAGGCCACCCGTTGCCGTCCTTTCGCCGGAAAAGGGTTCTGCATTGGCTTTTTGCTCGGTCTAGTTGCACCCTCAACCCTTCCCGAGACCAGCTTGCTTCTGCGATCTTCTCCTCCGGCGTTCTGCAGCAAGCTTTTGTGCCGTGAAGGAGGACGGTGGCGATGAGGATTCGCAGAACTTCCAGAACGAGTCTGCTCTTTGCAGATGGCGTTCCTCGGTTGCGAATATGCTCATAAAGAAGACTTGAACCTTCAAGTGCACATACAGATGGTTCTCTAGGGACAGAATCTTGTCAACGATATCGCATATATTGTCGGCGATCAGTGCGGCTGCTTCATTCGTCTCTTTGACAGTATCCGGATGCACATGGTCAAGAGCAACGTAGAATGCTGCGATCCTCCACGAATCCTGCAACAGAAGCTTTTCATCATTCGGATTATGGCTGACCTTGAGCAGTTGAGTATGAATGCGATGGTACGCTTGGTGCGGAGCAGCTGTTGTGTAGCCCTGAGCGATCTCGACATAGAGCCTGAAGGTATCCTGCGCGCATCCCACAAGTTCGAAAAGCACTGGATCCATGTCTCTGCGATGGAAGTCATCGAATATCAAATGCCGGTCCTGATGTACGACCAGCCCCATGACATCGAACCATAGCAGCAGTGAGATGGCTTGCTTCAGGCCTGGTGTTGTGGCATACAACTGTGATAGTCCTTCAAAGTCTTGACAATGAAGGTCAAGCAATCCTCTCGCACCGTACAGATGGCGAGACCATCTGCCAAACGGTCCCTCGCGTACGTCAAGATACGCCAAGGTCGTCATTCCGAAGATCCCGAGGATGTCGCTCTCTTCCACAGCTTGATTGAGTCCTTGCAGAGCCCTGGAGTAGAGTAGGTGTTTGTTGAGCGCTTCTTGAGAGCCAATCTCTCGCAGACCTTGACTTATGTGATCCCAAGCGAAGTGCAAGACGCCGGCAACGCCTCCCTGGTCGTCAGGTCCAACGCCAACATGGGGATCTCGTGCGGCTCTTGCTTGGGCGTACTTCGACGTGAAGTAGTGCAAGTAGTCCGCCAGATTAGATGTCCAGTTGGGACTGTCTCCGACGCTCGACTGCGATGGACTTATCGGACTCTGATGCTCGATACGCAGCTTTGCGCTTGTACTTGTTGCATCGTTGCGCTCGTTGATCCTGATCTCGGACACGCCAGCGGGAGCCGAAATGCCATGATTCGATACACTTACCGCTGCTGAATCTGTGCTGGTAGGACTCCCGGCCCAGCGAACTCGGATGGCGAATCCAGGGCAGACCAGATTGTCGCGACGACACTGACCACACGCAGGTCGGTTGACATCGCACTTGATTCCTCTGCCCTGGCACGTGGAGCAGTCTCGATCGCGTCGTATGCCCCTTGGCTTTCCCTTCTTACGTTTGGCGTTCGCACTACCACTGACCGAAGTCATGGCCTAAGCGATGAACCTGGCATAATAGATCACTTTACGAACGAGCAAGTGATTCAGGTGTTGGCGAACCCGCAGAACCTCAATGAGGAAACTTCTCTAGCTCAAATCCCCGCCCCGACATGACCTCACAGAATGGGCAGTGGGGCGATAACTTCGCCTTATCTCTGCTCCAATTTTGTTGTGAGCTTTCCTCGATGGGAAAGAAACGTCTCAAACGGTTCGCGACGCGGATCACACTGTCGGCATGTAGCACTACACCGGTCTGCACAGGAAGCTTCGGCAAACCCTGATGAGGCGCCTAGAACTCAGACATCTGGCGAGCCGCGGTCCAGTCACGTCCCATCATGCCGAGAATCGGCTGAGTCGCTGAGCACCGTGCTCGAGCATCACGTTGAGGTCCAGTTCTTCTTAGCAGCTCACAAACGCATAGCAGCAACACACCATGGCTATACAGAACTACCGCGAGGTCTCGGCCATCGCACAAACGCGTCGCGACACCAAGATTGCTGCTTACCATAACCCACCAGAAGTCAAGGAGTCTTCGTTGCCAAACAATCTTACCGAGTATGCACTCAACTCAATCTACTACACGCCTGAAGAGCGAACCATTGTAGAGACAGAGGCAGATGTCATACTCGAGAAGATCGCGAACCGGGAATGGACCTCACTCACGGTCACAAAAGCCTTCTGCAAGGCATCAGCATACGCGCAAAGACTCACAAATTGTATCACAGAGGTAAGGGCATCAGAGATCCGCGCAGAAACCCGCTGAGTATCACCGAGGTCCTTTACGACGAAGCACATGAGCGTGCGCAGTACCTTGATGATTACCTCGCCAAGCATGGTAAGACTGTAGGGCCATTGCATGGGCTGCCGATTTCTCTGAAGGACTGCTTCATTGTACCACCCTACCCGGCATCAATTGGGATGTCGAACTGGGCAAACAAGGCAACAGACAAGGAACAGGTCATCGTGACGATACTGCGAGAGCTTGGAGCAGTCTTCTATGTCAAGACCAATACCCCGACAGCTATGAAGATGGCAGAAACGATCAATAATGTGTGGGGCGAGACACGGAATGCTCTTCACAAGCAGCTCACACCTGGAGGCTCATCCGGCGGAGAAGGGTCCCTTATATCCTTCAAAGGATCACCTCTAGGAGTTGGCACCGACATTGGCGGGAGCATCAGGATCCCCGCGGCTCAGGGCTTTCAATACGGGCTAAAGCCTTCTGTTGGCAGGTTTCCTGGCTATGGTGGTAGGGTTGGCGTGACTGGACAGGAGTTCCTAGTGCCAGTCAGTGGACCCATGTCAAGGTCGTTGAAGTCGCTCCAGATCTACACGAAAGCCTTGCTTTCAGCTACACCCTGGACCCGTGACCACAAGTGTGTGCCAGTCCCCTGGAGAGACAACGTCATACAACCCCCAGGGAGGAAGCTGCGTTTCGGTGTGCTTGTCGGCAATAACGACGGATCTGTTCACTGTCATCCACCGGTAGAACGTGCGCTGGATCTCACTGTTGACAAGCTCAAGGCTGCAGGTCACGAAATCATTCCATGGACGCCAAGGCATCACGACGTTATGACCAGAAATTTGGGAGCGGCACTGTCCAAGCTCGGTGGTACTGCTATTCTGAACGACATCAAGCCACACGGAGAGCCCATCTTCGGGTCTATGAAAGCCTATGAGGCCGCGGCAGATGCCGAAGAACTCCGAGTCACTCAGATCCGCGAGATGATTGCAGAACGGGACGATCTCCAGCAGGAATACTTTGAATACATGATGACTGGAGCGCCAGACGGCCAGCCGGTAGATGGTATCATCATGGCCACTGCTCCGCATGCTGCGCCCCGATTGCGAGGTCTGCAGGCTGATCAGTATATTGGCTACACGGCGCTCTGGAACTATCTTGGTAAGTTGTCCCCGCTGTATGAGTGTTGCCAGCTAATGCCATGCCAGACTTCTCTGTCTGCACCTTCCCCGTCCTTTTCGCGGATAAGGCGCAGGACAAGGCCCGGGATATGAAGTCATTTGAGGCATTTTCGGACCTTGACGCTAGGATACAGGCAGACTACGATGCAGATTTCTACCACGGGGCTCCAGTCGGGTTACAATGTGTGGGAAAGCGGTTCGAGGAAGAGAAGGTGCTCGAAATGGTGGGTGTGATTGAACAGGTGTTGAAGGCGTAGGCATACTTTAGTAGGCAAATTAATGGGATACCACTTTTCATGCTCAATTTTCTACTGGGTGAGCTTACAAACGTTTGCGTGCTTCCGGCCAGGACGCATCGCGACTCAACGGCCAGGAAAGCAGGTACCAAAGTCGCGAGGGACGGTCTTCTGGCAACGACCTTCTCGATAAATCTCTAGGCAATCTATTATCTGATAATGGCGGCTCGTGCAACACCCGCGTGTATGCTCGTTCCTCCTTGTGCTACAACAAATATCTGAAGCTCTTGTTCTTGCCATCTGTTCGGTCCGCCAGTGCTGTCTCACCAGGACGCTCTGCAGAGAGCTCCTCTGACACGATTCCATGCTCCTGGTCTCGCTTGCGGTTTTCAATGACCAAAACGATGCGTAAGATGAAGAGAGCAGCGAATGCGACCCCAAAGCAGATCATGAGAGCGGTGAATCCGGATGGGTAGTTCTGCTTTGCCTCCGATGAGAAGAAGAGGAAAGGACCAGCTAGCAAAGGATGTCAGCTCAATGTTGCACGAGACTCTTTAAGGATTTGACTCACTAATATTTCCAATGCAATAAGCAAAGAACATCATTGCCGAAGCCACAGACTTCTTGGTAAATCCTGCGACGTTCGACGCGATCATTGACTGTCCGATAGGAATCCCGCATCCAAAGACAACGAATGAGAAGAATCCAGTCAGCTTTGCGCCTGTGTTCGGTCCATATCGAATCAGGGTGGTGCCGACAATTGCTATGATATTAAGAGTCATGCCTACCCAGCACCTGGCATTCTTGACGTGGCTGCAAATGTAGGTCGAAGTCAACGCTGCGAAAGCATGGACAACGCCGACAGGTATCTGCAGAAGATAGACCTCGAATCGTGAGAAGCCCAGACCTGCAACGATAAGTGACATGAAGGTTGTGACGCCGCCGTTGGGGATTGCGATTGCCAGCTGATAGATCACAACCAGCCAAATCCTGGGGTCCGTCAATGCTTCTATCGCTTGATCCCATTTCCAGCGCCGGTCTTCGTTGAGTCCAGTCTGATTTTCATGCAGCCTGGCAATTGCTCTAGCCTTTTGTTCCGTAGACAAGAATTTGGCGTTTTGTGGATTGCTCGGCAGTAAGAAGAACAGAAGTATACCCCACAGGAATGTCACGATCCCGAGGATGACGAACAGCCACTGCCAGTTCTCGAGGACACTGGAATGGATGTGCGCGATAGCATACCCAAACAACCCGCCGAATCCGGTTCCAAAGGAAGCGCCCAGGAACCAGATTCCTAGACGAAACGGCTGCTCTGCTCTGGTGTAAAAGCTGGCAATGATGAGACCGAAGCCAGGCGCCAGACTGCTCTCAGCGGCACCCAGGAAGAATCGCGTGACTGCTAGACCTGTGAAGTTATTCGCCGCTGCATGACATGCTAGGATCGTAGCCCAGATCATGCAAGTCCCGGCCAGGAATTTTGCTAGAGGAAGTTTGACCATGAGATAGGCGGCAGGATAAGAGAGGGCCAAGTATCCAAAATAGAAGATCGATCCGGACCACGAGTATTGCGTGCCTTTGAGACCCAGTTGTTGAATCAATCCCATGACAGACGCAAGACTGAGGGTCTGCTTGTCCAGAAATTGTAGGAAGAATGAGATCGTCAGAAGGGGCATCAGGTACAAGTCGATTCTGTGCCGGAGCTTCTTGTCATCCACGGCATCAATGATGCCGGTCGCTTCGCTGACTGCATCTTCTTTGCTGTCAGCGTTGGCTCCCTTCTCTAGTTGATGGGACATGTTGTGTGGAGGGTGGTGCTGTGGATGGAAACGAGCTGATCCACGTCTGCTGTAGTTTGTCTTGTTGTGGGAGAAATACCCGCGAGCCTTGATGGGTCGATATATCTCTGTTCGGCTGAGTGGACGTCGCAATCTTCGTGGCCGTAGCCGTATCCTTAGCCGAGTGCACAAGTCACGATGGTCGATACATTGCTAGTCCGGCCTTCGGTATGAGGAGATGAAGATAGAGGTCGATAGATGCCAATGGAGCTGCGGATAGATATCTGGGTTTGCGGAGTGCTCCATCAGACGCGGGCTGTCCTGGTCTTGTCAGCGATCTATTCGGTAACTAGCGCATCGACGCACTGTGGCACGTGCAATCTAGACTGCGAGCAGTAAGCACCTGATATCAATCCATGCTTTGCTGGAGCGCGAAGTCATACCGCTCACATATGTTCGGCCCAATCGATAGATTAGCATTTCTGTGTACAGGAAACAAGGCGAAAGCGCGGCCAGACTTGTCCTTTCCCCAGCTCCGTTGGATGAAGGTATGAAGCTATTTGGTTACCTTGTAGGGCAAGTCCTCTATCCTGGTGACCCGAATAGGCAAGAACTCTGCCGTGAAGGAGCTGGGCACCACAACAGCTTGCTTACCCAGATAGGCAAGACTTCTACGTCGCCGAATCTTGAAGGCAAAAGTAGCTGAGGTAGCTCACGGCGACTCTGCGCCAGGCGTTGGGAATATGTTGGATCTCCTGTTGTTTCGGGCGCACGTGCCGCAGCGTGACTGACGCGCAGATTTGCACGGCTGATCGAAAGCATAGGCAACTTCTAAGGGCGATGAGACAAACAGCAAGGAGGTCTGCAAAACCGAAGGCCGATTATCAGAGGCGTACTCAGTAAGCAGGTTTGGCCGAACCCTTAGTCAGAATGTGGCTCAGCTCTGTACGGGAGCCTCAGCCACTCAGGTTCCTGATGTGGCCCAGGCCTTCGGAAGTCCGAAACCTGCCCTTGGCTAAGTATTAACCTCGCGAACATTTCACAGATTGTGCTGGCAACCCGGGCACATCAGTCCTGTTTCAATCGGTGCTATGTAGCCGCTGAATGCCTGCTCTAAAGATATCAGCTCAGAGAAAGCATCATTCTCGCAATCAGTGATGCGTACTGTCTTGACAATGGCACGAGTTGAGCGCGAGCTAGCTTTAAGCTCAAAATCTAGTTGAGAGGCTGTTTCTCTGGACGTAATTTTGTTGTACGTTCAGCTCTGCAATATCGGTCAACTCATACATCCAGACTTCGCTCGAACATGCTTTACGAGGCTTCAGCTTGTGTAGCCTTGGGGAATGCAGGTAAAACGAGAGCTGAACGCGGTATACTTGGGCTGCAGCTGGAAAGCAACATATATATACAAGTCGGTGCCACTGGGCTTCAAGTCGGTGCTGGAGGCTTTGCTGCAACTTGAAAGCCGAAGATGTTGCTGCTATGGATTCACGTCGTCGCCTTTTTCACCGCCAAGACCCTGGCCGATTGCTGCTATCCAGATGACCGGGGGTTGTGTGCTGACGGGACGTTGGGAACACCGCGTTGTGGGTACGGGAAGTGCAACCTTCTTGGTTGCGACTGCACTGGAGGTAAATCAGACTGCACTGCTACCCTGGACTCCAGGCTGACGTTGCATTTGTATAGGATGCCGACAGAATGCGGACAACTCTTTCTGTCAGACTGTGATACCGCTGGCGTACTCGTGTGCGTTAGGGATTCAGTCAGGGACGGAAGGACCATTGGACACTTATGACTGCTACTCATACATGCTGGCGGCTCTTAACGATTGCTCGAGTCAACTGCCACTGGACGAGGAAGCTCTGATCAGCAATTATGTAACCCTAGACTAGAAGGTCATCACGGGTCGACTGTCATACTGCCCTCGCCATCGGCGTGCGCCACGTGGGTTGACACGTCAGAACTCCAGCGGCAGGTGTTACGTGTCGGGTCAAGTCTCAGACACTGTGTGGTCTCCGCTTCGGGATGGTGATGGCTGTCAAGATATAATGTCCACGGGTGGCAAAGTTTGAGAGCTTTATCACAATACTTAATGATACTGATGTGACGACAGCTTTCTTGCCTGAGTAGACGAGATCTCTGTTTAGCACAAGTCTGAGTACGCCACGGCAGCAGACGGCAACATTGCTATGGCACTGATAACTCACTGCGCCTTAGCTGCTCGTGCGGCGTACGCGCGTGTCGGAGCACCACTTGCGGATGCGTTATTGTACGGAAATAACAGAGCAGAAATCCTGCGGGAGAAGGGCAGCGGTCAATTGGGCCAGGCCCCGATGGGGCAGGTTCGCCGAGACCTGCTGATCACTTGTTGATATGTCGTCTCCCACGTTCCGTGTGCAACTCATCTCCACAGGCGAGCTCCAATGTTTTGATATAAGTCTCAATGCCGCGCACTGATGCCTCCGCGTTCAACATCGCGCGCTTACCGAAATCGTACAGGTCGCTGGGGTCATCCGGCCATCAACCACTCCACGCATCAATACTCCGCCAGAACGCGTCCTCTGCATCCAGGGTTTTTTCCAAGACCTTTTCTGCAACCTCCAGACGCTTGCTTGTGGCGTCTTTATGGTACCACTCATTGATGATGTCTCCCGTCGACTCTATCGAAGCCGCATACGACTGATCGGCCCAGTAATCGATCGCGATTTGAGGCTGAGGTATCTTGTTCGGACTACTCTTTTGAGCTGCCTGGATATGTCGCCAGATATCGACGAATGCCTGCGGACACGATCAGCTGACCGCAGGTTTGTAATGGAAAGGCACAAGAATATGAGGACGTACCTTCCCCATGGTCCAGGCGCAGACGAACGCCGCGAAGCCATCGCCACTGCTTGAGACTGCCCTCATGTACTTCCTGTTCCCAATTAGCATCACTTCGGCTTCCCTCTCGAAAGCCCCGGCGAACTCACACATATTCCAACGTCCCCTCACTCCCGCTCAAACCCTTCCCGTCGCTTCCCTCCAGTAACTTCCCCCTCAACCCCCTCAACAGCCCACCCTCATCACTCAACCCACTCGCCGTCGCCCCCGAATTCCCCACCCGCCTCAACAAAACATCACTCTCCGGCTGCTCCAGATCCGCTGTCAGCAATTCCAAGGTCTGACCTACCAGCGTGAGAAACCCGCGTCCGTAAATGAGGTCCTGCTCGAAGAAGTATGCTACGTGGGTTGGCGAAACGGTACCATTGAGGAGCTGGTGGAAGAATGCTGGGGAGGTCGTTGCGGCGTTGAAGCGGGCGGAGTATTTGGTCAGAAGGTGGTCTGTCAGATTCCAGACTCCACTGGGTTTGGCGATGTCATCTCCACTAGCGGTGGCAGTAGCGGCGGCGACGGTAGCGGTGACGGGAATGCCCGTGGCGGGAATGAGGTCAGCATCGGCGGTGGAGACGACGCTGGCGTCCGCGCTGACGTCGGCACCGGTGTCGGCGATGCCCAGGGTAAGGATACAGCCGCTGTCTTGTGCCATCGCGGCTGTCGCTGAGAGGCGTACTAACAACACGACAAACAGTATGAAGCTATGGAGGATGGAAGTCTGCATCACTGCACCTTTTCAAGGTTTCACGCACGACACCGAAACACATCTAACTGTGGGCTGGACGTTCCTTTCCTTCAGCCACTAACCTTTTATAGACGCCAGGTTTGATGTCGCCAGGCAAGCAGTCATCAGGCCTCACGCGGCTCAAGGTTTGGTTCGACAAAACTGCGAACGACGCTTCAGGCATCCCCAGCACTGCAAAAGCACAGGAACAGTAATCACAAACGCCAACCAGGATTCTGTACATCTGAACGAATCTGCTAGATCTCACGACATCCCCAGTTCGCTGCAAATACTCGCTCGGTATCAGTGATTGTCCCTCAATCCTCCATCCCGCGCACTCTCCCTCGCCCGATCACCCACCCTATGGAACTTCGTCGCCCGCTTGAACACCATTCCCTCACTCAACCCTCCGACCTCCCGTCTGAATATATCCTGCCAGGGAGTATGGCTCTCAGGGACCTTATATCCGCCCTTCTCGTCAAGCTCCTTTCTTCTTTGCTTCAATTCCTCGTCCGACAGGAGAATGTCGACCCGACGCTTGTTGAGATCTACTCTGAGCTTGTCACCATCGCGAATGAGGGCGAGATTTCCACCATCCGCGGCCTCGGGCGTGGCGTTGAGGATCGAAGGCGACCCAGACGTGCCGGATTGACGACCGTCGCCTATGCAGACCATGTCTCGGACGCCTTGTCGCAGGAGATGACCAGGCGCGTGCATGTTGACGACCTCAGCGGCGCCAGGGTAGCCCAACGGCCCGACTCCGCGCATGACTAGGATCGTGCGGGCGTCTATCGGTGCCGTCTCCAAACGGTGATGATAGTCCTCCGGTCCATCGAAGACGGCGAGCTTGCACTCGAAAGCATTTGGGTCGTTCGAATCCTCCAGGAATTCTTTTCGGAACTCAGGTGAAATCACGGAAGTCTTCATGATCGCGCTGTCGAATAATGTACCCTTCAGATGCAGAAATCCAGCGTCCTTCTTCATGGGCGCCTTCAAAGTCTTGATTGTCTGACGATCCCAAGTTTGCTTCCCTTGCACATTCTCGCCAATGGTTTTGCCGTTCGCTGTCAAAGCATTCGGATGAGGTAGCTTGCCAGCATCGACCAAATCCGCCAATATCGCGGGGAGCCCTCCCGCGCGGTAGTAGTCCTCGCTCAGCATCTCGCCGGCCGGCTGCATATTCAAGATGAGTGGGATTCCGAGTCCAATGCTGTCCCAGTCGTCGAGGTCAAGCTTGACGCCCATATGCGCCGCCACTGCGTTTAGGTGGATGGGTGCATTCGTGCTTCCGCCAATAGCTGTGTTTGCAACAATCGCATTCTCGAATGCTTCCCTCGTCATGATGTCGCTTGGCTTTCGGTCCGCCTGGACCATCTCCACGATCTGCACGCCGGTTCGATATGCACACATCATTCTCTCCTTGTACGGCGCCGGAATAGCGGCACCTCCGGGCAACATCATTCCCAAAGCTTCTGCCAGCGCATTCATCGTGCTCGCGGTACCCATAGTGTTGCAATGCCCATGACTCGGCGTGCCGGACGTCACCATATCGATGAGCTTCTCGTCGTCAATCTCCCCTGCGGTGTGCAGCTCACGCGCCTTCCACAGGATCGTCCCGCTTCCAGACCTTTCGTTCGAGTTGTCGAGCCAGCCGTTGAGCATGGGTCCGACGTTCAGACAGATTGCGGGTATGTTGACTGTCGCTGCAGCCATTAGACATGCCGGTGTTGTCTTGTCGCATCCCGTCAGAAGCACGACCCCGTCGAAGGGATAAGCATAGAGCAGTTCGACGAGTGTCAGGTAGCTGAGATTGCGATCTAGTGTGGCGGTCGGCCGGCGCATGCTTTCCTGGATTGGGTGCGTTGGGAACTCAAATGCAATGGCACCAGCAGAACGAATGCCCTCTCGCACTCTCTTCGCTAGTGTCAGATGGTATCGGTTACATGGTGCGATGTCGGAGCCTGATTGTGCTATGCCGATGATAGGCTTGCCGGACATGAGCTCCTCGCGCGTGAGGCCGTAGTTGAGGTACCGGTCCATGTACAACGCCGCCATGCCGCGGTCGTCGGGTCTGTCGAACCATGCTGCCGACCTCAACTTCGGTTTTGACGCAGCACCATTCGTGAAGCTAGCGAGTTTACTTTCCAGCTCCTTCGTTCGTGCTCGAAGTGTGGTCAACTCAGTCTTCCAGTCTTCGATATCGACTGTCCGGTCATCGCAGTCGGCTTTGCAGCCGTTGCATGGTTCAGCGCATGGCATGATGGTGAACGATGGCGGTGTATTGTGCTGCTGACGGCTCTGGCAACTTTTAGAGAAGGTATGAATATTGGTAAAACCTGAGTCCTGATTCATTGATGTTTTGCAAGTCAGGTGAGGTCGGCCCTGGACCGGTGCATGCCGTTTACCCATAATCGTGGGGTACGCGGTAGAATGGTCGACAGCGTGCCATAAGGTTTGTTCAGGCGTGAGGCCGCCTTTCCTTCCGCATAAGATTCCCCGCACCAGGCGCTGGGCGTCCGGAGTTGGGCGGCATACGACCTGTTGTCGGTACCGAAATCGATGACACTGCAGCTCGGGTGCCGTACTGTTGCTAAGCATGTTTGTGGCGCTGCGTATCAACCTGGTCGCGTACATCTGGTTCAGTACGCGTTCACAGCATAGTCCGCCATAACGCGCCAGGCCATCTGAGTCAAGTCGCGCTCCGGCAGCTCATCCAGCACCACTCTCGCAAGCACTGCTGCCACCTGCTCCGCGATCGATCGATCCAGGCTTCCCAGCGCCTCATGTCGAACAACGTCGTCGGCTCTGGTAAGCACGTAGCTCATTGCAGCCTCCCTTCTTCGTCGCTCGGCCGCTTCGTTTACCGCATCGGGATCCGTAAGCAAACTCCCGGCCAGCGCAAATCCCAAGTAGCACAGCAACACCACTCTTTTGTTTACGTCGGCGAAGTAGCGGAAGCGCATAATGGCAACCTTCCAAACGTAGATGTACTCAGCTGCCTCTTCGACACTTTTCGCAGATCGTATGTGAGGGTACATTTGTGTGAAGTAGTAATTTAGTGCGTGGGCGATCTCATTACAACTTGTGATGGCCGATCTCCCATCCCGTACAGCGAGTGCTCGGAGCAGAGGATTATCGATGCCCTCGGTTTCCTTCAGGTACGCCTGACCCTCGTACGGGCTGAGGATCGACGCGTAGCCTTCGCAGAGCTGCATCGCGGCGGGTAGGTAGGCGGCCAGCACTTCGTCTGCTTCCGACGGGCTATTGCTCAGAAGCGGACGAGCGCAGTCTTGAACAATCTTTCGTGCAGCGTTGAGATGGATGAGAGCGGTGGCAGCTCCGAGGCCCATCACTTCCAACATCCAGCTCAGTACCGCGGAGAAGAGAAGCTCCAGCGAGCTGACGGTCTTGTTTCTCGCGAGTAGACCGATGGCCGCGTTGTAGTGCCGAAGGATTTTCGAGTATCGCCTGGTCGCTGAGCCGGTCTGAACAGCACCATCTGGTCCACCGTCCAACAGTGCGATCGCGACGACCATGTGCTTCAGCGCTGGATAGTGTGCTGCCAGTCGGGGCAGGGCAGTTGTCCATAGAGCTTGTGCAGAACGTGGCCCGTAGTTCGATATCCATGGGCCTGTGGAAGTCCTCCAGACGTGCAGAGCGTGCAGCTCTTCCGAGGTGTATGGCAGAGGGTTTGGTCCTGCAATGAGAGATACAGCTGTGGATTCTCTGCTGGAAGTCGTTGTCGAGGATGACGGAGATGATGTACCTGATCCTTTCAAGCTCGAACTGCCACTGAGCCTAGCCTTCGCCTCAGACCCATGCGCCTTGAATGCGAACACTCTAATGTGATCGTAGACACACTCGCCACCTTTCTCCTGACATCTGGCACAGACTGGCTTTCCCTCATCGCATCTGACGTGCCTCTTCTTGCACTGTTGACAGCCCGTCCGGCCACGTGAGGCGACTTGTCGTCGGCGCCTTGGCGCGCTCTCAGTCACCATCCCTCACAATCCAGCCCGCATTCAGGATGGACATACCTGGACGATAGCGACAGGTCGGCAGATAGATACAGTACACGGTGTGGCAATTACGAGCACCTTGGCATCTGCGGTGTCATGGCAAAGCTGAAAACCCAAGGAAGGGGCGCGAACTTCGGGGCTGTCACGCCTGAAATGGCGCCAAGCAAGCACCTAACTAGGTAGACGCCAGTTCCGAACTCGTGGGACACTTACTGTAACATCTACGCGTCCTGATAATTGAGATCATGCACAATACAATGCATGCACATCGCTGCAGCGTACACGAGCACAGCGGACGTGTACGACGCTTGAATTGCCCATGCGAGACCAATGCCGTATGCCTGCGAGCAGACTCGTAGCCCAGCCTGAGAATTGCCTCCAACGATGTCATTGTTGATCTCTCTCTACAACAATTTTCCCCGCATCGGCTGCTGCGATCTCCGCACGAGCAGACACGATCCGAACATCTTAAGATGCACAAGAAGCACAGGTAGCAGGTAGATCTTCATGCGCTTGCCACCCCTTCTCTCCGCGCCTATCACGTACTGCCGCCCATTGCGCACGCTCCGACCACACCTCACCGCCAGCATGTCAACCTACAAAGGCAGCACCCCCTCGACCATCGACCCCCGCATCGTCGACTTTTACGCCGAATTCTACCGCATCTCGGACGACCCGTCCGAGCAATCCCACACAGCCTACGCCGACTCCGTCACCAAAGACGGCACGCTGATCATGGGCTTGAAGAAAGCCCAGGGCTACGATGAGATCTTGGAGCTCCGCAAGGGGTTGTGGTCCGGGCCGGTGAAGACGAGGAAGCATACGCTGAAGCAGATTTTCCCTTTTGGGGAGGGGAGTAAAGAGGTCATGTTGCATGGGAGTGTGGATTATGGGTTGAAGAATGGGAAGGATGTGAATGTTGAGTGGGCGGGGAGGGCGGTTTTGGTGGAGGATGGGGGCAAGTTGAAAATGAGGGAGTATCAAGTTTATTTGGATTCGGCGCCCGTGGTCAATGCTATGAAGGATTGAGGCGGTGGTGGAGGGATGGGGGTAGGAGTGGCGTACACGAAGATTGATACACCTCTGTGGATCACATGGAACAAGTCCTACGCGTCGCGTCGCAGCCTCGAATATGTCGGTGCTGCGGTCCTTCATCACGTGCTTGATGTTCTCAGCTGTCTGCTCCCTCAATGTCTCTCGAGCGTGTTGGTCATTCGTGTGTTGTCGTTGTCGATACCAACCACTAGACGGAGTTACATAGCCGCAGACACACCGGTGAAAGCCACCTTTACCACGGTCCACACTTGGGTGAGCCTTGCCCATATGAACACTCAGGTCCTGGGCGGTCGAGCATCTTTCCGTCTTCTTGCCATCAGCATGATTGCCTTTGCATCGAAAGTCAATCTCGAGCTCACCCAGCGTCTCGACCAGGGCTGCAGGAGCCCGAATAGGCCACCAAATCGTCTTGGCGTCCTCGTCATTAACTCGATACTTCTTCATCAGGAGATCCTCTACCTCACTGACCTTCAGGAAGGTATGTGCTCAGGTGGAGGGCTTCGCAATACCCGCAGGTAGGTCCCGTTGCCTCCGAGCTGCTTTCATCAATTTGCGTCTTCGGCCATCTGACAATCCAAGAAGCTCGACGATATCGTTGACAGAGATCCGCCCTTTGTGGCCCTTTGTGGACGTCCACCTTGGTGAGCGAATTGGCATCCGAGATGTTGTCAAAAAGGAATCTATGGATAGCGACCTGACCACCAAACTGTGTAAGGCTTGACGATTCTGGGAACACTGCAACAAAGCGAGGCGATTTGCAGATCCGACTCTGTGAATGCTCAGGTTATGCTCGAACAAGTAGAGAGGGACACATACCTTTACAGGTAAGTCCTGCTCTACTCTCTCTGGGAGCTTGGTGGACACGATGATCGGTCCATCGTCGTCACTGCTCAACTCCTCGTCACTATCCTCAAAGACCGAGTCGGAGTCTTCAATGGGTGCCCCAGCGCTTGTTCACGTTGACGACGGGTTTTTGGATGTCGAGAATGTGGAAAGGGCGACTCTTCACTATCGGACACCTGGATGGGCGTAGAGTGCTTTGCCGGAGCTTTCTTCTTCTTTGGTCTGGGTTTGGCTTTCGGTGCTGGATCTCGTGCATGTAGAGCATTGTCATTCGTAACACGCTGGCGTTTGACAACGTGTCTGCTCTGATCGTCATCGTCGCATACACCGGGACTGACGTCTCGTCTTCGCTTGATTCCCGCACCCGCACCTATGGAGGCTTAGTAGGAGGAGCTGGGAATGACTTCTTGGGGACTGTCTTACCGAGGGTAGTGGGAACTGTAAGATGAATGTCGACCCGATTCTTGATGGTCTTCGCACACGATTTGGCAATGTCGACTTGCCAGCTGGGAGTGACGTACTCATACATCCATTCCCTTGGTGGAATCCAGGATATGTTCTCGTCATCGGCATTGTTGACCAAACGAAGAATGACCTCCACGATCTCGTCGTCCGGTATATTCTTGAGCTTCATGTTGGGATGCTTATCTCGCATCCACCTTCGTACGTGTGGGACCGTGGCTGGCATCAGTTTGATCTCAGTAGCCTTGATTGCGTCTAGACAGATCAGTAGGGACGGTAGTATGGAATCATGAGCACTTACTGGCCCTCGATCTGGCAGGTCCGGATTACCGAGATAAGACCGGTAGCTGCTGGTGTTCCCACAACACTAGCACCGAGGATGGTGGGAGACGATTAGTCTACCATCATCGTTGGGGTGTTTCCGAACAGCGGTGGGATCATATTGGGTCCCTTTCCAGCCCCACCGCTCTACCAGGGAGGCGTCCATAGAGGGGGCCGGATTGGCATTGTTTTGAGAGCCGAAGCGGTTGTGTTGGGAAGCACTGATGTGAACACTTGTGTATGAGTCAACGAACGAAGCGTGTGCAGCTTCCGGCCGGGTAAATTATCGTGACTGCCTGCATTGCAGCAGTTTTGGTTGCCACACTGTGCTTGCAGACTCCTGATGGGCTCGTGACTGCTTGGGCATCACAAGTTGGACAAGTTGAGCATCTCTGAATGGAAGTCGCGTAGGAGTGCTTGGCGCGAATTCGGGGCAGCGGCCGATGTGGGGGAATATGTTGTAGGAAAACCGAAAGGCCAACGATGACATCGTGTGAAGTACAGAACCTGCAACGAAGGTCGCTACCTTTCTATCAAGGTGCTACTGAATGCCACATCTCTGGACGTGACGACCAAATACCAGCCGTAGTCCCTGGTTGACGCGTCTGCCTAAAGCGAACGAAATGTATAAGCTCGCCATATCGCGCAACATGCATCGCCAACGCTCAAGCTGGCGCCTCATACACCGTCCCAAGCTTCCCCGGCATCTCCCAACCACCGTCTTTGACAGGTCTTCCCTCGCCACCTAGTGCTGGACTGCCTTCAACCTCGCTCTTTGTGCTACTAAAATCACCGCTGGCATATCTTGGTGACGTTGTCGTTGCTGTGCCGATGGCGTCCAGCTCTGACTTGTGACCGCTCCACGTAGGACTCCGTAGCGCGGCGTTGGGATCTTGATTAGGATAGATCGGGATGGGTTGCGGAGGTCTGGAAGGATCGTTCTCGGGTGCGACTGCATTCTTTCGCTTCTTCCGACATCTTCTGAATGCGAGCAGGGCGATGATGAGGATTATGATTGCACCGAAACTGGCTCCGAGTCCTATGCCGAGCTTGATATTGGTTGCGAGGCCGTTATGCACACTGTTGCTCGCCGTCTCGGAACTTGTGGCAGTGGGTAGTAGTGTTGTGCTCGGGGTGGGAGCTGTTGTGATTGTTCCATTGGTGCTCAATGAGATACTCGTCGTTGACGTCGTCTCAGGCTTCGTCGTGGCCGTGGGCAGAAATCCGCCCTTCCAATCGATGCTTTCACCGGTCGCTGTAGGCAAGCTGGCTTTGTTGGCTAATGTTGCGGCATCAATGAAGGCGACGGTTCGGCTTGTGCTTGGGCACCAGCAAGGCTGCCTTGTCGTAACGGTATTGACGCCTCGGTTCGCCTCACAGCCCGTCCACTGGTTGGAGGTCCCATTGCAGTAGACTAAGCCAAGCCACGCGTCATCTGTCTTTCGTCAGCAGTGCCCTCAGCATTGACTGTGATCTGCCTACCATAGAAGTTGCCCTTGTCTGGACATGTTTGATCTTTGTATTCCTTGTCTGTGCAGCCAGCAAGGTAGGTCACTCCGAATTGACCATTGTAGCAGGCATTGGACGACAGGCACATGTCTTGGGACTCGCAACATGAGACATGGCCGAAGTTGACGTTGCCGCAGGGTATGTATCGCGAAGGTGCTTCGTCGCCAGTGTCATCGTAGTAGCATTTGCCCCAAGAGACGAAGGGATTGTCTTCGACCGACGTATCGGACGCCATTGGCTTCGTATTAGCGATGGGATGGTAACTTTGATGAGATGCTAAGACTGATGAGCTGCTAAGTCTGTGGTTTCGAAACTGGTTGCAATTAATGGTGGAAGCATTGCGCAGTGGCGGCGTCTTTGATGAGGACAGGCAAGGCTGAAGTCCTCCCAAAGGAAGCGACGTCTGAGAAAATGCAGTTGAAGTTGAAGTTGAGAAGGCGCAGGCGGGTAGTTGCAGCAAACAACCATCACTTGATGCTTGCCCGTGCTACAACCCGAGACAACAAAGACGACCCGTTTGTCGACACTGGCATTTTCCTGAAGCAATCATTTGAACGTCGCTTTGTAGTTGATACTTCCCAACGATTGTGCGTGCTGTTCCGCAGCATTTTTGCGCCTGTCTCGCATCTGTCCTTGGACCACGTATCTACCTTGAGCATGCTTCGCTGTATCATATAATCGTAATTCATGTTCGTCGTCGTCCATGCCTGCCCAGATGCATTGCAGCCTTCTTGCTGGCTTGTGGCCTTTAGGGGGAATTATTCCAGCCATGTGGGAACTAATCACCCAGCTCTCTCACAACTTCCGGCGACTTCCATTTCCATGTGACCCTCTTCGGCAACAAATCCCGCTGTCCGTAAACTTCACCCACAACCGTGATGACCATGTCGAGAATGATGCGATTGTCTTTTGCATGGCCGATCAGACTGTCCGCGTCGTTTTCCATATACTCCGCGTGCTCCTGAGCGACCTCCTTATCGTCCCTGTCCGGCTCTCCGATGTACAGCTCTTCAACCGCCGTTGCAGCAATTTTGCCCAGCTCGCGCAACTCCGCAACCTCGTCACTGTCGAGTGTGCCCAAGTCCGGCATCTTGGCAAGACAAGCCCACAGCCATGTACCGAGGCCATATCGGACACTGCCTTCCCGGTTGATCTGCCATTCAAACTCGCGTTTTATAAGGCGGAGGAGGTTGGCCACGCTCTCTTCATTCATGCAGGCTATCTGCACTATGTTCGGCTCGAAGGCTGTCAACATCTCTTGCCATAGCTCCTCCGCATTGGCATTGCCAGACGGGAAGGATATCGGCTGATCTTCTCCCAAGGCCTGTATCTTCTCGAATGGCGGCTGGCATCGTAGAGTGGCCTGTACTTGGCGGAACTGCGCTAGCATGACCTCGTAGGATCTGGTCTGAGATGGGCTGAGCGGTGCATCATTCGTCGTTTCCGCACTTGTATCGGGTGCGGCAGAGTATGCGCCATCTTCGTAGTAGCCCAAGTTTCCATGACGGTGGCCGTCTTTCGCCGAGCCAACTTCTGAGCTAGACTCCGCTTGAGGTTTCTTCTGATCGGTCGAGCCATCATTCTGCGCAGAGGTGAGAAGAGATGGCACGCTACGCGCTTCGGATCTACGCTTCTGGTTAGCGATCAGTCACGTCGTCACTTCAAGGCAACATCAAGCTCGAGAAGGATCGTACCTGACCATCCTCAAATAATCAATTCCATCATTCGCCGGCCCATAGAAACCTTCGTCCTCTTCATCACCAAGCCCAGGAAACGCGCCCGTCTGTCCAGACTCTTGGTTGATGTACGGCTTCTCATCTGGGTCTGCATCGTCGGAGTCATACTCTCGCGCGAACTCGTGTGCGACGTTCGCAGCCTGTCGTTTCGCAGGCGGCTCGGGCGACGCTTCCGGCGACGACGTGTTTCGACGCTTTCGTGACATCGTTACGACGTCGTGGAATGCGAGCAATTAGGACCGCCGGTTGCATGAGAAGAATGTGGATTTTAAATGATGCTGGCACGCTGGCACGCTAGCCAAAGAAGAGAGCGCTGTCAATTCCCCGACATCATGCAGTCGAGCACAGGACGTGTCGGCGATTTTGGAGATCTTTTGCGAGATCTCTGGGGAAGAAGAAGATCGGCTACGTCACTTCTGCAAGGCACCAACATCCTTTCGTCGACATCAGACAGCTCGTTGTTGACTCAGTGTCGATGTTGTGTGGATGCCGAATGATACAGGCGTCATCGTTAGAACAAAGCAAGTCACGCACTCTGAGGGACTGGACTATTGAACAGTCTGGGGTATCAATTATTTCGATTGCACTGCTCGACGATTATATTCCCGCTTCTGTACGCTTATCATGGAGGTATTCGTCATCTCGTTCATCGGTAGGTCTGGTCACCACCATAAGTCTTGCCACCAGACATGTCACTGTCCACCCTGGGATCCATCTTGTTCAACAGGTTCGAGTTGTGAGGACCGGCAGTCTTGTTTGCGTTGCCGGAGCCTGGTGTGGCAGACTGGTCATAGCCGCCTGCGCCACCCTGGTTGAAACCCTGACCGCCCTGGTCGTAGCCGGTGTTCGAAGCGTGGCCGGTGCCTGAGGTACCGAAGCCTGCATTGCGGCCGCCGTCCTGTGCATGGTTAGCTTATGCCTTGGTGTTAGATGAAGTACTCACCATGTCCGAGTCCACTCTGGGATCAGCCTTGTTGGCAAGGTTGCTGCTGTGAGGGCCGGCAGTCTGATTGCCGCCAAATCCTGACTGGCCACCATAGCCCTGGTTGCCACCAAGGTTGCGGCTGCCGTCCATGTCGGAGTCGACACGAGGATCAGCCTTGTTGGCCAAGTTGCTGCTGTGTGGGCCGGCAGTCTGGTTGCCGCCATAGCCGCCACCAACACCACCTGTGTTCGAGCTACCGTAGTTGTTGCCACCGAGGTTTCGGCCGCCATCCATATCGGAGTCAACTCGAGGATCAGCACGGTTGGCTAGGTTTGAGGAGTGAGGGCCAGCGTTGCCCGATTGAGGGTTGCCAGGGCCGCCATAGTTGCCTCCAGTGTTATCGTAGTTGCTTCCAGGGCCGGAGCCGATGTTCTGGTTGCCGTAGTTGCCCTGACCAACACCTCCTGAGCCGTAGTTGTCACGGTCAGAGTCTACGCGAGGGTCCATCTTGTTAGCCATGTTGCTGCCGTGAGGGCCAGCATTGCTGGACTTTGGGTTGTCTGTGGCGGAGTTGTCCTTCTTGTCGGAGTGGACTGCCTCCTTGACCTTGTTGATGAGACCCGACATGATGAGTATGTGGTATTATTTGAGTTCTGTTCTGAAGTGTTGCTGCTAGGAATTTGCTTTCTGTGCTCCTCAAGAAATGCTTCCAGGAAATTCAATCACTATATATGTACTCCTGCAACGGTGTACTCCTGTAAGCACGGCACGCTGCCCCTCCATTCCGTCATAGCGATCAGGTCCAGACATTGCATCATCCTGTCATGCTGAGGATAGAAAACCTGGACATTCAGCCAGAGTTTTGCGGGCACAGTTCAAAGTGGTGTCATCCAGCCATGAAGTTTAGCTAGTAACGCAAGCGTTGGCGAGTGAAAACCGACGGCCGATCTTCCCACGAGCTGTGGCTGACATCGAGATCTGAATGTGGCGTTCTACGATCATTGGACGGGATCATTTTTCCCGACGCACGCGCCACGCGCTTGGAAACAGGTACCGCCTCGCTTTGCGTCACTAGCCGAGAAGCAACCAGGGTTCTTCGTCCCCTTCAGGTTTCCCACGTCATGGCATGATCCTAGAACTCTCAGGAATGGTCCTTCGCGTCTTTTCTGGGGTAGCTAGGCTGCGTAAGCCTTCGTCCGAATCAAGGCAGGCTGAAAGCTTGAAGGGTGTCACCTGAAGCAAATGTTGACACGCGGAATGAGCTCGCATCATGTTTGGCCGTTGTTGACCACATATTTCAGTACAGACTGTTTGAGGACATCGATCCTCCGCTGAGTGAGAACGAAGACTTCCCGATATTGCTCGATACTTTCTTGGACCACCTCCGTTTTCGTTTTTCCGCCGTCACAGATCGCCTTCATCTTGAGCTCCATTTCTTTGCGCAAGAATGGCTTGCTGACACTGACGTCGAGCCCCACATTATCGTAGCCTTCAATCAAGGCAACACCCAGCGTTGTCGGGATGAACTCGCGGACTTGCGTCCGCCCGGTACCTCGCAAACGCACAGAGGCATACTGCCGATCTTGGATTTTCTGGATATGTTCTGCCATTGTTGCGTCAGTGCCAATGCCATTGGCATCCATCAGGCCAATCAGTTCAGGTTCAGTCAAGTAATTTGGCGGCGTAGTCTTGCCGTCTACCATCTTAGCCTCCGTCGGTTGGAAGGTCTCGTTGAGGGTGAACGTCGGCAATTGTTGACTGTCCTCCCACTTGTCGTACGGGTAGACGTCGAGGTAGTTCCGTTCCAATACCCGCAGGCCCTTGGTATGGAATGACTCGCCACCCCATTCAAGCTCAATCTCGGTTGCTTGACCCTTGGCGTCCTCGGAACAGCAAGCAAGGAAGCGGCGAACGACGAACTCGTACACCTTCTTCTCGTTGGCGCTAAGTGATGTCGGCACGACGTAGTTGACAGGGTGAATGGGAGGATGAGCTTGGTCGTTGTTTCTGCCAGACCTTGGCGTACGGAACGCGCCGTTGATGAGTTGCTGTGCATATGCGCCCCAGTTGGAGTCTGGAATCTGTTTCCGTATGAAACTCTGCAGGTCAAAGTCTCGAGAAAATTGATCTGTCTCAGTTCTCGGATAACTTATCCAGCCCTTCTGATAGAGCGTCTCAGCCACTTTCATGATTTCCTGACCACTCATTCGGAGAAAGCGACTGCCCTGCATTTGGAGCTCGACAGTGGTCAACGGCAAAGGTCGCCACTTGGAGGTAGGTCTGGTGCCAACTTTTGTGATCTTCGCCAGTTTTGCGTCCAGGCACATTTCGAACAGGATTGTCACAGTGGCCCTGTCGAACAAATGTCCTCGTCGCCAGTTGAAGTTGACCTGGATCCCATCCTTCTTGTGCATCAGCTTAATCAGCCAAAATGTTTCCGGCTTGAAGTTCCGTACGCGATGGTAGCGATCGACGACGAAGCCAAGCGTCGGGAACTGGCACGAACCGTAGCTGATCACCTGATCCGCGAGACTCGGGGTCATGTTCTGCAGTTGCAGAGTTTGAAGTCTTGTGAAAGCAGCACCAATTCGCAGATCCAGCTCAATGCGGGCGCTGACGGCTTTTGCAGCACGCTCGTCAAGCTCGATAGGATTGTGGGCGGCTTGTATGACATGATTCCTTTCGGTGTTGCTGAACCTTGCTCGTTTGACGACGATATTCGGATTGCCCTTGATGGCCTCATTGACGACCTCGGTGCCGATGTGCTCTCCTTCACGATCACAATCTGTCCAGATGAAGAGAGTTCTTGCATAGCGAGCTTGGTCTTGAATGTTCTTCGCTATGGACTTCTTGTCGGAGTCGATGTTGATCTGTGTGCGCGCCTCGAAGAGATCCCTCGGCTGACACGAGTTCCATTTACGGTGCTGCTCATCAAATTCCAGCGATGTTAGATGTCCCAGTACGCTAGTCATGACCACAGCACAGTTTCCCCATGTTCGGAAGTTGAAAGAGAACTCGTAGTTCTTGACGTAACGGTTGCCATTGACGTGATGAGTGTTGATGGGTCCGCCAGAAAGATGCTGAGCCACGGCTTTGGCTATGGCCGGCTTTTCTGCTACGCACAGGATTTTGGGTGGCATCGTTCATCCCGGCTCATCAATATTCTGGATACGAAGTCTCGGTACTCTCATCGTGGTGAGCTGATGTGTTGCAGCATCATCGAGTCAATTGATACGAATTGCCGTCGCGAGATTGGCAGTGGCTATCCACGACGTTCTTCGGCAAGTGAGGCAAGAACGCGTCGCGTCGTAAAGTCGTCTCGGCTAAGGTTCTGCTTCGGGGCATGCCCAGACGATCGATCTTTCCCCTCCCTCTTGTAAATCGATCTACTGCAGGCACCGCGATCTCGCTTGAAAAATGCCCCAATCCGATGCTGCCGTCACCTCACTAATGCGCACGAATTTCCGTATCCGAATGGTACGTGGCGCAGAACGTCATGACCACGATGTGGCGGTGATGAAATCAAGGTAGGTACAAAATTGCGTATAATCCCCAGCTTTTGAGGTAGGTTCTCACTTCAGCGCCACACTCGTGCTCCCAACCACACAGCATACACGGTCCAAGATGGCTCTTCCAGTTGTGAAGAACGCGCTTGAATGCGCCGAATACACCAACACACTACATCCCTACCTGTACCAGCTTCGACCTCTACCCGGCATTGTCGCTGAGTCCATCACCAATGCAGCGGCATTGAGGCAAGTCTACCTCGACACCAACCCTGCAATCACTTCAATCGCCTTCTCAATCGCCATCGCCCCAATCTTCCTTGTCGTATCCGAGATCAACAAAAACTACTCCCAAGTCGACCGCATGTGTCGATCCTCCCTTCAATCCACCACCTCCACTATTTTATCTACGCCTACCTCGCCGGATACGACACCACCCGCATCGGCGGCGTTGCCCTGGCCAGCACGATCTGGAGCACGCGACTAACTTACAACTACTGGCGCCGCGGCGGCTACAGTGTCGGTAGTGAGGACTATCGATGGGCGCTCGTCAAGGACTATGTCGGCCCTACCGTCATGTTCCTCTTCAATGTTACCTTCATCTCTCTCGCCCAAAGCCTTCTGCTCTGCGCAATCACAACCCCAGCCTACGTCATGCTCCTCTCCGAGCGCCTTGTCTCCGCCCGCGCTCTCCCTGCATGGACCAACGGCGACACAGCCGCATTCACCTTGATCGTCACTCTTATCACCCTCACCGCAATCGGCGACCAGCAGCAATGGAACTATCAAAACGCCAAACACGCCTACCGTAAGACCGGCGTCCTTCCCGCAGACAGCAAGTACACAAAGCACGAGCTCGAAGTCGGTTTTCCCACCACCGGCTTCTTTGCCTACGCTCGCAAGCCCAACTACGCTACCGAACAAGCCGTCTGGGGCTCCTTCTACTTGTGGTCGTGCATTACCTCAGGCACGCTGTACAACTGGACAGGCATCGGCTTCCTCTCGTACCTCATCCTATTCCAGGCCAGCACGTGGTTGACCGAGCTGCTCAGCGAGCAGAAGTACCCCGAGTATGCGCAGTACAGGCGGCAGGTTGGGCAGTTCATTCCTACAAGCTTGACACCTCCAAAGATCGAGCTGCTGAAGCGCAAGGCTGCTATTGAGAATGGCGCTACCGGGGCAAAGAAGAATGATGTCGCTGCAGCGCATGCGCGGGAGCGGTATAACCTGCGAGGCAGCCCTTGAGCGTGTTGATGACGAAGAAGCCACGCCCAAATTTTTGGGGTCTATCACGGCGTACCAACCTTTGTACATACCGTTCATACAATGTTTAACAACCACCATCTCCATACTCTCTCTAGCAAAACCCTGACCCGAGCAGCTAGCAGCTAACCCCGGGCACACTGATCAGCACCTAGCATTTCTCCTGGCGGGTGACAACAGTTGGGCTCTTATATTGTAACGCGAGAGACTCGAGCGACAGAGCGCCCTCTTCGTGTCGATGTCTTCTCCGCGAACATTCGTATGTGAAGTGATCGAAGATCTCACCCCACCACGTAGCGGCGAATGCTATCATAGCATGACAAGTGAATCCTTCGAGGTCGGTCTTGGCTAGTCGCATGAGAAGACGGAGAACTTAGAGCATGGCATGAACTTATACCTGCCCAAACGAGGTGAGCGTCCGTCGCAAACCGAAAGGTTTACTTCACTAACTCGGCCAGGAGAGATTCACTGTTCATTACGTGACTGGGTTTGGTACCTGTACTGCATCTGACCACGCATTCATGTCTGCTTGACCGACAGTAATAGCTTCAATTGCAAATATTCTTTCCGACCATCACATACAGCATTCCCCTGTCTCTTCTACGTCCATCACCGACTAATGTCCATTCCGTAGCCCACTACTACACCTAACCCAACATCAATCTACAGAGTATACCGGAAACCAGCCTCCCTCTGCGCCGCAGTCGGGCCACTCTTCCCCGTATCCTTGCCCTCGTCCAATTTCTTGTTGACCCTGCGCAAGTAGATCATGGTTATCGTCGCCAGCACAATCGCGCCCGCCGCCGCCGCAAGATTCACCATGAATGCCACCAGATACCTCGGCGCGCCCGAATACAAATAGCTCGTCCAGATATTCGGCGTGTTGACCGTCGCGTTGATCAACGCGATGGCGCTGGCGCGCTTTACCGCGGGCTGGGAGATCGAGCCCGTGATCCAGGAGAGGAGGACGGTAGAGGCGGAGTAGAAGGATGGCGGCATCAGCATCATCGCGATGTAGCGGGCAGCGGTGTTGGTGGTGCTGACAGCGATAATGTTTGCGGCTAAAGTGACGAAGAGCGGGCAGATGATGTGCCAGTAGCGCTCCTGCTTGCGGTCGGAGTGGAAGCCGATGGCGGTCATGACGAAGATGGCGAGGACGTAGGGCGGGGCGGTGAGGCCGAGGGTGGTGTTGCGGCTGAAGCCGAGCGTGGCGACGACGGAGGGGAAGAAGTTTGTCACGGCGGCGGAGATGAAGATGCAGTAGAGGGTTGCCATGAGAAGCCAGGTTTTGGGGTCCGTGACGGCCATGAAGAAGCCTTGCTTCGCGGTGATTTCGCTGGCGTTGTCGTCTTGACCCTGGTCGAGTTGGTATTCGTGGCGGAGGAGGTCGATTTCGGGCTTGGTGAGCCAGCGGATTGAGGTTGGCGAGTTGGGGAGGATGAAGACGAAGAGGATGGCTAGGCCGACGGTCAGGACGCCTTCGACGATGAAGAGCCAGCGCCAGCCTTCGATGCCGTGGGCGCCGTCGAGTTTGAGGATGCCGATTGCGAAAAGGCCGCCGAAGGCGTTGCCAAGTTGCGAGCCGGAGTAGAGGATTGCGGCGCGGAAGGCGTATTGCTTGCGGTTGTAGAACAAACTGAGAAAGTACAGTGCTCCTGGGAAGAAGACAGCCTCGACGAAGCCAATGAAGAATCGGGTAATGAGCAGACCGGCAAAGCTGTGCACCGAGCCCATAGTTGCAGAGACTACGCCCCAGAGCTATCGCACGTGTTAGCATGAACATAAATCGGGAAGAACCAGAACAGGCAGACTGTTGTCTCGCCCAATGCAAGTGCTAGGGATACGTACTGCCATAGCAGAGCAGATATACGCTCCTGGGTATTTGATCTTGGCGAGCATCATGTTGGACGGAACCTGCATCAGGATATATCCCACGAAGAGGATGGAAACGCAAGTCTGGTACTGGGTCTGGGACAGATCGAGATCCGTGGTAATGCCAGCGAGACGAGCACTGGCGATGTTCTGGCGATCGAGAAAGTTCAGGATGTACATGATGACCAGTGTAGGGAGGAGCTGAATGTCCATCTTGAAGACGGCACGACGCCGGATCTTGTTGTATTCATCGGTATTGAGGCCTTCGAGGCTGGCGGGATAGTCCTGTTTGGCGGGGACGTTGTTGTCGGACGAGTAGTCGACGTTCTCGACGGCGACGTCGTCGTTGGACTTGCTGTTGCGTGTGGAGCCCATGATGTCAGAAGTACCGGGGGAAGAGGTGCTTTTGCTGTGTTGAAAGGAGAAGGTGACCGACCTCGTGGCAGAGAAAAAGATACCATGACTCTCTTATACTTCCCGGGAATTGTCCCACCACGGGGCCCAGTGGAGGTAGCGGAGGTCCTCAGATGCCCTCACGGGGAATCCATGGGCACTGGGAAGTGGACTGTGCAATTTTCGCCTACCTTCGCCGTCGCCGACAGATGCCGTACCCACGGGGGTCGGGTACTCTGCTTGGAGTATCGATACCGCCATTGCAGCACAGTCGCGGAGAAAATTCAGTGGGTCGTGGCTCAACCTGGAGCAGCCAGCTATGTTTTTCTGGGAAGATAGCGTGCCGTGCCTACGCCGATGGACACAGCTGGCCGTACGGGACATGTGATAATAGGAGTTGAGAGTCAACCGGAAAGTTTTGGAGCCTGAAAATTTGCCTCGTCCGCTGGGCTTGGCATGGACTACGGTTTGTCTTCGAGTCGTGACACGCCCGTTGATACTTCACCATTAACGGCTTCTCAATCGACGGGAGTATGATATGCATGTACTCGCTGTGAGATAGCATGTCCATTTGACACCCGTAGGTATTTGTGAGTGGTGTCCGAAGCACGAGCGAAGCTGGTCGGACGGTGCTGGTCAAATCGCGGGATATGCTAGTGTCACCCCACTTGATGTCCGGACGCCCCCACGGAGCACATCGGCTCTGAGACCGGCCTCGGAATGCGATGCCATGCGATGCTGGAAACGCGTACCGATGCCGATGGTCATGTGGGCGATAAGATGCGAAAAGTACGGAGTGCTGGCGAAGCTCCATAGGGTATAGAACAATGTGCATTATGTCTAGAACATCATGACAAGTGCTAGGTGGAATGATGATAGTACATACAAGAAAGCCGAAATGAACAGCCATCGCTCACTCAAGAGAACGCCAACTGCGCCGAACTTTTTCAGAATTGTGCAATCACTTCTCCTGGTCGAGATCTGACGAGTTCCTCTTGTGCCCGAAGCTCGCCACTTCTTGGTCCTCGATACCATGGACAACATCACGGGTAAGCTCGACGTAGTCGTACGCGAACTCGCCGATATCAGTCTCGTCCATGCCCATGAGTTCCTCGTCTTCGGTAGCACGCAGCTTGAGGCCCGGAATCCAATTGATGATGTAGAGCAAAGCGGCCGACACAACGAATGTGTAAGCCATACCCGTGACACCGTCGGCCAGCTGGTAGGCTAGCTGGATCCAGTGGTGGTTGATCCAGCCACCAGCAGCAGCTGACTCGCCGATCGATACACCGTCCAATGCGATAATGTAGTCCGCAGCGAACAGACCAGTCAGGAGATCGCCGACAAGCCCGCCGATGCCGTGAATGGCAAAGATATCGAGACTGTCGTCGATGTGGAGGAGGAACTTGATCTTGGTGGCGAGATTGCAAAGGCCACCGCCGACAACGCCGTACACGACAGCGGCCCATGCCGGGACGAAACCAGAGCCAGGAGTGATGGCCACGAGGCCGGCGATGACGCCTGAGCAGAAGCCCACGGTAGACCACTTTCGCTCGAGGCGATAGTCCATGATGCACCATGTAAGACCGCCAACTGAGGCGGCGAGATTGGTGACTACAGCGGCCATGATTGCGCGAAGGTTAGCCGACAAAGCAGAACCTGCGTTGAAGCCAAACCAGCCGACCTGAATTTCGTCAGTATTTGTTTCCGCGAACAGGGACTCGATGTCGTTGTCGTGGTGAGACACTTACCCAGAGGAAGACTGTACCAATCACGATCTGTGTCACGTTGTGTGGGCGATAGTTAAGCTCATGCGTGCCATGGCCACGACGTTTGCCGAGCATCAAGGAGTAGGCTAGAGCTGCCGTGCCAGATGTCTGTGCTTTTCGTCAGCCCCCAATCCGGATATTCAAGCACGATCGGTTTGAGGAAAACTTACGATGTGCACAGGCGTGCCACCAGCGAAGTCATAAGCGCCCAACTTGAACACCCACCCATTCGGATTCCAGCTCCAGCTTGCAACTGGGTCATAAACGATTGTGGCCCAACAGAACGCAAACACGAGCGCAGGCAGGAGCCGGCCTCTCTCAGCAGCTGCTCCGATTGCCAGCGCAACTGTGATGGCGGCGAACATGCCCTGGTATACCGCGAACATCAAGTCGGGGATCTTGCTGGATCCGATCGAGGGCGCGGCAAGCACATTGCGGAAGCCGATGTGCTCGAGGTCGCCGATGAAGGCCGAGGCTCCGCGGGAGAAGACGAGCGAGTAGCCCCAGAAGAACCACTGGAACGAGATGAGGGCGGTCGCAGCAACGGAGAGGTATATCAGTGAGAGGGCGGACTTGCGGCGGGCGAGGCCAGAGTAGAAGAACCTGGTCATGCTTGTCAGATAGAGGTGTGAATAAAGGACTTGTGAGTAACCCACCCAACGCCTGGAATCATGAGCAACACCAATGCCGTCGCAGTGATCATCCATGCGATGTCGCCGGCATTGTAGTACAGGTTGAGGTTCTCTGACAGAGAGTCTCCGCCTGTGCCGGTGAGCGAGCCCTGGCTGCCGTCAGTACGTGGAAGAGAACCGCGTGATTGTACGAGCGCACATTGAAGACTTCGAGCGGCACATATGGTGCTACCTCCTCGTCGGTAGACATCCTGTCGACTGAACCAGAGCGGGCAGTCCCTCAATCAGCGCAGACGTGCTGTCGTCACAAGGAAGAAGAGAACGCACAAAGAGGCGCAAACCTTCGTAAATGATGCACGCAGGAACGGCATGGGGGTACCTGGGGATACCTTTGCCCATCAGCACTATTGCAGAAGCGTTCGTAGCGATCATTCGCTTCACGGTCGAGCGTGGCTTCTGGAACAAGCACGCCACGCCCGCGTGGAAGAAACCGGCATGGTTGACGGTGTCTAGTCATGCAGGCACCAAAGTGACATGTGGTGAACCATGGTCGAAAGTACCAATCATGATAGAGAGAGGAAAAGATTGGCGTTCCTGGAGCTCGTTGACTAGACCCGAATGGCGGTAGCGAGAAGGCTCAAGCTCAGACCTGCACACGTTTCTGGCATCTCGGAAGTTGGGATTACTCGGATCGAAGGCGAAGCCAGTGAGAGTCTCAAACATTTGGAGTGTCGCATACAAACGAGCTTCTTTTCCGAGATTCATGCCACGGCGGTGAGATAAGGCCTCCATATGTGATTGGTCAGACTGTCAACAATTCGGTTGCGCTTAGCGTGGTCAGCAAGGGTCTTGATTGCTGCAATGCTTGCTTTTGATGATTTAGGTAAATCAGTAACGTAGGGTTAGGTGCCTTCATACGGATGATTGATGTTATTTATGCTGTTCGTTGTGGTAGACGCACAGGAACATTGCAATGTCCATGAATACCATCGGCCATGAATCGACTGCGCGAAGCAGCGACTAGAAGGGCCATGCCACCACGTGCTGTCAGGCCGTCTGGCATGTCTCGACTCTGGAGGCTGCTTACTGTGGCACTTCGGAAGCGATAGACAATAACAATATGCGAACTTAACTTCGCACAGCCGTGGAAATGCGAGTTGCTGCAGTTCGGAAGCATATGATGGCTCGATGACAAGTAACGCTGTGTCATGCAAGTTGTTACTTACCGTCATTGGTCGTGTGGCGGCAATAACGACATTGTTCTGAAATATGCCGTTTCGTCAAGCAGGACTTTGAAGATGTACACAGCAGCATTGCGCACGCGATTGTTCGTGCTTCCTCGCATGGCGTCAACGTCGTTGTAGGGCCTTAGCTATACCTCGCGGGAACCTATAGCTCATCGTCAGAAGTCTGAGCCCTGTCGTCACCCTCGTGCACGTGGCGTCAGAGCAATAAAGTGACCGTCCAGCGCGGGGAACGTGTCGACAGCACCAAACCTCGTGTGTTGCTTGCTGCCTCAGGGTTTTAGTCAGATCGCACGAACTATCGCCCAGGGAGTCCTCGCCGTCGTCTGCGTCTGAGCAACTCCAACGGGATTTACATCTTGCGAATTTGATGTGATGTTGCGCCCATTCATCGTTTGACTTACCAGGAAGAGTAGTTACCAGGACAAGCAGTGCTCAGCCGTAAACAGATTGGCTGCCCACCCGCACGACGCACTGTCATCGCTGAGAGAGCAGTATACTCGCCGCTGTCGTCTCGCAAATCCCACACGTCTGCTGTAGTCGACGCTTGGCTTGCCAATTGTCATTGCGGTATGGACGGATGAAATTGGCATTGTCGCTTCCTGGGGGCAAAACCAAGGTCGTTCGGACCGTGCCTTGATTTTTCTGGCAGGCGGATCTTGTATCCGACATATCGGCGAAGGCGTAGATGATGAGTAGAAACACATAGACCACCGTCGGCGTAGGTTTCTCGCAATTCAGGCAAATTCATTTCAGAAGGACGCATGATCATCAATATCAAGAGAATTGCGATGATGTTGTTATATTCCCTCATTCCAGGCGCGTTGCAGGGATGAAAGCGATGACTATGAGCGCGCCTGCGGCAGTCGCGGGCGGCGCGCTGGGCGGAAATGGAAATGGAAATGGAGAAGGCGCCTCGGCCGATGCAGCCATCGCTTCCCTCACCTCATCCTTCGACACGGCCGACGAGCTGCTCATCTCTACACGGTCACAATCACAGCCACAGCTCATACCCACAAAGTACGGGCCTCGCTTTGCATCACCCGTGGATGACGCGTTGCAGCCAACAATATCGCGCTCATCTCTCACGTCGATAATGGAGCATGACGAAATGCCAGTCAACGGTCAAAACTCGAGTAGTGACGAAGATCAGCAGCAGATTCAACCTTACGATGTCTTCCCCGTCCAGGGCGACTTCACAGACTCAGACGGGACACCTATAGCATATACACCCCAGAGCAGTATCTATCCCGGATCTGCCGTCTTCTCGTCCGGGCAATGGGGCTCTTATAACGGCACAGCCCGGCCTCGAGGCGGGAGTGGCAATCCTCCGGCTGCCATGATGGAGAGATCCTTCACGACTGATGGCCAACATGCCCAAGCAGATCTGCGAGGAGCCAGACCGAACGTGCTCAGAACGCCGTCATCGACCTACGCCCCACAACGAAGGCCGCCGCAGTTCCTCTCGCTCAATTCGAAACGTATGTCCTCATCGTCGGCAGTGCGAGCCAGAAGAAATCCAGAAGCACAGTACAAGGCACAAGAGAAGGCATATGTTCAGAAGGTCAGACAGCAGCCACAAGAATGGCTCAACGGCGGAGACATGCGGACGCCCACCTTGAGCTATAGCACCGACGACAACACCGACGAGGACGAGTCACCAATGACCGAGTCCCAATTCGAGGACCCCTACGATCCCGAAACGTTGATGTTCTTGGGCAACGAAGACAATGTACAGCCGTCAGAGGAGGAGCTGCAGGTCTCAGAGAACAGAGAACGTCTCGAGTGGCACTCAATGCTGGCATCAGTCCTCAAGGGCGATGTCGTCAAGCAAGAGAAGCAGCGTCTCATTGGAACAGCAGAGCAAATGACACGGAATGAGATAGGCGACGAGATATGGATGGGTGCTAGAGCAAAATTGTTTGGTCGGGCTGTGCCAATGCAGCGGAAACTCATCGAAGAAGCTCGATCCGGACTCGGCCCGACGATTGAGACCATCATCTCGTTCGAAATCAAGGGAGAGACTATCGTTGGCAAGTCGCCGCTCGAGCAAGTTGAAGAGGCTGTACAGAAGATCGAGAAATGCGAATTCTTGTTTCCCAGCCGAGCACAGATGGAGGCGACCGAACCGAGAGCTGCGTCCGATGCCTTTCGAGAAAGCTGCGATGCCATACTGTCCTGGTACAACATCACACAAATCATCAACATTGAATTAGGAATTCTTCAAGCTTGGGTTGGCAATCCGGAGCTTGACTTTACAAAGACGAAACCAAAGTCGGAAAGGGAGAAGTTGACGGACGAGTCTTCCTTCATCGATCGGATCCTGAAGGAGGACGGTCTCAAGGCTCTGCAAACCGAGAAAAGCATGTTCATCGGCATCAGCGAAGTCATCAAGAAGGCCAAAGTCACTCTGACCGAGAATGCACACACCTTCGCCGCCAGACACCTTCCACCATACATCGAGGAGCTACTCACCTTGATCAACTTCCCATCCAGACTCATCCAGGAAATCATCAAGGTCCGTTTATCGTACGCAAAGAAGATGAAAGAATCAGCTCAGCAGTCTGTCATGATCATCGACCAAATGATCTCACAGTTCCAGATTCTGATGCAGCTGGCATGCAACGTCAAACGTGAGTACAACGCCATCATCCGCCGGAAGCTGGGTGGGACCTGCCACCGTGTATCGATGAAGGCTTCGATTCTACAGTTCTGGATGCCCTACGCTTCTACTTCAAGATGCTCAACTGGAAGCTGGGTGCAAACAAGAACACTTTCCGAGAAGCCGAAATTCTGGAACAGGAATGGGGCTTTTCGAACGAGATCGGGAGACAGCTCGAGGGAGGCGATATCGAGGTCGCAGAACAGTTCAGCTCGTTGACAGCCAAATCGTTACTACGGCTGACGGCATCATTCGAACGAGAACTTCGACAGAAACCAGATGAGTCGCCACAGGAGATGGAGAAGAGGTACAAGGCAATCCTCGACTCTGTTCGTGTGAGACAGCGAAAGCTGTTTCGTTTCTCCCGGCTGCTGCGACAGAGGTTCGAGAACTCAACAGAGTACAATCTTGGAATGAACGAGGCGCAAATGCAGGACTTCACCGAATCCCTTGCCATGTCAGGCCACTTCCTCATCGAAATGGGATCGAACACGCCGAAGGGCACATACTTCATCGGCTCTTTGGCTCTTTGGGACAAACCACAGCACATACAATCCGTCCTCGGCACATCTCTTCATGTCGACGATGCAACGGATGTTGCGGACCCTGCATACATCCTTGCACTGAGACCTGAGGAAGGCTTCAGCTGGTCAGGCCCGAAGATGTCTGCTGATGTGATTGAGTTGCCAGCGGATGTGCGTGTGGGACGTCTGCGCCTCATTGCTGATGGCTCATCACAACGGCTTCCTGCAGCTCGAGAGACCTTCGCCGGATACTGCGGTCGCACCTTTGATGTAGTCATCGAGCAACGTGCCAACCTCTCGCGTGTTAACACCGAGCTCGGCAAGATCAAGAAGACCACCTTCAAGCTCTCTAACACGATCATGGAGTCTGTCGAAGCTATTAGATCTCAGTCTGGCGCCGCCGCAACCCCAGAACTGATCCAGTCCTGTTTTGCATTCGCTACTGAATTTGGCAAACGCTCACTGTCATACATGGATCCCAACAGGCGGATGATGAACAATCTGAAGCTCACGCGCCTTGCTCTTGACTGGATCAGCTTCATTACTGACGATTGCGAAGCCGCTGACCGACGGACTTTCAAGTGGGCTGTGGTGGCACTCGAGTTCGCCATGGCCATGACTCGGGGCAGGAATATTCTCGACATCTCCGATGAAGAATACTCGCGCATCCGAGTGAAGGTCGCCGGCTGCATGTCTGTGCTGATCTCACACTTCGATATCATGGGTGCACGTTCGACGCTTGCTGCTCAACAGGAGAAGTCCCGCATGGACGCCGCCGGCGTGAATCAGAAACGACTTGACTTCTCCAAGATGCGCAACGACGACGACTGCTTCCAGCAGATGTGTGAATCGCGTCTTGCGCAGCTCGAGGAGATTGACAACTTGCGCCATGAGCGTGGACCAAGCAAAGCTACGCTGGGCAAAGTCCTCGAGGGCAGCAATGAAGCCGACCGCTCCTTGACCTTCCTAAGCTCAAGCGCCACAAACATCACTATGCGTTGGCAGCAAGGTCGCTACGTAGGCGGAGGTACTTTTGGATCTGTCTATGCCGCCCTCAATCTCGACACCGGCAACCTCATGGCTGTCAAAGAGATCCGTCTGCAAGACCCACAAGTCATCCCGACAATCGTCAAACAGATTGGCGACGAAATGTCCGTCTTAGCAGTCCTCGACCACCCCAACGTCGTTTCCTACTACGGCGTCGAAGTTCACCGCGACAAAGTCTATATCTTTATGGAGTACTGCTCAGGTGGCTCGCTTGCCGGCTTGCTCGAGCACGGTCGCATCGAAGACGAGACTGTGATCATGGTCTATGCATTACAAATGCTCGAGGGGCTTGCGTATCTGCACCAAGCTCGAATCGTGCACCGTGATATCAAGCCAGAGAACGTCCTGCTGGACCACAACGGCGTCATCAAGTACGTCGACTTCGGCGCCGCCAAGGTAATTGCACGGCAAGGTCAGACCATGATGGCTCAGCCCGAACCCAGCCCATTGAAGCAAGACCAAAAAGCCGGCAAAGACGGCCAGCAGCAGGGCGGTAAAGGCGGCCAGCCGCAGAAAACCATGACCGGCACACCGATGTACATGTCTCCCGAAGTAATCCGTGGCGAAGCACCACCCAACTCCCGCTTCTTCGGTGCCGCGACATCTGGTCTTTGGGCTGCGTCATTCTCGAAATGGCGACCGGCCGTCGACCCTGGGCAACGCTGGACAATGAGTGGGCGATCATGTACAACATCGCTCAGGGAAATCCTCCACAGCAGCCGACTGAAGAGCAGCTCTCCGACGGCGGGCGCAATTTCCTGAGGAAATGCTTCGAGCGGGATCCCGCGAAGCGCCCCTCCGCAGCGGAATTGCTGCAAGACCCGTGGATTGTAGAAATCAGGCGACTGGTGGTGGATGATCAAGAGGCGACGAGTGCGGGAGGTTTTAGCAGGAGTGACACGATGAGTAGTCTGAGCAACTCGGCCTCCAACTCTAGTGGTGGTGTGGGGCTGGCGAGTGGAACGTGGACGGCGAATAGTGGGTTGACGCCGACGAGTGAAAGCCCGGCGGATGTTGAGGGGGAGGGTGTGGCTAGGTCGCAGTAGGGCTGTCGGTCGCCGCTGAGAAGTGTTGTGTCACTTTGAGCTGTTCATTCTCTGGATTATGGCATTGCGAGCGGTTGGGGAATATAGCATAGCGTTCTGGTTCTGCATCTGATACGTTCGATATCAGCAAATTACGAATTCCTCGATTACGGACTGACTCTACTTCGTCGGTTCGCTCGCAAGATTCGCCTTCCACTCGTGGCCCTTTCCTGTGCCGCGAACGCATCTTTCAGCCCGTTGATCTTGTTCGTTCCGTCCACGCCCAGTCTTCGGCAAGGCAACTTCGGTGGTGAGGCGAAACGAGGAGCCTCCTCTGAATTCCTCCCCATGCCCACATCGCCTCGCTCAGACTAATCCTTCGTTGACCGTCTGTTAGTTGCCTCGAGAGGGAGGTGCACTACACCTGCTTGCTCGTCGGGATTCAATGAAGATATATCAAAATATAGCCTCAAGCTCATCGACATGACCATTCAAGTAGGAAGCATTAGGCAGCAGCCCGTGTGTGGTCCATGCAACGAACAGTGAATGCCTGAGGCCCGAAAGTCACTCGAGTGATCGAGCCGTATCTGCCCTTTGCCTCCACCCTGTTGAGAAGGTATAAGTAGCTGCCTTGTCCTCGGCGCCTTCTTCGCTTCTTCCTCCCAATGGATTTCCTTCTAACCTCTAAATTCCTACACGTGCCATGTCAAGCTGGTCCTTGCTGCTACTTGACGGGGCGAATGCTTTCGAGGGTTAGGCATACTACCTTGGAGCTATGCGTTCCATCCAATGTCCTCAACGAGTACTTTGGCGTCGATTGCCGTGTCAGCGACGTAGCCATTCACGCAACAAATCGTGAATGCCAGCTAGCGGCCCAAGGCATTCACTCGAGTGATCGAGCCGTAGCTGCCCTTGCCTCCGCTCTGTTGAGGAGATATAACTGTTCGTCTTGCTTTCAACGACGTCTTCTCATTCCGCTCAATGTGCTCAACGAGTATTCCAACGAAAGCGTTGATTGCCATACCAAGATAGCGTTTGGTGCTGCTTGACGGGGCGAGCTTCGAACCTTCCCAATGAGTTCTTCTGATGGCAGAGCCGAGTTCCTCGAGTTAAAGTGTCTGTAGTCGCAGATGAGGTTTGCTATATCTGATTCGTTTTTCCGCCTCAACCGGTCCGTCGCAATGATAACCTCAGGCTAGCTCACTATTGTCCACGACAATCGCAAATATCGTCCTCGCCGCCACTGTGCGAATGTATCACCCAGACAGGTGAGTGCGGCCCTGTGGTTGTCCGGATCAGCGTTGTGTTGCAATGTCATGTTGGTGGGTGGTGATCTTCGGAACATGGTACGCGCCGTATATGTACAACGTAGGGATTGCCGAATGGTCACCGATAGCCTCCTCGGCCGTTGAGACTCGACCCTACAAACTCTGTCATGTCCACCGTAGTCCATCACTTCGAGTCAAGCTAGACTGATCAGCTATTCGCCTCCTTCGCCGTCTCTTCCAGACCCCTCAACGTCGCTTCCACCTCCCCCGGATCGCTGATACTCCACACCCCTCCGCCCTTTGCACTACTCCTCCCCACCTCCTTGCTCACGAGATTCCTCCCCACCTTCCCAGGTCCCACGCCCAGCCACCGCCGTGTCCCCGCTTGTCTATCGAGGTACTTGATGCTATCCCACCACAACACCGTCTCAATCGCCTGCCGCGACAAGCAATTCATCAGATCCTCCTTGCTCTCCGCTGGCTTCCCGCTTACATTCATCACAGTCGGACACTTCCCCGGCCAGGTAACGTGCTCTGGCTTAAGCGTCTTGCGCATATACTCATACGCAGCTCCATAATCGGACTGTGGAACGCCGAATTGCTTTTCAACTCCACTGCTCTGGGATCATGCCCGCCAAACTCCCGAATATGCACCAACAAGTTCTTGATGCGGTTGAAACTCCCCGAAAGCACGATCTGGTTGCGGGAGTTGTAGTTCGCGATACTGACCCTATTGATCGCCGGCGGGTGGGAGGAGTCGTCCTTTGCGCCCTCGCTGCCCTGACTGAGGAACTCTTGGACGGCTTTGATCAGCCCGTCTAGTTGGTCTGGCTCACAGACCAGCGCGATCATGCCGTAGCGATCGCCAGATTCTTCCTTGGCGAGACGCGTGCACTCGCCCATGATCTCGCCTCGTTTCCGCACGAGTTGCAGCGCGAAGGAGAAGTCGAGGTACCCCGCTGCCACAAGCGCTGCATATTCCCCCAAGCTGTGGCCCAAAGTGACGTCGATCGCTTCGGAGGTCTTGAAACCGAATTCTTGCTCCAGCACGCGCAGAATCATGACTGAAACGGCCATGATAGCGGGCTGGGCGTTCTCGGTTTTGTCGAGCATGTAAATGGGGCCTTCTTCTATGAGGGTAGAGAGGTTGCATTGCAGGATGTGGTCCATTTCTTCGACGAAGGGCTTGCAGGTTTTGGGGAAGGCGGAGAGCCATGGGCTGAGCATGGATTTGCGTTGGACGCCGTGGCCGGGGAAGAAGAGGGCGGTGCGCAGCGGAGGGGAGTCTGTGGTGGTGGCATACTGCCGTAATCGTGTTGGTGTTCTTGGTGTGTGTATGTGTAGGTGTCGGCCTCGGCCGAGTGGGCGTAGTGATGGAGGCATGGTTAGGAGCTGGAGATAGAGCTATCCAGGACAGCTATCACAGCATGTTCAGAGGAAGGAGGATCTGCATCGACGGGCGCGGCGTGTGGTGTATTCGGAAGTTGGGTTGGACGCGAGGAATGGACTAATCAATCAGGTACACCGTGGCAAAAGCGTGAAAGTCAATGGGAGAGGTAGAAGTGAAAGTGAAATCAAAATGATCATCATGCTTGCAGTCGAGTCGTTCTCGATTGCTTGGGTTCCCCCGCGCCGCGGAACATGGGACGCGGGTGAGTGCGGAGAGAACCGAAGCCCAGAGCTCTGCGATTCCCGGGCAGCGGGAATGGGCTTCCTCGGCTTGTGGCGCTGTACCATCTCCTGAAAGATTTCAAATGAGTCTCAAGTGCCCTCATCGACATACACATTCACTGGGCCCCTGACTCATGTAATGTGCAGGGATTGCTCCCTACGAAGTTGGTGGACTTGTCGGTCCGCGGTTGCCCGGGTCTTCACTGTGCTGTAGAAGTATAAGTAGTGGTCGTGTCCCTGACTCTGCCTTCCGTCCTGAACCACTCCAAGATCAATCTCTATGCATACCATGCCAAGCTAGCACCTGCTGCTGCTTCGTGGGGCGGGCGATGCAGTCCTTGGACAAGTCAACATGGCGGATGAACCAGCACCTATGTCTGGTAAGAGAACTACATGAACAGCGCGGCCAGGAGACATGCTCACGATACGCAGGTCGAACTCAGTAATCTGAAAGGTGGTATCATTTCGCTTTCGCCTGCGCTATTCCGTTTTTAACCGATCGCCAGCATGTCTGAAGCAGACCCGAGTCCTCTAAGCAGACTGGCTGCCAATCGCGCTGAACCCGTGCCGCCAGAAATATATGAAAGATCAACGCAGCTCGCCGAGCCCGCCCTCGGTCGCCAAGATCGTACATGACCCCGGATCTGAAGCTTCTTTGGCCAGACTGATTGGAAGCTGTCGTGAAGTGGCCAGAACCCAGGGACGTCTTGAGTTGCAAAGGCCAGCGAAACAGTGCTCGCGCATGAGGCAATCGCCAATTCTTGTTCCAGGATAATAGTACACGGTGAGAGAGCAGCGATGCATACGAATCAGCGACTGTGCGCCCAGTCGAGTGCTGGGCGACTTTCTTCGCTTGGTGGCGTAGAATCATTTCGTAGCTCAGGAAGCAATTGCAGCGATTCGTGTACCAGGCGCAACGCCGAACACCGTCCTGAACTCAGCTGCGTATCTATTCTTCTCGCTTGCAGAGCGGTCCTCGTATGGCTGTGAGAGATGTCCGTTAGCATGCCTCCCAATGCTTCTTCAAGCTTGGTCCAGACTTACCTTCTTCTCCCCAGCACTGAGACCCTTATACTCTCTTGACATCAACTGGAATGACTCTTTGGGCGTCATGCCCTTGTAGTCACCAGTCTGGGTTCTGTCGGCGACGAACAACGCCCACGGACTGGCTGGAAGTTTGGGTTGACGGTCGTCCTTGATGGCTCGATAAGGAGCCAGAGACTTCTGCTTCTTGGCTTTGGCTTCCCTCAATAGCTGTGCTCGGGCCAGGTTTGCTTGCTTGATTTGAAGGGGAGTATAAGACTGGACCCATTTCTTGTAGGCAGTGGCGTTCTTCTCCTTATTTTGGTTCGCTTCGTGGTTGAGTGCCTGTCATTGCTCGTTAGTAAGAGTTCACCACAGACGCATCTCGGCGCTCACCTCGCGCTCGTCAGGAGAGAGGTTCTTGTAAGCAGCTGCGCTCTCTTTGACGGTACTGGTCACTGGTGTACCCTTTGCGGCTGCCCTGGATCGGCGAGTGGAGAGGACAAGGAAAGCCACCTCGGGCTCTTGCTTTGGTGCTTGGTTGAGGAGTGCGACGGCTCTGGTGTCTTTTCTGGCGGCGGCTGCTTTGGCCTTGATCGCACTCGCAGAGGGTGCTTTCTTGACTTTCCGTGGCTTCGGCTTCGGTTTCGCCTTTGCCTTCTTGGCAGTCTTCTTCGTTACTACTCTCTTCTTCGACGCTGCTTTCTTCGTCCCAGGCAATTTCTTTGGAGGGCCGGTGGCCTTCTTGGTGGTAGTTGTGCGCTTGGAGGCAGTCGCGCGACCGGTGTGGGCCTTTGGTCTGCCAGGGGCGGCGGTAGCATAGGTTCTCCGTGATCGCAAGACAGCGGTCACGCTACTCGACGTGGTATGAGTTGATTCAGACGGCTTTCCATCATGTTGACAGGGAGCGACGCGTAAATTCGAGTTTGTCGAGATCAGTCGCGTGAGAAGGCCTGACCGGATCGGGAGCTGTTTTGACAGCACGCGGCTGTAGGGCACGAGAACGGTCATGACGAGTCGAGCGGAGCGGAGTTGATGTACGCGACCAGAAAAGATCAGTGCGTGCTGGCCGCAAAGAGGCCAGTGTTGGGCGACGAAGGAGGGCAGCAAGCAAGGAGGCTGGGGGCCGGTCGATCAGCGTGTCAGGCACGTCTCCAAGCTTGTTTCCAATGTGGCTTGATCTCAGCTGCAAGCCGCACCTGCCGCCAAGGAATGACGTTTGGAATGGAAAGAGGTGGCTCAGCTGCGATTGCCTGGTTGCCTGACAGACCATCCTCTGCTCTTGAGTCACCTGGTTGATCGAAGAGACGCCAGTGGACGAGGTATGGCTATCAAGTAGCAATTTGAGCCGCAGTCGATAAATATGTGAGCATAGCGAGTGCAATTCAGCAGCCCGAGGCTCTTCGCGTTGATCGAGGTTACTTCACATGTCCTCCGGTACACTTATATTCTGATCAATATCAGAGGAGGCATGCTGGCATAAGGCGTCCGCGAGCATAGCACACGTTCGAAGACCTAATGGTCAGATTCCGTAGACAGATACCTCGAAGGAAATCGCCCCATCAAATAGCAGCAAATGCTATGTTGGCATGGCAAGTTCTCGGCTTGCCGACTTCTTCATTGGCGAGAATAAAAAAAGAAAGAGAAGAAGTCGTGGGCACGACCGCCTACTTATACCTCTTCAGCACATTGAAGATTGGGGCGAAGCCGAAGCATTCACTTCATAAGTTCGAGCAGAGTGTATTCACTGTTGAGTGCACAATCCAGAATACGCTGGTGCCTGATGAATTCACTTGAATTAGTTTCTGACCACAGCACGATGAACGTGACTTGAACCGGTTTTCAGATCGAGTCGGTTGATGCGAAGAACTTGACGTCGTGACTGGACCAGCTGAATGCTGCACTGCGTTATGATGCGAGAACGACTGGGTATCAATGTTTCACTGCTGCCAGAGCACTGGGCCGGAGAGGTAGCTCATTGCCAGCTTAGCTGCGGTCAAAAGCCCCTCCAGCGGAGCCACAGCTCACTTCGGTCTCGGAGGCGGCGCCATACCCGGATTCACCTTTTTGCTAGGCGGCAACCCGGGTATCTTGAAACCATTACTACTCCCTCCACCAACCTGAGTAAACGTTCCACTCGAAAAGTACCCAGCGTTCTCCGCCTCTCGCTTCCGCTTCAGCTCAGCCTGGACTTTGGGGTCTACCAACTCCAGACCTTGCACAGGTGTGAACGCAATACTGCTCGCCGTTCCGGCCGTTGAGCCAACGCCGCTCGTCCGCAGACCTTGTGCCCGTAGACTGGTCGCGTTGCCGTGCGTCCCAAATGCTCGTAAGCTTGTGTTTGCGCCGCCTGTGTTCAAGCTGGATTGTAGACCCGAGCCGCCCCATCCAGGATTCTTCTTCGACAACTTTGCCATGGTCCGCTTGTCGACCTGCGCACCACGTATCCGTCCATCATTCTGCTGGCCGATCATGCCTAGACCGACTGTGTCTTCACCGAAACCGACTTCCCGCTCTTCTTTGCCGAATGCCATCTTATTCTGCTGCTTGCGCAGATCAGTCATGGCTGTTGCTTCCTTGGCTTTTCGGGCTTTTCGTCCACCTCGTTTCCGAGCAGGCTTGTCGTCAGGTGCTGGGAGTGCTTTCGGCCCTCGATTCGGCGCCTTCTCTTGCAGCTTGTCGAGTCGTCGTTGGCAGTCGTCTCGCAGTTGCATTCCCATCAATCCGTCATTCGACTGGTGCGTGCTGTCCACGCGAGCGGCAAGGACAAGTTTGGCCGAGACTATGCGCATGCCTTGTATTCGGAGGTCGTTGGGTAGTTCTTGTATGATCTCGGAGTGGTAGAGGAAGCCTTGTTGTCGGATGCCGACGTTGGTGGCAAGGCCAGATTGGCGCTGCTTCTTCGAGCCCATGGCGGGAATGTTACGGTCCGGTGTCTTCGCTAGGCCCTTGATCCCTCCTGCAAAGTTGAGCAGTTGGGCAGCGGTGAGAGAACCAATCAGATTGGTAAGGTTGGGTGCGAAGATGTCCATTCTCGATTGCACATACTGCGTCAGAATGATTTTCGCTCTGTCGAGCTGTAATGTCATGTCGCAGGCTCGCAAAGTTGCCTGCAGATCGGCTTCAGCCATCTCTTGACCTCTTGATTGTATGCCTTCCACGTTCACCACCATAAGTGTCGGCCCATCCAGCACCGATCGCAACGAGGCGCCGACCGCATTGTTCGTAGTATTTGCGAATGTTTTGCTGATGTTGTCCAGCGGTCCATTCTTGAGTATAGCGACGGTCTTCGCATATGCTAGAGGATTCGATACGAGTGTCTCGAGTTCTGGGAATCGCGTCGAGTAGTGGTCGCGGATGAATTTGTGGACGAGTATGATCTCGCTGTCTATTTGTGTAGCCAATGAGTTGGACTGTGTTAGCAGGTGGTATTCTGGGTCGTCTTCTATCGACCCGACGCCAGTGGTTCGCTGATCGTTCGGCACTGCTTGATAGTGTTTGATTTTCTGCAGAGTGGCGTATAACGTTAGGGCTGGTACATATTGTGTAAACAACTCGGGCATTCCCAGGCGGATGAAGCGACTTACCTCGAGTACTGGCTGCAGTGTCTTCATAAGACCTGCGACATTCCTGACATCACTGACGCCGCCCAATTGCATCTTCTCGACTTTTGCTTTCGTATCGTCTTCATCCTCGAGTGTGTCTGTGCCATTGCGCGCTTCTTCCTCCTCCTCTGCGTCATCCATGTCCTCGTCTTCGAGTCTGACTTCTGTGCCATCTGGCTCAACCGACTCGGCCTTGAGAAGGCCATTGCTGGGCTCTCCATCCTCATCGTCCAGCTTCAGCCCAGGCTGCTCCTCGTTTTCGTCGTCGGAGTCGTCAAAATCGTTCAGCAATTCATCTGCGAGGGTCGCCATGGTGGTCGCATGAATTGTGATGGAGATTGTGGTTCGTAAGGGAAATCAGGCAAAGCAGAGAAAGAGTGGTTCTTGCTGCCTCGACTGATCTTGAAATTTTGAGTCAGCGACAAACAAACACGTCAAACTGCCGAGTCATGTCACCTAAAATGCGGAGGCAGCCCTCCAAACTTTTTGATCGGCCTTCTACAACACAACTCTTTACTTCCGTTGCCCTCCTCCGTCAAGCACGCTCTTTGAGCACTCTCGACCGTCATGGAGTCCCGTACGGCGCCGCGGGTCAAGAACAAGGCCGCCGCGCCTGTCCAGATCTCCGCCGAGCAGCTTCTGCGAGAGGCAGTCGACCGACAGGAAACCGGCCTGCAGGCGCCAACGCAGCGGTTCGCCGACCTCGAAGAACTCCATGAATTCCAAGGGCGGAAGCGCAAGGAGTTCGAGGACTATGTGCGCAGAAATCGCATCAACATGAACAACTGGATGCGGTATGCGCAGTGGGAACTCGAGCAGAAGGAATATCGTAGAGCAAGGTCGATCTTCGAACGGGCGCTGGACGTGGACAGCACGAGTGTTGTGTTGTGGATCCGATATGTCGAGGCGGAGATGAAGACGAGGAATATCAATCATGCGCGCAATTTGTTAGATCGGGCTGTGACGATTCTGCCACGAATAGACAAGCTGTGGTACAAGTATGTGTATATGGAGGAGACGCTGGGCAACATTGCAGGCACGAGACAGGTCTTCGAGCGATGGATGAGTTGGGAGCCTGACGAGAATGCTTGGATGGCATATGTCAAGCTCGAGAAGAGATACGGCGAATACGATCGAGCCAGGGCTATTTTCGAGCGCTTCACCGTTGTGCATCCCGAGACAAGAAATTGGATCAAGTGGGCAAAATTTGAAGAAGAGAATGGCACGAGTGAGCTAGTACGAGATGTATTCGGCATAGCTGTTGAGACGCTGGGAGACGACTTTATGGACGAGAAGCTCTTCATTGCATATGCAAGGTACGAAGCGAAGCTGAAAGAGTATGAGCGGGCACGAGCGATCTACAAATATGCGCTTGACAGACTCCCAAGATCGAGGTCGGCCGCCCTGCACAAGTCCTACACGACATTCGAGAAGCAGTTTGGCAACCGGGAGGGGGTCGAAGATGTGGTGTTGTCCAAGCGAAGAGTACAGTATGAGGACGAGCTGAAATCAGATCCGCGGAACTACGACATCTGGTTCGACCTGGCACGGTTGGAAGAGACTGGAGGCGATGTCGAGCGAGTCCGCGATGTGTACGAGAGGGCGATTGCACAAATACCAGCATCACCCGAGAAGCGAGGCTGGAGGCGGTATATCTATCTCTGGATCTTCTATGCAATCTGGGAGGAGGTCATCAATCAGGACCCCGATCGAGCGCGGCAGATCTACCAAGAATGCCTGAAGATCATCCCGCACAAGAAGTGGACCTTCGCAAAGATATGGCTCGCGAAAGCCCAATTCGAGATCCGACAGAATCAGCTACAGGCCGCTCGAAAAACACTTGGGCAGGCGATCGGGATGTGCCCAAAGGATAAGCTGTTCAGAGGCTACATTGACCTCGAGAAGCAGCTGTTCGAGTTTCTGCGCTGTCGAACGCTCTTCGAGAAGCAAATCGAATGGAATCCAGAGAACGGACAGGCATGGATCCAGTTTGCCGAACTGGAGCGAACGCTAGACGACGCAGAGCGCGCTCGAGCAATATATGAATTGGCAATCAACCAGCCCAGCATCGATATGCCCGAGCTGGTATGGAAGGCCTACATCGACTTCGAGGAAGAGGAAGAAGCTTACGAGCGGGCACGAGCACTGTACGAGCGTCTTCTAACCAAGACGAACCACGTCAAAGTCTGGATCAACTACGCCCGCTTCGAGATCAACGTGCCCGACGAGGGTGACACGGGCGAGGAGGACGGAGTCGTCAGCGATGCGGCCAAGGCACGAGCAAGAGCTGTGTTCCAGCGCGCCCACGACCTGTTCCGAGACAAAGACCTCAAAGAAGAGCGCGTCGATCTCCTCAACGCGTGGAAGTCGTTCGAGGAAGCACAGGGCACGCCGGCGGACGTGGAGAAGATCGAGAAGCAGATGCCGCGCAAAGAGCGCAAGAGGAGACGCATCGAAGAAGATCGGTTCGAGGAGTATATCGACTATATCTTCCCCAGCGACGACAAGCAAGCGGCAAATCTCAGCAAGTTGCTGCAGAAGGCACAGGCTTGGAAGCAACAGCAAGCAGCGGCGGCGACGGCGAATGGCAACGGCACGAACGGCAGTGCTTGATGTCGTCCAAGTTGGCTTCTGGGATGTTGTCATTGCGCCTCGAGGGCGGATCCTCAATTTCCGGGCTAAGCGAAATTATGCGGGGAGCCGACAGTGTGGTAAATTGGTTATGACGCGTTGTGATGCTCGAAAGGCATCGCAATATGTCATAATATTGATGTCTGTTCAAGATTGCTCGGTGGTCAGCAAGTCAGCAGGCAGGAATCGTCCAAAGCGCGCACATCGTATTTGCTGAGCATTGTCACGAGATTTAGCCGCCATTGTCAGCGTGCACCTTCAAGTACGGCGGTTGGGAAGGACCGCGTGACAATGGTTGCCTTCGCATTGGGCGGTGCCGTTCTGCGACTGTCACTGGCAACGCTCGCGAATCGAAGGCTGGGTGAGGCAGATCTGCAGCAGCATGCAAGCCTACCTTCGACATCAGGTTGCCCTCTGCATCTGTCGTTGGACGCATCCACCGATATGTCTGTGGCTTTTCTGCAGACGTTCTTGGTGTCTTCCCTCCTGCGGAGTCCTGCATTGGTCAGATTGACTTTTGACTAGGAGCACATCTGAAACACCGAAAAGCTCCATTTTTCAGGTACAGCGTCATGCCATTCGCGGACTTCTTGCATTGACAGACGCTAGGGTGCTTAGCTCACCATGCATCCAGGGGTAAGTCCTGCGCTCAAGGCCAAATTCCCATCAAATCATGTCGCAGAGGAGTCGAGATGCGGCCATGGTGTTACCGCGGATGGGTGACGGTGACGAGGAACCGTGAAGAAAGAAAAAAGAGTGGCAAGCCTGGCTGCACGCACGATGACATGATGTTTCCTGCTGGTGCAGGGAGGGACTGGGATTTGCTGCTGGGTTTCTGCAGCGGCCGTTGGCGCCTGAGACAAGGACAAAAAAGTAGAACTGTCTTCGTCGTCGCTGAGACTGCGTTGAAGCGCAACTCGCCACTGTATAACATCGACAACTCTGTAGCACGATCTGGTGTTGCTTCTGATAGAACGTGGGAGTGTTCCGAAGATCGACAATCCGTGGTACCGTGTTTGCATGGTGCTAGCCGAGAGCCACAGAACCGGCTCAGCGTTGTCCGGTACCTGACTTTTCTGGCTTCTGCCGATCAACGCCCTCGCTGGCTCCCCGGCACTGGGCATCCTCGTCTCCTCACTGCGACCTTGCGGACTTCGGCATCATTCACCATCTTCTGCGATTTGACTCTATACTCTCGCTTCTACGCTTTATCTGCCTCCGTTTCGAGCATCATTCGAGAAGATCGCGGCTCGCGCCTCGTATCTGCCCACTGTCAGGACAAACTGTATACTATATCTCCCAGCATTCCACACGCGCGTCCGAAAAGTTTGTGCCGACAGTACACGATCAGTCGAGCTCTTCCAGCTACTTGGAGCCCTAATACTATACACGTTCTCGAACCGAGGCCACATTCTCCCACCTCGATCTCGAAAGGGTGCTCAGATCTCCTGCTGGACAGTGTAACGCACAAGGAGTCGGGTCTCGGCGCTGCGACGAATTTCTCCCCGCGAACGCGCCCACTGATCAGCTCGAGATCACCGCCAAACCGTCGGAATCATTGTCATGAGCTGACGATCAATACTGCTACGGATCTTCTCACTGGAGGCCAGCGATGCCTGCGCCAACGCCGCCGAAATCCGTCAAAGGCTCTTGCTCGGTCATCAACGGCGACACACTCTACGTCTTCTCGCCTGACGCCTTCCAGTCGATCCAGCTACAGGACAATTCAACATGGCAAGAGCTGGACAGCGGCGTGTCGGTGACAGGAGGAGCCTGTGTGACAGCAACGATAGACAACAGCGACAATCAAGCACTCTATGTGATTGGAGGCACTACGAATTCCTCAACTAGTGGCTATAGTGGCCTGCAGCGATTCTCCTTCGATGACAACAGCTGGGAAACAGTACAACTACCTTCAGATGTCATGCGGAACCGACTGCGGCATGGCGCAAACTTCATTCCCAGAGACAAGAAGCTCGTTGTGTATGGCGGGTCAGCAATACAAGGCTATACAGGAGCCTCTTCAGAAACTTTCACAATCGATCTCCAGCCGCCATATCCAGTCGCTGGATACTCGTCGAACAGCGCACCGCCTGCCTCGAGACCCTTCATAATGCCTTGGGGAGACGACAGTGTTGTGTATACCGGTGGAAGTAGCACGAATCGCAAAATCTATACTTTCACAGCTGGAGGAGGATGGGTTGAGTTCAAGTTGGACTTGCCTCAGCCTCTACCGGATCCATCAGTCGCTCAGGTCAGTATGTTCAATCTAGCCGCGGATGCGTTCGAAGACATGCAGGTCATACAAATGGGACAGGAGCCAATAGGTGTGACATCGTACGTTATACTGGGGCCAGGAGCACAGCCACCAGCAACAGTTGAGACCATCGGAGCAGCTACACCACCGTCGGTGTTGGCTGCGCGGCAGGAATCGCTCAGCAATTACCCAGCGTACAATGGGAGCTCTGTGCCAAGTACAACAAGGACGGACTTCTCAAGTGCGCAAGGAAACAATGGAATACTGGCTTTGGTCGGAGGCGACGACGACGGCTCAGTCACATTCTTCAGTCAGGCCGACAACACTTGGGTAGCCGCAGAGCAAGTACTGGGTGATGCGCCGCAGCAAGTCATACAGCCATCGACAACCGCGCCCTCATCGTCCAGCACAACTCCCACTGCCACACGGACAAGCTCACCAAGTGCTACATCTGCGGCGGCGAACAAGAATGATGGCAATGGGAGCCGCACATGGACGATCCTAGGTGGCGTGCTTGGTGGGCTGTGCGGACTGGTCGCCATCCTGATCATCATTCTGCTTTGCATACGGAATAAGCGCCGCGAGAAGAAGCGGGCTGAAAGCAAGCACAAGTCCTATCCTGCCGGCAAAAAGGGCAGCTCTGACTTTGATTTCGAAGACGGCATGCACCCGCTCCGCGAGAATGGACAACCAATGGCAGATCCCCTCATGCCTCACAAATAGGCCCACCCGTAATCGATACGACTCGTGGCTCGGCGGCCATCTTCTCAGCACGTCCGAATGAGAATCTCATTCGCCGAATCTCATCAGACACGCGGTCAATACCAGATACGCAGGCAGCGACGTACGGTATCTTCCGACGGGACAAGAGCCCGCTGGCGAAGTCATCGCTGGCCATCTCGAAGCCCATGAATCCTCACCTCGGAGACTACCAGGAACGTCCCAGTATCGATCTCGGCCGCGCAACTCCTGCCTCACCCACTCATCCCGTCAATGCCACTCCCTTGGTTGCCATACCCTCCCGCAACAAATCTCAGCGGAAAACCGACGAAGCGTGGGCGAAGTACTTCACGGGCGAAAAAGCAGATCCCGCCGCAGAATACAAGCAGCCATCCCCACCACCAGCACAAGTACGCCACACAAGATCACGTAGCGGCGGCAGCGGCGGTTTCTGGCCCGGCTCCGGCGCCCCCACCGGCCCAGTCGCACCCAAATTCGCCTTCCGTGACTCGGCCGGCAACACCCTCCAAACCCGCTCCGTCGGCACCTCCTCGCCGCGCTCGACCGGCCCCCAAGAACCCAGCACGCGCCACTACGCCGCCGCAGCGCCCAAAACAGGCCGCATCTCCAACGCCAACTCCCTCAGCAGCAACGGCGACAGCGAGTACGAAGACCAAGAAGTCGATCCAGCCTTCTCCTCCGGCATACCTGCCAGCGTGCAGGGCGGGCATCAACGCGACACATACTCCGGAAACTGGACCGTTACGGGTCCCAACGGGCAGCGGATCAGGTCCGAGTATAACCCACCTCCGACGGCGTTTACGACGAACTCGAGTGGAGGTAAGAGTACGAGTACGGGGAGTAGTGGGCTGGGCGCGACGATTTCGAATTTTCCGATGCCAAGTGGGCATACGACGCCGGGTGGTGGGATTGTGAGTCAGGTGCAGCATCCGGCGGCGAGCCATCAGCGGAGTACGAGCAGGCAGGGGTTGACGAGTGGGTACTTCCCTCCTGGTGCGCTGCACCAAGGTGAGCAAGAGAGGAGTGGTGTCAACACGGACGTGAGTTGGTTGAATTTGGGGCAAGGAGGGAGTGGTAATCAGAGTAGGAAGCGATAGGAAGTGGACCGGTTCTCCTTTGTCAACAGCAGCGGCAAATCAGCCAATCATCCCAACGCAGCTGAGCTGGATGCCTCAGACGACGTTGAGATGACAAACATGCGGCCCGACATGCTCTACAAGTACCTCCTGGACGAGGTCGGGCGAAAACAGCCGAAAGTGGTAATCAAGCGGAACAACAACAGTTCGGACGGCGCAGGGGCAGTTGCTTTGTTGGAAATAATGGATGGCTACGACGATGGCAGCGGTGCTGCAGTTGGCGCGACGGGAGAACTGGTCAGCAAGAACACAGGATTGCGTCTCAGCAACGCAGCTGAAGTCAGAGGAGCAATGAAGGTTTTGTTGGCGCGGGCAAGGACTGAGAAGCATGTTCATAACAAGGGACGTGGGCGGCAGACTACTAGGGCAGACATCGACCTACACAGTCCATTGCCCGTCGCGGCGGTCCATACAAGCGAAGATGGCAGTCTGCCACCAACACCGCACCTTCCAGCGTTCGCGGCAACGAAGGTTGCAAGGCATGAGCTGCTGCGAAGAACCACTGGAGCTGAGGATGAGAAGAGGTTGACGATGTGATCTGCTGCACAGACAAGTGAAGAAGGAGCAGAGAATCTGTACTCTACATCTCTGGGACAATCTAAATGGGCGGTGGTCGTAATCAGGGATGGGTGATGTGAAAATGATCTAATGTCTGTCTGTCTATCTACCAACTTGATTTTATCACAATTGCATTCTGCCGGCTCCGTGTCATCAGTTAGTACATTTGCTGTCTTCGTGAGTTGAGGTCGAGACCTGAAGTGTGACACACATGCAGCATGTCTAGCAGTTATATTGCTTGGGTTCTCGGCAGACCGGATGACCCGCACTAGCTAGCATCGAGACAGTGGATTGACCACCAAAATGTCGGTTTCCGACCTTTACTCTCTCCCGTCTTAGAATGCCTAGCCTGTGGCTCAACGAGGAATCCCGACAGTGTTCTATTGCACGGATGCTTATGCTCGGGGAGGCAGAACCGCCATGGGGAGGGCGAGTACTCGAAATCAGCTCTTGTGGACAACGAACTCGAGGTCACTCAATTTTGGGAGTGGGATCGCGGAACGGGTGTCGATGAATAGAGGCCGACGAAAAACTTGGGCTGGCTTAGGCGAGAGCATAGCAGAGGTCTGTAGCAGGAGATGAGGGGTGGAACGTCGGCTTAAGGTCTTGGCGGAGGTGTGTTTCTTGGTGTTTTGACGAAATGCCTACCTCAGGTATACAGTACTGGCGTCAATGCCGAGCCTGACTGGAGTGAATGGCACCAGTTGTCGCCGAAGCATAACGTACAGCGCATAGTGAATGCTCGTTGGACTGAGATAGTGAAGTGACTGCTTCGGTTCGCCGCGGGCTGCACGATGTCGACATGGTATAAGTAGTCGACTTGCCCACGACTCCATCTACTCTCTTGCTTCGTTACCGCATGTAACTTCGACTTCACGAGCTCACCTGCCATGCCTTGTTAGCACTTTGCTGCCTGGTGGGGCGCGCTGCTTGGTTATCCAAAGCTTCGTGTATGTTTCACTTGAGGTCGACGGTTTGGTCCTGCTGAGTGCAGCAACTGAGTCCTCATGCCGATGGCCTGCGGGTGTTTGATCGAACACTTCCGAGCATCTTGACACATGCCCAGATGTTAGAACGTTGATACTGCGGAGAGCATCCATTACTTGGAGAGCTTTCGTCGTCCCACCAGGTAGCAGTGGATGCCACCATTAGCATGACAAGTTATGCCGAACATGCATAGTTGTTGAGCTGGTCGCATTGAGATGAAGTTGAGAGCACGGCGGGTACATATAGCTTTGGGATCAACGCCAAGGTCCGGTTGAAAGCGAAACGTTCGCTTCACTTACTAAGTCAAGGGATACTCACCTTTCAGTGAATCATTCACGATGTGGCATTCACTTCGTGCGTGCTTGTTGAGTGACCGTCGCTCGGCTGACACATTGAAAGGTTCGAGTGATCTTCGAGCATCCAATATTCGTCGAGATTCTATGTGCGTGCCTCTCCGGCGGAACGAGCTTGACGCTGGCAAAAGTTCGAGCAATTTCGAGCATCCAATATTCGTCGAGCTTCTGTGTGCGTGCGCTTGATGCGAAATCTTGGTCCTCTATTGCTCAAGTAAGCTTCCCGATGTCAGGAGCAGCTATCCGCCTGTCGCAGCCGACACGCTTTGTGGGCGGAGATGCTGATTCGTGGGGACTGATAGGCACTGCAAGTCATTTTTGACCTTGTTAGGCGAAGCGATGTGGAGGTGGTGGAGGAGTCCGCCATAACGTGGGCGAGTTCGTGCGAACATGCCAATCCCACGCTGCAGGCGCAATGCAATGAGGTGAGGAGAAGAGACCTATGGCGGATGAGGAGCACGCATGCTGCCAACAATACGATGAGGTAAGTGTTGAGTCACCTGGCTTGAGGAGTCCAAGGCGAGGGAGGACGATGATGAAATGAGCTGCGACGCGTCATGGAATCCAAGTTGCTGCTGACTGACAGAAGTACCCATGTACTCCATAGTAAGAGGCTTCCCGTAATATTGGCTGAGACGACATGTCAAGGTCCTCAGCAGTGGACAAGCAGCGAATATGGGAGCTTACGATAGCCATCAACAATCAAAAATCACCACATGATAGTGATCACAGGGCGATGACCTTCTCCGTTATCGTACACAGGTAAAGCATATGCTGAATGGTGATTCCGTCTCGTCTTCGTGGTGTGCATGGGAATACTGGATCTAGGCCCACTTATTGACTTTGGTAGGGGCCGTCTTAGCCCGGAGTTCTGGGCAGCTGCAGCGGCTTGGTTCTCACCTGCAGGCATCGCACCCAGCTTGCTGCACTCATCCAATCATCCTGTCCTCGTGCGCCCCCCCTCACTATCAATCGGCTACACTACAAACTGCTTTGTTTCCTGGTTTCCGTTTCTTCGTTCCTATCTTCCCATCTTCCAAACTACAAGGGAAGATATACCTGATTGTATCAGGTCGACTGGTTCATCAAGTCGTCCTGTAAACCATACACTACACGCCTGCTCCTTTATCGCGTCGCGCTTCTGGTATCAGACCCGACCAAGCCCATCGTCTTTCAGCTCAACGTTTCACTCAGCCAACGCGATTCCATCACAGGATCACTTCCCGCGCGTGTTCAGGTACGATTTCGTGACGATCGCGACCAATATTGTCGTCGTCGCTTCACACGTCATAACTGCGCAGGCATCGGCTGACTCATATCTCAACCCACCAGATCTCAGCATCTGAACCATCAAACGATAGCCATGGCTTCCCAACACGTTTCTGCCCTCGGTATGGCCTTGAATGGCAAATCTGGATCGGTCAACGTTCCAAAGTCGCGCGATAAAGTCGCCACCCGGGACTCCTTAACTGGTGTACCCAAACGCGGTGGCGACCAGCTCCCAACGCCTCCTCACTCCCTCTCTCCTAATCTGCCTGCGAGTGGCGACTCCGATCTCGACCTGAAAGACGCTCCGGCGCTACAGAACGCGCTCAATGCCGAAGCGCTCGACAGTCTCGGTGATCTCGACAGTGCTGGTGCTATCACCCCGTCCCTGCTCGCGAAACATCATCTGCCCGAGATCTTGTTGTCTCATGGCCCACTCGCCATCAGGCACATCATGGGCTATCTGACTACGTCAGTCCCTGGCTTCTCCCGTATCACCTCCGCAAAAGCGCGTCGCTTAGTTGTCGCTGCGCTCGAAGGTCGTGGCAGCGGCGACGGAGCAGGCATCAATGGCGATGTCGTCTTCGATAAGGTCGGCTGGGGAAGATGGGATGCGCGTCTTCGCGGCCAGCCTCCTCGTGATCACGGCTCATCCATCACTCCGCCGGGCAGCCTTCCGAACTCATATTCCAAGGCCTGCAGGTTCCGCAGAAGTCTCAGCACAGCGGCTCGGACGCCTTCGGTACGAGCTTTACCGGAAATTCGGCCGTCTTCTCCCACTCCGAAGCCGAGTACGACGATCGCGATGCTCTCGAGCACGAGGCCGACAAGATGTCTCTCGACAACGCCGGGTCTGAGTACGCGTCCTCTGAGCCTGGTGAAGACATCGAGATCGATCTCGGAGAAGGCGACTCCACCGACGAGGAAGACTGGCAAGCCATTGGCGCTGAAGCACTGCGTGCGCGATCTCTCCCAAAAGGTGGTGTCCGTCGACCTTCTGGTGGCGGACGACTCTATCAACCCATCAGAACATATTCTACAGCGTCACGGTATCGAGCAAAGACTCCGGCATACCTTGCGCAGTCGGCTCCATCCCATCCGTACAACCTCGCTAATCAACTACCACTTGACGCTGGCGTCAATTCTTTCTCCGAAAAAGCAGCGATTGAGGCGCTGCTCAGCCTTGGACGATAATCACTTTTAATACTTCATATCTTTGGACGGCTACCACGACAAGGAAAATCTCGGTTCTGCCGTTCCTTGGTCCTGAACTCGCCTGGTGCTTCGGCTTCGACCACGACTTGACTCCCACATCTCACAAATCCCTTATTAATGACGACCTGGAAGCCTGCACTCTTGCGCTGTTGGCTCGGTTGGCGGACGAACGAGGCACACTTTGGACTTTCTTCAACAATCCTTCAGACTTCTACTATGTCAATGTTACCACCATTCCTTTTCGGCCGGCCTTCAACTCGGCCAGGCTCTGATACTATCACCAGACGATACGACCCCATTATACCCTCGCATGATTACGACATACAATCATGCACGACTCCTGGCAGCCCAGGACCAGCAAGCAGCGAATTTGTGCTGCTATTCTACATTCTCAACCAGCATATTTAATACTCACCAAACAGTCTTCTCCTCTCCACAACAACATTAGCGGTCGCTACCGCACAACATGCCAAACCGGTCTTCTTCATTGAACGATACTGGTATCCGATGCAGTTCATCCGTCATATTCACTTATCGCACGGACTTGGACGTCGAGAAAAGGGAAGGAGCTTTGGTGCTTTTCGAAGCAATAGGGATCACGCGGAGGAAACAAGATCCGAAAATGGAAGGAGCGCTTCTCGATGCATACGATCAACATACAACGACCGGTCGGCTTTCACTAGCTCGGCCGGCAGATGATTGCTTCTGGACGAGGCTCGTGGCTCATGGAAAGGTGCTCGAGAGAGTAGGAAGACAACCGAAAGGAGGTGGCCTGAGATGGCACCGAGGATCCTTCTATGTATTTGTCTCTTGCTGCTTGCTCGTATGGACACGACCAGGCCAACGGACGACAGGCGACGATGACTGACTGAGATGTCAGAGCCGCTTTCGCCGTCCTGTGTCTATACCTCAAGCATTCCTACCATAGCTGACAGGCTGCCACTTGAGCTAGCCGGTTTGAATCAATCAACCTCTCTCAGCCCCTGTTGCTCCGAGTTTCCTGTGAGCAAGCTTTCCTAGAATGTTGCGTTGGTAGGCCAGGCGTGTTAGCGCCTTGAGACCTCTCGCCTAGGCCTATTTGTTCAGCCTCAGCCACACTCTACAGCGCTTTCGCAATCAGTAATGTGCATTCGTCTGGCTGTGCCCGAGTAGTAGCCACATCTTGCTCAAGACAACTAAAAACCATTTCTACACTGACGGTATGGCTACCGCGGGCGCAGCGAAACGCGTCGCTCGATCGAACCAGCGCCTGTACCGTGATATGTGCAGTGTACGGTAGGTGGTAAGCGCCTCACGCGCAGCGCATGGTACTTTATTCAAGATGCTACAGTACTTCCAAAATATGGCACAAGAGACGAGCCGCAAAGGTCTTCCCTCTAAGCTTGACGTTCTTGCTGGCGCCCATGGTGCGATGTGGGCAAGTATGCTGCTGCGAGTTTTACTATTCAGATGTCATTTCGAAGGGTCGCAGCTTCGAATGGTTTTCTACACTATGCGGGCAGTTCATGAAAAAGCGGAGATCGCATTGTTGGAAAACCTGTCTCGGACAATCGTGCCAGAGCCTGGTCAGCCTCAATTAATCTCCCGCGCCACAGGGACCGGCGTCACGGTCAGCGAATTCACATACGTTTCTGTTCCGATAAAATGCCCCTCCCCAACATGATTCTCATATAGCTTTCTGTTGCCTATCGACATCTTTGCATATTGACTTTGCAAGTTCAAAAGATGTGTTGCCATCAACATCACTCATGTGTGCCCAACGAGACACGCTGGCCCGATTGTACTGGGTCATGCATGGTCCAGTGCCACGTGCAGCAGGTCTGCATACGCTGCCGTACTGCCTTTCACCCTCACAACATAGACTGGGGTACTTCGATCCCTACGAGCAGCGCACCGGCCAACTCCTCGCAACGCCCTTTTGAACTGCCGGGAAACCAGCCGATGGGCAGCCATCGATGGGCAGCCCAGATATGCCAGTGCTTCATTGGCGCTGCTCACAATCACACGGCACCAGCCCAGAATCCACCGTTGAATTTCCAGGCAAATACTCTCGCGTCGGTGCCTTTCGAAGCATTGCCGCCTGCCCATAACCACACTCCGCCAGCCCGAAACCCACCGGTCGTTTTCCAGTCAAACACTTGCGTGCCACCGCCTTTCGAAACCTTCCCATCTGCCGTCGCAGCTTCGCGTGGATGGGAGCAGTCAATTTCACATGCTGCCAGGGCACCCAGCGGGCGTCCTGGCGACACGAGAAGCCCCCCGGAGGCTGCAGCGAGTACTCAGAGTCAGCAAAGTCGACACACACCGAGCAGAACCCAGCCGTCCTATGACATCAGGCGCAATGGTCGAACAGTCAAGAGGTCCAAAGGAATCAGCTGGTGGCTTTTCACTTGAAACCCAACTCGGACATGCAAGTGCTGCAGAAGGGCGGCACGAGCAGCCTGGAATACCGGTCTCATTGCCGTCGAGAGACCTAGATTGGTATACCCAGCTGGTGCACCTCGATTGCCCTGAGCGCAACACGAGTCTCGACCGACGAAGTATGTACAGCGACACGCGCACCAGAATGGAGAACCGATGTCCTGCGGCCAGTCGACGCAAGCTGTATGGACTGTGCACGAGCTTTAACAACTCGCCAATGCTGATGTATATTATGATGAAAAAATGTTGGGGCGTCCAAAACGTATTGTTATTTACTGTGACGACCGAACTTTGAGCGCTCTCGAGCGATAAGTACAGACATATTAGGATAGTGATGACTGCAGCAGCAGGAAGGAACGCAGGGAGTCGAAGGTGCCAGGCTTGTTACCGTTACATCCCTTCATTTTGCGCGAGCGATCTGAATATACTGCGAACAATCCCTATCTGTTTCAATTAGTACAGCTGCCGCAGCCACATCAGTGCCATGTAAATTTCGATAATTGTTTCCAGTATCGCTGAGACGACGTCAAGAGACGCAATCGCACGACCACTCGCACGTCGTCGCAACATTGGAAGGAGAGAACTTGAACTCCTGGATCCAATTGACAAAGTTCTAGGCTTGGCGAAGGGCTGTCCCGTGACGAAACAAGGCAAGGCAAGCGAGGCTTGGCAACAGCTTTCTCTCTCGTCTGTGATTGTCCCATGTTATTGTACCATCTACATCGCTAGCGTTGGCCGTCAGCTAAATTACATAGGATCTGTGTCACGATAGTCTTATTTCTGATGGTACACGTCGCTCGACAGATTGCCCCCGAGATAGGCCGGACACGAGGGCAGGAAGTTCCTCTCCACGGCTACGACAGCGAATGACATAATTGCTCAGACGATGCTCTTAACTTGCTACTCGCATTTCGAACAGTGCGTGAGGCATTGTGGTGAGCTTGCGAGCAGATCGCGGCATTTCGACGTCCCCGTCGGCCGTAGCGCCGCAAGATCGATCTTGTCACCTGCGGTCATCCCTGTTCAGCCCAAATTCACAGCGACATCTCAGTCCCGCATTCCTTCGCGCGTGCCTTGTGAGACCTCAAGTAACGACATCAGGCCCGCCTGCTATCATTCTCTTAGATCAACAATTCCGCGCGTCGTGCCTCTAAGTAAGGCGTCAGGCAGGCGTTTTCCCGGGCAACCATTACGTTCTTATCCCTTGCTTCGGTGTCTGCCGGTCATGAATACTTATTAATGCTGGCGTTTGGTCATAGCGTTGCCCTCGCAGCGTGGTAGCTGGACTTGGCGCTCAAAGTCTGGACCGTTGGCATGTGCCCGACCTCATATGTATCTCGACGTACTGTTGAGGCTGTCCCAACCCTCACTCAAAGCAGCTAAGTATCAGATTGACGTGCAGCAATAACAAAAACAATAACAACAACACACGAGACTGGCAGTTCTATCCCTTCCCATTCGGTCCAGCGTAGGTATGATGGTGAAGTAGAACACAGGCTGCCGCCTAATGGATGAATAATGGTCATCGTCCTGAAGAAATTCCTTGTTCCGCTGGGTACACTGATTACTGCTCATGCTCACCAAGTACAATCTTCCACAACACTCGAACGTAAGTAGAACAAATTCATTTCCGCATCGTCGACAAGCGCACTCAACATGCCTGCCTTCGACATCGACCGTGGCTGGCAATCACATCCTTGTGGGCAAGGTACCGCGGAGGACTCAACTCCTTCTGGTCGCCCAATACTGAGCCACGGACTAGTCTCCCAAGGTTTGTCTTCCGGCGGAACTGCTCACACGGCAGCGGAGCGCCTCAAGGTCCCTTTGAGCTGTCTGCAGATCATCCAAACAGCAACTCCGGACCATCAAATCCGGAGGCCAAGTATCCTGGTACTGAGACTCTGAGCGAGCGCCAACACCGCCACTTAGACGCTACGACTCCGGGTATCCGTTGCTCAGGAACCTGCGCCTGCCAACATGCCATGTGCTGCATGTCGGTACCCGGAATGTCATCAGTGCTTGAACGTTCTCAACATCAGCCACATAATCTTGGTAGCCCGCATCAGACCAATGTCCCCGCACAGGGGCGAGTTGTTACCACTTCAAACGCTACACGTTGTCAAGGGGCTGAGGACTTGCCGAAGAAGAAGCAGACTAAGCGGAGAAGAACCACGTCGAGCGCGTCAAGGCCCTCCTACGAGGTCGTCGTCAAACGCAAACGCGACGGCCAGGAAGGCCGAAACGTCCCAAAGGCAAATTCCTGCTGCTTCATGTAGCAACAGCTTTCCCGCTAGCACGAATAGGCGCTGAGAAAGCTGCGCGAGGCACAAGACACTTTGGCTTGTCCTGCATGGTGGTGTTGTCTCCAATTGCTGCCGACACCCCCTGTAAGCCCTGGCAGGCACGCACACATGCCAAAGTCAAGCAATCAAGCCGGCAAGATCTTGCACTGCCTTCACCAGGCCTGTCACCACGAACAGAGATGTCACGTCTCCCGCCAGGACCACATCACTCTAGCCGGGTGCACAGGCCGACTGAACATACTGCTGTAATCCGTCTTCGGCACATCCGCATCAGGATCGACCTGCTCCCACTTCACTCGCCGCACCAACGTCGCCACAATCCCCAACAGCTGCGCGTACGCGAACGTCTCGCCCACACACCGATGTCGTCCGGCACCGAAGGGCAGGTATGGCGATGATGCAACCCCGCCTTCTCCGCTCGCTCCACCACTGGCAGCAGCAGCATTGATACGCTCTAGCATTGTTGGGTCATCCCACCTCCTCGGATCCCACTTCAGCGGATCAGGGAAGAACTCAGCCTGTCGACTAGGCACACCGGGCGCGGAGAGAAGGATGTGGCCTTTGGGTACTACCGTGTCGGTGCCGGGAACGGGCATGTCGCGTTTCACCTTGCGCATAATGCTGTGAATCGGACTGTGCAGACGGAGGGTCTCTTTGATGACGTTGTTGTGCAGTTTCAGGTTGGGAATGGCATCGAATGTGAGCACTCGGTCAGGGCCCAGTACGGCGGCCTGTTCAGCGTAGAGCTCTTCGATGAGCTGTGGTTGGTGCGCGAGGTGCAGCATGATCCATGTGCCTGACGCGGCGGTGTTGTGCTGGCCGCCCATGAGGAGGGCGATCATCAGGTTTGCAAGTTCTGGGTCGGACAACGGCGTTCCATCCTTGTAGGTCGCGTGGAGCAAGGCGGAGATCATGTCTGCTTTCTCTTCGTCGTGTTCTGGTTTGGTGGCATTCTCCTGCTCTGTCTCCTGCTCCCGCCGTTTACGAATGATATCCAGATAGAACTGCTGCATGGTCTTTTGCGCACGATCTCGCCTCCAGTTGATGGGTATCGGTAGTCCAGGCAGCATGAAGTTGACGGGCGCAAATCCGTCGTCGAGATGCCTGTATACGGTCGCGAAGCTTGAATCGAACAATGCGCGCACCTCCTTTCCTTGCAGACTGCCCGATGCCGCGTACAGGGAAATCTCCGAAAGCACCGACGAGATGTCGATCGCACCACCATCCGTCTTACCTCTGAACTCGGGACTAGACTCAAGAAACAGCTCCGTCTCCTTCACGAACAGAGGCACCATCTTCCGCATTCTCCCACCCGTGAAACCCTCCTTCAGAAACTTCTTCTGTTCCATAAACCGCTCATTCGGCACATCATACACCACACCCTTGCCGAACACGGGAATAGTCAACGGCCCGTACACTTCCTCCGCATTCAAATCGCGATGCTTCCCATTGAGGATAAAATTGTTGCCATCAGCGCCAAGGTAGACCGTGACTTTCATGCCAAGAAGCGTGAAGGTGAAAATGTCGCCATACTTGGCGCGGCAAGCGAAGAAAAACGCATATGGATCGGCGCCGTAGGAGACTGTACTGCCGATCAAAGGGAAGAGGGAGAAAACCGTGGGTGGTCGCGAGCGATTGGGCAGCAGGATTTGTTGGGCGGTGTGCGCGATCACGCTAATGAGGACGAGCGTGAGCAGGCCGTAGAGGATGGTGCTCAGGGCGACAGCCATCTTCGACCTCCAGGCGTTGCGAAGCAACGAGCTCAAGGAAGTTTGTCTGTCCCTTGTCACCTCAACATCGTTGCATTGAACCGTAAGAGGAGTTTGAAAATAGGAACGGGCAAGGCGTTGAGCGACTTTAGGCGTTCTGCATGCGGTTGCCTTCCGGAATGCCGTATATTCTAGCCTCTAATTCCGGACAAGTCTTAGTTCAACGAGCTGGTCAAAGCCGGGCCAATCATACGACTGGTGTGCCACGCCAACTAGCGCGACAAGGAGACCTGTGAGCATTGCCCTGGCAAACAGTGTTGATACCAGCACTTTGTATGGCCTGCGTCAAGGGAGCGTGGTCTACCTGTCGTTTCAGCGGATCCGTAAGGCCAATTTGCACTGGCCCCAACCTGAAGCCGAACGTTGAGCACCTCCCGGATGCCTAACAGTGCGTGTTCCGCTCAAGCTAAATTCCCAAACGAAAAGACGTCTGTTCTCTCGTGCCTTTGTATATCGCCATGCAGCCACACAGCAAGCAAATGCTGTATCCATATCTGTGCTCGCCAGTGTCTCAAAAACCTGTGATAAAGCCAATGAGACCGGCAGGTCGTGGCCACCACCGATTAGCCCTACACAACTGCTGCCGTTTGCATTGCAGGTAAACTTGTCGTTGGCGCATGCGTGATACACGATATGCGTGTCGTTGCTGAATACCCCTGCGCTAGTCGAAGGACTCGCTGCGGCACGATTGACCGTAATCGTAGCTGCCGTTGGTACTTTGCTATTAGTCACGGTTACAGTGACCGTCGCTGCGGCACGAACGTTCACTGTGCGCTGGACTGTTGTTGTGCTGGTCTCGGTCGTCGTACGGGCCGCAACCGTCGATGTCGCGGTGGTCCGGAACGCTGAGACTCCAGTGAGCGTGGTGTGATGATAGCATGTCACTGCTGGCGCCGGGTCATCGCCCGCCTGTGGGCCCTTCGACCCGCGGCGTAGCAAGAGCCTTCGTATGTGAACGCCATAGACTGCTAGCTGGCGTAGATGCATCTGAAGAAAGCGAGGCTGGGGCGCCGCCTTCGGCAGTTTCGAGTCCTCTGAAACCGGGGTCGTAGTTCTTGGCCTGAACGATGCTGCTGCCAGGGTTCCGGTTTCCTGGGCGGTGTCCGTTTCGGTAACGGCAGTGGGAGACTGGTTCTCCTCGGTAAAACTGACCGTTGCGGTCGGGCGCCACCACCACGCATGGAAGTCTTTCTCGATCGTGACTGTTACGTAGTCTGTCTGTACAGGGGCCGTCACTTCTGTTATGCGAGTACTGGTAATCGAATGCCGCTGATGTACTGTAAGTGTTGAGTGCACCGATGGTCGAGGACTTGTGACACGCGTGTGAGCCGGTGGTCCTGGCGTCCAGCAAACAACATCCTCATCAGTATTGATGATGGTCCCTTGCACGTTCTTCGAACCTGAAATAGCATCGACGTCATGAACCAGAGGCGCTTGCTTGTGATCGCTGCCGCTGGATGCAATAGATAAAGGCGTGCCTGCCGCAAGCAGGACAAGGCCCATGGCGAGCAGGAGTGTTTCCGGCATCATGGCGTAGCTGGCGGTCGTTGCTGTTTTCACTCATAGGCAACAAGCTTATGGGACGTGTACGAAGCCTGCAATGTGCTAGATTGATATCGTGAACAATGGCAATTGTATGTTGACACCGGTCCGCGTGGTGCGCTGGTAAGGGTTTGTTGAGTTTCTGTCAGAATGCGAGCCAGTCGAATTCCAGCCCTTGACTCCAGGCACGATTATAAGCGGCGCAATCTGCCCCTGTCCAGCGATGAGGCTCAGATCAACACGAGATGGCTAGCTAGATGTAGGCGCACAATCTGTGGAGGCTTCAGAGCCTTCCAAGTCAGAGCATTGCTGCATCTGCGGGGCCTGCGCAATCTGTGCTACACGGGCAATTGAGCACACCGCATGACTGCCACCGGCCTGGCCTTGCTCAAGAGTGGCCCACGGGTCGTGTCGCGCTGTGCCTCAAACTCCTTGATCAGGCTATGTCAGCGATGGAGGGTAGCCTAGCTTGCGAGCCGGGGTCGAAGACCGAGCACACCCCATGTTGTAAGGGAATCGCAACGTGGATGAAGATGATCATGCGCTCGCCCAACCTCACGGAGGCAGGAGGCGTTCGCGTCAGCGCGCTGGTACGAGTTGGTCATTCGCGTATCTGTCGGCAGGTGCACAAAAGGAAAGACGGTGGTGGCTGCTGCTGCTGTGATATTGACACCGGACAGGGTTCGGTGTAGAATACGAACCCGCTCGTTCCACTGATTGCCGTCTCCACCCATCGATCTTTCATCAACAACCCAACTCCGTCCTCGTGTCTAGCAGTGACCCCTGCTCGAGCCGTTTCTGAAGCCTGTCCGAGGACATTTTGCCAGCTGAACGATGAGGGCGAAGGATGAGTTCATCGCGAGATGCTTGTCAAGGCCTGTTGATGATGGCTTCCACGACCCAAAGCGACCCACTCACAGAACATGGACAACACATGGTTTCTCACGGGTTCGCAGATTTTGCATTTCGCCATGCACCTTAGCTGTTTCGAAACCAGATCAGAATGTTAGGAAGCAACGGAAAACGTGTCGCGCAGCCGACGGTTGTTCGGGTGTGCCTGCCGCGCTCGATTGAAGACGGCGTTGATAGCTCCACAACCTCACAATACTTGAGACGCAGGAGGGACACGCTATTTGTTCTAGCTGCAGACCTGGGTATAGCAGAAGAAAGAGCACATTGGCATGCAATTTTTAGGCTTGGGAGGTACATTGCTCGCCGACACCAGAGAAGTTTCGCTCCGATCGACGGCATGATACTTCTCACAATTTCACCACAACCTTCGCGCCACTAATCTTCCCACCCGCCAACTCATCCATGCCAGCCTGACAACCCTCCAAACCTTTCCCCTCGCCCACAATCTTCTTCGGCGGCAAGCACTTCAGCCTCCCATCCGCCAGCGCCGCGCCGACCCATTCCCAGACCTTCCCCACCAACTCCTTCTGCGTTTCTAGCGTATACGCGAAGTTCAACTTCACCTCCACTCCATGCTTTGCATACTTCTCCGCGTCGAAGAAGACGCCGGCGATGAACTTCCGGCACTCGAAGCCTGCTTCCTTGTGCTGATGGAGGATCTCGGAGAGCGGGACGATTGTTTCCTCCTTTGAGATACCGTCATACGCTCCTGCCACCTCCGCCTTCGTCTCCTTGAGATACTGAACGATCTGCTCCACCACATCCGCGTCGCCCTGATCAAAACAAACCGCTGCCCCAGCCTCTTTGACCATGGCATGATTCCGCTTGCTCGCCACCCCAACAACGGTATACCCTGCCTGACTCGCCAGTTGCACGCCACAACAGCCCACGCTCGAGCTCGCCGCCCACACGATCAGCGTCTTGCCCGTGCCCGGTTTCTCTGCTGATGCATCGACCTTCGGCAACCCCAGTCCCAAGAGCCCATCCACGAAGAGGCAACTCGCTGCAGTAATCAGGCCCAATGGCAAGACACACGCGTCTTCATACTCCACCCCCTCAGGGATCTTCGCTATCTGGGGAAGCTTGACCACCACGTACTCCTGAAACCCAGCTCGATGGTACACGACTCCTTCCTTACCATCGTCACGTGTATCGAGCGGCGTCGCCGCACCGACGACCCTGTCCCCAACTTCCCAACCTTTGACTCCGGCGCCAACTTCAACGATCTCTCCTGCAACATCGCAGCCAACCACAGCGGGATAGTCCTTGACGAGTATACCAAGGGACTGGATGCCGACGGCAGTTGGGTTGACGGCTGCGGCGCGGTTGCGGATCGTGATTTCGTTGGCTTGGGGGCGGTGGTAGGGGTAGGTGGTGATCTGGAAGGGGTGGGCCTTGGGTTCGGTAATGAGCGCGGCGCGGTTTTGGGGCGTGGTGGACGTCATATCTGGGGGTTTCCTGTGGACTTGTTCTTGGAGAGTGTTAGGCTGGTTTGTCGATCCAGTATTGGATATTGCGCCAATTCAATACTTGCTAGGATTGGCGATGACATGCGCTGGTCTCGCTTGCAATCACCTACCTCAACCTCCACATATGTTGGGAGGTGGCATCCTTAAATACATCACGACCTCACTGGCCCTACTTGAACACATAGAAGGCATGCCCGGAAATGAGGTCTGCTAAAGTCCATCACAATGGGCAGTGCCATTCTTGAAGATATGTGGTAGCTCTTTGATCGGTTGCGATCTGCGAAAGGGCAAGTTCAACACTTGTACCTGCATGCCAGTGCTTGTAGCCGTGCGGTGGAGTCATCTCGGTGATGCGTATCGGCAGCTCTAGTTCCAACAACGATACGACTTCGAGCTAGACCAGAGCCTGATCTGGAAGCAAGCACGGTGTAGATTGGAAGTGTGAGCCAGGAGCAATGGAGTTTAGCCAAGGATCAGCGTTTGAGGTTGCCTTATCGCCGAGCCGTGCCTCTATATCGTTGCCAGGTCTGAGCATCGTCGATCTAGCGAGACCTTCTAAGCACAGGAATGCAGAAACAGTCTGTCGACTGCTGTGCAGTTGTGTACTAACAAAACGTATGTATCGCTCCACGGCCGTATATGCAAAATGCCAGAAAAATGCTACAATGGTACCTTCCCAACTCCGGACCACCCGCCATCCCCCATCCAAGGTCCACCTATCTATGCCCGAACACATCCATAACATCCACGTCCCCATCATCATTGTCGTCGTCGTCGTCATCCTCCATAGCCTCGTCACTATCGTCATCACTCTCCTCACTGTCCTCCATCGCGCCGTCTCGTGTAACGCCCTCGTTGCTGCGCGGACTAGCCGCACCCCAGAAGTCCATCTCCTCGTCCTCATCGTCCACTCCTGGCGTGGCTCGTCCGACAGAACTGATGCGCCGTGCAAACTCGGCGCCTGCTGCGGCTGCCATGGCCGCAGCACTGCTCATGGCTGCACTGGCTGTAGTGCCCATTGTCGTCGGCGTGGAAGATCGTTGGGACTGAGTCTCGCCCGTGCCAAAGTAGCTGCTTACGACAGGCGAAGGTGAGCGAGCGGAGCGGGAGCTTGGAGAGTGCGGCATTAGCATGGGGACTGGACTTGGGGAGAGGTGGCGACTGGTGCGGTGGTCGCTGCATTGTTGATCGATGCTGTCGAGGGGCGTGCTTGCGCCGGGACTGGGCGCCGAGGTGAAAGGGTGTCTGATATAGGGTACGGCGGCTGCTGATCTAGATCAGTGACTGGCGTGTGCGTCTGACTTGCCGTCATGGAGCTTTCCGCCAGTCCTGCCTCGTTTAGGTGAGTCTGTGCCTGCTCTTGGATCTGCAACTGTACCGTCGAAGCCTCGCCGACCATCTCAAGCTGGACTGTGTTGAAGCTATCGCAGAAGATACACTTCGTTCCAAGCCAGTGATAAGTCGAAGCGCCTTTATTCAGACAGTCATTGCAGAAGACGTAAGCCTTCTTGTTGGCATACTCTGGCGGCATAGGCTGACTTTCGATATGGCGTTCCAATCGCTGGAACTGCGACGCCATATTTTCGACCGATTTCGAGCAGATCGGGCATTTGTACGTAATCGCGCACAGCTCCTTGAAGCAGCTAGTGTGAATGCTGTGTCCGCATCTCATGAAAGAGATGGGCGATGTGCTGTCGAAGAGATACTCGCCGCATATTGGACAGTCACACTTCGTGGAATGCTCAATACAGCGATGCTCATCCTGGAAACGAATGCTCATGCAGGCCGCGCAAGTCTTGCAGTGGAAGTAGTCCTTGCCGATACCTTGGCCGACCCGACACAGACCGCAGTCGTTGCAATGATAGATCGACTTCCGAGGGTCGTTGTTCCACAGCTTGCATATCGCACAGTAGTAATACGCTGCGTCCTCGCCACAAGCATTACATGTCTGAGATACGGCTTGAGGTGTCTGACACAGCATACAAAGCATGAACTTCGTGTCGCGCCGAGGCAGGACATGGTTTTCGGCTGCATCGTGGCAAAGGCGGCAGGCGTACCATTTATTGCATGTGAAGCATTGCATCTTCACATTCCTGCGATAGTGGCTGCATCCGAGAGACCGCTCAGTGATGCCAGCCTCGATTTCTTCCTCGTTAAGCGGAGCGTAGGAAGGCTGCAGATCTCGCTCGGTCAGCCTGAATGCGAACTGCTCTTGAGTAGTTGTGTTCGAAGCTTGATACTCAGTTGGTGCACGTGACCGAGCAGGTCGTTTGTCTTTCTGCATGGCCTTGTGCCTCTCGTTCATCAGGACATGGATCAGCTGGGACTTCTCCATTGGCGTGCCTGGCCCAGTCCAAATGGCATTTATGCGTTGTCTGACGGGGCCCATGCCATCGTCTTCAGGCAGCGTGTCGGACCCATCTCGTCTCCTGACATAGCCATCCTCCATATACACGTCCGATGAACCCTGGTCGGGCTGTGGTTGTGATGTTTGTGTGAAGTTTGAGACCGCCAACGGATCTGACTGCGAATGCTCTCGGCTGGGGTCTGAGAACATTCTTGAGCGGTTGACCAGCCGCCGCGCTGGGTTCAGGGACGTCTCCGAATTTGCTCTCACATCCTCTAGTCTAGCTGGCCTGGCTGGGGTAGTCTCGGTTTCTAAGGGTGGAAATTCCGTGGTGGTCGCATCTCGCGGCGTGGGCTGCGGAGAATCGAGTAAAGGTTCTAGGGGCGGCGAGAAGGGATCGCTATTGAGTTGCTGTGTCCACAGCTGTATAGTGCGTGCGAGTGCCTGTACTGTGGACTCGCTGCCTACTGCTTCTGCTGAGTCTGGTGGTGGCGAAGTGTTGTTCCAAAATCTGGCGGTCCAGGCGCTGAAGTCGGGGACTTGAGGAAATGGCGGCAGCTGGAATGGCCCAAGGGAGGGCGACGACTCGGAGAAGCGACGGGCCTGATCACGTAGTCGTGGAAAGAAATTAGGAAGGTATTCCTGGTAGTTACTCATCGAGAGGCCACCATCCCATTAAAGAGAAGGCGTATGGAAGAATGCTCAGAGCGAATGCGATGCGGTCAGATCGATCTACTGGCCAAGGTCGGAAAGTCTAAGAATGCGAATGAAAGCAGAAGTCAAGTTTGAGTGTGCAAAAGCTGGGGAAGCACGGGGAAAACGTGCATGCGACATGAGGTCTGTCTTGCGTCGAACCGGTGCCTGTGACGTGGGCGCTGACAAAAATCTGGATCATGTGAAGATTTACAAGGCTACGCGAGGCTCTGAAGATCGACAACAGACAGACTACCTACATGCTGTGCTTCCTGTTCTTGCTCCCTTCAGTGCATATATGGTCCTCGAAGTCAATGACAATAGGCAGAACCGGACGCTGACTCATGCCATGTACAGTGAACACTCCGATTCACCGAGCATATCATCTCGGCCAGCGCCGGGCCTTCGCCTTGACGAGAATGATATAAATATTCGCCTTGACTCCCACTTCTTCCTTTCACGAGACCAGCAGAAGCACCCAGAAGACTGGTTCAACTGTCATGCTATGGTAGCTTTCGCTGCTACTGTGTGGGACGAGATTGATTGATCACTTGTCATGGTCACAGGTGCTGACGAAACACCGTACTGTACATCTCCCTTGAGGAGCATGCTGTTCTATGATACTGTTTCGTTACCTAACTTGCACATGCAGTGCCACACTGTATGACATGCACCATATGATACAGATATTGCAGCCATACACATATCAGTATAGTCAACGCGGTGGCCATCGCGATGCTGACGAGTCTCACTACTTTCAGCTGGGATCCTGATCTTAACGCAGAACCCATCGCTTATCGGCTTCCTTCGCACCCTCCTCACTGCCACAGCATCCAGTGTGCCCTTGATCGAGTCTTTGCTGCAGCTCGGGAACTTCTTCTTCAGGATCTCGACTATTGCAATCTTGTTCAGATCGCTACCCTGCACCTCCAGCTTGAAGGCTGCCAGCTGGTCGTCTGGGATCATCTTGAATGCTTTGGCAGGCTTAGTGACGGCACGGGCCTTGGGCGTCGGTTGTGGTTGAGGACTTGCAGCAAGTCCTGGCTTATTTGGGTCATTCTTGGGCGTCATGAGTGTCTTGAAAGGGGTAGTCGTGTTTGTGACATCGGAGAGAGGCAGTCGAGGTGGCTGCATGGTAGAGGCGACTGTCGGTGATTCGGCTCGCTTTCTCTGCACATTGGGCGGGATGCTCCAATGTGACGTGGAATATGGATCGATAGGCAACCGCTGATCATCGTGCATGAGCTGTAGTCGATGCTCGTCCAGGTTGACTTTGCCAACCACAAGTTCTGTGTCGCCTTCCCAGCAGAGACCTGTTGAGATAGGCTCATTGTCGCCAGTGGCAATGGCTCGCTTGCCCACATCGTTCTCGTCATCCAGGAAAGCATCCATATCATCTGCATCATCATCGCCTTCGGACTCGTCGTCTGTGTCATCTAGATTCTCGTCCTCAGGCTCCGGCTCTTCCCATTCGGCCTCACTGTCATAGTCGTAGTCTACCTCCGGGAGGCCACGATACGTCGGGACGCGGGAGATCTTGCGGGCTGTTCGTGGACTGACCGGTCTCGTCCAAGTTCCCTGGTACGATGGCCTAATGTCTTCTTTGAACTCCAGCGTCTTGAATACAGCCTGCTTGATAGCCAAGGAAGCATCCGTGGTCTCTGATGTGAGGTCAATCGGAGCATCAGCAGACCCATTGGCCAGAGAGATCAGTTCTTTGATCGGTACTGGTGTGAAGGTACGCGCTTTCAGGGGCTTGAACAATGATCTAGGATCGACTGCCAGCTCAGTTTGCTGTTGAACCAGATCCAGATTTGTGCCCTCTGGACGGGGCTGACGCAGAAAGCGATTGATCGGTGCAACGGTCGAATGAGAAAAGGGCTCGAAGGGAAGAAAGTAGGCGTCCGTCTTGATCTTCATTTGAAACCCTTTGGTGTCGACCGCAGGTTTGATCATGTCGATGGAGCCGATTGAAGATCTTCGACTGCTCACACCGACTGAGCCGTCTTCTGCTGTTCTGGCTGGCGATGTGGCACGGGCAGGCATGCCGAAGAAGGCACCCAGGCGCATTTGTGACTGTTCATGTCAGTATGAGTTGTAACGGTCTTGGGTGCAGGACTCACTCGATCTTTCTTGGTCTTCTCTTCCTCCCTCTTGGCCTTCTCTGCCGCCTTTTCAGCCTCTCTCTGAGCCTTCTCAGCGTCCTTCGCGGCCTTCTCCTCTTCACGGGCCTTCTTCTTCTCTGCTTTCTCAGCTTCTTGTCTGGCCTTCTCGACCTCCTTGAGTCGCTTCGCTTCTTCTCGTTCTTCGGCCTTCTTCTTCTTTTCTTCGTCCCTCAATCGCTTCTCCTCGTCCTTCTTGGCCTTCTCATCAGCCTTGATCTTCGCTTTGTCTTCCTTAATGACACGTGCAATGGCGTCCTCGACCTGCTTCTCGGCGAAAGTCAACTGGGGCTTTTTCGCCGGCGGTTGGCTCGAGGATACGGCGGGTGTCGCAGCCATCTGGGACATGGTAGGGATCGGTTGAGGTGTTGATGCTGTGAGCTCGCTCAGGGACGAATCTGAGCCGACAGACATGGGCGATGCTGGTCGATGGTGATCAGTTGATGGAGGTCCTCGCGGACTCGACGCGGAAGTGTGGTCAACTGGTAGGCCATCGTATGTCCTCTTCACACCGGGTGAAAAGTGTGGTGCTGTCATGGCTTCCATCATGACTGCTGTATGCCCGCTGCGGCACCGCTGCTTGAGAATTCGGCTCAGCAGTCGGATCCAGCACCAGCGTCGGTATTCTTACACTGTACTCGAGAGATATACAGGGGTGCTGAGGCGAGCGATCATGTAGGTACAAAGTGGATTGAACGAATCGCGAAGAATTAAAGTCGGGGAAGGAGCGCGTCAGGACGCGTCGGGCTTGGCCTTAAATGTGGGGAAGGACAGACCCTTCTACAGCTTGCAGGTGCCTCAGGCTCACTTGCCTTCAGCATATACAATTCTTTGTTCTACTGAACGTCTATACCGTAATTTGAGCAATTCGACATGTGGCTAACAATGAGTCATCTGTCACCTGAAGCACGAAAGTATGCGTCGCAGTGCTCTGGGCCGTGGACCTGGGCCTACCTCCAACTTCGTGACGGTCTCCTTCTCTGACTTCCGCTCACCCTCACCGTCGAATGCAGTCGATGATGTTGTATCTTCACGGCCATCCTCATAGCTTAGACTATCAGCTTCTCGGTTGACGAAAGTCTCGCGTAGCCATTTCGTCAGTGCTTCCACGTCTTCCGTGCTACTCATGGCGCCGAAGCTCACTCGTATGATGCCGACAGCTCCATAGAAGCCGGGCGGTGCTCTCGAGTCGTCCGAGCACTTGATACCTCGTGCGTAGAAATCTCTCATTTGTTTTGCAGTGATATCCAGATATTTGGCAACGCCGCCTGGGTTGCACATCCCGCCTTTTCGCAGGTGGATTTTCGCATCGATCGCCGATAGCTCGACATCAGACGCACGAAAATGATGACCGGCAGCGTCCAGGACACTGAAGGCGATGACCGGTCCCTGCGATTCGGGTTCGGACGACCAATACACTCGCACGACTGGCGCGCCTGTCTTATGCCGCAGAGCCAGCATCTGCTCCCGTGCTGAGTTCGTAATACAACGCACATGACGTGTTATGTTCTGCATCGATCCATAGATGCGTGTGTGAACGTCCAAGGCGTGGCCAAGGACAAGAATGTTGTGGAATGGAATCGTGCCTTCCTCAAGTGCTTCATGGACATTCGAGTGCCGTATGTGGTAGGGGTCGGAGCCGGGAATGACAAGATCGACAGTCCCGCCAGCAAAATATCTCTTCGCCAGCAGTATATCAGCGGCGGGACCCTTCTTCACGAGTAGCGCTCCTAGGTCTGGCAATCCGAAAATCTTGTAGAAGGACAACGAGATGTAGTCATGCCTATAGCATGACTTTGCCAGATCGACAGGAGCCGTCGAAGCCAAGGCTGCGGCGTCAAGAAGTGAGTACACTGATCTGCCGCGACTCTGCTCATGCTTCACCTTTTGACAGACGGCTGTGAGGAGTGCATTATCACGCACACCGCTCAGATTCGATTGGCCAGGCAGGGCGATGAGCTTGGGCCTTTCGGGTCGTCGTCGAAGGTGGCTGAAACGTATTCTGCTCCGCAACCAGTCGTCGAATGTCTGTGTATCCTTGACGACTTGTGAGTGTTGCGCAACTTGCCTCAGTCCGACAACACTGTTGTGGCATTCTTCATGGTAGCCTAGGTCGAAGCCAGATGGCTGGTCGCGAAATGCTTCCCCAACAAGCTTGATTGCGGCGGTCGCGTTGGCCACAAATACAACGTCCCACTCGTTAGCGGACCCATTGAAAAACTGGAGCACTCTTCTCCGTATGTCTTCCACGCGACAGGAGGTGAGCTGGGACGAAGCTGCGCCAGAGTGAGGATTGCCGAAGAGGTTGGTTTTGAGGTCGCTGGAGCAGGCATCAATGAGCGACTGGGCATACAAGGTCGTGCCGGAGTGATCGAGATATGTAATACCTGGGGTTGAGGTCAGAAGTCCGCTTGTAAAATCCCGAATTGCAGTGCACTTGCCTTCAAGCTGTGGATACTCTCGCCAGCGGATGTCTGAGATATTGATGAAGTATCCGCTCACGGGATCGATCTTAACAGCTGTCGCTTCGCAATCATACTCGATCAGTGGGCTAGGTCTGTCGTTGACGTTGAACATGACTGACGTCCAGCATGTTCACCTGTGTCCCGATAACCTGGTCGAGGATGTACGTCGCTCGTCACACGTGGGAAACACAGATGCTGACGATAAGCGAGGTCAGGGAAAGTCTTGTTGTGGTATATCGGGTTGCCAATATTCGGCCCCGTCATGGCAGAGACAGTGCCACATGCGTAGCACACATCTTCTGCTGGATTGATTGGCGTCAGACCTGGCTCGCGCAGATGGCCAAATGACAGGCACTTCCGTTATTAGACGATGTGGATGCACGAACACCTACCTTGATAGGGGACAGGCATCAGTTCTGGATGCATCATGATGTCGAAGCTGTCGGTGTCAGAGGCCCAAGGCTGGCGCATATTGCATATTTCTTACACACGCGAGACCTAGCTTGGGGCCACGAACCACACATGTTGTCGATGTGATTTAAGCGAGTTTTCAGGCCCGCTTGTGTGGTCGATTTGGCCCCTGTTCGTACATGAATTGATCGTAGCCGACTCGTGTGAGGCTGAAATGCTGTGCGGCCAACACGAGCGTGAATGCAAGCTCTGTGACTTGTTTACCCATCTCGTTGGAGATGTGATGAATAGACCAAGCCACTCAAGCAATATACACTCCTCGCTGAATTGCTCAAAGGTAATTACCAGTGACAGCAAATGAGTTCTGGCAGATCTGTCGGAGGCCCAATTTCGCGTTGTCTCGTACCCACGGGCGAGCCGACAGGAACGAAAGTACACCCCCTACCCATCATGCTGCAGAACGCGGGGTCGGAGTGGGCAACTAATCAGCATCACCGATGTTACCACAGCGCAAACACGAATGCTCCTCGATAGAGCACGCCAATAGCAAGTGTGAAATGTTTGAGATAGTAGACCGGCAGCTGAAGGCTTCGAAGCCACCCACTGGTCGAAAGGGTCGACGTGAACCACCGTAGATGTTCTGCGGCGTACGCCACGGCCAATGTGCTTCAAATTTCGGAATCTGTACTTCTTTTTGGCTCTGTCGATCGAGCATACGCGCATGCAAAAGATGACCTGGTTTATTACACAGTGAAAGCTCTGCATTCGCACTCGGCGTGCTTTCGCTCTGATTGCCAACTTCATTGCCAACATGTCACCACGACTGCGGCTGCGTCCGCTCGCACGGGCCTTGGAAGCCTCGTCAACCTCTTCCAGCAGATACGTCTGCGCACGATGCAGCTACGCAACAGCCACAGCGACAGTACCAGCACCATCGCAAGATCAGCTTACGTCGGGAATGCCGCAGCTATCTCGCCATCACCCTCTTCAGCCACCCTCACACCGCGATCCGAAGTACCGGAAAGCTCAGATGCTCCGATCATACGTATCATTACTACAGACCACACCTTTGATGCTCTTCTTTCAGCACAACAATCTAAAAGCAATGGAGTGGGCATCCATCCGGAGAGAGCTCGCCCGGGCGCTAGAAGCGGCAGACAAGTCGTTGCCGGACCACGCAGATCTTGCCGACTCAATCAAGCTACAAGTCATACAGACCAAAATGTTTGAGCCGGCGTTGCGAATAACAGAACACTTCGATCCGTCAGACTCAGTACCGGAGGAGTTGAAGGCGGCCTCCTTCGCTCGACCTCGAGACGATCCAACGTTGACACATGTTCTGTCGTCTCGCGCCTACAATGCAGCCAAGGCGAGGGATGAGAGACATGAATTGGCAACACTGTTACAGGGGTCGATAGCCGTCTTGACTCTTCCGATAGTTTCGCCGCAACATCTAGCAGCTGCGATGCGGATACTCGCGCCAAACAAGCCAGCGTTTCCCGCACCAACACGCCGGTCCACTCCGTCGTACTACGAGCCGGCGGTACAGGACGGTCTGCGGAAATTGCTGTTACTTGGCGCGAGAGTGGAAGGTAAAGTGTTCGACCAGGACGGCGTGCGATGGATCGGCGGAATCGATGGCGGTCTCGAAGGCTTGCGGGCTCAGCTGGTTAGTCTGCTGCAAATGGCTGGCGTGGGCTTGACTGGTGCTCTGGAAGGACTGGGCAAAAATCTGTGGATGACCTTGGAGAGCAGGAGGCAAGACATGGAGGAGAAAGCCGGCGAGGGAGCGAAGTAAGAAGAGGCGAAGCCAGATGTATGATAAGCACGTGGCTTCTTGCCGCATCAAGCAATTTGGACGAATTCTGTGTCTACTTCACAACATACCACATTCATTGGAACCCGAATTCGTCCCTCTCATGTCGTACTGATCAAAATCTTAGCATATCTCTCTGCATGGGCGCATGGTGCGTGGGTCGTGCTTCTATGTGTGTATCTTACGCCTTCGCGTTCGCGTACCTGGCATGACCCCACGCCGTCGGTCCTGATTGGCGAGCGGGCAGAACTTGAATATACGCCTTCTCGCGTACCTGCCCTGATGTTGCCTCCTATTGCGTACGGTTTCATAGAGTATACGACGAGCGTACGCCACAGGCGACAGGCGACTACTCTGTCGCTCCATGCCAGCGAACCGTAGCGACGGTGCAGTAGGTAGCAGAGGCTGAGTCTTGTTTTCCGCCGTAGATCGCCCACAAAATTTTCTTACATTTATATTCCCACCTGTTCTGTGCAAACCACCACGCCTTCAACCTTGACGATAGCCACCATCACATACTTTCTCTATCACGGGCATTCCTGAACCACCACGAAGCAAGCTGTACACTATTCACGATGGGCGACATACCTCCACCCTCCCCCACCAGTTCAGCAACTCATCAGCAGCATGCCCACCTCAGAGCAACCCTCCCCGTCCCCAACCCAACAACATCCCATTGGCAGACCCCGGAACACCGCCTCGCCCGCCACCGCACCACGCCCAACCTTCCGACTGAAGCAGACATAGTCGTCATCGGCAGCGGAATCACCGCCGCCTTCTTCGCCCTCCACATGCTCATCGCCGACCCCTCTCCAGCGTTTAACAATATGGTCGTCCTCGAAGCACGCACCATGTGTTCTGGCGCTACAGGTCGGAACGGTGGGCATTTGGTGGTTGATGGCTCTGCGAGAAAGGAGCGGCGGGAGTGGGAGGAGAGGGTGTGGGATATGGTCGCGGAGATTGCTGTGCGGGGCGGGAGTAGGATTGAGTGTGAGTGGAGGGAGGTGAGGAACGCTACAGGATGGTGGGGCTGGGATCGGGAAGGATGGGAGGGGGTGAAGAGGCGAGTCAAGCGGGACCGGGAGGTGTATGGGGAGAATTACCGGGTGGTGGAGGATGAAGACGAGCTGAAGGGCCTGGATCTCAAAGGATCGATGGGCGCGGTGGTTAGTGGGTGGGGACGAGCGGCGACGCTGTGTCCTTATGCGCTTGTTTGTGGGATCTGGGAAGGCTTGATCACGCGTTCGATGACGGACGGCCGTCGCCGTTGAATCTACAGATGGAGACGCCTGTTGTTGGCATTGAGCGCGATGAAGCGGCTGGGGTGAATGTTGTGAAGACGAAGGATAGGGGCGAGATCCGCGCGAAGCACGTTGTAGTGGCGACGAACGGGTATGTCAGCCAACTACTCGAGCGGTTCACAGGCCTGGTGGTGCCGACGCAGGGGCAGATGACAGCGTTGAAACCGGTTGAGGAGGGAAGACTGCTCAAGCATGATTATGGGCTTGAAGGTCTAAAGGGCCAGTCAGGCCTTATCGAGGACTACGCGGTGCAGAGGCCTTGGGATAAAGTTGGACAGGGTGCGATCATGCACGGTGGCGCGAGGCAGTGGGTCAAAGGTGGTGGCGAGGGTGTATCAGATGATAGCTACAATGTTGATGAGGCGGTCGAGTGGCTGAGGGACTTGCCGCAGAGGATCGATGTGGGAACTCACGCGTCTCAGCTCGAGTTGCTGAAGGCGTGGACGGGCGTTATGGGATATTCGAGGGATGGGGCGCCCTGGGTGGGTGCGATGCCGGGCATGGAAGGGGTCTGGGTATCTGCTGGGTATACAGGTCATGGTATGACGAATGCGCCAGGATGTGGAAGGCATCTGGGCATATTGGTCTCTGCTGCCTTGAGAGGGCAGGATTGGAGGGAAGCGGAAAGAAAGTCGATTGCGGAAGGAACCATGCTGCAGGAATTCGTGCTGTCTGAGGAGAGGATAGCCAAGGCTGGGCTGCTGTAGAGGAAGGAGCAGCAATCCACAGGAGAGCCTCCTGGGCTGCAACCTATACGATTCGTATGAGTTTAGCAGAACCACATAGGAGATAGGTCGCAATGATGCCACGAGGCTACACGATAGTAGTAAAAGCTATAACATTACCGAGCACTGATCAATAATCAGTAAATCCCAACCGTGAACATCACAAACCGCGACTTCCTTTGTATATTTCCTCGATGCGCGCCTACCTTGCGTTTCTTGCTGTGCAAGTGTGCTTCACCAGTTGCCCAGGTGTGCTTGCTCGGTCTCATCCACATACTTTCGACGAAATGAGGCATCTTCCAGCGACAACAACTCCAACTCTCCACATCTAGGGCACTTGCATATCTAGTACCTTTGGGCACCGAGACTCGCCGAAAAGTCCGAACATATCGAGGTCGTCCGCCAATGAGGACAGCATGGACTCTTTGCGCACCTCGGTCGACGTCGTGAAAGCATGTAATTGATGCCCCAGACTCGACGATAACTGCTGGCCAAAATGGCGATGGAAATGAACATTCGGTGTCGCAAGATCAAATCGTGGTTGAGGACCAATGAGCACTAAGCAGACTGCTCATGCACCTCGGTCGTCCTCTTGGTGAGACAAAGATGGTGCCCCAGGTCCAGTGATGCCCTCGCTGGCCAAGGCATCGAAACGAAGCTTTGTTACTCGGTGTCGCCAGAACTCGGACGCGCCATGATTCATTTCCCCAGATCCTCGGTTCACGATCCCTCGAGCCTCAATGCATTTTTTGCGCATTGTGCATTCCCGGGGTTCGTGTTTCAATAACGAGTCTAGGAACGCCTACCTCGGCACCTCCGCGCAAATATCGATCTCGCTGGTCAGACGCAGCCATGCTAGGCAAGGGATGAGTTGTCTAACTTGAAGTAAGTTGCTGCGGCTGCATAGCCAAGATAAGTCACTGCAACGTCCCTGGACCATGGCAATGTGGCATGGCAACCAAACCAGTTCAGGCACTCTTTCTACATCGCTATGGAACTGCCGGTGGATGGCGACTACTTCCGGTGGATGGTGACTGGCTGCAGATGTGCATCAAATCGAAGATGAGGTTCTGGCCAAGTCTTCATTTGCCACTTTTCGTCCATCCGCAGCGGTCCGTTGTCTCGATCTGGATCACAATTTCACAACTGACAGGTTTCTGCAGTGCTGGTTGCGAGTCAAGTCGGCACTCCGCGCGAGCGCAGAAGCATCAACTGTGCAATTCGTTGCAGTTCACGCCTAAAGATTGGTTCCGAGCAGTACAGGCTCTGTGTAAGCTTCATTGAGGCTCAACTCCAATGTTCTTGTCCAAAGCTTGCGGACTCTTGATTCTCGACACGCAGAAGTCTTTTCAAAGAAGCTCAAGAAGCTCACGAAGCTCACGAAGCTCATACACTGCTGAGTCTTCGTGCGCCTTGAGGCGTTGCTTGAATTGTCACAACCTTTTGGTTGTGGGTGTTATGCAGAAGCCTAGATGCTTCGAAATCGGCTTGATATGGCCATCAAGCCGAGCCACCAAACCTTGGGGCGTGAGGGGCGGCAACCTTACCCCAGATCCTATCTCCTCCGCCGAATCGACGAACAAAATCTCGTCCGGGGGATTACTAGAAACCCCAAAGCAACGGTCCCGCCACGCTAAATCATTCACGCAGCTGATGCTCACCAATCGCTCCGGCCTTTCCTTTCAGCTCTTTCGGCTGCCTAGAGCGAGCCAAATCGATACGTCGAGAACTTACTTTCTGTAACCGCAACTTACAGCACGAGCCATGTGCTTGATAACACGAGCTCTGCCAGAGTTTTGTGGGATGGATCATCAGACTATCTTTCTAGCTCATACACTGCATCCCTCATAGGTCGATGACGGCGTCTGATCCCCGCTCGACAAGACTTCATCTGGGCCCGAAGTCTTGTTTCCCAGGGTTTGTCTCTGGGGTTGAATGATGACTAGCCCTGGTCACCTCGAAGCGAGACCAGACTAGAGCGCCAGACGATATTGCTATATCCTCTCTACTTCTGCCTCGGTCACTTCAAAGGCTCTGTCACTTCTTCGACATCTCTTCGCTCGAGTCGTTGTCCTTCTCCCACAGCTCTGTGACTTCGCAGACTACTGCCCATCATGTCGGACAAAGAACAGCAGTACGACACCGTCGAGCAGCTCAGCAAGTCCCCCACTTCAGACTCCGACCGCCTCAATGAAGATCGCATCAACCGCTTCAGCCCGGAGGAGCAGAAAAAGATCATTCGCCGCATTGATCGACGACTCGTCCTCACCCTGGGCTTCCTCTACTGCGTCTCGCTGATGGACCGCACCAACTTGGGTAAGCAATGCTGTGTAGTACCTCATGTTGGCACAGAACACTGACTCCCCTACAGGTATCGCCAGTGTAGCAGGAATGGGTGTCGATTTGGCCCTCATCGGCGAACGCTACAACATTATCGTCTTGCTTTTCTTTATCACCTACGTTCTCCTGCAGCCACCTGCTACGGTTGTCCTTCGCAAACTTGGTCCCCGCGCTTTCCTGCCAACCATCACTGTGCTCTGGGGCGTCACCATGATCTGCTTTGGGTTCGTCAAGGTTTGGACCGATATGATTCCGCTCAGGCTTGTGCTCGGTATCTTCGAGGCTGGTTTCTTTCCCGGATGCGCGTGAGTATCAGAACCATCCAATGTTAACGATTATTGCTGATGCTTGCTTGTACAGTTATTTGCTATCATGCTGGTATCCAAGATATGAGCTCCAGAAGCGTAACGCTGTCTTCTACCTCATCGGGTCCATGGCGTCGGCCTTCGCTGGTATCCTTGCCTACGGACTATCTCAACTCAAGAACCACGGCTCGGGCCCATCTTGGTGGGGTGGAATCTACAGCTACCCTACCGCAAAGAATCCCGATCTTCCCTTCCTGCGCCACGGAGGTATTGCTGGCTGGAGGTGGATCTTCATCTTGGAAGGTGTCCTGACCTGTGTCTTGGGCATCGGAGCCTATTTCATCATTGTCGACTTTCCGGAGAAGGCAACGGCCACCTTCGGCCTCAAGTTCCTGAATCAAGAGGAGGTCGACTTTGTCGTCGCACGGATCGAGAAAGATCGTCACGATGTCCTTCCCGAGGAGTATGCACTCAATATGCTTCTGCATCTTGCAGCCTACCGAGCCATTTGCTGACAACTCGTCCAGGTTTAAGGTGGGAAAGTACCTCAAGAACGCGCTCGATCTCAAGGTCTGGGCCTTCGCTTCACTCTTCGGCCTGACCACGACCTGCACCTACGCCATCGCCTACTTCCTGCCCATCATTCTGAACGAGGGCATGGGTTTCAATGTTGCTGCCAGCCAGTGCCTTGTCGCACCACCCTACGTCCTTGCCGCCATCGTCATGTACGCATTCGCCTACCTCGGTGACAAGTGGCACTTGCGAAGCCCGTTCATTTTGTTTAATGCATGCCTGGGCCTCCTCGGTCTCGGCCTGTTGGGCTACGTCAAGAACGTCGGCGTCCGCTACGTGAGTTCCCTTGCCCGTCTTCACCCTAAAACATCAACTCTGAATACTGACGGGCCCGTTCACAGTTCGGCGTTTTCCTTGCTACCTCTGCCTGCAACGCCAACGTCCCCTGCGTCTTGACTTGGCAAGCCAACAACATTCGCGGTCAATGGAAGCGTGCCCTCTGCTCTGCGACCCTTGTCGGCTTCGGAGGCATCGGCGGTATCATCGGCGGCACAGTCTTCCGCGCCAAGGACAAGCCACACTACGAGCCCGGTATCTGGACATGCATGATTGCTTTCTCGCTCATCATTGTCATTACGCTAGCTTTGCAATTCAAGTTCATCCGTGCGAATAAGCGCGCCGAGGCGGGTGGAAAGCCAATTGAGGGCTTGGTCGGGTTCAAGTATACATTGTGAGATGGTCACGACCGTGAGAGGACCACCAAACGTTGCCATGGGGCTATGATGACAGCCAGTGCCTGAGAAACGAGGTATGAATGCGGCCCCGTGGTGCATACTGTCATCGACAGGTCTGGCTTTACTACATGGCTATTGACCCATGTTGGAATGTCAGATTGTTGAAGTCAAGAATGAATTAAATTTGAAATGCTACCGAACACACCTTGCGATGTCAGTTCTACAGATTATGTTTGTGAATCTGCGATGTGTCGGTGATTAGTTCTGTGCTCTGACCATGTGCTGATCAGAATTTTTGCTCCTGACTCTAGAATGGCTTCGATCTTATGCAGAAGCTGAAGACTTGAAAGCTGAAAGCCGACCTCGGCGCTGACACGAGCGGCACGAGCCACCGCCGCCAGACAGCCACGTGGGCTTTTCTGCGTATGAGAAATTTCTAGCAATGCCTGCATTGAGGTAGCTGCAGCTCGTTTCAGCTGTATAAACATGAAAGTCGAGACGGACCAGCAGAACCAAGATCCAACGGTGGTCGAATCTGGATAGGTTTTCGAAGTATTGGGCATCAAGGTGCTGACACGACAACCATGATCCCGAGATGACGGACCTCTACGCCATGGTCGCCGCATATTATGCATATGTCGTGTAGAGTGCTGACATCGAGCCGCCCTATCAATGACTTTCGCCTTCATCCGGAAGGTAGCAGTCCCAACGTTTCGGACCAGTGTTTCGTATTCGTTCGGGGCGGGCCTTGGACTCCTTGGGTTCCTGGAGGCGTATCAAGGGCTCATTAATGCCAGTGTGTCTCGCCAGACTGTGGCTGTAGCTCCTCGACCAGTTCTCTCACATTTGCAGACCTACGCCGATTTCTTCTCCAGCTTCGGCGGCTTGCGCTTCGGTCGAGGCGCTGAGTCTCCTGATCCCGTCGATGTGGTTTGCTTGCTCGCCGAAGACGCCGTTGCTTTGGCATCTTTCGTTGAAGGTGCCTTGTCCTTAGCTGCGGTAGCACTGTCTTTCGCTGTGTCTTTCGCCGCTTCTCCCTCCCCTCCACCCATATACGACTGCAGGCCCTTCGCGCCTGCTTTGGCGCCATCGCCTATAGCCTCCTTGCCTGCACTAAACGTCTCAAGCTCGTCATCATCTGGCATATCCTGCTCATTGATCTGGCCAGCCATACCCTCAACAGCCTTCTTCTGGTCCTCCGTAGCATCGGGATTCCATTCCAGCATACCGTCAGTCAGCTTGCCAACCCCTGCGGCCGCAACTCCGCCCACAGAGTACGCCGGCCCCTTTAGATACCCAACACCAGCGCCGAGTCCACCAGTGATCAAGCTCGTTACGCCGCCGACGAGCGTTCCAGTCAGAGTACCAAGCCCAACTCCAGGCAGACTGCCAGCGGCGAATCCTTGCAGTGCGCCTGAGTTGAGCCATTTGGCCAGTTTTCCGAATGATTCCGACTCGACTTCTTTGTCGAGGGCCTGCTTGAGCAGTTTCTGGCGTTCTTTAGAGTCGCCGGCGCCGGCGGCTGCTTGGAGGAGCTGCTGGGCTTTCTTCTTTGCCGCTAGGGAGTCCTTGGCGGCTTTGGAGCGTTCTTGAGATTGTTCTTCTTCGCTGAATTGTGGCTCCTGTTCGTTGCCTTTTTGCTCTGAGTCGCCATTGGTTTTCTGCCGTTTCGTCTGTTGCTGTTGCTTGTTTTGGTCTGTTTTCTGCTGCTGTGCCTTTGGCTGGCCTAACTTTTTGGGAGGCATTTTGGCGAATTGTGGCAGAGACGTGGCTGAGGATGCAAGACGGGTGAGGTTATATGACCACAGCCACTTACCTCTATCCAAGTTACCAGGCCTGGATATGCCTAGACATGACGTACGTAGTTACAAGTTGAAGGGGGACGGACGTGCATGTCTGGTTGGAGATCCAGGTTTGTGGTTGAGGGCTGACATCACGCGTGCTTAGCGCGGAGTATATTCGTGAACCCTTGTTCGCGCTCTCTGTTTACGTGGACTTTTTGAAGTAAGAAAAATAGTATATGTCAGCAATACAGCATGAAATTACCCTAACCCGCCTTCGGCAGAACAACAGTCCTCATTGAGATATTGTGTAGGTATCCACCAATGCGCCAGGGCGCTCGAGGAGGGTGGTCTGTCTTGTGGGAGAGCCACTGTCGTACCATGTGCGTGGACTTGTAACAGAGTGCTTGTCGTTGGCGGAGGGAATGGCTTTGGTCACCTGCGACCAAGCCATAACGTTGGTTGGAAGTGGTACAGTGCCTGGCTTCGGGCTGGTGACGTACCAGGACTGACCACGGCCGCGCCAAAGGCCACTGCCGGACGTGGAGAGGTGGGCAAGATGCTGTGAAGACGGTCGAACGGGTCCCGTCTGCAGAGTCTTGTGCTGTCTCACGGACCTAGATGTGCGCGTTGTGAAAGTACTCGTCGCACTCGACTTCTTGATATGCAGGGAGTGCCTGGCGAAGACTTTGCCAGGTGCAAGCTTGTTGAGCAGTGGCTTCAGGCACGGTAGGCATGCACAAACAATGCCGGTAAGAACCTCGGCGATTGACCAGTCGAGCGCTGGAACGATGATCTTGGTAGCGTTGATGTTGCGGAGACGGCCGAGGGTGGTGATTCGGACGACTGACGCCACTGCGGCCACCAAGCCAAAACAGAAGAGGCACGAGACGACGACTTTCTCCTTCTTCGGAATGCCGAGCTTCCAGAAGAATGGCAGCGGTAGAAGGCACAGCACGACGTCGCTGAACACCGAGAATGCTGTGGAGAAGTAGAGGAGATCCTCGACAGGGTAGCATTTCCGATCGAGGCTGAAGTCCCATGCACCTGCCACGGGGCGACACTGAAAGATGGTGCCGAGAATGGTACTGATGGCAACTGCAATGATTACTATGGCAAGTCCGAGAAGAACCCTCCGCAATAGCGGGACAGGAAAGATCCTCCAGTAAGTGCTGATAATCGACAGCTTGACGAGAGTGAGAGCCGTCGCGTGTAGGCAGACACAGATGAAGAGTGTCTGTATGCATGTCTTCACATTCTCAACGATCTTCGTGAGCGGAATGTCCCAGATGTTTGATCCGAGTCCATAGCCAACACCATAGATCACATAGGCTGAGAGTGCAACAGCTGAAGCTCCCGCTGCTAGCATCAGGTATCTTCGACGGCGACATGGTGGACGATGAAGGCTCTGACGGCGGACCGTACAGTGATGGTGATGACGACGGTCACAATTGCTAGGGCATTGTAGATTATGGTTCTACTTTTGACGTTGGTGTGGTTGGCGGCCGGATTGTTGACGTTAAGCAAGATGTCACTGATGTTGTAGTCCTCTGTGTCCATCATGTTGGTGATGAGATCTGCCGACAGAGCGCAGAATACTGCTCATAGCACTGGCACTCTCTGCGAAGGTGAGATTTCAGACCCAAGGAGCCTTTACAGCATATCGGCATCTTCAACTGCCACCGAAAACCTGGCTTATCGGTTCGTCGGGGTTGCATACTTCCAGCATCATCGACGTCTCAGATCTTGGGGCAAGTGAAGCTCGGGCCGATAGCACGGCATGCTCGGAGAGCATTGCTGTGCTCGCGTGATGACCCAGATGTGTGGGCGAGACATGTAGGATGGTCTAGCATCTCGGGATCCCGGGACGGCTTGCCGGGCCTTCATGGCCCAAGTGGTTCACAGGTGCTGTCTGGGACGCTCGAGCATTGGCTCCTTGCAAGCCACTAGGCCACATTGTAGTTTGTAGCAGGCGTCGGAGGAGACGAGGTCTCCAAGTCGCAAGGTGAAGAACGGCTGGGTTGAGAATCAAGTATACGGCTCTGTGATTGGTTGAGGCGGACCCGCCAGACTGTTCAAGGACTAAGGGCCTAAGTTGTGACACTCTTCCTTCCCTACTCATCATCATCAAGCACCATAGCCGTTTCAAATTGCTAACGAACGACCCACGTGTTCCAAGTGGCCTTTCTGGAGTAGCGGAGTGGGTTAGACAGCCAAGGCTCACGCCCAAAGCTCACCGGCACTCACACCAGCCCTCCCATCGATAAACATTGAAGGATGGCCGGAGGCTCTTAGCTACTCCCTGTGAGCATCGGACGCTGAGCATTCCGAGAACATCGTCGCAATGCAGCAGCGACCGACGCTTGTACGGCGAGCACCGGATACTTACCGCCGATGCTATGAGCATGGTAAAGGGGATTACCATCGAAACATATTCGAGCGCCAGATGCCTCCTGCCAACCATGGTCAAGTGATGGCTCCCTTCACTCATCACTCATAAACCGAACTGCTCCTTATTGACAAAGTATTGACCTTTTCGCGGTGACAGCTCCTCGAAAAGCCAGGAGCGTGCCAAAAGTCTTTCCTCGGTATCAAGGGTTGTCGCGCAAAGAAACATCAGTAGAGCTTGACCGGCGTGTTTGCCGATACTGACGACTCTAGTGCTTGATCTATCGGTTTCTTGCGATGAGCTAGCGCATGAAGTGCCGTACTTGTAAGGCTAGGCGATCCAGTGCGGAAAAGGAAGTCCTCCCAGAAATATCCCACCACAGTTTACAAGTAGATGCTGAAGATCACGCAAGGCTTGGCAATATCACAACATCGTCCATGCCAAGCCCCTCCGATCATCACTCCTCTTAGCGAGCTCCTTCTTCCTGTGGACTGACGACGTTATCGTCAAAGACAGTGGCGCATGAGATTGGCTGGTTGATGTTGGCTTCCACATCGGCGGAGTCTTGGCCATCGAAACAGCGTTCGACTCGCCAAAGATATCGATCGTGGTTCCCTCGTGGACGAATGATGCTTGATCTGCTTGCATGAGTAGTCTTGATACTGACGCTGTCATTGGCCGGGACCCTCTTGTATTGCAAGGTGTCGTGGTAGCGAGAATGATGTGATTATTGGCAACGAAATTCCAAACTATGGGACCGGCTGTTATGCGAATACATATTTGTCTGATCTGTCGCAGCTTGAGCACATATGCAGTACATTTACAAGCAGGGCACTCCTCACAGTAGCCAACCGCTGTACTCTATTCAAGATGTCGCAGCAGACCGCCGGAGTGCAACCTGCTACCATCCCTGAGCAAAATGGCCTTCACGACAAGGAGACAGCAAAGGTGAATGGACATAGCTCCGGCAGCGACCTAGCATCCGATGAGCGAAGTGACGTGGAACCAGACATTGAAGGCGACTACGGTTCTGGACGTGATCATGTGTTTGCCAATCCCAAAGTCGCTGATTACTGGCGCAATGTCTACGAGCAAGCCACCTATGAGGGACGACATCGCTTCGATCCAGATTTCACGTGGTCCGCCAAGGAAGAGAAGGCTGTCAAGCGCAAGGTAAGTCTTCTGGACACTATGTATCACAGTGCTGATGGCGCAGATCGACTTTCGCATCATGTCTTGGTGCTGGCTTATGTTTCTTGCCCTTGACCTGAATCGTAGAAACATCAACAGAGGTGGGCGAATAGCATTGAGGCCGAGGGTCATGACTGACACGTCTCAGCTATCACGGACAACATGCTACCTGAGCTTGGCATGAACACCAACGACTTCAATTACGGCCAGACCATCTTTCTGACAACGTTTCTGGCTGCTGAGCTCCCCTCCGGACTCATATCCAAGAAGCTCGGCCCCGACATCTGGATTCCCTTCATCATAACAGCATGGAGTCTGATCTCGGCGTCTCAAGCTGGGCTGAAGAATCGCTCTGGCTACTTTGCGGTTCGTGCCTTACTAGGCCTCTTGATGGGAGGGTTCATCCCGGATACTGTGCTCTATATCACCTATCGGTATAAATCTAAGGAGTTGCCGATCCGCCTTTCATGGTTCTGGACCGTTCTGAGTGTATGCCAGGTTGTTGGCTCGCTCGTTGCCGCAGGTGTGTTACAGATGAGGGGCGTTGCTGGCTGGTATGTTATTTTCTTTTAGCGAGCCTGAAGCGTTGTCTGGCCTGGACATAGTCTCGGACGTTAAAGATAGCTGTCTTAGATGGTCCCTAGACTGCCTGCTTGTCCAGGCTTTGGCCTCTCGCAATGTCTCAAGCTTCTGGCTCAGGCTGACCAATACTGGCGAAACAGGTCTGGCTGGCAGTGGTTGTTCCTGATTGAGGGCACCTTTACGTTTCTCGTCGGCATAGCAAGTTGGGTTTTGATGCCAACCTCGATCACGCAGACTGCCGGACGTGGACGAGGCAAGGGCTGGTTCTCAGAGCGCGAGGAGAAGATCCTTGTCAATCGTCTCCTCAGAGATGACCCTTCGAAAGGTGATATGCACAATCGTCAGGCTGTCGGGCCAATTCGTCTCTGGAAGAGTCTGAAAGACTACGATCTTTGGCCTGTCTACCTTCTCGGACTGACTACATATATCCCTGCAAATCCTCCTCAGGTAAGCGGCTTCTGTACATCCGCACGGTGTACTCTACTGACACTCCCAGAACTACCTCGCTCTGATCCTCCGAACCATGGGCTGGAGCACGCTGAATGCCAATCTCCTCACGATCCCGTCGCAATTCATCTACGGTGTCAATCTGCTCATCATTTCGTGGATCTCTGAAAAAGTCAATGAGCGATCCATTGTCTCCAGCATGAGCAACATCTGGATCTTCCCTTTCCTCGTGGCTCTTGTCGGCCTCGGCGAGAACGCAAGCGGGTGGGTGCGATATGGCCTTCTCTCCGGCTTGTTGTCATACCCCTACTGCCATGCTATCCTCGTTGCATGGAATAGCCGAAACTCGAACTCGGTACGCACCAGAGCAGTATCGGCGGCGTTGTACAATATGTTTGTACAGGCTGGCAACATTGTTGCGTCCAACATCTACCGGGAGGAAGACCGACCATACTATATTCGTGGGAACAAGATCTTGCTGGGCATCTGCTGTTATAACATTGCGCTGTTCTTCTTCGTCAAGTTTTACTATATTGGGAGGAACAAAAGGAGGGAGGCAGCATGGGCGAAGCTGACTGGCGAGGAACAGGTGGATTATATCCAGAACACGACCGACGAAGGAGCGAAGCGCTTGGACTTCCGCTTCATGCATTGAAGGTCACTGAACCAATGCCAAATGCATACCTTCAAGTAGAACGCTGCGCCTACTCCAGGTCAGCAATTGCATGAAGGAAGGAGCGACCTATAGCGGAAGCACCGAGTAGGAATCTGCGCCTGCCTTGCAGCTAAGCAATTGTAGGATGGAAAGAGCGACCCAACATGCCCCAGTTCTCGAGGCGCTCATCAGCATAAGCGGCCGAGACGTTCCTCTTGTAGATCACCATCAATCTTGTCCCAGCCCTCTTTGGTTGAATCCACAAGTCTCAAAAGTAACACCATAGCGCATGCGAGTAGCGGTTTGAGAGAAAAAGAGGCGGAGTACACCACGACACCACAACCCTCCCTGCCAGACGCTTGACAAGCCATCGCTACCAAACCCTCGCGAACCTACCTGACCCGACAGAAGCCTCTGCTCCCAGTACGAGTTGTCCGTTGCACGCACCCGATGATGGTCTCTTTGTCCCTGACATTTTGACTGAGGGGAGGCCGCGATATAATGTCCGAACAAGTCTACTCCTCTCGTGGTCATAAGTCGTCTGTTGATGCAGCCTGTATGAGTGTCTAGTCGAAACATGGATCTGCATAAAGCCGCTGTGTGGGCCGAGTAGAGGTCGAAAAGAGCATGCTGAGAGTCGCCAGTTGTACGGTCTCGGGTAGTAGGTTTGGTGCTGAAGTCTTCGCTGTTGGTGAATCAATCCCCGACATTTACGCATCTTCTTTCCATCCGTTGTGGTTTCTGCATTCAATCATATCCATCGGTCGACAGAGCAACAATGTCCAACCGTGCGACGGTAACGCACAATCCGGTATCGATCGCGTTCGTACGACCAAGACATCAGCAACAGCATGGGCGGGACGCACCGCTGCTCGAGTGCAGCAGTAGCTGTGCATTCTACAGCTGGTCTGCTACACACCATTAACGAGGCGGCTCATTTCTAACAAAGAGCCCATGCGTGCACTGCCACAATGTTTGACTTAGAGCAACAGATGAACAGTACGTCATGTCGCTGAGTCGCGATGCTCGTGCTAATGTACACAGTAATGCTCTTCCTCCGTGAGATGAGGCATGAAGCTTCACATCAACAGTACTTTGCTGCGCCTCAAGAGCCCTGCCCACGGGCCATGTGTGAAAGTATCAAGTCACTAAATCGTGGTACTTTCTGGACACGGGACGTGTGAGGGTGCCCCCATCCGATAGGCGGGACAGAGGCGACCAGCACGCCAAAAACAGCTCAGCCTCCACGCCCTGTTGGCTAAACCCGAAGCGAGAGCTCGACCCCTGCACCTGCACCCCTCGGGAACAGGCAGGTTCGCACTGTCCACCTGTCACGAAGCTCCAACCATGGTTCAAGGCAGCAAAGGCCCGTTCCACAATTATCTTCCCCGTGGTCGGGTCTTTGAGGTACGGTCACGCTGCCTACAGATACGGAGTTTTGGCTTTTGACAGAACGTTGCCTTATAACATGGCCACCGGACCCCACGACGCTTCCGCGACTTCGTGACTTGCTAAGCTTGCCGTTCCGAGCACATAATGTATCTACGGTCACTCGATCCCCCTTGAAATACTTCGTAAACTCATGCGACAATGGATCCGCTCTCGATCATAGCTGGAGCTGGTCAGATTGTCGGATTCTGCTTCACGACAACCCAAGCTATTGCGCGCTGGTCAATCGACGTCCGCACAGCAGACGAACGCATACGCGGATTCTACGAGGAGATCAAAACACTTGAAAGGACCTATGCTGAAGTCAAGACATGTTTGGACGATCCTATGCTCAGAGATGCGGCCGGCAAGTCGTATCAGACAGCCGACGGAAAGCGACTCTGGAATGCAGTCCGTGATGCTGCGGATGATTCGCTAATGACTATGACGAAGATTACGGAGGTGCTCGACAAAATCAACAGATCATCTGGGATTGTGAGACGGCCTAGGATGCAATTCGAGGAAAGCGTGCGTAAAGGCGAACTCGGTACACTGCGCGACAGATTGAAGTACTTCAACTCCAACATCTCCTTATCCATTCAGCTGGTCACATGTATGACACAGCAAGAACACCGTAACATGACTCAAACGATGCAACGGGACCTTGACATCAAGTTTCACAGACTAGAAGCAATGGTTTCCGACGTCAGGTGTCGACTCGATCGTCCGACCGCCGAGGATTTGAGAGGATCAACAATTGTCGTTGGCTCCGTCGATGGCTCGAGAGCTCGAGGAAAGGACAACTACTTCGACTTTGCAAGACGTTTTGTCACTGACGCGTCTGCTCGCGCTACCGAGCGTTCCAACTTAAGCACAATATCGCCCGCAATCGAGCCCACACCCAAATTCCATGGTGGCGTGGTCGGCAACTCACCACTCGAGAAGCGGCACACAATCGCAATGTGGGCGTCGGATGTCAACATTTCGGGCGGGGGCCAGCCCGAGAACGCCATGGCTCTCGAGCAGCTCCAAGCGAAGCGGCGAACCGAAGAGAGGAATTTTAAACTGGCAGAGGCATTCCTGAAGAACGGCCCCGAGCAAGTCAAAGCTGGCAAGCACGAGAGTGCCGAGAAGAACTTCCGAAAGGCGTTAGCAATTCTGGCAAAACACGACTTCAGTGGCCGGATCTCATATCACCCTGCGGAGATAGTGCTCATGCTGGCACAATCCTGCCTGAAGCAGCAGAAATACGATGATTGCATCGACATGCTGAAGCGGGTGTCAGACTTGGACGAGAATATCTTCCCATCTGACTGTCCCGCTGAAGAGAGCGTCTTCCCAGCATATCAGGCAGATCAACTGCAGTCACTGGCTGCATGCCACCTTCTTGGAGAAGTGTACCGAGAGATGGGCAACTACGAAGAGGCGAAAGACTACGCCATGAAGCGTATGACGCCCGCACAGATACTCTTGGCGAGTCCGACAGCAAGACGATCGAGTCTTTGGAGCTGTTGATACAGATATACCGTCTACTGAAAGACGAAGAGACTGCAGATGCGTTCATGTCATTCCTAGACGTCCAACCCAGCAATACCTCAATACTGTCTGCGCACGAAGAGGTCTTTAGCGAGGCGGCAACAGCCATCACTGTTCCAACGGTCTCTCCACCGCCGTCGGAGGCAGCGGCACCAGTCACCCAAGAACCTTGGACGAACTCGCAACCCAAGACTGGTCGCTTTAAGTCAATGTTCGGTGGTCGTCCTTCTATCTCCAACCTCCACGAAACAAAGCCATACACTGACCCCATGATTCAGCCTGTCCGCCGGCACCCAACAGAAGTCAGCGGCACTGGACTACCCGAACCAACAAGCCCTCGCCAAATGACCCGGATCCCAACCCGCGAAACCAAAGACACACACAGATACTCATCTTCCGAACTGGCACCCGTTCGCACCAGCTCAATCGACGTGTCCACAAGTAGCTTCAAGGACATTGTCGAAGAAGTCCGCCGGCTCTCCGTGTCAGGCAAGACCAGTAAAGCCGCTAAGATTGGCCTTGAGCGCCTCGAGAAGTACGGCTTGAACGCTTGGCCTACTCGCGAGGCTTCCCTGCGGAAGAACATCGAAAATGGCAAGAGCTCTGCACGGGGGCTGGCTGCGACCGGCAAAGGATACGCCGCTATACACCTGCTCTGCGAGGTCCCTGGAGATCACCATCAAGACGTAGCCGTCCTAGTGAAGGATGGCGCAGACATCAACTCTGGTGTCTACCAGGCAGGCTTCACATCCGGCGAGGTCTTCACGCCAATACTACTCGCAATCAGTAAAGGCAACGTGAAATGCGCGAGGATCCTGGTCGAGCAACTGAACATCAAGTTAGATTGCAGAGATCGGTCAGACCACACTCCACTCCTCGCGGCATGTCGCCTGGCTATATCGACGTAGTGACCGCCATCCTGGACAAGCCAACTTCCCAGCTACCGAAAACGTACCCTGAGAATTGGTATGGCAACCTTCTCACAGACGCAGCACGGCACTGCGAGCTACCACTTGTCGAACTGCTTCTCAGCAGAAATCTGTTCGACGTGAATAAAGCAGACAGCTGGGGCAAGACCGCCCTTATGTACGCCATCATCAAGACGGACGTCCCTACGTCGGGTACGGACAAGCAGCTAGCGACACGGGCGAAGATGCTAGGCTGGAGACTGGAGGTAGTGAAGCGGTTGTTAGAAGCCGGCGCGGATGCAAGTCTTGTTGATGGGAAGGGCAACACAGCGGCACGGTACGCACAACTGGAAGGGGATGCAGAGCTGTTGGCCGTGGTAAAGGGCGTGACGAGGTTCGAGCTGGCGGAGACGGTGCCTAGGCATGCTGGTGTGGCGGAGATTGGTTCATGATTGGTATGTGGATGCGTTCGACAGGGCCTGGTCTGTTGACGGAACCATTACCAGAGTCTGCATGAATGAGATACGAGATTCCCAGGACAGCATAATTTTCTTAAGCAGCATGCTCACTCCGATTAGAGATCCACAATGACGAGACTCCTGAGGCCCAGTGACCATATACACCTGGAGGGCTTCTCATTACCACGTAGAGAGCTTCTCAATCAAGACGAAAAGTGAAGATTTCCCTCCAGCTCAGTGCAGTGATCGTTTCGCTTTGCGTCGGGTTCTCACTTGGTCGAACAGGTATAAGTAGGGCCAAGCATACGTCCTCCCTCCTGTCTTTCTTCCATTCCGGAAGAAATTCTTCAAGGCTGTCTTATTACCATGCCTCGGTAGCAGTTGCAGCTAACGGGCGGGGTGAGCTAGTTCCGATGCTCCTGGGAGCTCGTGGTGTAGCCTGCGCTACTAGAGCATTGTGATGGGTGCAGTGTTAGAGAGGGTGAGCAGAGGCACTTCCAGAATGAGATGAGAGACGTGCGATACAAGTCCGTGGCGCCTTGTATTATTCTATAGCTTGGGGTCATGTACCCTTGCTCGAAAGGCACTCAACGCGAGAGACAAGAACTCTCCTCGTGTACACGTCTTCCCGTGTCAATGCGCGAAGATATGCCATGAGTCCACCATGAAAGAGAAGGGGTTCGGGATGGCTCGGAACTTTGGTATCAAGGGGTTCGGTCGACCTGCCTTTCCAGGACAACCTCGGCAAACATCGCTCCTTTCCGTGTTCGTGCCGTCACTGCTTCACATGCACTTCCAAGATCGCTCTGCACCTCAACAGTCATGGCATAGGCATTCCAGTTCATACATTGTCCATTTCCCTTCTTCTCAAACTTTCGGACTACAGCTCCCAGATCAATTATACGACATAGCTATGAATACACCAAAGAACTTGCCAGAGGCGCCGGCGCCGACGGAAGGAGACCTGTCCTCCTCCTCTTCCACCAGCTCCCCCTCCGCACCAGCAGCCACCAGCGCAGCACAACAATCCGACAACATCGCTCATGCCCTCGCCGGCGCTGGCGGCGGACTCATCGCCACTGCGCTCACATACCCAGTACGCCTACCCATCCCCCTTCCATGCCTATCCAACTGACTGATCTGTAGCTCATCACCCTCTCAACCCGCGCCCAAGTCGAGTCCGCCCGCGCCAACGAATCCTCCCTCGCCTCCGCCCGCCACATCATTAACCGCGAGGGCATCACAGGCCTGTACTCCGGCATCGACTCCGCCGTCGTAGGCATCAGCGTCACCAACTTTGTCTACTACTACTGGTACGAGTGGACCCGAGCGGGCTTCGAAAAGGCCAAAGCCGCGCGAGGAGAGTCGAAGCGATTGGGGACCATCGAGAGCATGATTGCCGGCGCGGTGGCGGGGAGCGCGACGGTGTTGATCACGAACCCAATTTGGGTTGTGAATACGCGGATGACTGCGAAGGCGAATAATGGTGAGGAGAAGGATGTGGAGGCGCAGGGCTTCAAGAAGAGCAAGAAGCCGAGCACGATCGGCACATTGCTTACACTTCTGAAGGAGGAGGGGCCAAGTGCGCTGTTCGCGGGTGTGTTGCCTGCGTTGGTGTTGGTTATCAACCCGATTCTGCAGTATACCATCTACGAGCAATTGAAGAACTTCCTTGAGAAGAGGCGCAAGGTTGGGCCGAGGGATTCTTTCCTGTTGGGTGCGTTGGGGAAGTTGTTGGCTACGAGTATCACGTATCCGTACATCACGGTCAAGAGTCGGGCGCATGTGGCGAAGAAGGTCCAGGGGCAGAAGGCAGTGGGAATGGCGGAGAGTCTGAACAAGATTGTGACGGAGGAGGGGTATGCTGGGTTATACAAGGGTAAGTTGGCGCCGAGATGATCATCTTTTCAGTACTGACACGAGTCTCTGCAGGTATCGTCCCCAAAGTCTCTCAATCAGTCCTCACAGCGGCATTCCTCTTCGCCTTCAAGGACGTCTTGTACGACGCCATGGTCAAAGCCCGTCAAAAGGTCGCCACGAAGAACGCGGTTCGGATCTAGGAGTACGGCCAGCAACCCTCGTTGAAAACAGTTTGCTGGAGCTTAGAAGCACTGCTTGCGAGCTACGTCATGTACTCTACGGCTTGTTGGCGTGGCCCTCTGTGAGAAAATGCTGAGATCTACAGCTGCTGTTGTCATGGGAGGCTGTGGACGAACTGAAGATGAACTGCACGCTTTTCGAATAGGTGTAGTGTGCCAAGAGGCCTTGAGTGACAGACGACCACTTTTACACAGGATAAAATCGCTCGTTGCAGCTACGATTGCGGCTCAGGAGTGCGGTGACGGCGTTCGCACGGAGGCCTGGGTGTACGGCTTGGAATGCTTGCTATGAAAACTACATGCTATGGGAAAGGGGGTATCTGCGATAGAGGTACAGGAAATTCCCCTGCCTCAAATGAAAGACCAATCCAACGATTCGCTCCCCCACTTCGATTTTGTCTTCTCCACTGTACGCATCGTCCGCTGCGCGATCCTTGTTGGTCAGCCTGACACGACTGAGTGCTCCTTCCCGCGCCATTCTGCGCTGTACAGACCGGGTCCAACGGGTCCCTCGTGCTGTAGTATCCCAACTTTCACAACACGACTACTACTTGCGCTCTTCTCCAATGGCAATCTCGACGCCATTGCTCGTCCTCATGTTCAGGCCGCCTTCAGCGTCGAGAAACGTGTCGATTGAACTCTGACGCGGCAGATCCGCCTAGGATTGCTTCTTCGCCGCAGCATTGATCTTGCCGGACAACTCCTTGATTGGCTGGGGGTTACTATTGCCCTGGCGCTGCTGGTAGATGACATAGCCCCAGTAGAGGAGAAAGAGACCTAGGAGGAGTCCTAGATTTCCTATTTGGTATTGTTAGCCACCTTTTTGCCGGTGCGACGATCCACTGGAATGGCAAGTAGAGTACGTACCAACAATCAACTTAAGAATGTCCTCAGAGATGTTGAAGACGCCCTTGATCAGGCTGACCACAAAGTTGACGGCGGCTTCGAAGGTGCCCAGGACGGTGTTCACGATGGTCGCGATCGTGCCGTAGATGATGTTGAAGACGCCCTGGACGAGGTCGGTGAGGCCTTTAACGATTGAAGACATGTTTGCGGTGCTTGTGGTGGAGAAGGTCTGTGTAAAATGTGGTTTGAATGATAGCTGAGCGTATGTGGTGTTTCGTACGAACTTGTGGAGGTGGCTGTGAAGAGAGGAAAGTTTCAGAGGCTCACACGCGAGTTATATCGTCACGAACGCGGTAAACGGAAACGCGAAGATCAGCAGAACGTCATAAGTGAGATTGGAAGGAACTTGAACTGAAGAAGGAAGCCTCAAGGCAGTTTGTTTTCCTTTGTTGCCATGGGCAGTCGTTGCCCTATGGATTCGCAAACGACGTCCGTGCCACATTTCAGTGACGTAGCCAAAACCGGTTTGTGGCGCATTACCGAGTCCCGTGACCTGACGTTTGCCTTTCAAGTTTGGATCACGAGACTGAGGCTCGTCATCGTCAACTTCTCGGAAATCATCTTGTCATCGTTCATGCCAATCCCAAAGGCGCTCGTACTTGCAATGCCCAATAGAATGAGTTGGAGGATATGTGGGTGTGTCGCGACTTCAATTTTGGCTTTGGCGGGGTGTGGGCTAGGCACCACGTTGCGCTAGCAGAAAACCGCCGGTGCCTTGCATCGAAGGTGGGCCAGAAAGGATTTAGGATCCGGCGACCTGCCAATGCTGACGAGACACTGACACGCTGTACAAACGATAACGCTTTGTTCACCAGTGTTCCCCTGAGTCCTCCCAATTTGTTCTCTCTTCGATCTTGCACTTTCTCATTCGCGGTCTTCGCGGACCATATTCGATCGCACATCACCCGACATGGCCGAGCCAATCCCCGCGTTTTATAGGATTTTCTTCCCCACGATAGATCCAATAGTCGCCTCAACCGGCGTCATCGGCAATCTCTTCCTGCCAGGCGACATTGTGAAGAGCTACAATCCTCGTGCCATCCTTCCACCCGCCCTCGAAACCGAAGTTCTTCTCCAGAGTTCCGCCGGATTTCTAGCTGGTACCATGGTTCTTCAGATCTTCCTCTTACGTATGCGACCGCATGATGTCGGCGTCTGGAAGGCGCTGCAAGCGAGTATCGCAGTGGTGGATGCGGCGATCTTGGGAAGTGTGTTTCGGGCGTTGGATAAGCAGGACAGGTTGGCGTTAAAGGACTGGAGGGCTTTGGACTGGATCAATGTGGGCGTGACGGGCACGGTGTTGGCGATCAGGTTGGCATTCTGTTTGGGTGTTGGTCTTGGTGGGAGCAAGGGCAACGGGAAGGGAAAGAAGAGCTGACGAGGAAAACCGTGACCCATTGATTTGCCAGGATTCCAACTCCATGACCACAGAGTGGTTGATGGGCTGTTCGTGTGACTCGACTCTTGTCTGAGAGCACGAGGGAGACGGACGCCCAGATTTAGTCTGTTACAGACTGCAACTGGTGTAGATCTTGAGAAAGACTGGACGAGACAGACAGACATGGAGCGTACGAGGACGACTGTCTCCTCGTGAGCATCACAGCCTTGAATATACATGCTCCTAAGTGAAGTGATGCAGTACACTGTCGCAAATCTATGCGCCCGGGCTTGGGTTTAGGAGCGTATTTCCGGATGAATGGACTTCACATTTACTCCTGGAACGCGACTCATCGCTGTGGCATGACAAAGACTTTTTCGAATGCAGACTAGTCGATGCAGTCACGCCGGTGGCAAGTGCGAGACCGGCTGACAAGCTCACAGCCTTGCCATATATACGAGGCTGACATATTGAAATGAAAACGTTGGTCAATGCAAAGTCTGCTCTTAGGTCTCCCGTCCGAGTGACCCCATCTCTTGCCATCGACAGTCACGTTGGCTCAATGATCATCCACGATGGACTTCTCTTCCATCCGGCCCTTTCAACACGTCGCTCTGCGTCTCCCTAACGACCAGACACGTATCGAAAGACTCACTCCGAACTCGTAGGTGTTTGCTTTCCTTCTCGTCCCTATCACAGGCTCGAAACAACAGACATCAGCCACCAGCATTGAAAAGCTGTAGCTGACTCTGTTTCTCTTGTCCTGGTCTGCTCAGACTCATCAATCTAGGCAAATATGGCTCTTTCCACACCAACCACTTGTTCGGCCGCCCATACCACTTGACTTTCGAAATCTTGGACCGCGCAGATGCCTGTGATGACAGAGAATTGCGGATCGTGCCTGCCGCAGAGCTCCACGCCGCGACTCTTCTGGAGGAAGCAGAGACGGAGAGTGGCGCCGCAACACCAAGTAATGAGGTCGATGAATATGGCCTGATGACCGGCGACAAGTCCAATGTCAACATCACAGATGACCCAACGAACCAGCGCCTTACCATGGCCGAGATTGAAGAGCTGAAGCAGGACGAGACAGGGCGGACCAAAGATCTAATTGCCAAGATCATGCAGTCGCACACGGCGCTCGACCAGAAGACTGCGTTTTCGTTGGCTAAGTACACGTTGAGGAAGCATCGGAAGTACATGAAGCGTTTTACTGTACTGCCGCTTGATGTGGCGACTTTGACGGACTTCCTTATGGTCGAGAAGGACTTTTCGAAGGTGATGGAACTCCGGAACGAAAGCTTGGGGCTGATCGGGTGTTGGGCCAACATTCATGCCAGTGGCGATTCTCATCTGCCTAATCTGTCAAATACCGGGTCTCGCTACCTCGTCGTCGACGACACAGGTGGCCTTCTGGTTGCAGCTATGGCAGAGCGAATGGGCATCTTACACCAAGCCAACCCTTCTTCAGACCCGGAGCCTGCCTCAGATGACGAAGGTCCAGCACAAGCCGCTGAATCAGCACCTCAACCCACAAAACCCCGCCGCCCACAGATTCCCATACAATCCTCCGCCACGACCAACACCCTGACCGTAATCCACTCGAACCAACAACCCAACCTCTCCCTCCTGCGCTACTTCAACTTCGACATCCACAACCCGACCCCCACCCACCCCCTCCATACCCATCTCAAGACCCTCTCCTGGCTACAACTCCTCGACCCGAACTCCGACTCTGCCTACCAAGAACCGCCAATCCTCCCACCGCCCGAGATCTCCAAGCTAAAAAGCAACCGAAGAAGCAACTACTTCCGCAAACGTCGACGGTGGGAACGGATCAAGGCTATCGTGGACGAGGCGAGGGACGGCGGGTACGATGCGCTCGTAGTGGCGAGCTACACGAGCCCGGTGAGTATACTAAAGCACCTGGTGCCGCTGCTAGCTGGTGGCGCGCAGGTAGTGGTGTACTCACCCAACGTTGAACCCTTGTTGGAGCTGACGGATCTGTACTCGACTGCGAGGAGGACCGCGTACCTGCAATGGTTGCAGCAACAGGAGGAGCAACAACAGCAGAGAGAGGCGATCATCGACGAGCATGCGCAAAATGGTCATCGCCAAGACCTTACAGAAACGCCAGTCAAAGCAGAACCTGCGGTCAAAGCAGAACCCCCCTCCTCACCATCCTCGCCTCCCTCAGAAACCCCATCCCAAAACGCCAATCGCACCATGTCGCTAGATCCGCCTTCACATCCACAAGCACCACCGATCCCACCAAACCCATCAGAAGAAAACCCCGACTTCCCGCTCAATCCAACCCTCCTCCTTCCGCCAATGCTACAAACCAGCCGCGTCCGTACCTGGCAGGTGCTTCCAGGGCGCACACATCCCCAAATGACCTCTAAAGGTGGCGCCGAGGGGTATGTCTGGAGTTCGACGAGGGTGCTGCCATTGACGGGACGGGTTACTGCGCGGGGGAAGGCGCGAAGGAATGCTGGGAAGGGCTCGTGATCTGAGTCATAAGGTAGCGGGAACAGTCTTGGACGGTCACATGGATGGCGCGGAAATGCATGGGGCGAGTTCGGCCGGGGCTTGAGCTGGCTCTGGAGTATTTGCTAGAGTGGGCGATGGGAGGTAGTAGTGCATACACATCACGCAGAGCCGACTCACAGTAATCCTGTCCCTGCTTCTGATGCAATCACAGCCCCTGATGAGACCGCAGTAATCATAATTTCCCATCGCAAAAAAGCAAAAGAAGAAACGGATAGCAGCACCCAGAATCGAACTAGGATCTTCTCTTCACAAGGGACTTACGCCCTCTTGTATGATGTGCTCGCCGTTGCACCATGCTGCTGAAAGATAGGATGGTCTCGACTGCCGTCTGATTCGTACGCAAATTTTGGCCGCCACAGACATATATATATATATATATATCGACACAAAAGTCCGTGCACAGCTGACTTCACTGCACCTTATGGGTTGAGTGAACAAGCTAGCTTGAATCACCGAGAACAGAACCATGAGGAAGCAAGGGCTGCAAAGAGTCCTCCAGATGGGGGCATTGTGGTCTAGCAGAGCAGAGCAGAGCAGAGCAGAGCAGAGCAGGACAAATCAGAAAGCGACATTCGCTGCGCTTGGGCCATATGAAGTGATTCATGCATCTACGTTATGCCGTGCTGATCGAAGCTTCGGAAGGTAAGGTTTATCAAACACGATCAGGACGAATGCTGCCAATGTACACGCTGCGCTGTATCGTTGGTTTGCCGTCATCATGGCAGCTGTGCTGCTTTGCCTTGTTCATACCTGCTGGTGGCATTGCGGACGAGCGCAGGAGCTGCGGCGTGGCATTTACCATCAGCAACACATGACTTGTGGCAACTCCCCCTTGAGCGTCCGCATCGCGAACCTCGTTTCGGTGCTCTTGATCTTCGAGCCCACTGTCCAGCAAGCAATGCCATTCACAAACTCTTCCCCATAAACTTCCTCTTCCCAAAACTCAGCCACCACTTACTCGGCCCAGCACTGCCACCCTCATACAAACGCGCGTGTAACCGCATAGCCAACTCCTGCCGTACCTGACTCAGGTAACTCCTCAAGACTTCCGCTTCTTGTCTGTCTTTGGGACCTTCGAAAGCTTGGTTGAGTGGGAAGTTGGGGTCTGAGGGGATTGCGAAATGGTCGAGTGCGCCTACACGGAAAAGATATCAGCTGCGGGGTCTGTCGGGGTTGAAATGTAGTCGAGAAGGGCGAGTGCAACGTTTGCAGGACCCAGCTCGCTGCGCTCGCCCTTCCTGCCGATGGATTGCTGCCATGTGCCACCGCTTCGCTGGTCCCATGGCTTATGCTCACTCACCATTAATCAGCGCCTTCTCCGCCGCCCTCGCGTCCATCCCAGGTTTCACCTTCCCCAGGCACTCACTCACAAACAGGATCCCATAGATCAGTAACCGATCGGCGGGACCCTTGATCTCGAAGTTTCGGAAGAAGGTGTTGGCGCGGAATAAGGACAGGACTTCGTCGAGGATATCGTATGACTCGCTGTCCGGATCGACATCAAGCGCGTTGGTGGACGGTGGGAGTTGAGGAAGGGCGTAGGCTGGGCCGCGGGTTTTGGTGCGGAGTGGGAGGAGGGGTGTGTTGCCTGTGAGCGTGGGCTGTTAGTGTGTGATCGATAGAGAGCTGTGCGGTCCGCTGCGCTGCTGGCGCTGCCGTTTCTCCCAACTTCTCGCAGTGTCGCTCCTGGAGGATCTGTTCCAATCGCAAAGGTGTTGCTTGCTCTCATGCTCTTGATTCTCGCGCGCTGCGCAAGGCTCGGGTTGAGGCCCCCAGTCTCTCGCCCATCAGTGTAGCCGCTGCATCGTACTCTGAGACCCTCGCTGCGCTCAGTCTGCCATGCCTCGTCCGCGCCGACTCACGTCCTCCCACCCACCATGCATGCATCAATCTCACTACCCCACAGCTACCCGTCCTCTGCCTCACCACCAGTCCCATCCACTCACTTTTGCATCACGCCCGCTTCGCTCATGTACGTACCTATAAGTTGGTGTCCCTGATCATTCAGAAAGATTGAATGGTATGCCTAACATCACCACAAGTTCATGTCAGTCTTGATTGAGTCTTCTTCCTCGTTCATAAGATGGATCCGGTTGATGGGATGCAACCCCCGAAAACGACGTAGTGCAAGGTGTGGCGCGGACATGTTCGGACGATGTGAAGGAAGACGTACCGGCATCGTGCCTGGACCGTTGTCTGTGGCCGTAATCGGGGGCCTGCAGCCGTCGGCGGGGTGTGGATCGGTGGTGAGGACGGTACGTGCGCTCACTCGCTTGATCTCCGGACGGAGTGTTTTCTCGGGGTCGGAGTCGGTGGGCTGCAGGCTATTGTATAGAAGTGCGATCGAAGTGCAGCGGTTGTAATGCAGAAGGACTGCTCAGAATGTAAGAATGTCCAGTCGCAGTTGCTTCAATGACAGATGCCTTGGCGGTGATGCGGCTCCGCGGGTAGTTGCTACGGTGCAGTGGGGTGGAATAGGCGGAAAGTGCGAGGGCTTATTGTACGCCGGATGACAAGATTTGTAGTCGCCACAAACTTGAACGAGGGAACCGCACGTGCAGAAGACTCGGCCTGGAATTAATCGGTGATTGAAATGGTAGACGACATCGATGTTTATGAATAGTGCCTGAACATTCGTGCTCTACACATTCTACCTCCCAAAACCACACCGCGGTTGAGCATCAGTCAATAATGATCTCATTCTCTCCTGCCCTACTCCCCATCTCCCGCTGCGAAATGTCCGCATCCGGGGTCTCAGGAATCTCCGACGACGAGTCCGAAATCTCTTGGTTGACGCTCCTTGCTTGCTGATCTACTCCATGCTCGAGCGCATCCAGATCTACTCCCTCGGCAGGAGATTCTGCCCATGCTGGCAAGTCGTCATCGTTTCTGTCGTCAACGTCTCCCTCCTTCGTAGCACCGTCCGCAGACCGCATCATATGCATACCATTCTGCAGATTCTGAGTTGTGACGCTGTCGGCGGGGCTGGCTCGAGCATGCGCAGGCGATGGCTGTGGAGATTCAGGCTGCGCGGCATTACTGCCCTCGTGAGGTGCGGCAGGAGTCGACAGTCTTGGTCGCTTCCCACCTCGTACAGGCCGGACTGGCTCAGGTTCGGCATCACTGTCGTCCTCAATAACGTGAAACTCAGTCTTCTTGAGCTCCTTGCGCTGTGCTGTAGCCTCACGTGAAGACGTAACTGTGCGTTGAGGTGAGAGCTTGCGTGGCGGAGGGTGACTAGTGGAGAAGGAGTTCGAGATGCTGTGCTCAGGCGCCTTTGTCTTCACTCTCTTGAACTTTCTGGGTGGGGATGGCAGGCGGTCGAAGCCAGGCGCCGGCCGCTCTGATTCTTGATCTGCGACTGAACGCTCATGAGTAAGATGCGGCAGATCAGACTTCAGCTCCGGAATGTCCTGGACAGACTCGTGAGGCGACGACTGCCCGTCATCCCCCTCCTTGTCGGTGACAGCAGTCCCAAAATTTCGCAGAGCCTTGGACGAATCTTTCATGTCGACCATCACACTACCCAGACCTGGTATCGTCCACTGGCTCTCCTCGTTTTCCTGTGCGCGATGAAGTTCCATGATGAGACTTCTCATTCGGTACCGCAAATCACTGCCGTCGGGCTTGTCTGGCCAGCCAACCTCGGCTTTGCGTTGCAGTATATCCTCCACAAACTGGTATGGATTCTTGATGAACTGCTCCAGGTACATACAGACATAGAGTCCGCAGTCGCTGAAGTTGCTTTGCAGCGGTATCATCTTGGCTGTCATGGCTTTCAATTCGTCAATGTCTATCTCCTTGCCGTTGTCTTCGCCCAATGCCACAATGTAGTCTTTGATCAGCCTACAGGTTGCAGTCCGACCAAGACCGAGGGAGTCGAGTGTAATGATGACGGGCTTTTTGGTGTCGTATTTCTTGAGAGGTGCCGCCTTCTTCTTCTTCCGGCCTTTTGATTTTCTTGCAGGGCTTGAGGCTATTGTGAGCTCTTCGAACGATTCCTGTGTCTCTCTCGTTGCTTTGGTGGTATCCGAGGGGTCTTCAATATCGTCAGGGTTCTGTACTTCTTGTACCTGATCGTTCTCGTCCTCCTCAGCCACTTCCTCTGGAGGTCGATTGTAGGATGACAGGTTGCAGATAATAATGGCGTACCAATGCAGGTTCTCGTTGACTGGTATGACGACAAAGTCCCGGCTGAACAGATTTACAGTCTTGGTCCATTTCTTCACGGCATCGAAGTTGATCCCTTTGCCTTTGGTACCTTTGGTCAAGTTCTCATAGAAGTACGTGTTGAAGAAATGTAGCTTGGTCGAATATCGCGAGTTACTTACCTCAGTCTGGTATTGTAGGTACCGCAGGAAGAAATTGATCAGAGTATCGTTGAGGAACTCGTCGTCATCGAATCGCTTGAGCGAGCCGAAATCGACCTCGACCTGTTTCTTTGCCTCGGGAGGATAGATGAGCGCCTTCTTCCATGGCGCTCCCAAACCAACCGTTTCCGAGAATTTGATGACCGGTCTTGGGGGTGTTGCTTCCCTTTCCTGTGCGCGCCGCGTTGCGCGGGCCCGCTGCGGACGGCCATTTATGATTTGTGTAAGCTCGTTAAGCTCTTCTGACGGCGCAGACGACAGCTGCTGGTCGTGCTCAGTGGAGGTTCTCGTTCGCCGGGTCGAGATTTGTGGCGCATTGCTCGTGCCTGAGCGCTCACTGCCTGATATCACTGTCGTTGGCTTCCTGGGAGGGTCGAGCATGTCGCGTGTTCGCTTGAGATCCGCCGGCTGGCGTCCCTTCTTCTCTCTGATCACAGCTGCCGATGCCAGTCCCGGTCCGCGCGTGAATTCGTCGTCGCTATCAGACGTTGCTGACGGCTTTCTTCGTCGCTTCTCCTTGATCTCACCTGACGGCGCAGCCATTCTACTGCCGGTGGACTCGTCGTAGCTACCGGACACCGCTGTTGGTCCCTGTCTCCGAAAGACTTTTTCCAGCCATGTGCTTTCCCTTGTATGGACATTCAACGACGCATCTATGCCTTGTAGTGCCTTAACGAAGTCAACGACAGCTTTCTCGCTCTTCATCTCGAATATGATCTGAAAATACGTGCCGGCTTGAGTCCCACGAAACTTCAGCAGCACAATTGGCGCAGGATCTGCGCTGTAAATGATGTTGATAATGCTGGCGATTCTCCAGGGGCCTTTCACAGGAGCCAAGGTGCCTTGTTCAGCGTCCCAACTGAGTTCCGGGTCGGTGATGTTGATCCAACATTTCTCGTCATTCTTGTCGACGACAAAATCATAGAAATCGGGCTTGGGTTGTAGACCATTAGCTGCGAGTCGCACCAGGTTAAAGATTTCAAGCCCGGTGGGTGGAGGTGTAGGTCGTTTTGGCTCCCGTTGCAGGCTGCCTCTCTTGGGATCACCCATTATGAAATCCATAAGGCGCTTCCCGCCCTTAGCCTCTCTCTCTTGTCGAGCAACGCTGATTTTCGGACTGGTCAAAGCTGCCGCCTTCCCCGAAGTAACTGTATTCGGCTCTTCAAAGTCCTCTTGCAGCGCGTCAGGACTCTCAGCTGGTGCGAAGAGGTGCTTCGAATCCGAGAGGTGTGTCGGCGTGGTTTTGGACGTGCCGGCACCATTCGTATCTATCATCTGAACACTGCGAGTCGGCGAGACCGTGGAGATTCGATCGGCTCTGCGCTGCGCAGCGGCCTGTTTCGTGAAATCGGAGCCACTCTCGCCATCACTTCCGCTCTCAATTGTCTCTGGATTGCTGCGGTCATTTGCACCGTTGGTCGAAGTTGCCGCCATGTAGTAGGGCGAGACAATGGCGTCGCTGGCGGAAGACTGAGTCCGCCGCTTTGACTGATGCGATGACCCCGCATGTGTTTGTGCAGTGTCCCTCGGTCGTGATCCATTCACTACTGGCGACCCATGCGCGCTGGTAGGGCGACGAGCGATCGGATTGTTAAGGTTCCTGACGGCAGACCTCAGTTGGCTTGTGCTGCTGCTTTCAGGTATGGATGTTACCGACGGGGACTTTCTATGGTTCTGACTCGAGGTTGTCGTACTGCCGTTGGTACCAGTGTGGTCGAGCTTCTGCTTTTTGTTCGGAGGCTCGGACCCTACTGGATATCTGCGCACGTTGCGGCTTATGAACTGAGATCTCGACTGGGTTGGACCACCACTGCTTTGATTCAGTGTGTTGTGTGGCTGGAAGCCTCCTGGTATACCCTTCTTGCCGCTTGTGAACTACCGTTGGCCGTCAGTATTGTGGGATACTTCCTTGTTCTAGATTGCAAGTACCTGCTGATTCTTCGCCATGGGATCGGCGACGATCAATGCATCCGGATCCGGTGTGCTGCTGAATTTCAGTATGATGCTCTTTATTGTTGCACTTGTGCCTTACTATCGTTCTGGAGGTAACAGACGCTGCTCGTGCTGCCGCTGTTGCGCACGAGTGTTGCTCCTAACAAGAGGGTTCGTTGCGCGTGGTGAGGACGATCGCGAGCCTCGAAGTGTGATCGCCCTGTCAACGTCGTCGCTGAAAGAGTCCGATATCTCCACGGGTAAGCGAGGCTTCCGTTGCTGTGGGAGCGCATAAAGCGCAGCATTTGCGCCTACTTCATGGACATGTTTGCTCGGTATTTGTTTCTTGTCCAGCGGATTCTTAGGCGGCGGCACGAAGAATGGTGAGTCGCTCATGAGGGATCGACGGCGACTCTGTCTCTTTGAATTGGAAGGATAGGAACGTTCATGTTCAGTAACGGAACAATATGCCGCAACACGTTTGCGTTTGTGGTTGTTGGGCGGTCGTTGTGGTAGAGGTGGGGGATCAATGCGCGCCTCGAGTTCAGGTGAGAACCGATCGTGGCTGCCATGTGAGTCGTGGAAGAGGTCACTGATGGAAGTTACGATGCCTTGAGCAAAGGACTTTAACATCTGCCGTCGTCTCTTCTTTTTCTCATCCTTGGTAAGCGCGAAAACAGAGCAATTACTATCGAGGACATTACTCTAGATTGTTGACTTTGGCGCGATCTGGAGGTGTGACGTGCGGAGAAGGTTCGTGCATTCATTGTCGCTTAGTCCACCAATAAATACTACAATATCGAGGACACATAACAAGGACGCGAAGTATCAGAAGCACACGCAGGGCATAAAGCACAGATTGGCGGACAAGTCAGATGAGGTCGGCCATAAGCCAAACGTAGTGATTGACGGGTATTCGTCCTCGTCTCTTGAAACTACCTATCCAGTGATAGAGTACACTAATATAACATGCCGGACATGAGACGTCGCCAGTACTATGGCGCTACAGTGGCCTTGCCCTTGCCACGATCCAAATCGTCGTTCAAGGTGGTCCGCCTTCTCAAGGCTTCAGGGCGATCCTGACCAGGAGCACCACTAGTCTTTTGCTGGCGAGCCTCATCGAGGGCTGAGCGTTGTGCGATGGAGTCATCGTGGCTCTTCCAGATGATGTTCGTGTCCGGTGGGAAGGCGAGGATGCGTTTGATCGTCTCTCTGCAGAAAGGTCAGTCATATACGCAAACGGAGAGCTGGTTTGCTTACCTGATCTTGATGTTGCGTCCTCCGTCGATCTTTGTCCAGACGCTCAACACATCCTCACCAGACCGAACGCTCAACACCGCACCGCACACCTCGTCACCGGCTTCGAGGAACTGATCGCCGATGATGGCGAGCAGCAGGTCCTCCCAGTACCTGTCCGCGACGCCCTTCTTAAGGCGGACAATCCACTTCCCGCCTCTCTTATTGGCTTCGTCCTCCCACACAGGCCGAATGCCGTCCTTGAAAATGTGGTAATCTGAAACGGTCGGGAGAGCTGACGGGTGCTTGAGGTGAGAGTAGATGGCCCAGAATGCCTCGACCGTAGAGATAGTGGCGATCTTGGTCGTCGACTTTTCGTAGTCGGAGTACTTGTTCGCTGGAGGGCGGTAGTACAGGTTCCAACTGTTGCGCAGAGGATGATCAGTTGCTGATGTGTCTACAGGGGCCTTCGTCTCTGGCTTTCCCACAGCTGATTCCGGCTCCTTCTCCTTCTTGTCTTTTGTAGAAAAGTCAAATGCTGTTCCTGCGCCTGGAGTTTTGGGCGTCTTTGCTGAACCAAAAGAAGCAAAAGCACCGCCGGCTCCCAAATCAAAGGCCGAAGAAGCGCCCGCTGCCGGAGACTTGATCGCAGCCGGTGTTATGGCGCTGAAGGGATCTCGCTTGGAATGTGATGATGTATCGCCAGCTCGTTTGAATGATCGCGGGGAGTCAACTTTATTGCCGTCCTTACTGTCAGAGTCCTTCACGGATAGTGACAGCTTTGCGGCACTATTCTCATTAGCAGGACGCATTTGGACACCAGAGTCGAGCTGATCTTACTTGTTAGATCGTCGAGTCCAGAGGTTGGCATTCTCCATGAGCGGTGAGTTGAGGTGTTGGCGGAAGGGATATCAAGCGAGTGACAGGAGGAGCAGACGCCCGCTATGCTTCATGCAATGCGATCGGTGCTTCGAACGAATGTGCGGATGCGAGCTAGAGGCGACGAACGGGTGCGCTCTGTGTATGCGGTCGAAGTGATAGGTGGTCACGAGCGGGATCGATCAGGGAGGACGTCGTTATGGCTTGCTTTTCATTAATGCGGGCGTAGTTTGGTTTTCGTATAGAGATGTCAGGTGGTTAGTTGGTGCTTTGGTGTCGCTGGCTGGTGATTATCGTGTGGTGAATGCTGTATTTGGGTGTTTTAATATTCAGGAACAAGAATGGTGATCGAAAATGAAGAACTGCGCTGGGCTGGGACCACTGCAGGGTGCTTTCCCCACACTCTCCCACCGAATTGGGAGAAGTCCAAGAACACCAAAAAGAAAAGTCGAGGAGCCTCAATTCTCGTCTCCTCTTCTCTTCTACTATTACAAGACCACCAATCCTAATCATCATCAGCTGTTATCTCGCTCTATCTCCATGAGGCTGGCGATTGCGATGTGTCGGTCGAGAGTATATCACTATCCGCATCTAAAACCATCATTGCGAGGGCCTCCGTGGCTTCCCATGATGTCTTGATGACCTGATTGACGGAACATCTATCTTACCAATATGCCGCTCTCTGCACCAAGGGAGCCTTCGGGTGTCCGTCCAGTAGTCTGGCGTCTTCGACCACCTCTGACATTCTTCTGGCGACGTGGAAGAGAACGAGGGTGGTACTGTGATGACGAGGCATGAAGACAGCACAATGCAGTTTTCACCAGACGTCCGAGAAAGTCGAGTCACTCTCATTGTGCGTGCTCATCTCATCCGTAATCAAGTTCACGTCGCTACAAGATTGATACAATTTTCTCTGGTAATCTGATTCGCAACCGCCTCTTTTATGAGCTGCTGGTAGCGTATGTGGAGCAGGCATTATCTGATTTGCGATCCTTCGTTTTCGAGTTCGCCATGACATCGATGATTGTCCTTACTGACACGCGTTGCAGCCACTACACAGCATCGATGCTTGCTCTCGAGGTGAGCTGCTCGTTTTGGTTGCCCAGTCTCGAGATCTGCAAAAAGGCATCAACCCCGTACCCTTCCAGACTGTGCAGTTCCAGTCCACCGGCCCAGTACTCGGCATAGACCTTACTCATGGGCAAACCCATCCCTAGTTTCATGTTCGGTGGTCTTGATGCTAGTGCTCCCAGAGACGAATCTCTCTTCTTGCCGCCTAATGCTGGCGTCACTTCGTTGACAGTGGCGGCCAGCTCTGGCACCTGTCCAAAGTTCTCGAGCCGTCTGGAACTTCTAGGTCCCTTAGTGAATGAATAGAGGTAAGGGAGCAAGTCTCGTGACACGCCGCCACCACGGTCGGAAATGCGAATCACGACATGTTGCGGTGCCTCGCAGATCAGGACTTCGATTGGTTCCGGCTTTGATGTACTGCCGACGTTGGTCTCCATCACAGCCTGGATGGAATTGCGTAGGAGCTCGCTGATGATGTACTCCAGGTGGCTCAGAACGTACGGGAAGGTGGCATTGGTATGTCCTAGGATTTTGATATCGGGCACCTGTCCTCCGCCGGCTTCTGGCGATCGGCATATGTCCTGCGCGATCTTTCCGCACCGCTCGATTACCTCTTTTGCGTTACATCTCAACAGCACTTCGCCAACGAAGTCATTTTCGGAGCTCGGGCGTGGCACATGCCAAGGTGAATTGAAGGTCTCCGTTAGGGCAAGATGTTGCTCTGCGATGACTCGTCTCGAAATGCGAGCTCGGAGCATGGCTTGCACGAAGGCGTCCATAACGTCGTGCGGCACCAAATCGTGGCATTGTAGGACACCCATCACCAGATTTGGGATGACGGCCAGGTGCTCTCTCAGGCTCTCACTGATGACCTTGCAGAATTGGTCGTTGTCTTCTGGTGATCGGATGGGTGGGACACGGCGGTAGGTCTCGAACGATTTGTAGTAGAGCTCGTAGACTAGCGACAAGTGTGGGTTCATAAGGACAACGTAGGGTAGGCGCTGCATCTCCCGCAGTCGGTGGGCCAGGCGGGTTGGTAGTTCGTTGCGCACATAGTTGGCAGAGCTCAGCAGTCGTGATTCAGTAAGTGTTCGACCGAAGAAGAAGAGCTGTCGTAGACTGATGGGCCGTATTGGCTGCGTCACCCAGCTGTGTTCGTCGTCAGTCATCCCTCGCTCATTGTGACTGCGGGGTTCTCGTACTCATCCAAAGCTGCGGCTGGTCTCCATGGTGGCGGCGACGTAGATGCCGACGATGTCCATCTCGACAGTCCTGGCTGCCAGGATCTCTGTACACGTCCTAGCAGAGATGGCCGTCTAACACATCGCGCCTGTAGCATCTCATGGCATAGCTGCGCTGGTCGCAGGCTATCGATTTCTGTTCGCGTGCCTTTCAAATGACATTGTCGCTGCGCGCATGGGAAGTCGAGCTACTACAGGCTACTGCATGACAGACTGATGACTTCCGATGTAGCGAGGTGTATAGTCGAGGTAAAGAGGGTTCAAGAGGTGTGGGTGAGTGAAGAGGCAGATGCACTGCAGATCATTGTGACTGTGAGGTGCGGATGCGCGCAGTCGTCATTGGCGACTCCGAACTTGCCTCCGATACGAACGACGTGCTGAATGACTTCCAAGTCACTTGTTCCTGCGTTTGATTGTCCCAAACAAGAGCACAAGCTTTAGTCAACGGCAGCTGTGTCCTATGCAAACACTGTCGCCCTCATAAGCAATCCTTAGGCAGCCCTCGCCACTGCCCATAGACTTTGGCTTCGTCAGCGGGCCCCGCGTTCCAGTTGCGCTTTCTCGACACCGCGACTGCCACTACAATTGTTACCGATTGGAATCCCACGCACGCTTCGGGAAGGCAGAAGAATCTGTATCTTTCGGGTAGCCTCTGGCTGTGGCCAGCATGGACAACGTGAGTCCAATATAATCAATCCCGATGAATCTGTCTTTCCGCCCAAGAAAATCGACTGACCAAATGCGGCCGCTCGAGGTCGAGCAGTTGGCCGGTCCTGACATGATGATTGATGGCTATGAACAATTCAATCAACAAGAGAACGATGTTGTTAACATATCCGCCGACGAGCATTCCGAGGATGCCGCCGCTGAGAATATCCTGCGAGCTGACGATTGTATGTTGCCTATGCTGCGGCGTCGAGATGCCATTGCTGATTACTTGACCAGATGAGACCATGAAAGATCACGTCCTGACAGACAAAGAAGGTCTCGAGACCCTCGATGAAACACACAGCACATGGCACATCCAGGGCTGGCGGCAGATGCAGCGCAAAGAGCATGGACCGGTTTTCCAGTGTGGTGGCTCACCATGGCGGATTCTCTTCTTCCCACTCGGCAATCAGGTCGACTGCGCTTCCTTCTACCTCGAACATGGCTACGATGGTGAGCCGCCCGAAGATTGGTATGCCTGCGTTCAATTCGGCCTCGTTTTGTGGAACCCAAAAGACCCGAGTCTGTATCGAGTTCAAAATGCCAACCACCGCTTCAATGCAAAGGAGGGCGACTGGGGATTCACGCGGTTTGTGGAGTTACGCAAAGCATTTCACCAGAAGTGGGAAGAGAGTGACAGGACCCTGGTCGAGAACGACGAAGCCATGGTCACCGCCTACGTCCGCGTCCTCAAAGATCCCACTGGCGTCCTGTGGCACAATTTTGAAGGCTACGATTCCAAGAAGACCACCGGCATGGTAGGCATGAAGAATCAAGGTGCCACGTGTTACCTCAACTCTCTCATACAGTCCTTGTACTTCACAAACGCCTTCCGCAAAGCAGTCTACCAAATACCCACAGAGTCAGAGTCGACAAGGAGCAACAGCGCCTGGACGCTACAAAGGCTGTTCTACCGACTTCAAAAGGACAAGCTTGCAGTCGCCACCACTGAGCTGACCGCATCGTTTGGCTGGGACAGAGGGCAGATCTTCGAGCAACAAGATGTCCAAGAGCTATCACGAATCTTGATGGATGTCCTAGAAAAGAAGATGCAAGGCACGCCAGCCGAGAGGACACTGCCGGACCTGTTCGTTGGGAAGATGAAGACATACATATCGTGCATCAACGTCAACTACGAATCTTCACGGATTGAAGAATTCTGGGACCTCCAGCTGAATGTTCGGGGCAACAAGAATCTCGACGAAAGCTTCCGAGATTATATCCAGGTTGAAACATTAGAAGGCGAGAACAAATACGATGCTGGCGAGCCCCACAAGCTCCAAGACGCTCGGAAAGGCGTCATTTTCGAGAGTTTCCCTCCTGTTCTTCACCTACAACTCAAACGCTTCGAGTACGACATCCAACGAGACGCCATGATGAAAGTCAACGATCGACACGAGTTCCCCGACGAGTTCGATGCGAGCCCGTATTTGTCTGAGGAAGCCAGAGCTAGCACTGATGAGCCTTGGGTATACCAGCTTCACAGTGTCCTGGTCCACAGTGGTGACTTCAACGCGGGTCATTACTACGCTTACCTGAAACCGAGCAAAAGCGGCGACTTCTACAAATTCGATGATGACCGAGTCACAAAGGCTACGTTAAGAGACGTGCTCGAGGAAAACTATGGCGGCGAGTATGCCAATGTGGCCAACGGCGGCATCGGCCAAAGACAACCATATATGCGTGGTTACTCGACTAAGCGCTCGATGAATGCCTACATGTTGGTCTATATCCGAAGAAGTCGACTCGATCAGGTCTTCATTAATGTAGAAGAGAACGACATTCCGTCTCACATCGAGCAGCGGATAACAGAAGAGCAGGCTGAGCTGGCGCGAAAGAAGAAGGAGCGTGAAGAGCAGCACCTTTACCTTCATGTCGGCTTGATTACCGAGAAGTCGTTCAAGACCCATACTGGTTTCGACTTGACGAATTACGAAACCGATGCTGGTGAGAGCTACGCTCCGACCGTGCATCGGTTACTCAAGACTTCAAAGGTCAGCGACTTCGCGGCCAGTGTAGCAGAAGATCTGGGTGTGGATGCTGATCAAGTCCGATTCTGGTCGATGGTAGGACGACAAAATAAGACCAATCGACCCGATCAGCCCATTCGAGAAAACGACATCACCATGCAAGAAGCCACAGACAAGTACGGATCAAGGGGAAAGCCTTTCTATGTATGGGCCGAGAGCTATCCACGATCAGAAGATGGTCAAGTTCACTTCCCAGATCCCAACCCTACCAGCCCGAACTGTCAGATATTGGTTTTCCTGAAGTACTTCGACGTCCGGAATCAGACTCTCGCCGGTGTCGGCCATGTCTATGTCCGTAAGAACGACAAGGTGGCCGATATTGCACCTCAAATCAACGCTCTGATGCAATGGGACTCGAGTACGCCGTTACTGCTCTTCGAAGAGATCAAAGCCGCGATGATTGAAGCAATGAAACCTAAGCAGACATTCCATCAATCGGAAATTCAGGACGGCGATATCATTTGCTTCCAGCAGAATTTCTCGGAGTCAGATCAACCTGCTGTTGCATACACAGACGCCCGGCAGTACTACGACTTTCTCCTCAATAGAACGAGCATTGCATTCCATCCACGGCCCGGCCTCGATGGCGACGTCTTTACCTTGACTTTGAGCAAGAAGATGACCTACGATCAAATGTCGGCCAAGGTCGCGGAACATCTGCGGATAGATCCTACACATCTGCGCTTTGCGACAGTCAACACATCGACGAATAAGCCCAAGGCATGGGTCAAGCGGAATCTCAACCAAACGCTCAACCAAATATTCCACGCGCAATACTCGACTTACGGCGGCTACTCAACACATCGATCCGACGTATTATACTACGAAGTCCTCGAAACAAGTCTTGCCGATTTCGAAACCAAGAAAACCATGAAGGTCTCATGGCTTAGCGAAGGCATCAACAAAGAGGTATGTGCATTCACCAAACTCTGCTTCCCTGACTGACAACACCAGGAACTCTTCGAAGTGCTCGTCCCGAAGAACGGCACTATTGGTGACCTGATCACCGGACTAGCCCGAAAACTCAATCTCGACGACGCTAATGCCCGGTACATCCGTGTTTTCGAAGTACACAGCGCCCGAATACACAAAGAACTCGCCGAAGACTTCAACGTGGTTGGCATCAACGAATTCACCACTCTCTACGCCGAACGAATACCCGACGACGAACTCAATGCCACCGAGAACGATCGAATGATCTACTGCTACCACTTCGATAAAGAGTCCAACAAGCCTCACGGCGTGCCCTTCAAGTTCTTCCTGAAACCTGGCGAGAAGACCTCTGAGATGAGGGAACGAATCAGTAAGAGGACGGGGATCAAAGGGAAGTTGTTGGCAAATATCAAGTTCGCGATCGTGCCAAGAGGGGCGTATGCCAAGCCGAAGTACCTTGAGGAGGAAGATGTGCCATTGGACGTGGTTGGGGAGGGAAGCGTGGGCGAGGAGTTGCTTGGACTGGACCACGTGTCGAAAGCGCCGAAGAGTCTGTGGTCGAGAGCTGAAGGCATGTTCATCCGGTAGACACGGTGCTGCAGCTTCGAGGTACCTGAGACAGGTGGACGGCAAGTGCGTCCGAGAAAGAGGCAGGTCCGAGCGGGCAAGAAGCCAGCATCTGTAAGCTAGCATAGGCACATTGGGCAGGCAAAAGAGCACTGACTGCCGCAGGCCGCTTGGAGTGAGATTTCCTCGACAGGCAAGCAGGATGGTAAGCTCATGCATCAATAGGGCATATACACAGATAAGACGCAGCGATTCAATGGACAAAAAGCTCTAGATGGATCACCACCAGTACCGACTTCAATTAGCACCGCATGCCACATTTTCATGATCGGATTGCCTCTTCGGAACATGCTTCAGGCAAACCTAATCTCGACCCAATTGACTCGTCCCATTAGGAGCTCTTCTTTGGCAATGGGAATTGCATGGTCTCGGGCGCTTGGGCGGTATTCGAATAAGTTGGCTTCTGCCTTCGGGAATGGTAATTGCTTCGGGACGTTTTCTTTGTTTGATTTTGCAGCTGTAGAAGGACGCAGTATGGGTGAGTACTGACCCGCGGCTCCTCGTCCTCAGCAGATGGCTTCGCCCCATGCGCTTAAAAGCGCGAACGTGCCCCTTGAGAGAAATCTCCTCTCTCTCCCTCCTCACCGAGTAGCCACACTCTCTGGCGGCTTCATCACACCGCAACATGTCAGCGAGGTCCAGTGCAATGGCTTCTCGGAACACTTTGGCTAACATCGTCTCAGATATCGATACCAGCACTCGGTTCATCAACAGCAACGCCAAGCATGTCTCTCGAACCCTGGGAGCGTCCCTTTCCGGGTCTGGTGCGAGCCGGAAGAGATAGCGACGGCATTCCCACTCGACGACGCACCACACACGAGATTGTCATTCACGACGCGTTGGTCCGTTCGAGACGCAAGAACGTGGATCTCGAAGCTACTGTTGCAGACTTGAGGAAGACGATCGACGAGTTGACGAGGACGAATGACGAGTTGAAGAAGGAGAAAGCCGAGCTGAAGACGATGAACGAGGGCTTGCGGGCAACGAACAACTGCTTGAAGGAGGTCGGTCAAAGCTTCGAGAGGATTTATGTCGATGCTGAAGAGGAGATGCAGGGTTTGCGGACGGAGCTTGATAGTCTGCGTGAGGGTTGGAACGCCGTGAAGAGGGCGGTGCAAATGCACGAGTAATGGTCGGAAACGTCGAGAAGGCGGGTATGGTCATTCGAGGATGCCGAGGACCAAGTGGTGGTTTTGCGGAAGGAGCTGGATAGGTTGCGTGCTGGGTATAACGTAATAGCTGGGGTGGTGCAGAGATGTGGGTGGGATTTGGCAAGGCTGTGCAGGTGTTGATTCATTTCTGAAGGTCTCGGATGCATGGTCGACATTGAGATAACGTGTGTAGTATAGGTGTGATGGGTCTCGGAAGCTCTGATATGTATTGGTGTCTTCGTTTCCCAGTTCGGTACACGGTGATTGTTCCAGACCACTTCGTTCGTGTCCAGCGGGGAATTTGATTGTATATATACACACCTGCAGCGCTCTCCTCCTGTTCCTTTCTTGTCACTATTTACTTGCCCACCAGAAAGCCGACCTGCCATTCAGTTCAGCATTATCCGGCTCGCCAACGTACAGACATTGATTCTGTCTTAGGAAGTCACTGAGTCTAGCTTGTACCGACCCGTGCCAAGCAGGTGAGAGAATTGCACTCCCTTAGTCGACCTTCTGTGAGCATCTGACTAACAAGCCTGCAGAATCCAACAGCTTCCGTCCTCCATCCCCCAGCAACCCCGACCATGTCCCAGTTCTCAATCCCGCGGGCCCACGCCGGCGCTCACCGCGCCAGAAGATCCCCTGAAACCCCAGCAGCTCCACGACACGCACATGCACACCGCAACACAACACCGCTGACCGAATTGAACAACCTGCGGAACAAGGTGAAGGATCTGGAGGCCAAAAACAAGACGTTGGCGGCCCGGGTCGAGGAGATGACCAAGCGATACAGAGAGCTGTGGGGGAAGTATGAGGACAAGAAGGGGCTTCTGACTGCCGCGCAGAAGAAATTGGGTGGGGTGGAGGAGGAGCTGAGGAGGTTGAGGGAGAGGTGGAGTGCGGTGAAGAAGTTGATGTAGGGTGGGGGGGTGGTGTTGGGGTGTTTGAGGGTGTGATGATCCAGCTTTGGGGCCTTGAACGTAGAGATGATTTGAGAGAGGGTGCAATGATGCCGTGATGGGCTCAGAAGAGTGTGCTGTGTATTGGTGCATCACTTTGCTAGCTGGTACGCTCCGCTGCTCCGTGCCAATTTCCTTGCTTCGCTTTCTGGTAGGCGATGTGTCCTAGAAGACTTTGATAGATTTTCATCCCAGTCCTTGCTGATCTAGTGCACAGTGAGCGATTCCGGGACTTTCTCGGCCTCGTCCTGCACCAAGGAAGTGGACATGATCGGTCTCGGGAGGCTTCGATATCTTAAGATCGACCCTTCCCAATGTGGCCACACTGTGACCGCTCTGGGCAACTTTCTTTGTCTCGGCCTGTGGGGAACGATGCGTCTCGGGACACTTCGATAGATCTTGATCTCAACCACTTCTGATCAAGTATACAGTGAATGTTCCTGGGTCGCTCTCTCGGTCTCGTCCTGTGGGAAATGATAGGTCTCGGAACGCTTCAATGTATTTCGAGATAAACCTTTCCCAATCTGGTACGCTGTAATTGCCCTGGGCCAGGTTCTTCATCTTCCGGATGAAGCGATGGGGTCAAAACTCACTTGCGACCCTGGATCTCTTCCCACTCCTCGCTCATTCTTTTTCATTCCTTCCGAAGCCGCCAGTCACACGGATCTGCCTGCGAGCCCCCAACCCGCCGGTATTGAGTGTGTATTCGACGAAGTGCTCTGACCATCATTACCAACCCCTAGTCAGTAAAAAAGAGAGTGTTAGTGTGGCCCCAAGCACTTATCATTCCCGACTAAGACACTGTCAGACACAAGATAGCTGTCGACTTCGCCAGTGTATCGACAGCTGCTATGCATCCTGACTTCACTCGCAGGCAACGGCGCGACGGTCAGCCTTTCCGGCAGTTGTCAGGCGGGCGGTTGTTCGGTGCTACTCCCCTACGATGGAGCGACGCAGAGTATGATGCCGTTAGGGAAGGATTGATGGCCGCGAACAGGGTGACCCAGAACCGTGACGACACAATCAGACGCGGGGAGGCTACCAACGAAGACCTGCGTCGCCAGAATGGCGAATTGGACGCCAAGTGCAGGGAGTTGACCAAGCAATGCACCGACCTTCGTGAAGAGTGTGACGCCAAGGCCAAGGAATTTTCAGAGCTTCGCAATACACATGAATCAAAGACCCAGGAGTTGGCCCAGCTCCTTCGGCAGTACGAACACAAGAACGAGCTTCTGGCTGCTAGTGAGCGGAGAGTGCAGGCGATGCAGGAAGTGTGGAATGCAGCGGATAGGTCGATGCGGGCATTTGAGTGAGCCTTGTGGGAGTAGGAAAATGGATGATGGACGGATGGGCCTAAGCTTGTTGGTGGAATCGTGGGGCTTGCTGGAGTGCCATTAATGATTGTTCAGGACTTGTTGACTATGGATTCGACGGCTGGAGATGGCTTTGCTCCTTGTCACATGGCAGTGCTATCAGATAGCTTGGGTGCCAGCCTAGTGGTGACTGCGCGCAGCACCAGAATGCCGGCACGGTGTTATGCCCGGCATTTTGTAGCGGGACACAGTCAGAGAAGTGCCTATCGGAATTCTTCGCGTATTTTCTGGCGATCGCGTCTGCTGCAGATACAAGGAGCGTGCTCCTTCGGGACAGAAGCATGAGGCAGTGAGGTGCAGAACAAGGCAGACCGCCTGCAGTGGTGCTCGAGCACCCCAGCCAATCAATGCCCATACACGCAATCCTTGGCGAGGCATTCACTCCACTCAAGCACAACACGTCAACGTCTGGCGTTGCTGGTGCTCTCGTCCCATTGACTTTGGTCATCGTTGGAATTGTTGACCTCGCGCTGTACGCATCGCAGTGTAGGACGCGGCACGTAGCTGGGCGCTTTTCGTGCGGCGCCATGGCTTCTGTGCAGTATCGATCCTGCAGTACGCCTTTGCCACCCTCTCAAAGCCTGTTCAACGGACGTGATGAGCCTAGGAAACGCGTCGGGGCACCGTGGTGATACCTCTGTTAGATGGGTGCAGGTCGGTGAGGGCGTCGCCAAGATGAACTATGGTCAACAATAGATCTGCCACTTGACGAAGATGGGCTGCCATCGTACTGACGAATCAAACATTGTCGCCCAAGTCGATTTTTGAGGAAGCTGAACGCTCTACTGAATTACTGGAGGCGACTAAGGACGATAAGCACGCGTAAGTAAGTTTGAAGCAGTCGATTTGTCCCATCCCTGACTTTGAAACGACTTTGGCTGCTGTTGTCAAGATTCCGAAGCGTTGCGTGAGTTGTGGGCATCGTCAGGCTGTGGGAGAACTGAATAGTTGGACGACGCCTAGAGTCCGGCGCCATGAGCGCCGTGTCAACTTGCGATGCCCTTCCGACTGGTGACTTGCACCCTATCCGAGGTTCGTCCCCGTCCTGGTAGCATTTCAACCGGATTTGGCGCAGATGCCACAGGAGCTGAAGTCTCCGTCCATGCCCGGCACTAGAATAACGTATACTGGTCACTTGTCACTTGCCGTGGCTACTCACAGATTAACACTTGCTTCCATGGCCAACGGCAGCTATGCCTTCTCTGGTCGCGCCAAGAGCTTCAGAGTCGCGACTGCAGGCATCCACGTCGACCTCGTCTCGCTCTTTCTTCGATTTACAACATTCTTCAAAGCTTTCTTGCGATAGAAAACGCTGTCTTTTCGCCAACGTTGATTGAGACGACACCTCGGTTTTTACCGTGACTTGGATGGTAATTGACTTTCTCTTCGCTACTGACTGCTTTACTGATTGTATTATTAGCTGGGCGCCCCAGTCAGCAGACGCAATGGTTATGATGGATCGCCTCGGGAAGTCGAAGTTGGTAAAGCCAGCGAGACGGCAAAATTCAACAAACGACACGTTCAATTTCGGTATGCTGCTATCATTACATGTTGTCGATGTACATGGCGTTCCTATCTGCCTGCCCTCGAACCCATCCCGCTGTCAATGTCCCGAATGTCCATCGTAGTCCGCACCCGTGCGACAGTCTGACTGACCCTCATTGCTTAGCTGCACCTCCTACACCTCCAATGGCCTCCTTTCAGACCACCGGCATCGCTGCTCAGACATGCGATACAAACAACCAAGATCATAAAGCTTCTCAGCCGAGCACAGGGTCTGCGTCAGCCAGCAAAGGTAGCCCCCAAGTAGCCCAGCAGCTAGACTCGCTTGCTGATACGTTCCAAGGAGCCTACAGCACCAATACGAATGCGCCCTCTCCAAGCTCAAGCACTTCCAACACACCACTCGGCATGACACGAACCATGCTCAGATTCCGCAAGCACAAGCAACCGTCTGCTGGCACCTCTATTCCACAGCTACCTCTACCTTCTATGAGCACCAGCGAATCGAGTGGTCAATTCACCAATGATTCGACACAGACTATGCAGGCGCAAGGCGACGCGATGGACATCAACGTGTCAGGACCGACAATTGTCTCACAGCAGCCGATTGCATTCGGTCTGACATCGTTGGCCCCAAAAGTCCCAACCTCCAACGACACTCTTCCGTCATCTGCTCCGGTGGCTACCAATAATTCTGCCCCTTCCACTGCTGCTGGCGGTCCTTTCCTGCCGAACAATGTCGCCGTCGGCTCTCACCTACCTGGCTTGGCACATCCGAAGCAACTCAAAGCTACAACATGTCACACCCAACACCACGAGGACCTGGCGTCATGTTCCCGTCAGCAGAGATTCCACAGTCGATCGAAACGCACATGAGTGAAGCTCAGCCATTCCTGGACGACACTTCGACTAAGCCCGCCTTCTCCTTCACCTTGAACCAGAACAGCTCGACTCCTGCGACCAGTCAACACTTCCCTGACATTCACCCTGTTCCGACCGGTAGCTTCGAGGGCACTGATAACAATATACGACCTGCGGGCAATCGCGCTGTCAACTGGTCCATTCCTCCATACAGTAGCTTTGGCGTGCCTCACGCCGAGGCCGGCTCTCAGCCTGGTGCCGACGTTGACATGGAGGAGCTGACCCGACAGCATGTCAAGAATACTTTTGATGTAATCGAGCAAGAGCTTTCGTCTGTTCTGAAAACCGTCAACGCTCACGGCCAGGCCATAAACGAGAACCATAACCAGATCGAGCTTCAGGGTCGTGAACTCACGAAGCAGGAGTCTGCAAGAGTGATCATGAACGCGAGCATCAACGCTGTGAGGTTTGACCTCGACGATCTGAAGGTCGAGCTGGCGACCAAAGACAAGCAGCGAGCAGCCAGAGAAAAGCAGCAAGCGTTACAAAACGAAGAACAGCTATCAGAAGCTGCAGCTCTGAAGTCCAGAATCGACAACTTGGGAGTGGCGGCTTCAGTCTTCCAGTTCAATCACGAGGTTCACCACGGCTTTCGCGTCCAGCAAGAAGCATTCAACAGCGCCCAGAACTCACGTCTGACTACTCTCGAATCATCAAAGACTTCCGCGTCTATAGCTATCAACAAGCTCGAGCGCGACTCGGCTATGCAAGAGCAAGCGAGAGTCGCACGCGAGAGAAAAGATCGTACCCTTCATCTCCGAGTTCTTGAACTGGAAACCAAGCTAGCGTCCGAGACGAATGCTCGAATTGCACTTGAGGGCAAGGTGGCCTCTGTGGAGAATGCAATCAAAATCGAGGAGGCTGCGAGACTCGCGCTCGAGGCCGACTTCGCACTCCACAAGAGATCGAGCATCAATGATCGGCGACAGTTCGAGCATGACTTGGCTGCCGAGAAGGATGGGCGGCTCGAGCTGGAGGATGCGAGATCCGATCTGGAGGCTGATATTGCTGTGCTGAAGGATGCCCAGATTTCGAATGAGAGATCGATCACCAAGGTCGTCCGACAGGTTGCGACTGCCAACGATGGCACGAGTGACGTCCATCAAGAGCTGGCGACCCTCAAGAGCGATGTTGCGGTCATGACTCGCGAGCAAAATGAACTCAAACAACTTCGGGCCTCGTTCATCAACGCCAGACTCGCTCAAGCAACCATCATCGGCAATCTTAACATCGTCATGCGCAAAGGAGACGCCATCGAGAACAGAAGTCCAGATCTAAGTTGCCAGATCGAAGCGAAGCTCTCCAACTGCAAAAGCTTGTCACGTCTGGACGAATTACTCGGTGTCAAGTCGGCCTCGCACTTCCGGCAAATCTTCCAATTTCCACAGGCGGTGCTGGCAAAGGTGTACCGCTTTACGCGAGCTCATTTGCAACGTTCAAGCGGCGAAAAAATCGTCATGGAAGGCGCTGATCCAGCACAGTTCCAGGAGTGGGTCGAGAGTGAGGCCATTGCTGAGTCTGTGCTGTTGCGCGCTGCGATCGATATTGTGGTCACCACGGACGCTGCAGTCGCTGATCGCTGGCGTAAGGAGGGCAAGAGTGTTGCAAAGGGCTTGGACAACGCTTCAATTGCGACGTCCGGTGTCCTCAGCTTCATCTAAGGCCACAGGTGAGTGAGTGTGATGAGCGAGCCGCTGTTGCTACGCTGATGCGCGAGGGCGCATGGTCCATAAGTATTTGTCACTCTCGTACCGAGTCTCGAGGCTGGACTTGCGAGCGAGGTCTCACTATAGTACCGAGGCTCGAGGCCGCATGCTCTTCGAATAATCTCGAATCTTAAGGACATGAAGGACGACGAAGCGCTTTAGAGGGGCGCTGACATACACGAGCTTACGCGCAGTCTTTCACAGATGTAATGAATGAATGAATTTGCAGCCGTGAGACCGTGCAGCATTATCATGCCTGTATTAGATAATCCGAGTTCGATAACCTTTAAATTGCTGCTCGCGCGTCGTCTTTTGTTCATTATAATATACTGTCGCGTGTATTCTCCTTCATCCGCAACCTCTCCTTCATCCGCAACCTTTGCTTCATCCGCAACAAAATAAAAAAGATGATGCGGTAGCAACGTCCTTCCACCGACGCCTTTAGCCGGCAAGGAAGAGATAAAACCACCTAGAGGTGAGGCTGAAGATGCCACAAGCGCGAAGAGATCCCAAAGATAGCCAGCAACTCGTAACCACCTCCCACTTGATGTGATAATCGTAGAACATTGACTTACGCCATTCCACCAGACCCTTGTTCTTAGTGGCGGCCGCAGGTGCAAGGGAACATCACTGCCCTCTTTCAGATGAAGGACGGAGCCTCCACCAGGAACCGAGCGCTCGCGCAAGGACGAATACCCTTCAAACTCCCTCGCTTGACAACTGCTACCATTGTCAAGTGAAGAACTTGAAACGGGAAGACACTCACAACTCCAATCTTGCAACTCTCGAACGGTGCCAAGATCGCCCTACTTCACCTGAACGCTTCCACATACATCCACAACGAGAAGAGAGCCCTGTTACCAGGCACTCCGCAGAGCAGGCGTCAATGCCCACTTGCCTGCGGTTAAGTCTCGCTGTGTATGTACGTGTTGGTGTTAGGTGAGGTAGGGATGGATCCTAGCGGTGTTGACGAGGGTTGCGGTCATGGAGGGACGGTGTATTCGTTCGACAAGCATGAGACAACTCGGCACCTTTTTGGATTTTCCTTATCACGGGAATTTTGGTGTGTGTTTTGATTCAAGTTTTTGGCGTTTGATTGATAAAGCTTCGAAGGCTGGAGGTCCTTCAGGTGAAGTTCGAAGTGAGTAGTCGCAGAGTGAGGCGTCGGTGTTGAACTTGGGAAATATGTGCCGTCATGTTCGTCACTTGGGGAAACGAGAATCGGTTTCGCGAGGCTTTGCCCAGCCCAGGCTGAGCAATGCGCGGACGCATTGAGTGTACCCTCAAGCACAACAGCATCGCTCCGCGAATATCCCCCAGCCCAGAACTCGTTGCATACGGCCCGCATCACCATCCGTTCCAGCTTCGTCCAAGCACTCTGTCTCTGCCGTTGTGGCTCATGACGGAGAGTCCATTACCCTCTGCTTGCGCCACCAGCCCGGGCGGTCGTCCTCGCTGTCCGATGCATATGTGACTGCGCTAGACTCGGCGTCGTCTGTCACATCAGACAGTGCTGAGTCCTTGACCGGGCCCCTATGCTGTCCATATCCGCAATGCTTGGCACGCGGGTTCGTCTTGAGTGGCTTCAAACCGCCTCGAACCAGCTTAACTTGCCTACTCAGAACGCCGATCGAATGGCGGACGGCTTTAGTGCAGCCTTTGTATTCGCCAGACATGTAACAACACGACCAGTCGAAGTGCTCTGGACCGCTCCTCATCATTTCAAATATTTTCGCAGCGTCGATACGTAGATCGCGAACCAATTCATCTTCGAAGTAGAGATCACCCGGATGATATTCGCAGCCGGCAGCCTTTTGGTCATTAATATTGAAGACGGCACCGCAACAGCTGCAATTCTCCAAATGGATGGTAGCATCAACTTCAACGACGGGAGCCTCGTGGTCAGCTTCGTAGGCAGCCATTTTGACACGGTATTCCGCCAACCTCTTCTGATATTGCCCTTCCCAGACCTGTGGACGATTACTTGAGGCCGTAATAAAGGAAGAGGAAGATGGACTCACAACCTTCTCAGCCTGTGGCATTGTTTGCCATATGCGGGTGCCCTCAGCGGCGACCTCCGGAGACGTGGCCGCGACACCGAGGGATCTGGCAATATGACAACGAGCACTTTGCATGTAGAGGGCGTAAGGCGCTTTTGGGCGCCGAGGGACTTGTCCTTTGAAGCGCTTGGATGTTACTGGAGCTGGGGTTGCATCGTAGTCTGACTTGCGCTTCTTCGGGTCCGTCTTCAGATTGGCGGTTGACGTGCTCGGTGGCTTGAGCGTCACAGACAATATGTTCCCAGCGTAGACGGACGTGTGCAAGTTGTGGTACAAGTCATAGTCCGCCGAGCACATCAGATTAATCGCTTGGATCAGTGTGCCCTGCTCTACACATTCAAGGTGTTGCCGTAATTCGTCGACGGACATGATGGTTAGCTGCAACTGTAAGTGTATCATTCACGTCAATAGCCAGCGTATGTGAACTTGAAGTGACCGAGACTCTTGTTGTCTATGTAGCTGGACATGGACGGATGGACACCCTGAATCGGTCTGAAACCGAACGTGTAAACAGCCCTGGAGTGAATGAACGCATTGTCCTCGGGTCCCGTACAACTGACACTTGCGCTAATGGCCGGACAGGATGACCCTTTTGTGCTAGGCAATCGGCTTAAGAACTTCATCTCGAACCCTCGTCCTCTCGTGCTTTTTGACGAAGTGTGCCGGGACTCATGGACACAACTGCCTTGCGAACAAACTGAACAGATGCTTTGGCTTATTGCAAGGTTTACGAATGAATGCAATCATGCTGTAGTCTTCGGACTGAGAGGTCGTCACCATCGAGTGCCAGGCTATGAACTCGTTCTGGTCCTCTATTTCCAGTGCCATCTGGGATATCGCATTGTCCTTCTCATACCTCCCAGGGCCGAGCGCCACGATCTTCGACTTCCAAGTTCGCGTTCGAGAGTTTAAGACCCATTCGTTGCAGACGGGCTTGCTCAATCGGTCGACCCGTTGAATGACCGCTTCGTCTCAGGCAACCCTCAGTTCTACCGTTCTTGTCACAGCAATCCCAATTGTAGCCCTCTGTAAGATCGGCCTTGAGATCATCGCTGTCGATTTCGCCAAAGTGGTCCTCTTCATGGTCCGCCCAGAAGTCCTCCTCGTCGTCGTCGCGCGCTTCAAGATGACCTGGATGGTACTGGCAGGGTGCGTCTTGGTCGTCGCCGGCCACGAAGGGTACACCGCAATTGCTGCAATTGGCGGCCACAGGCTTCACCCGTTTGGTCGTGTTCGATGGTCCAGCAGCAGTGTCATCTGATTTGCGTTTCTTGGAGGACTCTAGCTGATCTGTCGACGGCATATCCGGTCGAGCATCAAAGGAATTCTGCTCTTCCATTGGATAAATTGCCTTGTGCAGCTTTCGGTGAAATAGAGGATTCCACTCGCAATGGTACCTGAGCGCTTCGACCAAAAGATCCTGGTCTTGACGCTCAAGGTCTCGAATCACCTCTGACAGAAACATGCCGCTTAGTTGTGATAAAGCGCTTTCAATGCACGACGGTGGAGATCCTATCAGCTGGCACAGCCGACTGCTGTATGATCTGCGCAGTAGGCAAGCCTGAGAGGGTTTCCAGTGAGTTTCCTCCCCCAGAGGCGCGTAGGATCATGGAAGAAACGCGTCAATGTTGCACGCCGTAATGTTCGTGCGTGCACTAGTGGTCCAAGACCCAGACCGTACGCCTCGACGATTATTGACGTGCTGTGGTTTGCGACCAGTCTCGACACATCATCGCGCTTGCCTTCACCATGTTGCCGCAAGTCATACCATGGTTCGCCCGAGCAGACTCAATCGCTGCTGCCATCGCGCGGCTTGTTGTTTCATTGGTCTGTTCCAACGGACACTTACCAACATTATAGCCCCTTGCCGAATCGCTCAAGAGTTGCGATGGACGTGCGACTTCCCGCAGTCGAAGCTAGTATGCAAATGTCTTCCTGCTCAAGAGAATTGGCAATCGTTCACTGCACATACGCGATGAATATGCCAGGGCAACACTTCTCGCCCTTGAAGCTCTTGCGTGGGACCCGACAGACGCCCTGTTTTTGAGAACCTTCACGGCGCAGCTCCCCAGCACGAGTGACTGAAGCGCCGTACACAGCTTACTCGATTGCTGAGTCTCGCGACTCGACTTCAGGTACCTAGACTCAAACATTCAAAAAACAGTATACCTACCTAAGTCCGTCCTGGGAAGTAAGCCGGTGGTCAAGATTTGCTTCGACACTTGGAGATGTCACATTCTGTACCCAGGTAAGGTTTTGCCCACGATCAAGTGGCTTAAAGGCGATGCAACGCCCAGAAAAGTCTGTCGGATCAGCACACCACGGTGCCCTAAGATCGTCGGCTGTTGAGCCATGCATTCGCTAAACATTGTTCCGAAGTGCTACTGGCGCAGACAAGCATTAAAATTGATGCTTAGCCTAGCTGCTTATTTCATCAGGAACGATTCAATGTAGCATGCTGACCGTTGAATCTTTGAATAGCAGCGCCGTGTCCCTGCTCTGGCCCGCGGAGGCGGCTGAGCGGGACGCACGTACAGCTATGATCAGGGTGGCGTCGAAGCCACTATCGACTCGTCTCGACGGAGGACAACGTGTTGTCCATCCCTCCCATATACTTGCCACGTGAAGTGCTAGATATTGCGGCTCTAGACAACAGATCTGCAGTCGATGCAACGTTTTCCACCGGGATGCTACTCGTCAGACGGAAATGCGGCTCTCGGGGGCCTGGGGTACGGGGAGAACGCGTCATTGCCCCACGGCTACACCCACTCCTCCGCATCTGAATGCTAAATTGATTGTGTATAAAGTCTGAAGGGACGGGCAAAGCGGGCGAACAATCAGCTTCTCAACTCGACTCCCACCGCCCTTCCAGCAATATGGCTTCATCCGAGATCAAGCACGGTCAAGAACCGGAACTTCACCACTCGTACGTTCACGATGAGAAGACATTCGGTCGAAATGACCCGGAAGTCGATCAATCAGCTGTGTATGCTGAGAAGGCGGGTGTCGTCGACTACAAGGCCGACGCGATCGAAGCCGAGAATGCTGAACATCGCATGACGGTGTTGCAAGCAGTCAAGGCATACCCTATGGCGTCGTTCTGGGCGTTCGTTATGTCATGTACGATTGTATGGCGAACCACTCTTTCTTGAATGGTAGCATGCTAACCATTCCAGATCATGGAATCGTACGATGTCTTCTTGATTGGCAACTTCGTTGCCCTACCTGCCTTCGAGCAGAAGTATGGAGTCCACGACCTCGCAAAGGACGAATATGTTATTGTAACGAAGTGGCAATCAGCACTCCAGATTTCTGGCCAACTCGGTGCTCTCATCGGAGTCTTCCTGGCCGGACCGTTGACAAGTCGTATCGGCTACCGCTGGGCAACAATCACCGGACTGATGTTCCTCAATGCGTTCATCTTGTGAGTCCTTTCCAACGTTATGAAAGCCCGTCCAGTGCTTCTTGAGATGTCGTTGGTAGATGGTCTGCGTGGGAACATGCTAACAATTGCCTAGCATCTTCTTCTTTGCTAACTCAATGCCTGTCATCTTTGCGGCTCAAATTCTCGAAGGATTGCCGTGGGGCATCTTCATCGCCAATGCACCGGCGTACTGTAGTGAGATCGTCCCAATCAAGCTCCGAGCTCCAGCAACTCAGATGCTGCAAATGTTCTGGGCTATAGGATCCATCATCGTTGGTGGTGTTACGTACCGCTACAACACTGTCGATGGCCCGAGTGCCTACAAAGTTCCGATCGCCTTGCAATGGATTTTCCCAACGCCCTTGGCTATTCTCATCTTCCTCGCCCCAGAGTCACCCTGGTGGTTAGTCCGCAAGGGCAGAATGGAAGAAGCCGCAAAATCTGTTGCTCGCCTTGGTCGTAAGACCGCACTGAACACAACGGAGACAGTGGCCATGATGCGTCGTGTTATTGCCATGGAGACAACCGAAGAGCAGCCAAGTTACGTGGAATTGTTCAAGGGCACCGACCTCCGACGCACGCTCATTGTTTGTGGTGTTTACGCTGCGCAGAACCTTACGGGCAATTTGATCGCCAACCAGGCAGTGTACTTCTTCAGACAGGCCGGTGTTGCGACCAATACCGCATTCGCTCTCGGACTCATCACATCCGCGCTTCAATGGATTTTCGTCATGCTCTCCTGGATTCTCACATCGTACTTCGGACGCCGCTCGATCTACCTGTGGGGCTCTGCCGCCAACACAATCTTGCTGGTCGCACTTGGGGTAGCAGCTTCTGTGGGTGGAGGGGCTTCAGCATCGCTTGCGCAAGCTGCCCTTGGACTGATTGTCTCGGTGCTGTTCACGCTGGGCCCGGCGCCAGCATCCTGGGTCATCATTGGCGAGACATCCGCTATTCGACTTCGACCACTCACTACTGGTATTGGGCGTGCTACCTACTATATCGTCGAGATTCCGTGTATTTTCCTTGCATCGTGGATGCTCAACCCAACTGGCGGAGATCGTGAGTCCATCTGCTTCTACATGTCATCGTTCACCTTACTTACAGCATACAGTCGGCGGCAAATGCGGCTACGTGTGGGCTGGTACAGGCCTATTTTGTCTCATCGTCGCGTACTTTGAGCTTCCCGAGATGAGAGGACGGTCTTACCGAGAAATCGACATCTTGTTCCGACGCAAGGTCCCTGCTCGGAAGTGGAAGAAGTCGGACATCGATGTCAATGATGATGAGTAGTGGCAGAGGCCCTCGGTATGCACCTTCCATCAAATTTGGACGCAAGCATAGTTTGAAAGCTGCTTGTCCCTATATTTAGTCAAAAGACAGGCGTCGAGTCAGTCAAGACACGTGATCCAGCCGTAAATAAATATATGCCCCTGCATAAGGCTGTCGCGACCTTCCCCTCACTTCCACCTTGGCCTCACTCCTGCTCCACGTCATGATCCGGGGTACGCTGTATGATGCTGATAACGAGGCATGCACAAATCAAGCCGCGGAGTTCTGCGTGAAAGCATGACCGCGCGAGCCTGTGATCGTTTGAGGCACAATGATGCAGAGGCCCAGCTTGAGAGCTTAGCATCTGACGTCGATCCTCCTGTTTCCCTATAACACTGCATGGCTTCGTGCTAAGAGCATTCAAAGATTACTGATTACGGCAGACACGTCCTCGACGAGTGCAAGTCCCTCGCGACATAGCAAATTCGCAGCTGCCACATTATAGTCATGGGCAAGAAGCGCGTCCTCGTCTCCTATGGCGTCGACATTGATGCCGTTGCCGGCTGGCTAGGCAGCGTATGCCTCCACACCTCCTCCCAGACCCCTACCTCATGCCATGTTCCCTCTAACCATTGCTCAAACTTCTAGTACGGCGGCGAGGACTCCACAAACGACATCGCCCGCGGCATGTTCGCCGGCACCCTAGGTGTCCGCCGCCTCCTCAAACTCTTCACAAAGTACAACATTCGCAGCACGTGGTTCATCCCCGGGCACTCCCTCGAGACCTTTCCCGAAGAGTGTGCGATGATCCGCGACGACCCGCTGGGCCACGAGATCGGCCTGCACGGCTACTCGCACGAGAACCCCGTCGACATGTCTCTCGAACAGCAAAGCGATGTGTTGGCCAAGACTTACTCCATGCTAAGTGAGTTTTGTGGCAAGCCGCCGAGGGGCAGCGTAGCTCCCTGGTGGGAGGTAAGTCGGGAGGCGACGGACTTGTTGCTATCGTATGGGATCGAGTACGACCACAGCATGAGCCATCACGACTGTCAAGCCTACTACTTACGGACGGGTGACGAGTGGACGAAGATCGACTACAAGAAGAAGGCAGAGGAGTGGATGAAACCCTTGGTGAGTGGTACTTGCTATGTAGCGCGCCAACGGACCGCTATGCTAACAGACATGGTCAGATCAAAGGCCGCCCAACGGGATTAGTTGAAATCCCCGCAAGCTGGTATATCGACGACCTGCCACCCATGATGTTCATCAAGAAAGCACCCAACTCACACGGGTGGGTGAATCCGCGTGATGTCGAGCAGCTATGGATGGATCACTTCGACTACTTCTACCGCGAATACGACGAATTCATCTTTCCGATGACTATTCACCCGGATGTTAGCGGCCGGCCGCATGTGCTGCTCATGCATGAGAGGATTATTGAGCATATCAACAAGCATGAGGGCGTGGAGTGGGTCACCATGGCTGAGATGTGCGACGACTTCAAGTCGAAGACGAAGCCGGAGGAGGGCGCGCTGATGCCGAAGGCTAGGGAAGACGCAGCGAAGTCCTAGAGGCTTGCTTGCCAGGAGCGAGGCGTCATTGCAATACCGATGACTGCATGCGTGGATAGCTCTGCTTCGAGACACGGTTAATTGCGAAGAATGCGCTGTGCTGTCGGTCCGAACGGACTTGTATTCCATGATGATTATGACTATGTCGACCGCAAAGGCTCTCCGGACCACAATCTTGTGGTTTTGAGATCACTCGCCATCGAGACGGGAGCCTTGTAGAGACAGCCTCGTGCTCAAATGTCCTCCGTCTATATCGGCAGTCTTTCAGTACACGCCAGAATGTATGCGATTTGTGGCGAAGACATAGACGAGTACTCGTCTAATCACTGTACACAGCAAACTCCCATGACAAACCATTGGCCCCTATTTCGCAGCAACTGCTCTCGGGGGAGCACCCCAGACGGAGAGCAAGATCTGATCCCACGCACGGTGCAACAGTGGCGAGCATTCCGACTCAGTCCCGCAACGTCAAGAACGTGAGCACCGCCGCCACCATCGCATCGCCACCCGTTCGCAAACTGACCGACATGTCCGGAGCAAACTGCGCACTGTGATTTATCGGCAGCTTGCTCAACTCTCCACTGACGGCCATCGAGTCGTACAAACTAGCCTCCGTCCCACCGAAAAGCCAGAAAACATACGGCTTCCCGACTGCGTCGGCAAGTATGCTGAAGTCTTCACTTGCCAGAGCGCTTTGAGGCGCCGTCACGAACGCTCGACCAAACACATCCGCCATGGTTTGACGCATCTTGGCTTCAACTTCCACCGCGTTCACTGTCGCCGGGATGCTCATATGGTGCTCAATGAGTGGGGGCTTCTCGCAGAATCCTGCATCGCACTCCGCCTGAATGACGCGGTTGACGTGCTCCAGAACTGTCTTTCGGACGGGTTTGCTCAATGTGCGGATGTTCAGTAAGAATGTCGCACGGTCGCAAATGACATTCTCGGCTTCACCGGCGTGTATGCTTCCCACAGTGATAACGGCTACGTCATCCGGGGCAACGACGCGACTGACGATAGTCTGTAGACGTACAATGATATGACTGGCGATGACTATCGGGTCGACACAGTGATGCGGCATGCTTCCGTGGCCGCCGCGACCGAACACCGTGACCTTCAGACTGTCCGAGGAGCTCATGATGGCACCAGATTTCGAGGCGACGACGCCGGCACGGATGGGGGCAACGTGCTGTCCAAGAACAATATCCGGAACAGGACATCCATGGCGCGTATAGAGGCCGTCGTCGACCATCCCGCGTGCGCCGTCACCTGTCTCTTCTGCTGGCTGGAAGAGGAACACAACGGTGCCAGTCCACTGGCCCATGGCGCTGATGAGCGACTCTGCAGCTATGAGCAGACACACAGTGTGGACATCGTGGCCGCAGGCTATCTCATGTCAGTCTGCCAGCAACGACACAACGGAGTTGGCGTACCGTGCATGACAGGTGTCTCCTTCTCTCCCCTAGTAGCATACTTGGTGCTAGCATAGTCGAGTCCAGTCTGCTCGGCCACAGGCAGTGCGTCCATGTCGGCGCGGGCCAATACAACTGGACCTTCGCCGTTGCGTAGCACGGCGATCAGCCCGAAGCCGCCAATGCCAGTCCTGATATCGAGCTCATCGCTCAGTCCTCGCAGGTGTTTTACCATCAATGCTGATGTCTCGCGCTCCTGATGCGACAGTTCTGGGTTAGCATGAAGCTTTTTGTACAACGCCTCATACTGCTGTAGTCCTGGACGGTTCGCTTCGACAAGATGTTGAATACTCGACATGCTTGAAGGTCGCAGTGATGTTGCGCACGACGACTTGCACAAGGACGGAGCCTCGTGCACTAGTTGCGCAACAATAGGCCATGGCACCTTCCGTGGTCCATAGCAGCTCAAACACGAGCTGAAGCATGGCACGCTCCGATAGTTTCAGGTAGGCATAGGTCCACTCCGGTCACGCCTCTACCACTGATGATCCTTCGCGTGCTGACCTCGTCGTAGGTAGCTGCGGAATTGACAGCCTCAGCTGAAATTGCTTGGCATCTGTCTTTTCCGTCCGCATTTCTGATGACGGTTTTACACTCTCGCTTGTACGCAGAGCGCACAATCTTGTCCGTTCCCGCTCGTAATGAGGGCCTTGATAGACTCGCACGAGTATCCCGCAGGCGTCTCGGTGTGAGCAGTGTGGATTCTCCAGCTACTTTACGCCGAGCCGTTTGACGCGGTGCATTGACCTCGAGCTAATTAAGGAACTCGGCCTTAGCTCCGGCCGAACCTCTTCATGACTGGCTGTGGATCTGTCGGTAGCGACGAGATATGTCTTATGTTCACGCAACAACGGCGTACGTTGACAGGCACTCATCCGAGTTCACGTCCAGCTGGAAATATTTTCCGTACGTGTCTACAAAAAAGGCGGGAATCTGATCACTGTCATGTGATGGATATAACCCACTACAGCGCGGTGCTGAACGCGTCAACCCAAAGAACAAGAAGAGTCAAGAGTTGGGCATACCTTCATGGCAAAGAGTTACCTAGGTAGTATGCACCGACAACTTTGAAGAGAATAAAACCAAAAACATATATAGTGACTACTGTAGCTCACCTCCTACACTCTAACACTAAACATTCTGGTACTCACGTCCCACCTCCCGCATTCCAGTACTCGCTTCACTTCTCTGCGGGGAGCGCCTGCGGCGCGACCAGGAAATCGCTCGTTCCGCTCGCCTTAGGCGGTGGGACCGGGGTGGCTCGCACGCAAGCCCACCCCCCCCACCCACCGTCCCCGATATTTCAAAGCTTTTCCACAGGTTGCTCCAGCCCAAACCGGACGACCTCACCAAAATCGTGCTCGTTCCAAAGCACAATGGGTCTCCAGCCCGCAAGTCTCCATGCCCCATCAATCTTGATATAATTCTGACGCATGAGTCCGTGCCCATGGCCCTTTGGCCCCTCGACCGTCCTCGCATCATCCATCCAGCGCACATGGGCAGCACGAATCTGATAGTCCGCCTGGATCTCGTTCGGCGTCAGTTGGACGTATTTGGCAGCACCGATGAAGTGCTGCGTCGACATGCGGTTGCCACCTAGGAAACGTGGATTTGAGCAATGCTCAATCCATTTTTCAGGTGGGATATTGTCAAAGGTTGTCCCGTCAACGTCGGTGTAATCGATCTGTTGATTCCATCAAGTTTGTGTCTAGCCTTCACGGTACGGGTACATCTCACATTCAATTTGGGAGCTAGTATAGCTTTCAGACGGTTCCAGTCCTGGCTTGCTTCAGCATTGCACTTTCATGACTGCAATAGCTGTATACCTTTGTGTCATAACTCATAGCCCACTCAAAGGTAAGCGCTTGCACTTCGAATGCATCTACGACGAAATTCTCGTTCAGCTCGCTTAGTATGTAGACGGGTAGACTCACCCGCAGGATCCACGCGACCGGAAGGACGGAGTGCCATGTTCTTAGACCCAAGCAACGAGATTTGAGTGTGCTAAGGGCAAAGTCACGAGTCGTGTGATCTCAGATGGACTGCACGAGGAAGCAGGCTGGAATCGTATGTCAGGATCCCACCGACAGGATATACCGTAGAATACCGGAAGGACATCATGCCATTCTTGAAGGCCAGGGCAATGAGATTCGAGTGTGCAAACAGGTTGGTCTGTTGTTCGAATCGGCATTCGGCGCTGGATTCGAGCGAGCGAGCGAGCAGGACCTACCTATTAGCGGACTACCAACTTCCGGACATTGAGCTGCGTCAGCTGCTCTCACGTGGCCAGCATACTGTTGGCTTTGCCATGACTCGTACCGATGATTTAGCAGGTGCAACGCCAGTATCAACGCGGTCAATGTGGACCCCAGCGGTCTTGTACTCTGAAGGTCACTTACCTACGACGCAGTATTCAGCATCATACCAAAAGCGCTGCCTCGGACATGACGTGCAGCTTGGGGGGCAAGGGCGTGATGGAAAGGTGGAAATGAGGGGAAGTTCGATGTACGACAAGCGCGTATCATCTCAAGGCGGTTGATGACAGAGTCTAGCCGAGACCGGATGACATGGAAGCACAGGAGACCGGTTGACTAGCTGCCCTCGTCCGCCCATCTTTTACTGGCGGCACATGGTGAACAGTGCACCTTACGACAGCATACACTTTGGAGACCTCCAACGGCGTATTGCAGGCAGCAGCAACAACGTGCTGCTGCCGCGTGGTCCCATGTAGTGAGAGGTCCAAGAATGGCGTACCGACATAAATATACTTGCTTACGACTTCTGTGTCGACGACTGGACTGATGACTTCCCTTGGACAACATGGTTCAATCTACCATTTCAACTATGGTCATCATTATCATTATGCTTATGTTCCTGTTTGGCATTCCAGGCCACCACAGTTTCCAGGCAATCGAGAGCACACCGCGTCAATATGAGCGATCTTCTCAACAGCTCTGCGTCTGTTCATTGGGATTAAATCTCGTGCGTGGCCCCTTTCCCAGATATATGCCACAGCTACCAGTGAACGCTCGATCCACCGAGGCTACACTGGCTCGTCTTTCGCGTCACCCTCAACTCGATCTTCTCTTCTCCCTTCGATCACGGTAAGCCTGCCACTTCCTCCTAATCCAACTCGGGCGTTTCTTGGCCTGCGTGAGCGAGGGCCGGTTCTGATCACCTGCTGCCTCCTCCTCCTCAGACGACGCGAACACTGACACAGCGTCGACTTCGCCCACGTTCACCCACGTGCCCTCGTTTCCGGATCCTCCGCTCCCGCCCTCTGCGAGACCATGCGCACCAATGCGAGGACGGCAATGCGGTGTAGCTGAGGTAGGTACAGCGCTGCCATCGCTGAAGACGGTGTGTTCGGCATCCGAGGTTGGCTGGAGGTTTTGGCACCCAGTAAAAATATGTCCAGAATTCCGAATTGCCAACTCAGCAGGAGCAGATACTTCCCTCCTCGCCGCGGCTGATGAGTGTCGCTCGTCAACATCGCTTGCAATATCAAATGTCGCTGATGAAGACCTGTGCCCCTTCACCACCACAAGGTCCGGGCAAGCGGTATTCACCATTGCCAGTCGCAAGACTTCATCTGGTATGATCGCGCTTTTACTCTCTTCTAGCGTCGCCGTCTCGTTCTCGTCTGGCTTTGTGGGGACATTCTCTCCTGGTGTTGCGGCGTTGTTGTCTTCCGGCGTCGCAGTGCTGTCCGTGATGGGCGCCTCAGATATTGAGTCGTCCACTGGTGGTTCCAGAGTCGACGGAGGAGACGAATCGCGCACAGGCGCCTTGCCCTTATAGTCTCTCGGCTTGAGACCTATCCATTTACGACATCGATTCAGCGCAATGGTGTTGTTGGTCCGAGTCTCAGCTTTCTTGGCCTCCTTTTCCCCTTTCTGGATGAGCTCTCGCTCCCGCTCACTCCCGTACCGCTCCAGGTCCAAGGCCTGCCGATCCGCCAAGATCTGTTTCTGTCGCTTCCACTCCTGCCACCCAGCTTGGAAGCGGACGCGGTCTGTATCCGAATAGCGATCGAGTCTACTCCGCTCTTCTGGACTTGTTGTCTGTGCCGCAAACCCGCCATCGGTTTTCGGAATGTCCTTATATATAAGAGCATCAACTTCTTCCTCAAAGACGTCATACTCGATCCGGCCGTCAAGTGCGATGTTGATCAGGGCTTTGTATCTCTCCGTGTGCTCTAGCTTATCGATACCGTAGATCATGCTAGGGCCGGGGTCGCGACGCAGGAACTCGATTGTAGACTGGCGCTCCAGAGAATGCCGTGGGCTCGTCCTGATATTTGGGATAAGCAGCTTCGGGCTCGAATTCAGGGACAGCCGCTGCCTTGCAAATGATGGCTTTGTTGGTGATGGCGGCGGCGATGGAGGCCCGATACTTATACTGGGGACGAACGAGAAAGGCCGCCGCGGTGCCAGGACAGGCGTTTCAGGAGGCGTCTCTGGATCAGGATTCGCGATCCTTAATTGAGGCGAAGGCTTGCGAAACCCATTGCTACGCTTCAGCTGAGACCCTGCGATGGGCTGTGTTACAGGAACGGGTTCAGTCCTCTTCCGACGCTCTTCTGCATGTGAATCGCTTGGTTGACTATCTGAGACGATTCCAGCCGCTGATGGCCGTGCCGGCGAACGCGGATCGGTAAATTGAAGTACTGGTGTAGATTGGTCTATGCCGGTTCGCAAACGCTTATGAGGGTGAGCCATCTCCTCGACAGATCTCAACGGGCGAAGACTACCAAGGTGGCTGGTGTCGGTAGGATTCAATTTCGAAAGGTGTGTGCACATGTGCGTGTTGGCGGTGCGCGAACATATTGATCCTTGGAGGTGCAAGTTTGGTGATGAGAAAGAAAGCTCGGCGGGCGGTAGTGGTGATACGGTCGGAGAGTACCTTGATGACAGTGGCGCGCATGACTGTTCCGCGGCATTTGTGGACATCGTCGGTCTTGACATGTTGCCGATGCTGATTTTTGGGTCGCGACAGTCGTTGTTGAGGGAATGATGGTGATCAATGGCTCGTCAAAGGCGACGTCGAGCCGAACACGGGACAGATGCATGCAGGAACATGAGCACCGCACCATCGCATGAATGCGAAATGAAATTGACACGCTGGCCGGATGTCTGATTGTGTGTGGCTTATCGCATCCAAGCCTTGGTCCTTTCGAAAGTCAACCCACTCTGTCGGTGTCGGATGTGCTTGGTAGCACGTATCAGGATCGTGAGTGTCCAAATAAACATCCTTCCTTGTATGTCATGTAAACACAGCCGCAGCTGAGTTGGACGTGACAACTGCGATTGTCCCAACAACTCAGAGCGACTCGATGATTGTAGTGGTGCGATGGGCAGAATCTTCAGATGATTGTATCGGAACTGTGTGTGGGGATTCGATGAACTTGCGAAATGAGGCCGTCTGACTTTCCAGTCTCATTGGCATCGGTGTGCTGCTCCTGAAGTGGGACAGCGGCCGTGCAAGTCTTCCTGATCCTAGTCACAGGGATGCTCGTTCCAGACTTGTGTGCCTCGTTCGAGACAGCGGCTCAGCGTCTAGCAAGGCTCAACCGAAGTGGATGACAGCTCTTTGAACGCGAAATAGCTGATGATCTGGTAAGGTGCTTATCGCGGTTGTGGTCTCATGGTGTCGAAGAGCTCTCCATTCAAGCAGCAGTCTCCCGCTACGTGGCGAGTTCCTTTGGGCGCAGCCTTACCGCAATTGTAGCAGAAGACCTGACCGCAAGCACAAGTCATGCTCTTGCAACCGGCCGATCGTTCCACCCATTGCTTGCAGCCAGGGCAGGCCTTCCACCCTTGACGCTTCGCCATGTTCAACAATCTCTTCATATCTTGAACACATACTCCCTCATGCATCGTCTTTCTGCATGAAGGGCAGGTGAGGAGGCCACATGTTGGGCACAATGCTCCCTTGTCGGTGATGCATGTGCTGGGTATGTAGGTGGAGCAGTATCGGTCATGACAGAAAACGGGGTTCTTGCCGGACTTTTCGTTTATCAGATCGATGTAGTATGTCATCAGAGGAGGGTCGAGGTTTCCAAACCGTTCAACGATCTTTGCGGGAACGACCTTGCCGCAACAGTTGTACATCGATCGTGTTTCTAGCATTGTTTTGATCCCGGTCTGCAGGCACGCCGAGCAGAAAGCGTGCGAGCAGTGTGGTAGAACCGCTGCGAAGCGTGTGAAGAGAGGCTCGAGGCAGACAGAGCACTCGCTGATCTGTAGGGTCTGCCCGATGAGTGTGTTCTTGTTCTCGGGCATCGCGGTCTGAACGGCATCCGCTAGTGCAGAGAGCTGCTCTTGCAGTGACTGGACCAGAGGATCTTCTCTTTGGCACAATGTGCTAGCTTGGTCGCCGCTCAACTGCCGGTAGAGCTGTCGAATCGAGTCGAATGCTGCAATCGTTTCGTAGAAGTTGCCTTCGTCTGGAGAATGGTGTACGATCAGGCAAGCACGGAAATAGCAGAGCTCGCTGGCGACATCGTCTCTGGTACTGAGATGCAAAGGGTCGACTCCAGTGATGATGGGGCATTCTGACGGGTACGCGGATGCGAAGCGGACGTGATAAGTATGGTCGTCTTGCGGGAGGCGCACTTCAACAGTTGTGTGATCATCGTCCGAATATGTCGGAATTGCGATATTACCATGCACAGAGTTGATGACGATCAACTCGTCCGCCAGCGTAGGATTGAAGACTTTCTGTTGGCTTGCCATGGTGCCTGCCGCAACGAATTCGGAAGAAAGCAAAATATGTCGCGCAAGAGCGACCTAGCTAAGGTGTCGAGTGTCGAGTTCTTGACGTGGCAGCCTCGTTGATATAGGCTTGGCTTGGTTCTTCCATCAGTCCTGAGTTGTATCTGGCGGTGACTTCAGGTCTGACGCAAGTTACTCGCATGAGGAGACTTAGCGTGACTCTGGAGCTCAGCTCGGATATGGGGCAGGATAGAGCAATATAGGTACCTGATTTCTGTTTGGCGCTTCGATGAGTCAGAGGCGAGCTTGCCTTCCTTTGTGACTACCTCAATGAAACGAGCGGGCAGAGGCGCACGCTTGAGTCAACCTGACCAGTCACGACATTCGTTTGTAGCAGTAAATACAGTACTCTGAGGGGAAAATTCGTTGCGAATTTGAGAAGCGGCGTTCGTCCCAGATTACCTACCTACCTGGTATACTGTACCCGCCCCTGCAGACGACTATGCACATTCGATCATTCACTCCGGCCACTCAACTCCCTACAACGATAGAAAGATGCACCCCGTTCGCTGTCCTGTTCTGTTATATCCTGGTCCGTTCTGAGTTGTCGTAAAAATCTAGTCCTCCACGGAGAAGGCACTGTCGCCGTGGCCGCTGTAGTGGCACTCAAAGCCCCATCCTCCAACACCACTCGCAAAGATCGATGATAACGTGAACGCTCACATGCTTTGGCACGAAGAAAGTAAGATCCGAAGGACAACACATGCCTTAGAACACGCCCACAACGAGAACCTGGAGAACTTGCCCCTCCTTCCATCCTTGGTCCTGGAGGGTCTTTTTCTCGTCGAGCATGCGGCCGAGGTATGCGATGCGCAGGCGTGCTTCTGATGGTATCTGTACAGGCTTGTTAGTACAGTCCTAGCAGTCAGAACCAAGTTTGCTCACCTCCGCTTCGTCCTGAATCAGTCGCACTAGCACACCGACATTCTGGCTCTTGCCCAACGCAACGACCACATCAGGCCCGCCACGATCAGACAGGCGACATTTGATCTTGATGGCGTCCTTCTCAACGGGTGCTTTGCCCTTCTCAACCCTTGTCGGAGTCGCAGATATGACATCGTCGTCGACGTCGCTATCGTGGCCATCTTTGCCCTCGGCCAATGTGGCTTCTTTCATGTCGGCAGTCGCGGCTCCGATCATGGTTTCTGTTTCGGCTCCGTCGCCTTCGCCCTCCTCGTCGTCCGGCTGAATGTTAGTCGGGTCCGAGAGCACAGCCGCTGGAATACGGTAGAGGTTGCCATTTTCATCGTAACCGCCTTCTTCGAGGCGTCCGGTGGGGAGTGTAATGCCTACGGCATCAAGGATCCCTTGCGCTGTGACTAGATCATTCTCTCGAATGCATTCAGCCACTTGCCGTAGAGCATCCCAGATCTCGCGGCGGCCGGTGACGCGCGTCTCGAAGTACTCGTATCGTTCCCTCCGTAAGGAGCTTGGGCTCCATTTGCGTGACTTGCTTGCCCACGCTTTAGGAGTCTGCAGTGGTAGGTTGTAATGCTCGGCCAGCGACACTTGGCGAGAGGTCGTGTTCTGTGAGTCGTTATCTAGTGACCGTCGTATCGATGCTGGTGGATCCAGTGTGCTCTGTCTGCGGCGTTGTGCCGAAGTGCGCGAAGCAGTCGGGTTTATCGCTGTTTCCGAGGGTGATGGATGTTGTTGTGTGGTCGAACGTGTGGTGGATCGGCGAGGTGAGGGTTGGGCGACATTTGGAGGGACATTATCGCCCGCCGGGCGGGAGCTGCAGCAACCCTGAAGACAGTGGTCAGTACTACCGAAGGCATTATGATATAGGAGTGGAATGCACGGACCATGGTGCACTCAAGGCATTGTCCTCAGCACTGACGCCTCTTCGAATATGCGGGAACTGGTCGGTGGGAGGCGTTCCAAGCGAATGATGCAATGCTTCCAGATTGCGATCTCGCGATTCGGAGCACTGTCCAGAATGCTCTGGTGTAGGAGAGCCCAATGTTATTACTAGTTGGGACTGATTGATGTCTCAATGTGCTCGCCGGCGACAGATAGTGCGTATGTTAGGCTTGCGCAACGAGTGAGGGGGAGGCGCAGACGTGCACTTCCTCGTAGTTTGATATGCAAGCGAGGGAATCGATGAGAGTATTTTCTGAGGTGGTGGAGCAGCGCAACTCAAGCAGGGATGTCACGGGCCACGTCCAACGATTGAGAGGTCCAGATCCTGGGCCTGGGAGGAGTGATAATGTAAGCGTGATGTCGGAACCTCGGAGTAGAGATGGTGATGTTAAGACATGCATACAGTAGCACGTGCTGTCGATCTGTTGTCGCCACACTTGTAATGAAGGTATGTCCACGAGTCAGGGCACTGGGGATGTACGTGAACGATATGAAGATGTGAAGTGGTTGTTCTCTAGATTGTCAGAGCCTCAAAGACAATTAAAAAACTGCCGCTCAATGCGAACGAAGGAACGACCAAGTCCATATGTAGCTACCTCACTTTGTAGTGTGTGCCGTCAAGCGCTTCCATATACACATTCGTTCCTGCCAAATCGGCAACGCCACGCCTATACCATTGGACCCGTGGCATACCAGTATCAAAGAGCATCGCCCCTCAGATACAGAAAGGCCCTTGCTCCTACTCCTGGGCTGTTCGAGGACCTGGAATTCAAGACCACCAGCCTGCGATCGGATCACGTCACCTGAAGTCCATAGCTGGGCGAACGCCTCTGCCCCAAGCTGGAAAGCCACCCTCGTGCTTGAGGAACAGTTGCTGATACCTGCCACAGCGAGTTAGTCAGCTTGGATGATACGTCTCGCGGCAGGCTCAACTCACTTTTCGCTCTTAGAGTGGAAGTAGACACCACTAATTTCTCCCTTGATCTGGTTCATGCAGATGTAGTAGAATCCCTCGAAGCTAGCGCCTTGGATGCTCTTAAGTTTATGGTCGGGCACAAGGAAATGCTCCTTCCAGCGCATGTATATGTGCTCTTCCTGCCACCAGTCGCCTCCGCTCATAGGGTGGACGAACTCGATGTCGTTCTTTGCGTGGCCGGACAGTGGTCGCCATGATGGAAAACGCGCCCAGTGCGTCAAGTCAGTCTTATTGCTGGCGCCCCATGCTGGGTTCTTGGTCCGGAATGAGTACTTCTGGTTTGGTCCACCGATGATTTCTCCAGTAAAGAACGTGGTCAGTTCCGGGTGGTCAGGCGTCAGTCCGCAGATCTCGAGATAGCCCGACAGGGTACATTGGTCCATGTCGACAGATAAAATCGTTACGGCGACCTTGTAGATCTGCCGGTCTGATTGCTGGGTGCCAGTATACTTGGAGTATGGTTGGAAGAGGGACGAAGGCACGGCAGACGAGGGTAATTTCCTGCTGAAGGTCCATGGCTTGGTCTTGCTGGTCCAGTCGATGGTATGGTCGGTGGATTGGAATCGTGTTCGCTGCTGAAGTGGAGGACTACTCGCTTCTTCGGTAAGTTGCGGTGAAGGCAGTTGTGTAGCTTCTGGCGATGGCGCCCGAGGCGGCTCATTGTTGGATGTGGTCTGAGCGGCTTCAGTGCTTGGGATCTGCACCTGAGCTTCGAATCGCTCTTCGACGTCTTTCTTGTCAACAGCCATCTCAGAGTCCTCCGGCTCTGGGCCTGGGCTCGGCGGACCCTCGACTTTGTCCTTGTGCGACTCTCCGTCCCCACCGGTGGTATACATGCTATCTTCCTGCGCACTAGACATACCACCAGCCGTGTTGTCACTAGCGGGAGGCATGGCTCCGATGCTCCTCTCGCAGTCTACCGTCGTCGATACATACTCGTCGGTGAGCGCTGTGTTGAGGTTGGGGCACGCGATCGTGGGTGAGATTATTTCATTGGCACTGACGTCGGGTGAGCGGTCGCTTTCATGCGTGGGCATCGAACTGCGCAACCATCGGCACAAGCGATGAAGTAGTCAGATCAGAGTGAAGTATTAGTACGATTGAAGAGAAGTGAATGGCGACAGTCAAATCGATGCGATTGTCTATCAATATAATGCGCAAACGATGTGGATGATGGTGAGGACTCGAACGGAAGATCGAAGGTGGAGTGATTCAGTCACGCCGGTCGACTTCCCAATGGCCATTCTAGTCCGGGCTGAGAACGACCTATGAATGCCCGTTATCCACCACTAGACCACCCCTAAGCCCGACGCCCGGCTGCTTGGGCTGTATCCCCACGACCACCCCCAAATCCAAAATGCGGGGTAGACTTGCCCTCACGATAGTAGAATGATTTCCAGATCCTGCATGAGGTCTGAAAGTCAGTGACTCCTCTAGACATGCTCAGATTTCACGGTGGAGGGTCCGTGAAAGCGTCTTGTGAGCCTGCATGAAATCCCTTGCGTACAGCGTCTCGGGGTGCATCTTCCTTTGACGTGGAGACCCCGAGCGCATCGGTGCTCAATGACGTGCCTTTCGGCGACGTTTGATGGAGATGAATCTGAACGTGAGTCGAACGACATTGACGCTCAGATTGGTTTGATCTATACGTTGTATCAGTATGGTCGAAGCTGCTCTGCTGCTTCGCGAGCCTACCTTGAAGTGGAGCGAGATCAGTGAGAAGACAAGTGCCTTTAGGTCTTGGACCAGATAGTAAAAGACTCGCAGTCCTTCAGGATCTGCTGAGTCCGTAACGTCGACAAGTGACCCAATCTTGGCCGTCTGCCGTCTGTCAGTATTCCGGCCGTCCTAGTCGACGAGCATGAAGTACGGACCTCGAATTGAATATGTTCACTGCCCATCCGGATCTCTAGCTCTTGCCGCCCATCCTTGTTCTTCTGTGGCCACTTCGAGTCGTCTTCTTTCGTGATCTCGCTGTCTTTGATTATGCGCTTGATCTCTTGTATCATGAGCGCAGAGACCGACATCTCTTTCCGGATGAGCGAGTCATTTCTGTAGTTGGAATTGTTCGCATAGCGCGCAGTCGCACTCCGGCCGTCGCCAATTACTCGGAAGTCGAATTCTATCCACATCAGTCCCGATTCACGCCCTTGATGTTGCGTTGCATACCCAGAAATTCGTGCCCAAACCGTCCCGAATGTCCTGAACTGCGATAGCCATTAGCGCTGATGATCGAACCTAAGGCACTCGGACTGACTAGTAGCGGACGTAGAACGGCTCGTGGCTACCTTCCATGGCCATCCTGAAAGCCGCGTGCGGTACAAAGTATCAGACTTGGGGCAATCGCAGACGTTCAAAAGATTCCGCCGCTTTTTGGCGGGCAGCGGAGAGGGATTTGCCAAGCCCTGTTCCACAAGTGCGCGTCGCAACTAATAGCGACTGCTCAGCTTGTCAACAACCAGCAATCTTTACCTTCGATCACACGAGAGTCGTTGAGTGAGAGGGCAGGAGCGCCCATATGCACGCTGTCCTGCATCAAAGCCTATGATTCTGCGAACCGCAATGTTTGTAGCCTGAGGCCACGTAGCAGCTGATCTGGACTGCCCGCCCTCCTTGATCCGGCCCTTCTCAACGACCTATTCTCTGACCTTCCCGAGTTCACCACAAAGCCGCCATCATGACGGCGTTTCTCGATAATGCCTACAGTCTGGTCCAGATGGACAACGCTGCCGACACACCGTCGCAGCAGGACCTCAAGACCCAACTCGAAAAGGGTACCGATGAGACCAAGGTCGAGACGATGAAGAAGATCCTCATAATCATGCTCAACGGCGACCCTATGCCAAACTTGTTGATGCACATCATTCGATTTGTCATGCCGTCCAAGAGCAAGCCTTTAAAGAAACTATTGTACTTCTACTATGAGATATGCCCCAAATTGGACGCCAACGGAAAGTTGAAGCAGGAGATGATCTTGGTCTGCAACGGCATCCGAAACGACCTTCAGCATCCCAACGAGTTCGTCCGAGGAAACACTCTGCGGTTCCTCGCCAAATTGCGAGAGCCTGAACTCATTGAGCCCCTCCTCTCCGCAGCGCAGACCTGCCTCGACCACAGACACGCCTACGTCCGGAAGAATGCCGTATGGGCACTTGCCGCTGTCTATCAGCATGCTCAGAACCTCATACCCGACGCTCCTGATATGTTGCAGACCTTCCTGGCCGCCGAGTCCGACACCACCTGTAAACGCAATGCCTTCGCTGCGCTTATGACCATCAGCCACGACAAGGCTCTGGAATATCTGACTGGGGTACTTGATGGTGTGCCAAACGCGGAAGAGCTGTTACAATTGGCTGAGCTAGAGTTCATTCGCAAGGATGCCGTTCAGAACCAGGCAAACAAAGCGAGGTATCTACGGCTGATCTTCGACCTGCTCGAGGCCAACACAAGCACCGTTACATACGAGGCCGCCACTTCGCTCACATCTCTTACGAGCAATCCGGTCGCGGTCAAGGCTGCAGCCGGCAAGCTGATCGAGCTGAGCATCAAGGAAGCTGACAATAATGTCAAGCTAATTGTGCTTGAACGGGTCGACCAGCTTCGCCGGAGAAACGAAGGCGTCCTAGATGACCTGATGATGGAAGTGCTAAGAGTCTTGTCTAGCCCAGATCTTGATGTCCGGAAGAAGGCACTTGGCATAGCACTGGAAATGGTATCAAGCAAAAACGTCGAGGAGATCGTCATGCTGCTCAAGAAGGAATTGAGCAAGACTGTCAACGAACAATACGAGAAGAACAGCGAATATCGACAATTGTTGATTCAGTCGATTCACCACTGTGCCATCAAATTCTCAGAAGTTGCGGCAAGCGTGGTCGATGTGCTGATGGACTTCATCGTCGACTTCAACAACAGTGCAGCCATCGATGTCATCTCTTTTGTCAAGGAGGTGGTCGAGAAGTTTCCCAAACTGCGATCGTCGATAGTCGAGCGACTGGTGTCTACTCTTGGCGAGGTCCGGGCAGGTAAAGTCTACCGCGGATCTCTGTGGGTAGTTGGCGAGTACTCTTTCACCGAAGAAGATATCAGGGAAGCATGGAAACGAATCCGCTCCAGCATTGGCGAGATTCCCATTCTGGCAAGCGAACAAAGACTGCTCGAGGAGCATGCTACGGATGGCGACGCCGCGCCTGAACAAGCCAATGGCACCAAACACACATCTTCCAATAGCAGAAAAGTGCTAGCAGATGGCACATACGCTACCGAAAGCGCCCTCACAACCGACTCGGCCGCCAATGCAAGGTTAGAGGCTGTCAAGGCCGCATCGAAACCGCCGCTTCGGCAGCTGATCCTGGACGGCGACTACTACCTGGCTGCAGTGCTTTCTTCTACACTCACCAAGCTTGTTATGAGGCATTCTGAGATCTCTTCGTCGCAAGAGCGTACGAATGCCCTGCGAGCAGAAGCCATGTTGATCATGATCTCGATCGTTCGAGTGGGTCAGTCACAATTCGTTAAGGCTCCGATCGACGAAGACTCGGTTGACAGGATTATGTCCTGCATACGATCACTAGCTGAGTTCTCAGAGCGTAAAGAGCTCGAAACGTCGTTCCTAGACGACACACGGAAAGCCTTCCGAGCTATGGTAGAGGTTGAGGAGAAGAAGCGGGCAGAAAAGGCAGCAGTAGAGAAGTCGAGGACTGCTGTGCAGGTCGATGACGTCTTCTCGATACGACAGCTGACCAAGAAGGGCGCTGGCGACGGCATGGACGAGGTCGAAATTGATCTTGAGAAGGCCACTGGTGGCGATGCTGCATACGAAGACTTGTCCTCGAAGCTGAACAGGGTCGTGCAGCTTACTGGCTTCTCGGATCCGGTCTATGCTGAGGCATACGTCAAAGTGCATCAATTCGATATTATTCTCGATGTGTTGCTTGTCAACCAGACAACAGAGACGCTGCAGAATCTGTCTGTCGAATTCGCTACTCTGGGCGACCTAAAGGTCGTCGAGCGCCCGACGACCCACAATCTAGGACCACAAGACTTCCTGAATGTTCAATCCACGATCAAGGTATCCAGTACCGACACCGGCGTGATATTTGGTAATGTCATATACGATTCGCCAGCCGGTAACGACACCAAAGTGGTCATTCTCAACGACGTCCACGCCGACATTATGGACTACATCCAACCAGCTACGTGCACTGAATCTGCTTTCCGGACAATGTGGACCGAGTTCGAGTGGGAGAACAAGGTGAATATCAGCAGTAAGGCGACGAAGAAGACACTGCGGGAGTTTCTGGATCATCTGATGAAGAGCACGAATATGACTTGCCTGACTCCGGATGCGGGACTGAAGGGCGATTGCCAGTTCTTGAGCGCGAATTTGTATGCGCGGAGTGTGTTTGGTAAGTCTCACTCGTATATCTCCCACCGACCCTGCTAACAATTGCACAGGTGAGGATGCTTTGGCCAACCTGAGCATCGAGAAGACGGCAGACGGCACCATCGTCGGCTTCGTGAGGATACGTTCTAGGTCACAGGGCTTGGCGTTGAGTCTGGGCTCGCTGAAGGGCTTGAAGGCCGGCACGTATTAGAAGCACTTCTCGGCCAAAAAGTAGAGGTAGGTAGACAGAGTCGTCTAACCCAGTTGCGTGCTAAAGAGCCAGTATTGTCAACGGTTCCTGCAATTACCTCTTGCGTTTGTTCCGTTCTCGAATGCGCCTTCTTGGAGCATTAGGGGAGGTTCTTGCATGAACGAGGGCCACCACGGCAAGAGCGAAGACTTCTTCCACCCACAGACTTCGTCTACTTACCTGACGCAGTTGCACCATGTTCTACCATCAACCCGGAACGCGTTCGATTTCCATGCCACTCTATTGTGAAGCATACCATCTGCCTAATGCTAATACCAACGGCTTGGTGATGTCGTCGTTAGCGAAAGACGTCCAGCCCCAGCTTGAACATCAAATGGGCCTTCGCCATTGCTAACCTACAAGCTTCGCCAATAGCCGCCGCCAGCGTTCCACGGGAAGAGACCTCTGAGGTCACAAACGCCATCAGCACAGTTCAGGGGCAAGGCCTGGTAGCCAAATATGTCGGAACAGACCATATAAAATGGCCTGCAACGCAACGAATGCTAGTACCGCAGACCAAGTCCCTAAGCACGCGGAAAATGATCCAGAGACAAGGCTCGCTGATCGGCCGATCGCCGACAATCAAGAATGGCCCGAAGAGGAGCAAAAGCCAGGCTGGGCTCGGCTTCCATCTTCACATCCAACACATCCGCGTACCCAGGCGAGTAAGAGTCACTTACGCGGCAACGTGGCAGCAGTCGTCCCATCTGGCATGTCTTTCCATCGGCGAGGACGGCATCAAACGACGACTAGTGCTATGTCTTAGCGCACATCGTCAGTCTATGCGACGACTTTACCAAGTTTTCTACATGTGGACGCCTGCCAAGACTCACGCGAGAGCCTCAAGAGACTCTTATAGGCTTGTGCCTGATAGCCTCACTCCACGCATGTGAGTGACGCCCCTGAAGGCCTAAATGTTTGCCCTGCAGATTCCGCGGCCCGCCGATGCGCTTCAGGGTATACATATGCTCTTGCCTGCACCTTCCCACAACGATAGGGCGGGCTTCGTGGGTCAGCATCGCTCAAGCCAGCTATGATGATGTGCCCATCTATGCCACGGTCGGTCGCCGTCCTGAGCATCATCCTGGCCTTCACCAGCCTCAGCTTTTTCACATCAGCCCAATCCCTCCCAACGGAACCTCAAAACGATACCTGGAATTCCTCCTACCACCTGACTACTCAACAGATCACCTCTGCCAATCTCTCCGCCCACCTCGCCGATGCAGTTGCCCTGGCCCTCAACTTCGAGCGAACGAACCGCGCCGGCGGCCCCGTCTCCTCTGACCCCTTCTACACCTCCCTCCCAGCACCCAATTCTTCCAACAGCGCTCCTGGATCACTGCTGCGAGTTGAGCCCTACACCAACACCAGCCTCTACACCCTCCCTCCAGGCGTCGCGCTTTCCCGCTTCATCTACATGACGCGCACCTCCAATGACACCATTGTCCCAGCCTCCGCCTACATTCTCTGGCCATTCACGCCGCGCACCTTTCCCTACTCATCCAACTCCAGCACCAGCAAACCGGAATCCTTGCCCATTGTTGTCTGGGCCCACGGCTACTCCGGCGAATCTGCCTCTTGCGCTCCTTCTTCCTCCCGCGTACTGCACCAAGACTTCCAGGCGCCCTTCACACTCGCCCTACAGGGGTACGTCGTCGTGGCGCCCGATTTCTCCGGCCTTGGCGTCAGCATACATACTCAGGCCAAGAGATCCTCCAACAGGGTCTAACCGCCGGCGCAGGACACGGCGACGATCTGCTATTTGCGGTCCCAGCAGCGAGGGCAGCCTTCCCCGGTGAGCTACGCAACAGCTCCTTCGTCTTGATGGGCCACAGCACAGGTTCGAAGGCGTCATGGGGCGCCGCGAGTAATCTTGCTTTGCTCTCAGCGCAATCGCAGAACGACTCTCAGTCGGCTCAAGAGTTGCAAATGGTATCCAAGGGCTATCTAGGTACGATCGCTGTCTCACCCTGGCAGCCACCGTATCTACAATTGCCGCTGAGCGAAGAAGCCAAAATACCCAATGCGCTGTCCATCTACACCTCGGTGAACATAGCGGGTGATTTGAGAGCCGCCAACGGGGATAACTTCAACATCAGCACCTTCCTCAACGACCAAGCCCTAGCCTATTACAATCTCATATACGAGCTAGGTGGCTGCATTGCCACGCATCAGACACTACTCTTCCTCGGAGAGCCGATACAGGATGTCTTTCAAGATGGCTGGTATGCTGTGCCAGAGTACCTACGGTACGCGGCATCGATCAAGAATGCGGGATTGCCGGTCATGGGGCCACTGTTGGTGTTGCAGGCTACGGGGGATCCCTTATCTAACGCGACGATCGCGCAACAGCAGGTCAACGAGACGTGCGGTGCATTTCTAGACGTAGACATCGAGTATGTCGAGTACAATATCACTGGCCACTCGGACGTGCTGTTCGCGGCGCAAACTAGGTGGTTGAAATGGATCGAGGATAGATTCGCAGGGGCGGCAGCGGACACAGCTGGTAGTGCCAGTGGCGTTGTGAAGGGACCTGGCCAAGGAACAGGCAATGGCGGAAGTGCTGGCGTCGGTGGCTGCTCTTGGGAATGGGTGCAGCCGGGCACGTCTCGTCCCGTGGAGGCTTACGTGCAAGGTGGTCCAAGATTTATTCTCGAGTATGCACAGGAGGGTTACCAGCTGGCTTGAGAGTTGTAGAACAGCATACTTCCAGTCTCACTTCATAGGTATCATTTCAAACTTAGTCAGGTAAATATCGAGCATATCACAAAGCCACTCATCCCATCAGGCAGCATTAGGTACTACCAAGGCATGACACTGATGAAGAGTCTACCATCGGGTTGGATGCAATAATAGCAAAGGATGAAGTTAAGGGCAGACCAATCATTTATATCACTTCGACGAGTCGAAGACCCGGCGCAAACCGAAACGATCACTTCACTGGCTCGTGTCAGAGGCATTCACTGTTGTTGTGCGGATCTGGAGACAGACTCTTGTCATCGCCACTGCTACCACAGCATTGTCAGCCTCTCACTGAACAGGCAGATACCACGGCAGTCATCCGGTCTCGACTAGCACTCTGTGCCATCCGGCGATAGATAAGTCCTGCCACCGAAATCTAGTCATCCGGTTTCTGAAACAAGCAGTCTACCTTCCTTTTTGAGACTTCTATCCGTCGCGAGAGGGAGTCGCGAGGCGTCATCCGGCGTCATACAAGGCGGGCATTCACAAATGTCAACTACTGTAAGACGCTATTCCACACGGCAAACAATGTCGCGCAGCTCGAAGAGCTATACCAGCCGAGCTCGGCGACAATGCTGCAGCGGCGCGCACGTTCTGCTGTACCGCAGAAAGGTCTTGTGAGTCAGGTGCGATTGTCGTCAATCGATCGCTCCTGCAGTACTGGAGAGGTGTCTAGCGAGGAAAGTGCGAGTGCAGTCAGCTGGTCGCTCCTGCGGCGCAGGATGTCCAGTGAGGCAGTCGCAAGAGGCTGTCATCCGGTCTGCGAACATCCCTGTCGACCGGTCTGAATTGAGTCCGTCGTTCGTGCGGCGTGTGGATCGAGAGCTTCGGAGCTTCCTGCTACTGGTTTACGAAGTGACAGACGCCGTATAGAGGAATGGATTGAATGCCGTAGACTTAGCGAGGCAGTAATACATTGCTATATCCGCTATGTATGTATGAGCCTCGGAGGACTACATACGCTCAACGAGGTCGATGTGATGGGTGGGCACTTAGCGAACGGCAGCACAGGCTGCTCTCGCTCCATACTTGCCACTCGTAAGTCGCTTCCGAGCCACAACCCCAGCCCATCAACGACCTACACCGTCCTGGTAGCAGTCGTGGTCGGTGTCGCCGGCGACCCCACCTCCACTTCCTGAACAACCGACTCTCCCTGACCTGCCTTCCCCTCCTCCGCCAACTCCTTCTCATGCTGCGCGTTCGTCATCGCAGCGATCTCATGCACGCCGCCGGCCTCGCCGTCGAAATACTTGGCAATTTCCTCCATTGGGGTGTAGCGGGTCTCGATGAAGTACAGGTAGATGACGACGACCTCGACGACGAGGAAGACGCAGTAGAAAATGTAATACTTCCATGCCAATGCTTCGAGGGCTGGGGCGTTGGCGTACTGGTTGAAGAAGAGAGCCAGGGTGACGGTAAAGTTGAGCCAGACGTAGCCCTTTGCGCGGAGGCCGTAGGGCATTATTTCGGTGGTGTAGGTGCTCATTAGACCGGACTAGAAAACAAAGCGTTAGCTTGAGGACGAGGTATCAGGGATGGGAAACAAACCTTGAAGTTGTAGAAGAAGTCGTAGAGAAGATCATTGTGATCAAGCCGTTGCCTAGGTTGTTGTTCTCCGAAATGGCGAAGCGGGCGGAGATGATCGTAATGATGGTGAAGGCAAAGAGCATGCCGACGGTTGAGATCATATAAATCGGCCGCCGACCGAACCGGTCAACAAAGAGCGCGAAGAAGAAGTTGACGAACAGCGCCGCGGCCTTCATGCCACCGTTCAGACCGAGTTGTTCTTGAGGTGAAGTGATGCCCACGCCCTTGAGCACGAAGGTGAGGTAGTACGACATGATTCCGTTTCCAGACCACTGGGAGAACAAGCCGATGGCGGAGACAAGACCGATACGCTTGCGGTTGCCAGGTGTCTTGAGGAAGTCAACCCATTTAGAGGAGCGGTTGTTCTGCTTGTCGATTGCCAGAGCAGTGCGGATCTCGGTGTACTCAAGAAGGACGAACTCGTCTTCCTTATTCCCGTCCGCGTGGTAGTATGCAAGAATCTCGAGTGCTTCCTCGTTGCGGTCCTTGTCGACGAGCCAACGTGGAGACTCAGGGATCCAGTAAAGGAAGGCGAGAATGATGAGTGTGCAGATGCATTGGAGGCTGAGGGGAGGCGCCAGGCTAGGTTGGAGGGGATCTGGAGGGTGCCATAAGTAGTCCATGCGGCGATGAAAGCTCCCGAATGATACGTGCAGCCCATGTAGGTGGACAAGATAGCACGATCCTGCGGGTGGGAGATCTCGGCGATAAGGAGCGGTGCAGATGAGAGGGTGATGCACATGCCGAAGCCAAGCAGGAAACGACCGCCGACGAACATGCCGAAGCCGTTGGCACCGGCTTGAAGACCTACGCCGAGGAGGAGGAAGAGACTGCCGACAAGAATACCGACCTTGCGGCCGAATCGATCCACAAGAGGTGGGCAGAACGGAAGACCAATCAGAGAACCGAGTGACATGGAGCGTTATAAAAGCCGAGCATGCTGCCGCGAGGAGAGTCGAAGAAGTCCTGCCAGTAGGGGAGCGCCTGCAGCCCATTCATCATGGATCCTAGTAATCTTTTTTAGAATCGAACTAAAACGAAATACCCATTAAAGATGCGTACCGTCGAAGCCATTGGCAGTGTTGGTCAAGACCAGGATGACGACCCAGAAGTAAAGCCTCCTCATCCTAGCGTTCTTCCACCATTGGACACGCTTGTATGTGCGACCGGCGAAGAAGAAATGGCCTCGTGGCGGGACCACGGGCTTGATTTGCTCGACAGGTCTGAAGCGAACCATGGCTGCGGTTGCTGAGTGTCAATGTGAGGGGAACGCTGAAGTGCCAACAGCGATGAGAGAGTATGAGGGGAGGACTGATCAAACACGGAGTCGAGGTAATGATATAGAGTCTCTCCTCTGTCGCGTGCTTGCCATGCTGTGTGGTGCAAGGTTTCTGATATCAGCCGGAAAGGCGTGAAGCCCAGCAATGGTAGCGAATCCATCGCATACTTCGACACAGCCTCCCATTGGCAGCGGTGATCTTAGCTCGTTCTGAGAACGCCGGCGGCAACCACGTTCGAGACCTTTTGAGTAAAAAAGGCAGGGTCCCCGCTGCGGGTTTGCAGAGAGGTCGGGTGGGTCTACGAAGTCTTGAAGGACTTCGGTTGCATGTGACCGTGCCTCGGCGTGCATGGACATTATCTGAAGCTTGGGGCCCAGTGAAAGGCATTTTCCCGCATTTGGGAAGATGTCGGGGGTGGCGACTGGTCTCCGTCGAATCGTATGTCGATCTCGAATTCGGGAGAGGTCTTGGCACCAAGGTAATCTTATCCGGATTGAAGCTCGACTTTCTGAACGTCCGTCTCGGCAACGACCCGGCAGATGTATGAATCGCCTTGGTATTGAGAATTTAGCCGGAAATCGAATATGCCCAATTGACAACGACGTCGAGATAGGGAAGTCAGTATCAAGACTGCAATGTGAGATTCTGTAGCTCAATTCAGCCGACTGTTTGAGTCGGGTGTCGTGGTCAGCAGTCCGGATGTCGACGTACCTTGTAGGGTGGCTGGGCCATCAGGTGCCTAGGCGAATTGGATGCGAAAGACTCAGGCGGGAACTGTAAGCACCAGGCGAGATGGTGCTTAACACTCGATTGCAGAGTGTAGGAAACTTGGAGAGGCAGAGCTCGACGTCAAGACGGTGATGATGGCAGGCGAGGAAGTCTATCAGGAGCAAGAGTCTCATAGCGAGAGTCCGCTCGAGAGGACAGTGCTCTCGACCATGCATCTCGGCAATCTCACTCTATAGATCCACGGTGCTTCCGTTGGGCAATGAGTACCTACCAGCAAGGTAGAGCTTGCGAGTTTGCGCCAGAACCCATGATCTTATCATTCCAGGTGTCGTATCCTGCGCGGAGAGCAGATGCGTGGCTTTGACCTTCGTTTCGCTCCGTAGTGTCATGCATGAGGGTCGTCGAGGACAGTCCACATGCCCATCGGGTGACTGCAAGAGTCCTCTCGTCATGCGTCCGACGCAGGTCGCGAAGAGTGAGATCGACGGCGTGTGTGTACACGATGGTCGGCAGAAAGTGGTGAGGCCACATGGAGGCGCTTACTTGTGTCCAGACCGTTCGCCTAGCTGGCAAGGGAGAACGTGGGAAGATCCCCGATGATCACAACATCCCTCGTACCTCCACCTCATAGATCACCTGCTGCCAGACACTACTGCCAAGGTGCCGGAGGACCCGAATGCCAAAAGTCTTATCTCGAATTTATCCAAAATATCAACAGCTAGGGGTATCATATGCGACTTGCAAAATCACAGGGGTTGAGCCGCTGAGCGAGACTCACAATTTGCCTCGTCCCATTTACGCCAGGTTCAGTGCATGCCGGTGGCATTCAAGCACTCTCACTCTCACTCCCACCCTCCACATCATCTCTGAGCAATTGCTCCCATCCCGCCGGACCAGGTCCTTCGTAGAGACCTGGTCTTTTGGCCAATACTGTACCTATGCCTTGGTGTATCTCGATCTGAAATGGTTCGAATGGGAACTTCTCGCCACAGACGCTGAAATAGGCCTCCTCTGATCCATCTTTTCCTGGTCGAGCACCTTCCGCGAACTTTCCGTACTTGGGAATCACGCGAACGGCGCTGATCTTCCTGACCTTGACCTCGGGCATATCGAAGAACGTGTTCTTAGGCACAGCCAACAGCATTTTGATCTGCTTCGTGCGGCTGATGCCGCCGTCAATAGTGACAAGATCAAGCATGCCGTCTGACGGCAAAGAGGCTGGGAAGAAGGGCGCATCGCCAGCCATCCAACACATATTGCCGGAATAGAAGTTTCCCAACGTAGGATAAGTCTGCAAGGGCGTCCAACCTTGCTCGGGTGTGGGCAAAGGAGATTGTATTGTGCCGTACTTCAGGACTGGTAAGCCCTTCGTGCGAGTTTGTTCCCAGTCCGTATCGAGTTTGTGTCTCGCTTGTTCCGCGAAGTGATGTTTGATAGCGGCTTTGTCCACGATTTCCTCCTTGACGGCGATATCGCAAGGGTAGCGCTTCTTTGTCAGCAGACGCACAAGAAAGCCGTAGGTGAATCGCGCTTCACCCATCCAACGAATGTTATCCGTGCCCAGATCGCTTTCTGCTACTATGCCGATGCTCTGGCTCAGGAAGCTCAAGGTTCGTTTGTCGCCCTGTGTCACGCTGGCAAGGTCAAACGGTGCACGCTGACCTTTGACCACGGCAAGTGCCGCAATCGCGGGATCGCCTGTGCCATTAAAGTTCCAGCAGAAAGCATTGCCGGAGCCACAAGGGAGCTGCGTCACAGCTATCTTTTGAAGAGCATGCGGGTCTGTATGCTGGGCAAGACCGTTGAAGCATTCATGCGGCAGTCCGTCACCAGAGCAGCATGCCAGTACATCGTATGTGTCCAGGTCGAGTTTCGACGCGATGTCGACTGCGTGTCCGCTATAGGCTGTTCGCTCGACATCAACTGAGCAGCGTGCAGCAGCCAGGATGGGCTCGACGCGGGATGTGTACAGTTTTGCGGCTCTGCCTGTTCCTCCAAATGGGTTGATGAGCAGCTTTATTCTCTTCTGGCGCTGAGTCGTGCCGGGATAGGCGCGGGACATGAGTCGCTCGACCCATTTGATGGCGCTATCAGAGGCAGACTCGAAGGTGTAATGCAGGTATGCGACGTTGACAGTGGATTTAGATGCTTTGGCGTAGTGAATCGTGATACTGAGCTGAGCGATTTCGGCCCAAAGGATGTTGTAGTAGGGTATCGAACGCGTCTGAGCTGTGCCTGTCGTTACCGTATGTCAGATCAGCTTGTAGACTGGAACGCGCCTGCCCTTCGGTGGGCTATACAAACGCACCTTCACTCAGTAGCCCGCAACATCGAGTCCGGCTTGACCCATAGAGCCCTTCGTCGAGCAATATCAAGGAATCTGTGCCCAACGTGAGCGTCGCGTTCCGTCCTAGAGCGAGCGTCGCCGACGCGATCAGCTCTCGCTCGGTGTCGTGCGGTATCGCTGCCGGTCTGTCCACACGTTCGTGGTCATCCACAGCAGCGTGATCGGAGAAGGGATCCGCAGAAGCCATATTCGGAGACTGGCTCTTGCGCTATCTACTTGTACATGGCAGTAATACAAGCATTGAGAACAATGAGAGGAGACGAGACATGGCCGAGACAATGAGCAAATGACGAGAAACACTGGAAGAGCAACAGAAGCGAGCGTTGGCCTTAAAACCTGTACAGATGTGGTCCAACTGAAACCTGGAGTTTGCCGAGATGTGACTGTACACTCGGTGTCCCTTTTGGTGGCGGTGGGGGCTTACGCGAGACCGGCGTACTTAATCAGGTACCTCGAGGTACCCTCTGACCTTAACTTGACATACATCCCTATCTCGCAACTTCGCAAGTCATTCAGGACATAGTATCTTCCTCTGGGCACGCAGTCTCACTGTCCTGGTGCCCGTCTCACTGACTATCGGTCATGCGGTTGTGCCGCATGGACACGCTGAAGCATACACGGTGAGATCGACAGGCGACCCATCAGACTCGCACTTCGTGACCACAATGATTGTAAGGTGAGCTATCACTGAAGCTACACGTCGAATTTGCAAGGCTTCCGTGATGCTTCGCGACCGAAATGATACTAGTAGTTCAGATTCACTCAATCGTCTGAACACTCCTCCCGCGACAGCAAGCTCTCGATTATGTCTTGATCGACTTACTCCCAACCCTGAATTCGGTATCGACGACTGTCGCCACGAGACTTTCCACCGCATACACAGACACGGCAGGCGCGACGTTGTTGAAGGTACCTGCCTCCATACTGATGTACACGCGCAGCAGGAGCGCTCAGTCTGCAGGTCAAAGCTGGTCCTCTTTGATCTTTTCCTTTCTCACTCTTTCACACACACTCACTTTGCCGTACATTTTCTTAGCGTCCAACAGCATCATATCCCTGTCAACATGTCTGCTAGCATTCCACTGTCAGAAGTATCGACCATCAAGGTTTCACCACTCTCAAATGAAGATACCGACACCGACAAAGGCCGCCCTAGCCTATAGAAGAGAGAATGGCGTCGCATAGTCGGCACCGTTGGCGGAGTCCTCCTGACTCTGCTTATCATCGGCGGCATCGTCGTCCTTGCAATCCGGGGTGCAAACTGGTATCCAAACTATAGCACTTTGAATTACATTCTCACTGGAAGGTTTGCCGGGGAGGACTTCTTCGATGGTTTCGACTACTATCAAGGCCATGATGTTGCGCTAGGCTCCGCCCGGTAAGTTCGATAACGCCACGCCAGATTTGCTCTACTGACTATCATGTTACAGCTATGCCAATCAAGCAGATGCGAGGAGACTCAATCTGACCTATGCGTCTGTCAACTCTGCAGTCCTCCGCGTCGACATGCGAGACGACATTGCCATGCCAGACGTTCGAACTTCTGCTCGCATTGAGTCCAAAACAGTCCACAACCGAGGACTTTTCGTTTTCGATATCAGACACGCTCCGTACGGCTGCGCAACATGGTCTACGCTTCGCATTAGCACTCGCGATCTGGGAGACAGAGGTCAGATTGATGTTATAGGTGGCGTCAACCTGAACAATGCTGGTAGGCAAGTGGCTCTGCGAACACCTCCTCGCGGCAACCAAGCCATTCTGGGCTCGGCAGATGTATGCAGAATGAACGTCAAGAGAAAGCAGTCCGGCAGATCTGTCAGCGACAATTGTTGCGATGGCGAAGGCACCTAGTGGAAGTGTTACTCGTCATCGGAAAGCGACCCGGACCCGGTCTTCAGCGATAGAGAGGACATGCGTGGGTGCCGTGTCACCGAGCGAGAGCCGATGAATGGCGCAGCTTTCAACAAGCGTGGCGGCGGTGTAATAGCTGTGGAGTGGCGTGTCGAAGGCATCAGAGCCTGGCTGTTTCAACGCCATGCGGTCCCCGCTGACCTGAGCAACGCAGTCAAAGGCAGCATGACGAGCCCAAATGTGACCAGCTGGGGCGAGGCCTTCGCCGACTTCCCCTACACCGACTGTGATTACATGAGCCAGTTCAAGAGTAGCAAGATCATTGTCAACATCGGCTTCTGTGGGGAGCTGCCTGGACTGGCGCAGGCTTTCGACGATGAGAGCAAATGTCCTGGATCATGTCAACAATACCTCAGTAGCCAACCGGGCTCGGCCTACAGCGAAGCGTACTGGGAGTTTGGAGGTTTCTGGGTGTTTCAGCCCTATCGATAGTCGAGGCCGAGATCCTCTTCATCGCCTTTGAGCATTGGACGCTAATCATCGGAAGGACTTGTGACGACACAAAGAATTATTCATAGCTGTGGTGACGAAAAGCGACTATCCATAGTTTAGGCAGCGAGAATCGATCATTGTTGACCTTCCAGGCTTGGACCATCCGCCTGAGACTACGACTATAACTTGAAGAGAAACTGCTGTCGGAACGTCACACGAAGCAGCACAGACAATTCGAGCTGCTTTCTCTCATCAATGGCGGCCTCAGCCTTCGCCCACTGCTCATCTACACGCCTTGCGAGCGTGATTATGCGCTGGTGTGCCTGCCTAGGGGATTTCTGTCGAGGGGCCTGACCGCCATCTACAGATCGGCTGCTGGTCGACCATCTCCCAGAACTGCGCTGGGTATCAGCTCAGGCTGTCACGGCTTTACCATGTTATGGCTCCTGCCCAACCGTTCCCTCACCGAAGCGAATAGCGCGTCCGTTCCCACGGCGTAGACGCGGATTCCGCATCTCATCGTGGCAGCTCAGAAATAGCCAAACGCCTCAGACTCATTTTGGGTGCAGCATCGTCCGCAGCGCCATTTCGTAGTCTTCGTCAGTAGCCACCACTAAGGTCCGCTTCCCCGAGTCTGAGGATCCAATGCTAGTGACAACGTCATCGCCAGACACGCCCTCGTTGAGACCCTTGTCGATCTGGAAACCAAGACATTCGCACTGCCTCGTCACCAGTTCCCGCAAATACGCGCTCTTCTCCCCAATGCCGCCCGCAAATACCAACGCATCAACCTCCCCACCCAGCTTGACATAGTACGAGCCAATAAACCCAACGATCCGATCCACGAACATATCCAGCGCGAGCTTGTGTGTCTCCGGCGCATTCGGATCCGCGATCTCAGCGAAGTTCGTCGTTCCCGTTAAAGCCTTCCAGCCAGACTTCTTATTCAAGATCTCCTCAGCGGTCGAGATATGCAGATCCTTGGTGCTGGAAGGGCTCAGCTTTGAGGCTTCGGATGTGTAGTGGAAGACCAAGCTCGGGTCAATGTCCCCGCTGCGTGTTGCGCCGGGGAGACCGGAGACTGGTGTCAGGCCCATGGTTGTGTCGATTGATTTGCCGTTCTTGATGGCACATGCTGAGGCCCCGCTGCCGAGATGCAGGGCTATGATGCTGGTTTCTGAGGGTTGTTTGTGGAGGTAACCGGAGACCTGCCGGAGGATATAGCTGTAGCTCAGACCATGGAAGCCGTATTTTCGGAGACCTTTCTCCTTGGCAATCTTGGGATCAATGGCGTAAGACTTCACATGATCTGGCATTGATGAGTGAAAGGAGCTGTCGAAACACGCAACATTGGTGACTTTGGGCAGCTGCTCGTGACACGCTCGCATTAGGGAGACGGCACTGGCATTGTGAAGGGGTGCTAGATCGGAGAGGGCCTCGATCTTGTGGAAGGTCTCTCGTGTGATCAGTTCATCGTCGCGGAAGGAGCCGCCTTGCACGACGCGGTGGCATGCGTATTCGATGTCGTCGCCGGTTTTGACATCCACGTCTTTGTCGGCAGTGAAACTCTTCAAGACGTGCTCGAATGCCGCGGCGTGGTCGTCGACCGAGATCTCCCTCGACTGTTTGTTGTATTTGATGCTCGAGCCCTTCTGACCAATCGCGGAGACTTCGGCCTTGGCCAAGAGGCTCAATGTCCTTTTGTCCTCAGAGCTTCGGTAGAGACCACACTTGAGACTGCTGCTGCCGGCATTGATTGAGAGAATCAGGTGCGCCATGGCGTTGCACGGCGTTATCGAGCCCACGGCTACTCAGGCTGGCGGCGCGGGTGACTTTGATCCCTCTTCATTCCGCCGTGGGACCCGCGTCAACGAAACGTCATAGGCAATGATTTTGAGCGAGCTGTCACCGCGTCTTCCGGAAGCCGGAAGTCTCATGCGCTACCTGCAGGGCACGAAACTCTCGTGAGTGAGGGCACAACTCTGTGGTAAGCATCTCATATATTTTCTGCGCGCCCGTATGGATTCATCATGGTCTCTGAATGCGCAATTGGAAGGTGCTGCTGTGCGTTTGAAGAAAAAGAAAATGCCGTCACCCTAATCTAACTCATTGAGTCTCGCGGTCTTTCTTTCCACAAGAATCGAAACACCTTATCTTCACGTGCGTCAAGGAAGTCGGCAAGGGTGGCGACCAAACTTACTTGGTCGTCATTTCCATAAACCTCCGAACCCACTGCACCAGTGATCAGACTCTGCGTCACATATTTAGTGAGTGTTGTACAAAAGCACATCAGTTCGGAAGAGCTCGATCCTAAACGCAGACTCGCCTGATCATGAAAGATACACGAAGTTTTGCCTAGCACTCTACCGCCGTGTCGAAAACAAGCCACAGAAGACCTACCTCGAAACCCCCATATCCAGAATTCGGAGCTTGATCATATTATCATAATCGAACCAACCTACCAGTGTCGCCGCCATGCCAGGCGAGATCATTGACCGTCCTAATCCGCCGCCAGCGCCATCACATGTTCCCGACCATGTCTCAGACCTCCTCGTCAAGCTTGAGAAGCCAAGTCTGCCAGAGAAGGCCAATCAAGCACTGCAGAAGTACCGACGTGCCGCCAACTACATTGCTGCAGCAATGATCTTCCTGCGAGATAATGTTTATCTCGAACGCGACCTCAAATTCGAAGACATCAAGCCACGCCTGCTGGGTCATTGGGGGACATGCCCCGGCTTGACCCTGTTGTACTCTCATCTGAACTACCTCATCAAGGAACAGGATCTCGACATGATCTACGTTGTCGGCCCAGGTCATGGAGCACCTTCAATTCTAGCAAACCTGTGGCTGGAGGGCTCTCTCGGGAAGTTTTATGCCGAGTGTGGCCGAGACGCCAAAGGACTGAAGAGCTTGATCACTGGCTTCAGTACTACTGGCGGCTTTCCCTCGCACATCAATGCAGAGACCCCTGGATCCATTCACGAAGGTGGCGAGCTTGGCTATGCCTTGTCTGTGTCATTCGGCGCCGTCATGGACAACCCAGATTTGATCGCTTGCTGTATAATCGGCGACGGCGAATCCGAAACTGGACCGACTGCCACAGCATTTCACTCAATTAAGTATCTGGATCCAGCTGAGTCCGGTGCCGTTCTGCCCATCATTCACGTCAATGGTTTCAAAATCAGCGAGCGCACAATCTTCGGATGCATGGACGACAAGGAGATGGCGGCGTTAATGACTGGCTACGGATATCAGCCTCGTGTAGTCGATGATCTGGATGATATCGATGCTGATCTGCATAACAGCATGCAGTGGCTGTCTCGGAGATACGAAGGATTCAGAAGGCGGCTCGAGAGGGCAAACCTATTCGCAAGCCTCGATGGCCTATACTGATTCTCCGGACGCCGAAAGGCTGGTCCGGTCCGAAGAAGGTCCATGGTCAATTTGTCGAAGGGTCATTCCATGCCCACCAAGTGCCACTTGCCGCAGCCAAGAGCGAGCCGGACGAGCTTCGCGATCTGCAAACCTGGCTGGAGTCCTACAAGCCAAAGGAGTTGTTCAAGGAGGATGGCGATGTCGTTGATGAAGTCAAGTCGATCTTGCCAACCAAATCTCAGCGTCTGCTCGGTCAGAAGCCTGAATCTTACATGACTCATTATGCACTATCGATACCCGATTGGCGCAAATTTGAGGTCAAGAAAGGCTCCTCGGCTTCATCAATGAAGACGATCGGCAATTACTTGGAGCAGGTGGTGAAGGACAACCCAAAGACATTCAGAATCTTCTCACCAGACGAGTTCGAGTCCAACAAGCTGGATGCCGTACTGAATAGCACTGGCCGCAACATGCAGTGGGATCAGTACTCCTGGGGCCAAGGTGGGCGTCTGATCGAAACACTGAGCGAGCATCAATGTCAAGGCTTCATGCAAGGATATACCCTGACTGGACGAACCGCATTGTTCCCGTCGTATGAGGCCTTCCTCGACATTGTCCATTCCATGATGGTGCAGTATGCGAAATTCACTAAAGTGCTTCGTGAAATGCCGTGGCGGACAAAGCTGTCCAGCATCAATTACCTTGAGACAAGCACAGCCTGGCGACAGGAGCACAACGGCTTCTCGCACCAGAACCCTTCTTTCATTGGAGCAGTCCTCAATCTAAAGTCCAGCGCGGCCAGAGTCTACCTACCACCAGACTCCAACACATTCCTTTCCACAATGGCCCACTGCCTCAACTCCACGGGCTACGTCAATTTAATGGTTGGAGCGAAACAGCCCACTGCCGTGTTCCTATCGCCGGAAGAGGCAGATGCACATTGCAGAGCTGGAGCATCCGTGTGGAAACAGTTTTCGACTGATAGCGGCTTAAGACCAGATGTCGTACTTGTCGGCATCGGAACGGAGCTTACTTTCGAGGTCGTGGCTGCGGCAGATTGGCTGAGGAGAAACGTTCCCGAATTGCGAGTTCGCGTGGTCAATGTGACAGACCTCCTGGTGCTTGAATCCAACTCGCTGCATCCCCATGGTCTAGATGACGAGGCATTCTGCTCGCTGTTCACAGCAGACAGGCCTATCCATGTCAACTATCACGGGTACAAGAACGAGATCAGAGGCCTACTATTCGGCCGACCGGATACTCAGCGAATCTCGATCGCTTCCTACGATGAAGAAGGGACAACAACCACGCCATTCGACATGCTCTTGCTCAATCATACCTCTCGATTCCATGTTGCCATTCAGGCTGTGAAGGGAGCTGCCAAGCACAATGAGAAGGTGCAGTTGAGGTTACACGAGCTCACCAGTGCGCTCACTGGTCTCATCACGGAGACGAAGAAGTACATTGTTGAGAATAAGTCTGGTAAGTCGTGTTCATTTCCCAAGGTGATGAAGTAGCTAACGTATCATGCAGATCCAGAGTATCTGAATGATGTTGGCAACCTAAAGATAGACACGGCTTCGCTGTCGGAAGGCTGATGGAGAACTTTCCGATGCGGACTCCTGTATTGCTAGCTATCAGGGCTCACAGGACGTCTCGGCCTGTAGAGTCTTCCCGACCTAAATTGCTGTATGCTGCCAGAGGAACGATTCTTACGTATACGACGTAAGAGGCATCACCTATGCAAATATATTCACAGCATTCTTTCCATGGCAATCTCATTTTTGATGACGTAGCCAATGAGCTATCCTTCCTTGAATGCACCTGTGGTCACTCATTTTCGACCCTGCAGCTACCGTTCCCTCACTATCTTTGCAAGGCAACAGCACCTTACTGTTAGTGAATACTTGTTCCCCATGTAGGCACGGCGCGGGAAGTATACATCCGAGCCCGAGCCCGAGCACCGTCTTAGACCCTTATTCTCACTAATGCGTGAATTACGAACTGCCTACACGGGTGGCAAGGGACCGCTTTTTGGTTCATGTCAGGGCCGCAAGTCCACGTCTATGCCGTACGTCCCAATAACACACAGAGGGCGCCCTGAGTTGAGAAGCGCCCAGATCGATAGGGTTGAGGTCGACGGCGCGAGGCGCCCTAGATCTGGGGAGGGTCGTCGGATAGATCTCGCAGGAATTTCTGGCGATGCCTCAAACAGTATGAGGTACATCGTCACCGTCGAGTGCCTCAGGTAGGTGAAACCCTTCGCCTTATGATCATGCATAGGATATACATCGGTGCCATGGTCGCGATAGAGGACCTGAGGGCATCAATGCGACAACTGTGTACGTGCCCACCATCCTGACCATCCTCAACTCACAGCTAGCATCCAACATGGGCCGCGTCGATGTCCATCACCACTACTATCCAGAAGTCTTCACGAAAGGTAGAGTCCTATCACATACTCCCTCGGTCTTCGACTGACGAGCATGACAGCACTGCAAGAAGCCAGCGGAGATCCCTCAGGATGGACAGTGCCAGAATGGACTATCTCTGCAGACCGTGAGCTATGCGCCGCTGTTGGCGTCTCCAAAGCATACCTCTCCGCCACTGCTCCCGGTCCCGACATTGCAGGCAGCCCCGAGAAGGCAGCAGCTCTCGCCCGACAGATGAATGAAGCCGGCGCAGCCATTGTCAAGTCCGATCCAGAGCACTACGGCTTCTTCGCCTCCGTTCCAACGCTCCTCGCGCCCGAACTCGCCATCACCGAGATCCGCTATGCCCTCGACACCTTCCACGCCGCCGGCATCATCCTCATGACCCGCTACGGCGACGACAATCACTACCTCGGCCACCCCGACTTCGTCCCAATTTGGAGGAACTTAATGCCCGGTCCGCTGTTGTCTTCATCCACCCCACCTCCCCCGTAGACAAGACCCACGTCAACCCACACCTTCCCGGTCCAATGTTCGACTACCCGCAAGAAACCGGCCGCACAGCCATGGACTTGATCACCCAAAACCGCATGCCATCCGTGCGAAACTGCAAAATCATCCTCTCCCACGCCGGCGGCACCATGCCGTACACCTTCATGCGCGCCGCGGGCATGCTTCCGCACACGCCGTTCACCGTGGGGAAGTCCACGGAGGAGTTGTTGGCGGAGGCGAGGGAGTTCTACTATGATACTGCCATTAGCTCGAATGAGTTCACGCTGGGGCTTTTGTTCAAGTTTGCTAAGCCGGGGCATGTGTTGTTTGGGACGGACTTTCCGAACGCGCCGAGGAGAGGAATTGAGTACTTCACAGGGCAGTGGGAGAGGTTTGAGGCGGACGCGGAGAGGAGGGATGGGCTGGATTTTGGGAATGCGAGAGCATTGTTTGAGGAGTTGTAGCCGCCCATCGGACTGTATAAGTTCAATGCAAGGAGCCACCGCCATCTGGATTCGTTAGCACTCCATTCATAACGAAGTCGAACGAGTCATCTTACCAATCGTGATCAAAGACCCAGTAGCATAGTCAGCCCTCACAGCATACAAATACGCCTCAGCAATATGCTCTGGCGTACCACAAAAGCCCACCGGCAAGGCATCACCCATCTTCTTCAGCTTCGTTTCTTGGTCCTCCATTCCCATTTTATCCCACAGCTCCGTCGCAACGATACCTGGCACCACACAATTGACCCTGATCTTCTTCTCCTTCAACTCCTGCGCCAAGCCCCTGGTCATCGTGAACAGGCCAGCGTTCAGCGCCCCGCCAATACTTGCTGTCACGCCGGGATCCACGCCGCCAGTGCCGGAGGTGAGGGTTAGTGAGCCGCCGGGGCGAATGATGTCGTGCTTTGCGGCGGCTTTGCCGCAGACTGCTGAACCCCAGAACTTGACGCCGAAGAGGTGGCGGCACTCGTCGAAGTTAGCGTCGGCGATGGGGCCGCGGATGATTTTGTCGACGCCGCTGAAGATGAGGTGGTCGATTGGGGCGAGAGAGAGCAAGAGTTGTGTAAAGGCTGCCTCATCGCGGACGTTGCCGACGTGGCCTTTCAGTTTGGCGTTTTGGACTTTGGCGGTGATGGCGTCTACTTTGGATTGAGATGAGGAGATGATTGTTACGTGGGCGCCGTGTTCGAGTAGGGCTAGGGCGGCGCCATAGCCGATGCCTGAAGATCCGCCGACGACCACCACTTGCTTGTCTACCAACTTGTCACGAGAGGCGGCCATGATCGTTTAGAGAGTATGTTGTGGGCATCGTTTGGGAGAAAGCCGCTCGGCTTACGGCTTTGTATGTCTACAACTTGAGGTCTGCCCCGCAATGGCGACATATGCCCCTTGGAGAATCATTGCGTCGTGTGCAGGGCGTAGTCGAGCGTTGCGATGGTGGTCAACAACCTCGATGGGACAGACACACGCTTCGTGTTTACAGACAACGCCGTCAGTGCTGCGTGGTGCTGGAATCATTGTCTTCAATGCAAACCTCAACACATCGACCGTGGCAGACGGCTTCGCTCGAGCGGAAAGTTTCGTGACCTGACTTCCTCGGTGTTTTCACCATGTCGTCATACAGTACAACGTCGCGAATGCTTCAAGGCCTCTGAAAGCGTCCAGAGATGATAGCTGTCCAATATCGTATGGAGACGCTAACGCAAGGCATCAACAGTGGTGAAGCAGGTAGTTTCGCCCACATACAACAGGTAGGACGACACGCAAAGCACCATGCCTGGCCAACTACCAATCTACACGCCCTCCCCCACCCTGCACACCCAACTCGACACCTATCGCACCAGTCTGAACACCGAGTTCAGCCTGATCCTCACCGACTACCACGCCCTGCAGCACTTCTCCGTCACCCGCCCCAACGACTTCTGGCTCTCATTATGGCGCTTCCTGCCCATCAAAGCATCCCGACAGCCAATCTTGGGTGTAGATGAAAGTCTGCGGATCGATGAATTCCCCGAGTTCTACAAGGGGAGCCGACTGAACTACGCAGAGAACTTGCTTGGCGGCGGTATTGGTAATGGTCTCGCGGTGAAGGCGTTGACGGAGGAGGATATCCGGTTGGGCCGGCAAGGTGAGGAGGTTACTTGGGATGGGTTGCGGGAGCGGACGAGGGTGTACGCGGATGCGATGCGAGAGAGTGGATTGAAGCAAGGGGACGTGATTGTTGTTATTGGGGGAAGTACGGTTAAGAGTCTTTGCTTGTTACTCGCGGCGGCGAGTATTGGGTGTATTTTCTCGAGCTTCGCAACGGATGCTGGTGAGAGGGTGCTTATGGATCGGGTGGGGCTGTTGAAGCCGAGGCTGTTGTTTGCGGAGAGCAGGTATGTGTACAATGGGAAGGAGCATGATATTGCGGAGCGAGTGAGGAAGGCTTGGGAGGAGAGCGAGAAGGCGGAGGGGGCGGAGATTGTTGGTACCACGGAGGGGAGAGTGCCGGAGGGTTGGACGTCGATGGCGGAGTTCCTAAAGCGAGCAAAGGGCAGGAAGTCGGTATTTGAGCAGTTACCTTTTCATACACCGTTTGTGGTCATGTTCTCAAGCGGGACGACTGGAACACCGAAAGGGATTGTGCATTCACAAGGTGGTTTGGTGGTGAATGGGATGAAGGAGCATATACTAAACTATGATCATGGGCCAGGGAGTGTGCATTATCATTATGCTGGCATTGGCTGGACGCTGTGGAATATCATGAGTAAGTGCCCGGGTCCGAGGAGAGTGACACATACTGACGAGGCAAAGTCGGAGCCCTATTTACGGGCGCGCAGATTGTGAGTAGGTATTCTAGGTCGACCCACCATGATCTCTGACAGGTGATTTGCAGGTGCTTTACGATGGCTCTCCATTCTACCCAACGCCCGAGAAGTGTCTACAAGCAGTCCTCGCCGCAGGCGTGACCTCCTTCGGCGCCGGCCCACGCTACTTCGCAGAACTACAGAAGGCCGGCGTCGACGCGAAGCCCTACACCCAGAAGGTCGACAAGATCCCGTCCGCCGGCGCCCTCCTCACGGCCTCCTTGTCGCAATGGATCGTATCCTCCTTCGGCTCTCACCCCTGCCAAATCTCCACGTCCGGCGGTACTGAGCTGTGCGGCAACTTTGTCCATGGCAGTCAGACACTACCCGTGTACGCGGGCGAGAACGCTGCAAAGTGCCTGGGCATGGACGTCGACATTTTCACGCCCGAGGGCAAGTCCGCTCCCTAGGGCGAGAGCGGTGAGCTGGTCTGCAAGAAGCCATTTCCCAACATGCCAGCTATGTTTCTCAACGATCCAGAAGGGAAGAAGTACAAGGCAGCGTACTTTGAGGGCTTTCCGCATGTCTGGACGCACGGAGACTTTGCGTATGTCAACCCAGAAACGAAGGGCATTGTGATCACGGGCCGCAGCGACGGGGTACTGAACCCATCTGGGATCAGATTTGGCAGTGGCGATATCTACGCTGTGCTGGAGCGGCATTTCAAGGGGAAGTTCTTGGATGCGATTTGCGTAGCGCAGCAGCGGCATGAGAGGGATCAAAGTGAGCGAGTGCTGCTGTTCTTGCAATTGCCAGGCGAGGAAATGACGGTGCGCGAGGATCTGGTGAAGGGAATCAAGGATGCGATTGCCACGGATCTGAGTAGGCGGCATGTGCCGAACTTCGTATTTGCCGCGAGGAGGATCCCGTATAATGTTAACGGAAAGCGGCTTGAGATTCCGCTGAAAGCTGTCATTTCGGAGGGAGAGAAGGCCTTCGGGAAGAGGAAATTCACCGCTGAGGAAAGAGATGTGTTGGAGGACTTTCTGCCGTATTTCGAGGTTGAGAAGATGGCAAAGAATCATGGCGGTGGAAAGGTGAAAGCCAAGCTGTGATCATCGTCGTCAGAATGCCGCAGTACATCTGGTTACTGCTGGGTATGTTACCGTTGCGTCCGATGAGTCTCTCTGCGACAACTAATCAGTCTCTGCGCTACGTCAAGTCACTCTCTCTGTCGCGTCAGATCACTCGCTCTGTTGCGTTAGATCAGTCGCTTCGCTGCATCAGATCAATCGCTCTATGAAGTCAGATCAGTTTCTTAGTTGTGTCAATTCTGCTTTTCATTTTTACTTTCAGTGCTTTGATTCTGCTTCTTTCACCCTCCCTCTATTCTGGTTCTTCACCTCTGCGTTCTCGGCAATATATCGCTTGTTGTACGATTGTTGGGGTAAATTGAACTCGCCTCAGCGATGAGTCTGTCACCCTAAATGCCAAATAATGCAAGAAGCAGCAACGACATCAATGGATCTTCGGTAATTCCACGCACTTTTCAATTGCTCGAGACCATAGCAATATCATTCGCGCATGAAGCAGCATGTTATCAGTCACTACCGTCCAGCTAGAGCTTCGCCTCCCTCCATGTCGCCTTCCTCTTCTCCCTGAACGCCGCGAGCCCTTCCCTTGAGTTCTGACTCTTCATTAGATCCTCGTAGTATCTCTCATGTACTAATTGGAAAGCGCGCTCTACACTCGCCGTTTCCCAAGCCTCTCGCAATGCCGCCCTCGTCACCACGATGCCATCAGGCGAGATGTTGGCGATCTGCTTCGCGACCTCGAGCGTCTCGTCCAGAACAGATTCTAGTGTCTTGGCGATGCGGGAGACAATGCGTAGGTCGAAGGCCTCTTGAGCCGAGACACGACGGCCGGTGAGGGCGATGTCGGAAGCGGCGTGCAAGCCAACGGTGCGGACGAGGCGCGGAAGGCCTCCTCCGTAGGCGTAGACTCCAACGGTGGCTTCGGGAAGGCCGAATGAGGCAGTTGGTGAGGCAACGCTTATGTCGCTGTTGATGTGTTGTCAGCAAGTTTGCTTTGTCGTGGAAGAGACAGTTCTGGCGACGATTCCCTACTGAGCGGAGCATGGATCGTGGACTTACGAATTCAACACCATCTCCATCCCTCCACCCAACGCCAGCCCATTCACGGCCGCCAAGATCGGCTTCTTCCCCTTCCGCCTCGACATCCCCCCAAACCCGCTCTCGGGCATGTCATACTTCCACAACTCCTCCTGTCCTACCTTTCCTTCCTCCTTGAGCTTCTGGCCCCGCTCGATGGCCAGAAGATCCGAGCCCGCGCAGAAAGCCTTGGTTCCGGTGCCGGTGAGAATGGCGCACCGAAGGGAAGGATGCGCATCATACCAGTCCCACAGGCGGGAGAGTTGGTGCGCGAGCGGGTAGTCTATTGCGTTGAGCTTCTTCGGGCGGTTGATGGTTGCGAGGAGGATCTGGGGAGTTGGGAAGGTGATGTCGACGTCTGTTACCAGGGGCGGGTTGTGTCCGGGCGGGAGGGGCGCCATGTTGATATAGTCGCTGGCCAGGCGAGCTATGGAGTTAGCTCCTGGTCTCGGTCTGCTTGTGAGGGTGGTGGCGTCCTATTTGAGTCGCTGTCAGAGCTTTATGACCGTGGGCGATTCTGGAGCATGTACGAGGGATAAGATGGATATGTACAAGTCTCTTGGCACGTCGATGACATATCCTAGCTTCAAAGCCGAGGCATCGATTTTGCCTTTCGAGCCAAGGACCTTATCAACCTCAGTAGACATGTTGCTATTCTATCAATTCATATCCTGTCACACTTGAAGCTCTGCTCATCGGCGTGAACACCGCAACCTTTGTAATCAATCGCTTGTCCCGAGTGTCGCTAAACGTAGCGAAGATAGCAAGCACAAGTAACGATTTCCGAAGCGGAATATCATGCTACAAGTGCTAGTTGTCATGTTAAAATGCAGGAACTCTGACGTCGAAAACAGTGGAGGCTTATTGTGGCACCTCATGATCGATCGCTCGCTTACTAGCTATATACTAGATCCTGCACGTATAGATCACTCGTCATAGACAGTGCTCCTCTTTCCGGTTCGAAGCCGGCTGCCCTCTCCATTGGACTGGGTATAAAACTGGGCTACTATACAGTGAATGGTAAATGCTATGCGCGCTCTGGGTACAGATGTGTGCGAATGTAATTTCTCGCATGCAAGGTCGTAAATCCTTCTCTTTGCCCACCTCTTTCGGACTCTGCTCAGACTTTACAAGAAGAGACCTGCGACAGCAACCGCAACGCAAACACCGACGCTCAGCATCGTGCCCGACAGACTCTGTTGCGCAGCCGCGCCTGTGAATGTTGCGACGGGAGGCTTGACGCCGGTGAAGTCGCTCACAGGCTTTGTAGCGATGGTGGTAGGAGAAGCTGGTGGCGTAGGCTTGACCTCAATCGAAGTCATTGGGGTGTCCTCAGGCGTGCAGTCACAGCTGGTGACGTAGGCATCTTCGGTGACGGTGACATACTTAGTGGATGCGCTGGCTGGGACATCGCTCCAGATGTACTCGGTCGAGCTGCTCTCGGTCGGCTCTACGGGCTTGCCACTAGTAGTAGTAGTCGAGACGTAAGCGTCGGACCAAGTTGGCTTCTCGCTACCCTCGACCGGCGCAGTGGTCGTCATTGTTGACGCAGACGTGTAGTCAGACCATGTGTAGAATTGTCCGCCTTCGACGGGCTTAGTGGTGGTCGTGGTGCTGGCAGTAGTCGTGGTTGTCTTCTCGCCGCCCTCAACTGGCTTGGTGGTCTCATCGCCCCAGTAGTCCGCCCAGCTGCTTGAGGAGGAGACAGTGGTTGTGGTCTCCTTGACTGGCGCAGTCGTGGTCGTTGTTGTTGAGAAATCAATATCGCCCCAAGTCGCGCTGGTGTAGATTGAAGAGGAGCTGATGGTCGTGGTGTCCTTGACAGGCGCAGTTGTCGTCGTGGTGGTTGAGAAGTCGACGTCAGCCCAAGTCGTGCTGGCAGAAGTCGAGGCGGAGCTCGTGGTGGTAGTGTCCTTGACGGGCGCAGTTGTCGTGGTCGTGGTTGAGAAGTCGACATCAGCCAAGTAGTGCTGGCAGACGAGGCGGAGCTCGTGGTGGTAGTGTCCTTGACGGGCGCAGTTGTCGTGGTTGTGGTCGAGAAGTAGACGTCGGCCCAGGTAGTGCTGGCAGAGGCTGAGCTAGTGTAGGTCGTTGTTGTAGTCTCTTTTGTAGTCGTGCTTGTCGTGGTGTCTTTGACTGGCGCGGTGGTGGTCGTTGTAGTTGTAGTATCCTTGACAGGCCAAGTCGTCGTGGTTGTCGTTGTGGGAGAAGTGGTAGAAGTAGTGCTGGAAGATTGAACATTCTTAGTAGTAGTGGTCGAAGTGGTCGTGGTCATGGACTTCGTGGTAGTGGTAGTGGGTTTCGTGGTGGTGGTAGTAGTGGTAGTGGGTTTCGTGGTGGTGGTAGTAGTGGTAGTGGGCTTCGTGGTGGTAGTGGTAGTTGTCGTGGTGGGAATGACATATTTGGAGGTAGTAGTGGTGGTCTTGGAGGTGGTGGTCGTCTTGGTAGTCGTGGTGGTCGTGGTAGGAATGACATACTTGGACGAGGTCGTCGTCTTGGTAGTTGTGGTGGTTGTTGTGGTGGTTGTCTTCGGTGGCCATCCGCCAAGAACCTTCTTGCAGGCCGTTTGCCAGCCGCCATTCTTCGCAGCAAGATAGTAGTCCCACAGCATGGCACCACCAAAGTTGGAAGTCTTGGCGACAGACTTGAGGATGGGCTCTACCTTGCTTATGTCAATCAATTGACTTTGTCCGTAGTCGCCGGCATCGGTGGCTCCAGGGCCAGCAGGCATGCCCACGAAGAGCTTGGTGTTCGGGTATGGTAGCAAGAGCTTAGACCAAGCATTGAATGATGGAGTGAACTGGTCGTTGCTGGTACCGAAGGTGGAGACGCCACAGTAGTTGTTGTAGAACTGGACGTTAACGTAGTCGAAGACACCAGTCTGAATGGTTGGGATCAGACCATCGGTGGTAGGGCACTGGGGCGCCGCGCTCAGGTAGTATTGTTTGCTCGTATCCTGTGCGAACAATGCCTTGAACGAGGTAGCCAGGTGAGGATGGTACGGTCCGGCTTGTCTACAGAATCGTCAGCAAAGATCGAGCGTCGTGCGATGCATTACTCACGTTCCCTCAACATCGAAGTCGACTCCGTCGATGACACTGTTGCCGAACGGACGAGGAATAACAACACCCTGTTGCACGGGACCAAACATCCTCCACAGCTGTACAGCGACCTGTTCGGCATGCGTGTTGCTCGTGAGCGATACATCGCTGTCTGCAATCGTGTTAGCCTTTCCACTCGCGTCGTTTCGAATGCGAATCCATACATCTTGGGTCACCACCCAGCGATATCAGCACCTTCTTGCCGTTGGCTTGGCACTTTTGGATGACGCCTGTGAAGGTGTGCATGTTGTCGAACACGTCCGGATATGTGACTCCAGTTACGGGGTTTGTCCAGAATTCTGACGCCCAAGCGTTATTGGCGAAGTTCATCTTGCAGTATCCATTGGCATCATTCTCCTTCGGGAAGTAGGTGACAAACGCAAGCGGAACGATGTCGACGCTTGGGTCTTCACACAGAGCCGCGAAATCGACATCCTGACCATTCTGTCCATAATAAGTCGTCACGAGCCCGCTGGGGGCACCACTCTGAGGTGGTCCATTCGGTGCTGCAGTTGCGACGGAAAAGAGAGTGGATGCCAGAACGCTGGCGGTAAAAGTAAAAGCGTGCATTTTGACTAGAATTAGAATAACAAAAAATGAATGGATGGGTCAACAAAGTACCCCAAAGTCGAAAGACTGAACGCGAAGCTGGAAAGCCCGCAAATGGAAGAGAGTGACTGATGGTAGGATCAAAATGCAGAAGTGAGGTCAAACGCCTCGCAGGCGGAGGGGATGAGAAAGTACATGTATCATGTTGGTCAGCCGCAGTGGGCGTGAGTACCCGCTCCAACGGTTACAGCGGAGTGTGGCATGGTGTTTGACCTTTCCGAGGCAATCTGGGACCCAAGATTCTGCCGAAGATGCGAACAGGGGTCGATTGTAGTCCACACTCTGGATTAGGCATCACGAGAGGCCTCGCTGTGAGGTGTTGAAGTCACTGTTCGGGCCCGGTCAAGCTCGCTCGCTCAATGCCCAGGCTAGGCGAGGGCCTATTCTCGTGCCTGAGGCCTCGAACAGATTGGCGCTTTGCCCGCCAAAGGTGGTCAGTGGGTGCTCGCCCATTCTCGCAGCCAGTAGAGATGGCATGATGGACTTTGCTGATTTCCTGAAGAGTTGGCGGTAGTAACGGCAGAAAAGCGGATGACCAAAAGAGGTTCGGACGTTTTGGCTGCGGCACTTGCGACCTTGTGGCGGCGCGCTTGCCGGTGCTTATGTCGGGACAATGCTCAGTCATTGGATGAGCAAAGCTTGACTCGCCTTTTAGCTCCGAATTTCTGCAAGTAAACTCAGGGGTTTCATCGCCAAGATCCACACTTCAGAACCTCATTTCCCCTGAGCTGACTATTCGTGGCTGAGGTCGACGGACTCGAAAGATGGTTTTTCGACAAGGACGGTCTTACGACCTTGACGCGCCGGAGCGGGATACATGGCTCGCATGGGCACAAGTCGATACCAGATGACGACGTAGACCTGTCAAAGCCCATGTTTGCTCCACGATCATCTCGAAAACTCTGCCGGATCTGCGTTGCAATCTATCGGTTGTCCTTGCAGCCATGAGGCGACAAGACGCCGAAATCGAGGTCGCAGATGCGTCGCAACTTGCGACAAGGTTGTAAGGGGATATCACGCGGCGGGGTCGATAAGATGAAAACAAGAAGAACTCTTCTATGGATTTGACCTCATCAAAAGTTCCTGGCGGCAGGAACGCAAGACATGAGTCAGCAGAATTTTCGGATCTTACCCGTCATCAAATTTCGTCCACTGTTCATGAGACTACCATCTAGGGACTTGTGCGAACAACGAGTTGCCCATCGTTGTTCATCGCCATTGTGCAACGCTTGCATTGCAACGACATGTGGTCAATTGCCCGACGACTGCGACTGCCCGGTTGCTGCCGCCTTGCTGTGACCGATATGGCTCATCCGACGATGTGACATCGCAAGCGAGACCAATTTAAATGTACTGCATATATGCCTAGCACTTTGCCTGGCGTCGAGCACAGCCTCAGCCACAAGGCGACCACTCTGTCAGGCTGCAAGGCAAACCTGCAATCGCAAAGACCGGACTCGAGCCACTACCAAACACGGCAATTTACTGTTGGGTGTTGCTCTTAATATTGACCGTGGCGCAAGTCCCGCTTCTCGGCGTACGAGTCATGTCGAGACACGTCGATGGCTATCGTAAGTGCATAGCGTTCCCAGGCGTTCCTTCTCGCATCCATTACTGCCCGTTCGGTCGATGCTTGAGAACAGACTGAAGACACCAGCGTCCCGCCGGTGGCGATAGATTAATCACTGCGGTAGCAGGGACTGCAATGATATGCTCGGCCTCCTCAGCGTTTCTGCCTCGCAAGGCGACGAAGGAAACCATCCTTTACCGCTGAGGCTGAGTCTTCGTCGCACCAAACCTAATCTGACTCGAGCGACAACCACGTACAGTCAACATCCAGCAGAATTGCTCTTGCTCCTTCTCATCTAATCATCATTTCGCATCAGCAAGACCGCATCCATCAAAATCCACACCTCGCCCATCGAGGAGGTTCAACCATCTGTCATGCCGCCGAACAACACCACTATCGACTACGAAGAGCTCCATGGCATCGACCGGTTCATCGATGAACTTCAACGGGGCAACCCGTACGCCTGGTTCCTCGCAATCGTGTTCATCGGGCCGTTCTACTTTTGTGTGTTGGCCTTTCTGCTCGCATACACCATTATTAGGTGGCGCAAGGCCCGCGAAAGGAAGCAGACACGGAAGCACGGCGGCAACGACTACTCAGCTCTGTCAGACGGCTAGCAAGACACAACACATTCACATCAGCGCAGAGATAGCGCTCCGTATTTCAACGCCGTATTTCAACGATCATGGCACCACTGATCCGTCAGTTTCTTGGCTCAGCACAATTATTCTCTGTGTCGTAAATCTGTTGGCAAGCAGCCAAACCGACCCGTTGTCAGCACATGCGCCTCGGTTCATTGCCCATGTTGACCGACGATCATCACTATTGCCGTTACGGGGAAGCGAACTTGATTGGTCTACCGTTGCCTAACCGGAAAGTAAGCGAGAACCATGACTAAGAAGGATCTGAAGCATCAAGTACGGGGCTGACAGGTACACAACCTTCCACGGGCACCCTTCGGGCTTCAGCCTTAACGACACCTGGCTCTCCACAGGTGGGATCGTATTACCAGGACACAAGGACATGTTCGCGAGACAGGGAGCAGAACGATCCAAAGCTCGAATTGTGTTTCCAGCTGTCGAGGTCTGTATGAGGCGGTCCATCACTTTGTACCTTAGATTTGTATGCACAAGGTAGCATGCAGGAATTTCTCAACGACAAAGCAATTACGGCAGTCTGTCTGCAGTCACTGCGCCATGACGTACTGCCTGAGCCTCGTGTATGTTGTCTAGCCATCTACGCAGTACAGGCGAAGAGGGAATCGTCCGCGGGAAAATGTACACTAAGTCGGCGAAGCGTGGCTTACTCTTGGCGGGGTTGGGAGTCGTACCAAAGCAACGGGTGATCTCATTCAAAGCCATGTCCAACCGGACACTTGTCGCTCCTTCAGTCTATCTGATCACGGCTCACTGTGAGAAAGTGTCTATACCCTGCCCAAACGCCTCAGCTTTGCTCCAGTCTTTCCTCATACAGCTCGTGTTGCACGTGCCCACATATTGCTCCGTCTCCTCAGACCTTGAGCACCATGTCGATCGTGAACTCAACGCAGTATCTGGCCAGGACACCATCGTCGACGATTCTCTTCCACCATTCTTCGTATCGTAGCTCCTTCAAGTTCTTAGCCTCGTTGCCGTATAAGATCGTCCGTGCAATGGTCATATCAGCGCAGGAGCCATCCTCTTGGAGCTTGAGCAGTGCGCGACCACCCGTGAGATCGAGCTCGTCTGGTCCAGTCCACGTGCACTCGCCGTCGTCCTCGCTCCACAGTGCACTGTTCACCTCGACGGGCTTTCGAGATGGTAACAGCATATCGTCATCGTCTGAGTCGCTCCCAGCAATGATCTGCTGGGCTTCGCGCCACAAGTCAGTACACTGCTCGTGGACGAGAGTTTCCAACGGAGCATAGCTCATGTACTTGTAGCTCTCCAGTATGATGCGACGTGCGCGAACGGTTTCGGTCTCGGTGTCCCAGTCACATACGAACAGTGGCCGACTGTTAACCAAGATCTTGATATGGACGTCGAACTTAACAGGGATACCCAGCTCTCGAACATTGTCGGGCTGCTGGTCTCTGCTGTCTAGTGTAAGACGACGTCTCCGCTGGGACTCGATGGTGTTATATATCTCGAGATCGTTTGGCGAGAGGATGCGGTCAATGTGTGACCATGAAGGCGATTTCGAATACCGTCTGTAGTGGCCTGTGACTGATGACTTTCGAGAGGAGATCACCGCTGACGATGTTCGTCTTGGTGGAAGTGTAGGTAACGGCGAGTAGCTGTTGCTGTTGTCGAAACTCGGGAGGAGAGGGGATGGGAAGCGCTGGGAGGTTTCGTGACTGCTGGCAACGCTCGTGCCGTTGGGATCGAAGGCGAAGTAGTCTCCCTGTGACAAGGAGTCCGGAGCAGCCTTCTTCGTCTGAACGTCGATATCGTCTTCCTGATAGGCACTGACATTGTCGTCTTCGAATACAGCTTCATCGCTCGCTTCGTCAGCAGCCTGGGCGGCTTGATCTCGCTCTGCAGCCTTGAGCTTCTTCAGTCTCTTCCTCAAAGCTTCGACGTCTTCCTCTGTGATGATGACCTTCCCGTTGACATCCTCCAATGGAGGGTGTCTTGCACTACCATCATCGAGGTATAGATACTGGTCTTCACTCTCGAAGCCACTGTCATCACCTATGGGAGATCCGTTGCTGTATGTGGAGGACATTGTGTGTTGCGCCGTGGGTTGATCTTCCCAGCCGGGCTGACCTGATGGCGCCCTTTTTGACATGTTGTAATGCCCGAAGATCGCTTGAGCCCGTCGGGCACTCTTGATCGACGACCGGGAATGGTCCGGCCTGACCAACTCGTGTTTCTCGTCCCAATTCGGTTCTGGCTGTACCTTGCGCTGAATACGAGGAGGATGCCTTCGGTTGCTTACGTACGCGTGAGCCAATGCAGACAATGACGCTGCTTGTGGATGTCAATACGATCGCAGCCGATGACACCAACCAGATCTGACGCGCAGAGAAGGAGGGACAGCTGTCGGCGAAGCATGGTTTGAGATGTCCAAAACATCTCCCGAGTGGATACTTGCGATATACTTATAGTGGCAGCCATCAGACGCGTTTGCCTGAAAGGTTGTTGAATGCTTCACTTGGCTTTCGTGGCCAGGTGAACAAGTGATATTGTGGAGGTAAAAGCACGCTTGGCACTAAGTAGACGTGAAGGCAAGTGCCAGAAATGCACTTGCCCTGTGAACCAGCGATCTGTCCATTGCACTTGCATTGTTGTAGCATGGTCGCCTGTGTGCCCTATGCGCAGGGACACTCGAGGTCATTCTGTCACCCAAATAGCTGCAGGGTCGTCAGACGTGGCTGAAGAGCCCGGCGAGAAAGAAAAATCGTCCTGGGGGAGATGGTGTCATGATATACAAAACGGCATCTGACCGCGCGTCGACGAGATACGAGGTTATTGCCAGCGAAGCAAAGCTCCTTGAGATCAGCGATGTCTGCGGTCGCGGTCAAGAGGGTTGGGAGTTGCAATGGAAGGCTCTGGCGCAGGTCATGTTCGACGGTCTGAGAGGTACAACACCTACCAAGTTTGTGACAATGTGAGGCTCGTGTTTGGTGTCTGACAAGCGTTTGCCTTGTTGCTGAGCGCTAGTTGCAACTGTATTCTGCAAGATTTATGGTGGGCTTGTAAACTCGGATCAGGTCGATCTTCCAAGACCGCTCCTGTCAGCCTGTCCGAGCTGGGGTTTCCAGATGGATGGCACTATACAAACTTCGAAGATTCGGCCCAGAACCACGAGCAAGCGCTCAGCAAGTCTTGTCTGGGCTAATCATCGATTCAGAGACAGTGTAGCGGATCTCGCACTTGGCAAAGCACTGATTGGATTCATTCGTGATGGACTGGGTCAATATGTTGTCCTTGCCGCTGCGACTTATGTATAACAGCACTCGCTTGCTGTTGGGTCGTCGACTAAAACGCTGAAACGCTGCAGAAAATGCTATGAATGAACGCCGCTCGCGATGCTTGGAAGTAGATTTTGGCTGGAGGATCTCATCGCTTCCATAGGCAGAGAAACTCGACCTTGCGCTAATGGGTGAATTAGGCATGAACTCATGAAGTGGGCAGCTCGTGTCGCGGTCCTTGGCCCGTGGGAAGCTCGGCAGCTTCCATCGTCGAGCCTGTGCTCATTTCCGCCGGGCCTGTCTGGCGTGACGTTGGTGGCGCATAATCGTACTTGGCTGGCGGATAGTAGCTGTCGCCGCCCGCGGAAGGGCTCAAAAAGGGACTTCCGTCGCTATTGTGCTGAGCATGATTGTCCTGAAGTGGATACTGCTGCTTGAAAGGCTCGGATTCCACCCGCTCCTGTGAAGACTGCTGAGGGTAGTTTCGCCTTGATCGCCTCCGGCGCCAGAACAAGACACCAGCAATGATGGCGATGATCGCAATACCTCCAACTACAGGTCCTGCGATCCAAGCCTTACTTGACGAGGACGATGATCCTGTGTCGGATGAACTGGAAGCTAGGACAGCGGTATGCCATTCGCCTTGAGCGGTGATGTTGGTAAGGCCATACTTCAGATAGCAATTTAGCCAGCCGTCACGAGCGCTTGGCTGGTAAACAACTCCCTTACAAGCCGCATTGCCGCTGTCCGGCTTGTAGTCGGCACACAGATCTTGGCAGTGCTCGAAGCTGTCCGCATGAACTCGCTGTAGATCAGGCGAGTCTCCGGTATGATCACAGCTTGTGTTGAATACGGCACCACTAGGAGTCGTGTAAGACGAGCCGGCGCAGGTCGTGTTGATTGCCTCGTAAGCGTAAGCAGTGATCTGGTTTGTCTGCGGGACCCATGTTCCTTTGTGAAGGGTTGCATTAGCATTTTTGGCCCAACAATTGCGGTAGCCCCCTTCCATTGTAGGACTGAAGAGTACACCCCAACAGAATGGGTCCCCATCAGAGCAGTATTCCAGGCATTCCTCGAGAGTTTCGGTGTGCTTGGCCGGATAGCTGGCGCGGATCGTAGAATCATAGTTATCGCCTTTATACCGTGTATCGCACAGTACTTGAAACTGCTGTTCTCTTGTGTTTGTTACAATTGAATTGTTGTTGTAGCCACAGCCGCCCTTGGCATTCGCCCATACTGTCGGGTCCGAAAACGCCATTATGGTTCCCACGGATTTTGTCGTGTTCTGTGCTGTTATTCCTCTTCCCTTCAAGTAGCATCTGCTCCCTGCCACATTCCAGGCCACCGCTTGACAAGGGTCCGTGTCTTCGTCCGATCCTTTCTCGGCGCATGCATTCATGCAGGTATCGAGATCGTCCATGACGGAATTGCCGATATCTGAGTAGGCGGCATTGATGTCGCACTGTGGTGTGTTAGCCGGGCGCGGACTCTGACGAGTTCAGACATGCCTTCACATCGAACCGAAGGCCGATAGTGGTATTAAATGACCTCGGTGTACACGAAGAACCTGTGATCAAAAATCAGCAATTGCGCCTTGCGTAGTACTGTTACCACGAACTTCCGCTACTCTGCGCTACGGCCGCCGATGCCAGCAGCAGACCGTGTAAAAGGGACCGCATCGCTGTCTCCTGCTCATCGACTCAAGAACGAACGTGAGAACAGGGAACGGCGTTCAATTCACAATTCCACATATCGCGAAAAAGAGCAGAAAAGCGCAGTTGATCGGAAGCCGTCACAGCGACCGGCCTGATCGACGCTCATGTTGTATCGCCTGGGCCGTGCTTGCAACTCGGCCTGCGACATGAGCGAACGTTGTGGCACCGCTTCAGATTCGGCCCTTCGCGTGGCACAGCTAGCAGGCCTGAATCCTAGTTAACGCGCCTAGAAATTCCACATTCAGGGGACCGAGATTTCCGGTTGGTGGAGGCTGATCTGAACGAGATTTGGGGCGGAAAGCTTGTACAACTTGCAGCGGCTCATATCAACGACGACGGTGCCGTCTTTGAAGCTTCTGCAAGTTTCAAGAGAACCTTATGTCTCGATAATGACCAGCCATAGCTTCGATAAATAGTCTGCGGTCGTGCACATGTTAAAGTTGGTGCAACAATCTCAGATGATGGCAGGCGAAGAGACATCGTCACAAGGGCGGGATAGCTTTACCGCCGGTGTCGGCGGGCGCCGAAGCTGTGAAGATGCACGATGACATGATCCTTCGAGACACCAATGTCAAGGGCAAAATTGTTTAGCTGCAATCGTCGCAGCATTGAGAGATCTTTATCCTGGTTATGGATAAGTAACATCGAAGGCAGACCGGTCACTTCCAGGTCGTCTCATTGTGGGGAAGAGCGGTTGATTTGAGCTCAGTGTGGAGAGCTCTTGCCAAGCACTCCGAACACCCGCTGCATGTGGTTAACATTGTGTAGACAATAAACCATCAAGCAGGACTACATCTTCGCCTTTGCCTGAGTCGCACGGCGGTAATGCTTGTACAGCTCCCTGATAGCCAAATCGAAAAGGACATCCTCACTTCCTCCAGGGACTCTCGCGCCCGCAATCTCACGAGCGATTCTTGATATGACTTCCCCCTGTCCAGATTCGGTATAGCCATTACCTCCAAACAGTAGTTGAGCGCATTGAGCGCATTCGTTAAGTACAAGGCCTGCTCTTGCCTTGGCGAGAGCCGTCGACCCGCCGAGCTTTGCGTCTGCATCCCGCTTGTTCATGCGGGACATCTGGTATGCGAACGATCTTACGAGAACGTTAGTCTGGATTGAGAACAGTGTGCACAACACTTACTCAATCCAAGCCCACAAGGACTCCAACTCAGCTCCGGCCTTCGCAAGCCTGTGACGAACAACAGGCTGCATAATTAGTGGCTGTCCGAAGGCTTCCCGCTTCATGACCCACTCGAAAGCCAGAGACAAGGCAACACGAGCTTGAGTCGCCACAAGGATGGCAATATTCAAGCGCTCGTGGTTGAAGTTGGTCTGTATCAACGATCAGAGACCTCTACGGCGACAGGACAACAGAGATATTACCATAATGTATCTCATACCTTGACCTTCCCTACCTAACAAGTTCTCTACCGGAACCTTCACGTCCTCGAGCTCAATGTATGTGCTCCCGCTGGCTGTTCCACCACTCGTAGTCATTTTCCGCATACTGACTCCTTGCTGATTCTTGAGCGGAACAAGCAGCACACTCAAACCTGCAGGTCCCGGTCCCCCCGTCCTGACACACATCGAGCGTAGTCGCTCCAAAGCCCATTCGTAATCCATTTTTTGGTTCCGTTCACAATGTAATGGCGACCGTCTTCCGTCTTTTCTGCCGTGGTTTGGACATTAGCAACCTGATATTCCATCAGCCAGAGAAATAACACAAGTCCGTTGCCGTACATCTGACCCAGCATCCGGCTCGGTAATTGCAATGCATATTCTAGTCCTCCCAGTAAAAATGTCTGGAAGAACCCTGGCCTGTAGTTGCCGATCGCCGAAGTGTAATATCGGTGGAACGCCGTACGCGAATCCGGTTGTAACAGCAGTGACGGGTCCCATAAGTCCACATCGTATCATCTCCGAGCTGTAGATCAGGAAATGCATATAGTCAAAGTCATCTACCTTCAATGGCCCAATGTTGTGGATCCCAAGTTTCTTAAGCACCTGCCCTGGTAAAGGTGCGGGTAGATTTGGCACCAGCATGTTATGTTTGGCGAAAAGATCTGGGAAGTGTCAAAAGGTGTTGCTGTAGGATGCCCTGCTGTCCTGGTACCATACCATAGATCTCAGTAGGCACCTTGCCTTCCCGCTCCCAGTCGAGAGCATGTGGCGTGAAGTGTTGGTCAATGAACTCGCGACAATACCGCTGCCATACTCGGTGGGAATCATTGTAGTAAGGCGATGGAATGCCGCAAAGCCAGGGAGGTTCGCTAAATGGCACTGTCGCTGCCATCGTCGTCGTTCAACGGTCTAGGTCACTCCTCGTGTAAGAATTGTCCGAGACAAAGACGCCTCAGTCTGCATGCAAGCAAGCGCTGGGATAAAATAGTGCTCGTATGCGTTGACAGAGAGAATCTGCCGAAACTTGTTGGTGTGCATCGATCTTAAAGTTGTTTGTACCCATGCGTCGGGTGTCTGCCCTCAAAGAGTGCTTCATCATGGTCCAGCGTGTCAATGACTGTGCAAAGATATAACCGAGGGGAACAAAGCGTCCCCGAGTTCTTAGCCTAGGTCTTAAATGCTGGAGATTCAACGCGAATGACGTATATGGGACGAATGTGCCTGTTTTGGGCCATCCCAATGTTCATCGACAGAGCGCGTAAGTACATCACCTATTGTCTCAGTCATTCGACGTTTCGATAGTAAACATTACCTTCCGAGACTCGAGAATGCCGTTTCTGCCTGAACAACATGTCGAGTATGATTGAACGGATCCTCTCCACTGAAGCCCGATTGACACGCTGTTTCCAGTATTTGCACAAAAGATATCCTGTCATGGTATTTCGATAAGCCTAGCTTCGATCAAGACCGGCCAATTTACATCGATGCGAATGATCCTACCAGACACTGGACTGCGAAGCAATGTCGCACAGCAATCCGTAAACTAGCAGCCGGCTTTCGGACCCTTGGGCTGAAGAACGGCGACACTGTCTGCATCTACAGCTTCAACTCCTTGGACTATCCTGTACTAGTCAACGGCATTATAGGCTTCGGCGGCGTCTATACTGGATGCAATCCCAGCTATACTGCTTACGAGCTGGAACACCACTTGCGCAGCTCTCAGGCGAGCATAGTAATTGTAGAACCTGAACTCTTAAAAACTTGCTTGGAAGCAGCAATATCAGTTGGACTCCCGGAAAGCAGAATCCTCATCTTCGATGACAAAGACGTCACACTGGACAACGGTGTCAGATTGAAATCATGGAGACAGCTTTTCAAGCATGGTGAACTGGATTGGCCCATGTTCGACAATGTGGCAACAGCGAAGAACACAACTGCTGCACTATTGTACAGCTCAGGTACCACTGGTATGGAATTTGGACGCGATCGGCGGCGACGTATTGACAATTCCCAGGTCTACCAAAAGCTGCAATGCTTTCTCATTACAACATGATAGCGCAGCAGACGCTCTTCATGGAATGGAAAGGTACCACTTGGCAGAAGAGAAGACTGGTTGCACTTCCGATGTTCCATGCTGCCACAGCGCCTATATGCCACTTCCAACCCCTTCATTCGGGCGATCAAATGTTCATTCTACGCCGCTTCGAACTCGAAAGCTTCATGAAGAACATCGAAAGGCATCAGATCACGGAGGGCGCTTTTGTGCCGCCCATGGTTCACATGATCAACTCTTCCGCATTCGCGCAAAAGTATAGTCTGAAGTCGATTCGACACGCGCATGCAGGAGCGGCGCCTCTAGATGCCGGGAGTCAGGCTCGCTTCCGAAAGCTCCTTTCGGACGAGGCTGCATTGGCACAGGTATGGGGAATGACCGAAACGTCATGCACATGCAGTTGTCTCCCACATGAATATGGAGATGAGGTGACTGGCTCTGTGGGCCGTATGCTGCCCAACATGACTGTCAAGCTCTGCGATGATGATGGGAACGATATCAGTGCTGACGATGTTCGTGGCGAGTTGTGCGTCAAGGGACCGCTTGTTTGTCAGGGTTACTACTTAAACCCGGAAGCCAACGAAAGAGACTGGGACAAAGATGGGTTTTTTCACACGGGTGACATTGCATGTAAGTACCCGGACCAACAGACTTGTGCCGCTGACCTCGCCATCATCTAATTCGCTGGACGCAGACCGGTCATCGAAGAACAAGTTGTGGTACATTGTCGATCGCAAGAAAGAACTCATCAAAGTTCGAGGTTTTCAAGTCTCGCCGAGCGAAATAGAGGCTGTGTTGATGACACATCCAGATATCATCGAAGCCGCCGTCATTGGCATTGTTGCAGAAAAGCAATCGGACGGCGAGGTTCCCAGAGCCTATGTCATGCTCAAGGAAGGATCCTCACTCACAACGCCGAGCATACATGAATTCGTGGCTAAGCGCTTGACCAGGTACAAACACTGCACAGGTGGGATTGTGATAGGAAAAGACATTCCCAAGAGCATGAGTGGTAAGAAATTGAAGCGAATCCTTCAGGAACAAGCAAAACAGGAGCTCGCGTCGGAGAGACTACACGCGAAGATATGAAGACCCAGCTGGGTGCTTTTGTGAGAGCGATGATTCTATTCAATACTCATACCCCGGATTTTGGAGCCTTTCGAGTCGTAAAGACCGTCAACCCTCTGACCCCTGACGCAAGTACCATTGTAGGGCAGCTCGCTGAGAAAACCCCAATGACTCGACTCCTTCCATCCTTTGGCTTTCCAGTTGTTCATGGTCGATGGGAAGAAATCAAAGACATCCAACGGTGCTGGATCATGTGCAATAGCGATCAAAACGTTGGGGTTTGCGTCAAATTCAATCAACGCATCGACCGATTTCATCGAGGTTGCGTGGTCGGCATAAAAGCTGTTTGGTCCAGAAGAAGGACGGAGGAAGGGTTGCTAGTACTGGTTAGCCCTTTCCACAGCGCAGGCATGTTTGGGCTCGCCTGTTCTTACATTATGACCCTGGTCTCCAAGATGATGGGATGAGAGAAATGCCGAGCAAGGGCAAGGTCGTGATATCCTTCTGTCAAGTGCAACTGTGTCAGGTATCATCGAGGGCAGAGGAATATAAGTAGATGGTCGAATGTCCCCAGTATGATGACAGACATCACCACCAAGGAAGACAAATGTATCCGGTGTAGTTCGGACCAATGCACTAATGTGACCAATGGCGTGACCTGGGACATTTAAAATGAACAGACTCCCATCGGCGAAGTAGTCGTACGCCTGATACTGACCAATCTTCAAGCCGGTGTCAAAGCTGATTTCGACCACTTCGCGATCTTTGAAGTCGGCTTCGTGAAACGGCGAATCTTCTCTGGCGGGATACCCTGGCAAGAACGATTCCTTGAATCTAGGACCGACAACGACCCTGGTACCCTTTGGAAGCTGAGAGGGAGCTCCGCAGTGGTCAAAATGCCAGTGGCTGAGAATCAGAGCTTCAATTCCGTCCAGATTCACACCACCGTTGGCCACAATGTCCAACACGTTTTCAGAGATGCGGATTCCGGGGACGTGTCCAGAGACCAAGGTTTTGATGTGAGGGACGTGGTTTTCCCAATCCTTACGGGCGCCCAAATCGAAGAGCAGTTGACGCTTCGAAGTCTGATGCTCGATGTAGAAGGAGAAAGTCGGCATGTTCATCCACTCGTAACCATCCATTGGAGGTTCAACCAAAAAGTCCGGGGGCACTGTGAGATCACATGTTGTGTTGATGATTGACACCTTACAGCACTCATCCGATTTTGGAATGTGAAGCTCTGGGCTGGAGTTTGAGACCATTCTGGCTGACTGGAAGAACCTCGTGGATACCGAAGACGCCTCTCGAAGAAAGAGGCATCACGGAGTACCAGGTGAGTCGAGATATGAGTCGCATTGCGTCTCCAGCAGCACAGTATTCTCCGAGGTTAGTATTGGGGGAGCGCGATTCTCACTGCTGTTGAAGGGCAACAAGTGAACTCAAATTTACACCCGCGACTCGGGATGCCGGTGATCCGGGGTAATGGAAGACTGTACCTTGGCACTCACCTGCTCTTTGTTTCCTACCGAGGTCCATCAGACGTACACTGGAAGAGCTCAATCATACGCCATCAAGCTTAGTATCGACAGCAAGTATGACTGCACTAAACGGGGAGAGTTGACATTGGATGAAAATGACGTTGACCGTCCTGTCAAACGACGTGCGAAGAAAGCGTGTCAACCGTGCCGAGCAAGAAAAGTTCGCTGTGATGTTGCTTTCAACTCTCAGTTGTGCACCAATTGCAAGCTCGACTCTCTTGAATGCGTCGTACCAACCACCCGGAAGTGTCGAAGTGACATAAACAAGAAACGTTCCGCTAAGAGAGACCGCGCGGATCGCCCTGAACAACTGACTGGCCAAGAATTTACCAGTCCCAAGACCGCTGCCACTGTCGATGGCGCGGGCCCTGAGCTCTCGCGCAAGTCTGAAGCGCCAGAAGATGCAATTCCTGTCTGCCTGACCTTCGATAATCACCCTTGCGCGTCGACCACTGCGGAGCAGGAGGAGTGCGAAGGCTATGAAGGCTTGTCGATACGGCAACCTCTAGAGTCAGCTTCTGCTCCGACTTTGGTTTCAACTGTCACGTCGACCCCGTTATCATCGCCAAGTATTTGCTTCCCTGCATACATCAAGCCATTGCCCGATAGCTTGGAGCTCCAAGATCTAAACTACCTTCGCAGCAAGGGCGCATTCGATCTCCCAGAAGAAAACCTTCGGATTGAGATTCTAAGATCATACATGTTGGGGGTGCATGTCTTCATGCCAATCTTGAACTTGAGGGAAACGTTGCAGACAATTGCAGCCAACGATGGGCAAAAGCGGATCAGTTTGCTATTGTTTCAGGCGATAATGTTCGCAGGGGTGGCGCATCTTCCTGATGATAGTGTTCACGACACAGGTTTTGTAACGCTCAAAGAAGCCCGCAAGGAGTATTTCACAAGGGTACGACTGTTACACGACCTTGACATTGAACAGGACGATCTTGCCGTTCTACAGACCTTGCTTCTCATGAGTTTTGAATACGAGAAGTGGGATAAACGCCGACACACATGGTACTGGTCCGGGCTTGCCTTGTCGCAGGCTCAAAGTATGGCATTAAATTCCAGCTCAAGCGCCCCCTCCTTGCCGCCAGAGACTCAGATGCTACATCGCAGACTGTGGTGGAGCCTTTACATTCGCGATCGATTGATAGGCCTTGGACTTCGTCGTCCAATGCGAATCAAGGACAGCGACTTCGACGTTAAGCCGCTAGACATGCATGCGTTCGACACGAGCGCGTTCAAGATCGACTTCACTACCTCCGCCGGTCAAGTATATATTCAGCAGGACTCAAATCTTGCACACCTGTGCGCACTCTGTTGCATCGAACTTGCCAAGTTATGCGTCTGCATAGGCCACATCCTGTCGACGCAATACACGGTACTCGGGCAGCGCACAGAGATGACAAAATCGATGATTGTTGCGCCACGTCCTCTGGAAGAACGCCTCAGTAGTCTGTCAAGGTGTGACGAAGAACTGCGGACCTGGTACGAGGTCCTCGAGCCTCAGCTGAGACCGTTTGCGCTGAGTCGTGGAAGTGACATTTCCAAAGCGTGCAGTGAGGTCCACTGGCCAATATTGCACATGATCTACAGAACTGCCATTGTTGTGCTTCATCGTCCGCACATGTTGCAACGGCAGGTTGGGCAAATCAAAGATGCTGCAGGGCAGGCCCTGTCGCGTGAAAAGGTCAAGGCAGCGGCTTGCACTCTGACGCGGATCACTCAGACCATATATCAACAAGGCCACTTTCATCTGTTACCAACGAGTGCAGTATCGGCTCTTCTGGCTGCGAGTCTGGCCCATTTGTCTACCCTGAAGTCGAGTGACGAAGATGCCAGGGACGCAAGTGCTTATCGCTTCTGTCAGTCTTCACAGCTACTTCAAGAGTTGCGAAATACATATGCCTCGGCGGACTCTGCAGTCGCATTCCTTGGAATGACGGTGCGCAAGGCTGGCTTGAGTCTGCTGATGCCTCTGTCTCAACTAAGATCCTATCATTTGGCTTCCTCGCCTCGGAAGGAACGAGCTGCAAGGAAAGCGCATCTGAGACACGAGCGACTTCCCTCATTACCTTTATCCGCTGGATCAGATCTCAATCCAGTCATCATGTCCGGACATATGTCAGCAGAAAGTTCGTCCAACATCAGTGGGACGCAAACCGGCTGCATCAACTCAGACATGGCAGCCGTTCCACCAGCTCTGACTCGCACGTCGAGCCCCATTACCATCAGTCAGCTCGACAGTTCCCTCCAGCACACATTTTCCACTTGGGTCGACGACGACCCAAGCTTCGGGTTCGATGAGACGTTGTCGATGTTGGAAACGTCGGCACCGAGACATTGCACTTTTCATTACGATGCAGACCCCTTCCCGCCCTGGGAGCCAACGTAATGATCGTCGAAGATGGCAGAAAGTACACGCGGCGGCCTTCAACTAGCTGCTGCTCGTCGTTATCGCCAATGATCGTCTCCCGCTGATTGTGGGTGGCATGCTTCTTACCTGCTTGCTCGAATTACTTTGGCTGAAGTCATTTCACCTACCCGATGTTCACTGTAGCCCAATTCCCGCAAGATCTCTTTGCTGTGCTCACCCAAAAGCGGTGGCCGTGCCCGTATAGTCGCCTTTGTTTCGCTGAACTTGACAGCCGGTCCTGGGAATCAGTTAGCTTTGATCAGCCTCCGCCCTCGTCCTTGGTCTATCGCATACCCAGAATCTTGACCTTCCCGTCGATTGCCGCTGAGAGCTCGATTTCATGAATCATGTCTCGAGCGTGCGTTTGTGGATGGGAGCACACTTTTTCGATAGTGTTGATGGGTGCGTATGGCATGCCACTTCCCTCAAATGCCGCGTTCCATTCCTCCGTGGTCCTCTTGGCAAAGGCATCATTTAACAAGGGAAACAGCTCATCACGGTGCTGCACACGGTTGGCGTTGGTGGAGAACCTCACATCGTCCGGCAGCTCGGGGAGGTCCAAAATGCCGCAGAGAATTTTGAATTGCCGGTCGTTGGTGGCGCCACATACAAAGTAAAGGTCTTTGGATCTGAATGCGTCGTAGGGGACAACGCTGGGATGCTGAGTGCCCCATCGCTGGGCTTCTTGGCCCATGTTCAGCCACGTGGTCGCAACGTTGGTCAGTAAAGCGACCTGCGATTCAAAGAGGGATGCGTCGAGTTTCTGGCCTCGCCCTGTAGCATTGCGAGCATAGAGTGCGGCAATAATTGCACCGTGCATGAAGAGACCGGTCGACATATCCGTGATACCCAGCCCAGGACGGACAGGAGGCCCATTGCGCTCGCCAGTCAAGTGAAGCATTCCCGCTTCCGCGCCCGCGATCATGTCGTACCCCGCTCGGGCTGCATATGGCCCTGAGGGACCGTAGCCTGACACACTGGCGTAAATGATTCTCGGGTTGATGCCGCTGATTGTTTCGAAGTCGATGCCTAGCCTGGTCGTCACTCCCGGTCGCATGTTCTCCACGAGAACATCTGCATCTTTGGCAAGCTCGAGGAGTGCTTGCCTGCCTTGACTCTGCTTCAGGTCGAGAGCCAGAGATCGTTTGTTGCGGTTGACGGCGCTGAAATAGTGAGATATCGGGCCTGCATCTTTCTTCCACCGCTTGCCTTCTCCGCTGGTCCTCCAGTAGCGGGTGTCGTCGCCAACAGAGACATCCTCAACCTTGATTACATCGGCACCGTAGTCACCAAGAATCTGCGTACAAAAAGGTGCTGCCAAAACCCTGGAAAGATCCAAGACTTTGACGCCAGTCAATGGACCATTACGACAGCTTTCCGGTACCTTCGATGCTGTCGAGCTGCATCGACGGCCAGCTGCCGCGTGCAGTCGTGACGAAGTCTTGGTGTGGTCTGCTGTCCTGATGCTATGAGCAGACAGATTTCGTGCTGGTGGCAAGTAGCGAGTGCTGGGTCTTGGACGCATCATACGTTAAATCAGCACAACCGTATTGCAATGTTGTAAGAGATCAATTGTAGAGATATGGGACGAGTACATGTATGGTGACACTCTGTGGATGCTAGTGCCGAAGTGGGATTTTTGGCCGTCTAGCCGAGGAAGATGTCGGTATTCCTACCCTACGCAACTTTCATTGCTTGACACTCTTTGCAATGCTGTGACCGAAATGATGCCCTCCATCGGTCATCGGGAAGCGCTTTTCTCTGTCAGAGTATGAGGTCGCTACTAGGCCGTCTCGATCACGCGCGACGAGCTACATTTTACAGCTTTCCAACGAGACGGATCTTGCCCAGGTTAAGGCGGCATAGTCATGTTCAGTCGAGAGCAGCATCATCGGCTGTTCGCATTATAGAAGTTGGGCCTCGAGATGGATTGCAGAACATTTCTCCTACGGTTTCACTACACACCAAGGTACAACTCATCAGAAAATTGGCCGCGACGGGCGTCCAAGATATTGAGGCAACTTCGTTCGTGTCGCCGAGATGGGTGCCTCAGCTGGCCGATTCAGCAGCGGTCATGAGAGAGATTTCAGATCTTCGCCACCAAGAGTCATGTAGATTCTCTGTACTGACTCCCAACCAGAAAGGACTTGACAATGCCCTGCAAAGTGGTGCCAGGGAGGTGGTAGTATTTGCGTCTGCGACCGAAGCTTTCAGCCGCAAGAATCAGAATTGCTCGGTCGAACAAGCATTGGAAACAGCTAGGCAAGTGGTGCAACAAGCAAAACAACATAGTCTCTGGGTGCGAGGGGTGGTTTCGTGTATATTCGGCGACCCGTACTCTGGACCAACGCCGCCCCAGGATGTTGTCAAAGTGGTCAAAGCATTCTTGGACATGGGTTGTGACGAAGTGGGCTTAGGCGACACTCTAGGCATTGGCACACCCCGAAAGACTCAAGCATTGCTCGAGCTTCTACTGAGAGATGTACCAGCATCCAAATTGACAGGTCACTTTCATGATACTTACGGTCAGGCTGTCGCCAATATTGTCAGGGCTTACGACCTTGGTGTCAGGATCTTTGACTCAAGTGTCGCTGGCTTAGGTGGTTGTCCGTATGCTCCTGGAGCCAAAGGTAATGCTGCAACCGAGGACGTTGTGTATACTTTCGAGACTTCTGGCATCTCCACCGGTATCGATCTCGACAAAATATCCCTCGTTGGCTCATGGATATCAGGCCAACTTCGGGTACCCAACAATAGCCGTGCCGGAGCTGCTCTGGCTGCGAAGCAGCAAAGTGTGAGCACGACTACGGTATCTGCAAACTCGGACACTCGTAAGGAACCTCAGACAACAACGCAGGCTCGGCAATGGTCCGTTGAGACACGACACGAGGGTTTTACTGTGGCAAGAGCTGGAAACTCGGTCAAAATCACTTTGACGCGACCCCGAAATGGCAATGCAATGACCACCGACATGCTGGTGTCCTTGACGGAGGCTTTCGAACGCCTCGCCGAGGATCCAATGACGTTCCACATTGTGCTCACAGCAGAAGGCAAGTATTTCTGCACGGGCATGGATTTGACTGGAGACAGCCGAGATGACTCGGCCGCATACCACGACAAGATCGTGCGACTGTTTCGCGCCATCGATGACGCACCTCAAATCACCATCGCCGCTGTCCAAGGCCCAGCTTACGGCGGTGGAGTCGGACTCGGTTTCGTATGCGACGTCAGGCTCGCCGCCAAATCTGCAAAGTGGAAGTTGGCAGAAGTCAAACTCGGCATGACCCCGGCGATCATCTCGAAATATATGAGTCGGGAATGGGGCATACCTTTCTTCCGCGAAGCCATGTTGAGTGGTCGAGATGTCGGCACTCAAGAGCTCCAGCGCCTCGGAGTGATCCACGGCATTGCAGACCACCCCAAGCAGCTGGACAACATGATCGATAATTACCTCGATCAGCTGAAGTCAAGCGCACCGAGGGCTGCAGCGACCTGTAAACAACTGGTCAGAAACTCGTTCACCGGTCCAGGCTCGCAAGCACAAGACCTCTTCATTCGCGAGACTTTTGGCAACATGTTGATGTCCGGTGGGGAAGGTCAGCACGGGATCAAGAAATTTCAACAGAAAATCAAGACGGTGGACTGGCCCGCATTCCACCGGGACAGTCGTGGTACCAAGCTGTGAACAACTTAACCCAGGCAGGTGCAGCGTACACGCCTCCTTTGCCTAACCAGCGGTTCTATCTGATAGCCGAGGAAATGACACGAGATTATTGGATCTTGCTCCGTGATGTCGCTTTATTTCCTCGGCTATAAACTAGATCCTCAGAAGCTTCCGATTATTTTGTGCGGAGTAACAGGTTATTCCCGTGACTGAATGACGCACTGAGTCCAACACCGTCAAGAACCATGAAAAGCGATGTTCCTCGGCACTAAGAGCTATATGGTGCAGGAGACAATTGGCGGAGCAGTAGACACGCGACACGTACCAACACTCCAGAAACACTGCAACAGAACATGAAAATGGAAGCCTGGGCTGTCGTCGAGCATGGCAAGCCGCTTGAGAAGATCACAAGAGCGATCCCAGAGCCGTCGGGGCAGGAGATTGTGGTGGAAGTCACGCACTGCGGAGTGTGCCATTCTGATTTGCACTTCTGGGAGGGCTTCTACGATCTCGGCGGTGGGAAGATTTTCCGCATCGGCGACCGTGGCGTCAAACTACCGCGCGCAATTGGGCACGAGATAGCAGGCAAAGTGCTGAAAGTCGGGCCAGACCTCCAGGACCAGGACATCCGAGTCGGCGACACAAAGCTGGTGTATCCTTGGCTTGGCTGTGGTCATTGTCGACGATGTGCACAGGGTCAGGATAATCTCTGCGGCAAGCAGAAGTCTCTCGGTGTTCTGCAAGACGGCGGCTTTGCCAGCCACGTGGTTGTCCCAGAGTCCAAGTACCTGCTGGATCCAGGACAGCTTGATCTCGCTGTCGCGTGCACCTACAGCTGCTCGGGGATCACGGCTTTCAGCGCCATCTCCAAGGTCATGCCTTTGGAGGCGGAAGATTGGATCGTGCTCATTGGTGCGGGTGGTGTTGGACTGTCCGCTGTGGCAATGCTCAAAGGCCTTGGCCACAAGGCGATTCTCAGTGTGGACATCTTTCCTGAAAGAGAAGCTGCCGTTCTTGAGGCTGGTGCCAAGAAGTACGTTTGCGGCTCAGGACCAGAGCTCTCGCAACAAATTCTCGAGTAAGTCGTCCATGACCCCTAATTGCCTTGTCAGATTGAGCGGAAGATAACGGCCGAGCTTCACATCTCCACTTGTGCGAAACTTAATTACTTGTTGTACTCATCCCATTACTGAAACTGACGGGTTCAGGGCTACTGGCGGGCCTGTTCTGGGTGTCATTGACTTTGTGAACAATTCGCAAACTGCACAGACAGGATACAGCCTCCTTGACAAAGGCGGCCGTATGGTCCAGGTGGGTGTCATGGGCGGAGAACTAAACCTCTCCCTCGTTGGAAACATTTTTAAGGCTGCCACCGTGATGGGTAACAATACAGGGAATCTCGAACACTTTCACAGAGTGCTGGAACTGGCCAAGCAAGGGAAGTTGTTGCCAGTGCCTGTTGAGCCAGTACCTTGGGACAAAGCAGATGAAGCAATACAACGGCTGAGAGCAGGCAAGCTGCATGGGAGACTGGTGTTGGTGAAGTAGGTTGTTAGTTGTATACCAGAGCAGGTGGTCATGTATTCTCGCTCAGGATATCTTCTTCTACTACATTTTTCGCAGCTGCCGAGCATGCTAGAAACGTGGGTTTTAACGTCAGATGTGAATAGTCCCTCGGCAATAAAATCAAACTTGAATTGATTGACGGGGGACGACTACCTGGGTAGTCCTTTCGAATTCTGAGTTGTTTGATGATTGAATTGACAACAACCTGCACAACCCGCGCCAGCGTCACGGAGCATTATCTTCTGGCGCTATGGGAAGTGTACAAGCGCCCAAGACGCTCGATCCCAAAGGCTTCAGTCGCCTTTACATCAACGGCGAATATGTCAAGTCGTCTTCAGATCGATACCTGACACTCAAGAATCCGAAAGACAACAGCCTCGTATCGGAAAATGTCCCCATCGCCAACGAGCACGATGTCGATCTTGCCGTCAAGCATGCTGAAGCAGCCTTTTGTGGGCCATGGAGCAAGATGACAGCGCTCGCCAGATCTGGCTGTCTCCTGAAACTGGCCGACTTGCTGCAGGACCATCTGCTTGCGATCCTGACTCTCGACTCTTTGACCTCCGGCAACCCTGTGTCACTCATTCCGACCCGGGAGACGACGTACATTCGGAATTGTCTTTTGTACTACTCAGGGTGGACGGACAAGCTCAAAGGAGATTATTTTCCCGCCGACGATGGTACGTGTATCCTTACAGCCTTTTGAACTCTGTACGTCTCGGGATCCAAATTCACTTTCCGCAGGATTTGTCAAGCTCGTTCGCCAGGAGCCTTTGGGTGTTTGTGCAGCCATCAACCCGTTCAACGCGCCCGTGGCAACCCTGATATTAAAAGCAGCTCCGTGCCTGGCAACCGGCAATGTCTTGATCGTCAAGCCGTCGGAGAAGACTCCACTCGGTTCTCTCGCCATGGGCGCAATGTTCGAGAAAGCCGGGTTCCCTCCCGGGGTGATTCAGGTGTTGTCCGGCGACGGCAGTACCGGAGCCCTGCTCGCCAAGCACATGAAGATTCGAAAGATCAGCTTCACCGGAAGCGTGTCTACGGGCAAGGCCATCCAGGTGGCGGCGGCACAGAGCAATCTGAAAAGAGTAACGCTGGAGCTGGGAGGGAAGAGCCCTGCGATCATTTTCGAAGACGCCAACATCGAAAATGCCTTGACCTGGACCGTGGGTGCTATCCTTGCGCGATCGGGTCAAGTATGCGTCTCAGCGACTCGCGTCTATGTTCAGGAATCGGTGGCTGAGGAATTTATAGCGGAATACACCAAAAGGATCGCTGCTGCTGCCAATGATCTCGGTGATCCACAGGATGCGTCAGTCAAGCTCGGTCCATTGGTTGACGAGACTCAGTTCAGAAGGGTCAGAGCAATCGTCGAACGTGGAAAGACAGAAGCGACTCTTCTCGTAGGTGGCACGCGGCATGGCGAGACTGGTTGCTACATAGAGCCGGCGGTTTTCATTAACCCGGACATTGACGCCGAAGTTTATAAGAACGAAATCTTCGGCCCTGTCGCAGTGATCAAGACCTTCCGGGACGAGGACGACGTACTGCGGCTGGCCAACGACACAGAGTTTGGCTTGATGTCGGGCGTTTTCACAAAGGACATCTCTAGGGCATTGCGGGTATCGTCTCTGTTGGACACTGGTGTGGTGGGTGTGAACTGCGTCTCATATATGAACATGCAAGCTCCATTTGGCGGCCGTAAACAATCGGGTATAGGACGCGAGTTCGGCGAATACGCCCTTCGAGCCTACACTGAGCCAAAGACTGTTCTGATCAACATGAATGCCTGACAGCAGATGGGAGCTTACAGATAAAATTCAGTGTTATCCATAATTCCTACTCAGTAACTCCTTGCAAGACCCAGCACTCGTTCTCCAATGTAGCTGAATATCATTTCCCTGCTCACCGGTGCAATCCTTGGAAGCATGGCCTCTCTCAGATATCTCTCAACATGGTATTCTTTGGCATAGCCCATGCTCCATGCGTCAAGACTGCCCTTTCGCAGGCCTCGAAGGCGGCTTCGGCAGCCAGGTACTTGCCCGCGTTGGCATGTTCGCCGGAAGAATGACCTTGATCGTAGAGTCTGGCTGCGAGGTACAGCATCAACCGTGCGGCCTCCAATTTCATCCACGACTCTGCTAACGGATGCTGAATACCTTGATTCTTGCCAATTGGTCGGCCAAACACAGAACGCTCCTGAGCATATCTCGCAGCACGCCGTAGAGCCGCGTAACCAAGACCCAGAGCCTCAGCACCGACAAGAACTCTCTCGGCATTCATTCCAACCATAATCTGCTTGAAACCATTACCCTCTTCACCGATCAGATCTTCGGCAGGTACTTTCCAGTTCTCAAAGAAGATGACGTTACTGTCGACAGCTGCGCGGCCCAACTTCGGAATCTCAGTAACTTGAACAGCAGTCCGATCTAGGGTGGTGTAGAACAGAGACAACCCATGTGTAGGCTTAGATACCTGGTCCAAAGGCGTGGTTCGGACAAGGATAAGAATTTTGTCAGCTATTTGAGCGGTCGACGTCCATATTTTGGTACCGTTAAGGATGTATACATCACCCCGTTTCTCTGCCGTGGATTGCAGCTTCAAAGTGTCCAGCCCCGTGTTGGGCTCTGTCACGCCAAAACATGCCTTTTCCTTGCCTTGTATCAGAGGCGTCAGCATCCGTTTCTTCTGTTCCAACGTGCCAAATTTGACCACGGGTTCCAGCCCAAAAATGTTCATGTGGATGGACGAGGCGCCCGTCATGCCCGCGCCAGATTCGGAAATCGTCTGCATCATCACGGTAGCCTCTGATATCCCTAACGCCGAGCCACCATATTCTTCGGGCATGCAAATCCCAAGCCAACCATTATTCGCCAAGTCGCGGTGTAGGTCCAGGGGAAATTCGTGCTTGTTGTCCTTGTCAAGCCAGTATTCGTCGGTGTACCTCGAGCATATTTTGGAGATGGCTTCGCGTACATCATGCATAGACTCGGTCCAGTCTGGTTGATTGTTCTGAAGGAATTCTGTCGCTTTGGCATGTATGGGTCTCTGCTTGACAGCCAATACCACTGATCGAAGCGCTGGGAAATGATCGGGCCTGGGGCGACGCAACGCGGAAAGTGTCCGCCCTACATGGCCGCCAAACCCGAGCTTCATGTCAATAGAACAGCTGAATGTTCGTAAGAGTCGTACCTGAATCAAGTAATTGAAGCCTTGAGATACTCGATACTGCAGCAGAGAGTTGAGTCAAGTAAACGTATTCGTCAGGGCACCGGGGTTGGTCGCCCAGTGAAATTACCGAGGAAAGATCGGACGGCACCAAACAATACCACTACCCGAGGGATTATTACGGCAGCCAACCCATCAGATTTCAATACACACTTGCTCGGAAAGATGAGTGATGCAGATGTGTTGTATCGAGTCCTTCGGACCGATGGTTTGTTCAGGTTCCTAGCATGGCGCGGTCTGTTGAAGGTGCCGGGGTTGAGCAGTCTCCAGTGCTTGCGGCAAAGAACGGCCGTGTACCACTCTCCGAGAAATTCTGGCAAGGATGTATCCCATTTGTCATTGGCGGTGTCTCGGGTATGGCAGCAACAATTTGCGTGCAGCCTCTGGACATGGTCAAAGTCCGAATGCAATTGACGACCAGCGACAAGTCAACCGGCCAAGGAAGCGTATCAGCAATCAACGTCTTGCGAGGGATCGTCAGAAGTGGCGGAGCCATCGAATTGTACAACGGCCTTTCTGCAGCTCTTGCCCGTCAACTCGTGTATGGAACGACTCGGCTCGGCCTTTTCGCTACATTCGAACAAAATCTGAGAAGGAGGGCCGAGATCAGTCAGCACTCATATTCATTCACACAACGTGCTTTGGCAAGCGTGAGTGCTGGTGGTATTGCTGCAGCAGTAGGCAATCCGATTGAGGTTGCCCTTATACGTATGCAATCAGATGGTATGCATCCGGTTAATCGACAGCAGAAGTACAGATCGGCGGTTGATGCCTTGATCCGAATTGTCAAAACTGAAGGTGTTGCTGTCTTGTGGAGTGGATGCGGCCCAACAGTCGTTCGGGCAATGTCGACAAACTTTGGCCAGCTTGCTTGCTTCTCAGAGACGAAACATCAGCTCAAAGTTCGCACAAGTTTGTCGGACTGGCAGCAGACATTGCTGGCTTCGGCAAATGGCGGATTCTGCGCAGCCCTCTTCAGCATGCCTTTTGACACAGTCAAGAGTCGTCTGCAAAGTCGGCAAGCCAGATATCGGGGAATGGCTCACTGCTTCTCCTCAATATTGAAGGAAGAAGGTGCACTGAGGTTCTATCGGGGGTTTCCCATGTATTGCGCTCGACTCGGACCTCATTCGTAAGATACTCGAATTAACCTTGGCCGAGCGTTGCTGAAAAATTGAGACAGGGTGATTTCTCTCGTGATCATGGACTCCCTGACGAGAGCCTTGCGGGAAGAGACTAGACATTGAGTTTGACCGATGGGTAGTGTCGTTCTCTTCACCGTAGGCCGATACTATCCATGCTTCCGGGCCGGTCTGACTTCACGTGCATGTCTCTCTTCTATCCTCTGGCCGCTGCTCGAGCTCTGAGCTGGTCGATCATCGGGCCAAGTCGTGAGAGCGACACGTTGGCGCCAGGACGGACGGAAGCCAGCCCAGCGAGGTGATTTGTCAATGAGGGACTGTTCAAGAAGCACCTTGCTGGACGAGTGTATCGTGCAGAGAAGCTCAAAGACGGGGGAATTGCTGGACACTGGTCTCGACAGTCGCGTCTGCGGAGCGCGTGAGTCGAGGGTGCGCCAACGTTAAAAGCGGCGCCAGGGCGGTGTGCGCCCAGGCGAGCTCGCAGATTTTAACCCCTACTTTGGCGCCAAGACTCTGCACGGGCTCCTCAAGGGCCGCCGTGCCTTTGATGACTGCACCCTCATCGCATACCACAGTCGCATGAATGACACCATGAGATTGCACATTTCCCAAGAACGCAATGCATCACCACAGACAGAAGCGGATACAAGACGCGACGGGCATGGACAGCCGAATTGGCTCTTGTGCGGCCCAGCTCTACGCTGCAGGATCTGTCCATCGTGAAGTGTGTCTTCGATAGACCACTAACCCTTGGACTGCGTGTGCGCTCTCTGGTGCCACGAGTTGAATGGCTAGCAATGCCGTCGAAAGCATAACAATACTGATCGAAGCATGCGTAGAACCTGGGCGAGCAGCAGCCGCAGCGTTTATGTGTATCAGAGTCGAGGAAGTCAAGCTCAAGAACTTGGCTCCGCAGACAAGCATTCAAGTGCGACTTCCTCATGATACATTACACATTGCACAGGCTCGCCAGGCCAGAACGCACGCGATGCTTCGACAATATTGGATTTGCATCCTCTCCACTCGCACCTTTGCCGGCGGTGTGTAGCCCGAGGTCTGGGTGACGAGCTCTCCAACAGCACCGATTACAACGCTAACAGGCACGCCCGAACTCTATTTCTGCCACGAGAAGGGTTGGCGTAGCTTAACTTTCGTACACTGACAGGTACCTTGCACATGGCGTGCGCGGGGTACATCCATTACCTCATCGCTAGTCGGTACCGGGAGAAATCATGCACCAACACGGCAAATAGCTATCACAGGTAAGTATAAGGCACGGCAGATTTCCGTCTCGTGATGGACGTCAGTCCTGGGTCAGCTACGACCCAGAACCACACCGCCGCCATGCTTCTCCCGCTCTTGTTCGGATCGCTGCTTGGTGAAGTTGCATTTGCACAGAACGCGAGCTTGCCTGATTCGGCACAGGTGATAGATCAGAAGAGCCTTGCCGTACTCGAAACTGTGGACCCACCCTCAGTGCAGAACTTGTCGAGCGTAAGTGAAAGCTTCCCGAGGTCTACTGGAGGACGTATACTCAATCCTCACCAGGTCTTCCTCCCGCCGGGAATCACATCGCAAGACGCAAGCTCGAAGCCGTTCCATGTCTACGACGAAGCATTCCTTGAGCTCCTTGGCTCGAATGTCTCACTAACATTGATCGCCTCCAGCGCGAAGGACCCTCTGTTCCATGAGGCCGTTGTCTGGTCCGTCTGCTTAGCCTCAAGCCCCACCCAGACTGGAAGGTTGACATGACGCAGGTACCCACCAACAGACGAGGTCTTCTTTGTCCAGAATGCTGGCGCCAAGGATGCTGGGACAGGCTTGAACAAGTCGAGCATCATCCAGAAGATCTCGCTTGCCCAGGCGGAGGCTGTTGCTCAGGGCCTGAACAGCAGTGTTGACGTGATCGTTGTGAACTCCACGCCGACTGTCATCAATCCCAATGGTATGCCTCTTCTTGCACCTCCTCATGGTCAACGTCAAGAATCGATATCGTGGGCCACGCGCTGACCAGTTGGCACAGGCGCAACCAACTACCAAGGCCAGATCGTGTACACAGGTGAAGGTCAAGGGGACGACATCGCGCCTGCTCTCTTCCTGATGAACCCTCTGGAACCGTACAACACGACTCGTAAGTCGAAGACCCCTTCTCTCACCTATCTCTAGCTAATTGATCCCCCTTGCAGAACTCGTAAACAACTATTACGGCCGCCAACTCAACTCCCTCAACGACGTCGCCATCAACCCGCTCTTCCCGAACGCCATCTACTTCACCGACTCGCTCTACGGAGCCCTCCAGGACTTCCGCCCCTGGCCCACAACCACCATTCCGCCCATGGTCTACCGCTTCGATCCCTCTACCGGTGCCATCCGTGTCGTCGCCGCTGACCTGAACAAGCCGAACGGCTTGACCTTCTCCCCGGACGGCAGCGTCGCTTACGTGACAGACACAGGTGCGCTGGAAGGGTTCTACGGCGTCAATGCGTCCCTACCGGCGACGATCTACAGCTACAACGTGACTGCGGCTGGCAATTTTGCCAACAGGCAGACCTTTGCTTACGTGAGCCCGTTGGTGCCGGACGGGATACATTGTGATGAGAAAGGAAATGTGTATGCTGGCACGGGAGATGGCGTGCATGTATTGAGCCTGACGGTGTGCTGTTGGGCAAGATCTGGGTTGGGAGCACAGTCGCCAACTTCCGCTTCACGGGCAAGGGGCGAATGGTGATCGCGGCGGAGACGAAGTTGTACTATGTCAATGGTTGGGGCGTGGAGGGCGGTGATCCGCAGGATCAGTATTGATAGGAGCTATCAGCGTAGCTGGCTAATCGCGAAGTACCACACAAAAAGGCACTTTGATAGGCGCTCTGCACTTTCATCGAGCTGTAGCCATCTGGCTAGCTGGTCTGCTCACCGGGCACACCCCTCCACCGATCATCCATCATCTTCTTCCTTGCTCTGCCTGCCAGAACGATCCCGCTGATGCCTCAAACTTCTCGAATTCCGCCTCCTTCACATCACAACTATACCCTGGCACTGTCGGACTCACATGGTACCCATTGTCTGTGATCTTCGCCGGCGCGACAAAAGCCTCATGTAAGTGGTCTGTATACTCAAGTATGCTTTCCTTGCCACTGACGCACACAAAGTCGATGGTGCTGATGTGGCTACACAATTCGACCATGCCTGCGCCGCCAGAGTGAGGCACGACGGGGACGTTGAACTTCGCCGCGAGGAGCAGAACCGAGAGAATCTCGTTAACGGAACATAGTCGGCATGCGTCGAGCTGAACGGCGTCCAGGGCGTTGGCTTGCAGTAACTGCTTGAACATGACGCGGTTGTTCACGTGCTCGCCGGTGGCGACACCGATATTGTAGGGCTTCAATGCCTCACGGATCTTGGCGTGGCCCAGGACGTCGTCGGGTGAGGTGGGTTCTTCGATAAACCAGAGTCCGAGATCGGAGAAGTTCTTCATGTAGGTGATGGCTTCGTCGACGTCCCAAATCTGGTTCACGTCCACCATCAGGACTGCTGAGGGGCCAACGATCTCCCGGACGAGGGACAGGCGTTTGCGGTCGGCTTCGACGCCCTGCGCGCCTTTAATCTTGAAATGCTTGAAGCCTTGGGTTACGGCTTTCTTCAGTCCCTCGCGGACTTGGTCGTCGGAGAGACCGAGCCAGCCGATCGAGGTGTTGTATGCTGGAACGGCTTTGTTCGAGGTCGCTAGATCCAGTCGTTCGTGTTTTGTCTTCGCTTGCTTCCGTAGCATCTCAAGAGCTTGCTCTGGCGTGATTTCGTCTGTGATGTAGCGGAAATCAATACACCGGACGAACTCTTCCGGAGTGAAATCGCTGACCAGCCGCCATAAAGGCTTGCCTTCTACCTTTGCCCATAGATCCCATAACGCGTTGAGGACCGCACAGCACGCCAATTGCAGTACTCCCCGCTCAGGCGACATGAAGCGGACCTGGCCTGACACGCACTTTCGCTGTGTCTCGGCCATGTTGGCAGTCAATGAGGACAGCTTGCGACCAACATAGCGTGGTGCCAGAGAGCGAATGGCGGCGCAGAGCACATCGTTGCCTTGGCCATTAGAGAAGGACCAGCCAGTGCCGATGTGCTCGCCGTCGGTCTGGAATTGGAGATAGCCAAATGCATTCTCACCAGCAAGATTCATGGGGTCGGAGCCGATATTGTCGAGTGAGGTTGGCCATCGTAAGTCCCGTACTGTGAAGCCTGTTATTGTTGGGTCGGCAGGCATTGTTGATGGTGCGGTGGGTTGGGCAGAAGCAGGCGAGGTCGTTCAGCGTGGTCAAGGGTCGCTTTGAGGTCATTTCATGCAAGCTCGTCTAGCGGTGTCCGGGATCATCATGTGAGTGTCTCATGCATTGCATGGCTTGCCCATTCCGGTGCTCAAGGTCTCAAGATCTCAAAATGGTCCGGATCTAGGGAATGTTCTCGGGACAGAGCTCGGAATATTCGGAACACGACTCATGACGCCCGACGGCATCTCAGCCGCGCTATCCCACGCGGGCCAGGCGCAGGAGCACAAGCACGATCTCGGCTCAGTCTGTAGGTGCAAGTTGAGGGGCGTAAGGTGTGTGCTTCGCGTAAGCCAAGGTAACGACAACTTTATCAAAGGGAGAACTTGGTCACGGGGGTTGTCAAAGAACGCCACTCCCCAGATCACTTGGCGCGTTTCCCCACCAGTCGCGACTTCCCTCCTTGACGACACTACGCGTACTACTGCCTGACATGCCTGCCCCGGAGCGATTGAAGTCTTTGTGAATTTCTTGGATTAGGACCCGATCTTCAGCTATGTTGCATTCATTCTTGGTGTAAAGTCCGCAGCCATGTTGATTGACGTCGTAATATGTCTGAGCCAGAGTCACCTCCGGATAGGTCTGAAGAGCACGGCAGTCAGTCCAAGTCTCGCCGACGGCGGCCACAGTACACATCCCAGGCATGTGTTACCTGCAGGCGACGAAAGTTGAAGTGCTGCGGCAATGTCCCTTGCCAAAGGTGTGTTCGTCACAATGTGAATTGTCTATATGTTGGGAAAGCCTCTTCTCGCGCGTCTGACGGCAATGGTTTTGGATCCCAGACTGTGGCATACAGTACGCTCAGTGTTGAGGCACGTCTCGCCAGGATCGAGGCACGGCTCGACAATCTGACTGCTGACGGATCAGCACGAGATAACCAATCCCACGATGAGCCGGACGAAGATGCTGGTGACTTCCAGGGCGACACGGCGTTCCAAGCACCAGTGACGGCTTTCAATGACAATCTCGGTCCCGTGAGAGCAAGGCTTGGGATACCTGCTACGCCTGTCGTCAACACGTCTCCGGAAGCACGCAGCTACAACTTCGGCTCCCCTCAGGCAACACTGGACAAGCACTACGTATCCATCGGGACAACCTCATTGGCGTTTCCTAGCTTGACCCAGTACGACAAATATTTGGCCTTCTTCTTCGCGGATATAAATCCATGCCATTCCTGTGTCAACGAGGCAGACTTTCGAACGAGGGCAGAGAGCCTTGTCACTACGAGAAAGGTGGCTCGAGAAGAGGTGTGGTTCCTGGCCCTTAATTATATCATCTTCGCCTGTGCCGATATCTTGCAGGATGTCGAAGCACTCAACGAAACCAGAAAACTCCCAGGTTGGGAGTGGTTCCTGATAGCGGAAAGTCTCGTTGGAAAGCGCAAGATAGGTGGGCGAGGAGATGCAAGCTTGATCCAGTATCTGATCTATGAAGCTTTCTATCTCGTGCACGCAGACAAGCCGAATGCAGCGTACAACTCTATCGGATTGGCTTGCCGTCGGTGCTTTCAGTTCGGTCTTCATCAGCAATCCATCGATGCTTCTATCAGTGACGGATTCACGAGGCACATGCGACAAAGACTGCTCTGGACGGTCTACTTTGTCGATCGCCGGATCTCGCTCAGCTGTGGACGTCCCTATGGTATCCGAGACTCAGACATTAACATGGAATTGCCTGCTTTCATCAACGACGCCGCTCTGCGGCCGAATCTTCCTCTGCCGGAAGTTGACCCGTACGAGTCTGCAATACCTTACCTACACAGCACCATTGCATTCTCGAAACTGGCAGGCGAGGTGTGGGATCGGTTATTTGCGGCTGGGGTCTCACAATTCGATCCCGAGGTGATCGTGGTCTTGGACGCGAAAATCAAACACTGGGTTGATGTGGCGTTTCCAAGGCTTCCCCTGATGCCGCTGGATGGTCGAAGTACGCGAAGACACCATCGCCAGCAAACACTCATCATCACAAGGTTTAATCATTTAAGGCTTCTTCTGAGACGTCGGACAATGGTATCTCTCGAATACGATGCCTTGACTGGTCAGCTTTCGGGCGATCTCGCGAGTGGCATCGTCGACCAGATCGGGCTACATCGTGAAGAAATTGCGGAGCCAAGCTCTTTCCGATTTCACATGGCAGTCTCGCTTGGGGGAGCCGTGCTAGTCTTGGCCACGCTCCTTGTCCGGGATATCACGCAGATCGGATTGCAGGGCGAGAGGACTAGATACGTGGCTGCCTTTAACGACGGCGTTGCTATGCTTGAGCAGCTCTCTATGTTCCTTACCTCAGCAAGACGCATCGCTGATGACCTGAAGCCAATCATCCAGGTAGCAACCTCGATCAACCATGTCCCAACGTCAGCTGGGCACATGAGTATGGTTCCCGTTGACCTTGACGGCCTTTTTCCACAAGGAGTCATGGACTTTGCACAGCAGACTAACTGGTTTGACGAGCCCTTCCTAGGTACCAGTGCGGGCGAGCCCGTCAATGCAGCGATGCATGACTCTGTCGCACCAGAGGCTTGGGAGATCGACTTCAGCTATGCCACCACAGGCTACGGCGCCACGTGGATATAACATAAGTCATCATTGTGGTCTTCACTTCTGTACCGCTCATCGCACCACTGCACTGACGCGCAGTTCAAGGCAAGCCTACCCTCCAGTCGGCTCCATCACCGTTCAGACCAAATCGAGTACTGCTCATGTCTTTCACCGTGGTGCGCCTCATATCGCGAGGATAGCGTCCCTCGTATGAGCCTCCTGTCGCCCGGTGCATGACGCTGGTGTTGTCCCAGATGATCATATCGCCATTCTGAATCCATGGTACTGTCAATCGATACTTAGCTTTTGAGATGTGTGCTGTGAGTTCGTCGATGAGTTTCCGACTCTCTTTGGCGTCCATGCCTTGCAGGTGATGCACATAGCTCGCAATGTACAGGTTCTGGGTCAAGATCAGTATGTGCTATGTGACAAAGGGCCACAGTGCTTACCTTCCTGCCCGACCATTCGTGGGTCTGTACAAGCTTGTGGAAGCTGAGTTCCTTCGTGCTGGGATCCAGATCCTTGAAGTAGTCTGGCATGACTGTTTTCCTGGAGTGGAACAGTGAATGGGCTGCAACCACATCCTCCAGCTTGTCCTTCATTTCCTGGGAAAGATCGTCGTATGCGGTGCGGGAGTCAGAGAACTACTCGTGTGTCAGGACAACCAGGGTCACGTGCCTGACATACGTACCTCTGTGTGGCCACCAGTTCCTGCCGGCGGAATCTTGCGTGCCAGGAGCAGAGAATGACCTGCTCGGCGCGCATTGAATGAAGAATCGACGTGGAAGAGCTCGTTTGCCTGTCAAATGTTCAGCATCGATAAGGCCAGGAAATGCAGTTGCCCTACCTTATTGCCGATCACTTGTGCCGCCGTCAATGGTGCAACATCGCCGGTGTGAGGATCGATATTGCCAGCATCGAAGAGCTCTGGATATGGCAGACGATGTACCCGTCCTGCCTGCACATACGGACGCACATCATCCAGCTCTCCGAAGTTGCGCGAGAATTCGATGTGGGCCTCATCTGTCAAGGTCGTCTGCCGACAGACGACCACGGCATACTTTAGGACTAGTCAGCATTGATTTGAGCATCAATGGGTTGCCAGCCTACCTTGTCAGCAACCTCGCGGATCTTTTTGTATACCTCCGCAGAGACGGGTTTCGACCAGTTCACCCCATCCAGCTGACACGCAAAAGTCGGGTGCAGGGGCGTCACTTTAAGCCCATACTCAGCTATGTCATATGGTCGCGGGACCTCGCCCTCAATAGGCAGTGGCGTCCATGTTGGTGTGGGCTTGACAGTTATCGTCCGAGGCGCTTGTTCCGTTATGGTCGTTGTAGCAGACATTGTGAATACGAGGTGCTGTGTGTTGGGAATCCGTTGCTCACAAGTGTTCGAGTCTTTTTAGCCATCCAAGGTGCGGACGCTTTCCGAGAAGATCACCGTTATGTTCCCTTCCTTGCGGAAAGTCGCTCAATTGTCTCCATCGGTGGCAACAGCGACTGCAGAATGCGAGGTCTGCGCAAAGTCGGACGCTCGGAATGCCTCCGAGCACTTTCCGAGGATCTCTCCACGTGCGACGATCTTGACTTCAATACCCCGACCCCGTGGGGACTGCCCCTAAGCGAGTACCAACCACTTCCATGTGGAGATTGTTTTCTCGCGAGCTGTCACCATTCCGAGATACCGATTTGAGAACTGATATCTTTCGCTCACATACGCTCTCTTCGTTCTATGCACCACGAATTTGGGGTCTATTCATCGAAAAACAGCAATCACCCCACAGGGCGGGCTCTGACCAAGACATCAACATGGCAGGCGACTCGACGGGAATGAGCTTCTCGCACCTCAAGAACAACACCAACAAGAAGTGGTGGCTCGATCCTTGCCTGCGCGTCAATGTGGTACAGTGTATCGGGCTGTACTTTTGCGTGTTTTACCTTGGCTATGATGCAGCCCTTCTCAATGGGTATGTTGTTCCTGCAAGTCAGCATCGACGTCTGCTGATCTCCTGGACAGACTACAAGCGATGCCTCAATGGCAAGAATACTTCGACAGCCCCTCGGGGAACTTCCTTGGCCTAATCTCTGCGTCATTGTTCCTGCCTGCAATTGTCACGCCCTACATCAGTGCATGGATCAATGGCATCTGGGGTCGTAAGATGGCTCTGACAGTGGGATCGGTTATCCTGATTATTGGTGCATTCATCAATGCATTCGCAAAGAACGTGTGAGTCTCCCAATAAGCATGTGCCTTAGGACATTGGCAATATCCTCTTTGGCTCCCGTTACTCGTCACTCGATTGAGCGTCACGGCCAGCTCCCAAGCACCTTCGAGTCCCTTCTTCTGTCGCTCGCTCGAACGTCACAGCCAGCTCTAGACTGTCTCCGATGCTCGTTACCCGAGCGTCACAGCCGGCTCTAAGCTGCCTTCGACTCTCGATCGTTGAGCGTCATAGCCATTTTCATCTGGCCTCTAACCTACCTTCCGCGTTACTTGAGTACTATTCACTGACGATCATTGCGCAGTGGAATGTTCATCGCGGGTCGCGTCCTTATAGGAGCAGCTGGTCCGTTCGGAAAGACAACAGCCATCGCCTTGCTCCAGGAAGTGGCACATCCACGCCTTCGGCCCCTCCTTTCGACTTGTTTCTACAGCAACTACTACATTGGAGCCGCAATCGCCTCATGGTTCTGCTATGGCGCCCTAGACTGGGGCACGACCGATTGGGCGTGGCGGGCGCCATGTCTCTTCCAGATCTTCGCTCCGATGATGGTCCTTTGCCATCTGTTGATCGTCCCAGAATCGCCACGCTGGCAGATCCACAAGGAAAGGACCGAGGCCGCCATGGCAACTTTAGTAAAGTGGCATGCGAATGGAGACCAGGATGACGAACTTGTCAAACACGAGTACAAGGAGATCTGTTATGCATTGGAGTTGGAGGCCGAGAACAAGAGCACGCGTTACATGGACTTCCTCAAGACACCCGGCAACCGCCGGCGACTGTTGGTCCTCGTCACTATGGCCACCGGAACCAATTGGATCGGAAACGGAATCATCTCTTACTACCTGGCCCCTGCTCTAAAGCTAGTGGGGATCACGGACGCGCACCAGATTTCTGGCATCAATGGCGGTCTTGCAGTTTGGAACTTGTTCCTCGCATATGCTGGCTCACTGAACGCAGAACGCGTGGGCAGAAGGAAGCTCTGGTTGACATCAACCATTGGCATGCTGTGCTCCTACGTCGTCATGACTGGTCTGTCTGGCAGCTTTGCAGAGAACAAGACCCGAGGCGTCGGCATCGCAGTGGTGCCGGTGATGTTCATCTACTATGGCTTCTACGATATCGGCTGGACCCCGTTGCCGTTCTCGTATGGCGCGAGATCTTGCCTTACCACATGCGCTTGAAAGGTTTGAGCATTCTGCTCAGCGTTCAGAGCGTTGCGCAAGCTTTCAATCAGTGGGTCAACCCTGTCGCCTTGAAGAGCATCGCCTGGAAGTACTATATCGTCTACGTCGTACTCATCGCCATGTACTTGGTGCTCATCTGGTTCTTCTTTCCCGAGACAAGGCGCCTCACGATCGAAGAAGTCAGCTTCGTTTTCGATACTGGGCGAATGGGTACCGGGCATGCAGCGACACAACATTTGCACCAGCGGAGTCATAAGGACGAGGAGGGAGTAATGGCGGATGTGAATCCAGGCAAGGAGGACGCTGGACCACCGAAGTCGGGTGACAGTGCTCATGTCGAGGAGTTGGGCAGCCGACATTGACTTTGGACAGACAGGCCAGGCAGGCTGTGACTAGAAGCTCTGGGCGTTTTGCCTACAGCACCCTCGGCAGCCAGATAGTCCACGAGGTATCAATCGCTCGCGCCAACGCTCGAGTGAGACTCCTCTCAAGCCCAGCAACTCGATCAGCGTTATAGTGTTTCCAGCACCCCGCCTGGTTGAGTAACCCATAATGAACAGTATCCTTGGCTCGCGAGTTTAGGGTGTAGTCTTGAAGAGGACGCGCAGTACTACCAATCGAGCTTGTTGCCGCTAGGCGCACTAGCAACCTTATGTAGGACATGTCCACAAAGAGTCACGGTCATCCGGTCTCAGATGGCAGCAGCGTCATCCGGCCGCAGATAAGGCCTCTGAAGATTAAGTCATCCGGTCCCATGTGAGGCCATGTGTCAACCAGAAAACGCTCTTCATAAAGCGCACAGAGACCTGCCAAGCTGGCCTCACGAGTATTCTTGACCCCTGACGTCCACGGGTTTTGACGTGTGTACATAATGTGATCTCCGCATGCATAAAGAAGCAGGGAGCAGACGAAGTATTCTTGTCGTTGAAACACCACGCTGCCAAGCCTTGGAATATATTTTGCGTGATTCAGTTTGCTGTTTCATGACAACTTGGTTGCTTTCTTAACATAACATCGATTACGCGACCACAATTAAGATCACTTTCGCGACTGTCGCGCTTGGACTGAACATGGTACAGTACACCATGGCTTCGAAACTCGCCGCCAGATGTCCGCACCAACACCTTCCGCTCTTTCAAGTCTCATCACAACCACGACCTCGCAGGTTTCCTCATCAGCGCCCGCACTTGCCCAAGTTCTCGCCTTACCCACCGAAATCTTGCATAACCTGCAATATCAACACACATGGAAAGATCTACGTCTACACCAGATCACTGCGGACGCGGCTCTCATCGACATTCCCAACGACACTCCAGCGAAAAGCCACGATACAATTCCAGTCATCATCTCCGGACAACCTCCGCGGCACGTCTACATACACCCAGACCTGCAGAGCGTACTGATCCAACACTCGTTGTCTGCAGGGACTGCCATCCCACCGCAGCGTGAATATGTGATCCCACTGAGTATTGCTCAGAAGGATGTTGGTGTTGAGACACTGGCTGGGGTGTTCGACGCGCTGCCAACGCGTGAGCCGATCGCGTTTGGGAAGAGTTATGACACGTGGCAAGATCCCAAGCGCGTGCTTCTCGCGATGAAGGCGCCTGATGGGTTGGGTGGTGATGGGACGGTGGCGTACTATGTGTGCCAGGAAGGAGAGCAGAAACCACGACAGAATGGTTGAGAGTCGCCAGAGAAGCGGCACGTCTGGGAGTCATGTGGCGGAACGTCGCGTTCGATCACTGGGAGCAACGCCAAATTGGTATGCTGACGGACGTCGGCTCAAAAGATGGGTTTTTCGGAATTCAACGCAGCGGCTCTAGCATCATCGAGCAGCCAGGCTGTTCCGAGACTATCTGAGTCAAGCAACAGAGCTTTTTCAATCTCGAATGCGTCGCAAGCTCAGCAAAGCTGGTGGGAGGCTCCGGCCCCAGAAAATCGGCGTGCTCTTGCCAGTATCATCATCATGGCTGTCACAGTACTGATCGCTGGGTGCAAAGTGAGCTCGAAGCCTGCTTTCGACCCAGACCGGAGGTTATCATCACTGTCCAACCTCCGATCGAAAGTCCGAGAGGCAACGAAAAAGGCATTTCCATTGTGGGAAACCACATCTACATGCACATCATGCAGAGTCGAAGGAAGCAGCCCAAAATCAGCACTTGAGGCAAGTCTTATACTCGAAACGAACTCGAGTATGTTACACATCTGCTACTGTGCCTTCCAGCAATATTTTTATTGCAAACCAGACAACAAACACCCGGACATAGAGCCGATGATCACCTCTAAAGCCGAGGCAGAACATCCCTGATTGGCTGTCGGTATATAGCCGGCTATTATCAAAAGTCCATACCCCACCGAGGGAGCTCGAGTGGTCTGTCACCGCACATCATCATTGGCGCGGGGAGTCAAGCAACAGCTGCTTTTGGGGATGGGGAACTTTCAAAAAGCACGTCAATGATCGAATTCCTGGTTGAATTGGAGATCCTGTACGAGTGAGTGTCGGGATTGGTAATTCGAAAAGGCAGGTGCGAGGGAGGGGTCGTCTCGCTAAATAAATAAAAAGGTTGAAGAAGCTGCTCGTTCTGCGCGGATCCCTCGTTCTTCGTCATCGTTCCTGTTCCGTGTGTGAATACTGCTGGACTAATTGATCTGGACTATAGCGAAGGAGAGCACTACACAGAGCTCGGAAGTCGCCCACAAGACCCAGCAACACACCTCGAGCTTCAGCAGCAACACCAACACCCTACCACCACCATCAACCTTCACAATGGGCGACGCCGGCCCCAACGCCCCGAGGGGCTCCAGAAGTCCCTCGACACCACCAAAGTCAGCTACATGCGCGTCGGCACCTCCGGCCTGAAACTCTCCGTCCCCATCCTCGGCGCCATGTCCTTCGGCCACAAAGACTGGCAACCCTGGGTCGTCGACGACCAGGCCGAAGTCGAGAAACTCCTCCTCGCCGCCTGGGACCGTGGCCTCAACACCTGGGACACTGCCAACGTGTACTCCAACGGCGTCTCCGAAAAGATGATTGGAGAGGTGGTCAAGAAGAACAAGCTTGATCGGAAGAAGTTGGTGATTTTGACGAAATGTTATGGGACGGTGGGGGAGGACCCGGCGACGAGTCATATCAAGTACCCGGAGTTGAAGGGGACGAAGGATTATGTGAATCAGGGTGGGTTGTCGAGGGCGGCGATTTTCAATGCCGTGGAGGCGAGTTTGGAGAGGTTGCAGATGGATTACATTGATCTGCTACAGATCCATCGTTATGATTGTGAGTTGCACCGACCATCGGCTCAGGCAGCAGCCGCTGCGATGGGCGTTCACCCTCACAGAAGCGGATCAGTATGCTGACATGTAACAAAACAGACGAGACACCAGCCGAGGAGACGATGAAGGCACTGCACGACCTCGTACAGAGCGGCAAGGTCCGCTACATCGGTGAGTCCAGCCACCCGACCCTCCTACCACTCTCAGAAGACAAACACTAACAACGTCCCCACCAGGCGCCTCCTCAATGTGGCCTTCCAACTAGCCGAGCTCCAAACCGTCGCCAAAACCAACAGCTGGACCCAATTCATCAGCATGCAAAACCACTACTCCCTCTGCTACCGCGAAGAAGAGCGCGAAATGAACAAGTACTGCCACAAAACCGGCGTCGGCCTCATCCCCTGGGCCCCGCTTTACCGTGGCCACCTCGCCCGGCCCCTAGGCTCAGACTCCACGTCCCGCAACGACGCCTCCAAGGCGGCCGGCACGAAGATGGACGCGGATAGCCTGACGGAGGAGGACAAGATTATTATTGGGAGGGTGGAGGAGTTGGCGAAGAAGAAGGGCTGGAAGATGAGTCAGGTTGCGTTGGCGTGGACGGTGCAGAAGGGCGCGAATCCGATCGTGGGGTTTAGTGGGGTGGGGAGGTTGGATGAGGCGGTGGCTGTGAAGGGGAAGGTGTTAACGGAGGATGAGATTAAGTATTTGGAGGAGCCGTATAAGGCGAAGAGTATTGTTGGGCACTCGTGAGTGGATGTTGACGCATGAGTCCAGCGGCATATAGGCAAGGACAATGGACCATGCACGAACCGATCATGGCGAGTATGCCGTCGGAAAGGGATTTGCAGGCCCTCTTGCACCATGAAACGATGAGGGTCATTCAGAGATACTGCCTGCAAGAGCCTCCTAGCAGCTAGATACAAGCCCCTTGTGCGCAGCGCATCTCGAGAGCGCTAGAGAACCCGAGCTCTCACTACTCCCTACTGCCTCGATCACTGCGGATATGACTCCGAAGAGACAGCCATCAATGACCAACCATCCTCGAGTGCGCCTCACCATACCTCTCCCCCTCCACTTTCGCCTCATCCACGATCCTCCGCATCTCCTTCAGCTCCTCCTCGCTGAACACCACCTCCCTACTCCCCCAATTCTCCACCAACCTCCCCGCCTTAGTCGTCCCCGCAATCGGGATCAACCCCTGACTCGCCACCCAGCTCAACGCCAACTGGCTCGTCGTACACCCCTTCCTATCCGCTAGCTTCTTGATCTCCTCCACAATCGCCTTATTCTTGTAGAAATTCTCGCCCTGGAACTTTGGTGAGGTCCGCCGAAAGTCATCCTCCGCAAAGTCTTGGGGCGAGGCGTAGTCGAAGTTGTCAACCAGCCAGCCGTGGCCGAGCGGGGAGAAGGCGACGTAGGCGACGCCGAGTTCCTTGCAGGTGGCGATGAGCCGTCCGTCTCGTGCAGAGTCTCGAAGGCAGAGTACTCGGCTTGAACGGCGTCGATGTGCGCGATGGAGTTGGCTTTGCGGAGGGTAGCGGCGGAGCATTCTGAGAGGCCGATGTATTTGCACTTGCCCGCCTTTCGGATGCTGTCGAGAGCGCTGATAGAGTCCTCCAGGGGTGTATTGGGGTCGATCCGGTGGAGGTAGTAAAGATCCGGCGCGAATCCCAAGCGGTCAATCGTGCCTTCGATATACTTGCGGATATGCTCCGGCGAGTTGTCCACAGAGAACTTCCCTCCGCCAAAGACGTCGAGGCCGCATTTCGAGGCAATGAAGAGCTTCTCTCGACACTTATGCTTGCGGATGAAGTCGCCGAGCAGCTTCTCGTTGATGCCGGCGCCATAGACGACGGCGGTGTCCCAGAATGTGCAGCCTAGCTCGAGTGCCTTCAGCAGAACTGGCTCTGCTTCGTCGTAGGAAAGATTGGTGCCTAGTCCGGCACTCAGTCCCATTGCACCGTAGCCTGGGACGGGGACTTGGCTCGAGGCGAAGGGCAGTGTCTTGACCATCTTGTTGAGGTGGTAGGAAAAGGCGTTCAGTTATGATGGTGAGTCTTATGTCGGGCTCGAAGCCCCGAACGATACTTATACTCCATTTTGTACTGTCATCCGTAGCAGGTCCCCTTCAGTATTCCTCGGACGGTCACGGACCTAGATCAGCTATGGTCTTTATGTCCGTGGAGGTTGATCGACAAAGTTCAGGCAAGATATTCCGCTCGGCGAATTAGCCAGGGGATTTCTCCGCAGCGATCAAGGATGCTCCTTTTTCAGCGGGTCTCCTGTTGCGAGAGTTCGCTCGCTCATGCGGAGCTGCTGAGGGTAGCGAGCGCCCAAAAGTTCATGAATAGATAGCCCATGAGACCAGCACAGGCCTCTGACGGCAAGAATGAGTAATGATATTGGGTCAAATAGAGGCGGACTTGGATGTAATCCTTTACAACTCCATTGCTTTTGCAGCCTACTGACGGCTACATGCGACACTCTTAGTGTCAAAGATTGAACATTATCCCTAATGATAACGTCTAGAATCCATCTACAAGCCTCATCGAATGTTAAAACCTTACACCGGGAGCTCCTTCGCTCCATGAACTTTTCGTAAGCCGTGTTTACAGATGCCTCACCTGGGCACCCCCTCCCATGGTCGCCAGTGACGAATCGACTCCTAGTCACGGTGTGGCGGCGACGTGTTGTAAGAGCCTCCGTTCGCTCTTCTCTCGTTGCTGGTCTCGCCGTTATCGTCGGGAGACCCTTCTCCAGTAAGTGTTTTGTCGCTGGCGACGATCTTATTGTGCAGGCTCTGCAGCTCAACACCTCGGATGCCCTTGTTCGGCCAGTAGGTTGCTGCGTAGTCCCTAAGTGGATAATTAGTCTTCGAGTTCAAACACACAGAGAATGGCAAAGCACATACCAGAAACGCCGCTCCATCGCGCGTAGATCCTGCTCACCTTCGACATCATCAATTTGCTCCGAAATGAAGAGACCAATGGTTTTGAGTAATACACGTAGCTCGGCTGCACGTTGTGGAGCATCGGGTATGGCACTCTTTGTCGCGGCCTTGATCTTCTTGAGGTCGTTTCGAACAGGTTTGAAGACAAGTGTCATCATCGGATCTTGGCTTGGAGGAGGATGGCCGCTGCCATTGGCATTGCTGGATTCGGGACGCGAAGGACGGTGATCGCTAGAGTGGCGGTCACGGTGATGAGAGTGCTCTGGACCGTGGTGGCGGGGCTTCTTATGGTCACGCTCACGAACGTCGCTGTCGCGATGGTATCTCGGATCTGACTTGGGCGAGTTGTAGCGCTCAACACTGTCGCGGTGGCCAGAGCTGATGGTGCGCGGGCGATGCTTGTCCTTGCGGATGGGGACTGATGGCGAATCAGCTTTGATGTCGACTGAAAGCTGACCATGCTTCTTGTTGTTGCGATGATGATTCTCCACCGCCTTCTTGATCTCCGGGTCATCGGTGTGTTGACTTTTGAGTACAGACAGTAAGTAGTCAGCTCGGCGGACTAGGTGCACAGCTCCTGGTGATTTGGCATTCTTGTGCTCGGAATGTTCTCGCTCAGCCTTCTTGTCAACACGATGCTCTTCAAGGAAAAATTTGTCTTTCAAGACGAGCTCTTCATCATCGCGAATTCGCTCCCATGCGCCATAGCCGTGACGAAGGATGCCGACACAAAGCATGCCGTCCTCTCGAGCACCCCAGTCACAGGTATATCCTGCGGCCTTGGTAGCCTCAGACACGCGGAAGGACAGCTGCTTCTCCCTGTCGGCAGGGACCACATCGCGGAGTAGTCGCATCTCGCCAGGTCGATCGAGTATAGTCTCTGCATTGATTCGTTTGACGCCATGCAGCTCAAAGAGCACAGCCTTCTTGTCCTTCTTCGTGATCGGTTTGTTCGACGTGCGCACGAGCTCAGCCATACGATCTTGCTCTTGCTTGTAAAGCTCAGCCGCTTTGTCGATGATTTCTTTCATAGCAGCTTTCACCACTTCCATATCGCGATTGCGAAGTCTTGCCTCAGCCAAGAACTCTTCTGTGCGATCGTCGATGGAGCCGTATCGAAGATGGCCTTTCATCAGGTATCGGTACTCGCGTGGACTCAGCGGACGAGAGGGATCAGCGCCAGGAGACTCTTCCTCGCTGTCAGAGTCGATCGCATTGTTGCGCTGTTCGACGCGACGTTGTTGGCGTGCAGAACGTTCTTCCTGTACTGCGTTGCGCGCGTTGCGGTCGCGAGGTTTGTTCTGCTCGATGACGTCGGCAAGATACTTCTCGTTGGCTTTGCGCTCTTCCTCTTTCTTGATTTCCTCGAGCTGTTCTTTGGGTATGATGTCGTCCCATGACATTTCGTCGACCTTGATGTCAACAAAGTCGAAGCTTCGGAGGAACTCTTCGCCACCGTCTGCCTCGGTCTCGTCAGGCTGCTCAGTCTTGTAGTCTTCGGCTTTCTCAAGTACAGAGTCGAGGTCGAGCTCCTCAAGTTTCTTCTGGTTGTCGGTTTGCTCAAACATGCGTTGGCCGCGTTTTTTGAGGATTCGTGAAATCTCGGAAGTAGATCCGGGCTCACCAACAAGCGCGTTGCGGCGCTCTTGTGTTGCTTTGTCGGTTACTCCTCTTTGAATGGTGAGAAATTCAAGCATCAACTTATTGCGGGCCCTTTCCAGAATCTCTTCTTCAACTGTTTCCTTGGAGACAAGGCGATACACGCTAACTGGTTTTGTCTGCCCAATTCTGTGTGCACGTGCCATGGCTTGGAGATCTGCCTGAGGATTCCAGTCACTGTCGAAGATTATCACTGTGTCAGCTGTCATTAGATTTATGCCCAAGCCACCTGCCCTTGTTGACAATAGAAAACAAAAGTCGCTGCTGTCAGGTGCATTAAAGTGATCGATCGCCATGCGACGTGGTGCAGCAGCAATCGTGCCATCTAAGCGCTGGTAGGCATGGCCACGCATCTCCATGTAGTCACCGAGTATGTCAAGCATCTTTACCATCTGACTGAAGATCAGCACACGATGGCCATCTTTCTTCAATTTTGTCAGAAGCTGATCGAGCAACATCATCTTGCCGCTGCTGGTGATCAGAGCTCGTAGATACTCGTCGCGTCGAGCGTCGTGGGCGACCAGCCTCTCTTCTGCAGATGGGAACATGAATGGATGGTTGCTCGCTTTCTTGAGCTCCATCATAATGTTGAGCAGGGATTGCTTCTGACCTTTCGCGCCCTGATTCAGAGCGGCGTAATTCTTGGTCAGGATGTTCTTGTAGTACTCCAGCTGGATGTCAGACAATTCGACGCGGATGATCTTCTCGGTCTTGGGCGGGAGATCCTTCTCGACCTTGTTTTTCGTCCGTCGCAACATGTATGGTTTGATGTCTTCTGTCAGCTTAGCGATCTTGGCGGAGGCTTCTTCAGTCGTCAGATCCATGTTCTCGTCGATGTTCACCAGGCCAGGTTGAAGGAACTCGAATAATGATGACAGCTCGCCGAGGTTGTTTTGCACAGGTGTGCCTGTGATTAGGAGTTTTGCCGGCGCCTTGAACTCACACAGCTTCTCGTATAGCTGAGATTCCCTGTTCTTCAGCCGATGAGCTTCGTCGACAGCATGAATTGCCACTTGATCTGGCTCAAGAATGCTGCGTCAGTGAGGACATATTCGTATGTGGTGAGCAGGACGTGAAAGCGAGGTTGGCTCGTTTGACCAGTGGGCAGTAGATCGTACTCTTTGATGATGTTTCGAGCCGTCTGGTTGCCGTTGTACACAACATAGTTGATGTCAGGTGCCCAATGATCGAATGTATCAGCCCATGCTGGCATTGTGGACAATGGGACAGCAACAAGGAATGGCCCTTGTTGACCCCGATCGTGCATTAGCCAGCTCAAGAACGACACTGTCTGCACCGTCTTGCCCAGGCCCATCTCGTCGGCGAGGACGACATTTGCCCCTTTGATCCAATTGAAGGCCAGGAAGTTGAGGCCGAAGACCTGGAATTCTCGAAGTTTGCCATTCTGAATGTAGGAAGGTTGCTCTTCGAATCTCCGATAGGGTGCACGATGGTCGACCTTGGACTCGGTCAAGTTAGACCTGTAGTCAGCGCGTAGTCTCTCGAGGTACTTGTCGATCTGGTCTTGAGCCTCCTTGCTGACCAGTTCTTCCGATTCCCACGTAGCTTGATCGTAGTATAATGATTTCCACTTGACATAGTACTCAAGGCCGTCCTCGCCATTCCTTTTGCCGATGACTCTCTCGACCTTCTTGTACTCTTCGAGAGCGTCAAGCCGCTGCTCCTTATCGAGCAAGAACTTCTCCTTCTCCTCCGGCGAGAAGTTTGGATCGTTGATGATGTCGATCTCTGGTAGTAGTGTCTTTCGGACGTAATTGTCCAGCCGACGAAGACTTTTGACGTTAGCGAGGCTGTCATGACTTTCCCATGTTGCGTGATAGTAGGCTCTCCTCTGCCACTTGATGAGAAACTCGAAGTCTTCTTTCTTGGTTGATGGTGATGTGACGTCAGCACGGAGGCGATGGTTGAGGACGATGTCGATGGCTGGCGAGTTGTCCTCCTCTTCGATGTAATATGCAGGAGTGAGCTGATTGGGGTCGTCTTCGTCAAACATGTCATCATCTTCGTCATCATTATAACTCATGACTTTGCCAGCACGACGAGTAGAGAAGCGGATCTCGCCGTGCGCGGGGGTGCTGCCCGCCGAGAGGAAACGTTGCTTCGCTTTCTTAGACAGCTTCGCACGTTTCCCACCGTATGCATCGGCATCAGAGTCCTCGTCGGACAGTGAAGGGAGTTGAGGGGTGGCTTGTTTGGATGATCGATGTGATACCTGACGAAGCCGTTTTCGTGGACGCCTAGGTAGGTCAGAGTCTTCGTCCTCCGTGGAAGAGTCCGCCATTGTGGCAGGGTGTCTAGCACTAGCACGACCGCTACGACGAAGTCCATATAGATCAGGGTTACTCCTGATATGATCTTCGTCCTCGTCCACTGCCTGCGCTTTCCGCTTGGCAGGACGGATAGAGTCGTCTGAAGATGAGCCTGGGCCGTCGATATCGTGGTCGGAGAGGACTGGCTCGGCCATTTCGTAATCATCATCGCCAGCAGCATCTTCTTCGCTGTCCGAGCTCATTTTGTCAATTTCCATGTCGTTGGTGACATTGCTGACAGGGTCGGGCGCGACGAGGCTGGCTCGGCGGGAGGATCTTCCGGCTCGGAGAGTTCGCTCTCACTCTCGGCTTTGGCAACGCCATTGGTGACAGCAGGAACTGGAACAGCAGAAACGGGCTCTGGTTCGGGAGTTTCGGGTTTCGGTTCGACTATTGAGGGAGGTGGTGGCTGTTCGAGTACAGCGGACGCTATGGAAGGTGGCACGTCAGCATGAGCAAGGCCGGCCATGGTGAGGTCGCAACAGCAGAACAAGCTGATTCTCCCAGGGAACCCGATCACGCGATTCAGATCCGGCCAAGAACAAGAGCTGCAGATCTTTTTCGATAAATTTTTGGTTGATGGGTGATGGCAGTGATGGCGCAGTCGATGAGGATGACTGCGGAGCAGCAGGAAAGCTCGAACACGGTGGCTTCTAACTGCCAGCAGTCACACCCGCGGCCGTTGGGCGTTGGATAGTGACTGAGACAACTGTTTGCTCTTCACTGAGGCAGTTGCTGAGGAAATTGCGATAAGGACTGCTCGTTGTCGATTCGAGGTGATGTCGAGACGGGAAGCAGGCTGCTGACGAGAAGATGCCAGGTGGACGAGAGGAATATATAGTTTTACTTACACTCCATCGTGCGAGCACGTAGCTAGACACGCTGTGAGCCGTCTGTATCCTACACAGGTGCCAGTGAGGTCGATATGATCTGGCGATGTTATGCCTCGAAGTGCTGGAGATGTGAATTGATGCGGTATTGCAGACTGAAGATCAAAAGAAGGTCAACCTAGGCCCTTTCCATCGAACGCCGCGGTGACCCATCCCATCTTGGCAGGGTGCTGGCCCCCAGAGGGTGGGAGGCCAGATTAGGGAACCCTTAGGCCGCACCGCCCCAAATTGAGGCGAGGAAGCCCCCAAGCGCCTCACGACTCATCATGACTCAAGTGTCAGAGGGGTACGGAACCCACCTGGAGGCCAATAGCCAATAGGCATAGACTCAAAAAAAGACAGCCCACATCAACTCACCGTGACACGGAATGCCTGCGATATAATATTTCCAGAGCACAGACTTGTTGTCGCAGTCCCTTTGTTTGTTGTTTGAGCCTCTCCTTTCATCTCGTCGGCAACGAGAGTCCTCCCCGCGACAATATCAGCAACGATCATCAGATCTGCTGCAATTGCCGAACAACCACGACAGTCTCGCCGACATTTTCATTTTTCCACCGCTTCGCATACCCACCACAACGAATCTCCCGTAGACAAACTACAAGATGGCGGACAAACTCACGAGGATCGCTATCGTCAATAGCGACAAATGTAAACCCAAGAGTACGTGAGGCCAACACAACCTTCCTCCGAGCCTTCATCCCCTCCGCGCAACTGTCTGCCCTCTTGCTGTGCCCAACAACAAAATCACCACACTGCAGGGACTGACGCAATACAGAGTGCCGACAGGAATGCAAGAAGTCTTGTCCGGTCGTTCGATCGGGAAAGTTGTGTATTGAAGTGACGCCGGAGAGCAAAATTGCCTACATCTCAGAGTCTCTGTGCATTGGATGGTAAGTGGACAGCTCGGCCTACAGACACAGCATGGACTGACCATCCACAGCGGTATCTGCCCAAAGAAATGCCCCTTCGGAGCGATCAACATCATCAACTTGCCCACCAACTCGAATCAATGACCACCCATCGCTACTCGGCCAACAGTTTCAAACTCCACCGCCTGCCTATGCCAAGACCCGGTCAGGTCCTCGGCCTCGTTGGCACAAACGGTATTGGCAAGTCTACCGCCCTCAAAATTCTCAGCGGCAAGCTCAAGCCCAACCTCGGTCGCTTTGACAATCCGCCCGACTGGTCCGAAATCTTGAAATACTTTCGTGGCTCGGAATTGCAGAACTACTTCACCAAGGTCCTCGAAGATAACCTCAAGACCGTCGTCAAGCCTCAATATGTTGATCAGCTTCCGAAGGCGATCAAGGGCGCGGTTCGAGATGTCTCACCTTTGATCGAATCCCGAAGCCAACTCGGCAACATGGACCACATCATGAAAGTCCTTGAACTGGAGGGCGTTGCGGATCGTGAAGTAGCTGTTCTCTCTGGTGGTGAGCTGCAGCGGTTTGCTCTGGCCATCACTTGTGTTCAGAAGGCGGATGTTTACATGTTTGATGAGCCGTCGTCTTACCTCGATGTCAAGCAACGTCTCGCGGCTGCACGCACAATCCGTGAACTCCTCACTCACAACAACTACGTTATAGTGGTTGAACACGATCTGTCAGTCCTCGACTACCTTTCGGATTTCATCTGCGTCCTTTACGGCCGTCCTGCTGTCTACGGTGTTGTCACTCTTCCAGCGTCTGTCCGTGAAGGCATCAATATCTTCTTGGATGGTCACATTCCGACCGAGAATTTGCGCTTCCGAGAGGAGTCGTTGACCTTCAGGCTGGCCGAGGCTGGTGAGGACTACCAAGTCGACAAGGCACGCGGTTTCCAGTATCCCAAGATGGCGAAAACGCTTGGAGGCTTCCACCTCGAGATCGAAAGTGGCTCTTTCACCGATTCCGAGATCATTGTCATGATGGGTGAGAACGGAACCGGCAAAACCACATTTTGCAAGTTGCTTGCAGGTGCAGAGAAACCCGACGGTACTCAGAAGGTGCCGGCTATGCATATCAGCATGAAGCCGCAAAAGATCACGCCAAAATTCCAAGGCACAGTTCGCCAGCTCTTCTTCAAGCGCATTAAGGCTGCGTTCCTCAATGCTCAGTTTCAGACTGATGTCTACAAACCACTCAAGATCGACGACTTCATCGACCAAGAAGTCCAGAACCTGTCTGGCGGTGAATTGCAGCGTGTCGCCATCGTCTTGGCACTTGGCTTGCCTGCCGACATCTACCTAATCGACGAGCCTTCTGCCTATCTCGATTCCGAGCAGCGTATCATCGCGGCTCGTGTCATCAAGCGCTTCATCATGCACAACAAGAAGACCGCCTTCATTGTCGAGCACGATTTCATCATGGCCACCTACCTCGCTGATCGCGTCATTGTATTCGACGGCGAGCCATCGAAGAATGCTCGAGCCAACCCACCAGAGTCCCTGCTCACCGGCTGCAATCGCTTCCTCAAGAGTCTGGATGTCACCTTCCGCCGTGACCCCAATACTTATCGCCCGCGTATCAACAAGGACAAGTCTCAGCTCGACCAAGAGCAGAAGTTGGCTGGTAATTACTTCTTCCTGGAGGAAGAAAAGAGTTGAACTTGTTTTTGATGCAAAGGGCAACTACAATTACGACAACCGTCACGACCGCAATGATGCGACGAATGACGATGCAGACGAGCCACGACTCAACAGCACGGGTAAAAGTGCCAAGAAGCGGCGCCGAGGAGTCGTTGAAGTAGGCGACGAGGGCGATGCTGAGGATGAGGATGACGAGGTCGAGATCTGCCTGGTCGGACGGCAATTGGTTCCGCTCTGGAGGCAACGAGGAACACTGTTGCTTATTGCAGCATACTCGAATACGCATCTGGAGCACAGGACAACAATTGTCGAAAGTCGCCATCTGCCACAGCCACCAGGCAGCAGCTGGCTTGACATTTGAAGGATCTGCAGCAGTAGTCTGGGAAGGAATGATTGAGAACACCAAGATCTGCTGAATGATCTAGCACAACGGTCGCATCCCGAAGTCTTTGACACGGCTTCGTGATGCAAATATGTCGAGAGCGTTCATACTGACCTCGATTCACTCATTCAGAACGGCAATATTGAAGGATAGCTATGAGCATCATCTGCGTGGCCCCAGACCCGTAGCTGAGAGAAATCGAGAGCTTATTAGTGTGCCAATGAAGCCCCTCCTGCTCTCAACATCCTGCTCAATCTGTTTCGTTCCGAACCTTGGAAGTGCTCTTCAGACCTGAATTACTACGGGTCCGTGGACGCTCATGCGCAACATAGGCTTTCGACGGGCAAGGACGGGAGAAGCTTGGCACGATCGTGCCCGGAGCAAGAGCAATCCGAGCCGCTCGTGCCCAGAATTCCTTCCATCACCCCAAAATTCTCTGTTGTTGACCCGCGCGGTGGGCTGTCATCACCTACCTAGGTAAATCATCCACAGTCCTGTGGGACGTGAAGATGTCGCGTCCACGATTGCATTCTACATTGACGTGATGCACGGGACGACTCGTCAACAGCTGCCGGGCCATGCCCAGAGGTAAGAATTCTCGCCACACAGCTCGCAATGCCTGCTGCGCACTGCGGTGCGTTGACCAGCAGTCATTGCCACGAGGACATTTGGTTGCTTCAAGTCACGCTTACCGCAAACATTCCAACGACTTCTGACAGTGTCTGAAACCGACGCAGCCGTTCTATTCGGTGGCGAAGATGGGATCATGTTCCTGCAGTAGCAAGATGAAGGCGACCACTGCTGGTCGCGCGTCCCGAACAGGTGGGTCTGAGACGCTAGTCAGCTCGCAGAGGAGCGTTTAGGCGCCAATCAGTGCAGTCGCAAGCTCTTCGCTTGACCGCGCCACGATCGCGTTCGCCGCATAATTTCTGTACGCCTCCTTTTTTCGCCATCGCCACCAGCCTGGACGTCGAAATTCTGTTCGCCACACGATACTCGCCACAGCAAACACATGCAAATTGCCTTGCCGGGAACTAAGCCATTGATGTCACTGGTCGTGCATTGTCCACAACTGTCGCAAAACACGATCCAGTCGCATTGACTTAGGCCTGTTGATTGAACATACTGACGAGCTATAATACTTCGCACGCAGGTCAACGAAATCATGCCACCTTCTTCACGCATTCGATATACATTCGCACGAGCAGATCTCGACAGACCTACATCATCTCGTGCAATTCATGATTTGCGTGCTCTTTCACGACCGCCTTGAGAGCTACTTCACAATCATGCCTGTCCGCCATCATCCGCTCGGCGCTCAATCCATCGTTGCCGGCCAATCACACAAGTCAGCAAAGCACTTCCGCCCGCGAGCATTCAGCGAAGATGACTACTTCCCCAGGCGCGCCGACAACCATGACGATCTCCAGGCCGATTCAGCAACACGCCGGTCAGGCGTCCGCCGCTCCACCACCTCACCAGGTTCCTATCATGCAGCGAAGTTATGTACTGGCTGCTTGAGCCCTAGCTTCCGACAGCAGCGCAGCGCGTCTGTCGCCCGACCATCGATGGCCTCGACACGACCTGCTCGGCTGTATCGCGCAGAGTCTCAGCACAATAGTGATAGCGACGATGGTCATGGACCCACACAACGCATCTCTGAGCCACAAGCGCATACTCTCGTCGAGTGACCACGGCTGCATCGAACTGGAATCTGAACCACAGCGGCCTGTGGTATAGATGAGTTGGGCCAGCATTGTCAATGCCTCGAGGCTCGCCCCTGTCGCACCTACGAGGCTCTCGGACGCCAAGCCTCCTGTGCCGCAGTCATAACAACCGGATTCGGAAATTGTGACTCCGCCACAATGTACGTCTATACAACTCGCTGCTGCTCACCGCGAGTCCAGATTTCTTCCTGGGACGCTCACCCTCATGGATGGACCTCGCCGATAAACAATAACTCCGACCAATGCGGCTCGACACCAACATCTTAGATATTTTCAGAAAGGCAAAACAGACAAACACATCAGCACCAATGGCCCAAGACAACTCAGTCATCTTCGATTGGACCCTGCTGATGTCTCTTCCGTGGGAGATCCGCTTTGTCATCTTCGAAAGCATGCCATACCACACCCTCATCGCCCTCCGCCTCGTCAACCGCCAACTCTCCCGCCTCATCACCATCAAAGATCTCCTCGTCGCGCACACACGCCTAGCCGCCGAGCTAGAGCACTGCGAACGTATCAACTTCCCCTGGCCAACGTACCTCCTCGACCTCACCGGGCCCTACCGAGAAGCACTGGAGCAATGTTTCAGCCACCACACCAGCCAGGACGTACAGTACCTGACCCCCGAAATGCTATCGACACTCTCAAACGAGCCCCTGGTGCCAGCCACATCTCTGCTCGCCTGCCTCCCTAAACACCGCAACAACCCCCACGGCCACCGCTACCGCCTACACATCATCCCCTCCCACCTGTCCCCCACTACCCCGCAACCACGCACTTCCCTTCTCCAAATCCCCTGCTCCCGCTGCCTCCTCCTCTTGCCCCTAACGCACTTCACCCCCTCGCAGATCGCACACAAACGCGATCCCCGAGCCTGCGATCCCCGTGGCCAGCAATGGGGCTACGACCGTCGCAACTTCCACCGCTTCTGTATCGATTGCGCGCTGCATTCGGGACGATGGGCGACGGGGCAGAGATTGACGTCTTTGTTCCCGCCTGGACTTATTCCAAGCCAACGGCATGGGTCTGTGGTGATTAGGCTCGATTGTGCTGGGTGTCGTGTGAAGGTGCCGAGTTGGGCGTGGTATCCGCCGTTGCCGGAGAGCATGGGCAGGCGCGAGACTATAACGATGAGGCTGTGTCCGCGCTGTCGACATGAGACGTATCGTCAGCCGAGGGGGGATCTGCCGGATTTGTGTCGGAGATGGATGCTTGAGCTGCAGAATAAAGGGGCGAATGCAAGAATGTGGATGAGGCGGGAGCTTGAGGAGCGATGGGATCGGGAGGCAGAATACATGGAAGATGCAGCCCAGGCGATGAGCTTGGGGGAGGAGGAGGAGGAGGTCGCTGACGACAAAGCGGAATCGACGCCGTCTTCCATTGTAGATCCTGAGGTTCACATCTTAAATGCACTGATACCGAGGTGGTGTTTCCACCACAAGGAGCAATGAATGAAGAATGCCGTCAATTATCCGTGACCCTCTACGCTGCAGTGAGAACACTCACTGGGCAGACTGTTTGGCCAGCTCATTACGATGCCGCGATGGCAACTGCCTCTGATTCTGATACCATAAACTGTGGCTGACTAGCCACAGCAATGCTCTCAAACTCGTCCTTCTTTCTGATCGACTCAACCGGTCTCCCTCAATTTCGGTCCAAGCCGGTTGACGCGTAGTCAGTCGCGCTTGCTTCCATAGCCTCAGCTTCAGTTGGCGCAAAACAGCAGTCACCATCCGGCCGCGCTTGCCAATGCGTTCGACGCTGATTGGAAGCAAGGAAGGTGATGCGTGCTCGGTCGTGCCTTCTGTGGGTCACGTCGTAGAGGGAGGCAGTCAACCGGTCTCAACAAAGCACTACCGAAACCGGTTGACCAGACGTTGAGTTTGATTCCATGGCTTGAATATGTAGAAGTAACACTCGCGGTTCAGGCATGATTCTGCTCGAGGGCGAACGCATGGGCGGCGGTGCTGGGCGTGTTTTCCGATCAGTCACCATAGGAAGGGCGCTGAACATCTACGTTGCTTTGCTTCTTAGGCGGGTAGATTTTGGGATGGGTCTCGCAGGGGAATCGGTTCGGTCGAAGTGTTCGTCGTGGATCTTCTGGCTAGGGGGACGCTGTGCAACTTTGACAACTAGTCACTCTGTGGCAGGAAATCCACTGCTACCGCGGAGGCCATCGTCAATGCGAGACCTGCCCAGTCCTTGTGTCCACGACCTGGCTAGTCGTTCCTAGACACGGGCAACGCTGCCTCATTTCCAGCTAATGATCTCCGGCATGCAAAGTCCAGCCGCGAACCAGCCGAAGCTCTTCAGCTCCTCCTTCTTGGCCAGCTCGCTCTGCTCATGCACGGCAACATGCAAACAGGCAACCGCCATGTTAGTGATGTCCTCTTCGTCCTCGAGCACTCGCTCCTGCATCCACCCTTTGATGTCTCTCAACTCCCACCCGAACCTCGCTTTCATGTCCTCGGACCACTCACGTTGCTTCTTGCTCATACTTCCTTGGCGGCCCATGATCGTTCCGATAAACACCTCTTTCTCAGTGAGGGCATCTGTGCGACGAATGGCGTAATATGACATGAAATCGTAGATGATCGACTCGTAGTAGTCTCGGACCTCTCGGGCGTGCTGTAGATGTTGATTGACGTGGGTCTGGCTGATGCGCGATCGAGCCCAGTCTAAGATCTCAGCCAAAACGTTGTTGGATGCGTCAGTGCTGAAGATTGAGGTTGTGTCATCTTCGATATCCTGAAAGAAGAGATCCTCATCAATCGCGCGGAACAATTGGCCAAGGACTTTGTCGGACTCGTAGTATCTGTACCCACCACTGCTGTCTCCTAATGGCGCATCCAAGGTCTCTCGTTTGATGCCTCGTTCGACTTTTGTACTCGCACTTGGAGCCATGAAGTCTGGCCGATAACGTTTTGCGGCTGGGATCTTTGTAACGTCGACGGCGACTCCAGACTTCGAGAAGTCAACCGCAGTCGAGTGAAGCTCCGACAAGAGGAGGCAACTTTTATCGAAAACTCCTTCCTCGGAAGTGTCCGCGATGACCTGATGCAGAGTTGCTATGCGGCCGAGCTGATCGTTTTGCATGAAGTCGATGAAGAATTTTGTCATGTCGTTGGCTGTGACTGGGCGTCCAATGTCGATAGCCTCGGCCGGCTCGTACGCTGCAGCGGTGCTGAGTCTCTTGGGCATGAGTTCCTTGTCGTATATCACATGGTACACTGAGAACCGTTAGCGTCTAGCCTGCACCCTCTTGAGCAATCAGAGAAGCTAGAACAGGGCGGAATGCCGCCAGGAACGAGACGATGTACAGGCGTCCCTGCGGTCTTGATCCTGCTCACTACGACTGCAGATGAACTCTGAGGAAATGGACTTACAGTCGCCGTCGAGATCGCCTCCGCTCAGCATACTTGGCAGGTCACGAGCGCCTTTCTGATTGAAAACAACGCAGTTCCGCAGATTCCACAGAGGTGAATCTTTTGGTGGCTCAACGGCCGTCACAACCTGAACATCCCCTGGATGCAGGGCTGGCGATCGTGTGACGACCAACCTGCCTGTGATTACCTCTGGCTCATCATCTTCCGTGGCTGTGACGAAGACTTGGCCCTCTTGCAACCACTGTGTCTCGTCCGAGATGCCATACAATGTCAGGCCATTCTCGACGAGGATGCGAGTGCGGTATTTGAGTTCGCGAAGCTCGATCTGGATCAGTGCTCCTAGGATCTCGCGAAGGAAGTCATCTTCTGCCAGATCCACGCCGATCAATCGGAGACTCTTGAGTAGTCTGGGGAGTCCTCCTGAGCCATCGGAAAAATTCTTCATGATGAATTCAATAGCCATCTCTCGGGAAAGGGCGCTGAGACGCAGACGCTCGATTGCTCGGTTTTGCAACACCATGAAGTGCTTTGCCTCCACACCAAGGTCTTCAAGAATCTTGATGAGCTGTCTGTTCAGCTTCAATGGCAATGGTCGACCGTTATGACCGCAGATCTCAACATCGTCTAAAGGACTGCCGCTGTATTTGATCATCGAATGCCGGAGTCTCATTTGCTGCCCCTGCAATCGTGTATCCAGCGTCAGCATCCCTTTTGAGCCCTTGTAACGAATTTGGTACGAAGTAGGATCCCCTCTGGCGTAGTTGCCTTTCAACAGACTCCACACAGCTGGAGAGATAGTTCCGCAACCATCCGTGAAAACATGTCTGCCACTTCGAACATCATCGTGCTCTGAGACGACGCGCGAATCGACTCGAATTGCTCTGGTCGTGTCAGAAAACGCCTGGCCTATGCGTGCCGCACACTTCGCGGGACAGCGAATGGCACTGAAGTCACCGAGTTGATCTATGAGAGTCCGAGCATACATGAGCTGACCGTCATGTATGAATGGACGCATGAACCAGCATGTCTGTGATCGGAGCGACGAATGGGAAAACCCGAGAAATTCGAACCTGAAGCCAGCGATATCGATACCATTCTGCAAAAGCGTGAGGAATCGACCCATGAAGATTGCATCGTTGTCGATCTCTCTTGAGAATGCAACACGTTCTTCATCCTCATCTGTGAAGACAACACGAATGAAGCACTCTGCATGCTCTCTGTACTTTCGGAGTATTCGATTGGCGGCGGTCAGCTCCGGGCCGAAGAGACGCAACCCCGTGGGGGTGACGGTTACCCGATGAATGAAGACTTCGTCTCGGCCTTGCGGAACATCCTTTTCGGAGTAGCCCATCCGTCCATAGCTGTCCAGACTAGCCTTTGCTGCCGCCAGGCCGTTTCCAGCAGAATCGGGAGAGGCATCAGTGGGTGCGAAATGAAGAAGTATCCATTTCAGTGCCTTGATGGTTGCCTTCTCGCCAGCAGTGCGCTGCAAGTGCAGTATATCTGGGAGAAGTCTCGCGACCTCACCAGGAGACAGCGTGCCATTGGTCCATAATGCTTGAATTTGAAACCTCACGCTATATCCGAATCGAAGGCGGGCAATATCTGCATTGAGGGCTGTAATGTTAGCAGGGAGGTCGCCCAGTGTGGGCGAAGTCATCGTGGCGGAGGTAGTGATGACTGGTACTTGGAAGGACATCAGAGAAGCCATGTTCTGTTGCAAGCCGCCGATCTTGCCGGAGAACACGAGCATGTATGTCATGCAGCCGCCAACGTTGGCCACGCTCCGACCAGGTAAGGAGGCACAGCGAATTTTCTTTTTTGCCGGAGTGAACTTTGTGAGCCCGAGTTGCTGAAGTAGATCTGCTAGGTCATCCTCAGATCCCCCGGAGCGCTCGAATATCTTGGGCTGCAGCCATAGTGTGATAGCAAGAGTGCTCATTCCCCGTTCAGTGGACACAGCTATGGATGTAATCGCGGCGCGATCGATCTCGATCTCATGTGTAAGTCCAGGGTGGAAGGAAAGCTGAAGAAGCAGATTGTGTTCGGTCTTTCTGTATGTGCCAGACACTGCCTGCTCGTGATATGGAACGAAGACACGCTTCTGAGTTTTGGCGCTGGTTTCCCACTGGCCGCATCTGAAATGCGTGATCGTGGCACGTCGAAGTGCAGGAAGTTCTGCTTTCGCGGCGTCGGTCTTTGCGGCGTCTCTCGCAGATCTCTGCCATGCTTTGCGGCCGGCCTCCTTCTCGTCTCTGATAAGCGCTTTGACCGCCAGAGGATCAGGTGCTTTTTTACTGCGCTGGAAGGTCGCTAGTTTACCAGAGAGTGAGACGAAGAGACGTGGAGTCGATGCTGCTTTGTCGAGTAGGCGCTGACCCTTGGCGACACTAGGGAAAGTGATGAAGGCGAACGGCTTTCCTTGTGGTTTGGTGATCTCAAATATTGGTATGTCGAGCTCCTCTAACACCGGTCTCAAGACCAATTCGACTTTCGCTTTAGTCAATTTCGCATCAATGTTGCGAACGAAGACGTCCATGGTGATGGTGATAGGCCCGAAGCGCAGTACGAAGCATGATTGATAGAGGCGAAAGTGCGCGATGGTGAAGGCGAAAGAGTTCAAGTTATCGCAAAGAAGTGCAGTGGTTGGGGTGTTGAGTGCGAGGCCAGCTCGTTTTCAAAAGTAGCTACCCAGGTAACGGAAGGCAGACGTTTCATCTCGATTTCGACCACGCATTTCATCTCCGGTAGATACGCGACATCTGTCAAAATCAGCGAGAGCATCCGAGTCCATCTCCCATCGCCTAGGCAGTCGGCACATCAACAGATTGTCGCGCTAGCACGATCCTCAATCCATCCTGGCACCTTCTGCTGCCCATTTGTGGACCACTACTCTCTGGACTAGTTCCATCGATGTTGCCTCACCTAGCCGTCATCACTCTTGAATCTCAAGCGTGACTCTTGCACAGACGCGCAGGGTCGTTAGCTTTATGTCCACCAAATCCAATTTGTGTGGCATGTCACTCTGGGGTTAAGAAGTCGAACAAAGGACGCGACCCGTGGACGCGTAGGACTTCAAGCCTACCCCACATCGGCGCTCTTGGCACTCATAGCGCCCGCCTACAGCCGTCGATTCCGCTCTCCTGTCCTTCCTTACCAGTTTCTGAGCCTGCACGTTGATCCGAGAGCTGCTCACAGAGACACGCTTCCATTAGTACCGTTGCTTCATCGGTCCACAAATGTCGGCCCTTGTCGTCAGCAATGTTGCACAGGTCAGAGCGTCAGCTCGGTGCAGGTCGAGGCTCGGAGGCAGTCCAACGGGGCCACACGTCGAAGAGGTCTTGGGGATGCCGAATGTTGACTCATGCTGAGGCTCTTCTCAGAACAAGACTGTGGCCGTTCCGAGAAGTCAAACAAGGCCGCGACGAGTTCGGAGACCAGAATGCAGCATCCTTTGTTGATGAGAGTCCAGGTTCTCGGAGCCTTTGTTCGCCATTGTCTCGCCATCGATGGCGCATGTTTGCTCAATCGCGACCATGCCTTGCTCTTCTGACCATGATTTCACGATCGGAGTTGCTTCGCGTGAGCTCTTTCGTTCAAGCGTAACTCGATCAGGACCGCCATAGCCACCATTGACTTTCTCTAGCGCCACGATCCCGCAAAAAGCGTTGGCACGATGTCTGACGTGCACTTGCTGCCTGAGACCAGAAACGACGACGACCTCGACTTGTCAACATATCAGACGACTAGCGACACATGGCTGCAGAAGAGCTATATTCCTATGGCGCGCGTTCTTCACTGGTTTGGGCTCAACGCTAAGCCACACGCGCTGAAATCGCAATACCATGACTTCATGTTTTGCGATACCGGGCTACCGAGCACAGAAAAGGAGACATGGGAGGCTAGGAAGTTTCTTGGAGCTGGTGGATTCGGCCGTGTTGGCTTTTGGGTGAAGATACAACGGGATGGCACCATAATTGATCGCGTCGCCATAAAGGAGCTTGACGAGATATATCCTGCAAGCCCGCGCTCCCTCTTGTTGCCCAAAGAAGTCGTCATCAATCGAGACCTCAACCTTGCTGACAAAGAGTACGTGTGCTATCTGAGAGGATACAAATACAACAGCGGCCTTGGCAAGGGCAGAATGTAAGTTGCCGGAGTGGTGGACGCACCACAGTTAAGATAATGTGGGGAAGGCATACTTTTCTAACGCATCTCCAGGTACATGCGAGCGTACGAGCACGGCGATCTTGATACTCTACTCAAGCGCTACAGGATCTATGGCTATTTCCTGCCCGAGCGCTTCATACTTGAATTTCTGAGCCATATGTGTATCGTCTTGACGAACATGGAGGCTCGACCCCCATCCGACACGCTCCTGGATGACTGGGATCCGGCAGGCAAGAGACCTGATCCCAAGAAGTTGCAGACCATTCATCTAATAAGTCACTTTTGAGGCGTACTTGAGCCATTATTGAACTTGCCACAGGACCTGAAGCCGCCAAATGTGTTTCTCGACGACCCTGGAGCCACCACCAGCGGCTATCCTACCACTGTAGTCGGGGATTTTGGCGTAGCTGCTTATACGTAAGTCCTCCACAATCTCTCCTCAAAGCCTGTTACTCCCACAAGCAGCTATGCTCACATGGCCGTCGTTGGCGATACTGACCTTGTTTCATAGCTCATCAGATGATCCGCTCAATCCGAAATGCCTGGGAGAAGGCACACCGTCGTACTATGGCCCAGAGATCATCAATGTTCTTCTCAATAAACTCCCGGCCGTTAAACAGTACAGGCTAGGCAGGGCCGATGTTGGCAACTTCCGCCGAGTAAGTCCTGTACCCGGTGCCCTTGCATCTATAGTCAATGTGTGCCTTCGCATTACTCGCCGGAACCAGCACACAGGGTCTCGGCGGCAATCGCTGGCTCCACTGTCCTGAACAAGGTGTCACATTCGACGCTTGTTCGCTAATGCACTTGCAGGAAAACATCCATATCGACGCGGCTGCCAACAACATCTTTGGGATTGGACGGATCCTTTTTGACCTCATGATATCGCTTTACAGTCGTGGAGATTTCAGCAAGTTTGTTCGACTAGACGATGGCCAGAGGATGAACAGTGACAACAAGATCATGCATAACGATGGCCAGGACGTGGACTACGAATGGCTACATCACTACATAAGTGGGAAACGACTCAGCTCGGAAAAAGCACAGATGAGGGGGCTCATCACCAAGCTGACTGGATTGTCGGCTACTGGCAAACTACCTTACTCGGAAGGACTTATCAATTTGCTCTGTGCTATGCTAGACCCTGTACAATCGCAGCGCCCGAAGCTCAACGAACTGCGTGAGGCAGTCCGACGACTTCGCATGGACAACGAAATGTATGTTGCGAAGGACAACGAAAATCCCGAGGATGGCAGCGAGAAGAACATCAACAATACGAAACGCGCCATGGACTCGCAAGACCCTCATCGCCTGCTGTACCGCCCTGAAGACTTCGCACGCGCCAACTTCACAAGGGGTCCTATCTGGCCGTCTAGGACAGAAGGTGAAACGCAGGCAGCCAAGGACTGGATGTCTACATTGAAGAACATGGCCGATGAAATGCTGAGAATGTGGGACCCGGACGATCCCATGCCAACCAAGCCATGGTACTATAAAGAAACCGAGGAACGCAAGTGGTGGCGCTTCCCAGTCAACGACATGGCTGTGCAGAACCAAAGGGTGCCGCGTGACAACGATGACCGATCGGGCCCGATCGTCAACCATGGTGCACAGATCCTGAGTGAGGGCGAGGCTGCAGCAATGCGCATGAACAAGAAGCGCGCTGTCGGGGAAGTGGCCGAGGATGCCGAAGGCCAGCGCCCCACGAAAAGGAATCGTTCAGGCGCGGACGGGGCCGAGAGGGATGTTGCCGACGGCAGCAATGCTGTTCAGCCTACACAGACCAACGCAGAGGCTGCGGGCCCCGAAGTCAACGAGCTGGACCAGGAACAGCAACAGGAGCAGGAACAGCAACAACAAGCAGAGAGGCCAGCTGTCAATGACGAACCCAGACCCAAACGCGCAGACTACCTCAAAATGACGAAGCCCGAGCTCGAGAAGGAAGCCCGGGTTATCAGAGGGCTTACGCTGGCCGACGATGAGACCAAAGACACCCTCGCCAAGAAGCTGGTGGCTGCCGACAAAGATGGCAACACTGGTATGGGAGTCATGAATGCTTGGCATGTGTTCGGTGGCAAAGGCAAGAAGCCCAAGCCTGAGGACATCAAGTACTATGCGACGCTGGAAGAGAAGGAGGCTGACATTGGGAAGATTCTCGTCCCAGAGAAGAAGGAAAAGAAGAAGAAGGGCAAGAGGTAGGCTGAGTCGCAGCTACCTCCTCAAGCGAGACCACCTTGACCTCAGCCACCTCAATGGGGTCGAACTCGACCGCATCAGCAGCAGCAACCTGCGTAGCACAGTAGGGCCGCTCGAGGATGTCTACGCAACCAAAACTACATCCACTACAAAGTCTAGGCTTGGACTCGGCGGACCAACCGGAGACTCGAAGTTGTTCATTCGCCACGGGGATATTTCCAGGGAGGCCTTCATAGCATACGTCTTGATGGAGATATAAAAACCTTGGATCGAATTGTGCCATTAGAGAATTGCCTGTTTCCAATACGGTCGACGAAAACATCGCTGGAAGAAGGAGAGGGTCGCTTGAGCTTCCAAGATTTCATGTTCAGACACCAAAGTACTCCTTGTAGAAGTGGCTGCAGAAACCTCGTCAGCACTGTGATTCAGGGCCTTGGCGGCCTCCGGTGCAATGGGGTCAAAGCCAGACTCACCAGATCTCCCCATCCTTACTCTCAGTCCAATCATACTCACTCTTCTTCGCGATATCCCTCGCGACGTCCACCCCACCAAATTTCTCCGCAATGAACGCCAACGTCAGATCCATGCCCGCACTGACACCCGCTGACGTCCATATTTCGATTTCTTTCCCCCCTGCTCCTCCTGCGTCCGCCCCCGTTGCTGCATCGTCCGTCCCACTCTTCACCCATCGCGCGCCTTTCTCCCACTTCACATCCGGATGTCGCCCACTAACGTCGCTAAAGCGGCTCATGTTAGTAGTCGCGCGTCTCCGGTCTAGCAATCCCGTATAGCCCAAGATATCACTCCCCGTGCACACGGTCATGATTCCCAATCCCAAATGCGGCGCAATTGCCTGTGTGAAGTTGATCAGAGGCTGCACCGCCAGCTCCTCTTTCCCACTCCCCAAATCCCGTCTGCGAACTCGCGACCCAATGCCGCCAGGGATGAAGAGGACGTCGTATTTTGCTGTTCCGGCCTTGATCTCCCGCTCCACTTCCGCGAACGTCGCGTCTACGACGACTTGCTGGTTCCAGCCCCGATTCACCTCCTGACCCTTCCCCTTCTCGAAACCCATAGCTTCGTTGACGAGCCATTCATACTTTCCCTCCCTCTCCCCTGGCAGTGTCCCCGGCAATAGCTTGGTGGAAACAGGCTCCTTGGTCTCAGCGATGAACTTCATACTGATGGGTGCATTGTACGGCGGTTGGGGCAGGAAGTTGAGCAAATCCAATGGGCCGGCAGCGTCGAGAAGCTGGAAGCCGGGGTATAGAGCTATCAGGAAAGAGAGTGCTGGCATCGCTGATGCTGAGGGGTTGGGGGCGGGCTCTGATGCCATTGCGGTGTATGTGCTGCTGATCGTGCGATGCTGTAATGTTTTTCTGTGATGCCGAAGTATAGAGGCCGCCTGACGGGGCTGGCGTGTAGGTATAGATGCTCGAACAGTCAATGGAAGTCCAGGTCGTCGGCATAAGGTACTCGTATAACGTGGTGCATATAAGCTTCCGAGTCGCGAAAGCATGTCCAATGGGAGGTGTCCGAGCCCCCCAAGGAGGACTCTGAGCACGTTTTGTGGTTGTCGTTGCGCCCTTCGAATCGAGTCACGCGGTAAATATTAATCAGTCAGTATCTCCCACAAGGGCCGCCGGGAGAAGGCGTCGTGCCGGCCATAGCAAAATTATAATCCGTTGAGAGACTTGTGCGTCACGTGATGTTGAGGGCGCAGTTATCGTCAGTGGCAAACAGCACCAGGGAGGACTCTGGCTACCAGCATGAGCCTTCATGCACAGATGCTTCTTCAAAGAACTTTGCTTTTCACAAGTCAGAAGCTAAAGATGTGGTATTGGTAGCCGCAGCACATCAACCGCCTGCGGCTCACTGCTAACAATGACTCTTGGGAGCACGCTCTCGGCGCGACTCGCTCTCTTCCTGTACAACACAAACCTCCCACCTCTTGGATGATCAGCCACATATCCCGACCTTGGCGACCATACATTGGACTCCTTGAGTTCCGCCTTGACCAGCCCGGCCTTACACACGTAAGTGGTGTCGTGGCCGTCCTTAACTTCCACAAGACAATTGTGCCAGGGCGTCGGTATGTGTAGATGATGTCTCTCATCATATAGGCTGTATCTCGTGGAGAGCTTCAGCCCATCAAATGAGGTCAGCGGCTGGAACTTGTGCTTCGTCAACAGAGAGACAGCAAATTTGGGACCGGCATTGTTGTGAGCATGGATACTCAATCTGACGTGATGAGGCATCGTCAATTCCACAAGACTCGAGTATGCCGCATTGCGAGCCATCATCTCGATGGCGACCTTCTCAGCTAACTTCTTCCTCTGACTTTTGGACTTGCTCTTGCAATCAGCATGTGCGGCCAGGTCGTCCAGCATGAATCTGGAGAAGCTCGGTACAGCATTGTTATGCTGTGGGAGGGATCTTGCCGGATGACCTGCTGAATGTGGTCTTGGTTCGAAGCACAGGCCTGCAAAAGGATTGTTCGATTGATGTCGTCTTGTATCGCCCGTGAAGTACTGACAGGATGGTTGAGGGCTTCGAGGTCGACAAAAGTCTCCTGGAAGAAGTTTCTGACCCAACGCACGGGCTGCAGAATGTCATGTAGGTTTCTGAAAGTGATGCAGCCGTCCAGTCCTTCTTCGTGTGATCGGTATTGGAGCAGATCCGCCATCTTCCGGAGCCGAGCGTTGTACTCAGTGACAATCTCATCGTCCACTCCGATGCAGTCCGAGAAGACGTGGCCATCGCTGATGATCTCAAAAACGCATCCGGGAGGATAAACCTGCTTTACTTCACGACAGAAGTCATAGATGGTCGACAGAGCTTCGTACTCAGCACCGTCAGGCCATTGATCAGCCACCTTGTCGAGATTGTAGCTCTTGCAAGGAAAGGCTGGCAGGCAGAAACGGATTCTGGACCTTGCATGAACGTAGTGCTGTATCTTCGCCCTGCATATAGCCTTGCCTTCGTGCCACTTGTCGTTCTCCGGTCCACGAAAGAGAATGCACTCTTCAAAGACGGCCAGAACAGCATCGGTCCACAATCTTGTCTCATACTCGCTGCCAGCAAATGGGGCTTGTATGAGTGATCTAGGAGGCACCCGAAAAGTGTCTTGTGCAAGTGTGACCAATGCCATGTAGTCCCGGAATGTCATTCGTAGTGTCCGATCTTGAGGAGCATCGTCGACTAGCGAATCCGCTGGCACGACCATCATCAATCCGGCAATATGTGTGGTAAAATGAAGCTCGTATTGGACGAGGGCTAGTCCTGCGGGAGAGCTCTGTCGACCTTTCAACGAGCGTGAGGTGGCGGTCAAATGGAACTGGTCGATTCTGAGATCAAGGAAGGGCGGCCCGGACCGACATGCCCGGCAAACCTCGAAGAAGTCTTCAGGTGATTGCAGTCCGTGGAACGACACGATGTCATTCAATTCGCCGGAGGTGGAGGTGGTGTAGACGATTCGAGCTTCATGAAAGGTAGAAGCCGCCATGTTGAATGAAAGTGGTACAACAGCCTCCGGGGCCTCGTTCTCGAAGGAGTGGGATGTTGGTAATGGTATTGAGCTGTGCCTGCAGCAAGTGCGATACTGACCAGCAGCGGTATGCTCGATAACACGACAATGCTAATGGAGATGTCGACGGGACGAAGACAGAAAGAGGACGCGAAGAAAGCAATGGATCACCTCGTGACTGCCGTCACATTGGAAGTCGTTGAGAAGTCTCGTCCAGGAGGACGTCGCTCGGAAAGTGCGTGAGTACAAGAAAAGGGCTCGCGCCTGCCTGTGCATATCAGTAGCTCAAGGAAGCGATAGTCGTTCCAGATCGTGCCGTATATGTACAGCGTTGGTCGTGCCTCGGACGTCCGTCGCACTTAGCCTGTGGCAAAGTAAGGAATACAGCCTGTTCGTAGTAAAAGCGGCAGCGAGATCCAGGCCAGTGTCTGAGAAGACACAGCCAATACTTGATACTCATATGCGCCCTGCGCCGAGTAGATCCTGCCTGAAACAGTTGGCTGGCGTCATTGGACGTGAAGACGATGCGTCGCAATGGGTCTCGACAGACCCGGCTTAAGCTACAGATGATTGTCCTGCATGCTTGCAAAGTTTGTCTCGACTTCTGGGATGTCAGTCCTCGTCGTCCACCCGGGCCCGCTTCCGTCGCCCTCCCTCGTCATCATCCCGTTCAACCCTCTCCAAACCATACTTCTTCGAACTGGTCGCTGCTTTGTCCTTCGCCTCGCCAATCAATGCATCTATTCCAAACGGATCTTCCTTGTCCCTCTCGAACATGACCGGGCCAGCTTCCCTCTCCGCCTTACTATCGCTGCCTTTGAAGCCTTGCTTCGCTTTGCCCAGAATGTCGAATCTGTTGCCCTTCTCGATCTTGTTCATCTCCCTCGTACTTGCTTCCTCGCCGCCATCATCAGCATCATCGTTCACAGTCGGGCGGTAGATCCGGTTCGCGGCTTCTTGGGCAGCAAACAGTGGCTTGTCGTAATGCTGGTCTTCGTTAAAGCCTGAGTCGAAGCCAGACGACTGGTTGAAGAGTCGCGAGTCGTACATTGTCTCCTTGTTCTGCGTTGGCTTTGCGAGACCCAACGCGACCTTCTCAGAGATATCACGATTCTGTTCTCGAGCCATCTGTTGCATCCGTTTCTCGGCGCCCATTCGCGACTGTCGTAGCTTCCGCTGATCTTCCTCGCGTTTCTCTTTACGAGCAAGCTCACGTTCGCGGACAGCGCTAGCCTCAGGATCTGATTCGGATCTGGACGAATAAGATGATGCAGAGTAGGATCGTGAGCGAGACCGCCGTCTTCGAGAATGCGAGTCCGAGTCTCGTCGTGCCGATGCTTGCCGTTGCTCGCGGGCTTGTCGTGCCATCTCTCGCAGATGTTCCTCTTTCTGCAGCTTCTCCTTCTCCGCCAGCTTCTGCTGCATTTGAGCTCGTAAGCTGATCTCTTCTCGAGCATGTCGGTCTGCGGTGAAGAGTGCTTCCGCGAACTGGGCGAACTTGTCGTTGATTGTGACGTCCTGTAACGCTCGACCATCTGCGGCCAATCGCTTGTCTAGAGGCACAGTGTAGCCCTTCGGATTCTTCCAATTGCTGACTGGCGGTGGGATCTTCCACGCTTCTTGATCTTCCGCCGTCAACTTTCTCGGAGGTGAGTGCATGACTGGAGGAGGTGGTGATGGCGGTCCTCGTGGGATCTTCTTGTGCTTGAATTTCGGTGGCTCCATCGGATCCTCTTGTTTTTGTACGATCTTGAATATGCGGTCGTTCTTCTTCGAGTTATCGCCCATCTGGTTGGCTGGTGTATACCGTACGAAGGTCGGATCGTCTCTCTTCCCGCCTTTGACGTTTTTGGGCTTCTGTGCCGCGACAGCACCAGAGACCAGCTTCTCCAGCGCCAATTTAGTTCGTTCGGTCGTATCTGCCACCTCCTCTTCTGTTGGTCGGTCCAGACTAATTTCACCGGCATTTGCCTGTTGTCTCAGAGGGATGAGGTCTTTGAAGCTTGATTGTATAATCCGGTCATCGCTGTGACCCTGCCGGGCAATAGCGTCGTATTTAACCTTACCCTCCGCGTCAACCTGCAGCGCCAGCGCATTCGAGCTCTTTCCCGTGTCCGCCTTTCCCATGCCCAAAGGGTACTGCGCAACAGGCACCTCTGGGAAGGCTCCACCGTCTCCGAAGTCTTCTTGTGCCCGCGGCCGCCATGATGTCCGCTGGCCATATGGCGGAGGCCCTGTCCTTCTCAGAACGATCTGTGATTCATCTATCGCATCTCGCCCAACGATTCTCGGTCCAGATGGTCGAGCGTGTGTAGGGACCTCCTCGTGTTCGCCGGTGTACTTGGGCTTCGGCAGCGACGCGAAGAGACCTGACGCCATGTGGATCGTCGAGGTCAAGAGGATGGTCTTGGAAGCGGTTGCCTGTAGTTCCTGGCATTGACAAAATTTCGTATTGAAACTCGACCGCGGAATTTAGGGTTAGGGCATCTTTCCGGGCTTCTCCATTTTCTGCTCCTCGGAACTTGAATGTCACAAATCTTCAAGTTAGGTTCACTGTACCTTGTGGTCATTGGAGTCGGCTCTTGCACATTGACACGTGGACTAGCAGAGCTTCGATTAACGGCAGCGCGTTCTCGACATTCTCCCACTGGCAACTCCGCAGCACAAAACTCTCAATAGCCGACAGAAAAGGCACACATCAGGACGAATCTAGCCTTCGGCGCCAGCTCCGGGTCCCGAGGCTTGGCCAGCCGGCACTGTCGCCGGCCCGTAGAGCTCACGTCCAGCACTCTACTCTTCAACCATCTGGCACAACGGATCGCCTGACCACCCACAAGAAGCGTCGAGGCGGTAGGATTTCGGTATGCCTCGTCCATCAATCCCTTCTCTCCTCGCCCAGGGCACCCTCGTGAGCAGCTTCACGGCAGTAGGCTTCTTCTTCGTCTACACCAAACACTGTGAAGTCCACGAACCCCTAGACCCTGCCACTGAGCCACTATTTCAGTCGTCCTTTTATCGCAGATACAACCCGCACAACAACTTTTACAACAGCGATGTGATAGTCAGGCGTGTGCCACTAACACATATCCGACCGGATCTCATTGAGGACGCTCAGGCTGGAGGGAGTCGGCTCGTTGAGCATTTCTGTGGCAGTATCTGGAGTGGCTGGCCGTTTATGGTCCAGCGCTACCTCCACGGGAGAGGCCACACAGGATCAAGCCTTCCGCCTCCCGATCCTGAAGCGACCTCAAGTCCGATCATTAACGAGGTTGCCAAGACATCGAAATCTGCCTGGTCGCGTGTGACCTCAACCTTCTCCTCGTCTGCTTCTAATGAAGCGCCAGCAACACCGTCAACCGCCGCCACATCGAAACCGATCCAGGAGCCCGAGGACCTTTGGAGCCCTAAGGATCTAGCCGCCTCAACTTATCCTGTCGGCACCGCCATCACCAATCACTTCATCGTCCTAGCCCATACTCCCTCTTACGCACCCAACTCAATCCTCGTCCGCTGTGGTTCCTCCCCTCTGAACAATCCCTACTCACCCCGCGACTCAGACGGCCTTTTCGAGATCTCAGCGCACTGTGACTTCGAGCACGGCTTCGCGGAGTTCAAGCTGAAATCCATCTTCTACAACGGCACGGACGAAGTCCGAGGCAAAGGAAAGGAGGACGGCATGGGTATGCCTAAGCGGATGTGGTGGCTGCACCAGCAGTATGCGAAACTGTGGATGGAGGCTGCGAGCGGAAAGTGTCGAATGAGCAATATGCGGAGCATGGATAAGCAGAGGCAGAGGATACGGGAGGAGATGAAAGAGAAGGAGGATGCGAAGACGGCGGCGAAGCAGTGATTCGATATTGTATGTTTCGGATTGTGCAGCGTTCTATCGCTGTTGGAGCCTAGCTGCCAGATGAAATGCCTGGACTTGCCTAGCGGTGCAAACATTTGCTTGCGGGCACGACTTCCTTTCAAACACTCTCGAGGTGAACCTGCCCATTTCGCGCCCGGATGCGGCTTCTAGGCAACAGCATTTGCGGTCACTACGCAACTGCCACCCTCGACGAATCACCGAGCTACTCCTACAGAGTTGCTCGATTCGTTCAACACCATTTATTGCGCGACGGCTTTCAGCAATTTTGTTTCTCCTTTTCCAGACGTCCGAGTAGCGGAAACTAGGTTCCTCATCTGCAATTTCCATCTGGCCTGATAAGCGGTAAGTACGTTCCCGTCTCGATGAAGTTCAAGCAACATATGATTCGGGCCAAGTCTGCGTTCTCATGTACCCTCCCGTTTGAATGAGACATGCAAACAAAGAAAAACTTGGAAGCAAATGTCCAGCTGCAACAACGGGACTGGGCCTATTTCTACTCGCTCGGTCATCATGTCAACCCTGTCCCTTTATCATAACAGCGAGTTCTCCCTATCATAGCAGCCAGCCCCCTCGATTATTGCAGCCAGCTTCTCCTATCGTCACAGCCAGCTGCCTTCGTCATGACAACTAGATCCCGCAACGCAATACCTTCCGACGACACACCACACTTCTCGGCCGGTATGTCTGTCCAGTTCCATGCTACTTTCTCGATGGACGAGGAGACCAGAACCATCACCAACCTCGACACCGAGGACATGCAGATGGTTCAAGAAGCCAAACAAAAGGCAAACCCGCGATACTCCGTCTCCGACGCCCTCCGCACAGGCATTGCTTATGTTCGGAGAAGCTATATCCGGCGCGAGGTTCGCATCGTCGCACCAGAGATGATCTTTCGAGCAATGGCGGCTCACCAGGAGGACAACTGTCAGCATATGGATGAGCATGCTGAGCTGTACATCACATACCTTCAGGCTCTGATTGACCCAAGGAACGGCATGAAGTACAGTCGCATTCGTGTTGAGAACATACAGGTAAGTATACAGAGCATTCTCCTGGGAGCCCCCTTTCCCAAAAAAACCCGTGAAATGCGTATCAGCGGCTAAGCCATATATTCCAGGAGGAGATCCGTCAAGCGGAGCTTGCGCTTGCTTCCTTCCGGGCTGCTCGAGCTGCTGGAACGGTCTTCCACAAATGTCCGGCCACGGTTGGGATCGAGTACCTGAGAGCTCCCAAGGCCCACGTCCATGACGAGAGATGCGGCACTGGCGTTGGCTGTACCATCCAGGAGCCCGCAGGAAAGAATAATGCCAACAATGCATAGGATACTGGCTGCGGCTCGATATGTCGGGTGAGGGCGCGGGTGTAGTGGTGATTTTGGCATCGTGGTTTGGCCCTAGACGTGGCAGCGCGAGGGCTCTTCGTACGCTTTCTCTGTCAGATACCGATATAGTGAGTACAAGCAAAGCTTGCAATGGAGGCAGCAGTCCAGTTTTGCCGTACTGACCGGCGAGCGTAAGCGTAGAAAGGCTCGATGTTCATCCAAGTCTGGTGAGACTCCTCTCCTTTATAATCGCTCCCCTTTGGCCACGCAGGTGACGCGGTGAGCGTCAAGTGAAATCAACATGGACAGAGACCATTCGAGCCAAGCATCTCTTGAAGGCGCACCTGGGCAAAGTCCCGTTCCCTGAGAGGTAGCAAACAAACAAAGACAGCTGATACTTCAACTTGAAAAAGCCCTTTCTCTTCTCTGCCTGAAAAAGCTTAGATTACCATTTCCCCTCAACGCAACAGCTTTCAGCCGCTCATCTAACGCCTTCGCCAAGATGTCAATCACAATCGACGACCAAACCTCCACTGCTGAAGATCTCTCAACCGAGGAGATGGAACTACTCATATTCGCCAAGAAGATGCACGACCGGAAGCCCTCTGTCTCCCACGCTATCCGTGTGGCCATGGCCATCATTCGCAAGACTCAAATCCGACACAAGATCCGCTCTGGCGCCACAGCTATCATCTTTCAAGGTATGGCGGATCATCAAGAGGATACCTGCTTGGAAATGGACGAGCACGTCAACCTCGTACTCGAATACAACAAGACCTTGATCAAGCCGGAGAACGGCATGGAGGATAGTCTTCGTCGTGCGGATGAGATGCGGGTACGTTAATAGGCCCTTTCACACAATCGGAATGATGTGATAGGCTAACTAGCTGGGATTCTCTAGGAAGGGCTTCGTCTAGCAGAGCTTGTAGGTGCCTCATTTCGAGCCGCTAGGGGAGTTCTAACCAAGTGTCCGGCCGCTGTTGGGATTGAGATCTTGAGATCGCCAGGGACTCATGTTCATGATGCGAGATGTGGTTATGGCCGAGCCCATGGCAGTGGTAATGGCAATGGAGGTGGCCATGACCCGAGTCATGGTACTGGCAGTGGAGGTAGTCACGGCGATGGCGATGGTGATGGTCCTGCAAGTCCAGCCAGCACGGAGGGCACATTGTCTTAGGCAATGGAGGGGAGGTGACAACAGCAATTCCGAGGAGCATGGCGACATCGGAGACTGATCAGAGTCCTCCGCGTGAAGTACGAGCAAGCCTCGTCGATCTAAAGGCGTTAATGGTCCCGTATTCCTTTGGAAGGGCTCTTCTCATCGCAGTTATGGCCATAAGTGGGCTGGAGATACAGTATGGACGGGATTTGACGCAGTGAGGCCGGGTGAGGCAACCCGCTACCTGAATCGAAGGCGTCGCTACCAGGAAGCTCTCCGATCGTGCAGTCATGGTCGGAAGACTTTGCGCAGACTGTCAACAATAGAGAGCGATCTTAAGGAGTTATACATCCTCACGCGTCCAGGTTTGTGTGGAGTCAGCATGCTCAACAGCGCTGGTCATCCTGCGACTTGCCACGACACCTCTCACGCATGTTCCGTCCCACGCACCTTCGTCTCCTGCTCCGAGTGCGGCCCATGTTCTTGCTAGTGGTATCTAGCATCTTCTCCACCTGCAGACATCCCAACAGTGCTGACAATGTCCTTTGTCTTCAGTTCTCCTTGGCCAGGTGGGCGGTAAGTACAATCCCGTACTGATGGTGTTCCAGAGAGAATGGTTTGACCCAAGGCTTTGAGCTCGTGTACTTTCCACAGGGTGTTAGACATGCAGACAAAGGGAACCCAGTCGGTACAAACATCTAACTGGAACAACAACACGGGTCATCGCCTATAAGTGCTGTCCAGATCTACCATGTCAGTCATCTTCCTCCATCATCTCACCGATCTCCTCAAAGTAAAACCTCTCAGACACACATCCACCACAATGCCAGCCAACTTCTCAATCAACATCGACAACCAGTCCTTCACCTCCGCCGAGCTGCCAGAGGAGGAAATGGTCCTACTTGTCCACGCCATATATGTCGCCGGCCGCAGTCCTCCTGTCTCCGTCTCCGAAGCCCTTCGAGAGTGCCTTGAAATCGTCCGCAAGACCCACATTCGCGAGAGAGTCCGAATATCAGCATGTGCAGTCATCTTCAGAACAATGGAAGATCACCACGAAGACACCTGTACACATCAGGAAGAACACACTCAGCGCTTCTTCGACTGGCACAAGGCTCTGCTGAACCCGGCAAATGGCATGGTAGAAGCTATAGCAAGCGCGGAGGTCAGTCTTGTAAGTCCAAAACCAGCCAACTTTGCGACCAGAGGTGAGATGCCCGTGTATTGAGCTAACCGATGCGGGATGCTTAGGGCGAAATTCAACAAATGGAGCGTATGGTCGGCCTCTTTCGTGCTGCTGGAGGCTCGTTGGGTCAGTGTCCGGCCGCTCATGGGATCGAAAGCCTGAGAGCACAGGGTGTTCGTCTGGCGAACGCCGCGGGCAGGGCTTTGTAGGACGCGAACCATCAGACACAATTGCCCGGAGTGCTAGGTGCATCTAAATCTGGCGATCAGCAAGAGAACTATGGCCGAAACATGGCATGAACCAGTGAGAGGAGGTCAGCAGGCCGGAGGGGATGAAGAGATCATCGCAGACGTGATCAGGTACTGCATTTGGACTCCTCGAGCTATGTGGAAGTCTGTCGCCCTGCAACGGCATCCACTCCGCCGAGGTCTCTTGTTAACCTCATGGGTCGTCTAGATGGTGTCGCAATGACAGCCCACGCCTGCGCAGGCTTTACACTTCCGTTCAACCTTGACGATGAGGCCGCCACCGTGAACGGCTTCTAAACCCATTGCCTCTCTGTCGCGGTTCATCTGACGTAACTCCCGTTGAAGGCTGTCAACACAGATGGGCTGCCGCATAATCTTCCTCAGAGCCTCAATTGCCCCGGTCACCGGACACATGTCGTAGCGAGTTTTCCCAGCAGCTCGACTCTCCTCAATGATACTTTTACATGTATGAAACCCCTCCAACAACTTGACAAGGTCAGCGCAACGTGCTCGCGCCCTCGATTGCATTCACATACCATGTATGAAAGGAGATCTTGCATTCCATTCACCGGATCGGTGATAGCCTGCTCGTACTCCATGACAAGGCGGAGGTGCTCCTCCATCGCCGAGCACTTTTCGCCGTCATGGACTTGTGTCCCGGCAAGAATGACTGCATTTGCCAGGGATCGAATTGCGGGATGAATGTCAGTCTTGCGGACTACCCCAATGGACAGGCTGATGGCCTCAGTGAAGGGAAGGGCTCGTTTGTTGACTTTCGCTGCGTCGACAAGCAAGCGTAGCTCCTCTTCTGAGATGTTGGAGGCGCCGAAGTCGTGGCCATTGATTGTGATGGTCATTTTGGCGGGAGATTCGGTCTTGTGTTGAGAGAATTTCTTGTTGAGGGAGATGGCATAAGGTCTGGAATTGTTCTTAGTTTACGCGTCGACAAAAACGAGATCTTTCACCTGAAAGAGGTCCCTGTATCGGATTATATTTAGATATTACCAGTACGTGATGAACACCAGATCACTTGCCTTGCTGAGGCCTGTTGCACCTGAAGTAGTCCGGGACTCGTGTGCATGCCTATCATCCCCTCGTTCGAATCAATACGTCGTAAAACATGGCTAGGTTGGCCGCTTCTCAAGAATGTACTATCGCGTGAGCAGGTACCTCTAAGTCAGAGTACGGCGGCGGATCCTGCCGATGTTGAAATTGGTCCTCATCCTGCGATGGCTCCCGCTCATACGCAGGCGGCTCATCGCCCTCCTCCCGCCCATCTTCTCGCTGCGATCCGTCCCTCACGAGAACATAGGACTCAGACCCATACGTGCTCCTTCGCGACGGAAGGCCAAGCTCGAGGGACTCAACATCCTCTAATCTCTCACTCGGCAGCTGCCGAATCCTCATCCTGACCGTCTCCCTCGCAAATCTTAGCTCGTCAAGGCGCTCTCTTGTGGCGTGATCATCGTCGGCCGTCGCGGCGACCTCGCCGCCACTGTCCTCAAAGCGGGTGATGAATCGATCGAGCTCGGCTTCCTCGTCAAGCAGGGGCCGTAGTCTGGTGCATTCGCTGTCCCACCAGTAGAGCAGGCTGACCAGACGCTTTTGTGAGTTGGAGTCGAATGTGGTGCCAAAGCGAATGCCTAAGTCGTTGTTGTTGATCATGTTCGCTTGTATCAGTCCTTCATCCGTCAAGACCTGGGCGTGTTTAAGCGTTTGTATCGCGAAGGCGGCACGAAAGTTGTCGTTGCAGATGTTAGACGCGATCAAGGTGTCTTCGTTAATGGCATAGGGTGTGAAAGGTCCAGGAGAACCTGTAGTCTGATGGAAATAGAGCTGGTCCTTTGTTTGGTCCGAGAGCTGCTGCTTGCTGTTCTTTCGCTTTTTCAGTTTTTTTGCCGGTTTGGTGGGCGTCTCTGTTTCACTCGTGCTGCCCCAGCTGTTGATCCGGGCCAGGGCCCTGAGTTTCAGCATCTTGCACAGAAACTCACCCTACAGCAGATCGCGCGACGTAGATGATGGTGGCAGATGTTGAACTGCATTTCCGGAATCTAGGTCAGCCATATCTGTCGTGGATCAGCTCAACGGTCCACGTCACCTAAAGACTGTCAAGTCAAAGCGGGCTGTTGGCCGATTAGTACTGAGATCATTGCACAATCCAAAAGTTCGGGTCGCCCGGCTCATCTCCTGCCAGTAGCATCCGGACCATTGCCGGCACCAACCGTTATGCCATAGTAGCTATGGCATAGCTTCCAGGCGTTATCAGAGCCGCATGAGACATGCATAGGCAGCTTGGTGGTGTGAGTTCGGGGTGACGACACGAAAGTTTGACTGTGGTGGGAGGACGCGTCGGGTTAGCCAAGAAATTTTCTGCGAGCTTTGAGGCGACAACTCGTGCGACCGTCGACGGATGCGATTGAATGCATGTCCTCGTCGAGGCCATACAGCGCAGATATCTGCCGGGCTGACGAAGCTCGGCCTGTCGATGGTATGCCCGTCTGATTCAAGCAAGGAAGGGGAAGGGCTGAAGTTGAAAATATACTTCGAGACTAGTGCAGGAGTCGCGTAACCCAGTTTGTCTGCGCGTCAGCAGCAGTAGCAGGTCTGTTTTGAACTTGCGAGCAGCAACGGGAAGGTATTGTGGAGTTAAACGCCGTCCTTCTTCGTTGAGCGGCAGCTCTTGCCCTCGTTGGTATGCGGCACAGCCCGCTCGGATCACAGGAAGGCTGCAGTACGAATGAATGGCTTTCATTTGCTATGTGTGAAAGCTCTCAAGCTATGATCTTTGCTTACGAAGGATGAGCTCCGACGACTACTAGATCGCCTGCCTGCGCCTGCAAGTCGCCCATTGCCTTCTTGTAGCAATTCAAAGATGTGGCATATTGCTGAGGACTTAGTCGCGAGCGTATCTAAAGCTCGATCCAAGTTCGTTCACCTCCAAAAGACCTTGGCGCCTTTGCTGAAAGATTGCTGCTGCCTCATCATTGGCAGTCTTTCCCAAACCAAATCAAATCAAAACGCCTCATGGATATCGATCGTCGTATTCTGATGTCGTCCCGACTTCGACTGATCGTCTTCGATCAGCCTCTCGCCCGTCGAATCGTGATAATGTAATCGTGTTTGTGGTACCGATTCACATCGGAGCTCTCACGAAGTAGTGATAGCCACTGGTCGGGTGCTTCTCCCAGACTCCAGCACCAATGTCGCCCGTGAGGATATCGTTCTGCTCTCGCAATGTCCAACTGCCGTCCAACTCCTTGCACCAGAACTGCGGATTCGTGCTTGGCTTGAATGGAATGAGCTGATTGCCACCGGGCACCGGAACGTTGAGCATCGCAGCTAGAGCGGCGTTCTGAGCAGCGATCTCGGCAGGGCTGGAGCCGACGAAGTACATAGGAGCACTAGGCAACTGAGCCATGGCGGTATTCTGGGCGATGTACCAGGCAGCTGTCGCGGCGGCGTTGGCGGTCGAACCAGGCCAAGTGCTGGGTGCAGACCAGCCGGGATACCACGCGGAGGGAGCAGGAGGAGCCGGCCAGGCGGAAGGCCAGTGAGCAGGAGGGGCTGTGTAGAAAGATGGTGAGTATCTGTATGATGAATATGGGTATGTGTACTGGTAGGAGTATGGATATGAAGAGAAGGCGTTGTTACTTGGGTATGAAGTAGAGTAGTAGTATGAGGAGTATGAGGTAGGAGATGGGTATTGCCAACCGGTAGCCGTGGGAGGAGGTGTCGCGCCGTAGTACTGGCCGTTGTGATAGTAGTAACCAGCAGGCTGGGTGGTGCCGTTACCCTGAGATGCGATGTCAGCGCTGAGCCTCAGGTGAGGCGAGATGCGGAAGGAGACTTACCGCCCAGTAGTACGTCGCTTGCGCGTTCGGAAGAGAGGCGTAGTACGCAGTAGTCGCACTCGGAGCCTGCAGAGCGAGCGTGTAAGTAGGGTTGAGCGGAAAAGTCTTTGGCCAATCTTCGACTCGTTCCCAATGACCAGCGGCGGGATGATTGAGAGTGGTGGGCACGACGGCGAGTTGATTGTAATATGGCAAGACCATCTTGACGATTTGACGAATGCGACGAGGTCTTATGTAGCGTGGTGGTGATATCGATGTGGTGGTCAAGGTTGAAGAAGGTTGGTGGGCGTTGAGATTGAAGTCGATATAATCAAGTCACGGGGCAACTGCAAATCAGAAATTCGGACGTGACTCACTTGATTCCAGTTATCCGGATACCACGAATACTGATCTGGCAGATTGACATAGACGTCTCGGGTTGGCGCGGCGGCAAGATGCGTGGCTTGACTCCATGGCCAGCCGCAAGAGAAGCACATCTTGAGGATATCGACTGCGATGCTGGCTTGATAGGTTCGAAAAGATGTGATTGGGAAGAATGCAGTGCGTGGTTGCAGGGAAGGTGGGCCGCAACGGGGAGAAGTAGTCAGATTATTTGTATGCCCTGCCAGCAGTGAGTCGAGTAAAGTGAAGTAACAAGCGGCGTGCAGAACGATGGCTCGTCCATTTGCATTGATCAATGTCTGAAATCCAAGTCAAGCACACCTGTTCTAAGTTCTTCGTCTGGATCCAGGGGGCTGATAGCTTTGTAGAGTCCTCAAGCTATCTGCAAGACATTCTTCCTGCTCGTGAAGTCCTCGGCAGTCTCCTAGCTGGCAAACGGACTCATCCAACGTGCTCGTGAAGGTCTTTATCCAAGCTTCAAAGCTACAAAGGACATGTGATCTGCAGTCCTTCAACACATCATGGCGGTCATAACCGATGGTGCGGCTCCCGCAATGGCCGCACGTAGACTCGTGCCCATTCGACTTGTCCCTCGTCCGGATCCAGTACACACGCGTAGTGAGTCGTCTCGTTCGCCGTCGGCCAGTCGCTGGTCCAGGCGGCTGCTAGACGCCTGGTGATGCCGTTTTCACCAGCTGTCCGATGCCTCCTCCATTTGTCACCCACGCAAGCAGCCCTTTCCTCACTATCATCCATGAAATCATCCAAAGCGCACGTTCGTGACGGCCCTACCGCAGACGCAGCCCCAGGTATCGGCTCCTTGTCGAATGCCGGACTGGCGAAGTCATGATTTGTGGCAACGACGAACCCGTCGACATCGTGGCGCGCTATGGCAGTGTTGTAGTCTTTCTCAAGCACCAGCGCGTGGACGCCGTCACTGAATGTAAGGTAAGCGGCAGTGGTCCGTCTGCTCGGCAGGTCGTGCTCTAAGCTGGCTAGTGAGGGCACTTCATTCGTCAGCAGATACTCTCGCAGAATACTTGAGATACTGCGACTCAAGCCAAGAAGAACTGCCACATGATGAGCATAAAACCGAAATCTGCTCCAACGCCCGTTCACTTGGTGAACTGCCCGAAAGTTCAGGCTCATACTGAGATGCGGTCGAACTCCTGTCAGAACTCCCACAAAGCCGACGTAGGTTATGCTGCTGGCTAGCACACGATCGGGATCCTCGTTGGAGCGAATGTAATCGAGCTGTACCACCACGCGTCGCAAAGGGTCCATTGCCCAGTCCAATGTCCTCAAATGATAACATGTACCTGTTCAGAGCGTACGACGCTAGACGTGCAACCCATCAGCAGATCCAGAACCACATTAAGCGCAACAAGCAAATACATCTCAACCCCGGTGACCTCGCTGATACCACGCAGTTCCTCGGTCTCTTCTCTTGAGCGAACCCTTCGTAGAGACCAGCGTGCAAGGGTGTTGATCGTTTCGTGTTTGGCGTCAGGGATTCCAAGATCGGCCAGGAGCTCGTTGAACAAGGGCGTGATGGTGGCGACCTGCTTCTTGTACTTCAATGCGAGCGCCTTGTAGCGCTCGTGCGGCGGAAGCGAGAGATCTATTCGGTGGACTGGTATGGCCCTGCCAGCGGCTGTGGATCGAAGGCTCATGATGTTCTGCGACGATCAATGAGCTCGATCGCGTGCAACGAGGAACGGGTCGCGGGTCACAGGTCGGTGATGTCTTGTCGTTTGAAAGTCCGTCCATTCACTACCCCTACATGAGATCGACCATCAATCACAGCAGCATCGAGTCCTTTGACAAGGCTTTATGCGGCAGTCTAGGCAGCCATAAGGGGAGGTTTGCCCTCATGCCTGGCATTTACGATCGTACCAGCATTGCTCACGTGTCTGCCTCCTCACCGCGGTGACATTGGCTACTCAGTCATAAATTTGTAAAAATCAATTTGTGAAAGACATCAACATCGCATCAGGCAGTGCAAAACAAATTTGCCAATAGTCATTGGCTTCACTGTATTCTACTTGAAGTTTCACAGGATCAACTTAAACAAAACATTCTGATGACGTCATCTAACCATGAATATCCACATGGTGCTTAGCGGTCAGGTGACCATTGATGAGTATGAAGCTCATCTCCAAGCTTACTTCAGAGCCACGGGTTTACGTACTATCTCCTACTGTGAGTATCAACCGGATTCCCAGAACCAGCAATATCATCTCAGAGTTTCGCGCGGCAGTTGCCGTCGTAGTAGACGATGGCTGACGAGCAGATGCAAGACCTCAATCCCGAAATTCCAGGACCGCCGCCAGTCAACGACGCGACCGCAGCATCCATCTTCAGTCCAGCTCAAGACCCGACTCTTAGCGCGACGGACGACGCGTCGGCTCAGCCAAAACCACAGAAGCCTGTCAAGCGTCGCAACCGTCAACCTGTTGTATGCAAACCATGTCGTGATCGACGATCAAAATGCGATCGCGGTACACCATGTAGTCTTTGCCGCAAGCGTGGTGAAGATCACCTGTGCATATACGCCAGTCGTGCCGACAAGACACGCAATGCAGGTAGCCGAGGAAGCAAATCGGCGGAGGCCCGCAAGAAGCAGCTGGAGAAGCTCGGTCAACTTGAGAGTCTTTTCAAACGCTATATGCCGCAGGACCACTATCAGTCAGCCGATCGAAAAGATCACTATGGTACTAGCCAAGGCCCGACTTCCACCACTGCAGATGGAGAGCCACTGCTCAGCACTACCGATGGTCCCCACTGGTCATCGATATTTCAGCAGCTTCGGTCGTCAATGGAAGGCTACGAGGATGCACTCTCCGACATCGATGATGGTATTGTGACCGGAGACGAAGCGCCTTTCCTTCTGGGCAACCCCAACCCACCATCTCTGACAACGGTCCTTGTGCAGTACCTCCCAGCAGACAAGAACGAAGTGGACAAAGTCATCCAGGATTACTTCGATGCAACCTTCATGGTTATTCCTGTCATTCACGGAGGAAAGTTCTTGCGCGAGTACAATGAATTCTGGAAAAACATGCACGGCGCAGATCCAATCTGGGTTGCATTGCTATTTGGCATCATGTCGCTGTCTGCAATGATCATTGCTCAGAAGAGTGAGGAGCCGGATCTGTCGCAACGCGACGCATGGATCACTGCTGCCGCTCATTGCTTGGCGATTGGAGGCTATCTCAAACCGAGCACATACCTGATTCCCGCGCTGTTGATTTTCTCCCAGTCTCAATACATGCGATACCAAGATCCATCCAGAGAAGTTGCAGCACTAGTGCCGATCATTGTGAGGCTGGCGTTTCAAACCGGCGTCCACCGCGAACCAGGTCCTCAAATGAGCCCTTCGAAGGAGAGATGCGCCGTCGTCAATGGGTCATGATTCGACATCTGGACCGCCAGATTGCTTGCCAATTCGGTGTTCCGGCATCTGTTTTGAGCGATGCTGCGGACATTCACCCACCTCACAACCTGCCCGATGAAGACCTTTCCGAAGACATGACCAGCCTTCCCCCTTCCCGGCCACTGGCTGGCTATCATCCTGTAGCCACTTTCATCATCAAGAATGGACTCATGGCGATCTTCGATGAGATCTACTCGTTCGCTCTCAGCTTTCGACCTCACGTCAACGAAGATGCTGAGATCAAGCGTCTCGGAGCTCTTCTACAAAACGAATGGACTTCTATCCCACAGAATTACAAGGCCAAGCCTATGGCTGACTCTATCAACGACCCTCAGACGTTGCGAATGTCGCGTATCACACTCGAGTTTCTCTACCAAAAATGCACCATCGTACTACATCGTCGGCGCGTCGCGAAACACGACTCTGCGTCTTACCAAGCATGTACTACTGCTGCAAAGAGCATCATCAACACCTTCCAGGATCTGCTCGACGCCCTACAGCCCGGCAAATTAATGGAAGGTCACGGCTGGGTTCTGTCCGCTACAATCGTCTGCGACTTCCTGCTCGCCTGCATGACTTTGGCGATGGCTGTCGTGGCCACTCAGCCGATCAGCAAGGATATCGAGGAGAATCTGAATGTTCTGGACAATGCTAAGCTCATGTGTCATAGTTTGACGGCCAAATCTCGAGGTGCTGCGCGTGTCGTGACGGCTATCTCCAACGTTCTGGCTAAGTTCGGCCGCGAGCCTTCACTCCCGATCGATCCCCGCATGGCTCCTCAGATCCAGCAGGGATATCAGCCTGCTCCGTCCTACTCCTTGAACGGCTACACGCCAGCGTCCTCAGCTCCCGGCACCCACCCTCCGCCCCAGGGCTCACCGTTCCAACCCTTCCCAACTCCGGCACCTTCCAGCGCACTATCCGAGGAACGCTCTACCAGCCACGGCCCGCAAGGTCAGCAATTCACCAGCAGTGGTCAGCTGCCTTATCTGGGCTCTCTTGCGCAGTCATACACCAACCACCCCTTACCAGCGTTCGAAGGACAGCCAATGATGGCCGGACTCTTCCCAAGTACAAATCAGCAGCAGTCGCTCCACCAGCAGCTGGCCTCTGCAGCACAGCAGTACGGTCAAGCAACACAAGGCCCGCTTCAACAGTTCGGTCAGAACGCGGTGTCCCTCGATCCTTGGGAACGTGCTACCGCTGCCGTGAATGGGAGCTTGGGCGAGATCGATTGGAGTATTTTCGATCAGTACATCTTTGAGTAGGGGTGTGATGGGCTCAAGATCCGCAGATCCGGGCAGGGCGGTCTCTGGTTGAGAAAACAGGCGCCGGATCAATGCGACAGATGTACTCATTATGTTAGCGGGCGTTCGATTGCGTGGGAACAGTGTCGGAAGGCGCGATCACCAGGCGGGCTCTGATTCTGCGGAGTCGATTGGAGCGCGGTTCCCCATTTAGCATCGAACAAGTACTCCAGATAGCTGAATCAGAAGCAGATTTACTTGGTCCCGGGCGCATCGGCTGGTCCCATGCCCATCATTCGCTCCAACTGAAGTTAGTGAAACAAGCATACCGGTTGTCAAGCCGTGCCGTGTGCTCCAACTCGACAGGCGTCGCCTTCAGAGTACCATCAAATGACTCTTCCACCGCAGCTTCCATGGTCTCGCCGGTACACATAATTTGCTTCGAGCCAGGCTGAGCAAGCCACTCCACGAGGTTGGCATCTGTCACAGGTCTCATGTCAGCAATCGATGGAGAACAGCGGTTAGTGCACGTAAGAATAGGACTTACACTTCCCAACACACTCCGCACTATGATACGGCGGATCGCACAATATCACGCCATACGCCCGCTTCACATCATCGGGCAACTGCTCCTCCGGCGCTTTGTTATAGTCATACCTCACAAACTCCGAAAACACGTCGAATCGCGAGTCGAACTCCAGCAGCGTGATCCGCGCAGGCTTCCGATCAGGCTCGGCGTTGATCTACATGTTCAGCGCGGACGATCAGAGGAGCTCAGGAATGTCTACTAGGAGGTTCTTCAGCTGCACGAACACGCTCGGTGCCGAGACGACGGCGATGGAGGTGGATGGAGTGCTGTGGGTTAGGAGTTGGCGGGCGAGGAGGTTGGCGGTGGCGTCTGTGAACCAGAATTGGCTCGCGTGCCAGTTCTCTTTGAAGTCGGAGATTGAGATAGACGCGGTCTGAATCGTGGACTGGTCGTGGCTGGAGGCTGATCTGAGTCTCTCAAGGCGATCATCGTTGGCGTCGCGGTCTTGGTAAAAGGACTGTAGGGCTGCTAGAGCGCTGTCGGAAAGGACTCTGGTTTGGGTTAGGAATGACTCTGAGCCGATATCTCGGGGGATGGCTTACAGCGGCTCGTCCGTGTCGTCGTCCATGGTCGTGCTACTGTGAGTTGCACAGTGTCATCGTGCACAGTGTTCAGCATGTGTCGACAAGCAATCGGCAGTCATCAGTGATGGTTGGTCAAACCCAAGTTCTGTGAATATTAGGCTCGAATATAGGTAGTCGTTCGTGGACGTCATCTCGTTCTCCGCCACCAGTCATCCGGTCTCTAGTAAGCCGTTTGCGCCCGCGTCATCCGGTCTGGCGAACCCATGGTCATCCGGTCCCGTCAAATGTATCTAGGTATGGACCGCAAACATTCCGCTGCAACAACGAAGCACCAAGAAAACCGACATCGAGTGAGGCTGATGGTGTTCACGGATACCTGCTCTGTATCGCGACGACGGTAGCTACACATCCCTCACGCCGGTGTCATCTGACTCTTCATCTACGCGATACCTTCGAACGGCGAGTTCCCGAAGTACGACGGCTCAGAGCCGACGAGCTCCCCACCAGTTATTTCCCTGCAGATCCGCCATGTGCTATCGCGCAGGCTCCACCTGCGATTTCGCACAGCATGAGGCATGCGGTCACTGCGGGCGTCGAGGGCGAGTCGGTGCAAGCAAGCTCCACCCGTGGCCTGGATCGTCGTTTCGGCAAGGACTACGTCGGCGATACCAACGCGGTGGAACTGGTGTTTGTGGCTGATGCTCTGTGAATTACTAAACACTACATCTTTGGGGCGCCAATATCTCGATTGTTGAAGATATTGTTCAGAGCACCGTCAGAACGCAGCACGACTATCGCACACCGCAAACATGGGTTCAATGGCGCCAGCCACACCAGAAGTGAAACTACTGATCAACGGCAAGTTCGTCGACGCATCAGACGGCGGCATATTCGACCTCCACTCCCCCTACTCAGGCAAACTCGTAGGCAGAATCGCAGAAGCCACAGCCGCCGATGTCGACAGCGCTGTCAATGCAGCCAGCAAAGCCTTCCCTGCCTGGTCAGCCCTCTCCCCAGCAGCACGAGGAGCACCACTTGCCAAACTCGCCTCTCTGATCAGCGACAGCAAAGACACCTTCGCCAAGCTCGAGGCCCAGTCCATCGGTCGCGCGACTGCCGACTTCTTCGACGCGCACTATGCGTCAATGCAATTCGGCTACTTTGCGCAGGCGGCCTATGCGACGGGTCACTCTTCGCTCAACACGCCTGGGTTCCTGAATTTCTCGCTTCGGCAGCCGTTTGGGGTAGTTGCTGCTATTATCCCCTGGAATGCGCCTCTGGTATTCCTGTCAAAGAAGCTCGGACCTGCCCTTGCTGCGGGCAACACGGTCATTCTCAAGACCAGTGAGAAGGCGCCGCTGTCTTCTGATTATGTTGCGAAAATGCTGGACCAGGCTGGCTTTCCACCTGGTGTGGTGAATGTTCTGCATGGCCACGGTCAAGTCTCGGGCGAGGCGATCTGCCGTCATATGCGCATTCGGGCGGTGAGCTTCACGGGATCAGTCATGACTGGGCGGAGGATCATGAGGGCTGCTGCGGATACTAACTTCAAGCGGGTCATTCTCGAGCTTGGTGGGAAGTCTCCGGTGGTTGTGTTTGAAGATGCAGATTTGGCAGCGGCGGCGAAGGAGACCGCATTTAGCATCCTCCTGAACAGCGGACAGACTTGCATGGCCAATTCAAGAGTGTACGTTCATGACGCGGTGGCTGCCGAATTCGTGAAGCTCTTCGAGGAGCAAATCAGGAGTCGGAAGGTCGGCGACCCTGAACTTAGCTCCACATCGTTTGGCACTCTGGCCGACAAGGGTCAGTGGGAGCGGGTAACTTCTTTCGTTGAGAAGGGCAGAAAGGAGCTGCAACAAGAAGGTGCCGTGTTCCTGGCAGCAATCCCGTCTCCGGTGACACGGCGGCCAAGGACAATTCTTACTTCCATCCGACCATTTTCAGAGATGTGCCGGAGGACTCGCAACTGATGAAGGACGAGATCTTCGGACCAGTTGTATGCATAAACTCATTTTCCGATGAGGCCAAGGTTCTTGCCCAATGTAACGACACAGAATATGGTCTGTACGCTGCGGTGTATACCAAAGACCTGGACAGAGGCATGCGAGTCGCAAAGGCTCTGGAGAGTGGCATGGTCGGTGTCAATTGCACAAGCCCGACTGGCGCGTGGGATCTTCCGTTCGGTATGTGTCTGTCTTATCCTGTCGCTGTAGCGAATGCTAACAACTTTCCAGGCGGCTATAAACAGAGCGGCGTAGGTCGAGAGGGCTTTCTGGACAGCTTAAACGACTGGTTGGAGAACAAAAGTGTCTTCATGAGGGTGAAGGGCCTTGAGAGTGCGGCTGCTGCGAGTGGCCCTCTCGGCAGATAGTCTTTGCATAGAACCGGGACATTGAGATATCGGAGTGGACGTGGCGATCAGTCATATCTCCATGTAGCCCTGTCCATTGTAAAGTTGTTGCCCACCACTCATAGGCTGTGACCACATATTGCCTTCGAACACATTGCCACTCGCACCAGTCATAGTGTTTATCATGTGCGTGAAGTCAGTGCCAATGCCTGAATGTGCAGCCCACCCTCCCATCGTGCTCTCTTGTCCTAGCAAGTCCGCAAAGTCATGTTGCAACATCGCAGGATCTAGTGCTAGGCTCGGAACAGGAGCTCCAGGCTGATGATTGCCAGTCTGAAGGAGATCTCTGATAGCGTTACGCAGACGCTCGAATATGTCCCGATATTTCTTCGCAGATGGATACCTCTCCGTGATCACATACAACAGTAGCTGACAATCGGCGAACGAGGATTCGACTTCAACGAATCCTGGACTGAGCCAAGCGCAGTAGACCAGCGTCAGACCAGCAAGGAAGACTGACTGGATTGATAGTGCCGAGAAACCGACAGGGAAGACTTGATGCAAACGACGGTAGTCGCTAATGATACCGGAGCAAGCCTGGGCACATAGCTTGAGGTAGTGCATATTCGGTGTCGTCGTCAACCGCGGGTACAGCAGGAATCGTACAGTCCTGTGATAGTGGATGGTGAAGAACTCCAATCCGTCATACGGACCGGAGTGCTGCTGAGGCTTGAATGTCTGAGCAGACGCGGGGATGTCAGCTCGCCACTGCTCCAGTCGGCCAAGGAAATCCATTATGGTAGCATCAGATGCCTGATCAGCTTGATCAACCCGGTAGACCACACTCTGGATTTCGGACTCGATCCGCTTCAGCTTTGTGCGATGAATGAAGGGCGACAAATTTGAGGTTCTGCGGCTACGGCCTGTCGATCCTGTTCCCATAGTCTCCTGCCATACTCTTCGGAGCTCTTCCTCGTCGTCTAGGTTTTCGTTGACGTCCAAAGGGAGCGGTGCATCGATGTCATGGTCGCTGAGGGAGAATGGTCTGCCAATCGCTATACAAATGTCTCTTTCCAAGAAGTATGCAGCCCAGAAGCGGCGCTTAGCCATCTCGCCATCTATCGTCGGACCTGATTCGTGACGATCCCTGTGAAGACCGAGCTCGATGCATTGGCGGATAGCGAGGCCGATGAAGGTCCATGCTCCTGGATCTCGTGGTGCTCGAGTGCAGTAAAGCGTCAGCAACAGCAAATAGTCGAGGCTTCGGGAGTCCCTCAGCTTCAAGATCGAGCTCATCTCTTGGTATGCGATATCGTAGTGCTTGTCACTGAAGAAGTATCCACCCTCGCCAGAGGACTCGAGCCATCGACCGCTGACAGCGTAAATCAGGTTCAATACGCACTTGTCGTGCAAATTGGTCAATCGTGCCCGATTCGCATGCAACCAGGTGACTCTCGGAGTATGGATGATGGGGTATCGCGTCGCGATGTGTCGATGCCAACCGACGATCAGTCTGTCTGCCGTGTTGCTGTCCATCGAGGTCAGGTTGACCATCTGCTCCAGTCTCGCGTCGTGCAGCGACCTTGGGGATGGGTCCTCAATACTCGGGCCATCACGATCGATCGTCCCGCTATCTGTTGGCTGCTGACTCTGCACGATCGAATTGAGAACTCTGCCAATGGACAGCGATGATGTTCCGCCAACATAATGTCCCGAAGCTGCCAGTGAAAGATCTCTGATGGCAACGAATACATCGTTCCCATTCTCGGATCCAGCGCCTTCCTGTGGCATGAGCTTGGCGATGCGGAAGTGGTCATCGCCTACTTCTGCTGCGCCATAGAACGACAGAGCGGTCTCGAGCTCGGCGACCCTTTCCTCAAGCGCTTTGATGTGATGCGTCGCGCCTGCAGGTTGGAAAACGTACACGCACTCGTTCGAGGTCTTCGAGCACGATGTACACTTGGGATGCCCGCCATCGCATCGTTGTTTGCGCGTTTTACATCGCTGGCATGCTAATGCAACGCGTCGTTGTCGTTTAGCAGGCCTAGAGGGGTCGCGCCCGGATGCTGTTGATTGAGGTGACAACTGGCCGTCTGATGGGACGGGTGTATCGTCCGAGGTCTCTGCCATGCCAGAGATGCCAGTGTGGCTTACTGAGAATGAGCAAGTGCAAGATTGGCTCCTGAGCCCCTGGGGTAGCGACTGCCCCGGTATTTGACGGTCCCAAGCAAGTGGCCTTTTGTTCCACGGAAAGGTATCAGTTCCTGCTAAATGCCTTTGCCCGTGCTCTTGACCGTGCAGCAGCAGCTCCTCCCGTACTATCAGAGGGCATCATCAGCTGGGACTGCGACCCAACTGACCATTGTCGTGTAGTTGGAGCGATCGGCATTATTGGCGCTGTTCTTCGACAGCGATAAGATCTGGCCCTATCTCGGCGCCGACTCCGGGCTGCCTTATCGGCGCTTTTGAGCCCTAAACCCACCACAAGCGTTAAGTTGTCCTTCAACCCCGCTCATGACAGACAGGTCAATCTACGCAACAGCCACTTTTCGTCCGTGGCATGACTAATGCAATGATCGTCTATATGAATGGTATTGCCCCCAGCTCTTCTCGGGCTGTGCATTGGCTTCCACGTTCTCTGTCACGCGGGCACCAATTGATGGACCGACCAGAGTCGAGCTGAAACCTCTTCGATCAGAATCTTCTCCCACCACAATGTCTGGTCAACTTCTCAACATACCAACCTCGACTCAGACAGTGTCAGTATCTGTCATCAACACGACAGCCACCATAAAAGGCATCGACACTTGGAAGTTCTTTGAGCCCCCGATCAAAGGTCATGAGTGGCTGGCTGCCCCGTGCTACTCGTTCTTAATCGAACACAAAGATGCCAGCGGTGCAACTCGCCGTCTGGTGTTCGACTTGGGTATCCGCAAAGACTGGCAAAACCTGTCACCCTTTCTGATCAAGCGCTTTGAGACGAATGGATACGCAGTGGATGTCAAGCAATCAGTCAGAGAGATTCTGGAATCCAACGACATCAGTTGTGCTGGCGATCAAATCGAAGCTTTGATATGGAGTCACTGGCACTTCGATCACACTGGGAACCCCAGCGAGTTTCCCTCTGCAACCGAACTGATAGTTGGTCCTGGGTTCAAGGAGAAGCTGTTGCCAGGCTATCCTACAAACGCCGAGAGTGCCATTCTCGAGTCTGATTACACCGGCCGTACTCTCGAGGAGGTCGACTTCAGCCAAAGTGGCGTCCGAGTTGGCCAATTCGCTGCGGTCGACTACTTTGGCGATGGCAGCTTCTTCCTCCTGGATTCTCCGGGGCATGCTGTTGGCCATATCTGTGGTTTAGCTCGCGTGACGAGCGAGCCAGCTTCTTTCGTATTCATGGGCGGGGATATAGCCCATCACGCAGGCGAGTGGAGACCTTCACCACACCTTCCACTGCCGGAGCAGATCAAGCCTCATCCCTTCCACGACGAGCCTCAAGCAAGTACTCCTTTCTGTCCTGGAAGCCTGTTTGAGAATCTCGGACAATCAAGGTCATCTGGAGGCAGCCGTACGGAGACCTTCTACAAGCCAGCCAAGCTTGAGACCGGTCAGATCCACCATGATATAGATCAGACCATCGCCAGCATTGAGAAAATGCAAGAGCTGGACGGCATCAAGGACGAGAGCATCATGATGTGCGTGGCGCACGATGAAACCCTTCTCGGCGTCATCGATTTCTTTCCGAAGACCGTCAACGACTTTGTACAGAAAGACTGGGTAGGAAGACTGAGGTGGAAGTTTCTGCGTGACTTTGCGAGTGCCGTCGACCATGAGATTCCGGGCAAGCAAAGCTGGGCGCCCGTCACGAAGTCTTGATAAAATATATACCGTAGCGCCGGTACCAGCTCAACTCAATGCGCTTGACGCTTATACAACGCTCTCCCGAAACCCTTTCTCTGTGTCATTGGCCTCGACCTCAGAATCAGACTTGCCCTCGACAGACCGGCCATGGCCAATAGGGTCTACTCCTGGTGTAAGCATCGTGCTCACATCGATGTCCACCTGTCTTCCTAGCTCAGGTGGTGGGAATGCCAGGTTCAGTATCCAAAAGATCACGAAAGCCAAGCCATAGCCAGAGAAGAAGGAGACTTGGTATAATCCTTGCTGATGTTAGCAGCTGTGACTTGGGAACGACTTCCTCGGAGGACTTACTGAACCAGGTCTGGCCAAAGCTGTATTTGTCTTGTCCTCCTATCGCCATCACACTGTTGCACGGTGTTGTCAGTATGTCTCATCTAATACCGCGCCACGAGAGATCAGTACTTACAACCCTGGCAGAGCCCAAGTCATAGCGAGGAAGTAGGCTGTGAAGGCTCTCCAATTCACGCCATTCCAGAACCAGTATATTCCACCTGGCCGGTAGAGGTCAGGGATATTCCACTTGGTGCGTCTCACAACCCAAAAGTCGCAGACCAAAATTGCTGCAGCAGGGCTCATGAAGACACCGAAGCTCGACAGCACGGTGATGAATGTGCTAGCTTGAGTGAGGAATCTCCATGGATTCGCAAGGACTCCCAGCACAGCAAAGATCATGCTGCCCCGACGGCGAGATATGTACTTGGGCACGAGCATGGCCAAATCCATACCGCTGGAGACACAATTCTGTGTGTAGTTGATGAACACAATAACAAATAGCAAGCCGAATCCGGCAAAAAAGGTACCTGCCCGCATGGCTGCAGAGTAGTTTTGTGCCTGGAGCTGCTGTATGGCGATCAGAGGATTCCATTGAAAAGTCCCCAGAGTCGGAGCAAAGGCAGAGGTCGAAATGATACCGACCAAGGCGAACAACGTGACCGTGACAGGCAGGGCAGTAAGCTGAGCCAAGGTGGGCGAATGCTGTACACAAGTTGTCAGCGCAAAGACGTCGCAGTCTTCAGGAGCAATAATTGCAGTGGATTATTCATCACAGCGGAGCTCTGAAAAGTGCTGGTTGCTTCCGAAGCTAGACGCTGGGGCAGACTCACCCTGGTCTTCGCATAGCGAGTCCAGTCAGAGACTCGGTCCGAGCCACCAGCATATGTGCCCGCGATTGACGAAATGCCCTGCACCATAAGGAAGCCGACCTGTCCCGATGGTACATCGACCTGAGGAGAAACCAGGTCTCCAACGCGGCCGCCATTCTGGGCGATAGCCCAGCCCATGATGCCGAACAGAGTGGCGGAGCTGATGATGAGATTCGCCTTCAGATACTTCTGAACCTCGTGAGGCGGCACCCAGTATATGATTGGGAAGTACACAAAGATAAAGAGCACGAAGCCGATCTACACTCGTCAGTCATGCCCTCCCACGGTTTGAGGTTGAGTCATACAAGTTGAGGTGTCGTGACTGCATTCGATGGTCAGCAATGATAGAAGGCACGCCTGGTGGAGCTCAGGAATGGAAAGAGCAAGGCACAACTTACTGCCTGCGCTATCCGGCAATGTGTTCTTCATTCGCAAGAAGCTTTCAGACCATGTATTTCTGCAACCTGGTCAGTCTCGTTTGGTCATGGAAAACGCCTCAAGACATGGATAAGTTGGACATCGCAGTCCCTTAACGTCACTTACAGCATGATCACAATTGCCATCCCGCCGAAGTACATCTGGGTTCCATAGAAGACGAACGACTGAAAGACGTTGAGCATGATGACGAAGTATGAGCCCCAGAGTCCGAAAGCACTCCGTGCAAGAGTGCCATAACCGAGGTGATGGATGCACCCCGGCCCGCCGTTGAGGAAGGCGCTGATAGATGCAATGACGCAGCCAACGAGCTAATTTCGTGTCAGCGCAGCACTCTGGAGACCTCTGCCCACTCACCACAACACCGCTCGCCTGTCCTGCGGTCAGGCCGATTCCGATCAGCGAGCTTCCGATTGTCCAGGAGGAGACTGATATGCGCAAGTGCCCAGTCTTCGATGACATTGTCAGTACATTCTTCAACGGAGGAAGTGCATATCAGCAAGTAGACGAGTGACAACACTTACATGCCCAAAAAGCGAGCCACCCATAAGTTCGCTTGGCGTGTGGTATAGGGTACGTGTCTCTGTTGCCCCACCGGGTGGTCTCGAGACTCTCGTACTCGTCGTCAATGGGTTTGACTTCAAGCTTCTTCAAGAACGCTTTGAAAGACATGGTGAAATCCTGTGTGCTGGGAATTGTTCTCGCTTGATGCAGCACGTGGAGAAGAGCCCTCGAATGCAGACTGAGCGACACAGCACACTGATATCTGTCTAGCCTCAGCACGATCGCGGCCCTCGTTCCATCGAGTAAGTCCTTATCAGCCTAGTATCCCCAGAAAAGGCTGCACTCGCTGGGAGTCTCCATACTCCTCTCGTTTCGAGTTCGCGAAAGCTCTCAGCAAGTGCCGTGGCTTGATACACCTGATAGCGTTCTAGACCAGTGTCGACGGTTGTCGGGCTTCTACCGATGAGATAGACTTCACTGGCTAAGGAGAAAGCGAATGTGGAAATGTGCAGGCCGCTGACACAAACAAGGGCGGTCCGCGTGGTAGTATCGGCAGCGTTCCGACGGCTCCACAATATTGTCTGTCAGATCGACACTGTCTGAACAAGCGAGACTTGGCTCTATCATCTTCTAACCTTGGAATCCGAGTAACACCAACCCAAGGTGGCGACACAGATTTCTGCTGGTTATCAGCACGATATGATCCAGCAGCGGCTTGTGGAAGTCCACGCCAGGATCCCGGCTACCAAATCCCACGTGTCATCCCCACGGTTAGACCAATATACGCTACAGCATAGCATGCCAAAAGAAGTCTAGGCTCGAAAGACCAAGCGTTAAAGGTGTGGACGCCGTGAGCCCGCCTGGCAGGCTATTCCTGTCTCCAAGAGTGGTACCAAGAGCTTTCTTCGACTGAGCACTAGCGTTTTATGGATGGAATTTGACCTCGACAAACTCATCTTTACTTCACGAGGCTACGGTCGTCTATTCCAGCTTCATCATGTGCTCTGTTCAGGATTTCCGCTGGCGCTTGATGAGGATTCTCAACAGGATGGGCATCGTGCAGCAAGATGGCTCGCGGCGAGCAACAACAGCATTACCGTCCAAATCGCCGCTGCAAGCAAGGCCTGAGATTGCTATCCTGGGAGCTGGGATTGGTGGATTGGCATTGGCTATCGGAATGATACGCCGAGGTGTCGCTGTCACTATCTATGAAGCGGCAGAGGAGTTCTCTGCCGTAGGGGCTGGCATTGGATTTGGTCCAAACGCACTGAATTCAATTGACTTGCTGGACCCAAGGTTTCGTCAAATGTACGAAGCCGCCGCTACCGCCAACGAGCGACCAGAGTTCGAGCACAGCGTCTTTGACGCTCTGTACGCTGAGGAGGGATTCGGGGAGAAGCGTGGTTGGAAGAGAGGTCTGGTTGGGGCACCATATTTCTTCCGTTCGAGCGCCCACCGGAAGGACCTGCTGCAGATCATGACGGAGCTCATTCCGGAAGGCGTTGTCAAATTCAACAAACGTGCCAAGAGCATCCATCAGAGCAACAACAATGTCACAATCGCGTTCGACGATGGACAGACTATTACTGTCGATGCATTGATCGGCTGCGATGGCGTCAAAGGTGCAACACGCGGCCTTGTACTCGGCAAGACACACCCGGAACAAGTGGCGCCTACCTACTGCAACATGTACATCTACCGCGGCATAATACCCATGAAAGACTGTAAAGAGGTCCTAGGTCAACACGCTGGCGATGCGAAATGGTTCATGCGGAAGGATCAGGGCGTTGCTATTTACCCAATACAAAAAGGCGCCGCAGAAAATTTTGTGTTCTTCGTCAACGATCATAAAGGCTGGACAGGGCCCCCGGTGGCGATCCCGCGTACAAAGGAAGAGATGCGAGAGGATTTGGCTGGTTTCGACGAGAGATTGCTGAAGCTCCTGGATTGGGCTCAACCACTCCAGTGGCCGACCTACCACCATCCCAAGACTCATACCTACTTCAAAGGTCGCATCTGCCTATTAGGAGATGTTGCTCATGCTACAACTCCTCATCAAGCCGCTGGAGCAAGTCAAGGACTGGAAGACGCTGTAGTACTGAGCCGTCTCCTCGCAGCAGTGCAAAACCCAGACGAACTCGACGCCGCATTTCGAGTCTACGACCGTATCAGGCGGCCAAGAGCTCAACGTGTGGCTCAGACAAGCTACGAGGCGGGGGTCATGTACTCGTGGAATGACCCGAACTTTGGTGACGATATGCAGAAGATTGTGGACAACGCAAACGAGAGGTTACATTGGATATGGCAGCATGACCTCAAGGGCGACGCTGATAATGCGGAGGCGGAGTTTTTGCAGATGACGAGGGGCAGCGAAAAATCAAGCACGGTTGTGACTGTCAACGGCTCAGGCATGAAGCATAAGTTATAGCATCTGAAAGCATTGGGCATTTTCTTCAGGCACTACCAATTGATGATTTCTCTATCAGAATTCTTCTAGTAAGCGACCATACCCCTTGATCTTGTCTTCGATCCCATTAGTCCGATACGCATGCCAGACCGTCGCAACGTTGATAGCAATGACTGGCTTCTTCAGCTCAGCCTCTAGCTCAGCCACGACCGAAGCTACAGGCAAGTTGGTACCGGCTTGGAGCAATGCCTCGACTTCCGGACCATCGACCTTGCGGAACGCGTCTTTCACCACATCGGGGGGCACATCCGCTATCGAAGTCGCAGAGTCACATCTCAGCCCGTGGACCGAGACCACTTCGTAGCCCATTTGAGTGAAGAAATCAACAACCTGCCTCACAATATCAGCACGCGAAACCATCAAAGAGAATACTTCTCCCACTCACCTGCTGGTCCCCCACAGGCTGATAAGGCGTCACAACCCCAATCCTCCTCGCCCCAAACTTATCCAACGCCGCCTGCGCCGCCCTCGCGCCCGTACTAACCTTCAACCCACTCAGCTCATGCATAAACGCCTCAAATTTCGCCGCCCCGTCCTTTCCGCCCCAGAACGTCTCTGCGCTCATGCCCATGACGAGGTACGTTGGGAAGCATTGACAGACCATCCGGACGGAGTCGCCGATGGTGGCGCGGAGGTCGCGCATGAACTGCTCGACGGTCTCGTCATCCTTGAGGGAGGGGTTCTTGATGTCGATGCGGCCGCTGTGCCAGGAGACGCCGGGGACGCGAAGCCAGTTGAATTCTGCTTCTACTACTGTGTTTGTGGCGGGGACGATAAGGCCGAAGACTGCTCGTGGTGAGACGAGGCTGGTGGGTGGCATTTTGCTGGTGCGGTGGTGACGGCGATGGTTTTCGCGTTTGGTAGGGTTGTATGCTGCTGACGATTAGACAAAGTGTTCGCTGGTTGTTGCACTTCTCCGTCCGACCACAGCTGGACTGGCTTGAGTCCGTCAGCGAAATCTACTCTGGACGCTGTGCCGAGAGTTGTTGGATCCTGGATCGATCACTCTTCCTGTGTCGGCCGCTGCAGTTGCGGTCAATGCCTTTCTACACGTGGTCCGGTCGTCAATCGAACCCGTCTGTGACTATCACGACCTCATTCGGTTCTCGAATATGAGCCGTATCGCGTTGTATCGATGTCCAATCATCTGCAGTGATATGCATCAACGTTCTTACCACATTCAGTAATTGCGGCTCGGAGGCCCTGGGGCTCGCTCAAGTTCCTCCATGTGATTGGCCAGAGACATCTGTCGAGAAAGTTCCCAGGCGTCGGCATCGTCCCGAAGGTACGTACACCTCGGGAACATAATCCGCGCGCTCGCAACTCCCGATTCTGATGGACGAAATCCCGACCTAGCGCCGTCTCATTCTCTCATCCAGGTCTTCCTATGGTCCTACCACCGACACCGTAGCCAGTATGGACCTGATGCTATCATCGTGGGGTTGCTGCCAGTCAAGCGACCCCGTATCCACCTAGCGATATGCGGCGCTGCGAGGCATTCGGAATTCCGGACGCCTTTATTTCAGCAACACTCTTATCAAAGCTGGGCCTATCGGTTGATGTGATCTAAATAGCAGGCAACGACTGCTTCTGCGCCCGAGTGCTTGTAACCATTCCAGGTCAGTACCACAGGCTTGAACCATGTCCCTCATCAGCGCCAACATGGCGGAGCCATCATTCGACGAGAAGAACGACCAGCATGTTGCGGCCTCGGTGGTCGATTCTGATGCTCCAGGCAACGCCGAACTCGACAAGCGCATTCTATGGCGACGCGACCTGGTGCTGGTGCCGCTTTTGGGCACCATGTACATGGTGATGTTCCTCGATCGCACCAACATCGCCAACGCGAGAATCGAAGGTCTGGAAGCAGGCCTCAACATGCCCAGCAACGGCTACAATGTTGCCTTATCAGTCTTCTATGTCCCCTTCGTGCTCTTCGAAGTCCCGTCAAACCTCGTCCTTAGTCTACCATGGGTCAAGCCGAGATGGTATTTGGGTACCATGGTGGTACTGCTCGGTAAGTTGCTCTGCTCTACACCAGCTTCTGCACCCGGCTGACCCAGCACAGGCATCGTGGCCATGTGCCAGGGCCTAACAGCTTCATACGGCGGGCTCCTAGCAACACGATTCATCGCCGGCATATTCGAGTCCACACTACCCGCCGCCGCCACGTACATTATGTCGACCTACTACACCAAGAAGGAAGGCGCCGTCCGCTTCGCATGGTTCTTCAACTTCGCACTTGCTGGGCCTATGTTTTCTGGACTGCTCGCATACGGCCTCGTGCGTGGCCTGGACGGTCATGGTGGGTATGAGGGCTGGAGGTGGATCTTCATCATCGAGGGTTTGATGACGGTCGTGTTCGGCTGCATCGTCCTGGTCGCTACGCCGAACTTCCCAGAGAAGGCGCAGAACTGGTTCTTGAAGGCGCATGAACGAGAGCGCCTCCTCGTCCTTCTCGAGCAATCGCGCGGTCGTGAAGGTAATAATGACACCGAAGGTCTGGAGGATGTGCCTGCGTGGAAAGTATTCCTCGACTGGCGCGTCCAGCTCTTCACCCTAGCGTTCTTCTGCTGCGATGTCACTGCTTCGTCGGTCAGCGCTTTCAGTCCGACTATCATCAGCGAGCTGGGATATGTGAGTACCACGGCGCAGCTACTGACGATGCCGGTGTGGGCTTCGGGGATCATTGCGAGTTTTACGGTAGTGTATATTGCGACAAGGGCGAATAAACGGTGGATGTTCGTGTTGGGATCTGTAAGTCTAGGGTGCTCCTGAGGGTAGATGCATGCTAATGTGATGCTCAGATCTTGGTGCAGATCGCCGGCTGGTCGATCCTAAAGGCGTGGCCATCAACGATTGGTGTGCGGTACCTCACTTTGTTCTTTATGTCGATGGAACGTTCCCGCAGATGCCGCTGATCTTGTCCTGGCTGGCCAGCAATCTTCGAGGGAGGAAGTACTTGGCTGTTGGGTAAGCATCGTCTACCATACCTCACCGACACCCCACTTACAATTCTCATAGCATGGCTTGGTGCACAGGCTTCGGTAACGCCGCCAACTTCGTCTCCGCCAACATGTTCATCAAGACTGAGCGCCCACGCTACCCTAGCGGCATTTCGGTTGGGCTGAGTTTCTGCTGTATTGGTTTTGCTTTGGTGTCGTTCATCACCGCGCTATTGGTGCGGCTGAACAAGAGGAGGGAATTGAAGCTGGGTAGCTTGTCTGAGGAAGAGCGTGCTGTGAGGGCGGATAAGGGCTTCAAGTTCGTACTGTGAACACTGTGAACATGAGAAGGCTTCCCGATGTGCCGTTTGGTCGTATCGGAGGTGGACCGCATATGGCGCCGGGAGATTTGGTATAGAACATGCATTACGATAACGTAAGCTCTAGTAGTTCCCATCCCATCAAGCCGGAGCCTTTCCCTCGTTAAGTCTGTATTCAGTGATGAGCTTATCCGACGCAATCTCCCCCAGTATATATGCCGTAGTCTGTGTGTGAGTATTCGGCACGAAAGGGACCACGCTCATGTCCACAACTCGCAAGCGGTCAATGCCGTGCACCCGGAAATCTGAGTCCACGCACGAGGTGTTCTCGCTTTGGCCCATGCATACTGTGCCGCTCATGTGCCATGAGCTGTGCAGGTTGGATTGGAAGTGTGCCTAGGTGCTATTGTCAGTGCTTGCTGTCCGAGAGGCGGCAGGGCCGAGTGAGTGCTTACCAGCAGTCCTTCGTCCGACGACGACTCAGGCCAGCCGACTTTTCGGATGGTCTTGTCCTGCAGGATCGGAGCTTCGAGGAATTGGAGAAGCTTCCGCATGGATTCTATGGCCACTCGCTGGTCGAACGGGTGTGAGAGAAATTTGGGGTCGATGAGTGGCTTGTCGAGTGGGTTGGCAGTTTGCAGGGTGACCGTGCCACGAGATTGTGGGAGCATGATCAACGCCATACCTGCCATGACGTTCTCGTGGAGAGAGGATCGGTGTCCGTCCAGGAAGGGACTGTGCTAGGTGGAAGTCAGCCATATTCGTGCCATCGGTAGGGTGACGGATATGCGGTGCAGAGTAGTGACAGATGACAATAGGTGTTGGTATGCGGCTCCACGATGAAGATTGAGCAGCAAGTCAGACGTACCGTCACCAGCTCCCACATCGGAACCGTAGGCTTACGCAAAAAGCTTTGAGTACTCGATGGGAGGTCTCTGAACTCTTTTGAATCGAAAACTTCTTCCATCTTGAGCCAGCCCATAGGAGATGGCGTCTGTCTTGATATTGGGTCTTCGTTCTCGCCCTCGGAGCGCACCACGATGCCAGCAGTGGAGAAGCAGTGATCTTGAAGATTTGCTCCAACATGCGGAAGATCCTTGACGGGATCGATCCCGAGTTCTTCTAGTTGAGACGATGGACCAATACCTGACAGCAGAAGGATCTGCGGGCTGTTGATAGCGCCTCCAGATATGATCACTTCTTTCCGAGCCAAATAATGCGTGCCGTTTGTGAGTAGTACACCGTTGGCAGTGGTGCCCTCAAAAGTTACCTTCGCAACATGTGCGTCAGTGATAATGGTGAGATTCGCGGGAACACTTCTCAGATAGCCACTGGCAGCTGTGACTCTTGATGAGTTGTAAACACAAGTCGCGCCTATGCCAAAGCCGATCGGATCACCACTGTTGACATCCGGATTGATCCTGTAGCCTGCCTGTCTTCCAGCTTCGAACACGGTTCTGACGCTTGGATGCCAAACCTTCTCGTAGGCGATATCGACAGCACCATTCAGTCCATGGTCTAGCCCGAAGGCATCAGCATGTATAGCCCACCGAGCACAGCAACGACTGACCTTCAGCTCTCGGGCTGATATATTCCCTAAAATCTTCCGGCACAGTATCATGCAAACACTCGACCCGCTTCAGACACTCCCTCGCATTCTTCCACTCAAATGCCCCATCCCCAACAATCTCCGCAAACTCATCCCAATCATCCCTCGGCCCCACAAGCCACCCACAGAAGTTGATCGCCGTGCTCCCGCCCAAGCCCTTGCCACGAGAATAGTCGATCTCTCGACCAAATTGGGGCACAGTTTTGTACTTCCAGTTTGCTTTGGAAGTCTCTGAGAAGGCAGCCTGGTAGCGCTTGACGCCGGACATGCCTTCGAAGCCTTCATTTGTGCCTCCGGCTTCCAGAAGGAGGACTGTTGGGTGGGAGGCTGAGGAGGCTAGGCGGGAGGCGACGACGGCGCCGGCGTTGCCTCCTTTGTTGCGTCAGTCGTTCCTTCTGGACTTGAACGGTCAAGGTACTTACCGCCGACGACTATGAAGTCGAAGCTTGTCTGATCTGCAACTGATTGGTCCATGGCAGGTCGACCTTCTTTGTGGTCATTGCGATGTTGTGAGCATTCGCCAACACTGGTATATATATTCACGGCACATGTCGTCGGCATGTCCCGATCAAGAAATGGCCTCCTTTCGGGGGGCGAAACCCACCGAGTCCGGCACGCTGATAAGCCATATGGACATGGACTGCATTTTTGAACCTACTTAAGAATCAACGCTCGACTTTCTGATGAGTTTACTGATCAAAGAGTGGACTAAAGGAAGCAGGAAAGGGCGAGGCGGACAGAGATCCCATGCCAAAGACGACAGAGACCTCCAGCCAATCACAGGGCAGCGCTGCTTTCCGGAATCCAACAACAGGTCTTCGAAGTCTTCTCAAACTCAACAAATTTGAGCAGCTCGTTGCCCATCAGAAGGAAGTCAGCGGCCTGAAGTGACCACAAAAAGCTTTCAGAGTACGATTTAGGCTCACGGGTGGCATTAGGAATGGCGACCGTTAAATGCGCATGACTGCATCAAAGCTGAGATGACAATCCTGTCACGAGTGCACGAAACAGCAGGCCAATGTCGGGTCATCGTCGCGTAAGCCATCATCAGCGAGGAGTCTTGGATGATGCGGAGTGAGATCCATTTCATGAATTTGAGGTCTGGACTTCGAGTTTTCCGAATCGCTCGTCATACAGTACATAACCGTCATCCGGGTTCAGGTATTCTTCAAAGCTGCACCAAGTTCTCGGCTTCCCTTCAATCTATGCAGAATCCATGTCCAACACTTTACACGACCCAGTTACACCACGGATCTATGCTCTCATATAAATGCGCCCTACCCCACGATCCTCAGGCGAATTCGACCGGTGGGCGCCTGAAGCTTGGTGGAAGCTTAGTGCGAGGGCACATTCGCGGGTGCATCACCCTCCTCATTGAAGAAGACCTTGACTGGCAGCCTGCGCAGTATGTTAGTCCAATGTCCGAAGAAGGCTGTGCTATCAGGTACGTACCAGTCATGACCGCAGACCTTGAACCGATCAGGAATGCTCGACAGTGCCTTGATCTGCTCTGGTGACAACTCCCAACCATCCAGGTCAAAGTTGCCTTGAATGCGGCTCGCGGTGACAGACTTGGGAATGACGCTGGTATCTCTCGCAAGACCCCATTGCAGAAGTACTTGTTGGGGAGTCTTGCCCACCTCTTCGGCGATCTTCAGCAGTGTCTTGTCCTTAGCCAAAGGCGAGTCGGTCGAGCCGAGGCATGAGTATGCGGTGCAGTGGATGCCCTTGGACTTGCAGTACTCGATGGTCTTTGGTGAGGGCATGTTAGGATGCAGCTCGATCTGGTTGACGGCGGGGACGATCTTGGTAGTGGGTGCGTTGAGGAGCTTCTCGAGGTTGCTGATGACGAAGTTTGAGACGCCAATGTTCTTGGCTTGGCCGGTCTCGACGAGCTTTTGCATCTCGTTCCTGGAGCCGGGTCAGTCACGATGCAACGATCGCAGGGGAAAGGATGGGGCACATACCAGGTATCAATGAACGTCCAGTCATCGTAATGCTTCTTCAGGTCCTCTGGAACCGAGGAGCTAGGCCAGTGCATGAGGTACAGATCAACATAGTCGACCTGGAGATCTTTGAGCGAGGAGGCAATGCCCTCCTTGACGCGCTTGTGCCACGGGTTGTCGAGCTTGGTGGTGATCCAGATTTCCTCTCTGGGGACGCCCGAGTCTTTGATGCCCTGGCCGACCTCTGCCTCATTGCCATAGGCAAGAGCAGTGTCAATGTGTCTGTAACCAGCCTGGAGCGCGGCCTTGACAGCATCGCGGACTTGGTTGGGGCCGGACTGCCAGGTTCCTAGACCGACACCAGGCAGCTTTGCGCCAGTGTTCAAAGTGAACACGGTCTTGGTGCCCTTGCCTTCGCGCTTGAGTTGAGAAGCCATGATGCTTGTCGTGGATAGTGGTCTGGTCCTCAGTGGTTCAAATTTGGGTGTAAATTTACAAGTTGGACGTGAGTGAAGTACGGAAGTGAAAGAAGAGTAAGTAGATCGAGGAAGAACAACGCGACAGAAGTTCACAGAAGGCATGCGACACCGGAAATATACCTTTCTCAATCGTGTTCGTGGAACTTATTTATCTTTCTGCTTGCTGGGTGACGTTGGTGGGGTGGGCAACGATGTCACATCGAAGGGTCCAGCAAAAATTACACGCGGAGTGTCGACCGAGTCGACTATCTTTGAGTTTTATTAGCCTGAATGAACTCATGGGCATCATGATGTTCGTTATCGCGGAATGCCATTCCCATGCCTATAAATGTCTCGAGAACGTGCTGTAGCTCGTGTAGAGAAGACTGGGGGAGGCGGCGGAGAGCCTCAATTGAAGCTCAGGAACAGGGCCCTCATCAGAAAGTTTACCCGACTGCCGGGGAGCATGACGCGGGCGCCCCTCCACGTGGTAAATTCTACAGTTTCAGATGCTCGCTTCCGCTTCAACTTCTTCATCGACTCTGCCCGAAAGAACATCGCAGCCATCAATGCTTGCTCTTAAGGCTTGTAGTCTCACGGCCTTCGGTCTGAGTCAGTCCGTGATCGCATCTGATGTCTCGCTTCGTGACTGCGGGCGGCGAAGACGCGCCTGTAGCTAAGGATGCTGCGAAAGAAGATGCTTGGGCCAAGGCTCAGGCTCAGATCGAGGCGCTCCGTAACAAGTCAAGACCTCAAGATGGACTACAGGAAGGCGGCAAGAGCCTGTACGAAGTTCTGCAGGCCAATAAAGGTGGGTGGCTGTCTCAATTGTTCCTTCTCGCATGAATATCTGACGCAGGTCCCCGAGCTCAGCCCAGAAAGAGGCGGCTCACGAGGAAGCGATCAAGTTGAAGAATCAATTTCGCGCACTCGACGACGATGAGCTTGATTTCCTAGATTCGATCGACGAGAAACAGCGCCAGAAGGAGGCAGAAAAGCGGAGAGAAACGGCACTGGAGCTGGAAGCCTTCCGCAAGCAGCAGGCAGATGCTGAAAAGCGGCTACAGAACACAACGACAGACGATCCCACAGATGGTGCCAAGCCTCCGTTGACAACGACCTGGCAGACCAAGAAGCGTCGAAGAAAAGACGACGGCAAGGCTGCGCCGAAAATCAGAAAGACGTCAACGGGAGGTGAAGATAGTCCGACGACGACAGATGCACCGCCAACGGAGCCGAAAGAAGTGGCTGCTACGACGCCGGCACCTGTCGCGACTGCTACACCGTCTGCTCTGGCTGATCCTAGCCTCTCAAGCCGGACACTGCAGCCCCAGGCGCAAGTCTAGGGCTCGGGGCATATGCTTCAGATTCAGACTGATATGCAGATCTGACTTCGGAGGTAGTCCAATTGGCAGCACGTCGTTGGTGGCTACCTAGTCATTCAGAATCGGCGACTCCTTCGCGAATATTTTTTCGAAAAGTCGCCTCGTCGACCGTGCTCAAGCCAGCATCCTGACCCTCTTCTGGAGTTTGTTCGCCAAGGAAGCAGGCATCTGACATCTGCACCATGCCCAATGTTGTCCAAGATGGCGGCAGACAGCTACAGGTGCAACAATGTACAGCTGTGCCACCCGTGCATAAGTACACAACCTCGTGCTACCACCCGACAGTAGAAGCAAAGTTCAGCATGTCGGGTATTGATGGGTTTGGCACGCCTGTGGGCCCTAGAACGCGCCCCTCGATTCGTTCTTTTCTCCCGAAAAGCCAAACGCGTCTGGGGCTCCTCTCATGTAAGATCCCCAATGACATTGTCGTTGGTCAGACTACGAGCCCACCGATTCGCTGTCTCATTTGTTGATGTCTCCAGACATATGGCGGTGAACAGAGCAACGCGCTTTCAATGGTTTGTTTGTCGCCGGACGAGTTTGCACTAGGGACTGCCCTGCGCGAGATTCTGGCAGCAGCCGAAGCAGACATGCATGACATAGGCAAGTCTGCAATCATGTTCCACGAGCAGAAAATTTTCGAAGTATTGCTGCCCATTCCGCGCATATCGAACGCGAGCTCTCAAATAGCCCGCCTCAAACGCGCCATTGTGACTGTCAAACATTTTTCGCCTCCAAGGGTTGCAAAGTGTGTGTATCCTCGTTATCGATTGAGCGATAAGAGCTCCCTAAACTGCTTGCAGGCAAGCCCCTGAGAGTTGGCAGGCAAGGGGTCATCCGGCGAGCCAATGGTGCCGAAAAGCGCCGCCCACCAGATCTTCGTGTGGCAGTCGCGATCATCTCCTGACCAGCAGTAACCTGCTTTGCTTGTTATAACACAACTACCGACCAGCACCCTCGACGTCGCTCCTTGTGACCCTCTCGCAACCTCCAAAAGTCGCTCCTCCAGCTCCCTGTCGCTTTCGCACATTCCAATCGCTACAAATGCTCTACCACGCCATTTTCGACGTCACCACTAGCCGACAGCATTATGGCGCTTGCGATCTGTATAGCAGAAGACTCGTTCGCCGACCGAAAGGGCCCTGGCATATACAAGATTCCATGGGATGAGCCATGTCAACCATATATCTCGAAACCAAGTTCACTATATCCTCGGTCGCCTATATCCGACTTGGGCTGGCGCTCCCGCGCTTGCATGCTGCAATGCATCTCCAACCCTTCCAGCCCTCACCGACTATGCACAACACCCGAACATAAAGTATGTCCTGCACTCCTCACTCTGTCTAAAGTACATTGTAACTGACATGCTCCAAGGCATGCAGTAAACAGCTGCTTGTGCGGCTTCGAGCTTTGGTCTCAAGCCTACTCGCCTCCCTGCCACCCGCATACGGGAGCAGCCCACCTCCAACTCCTGATGCCACCCCTGACCTCACCACTCCTCCACTCGAGCCACTCGCACGCGTCCGCTTGGAGACTGACGCCTGTGCGCCTCTCCACACGACGCGTAGCGCACGTAAGGGTCAGGCAGAAGCCAGCGCTCTGATAAGCATGGACTTTAAGGTGGACTTTGGAGATGCGAGTGGGTTTCAGACGCGAGGTAAGAAAGCCGCTGCGAAAAAGAAGGCACAGGCCTCTTTCTGGGACGAAGAAGACAATGGCGGCGAGGGCCAAGCGAATGGAGAGGGAGGAGATGGTGCAGGTGACGGCAGTGGAGGTGGTGGCGGCGCTGGCGCTGGTGGTGGGGGTGGCGATGAGAACGGAGGTGGTGGTGCGGGCGACGAAGATGACTGGGGCTTTTCGAGCTCGAAGAAAGACAAGAAAAAGAAGAAGAAAAAGCAAGAGGAAGAGGAGCAGAAGGCCAAAGAAGAGGCAGACGCTGCTGCGAACACACTCAATTGGGCTGACGAGACTAACGATGCGGCAGGAGATGACGATTGGACTGCAGGATTCACGACCGCCAAGGACAAGAAGAAAAAGAAGAAGGTTTGTCATGTCCGTGGAACACTATTGTGGTAGGTGCTGACAATTGGGCAGGGTGCCGATGTGTTGCCTGCGGTACCAGAACCACCTGCCGCAACAGGATTTGACGACATAAATTTAGATGATCCAGCACCGAAATTGGAGTTCAGCTTTGGTGGTGGCGAGCCCAAGAAGGATTCGTTCGGCACCTGGGGCAACACCTGGGACTTCAACGGCACAGACGCTAAGGCTGACGCCAAATCGAAGAAGGACAAGAAGGAAGACAAGAAGGAGGAAACTCCGCTTGGCGACAATAACCCGTGGTCATTCGGCAATTCTGCAGCCAAGAAGAAGAAAGCTGGATTCGACTTGGGTGACCTAGGCGCCAGCAACAATGACTTCAACTTCGATGGCGATCTGGGCGGTACCAAGTCAACGGACGATGCTTGGGGTTTCGCTGGGAAGAAAGATAAGAAGAAGGCAGCAGAAGAGAAAAAGGAGGATTCTTTTGCTCTCGACTCGAAAACCAACGAAACCTCAACTTGGGATACATGGGGTACCGCTGGCAAGAAGGACAAGAAGAAGTCTAGCTTTCTTGACGACACCACTTCTGAGAAGAAGAGCGACTCTCTTGATCTAGGCGGTGACACAGGATTCGATTGGGGTTTTGGAGGCAAAGACAAGTCGAAGAAGAAGAATCTGATCAGCGCATTGGACGAACCTGAGCCGCCCAAGGAAACTGCTAAGGCCGCGGAGGACGATGACTGGATGAAAGGCGCTTGGGGAGCGTCCAGCAAAAAGTCATCCAAGAAGACAACGGCCGCTGCCGTCGACCCTGCACCAGATCCGCCTCCAGCAAATACTTCCGACGACATATGGGGCTCTTTCGGCAAGTCTTCCAAGAAAACCACGAAGGCCATCCCGGAGGAAGATATTATTGTCGAGACTGCTGCAACGCCTGAGATGGAGGAGGATCTTGATTGGGCTCTCGGCTTGTCCTCAAAAGACAAGAAGAAGAAGGAGAAGGAGCTTAGAGGTAAGTCTCTCAGATCAAAAAGAATCTCGACTCCGTGATCGTGATCAATCCCTTGATCGGGTTTCTTACCCCCCGGAATTCATTTCATCCCTCTGAACGTCAACGCTAACGAATAGTCCAGCTGCTGGGAATTGGCCGCCAATGAAAGAGAAGGAACCCGAACCCGAACCAGAGCCACCCGAAATGGAAGAAGATCCTGATTGGGCACTTGGTCTCAGCACAAAAGACAAGAAAAAGAAGGAGAAGGAGCTAAGAGCAGCCGGCGACTGGCCAGTCATGCGTGTGAAGGTTCCTGCTGAGCCTGAAGCGCCGCCTGAGCCCGAGCCGGAGCCGGAGCCAGAACCAGTAGTAGCGGAGCCCGAGATGGTTGAAGACCCGGACTGGGACCTTGGTTTGTCTGCGCTGGAGAAGAGGAAGAAAGAGAAAAAGCTTCGTGCCGCTGGTGAATGGCCACCCATGAAGCCTGCAGAACCTGCAGCAGAGGCCTTGAGTGCAGAGCCCGCTGCAGAACCAGAGCCAGAAATGGAAGAAGACCTCGAATGGGGTCTCGACCTCAGCCCGAAGGACAAGAGAAAGCAAGAGAAGGAGCTCCGAGCAGCAGGGAAATGGCCGCCTATGAAGCCCAAAGAAAAGGAGCCCGAGCCCGAAGTAGCGCCTGAGCCTGAGATGGTCGAGGATCTGGATTGGGCATTCGGCTTGGGACCGAAAGCAAGGAAGCAGAAAGAGAAGGACCTACGCGCCGAGGGCAATTGGCCTCCAATGAAGCCAAAGGAGCCAGAGGACATCCCTGAGCCAGTCCCTGACCCACCAGAGGCACCAGCCGTGGAGATGGAGGAAGATCTGGATTGGGCATCCGGCTTGGGCCCAAAGGCCAAGAAGCAGAAGGAGAAAGATCTCCGCGCTGAGGCAACTGGCCGCCCATGAAGCCAAAAGAGCCCGAACCAGAACCTGAGGTACCGCCCGAGCCGGAGATGGTCGAAGATCTGGACTGGGACCTTGGTCTCTTGCCCAAAGAGAAACGGAAACGTGAAAAGGAGTTGCGTGCTGAAGGCAATTGGCCTCCCATGAAGCCGAAAGAGCCCGAACCTGAAGCGGCACCCGTGGAAGAGGAGGATCTGTTGGGCTCGTGGGGTTTCAGTGGCGATACCAAGAAGAAGTCAGCAAAAGAAGCAGAGAAATCAAAGGTCACCGAAGACGACATCTGGGGCTCGTTCGCCAAGCCTAGCTCGAAGGGCAAGAAAGCAAAAGACGAGCCGCCACCACCAGCGCCGACTCCGCCAGCTCAAGGCCTCACTCCAGAACCACCGATCGAGGAAGAAGATGATACCTGGGGAGCATTCAGCTCTGCCAAGACCAAGAAAAAGGATCTCCTTGCCGAGACCACCTCGAAAGAGAGCAGCAAGTCCAAGGAGGAAGATGCACCAGCAAAATCCACCAAGAGTAGCATGTGGGGCTTTGGCGCGACTGCAACAGCCACCACATCGAAGCTGCTCACGAAAAAGGAGAAAGAGGCGAAGGCGAAGCAGGAAGAGGAAGAGCGCCTGGGCCGCGAAGCCGAAGAGGCAGCAGAGGCCGCCAGACTCGAAGAGGAGAAGAATGCAAAGAAATCGAAATCCAGCAAGCTCAGCAAGACAACAAGCAAGTCCAGCGATACGAAGAAGGTGGAAGACGACCCTCTTATCGACATTCTTGGTGAACCAACAACAAAATCTACCAAGGCATCCAAGCTTACCAAATCTCCGCCAAAGGAAGAAAAGGTTGAGGACAAGAAAGGAGACGACTACTTCGGCTTCTGGGGTAGCGCCTCAACGACCAAGAAGACGACACCTGGCAAGAACAAAAAGGAGATTGGAGGCAAGGATTCGTCCAATCAAGATGCGCTAGCGGATACAACCAATGATCTCGACTTCGGCTTCGGCGACGACAACAGACTTGCCTCTTCATCCAAAACATCAAAGACTATGAAAGACGACAAGCTCAAAGCAACATCTTCCGTGAAAGATCGCATCAAGCAGCTCGAAAGCAGCAAGAAGGAAGAACCTGGAAAGAAGTCGAAGACGGACCCGCTTACTAAAGTAGTGGAGGAGGAAGCGCTATCGCCCAAAGAGGAAAAGAAGGAAAAGGCATCAGCCACATCGAAAGTCAAAGCGAAGGACGTCAAGACCTCATCATCAACGAAGAAGAGCTCTGCATCATCAGCATCACCAGTCGAAGAGAAGAAATCGAAAGAATCTGTACCAGGAAGCTTCCCAGGCGCGTTCGGAGACGAAGATATGATGGACTTTGGAGTTTCAGCATCACCAGAGAAGGCGAAGAAGAGCGCGAAGGAAATCAAAACAACCAAGTCCAAGACCAAGAAGGTCGAAGCCGAACCGCTTTTCGAAGCCCCCGAACCACCGAAGCTGCCCACGCCACCGCCCGAGGACAAGAAATCTGCGAAGAAGGAGCGGCCACGCGTTGAACGGTCCGCTACCTCTTCCTGGGGATTCTGGGGCGCCACACCTCCGCCGGCTGCCAAGAAGTCGAGTAAGGAAAAGTCTAAAGACGACTCCGAGGTGTCGCCGCCTCCGTCCAAGGCTAAGAAGGACAAGTCGCCGCCGCCGCTCAAGCGATCTATGTCGACGAAGACCGCCAAGGAGAAGGAGCGCGAGGAGCAAAAGGACGTCGACAAACAGTCCAAGTCTTCCGGATCCGAGAAAGATGCCTCGACCAAGAAGTCTGAAAGACCGAAGGCTTCTCGTGGGTTCTCCAACTTCATGTTCGGCGGTCCTCCTCCATCTGCTATGAAGACTCGACCATCGACGACAAGACGATCGAGTGTGGATGAAGGCTCGCGGTCATCATCTCGCCGCCGCTCTGACGCTGGCTTGATGTCACCGCCTCCAGACTCGGACGTTGACATGACCGACAAGGCTGCTAAGCTGATGGGCGTCAAGTCCGGTAAGGTCAGCCGCACGTCGTCGGTCAAGAAGTCGAAAGGTGATACTATCCTTGCAGCTGATCCTCCACTCGCTAACCCTATTCCAGTGCCTGATCCATACCCAATCGACGATGATGACATGGTCATGATCAACACTCCCGAAGCGACGCCAGCCAAGTCCAAGGAGAAGGCCAAGACGAAGGCGTCGTCCAAGAAAGATGAGGTAGGCGCCTCTTCCCTTGAACGTCCCTCGTGGTCTCCCGACTTTCACAAAGAAGTAACCGCTGACGGGAAGGTCGCCTTCAAACAGAAATCAAAGTCAAAAAAGTCACCCGATGACGACGTGGTAATGGTCGACCTTCCGAACGGAGACCCGCTTGTGACCTCAGGTCCCGACGACATGGCTTTTGTGGATCATCCTTCGCCACTCAAGCGGACTAACAGCACTGCGAAGAAAGGCTTCTTCGGAAGCTTTTTCGGAGGTGGCAGCAAGCAAGACGAAGTCCGTCCTCGAGCTAGTACACTCACAGACGACGATGCAGGCTTGCCGATCCGGACGAAATCGTCCTCGAAACGCAAGTCACGAGTCGTAGATGGTGATGGCCACACAACGACCTCTGCACCTCACGAGACCGATGCTGAGCGGGAAGCACGTCACGCCGAGCGCAGAGCAAGGCGGGGATGCTCGCGACAAAGCCGAAGAGGATGAGCGTGCTGCACGTGAAGAACGTCGCAAGGAGCGGAGAGAACGCGAGAAAGCGGACCTCGAAGCTCGGCGGTCAAAAGCGCGCGATAGTGAGAGGAAGGAGCGTGAGAGAGACGACGCGAGACGCGAAGAGAAGCGGAGCCGACGTGCAACCAAAGATTCCGCTCGTCAAGCTGACGATGAGATGGGCATGACCGACGCTGAGAAGCGGAAGGAAGAGCGGCGCAAGCTCAGGGAGAAGCTTGCGAATGAGGCAGGCGTCGATCCCGAGGCAACTAAAGACGAGCGCAAAGAAGCCTTCGAGGCAGAAGAGGAGGCTCGACGGAAGCGAAAAGAGGAGAAGCGCGCCAGTAAGCACTCGAGCAGCAAGCCACATCGAGATTCGCGGCGATCTTCTGTTCTGGTCGAAGAGTATCACCAGTCTCGATCGAAGAGCAAGAAGACCGGACACCTCGAACACACGCCTGACAATGGCAAGACGGGCAGTTGGGTCGACTCGCTGCACGAAGACCCGCCTGAGATGCCGCCGGTCGCGGAGACGGTCCTCGATCCAGCCAACGAAACGCCCCGTGCGCCGGACGGGCACAAGAAGGACAAGTACGCTGGCATGACTGACGATGAAGCACGGAGAGAACGTCGGCGTGCGAGGAAGGCACGCGAACTCGAGAAAGAGAAGAACAGTCTCAGTGGCGGTAGCGACGAGCGTAGAAGAAGCCGCAAAGCATACATGAGCGGGGCGAATGCCGAGGACGAGAACTATCCGGTCATGGGGTTTGATGGACGGCCGGAGATGAAGAGGACGGAGAGTAAGAGGCGGAGCTTTTTGGGTGGGCTGTTCTGATCTGCTGGTCGGATCTATCGGTTGAGCGCCGGGATACTTGGATCTGGATTTTGACGACTTGACGACTTTTCGATACCACTTCATCTATTCAGCGACATTCACTTTTTACTTCAGCATACAAGCGCGGCGTTCTCTATCTACGACACCAAGCATCGGCAAGCACAAGCATACTCCGGCCATCATTCGTTTCATGGCATTTGTTATCTTCAATTTCGGGACTTCACAGGCGAAGGACCGATGTACACTACCTCCGGACGGCTGGAAAGGAATCATGGTACCTATTTGTTAGTGAACAGAATGGGATATGTATGCCTTGAGGAGGGTTGTCTGAGCGGTATGAGCAATCAGTGTCATGAGGGCAGGTCTGCCTGTTCTTTTCGTATACCCATTCTAGTTGAGATGGCCATTCGTTCCAATTTGCAACCTGAGACTATTTGCATCGTTCGTAAGCCTCTTGCTCGTGTAAGGACAGTGAGCGACTCCAGAGAGCTATGACTTGGGTCACCTAACTAAGCTGCTGTTGCCGTTCCAGTGCAACAATTGAGAGGCTGGCACTAACTAGCAGGCACAAGCGGCTCTAGGCGCGACCCGGTCAGTTGCTCCTGCTGTACAAGAAATGAGCTTCAATGACGTAAGAAATGGTCGAATAAATATCTCGTGATCGTTGCTTCATCAACTACTCCTCTGCCACTACGCGTTTACCTCGACATGTGAGAAGACGGTCCGTCCTCGTTTGGACATTCCGGGAGCTGTGACAGTCGTCTCTCCCTCAACGACTTGATGCCCAATGCCGACCGCCTAGGGGCTTTCCAGACACCGTGTCAAATTGAACCTGGCTCAGGCTCGTCCACCGATGGGCCCGACGAATACGAGTGCTTGGGCGCATCTCTCGCCTTTTGGTGCAACAGAGGAAATCGTGCAAAAGTGCCCTAGAGTACCTAGTACGGCACTTTGGTACTGTCTGGTATTATGCACACATGCCCCGCTCCTGAGATCTGGTTGCCTTCCTGACGCATAGTCTGGACCACATGCTGCACGGCTTTCCACACTGACAATGTCGCTCGTTGCGTGTTCTGCCACGAAGACCGGAATTGTCTCTTGCTCATAACTGTTCGGCAATCCTACGAACTGGAGCGAACTGGTCAGGAGATGTTACCGATGAACAAGAGCCAGTCTTCGATTTGTCGCGATCTTGCCAAGCCACAGCGCTTGTGAATCGGGGCATGTCATCTTCAACAAACTCGCTCAACATCTACAGCACACTTTCAGGCCGCTTGCTACCATGGCAAACGCGTGTGATCAAGCTTCTTCCCGCCGACGAGCTTAGTCACGCGCTCGAGTGCAATCTTTGCGTCGGCGACTTGACAATCTACGAAGGTCTTGGTTTGCCTGCAGAACGAAGACAGCAAACATATGAAGCCATCTCATATTCTTGGGGCCGGCCGGAGCTCACAGCGGAGGTCCTGTGCAATGGTTTTTCGATCTTGGTCCCATCGCCTCTGGTAGAAGCCCTGCGATATCTGCGCCTCCGAGACCAGCCAGATGGCTGTGGTGTGATGCCTTGTGCATAGATCAAGGAAATGATGAAGAAAAATCGGTCCAAGTTCAAACGATGATGCTGATCTTTGCAAGAGCAATGAAAGTGATTGCGTGGCTTGGCCTCTTGACGTCGGCTTCGCACAATCTGTTCCAGACCATACATAACAACCGCTTTAGTATCGACCAAAACGGGTTCAAAGTCGTGGAGTATGTCCTCAATTAGTCATGGTTCGAGAGAGTATGGGTACGACAAGAAGTCTTCGCTGCAAATGAGGTCCAGCTATGCTCAGGTTACGCCACTATCAGTCTACGACAATTTCTCACAGTGTGTGAGGACTTCTACTTTGTAAAGTCAGACTGAAAGAAGCACTCTCTGATCACAATGCACAGAACGTACGGCAACCTTGATCTGCAAAAGCTGACGGCATCGGAGCAGACCATGCGATTGAACAAAAGGGAACCACGAGGTGCAGGCTCGGACTTTTCTACCAACCTGATCAAGAGTTTCGTCCTTGCAAACACCGGCCTACAGGCCTCTGACGATAGAGACCGTGTATTTGCTCTCTTTCCTATGGCTCGCATCCGAACGACCGAACCTCTTGATCCATTTCCCGTAGACTATGGTGACAATCTAAGTGAAGTCTACCAGTAAGTCTCTGTGGTTGGCCGGGCCATGACAACTACTCGGTGCTGGCGTCTGACATTCTACAGACGTGCCACTAAGTATCTTATCAACTCTCTTCGAAGCTTTAGATGTCTCGAGGTATTCCGCATGCACAAGCGTCTGAACTCAATACCAAGATGGGCTATTGATTGGAGGTATGACTCTGGTGCTCATTGGCCGTCTTCGAGAGGAAGGCCCTTGCAAGCAGCTCCCGCACAAGACCCGAAGGATATGGGTAGACTCATGGTTTCAGCAATTACTCTTACAGTGCTGAAGATTGACAGAGCCGCGATCAAAACTGAAATGATCAATTCTGTACGTTTTCAGAACATTCCAGCCGGGCAACCTGGAATCGATCTCGATAAACGGGTTTCCGAGCAGAATCACTTCGGGAGCAGCTCAGTACGATCATTCAACGACTTTCTCCGGGGCAAATCCTACAAACGCATGCTTTACTGGGATGACGAACCTCGTTTTGGAGTGTGGGTTCCCGTCGAAACATTACCTGGAGACTTACTGGTCCAGTTTCAGGGAGGCTGCATGCCCTTTGTCGTCCGTCCATCCGTCATGCCAGCCGTGACGTCCAGGGGTGAGGCGGCATTTATCGGCGTCGCTGCATTCTTCCTCATCAAGGACCTGTTCTGGGGCGAATACGTGGAACGGGTCCACTCGACCTTGTACACGGTCGATGATGACGACCGGTGCACGACCATACTTGCCGACTATAGATTTGGACTCGTCGACGATAACAACGAGCGCCTGGAGAAGGAGATCCGGGCCCAGATCCGCTCCTGTAATGCATTCGAGCCCATGGGGGACACCATCCATGGCTTCCAGTGGCAGGAGTGGGCGATTGTATAGGCATTGCCCGGCGGCTAGACGACATTCGACGATATCTCTCATACATCAACAAAAGCGGACAACGAGAGGATGGGTGCGAAAGTCAGCCATCCGGATCCACGAAGGACTTTGGACAAGGACAGTCAACGACCACAGTCGAATATAACTGCTTAGGTGCGTTCGTATGAACATAGACTTATGCGAACCAACGCCATGTGTACGCCAGCAGCATCTTGTGCCCACACATCTTTATTCACTTGCTCTTGAAAGTCATCATAAGGGCGCGCTGCTGTGGGTATACAAATCGACTGAGGGCGTAGTCCGGCGGCGCATTGCGACGAAAGTTTGTCAACCGGTTTCGGCAAGACGATCTGGTCATCCGGTTTGGAGAGGGTCCGATCGCGGTCTCGCCTCAACCGACTTGATTTGTGACCGGTGGGCTGTCATCCGGTCTACCGAAAGGCTATCCCAAGGCATGTAGCCCGGTTCAATGGCCACCAGCCGATCGCTTCTACTGCAGGCGGTCATCAGCAAGGTAGGCACGATGGACATCAGCCAGTCGCTCCTGCTGTTACAAGTGCCTAGGGTGAGGCAGGTGCGATGGACGTCAGTCAGTCGCTCTCGCCGCTGCACGTGCCTAGCGACGGGCAGGTGCGATGGACGTCAGACAGTCGCTCCTGCCGTCGAGAGTGCCTAACGACAGGCAGGCGCGAACGCCATCGGCTGATCGCTCCTGCTACGGGAGTCACTCAGCAAGGAAGGTGCAATCGCTGCCAATCGGTCGCTCCTGCTGCGGGAATCGTCTGGCGCAGCGTCCCATGGCATGTCAACCGGTCTGATCGGTTTTGACAATCTTGTCAACCGGCGCTGCTTGAACCCGTCAGTGGTAGGCGGCGCAGACGCTCTGAGAAAGGGGCTGAGAGTCACATGCACTGCAGGAAGATGCGTTCGCGCAGATGTAGCCATTTGTATAGCATCAGGTATTCGGCTTTTCGATGACTTTGACTCACTACACATAGATGACACGAATTGTCTGCTGCTTTGTCTACTGCACCCGGATTATAACCCAGCATTCGCTCGCAACGAGCATTCTCGAATTCAGCTCAGTAAGTCTCATAGAACTCCCGACTAGCCAGCCACATCGTCGCCGCATACTGCCCATCATACTCGGCCCGGTACACCTCCATGTACACATTCCTCAAGAACGGCATCCCCAATACGCCTCATCCACACTCGCCCCTCGCAGATACTCGTGCAGATAGTTGTGCGGTTCTCCAGCTCGAACGACTCAATCATGTCTTCGGTGTTGATCGGGAACATTTCGTTCGCGATCAGGATCCCGACTTCGGGCGCCTTGCGTCGCAGTCGACGAGCCACAGCCTTCGCCGTACAGCGTGGCTGGGGGATTGAACTTTGAGTTGACCAATGCTGCGTGTAGAGAGGGAATCATGTTAAGCTGGCTGCCAGAGTCAACGATGAATCCCATGTCTGCTCCCCCAAGGCCCGTCTGGGGGCTGGCGAAGCCGTCTTGGATAAAGGGGTAAGCTTCGGCGGTCAAAGGATCGCGGCCGATGACGATACCACTGGCGTTGATCTTATCGTGGCGGTATTCGTAGACGTCGGGGTAGTAGTAGGAGGCTTCTTGCTCGAGGGGAATGCGCGCGAAGGTGTTGGCCGCGGAGGCATTGATTGCTGGGTTAGTGAGGGGAGCGGCTTCGCCTACGGTGAGGATGCCGGCGAAGGATGAATTGCGGCCGGAGGAGGTGGTGGAGGTGTTGATGGAGTCGGTGCGGGAGAGGGCGAGCCCGAAGAATGCGGGGAGTCCGGCTTGAGACCAGATGCTGGGAAGGAAGTCGTTGCCGGTGAAAGCGGAGGCGAGTTGTGGGCCATTCAGGGCATAATGTGGCTTGCCGAGTGAGAACGGCCGAGAGAGGCTCTGCAGGCCTTTTGGCGAGGGCGGGCCAGTGGCATCAGGCGAGGAAGAGTCGTCTTCGTCTGCTGGCTGCGGACCGAGACCCAGAAGGCCGGCGGAGGGCCACAGGCCACCGGTGGTTTCCAACGAGACTTCTGCGAGTATCATACGCATTTGTGAGATAAGGTAGTCATCGAGGACGAGGTCTTCGAAGCCAAATGCGCCACGGACCTCTGAGCCGTCTGCGTATTGGATGACGGTGCTGTTGGAGGTGTCATTGAGGTAATTGAAGGTGGAGCTCTGGTGGTATAGAGTGCCAAAGTGCAACGAGCAAGCAACTCTTGTACCTTGTGTGCCATAGCATCTAGTGGTGTTCGTTGCAACCCAAGTTTGAGGCGAGCCTGTGTCGATGAACAGCTTGAGTGGTTGATCACCCAATGTGAGGGTCACATAATAGAAGGCAGTATCTGGACTGACACCAAGAGGCAGGATTATTGACGTCGTGCTGCAGATAAGTGCGAGAATTGTGATGAGGAAGTTGCAAGTCATACTGGGCTTCTGACTCGAGATTGAGAAGCTGCGAAGCTGTCGTAGCTGGCGTGTAGAAACAGCAGAATGCCCGCTCTTAAGGTCTGGTCATCGATGAGTTTTCTTCACACCCTTTTCTTCGGTACTTGAATGTCGCCTGGCAACAACACTGAGACGGGCGAGGTCCACAGGAACCTGCCATTGCGGGCGATAAATCTGATGTCGCTGCCTCGAGCAGAGATTTCAAGTTGTTGAACGGTCAACAGCATGAGAAGCATCCACAGTCGCCATGTTTTGCCGTGCGTGTTGTGTTGTACTTGTAAGTCCCGTTCCAAATAATGTATGGGTCAATCTCCGTCATGCTGCAGGAACCCGCCTTCGTGCGTCCACCTGCATCGAAAGTACCTTGGTACAACAGAACGTGGTGAACCATGCAGTATAGTGCAGAGCATGCTTTCTCATAGATTGGACTAAGTTTTATACAGAGGAGACGGATTCGAGCTTGACGAGTCCGATCGAACATTGTTGCTTCGTCACTGTCGCTTCGCTTCGGAAGGCTGCCCACAAGAGCTGAAACTGCAAGTTGCCGCATCAGACGATTGTGATCCTCTCATTTTCCAGCCGCAGAGTCTCCAGATGCGGAAGAGATGGTTTCGTGAGATATGCGATACCGATTCGCTGGAAACAGTCTTGGTCTGGAAGCTGGACGAGGACCAGCGCTTCTATGTATCTCTCCGCCGGTCCGGCGGCTAGTCCACGAAGAAACGCACATTTGACCTTCACACCAAACAATACGCCGTCGTCGGAGTCTTTGACGAAGAAAGCATCCACCTCGTTGTTGAACCAAATCATCGTATCACTGTTGTGACCATCTGTAGATAGGACGCCGTCCAGTGCTGGAGACATGAGTGTAAGGAACGCGTCCTTGATCGCGCCATACGGATCAGCACTGACCAAGGTACAGTCCAAGCCTTCAAGACTTGCCTTGAATTGCCTGTTGTGGGTAACAGCGTCATTGCGTAACAATTTGCCTTGCACGGAAGCCCACGACCAGCTTGGCACTCCGGCCTGCTTGGTGGACTTGCCAGCTTTGACCTCCCAAAGGAGCATACTCAGGCATACTCAGACCACAGACCGGCGACATACTTCCCGAAGCCGTCGGTCTGGAATATCTGTGCCAAGCCGGACAATGCAGGGAAGCGATCCTCTTCCTTCCTGAGCAAACGGACTTGGTACGACTGCAGCGCCAGCTCGTCCCAGGCTTGTGCTCGCTGGTCAAGAGTCATTTTGTCGAGGCTCGCCTTCTCAAAGCGAAGTCTTGGTGTAGATACCTCGTTCATATGGCCGCACTCGCATGCCGCAGAGGTAGCACACTCCCATACCAGCTCCCCTGCTGTGAAGTGGAGTATCCGAGGGGATAGAAATCTTTCTTGGCAACACCAGGCCCGACGATGAAGTGGAGCATCTTGTTCTGCTTGTGGACTGGTGATTAAATTGATGTGCTCGACTGGCTCACGTAGGAGTAGGCTGTGTGGATCGTCTTCATGTTGCCGAAGCCGATTTTTGAATGTACGTGTGGCAGGTCGATGGCTCAAACACCCGAAGCCGACATGACTAGCGTTCGTTGCGGCAATGGTCAGCACAGCATTTCCATAGATATCACCCATACGAGATGCCTCCTGAGCCCACTCCATGCGATCATCTTGCGTAATGCAGAGACTGTCGATCCAGATGTAGTGGTAGCCCAAAGCTCGGGTGATGTGGACGGCGTCACGACAGGTCTTAGGTAGAAAAGCTGGAAGCACACGTTCGTAGTTCTGCGACAACGTGGCTTTCTTAGTTGAAGGATGATCGGAAGGTCCCCAACAGTAGCTGAGAGCAAAGTAAGAGGTGCTTGTAGTGGAATGTACAAGTCGAGCATTTTCAATTCCATCGCCAACATATAGCAGCCTCTTGGGCAGGTGCCGACTGTGATCTTGCGATCCGCAGGAACGACTGTCGTTTCCGTGTAAAGACAGGCAGTCACGCAACCACGACGCAGCTCTGAAGAAGCTCTGTTTTGGATCTGCTGGGATCTGCGCACCCATCGTCAAGCAAGACCATGGTAGTTTCGAAGCTTCTCTGTCAGTAGGACGCTACGTAAACTGGCACGACACATACATGGCTTTGACAAACTGATCTCAAAGTCATACACTCGCGGCACCGATGCACCCCACGAGTAAGTCAGCACAACCGGGTGGCCAGCCTTAAAAGGTACACAGATTTCAACAAGGGCATTCTGCAAAGCGCGACTGCCATCGGCTTTCGTCCTCGAAAGCCATCTCCAGACATCGAAAACGATTACGCAAAAGGGGCATGACTTGCTGGCGGACCACTTCAGGTCATGGACTGGGACTTTTAGGCTGTGGAAGTCTGCATGCTGAAAGTAGCGCTTGAACATGCGATGACGCGATGGTCCGCCTTTCCAGTACACCAGCTTTGTTCGGTCGAGGTCATGGCATGTAGAGCAGGCCTTTCTCCTGCTGACTGGCGACGCCGTAGGCATAGATGCGGTTGGCCAAGGGTTTACATACCACTGCAGCGTCCCAGTAGCTGTGCGCTGAAGAGGAGGCGACAGCAAGCAATCGAAGCTCTCCTAGTCGTGACTTCGCCATGGTCAGTGACTCTGTATTGTCACTGGTAGCACACAGGGGTAGGTAGGCACGCCTGAAAAAGAACCTTGGAAGGCTTCCAAGGCTGAAGCACGTGACACAAAAAGTGCCGCGAGGCTTACAAATTCGAGCATTGCGAGATGTCTTCGACTATCTTCACATCCTCTTTACTCTCGATACTGTCGACTACTAAAAACTCCCATCCTCTCACCGCATCCTCTTTTGTGGTCTCTTTGACGTACCTGACGCACCTCGCGACCACCGCAGACTAGTGCAATACCACAGACCGAAGATGTCGCAACAACAAGGCTCCGGCAGCGGCTTCATCAGCGGCCTCGACAACCAAGACACATCCGCGCAGGTCGCCTACCGCTGCATGGAGTGCAACACTTCTGTCAAGCTTGCCAAAGGCGACGCCATCCGTTGCTCAGGCTGCGGACATCGTGTACTATACAAGGAGCGCACGAAGAGGATGGTGCAGTTTGAGGCGCGATGAGGCGCTTGTGAGATTCACATGAAGACAACAGATGCGGATTCGGATCAGCGGCGCTGGGAAGACAGGAGCACAATGAGCGCATTGTCATGGTCTTCTCCATATATCTTCATATCACTTTCAATATGGCGAGCGTCAACATGAACAACCCAGTCGCTGGCGGACAGAACCTCCCGGACTCGACTCAAATCGAAACGACCTGGTCAATGGGCTTCGCTTCTCTCACCTCCAACAAATATCATTGCGGTCGTCACCTTGTCCGCGAGTTCACGAACTAGGCGGCGTGGTAGATAACAGCAGACTTATCGCACTTCTGACAGTGAGCAAGAAGTCATCCGATGCATCAATTGAGCTTAGGGCAACCTCGGGGTTCAGCCGGCCAAAAACACTCTCCTACTGGACTGGAGCAAGGAGGACGTCCCTTGACTACGCATGTCACAGCACAACGAGCGAGTCAACGCAACTCCGAGCCCCTACCGCCGTGGACGAAGCATTCGCAGCGATGTCTGCACGAACAGTACTCGAATTTCGATTGCAGATCCTCAAATCGCTGCCGCTCAAGAGCATTGCAGACTCGCCCCATACGGCAGCGACTTAGTGCAAGAGCTGGCTCCCTTTCGCTCTTCCCACGTCCAATGAGTATTGATCAGAAGCTGCTTCCCATGTCCACGGCGCAAGCGATCGGTGACGAAGGCGTCAACACTTTGAAGGGGTTTTTACGTGGGAAACGCGCACACCCGGCGCGTGTTGCGTGTTGGGAGAGCAGACTCAGGACCTCGAAGTAACATGAGAGCACAATCCCAGAACCCGCGAAACAAAGAACTTTTCAATTGTCCATCTACCCATTACTTTTATACTCGAGTGACACTTTCTTGCCGTCAACCAGCTGCAGCACCTCTCGCAGCTATAACCGATTCGTAAACTCAATGAACCCCTCCAACTCTCCCAACGCCTTCCCGCTCTCAATACACCAGCGCGCCTTCTTCACCCCTTCCTTCCACCTACACCCAGCGGGCCCAGTCTCCATGATCACCTCCCCACTCCCAAACTCGCACTCGTCTGCATCACATACGCCGCTCACGACCAACAATGCCGCCACGTTCATGAGCACAAACTCCAATATGGGGTGGTTGGCTGGTAATTCGTTGCGCAGGAGCGACATCAGCACATTCGCGTTCTGTTTCGGCAGACGCCCACCACCAACTTCGCTGAGCGGGTGCCTGCTTAACCCAAAGTCTTTTGGCTCAAGAGTGAATGTCTCGAGCTCAGAAATATACTCTCGCTCGCGAAAGCGATCCTCGTCCTCATCATCGTCGTCGTCGGCGGTATCCATACTACTCACACTCTCAGGCCGATACTTCGGATTCGGCCTCTCCCTGAGAAACCAACAATTCGTAGGCCCCGCACAACTAATCTCGTCCAGATCCTCATGCCCACAAATAACCATAGCCTTGTTCGCCCCACTCAACTGCAATGCCCTCGCGAAGATAGGCCCCAACTCCTGGTACGCGACTCCCACAATGCGCGCTTCGATGTGCTCTTCCACTGGATTCGCGAGGGGACCCATCAAATTGAAAATAGTCCGCAGGCCCAACTCCCTGCGCACGGTCGCGGCGTATTTCATGCCCGGGTGGAAATTGGGCGCGAAGAGAAACGCATAGTTCGTCGTCTCATACAGCTTTGGCAGCGTCTCCGCCGTCAGGGCGTCGATTTTGGGTGGGGTAGGTTGAATCGCCATTAACACATCCGCACTCCCACTCATACTCGTCTGCGCGCGATTCCCATGTTTAGCAGTCATCAGAATGGGACTGGCGACGATGGAAGAGGCGGTCGAGATATTGAATGTCGAGTGGCCGTCACCACCGGTGCCGACGATATCGCACAGCCCGCCGCGGTAGCTGCCCGTCCCACGTTTTCGCTTCCCGATTACCTGGCGTAGGGCTTTGGAGTTGACGGGGCTGGATGCGTCGCGCATTGCTTCGGCGCATTTTGCTATCACCTCGGGGTGTTTGTCTTTGCCGGTTGAGTGTAGAAGGGTGAGGAGGGAGGCGAGTTGGGTTGGGTTCAGGCGGTTCTCGAAGGTGCGGGACCAGGCGAGGGCGATGTCGGCGGCGGGGACATCGTTGTTGGGTGGTTGGCGGGACAGGATTCTGAGGAGGGGTGCGATTGAGATGTACTCGGGTGATTTGGAAGGCACTACTGACATTTTTGGGAGCTGTTGTGGTTATAGTACGAGCTAGTAGCAGACTGTTATGCTGCTGTAGTTGATGAATATTGACAGTCGAAATAATGACTCCCCGCAAATTTGAGTCAACGCATTCAGGTCCCAGATTCAGCATGACTCGTCGCGCAGAAGCTTTTAGCCGCTCGCAAGCACTGGCATTCTTAATCTTGATTTTTGACCTTCCTCCTACGACGTCGACTAAATGTCTTGGCTAATCGACTTGTCCGAAGCTTACATGCATGTCGATCACCTCCGTCGTCATGTGGTGACATTCAGATGGGAATTTCTCCGCCGTGTCCCTGCGTTGTTGCCTCCGCTTGTGTGATGTTGCCACTCTCGAGCCACTAGCACTGAGGGGAAGAAGGAGCTACCAGGTCGCTTACAGAGTGAGATCGTCACTTTTCGTGATTGGAGTAAATGATGTTGCCACAATTTTTGGAACGCTGGAATATTGATTCCGAGGGTAGGTACATGTTGACATCAATGCCGGCCGAGTGCCGGACAGGTACACAGAGGTACAAGTAGTCAGGCATCTGACGGCTCGTCACTTTACGGTAGGTCAGTTTTTCGCGTTGAGGATCCGAAAAGCCACCATGATTCGTTTTTTGTGGCAGGTAGCCGCTACTGCCTCGCTGTTTGCCTGCTCCCATGCTCAATCAGAGACATCATCCTCGTACTACACCAGTCCTACAATCTACCCTTCGCCAAATACTACAGGCATCGGCTGGGATGGCGCTCTCGAGAAAGCACAAAGCTTCCTCGGCCAGCTCAATCTGACAGAGAAAGTGTACATCGTCACGGGAGTCCGTGGACCATGTGTGGGCAATATCGCACCAATACCTCGCCTCAACTTCACTGGCCTTTGCTTGCAAGATGGACCAGCTGCCATTCGAGTCGCCGACTATGCTTCGGTCTTTCCAGCTGGCATAACGACGGCAGCAACATGGGACAAGACGCTGTTCTATCAGCGAGCTGCTGCGATGGGCCAGGAGTTCAAGGATAAGGGCGCTCATGTTATCCTCGCGTAAGGTTTTTCGCATGAAGTGAGTCAAGCTGACCATTGCAGACCGGTTGCTGGTCCGCTCGGACGCGTCGCTCTTGGAGGACGTAACTGGGAAGGCTTCTCGCCAGATCCATACCTGACCGGATCCGCCTTCGCGCTTTCTGTTGAAGGGATGCAGAGTGTTGGTGCTCAAGCTTGTGGTGAGCAGACTTCCACAGTTAGAAGCCATCGCAGAACTGACCCCATGCACAGGAAAGCACTACATCGGCAATGAGCAGGAGACCCAGCGAAATCCAACAGTCAATGGCGAAGGCGAAACCATTTTGGCCATATCATCCAACATTGATGATCGCACTATGCACGAGCTGTACCTCTGGCCGTTTGCGGACGCTGTCAAATCCGGCATGGCATCCGTGATGTGCAGCTACAATCGAATCAATCAGACGTACGGATGCGAAAATTCTAAATTACTCAATGGAGTACTAAAGGAGGAACTTGGCTTCCAAGGCTACGTGATGAGCGACTGGGGAGCTACTCACTCTGGTCTGCCAGCAATCAACGGTGGTCTCGACATGGATATGCCTGGAAGCAGCTTCGGATCGCAGACTTTGTCCTTCTTTGGTGGCAACATCACTGCAGCAGTTCAGAATGGATCTCTGCCCGAGTCACGACTCGATGACATGGTCCTTCGTATCATGACGCCCTACTACTTTCTCGGCCAAGACAGTTATCCCAGCGTAGACGGCTCATCGGCAGACTTGAACGGCTACAATCCAGCCACCTCAAATTATTCATTCACGTTGGGTACTGACAAGAGTCGAGACGTCCGCGGTGGACATGCCCAGTTGATTCACGACATCGCAGCACAAGGCACGGTTCTGCTGAAGAACGAGAACGCTACTCTCCCACTCAAGTCACCGAAACGTATCGGCGTGTTCGGCAACGATGCCGCTGATCTCGTCACGGGTCTCTACAATACCAACAATCTCAACTACGCAGGAGCGCCCGGCTACGACATCGGAACCCTTGCTGTCGGCGGTGGCAGTGGAGCTGGCCGATTCACGACCCTCATCTCGCCTCTGGAAGCGATCAAGCGGCGAGCCTACGCGGAGGGTGCCATCGTGGAGTACGTCCTAGACAATAAGGTCGCAATACAATCAGGAGGCAGAGGCGGCGGACTCGGTCCTCCCACCGGCAAGATATCTCCCAAGCCCGACGTCTGCCTTGTCTTCTTGAAGACCTACGTGACCGAAGGATACGACCGCCTCAATTACGAAGCCGACTGGAACTCAACTCAGCTTGTTGCCAACATTACTAGCTTCTGCAACAACACTGTGGTGATCACGCATTCGGGCGGCATCAACACCATGCCATGGGCCGAGAATGAGAACGTCACCGCTATCCTAGCCGCACACCTCCCCGGCGAGCAATCGGGTAATTCGATCGTTAGCGTGCTGTGGGGCGATGTCAACCCATCCGGTCACTTGCCCTACACCATCGCTTTGAATGAGTCGGACTACAACACTAAGATCGTTAATCAGACTAACACTAACGACACTGATCCAAATGCATGGCAGGACAACTTCTCAGAGGGTCTGTTCATCGACTATCGGCACTTCGACCAGGCTGGGATCGAGCCATTGTAAGTTCCAGACCCAGAGCAGCCCGTTCTGCTGAACCCCGCTCACTGATCGGAAATAGGTACGAATTCGGCTTCGGACTCTCATACACAACCTTCAACATATCCGACTTGTCCATCTCAGCAACCACCAATGCTTCCTTGACACAATTGCCCGGCGACACAGCCATCCAGCCCGGCGGCAACCCCGAACTCTACGCCGTTCTCGCTACAGTGTCGGTCACTGTCAGCAATACCGGTGAGGTCGCCGGTGCAGCTGTGCCTCAGCTTTACGTATGCTGCCTTCCGTCTCTTTAATGCTTACGATACTAACATTCTCCCTCGCAGGTATCTTTCCCGTCTGGCTCTGTGCCAGAAGGGACGCCAGTCCGAGTTCTACGTGGATTCGAGAAGCGGCAGCTTGCTCCAGGAGCGTCCGAGGCGGTGCAATTCATGCTGACACGACGCGACCTCAGCTATTGGGATGTCGTTTCGCAACAGTGGTCTCTGCCGTCGAACGGGAGTGCTACTGTGCAGGCTGGCTGGAGCAGTCGGGACTTGCCTTTGGAAGGGGAGCTAGCTTTGACGATCGAGGGGTGATGCGATGCATGCGAGGCTTCGTGTAGGCACGTGAGGACCGCATACGACAGTGATGAATATAAATACCCAAGTCGCACTAGCATCAGAGCGTATGATACTTCGAGACTTTTTGTTTCCCGGAGAGCAAGGCTCCCTCAGTCTACCTTTCGACTCTTGCCTGCCCGGGGGGTATATTTGTCATAGTTGATTTGACGTTTGGCATCCAAAAACACCAAACATTTATGCCCAGAGCTGAATCTCCCAGATTCTTCCATTGCCCCAATTGATGTTGAAACAGCCACCACCATATCCTGAAAACTCCCAACGTCTCGTTTCATGGCCCGCCGGTTTCTTGAACATCTCCCCAGATCCTCCGGCTCTATTCCCTTGTCTTCCAACAGCAGCCTTCCTGCATGGCCCATCATCGCCGTTGGATCCATCCCTCATTTCCGATTCAATAAACTCAAAAACTCCTCCCTAGTCTTCGCACTACTCCTCATCGCCCCCAACATGCAACTCGTCGTCGTGGAACTCCCCACCTTCTGCACCCCTCTCATCACCATACACAAATGACTGCTCTCCATCACCACCCCGACCCCTTGGGGCTTCAACACCTCCGCGATCGCCAACGCGACCTGCTTCGTCAGCCTCTCTTGGACCTGCAATCTCCGAGAGAACATCTCTGCTAAGCGAGCGAGTTTCGAGAGGCCGAGAACGCGCCGGTTGGGGATATAGCCGATGTGCATCTTGCCGATGAAGGGGACCATGTGGTGCTCGCATAGGCTGAAGACGTCGATGTCCTTGACGATGACGAGCTCGTCGTGGTCTTCGTGGAAGACGGCGTTGTTGACGAGGTCGCGGACGTTTTCTTCGTAGCCTTTAGTGAAGTACATGAGGGCTTTGGCGTAGCGCTCTGGTGTTCGTTGTAGACCTTCACGATCGGGGTCTTCGCCTATGCATTCGAATATCGTGCGGACGGCGTTGGATAGTTTGGCGAGGCGTGCGGCCGCTTCGTCCGGCGTCTCCTCCAGACGGGCGCGCGTGCCGGTCGAGGGCCAGGATAGGCCATCGAAGTCTATGGGAGGGTTCAGTGAGTAGGGAGAGGCGGGACGGGTCGTCACTGGGAAGGATATCGAGGATGGCGGTGTTGGTGGGTGGTGGTTGTTGCTGTTGATAGTGTTGTCGCGGGTGTCTCGTGGAGGCTCGGTGGGCAAGGTCGTGCTCTTATTAGTGGCGTTAGGCGCCAGTGATGTAGCTGGGTCGTGGTTCTCGTCATTTATAGGGTCTAGTAGTACATCGTCTTCATGGTTGTAAGGCGCCGAAGCACTGCTTGGCATGTCTGGGAGGTAGGATGGCCGGTCGAACTCGAAGACGCTGCGCCGCCGGTAGGAGGAGTGGATGGAGGAAGCCAGCTTCTCGCGCTCTTCCGCTCTGGTGTTGGTAGACGGCTTGTGGAGGGGGGATCCGCCGTTGCGGAGGTGTGAAGGAATCGCGGAGCGAGGTTTGGCGGGTATGGGCGGAGGAGCGGAGGATGCGGAGGGATGTTGGTGCTGGTCTGCTGGCATGGTAATTATATTGGCATTGTCGGAAGCGGTGAGACTCGACAGGACGTAGCCTCTTCGATCTGCGTACGCACGGTTCAAGGTGTTCGACCTGCTGTTCTTGTAGAAAATTATCTCCAACTCTCCGCCCCGGGGATGAATACGCGATTTCTAGCCAGTTGCAGTCAAAAGTTCCGATTCCACTGCCTAGAGTTTTGCGCCGGTTGACAGCTGCTAGCAAGATAAATTATCCGCCTACGATCGTGCAGTCGACCACACTCGGCTTCTTTTCAGACATCATTCTACTTAGTCCAAGTACTCTCCCGCTTCATCAACCTTCCTCCCTCTCCTCTCATCCCCAAACCCATCCGCACCACCACTTCCCAGATCAATCAATTGCCCAACCGGCCACATCCAGAACTGTGGCGTGTACCAATATTCCAGATGCTTCACGATCCTTCCGGTCCCGAAATCATTGTCGATGGGTGCACTTCCGAGCACCATGCCGCGTGCTGCAGCCTCTTCATCGCTGAGGGTGCCGCGGTAGCACCAGTCGATCATCTTGACATGGCCGGTGAGCTTCTTGGGGGAAGGCTTTCTGGGACTGGGTTTCTTGGAACTGGACGCGCGAAGTTTCTTGGTCGGAGTGGTTGGAACGTCAATGTCATCGGACACAGTTGCTAGGGAGAGAGGCGAAGCCGATGCTGAAGACAAGTGTGACGAGCCGTCTGTGGCAGAGTCTTCCGCGGGAGAAGATTTGGGTCCTCTGCTGCGATCGACTAGGTCCTCGAGAGGGCAGATATCCTTGCCAGCTGCGCCAGGGGAGGGAGGGGAGGTGATCTTGTTGTAGCATCGCTTGCAGTGCTGTGGATGATGCCAGAACAGTTGATGAAGAGCGTGCATGAGCTCTTTTGGGATGCGTGCCATGATGTGTCGGAACATCTGATCATTGTTGTTCATGGCCTTGGCTGGCACCCATCCGAGGATCGAGCACATCTTCGCGATATGCGTGTCCACTGCGATGACATCGCGATGTAGATTGAAGGCCATGAGACAGGCCGCGGACTTAATTCCCATGCCGTGGAGATTCAGAAGGAAAGCCCATGCCATCTTCTCTGGGCAGTGAAGGAGAAAGTCAACTGACAGGATTCCGGGGACAAATTCAGGGGTATTTGGCTCTTGGCCGAGCTCCAAATCAGTTGGAAGTGTGCCGCCATTTCCTGAGATGGCCATTGCAACATGAAAGTTGTAGACAAGCTGCAGCATGTATTTGATGAACATGGTGCGCTTTTCCACAATTCCAGCACCTCTAACTACCCTGATGAGCTCGGCCTGCGTGCTTGTCCGCACCTTGTGCCAATTAGGAATCTTTCCAACGACTTGTTTGCCAATGACGATGTATGGAAATGCTTGCCGGAGCAGATCCTGAACGACCAGGGCTAGGTGATTGCTCGTGGTCTGCGCGAGGAAGACGCGAGCAAGCGTGTCAACGGAGACGCTGGCCGTGGCCTCGACACCAGGCTCGAGATCGTGCCCTTGCGGATCGATGTTGATGCCGAAGTGCTCGTCCTCCCATTTCTGCAGGCGTTCGTAGACAAGCCTCGCGGCTTGCGGAGTCGGGTTGAGAAATTCCGGGTATGGGCTCGCGTGGAACTTGAGCCGAGATTTCTCGTGATCCCACATTTCTGGAGCTGTGAAGGGACTCCTGTTGTATCTGTCGCTAGCTAGGTTTCCGATTGTGAGCAGACTTCGGTGCAACTGTTGGTAGTAGAGAGGAAGACGTCTCTGCTGACAGCCGTCAAAGGACAGCTTCACCTTGAGGCTCTTCTTAGGTAGAAACACCTCAACAATCTCTTCGGTCCGTTGCCGATTCTCCGCTCGATGTTGCCCGGTGTCGATGTACTGCTGCTCTGCCTTCTTCTTAGCCAATATCGAACTGGGAACTTGTGGTCGATCGGCTTCCAGCTTCTGCTTCTTCAGCGGCGATCCGGAAGCTGTCAGGCTAAGAGCATTGATACTGGCTGTGTCGAGAAAGACATCACCATCATCTCCGCTGGTGATGCTTGTCGGCTTTTGAGTGCTGCCGGCAACGTGGGATGGACTGAAGACGACAGCAAGGTGGTCTTCGAGCTCCTCGTTATCGGCTTGTCGACCGTGTTTTGGCATGTTTTTGATGGAGACTGGACAAGTAGCTGATCTAGGCTCGGAGGTGGCGAGAGCGGCTGCTCAAGAGGCTGAGGAAGCATGAGCTGGCGTGGGACTTTCCTATGGAAAGTCGTTGTCGAACCGAAGACTGGCGGAAGCGACATGTTGAGATCGCAGGTTTACTTCGAGTGATCTATATACTTAGAGCGAGCAATGGAACTGCACCCCAAGCTTGCATTCACCATGTTGGAGTAGGAGACGTGACTGCTGACACAGGACAGTCACGTCCAGAATTCTGTATTCACGTACGTTAAATAAGCGTGACCAAATTTGTGCTCCATTGTCAATTGTGAGCTCATCTGAACCTTCATCAACAGTCGAAACAATGCTCGGCCACAGCTGGGTTGCGCGACATTGAGCTCTTCGATGCGAGGCAGACTGTACTCGGACCATTGTCTCCTCAGGTTGACACCAGGCCTTTATCATCGACAGCCTGCTCTCGTCCGTTGCCCAGGTCTGGGGCAATTTCAGGATCGATTTCTGCTCGATTCATATTTTGATCGCGGTCGTCCGAGCGCGCTCGATGGCGTATCCAACGTAACCAACGTTCATTGCCGAGCTGTATTACCAGACTCATTCCATAGAAAAGGAAGAAGGTCCCGACGTAGCTGAGTCCGAACACCTTACTGCAGAAGTTCCAATGTGAACGTGTGAGTCTACGGAACGATAAGCTGACAACTCGGTCCACAACTATGCCCTTCGTTCGCATGGTCTGTGCTGCGTGGAGATTTCCGCTCCGGCAGGTTGATCAGTGTCGTGGGGCGAGTTCAGATCTTTTCCGTTGAGAGTCTTCTACCTGCCAGGTCCTGTCATCAACAACCTCGCTGTCAGTCAGTCAAACAAGGCAGGCAGACTCAACCGGCAATGCTTGCGTTTTTGTCAGCATCTCACGTTGCGATTGCCAATTGCTCTCAGGGTTTGCTCAATGTTCAGGGCTTGCTTTGATAGCGATGCACGGCATGATCCATCTGAGCAAGCGCAGCAAACAAAGCAGGTCGAACGAGCACGTTCATCGACAAGACTGGTGGTCAAAGGGAGTGGGCTGCTTCAAAGACAAGTTGGTGGGCTGCGTTTCCATGTAGCAGGACACATCGATAGTCGGGAGGCGTTGCACATGGAATTGTCAGTGCAATACCTTCCTACAGCCGTCTATTTCAACTTCATCCATTCAAAGTCACGACTGCATCCATGGAAAGGAAAGTCGCAACTGCAATGGCGGCATTAAATCCACTGTACTCGAGTAGAGCGCGCAGGAAGAAGGACGGGCCCGCGTTCCATGGCAGAAGCAGCGCGTCTGCGGATTTAGCATTGCTAAACACCGGGACGACAAGGCAACCGGCCTTCAAAAAGGCGTACAAACTCGACCACCGAGGAATCGTCTATCGAACATCTACAGCTTGCATTGCGGTTGAGCATCTATTGTCCATGTCGAAGCGACAGCACGTGAGCTCGTGACGTGCGGTAGACTTGAATAACCAATAGTGCTGGTACATCGCCTGTCCGCGATGTATGCCCCTGAGGACTCGACGAAGCCTGTGCATGTAATCCACCTCCAGACCTGCGGTTGACTCGCCTCATCGGCCAAGGTATCATGCTGCATCAACAGCGATCGGCTCAGATGTCGGCAGCTGTCCACATAGATAGGTGTATCCTCCTTGCTAGAATTCAAGCTCACTTTGGCGTGGTTGCATTGCTCGGGTCTTGGCACTCCCGCTCTCGTCGAGCACCTAGGTAGCCCCTAACAACCAGATGGTCACCCGCGTTTCAAATAGCTAGGCGCCAGTGTGCATACATTATATATTCGTGTCTCTGAAATTACCTCCAACACTCCAACTCAGAATGTCCCAATCTCAAACCGGCCAAGCTCGTCCATCCTAACACCCATGGATGCGAGGCGGCGGGCTTGGTCAGAGAACGGGACCCAATAGCAGCCAAAGCTCGTCCATCCTAACAATCCATGGATGCGAGGCGGCGGGCTTGGCTGGGGAAAATGGGTTGCGAGACGTGTTGCCTGAGCACGATAAAAGTATTATAATCCAGTATGGGGCTCGCCTTCACTCTTAGCTCTGGAGTGGTGTGTTTTGGTAGTACTTTTCCTAAGCGTATCCGAGCGTTCAACAAGGTTTCTAAGGCACTTATCTGAGTGGTGTTGGATTTACTTCCTTAACTTAAGTGGATAACCAGTAAAGTGGACTCCCGCACCTTGAATACTCGTCCGGTCTTGTACCGGTGGCGTTTAGTTTTTGCTTTTTGGCGGAGGGTGGCTTGGATCTTGTTGAAGTGGTCGTGCGGTACTGCCTCGCTCTTTCTTGGCGGTTTACGAACGAGCGCGCTTACTTGATTTCTGTCGCAAGTCCAAGTCTTTTCTCTCGTGACGGGAAAGCGACCAACCTAACGCCAATACTGCATTTGCATTTCGCCGATGCGAATCTACAGCTTCATATTGAATCGCTCCCTCAGCCATCCACCGTAGCGGTAGAAGAACAGCGGCACCGGAACAAAAGCAACACCTATGAATCCCAATACACTATTGCCCCAGCCAAGTCCCAGGTTTGCGTATAAGGACGGACCCGCCAGCGGCAGGAACGCTCCGAAGAGAAGTCGGAGAACAACGTTCGCAGCTAATGCAGATGCAGCTGCCTCGGGCCCGAACACCTCGACCAGGTAGAGCTGAGTAGCAAGATGACCCACAGAATGCCGAAGCCAAAGAAGAACGTACCGATGATGGGAGCGATCCAGTGTGTCTTCTGGTCTGCAGCCCACCCATACCAGAAGATACCAACAGGCACCAGAGGCATGAACCACATCATTGGCTTCAGGCGCTCTTCCGGCTTGGGCGAATCTCCGGCTGCTTTGTGCAGTCTGTCGCTAAGGGTGGCGAAGGTCGCTAGCGAGAATGCCATTCCAAGTCCGACGCCGAGGTACGACAAGCCAGAGACACCGGTTGAGAAGTTGTATTGTTCCTGGAAGACCGCGGGAAATGTCGTGAAGAGCAGGAAAAGGAGACCGAAGACGAATGCTGTGAGAAGGGACAGAAGAAGCACGATTGGCGACAGAATGAGGAGCTTTGTCGGTCGGACGATAGCGCGGAGGAACAGCTGGCGGGAGGTAAGCCCTCGATCCATCTTCGAGACTAATGCGGTGTTGCCGGTTTCGGTTCGCAGTCGAGTGGTTTTCCGGGCGAGCAGCACAGCGGCATTGGTCTCGCGTAGGAAAAAATCGCTGTGGTGGACGACACTCCGATCTGCACCGAAGGATTAGCAGCTAGAGACAATACAGGCGGATCTGCTACTTACTATGATCAGAATCAGCCAGAATGTCCACCGCCACCCGATGGCTTGGGTTGTGAAACCTCCAATGATGGGCCCAAGCACCGGCCCAAGTAGAGGCCCCGTAACGAACAGCGACATCGCTCTACCACGCTGAGCAGGCGGAATTACATCAGCAACAGTACCTCCTCCAACCGTCAATGGGCCAGAGGCAGCAATGCCAGCCAGAACGCGGAATGCGAAGAACATGCCAGTGTTTGTCGCCAGCGCGCAGCCGATGGTGAAGCCGATATATATGACATTGCAGAGGTGATAGATCGGAAGGCGTCCATAAAGTTCACTCAGTGGAGCTATGAACATGGGCCCGAATGCGAACCCACACAGGTAGATCGAAACAGTCAGACTGACGAGGGTTGAACTGGTGATGCTGAACTCCTCGCCTAGTTGTGCGGCTCCTGGGGCATACATTGTTGCAGCAAGGTTAGACGTGAGGAGGAAGGCGCTCGCGAAGATGACCTGGATCAAGCGCTTCCATGAAGGCCAGTTCATCGGGTTTTGAGGGTCGTCTGGGCCATCCCAATCAACGATGTTGGCTTTCGCTTCTGGTTGTATCGTTGCACTGTTCATCTGGCTGGCTCGTGAGTCGTGGCTGTCGCTCTCCGCTATGGCCGGCTTCTCATCGCCGGCTTCCAAGTCGGCTGCCATCGTGTACCTTGACTGATGTAGTGGCTGCGCCATACTCTGTTGCTGTCGAGGGGCTCCAATAGTGAGCTTGGTCCCTACGCATATATATGAGGAAGAGTCGACGGACGGCAGAGCGCCGACCGAAGAGTGCAATTCATGACAGACATGGCGATCATCCCTCCGACTGTGGGCACTTGCATCAATTACTAACTAGAGCACCGGACGATCATTCATAAAGCCGAAGTCGAGAGGAAGACCAACCGAGGAAGGGGCGGCGGTTGCTAGCGAGCCAATGGGAGGGTCAGATGCAAGCCATCGGAGGATCGGACGGTCGGAGATTTGCTCATACCCTCCTTCAACGTCTCTCACCTTGACCTGCCAGCAGAACTCTTGCCCATTACGCTAGTCGCCATGGGCTTCTCGCTGGACTCATATCATGGCAGAGACTGCTCAACGACCGCGCCCACCGCCGAACAGACGGAGAGACAAAGTCCAGCTGTCCTGCGACCCATGCCGACTACAGAAGTTGAGATGCGACCGCCAGCAGCCCTGCGGAGGGTGTTCGAGACGCCGCATTACAGAGTCATGTAACTATGTGAGGCTACCTTCATCGACGACTGATGTTCAGCGAGTTGCACAGACATCGAATCAGCCTGTCGACGTACATGGCAGGATATTGGAGCTTGAGAACCTCGTCATGACACTAATGAAAGGGCAACCAGCCTCAAGTCTTGCGACACCTCCCGCAGATGTACCGTATCACAGCAAAGGTTGCGGGAGTCAGCAAGATACAGCCAAGTCTTTGGCAGACCCTGGCACTCTCAAAGTCGGCGAGACAGGCACCAGCTATGTCCAGAACGTCCATTGGGAATCTGTCCTGTCCGAGATTAGAGGTCTGAAGGAGGACTTGGTCACTGACAGCAAGGTCCTGGCGGGATCACATCTGTTCTACGGCCCGAATCGACGCGCAACTCGGGAGGAAATTCTTGCTGCTGTGCCATCGCGCGTGGTGGCTGATCGTCTTATGGCTCTTCATTTCGAATCCTGCATCATCACACCAGGTCAGTATATCCGATCCCCTCCCGGTACGTCAGACCACTGATGGCCTCACGTAGATCTAATCCACCGTGGCAGATTCCTGAGAGAGGTAAGAAAGTTCTTCTAGTTCTAGCAGCCGACTCGTGGCTGACATGCAAACAGTATGAAAGCTTTTGGACAGATCCGTCTGGGTCATCTATCGCCTGGATTGGATTAATGTTCTCCATGCTATGCATAGCTGCACTACTGCAGTGCTTCTCGATCGATAGTACTGGTGGACAAGACCAGTCACTCAAGACGGAGTACCTGAACATGAAGGAAGCCTTCCGAGAAAAGGCTGTACAGTGTCTAGTCCTGGCCAGATACACGACAGGCGGCCCATACATCCTGGAAACGCTCATAACAATCCTCGCTGGGGAATTCGTTCTCTTGAAGGATGGCGCCACGGATAGCTGGCTCTCAATCGGGCTGATACTGCAGATCGCCATTCGTATGGGCTATCACCGTGACCCGGACCATTTCCCAGGCCTGTCACCGTTCGAAAGCGAAATGCGCAGACGGATCTGGACTGCGATACTACAGCTAGATCTCATCACTTCCCTGGAGGCAGGCTTACCTCGGAACGCCACAGATGCCCATATCGACACAAAGCCGCCTTCGAACCTGCTAGACTCCGATTTTGACCAGGACACGCACGAGATGCCGCCATCAAGACCAGAGACGGAATGGACCCCGATTCTGCCGCTCATCACTAGGAGACGGCTGATCTTCACCTTGGGCAAGATTTGCGACATCAATTCCGACATCAAAGCTCCTTCGCAAGTCGAGGTCGCTCAGGTCGACGCGATCCTCCAAGACGTGTACAAGCACGCCATACCTCCTGTTCTCCGGTGGACGACGATGCCGCACCCCATCACGGACAGTCCGGCCGTTGTGGCGCAGCGCGTGAGCTGGAGACGACGTATCATAAATCTCGCATCCTGCTGTATCGGAGAGCCTTGGTGAACTATTCAGTATGCCAGCCTCCAGAGAGAGACCGAGAGTCCGTGCGGATTTGCCTGGAGTCTGCACTGAAGATCCTTTCTTTCCAACAGACGCTTCATGAGGAATCGCAGCCGCTTGGCCGATTGTACCAGCTCAGGTGGAAGGTCACCCACATTCAGAATATGGACTTGCTTCTTGCGACGAGCATACTTTGTCTCTATCTTCAGGACATCGACAGGTTCCAAAGGTCCACAAGCTTTCCGCACCAACCGTTTCTACCTACGGCCGACGATATTCGACAGAAGCTGACAGTGTCACACAAGATTTGGCGCGAGGCAAGTAGCGCTTCCGTCGAAGCTGGGAAAGTTGCGAAGGCTCTAAGTATCGTCCTCGGAATGTCCGAGGTGTCTGCAAACCCCGGCAAGCCGCACAACGAGACCGATTTGGAGGCTATGTTCGGCTCCATGCAGTCGGACGACATGGGCGGGACCTATAACCAATGTAAGAAGCCACGTGAGCTTTTGGAGATCTGTAAACTAACGGAGTGGTTGTCAGACTTTCCTACCGGTTTCTACTCGCCTCTCACCTTCTTCGATAACGTGTTAGAAACACGAGGGCCTTGAGCACGCGTCCTACGTGGCTTAGGTTTCAGCCTCGGGTTCACCCTGGCTCAACACAACACGAAAGTTCGTATTCCAGCCGCGTGGCGCTTTTTGGGTAGTCCGTGCGGCGGCCTCTGCGTGAGACTGACCAGCAGCAACGTGGATATCTTGCCATCAGGTGCAATTCTTGACACTGAGAGCATACACCACTCCCAGCACTGAATCCGCACTCATCTAAGACACGCATAAGACTATGTCCGTGATGGTCGTATTGTTCCCAGAGCATCGCACCACTGTCCCCATCCGGTCGCCGTCAGGCTGAGGACGCCGATCTTTTCCTGCCGAGGGTAGTCTGCTCCAGCCACTATCACAAATCGAGCGTTCTCGACTCGAAAGATACGATGGCAAGTTGCTCGTCTTCGTCAGGCTGATCATAAGCATTTTCAAGCACCGTCAAGCTCCCACGCCGTATTGCTTGCCATGCACAAGCCTCTGATCAGGTTCCGGACTTATACGAGGAGCTATACGATTAAAGTGGCCCACACATACTGCAACGAAATTGATGTCTCTTCTCATGGAGCCTAGTCGGCGCCACGGCGATTTCATCGAAGGACGTCTGCGAACGCAATGACAAGCAGCCACGAGGGGTCATCACATAAAACCTCAGCTCCTTCGCCCGGCTCATCCACATGGTAAAAGTTTTCAGTCGCTTCCTCCGGTGGGGGACCTAGCCTACACAATCGGCTCTCCATCATCATGGAATGCATGTGCTGTGGCTGGTCATGCGTATGTGCTCGTTGGAAGCCTAGATTCACCAGTCGCAAAGAGAACGAAAGGATCAAGCGGGAGACACCCATATTGGTATGCAGTCACATTCTCTCCAACCCCATGGGGCTGACTGGTCGTGCTGTCACAGATTAAGCGCCTCAGCATCGACGCAGCCGTCGCTGAGTTCAATCTTCGTCAGGAGAAGTTCTTGAGGCAAGTCCGGAAGGAGATCAGAAGCCTTGTCAAGAATACGTCGAAGACTGAATGCCTGTCAGTCATTGCAACCGGTCCGTCCGGCGCACCAAAATTGCACAAGCCCTGGGGCAGAGCCTGGCAAAGGCGATTCTGGGCCGTGCGTAAGCATAAGAGCGAAAATCCATCTGAGCCCTCATTTCCGGTGTACGATGGCGAAACACTGGATTCGCCGTTGTCGACGCCGATCCAGAACAAGGTCCAGGACGTATACCGCCAGTTCTACCGACAGAACAGCGATATCGTTGATGGACTCATCGCCCACCACCTCTATCGCCACCCGGACGTGCAGGAAGCCGTTACCATACACATAGCGGCAGCTATCCGGTCATCTGTCGCACCAGTGTCCAAAGAAATCTATGATAACATCGCCCGCCATATTGTCCAAGCTCTCACAGGCGAGGTGCCTACTGCGGCGGCTGGCCTGGCTGGGGATGCAACAGCCAGTATGACCACGGACATCGCGCTTTCTGTGATTGCTGGTGCTATGGTGCATGCTTTCCATTCAGTCTTGAACACCTTCGTATTCAAGACCGTCGCAACCACCACTATGCACACGGCAGGGACATCGCTGACTTACATCGTCGCCAAAGCTGTGATGGCTGGTTTAGTCACTACGGCCTCGACTCATGCCGCTGCACATGGCTCTGCAGCCACCTTCACGTGTGGCGCCTACCTTGCCATGCTTCCGCTCGTGCTCGGCATCGTCGCATACCAGGTCTACCGGTTCCCGAGCAAGCTTGGAAAAAAGATCGCGGCACAGGTTTGCAACAACCTGAGAGGCGAATATGAAGCGACCAACAGGAGAAGACTGTCGGCATTGCTTGTTGAGGCCTTAAAAGATGGCGGGAAAGACATTTGGGACGCAATGCTGAACGATTCACGTGTGAAAAGTGAGCTGGAGATTTTTATGCGGGGGTTGATGAATGAAAAGAGTGCCGTAGATACGAGGGAAATTATAGGCCAAGGAGGGCGCTGAACGTCTTACATTGACGTGTTAGTTGAGTCGATGGCTCTGTGACGAGACGTCGCCTTGGCGTCAGTCAGTAGACAGGATTCATCGGGGAGTTGCCACTGAGGAGGGCGCTGTCAGGACGAACTGAATTTCATCTGTAAAGAAATTTCCTTCTGAGACTACCCTGCCAGATCTGAACATTCCACCGTAGATCCTATATCTAATAGCCAGGAAGGGCGCTGTAGGTATACCGCTCAGGAAAGTCATGAGACCCTGACAGGAAACACTCAGAGTGAAATGTCAAGGCCGGGGAGGGCACTACAAGGCAGTGGCTACGTGGCTGCCTTGTTCGGAAATTGCCACGGGGTGGAGCATCGTGGTTGCCTTGTCCTTTTCGAAAAGGTACTTTCAAGCTATATTGAGTCGAAATTCAAACTTTTCTGCTGAAGGACTCCTCAACACCCCGAAATTCAAGTCAGCAACGACATCGAGGACGCCCTGCCACCACATACAGATCCTTCACCATGGGCCGCCTGGTGACGCTAGCAACGTGCTCGCTCAACCAGTGGGTCCTTGACTGGACGGGCAATGCCGACCGAATCATCGAGAGTGTGCGAAGAGCAAAAGCAGCCGGAGCAACGCTTCGCGTTGGCCCCGAGCTCGAAATCACCGGTTATGGATGCCTTGACCACTTCCTCGAGTCAGATACGTTCCTGCACTCGTGGGAGATGCTTGCCAGGATCATCGAGCACCCAGATTGTCAGGATATCATAGTTGATGTTGGCATGCCAGTCCGACATCGCAACTGTCGATACAACGCACGAGTCATCTTCTACAATAAAAAGATCATCCTCATCAGGCCAAAGTCCTCCCTGGCGAATGACGGCAACTACCGAGAGATGCGTTACTTTACACCTTGGCTGAAGGAGCGCTATACAGAGGACTACTATCTCGAATCAGTGGTATCAGACATCACTGGCCAACTAATAGTGCCATTTGGTGATGCTATTATCTCAACACGGGACACATGCTTTGCTGCAGAGACATGCGAGGAGCTCTTCACACCCAACCCACCACATATCTCGCTTGGCCTCGACGGATGTGAGATATTCACCAACAGCAGCGGATCACATTTCGAGATTCGCAAAATCCTACGCCGCCTGACGCTGATCAGGGAAGCAACACAACAGAACAAGGGCATCTACCTATACGCAAATCAACAAGGCTGTGATGGTGATCGGCTATACTATGACGCTGTGCGATGATACTCGTCAACGGCAAAGTCGTAGCCCAGGGCTCTCAATTCAGCTTGAACGACGTCGAAGTTGTCACTGCCACGATCGATCTCGAAGAAGTCCGCGCCGCTAGGTTTGCACCCTCCCGAGGCATGCAGGCCCAGAAGCAAGAACCCTATCCACGCCTCAATATCAACGTCGCCCTTTCACAGCCCAAAGCAGGCCCATCACCAATGGACATCGGACCCTCCCCCGAAATCGAGCTCCGATCCTCCACTCCACCCGAAGAAATCGCCCAATGCTGCGCAATGTGGCTCTGGGACTACCTCCGCCGCTGCGGTGGCGCAGCAGGCTACTTCATCGCCCTTTCCGGCGGCATCGACTCATGCGCCACCGCCACCCTCGTCTTCAGCATGTGCCGCATGGTCCACAGCGCCATCCACTCCTCATCCACCGACCCGACCACACGCGCCCAAGTCATCGCCGACTGCCGCCGCGTCTGCGATCAGGCGGACGATGCTGATTGGCTTCCTAACTCGCCTCAAGATATCTGCAGTCGCATCTTTCACACCTCCTTCATGGGCACCGTGAACTCCTCCACCGAAACCCGCACCCGCGCCAAACACCTCGCCAACGCAATCGGCGCATATCACATCGACTGCGACATCGACAGCATCGTCTCCGCGCTGACCACCTTCTTCACCACCGTAACCCGCTTCACTCCGCGCTTCAAGCAGCACGGCGGCTCACCCACCCTTCTCGCGCTGCAAAATATCCAAGCCAGGCTCCGCATGGTAGTATCGTACTTCTTCGCGCAACTCCTCCCTACCGTCCGACAGCGCAAATCCGGCGGCGGACTCTTAGTTCTTGGCTCCGCGAACGTCGATGAGCAGTTACGGGGGTACCTGACCAAATACGACTGCTCGAGTGCGGACATCAACCCGATCGGGGGCATCTCCAAGACCGATTTGAAGGCTTTCATCGCGTACGCCGAGGAGGCCTTTGAGTTGCCCATCCTGCGGGAGTTCCTGGACGCGACGCCTACGGCTGAGTTGGAGCTATAAGCGATGACTACGTGCAGTCCGATGAGCGTGACATGGGCATGACCTATGCTGAGCTCTCCATTTTCGGCAGGCTACGTAAAGTCCACAAGCTCGGTGTCTGGGGCATGTACGAGCGCCTCGTTCACTTGTGGGGCCAGCCCGCTCCTGTTGATACTCATACCACAGCCACAGAGCCCGACCCGTCATCCTCCACGCCGCCAGAGCCCGCTCCACCCAACCCCAACAAGATAGAAGGCAGAGGCCTCTCGGCGCGTGCAGTATATGAGAAGGTGCGGCGCTTCTACTATTACTTCAATGTCAATCGGCATAAAGCAACCATCTTGCCCCCAGGCCTGCATCTCGAGGAATACAGCCCCGAGGACAACCGGTACGACTTACGCCCATTCCTATACCCGCCAATGGCAGGAAGCTGGCCCATAGAGAAGATCGAAGCTCATGTCCAGGCGTTGGAAGAGCGGGAGCGGAAGCGGGAGAAGGAGGGTGAGAAGAAAGGCGAGGATGAGCCAGAGGCCGCCCCGGCTGTGCGAGCGTAGGAAGCTCTGCGTCGTGGACGGATGATCGGCGGTGGCGGTGGTGAGCAGGCGCGAACCTGGCGTCGCAGGTGGAGTGGGACTGCTGAGCTGGCGTAGGTTCATCCAGAGGCCGCCCTGTAGCAAAAATACCCAACTCAGATCAACGACGTCGTATTCATATGCTCTCGCTTCCCCGTCCGATGTACCTCTGACGATGCTTTCCATATTCCTACCAGGGAGGACTCTAACCTGCCCAACTCCCGCCATAGCGCGTCAGATCGCGCATCTGGGTCTCCGAGTGTAGAGACAGAGAAACAGTTTCGAGAATGGCATCAATTCGTTGAGGCGGCCTCTGTGGGTCTACGTAGTCTAGTCTAGTCTAGTCCTTGCCACTCCCCATCGCCATCACCATCACCATCCTCCAGCATAGCCTCATCACTACCACCATGCTCGCCATTAGGTTCCAGCTGCATCACTACTTGCTCCTGTTTCCTCTTGCTGGCTTCCCTCTGACTCAGCAGATACCCCACCTCGAAGCCGTTCCGCTCGCTTAGACTCCTGACCATCCTCCCCGTCCCATCGACACCTTTGAGGACGGCCCTGATTTCGCTGGCGTACTGTGCTCTGCGCTCTTTGATGCACGCGCCGTGCACGCCGATCACCTCTGTTAGCCAGCGTAGGTGGAATTCGAGATGTGGTGTGTTCTCCATCTGCGCTGCGATCAGCTGCAGCAACTTCGAGAGGTATACTCGTGGTAGTGCGCGGACGATCAGGGGAATGGACGTGTACGGTACTGCTTCGTAGCATTTTTGGACCAGCCCCGCGTCACTCAGACGAAACGCCATGATCAGCGCGCGGAGGTATTCTGGTTCTGGCTGTCGGGCGAGTAGGGCGAGGATGTTTTGGGGCGTTGTGTCGATGTCTAGGTCGAAGGGGTCGAAGTCTTCTTCTCCGGCGCCGGAAGCGCTATCGAGCGAGTAGATCAACAAGCCCTCCGTACTCGCCGCACAAAAACTGCGCCCCGTGCTCGCGAACTGCACTGCCGTGACGCGGACTTGAGGTTTGATGGTGCGGCTCGTAGCGTCTTTGCCGCGGCTAGCGCCAGGCAGCGAACGATCGATGCGATCTTCGAGGTCGGAGGCCTCGCCTTCCGAGTCGAGCATTCCCTCCGGTAGACCGTTGGAGAGAATCGCGCGACTATTAAGGAATTCTTGTGTCCCGTCGAGGGAGAGATTCGTGCTGACCGTGAACTTTTTGATCAGGGTGAGGGTGCTGATGGAGTATAAGCAGATGTATTTGCTGTTCCCGGCCGCCAACAGACACGAGCCGTCGGCGGAGTAGGTTATCGTTGTGAATGATTTCGTGCCCGGAGAAGAAGCCGCGGTGCGGCGGGAGGTGAGGGTGCGGCCGCCACTCACGTCGCGACGGGCGGCGAGGCCGGATTCTTGGGTTGAGTTCTGCAGGGACCAGAATGTGAGCTGGCCGTCGAGGGTTGAGGCGGCGAGTTGGGTCGAGTTGGGGGAGATGGCGATGCAGAGGATGTCGGAGGTGAGTTGGAGGACTTCGGAGGTTTGGGAGCGGTCAAAGACGGACCAGATGCGGATTGTGCGATCCCAGGAGCCGGAGATTAGGCTGCGGCCGTCGGGGGTGAAGGCTAGGGTGGAGATGGGGCCTTCGTGGCCGGAGAGCTGGTCCAAGAGGGCGCCGGTCTGGACGGACCACAGGTGGATGTCGAAGGAGTCGTGGGAGCCAGCGCAGACGACTTCGGCGGAGGGGTCGAGGGCGAGAGAGGAGAAGGACAGGCGTGTGGGGGCGGTGAAGGTGCGGAAGTTGCGGTAGCGGAGCATGTCCCAGGCGCGGACGGAGCCGTCGAGGGAGGCGGTGAAGAGGATGTTGCCGCGGGAGGAGTAGGTGGAGGCGGTGACGGAAGAGGTGTGTTCGGTGAAGGTGGTGATGTGGAAGCCGGAGGAGGTGTCCCAGATCTTGATGAGGCCGTCGTCGGAGCCGGTGATTATGCGGGAGGAATCAGGGGAGTAGGAGAGGGTGGTTGGATTGTCGAGGTGGGAGGATTGTTTGAGGATGTTGGATTCCGAGGTGTGTTCCCAGACGAGGAGTTGGGCGGTCTTGGAGGAGGCTAGGGCGAGCCATTCGCCGGTGGGGTTGATGGCGACGGCGGAGATGGGTGAGGAGGCCATGGACAGGGAGTGGATATTAGAAAAGGACGGGAGCTCGTAGATGGAGAAGAGGCCGTTGTTGAAGCAGACTGTGAGGAGGTTGGTGCGTGGGTGAAAAGCAGCACACTTTAGTCTTGCGTTCTGCATGAAGAAGTCCTTTTTGACTATACGCCATCTTTCGTCGTCGCCTTCTTCGATCGTGTCTTGTTCTTCTCCATTTCGTGGGGTCCGAGTGGTGAACTCCCATCTGAAGAGAGCGCCATCTTCACTAACGGTGTATATGAGTTCCTGGTTGGAGGAGAACCATGCCGCACGGACTTGCTGTCTGTGGCCAGATAGGACTGTTGGCTCGAAGCCTTCTTCTGGGTTCAGACTCCATAGCCTAGCTGTGAGATCTCTTGACGAGCTGATGAAAAATCTCGAATCGCCGGACCAGCTCAAATGTCTGACTTCGTCGAAGTGGCCGCCGAGATCTCTGTGGAGGATGAAAGGCGCAAATTCCAGCTCTCCATTTCCATCCGCTCCAGGTGTGTTCGGGGTCCTCCAGGCTTGCACTCGTTTGCCGACACCGACAACAAAGTATCGACCATTAGGTGAGAATGCCAGGGCAGAGACAGGACCCTTGAAGGAGAAGTGGTATATCGATATGCGGCGGGGAAAGAGTGTCAAGATGGCTCGGCCATCCTCGTCTATTGACAAGAGCAATTGTCCATTGCCCGTAAGGCCTAGGTGTGTGATATTCTTGCGGTGTGCGAATGGTAATGTGTATGATGTGTTCTTGACCAGGTTGAACACCGATACTCGATTGCCGACTGGCGAGAGAAGCGAGTTCCCATCTGGTGTGAAGACGACATTCCCACGGCTGTATACGGTGCCGAGGAGGTTGGAGAACTAGGGAGACTGTGTCAGTGAGGGGATCAGGGGTCTTTGATCAGAACGCACACCTTGAAATCGGTCTTCATGCTATCGAGATGCCATTATTGAGCCAGGCGCAACCAGACAGCGCATATGTCTACCCTCCAAAAAAGTTCTGGCACATCAAATCCAAGTTGGAGAAACCTGTCATCCGGTCGATCAGGCGCTAGGCCATATCTGAACTAGCTCAATCTGGGGAATGCGCCTTCCATTCAGGGGATTTTTTGAAGTCCAACAGGAGAAGGAGCGAACTGCTGCTCGTGGTCCTCACCGTTCCTGTTTCTACACCCTCTGCTCTCTGCGACACTCTTCTCGACGACATTAGACGTTGTTGGGCAGAATATTACTGCGCCTCTCCGGCACCCATCGTCCGTTTGCTATTCCTTAGACACACCACACACTCAAGATGGCGCCCGCACCAGATTCCGCTGCCTCGCTCATCGGCATTGCCAATCTACCAAACCAGCGACACAAGATCGTCGCAAAGAGAGGCGCTGGCTTCACTATAATGGTACGAATCGAGCATACCATCAGCCAATAGCAGTACTGATCTGTTACAGGTTGCCGGCGAGTCAGGCCTAGGAAAGACAACCTTTATCAACACCCTATTCTCCACCACTATCAAGAACTACACCGACCACAAGAAGCGGCATGCCAAGCAGGTCGACAAGACCGTCGAGATTGAGATCACAAAGGCTGAGCTTGAGGAGAAGTTCTTCAAGGGTAGGTCAAGCATAGGCTAAACGTAGACTCACCGCTAATGCCCCCAGTCCGCCTCACCGTCATCGATACACCCGGCTTCGGCGACTATGTCAACAATCGCGACTCGTGGATGCCCATCATCGAATTCTTGGACGATCAGCATGAGTCCTATATGCTCCAAGAGCAGCAGCCCCGACGATCCGACAAAATCGATCTCCGCGTCCATGTCTGCCTCTATTTCATTCGACCTACCGGCCACACACTCAAGCCTCTCGATATCGAAGTCATGAAGAGACTGTCTACACGCGTCAATCTCATCCCAGTCGTCGCCAAGGCTGATACCCTCTCACCACAAGACCTGGCTGTCTTCAAGCAGAGAGTCGGAGCAGTCATTGCAGCCCAAGGCATCAAAATCTATCAGCCGCCCGTCGAGGAAGACGATGAGGCTGCTGCTCAGCATGCCCGTGCTTTGATGGCAGCCATGCCATTTGCCGTCATCGGATCAGAGAAGGACGTCAAGACCTCAGACGGCCGAATCGTCAAGGGTCGCCAGTATGCTTGGGGCGTTGCTGAAGTTGAGAACGAGGACCACTGCGATTTCAAGAAGCTCCGATCGATCCTTATCCGTACTCACATGCTTGACCTCATCCACACCACAGAAGAGAACCACTACGAGGCCTATCGCGCACAGCAAATGGAGACGAGGAAATTCGGCGAAGCTCGTCCTAGGAAGCTGGACAATCCCAAGTTCAAGGAGGAGGAAGAAGCCCTCCGAAAACGTTTCACCGAGCAAGTCAAGGTCGAGGAGCAGCGATTCCGCTCGTGGGAGCAGAAGCTCATCGGCGAACGCGATCGTCTCAACAAGGATTTGGAAGCCACGCACGCCCAGATCAAGCAGCTCGAATCCGAACTCGAGCAGATGCAGGGCAGTGCAGCCAGGAGTCATGGACGCCGTTAGACTCGGCGCCTTTCCGATGCTGCTACATCTGGGATGGGAGATACGTGGTCGAGATCGCCCAGTCGTGCTGATGTCTAGAAGGCGGCGGGCTTCTTACCTTGCGCTACTTGCGGAACCATTTTAAGGTTGAAGACCCCTGGCCGCCCGTGTTTGCACTGCACTGTGGAAGGTGTGATGGCTCTCGTTGAATGGCAGAGAGATGTTCACACTGCGCTGGGACGTGTGATGGAACGCCACGAAAAGTGATCACCGAGACAATGCGGTGCGCTTCAGGTCATCCCTTTACAATTTTGTCTATAGGCTCTGCTGGAGCAGAGTCGCGGTATGGACAGGTATTTTAATGCTGCATTGAGCTCAGCTTTCCTCATCTTCGTCCGAAACTCTAGCTGCCAGATTCATTCGCTGTCCCTGTCCGCACCGCTTTCGCTGCATGGACCGCGACAGCAACGACCACTCCCATCGCGGACGGTCCCACCTACTGCCAAGACCGAATCTTTGTGTTTGCCTCGTTCTTGCCTTCTTTTCGGAAGCCTTATCTTTTCTGGTAGGAAACAGTTTTCCTTCTTGCCTCGCTTCCCCTTTCATGTTTCTAGACATTCTTTGAGACTGCGAGTGCGCTGCTGCCCACTGTTATCGCCGCTGTCATCGCCAACCTTCAAGCAGATTTCAGTGGTCAATTTACCACTTCCGCAACTGGCTATCGCTCTTTGACAGATCTTGTGAGCTATCGACAAACCCTCGCATGCACGAAAGGCCAGTCGCAAGCACACAACACGTTCAACAATCAATCTGATCGACAGTCTGCCCATCATGGGAACCAACACGCTCTTCTTCTACGGCACACTGATGGCCCCACCCGTCCTCTACCGCGTCATCTACGGCACGTCCTCGCCCAAGCCCGAAGAGTATCCGGCCATGAAGTTCTTGAGTGTCAGATCGGGGTTGTTGCGTGGGCATAGGCGGCATCGGGTTGTGGGCGCGGACTACCCGGCTGTCACACCGGAAAAGGGAGGGAGTGTGAGAGGGACACTGGTTGGTGGGTTGACGGAGGGGGATGTCTGGCGCTTGGATGTCTTTGAGGGGAGCCAGTATGAGCGGAGGGAGGTGGGCGTTGATGTGCTGGAGGGGGTTGGGTTGGGGGAGGCTGTGGCGGAAGCTGATACCAACGCTGAGCCGACGAATCCATTAAAGCTACGGCCGATAAGAAAGAGCCTGAGACGGTGAAGGCGCAGACGTACATCTGGGCGTCGCCGCTCGAGGAGCTTGAGTCTCAGGAATGGGACTTTGAGAACTTCAAGAGGCGGAAGATGTCGAGGTGGGCTGGTCTTGAGTCGGATGACGGAGGCTGGGGTGGATCTTCGGAGGATAATGAGGAGGTGGTGGAGGAAGACCAGGGGTTCGCGGATGTCGAGCATGCTGTGAGGAATGGCGATGTGGTAGACAAGGCCAGGGATGGTGTGAGGGGTGATGACGGGATGGGTGGACGGGGGATCAATGGTGTTATTGGGCGGCAGCTGGCTGAGGTGCAGCGGAATGGGGCGAGGTGATCCATGCTCAGCGGAGGGGGTAGTGCCGGGCCTTTTGGCTGAGCAGGGAGAGTGGGAATGCATGGAAGAAACGCAGAAGCTCAGGCTGGACGGAGCGCACAGACTAGAGCCAGGTTTAGAAACTTAGATACAGGCGCCGTCTGCGAAGCTGACGCATGAAGGCTACCAGAGCTTCTGGCGTGATGATGCTATTGTGTACAGAACTGCATGTCCCTCGTGCCGTCGTCCGTGGCACATCAACAGTAGTCCACCCTACCCACAGGCCCACGAAGACCTACACACGTTCCATCGGACCGGTCGTAGCAGAATACCAACAACGCCTAACCCATGCCTCATTCAGTCTGTCCTGCCATTCTTCGCCGCGGACATACACTAGAAAAGCAATCCACCGAGCAATGCTCCTCCCAGAAGACCACCAGCGACTGGCAGCGCCAAACCCCCGCCATACCCCGGCCGTCCATAGCCATACTGCGGTCTGATGTACCTCCCATTCGGCGTGCTATACATACTCGGCCCATACGGACTGTATCCATATCCTGCACCACCATACCCTCCATAGCCAGGCCTGCCGTACCCACCACCGCCATACCCCATCTGAGGCGGCTCAACGTACACATCTTGCCCGTTCTTGTCCTTCGCAAACCACTGCGGCTGGCCCGTGACCTGGGCCTTGTGCATCGCGGCGCGGAATCGGGCGTGGGCTTCGTAGTACTGGCGTTCCTGCTCGGCTTGTTGGCGGCGCTCGGCTTCGCGCTCTTCTTTTGTGAGGCCGGTGACTTTGGTTTTAAGGCGTTCGCCGAGCGAGGGTTTCTTGTTGCTATCGTGGTGGCCGGTATGTGATGGTTGCGAGTGTGCGCCTGGTCTGGCCGGTAGTTCTGAGGGATATTGCTCGTTGTTGTTGTTGTGGTGGTGGCTGGATTTCTCGTCGCCGCCGATGGGGTCCTTGGAGTCGTGCTGGTAAGGTGGGATTTCGTGTGAGGGGTGCTTCATTTCTGCCTCGGCGGCCTGGAGGCGCTCTTTCTCTTCGGAGGAGAGGCTGTTCCAGGTTTCTTCGTCGTCCATGGGGTGGACCCATATGCTGCGTGGAGGGTCGGCTTTTGTGTCGACGAAGAATTGGTGCTGTTCGTGCGTGTCCCATTGGCGGATCCAGCCCGAGGGGAGTGGGCGACTTCGTCTTCCATTGATTTGCGGGAGGCGCGGGGTGCGGCGGGGACGCCGAGGTGGGAGGTGTCATTGTGAGAGGAGGGCTGTGGTTGTGTGCTTGTTGTCGAGGAGCCCGTGGCGATTGCGTAGGACGGTGGGGCGTCCGGTTGGTTTGTGTCTTTTGAACTCATTGTGGGCGTTTGTTTGACTGTGAAGAGGATGGTAGTGTAGGGTCTGAGCAGAATGGAGATCAGTATTTAGGATTATCTATGCGATGGTGTGGCAAGTGTACGAAGATCATGGAATCGTGGCTGTGAGATGTCAGTGAAGCAGGAATCCGACTCAGCACATGTTTGAGGCAGTGATGACGACGATCCGCTGGGCTTAGCATCCGGCCTTAAGCGATTGGCTCGGATATGCTTTTGCCGACTTCCTTGTCTCCTGTACCCTGGCAGTGCTAACAATTTGCCTCGTTCAGGCAACGTTCAATGCCGCTGCACTTTAGACGTGTTTGCGGGAGACTGTAAGACAAGGTCGTGGGCAGAACGCTCTCATTGCCATGCATGACTAGGTCTTCAAGCTGTCTTCGCTCAAGTCTCAAACCTATAAACATGACTGTTCAGGCCCGCAACACATCCCACAATTCCCGCCCATTTCCCTCGTGACCTCCAACGTAATCCTGACCCACCACATTCACGAGCACAAGATCTTTGCGCAGAGCTTCCAATGTCTGCTCTTCGCTGCTACCGCGAGCGTAGCATCGCCTCCACTCGGCCCAGATTGCAAATGCTTCCTCTCCCCACGCTCTGAAGCTCTCACTTTCAATTATTGTAGGAGTGACGATTTCCTTGCCCCGAAACACGCCCCAGGTGACTGCGTTGACACCAGACTGGCCGGGTACTCTTTTCGAAGAAGATCTACCTGGCTTGGAAGCACCGTTCGTGATGTTGTCGCTCGACTCGTAGACGCCTTCAGCATCAGTCTTCATCCAGCTGAGATGATCTTGTGGCGTCTCGACGAGCTTTTTCCGAAGCACGTTCTCCCATTCCGATCTTGAGCAGAAGAACTCGACGAAGGCCTTCTGGAACACGAAACCTTCGTCTCTAGGTCCCCAGCCGAACACCTCGTCGTTGCTGCGTGCGCCATCGACTGCAGGCTGACTCGCGAGTGTCCAGTAATGCTTGCGCTGGATGAGATCTAGTATTTGCTCACGGATCACTGACGTCTCTGCTCTGAGTGAACCTGGACCGTGTAGCCCTGCTGTTGGATCGACCTCGTCACTCCATGGTATCGACGCCAGATCTCCAGTAATGAGCCTGGAAAACATACTCGTTACATCTTCTGGTGATGTTGGACTGCCCCAAAGCTTGCGCGCAGTTGCAGGTCCAACTTTCAGACTTGGCCCGTATCCATCGATCTCTCCATAGGCCGGTGAATGTGCTGGACCCCATCTGCCGTTCGGGAAGTCATCCCAAGTAGCTTCTCGGCCAAGCGACCCTTGTCCCTCAGAAATGAGCAAGCTATGTTTGCGATTGGGATCTGCGGCAGGTATACCGGTGCCTGCCTCAGTTGTCTGATGCGTTACGCCATTGCTTCGCTCTGACACGGTCGAGTCTGACGATTTTCCGCTTCGAGAAGAGCTGCTGTCCAAGATAACACGGTTGTGGGCTGAGCATTCACAGAACTAGCTCTTCTTCTAGAAATCCGTGGTTGAGAAGGAGGTGCCACGTCGTTGCTGACAAGAACGTAATCGTTGTCCTGTACAACATCCGAGTCGGAGCCTTCGTCAGGAGATGCCTCGTTCAGATGTGGCAGTAAGTGGCACCGCTCAAGAATGAAAGCGACACTCTTCTCGAGGTTCAACGTATAGAAGTGCAAACCTCGTGGCAGTCCTTCTGGTTGAGGCAATGCTCTGATCTGTTCCACCAATTCGCTCATGATGTCCACGCCAACTCTCTTCACTGCATTGTCGTCGTCCTTGACTTTTTCTATGCGGTCTGCGATGTCTTTGGGTAGTGTCGCGTGACTGAGCTTCGTAATGCGCTTGACGATCTGATAGCTTTGTATTGGCATCAAGCGGGGATGATCGGTATCCGAGTAAATGGAGCGTTGCCGTCTTCTGTCTTGTATGTGCGCAGTCTTTTCTCGTAGCTCATGTATGCGTTAATGTCGTAGGTTAGCTGTGTCATGATGAAGTCTGCTCCTGCAGTCACCTTGTCGACCAAGTATGGCAGATCGTGCTCAACACTCTGCTTCCCGGCTTCCGGATGACTTTCATCAGCATGGCCCTCAGGGTAGCCAGCCACACCGAGGGCGAAGTAGTCGCCGTGCTTCTTCCTGATATATTTGACAAGGTCTATTGCCCAGACGAACTCATCCGGCTTCGGACTTGAAGATCCGTTTCGGGGTGGGCTCTCTTCACGGTATTCTTCTCGTGGAGGGTCGCCACGGAGGGCTAGTATATTGCGGATTCCCAGCTCTTTACACGCTTCCAGTGCTTCGTCCACCATCGACCTCCGCATATTCGTACATGTCAAGTGGAGGACTGTTGGGAGGCCGAGTTGCCGCTGAGTCACTTCTGCCAATTCCAAACTTTTGGCAGACGTAGATCCGCCTGCGCCCCACGTTACTGTGACATATAAAGGCTTCAACGCCGTTGCCATGCGCGAGAGACGCGACTGCAGATTGTTGAAGCCGGCCTGTGTCTTAGGTGGGAAGAACTCGAGCGAGAAATAGGCCTGGTCTGGGGGTACTGAGGCGATCAGTGCTGGTAACCGCTCGTCGATCATGCTGGCGGCGGTCTGTGGTGACGATGGCGAGATGAATGTAAAGGCTGAGAGCAGGTATGACGCGCTTATGTATGCTAGCAGTAAAACCTGAACAGATATGAGTAAGTGACAAAATGCTCTCCTCGTCATGCACACAAAGAGAGCCCCACGAGCACAGGATGGCGAGAGTAGTCAGTAGTCTGTGCACGCGACAATGTCCAGAACGTGGCTTCTGAGAATGCGAGAAGAGACAGGGAGGTCGCTGGCGTTGGTGTTCTTATCATTGGAATGAAGACTGGCTACATTGCTATATGAGGTGATTCTCACACAAGAGTTGATCAAAGGCGCCGCAAATCGTTTGAGATTCTCGTTGCGGGTGGTGCAAGTGCCCCACCATTGGACCTGCCGGGATTTGATGTCCCCATTCGGCAAGCACTCTCACGACGACCATCGAAGACATCTCACGAGCCCTGAGATCTGCTATCTGATTGTAAGATGTCATCAGCGTCTCCGAGAGGAGCTTTGGTGGTTGTTGAAGGCCTTGACCGTTCGGGCAAGTCAAGTCAGTGCCAGATACTGGTCGATCACCTCAACCAGTCCGGAAGTAAGGCGCAGTATGTCAAATTTCCTGGTAAGTAAAAACCGGATGGTGGTATATCTCGAAGCACCACAGTCTGAGAAGTATAGATAGAAGCACGCCAACGGGCAAGATGATTAATAGCTACTTGACCGGAAGTGCCCAGCAGGACGATCATTCCATACATCTCCTGTTTTCCGCCAATCGTTGGGAAGCTATTCAGAGTATCTTGCAAATGCTGGAATTTGGCATGAATATCATAATCGATCGTTACTCATTCTCTGGAGCAGTCTACTCTGCCGCCAAAGACAATCCGAACCTCGGCCTTGATTGGGGTGGGTACAGCCATTATTATGCAAATCGGTACTGACCGCGTACAGCATGGGCATGCGAAGTTGGTCTACCGAAACCGGATCTCGTCCTCTTCCTCGACTTGTCTTCGGAGGAAGCAGCCAGGCGAGGTGGCTACGGCGAAGAGCGATACGAGACCCAGCAGATGCAGAGCAGGGTTCGGGCTCTATTTCAAGACCTGTTCAAGAGGTTGCCCAACGTCAACCTGAAGCAGATCAATGCTGGCTGTAGTATTGACGACGTCGCCACCGAGATCAGGACGACCTTCGGCCGTTTCGTCGAGCAGGCGAAACTGGAACGGCCACCGGAGAAGCTTCAAACACTGTCAGCATGATGTCGCTCATCGGTCCTCATCGCTATCTTCGATGACTATTTCGGCTTCATCGTGAGCTATGGGTGATGATTGCCTTGCTGGAGAGGACGAGCCGGAAAGCGAGAGCATGCTGACCTCAGAGCGAGCATCTTCTTCGACTATCTCCATGGCGAACTCTTCTTCCTGATCGGATTCCTCGACCTCCAGATCATCCTCGGTGTCTTCGTCAGGCAGCTCATCTCCGTTTTTGCCTGTCGACTTCTGCTTCTTCTTCAGGAGCTTAGCTACTTCCTTGGGGTTTCTGGTCCTCAGAGTCACTTCCTTCATCAATGAGTGCCATTCTAGAGGTCTCCGGCAGGAAGGACAATTCCCCGTCTTGGGCATGAACGTGTCTGTGTTCTCACTAAGGAAATGTCGCGACAGGCAATTGACGTGGCTCAAGCTTTGACACTGACCGTGCGGGCACACAGTGTATAGGTCGGTTCTTAAGTTAAGGTCCTTGGAACATGCGGCACACTTCTGACCGTCGTCCTCGTCAAGGAGGAATCGACCCTTCTGCAGAACGTCTTTGAGGCCTGCATACGTTGGATCGATGCCCTCAATGCCACCCTTACCAACCAGGTCGACCTTTCTTCTCTTTTTCGGCTTCTGACCGGACGTGATCTCTTCATCCTCGGCCTCACGTGCGTGTGGCAGATCCAGAGTCACGTCGATGCTGGGATGAAGCTGCTCATCGGTGCGTTCGCACCAAGATTGCCAGGCCTTGTATACGTCCTCGCTGAAGAACTGAAGTTTGAGTGGCCATTGGGAAAAGTATGGCGACCTTAGCAAGAGATGCAAGTTGGACAACTTCTCGAGCATCGACGTACTTGGTCTGCCAGGCTTTCGACGCGTCTTGCCAGTCTTCCGGTCAGTCTTGATTTTTGTGACTGAAAACGATATGCGGCTATCGGAGTCGATGTGTCGGGTGAGATGGGGATTGTGGAGAGCCCATTCCATCTGCAGTGCCGCAATGTTGGAAGGGAATCCAGACACGAGACACACCATCTCCCATGGTCTCAAGCTGGCACGTGATGTCCGTACGGCACCACCTTTGACCCTGCCATTGTGCTGGCCCAAGCGGCGGACTGGATGTGGAGTGGATCCTATATAGTTGCTCGCTCTTGCCCATATGTTAGCATTCGGTATGCCAGCTGAGTCACACAAGCACTACTAACTTTCGAACCGTTGATCTAAGCAGATACACGCCGTAGAAGGCTGGAACAGTCTTCAGTTCCATGTCAGTTCAATTGGAATTATCTTGAAAACTTGTGTCTTTGCATGGCGTGAATTTGCGATGCTCGTATGAATATAGCGATGTTTGACGCGTCGTTCATATAGGTGGCCATATGTTCTTTGATACAGTGAGGTTCGAGGTCGCGCCCGAAGTGGAGTCAAATGCAAGCATATAATTGGCTCTACACCTCACATGCAGCCGAAGCTAGGATTACGCTCCATGATCGCTGCTGCCATACCTATCGATTTAGAGGCGGAATAGGCATGAACCCTCCCTCTCTTCCTCCGCATCACATCTCGTTTCCTACAGCAACTTGAATCTCGCAGACAACATCTGTCGTCCTGCTCCTGTGACTGACTACTTTCCCATCATTTTGCCGCATGTAAGCGGTCACTCGCAGTGCTGCACCTGGCACTATTAGGTGGCCACTCTCTTCCTGCACTCCCACGGTACCACGAGGCTAGCGCTCCAGCCGGTCGATGAGACATATCCTCCCTCGCTTTTTCAACGAATCCTAGCGTTGGCTGGAGGGCGCATACCATCACATAGACCAAATGTTCGAATATATCGATCTCATTGCAGGCCACATATCTGCTTGAAGAGATGGTAAATCCACCTGCGATGGGCGGTGGCCCGACGGCGATTTCAGCAGTTGTGAAGCCGCCCTCCACCACCCGCATGTCTACAGTAGCGCCGATGGCGCCCTCTGCGGCGCCGCCCTTTCCATACAGCGCAAGGCGTGCTCCGCCGTTGGATTTGAGGACAGTCGAGCGCAAAGGTCCATCGGCAGTCCGCAACCCGCTTACACGTTCACGACCGCATGATCTCCGCGAAGCACCCACATATACACCAACCGAAGAAGAGTTTCGAGATCCTATGGCATACATACAAAGCATTCATGCAGAAGCCAGTCGCTTTGGCATTTGCAAGATCGTGCCTCCAGATTCATGGAATCCGGACTTCGCTATTGATACCGAACGATTCCACTTCCGTACAAGACGTCAAACGATCAACGAGACCGATGGCGGGAATCGCACCAATCTGCATTATCTGGATCAACTATCAAAGTTCCATCGACAATATGGAACTCAGCTCAATCGCTTTCCCAGCGTTGACAAGCGCCCGCTGGACCTCTATAAGCTGAAGAAGGCTGTCGAAATTCGAGGCGGCTTCGAAAAGGTATGCAGAGATAAGAAATGGGCTGAGATAGGCCGCGACTTGGGCTACTCTGGGAAAATCATGTCTTCATTGTCGACCTCACTCAAAAATTCCTATCAACGCTGGCTCCATCCATATGAGAGCTGGCTGGCCGCAGCCAAAGCGAATGGCGGCATTGCTCCGGACTTCGAGTACAACCAGGCAGCCTTCTCGCCGTCGGTTTCGCAGCATGCGTCTCCAGCACATCAACCTCCTCCGATGATGCCAGGCGGTCCAGTCGAATCACCTGCCATGCAAGCGTCCATGGCACTGAATGCTACTGTCAATCCTCCTCATGCCACAAATCCCCCACATCCCCCTGAGTACGTTCCACAGGTGTTGCCGCCCGCGCCTGCGCCTGATTCAGCGCCTCAGCCAGCACCTCGACCCGCTTCTGCGGGATTCATGGCTGTCAACTCTGGTGGATTTCAAGCTGTCAACCAGCAACCATCGGGCTTCATGGCTGTGAATCATCAACCGCCTGCTCCCGCGATAAAAAGTGAAGGTTTTCCGCCCATCGCAGCTGCGCCAATGTATGCTGGTGGTTTTGCGTCTGTCAATGGTGGAGCACCTCGGCCACCAGTGGATGGGCATCTGATGCCGAATGGCACAACAAATCCGTTGAAGCGCACCATCAGCCATGAAAGTATGAATGGAGATCCTGTTCCGAACGAGATGGACGCAGACGGCTTGCACCCAGCGAAACGACCAAAGAAGGACGGCCCAGCCATCCCGTCAAATCACATGCCGGCCATGCGTCCTGCAACACCTCAGATGAAGGGCAAGTCGGGACCGCGTCGCTCGGCGATAAGTGCGAGAAATGTGGCAAGTCCGATGACCCAGCAAACATCATACTTTGCGAGAACTGCGAACTTGGCTACCATCGATATTGTGCAGAACCACCCCTGCAAACAATGCCCGACTTCGACTGGAACTGCTCAAAATGCCTCATCGGCACCAACGACTACGGTTTTGAGGAAGGCAGCGTGTATTCACTGAAGGTCTTCCAAGAGAAGGCCAACAATTTCAAAGAACATTACTTTGCAACCAAAAGGACCAACTACGACGTAGTCACTGGTACGACCAAGCGGCCTACCGAGGACGACGTCGAGCGCGAGTTCTGGCGACTCGTGGAAGACATCACCGAGTCTGTGGAGGTCGAATATGGCGCGGACATCCACTCAACAACACACGGAAGCGGGTTCCCTACGATAGAGAAGAACCCTCTGAACCCATACTCGCGAGATCAGTGGAATTTGAACGTCATGCCTTTCCTCGAAGAGTCGTTGTTCAGGCACATCAAGGGTGACATTTCTGGCATGACTGTTCCATGGCTGTACGTCGGAATGTGCTTCTCGACATTCTGTTGGCACAATGAAGACCACTATGCTTACTCGGCCAACTACCAACATTTCGGATCAACGAAGACGTGGTATGGCATACCCGGCAAAGATGCTCAGAAGTTCGAGGATGCTATGCGAAAGGCCGTTCCCGAGCTCTTCGAGAGTCAACCCGATCTACTTTTCCAACTTGTCACAATTCTACCGCCGGATCAGCTGAGGCGAGCGGGTGTAGATGTGTATGTGCTTGATCAGCGTGCTGGTGAATTCGTCATCACTTTCCCCCAGGCGTACCATGCTGGTTTCAACCATGGTTTCAACTTCAACGAGGCTGTAAACTTCGCGCCAGCAGACTGGGAACCGTTCGGGGATACAAGTGTCCAGCGACTTCGAGACTTCCACAAACAGCCTTGCTTCAGTCACGACGAGCTTTTGATCACGGCTGCTGGAGCCGATACCAGTATCAAGACTTCGAAGTGGTTAGCACCAGCTCTCGAGAGAAGTAGGGATCGTGAACTGTCAGAACGAAACAACTTCGTGACCAAGCACAAGGAGCTACATCCTCACGAAGACTGCACCTACGATACGCTTGCGCCTCAGCCATCTCCGGAGTGCGGACTATCAATAATAGTCGAGGACAAGGAGGTGCAGGAAGAAGATTATCAATGCTATCACTGCAAAGCGTACACATACTTTTCACAATTCAGGTGTCACCAGAGCGGAAGGGTTAGCTGTTTGCTACACCCAGATGTTATGGAGTGCTGCTCAGAGCCTCCAGAGCAGCGGTTGCGCGGCCCAAACCACAGCCTATGTGTCCGCCATACAAATGATGAGCTGGACACTCTTGTGCAGAAAGTGGTGGACAAGGCCAACGTACCTGAGGCCTGGCACGCTAAGCTTGATGCACTTCTCGAGGACGAAAGCGCGCCTGCACTGCGATCAATGCACACTCTTCTCTCGGAAGGCAGTAAGATTCCATATCATCTGCCCGGACTTGAGGACTTGTCGGATTTCGTCAAGAAATGTGATTTGTGGGTCGAAGAAGCCAATCTCTACCTCATGCGTAAGCAGCAGAATCGTCGCAAGAACGATAAAGTCTGGCGAAAGAAGTCGGTCGGTGGCAAAGATGCCGAGAAAGACGATCAGCAATTGACGCTGGAACGAATGAAAGAACTGCTTGAAGACGGAAAGCAACTCAGCTTCTCTGCTCCACAACTAAGCGACTTGCAAGACAAGCTCGACACCATGAACGAATGGCGACGGAAAGTCAAGCCGCTTTGCGCCGGGCGAGAGCACGCATCGCTTGAGGACCTGACTGCCCTGCTCGAAGAAGGTCGTGGCTTTATGGCAGCCATGCCAGAGTTGACAGGGCTTGAGAAGCGTCACGCCTGCCAACAATGGTTTGCACAAGTCGAGGCAATACGCAATGACATGGGCAACCAGACCCTCGATGAGTGTAAAGCTATTCTGGAAAAGGTCACAGAACTCGACATCGATCCACAATCGATTGAAGTGCAAGGCTTGAAGGACGTCGTCAGACAAGGGTACGTACCTTTCACGGTTGTTCGGATCAGACTAACATGCGCAGTGAATTCTGGGAGTCGAAGACGAAAGAGGTCATGTCAGCAGAAGACGTACACTATCCTCAGCTTGAGTCATTGCATACTCAGGTTCAAGCCCACATATTCCCCGTCAACAAGGACACTCTTGCTCAGATGGACGCAATCCTTGCGAAGAACCGCGAAGCCAAGCGCCAAATTATCACACTTGTCGAGAAAAGTCACGACCCGGACTTCCGAAAGCGACCAACATACATCCACGTTCGGGATGTCGTCAAGGCCTTGGAAGATCTGAACGGCAAGCCTCACGGAACAGCAGACCTTGAAAAAGAGCTGCGACGCCATGAGGATTGGATGAGGCGTGGCAAGAAACTCTTCGGAAAGGCAAATGCTCCACTGCACATTCTAGAGCAGCATATGAAGTTTGTGGAGGAGAAGAACAGTTTCTGCTTTGACTTGAACGACACATTCCGTCCTCCCATTGAACCAGCATCACGCGAGGCGAGCCCGACAGACGGTCCTCAGGAGAAGACTCTTGGGGAAGATGAGAAGCCAGTCTTCTGCATCTGCCGTCAGCCCGAGGCGGGTCTGATGATCGAGTGTGAGGTCTGCCACGATTGGTGAGTGCTCCCTATGCCTTGGTGTGAATCGTTACTAACTTTTTTGCAGGTATCACGCGAAGTGTCTCAAACTCGCTCGAGGCAAAGTGAAAGACACCGAATGGTTTACGTGCCCAATCTGTGACTGGAGAGTAAAAATCCCTCGTGATGCAGCTCGGCCAAAACTCGAAGACCTTCAGGCCTGGCAGGACGAGTTGCCGGATCTTCCATTCCAGCCGGAAGAGGAAGAATTGCTGAAGCGTATTGTCGATAAGGCACAGGACTTCCGAGACTTCTTAGGACAATACACCAATGGCAATCAGCTTTGTCGCACGCAAGAGGAAATGCCTGAGATGCTGTTTTACCTACGAAAGATCGAAGGAGCCGAAGTTCTACTGGCATACGAGACAAATCTGTTCCGTCAGGAATTGCACAAGTGGCAGCCTATCGCCGATCAGCCGCCGCCAATAGCAAACACCAGTCTGTCCACGAGAAAGCCGCGACCTACGAAGCAGCAGAAGTTGATGAAAGAGATGGGTGTGGAGAAGCCAGAAGATCTGCCAGCGCATCTGCGCACGAAGAACTACAACCGGCGGAAGACTCAAGATGGTCAATCTCCAGGACCAGCGCTGATGCCGAAGCCTGGTCTGGGCTCACCAATACCTGGGTCTGAATCAAGTCCTGGAGTTTCTCATCAAGGACACGCGCGATCTGCTACGCCTGCAGGTATGCCGCGGACAGCGTCCACTGGCAACATTCCACAGAATGGTGTATTCGATCCGGCATTGACAGGTGCAGGTGGTGTTGGCCAATTCGATTCCGCATACCCTCATCCCGGACCGTTCACCGCTCGCTCGCCGTCACCACTATTCAGTCCTGCGCATGATGCAGGCCCAATGCTGCCCGGAGGTATGCCCGAGACCGCAAACGATGGCCTCTCATTCCCAACATTCCGACCATCGATGGGCGAGGACGACATTCGCAACGGACTTGCTAATGCCGACGGTCCTGCGGGGCCAGGCTCACCACCTGCTGCAAACGAGTACGACCAGATGTTCAACGAAATGCAGGATCCTGCTCGCGACGAGGCGGAGGGTGACAATGGCAACGATGCTCCGAATCTTGAGCATGAAGTCAGCCATGCGAGTGAAGCACTTGAGCTCATGGCTGAGACTGAAGAGCGAGGTGATGACGATGCTGGGCTTGAGGATGCGGAGGGAGTCGAGAAGCACTTTGACGATATGTTCTCCGGAGATCAGAACTAGTGGGAATGAACGGGGATGGCAAATGTCGGGCATTTCCTATGATACCCTCAGCGTTAGAAAGCATTTGTAAGGTGTACCTAAGGTAGTCAGCCACTGCTGCGATGCGGTGGGTTGCGGATGATGGCAGGGCGCAACGCATTATCTATTCCCGCGTTCGGGTGTTCTAATAGGCCCGCACAACCTCAAGAAGCTCGTCTATCATGGTATTCACATATTCGAGAAAAATCGAGATATGCCCTTCGCCCTGAACCAAATGCTTGCGCAGCTTCTCCTGAGGCAGGTGCTTCGCCAGCCACTGTCCGTGACTGTAAGGCACCATAAGGTCTTCGCTGCCCTGGTACAAGAACACTGGCACCTTGATCTCGGCCAAGTCAAAGCCCCATGCTTAGTGAACTCGAGATCGTCGTCACACCAGCCGTCCACGCCATGCTTTAATGCCTCCTGAAAGCCATCAACGATGCTCTGACCGAGCTCGGCGTTCTTCAGCATAGCCTGCTTGTCGACTTCAGGCAAGATCGAGGACATCTCCTTGGTCACCCCAGCGGCGTCCGCCTGTAGCAGAGCTTCCCGCTGGGGATCCAGGAATTTGCGCAGCTCGACCTCGCCTGCACTTGCGGCTGTGAACTCGTCGACGTCTACCAAAAGCAGTCAGTGCGGTTCCCTAGCACGGATCCTGGTCGTTACTTACTGTCCTGCCCTTGGCCAGCAAGGAAGTCCAGATCGGGCGCATCTGCCGGGGCCACGCCGGCCACACATAGCGCGGCCTTGACCCCGGGGAGCTTTGCTGCAAGTGCCAGAACATGCGGGCCGCCGCCACTCCACCCACCGGCTACACACGTCGCCACGCCCAAATGCTCGAGCAGCGCTTTGACATCCGCTACGTTGTCGATGACAGCCCGTCCGGCGTGTCTGCTTGAATCACCGTAGCCGGCTCGAGACATGGAGATGATCTTCAGGCCTTTCTGCTTGCACAGGCTTTTCAGAGATGGCAGCGTTGAATTCACGGAGCCGGGCGTGCCATGTATGAAGACGAACGGGAAGCCGGTTTGTGCGCCGTCGATGGCGTAGTCTAGTGTGCGGCCGTCTGGGAGGGTGAGGTGAGGCATGGTGATGCTTGCGAGTCTGTTGTACAAACCCCGAATGCGTTGCTAGTAGCACAGTACCTATGTAGAGAGGAAGTCATGACGTCTTGGCGCCTGGAATACACTTGCCACTGGCATTATCTGGATGCAACATCGGATCTGACTCTTACCACACTCGTGTTCTGCGATCACGAAACGCTACACTCCTGTGAATTCAACCGTCTTGACATCCGCGGAACACGTCTGCTCATGCCTCGCATTCGTTCGCACGCGGCTCCTGCGAACGTGGAAGCATTTCATTTCGGAAGACATCCCCCACGCCCGCACGTGCAATAAACGTCAATCACAACAAGCACACCTCACAAGGGCACATGGGTGTCTGCTTCCGCAGAAGCGGGATTTGGCTAAAGAAGGTAATGATTATGAGAGAGCACGAGACGTAGAGCTTTAACATTGACTGGACGAGTTATGGATGGGTGTGTCAACCGGGCCCATGTAGGCCCCAGTAAGAACGGATGACTAAAGCTGTCGTCCTGTCGACCGGTCTCATCTAAATCCTGGTAGAACCGGATGACTACATTTATCCGCTTGTCATCCGGTCTCATGTGACAGCTGATCAGACCGGATGACAATATCACTTCCTCTAGATCTGCCACTCCATCATTTCTATTGCTCCTATCTCCCCGTATCACCCTTGACCAGGCGGGCTGTCCCTAATTGGTAGACGTTGATCTCCCTATTACACGTCGCTAGCCCTTCATGCGTTCCTCTCGTCCGTCCAAATTCCAAGCGCATCACTAGGGCTGCTTGAACGTCCCGCTGCCTCGGCGATTCATCCACCCCATCTCTCCACATCCACCCTGTTTCTACGGCATAGGCATATTCAGAGCAGCAAAGTCGCCTAGCATCACCCGTCACTCCCGCCAACAAATCATCTCTACCACCCCCATACTGCGAGTCCTGAACCCAACTCAACCCTCCACAACACCGCCAAGAACCATGCCCTCCGCCACAGGAACCCTCCACACCTACCACCCAACCCGCGGCCTCCTTCTTTTCGAACACGCACACGGCCATGCCTCGCCACCACCACCCAATATCCTCCTCTTCGTCGGCGGCATGTTCGACAACTTCCTCTCTCCCAACTACACCCTATCCCTAGCCCAGCTGTTTCGGTCTTCAGAGCGGCCCAAATGGCGGCTAGCGCACATCCAACTCTCCTCCGCGATGCGCGGCTTTGGCATCTCCTCGCTCAGCAGGGATGCGCAGGAACTCAATCTTGGCGTGAAATTCGTGCGTGAGCACCTCCTCGCCGGCAACAGCAGCGGGAAAGTCGTGCTAATGGGCCACTCCACCGGCACGCAAGACCTCATCTCGTACTGCTACCTCAACAACAAAACCACCGGCCCGCTGGCAGAGCGGGCAAAGGTCGACGGAATCATCCTGCAAGCCGCCGTCTCAGACCGCGACACCGCGACGCCCGGCCCAGACGCAAGTGCTGAGCGTCGGCTCCGCTGGACGCAGTGCCTGGACCTAGCGCGCAGCACGCCGGATGCAGAGAAGCGAACGACGGTGCTGCCGATGCATTTGACGAACAGTATTTTCGGGCCTGCGCCGTTGAGCGTGGAGCGGTTCTTGAGTCTGGCGAGTCCGGACAGTCCCGAGAGGCCGGGTGAGGATGATCTGTTGAGCGGTGATGCGAGCGAGGAGTGGTTGAAGAAGACGTGGGGCGTGGCTTTTGGCGGCTCTGAAGGAGTTTTTCAACCGATGCCTAAGTCAAGGAAGAAGGAGCCACTCATCCTCCTGTCTGGGAATGATGAGCATGTTCCTGGACACGTCGATCAGAATAAGCTTCTCGAGAAATGGCGAGAAGCAGTCGAGAAGGCTGGCGGGGCGCTGCATAGCGAGAGCCAGGTAATCGCAGGGGCAGTGCATGATGTGAGCGGCGACGACGCGGCGAGCTTTCGTGCGAGGGAGCTTGCTTTGAGATGGGCGGTAGTTCTGTATCTGGCGGGCGTTCTAGGCGAAGAAATTGATGACGGCACGGACAGGGCACTGGAGGAAGCAGAGGAGCAGTGGAAGACGATGCAGAACGCAGGACAGCAGCAGTCTACGCCGACTGAGAAGGAGGATCTCGCATCAAAGATATAGGATCTCAGAATGTGCGCAAGTCGAAAATGGAGAGATTGAACGCGGGCTGCCGCGACATTTACCGAACACTTGCGACGAATGCTATGTATCTACTATTTCTCGCATATGCACACTTGCTATGGCTTTTGCCATCGACTCGGATCCTCCCAATGCCAATGATCGCTCATGGCCTGTGCTTCAGCTCAGATTCACCCTCCAAACCTCAATTCCTCATCCCATTGTTCCTATAGTCATCAACTTTCGCTCTCCCCTCAAAGTCCAGTGACTGATAGTACTGCTCCGCCAATCGCCACGGCGTGTTATGGAGGTCCGCAAACGGACTCCGATACGCGCTCGCACTCGCAACATGCTTATTGATGTAATACGTGGCAACTTTAGCCCAGAACCCGCCCTGCGCCTTCCACTTCACCAACTGCTCCGGTACAGCTCGATCATTCAACGGGTAGCCGCCTGGCGACGTCGATCTGGGCTGAAGGCTCGCCAGCAACACGGGCGAAGGCTCAGCCATGGGTGGCTGGGGAAGTGGCGGGGGGAGGTTTGGTTGTGTGATCGGCTGCAGAGGTCCTTGGGCTTTGTACAGTGGATCGTACACTGACCGTCGCGGTACGTAATTGCTGATCTGGGAGGCATTGGATGTGTTGAAAGTTGGTCGCTCGAGCATTCCAGCCGATGCTGTGCGATGCAGGTGTGGCTGCAAAGGTGGACCCATCGTGCCTGGCATCATTGATAAGCTGTTGCTTGCTGATCGGCGGCCTGCACTTGAGCCGGGAGGGGTGATCTGTGTTGCGGTGGGATCGATGAATTCCATTGGCCGTGATCCTAGGGCGCTCATAGAAGCCGAAGTCGACGGACGATAGGCGTCAGTCGTGGCAGGACTGCCCATCTGGTACGAGCTCCCGGGACGACTTCCAGGTGGGGTGTTCTTCTCAGCTTCCTTCTGGGCGAGGATCTGGTCGGGGCTCTTGAAAGGATATGCCGGGTTAGATATGCGACGTTGCCTTTCGATGGCGGCAGATGGTGGTGGAGGTGGTGGCCTGTTCGCCGCAGCTCTAATGCTTTCGATTCGTGCTGTCTCCTGCCGTATCCTTTCTGTATCACTCACTGGCGTGGACTGTGTGCGTTGATGCTGCGAGTTGTATGGAAATTGCTGATGGGATTGCTGCACGTAGGCAGGGAATTGGCCACCATTTGGCTGGCTCAAGTGAGGCGAATGCTGATTGTGGCTCGATCCGGGTCGCATCTGGGGCATCGGATTCATCCATTGCTGGCTGTACTGGGGTACCTGCCGTTGTGCATTGAACGCATTCTGATATGCCGGGTACTGAGCTGTGTTGTTGTAGCCGGTCCACATAGTCTGAGACTGTTGAGAGCCATTCATCTGGAACTGCTTTTGCCGCTCGACGGCGGCTTGATCGATGCCGATGCCTCCATTCAAGCCGGCCTGCTGATCAAGATGCTGTGCTTTAGCTTGCTGTCGCTGCAAGATTCTGGCTTGCTCGTTGGCTTTCGCCTCAGCTCCGATAATGACGTCGCAACCCTGTGAAGACTTCCTATTGACGTTCTTTGCCTGGGGAATATTCTTTGCTTGAGTGCCATTCTGCAGCATCGAATTCTGAGATGGCCCTGCCGAATGATTACCTGACAAAGTTCGTGGTCGAACAAAACCATTGTTTGTGTGGTTCTGGAGATTGGCCGGAAAGCTTGCAGCCAGAGATTGACGCTTCGGTTGGGACGGCGGCGCCATAAGAGCGCGAGCCGGTTCCACCGTATCCAGGTACTGGGAAGCAGGATCATGTATCTTTCTAGCGGGATCGCCCGTATAGTAAGCCTTGGATTCAGTGGACGATTCGCCAAGGTATAGCCATAGCTGCTTCGGTTTTGTGAGGTCGACCTTTTTCTGCAGCTTATTGTGGGGCAGTGCGACCGAAGAAAATTCGGCCCACTCCGTTTTCGGATCTTCGGTGAAAGTATCTCCTTCGCTGGGCTTGCGTTCAGAGTCGGGGAATTGTGCGCTCTTCCCCTGCAGCTCTTCTGGCAGATCTCGCGCATTAGCCGATGGCTTCTGCAGGCACGATGTTTCGCTGTCGATGAATAAAATCCACGATGGCTGGATTTCTTTCACCACTCGAACATCTGGCAGAACTTTGACGAGCATTCCCTCTTGTTCTTCGTCGTATCCTGTCATTATCATGCCAGCCTCGATCTCGTCGGAATGAGTGATCTGCCACTGTACCAGGTCGCCAGCTTTGAGACTTTTGATATATTGCACAAACTCGGGCTTGTTCCAGCAGTTGTTCAGATGATTGCATGTCGACAGCTCGCTCGTAATTCGAGTCCGTTTGACGGAACGATGGAGACGACAACGCCAATCGAAACCAATATCGCGGTACTCCACGCCTTCGTGCCAGACCGCGATTTCACCTTTGTCAACTTGTACACCTGCTTGCATAGCACAAGTTGCGTGGTAAGATTTGGTGCATTTTGCCGACGAACACTGGAAGCACGAGCCCTTCTTCTGCCGACATTCGTAGCACTTGAGCTCGAGCCTGGCCTTGCTGATATTTTCGACATTTGAGATGACTTCTTTGCCATCGACAGTCGCGATGTAGGTTTCGGGCGTGTACATCGCACAAGTTCGGTGGGCTTTCTGGCCATTCGAGGTAGGTAGAAGCTCTTCCCACGCGAAATCGTTCGGACACAAGCAACAGGGCTGGTGCTTGCTGACTTTCCGGATCTTGATCATCTTCCTGGCTTTCTTGTTTGGCCCGACATCTTTGGTCGCACGTTTCCGCTTGGAGGAAAGCTTGATCTTGCCTCGGTCGCTTCCTGGAGGAGTTGGTAGATCGATCAATTCATCTTCGTCTTCGTCATCGGTTATCTCGACTTCTTCGTATTCCGGCGACGGTTCGCCATTCATCCTCCGAATGAACCAGTCGACATCAATGAAAACACTGTCCCCCTCGCATTGGCATTTTCTTGCTGTTTTGCCGTACTGCAGCCAGTCAGGAATGGCGAAATTGACCGACTCTGCACAGTTGTAGCCCAGGTTGTAGCCAGAGTGGTACCCAATCGGGAACGTTATGATGAATTGGCCCTCCCTGTGTACGATTTTGTTGACTGTGACACCATACTTCGACTTGAGGATGGCTGGTGATACAAGGTACGTCTTGTGGCGTAGGAACTGGTCACACGTCTTCGCGTCTTCGCCCCAGATCGATTTCATGGCGTTCTCAAATTTTGGCGCGTCCTTCTGTGAGATGCTGTACCACTGCTTCGGAGCACCAAAGTGGATGTAGTTTATGCTGTACAAGTCAACATCCTCCAGATGCCATGCAAACGTGGCACGCCACATGCCCAGATACAGATATGCTGTATTGACACCAGGGATGGGTGCGCCGATCAAGTCGAGCAAGTTTGGGAGTTTGGCGACATTCCATTCCTTTGTCTGGTCGTCGAACAGTGAACCAGCCATGTCTGCGCCATACATCGGATTGCTGAAATTCAGCGACTTCCAGTACTTGTCCTCAAGCTCGTCGCAGCGCTCAGCAGTCCACTGATCGTTATCGTAGACGCGATAGTCGAAGTCACGAAAGGCTTCCTCGTCGATCTCGTCCACTGTCGCACCGGCTGTTCGCAGACGACGAGCAGCGACAGTGGTCTCGGAAGCTTTGCCACCTGTCTCGCGCTTCGTTGCGGACTTTGGCTGTCTCCCACGCGGTTTTGCAGCGGGTTTGCGGCCTGGCTTACGCTTTCCCGTAGTGGGCTCCGGAGTCTGCTCAGCGTCCTCCTCTTCAGCGTTAGCCTTCTCAGCAGGCTGCAATTCCGGACTCGTGGGTGTAAGCGGTGCGTTGATATTGGACTCATCGGCAGGCTCTTTCTTGACTGGAGTGTTCTTCGGCGGCCGACCTCTGCGCTTCCCGTTGACTGATGGTGCAGGCGAGCCCTCTGTCTTCTTGTTCTTGACTGACCCGCGGCCAAGGAGCTTGTCTGCATTCATTCGTTTCTCACCTCGACGTGCGGGGGGTTGATTCTCGGTGGATTCGCAGAGAGAGCGCCATTGGGGAATGTTGTAGGATCTCATCTTCTCCATGTTCCGTTGCGTGTAGATACCTTGAGCGCCATGGAACTCTTGTGTGATAGGGTTCTTGATCTTGACGTTCTTGATCTGTTCGTCAAGTGGCTTGCGGTCGCGTTTCCTGAAAAAGTCAGTACAAGGCGCAGATCTTCAAAGTGTTTTCGACGCACCATTCTTCGGGAGGATCGATGAGGACGATTCCAGACTGCATGCCGTACGGGTTGACACCTTGGACATATTTCTCGAAATCTCTGAATTCGTCCATCGTCTGGTATATGTCAGCCTCGTCGCCACGAACCTCGAAATGATCTGACTTGCCGGCTGGAAGACTGGTATATTATTTTCATAGTGATGAGGGGTAACCTCGCTGCTCTCCTCGGCTTCCGCGCCGGCACGGGCAGCCTCTTCGAACCGCATGCGGTTTTCGTCGTCGAGTATATCGCCTATGTCGTCGCCAAGCTCGGAGAGAGATGAGCTCGAGGCTGCGTCATCGGACTCTTTATGACTCGCTTCGTCGGTGATGGGAGGCGTGTGTACTTGGGTGGTGGGGAGATCGGAGCTGAGGTCGTGTTTATTCATCGCAGGTAATTCGGCCTCGACCGACGGCGTTGCCATGGTCGCCGCCATGATGAGGTGTTTAAGGATTCGGCGGTAGTTACCCGATCAGGGTCTAAGATAGCGAGAGGTGCGTCGCAGGACTCATGGGCGCGTCTGCACACTCAATAGTGGTGCTGCTTGACAAGTGACGCCGGCCGAGCCAGCTAGATCGGTGTTGAAGACTACAATTGGCGAGTGGCACGAGCGTAAAGTGAACGTCGGGTTCGATCTCCCCCTGCGCCTGAAGTCGACGCTGCCAAGGAACTTTAGCCTATCGACACATATCACGTGACAATTGTTTCGACGCACTTTTGAGACGGAGGACCCGAATAGACGAGGGAAAGCATCTCTCAGCAACTACAAGATGTCACATATGTTCATAGCTACACAAGGCGGGCATCCTAGACCTAAAATCCGCCTTTCGTACCAAAACATATGTGTATCCAACACTTCTCGACCCCGGATATGCAAGATCGTTATCCGCGTGCAACCCCACAAGATCGTCCGACCGAGTTCCGGCCCTTGCAGATGTGCCACGACACGACAGCCACCCACTCTTATCGTATCAGATCAGTATTCGGTCAGCGCCAATTTCTTGCCCACTGCCTTCCGCCTCTTCTCGATTTGCTCAGCTGGCGGCGGCGGCTGGTCTTTCTTCTTCAGTGCTTGCAACAGCATGCCAGCATCAAAGAACCCGTCTGTATTCTGTCAGCGTGGCTCACGAGAAGAAAAGGAAGCATTTACATCCACCCAAACCATCATCTTCAACCTCATTCGTATCTTCACTGGCCGGTGTCTGCACGCCACGTGCATCCGCCGTCGAATCCGACTTGATGATCCTACCTCGTGATTTAAGACGACCATCTTTGCCCACTTTATCTTCTGCTTCTCGTGCTGGCGTTCGACTGTGCGATGCATCCTTTGCCTTGCTGGCTTTGAGTAGCCGACGAATCTCGTTGAAGTAGGTCTCTATGCTGTCGATGTAGCGCTGTGTCTGCCTGTGCTTGCTACTTGCACAAATGGATATCGAGTCCTCTTTGATAATGTATCCAATACCAAAGCCGTCTCCAGAAACGGGACCGAACCCGAAATGGCGTAAGGCGGGGTTACCACAGTTGGATGTGCTCAGTATTGTGTTGTTCATCTTTTCCCATCCAGGATCACTGAACAGCGCAGGCAATTGATGCAGTGCTGGTGCGGGCGAACGACTGTTGCTACCATCAGTGGCATCCCTGGGTCTGTCGCGATGTGCGTGCTCGACTTCCTCAAATCTGTGAGGACTGCCCAGGTCACTTGTGTCGGCAGGACTGGAATAGCCGTTCGAGCTGAATCCTGTACTACTGGCAGCCTCGCCTCCGTCCTCATTTACCTTGCGCTGCCATACGCAGTACAGGGCGTACATGTGCCGATCGAAGCCCTGCGCCTTGCTACAGTCGCGCGTGACAGCAACGTGCTTCTGACAAGCAGCACGAAGAGCATCGATCTTCTGCTGTGCTGGATTATCGGCCCAGAACGTCTTGACGAAGTCACTGCTTTCCTTTGTCACTGATCGGATGGCTTCTGTCCTGCCGTGGAGGTAGATCTTGGTCATTGCTGGCTCGTATGTGTTCTCAATTCTTCCCCACAGGCCGTAGTAAGCAGCCTGGTAGGCCATCTGGACGAACGCATCTGGAGAGAATCCCATTGACTTCACAAAGTTACTGCCGTATGTCTTGTACTCGAGTACCTGGAACTCGTTCTGGTTGATGAGATCAGCTAGCCGTGTCTCTGCAAAACGTAGAGCTATTTGCAGCTCCGGTATCATGTCCCATTCCAATTTGTGCGGAGTTGTGCTGACCTGGCCGAAGCTGTCTGGGTCTCTCTTGGCCGGATCAGGACTATTGGTGGCCCATAACGTGGGAGCCTGACCGTTGATAGATCTCGCAAAACGGAGGATGGTGTCTGTATAAACGTCGCTAGCAAATCGAAGGACCGTGTGACCGTCCACGCCAGTGTGTTCGAAGTTGATGCCCGCACTACCGTTCTTGCATACAATGATTTGGAGCTTATCATACCATCTGTTCGTGCAAGTCCCGACTTGGACGCCCTTCACAACCTCATTAGTCCCGCAGAGCATGTTTCCACACAGCTTTGCTACGTCAGTTGGCTCGGTATAGTCTAAGCATACCATAAAGAGGGCTGAGTCGACTATGCTGAGACATTCGGCATTGTTGGAGCCCTCCTCACGAGTCAAAACATCGCGTAGCCCTGACCAGATCTTTCTATTCTCTGTACTGAGGACGCCGATAGCCCCTTTCGCCGCTTCTTGTATGGACGTCTGTTCTGCGTCGTCGACGATCGCTTGCAGGTTCTGTGCGACATCCTTCTCTGTCATGATAAGGTCGTTGTTCATGTCCAGTACGTCAAACCAGTAGAATTGGCCACGACACATGACAACTACATGCTTCGAGTCTGAGTCCTGGCCGATGATACATCCCTCATTTGTAGGAACGCGTGCTGTGCCAAACATTCTTGAGTACTGGAACATATCGAGCGGCGTGCCTCGCAGAGTGTCGGGTGGCAGCTCTTCTTTTCTCACAGCTCGGACGAAGCATAGTGATGAGATGACCAGGGAGGCGGCTCGCGTGACTTGATTGTTCCTTGCTGGCGTTGGATCGTCCTCGAGCAAGAAGAATGGATTCAGATTGAGGACGACTGGGTTGTCGTAGTTGAGGTATGAATCGTACCAAAACTGCTCGATGTAGCTCGTCTTATCGCTAGCATACCGCTTCAACTTATCCTGCAGATCCTTTCCCTCGTGTGCAAGGAAGTCTTTGACAGCAGCTTTCGTGTCATCTTGTTCTCTCGACGTCTGCAGCGGAGCGAGGGACTCCAAGTACTTCTTCGTGGAGGACTCGAGATCGGGGATGGGCAACTTAGGCAGTTTGTCCTGCGCCGCAAAGGTGATGCCTGGCTTCGGCTTCTCTTGTTTCTGCTTCAGAGGCTCCTTCTCATTCTTCGAGAACGCATCGGTCGCTTCCTTGGCCGCAGCCGAAGATCGCTCGTTCGAACTCATGTTGGAGTCCTCCACATGGGTAGAGGCGCCCTTGAGTGTTTCGTCGATAGATCCTGGTCGTCTAAATGATCTTTGCCCTGCAATCACAGAAGGCATAGTCAATATCTGAATCATGCGTGAATGACCGCAACGAGCGTGCTGATGTTCAGCAAGCGCAGGGCAGAGCGGTAGAAGTAATGACAATCTTGGAAGCAGTAGGGCGGCATTGGATGATCAGTATGATAGGGACTGTTCTTTGCAAAACGCGCAAGACATGGGATGCTGGGACATATCACCCGGTCAGCGGTAGATGATGTCCCAAGACATTTCCAAGGGCATATAGGCAGATGATGCCGTCTGGCATGGGGGAGGAGGGGTCACGTAAGGGCCGAAGGAAGCGGACATGTGCTGGCATGATATCCTCCGAGTCAGATCGGCACAAAGGGCCATCTCAATCATGTTCATTCGCGACGGTAAGCGAGGTTGTTCCAGTGTCCACGGTACTGCATGAGTCCCGCGGCTCATGGTCTGCTTCGAAGAAACGTGGTTCGGGGCAAAGGAGGAAGTGAGAAAGGCGCAAACGTACGGGAGCTGTTTAGGCGGAGTGGATTCGATGTAAAGCCCTTGCCGAGTGTTCGGACGTCGATTTCCGCGCCTGAAGAGATACGTGGGGTTGTTGCTGTATGCAGGCGTTCCTTGTGAGATCACTGCAATGGATGGATAGCTGAACGAAGTCTCGAGGGTCTCGCCGGCCTCTCACTGATGGTATGTTGTAAGACGTCACGCACATTCAGGCAAAGCTCGCTGGTATAACACCATATTCAGCAGTGTGCATCGTCAACGGATGACGTCGGCTTGGGTCAAGGTGGAGGCTGACCCGGCAGTGAAGCGGGAGCCAATAAGCCTAGACCGCCTAGACCTTAGGGGCAGTACGGAGCAGCGGAGGGAATCGTTAAAGGATGAAATTCATATTTGGCTATATGATTGCTCTGAAGCGCCCATTGTATCTCGGCCTGGTTTCCGGGTTCCAAATCTCAAAAGCAAAAATGCAACAGCGGATATCGTAAGCTGTCGAATGAGAAGAAAAATCATCAATAGATTCGCGCAACAGCTCCCAGCATGCTTTGAACATATCTGAATTGTCGACTCCGGCCATACCTTGATGCCGTCTCAGATGTTCACCGTAGCCATGCCGATAGGTTGTTGAACGTTAGCTGCGTACTGTCCCGCCATATTGCCGGCTGGACTGTAGTTGCAGACCATGAACCACGGACTGACATTGCTCCCAGTGTTGGCAAGACCGCCAGGACAGTAGACCGTCTCGCATCCGACCTTTTCTGTACCTTTCCACACGATTTGCGAAAAATGTCCCCAGTGGTGAAAGTCGTCCATATTCGGTTCTGAGCCGTAGCCAGGATAGTAGCCGATCTCATCGTTATACATGTTGCCACTAATCATTTTCGGGGCCTGGTCTCGAGGAGCGCCCGCTCCGATGTTCTGACCGTAGCCTCCGCCGTTGGTGTTCATGTTGTGGGCATATACGCAGGACTGCGCGATCTGTCTTGCCGTGTCGGCGAGTTCATTCGACCAGGTAAGAGGAGGGGCGGAGTGATTGGCTCGGTGATTGTTGTGCGCATCGAGAAGGCCTTGGGCATAGTCGCTTGAGATGGAACTGGCAGGCGGTGGAGATGATTGACTGGGTGAGGACTGTTGGGGCTGGTTCTGCTGATCCGCTTGGGTGTCACTAGTGGGACTAGGCGACGAGGAGGCACTTTCGGTGGTAGACTCTGGTGTAGGTGACGAGAGATCGCTCTCAATAGTGACAGTGACGGTCTCGTACACGACCTCCTGGGTCCACTCGGTCGCTGTAACGTCATCGCGTCTCTGTATGGGGTTGGCAATAGCAGTGCTTGCAAGGAGCGAGGCTCCCAAGACCAGTATCGACTTCATCTTGGCGGATCTGAGTTGTGATCTGACCGACTGATCTGAATGTTATTGAGCTGCGGTATCAAACAGCGTGGCAACTTGATCTGGCTTGATTCGACTGTGTGGTAAGAACGGTAGATTGGATCTGCTCTAAGGAATGGCTGATGTCCTGCGCCCCGAAAGAGTGAAGAGGCTTGCGGAATCGAGTGAATTACCTGTCCAGAGGTAGAGTGCTGTCGAGTAATGAAGGTAAGCACGATCTGGCCGTGACTTTGTACAAAGAGAAATGTCGAAGAGAAATTGACTCGAGCCTGGAGTCAATTTTGAAACATAGCCTCGAGCGAGGTGAACAAAGAGCTGCACTAGCCCGTTGCAGTGTTGCTTCGAGTCTGATGAGCCAGGACCTTGGTATTATTCTAGTCTCCAGCAAGTGACAAAGATTTCATGCTTTGAGAAACTCAATGGTGGCTTGCGGGTCTGAAGTGCTTCTGATATAGGTTTCAACTGCCACTGTCAATCAGACGCGAACGCTCTGCTTGGCTGTATCGATCTCCTCGACCAGGAGTCCATGAGGTCGAACCGACTCGATACCCGCGACCGGGTTTGAGGTTCAAAACAGCAATTTGCCCGTTTGCCAATCCACCAAGTCGAGGGCGCGGGTCTGTGCACAAAGGATCAACGGCATCAAAGAAACATAGACTCGGCCATGCAGTTGTCCTGTACCACTGTCAGAAATGACTTCGACGCCGCTCGCGAGAGGTAAGCGCTCCATCCACACGCGAGTCTCGCCTGCCAGGTCTCAACGGTCGCCACTTCCTACAGCCGTCGCTTCCTGAGGTGAAGTCTGTCAAGGATTGAAGACGCATTGTACCTTCCTCTTCAGCGCATGTCGACACGAGCCTCACGAGTAGTGCCCAGTCACTGTCGTTCAAGGAGCGGGACGTATATGCAGCGTGCCGTAGAAGCTTCATTTCGAGGCACTCAGGGGCCGCCGTGGAGTGTGCGACTTCCCCATGTTATCATCATTTGACACTTTGGAGGGGCGCATGAGCGGTATCAGGTACCACCGTCGACATCCTGAGGGACGACCGCTCGCCGTGACGAGTATGTATGTCCCTTGTAAAATGGCAACTAGAATGTAGCAGTCATAAGGAGGTGCAAAGTGAGGTTGGGCAGAAAACGCGTGCGCAGACAAATCATGTGACAGGAATTGCTTAGTCATCCGTCATTTCTTTGACGGCTGGGGTTTTTCCCACCTTGCAACAAGAGCTCCGTCCGTCTCGGACTAAGCGCGAGCTCGTTGCTTCCAGAGCGGTGTGCACAAAGTTCATGATCATGGTATAAGTGCTCGCATCGCTTTTTAACCGACGAAGTTCCTCACATCTTGTGACTGATTGTGAGAGACCTCTTCCGATAATATGACGGCGACTCCTTTGTCCTCACGCAAGCTGGTGCTCTACACGAATCATGGTATAGTATAACGCCTTATCGGCAACATGGCTGCTCGTGATAGCATGAGCAAGCAAGCAAGCAAGCAATCATGATTCGACAATACTAATCTTGGGCAGGATGTAGTTGGTGCCAGTAAGCGTTCAGATCCTTCACACACGTCTTGGACCTGTGTACAATGGCCCTTCTGTATGTGGTCATCTACAGTGGCTCCTACCCAATGCAGCGCTAACAGATCCTCTAGCCGAGTAACGGTGGGTTGATTACTGGGCGAGGAGTACTATACTGAGACAGTATCTCAGATCGTCTTGAAAGAGCTCGGTCTTTCCTACGAAGAGGTCTTGATCGACCTCAATGGACCACGACCAGACTGGTATCTCCGTGTACGACGACCTCTCGAATCGCTAGGCGTCCAGCTGATTGTCTAGATCAATCCTCGTGGTCTGGTTCCAAGTCTTCACGTCAAAGGCGATGGTGTTGATGAGTTTCTGGTCGAGTCTGGGCCGATCGTCGACTTCTTGATCGAGCTCTACCCGTCTCGTCTTACCCCCCAAGACGGCACACCTCTCGAAAAAGCAGTCGCGCGATGGCGTCAACGCTTCTTCGTCGACACCTTCTTCAGCAAAGTCGTGCCACTCCTGTTCAAGATCGGTGGTATAGGCGACCGCGACGCGCAGCTCAAAATCGTGGACGAAGTTGTTGGGCATACGACCAAGGAGCTCGAGCCTTCGCTGAAAGATGTGGCGCCTCATTTCGGTGGGAGCAAGACACTTACTGTTGTGGAGGTAAGATCAGGAAGCCTTCCTGAGACGCTTCACTAATTCTAGCAGGCGATGTGTATGCCGTTCCTCATTCTGGCAGAGGACATGTGCGACGATGTTATTTGGCCTGTCGCATTACTGGAGCAGCTGAGCGGACTGCCAAACTTCGGCAAGTGGATGGAGGCTGGGTGTCGGCACAGCAGTGTGTTGTACAAGGTTGAGAGGGAGCCTCGCAAGGCGTTTGTTCGAGAGAAGTTGTCTGAGGTCCGGAAGAAATACGCTGAGAAGGTCGAGACGGGGAGGAAATAGCATGGGAATCTTCGGGCAGTCTTTATGGCTTGGACTATGCCTGCCACAAATCAATATTTCTGTAATAGAAATTGTTTTCGTCTGTTGGACTTGCCGCGGCCGTCGTGAATCTCTAGAGGAAGTCAGACCCACTTCTATGGTGGCGTCTGCCAACTTCAAAAACTCAAACATCTCTCATCCGCGCAACATCCTCCTGTTCCTCAATGGTACTGCGATTTACATTCTACGTGACAGCTGTGTGAAGGCGGGATATATCAGTTATGGCGCAAGTAAAGCCACTCATCAGCGTCATCGGCTCCCTCAACGTCGACTTCGTGACGCTCACTCCTCGAGTGCCAGCAGCTGGAGAAACACTGACAGCACGGTCGATGACAGTCCATGCCGGAGGCAAAGGCGCCAACCAAGCAGTCGCTTGCGGCAAAGCATCATGGGTCACCAAAGATGCGCAGGACGTCGACGTTGCGATGATTGGATGCGTGGGCAAAGGTGATCCGTACTATGCCTCTCTCCTGAAACCAACACTCGAAAACAGTGGAGTCTCGATGGCCGGCATTGAGGAGATCGATGGAAGTCAGACTGGCACAGCCACGATTCTCGTGGAGGACAGCGGTCAGAACAGGATCCTCTTCGTGCCTGGCGCAAACTTCGATGGCATGCAAGACTCGCGCAAGGCCATAGACTTGGCAACAAAAACGGCTGAGCCTACGGTCTTGGTCATGCAAGGAGAAATTCCGCGCAGACCGACGTTCGAGATCCTCGAATACTTCGGCTCGCGGTCGACTCAGACCATCTGGAACCCGGCACCGGTCTACGACGATGGTATTCCGGCAAGAGTACTGCAGCACATTGATTACCTGATAGTGAATGAAACAGAGTGTCTGCTGCTAGCCAAAGGCGCCAGCATGGCTATCACTGTCGAAGATGAGGACAACATGACATCGACGGAGCTGGAAAGCATCGCGAAGGCGTACAAGAAAATCGGCGTCAAGAATCTGCTAGTCACTTTGGGCGCCAGGGGCGTCTTCTACTCTGCTGCCGATGGACAGCAAGGTCTGGTTGCAGGGTTGAGAGTACCGAAGGTTGTTGACACCACGGCTGCAGGCGATACGTTCGTTGGGTTCTTTGCTGCCGCGCTAGCAAGGTATGGATCAAGGAACGCCACCAGTGCCGGTGCCGTCTTCGACGTTGCCGTGGCGGTCAAACGTGCTAATGCTGGTGCTGCGGTCACAGTCCAGCGCCCAGGCGCAGGCGAAAGCATTCCCTTCGGCTACGAGGTATCGTGAGCACAACTCGGCTCTGCCGTGGATACAATCGAATAAATCTCGACATATCCCATGCCAGACGGCCGACTCTCGTCTAGACGTCGACATATGCAAGCTCAATTGGGGTTTTAAAAATGCCTCATTGCTTGAGCGTGAATGTGCAGGTGCTATGGCCGTTGGGTTCACCACCCATCAGCAGCAAGACGACAGCGACTGGAGTCATCGCACCATCATCGCACGATCCGATCTCAGGAATGAAGAGCGGTAGAAGGCCTAAACCATCCCGCCATAGAAAGTGTGACCCAGGTGGCTCGCGAAGGCGCGCACTACCAATTCGCAACAAGACGGAGGACGCAGCAGGCATCGTTCCGGTCGAGGCGCACCTTCACCGGATCAGAGTAAGCATCAGCACTTCAATGAATCGCGACGGCTGTCCTCGACTCGTGGATCTCTACTTCTTACTCGCGAAATAATCAAGAAAGCACCATTCAATCGTGTAGTATACGATTACTTGCAACTTTCAGCCTCCCTACAGCTTGCTCGGCTTCCACTTCGGCTGTCTCTTCTCCTTGAAGGCCAGCAAGCCCTCTCTCGTGTTCTCACCACTCATCAAGCCATCCCGCCATCGATCATCTGCCGTCTGGAAAGCGCGTTCAACGCTGTCCCTTTCCCAAGCCTCGCGAATCGCAGCACGACTGACGATAATGGCATCTGGACTGATGGCAGCAACCTTTCCGGCCAGTGCAATGGCTTCATCAACCACACTTTCTTGAGACTTGGAGACCTTGTTGATGAGCTGGAAGTTCAGCGCTTCCTGAGCTGTCAGGAATCGCGCAGTGAGGGCAATTTCATTGGCGAGTGGAAGCGACGTGTTTCGTAGCAGGCGTGGCAGACCACCAGCACCAGCATAGATACCGCGAAGCGCCTCCGGAAGGCCGAACGTAGCGTTTGGCGAGGCCACGACCATGTCACTTGAATGCAGATCAGCCAAACCCTCAAAGTCAGACACCAGTAGCTCTATACTCACCAATTAAGAACAATCTCAAACCCCCCACCCAACGCAAAGCCATTCACCGCCGCAATGATCGGCTTCTTCCCCACCCTCCTACTGATCCCCGCGAACCCGCTCGGCGGATGCCCAGCCATGCTCCTGACCATCTCTACAATCTTCGCATCCTCACTTCCCTCCCCACCTTTCCCACCCGCAGCAGCCTCCCGCCGCTTCCCCAACTCGATCAGATCCTGGCCGGCACAGAAAGACTTCTTACCCTTGCCAGTGATGACGGCGACGCGGAGCTCGGGCTCGGCGTCGAACCACGTGAAGAGGGCGTGCATGGCCCAGTGGACGGCGAAGGGGATTGAGTTCATTGCCTTCTCGCGGTTGATAGTCACGAGTAGGATGTGGGGGGTTGGGAAGGAGAGGATTAGGGAGTCATTGTGGGGCGGATTCTTCTCGAATTTTGGTTGGGCCATGTTGTGCTGTTGCTGGGATGATTTGTGACCTTTGGACACCTTGTCGAGAGGATGTTATTACAGATTGAAACGTGTCTGAAAGAGCTTCAGTTTGTGTCAGGCAAGCAAATCGCTGAGGTAGAGGCAGTATGACCCGAGTTGCCTCGGCTCTCCACAGATGACAGCGTGGTGCGAAAAGGGTCTAATGGTATCACGTCGACAAAGATGGCAAGTCCCGACATTGACCTCAACCGTACTGTATGTTCCCCATGTGCATTGTTCGAGGAGCAGCGAAGCCCACGGCCTGGATCGGTTGCTGTCAAACGATGCTTGACCGCACTGGATGGCTCAGACAGAGCTTCGGGCAAGATTGGCTCGGCGAGCAAGTGCCCTAGAAGTCTCCGGAGCTGGCACTGCATCTATATTCATGTTACAGGATAACCAGCACTTGCGATTCTCTAGATCTCTTGTGTAATCGGCCGAGTGTTTGCAGGAGTCTCATGAAGCTCGAGTGCTATCTAGACGTATGCAAGCGATGCCACGCAGGCACTCCTGCGACCTCCAATGGCGGCGCAACACAGTTGGGCTGCTGCACTGATGAGGGAAAGCCCTGCTTGCCGCAGATGTATGGTCTGCGCCTCAAACAAAGAAGACTTGAACACACTTGACGACGACACTAACCACAGCACGTGTCTTGGCAACAGACCAGCCTCGCGCAGGTCAACGACCGCCAAAACCCAAGCACTCAACACCGGGTTCGAACCATGTAGTCGCGGTTGACACTGGGCAGTAACAAGTAGTCGTAACTAAGCAAACCAAGTCACCGAGTCGTTGTTAGCGACTTGCAAAAAGCAATGATGTTGGAGGGCTCACGACTTACTGCGTGAGCTCCGGAGCACTTACTCTCCTATTATTCTTGCGAAGGCTCAGAACCTTCTGGTGATTGACTGAGCCCCCCCGAGACGCTCAAGGCTACTCTCAAATTTTTCGTTTTTAGAATAGGGAGCTACCCTATGTACTTGCAAGTACTTCAATTCTTAAAGCACCATACCCTTCTTTTCGGGGCAGGTTACGATGCAAATTTTGGAGGTGTAATATATAAAGAGTGGTTGCTGAGGAACACTGAGTCGGGAGCAAGTGACGAGCGAGGCTCGGGTCAAGTGATGGTGAGGTGGAAGTGAGGTGGAAGTGAGGTCGAAGTGGCTTGGCAGCGACGTGATCGAATTTGAGGCTGGCGACGACTCTTCTATCTCACATGAGACTGTCTTTTGCCTCGGTCGTCCCGTGGTTGCTTGCGAGACATGCTAGCAGTCTCACAACTTACTGCCGATCATGTTAGGACCAGATCGTCGACGGACGGACACCAAAGTAGGGCATGGGAACAGAATCTTACTTACTGCACTCCACTGCCACTGTCTGCGCCATCATACCCGCTCTTGCCCGGCACGCAGCCTTCGGCTCCGCCTCTCCGTCCAAACATCTCTCTCAAGTCGCCGACCAACAAGTCCGGTTGTTCATACGCAGCAAAATGTCCTCCAACATCAAACTCCTTCTGATGAACGACATTGCCCATAGTGCGATACCACAAACGCGGAAAGCTGCTCAACTCGACAGGAAAGTGTGCTATGCCAATCAGAGGCTTCACTGGTGAGCCTCTGACCAAGGCAGCAGGCGAGTCTTTCGGCATATTGCGACTCTCGTAGTAGATGCGAACTGACGCCGCGATCCCGCAGCCAAAGTAGTAGATGGAGACCCAGGTGAGTATTTCGTCATCAGTCCAAGGATAATGGTCGTGGTCGGACCAGTGATACAGCACATCATAGATCCAAGACAATAAGCCCACGGGACTGTCAGTATGCGAAATGGCGATTAGGGCCGGCCTGGTCTCTTGAATGCGATAGTAGCCCATCAAGTTCGCGCTGACGTCTCGAGTCTGCGCCAAATCGCGCTTTTCTCGGTCGGTCAGGGTGTGTGCTTCGACCTCGGCATGCAGCTCAGGATGCTTCTTAGCATCAGGTTTCTCTGGTACAGCGAGATTGCAGTGTATGGCCTTAAGGTGATCAGGGTACATACGTGCCATGGTATGCGTTGTGAAATAGCCCAGATCGCCACCTTGAGTCACGTATTGGTCATAGCCGAGCTGGAGCATGAGCTTATGGCATGTCTCGGCGTGCTGGGTAACATTGAAGCCTGGCTTTATACATTCCGAGGAGAAGCCGAAGTTGATCAAGCTTGGAGCTACCACGTGGAATGCGGGTTGGTCGGGTGAGTCGGGATGAGTGAGTTTGTGGATGATCTTGGTGACCTCGATGAAGCTGCCTGGCCATCCATGAACGAAACACAGCGGGATGGCATTTGCGACATGGCTGCGCTGGTGGATGAAATGCACAGAGAAGGCCCCGAAGTTGTCGATGTCGATATTTGTGGTGAATTGTGATAACCTATTGAGCTGGGCCTCGGCTTTGCGCCAGTCGTAACCGTCCTCCCAACGAGCAGCCAAGCGTTTGACATCCTTCAGCGGAGGCCCTCGATGCCAGGACTCGGCGTCATCAGCTTCAGACGGATAGTCAGTAAGAGCGAGCTTCTGCTTGAGCCGCTTGATCTTGGCCTCCGGGACATCAATCTTGAAGGGAACTGGACTAGCCATATCATCGAGTCTGGAGAACGAGTCCGCACTGGAGTATCTGGCAAGAGCTCAACAGTATTGGTATGTGAAGCTTGACCTACACTTCTGTACTTCTGCAATAGTTGGGATCGGCAGCCGGCATTTGGACTGTCGATCTTTCCAATTCAAGCCGAGGCAAGCGGCTTAGTGCATGAGGCTGCCCTCAAGAGCCCGAGACACTAGGCCGGACGTCCGTAGGGAATGCTTAGCATCGCAGATGCAGAATAGAGAACTGAGTGGTTTCGAACATACAGCAGTCAGCTTTTGTTACGAATGACCAAGAGCTGGAGCTTGCGGAAGTGTAAGCGGCGCTGTATGAATGTCTCAACGTTGCAACATGTTCTCAGCTTTCAACCACGTTTGCTAAGCCACTGCGGGCACACTAACGGCAGCAGTAGAGCGCGCAGAATCAGCGGAACATCTAGTCTACAAGACCAGGAAAGGCGCAGGAGGTGGAAGCAGAGAAAGAGAAGCTTGCAAACTCGAAAACAAACATTGCACCATTGAGTCTCGTAGAGAACCGTAGAGCTCAACTTCCCCTCGTTACTCAGGTCCTAGGCTCAGGACTGCCTATCTGGTATCTCGCCTGAATCAGCTGTTGTCAGCCAGAGCTGCAAGGCAGAAGATGCGCAAAAGGCGCGCGAATGTACGGCCGCGATGATGTTCATACGATCCGGACATCAAGTCCTCAATGGTTGGTGAACTTGGGTAAGCAGATAAAGGATTTCCATATCAGGCGGGAGATGGGTGTCATCAATTCAGGCCGTTGGTGATGACTTGAATCAGCGGCCATGGATCAGGCTGTGTGCGACGTGCCGTAACGCTCTGGTCTCTCTGAAGAAGGTATGTATGCAAAGCATGTGGGGTGGGTCAGTCATGTGGGACATCTGGGGATCCGGGGTATCTGAGCTCCTCGCACCGGGCCCTACGAAAGGGGCAAGCCAGCCATCCGTGGTTCACACTCCTTCATGAACTTCACTCACCCTCCATCTGCTACCACCTAAGGCAAGGACTACAGGAAAGATCACCGAGACGACCATGGTGTTCCGTGTGGGCAATATCGATGTCCTGCAAAAACCAACAACTCCAACCACCGAGCCAATAGCGAAGTACGACGGGCTGAAGCCAAGCGTCACCGAGCTTCCTGCGGGCTTCCAGAAGACTGCCGGGCACCGTGCTTTCCGAGCGAAAACGATCTTCGAGAAGGACATTGCCGTTCCGCTGCGCGATGGCGCCACCATTCGCGCTGACGTCTTCCGACCTGCTGATGTGGTGCACAAGGTGCCTGCGCTTGTTGCATGGAGTCCCTACGGCAAAAGCGGCACTGGATTCTTCTCCCTGGACCTCGTTCCGGGCCGTGTTGGAGTCTCACAAGATAGACTGTCGGGATTTGAATGCTTCGAAGGCCTTGATCCCGCAGAGTGGACGGCCAGAGGCTACGCAATAGTGAATGTTGACGCTCGAGGTGCATTTGGCTCTGAGGGCGATTTGAGATGGTTCGGCAGCGCTGAGGGTCGAGACGGACACGACGCAATTGAGCATCTTGCAACCCTGCCGTGGTGTAGCGGGAAGATCGGACTGGTCGGGAACTCCTGGCTAGCTGCTGCGCAGTGGTTCATCGCAGCAGAGCAGCTCCGCACCTGACCTGTATAGCCCCATTAGAGGGCCTCAGTGACATGTATCGCGAGACTCTCTGCAGAGGAGGCGTGCCATACAAGCCTTTCTGGGGATTCTTAAGCACGATGCTCTTTGGACACAACAAGCAAGAGGACGCAATCGGCATGATTGACAAGTACCCCTTGATGAACGACTATTGGGCAGACAAAAGAGTCGATATGAGCAAGATTACTATCCCGGCATACGTCCTCGCGAGCTACTCTACGGCTTTGCATACTGTGGGATCGTTCCGAGGCTTCGAAGAACTCCCGTCCAAGGAGAAGTGGCTCAGGGTCCATCCCACCCAAGAGTGGCACGACTTATACAGTGAGGCGTGTACAGAAGACCTCCAGCGCTACTTCGACTGCTACCTGAAGGGTGAGCAGAACGACTGGAAGCAGACGCCTCAGATTCGGGCAAGTCTGCTTCGTTTCAATCAGGACCCGATTGTGAATTACGTCTTCAGCGACTGGCCTATACCCGACACCGATTATCGCAAGCTCTACTTGTCAGGAGACGCCCAACTTGTGCATGACCTGCCCAGGAGTTCTCAAACCTTCTCTTACCAATCAGATACCCCATCATTACAGATTGACGCAGATTCTGAAGAGCTTCACTTCAGCCATAAATTCACAGCTCGCAGCTATCTCGTCGGCTATTCCCGAGCGGTGCTCTATGTGTCCTGCCCCAACAGCGACGATCTGGACGTTTTCATCCAGCTTCGCAAAGCAGACGCCAGCGGCAAGTTGTTACAGAACATCAACATTCCCCTGGAGCACCTCGAGCTTAAGGCGGAAGAAGTTGCGACCGTCAACACTAACAAATACCTTGGCCCCACAGGCATACTCCGTGCGAGCCACCGGAAGATCGATTATGAGCAGTCGAAACCCCATTGGCCTCTGCATAGCCATTTCGAAGAGGAGAAGGTGCCGAGAGGTCAAGTTGTCGAGCTGACTATCGGGTTGTGGCCAACGGGGATGGCTTTTGAGGCTGGAGAGCAGCTAGTCCTCAAGATCGCAGGCCATCACATGACTCTGGCTGAGTTTGAGCCATTGCGTGGCGGGTTCCAGACAAGCAATAAGGGCACACATGTTGTTCATGTTGGACCGGAGCATCCGAGTCATGTTGTCGTGCCATTCGTGAGTGTGTAGTGTACACGGGTTTCGGCAAAGCAATGGGATTTGGTTGCAGGCGAATTATTTGCCTCCAAAATCACACACCCTCATCCATCTTGCTCTGTCCCGTCCTCGCCTCTTTAGCACTTGTCCGCGCTGATCTCGGTACCGTCTCCATGGACGAAATCCAGGACCATGACTTCCTTGCTTAATTTGCCGTCCAAAAAGCTGATCAGCTCTTTATGCATCGGGTCTTGCTTCACGAAATACATCCGGTCTCCATTCGACGCAAATGTGACCACGCAAGCAAGATTGTAGCCTTGCGCAGTGTATCGTCAGTTTGACACGACACGTTACTCGCAAGAGTCCATCTAGGTACTGACCTAAACTTCTGACGGGTGGGGATGGCCTTGTCGTACCACATCTGACATTGACGATGTAGGGGATGCCATCTTTCAAGCTTCGTGTTGTCAGGGTCTCAATGAATCAAACGACAGCTGGAACTTCTTCCGGGTCCTTGAAGGAGTATAGGACGATGTGCTCGATCCACATGGTCATGGTCGTGGCTGTGGGCTTGATGCATCGGCTTCTTCACATGGATGACATGAGGGCTAATTTTGGGCACTCTCGACGGTCTGTGTTCGAATTATGCAAGATGGAAGTTGGTGGCAGCAAGGCAAGGAGACGCAGATACGGCAGCTGTGTTCGGATGACTCTTGCCGGAGAATAGCGGGAAACTGAAGATGCGATTGTAGGGATGATCTCTGGGACGCCAATGTGGGACCAGCGGTCGAGCTAATGTGCTATCTTGATGGACCTGGAAAATGAGAGCCCAAGAACCTTCCAAGCTATCCGAATTAGCCGGCATCACTTGTGGCAAGACGTGGGGAGCACGCTGGACGCGAACTGGCACAGGACATCTCGACGCAAGCCAGACTCTCTACGCTCTGGTTAGCTGTAGCTCCGGCGTTCACGATCTCAAATGTGATGGATGGAGCTGCTCGATCACAGACGCTGCGACCGTCAGTGTCAGGCTATCATGCTGGCGGCTATCTCGTACGCTTTGATTCGATGCACCAGGCTTTTGCGCCGCCATAGCCAGCAGGTCATTCCTCAAATTGCTGGAGATACCCATCTGCCACACGATGTTCCTTTTCCATGACATCCACATGTGCTGCTGATCTTGGTATGAACTGCAACGGAAATTCTTTGGGTGCTATCAGGAAACCACCATGGTAGCTGGTCGCAACGTCGTCGTCGAGTCTGCCACCCTCAGGCTTGATGTTGAATCCCCACACGAGTTTGGCCATATTCACGATCTGAATCCGTCAGCCTGTTACTTTACACTGATGCGTGCAGGAGCACATACGAGTGAGTTCTCTGCTAGCCTCTGGCCCGAGCAAACACGTCTGCCGGCACCGAAGCCGTACTGCACTCGCCGCTTCGACTCGTCGATTTGCCCCGAGTGCAATGGATCAATGCCGAACTTGTTATGAAGGAATCTCTCCGGCTTGAAAGCCTCTGGGTCTTCGAACTCGGCGGTCCTATGGATTGCCCATGCATTGGCAAAAAGAATGGTGCCTTTTGGGATGAAGTATCCGTTGTAATGATCATCCTCTGTTACGGCGTGCGGAATACCACCTGCGGCAACGGGACGCCAACGTAGGGTCTATGAGCAGTAAATAAGCGAGACCTAACTCAAGCATGCTGGGAATAGTTTGCTGTGACTTACCTCGTTCATGACTGCTCGCACATAGGGCAATTGATCTAGGTCGTCAATGGCGGGGCTTCGCACAACACCACAAAGCGCGTCAACCTCTTCTTGACATCGTCTCAGAACATCTGGATGGTTAGCCATGGCGAGGAGGAACGAGAGAAGTGTGGACGCAGTGGTATCGGAGCCGGCTTCCATCTGCGATAGCGTTAATGGGACGTTCAGGATCGGAAGGTCTACATACCAGTGTACCTCCAAGATAGGCAATATGTTCGTCGCTCAACCCACTTTTTTCCTGGTCCTTGATCAAGCGAGCTAGAAAGCATTCTTTGGCGTCATCTTTCTGCATCTGTCTCTTACTCTGTTGCATCAGGGAGAAATAGAGGGCTCGCTGCTCTGTGCGGATGGAGTATGCCCACTTCCTCCAGCTGCTGACAACGTTCGGCAGGCGTTTCAACCATGGGAATATGTCGACGGGTGGCGTGGCGCCTAGCTCGGTGATCTGGGTGAACTGATCCTGTACATGATATAGGGCGCTCACTTGTGGCGAATCGAAGCTGGCACCGCGCACACCAAAGACCGACGCCAGGATAACAGCAGTGGAGTATCTGCGGATGTGGTCATACCATCTACCTGGTGCATTGTCTGTGTCGCTTCAGCGTTCTGGATCGGCAGCAGGCCATCGACAGCCGTGACACTCAGGAGGCCTTTCATCGGAGGGCTTGCCGGGCGGTCTTGCGGCGCTTGGGGGGCGGTGATGGTGTAGGGAGCTTGTAATTGATTCGTTTGGTCCGCTGTGGCCGGCCAGACGACGAAGAAGTTGCTGCGGTAGCAGGAGGGACGTGCACGCGCGCCGGCGAGCCAAGCATTGTGGTGTCGACTGCTGCACGATCAAAGATTAGAACACAATACCATAATCGAAATCGTCTTACCATGATTGAGGCTGGCTATCATGCCACGCTTAGGTGGCTCATTCTCCTTGTCATCGCCTCCACAGCCGGCGATGGCATCCTTCGTATCTTCTGTTTATGTTAGTGGGACGAGACTAGATTTGAACGGGACGATGGATTCAACCAAGAGCGGGTGTTGAGACCGCAGGGGCCTCTCCCATGTCTTCGTCATCATCGTCGTCTTTGCTGTTGTTGTTGCTGTCGTCATCGTTGTCATCGAACAAAACAAATTCATCGCGCGGCGGAACAGACAGTATACCCGATTGCTCGGGCTTGGTCACATTTGACCGAGATGCAGGACGAACAGGCGCAAGAACAGGCGCAAGAACAGGAGAGCCGACAGGCGACGAGCTTGGTGGTGGCGTATCACCTCCATCCGATACATCATCGGATGGCCGCAAGCGATACTCGATCATCTCACCTTCCACCGAAAACCTACTGGTATTTGCGAAGGTATGCAGAGGCATTGCTGATCGCGATGTTTGGTACGGTCAGTAGTGTCCGGTCCGAGCGGGTCGCTCGATGAAATTTCCCATTTTGCGTTCCATTGTGGGATGGAGTTCCGGTATTTCTCCTATAGGCTCATCCAAACTCTAAGCTGCTCTCTTAAGCACGTCCTACTGCAGTCCTTTGATGCCCCGAATGTGTAGCACGTTCACCATGAGATGCGCACCACGGACATGATGTCTGCCAGGGTAGATCATCGGCAGCTAGCTCGGTGTGATGCAATCCAGATGTACTGCTTGATCCGTGTTTGATGCTCAACAAGCTTGCCCGGACGATTGTGGTTTATCCGAACTGGAATCTCGTGTCCGACTTCTATCCTATGAGCCCTGAGCTTAGGGTTGTGGCCTCGTCGACCTGGACCTGTGAGTTGAGCTCACGGAAGAGCAGCTCTAGCGGCACATTACTAGGCAGTCGCAGGCGTGGGAATTGTATGGCCGATATGCTATCGCACAGGACACTGATTTGGCCTTCCTGAATGCGCGTCACTCACCTCGATCGGCGCCTTAGCAAGGATGCAGGCAGCGGCCAATGTGACAGGCCTTAGACTTCTCCTGGACTTCCATTCCTGGGCGTCCAGCGGCGCTGCACTTTCTCTGATGGAGGTGCAGAATTAACAGCATATAATGCGGTGGCATCGCCATTTGCGTCTGGGTCATGGACGGAGAGGCACGGTCTGCTCCTCAGCAAGCTATAGCTGCCATGAGTGCTGCAGAGCTGGCCATGTTCGGAGTGCTTACATGTGACCGCGTACTGCTGCGATTGTCCTAGGTCACTCACAGTCTCGATGCTCTAAAATGGACGATAACTGGCCATCTCAACTTCGCAGCAGTTCAGGTAGGGCTCCAGGACGAATATGTGACAATTTGAGCCTCTAACTCGAGCATATTAGGGATCCGGTGCAATGGCGACTACCATCTGCATCAGGTCGTGTCTCAATCACGTGGTATGGATGGGCAGCAAGTGACGAATTGTGATTGCGAAGGATTGTGTACTTCTTCTGGTGACAGCGTGACGTTGCTATGGGCTACCGGGCTCGTCGAGTCGCGATCTCGTTTGCAAGGCTGCAAGTAATGACTTCCGCTGCCTTCTACTCTTCACACCTACAACCGTGGTGTTCCTCGATCGACAATCCTGGCACACGCTTCTCCTTTGAAGGGCAATCGCTCACCGGTGGACTACTACAATTTGACAAATCTGTGCCCTCTTCGTCTTTCGCCAAGCCAGATTCGCATTCAACTTGCCTCTAGCACTACCGCAAAACAATACCTGGTTTGCGTCCTGTTGGCCGCAAATATCGGACTTTGTTCCATTGTCCTAGCCACAAATAATTGAACGTAAGTCTTCCAGATTCCAATCATCGCTGACAACATACTTGTTGCTTCCTCACGGCCGCGTTTCGAATATACCACAAGTTTCTTTGACCGGCTTTGGAAGAACATCATACGTTGACCAGCGTCTACTTGGGCCAGCTCCAACTTGAGCCAACGTCTCTCTGGACCAGCTTGCCCCGAGCGCGTCAAGTTCCTGACTAACGGCTCTCAATACAGAAAGCGTAACTCTATCAGTTCGGCGACAAGACTCTTTGGAGCATGCCTCCCAAGAAGAAAAAGGCTAAGGCCGTGTCCGCCTCGCAGGCGCAGTCGCTTCCCGTCGCTGAGACCACGGCTCCAGCCCTAATGGGACCTCCATTCACATTCACCGAAGAAGACCTCTCTCGGTCCTGGTGGAAACTCTACTACGCCCCTGGCCATGTAACTTACCAGCGTCTCCTCGACTATGTTGCGTCAGATCCCTATCTCATGACACTTCCCGAGGATTTTGGCGACATGACAAAGGAGGAGCAGACAGCGATCGCTGCCAAAATGCCTAAAGGTCAGCTTCCATTGGTTTACCAAGCCATTCAGCGGATCTGTCGCGAATATGAAGCGGAGAACTCGAAGACACCCTGGCTACCAATGTTCGACGTTCTCTCTCGAACAGACGAGGCTCTGTCCGGCATCAGATCCCGCATTGCGAGCAACACTGCTACACCAGCGGATCATGAGCAGTACAGACAGTATCTTGAGCATTGTATGGCGAAGTACAAAGCTCTCGAAAAGAAGCAGCTCGACGTCGCCACTGAGGAGGACAAACAGCCCAAGAAACATGCTATGCGCACCGACACGGAAGGGTATCAGGTCTTCGATAGCAAGTATCCGAACAACAACTGGTCTATCATCATCACTGATTTCGATGAATGGCTTTGTGCTCCGCGAGCTTGCGCGCACTCCTTCCTGCACGACAACCCCGAGGTCGGTGTCACATACCAAGAGCTTGTCGATATGCTTTCTGATATGCTGGAGTCCGAGGAAATCAAGTCGAAGATCATTCCCGTCGTGGACGAAACAGGAAAACCCCTGTCGAAGAAGAAAGTCGAGCAACTGGACGGGAAAGGCTACCAGTTCAGCCACATGGCGCTGGCATTCTCAACCTGGGCTTATCAAAATGGCTACGGTCATTACCGACTTGGTGTCTACATCGAAGAGCAGACTGTCCTCCTGGAAACGTACGTTAGTGGACAAGACGAGCCAACGGGCCGAACATTGTTCATCCACAACAACAACTCTCGAGCTCTCTCCGGAAATACTGCTAACATCAAAGCCGATCACTACAGTGGGATCCGCCTTGGTCCTCCTCCTACAGAGCCAGCACTTACAGTCAAGCCAGCAGCTGCGAAGAAGAAGCTCTCGACAAGCCTTCCCATACCAAAGAACGCTCAGCTTGTGACGACACAGCGCAGCAACAACGGGTCTGACGTCTACTCTGGGCCAGACATTGTCGGGCGACCATACACATGCATCAAAGCATACTTCAAATCGCACGAGACAGATATCGATCTTGAAGTTGGTGACATTGGTAGAGTCATTGCTGCCACGACGAAGTCCTCTGGCAAGATCTACGCCAAAGTCTCTATCATCCGTACTCAGCAACGTGGCTGGGTTGACCGATCTTGTATCGAAGTTGGTACAGGATCTTATGGCAGTCTCTCAGTCCAGCTCGCTGGTGAGTTTCTTGCGCCGGTCCTACCTACAGTTCAGGTCCCTGGAAACCCAAGTCTTCTCTCCCGAACCCTCAGAGCATTCGCTATGGGTCTCCGCGACTGCCCGGACATCACATTGAACGTCGGCGTGCTAGGAGCCTCCAAAACCCAGCCACTATGGACGACTTTCTATCAAAGATCGAGAAAGGAATAGCCACAGCGGGCTATACGGCGGTACTCGACACGACTTTCACGTACCAGCAGCTGAGGGACGCAGGCTCTCCGGTTACTTCGATTGCCAGCAGAACGCTCAAGGCTGCGGGAAAATCTCAGCAATCAGTGGCACCCAAGCTCCTTGGTTCCCACGCCAGACGCAAGGGCATCTACTTACGCTTCTATTCGGAGTTCTATGACTTGCAACTTGAGAAGGAGTTGAATAAGGCTGCAAAGCGTAAGGGCAACTCATTCAAGCTCAAGGGTGGCTCTCTCGCCAGTCATCACGGACCACCCAAGGACTACATGTACGATGGCAAGACCGAGATTGGTTTCGTCACACGTGAGGCGAGACACGACAGCGATGCCTCTGCCGGCTATGGCTCCGACAGTAATCACTACAGCATTGCCGCCCTCTACGACCCGATCAAGGGCCGTCTCACTGTACCATTTGTTGTCTTTGAAGAGGAGGATGAGTCCAATGAGGTGCTGTACGCCCTCGCTGAGCAGCTGACATTGATGCTCTTCAACTTGTTCCTCCCCCTGATGAAGCGAGAGATCAAGCCAACAGTGACAGTTTCTGCTGAAGATCTCGACCCGGATGCTTCTGCGCTAGCTGAGGCTGCTGGGACGGCCAGTGCTGCAGCAAGTGCCGGCGAGTGGGCGGCCTCGATAAGAACAGGACAGGTCATATACCAACTCACCAAGTCTGTCGCTAAGCAGGTAGGCTGGATTGGCGCTTATGACCGTCCAGGCTTCACACCGAATGGTGGCAATGGCCTGAACTGGCAAATGCCAGCATGCGTGACCAGCGCCAGTAGTGCAGTTGCATGGACTAGGGTCATGACCTCCGACCGAGCAATCTTTTATCGGAATCGCCCACTGGCAGTCTTTGCAAAGGGGAAGACAAGTCACAGACTCGTGATTCTTTTCGATGGAGAGCGAGCGAACACAAGACGCATGGAAGTCTATGCTGGCGATATTCCGGCAGGGACGAAGGTGTTTCCCGTCATTGAGGTCATGAAGAACGGTGATGTCCACGACTTCCAATACGCGCGCTTACCAGAGCTTCCATTGTACGTCGATCAAAACGAAGCGAGCGCCGTTGCTCTTTATTTTTTGTACAAGGATCTAAACGGACAATGGCACAAACGATACCAGCAGGCCGCCGAAAAGTTCGGAAACTCGGCATCCATGCCGCTGGTGTCTTATGTATCAGCTTTGGCGTTGAGATATCATGTTGAACGCGTCCCGATCGTTCGACCCGACCACTGGACCGATGACTTTGGCACACGAATTGGGCTTGCAGATTCTGTCAAAGACGTCTCGTATGACCACATGCGACAAACGTATGTCATGACAGAGCTGTCCATCCAAGACTCCAAGACAGTTGGGATTGTGACTGACTATGATACACGTCGATCGTTCTTCGAGAATGTGCCTTTCGACAATGTGGGAATACCTTGGCCGAACGATGCAAAGATGAAGGAGCTCTTCCCCAAAACCAACCCGAAACAAAAAAAGATACGCCAAAAATGTGATCTCTGCGTCATCTTCACGATGAACTCTTTACTGCCAAAGACACCAGCCACATGTAAGAGACACGAAGGCACTGATCAGTGTGAGCTCTGTCACGAACTCGGCGTGCCTTGCAGCTGGACCAAGTGGGAGAAGATCGGTCAGTTCCGGCGAGGAACCAAACATAGACCCAACCAGATGGTGATGGACAAATTGAATGATGAGGTCAAGCTTGCCATAAAAGGCCCGGATCGCATCGAGGAAGTTGACTTTGAGATCGACGATCCTGGCTTCATTACGGCGCAAATAGACTGAGGACAGGAACGGGAGACAAAGTCGACGATGGCCGGAAAGAAGTGATGGAGCAGTGCTTGGACCACCAGGAGGATTTGCGCGATAACGGTGGGCTTCAAGAAGTGCCGTTCGTCAGGTGGCAAGGTATGGCACGAACGTTGACTTAGTGGCATGTCTCGAGGAGGCTCGACGAGGCAAAGTCAATCGCTAGACCAACATCTCATACCAGCTGGAGCGTCTTACAGAATGATTCATACTGTAACAATGAACAAGCGCAGTTACGGTCGGAAGGGATGATTTCCGTACCCTACTTTCCTGAAAGACAAGCTGATATGGATCAGCTAAAGGGCGATTCGAAGTCCGTAAATTCATAGTCCGCCCGAGCGCCAGGAGATGTTGCTGTACCGCTTGCGTCCGTTCTGCGCTCAGCGAGCCCTCTAACCGTGCTTCCAGTATATCAATACTGATGCCTTCGAGCGCTGCGTATATACTAAAGCCGCTGTCATACGGTATGTGGCTGTAGGCTGAAATGGGCACCGATGGTGAAGTTGGCGCGTGACTTGTGACCTCATGGCCAATACTCTGGCTGTCTCTCAACTTGAGTCTCCATTGAGTCGCGGTAGATGCTGCGAACTCCATGTCAGAGCTAGCCAAGACAAGGCGGCGAGGGTCGTGGCGGAAAGTCCCTTCGTGATGAAACAGATTCGCAAGCTCTGCGTCATGAACTCGCAGTCCGTGTACCAGTCTGATCTTCATCTCCACTCTAGCCCAGTTGGCCCAGGCCTGGTCGGTCGAAGCCTGGTGCTCGCTGGAGTTATCAGAGTCGTGCTGAGCCGTGAAGGCGCCGACTCTTCTTGCCCAGTGGACGACAGTTCCCTGAAATGCATCGACCAGGGCTAGATAGTCCGGGTTTCCACAGAGAAGCGCAAAAGTTTGGCCGATGAGAGCTGCTTGTGTCATCGACATCGCTTCATGGCTGTCACGTGCCATCAGCTTATCCCACTTATTTATGATCGCTTTGTGTAACCTGTGGAACATCTGAGTAGCCCAAATGAGCGCATTTTCCACGCCAGTAAAGAGGCAGCCCACCGAACAGATCGATAGCAAAAGCATAGTGTTCCCCTTTGACGGCTTGAATGTCGGCATGTGTATTATGGGAAATACAGGCTGAAATCGCAGAAAGTAAAGCTGCACACAGCAGTTGAGGAAATCAGTCGAAGGTAGTTGGTGTTGCTCCGGCACCGGAATATTCAAACGTCGATGCAACGCATGTCGATAGTTCTCGTCCACTTCCCCTTCCGCTGCAGGACTCGCGATGCCTGATTCAGGCAAAAGCTCTTGTCGGCGTTCGACGTTGGTGAACCAGATATCACACACATTTGCCGCCGGCTTGGGAGGCTCGACAGGGGCAGCCTCGTACGCTTGCAAGGGTGAGATATCGAACCCGGGCTGCGATAAGTCCTGTCCAAATGCAAAGTTGGCTAAATCGAGACCTTGAGCATCATCAAGCATCCAGTCGGGTAGTTGCTCCCACGACTGCCCGTCTCCGCAAACTTGATCATTGTAGTTGAGATCACTGGCTGATCCCAACAAAGCATCAGAAGCACTAGGCACATAGCTGTGGCCAGATTCCTGCGGACACCATACATCCTTTGCGGCAGAGAAGGGAAAGCGTTTTTGCGGTACGTTGACCTGAGATTGCGATGGCGCCTGTCCGTTCTGATGTGTAGCTGGAAGCTCGGGCTCCGATGCCTGTATGCTGGAGTTTGTCACTGTTGGCACGTCGACCGTACCAATCACATCGGCAATGTCATCGTTGCCAGGACTCTTGTGCTCGCGCTGATGCCGGAGCAGTGTATCACTTGCAAAGTTAGCTCTTCGATAACGGCATCCCGAGGTTCAAATTACCGTCTCGAATAGCACCGTCCGCACTGCGGGCACGAGAAGGGCTTCTCCTTTGTATGGGAGCGGACGTGTCTTGCAAGATGCTCGGTCTTGCTGAAACTTCGACCACAAACGTTGCAACTCCTCCTCATTGCCAGCCTAGCAGTGTCGCCGGGACTTCGGAGGCAAGCTATTGTGAGGCGCTTTTACGCACTTCAGCCCGGGGGAAGAAACCTCGGAAACTGCGAAGCTTCCATGTCGCCTATTCTAGGCAGTTCCGGGGAACCCCCCGTGGCGTCTCAGACTGCATCACTGAGCCGCGTGCTGAACCGTATCGTTCGTTGTCTCCGTCCCACAAAATATCTCACACTCAGGATTTAATCATGTCTCTTCCTCAAATCAGCTCATGACAGGTGAGGTCTCAAGATAGAAGACGCACCACAGCCATACGAATGCTGTACGGCTTTGGTCCCTGGGATCCGGAGTTCCTTTGCCTGATGTTTCGTGAACTTAGGTAAGCAGACCACCGACTGGCGATGGCGTGCTTGAGCCCCTTGATTGTGAGATTGTGAATGAGCGCGGGCTAAGCTTGTCCGCCTTGCGGTGCCGATCCGTGAAACACGCCGGGACGTGGCGCATGCCATATAATAATAAAATCATGTCCCTGCGACGATAATATGGACCGTGGAAGCTGGCGGCTAGACCGTCGTGCACCAAAGTCGACAACAGAAAGCACGATGGCTACAGCAGCAGCCGACGACTCGTCGGATATAGCAGAGTCAGAGCTTGGTAGCGGCGAGAGAACGCCACTCCTTGCTTCTGACTCTTCAACACTCTCAGGACGCGACATTGATCAGCATAAGGATGCCCTGGACGTCGAAAACAACATTAAGACCGAGACATCAACTCTAGGCAGGCAAATAGGATGGAGCAGCGCGTTCATTCTCGTCATCAGTCGCGTGATTGGCAGCGGCATCTACGCGATGCCTGGTGTTGTCCTGAGTGAAGTGGGCAGCACGGGCCTGGCATTGAGTCTCTGGGTCGCTGGAGCCCTAGTCTCCTATACAGGGCTGGCAATCACGATCGAGTACGGCGCCATGTTTCCACGATCTGGCGGAGTCAAGGTCTATCTCGAGGAGACATATCGCCGACCCCATCTTCTGGCAACCGTCCTTGTTGCCGTCCACGCAGTCTTACTCGGGTTCACGGCCTCGAACTGTATCATATTTGCAAAGTATATGCTTTATGCAGCCAACATTGAGCCAAGTGACATTTCGACCAAGCTCTCAGCCGTTGGATTGCTCACACTGATTACGATCGTGCATGGATGCTTCTATCGGACTGGCGTATACGTCCAAAACTTGCTGGGTTGGCTAAAGATTGGTCTCACCGTTTTCATGATCATGACGGGCTTCACCGTCCTAGCGAGGTCGAAAGAGCCTGTTCCTAAGTGGGCCGAGATCTGGGCAGGGTCGACCAGCGACTGGAACACGATATCTACGGCGTTCTTCAAGATTCTCTACTCGTTTGCAGGTCTCGAGAACGTCAACAACGTGATGAATGAAGTCAAGAAGCCAATTCGGACTATCAAGACTGTTGGCCCAGCCGGTCTTCTCACAGCATGCCTGATGTATCTCCTGATCAACATCTCGTACTTGGCAGTCGTTCCTGTGGACGAGGTCAAGCAGAGTCGCGAACTGATAGCTGCTCTCTTCTTCGAGAAAGTGGGGTTTGGAAGGTCATTTCTTCCCATTGCCATTGCGCTCAGTGCCGCAGGAAATGTCATGGTGGTCGTATTCAGCACGGTGAGTTTGCTGTGTCGATACGGCGAAGGTTGCTAACAAGTCCAGGCTCGTTTCAAGCAAGAAATTGCGCGGTCCGGCGTACTTCCACTTCCAAAGATCCTCGCCTCAAACGAGCCTTTCAATTCTCCACTGGGTGGCCTTTTGATACACTACATTCCTAGTGTGCTTGTGATCGTTCTGCCACCATCGAGCACTGTCTACAGCTTCATCGCCGACGTCGAGGGCTACTCAGGACAATTCTTCGGACTAGCAATTGCTGCGGGCTTGCTAATACTGCGCTGGAAACAACCAAACCTTCCTCGTCCGTATAAGGCGTGGCTGCCTGTTGTGTGGTTCCGGATCGCTCTCGCAATATGTCTCATAATGGCACCACTCTTCCCGCCCAAGAAACGACCGGAGGGCATGTTCTACGCCACGTATGCGTTGCTAGGTATAGCAGTGTAAGACAGCCCCTCGTTCGCCCTAGCATAAGCTGACCACTCTGAACAGTCTGATCTTCGGTATTGCTTATTGGTTCGCGACTGTGATCGCCTGGCCGCGCTACCGAGGCTACAAACTCGTGGAAGAGACCGAGGCGCTCAGAGATGGCACAAAGATTACAAAACTCGTCCGCCGGCCGCTCCAGAGTACGCCCTGAGTGGTTCACAAATGCCATATTTCCAAGCAACATCATATAGATAAAGACACAGCCCTGGTCATATGTCAATCCTCGTATGCTGATTGGACAGACGTGTCTTACGCGACATCTTCCCCACACCCCGTACAGCATCACGAACCTCTCCCCAACTATGGCGTGCTTACTGACAAATCAGGCATCAGGCCTGGTGGCACGATATATACACACGATGTCGAGGTGTTGTAATGGGCCATCACCAACGTCACTATGGCTTCAGCAGCAGTCGATCAGTCCGCCGGTGGACATACCACCACCTTTGAGCCACTTACCACCGTTCAGACCGGTGTGACCAAGCATCATGTTCGCACCATCTTGAACTACCACAAGCCCAATGAGGATGGAAGCCCACCTCATGCGACGTACGTCGGCAGGCCAGAGACCTACGAGCGACCCGTCGACCCAGTCGAAGTGACCATCAACGATATCCGCGGCGAGACAGACAAATACAATCTCGACAGCAATGGCTTCCAGCTCTACAACTTCCCCTCGGCCGAGAAGGACTTCCTCGACGACGACAAGATCAAGGCCGAGTACTATCCCGAGACGGAGAGACTGCTCAAGGAAGCGTGCGTTGACTCCATGACCTGACAATCCTCCATCGACACTAACAATCAACAGCACCGGCGCCTCCCGTGTCTTCATCTTCGACCACACCATCCGCCGCCCTGGCCCTCCCAGCGCCGAAAACCCCACCGAGAACACCCCGGCCGCACCCCTCCGCGGCCCCGTCCAGCGCGTACACATCGACCAATCCTACACGGCCTCGCGCTCCCGCGTCCCCCACCACCTGCCCGAGCTCGCCGACCAGCTCCTCAGACCCGCCACCAGATCATCAACGTCTGGCGCCCCATCAAGCCATCTACAAGGATCCTCTCGCTGTGGCCGACGCACACTCCGTGCCCGATACTGATCTGGTTCCTGTCCCGCTGATCTATCCAACTCGCTCGGGCGAGACCCTGACTGTGCTGCCGAACAAGTCGCACAAGTGGTATTTCGCGTATGGGCAGACGCCGGATGAGGTCATGTTGATCAGATGCTATGATAGTAAGTTGGACGGGAGGGCGAGACGGGTGCCGCACACGGCGTTTGTCAATCCGGAGACGGAGGACAGGGAGGCCAGGCAGAGTATTGAGATTCGGGCGCTGGTGTTCCATGAGGACCAGGAGGCTGAGTGATTGAGACTTAGGGAGTTAGTGAGGGGTACTCCAGCGTATGACTTGTAGTTTGATGAGGTTATGAATATTCTGCTGTTGTACTTGACTCTCGAGGTCGTCGTCTTCGAACATTGTCAATTGGCGTCATGTCTTACCCACGGCTGTCAAGTATGAACAGGCAGTCCATGAATACTTGATGAGTTGCGACTGCCACAGCCAAAGTCACTCCTGAGTAGTGGCCGCAAAGCCACCAGCACCCACGTGCCTGCCGTAAATACCTACACTCTCACACCTACGTGTACCTACCTTCAAGCTCATACCGTACCTTCCTTTGATACCCGAGCAGGCGCGTTGACGGTCTGGTCTATATCTGCGAGCTGGAGAAACGTCCAGAGTAGAATCCCAAGAGAAAGAGTGCAAGCACCCTACTCTGGACGTTTCTCCAACTGGCAGATGTAGACCAGACCGTCAACGCGTGCTCCAGATGATACGTAGACACTAGGTAGCTCGTGCTGTACAGCTGTGATCAAACTTTGCCCGCGTGTACGTATGTGTGCCCGTCAGACTACTTAGGTGGAGTGGAAGGCGACACTGCTCGTGAATGCGAAGACATCTGGCATACGCCCAGCTTCTCAATCTCACGATCTCGGAACCTTGAGCAGCATGAATCTCAGGCCCTGTGATGCGTGTCGCGTGAAGGGCATCGGATGTTTTCCGGCCTGCCCCTCATTGCCAGCATTGCTCCCCCACCATCCCACACATTGACGAGATCCCTCGGTAGTGAAGTCACGTCACGAAATCGAATCAGTATTTGGTGAAATTCACTGCTCCGTGCTCGATTACAAACTAAGTATCCTTTGATGTATGCTGCTGACTAGATTTCCTTGTGCTCGTCGTCGCCTGTATAGATCGCTCGTCAATCTAAGACTTCGTCCAAGCTCTACCAGTATATACGGCATTATGCCATCCCCTCCACAGCCAGACCTCCCTCATCCGGCTCATGTCGATAGAGAATCCGGCCTTGGTAGGAAATTTGGCAAGGAAGTTGTGAATTACTTCGGCAGTAGGATGATACATGGCAGACGAGCTCCACGATGCTGACCATCTCCAGGCTCACCATTGAACCGACTGTCCTTCCTGCGCGAAGACTACGGCTTCCTCGCCGGCGCATTCGACCACCCGACAACCAAGTTCCTGTGCTTCAAGAACCTGTCACCTCTCCAGAAGTCTCAGACCGAAATCCACCATGCCACATTACAAGAGCTCAAGCCCCTAGCACCCGAGAACCCATACGCAAAGACCGAGAAAGAAATCATAGAATCATTCGACTCAAGAAACGTCACCGCGCAATTCGTGTTCCTAGGCATAGACGAAAAAGTCACAGATGGCTACAAATTCCGTAACTTCACCGGCGCACCACACTTTGCAGTCGACATCACCCCAAAAGCCCCCTATGCCGAGGCAGCCGAAAAGATCATCGAAGGCTTCAACGCGAAAGGGTACAGCTTCGCCGAGGGCATGCGAGCAATGTTCTACCACGCCGATGTCGCCGCCGAGTACGCCCAGGGACGACACTACCTCGACTGGAACGCCCGCAACACGTTCTGCGGCACCTGTGGCCACCGCACATTGTCCGTGAACGCAGGAGCCAAGCGTGTCTGTCCACCCATCGACAAAGCAGAGTCTCCACCCGAGCGAGAAGCCTGCTCGACACGAACGACACTGTCCAATCTGACCTTCCCTCGCACCGACCCTACCATCATCGTCGCCGTCCTCTCCCACGACAGCAAACGTCTCCTCCTCGGCCGCCAGAAGCGATGGCCACCATACTGGTTCTCGACGCTGGCGGGCTTCATCGAGCCCGCCGAATCAGTCGAGGACGCCGTGCGGAGAGAAGTATGGGAGGAAGCAGGTGTCGTCTTGTCTCGCGTGCTCATCCACTCGACGCAGCCATGGCCGTATCCAGCGAATCTCATGATCGGGGCGATCGCACAAGTAGCGGCGCCGGAGGATGAGAATATCAAGTTGGACAATGATCCTGAGTTGGAGACTGCCAAGTGGTTCACGCTGGATGAGATTGAGGAGGCACTGCGGGTTGGGACGAGTGGATTGGGTGATCCGGCGCCGGAGGGGTATGTGGAGGGCAATTTGCGGTTGCCGCCTCCTACCGCTATTGCTCATCAGTTGATTAGTGCGGTGGTCAAGGGCGGGTTTCTGGAGGGCGTGACGCCGCTGGCTACTGCGAGTAAGATGTGAAGGGTGTGTTGAACGCTACCTCCAGCGAGACTCCGGATGGTGCCTGGATTGAGCGTGGGTCACTGTCTATGTAAAGAGGATGATAGAGTCAATGCACAGTGCAGAGGTTGCAATCACAGTCGGACAACATCTACCCAGTCTACCAGCGGCAATTCCACGAGGCGTGAGTAAGTTGCACAGGCACATGCTCTCGAATTACTGTTCTATAAAACCTGTGTTTGATCCTGCGAGGATGGTCGCGTCGTGGCCCTACAGTCACCGACCGCCGCTATCTGAATGAAGAATTAGAGCAATTAAGATTTGCTTCCCTCCGCTTCCTACCATCTCCTCTCACACTAGAGCTCCCTCGCCAGAGCAGCCATCAGCTAGCCCGCATAACACCAATTAGTAGTACCCCAAAACCGCCGTATCATACCTCACCAACTGCCCCTTCGCCGGCTCGTCCGACCCATACGAGAACGGATCGCCATTCGTACTCACGTACAGACTCCCACGCTCCAGATCCAAACTCGTAATCCCAAACTTCGCGCTTGTCAACCCATGCGGCAGCCCCGTCGAGTTTCCCGCCACCGCAGTAATATTATGCTTCTCGCCATTGGTCACACTGTCGAAGAACGCAACATGCCCATACTCACATGCCAGCCACGCGTTACCGGCAAAGTCAAGCGTGAAGTCGTCCGGGAAGATGTTTGCGAACTCCTGATCGATGAGCAGCTCCGCAGGGCCAGTGGCTGCACCCGTGGTGGAGTTGATGGGGCTACGGTAGAAGGTGACTGTGTTTGTGTTGTCGTAGTAGAGGTAGCCGTTACTGGCGACGAGGCCGTTGATGCCGAGGGGGAGGCCGCCGGAGAGGTCGGGTTGGGGGGCCATGGTGGCGTCTTTGATCGCGCTGGCTACGTCGCCCGTGCGGACGTTGACGGACCAGACGATGCCGTTGATTGAATCTGCGACCAGGAGGATGCCGAGTGTGGGGTTGAGGACTGTCAGGCCGTTGGCGAGGCCCGCATCAGGGAGGTCTGCGACTTTCTTGAGTTGCGCTTGGGTGCCGCGTTTCCAGTCAGACCAGTGGCCTTCGCTGTCGTGCTCGAGCTCGAGGCCGTTCAGGTTGATCTCCCAGATAGAGTAGCTGCCTTGTGTAGAGGTGAAGCTAGCTTCTACGTTAGCTCAGATTGGGACGCGAGTGAGAAGTGAAGGAATGGGTCGGAAGGAGACATGGAACAGGAGTACGAGACGAGAGTGTCAGAGACAGCTGCGAAACCTCTATTCTCCACTCTGTTCCCGGTCCAAATTTGGGAAGTAACTCACGTTTTGGTGGAAAAGTTGCCGATAACGGCGTAGAAGACGTCGAGACCGAGCTCGACTATGCCTAGGCAGGCGGTGTACTCGGGAAATTCAGCCACGATGACCGGGTCAAATTTACTGTCGTAGGAGATCAGGTAGACCTGTGGCTTGGAGAGTACGGTGCCGACGAAGTTGCCATCTGTTGAGCGAGCGGCTAGGTTCTCGATCCATATGCCATTGTCGAAGGTAGCAATGATGTTTGGCTCGAGGAGCGGCTCGGAGAACATGATGGGTGTCAGATCGCTGGCGGCTTGCCGGGGCTTGGGATATGAGAGGCGTGCAAAGGCTGGGGTGATGGCGAGACACCAGAAAAGCAGCGCGCTGATGCTGTTGATTGAAGACATTATGATAGTTGTGTAGATATACAGAGGAGAAGCTTCAATGAGTGTTCGACGATCGGGTGGTTGACATAGGGACCTGACCGGGTTCCATGATTCTTATATGCTTGCCTGCTTGAGCATCTACATTATGTCGTCTCGTCGAAGGGGCCAGGACTCAAGACCATGACCGCGAAGGTAGGATCCCACGAGCTGCTTAGCTGAATGCACATAATTTGCAATGACTGAAGCGAAATTGGAGCAATGTTCCTGCAACTTTCAATGGGGCTGGCGAGCAGAATGCAGTGATCACTTCCTAAGTCGCGTTGATGCTCGGGTCGACTTGTCCCGCGGTCAAGTCATCACGCCGTCGGGAATGCTGAAATTGCCTGAAGGTGCTTTTGGTGGATGTGTTATGGAATCGTGAGCTGCTAACAACTGACCGGCTCCATATGATGGCGAGGCTGAGTAAGGGAGCGGTGTCTGTGCTAGGAAGCTGTGGTCCCTTGGCTACAGTTTGATTGACGTCTGTCGTTGTTTTAGACGCGATGCTGTCTAACTTCGTCGGCCCCCACGATAGATATAGGGCTTGAGCTCGGTTCAGATAGCCTGTTCCTGGAGCTCGCTTGACCTGCATACGAGCCGGCGGTCAAGTCTTTACGTGGCTGCGGCATCTTTCTGAACCAGTCGATCGGTCACTAGCTCGTGAAAGGAAAGCTATGCTCCTAGCCTTTGCCCGATGTGTTGATAGCTACTGCTGTTCGGGGACCACTATTCGCGAACTCGATTTGTTGCCAGACCAGGACGATGCGTACTTGTCTCGATGTAGAGATGTTGAAGGACTGTGAATTCAAATTAGGCATGTACCTTAGTGATATGCACGCCGTTGAATGCCTCCAGAAAGGGACTAGTGTGCGGCTGAATGAGGGTCTTGCAGGGATACTGTGGCCCTTGCAGCTCCCCACGCTTGCAGATATCGCTCGTAAACTTGCCAAGATGCCCTCGTATGCTACACAGGGCTGAAACAACAACGACAATGCTGATATTGCCAAGAACAGGTCGGAATTTGATCATGTTGGAGCGATCGAGACATTGTCCACCGTCGATCTGGGGCCATGGAAGGATCAATAAAGCACGAAGTTAGCTAGGTGGAAGCGTGCACATCTCGCGAGATACATCAAAGACCAGGAAGATCGAAGCCGCAGAGGCCGCCCTGATGTGGTCAAACCCTCGGAGGCACTGCAGTATCCGCCGAAGTTGCGCAGGACGTTAGTTGATGACCGGCCACTGGGTTCACGTCGGTCCGTACAATCTCGCATATACAGTGTGGCCTGTGACGAAGGTCAGTACCTCGCTCAATAGGAGATTCATCGTCTTCCACGGCGCAAGAGCGGAGAGCTAGGCTGCATGACTGGCCCATGAGATGCCTCTGCCAGCGCTTCAGCCCCGGGCCGATCGTCGTGAGATGTCTCACACCAGCGCCTAGTATCCAGCAGTGTGAGTTGCCTTAGCGATCTCTGTCGCAAGCGAAAAGATTGAGACCCCTGAGAAGCCCCTTCAGTGAAGAAGGCTGCTGTCCGCTGCATTATAAACTGGTCTGGCGGCATTCACAGGCTGCTTTGATTAATTCGTCAAAGTGAAGTCTATGCCATCGCCAGAAGCAGTCCATTATCAGCCATGTCGTTCATGTCCAAGTTTCTCGCCTTGTTTCGTCGCAAGAAGCAGCACTCATCCGCCTGCATGATGTCCTTGGAGGACAATCACGTCCACACAGATGCGTGCTTCGTCAACATCGTTCCGTTATCCCTGGTCGAGCTCTTCAGCTCTCAAGGCTGCGTCTCTTGTCCGCCAGCTCTGCCCAATATCGTAAGTGGCAGCCATGGCGTGGACTTACCTCTAACATACGACAGTACAAGACAGTTCTCGCTAATCCCAACGCGCTCTTGCTCACGTACAACGTGACTTACTGGGACGGCAAGAGTGGCTGGAAGGACACTTTCGCGCAGAATCAGTGGGACCAGAGACAGAAAGCTTACGCTACCAAGAACGGAAAGCCGGGCGTGTACACGCCGCAGGTCATTTGGGATGGTCTTGCTGATGGGGTGGGCGGCAAAGAAGAGGAAATGATGGACATCGCTGCTAAGGGGATCGCGGCTAGAGAGCGTGTCGACGTTGGTTCTGTGACTTTGAGCATCTTCGGTGACGAGATCAGAATTGCCTCCGACAGAACGGAAGCGGAGCATTGTGATGTGACAGTCGTTGCATACAACTCACGTGAGCAGGCTGTTAAGGTCGGGGCGGGTCCTAACAAGAAGAAGAAGATCGCGCACAACAATGTCGTCGTCGACATGATGAAGCTGGGGACCTGGAATGGAGGCAACGTATTGCTCGCCTTGCCCGCTGCTGGTGACAGCTCCCTGGAGAGAGCGGTCTTCCTGCAGGCCGGCCCGGGAGGCTCAATTGCCGCGGTTGCGAAGGTGTGACCCATTCTGTACCTAGGTAGATAGCAACGCGCCGTTCTAGTAGTAGATGGTACAATCCGGATCTCGTATTGATAGTGGCAAGTGTGTGAATCGAGCTCAGGCTTCGGACGCGGTCGATTTTGACATTCGAGCGGGTGACTAAGCGCGCGGGTCGCACCCCACAGCATCCCTGCTGGGCTTGATCGGCGCCGCCGCGGGTTGCCTAACGTTGCACTGCTTGCAGCTTCCGTACAGCCATGATCCTTTCCAAATAATGTTCAGCTCTTCAGCTCGGGGATTAGCTCTTGCTCGCTAGCAGAGTGATTCGATATGAGGGAATCCGTAGGGCATTTTGGTCGCAATGTAGCTTGTCGATGAAAGAGGGTGAAAGATGCCCCTGACCATTGCTGGACGTGGTACTTAACCACAGAGATCGCTCGCCCGAATCGGCAAGAATGGACGACTTGCATTTTCAAAGATGGTCGGCGTACCAGGGCGTAGTAAAGGCTGTCTGACGTGCCTCAAGCGAAGATTGAAGTGTGGTAAGGAACGAAGTGATGCCACCAGACGACATATATCTAACCTGCCCACAGACGAGACCAAGCCCACCTGCCAGAGATGCGAGAAATCCGGATACGTCTGCAAGGGCTACGAGCGAAAGCTTGATGTGCGATTTCATGCATTCGGAAAAAGTAAGAGCGCTCCCGAGAAGACAGGCACGACCCAGGCCCAACAAATATCCAGTTGCAAGCCTGCAATTCCGCCAGATGTGAGCCTGGTGGCTTTCAAGGACAACATCCAGTACTCGTTCCTCTTCTCGAATCTCGTATGGAGCCATTATGGCAGCCCGTGGTTACAGAGATCTGCGTTGGGCAAGCTCGGCATCCTTGCTCTCGAAGCATGTCAGGCTTTCTCTCTTTGCGTCTTTGGCCAACAGCACCACCTGTCGAGTATCGAGATAGATGGAGCTCAGCATTACAGTAGCGCTGTTCGCAAATTGGCCATGCAGTTGCCCAACGTTGGCGCTCCTGGAAGCGAGGACCTTTTGATCCCTATCATGATCCTGCTCTTGCATTCGGTAAGTTCAGCCTTGAGTGCCTTGGACTAGGCTGATCACGACAGTCCACAACCGTAACAGACCCGACGGCATCGTCTTTCCATGTGGCAGCCCTGTACAGGCTGCTGCAGATACGAGGTCCTAAAGCCTTCGCAGCTGAACCACTCAGAAGTGCATTTGAAAGCTGCAGATCGACCCTAGTATGTATGCCGACACCACGATCTGCCTGAATCTGACATCCCAAGATCGTCATAGGACTAGTCACCAAGACTCGAACATTCCTTGAAGATCCGGAGTGGATCATGGGCCCCTGGTCGTTACCCGAAAGTCCAGGAAAGAATGCACAGAATCAACTTGTCGATGTGCTCTCCCATGTGCCAGGCTTCTTGCAGGATCAAGCGCATGTCTTCAGCACAGGCGATAGACAGCTGCAACGAACGCTGATATGCAAGATCGAGCGTCAGCTTTCAATCACTTACTCCTGGCGTTGGGACTGGGAAGGAAAGCATCCGAACGCAGCGCACGAAGTTGACCATCTACGAGACTATCCACTTCTCGGCCTCCTCAACTCCCGCCCGTTCACGAAGGTGCTCGTCTGCTCGAGTTGGCAGCAGGCTACAGAAATCTCGTTGTACAACTCAGTGGTCCTCTGTCTACTCGGCATCTTGTGGTCTCTGCAATCTCCTGCAGCCATCGCAGAAGCCACTCAAACCAAGAGAGAGTCGTCATCGCCTCTGCTACTTCCCAACCAAATCACCTCGCTCGAGCAGGTCGCAGTTGAAATCTGTCGCGTCTTCGAATACCAGCTAGCTACAGTAAGCACGGCTCCTCCACTCCGATCGCGTGACGACGAGCACATTGCAACCTTGATGACTTTACCCAAAACGCCCCTATCAGCCAGCCGAAGAGCTGCGCTGTGCAGTGCTGCGTTCTGGCTTTGGACAAGACTATGGCCAATATTCCCAGCACACCTTTTCTGAATCCTACGGAGCTGACCACAGCGACTTCAGGCTGCGCGCGTGCCTGACCAGCAGACGCTCTTCTGGGTACTTCCAGTCGGTCTTGCCGGTTTCGTACTGGAACACAATGAACGGTACTCGGCTTGGGTGAAAGAATTACACGACGTGGGTCAGACTACTCGTGGATATAGCGCTGGAGGCCTTGGATATGGGTCAAGCGTTTACAACATCTTCAACACCAAATGGGCTGCCGGCAGGAACGATGGCCAACGGACGTTCGAGGGTCAGGACTGGGGCTATATTCCACCGAACGTGTACCATGCTCTACCGAGCGAAGACCTAGACTGAGACTTCAGATGATATCGCCCTTGCGCTATGCCACGAAAACAATGACCTGGAACGTACTAGAAGTTCTTCCACACCTTTTGCCACCCCGATGGTCTCCTTGCTGGCACATCCGCTGCAGGCCCACTCCCGTGACTGACCACTGCCTCCTTCGCCGCATCCAGATCTGCCCTGCGTCCACGATCCAAATCAATCTCGTGCTTTCTCCACAGCTTCGTCTTAAACACCAACTTATACCCAAAGTAAATCACCGGAAACAGCGGCAGCAAAATATACGCATCCACGAACGTCCCCGCATCAAACGGACTCAACGTCGTCCACCCCTGCACAAACGCCAAGAATACGTTCGCGAACAATCCGAAATACGCGTTCCATGGGTACAACATCGACTTGAACGGCAGCTCCGCAGTAGTCCGACCCTGGTGCGTCCACGCGCGACGGAACTTGATGTGGATGAAGGAGATGGCGGCCCAGACGATGAAGGTCGACACCCCGGAGAGGTTGACAATGTATGAGTAGGCTTTGGAAGCACCGGTGGAGACGTTCATCATGCTAAGTGCACCGAACAGATTAGTGAAGATGATGGCGTAGACGGGCACGCCGCGACCGTTAGTGTAGCCAAGGAAGCGGGGCGCGGCGCGTGTTTGAGCCATGTAGAGGACGGTGCGGGACGCAATGTAGATGCTACTGTTGACTGCGGAGAGGCAGGTGACGAAGATGAAGCTGTTGATGAGGTGGACGCCGCCATTCCAGCCGGCGTTTTGGATTGCTACTGTCATTGGGGATCGGAGGGCCCGGGAGGCGCCGTTGATGAGTCCGTCCGCGTTTGCTGGGCAGGTCAAGCCGAAGAAGATGGCTGAGCCCATGTAGATGAAGATGATGCGCCAGAAGACTTGTCTGACGGCAAGCGGCACGGCGACCTTGGGATTCTTCGTCTCTGTCGCCGCCACCGCAACAGACTCGACGCCGGCATAGAATGTGCTGCAGAACACAAAGACCGAGGCAACTCCGCGGAAGCCGTTGCCGTTGAATGCTCCAGGATCAGACCAGTACCGAGCACCGACTTTGTCGCCGTTCACTCCTCCTGCAACGTAGACGATGCTGAAGATGAAGTAGGCGCACAGGCCACCTAGCTTGACCAAAGCTAGCCAGTATTCTGCTTCGCCGAATGACTCGACTCCCAAGAGCTGGAAGCCTAGGAACGCGAACCAGAAGATGAGGAAGTAGCCCCATTGAGGGACGGTGTCGCTCCAGTAGACAAGGACGGAGGTGACGACGTTGTACTCGTTGGCTAGCACAGCTGCCAGATGATGAAATAGTTCCAGCCCACAGCCACAGAGAACGCTTTGTCGACGAATCGATCGGCGAGACCGGTGAAGGCACCTCCAGTCGGATACAGGGTGGTCATCTCGCCGAGAGACTGCATGATCGAGAACGCAATGATCCCAATCACGCCGAACCCGATGATTAGACTGGCCGGACCGCCATTCGACAGAGCACCTCCCGAGCCGACGAGGAGACCTGGTCCGATGATACCTGCAAGGGCGAGCATGCTCAGATGGCGCGTCTTGAGCCCTCGCTTGACCCCAGACTCGGGATCGATTCGTTGATGGTCAGTACTTGCCAAGCCACGGCCTTCGCCGTTCGGCGTTGGCGAGTCTGGGTCGACGGTTGGGGAATGGGACTTGTAGTCTGGCATAATGATGAGGACAGGTTGGAGCGGCCAGCAGACGTAGAGTGCATGGGTCGAGGGCGGACATTGTCACGGATGACCTACCTTTGAGATACTTATAGTGACCGCCAAGGAGCGTGGATGCTTGAAAAAGTCATGGCAAAGATAAGGATTGGATGATCACCCATGCGACATCGGTGAAAAATGGAGATGAACAAACCAGCGTTGGAGGCGATGGCACAATAACAGCCTCAACTCTTGACATCCTCGTACTCGAGAATAGACACGGGAAGCTCAGCTTACACCTACAGCTGGGTGGCCGAGCCTGTGTTCTGCTTTCCTTGCCTTTGTGTGTAAGTAAGTACTGTTGAGTAGGAAGTGGACGGATACGACGGCCGTGGAAATGTTTGCGATCGGAGTTATGTCATCCGGCGTCATATTCTAGCTGCTCAGCCTTGTTCAGCCTCGTTGCAGTATCTTTTGTCCAGCCTGTCAAACGCAACGGTGACCTGCATTTCATGTCGACCCAAGAGTATCGAAAGCCTCTATTCGTTAGATTCTTCACAGCAAATTATCTCAGAGCCGCTATGGGCGTGCCCTGGAGACCTACTTTCACTGTATATTCAGGAGACTATCGGAGAAGACGGAAGGCTCCAACTGGTCGCCATGGCCCGCGAGATACCCGGGTTCATCTACGATGCAAGCAAAGGCAAATACTTCCGCATCCAGGAGAACCATCGGAACACTCAACATGTCGCCCAACGTGATCGATCAACCACGAAATACTCGAGGGAAGCTGTCGAGGGACGAAGGCGTCTCGAGAAGGAGTCAGTGCCACGGAAGAAGCTGAAGCTTGGCGGATCGGGGAGTTCAAGTCTGTCGGGCGGGTCTAGAAGCACAGCGGATTCAAGTATCCAGACTAAGAGTCTGAGGCGCCTGGACGACGAGATCGAGCTACGCCTTCGACTTGGTACTGGATCTTCTCGCCAGCGTATGCATGTTGGGGACTTGGTCAACGAACGTTATGCTGCATCGCTGGCACCTCGCCCATTGTCGAACGGATCGACAGATTTTGTCAGTCCCATGTTCACTATCGACCCTCATAACAAAGTTCTGTACAGCCACACGAGGTCTTGGAGGCATCGCCCAGAGTTCTCCAGCACACCACTAGAATACGATTGTAAGATCAACGGCGAGCATGCGGCATTTGGCTACAGAAGGATCAACACCACATCCATTTTCGACTGCGAGAGTCTTCTCTTTGCCACGCCTCTTACGTCCGAAGTGGTGTTATGGGGGACCGGCAATACGATTGGCGACAGATCTCTGAACACATCCACCCTCTACTCTGGACAGGGCACAGATTTACCGTGGCACAGATTCCGGGAAGACTTTGGCGATTGGGGTACGACCACACGAACAATTGCACCGCCTCATAAAGTTGAATTTTTCGGCGCAGCTACGTCAGGCTACGGCTCTGGGTCAGCAGACGACATGCCCAGCGTGGCCATTGCAACTTCCCGAGGTGTTGGCCTCCTATACGATGCGGCCGGGAGGCTGGTAATCCGATCCAGCTGCGGCTGCGGCCGCGGCCAGACAACTGATGACGACCACGACCCAAAGTGCGAAGTCGTCAGTGTTGCCTGGCAGAGTAAGCACATCTGGCTTGCGGGCACCAAGGGCGGACTTATACAACTGGGTGATGTCCGCGACCCTCACGCCCCTGTCATACCCCGGATCAGAACGCCTTACGGCGGAGCCAACCATATTGCGTCTGTCGGAATCGAACTCGTGTGGGGCGTTCTGTCATGGGGTGTCAATGGCGCTGGAGTCTACGACTTGAGATACTGTCGAGACATGCTGTCAACGAAGATGCCGAACGGAGAAATAAAGTGTTCGCACGAGCTGACGGACCCACTGTATACTTTCGATGTTACACGCTACGGACACCAATACTATCAGCCCCTGGGCTGGGCATACGACGATTCCACAGGCATAGTCGCAGCTGCACATAGCACTTACATAAACCAGAGCAAGATTGCTCTTTGGGATCTGCGGAGTGGGCAGCTTTTGACGACGAGGTCTGCGGGAACAGCAAGCGGTGGCGCCCTATACTGTTCAGCGACGGGACTCGGCAAACACAACAAGATATACTTTGCGGACAACCTGGCTGATCGGGAGTTCAAGGATGAAGTGCGGTGTATGCAATTTGTGGATTTGGAGGGCAGTGCAACGAAGAGTCTGGTCGTGAGCACGGAAGACAAGTTGGACATCTGGGAGGTGTGATTGCCAGACTGGAAATCTGCTGGCCCCTTGGCAGATATCGATTACGATCCCAAGGCGGACTTCCACTGTGGAACCAGAGCTAACATCTGGACTTGGTCACGGCACACTAGGCATATGAAAAGCGTGGTTGCAGTTCACAGACGTCCACCGAGGGATTGAGGTTTTTTAGTCATCAATGTCTATTCAAAAGGAGCACGGTCAGCTTTGTCGCGGACTCCGCGGCGTTTCCCATATCCAGAACCTTTCTTTCGATTAGCAATGACTCGAGTGCACTCCGAAGTCTGTGTTCGGGATTTAGGCTACTTCCGAATACTCTTGAAAAGATGTTTGACATTGCTCAAGTGGACGTCGTCGCTTGCTGCTTGCTACTGCTTTGTCCTTTAGAAGACAAGGCAACCGTTTGCCTGCTTACTCAAACCACAACACTGCACTTGAACAAGCAACCATAGGTACAAATTGTGTTACGTATGGGACGTCTGTACCATGCCTCTTTCCAGAGCATGATAGCTGAATGACGATCCTCTCTGCTCCGTCCCCAGCCCATCTTCCTGTATCATCACCCAAAAATGCATCTTCACCTGCCAAACCAAAACAAGGCAACTTCTTCTCTCCGCCTAACTCCCTCAGCCATTCCTTTTCCAGACGCGTGACTCCCAATCGTGAGTCTGTGAACCTCTAGCCTCATCTGGCACTTTATAGATATCATCATGTTCTCTCCGGTCTGCAGCATAGCCGTATCTTTGCTGTTAACAGTAACCCAGTTGAACGAGAGCAAGAACGACCAACCTTGTGCATACACGGCACAACAAGACACGAGTCCCTCTTCCTCCCGTCCGACAACCCGGGTCTCTTCGACAAGCGCTCCGTTGCTCCTTTCTGACCTCGTTAAGCATGCCTCGAGCAAAGGGTTTCGCAGATCCCAATGCCAAAGAGGTCAAGAAAGAACGCGACAAACAAGTCCTCCAGGCCAAGCGTGAGGCCCAAAACCAACTCCGCAAAGACGTGAACGACTGGATCAAGGACAGCGCCCCTGCCCAGTTCCAGCTCGACATGGCCAACAAGAATGAAGTCGATCTCGAGCCGCTCGGACAGACACTGCGCGCGTTGCACAAGTGGGCGAGGGCTGGTTTGCCAATGAAGGCGAAGGGAGAGAGCGACAATGGTGGTAACGATGATGGTGGTGACAATGGGAAAGGTGGTGTGTTTGGACCTGACGGGTGGCAACGTTATAAATATGCCGAGTTCCCTTTCAATGCGCCGCCAAGTAAGTCCTCCCGCTGTTCGCTGCTGCAGCCATGCGCCTTGCTGACCCGTATGCTAGGACAATCGCTTCCAGTTGCCAACTTCCCAGCCGGCCTCAACCCGGAGGCACCTCCTTTCGTCGTGGCTTCGCAGAGAAGTCAATCTCAGGATGTACCTCCCTCTCTCGCCGTTCCGCATGGCAGTCGACCCGAAGATGCTAGTCGTAAGTCGATCCTACGCTCATGCAAACCATACCAGACCGCTGACCCTTTTCTCAAGCCTACGCTGGCTTCTATCCTCGCCCAGGACAGCAGTCGGCGACGACCTTCGCTCCCGTCGGCCCTGTGACCGCTCCTGGATTCATACAGGTTCCCGATGTCCTACAAAGCCAGGCTGCTTCTCGTTCAAGCACAGATCCTTCACGCGCACCCATCCAGGTCACCGAGTCGGTTCTAGCTCCTGTGTTCGGCGCGTCTCAAAGTCCTCTGGTCTCCGATATCCCGGCTCCTTCACCGGTAGTAAAAGAGAATGTGCCCATCTCCACTGAGCCTGTCAGCCGCCGCATCGAGCTCTCACAATCACACGCAGGCACCAATACCGCCCCTCGTCGTCCGCCCGTCGTAGCTGCCGACCGAAACACGAATCGCACCAACGTCACCCAACCAGCTCTACCGCTTACAGCACCGAGAGGCCAGGAGATCACCCAGGTGCCGTCACTTCGAGTCCGAGATACCCTCCGCCGCGCGGGCCTTGCACAACCACGTTTCCCACTGCGCTTCACCAACCAGCTTCTCTACAACACTGCTCGCGTCGGTCCTGCACCCAACACCCCAGTCGCGCCAGACCTGAGCGACATCGACGAGCTAGTAAACCTGCACAATCGCTTCGCGCGGCTGGGTATGGCCATGGGCGAGCTCTTGCGGGATGTCTCTAACATTACTGAGGAGCGTCGGCGGGTACTTAATGAGGCAAATATGCTGCAAGACCTGCACCGAATCGAAGCTCAGCTTGCTAATACAGCAGTTGCAGTGGAGAATGAGGCTGGCCAGACGGTGATGGCGAGGAATGTCGGAGAGGACATTGAGGATTTGATCAGGCGCTTGACGCGAGATTCTGACGACGCCAGTGACCAGTAATTCAGCGTTCACGGGATCTCTGATGAAGGCTACCGTGGAGGTGTCTTGAGTAAACCACTGAGATGCCACTCAGCCAAGGCCCCATCATTCTGAGGCATCTGCTGGGCCTCCCAGATACCTGGCCGAGGCATATTCGTCTGCCCCGAAAGCCGTTCGTCCCAGGTAAAAGTGGAGATCGTGGGAGGAGCCGCCAGCACCAAACAGAGCATCCAGCCATTCCTTCCATCATCCCTGTCGAGGATTTGCAGCAGAACTCCGCGGTCGAGTCCCTCGCTCAGCTCTGCCAGCGAACTGGCCAGCCCATTGACTTCGATAACAAGAGAGGGCGTCCGTATTGGCCTTGATAGTGCAGAGAGCTGTCCCTCAGATAAGCGAAAGAAAGAGCAGAGCGAGATGGTCATCCGTTCTGGTGATGGTCCAGAGTCATGCTAAGATGATGCGATCGAACATTTAATGAGCCAGCTGAGTTTTCCTGTTCGAAGCGTGGCCAGCGCAGGGACGAAAGTTCGAAGATAGTCCTAAGTTCTTGTATCCAGTGCCAACGTTGCTATGGTCCAAGTCTTCGGAATACAGCTCATTACCAATGCTAATAGCGCCTGATTGTCCTGTCCAGTATCGTTCGTTCGTAGTTCGCAGATTCCTCCAAGAATGAAATCGAGATCTTCACCTCTAGTGATCGATCTTCAACGAGAAATCCACATGCGGCACCCCCTGATGCACCGAGCTCGTACTTATGATATCGATATCATTGTTGATGTAACCGCCAACGTTCTCCTCCGTCAAGCCTCCACTGCTCTCCAGCAACACCTCCCTATTTCCCCTCCATCTCTGCTTCAAACTCTTCGCCGCGACCTTCAACCCTTCCCCGTCGAAATTATCGAGCATAACAATATCCGCCCCAGCCTCAATCGCCTCATCCGCCTCCGCCTCGCTCTGGCACTCCACCTCAATCTTTAGCGCGAACCCTCCAACTGACCTCGCGGCCTTGACTGCATTCGTAATGCTGCCTTTCGCCCAGATGTGGTTGTCTTTCAGCATGATCATGCTGCTTAGATCGTGGCGATGGCCGTCAATGCCGCCTACCAGCATGCCGTATTTCTCTACTAGGCGGAAGCCGGGTGTTGTTTTTCGCGTGCCGGCTATGATGCCCGTGTAGCCTGCTTCTCGAACCATATCGAGCAGTTTCCTGCTCTTGGTTGCTACGCCGCTGCACCTCGCCAGTGTATTCAGCGCGACTCTTTCGCCCAGTAGTAGCTTTCTTGTAGACCCGCTGACGGTTGCGACCTTCACCTTACCACTCTTGCTCGTATCAATGAACGTGCCCTCGTTCACATGCCACTCGACTTTGCACTCAAGCTGGTGGAAGACCTCGTTGAAGAACGGGACACCGGCTAGAATGCCGGAGGACTTGCATAAGAGTTGGGCTGTGCGAGGAGATGAACCGACGACGAAACCGCCGTAGTCAAAGGAGGGAGTGTCTTCGGCTAGCCAGGTCGTGATGTCTGTTGTGAAGTGGGAGGGCAGGAGGTCTGCTAGGGAGCCGTGGGCATGGCTCGCGGTGGTGGGGAGTGGGAGCTCGCTGGCCGCGGGCGCGCCGTTCATCTTCGTCGGAACTCCTTTGGGCAGGCACTCTTTATATAGGGCGCGGCTACAAATGACAGGTCATTGATCATGTATAACGATACCTAGGTAGCTATCGGGTCACTATGCATAGCAAGCAGCGTGTAATAATATATGTACGGAGGTGCTCGGCCCGTGATGATGCAATGGATCGTTTGCGAGTACGTACGCGGAATTTTCGCTTCCGATTTCCCACGCGTTCACGCGTTCCTCACCTGATCCTCACTACCTGAGGCTTCTATTACATACTACCATCTACGACACAGACAGCCTTGCCACTCAGCTTGCCTGAGTGCGCCAACTCGACCATGTCCGGAACCTTGTCAAGACCTTGGAACTTCTGAGTCTCAACCTTGACACCGCTAGAGCCAGCGACGTCAAGCATCTCCTGCGAGATCTTTTGTCCCGCCACCAGAGTCCCCTTGATCGTGATGTCGCGGAAGATAAACTCGGTGAACGGCACCGACACCATCTCTGGCTGCGAGACCTGAACGACAAGGCCGTGCATACGAGTGATCGCACATGCTAGCGGTGCTGATGTTTCGTGCTCCGACACATTGATGGCGGACTCGACGCCGAGTCCGTCAGTGAGGGCTTGCACTTGCTTGACGACCTCTTCTTTCCCCTTGCGGCGTCAAAGACATGCTCAGCGCCTGCCTTCTTGCACAGCTCGAGTCCCTCGTCCCGCGCGTCGATGGCGACGACATTGATGCCTCTTGCCTTGGCAAATTGGATCCCGAGATGACCAAGACCACCACCAGCACCGACGATGGCCATCCACGTGCCTTCTTGGCACCTGAGGTGATGATGGCGCGGTAGATGGTGACACCGGCGCATGCGAGTGGTGCTGCATCGGCGAAACTGACGCTGTCGGGGATATGGCAGCTTGTTCTGCTATCGGCGACGTGGTAGTCGGCGAATGCTCCATCGATGATGACTCCGATCATGCCCTCTACATTAGTGCAATACTGCTTGTAGTCATCGCCCTTCTTGCAGCTCATGCATTCACCACATGCCGATTTGGGAATGCCGGACATGACGCGATCGCCCTCCTTGAACGTGTCGACCTTGCTGCCCTTTGCCACGACGATGCCGGTGCCTTCATGGGATCCGGTGCAGGGCAGCTTTGTCGGGAATACACCATTCCGGACCATGGCGTCTGTGTGACATAGCGAAGCCACGGCCGTCTTGACCAGAATGTCATAGTCGCCAAGTTTCTGTGGTGTTGGGACCTTGTGGATCTTGTATGGTTGTTTGAACTGGTGAAGATGTCAATATTCGGTCGCAAGAGCCATGCGGAGGACATACTTCGACGACCTGGACGGCCGTCATGTCTTTGGGAATCTTTTCTATGCCCATGTTTGCGACGTTTGTGCTACGTTCTTGCTTTTCTGGTCAACTATGTCAATATAAGTGCAGTGAACACGCATCAAGACCTCCGAAATATAACAAAATATGAGCTCGTCCTCCGCGTTTCGCATTTCGTCATTGTACATCGCATTGACTTCTCATCGACTCAGCGCTCGCGGTCTCGATCTCGTAGTGTGTCACCAGTCGCTCGTTCCGCATTTCCCCATCCGAAATCGCATCCCATCCCCGCGGTCATTACTCAAAGCTTAAAAGTCTGGCCCGAACATCATGGAGGTAGGATTTCTCGGACGCGGCATGCCCGCCTTGTTCCGACCGCACCTACTTCGCGATATCGAACACGACTGAGAGGTAGGCATGGGAGGCACGACCCGTCAAGCCAGCTCTACATCAATTTCGCCGGCCACACGCGCGTCACAGACGGATACACACATGTACCACCCGCAAGTCATTGCAACCTCGTCGACGCTCGCGATGTTCCTGATACGATGTTTCCCAAGCTCAACCTACCTGGCTGGTCCGTGCGCCAAGTCTTCGCATCAGATCGCTGGACATGCCCATCAGCGCGGAACGCATCCATGACGAACACGATTGGATGATCTATGTGTGCACCGATACAGCCACGTCAAAGACAGCAACTACCGCAAGAGGGCGTGCTGTGAAGCACGCTGATTTGATGTACTGCCTGCGTTGACACCAACCTTGCTCTTGACCACGACAGTGACCTCGTCAGGGGCTCAAGCCAATGTCGACAATTGACTATGCTCAAATATGTGCTGACCACGTTTCATTGAGCTTACCAGGCTCTCTGTAACACAACAATCGAGATCAGTGTCGTTCGTGCCCTTTTCCGGCGGGATGCTACAAAGGTCTTTGTTCGAGCCGTTCTCATTGAGCAAGAAGACAACCGATTGTATACCTACACAATGCCAATTTTCCTGCCTTCCTTGATGTTGCAGACCCGGGGCTGCGACTTCGAGCCCGTTACTTCAGGCCATCAGAGATGCCACCTCCTCGTCCGAGTCCTTTAGAAGAGCCGCAAATTACCGATGACCACGAACTTAACGCCGAAAGATTCTGGGATCAAAGTAACTGGGCCCCATCTGACTATTTCTTGTTACCATCCGACCAGTTGGATAGAGTCCGCAAGCGCTTGCGACCCGGGCAGAGGCCGAGGGCATGGAACTTCTTGAGGTGGTTGCTCGTGCCACGTGATATTGCTTCAAATCTCGGACAGCAAGACGACGATGCGACATGGACGGTAGACCGCAATCTGTTCGAGGGCAACTCTGTAGTCGGTCTGGTAAGTCCTTCGAGATGTCGGTCTTTGCATATCGGATCTTGCTGATACTATATGCGGCCAGTGGGTCAAACGCGACGCCGAGCAAAAGCGAGTCGATGAGATTCTTGTCAAGGAGACAGCTGCTTTTGACCATGCGTACTTCTCCGAAACACTGAAGAAGACGGGTAAAAAGAAAAGGTCTGGCATCGCTATGGAAGCCGTTTGGCATTTGGATATCCAAAGGCAAGAGCGGGCCGACAGACCCGACGAGGAGATCAGAAACATTGTGCACCTACGTGGTTACAAGTACAATAACTGGCCGAAGCAGAGCGAAACTCCGATACGGCTTTATCTCACATATGCTCCACACGGGACAGTGCTGGATTTGAACTTTCGATATCAGCTTTGCGGTCACAGTGTTCCAGAGGTACGTAATTGATCACCATCTGGCGACTGCCCAATGTGCTTTGATGTTCTCCCTTCGTGATAACATTTGGCATTAGCATGCTGACAGGCCAGGCTTTCTGGTGGCACCTCTTGAGTTCTGTGGCCAAGGCATGCCTCGTCTTCAAGAGACCCCTGGAGGAGGACGCACTCTACTACAAAACCACAGAGTCCAGTGGGCGTTCAGATGGAGACTACATGCTTCATGGAGACATCAAGCATGTCAACGTCGTGTTGGATTACGCACCGCTCGAGGACGAAACTCTTCACCGCATCTATCAGAGGCTTGAAGAACCTGACCATTTCACAAGGATTTACCCTGTGGTCAAGCTTACAGACTTCCAGTTCATGCACTACGCAAAACCAGATCGGCCGTTCAATTTTATCGAGTCAGGCACTGCTCATTGGGCAACACCAGAGCAGCTGAAATGGGGCAAGGATCTCATACCTCCGCCCAACGACTACGATGCACTGGAGTACGACTCCAGATGGGAGGTCTGGCAGATCGGAAAGATGGTCTACGAGGCAGCCCAACGTCCTGGCGACAGCCAGACGTACACGAAATTGCTTCTAAAGGACGCCGTGGATTGGGACGATTCTCAATCGTTATACGAAGCCCGAAACGGCCACTTCCTAACGGACGAGCATTTGAACCGAATCCCTTCAGCCGAATTGAAAGCTTTGCTGATGCGCTGCTTACACCCGTCCGTCGCAAAGCGACCCACCATGTATCAGCTTGCGATCGAAACCGACACATGGCTCACAGCATGGAATAGGAAATTGCGTACCACTGCCACGTCAGTCGACGACCTCAAGCAGCATCGACTCTACTACCGCAACAACGAAATCAACGAGCTAGGCCCTGGGAATGTCATGGAACACGAGGGAGAATTAGCCCATAAGGACTACATGAAGTACAAGTACTGGAATCCCGAGTATCCTCTGGACATCACCCCTGGCCGGTTTCGACGCCCGACGCCTAACGATAAGCAGGAAAGAGACAAGCGGATGGTCGAAAGGGAAGCCGACGCGCTGGGCTCGTACGTGATTCCCCTACCTCCGCCATCAGAGGCCGAGTTACAAGCGCAGAGGGCACAGTACACGGCGCTTGGCATGCAGGGACTGAGGACGGAGATCAGGGCTAGGAACCTCGACGTACGGCTTGCGGGGAAGGGCGTCACGAAGGATAGCCTTGCGAAGAAGCTGGTTGACCATGATGAGGAGGCGAGGGCGGAGAAGAAGAGGAAATGGGTCGAGATTGGTGAAGGGGAGGTAGACGAAGAAGACGAAGAAGAAGAGGAGGAGGAGGCGGAAGAGGAGGAAGAATACGTAGATGATGTGGAGGAAGGAGAGGGAGGAGCGGAGGGAGAGCCGGCAGTGGCGCAGAGAGATCTTGTAGAAGGAGGAGAAGAGGAGGTCGGAGCGACGGAGGCGGCAAACAACCGAGAGGCGCGGAAAAGAGAACGAGCCAAGAGGATTGTGAGAAGCGATGACGAGGAAGACTATAACAATGAGGAAGACTGAGGTGAAGATGGATAGCGTAGTTGTAGTCTGTAGCTTGTGTATGAAGGTTCAAAACAGACCACACGTTTAAGACATTGTGTAAGTACGTAGGCATAGGCATCGTGGGCAGACATGGCTAGCATCAGCACCTCAATGCATTAGTCCGACCACACCACAAAGGTTCACCTGGAATTCTCATCTTCTGTGATTGCTGCTGCTAGTCCACGATCCTCCGAGCCTGTTCAGTGCCGAGACACGTGCTGGTTGAGGTAACATCTCCCATCCCTTGCCGTCTGGGATCTGTCGCCCGTGAGCCAGAATCAATGCGGGCAGCACTCTACCCGCGACGGGACCAATCAGCTGTCCCCTCCTATCGCTCCATCCGAGCCGTAGACAGCCGCAAGTTGAAGGACACGGACATGAGAAGGCGGGGCGGAGGAATGTTACGACGCAACACCAAAGTGAGTCGTTGGCAGCCGCGGATCAGAGCGATGACGCGAGCCTGAGCGGAAGCGCAATGTATCGCGAGTGAAACGCCGCAGACATACCCAGGAGGCGCAAGCTAAGCTGAACCAAGCACATGTCAGCGCGAGACACCTCGAGCTAGGGAACATTAGTCACAGCACAGACGCTGCACGGATGCCACTGTTCTGTTCTGAGTCGAGCTGAGTCACAATTGAGAAGAGCGCAGGGGCCGGGTTGGTCCTTGACGACTCAAAACATGCTCAATTTCAAATGACCAGCGGAGGCTTGGCAAAGCTAGGGTCTTGGCAACGACTATATCCCACCAGCCAAAATTTCTCTCCTTCCCCGATCTTCTTTCATTCCTACATATCACTTCTGCAAGTCTTACTTGCTTTTTGGAACCATTCCTCGGGATATTCTAAAGGCGCTGGAAGGACGCCTGGCGAGTGGCACTAAGGTAGAGCTAGTTGTGTGCAGCTCAGAGACTGGAGTGTGAGGGCTTGGGCAAAACCCTCCGTGGACTGGCTGGTTTGTGATAACCTCTGTACGGCACCCTCCCAGCCAGAAGCTCGCTGCCCATCGGATCCTGACAACCACTTTTTTCAATGAACGATGACTTTCGAGTTGTCGATGCAGAGATCGTCCCTTTTGGTGTGGGAATCATCTGCTGAGTTTTGTGATGGCCTTACACTCTCGCCTTCCATAGCTTTTTTCGCTTTTTCATCATTGTCGTCGCCTCGTGCGATGCTCTGGGGAAGAAGTTGAGTTGATAGTTCCGTAGCTGAATTTGACGGAGTCAGTGGTGTACATCCGCGTCCGGGAGTGCTGGATTTCGCCGCAGCCACCACTACACTTGTGCCGTCCTAGACCTCGCCATCGTCTACCTTAGTGTGTAACGTGTGTCCCCGGATACTGTTGCCTGTGTCACCGACGCGTCTCCCGCCATCAATGTGCTGTAACTGCCACTGCCTCTGGGAGACTCGCGGCAACTAGACTATTCTCTGCTTTGTCCAGAATGGATCGCTGTGACCCGAAGGCAGCAAGCCTGGCGCATGGATACACAGACCAGATCCCACGTCAGCTCCATGATGAAGCCAGTATCCCCAAGCCTGACACTTACGACAGAATTTCGAGCCGTTATTTTGGAAGATGATATTTCGGAGATGAACATGCTGCCACCGCTTGCTTTGAGTCGTTCGGACCTGTAAGATAGCGCTGCGGGTGTATTCTCATCTTTTAAGTCTTTTTCTGCCTAAGAGATGCGAAGAGTCCCTACTCACTGACATCACAGCATCGTCGACTTCCTTTCACAACCCAGCCCTCCCTCCAATCCACCCTATTCTTACCAACCTCTATCGCCATCGAGGCCACAATCGATACAGCTCGCAGTGGGAGTCGTCCCATCAATTTCAATGCCGACCACTGATGATCCGCAGTTCGTTTGACTTCTTCAACGCTATCTCCACGAACTTTGGTGCCATCAATCTCGCTGAGCTCGGACTGTTCATATCACGTTACTCTCGGGCGTATCTTCCGCACTACAGCGATTGCTTTCTGCAGCTTCTAGTCCACGACATCCATTTGCTGCTGTTGCGAGTTTACATTCCTGGAGAGCCTGGTACTGATGGTCATGGGCTCCCGCATCACACACGCACCCACCGAATGATGTTCTGCCCCGGCCGCAGTTCAACCATCGCGGCCTTCAACAACGAATCCTTGTCAAATAAGAACATTGCACAGTCTTTGATGACCAGCAGTATTGTCGTCGAGAATATTTCTTCACCCGTGTCAGCTAATATGCTTGACCTTGCTCTGTCGAGACTGCAGGCGCACATCCGCAGAACTCATCTCGCTTTGCTTCACAGGACGTATGAGGGGCGGATCGGTGTCTTTCACTGGCGCGCAACTGCTCACACAACATGTGGGAGTCATCGCTAGTCTACTGGCGTGGCTGACCAGAACATCTGGCGGCCCCAGACCGGCCACTGTCCTGCAGGCACAGCGGTGAGCATAGAATCCTATGTCGAGGCCGACAATGGCCCGTCCGAAGTCGAGTAACGTCAAGCACCCTCAAAAACGTCGACTATGCTCTATGGCGTCTGCTGGGAATATCGCGCGCTTCCAGAGTAAAGATGTGGCCATGCAGAAAGGCACCAAGCACCGATAGGTTAGACTCCGGCCTGCAGTCCTCTCGTGCCGATGTATTTGCGTTCATGCAGCCCTCGTCACACAAGGATGCGGGTGTCGCCCCCCAGCAGCGGGTGTCGCCCCCCAGCAGCGGGTCATGGTAACGTGCGGATCGAGACAGGTTAGAAACCCTGCTTCAATCATGACACGCGATGCCCTGAAGTCGAATCCAAGTCCGTGACCCCCAATGAAGCCAATAGCACACATGCCTGGCATTATCGCCGTCCGTCTGCTCTTCGACTTAGGAGCAATCACGAGAAACGAGGGCCCAGTGGTGGTCTTTGTTGACATTCACAGTATCGCACCCGCCAGATACGGCCTAAAGTTCTTGCCCGAGCTGTGAGCTGTGATGAGGCGTAGGGACCAAGTCATTGTTCCCGTGGACCAGACCTGGACAATCTAGCATTTGCAGAAGCTATGCACTCGTTCTCCAAAAGTTGCAAGACAAGCTGCCGTTTCAATGTGGATCAGGAGATCGTTACAGCTAGAATATCGTAGGTCAGCCGGTGAGCCAGGCAGGCAGATGACGCTCGAGCCTGGCGTGATTGGTCGAGCCTGCGCCTTCTTCCGATGCATCATGCCGCAGCAAAGGTCAGATATGCCGTGAAGGCAAAAGGGGAGACGAGCGCCCGGCAACGGCAGAATATCTGCCTTGCTGCCCAATTGTCCGGGGACAATATCCACAAACTGCAATCGCAGGCTACTAGCCCCGGCTTATCACAGGCTGACCGGTCAGATTTTGGCGATAGCCGTCTCCGCCAATGGGGCCGCATGATTTGAGCCTCAATTTGCCTGTCAAGTTGTCATGATTGTGAAGAGGGCGGGAAATGCAATAGATTTTTGGAAGTGGCTCGGATTGCGAAGTACTGCTGAGCTATCAGACTGACCATTTCCCCAACAGTGCCAGCACTTTTCTGTCGTGCTTCAGCTACAAGTTGTCCTCTATCGCTCCAGACTCCCAAGCAAAGGGAGATAGTACACAAAGGCATGAATCTCCGCGTCAGCCGACAAGCTGCAGGAAGGCTGGCGGCTGGCCCTTGTAGAGTCCCCTATTTATGTCTCTCGTAGCGGTCTCGGTCTGGCTGCTTCCCCTTTCCACCCGTCGGATATTGTGCTGCTGGCTGGTAGGAACTCACGAGCGGCCGTGCGCTTTTTGGGTCGACAGCAATATTGAGATTGTTTTGCGAGTTTCGTACGGGCATGTTGACTCCCCTTGGGGACAGGGCTCTGCGATCAGATGAGTCTGTCTGTCTGACACGTGTCTCAGGCGCTCTCGGTTCTCTCCCTGGGTCGCCTATGTGCCTGGACTTGGTTTGTGGGGCTGAACTCGCACTATAGTCACTTCGTTCCTTGCTCACGCCTGATTTTGGTATGCTCGATGAGGGTCTCCTTGCATATTTCTTGTTCTCGGGCGCGACCGACTCGTCAGAACTATCTGTGTTCTCTGAATCGGACTCTTCCTCCTTATGTGAGTGCCGATTGTTGTGACCAGTAGGCCTCGATGTTGCGGAAGGTCTCCGACTGGCTGGTTCTGGCCGCTGTCCGTGGCGCGTAGCATCTGTGGAATATGCGACTTGATCTGCTGCATGTTAGAACAAATTTCGCTCCTGCGACGGGACCGCATATACTTCTACCCGAGTACGAGTGGGGCTGCCGGGGCGCGACGCTGGCAGAGCTGCTCAGATGCCTGTGGTCTTGTGATGTAGTCGGATGCGAGGAGAATTGGGCGCCCACGTGTCGGTGGTCTTGGGATTTAGTCGACTGGGTCGCGAGGTCTGCCAGTTCAGACTTGACCTCCTCCAGACTTTCAGCCATCTTGCTACTGCCCGTGGAGCCATGATAGATTGTCGTCTGCTGATTCTGGTTGCCAATGTACATCCTGCTTAGGATCGGCCGGCCGATGTCTTTCCTGTCGCAGGCGCGAACGTGTTGCTCGTACTGTTGACGGGTGAGTGCTTTACCTTCCCGAACCAATTTACCGGAAATGAACTCGTTCTTCTGTTTATCAAAGTATCCAAAACCACAACGGCAGGTGATATCTTCCTTAGACTGGCCGTCTTTGACGATCATGGTGCATGGGCCACTGAAGCAGACAGGCTGAGGTCCCTGATCCGGCTTGCCAGTAGACATCTCGATTTGATGCAGTAAAGCGCGCCAATGCGCCCGATCTGACTTCGCCTCAGGTAGAACAGATGCCGATACCTATATAGTAGAGGTTGAGATGTAATTTGCACTGATCGGTCCAAGTTACAGGTACGCCGCTCACTCCGCCGTGAAAACGCTCGAGCATCCGGACATCTTTACGATTATAAGATGCTAGATTGTTAGCGCTGGATGAAAGGATGATATTGGATGAAGATCCAGCATGTGACCAGTCTGCAGCGTTACAGAGACGCCACGTATCCATGATGCCCAACTCGCCGGTCCAGGTGTCAGGACTGGACGCGGAGACAGGGGATGAGCGCAGCGCATTTTAACCGATGAACAAGTTCGCGCATCTGGTTCGCATGTGCTCTTTGCAGTTGGGCAACAAGAATTGGGTTCTGAAATAGCATAAAGAGTGCCCAACTCCCTATGTATATAGCGACACCACAAGTCAGTCTTGTGTCACAACAAGCTGCCATGTCGAAACATGCGGATGCTGCCAGAGGCTTGCAAGCACCGGATGTTGTAATCAGGGCCTTCGATGAAGCTTCAAATGTGAGGCAACCCTTCTCTAAGTACTCCTTGCCTATTCAAGTTTGGGGTGCCCGAACCAGCATAAGCCCCCGAGGTTGCCAGTGTCGTCGCACAGGCAAGGTCGCGTGGGGTTTCTGGGCGCTGGGCCGTTCCGAAAGGGTGTAACAGCTGACCCACCTACCCTGTCCATAGCGTTTTAAGCAGGGGACGCGAGACGCGAAGAAGCTCAGGGCTCTGGCCGAGCTCAGAGCCCCTCAGCCTGTTGGCCTTCAATCAATTTTGGTTCAGGCTACCGAGCTCTTTACGCAGCGGACTGCACCACGTGGCAAGCTCCGAAGAGCGATTGAGAAAGCTCTGACGACGATTGAACAACACGCGCCGTTGGCAGGCCTCTTCGTGCAAGATCAGGCGCAGGCAGCTATCGCCTGGGGTGCAATAAGGCTGTTCATCGTGGTACGTATGGCTCTATAGATCCAGTTATCGTGGCTGATGTTGTCGCCGAGCTCTTCGTAGCGGATCTTTATCTCTGTGAAGAGCTGGAATCGAATCTGATCAGTCTCGCGCAACAATTGGCTACCGCGGAGTTTCGACTATCGCAATACTGTCACGACAGCCAGATCATAGACGCGACAGTGTCGCTGCTAGTGGCGGTTATTCATTTCATTGTTCGTTCCTACTTGTTCTTAACAGCTGGGAAGGTCGCGCGCTCATGGAGAGCCTTTCGTCATCTGTCAACCATGAAGAGATTGTTCCACAACGTCGAACAACGCATGACGGACCTGAACCTACTGGTCGGACTTGCAGATAGCAGAAGTTGGTCTTTGATCCCAATGGCCCGACCTGTCTGACGAAGTCTAGTATCCACACTGAGACAGGAGGCTGCCGTAGTGGCGGCATGCTTGCCGGTGACACAGAGGCAGTTCTCTGATATGGTGGAGGCTGATCCGGGCACATGTGACTGGCCGTATAGCTCACACGCATATGTCACCTGGCAGGCCGCGCACAACGACATCCTGTTCGTAGAAGGTGGACCAGGTATGTCTAATTCTGCGGATTTGCTGTCTCAGCTCACCAAGTCAGGCTGTGGGAAGACGGTATTGGCGGGAAGCATTGCACGACATGCTGAGACGAAGTTGGTGATCTATCACAGCTCGCAATCCGAGGCTCCGACGTCTAGCTTCTTGCATGCTGTTCTCAAGAAGCTACTACAAACCACCGACCATGACGTTCGTGACTGCCCCCTATTCACAATCGTCATGAAGCATATAACGCCAGTTTTAAATGAGGCCAGAACCTCCGGACAACTAGAGCGAGGCTCCATACGGGCCGCTCTCCATCATATGCTCAGCGATGAGAGCTTCCCTTGTCTCACAATAATCTTGGACGGTGTCGATGGTATGGGCAATGGTGCGAATATGAGAAATGATGTATCCGAGATCGAATCATTGCGATGTCTGGTCAGCACAGGCAAAGTTATGGCGCTGGTTTTCACACAAAACGCGCACAGCTACCAGCCGCTACATCTCCTTCGTCTCGATGCACCAACGATTGAGCCAGACGTGCTGGCCTACATCAAGGGAGATATCGCGAAGAACAAGATGCTCGAGCCTTTCGCCGCTCAGATAACGAAGGCAGTGTTTTCAAGCTCGTCGGGAATGTTCCTGTACGCTAGAATGCTTCTTGATGATCTCTTACAAGCATCCAGCCAGGAGCATCGTCAAAGTATCCTCGGAAGCGTACCTAGTGGCCTGTACAAGTATTATGAGCGCCGTTGGAACAAACAACACCGGTACCTATCCAAAAAGAATCGAGAATACCGCAACGAATGCTTCCGATGCCTTCTTACGGACTACGGTCCTCTAAATGTTGCGACAGTCACTCAATATCTAGCGCTAGACGATCGGACGCAGACAAAGATACCGGATCGCACACTAAATCCTCCACGCGAGTGTATCGGTCGACTTTGCTACCCCTTCGTCAACTTTTCCGGAGACTGTGCAGAAATCGCCCACCCGTCTATGCGGACATTCATCAAGCGCAAAGTTGGAGATCCCGACACGTTTCTTGCAGCAAAGTGTTTCACACAACTTTCTCTGGACCGTTACCAGCAGCCCATATATGCCGCAGCTGCTCTGAGACGACGCATACTCGGCACAAGATTCGCGACTACCAGCAGTGTCCTGCCAGAATCCGCGCGGGATCCGGAGCCTGACACCATTCCATACGATTATGCTGTGCTCCACTGGCAAGATCATCTTTTTGCAGTGCGCACCCCTTCCGATGAGCTCTTACGTAGTTCGGCTGCCTTTTTCACGAGCATAGCTATCGTGTCTTGGGCCGAACGGCTAGGGGAGTTGAAAAGTCAGATACCCATTAACGTGTTGAATATCGTGCTAGGTATCAGGACCGCTTTGCTCGCCTTTGTAGGCCGTCTCCCAACAGCGCAGCGCGACCTCATTGATACAGATGACTTCTTGGTTCAGGGCTACCATAGACTGCGAACAAGACTGAACGATCACGATGAGGCGACCGGCTGTTTCCAATACTACCATTGATCAGACTGGGCGAATGGTTTAGCCTAAGCCAAACCTCCAAGGACGATTCGCAGAGGGCGTATGAGAACAAACAGAGAGCGGCCGAAGAAGCAGGAAATGTGCTCGGTCCACGAAATCCTTGGGTTCTGGAGCTGCGAAATTCTGTAATCAACGAAGTATGGGCGCAGCAAGGTATGATGCAAGCGCTCGATATATTGTCGGCGATTGTGGAAGATTATCGTCTGATCGGTCTGGATTCGTCACCGGCCTACTATCAGGCCGTTCAGAATCTTGGCGTTACCAAGTACTTTATCACCGACTTCAGCGGCGCCTTGGTGTCTCTGCAAGAATCTGCTGCTGGGCTGGCTGCAGCAGGAGAACAGAACAAAGCGTTCCAGCTCAATGACATCGCAGAAGGCTTGACTCTCGAGCGAATGGGACGGGTCGATGAGGCTGGCGCTAAGTATGAGTCCGTTCTCGACACCTGGATCCCTGTGGCAGGGCAAGATAATGGTTTAAGCCTTTGGGCAGAAGATGCACTAGCCTCCGTTCGACGAAAGCAAGGAAGGTACAGTGAGGCCAAATCTTGCCTGCTGCACACCTGGGATATGCGTCGCAAGCTGTTCTCCTTGAATAACTTCACCACAATCGATTCCGGGCTGCACCTTGCGATAACGTTTCGAGAATCTGACAATCTTGATGAGGCAGAAGACATTCTGAGGCAAGTTGCGCCTTCCATCGTGTTCACAGAAAATATCGCCAGACGACATCAAGCCACGCATGTGCAAGCTTTGGTTGCGTTTGACCGTGGTGATTACAACACGCCCAAGACGGACCTCCTGAGAGCAATTCAGGAGACTGTTGGTACAGAACGTCACCAAAACAATCGCGAAGCACTGTGGATTCGAACTACAGCAGCAGACGCTCTTCGACACGAAGGCAAGGAAGCCGAGGCACTGAGCCTGTTTTCCGAGCTCGTCAAGCCCAGTGAGGAATTGTCAGGCAGATCACCGACTCCAACGCTTGCAGAGGAACCAGAGCCCGCATCACAGCTGTCGGTTGCAGAAGAAGCCCTGAGACTCGTGAAAGAACGCGATCAAGAAGGCGCACAGGAGCTCCTCGCCAAGAACAACCTAGAATGGGTTCGAGCCAAGGACTTCTGGCTAGGTGGTGGCGCTCCAGCCGATACGGCGTGGATGAAACCACCGATGTTTGATGCAGACTTCATCAGCATCTCCATGCCCCCGTTGAACAGTCCGGTCGCGATATCAGCGAGGTGACAGTTGAATGTGTGCCTTACTGGCCGAATCCGGCTCGAAGTAGTTTTAGAGCACTTCCGCATTCCTGTGCTCACCTAGGGTGGGAAGGATTTCTTGTGCAGCACTGCAGGGTGATGTTAGACGACGAATCCTTCGACGGGTGCTGAATGTGAAAGCTCGAGTGGTGCCAAAACTGGATGTTGCCGTGTAAGGAATGCCACTTACGCGTGGTCGGGCTCAGTGGACTGGAATGCCCGTGTGAAGAAAGAGCACACCAGCGCCAGGGTGGCAGTCACAAGAGCGATGCCTCCTCTGCTTGTCAGGCTGACCGTGACGTGCTTAGGGACGGTAAGCTCACCTCCGGCTTCAACGGTGCTGCTGACGAAGCTATGCCGAATGCTATCAGCGACGTCAGGGTTCCTACCTCGCAAGCACGTCGCCAGGCTTTTGCGGCATTCGTTGACGAGCTGAAGACGCACAGGACATTAGGTCGAGCGGACTTTGGTAGACATTGGTTCGCACCTCATCTTTGTCGCCATCAAAGCCTTCGAGATTTCTTCTGAGGTTTACGCCGAGGCTTCGCTTGAATTTACTTGAAGCGATGGCGGTGGCTATCAGTCCGCCAAGATGTCCAAGCATACTGTAACCCGCGTACATGGCTGCCGCATCTGACGGAGAAATATGAGCATGTTTCGGTGTGGCTTGCAAGCTCATACCTGGAGTGCCCTTGAGGAAACCCTGCTTCAAGAGCGTTTCGAAAGTGGCTATGGCCGTTGCAGACACTAATGGAATACCGTATCGCTCCGCTTGGTTCTCATGGCCTGGGGACAGTCAGCTGTGGCTTGTCAGATGAGTGTCACGGACCATCGAAGGAGTATTTCAACCAGAATATTGACAGAACGGAGGCAAAGCCGGATCCTGCAAGGAACGCATGGGTGGAGGACTTTTGTTTGAGATGGCCCCAATCGATGAGTCCCTGGACTGCCAGTGCTGCCAGCACCGATCCGGTAGATGACACCCACAGCAGCAGTGCCACATTCAAACTGCTCGTCGGTCGTGCCGTAGTGAGGTACATGGGGATCAGAATGAAGATCTGCTGAGATCAGCCGTGCACCTTTCCACTTTCTTGGAGTTGATTCTGACAACAGATCTTGTAGCCGTACTTAGGAAGTAAGTCACAAATAGCATCGTTCGGCGTGAACTTTCCAAGATTGCTCTCACAGGTACGAGCGGTCTTCTTGCTCGTGATTCGGACTTCGCAGGATTGTCAAGTCTGATCTCAGCGTAAATGAAGACCAATCCGAGGAAGCTCCCAAGGGTCAGAAGCGTGAGTTCGACCACAGATTGCCATTGACCAACTTGGAGATGTGCGTGTATCTGTAGGGCAAAGAAGATCATTGCGACAGACAGTGTCCAAATGACTGCGCCAAGGATGTCGAAGTGGCTGGTGATTGTGGAAAACAGCTGTCGCCAGTGAGTCCATGAGAGGGATTTTGTGTCCTTCTGCGGGTTGGTCTCGGTGTCATGGTCGATAGCGCCACGCTGTGAAGTCAGTTTGGGTACGCTGAGATACAGAGAGCAGAGAAAGATAGCCGGCACAACTACAATCATTTCCGATCCGAAAGCCCTGCACGATGTTAGAACTTGATTGAGATATGTATGACGTGCGGACCATCTTCGTCCATAATGATCGAAAATTGCACCACCGCCCAAGCCTCCCAGCAGCTGAGCAATGAGGTATAGGCCGGCTTCGACCGCAGCCCACCAAGGTCGGTCATTGGTTGCCACAATCGCGGAGTCTGTACGACGTGTTAGACGCGATTGGAATACGGCAGCCTCTTCTGTCCTACCATTGAGGACAACGTCGACCAAGAACGCCATGCCAGCACCAGGCACGCCAATGTATGCACGTACAGCCACGAACGTCCAGAAGCTATCCAAACACACTCTGCTTGCTCTTAGTATAATAACAGCATCGGCCTCGGATGCTTACAGAACCGCGACGCCAAGGGCAAACCCGATGTTGCAGAGAATGATAATGCGCCCAGGTCCAGATAGATCCGACAACCGACAAAGCTGGAGAACGTTAAGCAATGCTGTCACAAAACCAGCTAAAGATACTCACAGAAGGCTGTACGGCTGAGCCTACCGCGTATCTTGTGATCACAATCCAAGCCGCATCGTCTCGATGCATGAGCTGGTCACCTAAATCTGGCGTGAGTGCCGATCACCGCGACGAGGATGGCAGCCCACCTATATCGTTGTACGAGACTGACTCCAGCATTCCGTCCGCTTGGGCCATAATGCAACTATATTGCGTCTCAGGACCGACTGTAGCAAACGCATTGGAATCACTTACCTTAATGCGAGGCCTAGCCCGCCCAAGCCTAGCAGAAAATGACGCCTGGAGCGGCTTTCGGAGATCGCTTCATTCGCAGGTAAGGACAAGACTGCACACTCTGGCCTGTCCGATGACCCGACTGCTTCAGGACGATTCCTGAGCAACGGTGTGGCCTCATGATCGTCTCCATCGTGCAGATCCATAAGTGTTCTTCAGCGAGAGCAAGACTGGTCTAAGACCAAGGAATGCTGGAAGGCGTCTGCCTGGAGGCGCCATCCTTGGCGGATCAGACGTCAAGCCTCGCCCGCAGATCTTCCCATGTTCCACTCCAGTCATACGCGAGGCTGGGAGACTTCTCAGATGACACAACCTATTGTATGTCCGTACGCCCTTGTGTCTGTCAGGAACCTACTTACGACGACCCAGGAAGACCTCGACGGTTTTCCAAGGACGTCAAGTCAAGCCTAAGGGCCCTTAGAGTCCGCCAAACGACCTAATTTAAACTTCCGATCCACGTCTAGGCACGAACCTTGCGGAAAGTACAATGAATGGTGAACCACATAGAACGAGTGAAGGACGCTTCGCAACGACATATACAGCATCGGATCTACTTCAATTTGACTACTCTTCACACTTCCTTGACGTTTCTATGCTGTCCACTTCTTTAGTCTAATTCTACTGTGCCATCTTCCAACTTCCCTTTTCTAAGCCTCTATTGCTAGACGGCGCGCGAACAATTCTTCCTCAACGCTTCTCGCCTAGGTGCTCTCATTCACAAAATCCAAGGTATCTTGACAGCAGCATCGACGATTAGGCAATTAGCTCTCCCACAGCTCCCGGGCTTCTTCCATCTTCCTACACGTTTGTCCACGGTCCCAGACTGTATTAGCTCGTCGAACCAGACTTCACCAGGCGGCGCGAGGATGTCAGGGTCGAGAAACTCGGCAATGATCGCCCTTGCTTCAGCCCACGAAGCGCAGTTGATTCGGTAGGCATGCTCGTACAGCATGGCCTCAAACCACGGTGACCAGCCGACGGAAGGTAAGGCGTACCAGAATTGCAGCTCCCAGCACGTGCCGACCATGAGGACCCAGAGATAGGCGTCGCTATGCAACCGCGGTATACGCTGCAGCGAAAGGGCTAGGGCGAGGTCTGTCCGCAACGAGCCCATGATGCCAGAGGCGACTTTCGCAAGGCCGAGGCGTGCGATGTTATGCTCCTGCATCGTGTGCAAAGCTGGGATGGCGAGCGCCATGACGGACTCCGTATATGTTCGCGCATCTGCATATGCATCTTGGCTCGTTCTATACCGTCTGTCCTTATATATAGTGAAGGCATCACCGACGAGTCGGAGCGTACGCTGGAGTGGCAATGAGAGGTGTGGTGGCGGCAGGCGCATCGATCCCCGCTGAGCATGGCTTGCCGACATACCCCCTGCACACGACAAGTCGCGTAATTTCTGATAAAGCTCAACAATGTCGCGGCTGAAATCTTCTGTACTTGGCTGGCCGACGAGCAGTGCCTCTGGGATTGAAGCAAGCCAGACGTCGTCAGCGATCCACCCGTAGCGGGCGAGCGGTGACGACGGGCCCATGTCCAGCATCGGAGGCTGGACGTACTGCAACGAGACTGTGTGGTCCATCAGGTATGCTCGTGTAAGAACCATCTGGGTGGTTTCGGGGTCTTGGAGCGTGAAGTGCTCAAGCAGAGTGCGCAGTTGTCTGCCGTGTATGATGATCTCGGCTACATCCTCCATCATGATCGATGCAATCAACATGGAGAAGACTGCGCGGACGTAAAAAAGCTCATGTCGTGAGTCTGCCGGCGCGTTACCCTGTGGGAGCAGTTGACGTAGTGCTTGATGCTTCAATCGTAGCACAGTTAGTCGTACATCGTCTCGCTGCGGCAGTACCTGAGCGGCGACCATGGCAGCGCATTCCAACAGAAACGCGGTCCCACTGACTTTGTGGTGAAGAGCTGCTCGGTCTTCGGAGAACTGGAGCGCAAGGGCACTCTTGCCCCAATCGTGACTAGTATTAGTGCTGTAGGCGGTGTGCCAGCAGTTCCAGTGGACTTTACGTTTCCTGGCGACAAGCATCTCTGCAACAGCGGGCGAGACTTCGACCGCGAGGATGTCGAAGGGGTCGCGGGATGTTGAGCCATCAGGGGCATACACCAGGCGCGTGCAACGGGCAGCTAGTTGTTGTGAATCAACTTCATCGTCAACGGGCGTTTTGCGCGTTGTGGGACTTTGTGCCTCACGCGGCCTTTTCAGTCGGCGGCGATAGGAGACTTTGGCGGCATGAGAGAGAGCTTGGGCTCTCTGCAATTGCTGCTCCCGCGCGCTAAGCTTTGGGTTGAAGCTCAAGATTTGTAAATCTGTAGAACGCTTTGTTGACACCATTGATACATGCCAAGTACGTGTTTGACGACACGGTGGCGCTGGTTTGCTCTCTGGCCTCGTTCCTCCTTAACGACATGTCCGTGCCCGTCGACGAGATCCAAACGAGCGACGATAATGCTCAGAGATGAGCAAGGCGGGCAAGTGATTCATGTTGCGCTGACGACATAAATTATCTATCGAGCAGCCAAGACATCCACCTTTGTCAGCGTCCCGCTTGCTGATAGAAGGTAGCAGCCAAGCTCAGATTGAGAGTGTCTGGGCATCTCATCATTTGGAATTTGTGTGGATACCTCAGCTGAGTACATTGTGGGTGCGGTCTCGGATCCCATGTCCGGGCAGCGCGACAGTGCTGTTGAATGCCTACGTCCTGCAGCGCCACGTTTTATCTTGAAAGAAGCTCGATCCCGGGCTTGCCAACATATTGAGAATCGAAGAAAAGGCGGCCAGCTCCTTCGCGCTAGGCGGGCCGCGGGGCTCCGAGTCCACGTCAATCACCAACTCAGGAATCTGAACTGCCTTACCTGAGTATTGACCACATGTCGCGCCTGATCATGCCTTCAGACAATGTGCGCGAAGGAAGGCCTGCGTCCGCTGCGTGGCCTTATCACTGATAAGCACTCTTTGCTCTTGATGGTTCTGATTGATCAGGTATTCTAGTTTGTGCATTCACTGACCTGGTACGCCTGGAAATTTTGACTCAACCTCATAAGGAGCCTGCATACCCCTAGGCATTCGGAGCACTCAACGACGTTGCCATTGCAAGTACAGAATTTCTTCATTCGGTTGGTAACATAAGACGCTGCGTTTCATTCACATTGACGCAAGTCAAAGCAAAATCTTGCTAGTACCCAGTCCACAATATCGTCCACGCTCGACTGTCGACACACTCAACAAGCACTATGTCTGCTCTGACTAACAAACCGGACACGCCATCCATCCCAGTGATCTCTTTCGCCGACTACAGCGCCCTCGCCCTCCCCCAACGCCGCCACACCGCCACCCAACTCGTCAACGCCTGCACCAAGTACGGCTTCGCCTACATCACCGATCACGGCGTCCCCGCCACCACCATCCAACGCGCCTTCGACCTCTCCGCTCAGTTCTTCGCCAGCCCCGTCGCTTCGAAGATGAAGGCGCCGCACCCGCCTGGTTGGGCCGTTCATCGCGGTTACTCGTGGCCCGGACTGGAGAAGGTCAGTAATGCTACTTCAAGCAACGGAGATGGAGGTGCAACGGAGGGGAACGGGGATGGGAATGAGGAGATCGCAGCACAGATCGCCGCGCTGAGGGAGATTACGGACGTGAAGGAGAGTTTCGATATTGGGTCAGATGGGAATGCTGAGCAGCCGAATCAGTGGCCGCCGGAGGAGTTGTATCCGGGGTTCAGGGGGTTTATGACGCAGTTCTATGAGGAGATGAATCGCGCTGCTATGCAGGTGTTACGGGCGCTGGCGCTTGGGCTGCTCAGCGATGATGACGCTGGTGAAGAAGGCGAGCTCGACGAAGACGCCTTCGCCAAGCTGCATTCAGGAGCGTATAATCAGCTTCGGCTGCTGCACTATCCGCCGATACCGATCGATGAGGTGAGCGAGTATGGCAAGACCAAGACCAGGATGCCGAGTCACACAGACTGGAGTACTATCACGCTACTCTTTCAGGATTCGGTTGGTGGTCTGGAAGTGGAAGTCCCGGAAGGTGGAGGTAAGTACATGGCTGTTCCGCCACTTCCATCAGATCCATACGCCATGGTCATGAACGTCGGCGATCTTATGGTCAGGTGGTCGAATGATCGATTGAAGTCCACTGAGCATCGGGTTGGGCTTCCCCCGGTGATCAAGGCTGTCGATGGGTCCAATGGATCCAACGGAGCTGAGGGCATGACGAAAGCACGCTATAGCATTCCTTACTTCTTGACAACGGACCCGGACTTGGTGATTGAATGCCTGGCGACGAGAGAAGCGAGAAGCCGAAATACGAGCCCATCACTCAGCGAAACTACAATGCTATGCGAGCAAGCATGCAATACTGACGCATTGAGAAGAAGGCAGCATGAGATCAGGGCGGATCGAGGGAAGGAGATGTCCAAGAGAGTTCAAGATATGATTTCACCGTGCTACCATTCCCGACTCGCTGGAATACAGGACTACGCCTCTGTTCGAGATCCAATGTCCACTAGCCAGCGCCGCATAGCCGTCCCGCCTGCAGACTCAGTTCTACCAGACTCTCCACCATCAGCGTCAAGACGCCGTATGACCGACTCCACATTCTCGCCGGACCTTCAAGCCGCCGCAGACCAAGAGCCACTCAACCCAGCTTTCTCCGCTTCCCGTCCTCGGTCATCTCCTGCTTGCTGTCATCATTCCTACAACCGTCGTCCCCATCATCGCCATCCATTTCCATCTCGGTGTCGGCATCAGAATCACTCCACCCATCCTCTGAGCGCAATGAGTCGTGCTTGCGCTTCCTGATGTTGCCATCGGTGACCTCGTCCTCAGCAGTGGCGGTATTTGGTTGGGAAGAGTTGCCGGCCTTAAATACTGGTGTACCCTGTGGATCAAGATTGATGATTGCTGATGGCGGATCAGGCCGCGACGATGATTGAGAGGGATACCAGTACGGCCACCAGGGATTCTTCGCCAGCATTTGTCTACGGGCTTCCGTGTAAGCAAGTGGCTGTTTGTAGACTTGACCTCCGATCTGGAAGTAGGGGTGCTCTTGTGTCGGTGGATAGTGAAGTTCGAATTGAGGCTGGTCTTTGTCGGGAAGCTGCACTCGGAATCGATCACAACTGTTGACGACAGCTTGATACTGCTCGCGAGTGATTGAGGTGGTCGATCTGGTAACATCGTGGTCGAGATCGAGACAACTGAACGAAGTTTCTTTTCGAGACATGCCGGAAGACCCAGGTTTCTGCATGAACGGGCTCTTGGACGGGTTCCCCATCGTGTTGGTGGCTTGGTATACAGCGTTAGAGGAGGTGCAAGGGTAGGCTGCTTAAATACCTATTGTTTGTGCTATCCGTATAACAAACGATCCCAAAAAGTGACTTCTGAGTTCTGCAGCACTTCACTGGGATTCCTCCTATGATGCCAATGTATGTGAGCAGTCAATAAGTCGTGTGTTGGGAAGGGTCCGTGGTCAGCAATACAGTACTCCCAGCGACAGTGGCATGGTCTCGACTTGGAATCGGGTTGCTCTGGGATGGGCTGCTCTGGAGCTGGGGCGGCTTCAGGAGGTACAGGCTGGAAGAGGCGGAGAACAGGGATGAGCATGGCGATGAAGCATCTGCATGCCAAGTGCCAGAGTCTTTGTAGCATCATGCAAGCTGTTGGTGAATGAATGATGGGTCACTGGTCTTGAGCTTTGTAGTGAGTGAATTTCAGATCGACTGAGAAGTGTGATAGTCGGCGGATTTGCGAACGATAGGCTGTTATATGCTGTAGATGATACTGGAATAAGGACTTGTTGGCTCGACCACTTCAACGCACATCTATATAGTCGTCCTTGACCACCTTCCTCACACCTGCCAGCCGGCTCCAGCATAGACAGTCCATCCAGAGCATCAGAGTTGAACAAAGAAGAACTCAGACACTTCCGAGCCACGGCTGAGACGTGGTATAAGCTTGCGATATCTGAGACCACGGGCTGGTCAGTTTCGGCTTCATCTGAATCGAAAATCTCGGATCAATGATTGTCGCTTTGTTCTCATGTATGCAGATGGTGTCAATGAGCGTGACTTGGTCGTGATATCTTTTCAACGAGGTTGCAACAGGTCTGAATCATGTAATCGGAACCTGTTCGACGACTACTCAGGTATATGGTGGCAGCCCTCCGTAACAGACCTCAGTACGAGTGCCAGATGACAAAGGGAAAATGTTCCACATCATTACGCTCCTTGTCCGGCGGCACATCAGAGGCAGCCTTGACTGCTCAGGACGCATTCTGCGCCCCGGAGTAGACGAGCCTATGCATCAGAGCAGCCACATCGGCAACGAGACGTACACGTGCCTTGTCGTCATCGCGATATAAATTGTCGACGAGGATTCAGCGTCGACAAGAGCATCGATATCATTTTCACGACCAATATTTGGGGTCTGTCGTCATGTCTGTCATTATGTCTGGTTGACTGGGGATGCTGTTAATGATCGGGAGTCATCGGGACTTGCTGATGGCATACGGAGAGTTCCTTCCATGAGGGCGACACAGCTTGATCACGTCGATCGAGTAAGTGAACTGGGGCAAAAGGACAGGCAGACAGACTTGGAGCGCACGCGAGGAGCTCCCTCAGAGCGAGCTTGGGGCACCACGGCGGCCTCCAAGGGACCAACCTTTAGGGCTACTTTAAATACCCGAAGCGCAAGCGGACCTTTGGGACCACCAAAGCTTAGCTTAATCTGCTAGCATCCCTGCGGCTCATTTCACCACATATCTTCCGAGCGCCAATGAGTCCGCCTCATGGGCAACCGTTCCCACCACGCTGCGCGAGATGTAAACGCCGCCGGAACAAGTGTGATGAAGCACGCCCGACCTGCACGCGATGCTATCAAGCCGGCGCAGAATGTGAATATCTCATCAAACTGAAATGGGATGGCAGAGTCCCGCGCCAGACGACACCACAGATCGCCAGACCAATCCAGTCATGGCCATCAACAGATCGTCTTCTGATGAGCCATTTCATCAACCACACCTCTCATATCATCCCGCACCGGAAAATGAGAGAACAAACGTGCCGCGACCTGATCCCACTCGCCAATGAACGGCCTGCTTTGCGCTATGCGATCATGGCAATGTCAGCTATTCATCGAAATGAAGTTTTCGAGCAATTTCTCGCGCACAGCCTACACCACCTACAGCAGGACCTATTCAATCAAGACGACAGCGTTCTCCAAACCATCAAGACCCTGTGTATCTCTGAAATCTACTCAGGACGTTGCGATTCGGCCTGGCGAATTCACGTAGCTGGAGCCGCTGCGATGGTAGGAGCACGAACCGGCATTATCAAGCAATGGTATCAGTCAATGGAAGCTTTGACAGCATTGACGAGCCGTGGACCACTCAACAACGACGAAATCCACCCGATCGTTGTCAAGGAAGCCATCTTGGATCTCTACAGCGGCTACACGCCAGACTTGAACGACGTCTTCCGCCAAATCGGCAAGGGCCACGCTACAGCAGACACAGTCTACGAGATGATTCAGCGAGATCAGATGGAACTCCGTTTTCCACCCGACGTACAGCTCGACAAGGCTGAAGTTCGACAATATGCAGCCTGCAATACGGCCTACCAACACTGCGCATTGATCCACATCTACCGAAAACTCGAGAACTACGACGCCACTTCCCCAGAGGTCCAATACTGTGTTCGAACAATCCTTGACACCGTCTGCGGTATTCTCCCCATGAACGCGTTGAGTCCCTGGGCGCTGCTCACGACACCAATCTTCACAGCAGGGTAAGTCCGCGACCAAGTAAGTGCTATCTAACTTTCCACAGATGTGAAGCCGCTGGTGATGACCGAGACCTCGTACGAACACTCCTCAAAGACCTTCATTCTACACTCCGCATCAAGAACATACTTCGAGCGCTTGATATCCTCGAGCATCAATGGTCAAGCAAGCATGCTGAAATCGAAAGCCTGGACTTCATTCCATATTGAGTAGGTCGAGGAGATACCCCACTCTGGGAGATCTCCGCAATCATTCACCTTGTGTTCATCACATGGCAGTCTCTCGAGACCCACAGCTTCCGTAGCAAGCGATGGACAAAGCCTTTGTGGGCGCCAGCTTCGCCCATCTGGTCAGACATCCAAAAGCGTCGCGTTGCGCACCACGACGCTCCTTCTCTTCGCCGAACAATCATGTCCGCCCGAGTGTCAACACGAATCAGCATACGCTGGCCACCAGAGGAGGCTTCGGAGCCGACAGACACACTCTTCCTGAGCCTGGGAGGATACTATGTCGACCTACGCATCAACAAATACACAAAAACCATCGATTGGGCACTCGCCGGACAACGCATCATTGTCTCCGAAGATCCACGTAAGCACAACCACTTCATGAATCTCACACAAAGCTGATCCCGACAGTGAAAGTCGAGTTCACACATCCACTGGACTCGCATTGCCATGCGCCAGGCGAGCAGGGGCATGGAGAAGCCGATGTAGGCCAATTCTCCAAGCTGCCGAATGGAGATGATCTGGAAGTCGGAGAGATGGCAGCGCCGCATTTAGGTGGGCGGGTTATGCCGTACGAAGAGGTCTGGAGGGAGCTGGATGCTTCAGAAGAGGCGAAGGGGTGGATTCTGGAGAGTGTCGATGAGGAGCCCAAAGTTTTCTATGCGAGGATTGCCGGATACTTCATTGCGGTGAAGCGGACGACTTCCTCCGACCGTTATGAGTACGCTGCAGTCCGCGAAGACCGCGAGGATGGAAGGTGGGTGAGTAAGCACGCATCAGAAGATGTGCGTGGCGTCGAGACTATGAGTGGGTTGAGTGAGGGTCTGAGGCCGGAGAAGTGGAACGTCGGAGATATAGTGAAGTTTGGGGGGATGAGCGTCATTGTGCGAGCTGTAGCTCAATAGCAGTCTAGGGAGCGTCAAATCTGACGGACACGATTCGCAGTAGTAGGAGAGCAAACGCAACCGATGTGTTGACTTCCAGGGTCTTTCCTTGTCTGTCAACCGTTGGCACACAGGTTCTCATCCAGATCAGATCACTTCGCCATTCCAGTCACAGCCTCACGCGTCACATCTTCCTCCCTCACAACACCAACGCCAAGGTCCTCGACGCCGTCCACACGCTTCATATACATCGGTCTCTTGGCGCGCATCCGTGGTCCATACTTCAGGAGTAACAGATACGCCGGGATGAGTCCGAAGGTGCAGATGATGGCTTGTGCAGCGAACGAGAGGGTGTAGCCTGTGAATCGTCAGCTTGGGTGAGGTCAGAGTGACAGCAGAAGATCGTGAAGTTGAGGCGGGTCCCAAGAGCGGGTCAGGACATGACCGAGGGAACAGTGAAGTCATGATGATGATCACAGCGTTGGCCTGGTGTTTGGAAACTCGGGAGAACGCCTTACCTGAGTCTTCGACCCATGGAAAGATGAACCATGGAATGATGAACGCGGACATCTGTAAAGCGTCAGCAAGGTTGATCCACATTAGATCAGATCGACCTACGTTGATCCAAACGGTGTAGAAGGTTATGACCTCGTTCGCATGGCTAGGGTAGTTGTCCACGATATAGGCAGACAAGGTAGTGTTGCCCATCTGCAACCCGAGCGAGTCTAATATCAGAGTCAGCTTCTGCATGATAGATCACAGAGCGCACCCACAAAGGAAGAACGCGACCTGTCCAGTCATCCAATGCCAGTGTTTATCGATAGAGAAGCCCCAAACAAGGAGGCCAACAGAAGAAACGACCGCAGCAGGCATCCCCAGCCATAGTCGGTTCTCCGGCAGTCTCTCCCCTCCACTCTTACGTGTCATCCATACCATGATCTTGTCACTCAGATGTCCGGAGCAGAACAATTCTGCTGCCAAGAGGCCCACAAGTAAACCTATGAGGAGGGCGCCCTGCACACGTGGAGTGTCTTGCTCATATGCAGCAGGAACGATTGTTGTGATGCCGCAGATCCACCAGTAGTGTAGGAAACAATAGCTGAAGACACTTATGACCACAGTTGGGTATGCAAACAGGCGGATGAACTGTGTTATGGTCGTCCAAGGCTTCGGATGGGCCACACCTGGTACTTTCAGGAGGTTGAAGTATCCCAACTGCTTCGTTCTCTTCAAGTTTGTCAATGAGTTGTGCTGCACCTCGGCCGCCACCATGACAGCTCGAGGATACAGAGTCTCTGGCAGAAGCAGACACTGCGATAATAGAAGGACTGCATAGAGGATCGTGACGTGATAGGCGACCCATTGGCCTGACTCCGCGAGAAGTCCACCGATGACACCGCCCATGATCGTGCCACAGTTGGCGGCAATAGTCCACAGTCCGACTCGTGTGCCTCTTTCATGCTCCCAACTCAAGTCATTGATGATGCATAGGCCGACATTGGCGGCTGGACCAGCTCCAAGACCTTGAAAGAACCTGGCAGCCATGTAGCCGGCAAAGTTGATTCCTTCAATTGCTGTACATCCACTGGCGATCACAGCAATGCACGTGGACAAGATCAGGACTGGTCTCCGTCCATACGTATCTGCGAGTGCTCCCACCAGTAGTGGTCCGACAGCCAGCCCGAAACATGGTAGAGCGAAGGTCCAGTTGACATGGTTGTAGTCCACATCCAGCTGGACCATCAAGAAGGCGAAAGACGGGATTGTGGAGGTTGTGAAATATGTCAGGAGGAAATAGCTGTAAATGACAATGCCAATGCAAGTGTACTTTCGTCGCGTGTTCCAGTTCAGCGGGTCCAGCTTATCCGACGTTGGGGTCGGCGACAGGGGCCGCCCTGCAGGGTCAAGTCTCTGGGTGCTGGGCGTTCGCTCGACATCTTTGATTGTAGCCATGTTTGATCTTCAGTCGTTGCAGACTTCGACATCTTCCAGATGGGCTCCAGCAGCCATCTTATGCTTCATCTCCTGACCTGCCTTCTGTCGCATGACTGGTCTGATAAGCAGGAGGAAAACGTTCAAGGACCGTGTTCGAGATGGAGATGGGAAACGCTCTGATCTCCTCGACTTCCCCAATCAGGCTTAGCGTTATCAGGAGGAAGGAGGATGTTAAATCTTGACAACAAAGCGGAGGAGAGCGGCGATTAGATTCCTGCTCCACAACCATGGAGGTGAAGTGGATGATGGGAAACCTTCAAATCTCCTCGACTTACCCAGGCTGATGAAGCCAAGGGACCACCTTCCTCATCTCCTCCCAACGACAGATCTTGGCAAGCGCGATACGTTGTAAATAAAGAGACATGTTCAGACAACGAGCTTTCCGGAGGGACTCACCATATCCTTGACTTATCATCATGTTAGCTCCCCTCCTACTATGCGCGGCTTGGCTGCTCTATAACGGAGCATCAGTCTACCGTAGCTACACTACCGGCATACCTGGCCCGTGGTACACAAACTTCACAACTGTGGTACTGAAATACTATGAATTCACCCGTCGAAGGCGGACATGGATTCACAGTCTTCACCAGCGGTACGGACCTGTTGTTCGCCTGGCACCGAATGAAGTGTCGTTCTCCAATCTGGAAGGCCTCAAGGAGATCTACCAGAGCGGTGGCAGTGGATATGACAAGACGGAGTTCTATGACCTCTTCAAACAGTATGGTCACAGGTACGAGAGTTCCTCATCCAGTAGGGTTGTGCTGATGAGTTCAGGACCATGTTCAGCACACTAAACCGGCAAGATGTCAGTTGCCTGCCCAGGCTATATCACTCTCGCTAATCGGACCAATAGCATGCCAAGCGCAGAAAGCTATTCGCCGAACGCTATGCCATGACAAATATTCTGCGTTCCACGATCGTTGACGGCATAAGACAGAGAGCAGCAGCAGTAATCGAGAAGTGCAAAGCGTCACAGGGTGGTTATCTTGATGTTTACGTGAGCTTCCTGATTCTTGCTTCAATCCGTTGCTAAATGGCTAGGTCACCTTGCATTGCTATGCCTTGGACTGTGCCAGCCACTTCCTCTTCAGCCCGGGAGGGAGCTGGTCCCTGACGGACGACAATGACTTCAAGCTCATGCAAGAGCTATCGTACCATGACAGTCTCCAGCAACGATGGATCCAGTACTACTGGCCAATTCTTGACAAGGTCAACACCTTCTTCAAGCCCAAGTCGACTCCCATCTCTCACGACTTCGTTCTGGGTCGAAGCCAACAACGCAACCCTGACGAGGTCTCACTCTTGCACAAGTTGCAGTCCAAGTCATCCGATCTCACCCCAATGCAGACAGCAGCTGAGTCGATGGATCATCTTGCTGCTGGGATCGATACAACCGGCGATGGGCTGTGCTTCCTAATGTACGAGCTTTCCTTGCCGCACAACAAGGTCCGTCAACAGCGGTTACAGAAGGAGATCTCGGAAAACCCCACCGCTAAGCTGGATGAGCTTATCTACCTCGACGCGGTAATCAAGGAAGGACTCCGTCTCTTCCCACCCATCCCGATGAGTTATCCCCGATACGTTCCTGCGGGTGGTCGGAAGATCAGCGACTTCGACGTCCCAGGTGGAACCATCGTTAGTTGTCAGCCATATTCGCTACACCTGCTGAATGAGGATGTGTATCCGAAGGGCGAGACTTTCATCCCCGAGCGTTGGCTAGAGAAGGAGGGTGATCTGGAGAGGAACAGACTGTTCTTCGCTTTCTCTGCCGGAGGTCGAGGTTGCATCGGAAAAAAGTAAGTCTATGCATGAGCCTTGTCCGGGCACCGCTGACGTCGATAGTCTTGCGCTGGTAGAGATGAAGACCCTTCTGCGAGAGATATATGGCAGATTTACGACGACTGTGGCAAAGGAGATGACAGGTGATATGTCGATTGATGACCAGATCATTGCCTCACGGCCAAAGGATCAGACATGCCTGCTGGTGTTCGAGGAGCGGTCCGACGTGTCGAGTTGATCCGTGTTAGCAGTATCGACATCCGCTCGACAAACCGGCGCCAGTAGCTGATCGAGCCGAAGCCCGGTGCAAACCTGACACGTTGACAGGATACCACGCCGAATCAGCACGAGCTTTGTGCGGGAGCTGACGGGGAAAAGTCGCGACCGCAAGGATCCGTTCTGCTAGCCCAGCACAGATGAACTTCGTTTCTCTGTGACCGACGTGTAGATCAAGTGGGCGCGCTATAATACCTCCTATATGTCGGAAGCTAGCCGCACCATCGTGACTGCGATACTCTGCGTCCATCAGCTCAACCGCAGGTGGTTAGGGCGGTCAAATCCCTGGGTCTGGTCAGAATCTCCCCAAGTGAAGGCGCATGCAGTGGTCGCAATGACCTCTGGGCATCACAAGAGTTATGCCATGGCTAAAAACATCGGCACTCAGAGATCTAGGTATTGAAGGAGTGGCAGGGGAATATCTAGGACTGGTAAACACTTCAGCGACCATGGAAAGTGCCCATTTCTTCATGATCAAGGCCGCGTTCTAAGATCTCGGCGATCTCATCTGCATCATTCTTACCACCACTACCACCAAGGTCGTTTGTCCGAAAGCTCCGGCTGTGGTGCGCGGGCGATTCCTTCTTGGCCTGCTTGTTGTCATGAGCAGCCTTTCGAATCTTGCTTACAACTTGCCTCCCACGACAGGTGCCTTGTTCACAACGGCCCCAGCCGCAGATACATTGCCGACAGTGGTGCCGACCACGGGTGCATTGCTCACAGCCCCGCCCGCATCAGGCACATTGCCCACAACATCATCGACCTCTGGTATAGCTACGGCTCCCTTTGCAACCGCATCTAGGAACTTCGCAATCCGCATGGGTCCTGTCAAACGTTTCTTGACCGGCGTTTTGACCTTCCCTGCCGTAGCCTTGACCTTGTTCTTGACCTTTGTCCCGGCATGATCATCACCAGACCCGTCCAGCCCATACTGATGAAGCGGTCGTGTCCCATCCCACCACTTCCACCAAGGTCGTTTGTCCGAAGGCTCAGGCTGTTGTGGTGGCGACGGCGGCGGTTCCTTCTTGGCCTTCTTCTTGTCATGAGCAGCCTTTCGAGCCTTCCTGCGAGCCTCCCTCTCCGCCTTCTTTTTGGCCCTCTTGTTGGCCCTTGCCTTCTTTTTGGCTGCCCTCTCCTCCTCTTTCTTGGCCTTCCTCTTCGCCTTTTCTCGAGCTTTCTTCTTTTTGGCCTGTTCCTTCTTGTACTTCTTGATCCTCTTATCTATCACATTCTTGTCCTTCTTAAACTCCTTCTTGACAATGCTTCCAACAACCCCCAAGGTCTGCACCTGATTCTGCGCCTGGTTGTTGTCCGGCTTATGCTTGCCCTACAATCGCCATTAGCCGCTCTTTTAATTTGACTGCGGCAGATCGACTCACCCAGGCCTCCTAGTTGCTGAGCAGCTTTGCATTCATGCCAACTACACAACGACATAGATCCCAATCACCCCCCTGGCCAACCCAGTCCATGACAACGATGCCCGTGCTCCAGTCCCCTTCCTTGACGCCGCCATCGTCTTTGAGCATATGTGCGTGACTTAGATGCTTGACAATCTCCGGGTTGATAGCCGCAGCCACCTTTTCAGGCCAAGTTCCAACCTTCCAGAAATTCGAAGCGGAGAGGAAGTTTATGTACAATGGAAACTTTTCACCCTCGTGGGCCTCGCCATTTGGCGGGAACTTGCAGCATCCACTTCTTTCGAGATGCTCACGTGCGAAGATGATTTTCTGGTTGATTGAGGCGGGCTCGTCGACCTGGTAGAAGTCTTGCACACAGACATCGCCGCTAGGACAGGTTGAGTTGGCAGTATTGTCGGCCCACTGGCTGGCATCAATACCCCAGCCCTTGCCATCATGTTCATGCTTGAGGCCTTCTTCGATATTGAATCGTCGGACGAGCACGATCTTGCCCCTGCAGTCGGACAGTTTTGGTACCCAGGGTCGTGTGAACCATTGCTCAGGATTGCCGTCCTTATAGTGCTTCTTGAGTATCTGGGAGAGTTGCTCATCCGTGCCTTTGCCAGTTCCCTCGCGCTTCAGCGACATGATCAGGGTTTCCGAAGGGTTCTCGCGGAGAAATTTTAGGACTTCTTCGTAGAGATCGCGGAAGTATTTGTTGCCAGTAAGTGAGATGGGAAACACAGAGTGGACCAGTACCAATTTGTCTGAGTCGAGGTTGAATGGCTCCGGGACTTGTACACGAAGATCGAAGAATCGGACACCATTCTGAAGTTGTTCCCATGGTGATACAGCCTGACAGCGAACCGAAGGAGGTGCGTTGTGATGGGTAGGCGAGTTGTGTGTGCCGGGAATCGATAGGGCACCCAGAGGTGTGCTGTCTGGTAATCTGCCCATCCAGTTGTTCAGACCTTTTGAGCTGTAGATGGCGACGAAGGAATCCTCTGGGAGGTAAATGCCTGTGAACCTGTTCTCAGGGTTGCCATCGACTTCAAGCTCTGGCGTGTCACTGGTCGTCGGTACAGGCGTGTACATTCGATGTCGTTCGCCATTGCCTGCTTCAAATGTCAAGCGCGTGCGGTCCTTTTCTCCGCGTTTTGTCGGCTCGAAGTCGGTCTTCACGATCTGGAACGGTTCGAGACGGATATCGACTTCACGACGATCGAAAGGTTGTGCATCGCGAGAGATCTCGGGCACTTCTACCCGCGTAGAATGGTTTGTGAGGCCGACAGCGTTAGTGACATTCGAAAGGGCAGAAGTAACATTCTTAAGATTGAAGGCGTTGTTGATTGATTTCTGTTCAGGATCGAAATACTCAACGAGCTTGAGGGTGAGGGGCTGGTTGGAGATGTTGCGTAATGTAATGTTGGGCGCCATGCTGATGTTGTAAGAATACGAATACTTCTCCTAGGTGGCAATGTAAGGATGTTGTAGGAATAAATGTTCAGATGAGACGCCAGCCAGGTATACCTTGTGCAAGAAACAAGATGATGGAGCGGGACACAAACTCGATCGTAGCTGCTTCTTTGGAAGTGAAGTCATTGCTGCAGGTCCAGCTTTACAGGGGTCTTGTCCCGTCCCGACAAGATCGAAGCTGAGTTTCGGTCCCGCTACAGCAAACTAGCGCTCCCGTCGTAGGGAAAGCCCGTAGGCGCATAAGCTCGTGGCTAGATCTGGGACATCAGCACCAACTTTGTAGGATCCAGTGTTCCCCTCCAGGCTTATGAGGGGCATTGGAGCGAGGGGCATCTTGGCTGGTGACGAAGCCACCTGGGGGTGCCTGCCTGCCGTCATGCTAGGCGTGCCTGCTCGAGACGGTAGTCCTGCTTGAAAATCGACTGCATTGAGGAGGAAGGAGCAATCTACTCTGCAATGTCGCGTCTCAAGCACAGGTACTCCTGGCGTTAGGTCTAATAACAATCAGAAAAGCTCGCCGACATGATGGTGGGACGACCTCGGAAACATTTTCCAGCGCCCGTCTTCTATGCCAAGAAGCGGACTGTCTTATCTAACTGTGATAAAGCGAGCAATTTCGTTGACATACCCGCATACTTCCTTCGGGTCAGATCCCCGCGCTCTATCGACATCAGACCAGTCCCTTGGCATTTATGCAGTTTGGGTGAGGTCCGAGTCTCCCATCGCATCGGGAGGGGTATTGACCGGATTCGATATGCCTCACAATGCCTCAGAAGCGACAACGATCGCCGCCAGTAGATGAGCTAAAAGACAGCATCTTCATCTCCGACCCCATCGAGGACAGGAGCTCAACATTCATCGCGTACTACTCGCCAACAGAATCTGCAAAGTCACTCCAAGCACTGCCGCAACTGAAAAGCGCTGATCATCGGATGGCAGCATGGCGAAAGCCGTCAGCACAAAAGACCATTGCCGGCAAGTCTATCTTCGCAACTGGTTCAGATGACGACGGCGAGAAGTATGCTGGCAAGAAACTTGAAAAGGTGATGGCAGAGCTTGACGCCGGGGGTGCTGTTGTTGTGGCTCGGTGGTACGGCGGGATCTTGCTCGGCCCTGTGCGCTTTACGCATATCGAGAACGTAGCCAAACAGGCAATTGCACGATCTAGAGGCGTGGACACTGGCGCTCAGCCAGCCAAGAAGCCGAAACAGGAGCTCGTCCCGGTGGACGACTCCGCTGACGTCCAGCGACTTGCGAAACAATTGGCGGATCGTGACAAGAGCATCGCCACTTTGAGACAGCTACTCGCTGAGAAGCAGGCTGAGAAGCTCTCGGACGCCTTACCAACATCAAGTGGTGCTCAAGCAGCAACAGTCGCGGCTCAAGCTCCGGACTATGGAGCCATGAGCCTTACGAGGCTCAGACAGCTCGAGAAAGCCCGCGACGCGACGATCTCCTGGACGCTGAGACAGATTGATGCTGCCGAAGCAAGCAATGTATCCAATGAGACGGGGTGAGACTGGACGATTTGGGCTGTTTACCAGTCGCTCTCGCATCTTATCGATGACCTTATCGAGCAACAGTGCATGTCGCACCTGCTGCCATAAGCCTTTGCGAAAACAGAACACAGCCTTCTCTTGACTTCAGCATACGGAACTCATGCTCACTATGCGCAATGTGTCGGATACCTCAGGGTAAGAACATGATGTGACAGACGGACTTACGTCCGTAGATACCGAAACGGGAGCGAGATGCGCGATGATGAGCGATACGAAGTATTGACACACAAAGTTGGGGAGACCTTGCATCTACTAACAACATCGTCAGCATAAATTCGCGGCATCCCCTTCATCAATCCGACCGGCATAACAAACGCCCACGACATCGCACTCGTGCGCCCAAGCCCAGGCTCGGATTCCAAATCGCACACAACACCACCGCACTTCTACCTCAATCTCAAACTTCCTCCAAGATACGCCCCAGCACCTCAAAGATGACGTCCACCACAATGCGCGGCCATTGCAATTGCAAGCGCATCAACATCACCATCGCCGACAAGCCTCCATCAGAGCTCAACACCGCCGTCTGCCACTGCCGTAACTGCCACCGTCAAGGCGGCTCGATCATCATGCTCCTCGCCACGGACGACGTCGTCATCGAGGGCGAAATCAAGGCGTACGTCGATCACGACACAGACTCCGGCCAACCCGTAACGCGGTACTTCTGCGACAACTGCGGAACACCCGTGATCTCGACGACGCCAGTGTATGAGGGTAAACGCAGTAAGTCTTGTTGTCTCCCTCGTGGCCTGCAGCTTCAAGCTCAGGGATGGCACAATTATTGACCACACTTGTCACCACAGTCGTCAAAATGAATCTCTTCGATGACTTTCCAGCACCACAAGTCGAGATTTTCACGCGCTCCCGACGATCATATCCTGCGCCGATCGAAGGCGCTCTGGTGACGTTCCCAGGAAATGCGGAGGCTCCGGCGCAAAGTTGAGGTGACCGTCGGTCAAAGCTCGCTCTTAGACCTAGGAGGAGGACGGAAAGGGCCCTCGTATGTAGAGAGCGGTGTCAATGTAGGAAAGGGGGCAGTTCACCGTCAATACCTTCAGAGGGCAATCCGCCTTCTGCGAGGCATACAATCTGGCGATGGGTATCATTGGAGGTGGGAGCCGAGAGCCAGCATCCCATCCACTTGCTTCGTGGGCTGGGCTGAGCTCTCGGACTGGGAAAAGTGATCTCGCAATATGTCGTCTGGGAAGTAAAAGAATGGCTCTAACTCTCGCTCTCTCCCTGAATGTGCGCTGCAGAGTAGCCAGTGTTGCATATGCTCCTGAAAATAATCGGCCATGTCTCCCGGTTTCGCGGTAGGTCTGACTAGTCATCCGGCCTCGTTGATACTTCTGATATCTTGACTTTGTCAACCGGCTCTGGCTCAGGACATCAGGCTCAACCGGTCTTGTCAATGACCACTTCGAAGCATGTCGAACGGTCTTACCAAGAAGATCGGTGAACATTGCATCTGTGTGACTCGAAGGGTTGCTTAGTGGCGCGTCCAGCCTTGCGAGCGTCGCCCGCTCCCTGTACTGCGACTATGTGAGGGTTTCGAGGCCAAAAAGAGGTCACCGGGAGAATGAATATATTTGTCCTTGTGAATCCACCTGCCACAATCATGCCCGGCACGTGTTCATTAACCTCTCGTAGACCCAACTCATTCTCGTCAGCCGGTTTCAAACAAGACCGTCGTCCGGTATGCGCTTGTTCCTGCCTGGCAATACCAAGCTCGTGGTGGGTAGTTCGTGTAAATTGCTTTTGTTCATTTCCTTGGAGTTCCAACTATTTGGCTGCATTATTCCACAACCAGCATTGCCAGTAACGATCTTCCCTTCCACCCCAATCTATCTAACCCCCCCGCCCTCCCGCCCCTCCGCTCACTCCCTCACGAAAAGTCTTCCCCAACCAACCAACCACATCCTCCCCAAACTCCTTCGGCTTCTCCAGCAACGCCCAATGCCCGCCCTCCCGACTCATCTTCGTCAAATCCGGGATCAAACCAGCATCTTCAACCGGCCCAATCGCCTCGACCCTGCATACAAAATCCTGCTCGCCACCCCAAAACAGCGTCGGAACCTCTACCTTCGGATTGCTCCTGATGGTTTTCTCCGCCTCGTGCTGCACCCCAAACGTCATGGATTTATACCAGTTGTTTGCGGCTTCGAAGGCGCCAGGGACGCTCAGACGATCCACAAAGTCTCGCTTATGCTCGCCCTGCGCGAAGGGCAGAGTAGGTTGGGTCTTCCCTGCGGTAAGCCAATTCCGCATTCCGTCCTTGGTCGTCCAGTTCTGCTTCCAGGTATGCGGATCGCCGAAGGCAACGCTGTAAACGGATTCGATGTTATCGCGCTCGATCTGCGAGCCGTCGTCGGCAGTAAAGAGCTTCCAATAGTAGTAGATCCCGTACCCGAAAATCTCCTCGGTGGCCTTGTTAGTTGCGTCGAGATCAAAGGGTTTCTCCGAGGGTGGGACCAAGGCGACGTTGAGGATAATCAACCAATAACGCGGGACTTGTAGAAGTAGTAGAAGCGCTGGGCCATGAATGAGCCCCAGTCGTGGCCGAGGGAGACGACTTGGGCGATGGATTCGTGGTCGAGGATTTCTGCAGCGTCGGCAGCCATGGCGTCAGAGCGGTATTCGTGCATGGAGGAGGGTTTGGAGGTGCCGCCGTAGCCGAGGCAGTCGAAGGGCGTCGACGCCGTAGCCGGCGGGGATGAGGTAGTTGTTGATCAGGCCGGCGAAGAGGGCGGCGGTGTCGGGCCAGCCGTGGAAGAGGAGGATTGTGGGTTTGGAGTCGCGGGCGGGGGATGTGTAGTAGGTGTAGGTGTGGCCGCGGGAGACTTTGAGGGTGGTTTGCTTGAGTTTGGAGAGGCTCATTTCGGCGGCCATGCTGGGTGGTCCTGAGGAGGGGATGAACTCTGAGTGAGTAGTGCGCGTGGCGGTGATGGGTTTCTGTGCCGTGGGTAGAGTCAGATGCGACTGGGTTAGATGATGTCTTCATATAAATAATGGAGACGTGTGGTGTTCCAACTTGAGACTTGTCAGACTACGCTCGCAGAACGGGAAATCAACTCCTCCTGAGGGCTGAAGTATACCTAGCCGTGGGATATCAGGCGGCTGTTGTCTGGGGTCCTTTGAGGGGATCCAAGGCAATGCTGGCGGGACGTGATTTTATGCTTTATACCTACCTTGTATACCTCGGCATTCCTGCAAACACCGTGTAGAGCGTTTGTGGCTTCAGCGCAGGACCCGTTGAGGGGGACTTGCTGGTCAGATCATCGGCTGAGCAATGTCGAGGTTACCCGCTCCCAATCGCTGAAATCCAGACGATCGTTCAGTGAGCCCTGTCAGGGCTAACTCCAGCTTGCTGCCGTATTCCGGATTACACACAAGATGCTGGTCGCACAATGCGGGCTGCGGTACTCCGGGGTCTTGGGGCCATGGTGCCGTTGCAGCGACGCATGACAGGTTTGTATGTCTCGCCCGACCGTTGCACGGCACCCTGAGCCGTGGGTCGAGCGACATTTGCTCGCGCTGACAACATCATCCCAGCATGAGATCAGCATCGGCTTCCTACGCGCGATCTGATTCCGGAATCTTGAGCTCACCGTGGTCAGCACAAGTGCGAGAGAAATTACTTCCTTGGCCCAGGAGGGACGGTCGCAGCCCGCTAACGACGAAAGAGTAGAGAAATGCCGTTGTTGGCTTCCGACAGCTCGTGTATGCAAGTTGTCAGGAACACAAGGCGATAGAACCTTGAATGCCGAAACAAGAAGCTGCGTACTCCGACTCCGACTCCGGGTTCTTGGCGAAGTCCGCGGATTTCTTTGCGTGGGAAGGACGCCTACTGCATACATTGCATCTGCGTCAACAATGCTGGTGTTGCTTTCGGGCTCCAGAGGGATTTCAGGTCAATGCTAATCTGCCATTCAAAGGCAACTGGCGAGCGAAATCCCGAGCTTGTGGCAATTCTATGGACAATGTATGCATAGACATCCACAACCCAGCTGGTGGGGTAAGGCTTCGCCAGCGCCTCGTAGGTACGTCAGCGAGGCCTGAGGCTGATCATTTCACTCGCGCTCTTGCTTGGTTTCTAGCAGTTCCCGCATTGTCAACTGCATGAGGTTCTTATGCCTGCCTGCGTAGCTAGTCGTCTGCAACTGGCATTGCCAAGCAAGTTACCAATTGGAGAGGGCAGTTGCCAATACCAGCATAAGGCATCCCTCGTTGGTATCCAGCGTGTTGCAGATTCTGTCCTATCGTGCCGCCATCATCGTGGTCCCCGTGGTGCAACACTGCAACTTGATGAAATGCCGTTTCAGTCGCTAAAGCCGGAGCATAAGCAAAGCTGAGGTCCTTGGCTAACATTCCACCCAAAGCGACCGCTTCAAAACATTATTGCTCCTGCTCAAGCCACTCCCCAAAGGCATCCAATCGACCGCCTTCACCCTCGTCGCTTTCATCGCCACCAACCACGTTTGACTTACCCTTGGACTTTTTAAATTTCTCGTCGCCGGTTGAGATGTATGCCACTAGTTGTCGTTCATCGAACCAGCGACCATTCATCGTCTGCAACACGATCAGTCAACTCTCGTGCTTAATCTAGGTCGCATGTCTTACCTCAACACAAGCCTTGGCCGCATCTGGATCGCTGAACTTGACACTTGCTACGCCTGCAGGCTCGAGGTCGTAAAGGATGACGTTGGTAACGGCACCAAGCTTGGCACATTCGTCTCTGATATCCTCCTTGATGTCGAGAATGGCAGACGGATCCTCCTAGCAAGAGTCAGCCAGTGGTCTTTGGTCGGATTGGCCAGACGTACCTCAAGTTCTGCCGGGGTGAACATATGCTTGAGAATCACGACCTTGTCGAACTTGGAGCTTGTCTCTGGCATTTGCTGTGGGTCGTCATCGTCCCAATCGGCCAGCTTGTTGTTCATCTTCTGGCTTTTCTTGATGATTCTCTTGAGATCCTTCTTGTTCTTCTTGGCTGGCGCCTCTTGTTGAGCCTTGTACGAGAAATCGGCAGCCTGTACTCGCATGTTCCCATTTGGACCTTGAGTGCCTAGCCGGAATTCCGTGTCGTCTAGCATCTGGACCGCCAAGTCGACGGACTCGGGCCGGAAGAATACGACGAGGGCGTCACCCTTGAATTGACCTTTCTCGTCTTCGTACATCTTGATGCGTGGTTCGCCTGACTCGAGCTCTTCAGCAATCACTCCCATCTTGCCAAAGACATGTTTGATTTCGTCCTTGTCCGCATCGAGAGGGATAGACGTTACATAGCAAGCAGAGTTGACTTTTTGCTTCTTCTGCTTCTGGCCGTCCTAGTATCCGGTTTAGCTCGGTCGACTAAGTCGGCGGCGCAATCGTACCTCGTCTCCGTCCTGCTTCCTCTTCTTCTTGTTCTGTGCCGCAGGTATATGCTCGTCGACGCCCTCAACTCTGTATATAGCTGCTTGTTGGTCTAGAAGTTCCTGATCCACCTTCACGAATCGCGACGCAGGCATGTGTTAGTGTTTCTGAAACGCTATCATAGCAGAGGCCGTAGCATGTGGGAAGTCCAGCTGTAGTCTACGCTGGGATGGAACAAGAAGCCTACCACTGGTACCCATCGCTTGAGAGCATCGTCCCACTCGTATTCATTGCCCTCATCGGTTTCGAGGACGTATTTCGCGTCTACTTTGGACCATGAGATCCGCTCATCTTCGCCGAACGCGGAAGGCGATTGAGGAAAGCCAGTCTGTCGACCGTCGTCCGCGCTGCCATTCTCAGCCATGACTGAGCCGCCTGCCGATGGCGGCTATGGAGACTGCGCCTGCCAACAGTTACTCTGAAGATGCTTTCGATCAACTTCTCGATGGACGTCAATGAAGGCAGCAGCCTCGTCAACTGAACAAGGCCGCCAATCGGACTGCGCAACTCAAAATCTGTGGCACGAGCGATATTCCAGGCAAAAATTGTCCTCGAAGGAAGACTATGTCTGGAGTTGACACCGGTGACAGAGATTGCCTAGTGAATGAGATATGTACTTAAGTAGAGTTGAAGGAGTCATTTGTTGCAGCCACCAAAAGTCAACGCCAAGGCCGTGCGTCACAGCATTTCCCCACTCAGGCTGTTACGGCGTTAGTAGTGCCTTGAGTTCACGACTTTCAAGAATCTGCACGAGACCTTGGTCTTCTTTGTTTGATACAAATATCACGTTTCTTTGCCACCCAAGAAGGCACCATCTCTTGCTTCTAAATTCTTCCAGCAGACGTCGACGTTCGCTGCATTGCACATATTTTTGGACGGCCTTCGCTCAGTTCGCCCCACCTTCACAAAGCAATCGTGGACTTGCGATTTACTCTGACCTACATATCTCCGTTCTAGCACGATGGCGCCGAAGGGCAAGAAATCAAAGAAACAGGCCGATGACGACTGGGAGGCTGAACTGGGAGAGTCAATACCTCCTGCGGGTGAATCGACCGAGAATGGCGAGCAGGCAGTCAACGGTGCAGATGACGGAGAGGAGACTGGTGGCGGTGGTGGCGGATTGCTAGCAGCCATTCGGAAAAACAAGGACAAGCGGAAGAAGAAGGGCAAGGTCGACAACGATCTCGTTGAAGGCGAGGACCCTGCACAGGCTGATGAGCCAGCGTCAGCCCTGAACGGAAAGGCACCAGAGGAAGCCACCTTCGACGATGACGACGATGTCTTTGCAGGAAACGCGAACAAGAAGCCGAAGGGCGGCAAGAAGGAGACACCGAAGCCAGCTGAGGATCAGGATGACGAAGACGCGGGCGCTGGAGGCGTAAAGTCGAAGAAAGAGAAGGAACGCGAGAAGAAAGAGCGTGAGAAGGCCCGGAAAAAGGAGCAAGCCGCAAAGAAGAAGACCACTGCACCCACACCTGCACCAGAAGCCAAGAAGGAGCCAGAGAAAGTCATCGAAAAGACCGCTGAACCCGCGGCTGTGCCAGAGAAGGACGACAAGGGCGGCAAGAAGAAGAAGGTGCCCGCTCATCTCGCGGCCCTTCAGAAACAGCAAGAAGCCCTGCAGAGGCAGCGCGAGGAGGCTGCTCGTCTCGAAGCTGAAGAGAAGGCCGAAGAAGAGGCGAGACTCAAGAGGGATGCCGAAGAGGAACAGAAGAAAGCCGAGCTTCGCGAAAAGAAGAAGCAGAAGGAGAAAGAGAAGAAGGAGCAGCTACGCAGAGAGGGCAAGCTACTGACTGATGCCGAGAAGAAGCGGCAGCAGCAACAACAACTCCGCATGCAACAAATGCTTGCCTCAGGCGCTCAGGTTGCTGGGTTTTCAGAGGGATCAGAAGACAAGAAGAAGCCTGCAGTTGACAAGAAGAAGAAAAAGGCACCGAACAAGCATGAAATCGACCTTGAAGCGGCTGCTGAGAAGGCACGGCAAGAAGCGGAGGCTGCCGCAGTCGAACGAGAGCGACTAGCAAAGGAGCAGGCAGCAGCAGCTGCTGCTGCAGCCGAGACAGTGCAAGAGGAAGAAAGCTCGGGGCTCGAAGACTGGGAGCAAGCTGCCGCGGCTGAGGATGATGTCAAGGACTCCTGGGATGCAGATTCTGATGAGGAGCCTGCCAAGGCTACGAAGCCATCACCAGCTACAAATGGAACCGCACAAACACAACAAAACGGGCATGCAAAGACATCGCTCCCGGTGCGGTCAGCTTCATCAGCAGCTACTTCATCGGCGCCCACACGAGACGACTCAGACTCAGAGACTGATGAATCAGAGTCCTCTGAAGACGAAGAGCTCACCGCAGCGAAGCAAATTGAGGCGAAGCGCAAAGCCGAAGCCGCCGAGCGCAAGAAGCAAGCCCATGAAGCAGCCCTTGCCGCTCGGTCAAAGGACAACCTGCGATCACCTATTGCTTGTATTCTCGGTCACGTCGATACAGGTAAGACTAGTCTTCTCGACAAGATTCGGCAAACCAATGTCCAAGAAGGCGAAGCTGGTGGTATTACCCAGCAGATCGGTGCTACATATTTCCCAACCGATGCCTTGACCCAGAAGATCGCGCCAGTGAACAAGGACAATGCCTTTCAATTCAAAGTACCTGGACTCCTGGTCATCGACACTCCTGGTCACGAGTCTTTCTCGAACCTCCGATCACGCGGTTCTTCCCTTTGCAACATTGCTATTCTCGTGGTGGATATCATGCATGGTCTCGAGCCGCAAACTCTCGAGTCCATGAAGCTCCTTCGAGATCGAAAGACGCCTTTCATAGTGGCGCTCAACAAAGTCGATCGTCTGTACGACTGGAAGCCAACACCCAACAATGGCTTCCGTGATAGTCTGTCCAAACAAAGAGGCGGTGTGCAGAGCGAATTTAAGGATCGTTTGGAGAAGACCAAGGTCGCCTTCGCGGAGCGTGGTTTCAACGCCGAAGTCTTCTACGAAAACAAGAACATGTCGAAATACGTCTCTCTAGTGCCAACATCAGCACATACGGGCGAGGGCATCCCAGATATGCTCAAACTGCTAGTGTCACTGACCCAAGACCGCATGGCCGGGAGCTTGATGTATCTCAGTGAAGCTGAGGGCACCGTTCTTGAGGTCAAGAAGATTGAAGGTCTTGGTACTACGATCGATGTCATTTTGTCAAATGGTGTACTTAGAGAAGGCGACCGGATAGTAATTTGTGGCATGGACGGCGCTATAACGACCACGATCCGAGCTCTTCTGACACCTGCGCCATTGAAGGAACTCCGACTCAAATCTGCGTATGTTCACAACAAGGAAGCCAAGGCCTCTTTGGGCGTCAAAATTGCAGCAAACGACTTGGAGAAAGCTGTGGCTGGCTCTCGATTGCTCGTGGTTGGACCAGACGACGATGAGTCGGATCTGGAAGACGAGGTCATGTCCGACCTGGCACAACTGCTCACCAAGATCGACAAGCAGTCTCGTGGTGTCAGTGTGCACGCATCTACGCTGGGCTCTTTGGAAGCTCTCCTCGATTTCCTGAAGCAGATGAAAATCCCTGTGGGCAACATCGGTCTCGGCACGGTCTTCAAGAAAGAGGTCATGATTGCCGGCACTATGCTGGAGAAGAACCTGAAGGAATACGCCGTTATGCTCTGTTTCGATGTGGCTGTCGATAAGGAGGCAATGGAGTACGCTGAGAAGAATGGTGTGACTGTATTCACTGCAGAAATCATCTACCACTTGTTCGACAGCTTCACCGCATACACGAAGAAGCTGGAGGAAGAGAGAAAGGAAGAGAGCAAGCTGGACGCTGTCTTCCCTGCTGTGCTCAGCCCGTTGCAAGTGTTCAACAAGAAAGACCCAATCGTCATCGGTGTCGATGTGATTGACGGTAACCTGCGGCTTGGCACACCGATCGCCGCCGTAAAGCACAACTCGGTCACTGGTGTGAAGGATGTCGTCAGTCTGGGTAGAGTGTAAGTCTGACTTTTGCACGTTTGAGAACTCATTGCTAACAAATCAACAGCACATCAATCGAGCGAGAGCACAAGGCCATTCAATTGGCCAAGAAGGGCTCGCCGTCCGTTGCTGTCAAGATCGAAGGTCCGAACCAGCCGCTGTATGGTCGACAACTCGAGGAGAAAGACACGCTATATTCAATGATCTCTCGGAAGTCGATTGATACCCTCAAGAAGCATTATCGGGACGAGGTGACCAAGGACGAATGGAATCTGATCGTCAAGCTGAAGCCGATGTTTGATGTCTCATAAGCGGTCGCAGTGCTCTAGAGGCCATGTGTAGAAGACGATGTTCAGGAAACGTGTGAGAGACGCAGAGACTATCGCACACGAAAAGTTCATGATTGTGAAGATTCAGTGCGATGTCGATGTTCGACAGAGAGGCGATATCTGGACCAGGTTCTCAGCATGTGTTCATAGAGCGGATCATCGATGTCCAAACAGCCCTCTCATCGAGCATGTATCTCATACTTTTCGCTCCCGTCGCCTGAGAGCCTTCCTAATGAATTTTTGTGAACGTTCATTTGCTTCTTGAGGTAGCCCGTGTCGGCATCACAGCTTCCAAAGGTCCGGTTGTGATGCGCGCAAGCGAAAGCAGGGACGCACTCGCTTACCTAAGTAGTCGAAGTGGGCCGACACTTTTGCGCGAAAGCCGACGAGCTTGTCATCGTGCCACTGACAATCCACCAATCACATTTCATTGCTAAAAATTTGTTGAAATTGAACGGACATTCGCACATGAGCGGTGTGTGGGCACTTCGACCGAAAGTCGAGAGGCTGCCGCAGCTGAGGTCTTTGCATCACTGCCAACTTGTTCGTTCCTTCCTGCGAGATAGGGCCAGGTCGTGAGCTTCAGCGAGCCGAATATCACGGAAAGATCGACTCGCGTCTATTGGCGACAACAGCCAGGCACGCCCGCGGTCTGATTCGGTGGGGGCCGGGAACTGCGGTTCGTTATCACCGCACGAACCTCGCGACGATGGAGAGTCTCACCAGCGACAATGTCACGGCGGCTTTCCAGTCGCCGCTGGCCGATGGACAGATCAGACTTGGTGCGACCACTTCATTTGCATCTGCACTTGTCTCGAGATATCTAGACCAGCTGAATATCTGGACGGGCCTTTTGACGGTGCTACTGCTCGCAATAACATACGATCAATGTACGCAATCCGAGCCACGATGGAAGCGGCTCGCAGGCGGCTGACGACGAAACAGGTAGCTACAAATGGCAGAAGTACGGCATCGAAGGCCCAGCATGGAAGATTCCGTTCATGGGCCCATTCCTCGAGTCCGTATGGCCTGACTTCGAGGCATACAAAGCCAAATGGCGATCAGCCGAGTTGAGCTGTGTCGGTGTCTTTCACAAGTATGCTACAGCCCTTCCCCGTGAGCAGGATCTGGGACTGACCTCGCTTCTACAGGTTCGTAGTCCTCGCAGGGACGCGAGACATGTCGAGGAAGATCTTCAACTCCCCAGCCTTCGTCAAACCATGTGTAGTCGACGCCGCCTACAAGCTTCTGCGACCGGAGAATTGGGTCTTCCTCGACGGCAAGGCCCATGTTGACTACCGCAAGGGCCTCAACGGTCTGTTCACACGACAAGCCCTCGAGTCGTATCTGCCAGGTCAGGAGGAGTGCTACGACAAGTACTTTCAAGACTTCACACGCATAACACGCGAGCACCAGGGCAAGCCGATCCCGTTCATGACCACCTTCCGCGAGCTGCAATGCGCTGTCTCCTGCCGTACTTTCCTCGGCCATTACATGAGCGAGGGCGGCGTCAAGATGATCGCGCGAGACTTCTACTACATCACCGCCGCACTCGAACTCGTCAACTTCCCCATCATCCTCCCCTTCACGAAATCCTGGTATGGCAAGAAAGCCGCAGACGTCATGCTAGGCGAGTTTTCAAAATGCGCCGCAAAGTCAAAGGTCCGCATGGCAGCTGGCGGCGAGCCAAACTGCATCATGGACAGGTGGGTGCGCCAGATGCAGGACTCGACCAAGTACCGCGAACGGATTGCCAGAGGCGAGACCGTCGACCCGTCAGAAAAGCCACCACAGGTCCTCCGCGAATTCACCGACCTCGAAATCTCCATGACAATCTTCACATTCTTCTTCGCTTCCCAAGACGCCACCAGCGCCGCCTGCACGTGGCTGTACCAGCTTATGGCCGACCGACCGGAATGGCTCGACAAGGTGCGCGAGGAGAACCTGCGTGTGCGGAACGGCGATCGCGATCAGAGACTCAGCCTGGAGCTGCTCGAGGCCATGCCCATCACCAGAGCCGTCGTCAAGGAGAGTCTTCGCTACCGCCCGCCAGTCATCATGGTCCCCTACCTCGCGAAGAAAGACTTCCCTGTGTCGCCGGAATATACGTGCAAGAAGGGCACCATGGTCATCCCCTCGGTCTGGCCCGCGACACACGACCCGGAGGCATACCCCAATCCAGACTCATTCGACCCCGAGCGGTGGATTAGTGGTGATGCGGAGGCTCAGGTGAAGAATTGGCTGGTGTTTGGAACGGGTCCACACTATTGCTTGGGACAGCAGTATGCGCAGCTGAATCTGATTGCGATGATTGGGAAGGCGGCCATGCATCTGGATTGGACGCATTATCCGACGGACAAGAGTGAGGAGATCGAGGTTTTTGCTACAATTTTCCCGAAGGTATGCTCGGAAGATCTGGCTTGCCGCAATTCATTGCTAACATCGTTCCAGGATCACTGCCATCTGACATTTGTCGACCGTCCGGCGGAGGCTTGATGCAACTCTGCAAGTCCTTCGGCGAGATTTGCTTTGACAGTGTTTGTTTGCATTTCGAGCGACTCATACCCAAACGTTAGACCGAGAAGGAAGACCCTCGTGGCATGGCATACCGTGCCTTTTTCGAGGGACTAATGGTCATGATAGACAGTGTGGCTCTGGCAACGGAGTCCGATGACTGAGAGCATATGTGGTACGGCGTTCAGGCATGCGAGACATACGGGAGGAGTCCTTCTGGGCTCTGGGCCGATAGTGTTTTGAGCATACTTTGGGTAGTATGGCCAGCATCTACTAAAGAGTAGCATAGCATCTACTAAAGAGTAGCATAATGACACATGCCACAAACATTACTCTGTCCAATCCTGCTAAGCGCCGCTGTCTGCGACCAGCATCCACATCGGCTCGTGCGAGTGTGCTGGGATGTCGTCAGTCTTCCGGTTTCGATCGAGGCCACAGGTCATCCGGTCTCGTGCAACATCTCTTGTCATCCGGCGTCGAGCTAACCTGACTCCCAGGCGTTAACTCCTGCCGAGAACTCTCATGGACGATTACTTGAGCATCAAGTCACGCCGGGCGACTGGTTCGGGGGAGGGATTTAAAGATCGATTGACTGGGCAGACGAATGGAATGACATTCCTTGTGTTAGGCCATCCATGGTACGCGATACGGCTTGCCCCGACTGCCCAGGTGTCTAGCCCATGCTCACTTCAACACCTCCCCACCACTCAACTCAACAGTCAGATCAAACTCCGGCTGGAACTGCATATACGCGACCTTCGGAATTCCAGTGTTCGCATACGTATACTCCGCCTCCTCCTCGCCCACGAACTTCCTCTGCAAGCCTGACGCAGAAGCCTGCTCGACCAAGATCTGGCCTTCGCACGCACGCTCGAGCGCGATGAAATAAGCCGCTGCCTCATCGACAGTGCCGCCGCAGGTAAGCAGGCCGTGGTTTTGCAGAATGAGGTGTTGTTTGTCGCTGCCGAGGGCGTCGGCTAGACGTGCGCCTTCCTCGGCGGCCAGGACGACGCCGCCGAAGCCTTCGTAGACTGCGAGGTTGCGGTGGAACATGCATGCGTCTAGTTAGGGGGTTAGTAGGTTGTGATGGTTGTGGGGGAAAGGGGGCGGCGAACCTTGATTGACCATGTCGAGTCCCTTGCCGAACGCGCTCCACGCTCTGCCGTAAGGTGAATGTAGGTGTACGGCGGCGTTGATGTCCGGTCTGGCTTTGTGGATGCTCGAGTGGATGATGAAGCCTGCTGCATTGACCTTGTGCTTTGTTGGCATGACCTGTTTGCCCTCGTGGTCGACAAGCACGAGATCACTGGCTTTCATCTGTGCGAAGTGTACTGCGTAGGGATTGATCCAGAAGTGCTCTGGGTTGACAGGGTCGCGGAGGGAGACGTGGCCTGAGGCGCCGTCTGCCCAGCCCAGACGTGCGAAGGTGCGGAAGGCGGCTGCCATCTTGCCTTTGGCCCATGCTCGCTCGGCATGTTTGTCGGTGAATGTGGGGATGTGGTGGAGGGGTTCGGTGTTCGAGAGATCCCAGGTCAGAGCGCTTTGGGCGTCTTGTTCTTGCTCGATCTGGATGTGTTTGGAAGTGGTGGTCTGGGTCTGCGTTATTGTCGACATGATTGCGGTTGCTTGGTTGCTTGAGACGATGGCGATAACGGTGGCGGTGGTATATCCAATTCCTAATCCCTGGATTGAACGGCTTGACTTTCACTCTTCTTCTGAAGCGCGATTCGGTCGCAGATAAGAAGCCGTTTCGGTCAAGTCTGGTGTCGGTCCAGGCCGAAGGCGACTCGTGGACCGTGACGTGTGGCCACGAGTGTTGAGTAGTGTATCCAGGTGATTGAAACATGATGGTAGATGGTGGGCAGTGCCCGACGCAACATTGAGTCGTGCATCGGATCAAGCCGACTCTTCACCATGCAGGGTCTTCTGGAGAGTTCAAGCCTTCCCACGCCCTGTGGAGCGTTCACTCCTCCACACGTGACCGTACTCCGTTCCAACGCGTTCTGGGTATGTGCCATCGCTATTGACAACGCCTGGCTAGCGATGCTCGTGGCAGATACTATTGACCTGTGGGCATGGAAAGTAGAGCTAAATACACGGAGCCGGGCGCGGTGTGGACGCGAACACCGGGAAAAAACTACGCTCGAGCCAGGGAGGGCGCTGGTGTGTATCTGGTGCGCGAGGATGGTTCGAAGGTGCTTGATGGCAGTAGCGGCGCCGCTGTGTCATGTCTGGGACATGGCAACGGGGAGGTCATAGAATCAATCGTGGATCAAGCTCGGCAACTTGCATTCGCACATAGCTCCTTCTTTGCTAGTCGACCAGCACAGGAGCTCGCAAAGATGTTGACAGACTCGAGCAATGGCGCTTTCGAGAAGCTGCTGATCCTGAATTCAGGTGAGCGAACGAGAGACACGCTAGGTGTGTGATGCTGAGAATCCCAGGATCCGAGGCGGTAGAATCGGCGTTGAAGTTAGCGAGGCAGTACCATGTCTGCAATGATCAACCTGAACGAGTTCACATCATTGGAAGGGAGTCCTCATACCACGGCAACACTTTCGGCGCTCTGTCAGCTGGCCACCATCCAGGACGTCGAGGGCCATTCGTGCCGATGCTTTCGCCGGTCTTTCATCACGTATCACCGTGTTTCTTCTCGAGGGACGCCCGCGGTGGTGAAGATGAGTCAGCGTACGTCGCCCGGCTTTTGGCAGATTATGAAAAGCTGTTCGCCAAGCTGGGACCTTCGAATGTTGCTGCCATGATCGTTGAACCAGTTTCGGGCGCCACACTTGGAGCTGTCCCTGCTGCGGAAGGTTACCTCAGCGGCCTCCGTAGCCTTTGCGACAGACACGGTGCTCTGCTCATCTTCGACGAAGTCATGTGCGGTATGGGTCGAATCGGAACTCTCCATGCATGGCAATCGCTAGGAGGTGTGCCGCCGGATATCCAGACGATAGGAAAAGGTCTTGCCGGCGGCTATCAACCAATTTCAGGTGTGCTGCTGAATGAAAGAATCGCAGACGTGCTCACCAGGTCGCATCCTACCAAGCCGTTCATGAGCGGCCATACTTACCAAGATCATCCTATCGGGTGCGCTGCAGCTATTGCAACTCAGCAAGTAATTGTTCGAGACGACCTCCTACGGAATGTCCAAGACATGGGTGTACTGCTGCAAAACAAGCTCCGACTGTCAGTGCCGTTCGTTAAGGAGGTAAGAGGTAGAGGCCTCTTCGTAGCTGTGGAATTTGCCAGCGCAGGTGCCACGAAACCAATTGCAGCAGAGGTGGCCAGCACTTGTTTGCAGAAAGGTGCTGCTGTCTACCTGTGCTCTGACCTGGTCGACGCGATTCTGTTCGCCCCGCCTTATATCATCTCGGCGGGCGAGATAGAACTGTTGATCAGCATCTTCGTCGATTCGGTCCGTCAAGTGCTTGCCGGTAGAAATATACATATAGATTAGTCGGTGTGATGATGAGAATGACAGAACGTTCACGCTTCCAGGACACGAGTGTCTGAAACATTACTTCAGTCAGGCCCTGAGGTATTGGGAAGAAGTCAAAGGCTACCTGTCCGGCAATGCGGAAGTCGTGCCCAGGGCAGGCCTTAACACATGGGGCAAGGAAGACCCTAGCAAAATTGCTAGGGGCACTACTGACAGCCTTGACTGCCCAGGTGCACTGTAGGCGCGAGTCATCCCCGGACTTTCCCCACAAGCATTTCGCGCGTGCTGCACTCTCACTTGCGTGTATGAAATGGCACTCGAGACCGAGAGTCTTTATCGAGGCATCTCATGTTACAGTACATTATTGCATCTCCTGTAGCCTTCGCCTTGATGCGTCTAGCAGAGTTATTCATGGCTCCTTCTGCTGTTTCCTGTGATCTTGCCTGGGCCACGTTCGATCCTGCCAAATACATCTTCCTGCTCCTGCTCCTGCTGGACTCGTGACAACGGTCATCCTTCCTGCCCGTTCCACGATTTCGTGCCGTAGCTTCTTGTAGTTCTATTGCGTTCCTCCGCTCGTTCATACGCCCATCTTATAGCATCGTTCGTGAAATACTAGCTGTCTTTGGCCATGCACTTGTCGTCTGTCCGATCTCGATGACAGCCCAGGAGAACCTCGTGCCTGCAGAGGATTGCTCGCCTACATGTCGTCTAGACGGCCACGACCCTCCGGCTCTCATTCCTCTCGCCCGAAAGCCGAAACGCAATACCATACTTGAGCCACAAGAGCAAATTAAGAGCATGGGAAGAGTTACAAGCCACAGGCAACTATCGTCCTTACCTAAGGTCCGACCCAGCTACCGTTCTCAAACCTCGCAGACCTACCTGACCAACATAAGCCTCTGCTCCTAGTACGAGTTGTCCGTTGCACGCACCCAGTGAAGGTCTCTGTGTCCCTGATACTTTGACTGAGGGGAGGCCGCGATCCATGTTCAAGCAATACACCTCCTCTCATGGTCATAAGTCGTCTGTTGATGCAGCCTGTATGAGTGTTTTGTCAACATGCGTCTGCACAAAGCCGCTGTGTGAGCCGAGCAGAGGTCGAAAAGAGCATGCTTGATGTTGACAGTTGTACGGTTCTCGGGTAGTAGGTTCGGTGTTGGAGTCAGACCGAAGGTTCGAGTTACCATTAAGTTGCTGTTGTGTCGGCCACTCATTCAACGGTTGTTGGACATAAATCTCAGGGGCTAGACCCCTCCAAGTGTCCAATCTCCACCCTTATCATGCCTGTGTGATAAGCCTGTCCGAGCTTAACATCAAACCTGAAGCATTGGGCAGACATGCAACTTCGAGACCACTGTAGCAACAGTCGTCCCGATGAGGCGCGTACATCGACGACATGCTCATGGACATCTCCGCGGAACGACCGGCCAAGCGAGCACGTATAGCTTGTAATGCGTGTAAGCAGAAAAAGCAGCGATGTGATTCTGATGGAAATGGACCCGCCTGCAGCAATTGTAGCAAGACTGGTCGAGGTACAGTGCTCGTCTACACTCCCAGATCATTACTAAGTCAAGACAGAATGCACGGTCGAAGATCCATCAACGAAGAGGAATCTGCCACCAAACTATGTTGAGCTTCTGGAAGCTAGAATTGCCCATCTCGAAGGCCTCCTACGCGAATCGCATCCACACATCGGAGGTGATCATCTGATCTTGGACAGCAACGATGACTCCGGAGTGGCCAACCATCAACAGAGCCCTTTGTCGTCGGCGACAGCAGAAACTCCTGTCGGCGGGCAGGATTCTGGTGTTCAGTCACTATCAGATCTTGCTGAAAGCACTAGGCTAATCCTTTTGAACGCGCCTATGAGCCTTCGGTCGAGTCTTTGTGCATGGTGGCCGCAGCCGCACAGCCCCTGTACTATGGTCCGTCGTCTGGCCTTAATTTCCTTCGCGTCATCGGCTCTATAATGCGCAGCGTCGGCTTCCAAGCGCCTGGCTCAGTGTGAACTGCGTCAACGATGACGTTTTCAAGGCGTTACCGAAGCCATTACCAGCGCCTCTGCCACCCAAGATCTTCGGCGAAGTGCTCACGGAGGCATACTTCACCCACGTCCATCCTCAGTACCCGTTCCTCCATCGGCCAACCTATGAAAAGTGGGAGAACAACGTGCATTTTGCCAATGATAATAGGTTGATCGGCGACGCCGTCGAGAGCTTCTTCGTATTCATGGTGTACGCAATTGGAGCTTTGATCATGCCCAGCATGACTCCCAGCTCAGCAGAAAGCCTCTATGCCGCAGCGGATGCCTTCTTGGACCAGGCTTTGGCAGCAGATGGCGTGCAGTCCATACAAGCAGTGCTTTGCTGTGCCATGTACTCGATGCGCTCAAGCAGCGGAGTGTCTGTGTGGACTCTGTCTGGCATTGCATTAAGACAGTGCACAGAGCAGGGCCTAAACAAGAAGCTTGTGTGGGCCGCACAGCATCTGGATCTGCTGCAACAGGAGACGCGAAAGAGAGTTTTCTGGGTTTCATACAACCTGGACAGAATTTCGGCTGTGTCTCTGGGTAGGCCTGTCGGCATTGCAGATGAAGACATCGACGTTGACTTTCCGGCGGACATCAATGACGAGCACATCACCCGAGACCGATTTCTGTCTACGCCTCGAACGCATCATCTCACGCCGTCCACCACAATGTCAGCGGCGATCCATCATCTGCGTCTGCGTCGCATCTGGGGTGAAATTACTACGAACTTCTACCAGTCCAAGCTTGAGCAGACCCCTCGGACGCCAGATTTTCAGATGGCAGACGAAATACACGCCGGCCTGGAGCAATGGTTCACTGAATGTCCACGAATCATGAATCGCACTGGCGAGGGCGGCCTCCCCTTCGGTACTATGGAGTGGTTTACCCTGGCCTACGACCACACCGTTCTGCTCCTCAATCGACACAGGCTTGTGACACACATAAGACACGGCTTCAACTCGACACTGGACATGTCGACTACATATGCTCAATGTGCCCATTCCGCAGCTCGAATATGTCATACCTACCAGGACGTCTACCTGAACACTAAAGTTAGCTCAACCTGGGGCGCGTTGCACATACTCTTTCTCGCAGGCCTTACGTTCCTGTACTGCCTCTGGACTGATGGAGCCTGTCGAAAGACATACAGGAGAGATGCTGTGAACAGTGCATGTACAGCATGCACAGTCGCGTTGGTCATAATCACGGAACGATGGAGTGCTGCCCAACCCTACCGCGATACATTCCAGGCGCTCGCCAATGCAACACAATCTATGCTGGCCGAACAGGAAGAGCGAAATCATCCGTACCCGAATCTGCCAGTGCTGAAGCAGGCTCGTGGGATGCCAGAAAATCTGTCGAGCATCAACGGCTTCGGATTGTGCCCTTCAACGGAGCTGTTGCTCAGGGAGATGGTACAGAGCTAGGAACCTTTGGTCATAGTCTAGCCAGTAGCTCTTGGAGCTTCTGGACCAAGTCTACCACAATATCCGCAGCACCAATACTGTACCGATAGCCCGCGCCACCAAATCCATACGCATGGATCGCATCATCGGCCTTTTCGATTCGATATCCACCTTCTCTGCCAGGTCGGACACCGGCGATGTTCTTCCTCACATCACTCAGCTTGAGGTCTCTGAACCAGCCGTTGGTCATAGTATTGACTCGCTCAATTATGTCCCTCTGGAGGTCGACGTTGATGTCAGTGTTGGTGCTGCCCTCTTCCTCAACGCCTCCGATGATGACTCCCCCAGAAAGCATTCTTGGAAGAACATAGGTGTACTCGGTACCTCGTCTGATCCGGACCTCCTTATCAATCACTTTGGAAGCATCCTTTGGGTCGCGGGGGCAGTCGACAAACATGGTCTGTCCCCTCACGCCAATGACCTTTGGATCTTTCGCAAGCTCCTTTGCTCCCAAGCCTGACGCATTGACCAATATCTTACACTCTATGGTCGTCTTTGCGTCCTTCAAGGAGTTCACATTGGCTCTAATGAACCTTACCTTGTGAGAGGTCTCCAGTAGCTCGGCGAGCCATTGCAGATATCTCTCTGGATTGACAGAAATGGCCACAAAGGTGTTACCTTTCTTCGTGCCAGGTGGGAGTTCATCTGGATTCAATCGTCGGAAGTGAGGAACTGCTGTCGCGTACCATTCGTCCGACTCGTCGTGAGATGGATGATCCCAGTACTCCTGGACTGTTACTGTCTGCACGTGTATCAGCGCAAGCAATCACTTCAACTATGTCAAAGTGGCTCACCTGGACACCGCAAGTTGGATCTCGGTGCGCAAGACTCCAGTAGTAGCGCAAAGAGGCAATTTGCATAGCTCGGTCTCTCGAATCCTTGGTTATGAAAGGCAGCACGACAGCGCCTGCCCTGTGTAACTATCAGATTGGTGCAACTACAGCATGGTTGGAGACTGACCACGGACTGGCCCATGCTGTCGTCAAATCGCCCGGGAGGTCCCTTGCCAGGACGGTGACTCTGTATCCTGCCTCTGACAGTCTCAGTGCGCAGGTCAGTCCAACAATACCCGCACCAACAACACCAACATCTTGTCGTTCGCCCCGAACCATGATTTTCTGATGGATCGATGCGGGACACTGACTGAGCTTTGGGAGCCGGTTTCACTCAAAAGCTAAGATCATGGCCTACCATCTTTCAGGGACATACCTTCCCATCGAGCACTGTATGGACACCCTTGAAGGTCAACGTTAGTCCACATAAACTTAAATGGATAGATCGATCTGGTGGACTCGGCACCATTGTCCAGCGGTTGTGGCAGTCTCGCTTGCACGGCGGCTCATGCCGAGTTCTGAATCATGCTTTGCATCAAGAACCGGCGTGGGCCGACTGTGTCTTTCCCACCAAATTTCGCACAAACGCTCGGGTCGGGGTCTGCGGACATTGGCGCTCATGTTCCTCGGAACGGTTGCTGATCCTGCTGCAACACTGTCCATGGTCTATGGAGAGAAATTGCCACATGCGAGCTCAGGCACCAGCAAGGTTGGCTGCAAGGGAGCGGACTTGACGCTATCACAGACAGAGACCTGCGTTTCACACTCGGGCTGGCAATATTGCAGAGATGTGTGGCACATTGAAGTTGCTGAAGGCTGCTGGATTGACTATGTTGCACCATTGGTCACAGCACCATTCGTGCCTGCGTGCGCCCTCACCTCCAATTCGTTGACCGGACTAATGGCTTTGCCTGTCTCGAAGAAGGCACGCACGTTCTCCAGCGCCTCTCGGTACGCGCGATTCCAAGCAACGTCCGTGATACCGCCCATGTGCGGCTGCATGATCACACGATCATTGCGGATGAAGTATGGACTGTTCCATCGTCAGTTCAGGTCGAAGCAATGGCACGACAAGGACTCACTTGATCTTGGGCTCTCCCTTGAACACGTCGAGCCCAGCCCTGCAGATCTTGCCCGACTCGAGGGCCTCTATCAGTGCTTCCTCATTCGCGAGCGGACCTCGACTTGTGTTGATAAAGAACACGCCATCTTTCATCTTCGAGAACTCCTTGTGCGATATCATGCCCTCTGTCTTCTTGTTCAGAGGGCAGTGTAACGACACGATGTCCGCCGTTGAGAGCAGCTCATCCAACGTCGAGCAGTATGTGGCGGCATATTTCTGCTCGTCCTCCGGAAGCATCCGCGTCCGCTGGTAGTAGATGATCTCCATGTTGAACACCTTCGCTTTCCGCGCAACATGTTTGCCGATCGAACCCATTCCGACAATACCCAACTTCATCCCTGCTGGGTCGCGTGTGGGAACAAGACCTCCTCTCCAGTTCCCATTGGCAACGCTTGTCTGGAGTCGCTGGACATCTCTGATGACGCCCAGCATCATGAAGATAGCAAGGTCCGCGCTGGCCTCGTTGACTGCGTTCCGACTGTTACAGAAAGTTATCCCGTTCTTGGACATCCAGTCGACATCGAATTCGTTATAGCCGGCGCTGGCCGAGGTCATGAGCTTCAGCTGAGGGACTAAGGGCCTCAACAATTCTTCGTCGAAAGGCTCGTAGGGCTTTGTACCCATGAGTATACAAATGGCATCGAATGGACCGTCCGAGGCCACTTTCGCCGCCAGATTCTTGACTGTAGTTGGTCTGTCGCCAGCTTCAGAGACATGAAGCTCGAACTTGGTCTCGAATTCTTTCAGATACGCAGGATCCGCCCAGTTAGGTGGTGAGATCGTGACGACCTTTGGTCTGCGCGGCGCCATTGTGCTGGAGGACGTAAAATTTAAGCACTGTTTCAAAGAGTGAGATGCGTGCAGTCAATACTGGAGTTCGCGTCAAAGGACAGATCTCATGTTTTATTGTGGCCGCTACACGCGTCGAAGAATCGCTATTCGGGCACACGCCGCTCAACTGCCGATCACGCGAAAAGGCGCGTGGGGTCGGACATTTCTCGTGTTTACGGCTCAAGCCGATTCAACGCAACCAGCGCTCAGTATGCACGAACCGGCAAAATGCAGATAACGACTATTTCTCCAAGAGCCTTGATGCCCCGACTCCATCATAACATAACAGCCTTCCTACCTCGTTGTCGTGCAATCCAGCAGCAGCGAAATCATACAAAATGGGTTCTATCGGTATGCCCAAAGCGGACGACCGGCCTATCCTGGGCCTCATCGCCTCCGAGATGAACATTCACCGCGCACCGGGCGACATTGGCAATCGCAGAACGTTCGACTTTCCCGTCATTCAGACAGAGATCAAGGGAGCACTCCTCGCGTCAATGGTCACAGATGAGGAGCATGACGACGAGATGGTTGATGCGTTTGTTGAGGCAGGAAATCGTCTCATCGATCAAGGTGCTGTTGGCCTGGTCACAAGCTGTGGGTTCTGGGCCATCTCCCAAAAGAAGTCTGTCTCCCATGCACGCCATGTGTGCCAAAGCTGATCCGTGAAATAGGATATCCCAAAGACTATCGGTGCCCGTTGCAACATCATCTCTGCTTCAGGTACCCTTGATCAGGACAATCATCAGACCTGACCAAGGCATCGGCATTTTGACATTTGACAAAGAGCGTCTAAACTTTAACCACCTGAGGGCCGTAGGGTTGCACGACACGTCCAACATCTATATAAGCGGCCCGCCCACCGAGGGGAAGATGAAGCACACTCTCCGCGACGGCATCCCTTACGACCTCGCTGCGCTGACTGCGGAAGTTGTCGAGACAGCCAAGCAACTGATCAAGGAACAGCCACACATAGGTGCTATTCTGCTGGAGTGTACGCAATTCCCACCCTTCGCCAATGCTGTGCAGAATGCAACAGGACTGCCCGTGTGGGATGTCACTACATTGGCGAAATGGTTTTATGCCGGGCTTGTGAGTCGGCCGCAGCCGGTCATGACAAAGGAGGAGGTCCTCGATGCTGCCGCTGTAAGGCCAAGGAGCCAGCGTGAGCTGATGGAGAAGCCGATCCGGCAGTAGCCTCGGGATCTGTGTATCTCGATGGTCGTCTGTGGCACAGATGAGCCATCATAATCCTAGTGTTCATGCGCGTACTACTCGTGTACAGACCTGAGTCCTCCCGCCATTTCACAGCTTCGGCCCAGGCCTTGTTGGAAATGTTTCGCCAGGCCGATTTCAATTTTGGGCACTCCCCAGTTCCTTGAGACCAGCCAGAGACGGGAAGAACGGCAGAAGCGCGGTTTTCTCGGGAACTTCCAACTCGGCCTGTTCCTTACTGTGGAGCCACGCTGATAACAGGGCTCCGCCACGAGCGGGATCTATTCACACTTACCCCAACCCATGCGATAGCGAGTCTATTGTAATGTTTGGAAAGGTTATACTCTATACCAACAATCAGGTATAACTACTTGAGGAGTACTCCAGGATGCACAGACACTCGCCAGTCCGCTTCTCGCCAACACCGGAGCATAACACTTGTCCCAACCTCAGCAGCCCGTCACACCTCCCTTTGGCGCCTGGAACCCGCCAACATGGCGACCACAGACACAGATATCGACATGAAGCAGCCTGCTGGCGTCACGCAGGTGGCTAGCAACAGTCCTGCTGCCAGCGATGCCGACGAACAGCTGGAGCTCGCGCTCCGCAACTATGTTCCGGGCACCGACGCAGAAAAGAAACTGGTCAGGAAGATCGACGTCTTCCTTGTCCCGGTCTTGTGGGGCATGTGTGTTCTGTGCTATCTCAACCGCAATAACATTGTAAGTAGGACATCTTCACGTTGAGGTGGGTATGGCAGACTGACTTACCTGTCCAGGGCAATGCCAATGCAGCAGGCATGTCAAAAGACCTCGGCCTCAGCTCCGGCGGTAAGTGCAATCGCTCTCTTGCCAAGGAGTATATGCTGACCCCAATGAACAGATTACGCCATGCTGATCTCGATCTTCTTCATTGCATATCTTTGCTTCGAAGTCCCGTCAAATTTGGTCATCACCCGAGTGCGTCCTTCGTTGTACGTTCCGGCACTCGCCGTCGCATGGGGAACCGTGTGCACATGCATGTCCCAGGTCCAGTCCTACGGTGGTATTCTTGCTGCACGGTTCTTCCTCGGTGCCGTTGAGGCGGGTTTCATACCAGGAGTTGCATATTTGTTCTCTCAATACTATAAGAAGGATGAGCTTGGTAGGTGTTCGTCGAGACTCAAGTTGGCATTGTGCTAACATGCAACCACAGGCAAGCGCTTCTCGATCTTCTTCACAGCCTTGTGCTTTGCTGGTGCGGCTGCCGGTCTTCTGGCGGGTGCAATCATCTCTGGTCTGGAAGGTGCGCGTGGTATGGCTGGTTGGCGGTGGCTCTTTCTGATTGAAGGTATCATGAGCATCTGCTACGCCGTCCCGGCAGCATTCATCTTGTTGGACTTCCCGGCAGACTCAAAGCGACTCACTCTGGCAGAGCGCCAGCTGGCTGTTGTTCGGATGGCGCATGACCGGCGAATGACTGACACTACAGTCAAGCGTCTGTCGCCTCTCCAGTCTGTCACCGCCGCCGTACGCGACCTGCGAACCTATTTCTTCTCCATCCTCTACATGCTCGGCAATGGGTCTGCGACCATCAACTATTTCGTCCCTACAGTGCTACGAAGCATGGGTTACTCTGGTGTCCTTGTACAGTGGATGAGCGTACCAATCTGGACCGTCGGCACCGTCTTCCTCATCGTCCTTCCCTACACAGCCGACCGTTTCCGCGATAGAAGGTGGCATATCACCGGAGCAATGGCACTCGCATTCCTCAGCGCCATCATCTGCTTCCAGGTTGACCACAACCCGACTCGCTACGCTTTCTTGGCCTTCTGCATCGCAGGAGTGTACTCGTCTCTACCACTGATCATGATCTGGGTCTCGGATGTGCTAGAGCTGCAGAGCCGAGAAGCGGGCTGTCTCGATCGCTATCGCGAACAGCGTGGGCAATCTGTCGGCGCTGTACGGAAGCAGGCTTTGGCCTACAGAAGATGCGCCGCAGTATGCGAAGGGCTTCACCGCGATTGCTTGCTTCACTGGAGTGGGCGCACTGCTGGCAGCAGCCGGACCAATCATCTTCAAGTACTTGCCCAGGTTTCCGACGAAGGCGGAGCTGGAAGTCGTTGAGGGGCGAGCTCAGGCTGAGAATGGAGCGGGACGAGTTTAGATCGTGAGAAGTACATGAGGTGATATTCGAGGTGGCTCCTGCGTGGAAACACACACGCGCCTGATCGAGATCCTGAGGACTAGTGGCGGCCCCATGCTGTTGCCCGTTATACGAAGTACAATGTGTTCTGCTGCGACACTTAAGATGTTCATTCCCCCGGCTTTCCGTGAATCTTGGTCATCAAAAGGACGTTCACGTTCCAGGTCTCATACTGTAGGAGTCAGGATTCTTGCCACAAGGGTGAGCTCTAAGTGCTGATCTTCGAGCTGCTCAACGCTACTAAGGTTGATCGTTCTTCAACAGTCCATTTGAGTGGTCGGTCTTCTCCACCCTCTGCAGACGCTTGTGGGGGAACCAGGCACAAGGCACAGTCATCGCCTAATCAGGCAACGCCTAATACGGGAGGTGGAAACTGCATCAGAATCATGTTCGTTGTCTGTAAGATAGTCTCCGTCGAATTCGCAGCAGATGCTTGCCTGCTTCCATCCACGTGGCGAGGGAGACTCCAACGTCGGCGTCTTGCTTCTTGGTGCATTGAGTTCCAATTGTGAAGTGTCAGGTCCCACGACTCAGCCGATTCTTCGATGGCTGACTGAACGTAACCCAAAAATAAAGGGTAAGCACCGATCAAGGTCCAAACTGCGGGTGAGACCGACGGCCACAAACACGAGGTACTGGACTATGGAGACGATCTCAAATGATGTTAAGCCCACTTCAATTCCACCGACGGCTTTCTAGGGGAAGACTGGAGCTTGGTTAGTCACCCGTCGGATATGGTTTCGGCGGAGGCTGATGTCATCCGGTCGAGAAGCATTTCGGATTGGTCGAATCGGCTGTGTCATCCTCAGATGCGACTTAGCAGGCCACTGACAGTGTTACGCATTTGGGCATAATTCGAAGTGGAGGCTAGTATGGCATGGGAGAGCTTGCGTGGCGTCGAGAGACTGGCACGGCACCGGAGAACGGGACTTGCTATGCAACGAGCTTGAGGATTTAAATGCTCTGTAGAGAACAACACGGAGGCCACAGAAGCGTACAGCAAAGAGATATATTTCCTGGCCCCTTCAGTAGCAATCGCCGCATCCATATCGACCACACACAATGCCGATTGGCACCACGCTCCAGCAAGGACTAGATGAATTCGATGTGATCGTCGCAGGAGGTTCGTCAGCCACAGCGCCGGCCCCAGATGCACTCACTGACGCTTCTCAGGAGGTAGCGCCGGCTGTGTTGTCGCCGGCCGACTCGCGGCAGCCGACCCGGATCTCAAGGTCCTGCTCATCGAGGGAGGCGAAAACAACCAAAGTGTTGAGAATGTGGTCAACCCAGCTTTCTTTCCACAACATATGATGCCAACTTCAACCACGGCTATCTTCCACAAGGCCAACATGTCCAAAGAGCTGGGCCGGCAACCGATCGTCCAGACGGGTGGCATACTTGGTGGCGGAAGTAGCGTCAACCTCATGCTTTACACCCGAGGTCAGCGATCAGACTACGACTCCTGGAATATGCCTGGTTGGTCCACGGACGAACTCATGCCTTACTTCCAAAAGATCGAAACTTACCATGGCCGTGGCCACAAAGCCATTCATGGATACGAGGGTCCTCTCCAGATCACCAGGGGTCCGTTTCTGGCGACGAACAGCCAAGACGACTTCATCCAAAGCTGCGAGAAGCAGGGCATTCCCAAGAAGCCAGACATGCAAGACTTCGACACGGCCAATGGCACAGAACGCTGGATGCGCACAGTGTCGACAGACGGCAAGCGCCAGGATGCAGCTCATACCTACATTCACCCTCTGTTGGCTGATGGGAAGCATCCAAATTTGCACGTCCTCTGCCAGAAGAAAGTTGTGCGTGTACTTTTTGACGGCAAACGTGCCTCAGGGGTCGAATTCATCCCGAATCCCCAGTACCAGCCAACAGAATCGTTCGCTCCAGTACAACCAGCTCCGCAGGTAGTGCGTGCGCGCAAGCAAGTTGTGCTATCTGCTGGTGCTCTTGGCACTTCGCCAATCCTGGAGCGATCTGGCATTGGCAGCAAGGCCGTCCTGGAAAAAGCAGGCGTGCCGTTGCTCGTTGACTTGCCCGGCGTCGGACACGACTACCAAGACCACCACCTCTGCTTCTGGGCGTACCGCACCAATCTCGCGCCGAACGAGACGCTTGACGGGCTCTGGTCAGGACGTTATCCTGCTGAGAAGGCGTTCGCGAAGAAGGATCCCATATTGGGCTGGAACGCCTGCGACGTGTCTGCCAAAGTCCGCCCGACCGAGTCTGAAGTGGCCAAGCTCAGCTCTAAATTTCAGGAGCTGTGGAAACGCGATTGGAGTAAGGTGCCGGACAGACCCGTTGTTATCTTCACGCTTGTCAGTGCTTTCACAGGAGATCCGAGCCTCGTCGAGCCTGGCCAGTACGCGTCGATTGCGTCGTACACCACGTATCCATACAGCAGGGGACATGTCCACATAAAAGGGCCTAATTGGCAAGACGATCTGGACTTCGACGCGGGATTCTTCAGCGGCGAGAACGGAGACTTCGATATTCAGCAACACATCTGGGCTTACAAGAAGCAGCGCGAGATCTTGCGGCGAACATCTCTCTACCGTGGCGAGCTAGAATTTGGGCATCCTAAATTCCCCGACAACAGTGTTGCCAAAGCTGTCAACCTATCTGGTCAGCAAAAGTCGCTCTCTGAGACTGAAGAGGTGAAGGATCTGGTCTATACTGCAGAAGATGATGCCGCGATTGAGCAGCATCTTCGTGAGAACGTTGCAACGACGTGGCATTCGCTGGGAACTGCTAAATTGGCGCCGAGGGACGAGATGGGCGTCGTTGACGAGGACCTTGATGTGTATGGTGTGGGCGGCTTGAAGGTGGCGGATCTGAGCATTGTGCCTAAGAATGTCGCTGCCAATACGAATAATACGGCGTTGATGATTGGCGAGAAATGTGCCAGTCTGATTTTGGAGGAATTAGGTCTAAAGGATGGCGCGATCTCTTCATGAAGTGTTAGATGGGGATACCAGATTATAACCTTTACAGCGTCAATCGACGTCAAACGTTGAACACACCATGTTTACCATGTTTCACGTCCCAGCGAGAACAAGGACGAGCCGCGCCTCTGACGAACGCGTTGGTAGAGGTAATATGGGACATATCATCGCGCGATTCGGACAGGAACGCGTCTCTACTGAGAAGCTTGACATCGGCGCAGATTCCAACGCGATTTCATGGGGGAGTGTACTGTCAAAATTGACATGCCACCCAGGAGTCTGACCAGGTATTAATGTCTGATGATGTGTAGGTTGTGAAGCAAAAGCTGTTGACGTTATGGACGATGTTTGCTTAATCGTTCTACCGACGCCAAGTCCTCTGTGTCATAGCCAATCAAGGTTCCAAGCACGAATCGACGAGGCTTGAACAGAGCCTCGATACTGGGACGCCTAGTTTTACTCAGAAAGATCTTAACGATACCATTTCGAGGTAGTTTAGGCGACATTGCCGCGAGACGCGCCATTGGCCACGAGGGCCTATGGGCTCTTTGCGCGAGCGCCGCGATTTTGCTCTAGTGAGGTCGCCGCGACAGAGAGCAACGTCCTCGCCAACCTCAACGAGTCAGTCTGTGCACTGAGCGTCCATCCACTTACTGCAATCAGAGTGCAAAATGTGGGCCTATCGTTCCACCAAATGCACCAATACGCGTCCGAGCCATCGTCTCGCTGTGATACTAGTTACGTTCTTGGAGTTGAGTCATCGTAACAACTGACATCGCGGGCTATCGAAAGACACAAGCCACGATGCGTATGGTCCGAGATGCCTGTTGTTCACGATAAGGCAACCGATGGAGCGATTTCGCGAAGTCTATACGGCTCGAGTGCGCCTTTTAGCGCGGATATCTGCATGAAGGATGGGGATGTACCTAGCATTTGCATGAAGGATGGGGGATCAACAGGAAAGCGTCTCGCTATCATACTGGCAGTCTGGCAGCCTGCCAAACATCGCCCGATCGGCCGACCCGCGGGCCGCAGCCTTTACGCGGACTACCGTGCGCTAGCTTTGCGGGGATAAGAGAAACCCTTGTTCGTCCGAGAGGACATTGATTTGAGACCGATTAAGGCAGCCATACGCAAGCAGGTCGACGACTCAGTCATGTTAGCCTTACCATGCCGCTGTTGCGAGCGAAGCGGCATCATTGATGCGTCACCAATGTTCTGCTTTTGAGTAATGAACAACGTGCGCTTTAGGAAATATGACACTGATTATTTCCCCCGAGAGATCGCTGGCACGACTACTAATCCGAAACGCTTGTTGGATTTGCTTCATAGCGCAGTAGGTGGAGCGGTCGCCCTGCGAATGTGTCCAGTGGTCAACATTGCGGTGGCCTGTGTTGTGCTGAAAAGGCAACCATGTTAGTATATTTAGCAGCCTGGATGAAGCAGGTACATGCTGGCAGCGATCGGGAGTCCACCGCACTTTCCTGCACCAAGGAATTCTCGGCTCGAGGGAGCCGCAAATATGGAGTCCTCTGTAAAGATACAGTTGAAGACCCCAGACCGAGTACGACATTGTTTGCAACTTTGTACGCCAGGGCATCGCATTGAGCAATAATCCCGATTCTAAACGACGAAGGTAACCAGCATTGAATACCGAGGCTCATGATCATCTTGCATGTCCCCTGACAATGCAAAGACTAGTCGTATAGCTCGTTCGTTAGAGAGAATAGTGCGACATCGCAACGAGCGGTGTTCCGCGTGTACAGTGGCATGATGCTTAGAGCATGCTTCTGACCACTTTCCTAATCAGGGTTGACGAGGCTCTCAGTCACCATGAGCACGGAACACACCACGATCTCATTCATGCCGTCGACACCCCGGACGCGATTGCACCGACGACCAGGACTGTCAGTGGACGCGGAATCCAGCGGCATCGGTCGATGCGGCCATGGAAAAGTCTTGGGCCCTTGGCTGGCCTGCAACAGGCAATATGGTGTCATTGATCTTGAGGCAGTGTCAAAGCTTCTGTATTCTAGAATGGCAGAATTGTTCAATAACGCGGCCTGCAGGCAATGTTATAGGACTTCATTGGCGAGCTGACGACACCGGGATCAGGCAGAAATAAGCCGCGAGCTTCCGAAATTCACTGCAGAACTGTCGTAGCTGATGTCAACAACAGTTCACTTACTCGCAAAGACCATGGGGTCACCGACATTTTCGACTCCATTTATATGGGATTGTGTCGCGTTCGCTAAAGGACTGCGAGCGAAATGACGGTGAGGGGCAGGCGCGGACTGACGATAATTCACAGTACCTGCCTGAACCCTTGACGCCCAAGCTTTCGGAGCTTCAGGGCAGCCATTCCAGGGACACGTGTGCCGCAGGCTGCATGTCCCGCAGGCCGTCGGGGGCCTTCTAGAGCAGAAAGCGGTAATATACTTGATACCTGCTTAAATGTTCATCCATCCTGGCGCAGTTCTCCATGAGCCCTTCCCATCCCCTGTTACTCCAAGATTTAGGTGCTCGGTAGGGCAGCCATGACTGCGATCATAGCCATTTGACGACATGCAGTTGCCTGACGAGGACTAGTCCTCGCACTGTCCAGAAACTTGGGTATCGTGTCTAAACTTCAAGCTTCAAGCAATAACGTCAGTTGACTCAGCAGTGTCATGCTACCATACCCGTACGTCGTCCATCACCATCCATAATCGCGCGACTTTCGTCCTAATTTCCTGGCCCAGTACGCGGTTTTCGATGGCTCAAGCCGTGATCGTCGCCAATCACGCCTAGCCTTACCAATACTCTATTTCGTTCTGGCTTATTCCGTGCAGTTCGTTCATCTCGATTCTCGATCTCAGGAGCGCTGGGCAAGGCGTCAACCCGCGTTCGGCAGCAACTCTCAGCAACGGTCGTATCTGATCGGTGACTGCAGCCTTCTATTTGTCTAGAATCTCTGCCAGTCTATGCTGAGATTGGTAACCCATCTCTTTGCGACATTTTACCGTCAAAGTTACCAGTCTCCGCGAATATCTGGATACATGACAACGCCGTTATATTGCTGCGCCAAAACGGCTTGTCTCAACGCCTCGCTTAGGATTCCACATCACTGTTCACCTCACCATTCGTTCTGTCGTCCGAGCATACCCATTACTGATCTGGCTACCATTCCGTCATACCCAAGTCACAATTGCATTCGATCGTAGGGCGGAACCCGATAGTTGTGGTTGCCCGGACCATACACGTCCGGACATCCTAGTCGACAACTGAAGCTGATACAGAAGTACGCCGCAGCGGTCGTCATCTCCGAACGGTTTGGTCTTTTCTAGGCCATTTCTGGAAATCAGCGTGTCGACTGCATCCGTCGGGCAGGTCGGGCCATATAAAACTTGGACCGGGGCGCGCACTTTCAATCTGTCTGACTGGCTTCGTTCGTAAAAAAGAACGACTTTCACGACAGTCTTTCTCACTTCTACCTTTCCGTCAGCTCTACCACACTATTATCCATATTGTTTTGCAGGTTTCGAGACTATCGATTCTACGTTGCCAAGCTTGTTGATACGCGCTATCCACAGAAGGAAGTCACACGTTACTCCAACGCCACCTGCAACACACGACTCTGGGGTAGGAGAGATCACTGTGTGAAACAAGCGTGTGGGCACACAACTCGAGCAAGCAGACGGGCCACGACAGCTTTCGGGCGCAGTCGAACATCACCCTATCACACCCGACTCGGTTGTTGAGAGCACGTAAGCATGCCTTCTAGAATCAGCGGGGCGTGCAACGGCTGCAGGACCAAGAAGCAAAAGGTACGTACCCTTGATTTTCCGCCCTGTAGGGACACGATACGGAACACCAGATCTTCCAGATTCTTGGGTCTGGAAAACCACGTGGCGAGTTCTAGCATACCCGGGGAAAGACGGCAAATCTGCAAGACAACTCACTAACTTGAGTTCACAGTGCAGTGGCGATAGGTGAGTTTCTCGAGAACGAGCCCTGGTGCAAATAGCCGCTCGCTCGGAGCTTTTGAACCCATAGTCCAACGACATCGACAGATCGGCTGGTCGAACACGGTATGGGATAGCCTATAGCATCCCTCCTGTTCACGAGTGGATCAACGACCACTCCGGCTTGCCCTGTCGTTGGCTAATGGGCCAAAGGTTTTGCCTGGTTCCATGATACCGGGTGGTGCGTGGGGTCCAATCCCCGGCCACTGCAGCGATCAAGGCGCCCATCTTCTCCATCTTGGAGCTCTTCCAGAACGGAATTGTGCTGACATCAGCTTCTATGCATAGGTCCGGATGCTCGCAGTGTTCCGCAGCCGGAATTGAGTGCACGTGGCCCGAGCAACGGAAAAGGTCAGTCACTTTCCCTTAGTACCTTTCTTCAACTACACAATGCAGTCTCTCTCGTGGACGACATGCCTGAGCGGAGAAACACGGCAAAAGCACAATCACTTGGGCCAATAACTGCCACTGACCCACGTTCATCACTGACGTGGACGTGTAACGGACTAAGCTGACAGATCTGCCAGAGGCCCAGCTAAGGCTATATCGAGGGCCTTGAGCATCGGCTACACGATGCCGAGACCTTGCTCTTGCAGGTTCTTCCGCTAGTATCGACGGATCAACTCGCTTCTGCGGCATCTGCAGCTAATGCTACGACAAATGGCATGTCCGGAGATTCGCCAGATCCAAACAATCGGTCCTCGCCGCCTGTGTTGAACAAGAAGACAGGTATCGATTACTGGGAGCGCTTCCCATTGGACTCCGTGGACAACATTCGTCGATGGCAGCAGGATTGCGCACTACACAGCCACTTCAAGGACGAACATCGTTCCAGCATGAATGGCTCCCGACCGAGCTCTGTTGATTTCTCAGGTGATCATATACCGAACCGGAAGCCAGCATCAATGCCACAGTACCGAAGCATGAGTAATGACTCGTACCGTGGGGGCCAAGACTTCGGAAGTGTGTCAAGAAGCAACTCTGGCTTCAATGGAGTTCCAGTCTCCCAAACAAGCGGCTTCGACATGCAGTCACAGACAGCATACGCCAGCAATCCAACCTGGCCGCAACAGCAACATCACGTTCAGCAAAATGGCATCGTGTCGCAACCACAGCAACAACACAGCATACATCGTCAGTCTCTTCCACAACATCCTCATCACCAACATCAGCAGCATAGCGCTATGAATGGCCAGATGAATATGGCCGCTGTCAGTGCGCCCATGGAGGTGGATCATGGCGGTGCATTCTTCTCCGGTGAGGTCAAGCGTCATTTGTTCTGGTAGTGTCACGACACATCCATGGTTCCGCCATTGTTTCAGACGCCAACAGACCGCATACAGTTGCGCCTATGGTGCCCATTGCTCGGCTCTGTGATAGAGTTTGACCACTACTGTCGACTTGTAAACGATCGCCATGCCGAATTTGGGCATGCCGAGGCCCAATTTTTCAAGACTGGCCAGATTCGAGCCACACCGCACGAGGCGCACGAGGGAGATGGATGAAATGGCTGTGATTGCTTCGTCGCTGGAAGACTCATAGAAGCCGATTATGTCGGCATGGCAAGTGTCACTGAAGGCTGTCCCTGGCGTGCTTACTACAGTCGGGCAAATGGCCTTGGATCCATTCGCTCTCACTTCGAGCTCATGGATCGAGCAGATCTTGGGCGGCTTCTTGCGTGCTCTTCATCTTTTCGTCACTGCTAGAGTGTACGTAAGATTGGGACTTTCTGCATGGCGTTTGGGGAGTAGCGCTAGTAGCCCAGAGCTTCCATCTGCTGGCTGGCAGCCCTGGAATCTTGGGCGCTGATGAAGCTATAGCTTCACTCTTATATACCTCCTGTTGACGGTGTTGCATTCCACTTTCCTAGCCGTATGCATGGTCAACCGTAGCATCTTATTACGTACCTGCTTCTTTTCAGGCCAGTCGACGACCTGTGCACGGGCGGAGATCATTTCCGCCGTCGATGACAACTCGATGGGGCCCTCCTCGGCCAATCACGGAGAACCAAAAATCTCAGCCGAGACAGTTTGTCACCATCCAATTTTGGGAGAACAACTTTCATCATCTTCACCTTTGGCCATCGCAAACAGGAGTGATTTTCATCAGACCGAAGACGCATTGCACTCGAGCTGAGCATGCCTGGACGATGTCCGACGACAATCAGCTTGATCTAGAACCCGATGGAACACCGCGCGCCAACAACCGTAAACGCAATCTCGTGAATCAACGCAATTTTCGTGCCCGGCGGAAGGAGTACATAGAGGAGCTCGAAGCAAAGGTGCACGACTATGAGAAGAACGGCATCGCGACAGCTCAGCAGATGCAGGAAGCTGCACGACTGAAGATTGCTGAGAACGATATTCTACGGCAGATTATTCAGACTCAGATTGGGTGGTCGCCCGAGGACATTGAGGCCGCTGTGCATCAAGCGTTGAGCAGTAGACAGCCTGTGCATCAACATCCATCTTCGAACATCTCAGCGAAGACTAATGGAAATGGACATATGCAGAATGGCAACCATTTGAACTCGGCTCATCTGGAAATGGATGGCAGTGCGCCAAACCGGCAGAGAACGCCAAGATCCCCACTAGAGACCATACCCGGACAGGCCATGGACTCAGCCTCGCATACGACATCAGTCGCGCCTGACTATCGTGTCAGGGCCCAAGTCCAACACACAGACGACTGGATGATGGTTGATCGACCATCACCCGGTTCCTACGTCAATCCATCACCACCACCACCCATCTTTCGTAACGGAAGTGATGGACAAGCCACAACAAGCCCGTACCAGTACATGTCCAGGCCAGAGCTGGATCGTGGGTGGGCCATGCAGCCAACCCATGGTATCGCACCTCGACGACCATCAGCTTTGGCTCACACGAGCTCGACGTCAAATGGAGAGAGGAAGCCTGCCAACCCGGCAGTCATGTCTTGCGACGACGCCGCATCCATACTCGCTGAGCTGGCAGGTCAAGGTAGCAAGCCCAATCAAAATGGCAATCATATGGACACCATTAAAGCCGAGCTAGGTTGCCGGTCTGCAGAGCCTTGCGAGGTGTCGCATCAGGATGTCTTCGAGAGAATGGCGCGCAAAATGTGAGAAAGGCGGCATGAAGTCGGAAGTTTCTGGTGTCTTGGCTGGACCGAGAAGCGGAACAAGAGAGTGACTGGCGGGTATCATCGGAGTCTCGCATACAAAATTACAGCAAGGTGTTCAAGGGACTCAAATGCAGGATTTATCAGTACCAGTCTGTAACATTGGAATCAAGTGTAACCACCTCCGAGGCTCTGTTGCTGCGCGACTCAGGCATGCACGACTGGGCTCGTCTGTTCTGCGACCTATGACGTACGAGAGAATTTTTCCGACCGTCCACGCAACACATGCTTGATATCGAGTTAGCAATGTTCACTAAACACTCGCGTTCCGCTGTATCTGCAGCCTTTGTCACCGAGTGCTTGGCAATAATGGCGGGCACATCGGATCTTTCGCTTGTTATCGGAATTGACCACAGGTTCGACCGTGTCGGCTTTGGACTGGCAGATTACGACTGTTCCGACCACGAGACGCTCGCGGACCGAGTGATACATCTCGCGACATGTCCTCGCAGACCGTGCATCCTTCATGTACGAATGTACGCGTGAAGGAATTGCTTGGCTCTGAATCGTGGATCGTACTACAGTGATGTTCCTATCTATCGTGTCCCCTTCATGCATTGCTCATACACAGATACACGGCTTTTCCGCGTCCTGTCTGAATACCAAAAGACCCTCTCTGGGCTACAATATTCTGATGCGGCCCACGATGAACGCCGCAGCCACCCTGTAAAGATGCCCACTTTGGCCCCACCCATACGTTGTGGGCTGCAAGTTTGAAGCTGCTGCTGGGTCCAATGTTGGAAGCTGGGGTAAGTATGAAGATGGTGGGGTAGCGGAGCATCTGGTCTGCCGATCCAGGTATCATCATGATTGTTGTCCGTGCGACTCGGCCTCGCACAGCCTTTTAGGCCCTTCACATGGCGCGATACCCCCGGCAAAGCCAGTACTTGCTAATGTGTAGTTGGAGGTAGCGGCAGGAGCCTCCGTGTACGTCTTTGATCCGGCTAGAATGCTTGGCTGGATCACCTTGTCGATACAACTAGTACTTCAGGATGAGCAAGGGCACTGGTCTCATGTAGGGCGAATTCACCACAGTACAAAGGTTGAACATCCTTGCAACAATGCATCGCACGAACACATCATATCTCTCAGCGCTTCGCGCATCCATCAATGACAAACTACTCCAGCTTGAGGACCAGATCAGTTCCGCGGATCCTCATTCTCGTCCACATCTCTTTGAGGCAACACCCTGGCCCTTCCTCGATGATCCAGAGTATCTGCCGCCGCAGCCCGTTTTTGATCTCCTAGATGACCTCCGCCTAGACCTACGAGCTCTCGACTCCCTCGTTACACCGACTCGTTTCAAGCTCGTCGAGATTGGCAACCTGCCATATAAGGTCGCCGCCCTGGAGACCGCTGTGCTGCTGAACGTCGCTGAAGCGATCGAATCTGCGCCCTTCCATGGCTATGCACCCCTCGCCGACCTTGCCAAGCTCTGGATGTCAATGAGCATAAACTTGGCCGCATCCTTCGCCTGCTTACCGGCGAGTTCATCTTCCAAGAAACCGAGCGCGGAGTGTTCAAGAACACGCGACATAGCTTGGGTCTTCGCTCCTGCGGCGCTCGCTCCTTCTTGTCGTTTATTTCTGACCTAGGCATGGGCTCTGCAGGTGGCATTTCCAAGGACATCACGTCCCCTGACACCAAGCATTCGTTCGCAGAACGAGATGCCCCTTTCTGTAAGGTCGTCTCGAAGAGCGGAAAGACGTTTGCAGAGTACATGGGTGACCCTGAGAACGCGGCAATGGTGGAGCTGAGTGGCGAAGGGGTGGTCGGCTGGTTGAACAAGCTGACGAGGGCTAGTCTGTTGGGAGACTATCCGTGGGAAGAATTAAACGAAGGCAGTGTCATCATCGATCTCGGTGCAGGTGCCGGAGACAGCGGCATGGATGTCATGAGGAAATTCCCAAACAAGCACTTCAAATGGGTCTATCAAGACTTCGGACCGGTCTTGGATATGCTCAAGAAGAGCTATCCAAGCGAACTGCAACAGCAAGTCAGCAACGGAGATATCACCTTTGTATTACAGGACTACTTCGAGCCCAATGTCAGTGCTGGGAATGTATGGTATGCTCGCGGTGTGCTGCACGAATATGACGACGAACAAGTCCTGCAACTGCTGGGCCACATCACAAGCGCAATGAGGAAAACTCCTGGCGCAAGGATGATTCTCAACGAGGTTCTGAACTCAAGTCCGGCGATTATACCTGTCTCTGCGGCGGAGACTGTTCCTTCGGAGCATATTCCGAATAAGCAGTCGGCGTTGGCAAGTACAGCTAACACCATGACGTGGAGCACCTTCTCATTGTTTGGCGGGAAAGAACGATCGTACGAGGAGTATGAAGTCTTGCTCAATAAAGGGGGACTCAGGGTGAACAGGTTGTATAAGTTCAGGACCTTCACTGTCATGATGGAGTGTCTTTTGCAAGAGGAATCGGATGCTTGATCGTTGTTGACGACCTCTCGACCGAGCCTTCGATGCATTCGAGCTCCTGCGACGTTGCGAAAGTTAATTCATTGGCTGAGGATCCCGTCACTATACGGTCTGATTCGAGCCTTGCATCTCCCTCCTGACCTTAGCACTCGCCTCATTCCATCCGTCCTCCACCGCCTTCTCAGCATCGTGCGTCCATAAGCTGTAACTGTCTAAGATGCCCTTGCTAGTGTCCAGCTCCTTTTCCATCTTCATACTCGTCTTGTTGTGTAAGGAATGCCATTTGGTTCTCTGACTTATGCCGATAGCCTGGGCTCCCTTTACGTGCTCATATCTGAGCTCAAAATACGTCCTCAGCGCAAGAGGGACATTGCCCTTGCCGGCTCGTGCGAGGCACAGTGCGACTGTGGCGCCATCTTCAACAGCCTGGCTTGCTCCTTGGGTACTTGTGGGTAAGAAAGGACCGCGAGCGTCACCCATGATAGCAACGAGACCGGTGGAATTGACCCACTGGTCAAGGCAGGGGCGGTAGACCTGGCTGCTTGTGAGCACTGTACGTTTGCATCATCCGAATGGCGTGAACTTACGAGTTTCCAATCAATGATGTTTTGGATTTTTTCCCAGACACGTACAAACACAGGATCCCAGCCCTTGACCGCATCTAGGATGTCCTGTCGTTCGGCGGGAAGATTCCAACCTTCTGAGATATCGGCAACGTCCTTGTGCGTGAGCACTGCATTGATCCCGGTGCCATCTCTTATAGTCGTCACGAATCCGTGGAGATCCGGTCCGATCCATAGTTGGGTGGTGTCTTTGTCAAGTAAAGGCGATACCAGCGGATCATCCTTGAATATAGCCGAGTCACTGTAGGCACGCCATACTGCGTATCCTGAGTGGATTGGAGCGTCTTCAATTCCAAGGACCTGTGTCCGACCATGGCTCTTCACACCGTCTGCCGCAATCACTGCATCGGCCAGAATCTCTTCGCCGGTTGGGAGGAAAACACTTGGCTTTGCCACGTCGTACTTCTCGATCTTCACGCCCATGCGCACATCGACACCATTCTTTCGGCAGTGATTGATGAAGATCTCGTGATACTGTCCTCGGTGTCCGATAAGGGCCTTGTGACCGTACCGTTCCTCAGCCTGCCCTAGTGTGCTGTCCACAGTAATGACAGCACCGTCCCAGTTTCGCATGACTGACTCTTCAGCCCGTGATGAGATGGCCCACATGTCATCGTACATTCCCCATCGCTTGAAGAGCTTGGTGGTGTTGGAGCCAAAGCCAACGCTGTCCCCAAGTGGGAAGAACTTAGGTACAGCATCAAACAGCGTAACCCGGAGACCTTGTCGTGCGCAAGCGATGGCACATGCAGCGCCTCCCAAGCCAGCGCCGACGATCACGACATGGAAATCCGCAGAGGGAAGCCTTGTGATCATGCTGGGCTGCTTATGTATCGGTGTATTGCGGTCGCTCTGCCTATCTTGAAAGCGTACCAACCTGGGACCGTGAGATGGCTGAAGAGCTCCTGTTGCAAGTGTTACTGCTACTGTGATTCTCGCAGGAGTCACTGGTGCCTCTAATTTATCGATTGCTGGTCCGGGTTGTCGATGACACCTACGACGCTAAGCAAGTAACATTACCATGGTAGATTGCTTCGTTAATAGTCCCGGAGCACCTGTCCCTTGCCTCGTGAGTGGCTGTCATGTTGCTAGTCGAGGAAAGGCTGTTAGCGAGTCTCGCAGTGCCAATAGGATACCCCATGTTGAATGTGGGAGGCGTGTGTGCGGGGAGTTGCATGCTTTCCTGAGTAGATCGACGACTTGACCGCATGCACCTACCCCAACCACCAAAAAACTCAAACGCCCACGAGAGCTGGACCAACTTTGGCCATTGTGGGGTAGACTGGGGTAGACCGCACTCGTTCCACGCTGGCGGTGTGTACGAGTATAATTCATCAGATGCTTGGTAACAGATGCCGGAACGAAGCCCACCGCCACAATCGAAGAAACAGCATCTGTCGGCGTGGGATTGATGATGCTCACAACGCATGCAGACAAACCATCGGTCCTATTTTTCACGAAATCCCAGGTCCCCAGCTTGCCAACGACAGCATCCAGTCATGGCGACGAACGGCGTGAGTGGAAGACTGCACGACTGCTATGCCTCGACAGATCCACGAACCAACAAGGACCTAGTCAAGACGCTCAGCGACAAGAATGTTCTCATGCTGGAGGCGGTAGAGGCATCGCAAGGACCCTGGCTTTGTTCCTGAGTCACTGCTCGCCAAAGTCCATCAGCTTATGCGCGCTCGAACAGAATGAAGTCGAAGAAGTCGCGAAGCTGTGTAAAGGCACTGACGGAAGAATTGGTACTAAGACACGCGCCCTGGATGTTCGCGATGCTGTCGCAGTGAAGGACTTCGTACATGAGGTCGTTAGTGACTTCGGTGGCATCGACGTGCTCATATTCAATGCCGCGAGGCCTCCTCAATGGCTCCCTTTGTCCGAAGGAAGCCCTGAATTGTGGTGGGAAAGTGTCGAGATCGGCATCCGCGGCTCCTACAATTTCAGTCGATACGTGCTCCCTGTGATGCAGAAGCAGAAATCCGGAACGATCATTTTAGTCGGCAGTATGGGTGCGCATGGTAACGCTGGATATTCTTCCTACACCACAGCGAAGCTCGGGATACTTCGCCTGGCAGAAATAATCCATGCTGAGAATTTCAAGGAATATAACATCAAGGCATTCTGCGTGTCGCCTGGCGCCGTCGCGAGAGAATGTACACTGACTTCAAGGATGCGTCAGAAGGCAGGTTCGAGCCTGGCTCTTATATCATTAGAGGCGCTGAAGGGGAGGAGAAATCCGTTGCCATCGCGATGGAGCATTTTGGGCACATCACGGAATGGGACAAACCCGAAATGGGGGCGGGCATGATGACAGTCCTCTGCAGCGGTCGATTAGACTTCCTCTCCGGCCGGTTCATCGATTCTGGACTGAAGGTGGAAACGTATCTGCAACAGAAGCAGGAGATTCTGGAGCAGGACTTATTCCGTGTGAGGCTGAATGCCGGAAGTGATGGCTTGATCCCGACATTGAAGTACTAGGTAGAGCCGCTCATAGTAGCTGCGAAGGCAAGCAGAGACAGCCTCAGTGATGTACAAGTCGACACAGCGTCCGAGCCGAGCTTGCAATATTGTGGAAACTGGTGGGTGTCAATGCAGCTGATCTAGACATCGCGCGATGTGGACAGGCTCATGTATCCACAATGGTCCAGAGTCTTCGAGTGGCAGAGGGCGCTCGGAGGTTGCTGCTGACAGAGGATCACAATTATTTCTTCTCACCTACGAGTCGTACTGTAGATACTAGGTTGAACGGCCGCAAACCACACTCGAGAACCTTCATTTCAAAGTTGGTCCTGCAAAACCCTGGCAGGCCGTACGATCTTGGCAGCACCAGCAACCATGGGAGCTAACTCTTGGCGCTCTGCTGTATTCTAAGGCTCTGCAATCCTTCGCGCGGTCCTCCGTTCCAGGCATATACCTACATGTTGTGACTATCGCTATAGAAGTGTTCCCCGATGCGATGCAAGCTCAGAGACTACTCCTGCACATCAGCATGCTCTCGTAACCTTGCATACATGTTCTGGAACCTGCTGGGACATGACCCAGAGCACGTCTGAGCTGCCGCGCACTCGAGCAAAATACACATGCGAGCGATGTGGGCGTGCATTTGCGCGATCTGAACATCTCAATCGCCATGTGCTGGCTCATGATAAAAAGAAGCCATTCAGCTGCGGTGGCTGCGGTGCAAGTTATGGGCGTGCCGACGTCCTCAATCGGCACATGAGAAAATGCTCTGAGGCACTGCAGAAGGGTATCAATCTCGGATCTGGACGCCAGAGTGTAGCGGGTACTACAGCGGACAATGTCATCGACGGACTGTCCGTGACACCAGTGTCAAATCATGATGTTCAGCTACAGCAACTTCCCTTTCAGCCAGAAGTTTTGCAACAGCCGGTCGACTTCTCCTTCGAGGCGATGTTTCTCGAGGACACACTCTTGCTGCAGAATTTTGCTTACAACCACTCTGGACTGACAGAACCATCGACGCCAACGCACAGAGCACAGGTCTTGCCCGCTTTACCTCCAACTGGGCTCGATGCTTTACAAGCAGCGGTCAGTGACGCCGGGTCGCCTGCGCGAGCAGACAGAAGCGTCCATGACGCCCTTCAAATCACGGCTGCCGATCTCCAGGGGTTTCACGCAAATCTAGACCGAGCTGACCCGGCTGGTGACCTCCAGGACTTCCGGCGACCGACTCTATCTCGTACACTAAGGTGTCTGATCGCATATTTCCAGCATTACGACCTCCACACACCAATTGTTCATTTCGCATCGTTCAAAATCTCGGATGCTCATCCTTCCTTGGTCCTCATCATGATCGCAATTGGCGCAGCACACTTGTCCGAGAATAAGTTTGCAGAGTCAGCTTACGAATCGTGTTGTATTCTACTCGCGCAGCACGATAAAGCAATGCTACGGGCTCCAAATCCCGCCTTCCAGCTTTGGTATGCACAGGCTGCAATACTCGCTGCACAATACGGGGCCTGTACCGGCGAGACTGAGCTGTTCTATCGAGCGCAACAGCATCTGGGCTGTGTACAAACTGCGATATATCGCAGCCTGCCTGAGCTCCACACTGCGCGGGGCAATCCCGTGGAAAGTTGGGCAGCATGGATATTTCTTGAGTCGTGCAGCCGCATCATTTCATGGATGTTTATCATTTCGAGCATGCTTCTGGCGCTGGACCATTACTCGACCGCGATTCTGCCACCGATGCCGTGTTCCATGCCCGCCCCTTCTGATGAATCTGCATGGCACGCTGTCTCCGAGCTGGAGTGGAAAATAGCGATGCAGACACAGATCACGCCCGATACAGATCTCTGGACCATAGCTCAGCATGTAATGTGCGGCCAGACTCCACCAGCAGACTGTGGCCGTATTAGTGCCTTCACTCTCCTTGCACTGATTGGAGCAATCCTGGCAACGATCTGTACTCGTCAACGACTGACTGTGGACACGATAGACCAATTCCGAATTGAGCATATCTCGAAAATGGAGAAGGCGATATTCGTCTGGGAAGCGCTCTGGCGTAGCCATCCGCGCACAGAACGGAATATGGCGAGACTAGATGACCCTCTGTTAAACGACTGTCTGAGTTTGCTCGGCTCAGCCAACTATCACCTGTACCTCAACGATGAGCTGCACACGCTGAAAAAGATCGCAGACAACCCTAATGCTGATATACCCCTGCCGGTGTGCAGCGACAAAGCAAGTTGTCACAAGGTAATAAAATTTGCCACGAACAGCTGGCTAGTCAGAGCTAAGCTTGGCATCACGTACCTCAACAAGACTGGTGGGCTATCCCTGGCTCTCAAGCTTTACTCACAGCCTACGAAAGTGGTGAGTACACACGCAGACGGCTCTTGAATCTACTGACTTCTGAGCCAGCTTTGATTCTGGCCTGGTGGCTCCATATCGAGGGCAACATCGTTCCGCGGTCTGGAGAAGCCCTACTGGCCTCGACACAAGACGCTGCCGGAGCAGCTGCCATTCAGCGCATGTTTGAAGAAATTTTGAGCGAGCTCGATGAGCAGGGAATTTACTATGATGAATCTGGCAATCCAGCTCTCAGTCCCATTGACTTTTACGTGTCCGTGCTTGATGGACGGGTATGGAAATGTGCAACAACAATGGAGACACGTCTTCGCAACTTCGCCACCCGACTGAAATCAGAAGTCTAGAACATTGACGCAGGGTGCGAGACGTCTTGCTGTTGGCTTCAGGCCGTATACTCACATCATGCACTCGACACTTGTCGGTAGCTTCGGCAAAGTATCGTTCATCAATGTGGCACAAGAAGGAGTCGGAGATGGCACGGTCGATCCTGCGGCACGGTCGAGGAAGGGCTCTCACTGACTCCTTGCTACCTTTGAGGCATATTCTAGTGGTATGCGGTCTTTGTTGAATGACCGAGGCAATCATGCCACGCTGGGACAGCCCTTCCCCAAGAAAGCTCCCCACAGTACCCCACATCCTGTTGGCTTGTCGACCCTTCTGTCCCCATACCAGCTTTACAATTCTGGGGTCGCGAGCTTCTTAGAGGGTGCAGGTGATCTCGGTTCCAGACCCGCCAAACAAAATGGGGTTTTCTGAAAGTACATGAGGGACCTCAGTTCTCGACCTTGATATTCGAAAGCTCTCATAGCGCCAGGCCAATCCGACCTTGCTTACCCACACTAACATTCTCATCGTGTTACAGCGACTATCAGATCTATGGCGACCATGATGGACAAGGCCTCGGAAACTCGCATCGAGCACTTTGATATGGCGAGTGAAGAAGGCAGCCCCGAAGTCACCAACACCAACACCAACTTGAAGATCACGCGGGATAGCTACCTCGAGAACAAAAAGGGCATTTTCGTATGTTTAATCATCAGCATGGCTCTCTTTGAGTTTGGTCTTGATCAGGGCATGGTGAACGGGTTTCAAGCGATGCCTGGTTTTCTGCGTGACTTCGGATATCAGGACTCCAAACTTCCAGGTGGCTGGGGCATATCAACTACGGTGCAGCAGCTCATCTCGTCGCTTGTCAGCGCTGGCATGTTCTTCTCGACATTTCTCACTGGTATCATTACCGACAAGACTGGCCGCAAAGGTGGTCTGTGGGTTGCTGTTGCGCTCATGTTCATCTCCGTCACCGTGCAGATCGCCGCCATTTCCGTCGGCGCTCTCTATGCTGGTCGCCTCATTCTAGGCTTCGCAAATGGATTGTTCTTGACTTGTGCCCAACTGTACATGCAAGAGACCATTCCATCCAATCTGCGCTCGCTTAGCTACACATTCTACCAGTTCTGGATCTCCTTCGGTGCGCTTCTTGGAACCGTCGTCAACAACGAGACTGCCAAGCTGTTCGATAGGTCGTCGTACCGCATTCCTTTGGGAGTCCTATACATCCCCGCAGCACTTCTGGGAGTCGCACTATTCTTCCTCCCGGAAACTCCAAGACACATTGCATCCCACGGAAATCCCGAGAAGGCGCATCGAGCTCTGCGCTGGCTCCGAGACTCTTCTTACTCCGACATGCAAGTCAAGGAGGAAATGGCTGAGATCACCCACTCGATCGAGGTCGACAAAGAGATGACTGAAAAGGTCGGGTACATGGAGATGTTTCGAAGCGCCAATCTTGTCCGGACCCTGACATCGCTCGGTCTTGGTCTCTTCAGTGCCGCCAACGGCGTACCCTTCGTCACCCAGTATGGTATCTATGTATGTTCACTTCTTGTGCTGTAATTGACATACACTGATCGGCGTAATAGTTCTTCATGCTGTCCGGCGATCAACATCCGTTCCGCAGCGGAGTAATCCTCCTCTGCGTCGGCCTTATCGGCGCCATGCTTACCCCATTCTTCACCGGCAAAGTGGGCAAACGCTGGATCCTCATGATTGGAGCTACCCTTCAAGCCTTCTGTATGCTCGGTATCGGTCTAGTCTACACTGTCCGCGGCATCGATCCCTTCGCTGGGCGCGTCATTTTATCTATGACCGCTATATACCTGTTCGTCGCCTCTGGAACGACGTCGCCGTTTTCCTGGCAGGTCGCCACTGAAGTTCCGTCCCAACGTCTTCGTGGGCATACGCTAGGATTCGCCAGCTCTGTAACTTACCTTATGGGGTGGAGCATTACGTTCACCATTCCCTACTTCATCAATCCCACTGCGCTCAACTGGGGTCCCAAGTATGCTTACATCTGGTTTGTCACGAACTTGCTCATTGTGGTCTACACATACTTTGTTGTTCCGGAGACGAACAAGCGCACTTTGGAGGAGATCGAGGAGATGTACAACCAGAAAGTCCCCGTTCGCAAATTCCCGGCGTTTCAATGCACGGCGTCGCTGCAGTCGCGGCTTGAGGCTGTTCGGGAGAGCAAGGGTAGCCAAGAGTAATTGGGCTTGAAATTTACGCGGAAGCAAGCTGGGTCTTGCTTGAAGCAGGAAGCACCTCGGCACGTTCGGCTTTTGGAGAGTGGAAAGTGAGCGATCCTTGCTCGTTATACGTGAGAGTTGTATCAAGTACGATCATTAAATGTACCTGCATTGACCGCTGTCGCCCGCAATGGCTGGTGCATTGCTCATTGCACAACACCTTCATTGCCGCAATCCCGCTTCTGACAAGCATCGATCTCGAAAGTGACGATCACGATATCTTGGAGGGAGGCTTGCCGTAGCTTGGCATGCTCCCACCGCAGCTTTGGTCGTTGGACGATTTGATACCAATGCGTTTCCTCCACTGCTCCATCTCCTGTCGACGTCGAATTCGTTCCGTCAGCATGGGCAAAGTGCCACGACAGAAAGCCTGCTGTTTGTGGTTGACTTTGCAGGTTTCCCAGACACACAAAGCATCCTCAATTACATCAAGAGTCTGTACATTCCGATGCTGCGACACGCATCGGATATGGTATCTGTCACCAGTACTCCCGCACCAAGCTCACACTAGCACTCGTCCCAATAGTGAACATAACCACATGCGTCCAAAACGCTTGGTCGAACCCGTTCATTCCCGACAGACTCGTCCCGATCACACCCATCGGTGTCGCAGACGCCAGGATCACACTGACTGCCCTCCACTCCCCTGCGTACTCCAGTATGGCGACGGCCAAACCGAGCATCAATTGACAGCCTGCGAACAGGTAGACGTATGTGTTGAGTGGTTCATTACGGGGCTGCGGGAAGCCGCCTTGCTCACATATTGCGTGGGCGGCCGGTGTGAAGGTGAGGATGGCGTTGACAAGGAGGATTGTGGGGTAGAAGTAGGCCCAAGCGTAGGGCCAGGTGGCGAGGATGGTGTTGGTGTCGGCCATTCTGGTACTTGAGGTTATGTTCGTGGACGTCAGAGTCGGAGAGGGAATATACGTTGATGATGGCGCGACGGTGGTTTCTGTAAGTGTAAACAGCCTCCTTTTATGAAGATCAGGCGCCCAAGGTACGAAAACAAATCATTAACTTAGGGTTTCATCACCTGCCGTTTATATATCCATAGTGCGAATGAAATTGGCTGACGATCTACTTCGTATGTCCAAATCGAGTCGCTTATTCTCGCAAGAGACTCACAGCTACCTACTTAGATACCAAAGCAGGGGGTGGGACAACGAGGCAACACAATTTCCTGCAGTCAGCCGGCGCCATATCATCGGCCTTTCCCAACATCAATCACCAGCTTTCCAGGTTTCCCCTTATGATAGTCCTCCACCAACTGATTCAAATCCTCAAATGCGTACGTTGTTAGTTTCGCCCTTACGCCGTGCTGCACGCAAAATTCGAACATCTCCTCCATCGCCCGATTGCTTCCAATCAGACTACCTTCAACACTCAACCTCCTAATAACCACATCGAAAGCCGAAAAATGGAAGCCTTCAGGTGGGAAGCTCAACACCATGATCTTGCCACCATTTCTCGTCAACGCACATCCAAGGTCGAAAGCCTTCTGTGACTCCGGTAAGATTATGGCTGCGTCCACACCCATTTGATCGAAGTATTTTCTGCCGTCTTCTTGACCCATCGCTTTGCGAAGTTGCTCTGCCCCGTTCTTCTCGTCCTTTCCATCCACGATTTGGACGTTGTTCGGTAGGTCGAGTGACCTTGCCAGCTCTAGTGCTCGGCCGGTGATGTCAATGCCCAAGACTCTAAGGCCCATCTTCGCGGCAAACTGTAGACCGAGATGACCGAGACCACCGCCACAACCTAGTATCGCAACTCGTTGCCCTTGCGTCAAGTTCAACTTTCTGATAGCAGTGTAGATCGTCAGTCCAGCACACATCAGCGGCGCCACCTCCACGCCCTTCAAGCCCGCTGGTACACGCCCGACCTGCCGACCATCAACGACAGCATATTCCCGAAAACCGCCTGGTCGATCAACACCCAGTCCGGCTCCCGAGCTTGGACAGTACACGCTGTAGCCCTTGGCATCCGGTAGCACGGCAGAGTCGTCGTCGCATTCCAGACAGTCGCCACAAACGTGATTTCCGCGTCCAGAAACTGCAACGTGATCGCCTACTTTGAAGCCATGAGTTGCCACTGATTGACCTTCCGGCAGAGCAACAACCACGCCGGCGTACTCGTGGCAGCCGACGTGTGGTAGGGGCGGTAGTGGTGGGACGATGCCTTGGGCGACCAGAGCGTCCGTGTGGCAGTATGAGGCAGCGGTCACGCGGATGAGGATGTCATGGGGATCGTCGAGCGTTGGGGTCGGGATATCACAGAGCTCGTAGGGTTGGTTGAACGCTTTGAGCAGCCAGGCTCTTGACGTTGAGGGGATTGGCTTGGATGGAGAATTGGTGCTGGGTGGCTCGGTTCTGGTGGTTGTCGTTGTCGTCGTCGACATAGTGATCAGTACGTTTCCGCAAGTGAAAATACCAGGCTCAGGTGTAGACTGGCAGCAACTATATCAGTGACAGCCTCTTGCCAGTGTGAACGCTATTGAAGACCCAGCTGAACTGCAACGACCATGCATGATGTTCAAGCACCCTTGCCGCGGAACATACGCGCTGCCCCATCGCGTTTTGGAGTTCGCGGATCATTCACGCTCGAAGCGGCGTACAGCCGAGGGCGGGCTCTGCAGAGCATTTGGGGTAACCCCAAGATCCACAAACCCCACACGTCCAAGCTGCAGGGAACTTCGGTGGTCAGTAGGGCCCCACCACCATCGCTCGCCCAGGACTCTGTTCAAGGACGTTGGTAGCATCGAAAGCGATGGCCGTGGAGGATTGGCGTAAATGTATGGTCCAGAGGTAGTCAAGATATACGTTGGCTGTAAATCTAGCTGCTCGTGCGTTCCTGAGATAGCTTAGTCGGCTAGCCTCGCGGCTTCCTAATCGCAAGTATATTCCAAAATCCAGCATGCGCAGGCATATCGAGTGTATGGACCCGAGCTACAGACCACTTGCCTGCTATCACAAGCTCCGTCAGTCGGTAGGCCAGTTCGAGAAGTCGTTGTCCTCAGCCTGCCATGGCTTCCGATGCGTTCTGCCCATGGCTGGGATGTGTCGGGTGCTTCGGTGTTGTGGGCGTTGATCCATGCGCAGCTGTCCTTGCAATCTCCTGGTTCGTCTCCCAATTGTCAAGCAGTTCTGCCACTGACTTGAACGACACCGGCTTAGTCAGATAAACGTCAATGCCTGCATCGAACGCTTCAGCCTGGTCGCGACTGCCTGCTAAACCGGTAAGGGCGATGATCAGTGTTCCGCTTCCAGCAGTGGTTTTTTGTTTCTTCTCCCACGCACGGATCTCTCTGGTTGCCTCAAAGCCATTCATGATAGGCATGGAAATGTCCATAAACACGATATCATAGGGCTTCGTCTGCTCTGCGTTGGAAATGAATAGATCAACCGCTTGCTGTCCGTCCTCTGCGCTGCCAACGCCAGCATATTTGCGCTTTCGGGAAAGGAAGTTCTTCAGCAGATTCAGGTTGATCTTGTTGTCGTCAACGACCAGAACACGAGCTTCGCCGAAGGGTCCTGAAAGCCGTTTTGTTGTGTCGGAGCCGCTTTGACAGGAGTTTCATCTTGTCCTGGAAATGGAAATCCTTCGCCCTTTTCCACGACCGAATCGGGCGCAACGTCTCTTGGTGTGTAGAGAACCTTCAGTGCCTGAGGACTGTTCTGTGCAATGGACATTGTCTCTGCAGCTCCAATCATATGGCGCAAGTCACCTCCAACGTCAATTTCATGTAGACTGGCGTTGAAACTTTGCTGACGAGCGTGTCCAGCAAAACCACCGAGGTCACTGCCACCACGCATAGAGACTGGTCGCGAGCCAGCTTTCACAAGGGTAGCGTAGAGCACTCGAGCAAGTCGGTAAGGCCCAACAGGGGTAGACACATACTCCACACGCGACTGTGACACGTGAGCCCTCTGCTGTGCGAGAGTGCCCAACAAAATAACGCTCTTGGCGGGCGACTCGCGCATAGATGGATCATCCGTGATGCAGACATCGGCATCTTTTCCGACAATTTCGAGCTTGAACCACCCAGTCAGGATCTTCTCAACGTTAAGCCTGAGCTTCTCGTTCGAAATTGCAAGTACTACACGGCGTTTAGACGACTTGCGAACGAGCTCTGCAGCCACTTGAGGATCTGATCGAGTGGATGAGGTGCTTGATCCAGAGTGCGGAGTAGTTGTGGTCGATTGCTGGCCTGGCAGAGGCCGCTGCAGGGGAAGCCTCACGTTGAATGTAGTCCCGACTCCCAACTCCGAGGACACTTTGATAGAGCCTCCAAGCATGGTAACGATATTGTGAACAATTGATAGTCCTAGACCTGTGCCAGGTGCCAGCACATTCTCCTGACAGAAAGCATTGAACAAACGGGTCTCGATAAACTTCTCGCTGATGCCACACCCGGTGTCGCTGACGGTCAGCAGAACCTCAGTAGAGGCCTCTTGGTGCAAAGCAATGGTGACACTACCACTCGAAGTGTACTTCAATGCATTGCCTGTAAGGTTCATGACGATGCGACGTATCGCCCCAGGTTGTGTGGAAAAAATATAGTCCCCAGGATCGATGTCCAGGAAGACCTGTAGCCTGTTTTTAGCATGGCCGTTGCTCCGCAGACTGGTTCCATGCTTGTCGGAGAACTCTTGACTTGTGACAAGTGTCTCAACGACTTCCTCTACGATGTTCGCAACCTCTGTCACCTCGGTCATCTGGAGCAGTGGTGGTGGCGCAATAGGTGGTGCCTTCCGGCCTTTCAACGCAAAAGTCCGTGTGTTCTCAGCTTGCCATGCTTTTCGATAGGTATTGATCTTTGAGTAGTCAAGGACGTGGTTGATTGTGTCCAAAAGGACCTTCCCACAACTCTGTACCGTACTCACAAGAGATTCTTGATGGGAATCAAGCTGTGTATCCGACAGAAACTCCACACTTGCGAGTATGCCATGCAAGGGAGACCTTAGCTCGTGAGAAATGGTGCTGGAAAAATCGGACTTCTGCTGGCTGGACTTTGCGGCGTCGATGCGGCTACATTCAACCATAAGACTACAGCAGAATGAATTGAGAAATGAGAGATCGGTAGTGACTGATAGCGCGTATTTGTTCGACATATTCGCAATGAAAGCGGCAGCAGCGAATGATCCACGATCAGGGTCCCACAATGAAGTGAAGAGTACCTGGGAGGCGCCGGGGAAAGCCTCACGAAGGGCGTCAATCCGATCCAGTTGCGAGGCAGTAGGTCTGGAAGGCCGCTTGACCGACAGCCATCCGGTCTTATTCGGATCGATAGGAGAATAGCAGAGCGACTCTTCGAGATCAAACAAGCAGCCCTTGGGATATCTTCTGACAAGTGACTTTATCAGAGTGTCTGGAAGCTTGACATTGTCGGGTCTCTCCTGAGGCGAAGCAATAAAGGAGACTGGCTGATCGTGTGAGCCTATTCTGTGGCGCGAGACATCAAGGAAGGCGAAGACAACCTCAACACACATGTCCAGTTGGTCGAAGGATTCCCGTAGTAGACCTGCGGCTCTTTCAAACGTCGCCGGTCCTGAAAGATCGGCTTTCATTCGTTCTGGATCGTCCTCTGATCGGGACAGCTCGTCCTCGGCCTCCTCAGCAGCAACTCCAGGTATGCTCACAACAGAGCTCGACCTCTCCTTTGCTTGACCAGGCCGTTGAGCAGTGGCTGAAATGCCATATGATGTGGGAGGCTCCGTTTTCGTGAAAACACTGGATTTGCCAGAAGTGAGTGCTTCAGAGCTCTTCAGAAAAAGTGCAGCTCTCCTTCCGTCCGCCGCCAGTCGTCTGGTCTCCAAGGTATCCATGACCTGTTGGGCCGTGCGGCCAAGGAGACGCTCCAGAGCAGGCGTCAAGCCGTCGCGAGGTTTGACATCGAGAATAGCCAGGCTTCCAATGTTGATGCCGGCACTGGTTGTAATGGGAGTTCCTGCATAAAATTTGAAGTAAGGTGGACCCTTAACCACACCTAGATCTTTGAACACAGACCGTGTCAAGTCTGGTACGGTAAACATGGGCACGACACTGTTGTCGCTGTTGTCTGGCTTCATACGGATTGTGAGCTCACAGACACGGCCATGCAGTGGAACCGCTGCTGAACAAGCCGTGACGATAGGATCAACATTGCCCTCAACACCATCGTAGTCGGCGATGAAATACATGGTCTCATGGTCCATGAAATTCAGCATGACCTTCGACGCCCCACTCGCGAGGCCGACCAACTGGCAGTATGGCTGAAGAGCGAGAAGACATCTTGAGAGAAGCCGTTCTCAAAGTTGATTGGGGGACCTTCGTGAGGGTGCAGCTGATCAGGGAGAAAGTATTGGGACAATTCGCGTCGCCGACGACCATCCTCATCGGAATCGCTAGCTGAGGAAGTGTCCTCCAGCATATCTGCGAAGCCTCTTTGAGGCAGCCGTCTGTGAGCAAGCGCACATGTAGGAAGTAATGCAATCGAAGCTAGGAACAAAAGTCCCTAAAATCTGGAATTCCGATCGTTGCACGTGTTGGAATGAAACTTGAAGTTCTTCCAGATCGCCCCACTGCCCGGTATGACGCACCCTGGACGAACAGGCTCGCGTGTCGCGGAAATGTTCCCCGGACCCAGCGAAGTCAACGGAGACAACGGAGACGAACGCTAGCCTGGCTTAGGGCTAGGGCTCAAAATCCAGCACAGCCACAGCAGCCCTGGCTAAGGTCTGGCTGGACCCTGTGTTAAATGTGGCAAATGCCTACTTCAACCTCATCCAGCGCGAATCTTGACATCCCAAGCATCACACGCCTAGTGGGTAAACACTAGGTTCACCATGGCGTCTAGCGGAGGCCACATACTGGTGCCGCAAGCCATGCGGCTGCTCCGGTATGCTCGCCCTCCTTCCACGACCTACTTGAGATGATGCTTACAGATTGATTAGGTATGGCTTCGACAAGGCCGCTAAGTTGATCCGTGATCGACTGCCGCAAGCAACGCGAGCTGTCGAGACACAGGCGCAGCCGGTCTATGCACGTATCGTCCGAACGTCCGTCAACCGACTCGCCGCTATCAAGCAATCCCAGAGCCGCTGGCATTCGAACAAGGCAACCATCAACAATACCATACGCCAATTCTCCTCTCAATCTGCAGGTCCGAGAACACGGGCTTCCTACCCTTCTTCACGTACGGCGAGCGCAGTGAGTCAACTCACTTCGCGTACGCCCTTCGCTTCCCAGCTCCGACCCAACTTGACCGGAGGCACACTCGCACGCCACGCAGGTGGCTATGGTCTCGGAGGTGGAGCAAGATCAGGCGCCAGATACTTCTCTCACTCTCCAGCTGCACCAGCGCAGGTCATCAACAATGTCTCGCAGGCAGCGCGTGCGTTCTGGTTGGGTGGCTCCAAGGCTAGATTCGATGGCTACAGTGAGAGAACTGGAGAGAAAAGGTATCGTGCGGTGTCCGATGTCCAGGACGACATCCGTCACGCCCTCGAAATGCACGCTCCGGCTGCAAAGGGCTCTTTCATCGACTTCAAGGTCTCACCAACTATCACTGCCGTTGGACCTCTGGCCAGTCTGCCTCGTTCAAGTGTTTCGAGTCCTGCCTGTGAACTCGAGCAGTATCCCGAAGCTACGGGTCTGAACAACGCTTTGCTTATGTCCAGCCTTGGGGTCGACTTTGCTCGAGCATTGAAAGATCTTGCTGCAATCTTCAATGATCTGAAACACCTCTCGACTCTCGGCGATCTGCCCATTGCTTTACACGACTCAAGCACCCTCCGGGTACGCTTTCCTGGCTGTGACATTGACACTGTCGAAGCATTGTGCACGGAGCTCAACATCCGTCGCGGAATCGTTGGGCAAGATGAAGGCTTCGATATTGCTGCAGGGACCGAGATGGCGCTACTGTTTCCGTTTGCTCCTTCCAAGAACTGCTCAGAGGCTGGCATCGATGCCGTTCTGCGACCGAAGAAGAGGCTTCGCACAACGCGTGACAAAGTAGACTGGCAACATATGATGCAAGCTCCGGCAGCGTTATCGCCAGGCTACTCTCACCAATCAGCCACAAGCGACTACTCTGTCGTAGAAGGTGCCAGCGAACTGCAGGAGAATCCTTGGCTGAGCCCGCTCTCTGGCTACTCAAGCTTACACTCCAGCGAACTTGGTGTAAACGACGATGTGGCTGCCTATTTCACGCCTCGTCACGATTGTCATCCACGGCAACATGGCACGGATGATCCGACAGGATACGACGGTATCGAAGGCATACATCGCTTCCTGCAGGAGTGCAGTCGCGCACAGCACTAGACTCGTTCGACGACCACTCCGCTTTCCAGTCCCTCCAAATTGTATATACCCATGATGTTGCTCTCCTTGCGTTTAGCTGCTCGGGCTACATTGAGCGGTGCCCGAGAATGAATTATATGATACCAATCCTTGCCTTTCGTGCAATCTCGAGCAAATGTAGATGCATCCGTGACATAACAAGTGGCCATGATTAGACTATGCCGTGTTGTGTTGAGTTGAAGTCGGCCGATACCCTGCCCGGCTTGAGGTGCTTATGTAAGCCAAGCTGTTTTCAACCTCGAGCGACAGTTCCAATGCTTCCTTTTTCATACTGAAACCAGTACGACCGTCCGACCTTGAGGCGACTGTGCTCGTAAGCTGTGACTGACTCACTGCCTCATTTCATCGCGAAAGCGTCAGTCCGCGTTGTCATGGCCGGAGAACACCAGTTTGATCCATCACTGATCTCTGCCGATACCCACACTGCAACGCCAGACTCGTATGCTGTGCGGCCATTGCAACGGGGTGACTATGGGAAAGGCTACTTTGACTGCTTGGCTACACTGACATGGGTCGGAAAACCCACTCAGCAGGAGTTTGAAGAGCAATATGACTGGATGACGACCAAAGGAGCGGAGTGGTTCTACAATGTTGTGATCGAGTATGAGGCAAGGTCGTTGGGACGGGTGTACTCATTGTTGAACGTAAATTGTGAGTTTGGAGGCTTCTGTCTGACTATGCTCTGCTAAAGCATCCACAGTATTCACAACTTCGGCAAGGGAGGACACATCGAAGATGTCTCAATCGCATCAGACCACCAAGGCAAGGGCTTAGGCAAAGTCCTCATCAATGCGCTCAACTCTGTTGCGAAGGCAACAGGATGCTACCGATGCACTCTGGATTGCGCACCTCAGAACGAAGGCTTCTACGAGAAATGCGGTTACCACAAAGGCGGCACAGAGATGTCGCAGTATTTCGAGGAGGCTAAAAGCGACTACGAACGGGGCTGATCCATGGGACGGACTCTGGGTTGTGACCTCACCAAGGATACACGCCACCCTTGTGCACAGCCTTTCCGACGTCCTCATCCCTCTCACCCGTCATGACCCTAAGCAGTGTCTGCCCGCTGACCTCCGGATCACCCGCTTCCACTCCCGCCCATCCATCAACGCCTTCCGGCCCTCTCAGGTTCGACTTCACGAAGCCGGGGCAGACAGCAAACACCTTGATTCCGAGGTTCTGCTTGACACTCTCAACATGCTCTTGCATCATGACCATGTTCAACGCTGCTTTAGCCACACAGTAACCATCCGGATTCGGCGGCGTGGGAATGTCCCTCATCTGAGCAGCCATTCCCAACGACCCGGCTCCGCTAGTCACGTAGATCGAGTACGGATTCTTCGACTTCAAAAGCAAAGGCCTGAAATGCGCAGCCACCAGTCGTGGGCCGAGGACGTTAGTCTTGAGCTGAACTTCGAATCGGGTGCGGACGTCGTCGTCGACGTTACCAGTCGCAGCGTTGTTGATTAATACGTCCACACGGCCGAAGTCTGTGGAGACTTGCTGGGCGGCGCGCTTGATCGAGTCTTCGCTGTCGACATCGAGCTCGAGCGTCGAGAGTTGGCCTTGTGGTGAGGTTGCTGTCAAGTCCGAGAGAGCTTTGTCTAGTCTTTGACGGGATCGACCTGCCATGATTACATGGTAGTTGTTGGACGCGTGGGTGATGACCTTGCTTGCGGCGTAGCCAACGCCGGAGTTTGCTCCTGAGAGGCGCATGATTAGCTGTGATCCTGTATGACATCAGCATGGTCTTACCGGTGATGAGCACGATCGTGTTTGCTATTGCCATGATTCGAGCTTCTGGCCGAAATTCTGGCCGAAATTCAAAATCTTCAATATCTGTCTCGTTGTTGTATGCGGGCGGTCTGAAGCTTTGATGTGAGCATCAGACTCCATGACTATGAGCCGCCAGCGGTGTATATATAATATGTGTACCAGTATAATTCGTCCTCTTGAGCACAGAGGTGGACCGGCAGCGACATAGTTTCGCAACTATTGCAATGCAGCCAGTGAGGCAGTCGGACTTAAGAGGTTCTGCTTAATCATAAGGCCGTTCTGCCTCGACCAAAGTAAGTTGCCTTGTGCGCTAGCCTGCATTCGTTCTCGAAGCCGAGCTCATAGAGAAGTATGGCCGGGGAAAAGGTATGATCATGTGCATATATGTTCGGGTCCGAGGGCATGATACTACTGCGTGGTTGTGTTGCCTCGTCCGAGACGCCTGTTGCTGCCTTGTGTTCTGACGGTCCGGTTGCCTAGATGGCACGGACTTACTAGTAAAGTTCCGAGGACTGCAAGTCCTAACATGGCAGCTTTCCGACAGCTATCGGAGCAAGAACGATTGTGGCTAGAACATCTCGCTCGGGATTGTGGCCGCTATCACGTCGAGACATATCGGAGCCATGAATCGTGGTCCTACCTTCACCGTGTCTGCAGGCGTTGCTGTCGTCCCAGACACGGCGTCGCTGTCGTCCGTGTTGTGAAGCATGCGTAGGGAGCGCACCGATCTCTGTACTTAGTGTCAGGTCCCTCGGTGAAATGCCATGCCATGTGTGCAACAGGAACCTCGAAGAAGTTGCGCAGTCAATATTGCGCGGAGCGCTATCTGCGCCAGCGGATTGCTTTACGTTCGCCCAAGGCAGCCGCCTCTGACATTCGATCTCGACCGTTTGCTTCGCGAGGAAACACGATTGTGTTGCCTTCGCACCTGCTATCAACAGAGCGGGTGATACGGCATGCTTCGCCTTAGGTCTTCGTCACAGACGACAGGACATATCTGGCCAGTACCCTACAAGTTTGTGTGTGTTGTATGCGAAGGCTGCTTGGGTAGCGTGACGTGACGTCTACATCTGATCCGTGGTCCACAAACATGTGCGATTTTGAATATTGATCTATGCATTTTCCGTGTAATTGAAGGTACTTGTCTTTGCCTGTCTGACTACAAATGCTTCAGCTTTCTGATCGCCGTTGAGATGGCCACAAATATGGTCATGTCTAATGATCTTTTTAAGAATGCGAGTCTCATCCTGCTCAGTCTACTTTTCCTTCCCCTCACCACTGGCATTACCATATGGGCGAGTGTAGTCGGCTGGGCTTTCAAACGCAATGCCATTCGACCTGAAACGCCAAGGCGCAATGTACTGGTTACGGGAGTGGGCATGAGCAAAGGATTGGTCTTAGCAAGAGCGTTTCACCTGGCTGGACATAATGTCATAGGTGCCGACTTCGAGCCTAGTGGCGCCCTGTCGATGGGCCGAGCATCCAAAGCAATCAGCCGCTTCTATCGCCTACGAAGTGTCACCAGTCGAGACTCGTCTACCGTCTACGTTCAAGATCTGATGAAGATCATCGTGACGGAGAAGATCGATCTGTGGGTGAGTTGCTCAGGCGTTGCTTCAGCAGTCGAAGATGGCGAAGCCAAAGAGATCATCGAAAAAAGAACAGCTTGCAGAGCCGTCCAGTTCGACATCGAGACCACGCAAACGTTACACGAAAAGCACACTTTCATCAAACATGCTGGGAAGTGCGGGTTGATCATACCGGCTACGCACACCATCACTTCCACTGAAGCTGCGGCGCGAATCCTTCGAAATGCACCACCTGATCGTAAATACATCATGAAGACTATCGGTGTCGTCGACGCGGCACGAGCAGACATGACGTTACTCCCGAAAGCCACAGACGAGGAAACCTCAAGGCACCTGCAACGACTTACCATTACCAAAGAATGTCCCTGGATTCTACAGCAGTACATCAAGGGCGAGGAGTTCTGCACTCATGCTGTGGTAATCAGAGGTCAGGTCAAAGCCTTTGTCGCTTGTCCGTCGGCCGAATTGCTCATGCACTACGAGATGCTGCCGGCCACGTCACCTCTGTCGATGGCAATGCTTGCTTTCACTCAGCGTATGGCTAAAGTAGGCGGCGCCAACTTTACCGGACACTTGTCATTCGATTTCATGGTCGAGGAGGAGGAACTGACGTCGAGACAGCCGAGGCTGTATCCAATCGAATGCAATCCCCGTGCGCATACTGCGGTGGTGTTATTTGCTGGTACACAGACAATGGTGGATAGCTACATGTCCTTCCTGGACGGCGATACAGCTTCGAGTCTGGTCACGCCTGCTCAGCTGGGTGGGTACAAGTACTACTGGATCGGTCATGATCTGTTCACGAAAGTCCTCCGACCAACCTTGGCATTAGTGTCTCTGCAAGCAACCCTGAGAGAGACGCTATCGCAATATCTGTCCTTCGTCAACCACATTCTATTCTGGTATGATGGGACTTTCGCGATGTGGGATCCTTGGCCGTGGTGGTGGCTCTATCATGTATATTGGCCACTGCGGCTGTGGAGCTATGTGCGATCTGGGAAGAGATGGAGCCGGATCAATGTTAGTACGACGAAGGTCTTCGAGTGTTAAGCATGTAGCAGTGCTCGACCTCACATGATGGCAGAACTTTTACTTGTCACCACTTGAGATACTGCGTCTTAGTGACTGATAGATTTCTGTCCAAACCTATTGCTTTGCAGCTTCCTCACCAACGCATCTTGTGATCTCGACCGCGTCAGGCTCGCCACTCGGCTCCCAGCTCTCCACCAATTTGCTTTCGTAGACGAGATTTGGGTTACCCTTGCAGTCGTTGAGAGTGACTCGACCTTCCCTCCTGTCGTACTGTCCAGTCGCGTGAGTGGCGAACCGTGACTTAGCATCGCCATTGCTCAATTTTCCGCTTATGCCCTTCCGCTTCTGCTCGACCGAGCTGCGTACGTATTCCAGATACGGCGGGTTTCCAGGCTTGACCACATTGTCGGCGGCAAGCACAGTTCCTGGTCCGACTATGCCAAGCTCCTCGCAAAGCTTCAAGTCTGTCGTGTATGCTGGCTTGTAGTGGTCGAGGAACATGAGATCGATCTTCTTCAGTTGGCCATTGTCATGTAATCGCTTCAGTGACGCGTCTGAGGATCCGACGACGACCTTGACCACATCTGACAACCCTGCCAGCTCTACGAGCCCCATAATCACAGCAGCGAACTCGGGGTTCCTCTCCAGACTAAAATACCGCTTTCCACCTGCTTTGCGTACAGCATCGCCAAAGAGAATGCACGAGTAGCCCACGTAGCCGCCCAGCTCGACCATGGTCTCCGGCTTGACCTCGGCTATCAGGTCTGACACTATTCGACCTTTGTCTTCGCCGACGTTCATCAGATACTTCTGAGTACGAGCAAAGTCGTCAACAGCTTTCAGAACTGCTGTGGGCGAGCCCCTGATCTCATCGATGTCTGATCGGCCGTACACATAGTGCAGCAACTCGATCTCTCTGCCATCGTCGAAGAAGACGTCCTCTTGCTCCTGGTATTTCTTCGAGTCGTCGAATGCTGATGGCATGTTGACTGCTTGCCGTGCGGTGTCCTTCAAGCTGTGAACTCGACTCGCTCTATGAAGGCAGACTTTGGTGTTTCCTGCACTGTACCGTGCTGCTACTCAGCTCTACTGTTCATTCTGACAGAGTGCTACGCGGAAAGTGTATTGTCATTGGTCGGAGGACTCCTGGCCAATAGGTGAACGTATTGCACATGCTTGCCTCGCGTACGAACCGACTGCTTTTTTCTTCTGCTTTTTCTTCGGAGCTGCAGAGCGATGCATCCATGCTCCGGATCACAGCAGAACTACCGTATGCAGCAGCTGTACATCATGATGTTGTCGATTGAATCAAGAAAGATCTGACCGGCAAATCAGACGTCGAGGAATAAGTGTCCACTCATACCTGCTAGTCTTTGACAGGTTTAGCTGATTGAGATCTCGAGCTGAACTAGAAGCAATTCGGTTTAGCGCTGAGAGCCAAGTTTGAGCTCAACGAACCTGTACCTCATCCCGCATTTTCTTGCTCACCAAAAGTAAGTCGGAGTACAGTGCCACAGCATGTGCAGTTCTCTTGTAAACAAGAGCTACAACTTGTTCACAGTCAGAAGCAGGGTGGTCGGTTTAGATCTATGGACGCGAGAAACGTGCCACGGAAACGCGTTTCCGTGGCCACGTCTTTCCGGAACGGCAACGTTATCAGATGTCGACATCTGCCGTGTAGCCACCTCGCGAATGAGGCGGGGTCCAGATGCTCATGTTCCACAAGGGATCGGCTGAAAGTCTATCTCACCGATTACGCTAAGATCTGGCATCTCTGACGCCTACACGCCATCAAGGCACGGACGCTGGCTGGGCAACTGCGAACTGTGCCACAGACCCTGACAACGTGCCTTACCTGTCAGGCACACCCGTTCAGGCACGGTTTTATGGACAAGGAGCCGTACAGGACTCCAGAACTAGGCCAAGAGTTGGCCTTGTAAGACATCATGACTGCTGATTTGCGAAAGAGAAGCCTTCCGCCTATTCCCCTTGCGATGCTTCCCCACGCAGCTCTTGCATGATCGCGAGAATTGAACGCGTCGAATCTCGTCCGGTAGTATCCTCCGGAGCAGCCTGTTCCATGCAATAGACTTTTCCGAAGTCGCACTAGCAGTGTACCAAGGTACCTGGATTGGAGGGCTTTGCATGCAAAACCTGCTGCTGTGAGACTGGGGAAGCTGCTGACGGTCTAGATCCACAACATCATGAATCTACGAAGCGAATGGCGAGCTCGGCATGATGATGGGATGTGCCGTGGTATAAATCAGCCCGGAATATGGCAGATGAGCTTTTACTTCCTCCAGGATAGTTCAACCCATCCACATTTACACGATGTCTGACCTCAAGGCTACTGTTGCTGAGACTAAGGGTGGCTTCCACGTTGAAGGCTACGAGAAGATCGAGTACGGCTTCGAGTTCATCGACTACATTTTCGATATTCAGAAGCCAGACCTAGCACAATGCTACGAGAAATGGAAGCGCTGCTTAGCAGTCATGGATCTGAACATCTTCAACCTCTACGGCGAGCGGCTGCAGCGTTACATGGATCATTACAACATTCCTCTCAGCGTGCACAAGACCATGATCGGCGAGAAGGCGAAGTCCATGGATACCCTTCTCAGCATCGTTGACTCTATGACCAACTTCGGCATTTATCGAAAGGTACGTCATCCTAAAAATCACTGAGGAAAATGTTTCCGGAACGTTGAGCTAATTTTGCTGCAGGAACCGGTGCTGGTGATTGGCGGTGGGCTTGTTACAGACGTTGCTGGGTAAAAGATACCACTGCCAAAGATCACTTCAAGGCACTCTGACCCATACTATCTTCTTGCGTTGTACTGTCGACGACTGCTTTACTGACCGTTTCCATAGTTTCGCATGTGCGGCTTACAGGCGCAACACGAACTACATCAGAATCCCCACGACAGTCATCGCTGATTGACGCATCCGTGTCAATCAAGGTCGCTGTCAACTATGGCAACTACAAGAACCGCTTAGGCGCATACCACGCGCCAATGAAGACATTCTTGGATTTCACCTTCCTGCGAACACTGCCCGAGGCACAAATCCGGAATGGATTCGCAGAGCTCATCAAGATTTCGAGCTGTGCTCACCTGCCTACGTACGACCTGCTCGACAAGTACTGCGAACAGCTCATTTCGACTGGCTTCGGCAGGCTGATGGCGCGCCCGAGGAAGTGAAGCGTGCAGCTGATACCATCAACCGTGCTGGTATCCACGAAATGTTGAAGCTCGAGACGCCCAACCTGCATGAAATCGGTCTTGACCGTGTTATTGCATATGGTCACACGTGAGCCCCTCGTGCATTCGTTCGAGGCTTGACTGACATCCATCATAGTTGGTCACCGTTGCACGAACTAGTGCCTGAGACACCCCTGCGTCACGGTCACGCCATTTCCATAGATATGGCGTACTCGGCGACGCTTGCCAATCGCCGAGGTCTTCTCAGCGATGCTGAGCACAAGCGGATCTTGAATCTGTTCTCCAAGGCTGGTCTGTCTATGGACCACCATGACTTCAACGAGGACATTCTGGACAAGGCGACGAAGGCTATCCTACGCACACGCGACGGACTGCTGCGAGCCGCTGTCCCAAGCCCTCTGGGGTCGTGCGTCTTCCTCAACGATGTTGAGATGAGCGAGATGTACGATGCGCTACGCGCTCACAAGGAAATCATGAAGAGCTACCCACGAAACGGAGAGGGTATCGAGGCTTTCGTCGACTCCAGCGATACTGGCTACACCCTTAACGGCAAGCCTGTCGAGGAGAACGGAAATGGTGCCTCTAACGGTCTTAAGAAGCTCAATGTGCTCAACAATGACGCCACAAACGGCCACGTCCAGACCAACGGCGCGGCTGCTGCTAAGAAGCATGCTGGCGGACCCGAGGGTGTGGATGGGCTGCAGAAGAATGGCACGAACGGCACCAATGGCCATGCGAACGGTGTCAACGGCCATGCCAACGGGACCAATGGTGTACACTGAAGAGTGCGAAGCCAACCCAACTCAAAAAGTCAACTGCGATTCATCTTCTGAACGAATTTCTCACCTACCCCTGCAAGCACTATGCAAGCAGGGGAGGCGCAGCTCAGAGCATACCAATCAAGCGACGAACGGTGTATGAGCGGTAACAGCTACATATAAGCCTGTCTCTGTGGACAATGCCATCAAAATTTCGGTCTATGTTTACCTCAAGATAGATCTTGCTGCATGATCTTGCTGCAATTTTCATCGTAAATCGTGTCGGATTTGTGCCGTGACCTTGGCTCTTGCGTTTGCAGCCTCAAGCTTCATCGTTCACAACGTGAGGATATTGTAGCATCGAACAGTAACGTTCGGCTCTTTTACCGCGTGAACTATCGTACACTTAAGAAGGCGCCATCTGCGTTCAACAACTTGCGGGAGGAAATTACCTATATTCGTCTCAGTCGCATGGGGCTGTAGTCACAGTAAAATCATGACGATATCGGCACTGATCTCTGGTGAGCGGATCATGCCTTCTCTTGTGCAACTTGAACACTTTCAGCGGCATACACTGAAATCGTACCTGCATTTGAATCCATTTGCTATGTCGATTGGTTCAGAAGCAGCTGAAACTTCTTCTTTGTGTTGCGCTAACAAACAGATCACAATATAATTGCTGACGACGCCGCCAAGCTTATCTCCCTCCTTGCGATGAGCCTCAACTACTTCACGTGCACACTTGGTCAAGCTGCCTTGCTCAACCAGTCTAAGCTTTATCGCACAATCCCTGAGTTCATCGACTATCAATTCAAGAATCACCCTGATCTGCCGGCGGTCGGCACGTATGTTGTCGGCACTGACGACGCGCCATGGGAACCGGCGATCATCACCTTCAAGGACGTCCGGAATGGTGTCCAAGGAGTAGCACAGCTTCTCGAGAGAAGCCTTTCCCATCATGAGAAGAGAACCGTGGCATTGCTCGCGAGCAGCTCATCTGACTTCCTCTTCACATGGCTGGGTCTGATGTGCCTGGGTCGGCCTGTCCTTCTGATTGCCCCACAATGTTCAGCGTCTGCAGTAGCGCACCTGTGCAAAGCGTGTGAAGTCGACGTACTGTTCCGCGAGGATCAGTATGCCAAGCTAGCCGAGGATGCTGGACGAAGCGCTGCAGCCGACAGTTTCAAGCTCGAAGTACTCGACTTGCCCATCCGTGGACATAAACAGATATGGCAGCTGTTACAGCAAGACTCTGCCATGGGCCTGAAGACGATTGATGTCTCCGAGAACGACCCGGCATACTTTCACCACACATCTGGAACTTCCAGCGGTATTCCAAAGCCGATACCACAAACACACCGAGGAGGACTGGGGGTGCTACCGAGCTGGAGGGTTCGCAGACCGCTACGTTCACGACCACGCCTCTATACCACGGCGGTGTAGCAGATCTGTTCCGGGCGTGGACTAGCAATGCATTGATATGGCTATTCCCGGGCAGGGATGCGCCGATCACTGGAAAGAATGTCATTCGATGTCTCGATGCTTCGGCGACGAGCCACAGCGCCGGCCAGGCACCCAAAGTGGCATACTTCTCCTCTGTTCCATACGTGCTGCAAATGCTGGCTCAAGACGAGAAAGGCCTGAAGCATCTACAACGCATGGACATGGTCGGTGTCGGAGGTGCGGCACTGCCCAACGAAGCAGGAGATGAATTGGTGCGGACTGGCGTCAAGCTTGTCTCCCGTTTCGGTAGCGCGGAGTGTGGCTTTCTCCTGTCGTCACAACGTGACTTTGAGCAAGACCGCGGCTGGCAGTACCTGCGTCCTGACCCTGATGTCCACGAGCTATCCTTCGAGCCTCGTGATGATGGACTCTCAGAGCTGGTCGTGAGATCAGGCTGGCCTCATATGGCAAAGACGAATAGAGACGATCGGAGTTTTGCAACTTCTGACCTGTTTGAGCCGCATCCCTCGATTCCTAATGCTTGGAGATACCACTCCCGAGCCGACTCCCAGCTCACGCTCGTGACAGGCAAGAAGTTCGATCCTGCTCCGCTGGAAGCAGCCGTCGCTGCCGCGTCAGATCTCGTCAGTGATGCGATGATCTTCGGTGAGGGTGAAGCATATCCTGGAGTGCTGTTGTTCCGGTCGGCAGAGCATCACGCCGTATCTGATGATGAGCTGGTAGACCGTGTGCGACCAGTGGTCGAGAAGCTCAACCGTGGGTCGCAAGCGCACGCCCAGATACCAAACGACATGCTCGTCCCCATGAGCCCGACAGAGCTCGAGAAGAGTAGCAAGGGTACACTGATCCGGTCAGCACTCACCAAACGGTTTTCAAGCACCATTGAGCAGGCGTACAGGGGTGAACGAGGCACTGGATCCAGGCAGCAGATTGATGACGCTGCTGTTGAGAAAGCTATCCTTGCGGATGTAAAGGTCATCATGCCGTTCAGCGAGGTCCAGAGACCAGAAGACGATCTCTTCGCGCACGGCCTTGACTCAGTGGCTTCGCTGCGTGTGCGAAACAAGCTGAGTTCACTGTTGCCAGGCGATGTGAAGCTACCACTCACGATTGTGCAAGATTGTGGCACTGTCCAGAACCTGGCGAGGTATGTCCTCGCGCTCCGTCGTGGCGAAAAGCCGTCTCCAGGCACTGCGGAGGACCCATTGAACACAATGAAGAAGCTTGTGGAGGAATACAGCCGTGCATCGCCTTCCAACGACGGAGTCACGGCATTAAGAAGACGGCAGACGCTTAGCAACTCAAACACAGTACTGCTAACAGGGGCTACGGGCAGCCTCGGAGCGCACCTACTGGCACATCTCCTCGAGCAGCATGCCGAGCTCGATATTGCACACATCTTTGTCCTCGTGCGGCAGACCGGCAAAGTCGATCCTACCAAGAGAGTTATAAACGCACTCACTTCACGCTCCTTGCAGCTCCCGAGTAGCGACTATTTGGACTCTCTGGTGAGCGTTTATTCAAGCAGCTTGTCGTCAGACCTCCTTGGCCTGGATCGAGATTTATATGACCATATCGCAGCAAACGTGACGCACATCTACCATCTCGCCTGGGCGGTGAACTTCTCGCTTCCTTTGTCTGCTTATACACCGCATTTCGCAGGTATTCGGAATCTGCTAGAGTTGGGGTGCATCAGTGGAGGCTTGAAGAAGTTCGTATTCTGCTCGTCCACGGCATCTGTGTCATCGTATCGTGCAAAGGGCTCTGCTGGAGTGCCGGAAACAATCGTGTCTGAGCCTGAGGCGGCCGGACCGACAGGTTATGCACGTAGTAAATGGGTTGCTGAAGCGATCTGCCACTCATTCCTCCATGGCGCTCATGCTGGCCACATGCACGGCAAGGTCAGCCTTGTTCGAGTCGGACAACTAAGTGGTAGCAGCAAGACAGGTGTATGGAATGGCACTGAAGCCTATCCGCTGATGCTAAGCGCTAGTCGTAAGCTGGGGATGGTGCCTGACCTCGACGAAGCGAGACGGCAGCAAGGACGAGTAGCTGGACGTGGAAAATTTGAAGAGTGCGCATGGGTAGCTGTCGACATTGCGGCAGCGGCGTTTGTACAGCTTGGCAACTTCAGCATGTCGCATGGTGAGCAAGTTGCAGCCACGTCTCGAGCGGAGTGCGTCAGGCCGAGCGTTCTTCATCTACTCCCATGTCCTGGTATACACAGCACGTGGAAGGATATTGTTCACCAGGTCCTCGAGAAGGAGCCTGATGCATTCCGCAAGGTGCCTATTGAAGAGTGGCTCGAGAAGCTAGAAGGCTTGCGCCTGGATGATAGCCCCGCGCGACCAAACGGCAGTACTGATGCGGAGCATTCGAATCAAGATGGGAAGCTGGACTCACTTAGTGGTGGCCAATGCCACCAGCATCCGGCGCTACAGCTAGCTGGCTTCTGGAGAGGGGCCTATATGGGATCCAACGCTGTCACTGCTGACGAAGCCAAAGCCGGAGAGACCACGGCCAACAAGGCTGGAACAGATCAATCCGATACGAAGGTCACCAGTGGCTTCAATATGGAAGCGAGTCTCAGGCAGATGCCAGTGCTTCACGAAAAGTGGCCGTCAGCAGTACATCTACAGGACGGCTATGTCGCCAAGTGCTGGGAATGGATCAAGGCCAATGTCGGGACCTAGAACAATCAACGAAGTCTTCGTATTAATTCGACAGGGATTTTTGTAGCATTATCCGATGCAGCAGATCTTCGAGATCTCTAAACTGCACAGTGACTGCATACCTTCCATGTCTCATGGGCCGTACAGTGCAGAGTCGGGAGACGTTAGGTGGGCAGGAGAGTGCCAAGACCATCGACATCTGGGGGAGAAATCACGCCATTTCGACCTCAATGCTCCTAACCAGCATCTCCCACCACTTACAGGGCTGATGCATAGATCGAGTCGTTATCACCGTCATCGGTGTCTGTAAGAAACAGCATGCTACGGACTACTGCTGTATGTCGCCATACTGCGAGACATGTATGTCATGGCTAACGATCCCCCTGCCAATCTGCCGGAGCTCGCTTTTTTCTGGTAGCGATCCGACATCTTGCACCTGCTTATACGTGCTTGTACTTATAGTATGCTGATTGCTTCCTCGCCGTAACATGGACTCCCTTTGTTTCTGCTTACAGTGATATCTCTGGGGCCTCCGTCTTTGGAACTTGACGACCAAGCACCTTCTTTGGTCAGCTAAATTAGACACACCATGGCTGACTCTCGCGTGGTCAATGATGGCTCCCAGCCAACGACCAAGGACCAGCTCGACGCCCCAACAGCTGCGGATGCCGCACTGCCCGGCGACAAGAAACGAGAACTCGACTCGAGCAGCCAGGAATCCTTCCCAGAAATCAACGAAAAGGCTCTGGTCAGAAAGCTGGACTACAAGCTCCTCCCAGCACTGACGCTGCTGTACCTCTTGAGCTTTCTCGATCGGTCCAATGTCGGGAACGCGAGGATCGAGGGCTTGACCACTGACCTGGGAATGACTGGGAATGAGTATCTGACAAGCTTAACGCTCTTCTTTGTGGGCTATGTCATCTTCGAAGTCCCATGCAACATTGTGCTGAAGCTCTGGACTCCACGCGCGTGGTTGCCGACGATTACTTTGGCTTGGGGCGTGGTCAGTACGTTGATGGGTGTCACGCAGAGCAAGGATGGATTTTTTGTGGTTCGGTATGCTTCTCGAACGTTGCAGTCGAGATGACAGTACTGACGGCTGCGCAGATTCTTTCTTGGGGTCAGCGAGAGCGGCTTATTTCCCGGCATCGTGTACTACTTGTCTCTGTGGTATAAGAGAGAAGAGCGTCACTATCGTGTCTCTCTGTTTTTCAGCGCAGCGGCCGTAGCTGGAGCATTCGGTGGCATCCTAGCTTGGGGTGAGTAGAACGTTTGTCGGAAGTCGTTCGCCGTTGACTGACATGTCTAGGTATTGCCCACATGCGCGGTACAGCTGGCTACAATGGATGGAGGGTGAGTGCTTTCCGCAATCATGAGTCCTACCCATATCGCAAGATTGCTGACAAGATGCTCGTCAGTGGATCTTTATCCTGGAGGGATTGCTTACCGTTGTTGTGGCATTCTCGGCGTACTTCTTTGTCCACAACTACCCGGCTACGGCTCGATTCTTGAAGGACGACGAGCGAAAGTTTGTTCTTAACAGGCTCAAGGATGACAGTGATGCCACAGAAGATGAGTCATTCTCGTGGCATAACGTCAAACAGGCGCTCAGCGATCCAAAGGTGTATCTGTACTGTTTCGGCTTCCACACCATGTCGCTTCCGCTCTACACGCTCTCGCTCTTCCTGCCTTCGATCATTAAGAGTCTTGGGTACACCTCTGCCCAAGCGCAGCTCTTATCGACACCTCCGTACGTGGTGGCATTCATCACCACGATGAGCATAGCGATTCTGTCAGAACGGTACAAGCGACGTGCACCATTCATCATTGGATCGAGCTCATTCGCCATCATCGGATATATTCTGCTACTCACCGACTACAGACCTGGGCCTTCATACCTGGGCTGTATCTTTGCTGCAGCTGGAATCTACCCAGCTGTGGCATTGACACTCGCATGGCCTGCACAGAATGTCAGTGGACAGACGAAGCGAGCCGTTGCCAATGGTCTGCAGATCAGTATCGGCAATCTTGGAGCGATCTTGGGCACCCAGCTATACAGAACTGAGACAGCGCCGCATTATCGACTTGGACATCTTTTTGCGCTTGGATACTTGGTTGGTAATATTGTGGTTACCTCGACGCAGTGGTACGTGTTGAAGCGGGCGAACGCTGAGAAGGAGCGGAGACAGGCAACTGAGGGGATCAAGGATGGACCGTTCATTGGAGATGATGATATTAGATGGCGCTTCACCAAGTAACAGGCCAAGTGTGGGTTTCTGTGGTAATTTGACGAGGACGCGGTCAATTAAGACTGTCCGGGTCCCAGAAACTTAGTTGAGACTGAACCACGATCCAGGCAGAATGCAGCAGTCCGGCTGAGAAGTGTATGCACATTGATGAGATACCCTTGTGCGGAGGTCACGTAGCGTTACTCACTTTGCAGTTCACAAATCGAAAAAGATCCTACTTTCCAGCTTCGGTGCCTTTTCCAGATTTCGAAAGCTGGTCAATGCAACAGAGCTCAAGCAAAGTTGGATCCGTAATCTGAAAGGGCGATCGACTCAGCCCAAGCCGGAAGGCGAGGCTTATGTTCAGCCTTGCGCACGTCGAATGAGCGGGCAAACTACGATGACTGCGTGCACGCGTCGCCCTAGCATGTTCAGTGCATCGCAGGTCCTCACGATGACTACATGAGCGCGCCTGCGGCGCTGTCGCCGTCAAGTAGTACCGCCGCTCATGAAGTGATCGAGTTGCCCACCATGTCCGTCCCGCACTCCTCCTCAACCGAGGATCACGAGCCTTTGATTCCTAACGACTACGACGAATATTCGCGGGCCAGTGGCCAGCAAGAGGTGTCGGGCTTCGGCAATGCCTTCATCTGGACGCTGACCCTTTCCGCCTGTGTCTCCGCATTGCTCTTCGGCTATGACACAGGCGTCATCTCGTCGACCCTGGTCTCGATAGGCACGTCCTTGTCCCAGCGTAACCTCACGAATCTCGACAAAGGCCTGATTACGTCAAGCACGAGTGCATTCGCTCTCATCGCGTCGCCCATAGCCGGCGTCCTTGCCGATCGTATCGGACGCAAGAATATAATTATCCTCGCGGACGTTCTGTTCGTCTTGGGCGCGATATGTCAGGCATGGACGACCTCAATCGCAGGCATGATCGCTGGACGAAGCATTGTGGGCCTGGCTATTGGTGCGGCGAGCTTGATCACTCCGCTGTACATCTCTGAGCTGGCTCCGAGCGGGCTGCGTGGACGATTGGTGACGGTGTCGGTCCTTTATATCACTTTGGGTCAGGTGGTTGCGTACGTGGTGGGTTGGCTTTTCTCTGGCATCGAGCGTGTCGGATGGCGATGGATGGTTGGTCTGGGCGCCATACCAGCGGCTGCACAGATCGCGATGCTGATCTTCATGCCCGAGAGTCCAAGAATGCTGTGCAAACGGGGACGACAAGCTGAGGCACGCGCAGTCATTGTGAAAGTGCATAACGGTGTCGTGCCGGACGCTGGTGGCACTGCGGAGGATATCGTAAAGGCTATCGACAAGGAGATCAATGAGGAGTACGAGTCCAGGATTGCACTGACTAAGGGCCGACCTGCTGGGTCGACAAGGATGGTGCTCCCACCAACGCTTTCTTCCCTCATGTTTCACCCACCACATCGCCGAGCACTCACAATCACTTGTATGCTCCAGGGGCTGCAACAACTATGTGGCTTCAACTCTTTGATGTACTTCTCTGCCACCATTTTTCAGCTCCTTGGCTTCACCTCGCCAACCTTGACTTCTCTGTCGATCGCGGGCACGAACTTCCTATTCACTGTTGGAGCATTCTATCTCATTGACCGCATTGGCCGCAGGCGTATTTTGCTGTTCACCATTCCCGTCATGGTCCTAGCACTGCTCCTCTGCGCTGGCAGCTTCACCTTCCTGGACCTTCCGACCACGGACCCGTCGTCATCAGGCTCAGCCCTCTCCTCGAGCACGTCACGTTCAGCAGCTCTTGCAATATTAGCATCACTGATGCTCTACGTTGCCGGGTACGCGAGTGGCCTCGGTGTCGTGCCATGGCAGCAGTCCGAGCTCTTCCCATTAAGTGTCCGCTCAGTGGGAAGTTCGCTTGCCACAGCGACCAATTGGGGGTCGAATACCATTGTTGGACTGACATTCTTGCCGATGATGCAGTGGCTCGGATCCGGATGGACGTTTGTGATTTATGCGGCCGTTTGCGGCGTTGGGTGGTTGTTGGTTTGGCGAATATATCCTGAGACAATGGGCCTGGGCCTTGAGGAAGTCGGAGGCTTGCTCAGTGATGATTGGGGTGTGAAAAGTACAAGAGAAGGGGGCGAAGGTAGTGCTGGAGGCAACGATGGCGAAGAGCATTCGAGAAGGAGCAGCCAACCAGCACGATGTCAAACATAAATACATGAGTGAACGATTGTACGGTCGCTCCTTGGATTTGCGTTGCTGCAGCAAATGCATCGCAAGCGTTGAAACCTGTCTGTCGTTACTCTCTGCACCCTGGTATAGGTCAGTCTTGTTCGCAGCAGGTCACAGTCCGGCAGACGTTTCATGGTGTCGGATAAGGGCAACCATTTGCTACGACGAACAAACCCGGTGTCAGTCCAAATTCTTGTGGGAATTGACTTTGTTTTGGGGCAATCGATTGCACCTATTCACCAACCTGCTTAGGCCAACAGGGTAGGGGTCTGACCGAACTATATGACGAACATGCCAGTGCATGGAAGAAAATCTCTTTCAGCACTCCATTCGAAACTGGATGTTCTCTCGAGGTATCGTATAAATATTTGGGGCGGCCTTGAACAGTGGCAGTATCCGAGAAGTTGTCTGATCGCGACGGCATCAACAGCTCACAGAAGTGAAAGCCATCTGCTGTGAAATACATGCTGTTCACTTCTTCACCAAAGCTACAGGCGTTTCCTTCCAAACATGTGCTCAAGTGATAGATCAAAGCGCGGAAACGTGCTAATATGGTCACCTAAGAAGCTTCACATCAAGATAATATAACGCAGACACAGTGCCTGACACTGTCCCCGTTCGATTTGCACCAGCACTAAGGAGCAGCGACCCACCAGCAAGCCACCCTCATCGTGTCTCTGCACGCAGTACCGGTCCCGAGCAGCGCAGCTAATAAAGGCCAAGACGCTCTCGAGATGGGTGGGCTTAACGACAGCCGCCTGGTCTTCGAAGATGGCGACGTAGTCATCCACACCTCACATGAGCCGTCGGGCATCTTCCTCGTTCATAAAGAAGTCCTCATTTCCGGATCACCGTATTTCAGGAACCTTCTGTCAGAGTTGTGGGGCACCACACCACATGTAGTAGATACAGGCACGACACCTGTGTTTGAACTGGATCTGCAAATGGACTGCCAGTCCGGCTTTGCCCTACCAATCGTGCGAGTGAGTCTAGCAAACGTTGATCAAAGATAGGACTGACCATCTAAGAAGCAGGGACATGATTTACTCGACCCCAGCGAGAGCGTAGAAAGTGACAAGGATGTTGACGAACTCGTCCTCTGGCCTGAACAACCGCAGACCCCGAAGTCGGTGGCTGGGACATATCTGACTCGGTCTGCTAAGCTCTGGCCACACTCGAAGGTTTACGCAAGCCTTCGTAAACCCATGGACCAGCACGTCACCGAGCTCAAGCGAAAGTTGCTAGATCGTGATACCCGGTGGTACTTTCATGCGCAAGAGCACAGATTTCCAAAGCATGAGCACGCATTGAGCTATGTACGCGCGATCTGGAGATGCATCATCCGTTTGTTGTACGGGAAAGACCGATTCCTCGAGCCCCAGGGCAAAAAGTCTCCGGCCAAACAGGTCATGTTCCTTGCCAACTTGTATGCGTATGCAGAGCTCTTGGATCTTGACAATACTATCATGACGCGTCTCAGAAATGCGGTCAGATCAGTCCCTTCCATTTGGATCTTGGTATCGAAAAAGCCGGATATATTCATCGACCTTGCTAATGCGATGGAGATGCCCGATCTATATACGGATGCGATGAAGCACTGGATCTCGTGGCAAGTCTCTCCTCATCAATACCGAAGATGGCATTCGGTTGGTGGCGAAGGGACGTTCAGACTTCTGGCACATGCAGCCATCAAACACCAGAGTGCTCTGATGGAATTGAGTCGGTCTATTGTGAACTTCACATTATACTCAATACATCACCTTGGGATCTATAGTTACGCCACATCGATTCCGCTGCTTCCCTGCAAGATGTTTCCTCGAGGATATTCTGATGGTGATCGCACAGAGATCGACTATTACCTGGCAGCAGTCAAGGACTTGTTCGTGACAGGCCTTATACCTGTCGCGACGAGCCTGCATCTGGAACTGTATAGAAATATGTCACCCTGGGACTCCACGTCGAACATGACATCAGCTCAAGTACTGCGGGCGCTCATGATACTTGGGACCGAGCCTCTCGAAAATCAGGGCCGCAAGGCGATCATCAGCTTCTTCAACCTCCGCCGGTATGCCAACCTAAAGCAGTTACGATTGGACAAGCTCACCTACTTGGTGGGTCTCACGCTGAAGGAGTACAAAGACCTGCTAGAGGATTCCCCCGCCTTCTGCCCTGAGTCAAAGTACCACAACCGGCACGGCGCGATGTGGCTGTGTCGATGTCCAGGAGAAGTACAACCGAAGTATCCGACGTCAGCGTGCTTGTGCATTGTCAACCTACACGAGGTGTTCGCGCGCGGACTCGGCGCAATCGATCCACAACCGTGGCCGTTCAACCAAGATGTTTCACAAGACAACGAGTGTGCAGAGTTTGCGCAAACACAGACAAAACCTGCCACGTTTGCGTACTTGCAATCCGTCGGTCTTGGGTCCAAATTCTCCTACTTGAATCGAGCCCGTCAGGGTAGTCCCGAGTTGCTGAGCGCCGATGACCTGGCTATCGATGCAGATGGATGCAACTTGGACATCATGTACGATGGTTGAGATTGGCTCTGTCATGCTGGGGATGCGGCTCGCAAAGGTGTACATGGTCTAGGCATAGAAGTGATGACTACTTCTGACCTCAGGATTTGACCTAAACAGTGCGGCGTCTCGATCGAGGGGTTCGGGTGTATAGCGATGGCATTTGGTCCCGTTTAGCCAAAGCATTCAGACAGTAACGGACAGAGCAGAGCCGCAATGGCGGGAGCAGTGCTGCTGTGCGCGACAATGCGCGGATGGAGGCTGACACGTATACTGCAGTGGGTCATGAAATCAGATAGACATGAGGCTAGAAGCGACTCACCTCAGAGGCTCGCACAGATCTAGTGTATATGTAATATGGGGAATCTGATCTTCAAGATCCAAAATGCATACGAGATGGTCGAGCCGAAAGTCTAAAAGAGCGGTGGAAGCGTTCTTTTGTAGATCGACTGCGATTGGCTGTTTCGTACGGACCGCTGCACGTCGCACATTGGACGCACCCTCCTTCGATTCTTGCTACGGTACCTCACTCTTGACACAATGTCTTTTGCAAAGACGACGACGATGCAGTAGTGAAGCAGATTGAGCCAACCGTTGACTATCTTGGACTCGACACGCTCCGACTCTGTCGAGACATTCGCACCTACGGGTATGGCCAAAGGACTTGAGCCAAGCCGCCGTGGTCCCTGAGGGAACTTTGGTTTGTAGCCCGCTCGGGAACGCCGGTGCCAAGATCGTAAGCGGTTCCACTTGCTCAACGTCCTGCAGCTGTGCCACAATCCGAGCTTACATGCTTCCCTCTGCCACATCAGCTTGGACGTCAAACATGATGGCGTCCTTTTGACTACCCTGATTTCTGTCCTGCATGCAGTTTGACGCCATCGCCGAACTGTGTCCTAGTCTGGCCACTTAGCGCAGACTCTTTGCGAAAGTGCCCCGGCCATCGCCCTCGCCGTGTACAGAGAAGTCGTCCATGCTCCCATGATTGTGGCAGTACTCGAGCGCTTTAAGGGTGTATTTGCGTTCCAACCGGAGTCAGCCTTATCGTCATCTTTCTCTTCGCAAAGACCGCGGTCTGGAAACAATACATAATCCTGTTGTGTTGTCTCTATTCGCCCCAAACAATACTTGGGTCAATATCGGAGATGATCACAGCTACCGCTCCTGTCGGAGTTTGGGCGGGCTACCACTCGCCACCCCTCATCACTATGGATCCTTCGTCAAGCAACGTATATGTGCCAGCCGACCAATCCTTTCTTTTGCCACACCGGTACCCGGGGCCTCGATCGCTCTCGCAAAATCTGCCGTTGCGTGAAGAAGCGCCTGCCTTAGCTGCTCCGCGCAGGACGCGCGCTTCTAAGCCAAAAGGTACGTGTCTGACCCCTCAGAGATTTTACGAAGTCGGCTGCTGACACAACCTCATAGTGCGCACAGGATGCAGCACATGCAAGGCAAGCCTTCTCCCTTCGTATCTCGCTTGGCCCTGAGATCTCGCCCTCCGCATTGCCATCCTTGTCTCAACATCACATTACCTCTACTACTTTGCGACTTCTTAGCTGAGACTCCTAAATGTTTTATCACTAACATGACGATCACTTTAGATCCGGCGAATCAAGTGTGATGAAACGAAGCCTTCCTGTAAGTAGTACCCAATATCGCCTCCTGCTTTATATAGTGCTCACGTATACAATGCAGGCGAACGATGTACTTCGACGGGCCGCAAATGTGACGGATACGAGTTCCCTAAGAAGGCCGACCAACAAGAATTAAAACGTTCTTCATCAAGTCTCTCGCCACCACCCAAGAGACCCGCACTTGTATACAACAATCTTATACTACCCACATCACTATCCCAACCATTCGACGGCACCCTTCAGGAGAAACGACTATTCCACAGGTTTCAGGTACGAACTGTGCCCAGCTTCGCCGGCGGCTCCGAGTCCAATTTCTGGACCAAGATCGTCCTCCGGGCCGGGCAAGAAGAGCTCGTAGTCCGCAACGCCATCATCGCCCTCGGGGCTCTGCACGAAGATTACCAGATCCGTAGTGGCAAGTACGACGCTCAGCTCATCGAGGATCAGAGCTACCGGGACGTTACCTTGCTTTACGGCAAGGCACTACGCCAGCTCAATCAACGCCTCAACGAGCCGAGTCAGGAGAACGCCAAGATTGCCATTATATGTAGCATCCTTTTCGCATGTTTCGAGGTACTTCGACGGAATAATATGGCCGCCGTCGTTCACTATCAGCAGGGTATGAGACAGTTGATGCGGCAAATGGCCCTACCTACACCATCACCATCACCTACAGACAACAAGAGCTCGTCAGGGTCATCGTTCTCAAGTACACAATCAACGTCGCTAACAGTCCGCTTTCGCGAGATCCCGGAGGATGAGCTCGACGATATCATGCGCGTGTTTGCCCGATATGACATACAAGCATGTACATTCAGCAAGGATCGTGCCGAGCCATTACATGTCGACACCTCTTCACCAAGATCAGTTCCAGCACTCACTGATCTTAGTCTGCCTCAAGTGCGAACTCATCTCGACAACCTCCTAGTATGCGTCTACCAGCTGATCAAGTCTGATCTACGGATGTACCGGTATTGGGACGTCAACATGGTGCCACCGTTATGGCAGCAGCGACGAACATCCGCCATCCAAGTCTTCGAAGACTGGTCAGGCGCATTGGAGCAATTCTTCACCAACGCCGAAAAGACAATGCCCCACCATGAAGTCAGGTCATTACTCGGGCTGCGATTACAGATTCAGGTTGCGATCATCGAACTTAAGATGTCGATAGACCACAAGACTGAAACATGCTACGATGCCTTCCGAGCAGACTTCGCAGAAATGGTCGCTCGAGTGGAGAAGCTCTTCGCGTCCCTGGCTCTTCACGATGCCAAGCCGCTCGATGTCGAGACAGTTGATTTCACAATGGAGCTCGGTCTCATACATCCATTGTTCTTCATTGCTGTGAAGTGCAGAGACTGGAACGTGAGAAGACGGGCTGTTGCCTTATTGCGAAAAGCTGGCAAGGAAGGCGTCTGGGAGGGCCCGATCATGGCTGTCTTGTCCACGAAGATTATGAGATTGGAAGAGCAGGGTTGCGCTCGGGGCACGTTGGTTCCTGAGCGCAACCGATTCCATGAGATCAAGAAGTGAGTACCTCCCTGGCTAGTTTTTGACGCTGCCAGCCCTGGTCGAAGTACGTTCAGCTGACATCATCCTACCTAGAAACGTGGACTATGACGGCCGAAAAGTTCTATATGAGTTGAACAAACCACTGGACGCTGCCTGGGACAACTGGCACGTGCTGCGAGGCGAGGTTGCCTTTTGATGAAGCAAAATTTTTGACAGCATCAGCTTTCTGAGGTGGAAAATATTTGAGCGTACAATGGCATAGCGAGAGGCGTCCAAATTCATACGAGGCATCCTTGGGCATGAGTGGCAGCTGAGCACGGGACCAGAATAGGACTAACGACACGAACAGCGAAGACTTGTGGATATATTACGCATCTGGCATATATGCTTTGACGACCATGAAGAAAAGATAGCAGTAATACTCCTCAGATCGATTATGATCGAGCCGTGGACATCTTACACATACCGAAATATAAATTCTACACACTACCGTAAATCGCGTTTTCATTTTGTGACTTGTGCCGAGCCGCACAGGGAACCCTGGAAGGAAGTGAACGGTCATCAGCAAGCCGCGAGCAATGCTCATTTGTGACTGCCGCACCTGAGCAGCTCGACATTCTGACCCCATGGCGTTACCTGCAACCAGCAGCGGATAGTTTGATAGTCAAGTCAACCGGTTTCGTGAGCTGCCCTGTCGACCGGCGTTATACAGAGGCTTGCCTTATCCAAATCAGGCTGTCAACGCGAATCGGTTTGAGCTTGTCTATTTCTTCACCTACACACGTATCCGGTTTTCGCAGTACTACTGATCATCCTGTCACTTACTGCTGCCTATGTTGCTGCGATAGACGTTCCTATGACCCACAGCGGGATCGAACGCATCTCCACGAAATTGCCCGGATGTAAAGTCGGCTATATCGACGCGTTTCAGATCCAGGATCTGTCCCTGAAATCTTGATGCCCCTTGCTCGCCAACGCACGCGTTTCCCAGGACATGAACGACTGATATAACAAGCAAATGCTAGACAGATGCTTACTACTGTATAAGCGAAGCTTGACATCCGTTCAACGCAGACTTAGCCTGAAATGCCTACTCGAACAAGGCTGGTCCGGCCTGGCCGGCTCTAGGATGGGACATCCAGAATACCATGCTTGACTGAACCTGCGACGAACTCTATAAAGACGCCGCCCGGATCATTGGGTAATCTACAAGGTTTAGATGGCTGGCCGGGCAGGGAGAATGCCCATACCGGGGTATTCACGCCTGAAAAGCGATCCTTCGCTTAGGCGTAGAAATTTGACAATTGGGTCTGATGACGTCCGACGACCACGTCGACGGCCAGTTCTGGTGACATGAGAAGTATAAGGTAGGGACCATGCCTCGCCATCGAAGACGCTGTGCGCAAGGCCACACTCAATCATTGCCTCTGACATTCTTTCACTTTCTCTTCTCACTCTTGCAGAGCTACCCTCCTTGAGATCCATTCACTCTTTGCCTCCTGTTAGACACATACTAGCACTACCACAAAACGTTAGGCAGCATGCGTTCAACAGCCGTTCTCATTGCCGCTGTAGTCGGCACAGCCCTCGCCGCACAGCAGCCATACAGCCAATGTAAGTGGATTCCTCTCCCCAGCTTTCGCACCAAACATGCTGACAATCCAGGTGGTGGCCAAAACTTCTCTGGCGATAAGACTTGCGTATCTGGCTGGACTTGCGTCTACTCCAACCCATACTATTCGCAGTGCCTGCAGTCAACGGGCGGCAACGGCGGCGGTTCCGGAGGCGGTAACAGCGGTGCTACTACAGCTCGGCCGACCACAACGACCACGCGGGCCGGCACGTCCCCAACACCTTCCTCGGGCGGCGGCAGTGGCGGCAGCAGTGGCTCAGGAACCACCTACAAATCCTCCTTCACCTTTTACGGCGCCGGCGACACATTCGGCAGCCCGAACTGCAACACCAACACCGCTGCCTGTGGCTTCTACACCAACCCCGGCTTCTCCGCCGCGGCATCGCAGAACATCTTCGGCGTTGGACCAGGTGCAGTACGTCCCTTACCTCCTTTCCACCCCCCGTCCCCAAACGAACTCATCTGACCTCAACTCAACAGGGCGCGGGACCAGCATGCGGCACCTGCTGGCGCCTGACCGCGCAGACCGACAGCAGCGGCAACAAGCTCTCCAACGCAGGCAACTCGATCGTTGTGATGGTCAACAATCTGTGTCCCGCTCAGGGCAATCCACTGTGCGCCCAGAATGGGTTAACCGGTACGAACCAGTATGGCGCGAACGTGAACTTTGATTTGTGTCGGGATAGTGGTGCTAGTGCCGCGATGTTTGGGAATAGTGGTGTGGGATTGGCGTTGGGGACGGCACAGCAGGTCAGCTGTAGTTCGTACAGTGGGACGGTTGTGCACTAAGGTCGCCATTGTTGTAACATTTTCGGTTATTGGTTTGGGGTGATGGCTCTGGGGTGCAGATTTCGCTTCTGACGTTCCTTACGACTTTACGGTAGCTTCCGCAAGCAATGCCCAAATTCGAATCTTCCCTTTCACCTGACGGTGTCATAACCAACATCTGCAGGCCGGAACCTCAATTGCCTGCTCCCCGCTTTCCGGGCCTTTCGACTCATGTGCGCTGCCTGCCAGGTCCAACGTCATCAATCATATGAGTCTTCTGGGGGTTCAGAAGTTGACATTCGCCACATTGCAGCACTAGCCAGCGAAGCCTCATTCCTTCACCTGCTTCACGTGAGTGAGAGTGTTTTCCGAAGATCACCGTTATGACGAGTCTTCTTTGATCATCCAGTTTCCGTCACGAGGTCTCTTCGAGACAGGCTTACCACCACAAGATGTCATCACCGAAAGTCACCATTTCGACCGAAATACAGGCAAAAGCCAAGCAAGCACTTCGAGACCTAGGTTACCAGCGACCAGAACTTGGCTACTCTCCGATTCAGGCCAAGCAAAAGATCTGCTTCCGAGGTGACTGGGAGAAGGGCATCTTCCATTGGGTGGTCGCAGTCGGCGAAGACCGAACATGGTATGACAGACAGTCAAATATCATCGATGAAGATCTTTATGATCCGAACGACGAACATATCAGAGCTAAGAAGAAGCCTCACTATCTCTATGCTGTCTCGCAACACCCTTCGAATTCCACGGCCGGTTTCAAGATAGTGGAAGAGAAGTTCTTCACCAAGGTCCCGAAATGGGCTGTTGGAGATGTCTTCAAGATGCAGGTCAAGCGAGTAGACTTCTACGCCAGTGGGTTCGATGATGCTGTATGGGTCAAGATAGATGGTCTCCGGCTTGGACACGAACATTGGAGTGGGTGGGAGTATCATTTCGAGAATGCACCAGCAGATCGTTGGTTGGGAGAGAGTGATTTGAGGTACGAACTGGACTGCGAAGGACCCGGCGGTCAAAATTCGAAAAGATGGCCGACCGGAGACAGTGATGGAGAGCTACGAGGCGCCACGAGTGATTCAGGAGGTAGTCTTTGAGCTGGCTCTGGCCAGTCTATTCTGCACAGCAACGACAACTATTACCAACGTGGCGGCCGCTGGAGGTTGCGCAAAAGGGAAACTCGACGGCACTGGACAGCGGCAGCATCAAAAGACGCCACGTATCATTCAGGGACACAGATGTGTTCGTCGATCATCGAATAAATTCGTTACATTGTAGAAGAGGGACTTTGGTCGGCACTTTCGCTTTTGACATCGCACTGACGACGGTTATGGCTGTACTTTTTAGTGTCACTCAAAGATGATGAGAACCAGCTGACAGAGATACTGAGCCCTCTGCCTAGCTGGTCGACCACTATAACTCTACTTCAAAGTGATGGTTCTCTTGTAAGACGCCGGATCAGAGGGACCTTACGCGAGACCGGGTTACTAGCGTGACGTCTTGAGGTGTCGCCGGATGACAGGTGACGCTACTCGGACCGGTAGACTAGCCAATGCGGATTTTATGCCTTTTTAGCTTGACAAGAGATCTCCTCAACTCTCGTTCTTCTGCTCCTACTTCGTGCTTGAATTCATCGAACATTGGTCCGCAACACCTACGACCAGTTCGGTGCCTCGTACCGTCTAGTTCGGTATTCGAGTAGTCGGGCACTTATTTATCGTGCACAATGGATCCGCCTCGAAGGAGTTCTTACATCACGTCGCGCTGCGTGCCAGACGCTGCCATGGTTGAGCCGATGCCTTGCGAAGCTGGAAATGCCGTTGATCTTCAGAGGAAATATGAGCGACCTTGAGTGATATAGACGCCAATGACTCGCGCTCAAGCATGGAAGCCTCTTCAAACATCGCGATAGCGACCCGAACTGATCGATCTTCCCGCCGTCTTACAGTCGTGTGAAGCATAGAGGGATGGACTCTGATGAGACTGTGATCAAAGACCGCTAGGGACTATATTGCAATCAAAGGCTGAGAGGGCCTCAGAAGCCAAAGAGTTCTGCAGCACCCGAGGTCCCGACGGTGCTATTGCCACTCCAACTATGCAGCAGCGTCCGGTTCTCGTTGGGATAGAGTATGCTCTTAGGGAGGCTGGTGGGGGTGAAAATTGAGACGGCCGTTGCTCCGCGGTGCCACTGGACACTAAATCAACATCAAGAGCCACTGCTTTTGTCAGGTGAGAGTGAGCGTTACCAGCGTGACCGATTTCGAGCTCTTGGCACCACATCGCGCAAAGATGTCTACTCCACTTTCATATTGTTGGGCAACCATCTTCTCGATCGTTTGCGACCTCTCATTGTCCCTTCGACACTCATACCCAGCAGTACTTCGTGGCGACTGTCGCGTGCGAAAGGTAAGCCAAGACCTGTGTCCCTCTCGTCCGGACAATGCACTTATCATTCAAGGCGTAGGTCTGCACTGAGACTGCGAGCTCCTGGCAACCGCGCGACAAACACAATGGCTGAAGACAAATGGGTTGTCGACCCAATCGTTTTCACACTCATCGACACAATCAAGGCCCTCGATATCCAGTCGAAGGACAATGGAAGCCCTCCTGCTAGCTCTGTCAAGATGCTCGCGAAGAAAAAGCTCGAGCTGCTGGACCTACCAAACGAGATCTTACGACGCATCTTCACCGATTTATACGATGGCCAAGAAGTGCGATTCAACGTCGGACTTGGAAAACACTATTGTATCGGCGACAAGCGCGACGAGCTTCTGATCCAGCGGCCTCGCGAATGGAGTCCCGAATGGGCCCCGAACCTGCGACTGGTATCATCCACTGTCAAGACTCTGGCTTCCCCAATCCTCGCCGACAGTGCGACTCTGCACATCTCACGAGGTCAAATGGCAGACGAACCGACACCTCTGGAGCTGGCGCCACTGTGTCCAGCGTTCATGACCTCTCGACTCAAGACTGTTCGCGTCATGGACTTCGACGCCGCGTTTTTCATGTATCCGATCGAGGAGGTTGATGCTGGCGGGCTGCCGAGTCTGACGACCCTCGCGTTTGGGCCTTTCGACCTTGCGGAAACTCTGAAGATGGTCGCTACGGGTCTCTATGTCCTGAAATACGATCACGAAGACTACATCGAGATGATTCGGGCGCACAGTCCCTACCTTGACGAGGCCGACCGGCTTACCGCCTTCGACACAGATGATCCCCAGGGAAGTATGCGAGATTTTGCCGAGGGTCTTCTTCCTTGGTTCGGTGATGCGGAGCATTACCGTGGAATGGTGCGTATGTTCTCGATGTGCTACTGGCAGACACACCGTGCGAAACATACAAATCTCCTCCCTACTACGATTGTCGAGGTCACTTTGAAAGATAAGTCGCGGAAGACTGTGGTAAGATGGCATCGCCCTACATCAATCTATCGGACTAGCTGACCACCGATAGGTTGCACGCGTCATGTGGGCCGACGGTATGGCCGAGCCGGACGTGCGATATGATGAGGAAGCTATGACTGAGCACAAAAACAGCCGATTCTTAGGCCTCATCCGGCCCATGAGAACCTGGGCAGATGTGCTTAACGCATTCTGAACCGAGTACTTGCGGAGATCAGGAACTCGGGAATCATCTGTCCGTTACTACGACAGCTTGAGCACACGCGAAACAGCTCGCATTCTGTGCAGGAACGGCGAGGGTTCCGTGCTCACGGACGCTCTCAAACAGGCTTCATACAGAAGCTTCTTGGGGATCCGACATGGCGAGAATGAGCTGCTCGCGTGCGCTCATCGAAATTGCACGAAGAATACGTAGAATAAAGCACGTGCTTGCCTTAAATCTCATCAGGTCTACTCGTTTCGCACGACAAGAAACAAATGATCATTCAGTATCCCGAGGTCTCGGAGCTCCCTCCTCCATTGTATTGATGCCTATGTCGCCAATCGACTCTCGCAAATCCCACTCGTCATGATTGGCGTACACCGCTAGAAAGTCGTGGCCCCAGAATCATTTGAGCCGAGTGGGAAGTTTCCAAGTCAGAGGATGCCCATGCCCTCTCTGCAGTCCATCTATCACAGTCTCATAGCTTGAGTCCGATGCAGTTTCCGATGCAGTTTCCTCACCACTGTTGTCTTCCAAGTATTGGTTCTCCTTAGACTCATATGCAGCCTCGGTTCTACGAGGATCATGTTGCGTTTGAGACGTGCTAGGAGTCTGGCTAGTACCAAGATCGTGCGCATGATTTGTGATGAGGTTTTGCTGGAACGGTTCTGTATGCCAAGTTGACGGCAGAAGTATCGAGCTGACGAACATGGTATCACACTGACTCGTCCGGCTGTATTCTGCGACAATCCTGTCCCAAAGCGCGAAGAAGTTGCCCTTGTGCCGTGTCTGTCCGCTTTGGCCTGTTGGCGACGCCCATGCTAGCCAGGGTATGGGTAGTTTCTCCATTAACTGACCTTTCCGACGCTTGAAATCCGGAGACTGGGAGAGGTGCTGGCGATCATCATCATTCTCGACTTTTAGCGATTCGAATCCGTTCCATATACTGTCGCGGATCGTATAGTGATCTAATGGTGTTCGTTGTTGATGACTTGTCGTGTCGCCCGGTCTCATATTGTTTTGGCGCATCAATGAGACATTAATGTTCTGTCTTGCAGACAGGCGAAGTCTGTCGCGGCGAGAGCGTCGGATTGTGATAAGAAAGCAGTTCTCGGGCAAGTCGTCCTGCGAACGGACGTGTATGTGCTGGCAATTGATGCAGGCTCGTCGATCACCGCCCTGAGACACAGGTTTTCCCTTGGTCCATGATCGTTGGCGGGCAAAAGGCCGGCGAAGACTAGTCGGCGTGGTAGCTGTTGGAGTGTTCATTGTGGGACTGTGCGAGTTGTACCATGTAGAGGAGTGATGCAAGGCAGACTGGAGAGACGGGGCAAGATGTATAGATCGTCGGTACAGTATATGCGCCGGCTCCTGGAATCAGGTAGCGAAGCAGATCGGTCGTCGGATGCTTTCCGGCCGTGCCTGTGGTAAGCAAATCTGAGAAATTTGAGAGTTACTACCCAAAAGGTCACGGTACCCTTATAAGCATTGTTTGAGAAGTGCGAGCAGGTTTGCTTGATAGGGTCAGCTGACCAACCAATCAGGGCTATAAGTGAACCTGCCGAGTGGGGTCTGAGCAAGATTTGGTTGGAGGACTAATCTGAGGACTCGCAGATGCTGCTCGTGTCGTAGGAACGTACGAAGCTTCTTGTTGCATCACAAACCGCCGTCGCAAAAGCGCAAGGTTGAAGACTGGACGACGTCCGGGTCGGGCTTGCTGGACACACATTGTCGCAGTTGCTGAATACGTACCAACGGTTCTTGGCGGTGCCAGGCCGCGCCACGCTCGTGGAATCACCATGAACACGGGAAATTCTCCACAACATGATCGGTTGTATATCTTACATGCATAGAGCAATCCAGACCTGGCTCTACTTCTTGTTTCGTCGCTTGCCCTGGTTGCGAGGCCGTCCTTCGATGATAAGGGGATTCATCGTGCCCTTCCGTTTCGTCCTGTACCCAGATTTGGTCTGAGTGGGTTAGATATGAACCAGTCACTGGAAGATTCATTTGAGGACTCACTGGGATACCCCAAGGAGACACAGGGTCACGATTACCCTTGCCCTTTCCACGGCCTCCACCGTGAGGATGATCGACGGCGTTCATAGCCACACCTCGTACAGTCGGACGGAAGCCTAGCCATCGCTTCCTACCCGCCTTGCCCAGCTGTTCGTCCTTGTGATTGGCGTTTGACGCAACGCCGATGGTGGCGACGGCGTCCTTGTCAACGTGTCGGATCTCGCCGCTGTTTAGCTTTACAGTGACGAACTTGGCTGCCTTCTCATAACGCGCAAGCTGCTCTGCGCTGAAGACTGAGAGCTGCAACTCTGAGGCGTCGCTTGAGCCACCCTGCTCACCGATGAACTTCAACATCTCTTTCTGCACTTCGTCCTCGCCTTTGGCGAGGAGAATGCCGTATGTGCCAGCGCTTCTACACATCTTTCCGATAGAATTCTTGTCGGGTGCGATATTGAAGACTGGTGTTCCAACTGGTATCAGACCCAGAGGCAGACAATTGCCACGATGAGCAGTCCTTGATGCGACAAGACCTCGATCAAGCTCGCCGCCTTCGGGGTTCAGAAGGTCTTCCGTCAGACCCGACCGATAGCTTTGCACGACGTCGCCTGCTCGCATGCCCTCTGCCGCCACAATATAGCTGACCTTGTCCGTGTCCAAATTTCGGATCAGTGCGATATGTGCTGATCGACCAGGATCGTGCTCAATCCGCTCGACGATGGATTTGCCTGGCTCATCGCGTGCGAAATCAACGCGCCGCAAGCGTCTCTTGTGTCCTCCTCCTCGGTGTCTGACCACGACCCGACCTGTATGGTTTCGCCCTCCTTTTGATTGCCCTTTCTTCGGTATGGTCAGTGCGTATACTGGTCTGCCGCGCCATAGATGCTCGCTCTTGGTCCGGATAAGGTGACGAATACCCGGAGTTCGTGGTTTATATCGTTGCAGCTCTGACTCGCCGAAGACAGGGTACAGGCGATCTGGTGGGATTGGCTTCTCCCCTGATATGACAGGGTTATAGGCCTGAGCAGGGGCGACGACTTCGACCGCTGTTGCATAGGTCCTGCTCAGTAGAGGTAGTCCACGTTTGCAACCAGTGCATGCTCGCAGAGCTATCCGTGGTTGTAGCATCGTGCTGTGCTAGGACAGGATGTGTCGGCGCTCCGGCCACTCCAGCCCCTTAAGATCAGTTGTCGACGATGTCGCCCTTTGCAACGACTCGAAACCTTGGAAGTATGTGAGGTGAACGTACAAATGTACAATGATGATCTCAATGAGGAATCGCAGCTCAACTCGAATGAAAAAGTGAGCGAATCGGAGTAGACGAGGCTGCATGTTTAGCCTTGCTTCAGGCAACATGCAAGGCAACCACCAGCACTAGATGCGTTTCGACCCCCTGACTCTTGCCCAAGATTCTCAGGCACTGGAATACTTGGACATGCAGGTGGTCAGGTGCTCTTGACACGCACTAGCGTCCGAGGGGAACTGCTGCATCAAAATGAGAGCTGTCCAACACGATGTCGTCCTACGTAGGTCAACGGTTGGCGTTCGACGGCAATCTATGCACAGTGCGATATGTCGGGCCTCTGGACAATACTCAAGGACTTTGGCTCGGTGTCGAATGGGACGATACTACCAGAGGTAAACATGATGGGACATACAAAGGCCAACGGATATTCTCGTGTCTATCATCTGCACCCACTCCGGCCTCGTTCATTCGTCCTACCAGAACGCCGGACAAGACCAGGACAGTCTTGGAGGCAATCAAGTACAAGTATGATCAGGCAACGCACGAGAACGGCAGCCTGAAAGGGCCAGGCTATCAGATCATCGAGATCTCCAAGAAGAAGGTCGAGGAGGTTGGCTTTGACAAGATCACTCAGCAGATGTCAAAGCTCGAAAACCTCAAGATCGCACTGATTGACCAACTCGGCGTTGCTGGCCTGCAGACACCTGACGCTGTCACAGATGACCTGAATGATGCTCAACAACGGTTGTCCAGTACATGTCCAAACATAAGCGAGCTTGATCTTGGCTGGAATCTGTTCGAATCGTGGCAAGACATCATCGATGCCTGTGCACCACTGAGAAGTCTACGTGTCCTGAAATGCGATGGACTGCGTCTAAGATCACTCGAGAGTACCCAACAGCTACCCAGCATCACAGAGCTGCATCTTAACAGTTGTCTATTGAGACCAGTAGATGTCCTAGCTCTCCTGAGTGTTGGAGACAAACCAGTGTTCCCAAACCTGAGGACTCTATGGATCTCGCACAACGAATTGGACTCATTCAACGTGCCAGCAAGAAGACTTGTCTTCAGCTCCGTTACCAATCTAGTTGTCGAGAACAACAACTTTGACAACCTCGCTGACGTGGCTAGAATATGCCAACACTTTCCCAATGTCGAGTCCCTGTCAGTCCAGGACAACCTCATCTCCTCAACGGGAAGCAAGACACTACTATCATCCACGCTCAAATCCCTCAATCTAGCATCAAACAACATCACAGACTTCAGCTTCATTGACAGCCTCCCATCACTCTTCCCAGTTCTCACGTCCCTACGAATATCCCGAAACCCATTATACGAGAGACTCGCCACCGCCCCACCGTCGACAACCTCCGATCCAGTCCCAGACCGCCCCGGCAGAGCCTCCGATGCACCGTTTTACCTCATCCTAGCCCGCATCCCAAACCTACAGACCCTCAACTACACCACCATCACGCCACGAGACCGCGAGGAGGGCGAGATCTACTACCTGTCGCTCGCCGACAAGGACATCCGCGCTACACACCCAGGCAAAGCACCCGAAACCAAGCGTGAACACATCACGGACTTTGAGACCAAATACCCGTTGTACAACCACCTCGCTGCGAGTTACGACCGTCCGAATCTCCTGACCATCTCATCCTCTGATCCAGCCTTCCTCAACGCGCCAAAACCCACGGACATCAACTTCGCCGCAAAAGCCTCCCTCGCTGCTCGGCTCGTAACTGCAACTTTCTATATTGCTTCTGATAACGAGCAAACACTGACCCGCCCCCTCCCAACGACCCTCCCAGTCTACACCCTCAAGTCCCTCCTGGCGCGGCACTTCCACCTCCCACCCCTCCAATTCACGCTGGTCTACGAGTCCGCCGACGAGCTGGATCCCGAGCAGGTGACTACCACCAAACTGTGGGGCAGTTCGAAGGAGGCGTGGGTTGAGTGGGGGGTCTGGGATGTTGATGTTGGGCCTCCGAGATCATCAGGAGAGAATGCTGGTAAAAGTGGTGAGGGTGATAGGGGACATGAGGGAAATGAGGAAGAAAGGGAGGATGAAGGGGAGTGGATTGAAAACGGCAAGGTGCTGCTACGAGGAGGCACGAGGTGGCGGAGGAGGGAGGTTGAGATTGTGGATGGGTGGAGGGGTTGGGGGGATTATTTGGATGGTGTTGGCGGTGGGTCAGAGGTGAGGGTGAGGGTTGAGCCGTTTGACAGAGCCTCACAATGACACCTGGACCTGGAAAGAGAGAGCAAGATCAGGAATTTGCGATGTTGGAGAGTTGAAAGGTATGCATTTACGTGCATTAGATATTTCCAATGAAGTTTTGTACAGATCTCGAGGTAGGGTGAAGCGAGATTGTGTCGCAGCTTGGTAATACATGCTCCAACCACACCACATGTTCTCCAGTGAACATTGAAGAGAACTGAAGGATGTCGAGTCTCGATCTCGAATCATTCACCTTCAGGATTCAGATCGAACTTCACTTTCTCCTTCCGCAAATCCATCACCTCATACGCTCTCCCTTTCTCCTGCCCACGACCTATTCGCTCCGCACGGGCAGCCTCCTCAGCATCGAGCTCAAATCTGCGCATACGTGACGCTATCCGGTCGTCGAGGACCATATCTGCATTCCATATCCGTTCGGAGTCGTCGCCTTCTTTGGGCGGTTTCCTGACGGATTTATGCCAGGTCGCTTCGTCTTCGATGAGGGCAGAGGCCTGCTCGGAGGGTTGTGATGGTGATGGCGGGATTTCGGTGCCGATGCTCTGGGCACGAGAAAGGTCGTCCCTGGGAGTAAATGGCGAGCTGCTATCGTTGCTACCGTAGGGACGTGATGCGGCGAGGACGATGGCGGCAGTGTCCCGGCCTATTCGGTCGGCGAGAGTGCGCTGGTTGAGGAAGTTCCACATGCGGATGGGTGTTCGTAGGAGGCCGAGTAGGTGGTACTGGTGGATGGGTTGTGATGGTTCGAAGACGGCGGGTGTGGCTGCTGCGAGGGTTGCTGAGCTGTAGGATGAGGTTGGGAGGTAGGATGATGGTGGATAGGCTTTCTTTTTCTCTTCTGGCTTCTCTTCTGGCTTCTCTTCTGGTTTCTCTTCTGCAAATTTTTCGTCTGTAGGCGTTTCTTTTGCAAGCTGGCCCTCGCTCGGCTTGTCCGAGGGTATTGGCTCAATGAGAGTAGGCTGGCCATCGGCTACTTCACCAATATTGTGTACGAGTGGTAGTTCTGCTGATGTTGAAGGTGGTGCAATGGGCTCATTGATCGGTCCGAGCCAGCCTTCGTGCAGTCCGCGCACGTATTCTTTCCAGGTGTGTCGCCCCAGCACCAAGTCTCCACGCGGGCCGGGCTCGTTGGTGATGTTCAGGTTTTCCCTGATGCCCTCCACTAATTTCACGCCGTCCGTATCTTCCTCCTTATCGTTGGCTTCACCACTTTTACGCCGTATCCGCCGGATCTGCTCTGCTGTGCCATACCTGACGTCTCCCTCTTTCCGGCCTTCGATCACATCATAGTCCATAGCCGCAGCAACGAGAACGGGCTTAACGTATTGCTTAAAGAAGTCTCGCGAGGTGCGTATGCCGTCTCCGGGCGGTGCTGATATGAAGACTGTTATCCTCCGTGCCATCTGATTTGTTGGCAGCGGCTGCTGAGCTATATGCGCAACGAGGTCACACCACTTCTTCTGTGCCTTCTTCTTTTCTCGCCGATCGTACATTACTGCGGCAGTCCATGTTCCAGTGACGGTCAGGAAGATCATCCAATTCCGAGACGGCAGCTTCCACTTGAGGTTCGGCAGTCCTGCTCAACGTCAGTCTTCCGCGGGCAAGATGCGAATACTCCTACGAACCCATCATCTTGAACGCTGGATTGCGCTCCGCAGCCTTGGGAGCAGCGTTCGCTGCAGCTGCTGGAGCGCTCCCATCTGGCTTCGGAGCTTCTGCCATCGCTGACAGACCACAGGATGATGGCCAATGGGCTCAGGACCAGACTCGATGCTACCTGCCCATTGCCTTCAGCAAGGAAGTTACGCACGTGCTGTGTCTAGCATGCATGACCGGGACTAAACGTGAATCTCATGGACTTTTTTTTGGAGAGCAAAGCAGCATGCCCGGAGGAAACCATCTATCTCCGGCTGTCCTCTCATTTTTGGACCATTGTTTTCCAACATCCCTCACTTCCACACACTCATATTTTCATACTGACATCAGGTTGACTCAATAGCAGAGCCTCATGACGCCTCTTGGTGAGCTCAGAACAGTTCGGACTCGTTCTTGGGGACGGTAGGCCAGACTGGATGCCCAAGGGAGTAGCCGCAGAGTTGTTCTAGTCTGTGACAGACCCTAGCATCTCCAGAACTCCGGCACAGCCAATCGCAAATAGGCGCTCCCTGAGCAGAAGAGCAACACCGATTGTCTTCTTCGGCTTCTGATTCCCGGCTAAGTTGCAGGTGCATTGCTGTACGGCGGGCAGGTGCAGGTACATCCCGCCGCTATCGATACCTGGAGTATCTGTATGCACCTTCCTGCGCTAAACTTCACACCAGACAGCGCACCCTTTTTCACCGCAAGAACATCGGTCAGGTCCAAAGCTGCCTCTTCAAGCCCCTTGGATCCTGTCAACACGTCCGGTGCTGTCATTCGACATAAGTCCATCCAATCGCTTGATCTCCTCGCCTGAAACGACTGGAATTCTGCCCGAACAGTGATCCATTCCTCCCCCTCATCGAAAGAGCACGACACGAGGATAAAATGTAAGTCACACTCTCCTTTCTGCCAAATGCTATCTTTATCATGCCTCGTACTGCTCGGCCGTTGGCGCTTGTTCTGACAGCTGATAGCAGCCGTCTCTCGTGAAACACTCGTCGAGGACAGTGCACCCACTGTTAGGGCTCTCCCTGGCGATCCCCCTCTCGAAATGGATCACAACGACAATCGGCTACGGCTGAATTTCCAGTTCGACAATCAGCACAACTTTGACACCTCTAACAACCGCAACTACCCTACCACGCCCTCCACCTTCCCACAGCCCATCTATGGTACACAAGCACAAGACTACGGCGGAGCCATGATGTCTCCGAACCCTGCTGCACAACCAGGCTATTTTCCCACTCAGCAATATCAGCAGCAGCAATATAGCCAACCGCAAACCCAGCAATATGGATATCAGCAGAATTTGCAACAGCCTCAGCAGGCCTACCAGATGAACGCGAGGGGGTATCCTCAGACCGACGGCACGACTCAGATGATACAGCAGTTCTCCAACCAAGACTTGGGCTCAGCACCACGACAAGGCACGAACCGAACTCCTTCACCAGCCAACGCTCAGCGACCTCGAACGGCAGGTGACGCTCGACAGCCTCCTCAACAGTACCAACCCCATCTTGCTCCACCAATGCCTCGAACCGCATCCAAGCCTGAAGAGGAAGAGAAGCAAGACCCGCGGAAGTATTCAGACAATGTCATACGGAGAGGTACTGCTGCGAAACAACTAGTGAACTGGTTCTTTCAAGAAAACATCGATCGTGCAAAGGACCGGAACAGCAGAGCCAGGGAGCTTGATGCGATCTTGAAAGATCCCAGCGTGCCTGACGTGGAGAAGATCCGGCAGCAGAACCTACTGCTACAAAAGGAGGCCCGCTTCCTGCGGTTCTTGCGGACCAGAGAAACGGCTTCAAACTTCACTACCATCAAAGTCATCGGGAAGGGCGCTTTCGGTGAGGTGAAACTGGTACAGCGGAAGACCGATGGCAAGATCTATGCTCTGAAGTCTCTTATCAAGTCGGAAATGTTCAAGAAGGATCAGCTTGCCCACGTCCGAGCAGAAAGAGACATCCTGGCAGACTCGAAAGACAACCCATGGCTAGTCAAGATGCATGCTTCCTTCCAGGACAATGCTTTCTTGTACATGCTGATGGAATTCTTACCAGGTGGCGATCTCATGACCATGCTTATCAAGTACGAGATTTTCTCCGAGGACATCACGCGTTTCTACATGGCCGAGATTGTCATGGCGATCGAAGCTGTACACAAGCTGGGTTTCTTCCACCGAGACATCAAGCCAGACAACATCCTGCTAGATCGAGGTGGCCACATAAAGCTGACAGATTTCGGTCTGTCGACAGGTGGAAGGAAACAACACGAGAACTCCTACTACCAGGCCTTGATGCGAGCCGGTGGTGCCGATAAAGCTGGAAATAGAAATTCCATGGCTTTGAACGAGCAGATAAACCTGACTGTGAGCAATCGGGGTCTGGTCAACACCTGGAGGAAGTCAAGACGGCAGATGGCATACTCTACAGTGGGTACGCCAGACTATATCGCTCCTGAGATCTTTTTGAACCAGGGCTACACTTATCTTTGCGACTGGTGGTCGGTCGGTGCCATCATGTTTGAGTGTCTGGTCGGATGGCCGCCTTTCTGCGCAGAGGATACGCACGATACCTACCGCAAGATTGTCAATTGGCGAGAGTCGCTCTACTTCCCAGACGAGCTTACTCTCGGCCGAGATGCAGAAGACATGATTCGACAGTAAGTACCAGTAACCTTGCATGCCCACCTCTACTAATCAATACAGATTCCTGTGTGACGCAAACGACCGACTAGGCAAAGACGGCGGCATCTACGACGGCGCAAACTCGATCAAGCGACATCCCTTCTTCCGAGGTGTGGTCTGGGAGAAGCTGCGAAGTATCCGTGCACCATTCGAACCCAAGCTGTCCTCTAATATTGACGTGTCATACTTCCCGATCGACGAGATCCCACAAGAGGACAACAGCGCTGTTCACCGAGCTCAAGCGAAGCAGGTTGCTCCGGAGCAGGACGCCGAGATGAGCTTACCTTTCATTGGGTACACGTATAAAGCTTTCAATGCATTCCAGACCACCTAAGCGAGACGATCCACCTGTGTTCTTACGACAATGTCAAGCCTGTTTTGGAGCATTTGTTGGCGTCGTTGATGGAAAATGATCTGCATGGCCACGAACGCAATCAACGAAAATGAAATAGAAGGGCACGAGAGGCATTTGGCTGGTCGTATTGGAAGCAAGTAAGCAAGCATGGACTGGTGCGATGTGATATGAGAAGTAGGCATGCGATATGCAAGCAGGGCATGATCAGTGCATATGGCGTGTCATGTTGAAGGTTGTTAGAAGTACTGAGGATTTCGTAGCGAGAACAAGTCCCGCGAGCTCGTGCTGGGAAAGATCTTCGAGCCCATAGCGAGGAGCTGCTAGCGATAGTCATGCATCGATCAAGTTTCGGAGACTGGAATGTCGGTTTTTTCGAGCACGTGTTTCGTTGTTTCGGTCTACATCAAGGCGTTGCTCGATCTAAACTTTGGCTCAGCTCTGCTTGCCACCGTCGCCCTGTCTTTCTTGGGATTGTATGCATTGACCTGTCCCGATTCATCAGTTGACTGAACCAAAGACAGATGAGAGGAGCAGAAAGACTCACGTTTCCAAAAGGCCACCCACTAGTCCGCTTGTCCGCGCCCGTCCTCTTTGACACATGTGCTGCAGTGCCGGAAAAGACGGTCATGAAGATGCCCATGCTTGAGAGGATGCCGTTGCCGAGGAGGCCGAGGAGGAGGCCTGTCGTGTTAGGAGTGGAGGAGCCGAGGGCACTTGTTCTTTTGGTGGAGTCTGTCAGCTCGTGGGAAGGGAAGGGTTGGGAACGACAGGGTACGAGGTATGGATTGGGATGGAGAAGGAGTATAGAGGAGTGGTTGGGGAGGGCAAGATGTGCATTGGAATGGCAGGTGCAGAGGACGGGTCAGTGGGAAGGAAGGTGATGGGAGCGGCAGGGGCATCAGGGGACGAACAATGTAGTGTAGTGGGCGTAGATATAAACGAAACTCGCAACATGCGTGAATGTCAGAGCATACGGCGGCTGCTGTTGTTGTTGTGGTGAGGTCCCTGACGATGCGGCTGGCGGCAGGAGGGAGAACACGATGATGCTGAGTTGCGCAATGGCGAGAAGGCGGGCGAAGTAGATCTCTGTAATGGTCGCGACGTGGGCGTCGGTCTCGGCCAGGAGAGTGATAATGAGCTTGGGAGTGAAGAGGAGCGGGAGTGCTTGTAGGCTAAGCCAGGCGGTCGAGGCTAGGGTGTAGATTGTGGGGGTGTCCATTTTGGGATGACCTTGGGCGGTTTGCTGGTTTTGTGTGAGAGGGCTGGGCGGCAGATAGAGGTATGAGGAGGACAGATGGGTACTGCAATGCGTTGGTTAGAGGATGAAGTGGATTGCTAGGACGAGTGTATCGAATAGGGTGATTCAACTTGGGATGGAAAGAGCCAGCAAGGCAACCGGTGACGTCAGAAAAGGCAAAGGATGGAAGGCACGCGCATCGGTACAGTGTCCCAACAGCACACTGAGCACGCATCACCTTCCATCAGAGTGAACTATGTTCGACGAAGACCCTACCAGCAAAGTGCGCGACCCTAGTGGACAGAATGCATCACCGTTCGAGATTAGGCGAGAAATGCCAAATTGAAAGCAAGTGTGCAGAAGCTCACTACGACACTCTACCCGCAGTGCCACCTAATGGCAGAAGGAGAAGACAACTCTTCCGACGCCGCTTGCTTGTATGAGTGACAGATGACTGTACCTCAAGTTCTGACAATGGAGGTGAGGCCGGCTTTGATGGCTGGTCAATAGCTGCTCGGTGGAAAGCGAGGTCGGGAGAAGCACTGCCAAAAGCCCGCTCAAACTCTGCAGCGCCAGCTACAGTTCGGATCAGAAAGCAGCGACCACGACAACAATGTGTTGAAAACGGCAGCGGTCTGAAAGGATGTTACGAAATCCAAAGCGTTGGTCCTCGTCGACGACGATGATTTCGCTGTACTTGGTAAGAGACGCTTGGCTTCGCGAGCCACCCTCCGCTGGGGAGTGTTCGAGTGCGCCATCGCGAAGCATGAGCATCACTAATGTCTGAAGCCCACTTACGTAGCTGCTTTGCCCACGTGCGCACTACGAGTCGTGTATCTACACAGCCACCATTTGCCAAGAGATCGTCCGGGTGCTGAGAGCGGCAAAGTCTTGAATGCTTGATACACTCCACCAAGACTCTCGGCATAGACCTCATTTGGTTTTCCTCCCCTTGATGGCGCACAACAAGACTCCGCTACTCTGCTCATGACGGCCATCTTGCAGCAGATCCCCTCTAAGCCACTGAGTCTGCCTTGCTTCTCAGAGCTCTTCCTGGCTGAGGTACTATTCTGGTTGTACTCAGCATTCTCACCCTTGCGCCTCCGCCGTTCTGTCGAATCAGGACAGCTGGTGACTACGAGAGACCTGGTGTTTCAGAGTTGTGCAAGACTAAGGCTGAAGTGTAGCTCGCGATGGTTCTCGTGCAGGTAGATATGGCCTTTAGGGCTGGTGCCCAGTAAGTCTTGGTCGACTACACCGCCCACCATGAACTCAGTCTCCAACGATTGGCTTCGGACAAGCCAGGCACATCGCAGCTTGGCCGGAGGAGTTGTCCGGCCAAGAATCTCCGTCACCTTCTCTCAAAACACAGGATGTCCTGCTGTGTTGAAGGTGGATGATAACTTAGCGTTCGGTGAACAACAATCTCATTGCCTGATGCGCGAACAGATATGTCGCGCAACACATCAACACCATCAACACAACTCCAGTACAGGTTCGCGCTTCTCCTCTTGTTCGGACTGGCGCACCACATACGCGCACAGCAGATACAATTTGTGAATGTGCCAGGAACAGTCACAGAGGGCACAGACGATATAGCAATATCGTGGACTGGAGGCACCCCCGGTACAGTACGATATTGCATGAAATGATTCTTGCACGAATACTGATCCTTTGTAGCCTTGGTCTGCACAATTGGTCCAGGATGGTCGTGTCATTGATGGCGAATTGCAAGACAGTGGTGGTCAGATTGTCGGTCCGCCCAAGAAAGACGATGTGCTGACTGTACGCTGTCAGATGATGGCCTTGGCGCTCAAACCTTTGGTTGGGATGTGGAGCTCGAGAATACACCTGGCGGGTGGTACAGCCTACGCATAATACAAGGAACTCAGACCGTGGACTCGGCGCCCATCAACGTTATCGACGAGAACGGCGTCGGCGGAACCAGTCCGCCGCCTGGATCAACACCTACATCGAGTCCTCCCCCCAACTCTGCTCCTCCCAGCGCGTCGGCCGTGTCAACACCCGCTGACGCTGTTGGTTCTGTTTCGGCATCGATCGCTGCTACAGCAAGCACTCTTGTCACCACAGTCATCTCAGGCACGACCGTTACCGCTGTCCCAGACGCAGCCGCGCCAACCGGTGGTAACAACACAACCGATACGGCAACTGAAACGAACACTGGCGGCGGTGGCGGTCTGTCGGGCGGCGCTATAGCGGGTATTGTGATCGGTGTGCTTGGTTTCCTAGGGCTGATCGGCCTACTCGTGTTCTGTTTCGTTCGACGTCTTCGCCGCAGCAGAGCGTCGCATCACCACCCCACGAATGAAAAGGGTACGAGAGGCCCAACCTTTTTGACACCGGCAGCAGTCTCGGGGGTCGCACGCTCTGGCAGCGACACGCACAAAAGCGATATCAAGCCCGAGCTACAAGCTGACAACAAACCTCTCCACCACCAGCCCGGCATGCACGAGATGTCCAATCCCAATGCTACGGCTGCGCCAGCCAGTGCTCCATATGAGATGTACTCGCCTGATGGTAGCCGGGCGGATGGCGATAGAAGGGTCTCTGAGCTATCTCATTCAACCAGCGATGCTTCGAGGACAGTGTACTCCGGCGGAAATAGGTCGAGTGTTGGCGAGATGATGGGCAGTCCTGTTGATGGCAGCCACGGGAGCGTCAGTCCACAAATGGGCCAGACGGTGCCGAGGAAGGCTGTTGGCGGAGGACAAGGTGGACAACCGGCGACGATCCATGAGATGGGTTGATGTATCGTATCAAAGACAGCATTGCCAGATTCTGCGCCCTCCTTGCGGTCTGCTCTTGCGTCGTGGCTGCTTCTTTCCGCAGGATGGTGTTGGGCTGTCAAAAGGATCGATTACGAACAGCGGTCTCGTCTTGCGCCTCCCTATGTGGACATCAATTGTGCCTGCCAACTACTCGAAACATTCAAGACCTAAAGGTGCTCACCTGTTTTGACCAGGCGGATCGATGATTCGTGGTACCTTCCTTGGCAAGCAGCACCGCATTGGCCCGGCGCACAAAGTTCATGAAGTCACGATCTGCTAGCGTCTGGGCGCTCCTTCATGATGCGCTCGATGCGGTCTTGCCACCTCTTATCCGCCATGCGCGTGCTTGTTTGGTGCATCCTCACACGACAGCGTTTGAGCCTCATATCCACAGCCGGACAACGGAGTGTCGATGATGGCTTAGCTGCTTCGCCGTGGCGTTCACTTTGGGACGATCAAGGTGAGAGGCGGTCTTGGTGAGACGTCATGGACTACCAACACATCTCTGGACGCTCATATAAGCCTCTCGCGCTGGGTTCTCGTGCTCATGTACACTGGCACTGATCAATTGCAACAACACAGCCGGCATCTCATACTAGGAAACACGCTTCGTACTTCCTCCACCCATCAAAATGCGCTACACACTTCCCTTCGTCACCCTCCTCTCCCTCGCCCTAGCCCAAGGCACAGACAACGCTCTCTCAGGTCTCGCCTCCGGCGTCGCAAACAGCGTCACCGGTCCTGCTACCGAGATCGCCTCATCTCTCTCATCGGCGAGCTCAGCTGCCGAGTCCGCCGCGTCAAGTGTTGAGTCATCGCTGTCGGATATCAGCTCTACCCTTTCATCGGTGCTGTCCTCCATCACTGACTCTGTGCCGTCCGAAAGTGAGACCGGTGCGCTGAACAGCGCGTCTCAGAGTGCGGAATCGGCAGCTAGCAGTGTCAGTGAGGCTGCAAGCAGTGTGACCGCGGCAGCTAGTGGTGGGGGTGCTGCAATGGTGACTGCCGCTCCGGGACTTGTGGGCGCAGGATTGTTGGGGTTGGCTGCGTTGTTGTGAGCCTTGGGCTACATGTTTGAAACCGAGGCGATGGGTCGGGAACACCTGTAGCCATAGAAAGTGTAGGACAATTGAAGGCACTCCTGGGAAAGGTGGGGCCGAAAGCTTAGAAGCACGGCTACGATCCCTACGTATCTAGGTGCTCGTCATGTTGAACAACATTCGACTTCAACTTCATCAACGTTTAGATAAGATAACATCGTGTCCTTAAGACAATCAAAGGCACCGTCTGCACATTCCATACTGACAAGATGAACAGCGCGTCAAACAGTGCCGCAAGATGCCGTGAGTCGCGAAGCACACTCACACGGGCTTGACCTCTTGCATTTTTCCAGTGACCTTCTTCTACACCAACTTAGGAACTCAGAATTATACTGCTCGGGCTGTTCATATATGGCTTTCTTTTCACGAGCTGTGGGACCGGTGATCCACGTATCATCTACCCTGTCTTTCTAACATGCCGGACTGCAACTCCTCCCTCCAAGGACCAATGAGCAATGCCCGCGATACGTGTCTTGTGCAGTCTACGCCTGACTATTCAGGAAGCGAGATGTGCTACTGCGCACTGATGGCCAGTCACCTGCAAGACTGGCAGGCGCTGCTGGCGATGCACAAGCTCGTGGCAAGAAGCTTGTGCACGACCTTATCTCCCCTACATCGGTCACATATCATCCATGTCGCCAACCTTTCCCGACTCACAAACAAAGCAGGTTGAGCAACAGTTCCAAGTTCTCCTCGCAAAGCCACGATCATGTTCTCGGACCGCCTGATTCCACTCATCTTCAGCTTAGACAGCATTCTGGCACTACTGCTTGGCCTGCTATCCTACGGCATCCTCCTCGCGATCTACCGCCTCACCCTCCATCCCCTCGCCAAATTCCCCGGCCCCAAACTCGCCGCCGCAACCCGCTGGTACGAGTTCTACCACGATGTCGCGCCCAACAAGGGCTGCTACCTCTGGAAAATCGAAGCCATGCACGCCCGCTACGGCCCCATCGTCCGCGTCACGCCCGACGAACTCCACATCAAAGACTCGTCCTACTTCGACGAGATCTACGCTCCAGCGGGTGGGCGGAAACGCGAGAAGTGGGCTCCCCAACTTGTCATCTTGCCGGCGTCGATGAACGCGACTGCGAGTCATGAGGTACATAGAATGAAGCGCAGCGCGTTGGCTTCGTTCTTTTCGAAGCAGAAGGTCGTGAAGATGGAGCCGTTGATCACGGGCAAGATTGAGCATTTGGCTGAGCGGCTTGAAGCGATAGTGGGGACGGGGGAGGTAGTGAGGCTGGATGCTACTTATCATGCGCTGACTACGGATATTATCAGTGAGTATTGTTTCGGAGAGTCGTATATCCAGCTGGCGGAGCCGGATTTTGCGGTTGTGTGGAAGGAGACGCTGAGGATTGGGGCTTCTACGCAGGGGTTTTTGCGGCAGTTTCCGTTCATTGCTCCGTGGTTGAAGAGGATACCTGGGTCGGTGCTTGCGTATCTGGATGAGGGGGCCGCTATGATGGCGACCTTCACGAAGAATGTCGCTAATGATGCCCGCCGCGCCATGGCTGAGAATGAGGCTGGCAAGCGCTCTGATGGAACGCTGTTTCAGGCAATGCTCGACAATGCGCCTCCGCAGGTCAAGACTCTGGACTGGCTTGAAGACGAAGCGGCGGCTGTGGTCGGTGCAGGTGGCGAGACCACGGGCAAGGCGTTGGCCATTGCGACATTTCATCTGCTTGATGATCCGGCTAAGCTAAAGAAATTGAGGGACGAGATAGCCTCTGTCAACCTAGGACCGAACGGCCTCCCGCGCTTGCAGGATCTGGAGAGCCTGCCATACCTGACGGGATGCTGTCGTGAAGGTGTCCGCTTGATGTATGGCCTGACGTCGAGGATGGGGAGAGTCGCTCCTGACGAAGCTATGGTCTACAAGCAGTATACCATCCCACCGAACACGCCGATTAGCCAGTCCACCTACTTTGTTCATACCGACCCAGCGATCTTTCCAGACCCGCATAGCTTCGATCCGGAGAGGTGGATCAAGGCTGAGCAGGGTGGCATTAACAATGATCTGATGCGGTTTCTTGTCTCGTTTGTTAGGGGTCCTCGGATCTGTATCGGGATGAAGTATGTATTTCTGCTGCCTTCGCGTCCCGGCCTCGCAATGCTGACAGAAGAGTAGTCTTGCGTGGGCGGAGCTATATCTCACCATGGCAATCATATTGTCGCGATTCGATATGGAGCTATTCGAGACAGACATCGACGATGTCGCCGTCAAGTACGATTTCATGCTTATGTCGGCGAAGCTCGATTCGAAGGGTGTGAGAGCCAAGGTGAAGAACAGTATTTGACTGCTGCTCGTGACTGGATTGATGTTTTCGTGGAATAGTCGACATCGACGTGTCATTTTGAGCATACGACACAAACTAGGGCGAATACGAAGACTCGATATATAGGATGCCAATAGACCCCTCGTTCATATCTTGCAGATTCTGAGGACGTGACTGGCAAGTGACTCCGACATAGTTTCGGCGAGTTCGTTAACCAGAAGAGGACAATTGAAAAACGTCGCATACATTACTGCTCGGCCAGGTGACTTTACCTTTCTCTCCCGGGGTACCCATAGCAGATTGGCTCCCAGTACAACTTCAGTGTTGACTTGAGTTCTGAGCGTGACCATTTGAGGCACATCTGACTGCTCTGGGGGACTGCATCGGATTCAAAGTCCTCGGGATGATGCCACCTCTTGGATGTGCAGCGCCTCCGGTGCTCCGTCTATGGCCTTCAACATCTGGGATTCATCTCCGTAACCCATCAGCTGAGCCTCTTGTCTTGGGACCATTAGATGCGCATGGCTAAAAGCAGCACAGTTCGTTAGACCAGTCGCTTGTGTAGCAACTTGGACTCGGTTGTACGTATCGGGATGGCGATTCCATGGTTGGTAGAACGCAAAGAAAAGACACAACAGAGCTGGCAAGTTGATTCTAGACATGCGCGAAGTGTGTCGCATGTGATATCGATAGGGCTGTCGCAGGCTGCATTCAGTCTGAGCCAGTCACGCAGGGAGCCAAAGTCGTCGTCTTCTATTGAATACCTCAGCTCGTCTGCCAGCAGCGCCGTATTGCAAGAAAGGCCAAGAGGCATCATATCAGTGTCCAGATGTGGTTCCGTCAGCTCTGGGCTGCGTGTGGTCTGATCGTGGTAGGCCTGGAAGAGGAACAATTCACGAGTCTCCCATGTAGCACGGGAGTATCCGGACCGTCGACTGTAGGCGACTAGACAATCAGGAATGTATCTGGTCGATGCGAAGGCACTGTGCACTCTTGGCTCTTCACTCCGGAGATCGACTGTATGATCACTGTGCTCAATGACGAATCGCGGAGGATTCGTGTGCGAGATCCGCCAGCGGTCAGGCAGCTTCGTTCGCGAGGGCCTTCTCCAGAGCATACTATGTGCCCATCGAAGATGTGTAGCCCTCAGCCAGGACCGAGATGCCAGTGAGAGCTGGAGCTCTTCGCGGTCAGCTCGCGTCCACGTTTTCCCACGATCGTCCAGAAACATCCGCAGGTCATCGCCGGCGATCGCACATGGACATAGGTCGTCGGGCCCGTAGGCAAAGAGAAGTAGTGATCGTGTATAAGCAACAAAGCCTGGGAGATCGTTGTGATAGTATAGACTCCGACAAATGTGTTTCACGCCTGGCTCGCCAGCGAGCCTGAGTATCTTGAAGATCAGTTCTCATGGAAGGTCAAGCAGTCGGAATGTCTGGTCTGCATACACGGGTGGAGAAGTCGGTTTCACAGATGTAGAAGTCATGTTGCAAGAATGAGTGTAAGACGATGTCTCTTAGATAAGGAGGAGCAGTCAGTCTGGGTAGAAGGAGCGGATGGGAAAGAAATTGATCATAAATGCTAGCTCTTGCTTGCAGTAGTGTTCCCATCAGTGGTCGTCAAGGCATTGCTGCTTGCTCGCCAGTGAGCCTACGCGGCGGCACCTGTCTGCTGTCAAAGCTGCATAAGTACATGCGAGCTGATGCTCCGAGCACTCGTTGACAGCTCCGATGTTTGAGAGAGCCCCAGATGCCGACCGCTGACAGAAAGTCGGTCGACGCCATCCATGGATGTTACTTGTCATGTAAGTGTTGCCTATCTTGTGAACGCCCAGCCTGGCCGTTGACGACGACGACTCGACGAGACTACCACTGCAGCTATCTACAGACGCTAGATAGTAGGTAGGAACAGTACATTCCAACATGGGTGGCCTGAAGACGTCTCGAATGCGGAAATTCTACGAAATCGAGAAATTAGTAATCCACCAGAAGCGATCCCGTCGCTTGTCGGACCCTGAAGCCCTGAGAAAGCCCCGAATTCTGATGCCTGGAGCACCCTGTCGCTTTGCCGTTGATGGCCCCCACCGTCGTCGTCCTCTATCGTCGCCTGTATAGTTGAGATTCGGCTGGGGTTACTTCTTGTAAAGCGACACTGTTCACTTTGCACTGACCTTGCACTCCCAGGCACTTAGGATAGCGTCCTCCGCCGGGGCATGGCCAGATCATCCCTCCAGCTAAGCGCATCTCCAGAAAGACCCGGTGCAGTGACGCCAGACTCGACATCATGACACAGGAAGAATCGCCAGATAGCGACGACTATTTCAATCAATCCTACGAAACAGAGGGCAACAATGTTACACAGCAAGCCGAATTACAGACGGGGCCGACGAACGAAAACGTGCCTCGACCGAAGCGCATTGCATGTATACTGTGCAGGAAGCGGAAACTGAAATGCGACGGAACCCGGCCCAAGTGCAATACATGCTCGAGGTTAGGACATACATGCGAGTACAATGAGGAGCGGAAGAAGTCAGGGCCCAAACGCGGCTATGTCAAACTCCTCGAGGCACGCCTCAAGCAAGTTGAGAACATGCTCGAGACGAAAGATGCACCTACCAACACCGCACCCGTACCGGCAGCAGACCCAGACAAGATCATGATGCCTGCAGATCAGCTACCGGCAACCACATCAATGCCCATGAACCTCGACCCTTCGTTCACCGACCCGACTATGGTCAATGGATCGCCTGCTTTTGATTTCAACACTGGCGACGACTTCCCTTGGGAGCTGATCGGACTGGGACTTGAAGAAGCATTGCCAACTCAGGATGCGATCGATGAGTTGAACGAGATCTACTTCGCGAAGATCCACCCATCACTTCCCATGATCCACCGGGCTCGGTTCCTACTCTCGATGGATCTAGCACCGCATATGCGGCCGGCGGTTTGTTTGAGATATGCTATGTGGTGCCACGCTGCCGCCATAACCTCAAAATACGAAGGACTAGCCGAGCATTTCTACCAGCGGGCGAGAAAATATGCAGAACAGGACGAAATGAAAGGCCATGGCGAGAGCATAATCACGCTTGGTCACTGTCAAGCATGGACACTCCTAGCATGCTATGAATTCAGGCAAATATACTTTCCGCGAGCCTGGATGAGCATCGGTCGGGCATCTCGCCTCGCTCTGATGATGGGTCTGCATCGGCAAGACAGAGTCGGCTTGGACGTGAAACAGACACTTCCTCCTCCTCGGGACTGGACCGACCGAGAAGAGAGGCGGCGTACTTTCTGGATGGCTTACTGTCAAGATCGATACGCCAGCATCGGCACCGGATGGCCTATGGTCATCGACGAGCAGGATATCCTCACCAATCTCCCAGCAAGCGAGGAGGCTTTCAACAGGGGCAATCCAGAGCAGACTGGACAGCTGGCCGACATTCTGGCTGGCTTGGGCACGGATACCATTTCGTCTTTCAGCGGAGTCATTCTACTCGCAACACTATACGGTCGGAACCTGACTCATCTGCACCGACCAAGTGATGACGATAATGACCATGACCTCAACGGCGCTTTCTGGAAACGGCATCGTCAGCTCGATAACATAATATTGAACATCTCGCTGTCAATGCCATCCGCACTTCGACTACCGGCTGCTTTGTCAGATGCCAATGCAGTATTCTGCAATATGAATATCCACACGGCTGCGATATGTTTACATCAAGCTGCAATTTTCAAAGCCGATAAGCATAAACTACCGGCACAGATCAGCGCCGAGTCGAAACGAAGATGCATCGTCGCTGCAGATCAGGTGACCAACATCATGAAAATGATCTGCCACCTGGATCTATCACTCATGAATCCCTTCCTGGCGTTCTGCCTTTACGTTGCCGCGAGAGTATTTGTGCAATACCTGAAGTCGCGAAAAGAGGATCAGACAGTCATGTCAGCCCTCAATTTTCTCCTCTCAGCTATGCACGCTCTCAAGCAGAAGAACCCCTTGACCGAGTCATTTCTGGTGCAACTTGACGTTGATCTCGAAGGAAGCGGCCTGCAGATACAGAACCAGCCACAATGGAAGTTCGGACAGAGACCGCCTGGAGAGATACCCGCCGGCACCGATGGCGTGCACTGCATACCGCTCATGGAGATCCGCGAGTCACAGAGTCTAGGCCAGGCGGATCGAGCACATGGCGGTGGTGCTACTACGAACGCATGGACTCGGGCTTTGGGTCCAGAGTCCGCAAAGACACCCCATGGGCCGTGGCCTGTGGATTCAAATAGTGTCCCTACCTCTGATTATCCGAACTTATATGGGGCCGCCAACCAAACGCCGCCGAATGATTGTATACAAGACCGGAAGATGGACCACCTGCACCCCGTACGCGAGTTTAGTGGTGACGATCTGCTCTACGGACAGATGCGAGTGAATAGTCAGGGCCCGTCACCCGGGAACAGCAACAGCAACAGTAATGGTGGGAGTGGCAGTACCCATTCCGGGCAGCCTACGCCGTCGACTTCTTCGCTGCCTTACAATGAGTTTAGTCCGCCTAATATAGCAAGTACTGCTCAGTACGATACGAATCAGGTACCATACACTGGAGTGGGCGGTGGACAACAGCAATCGTGGGAGATGCCTTCGAGGGGTCCGAATGATATATCGAGTAAAGGCATGCCGCAGCAGCAGCAGGAGCAGGTCAGCCAGGGTACAGAATTCAACTTTGGCCGGACGGGTATGACGCCTGGAGCGACGGGGATGACGCCAGGGTCGGAGGCGATGTGGCAGAATAGTGGTAATGCGGATTGGATGTATGGGTGGGGCAATTGATTGACGAGTCTTCGATGTTTGCGTTATGAGCGAGGAAGTGCTGGAGTGCATCCGTTGGTCGATACCTATCATCGGGCATGGACAGCCGGCTCAGGTACGCGCCAGGAATTTATGGCCATGCTACGAGAATCTCAACACTTTGAACTACGAGACTGTCTTCACGGACGGACGTGCCCTTGTCGAGTGAACGCGATTGACTGCCTGATATCATTGTATGCCAAGTGTGCCGTGTTAAGGTGAGCCATACATGATGCTCTGCAGCAGCAACAATGGAGGCCATTGGCTTGGTGGGACAGGTACCTTGCAGTGACAGATCGCCTCCATCGCCGCAGCATGCACTTCATTGTGGGGGATCATGCAGCCCTGTTGACGCCCATGATCCTCGGATAGTGCTCGAACCTGGGAGAAGCATGCTACTGCTTAACATAGTATGTTCAGTCTGTCCTGAGAGACCTTCGCCGCGACGTCTTGCCCAAGATTCTGGTTCCCCAAGCTGAAATTTTGTCACCGCCGGCAGAACTGTGGTAGAATTCGTGGAAGGGGCACTGGAAATCTTGGGGAAGCCTGTTGTCAGCAACAAGTGTAAGCGCGTGGGCTGTGGCTGTGACCGTTACTTTGGGGTGGAAAAAATATTTTGGCTCTTACGTCGCTTGCTCGGCCTCGATCATCGATTTCCACAAGAAATTCCAAAGCTGCCGCAGCTCACTCTTGCCCTCGTGTGATCAATTCACACCTGCTCTTCACCTTCCACACATAAGTCTGCCTTCGCAAAAGGCACAAATACCACTCGCACCTGCCTGGCGACAGGTCTGCAGAACTTTTTGAGTGCATCGACGATACCCCGCCTCACAATTTTTGCCTTCTTGTGCATCGGCAGCCACGAGTCCGGATCGCACATTGCAACCTCAGTCAAAATTCGCTCACCTTCAGACCAACTTCTCTTCCTCTCTCGTCAAAGCAGATCAACGAGCCTGGCGCATCGCAAGACTCCGAGCTGTAAAGCCGCCAATCTGAACGCATCTCGGTTCTCTTTCAATCCTCTATGAGCCCTACGGATTTGCTACGCTTCCTGTCCAAGCCTGCAAAGTAAGTGTTTGCCTCTGCCTCTCTGCGCCATGACCGCAGGCTGACACTGTTTGCTCCTACAGGCCCAGATAACACCTGCTACGTGCGAAATACCTCCAAGACTATTCGAGACTCGACCCTAAGCCGTCCAAAGCGGTGATACTGTTGGTTGACGAGACTCAATCGACTGGACCAGACATATTGCCCACGATTCCACCCCTACAGGAGATCTTCTTCCTCCTCTCCTCCACCCGACCTCCCTAACACGACCCCTGAAAAGGTCAAGAGACAACGGATCCACGCATTGCTGCTGGCACCAGCCAGCCTCCACTTCAACCACAGATAGTGGGCCTTCTCTACTCAGGCGGACACCGCATTGTTCGTCTGGGCGGCAGATTGTGCTTCACCGGTCACTTGTGATCAGTGTCTAGATCAATCAACACCGTCTCTGCTCGTTCCTCTGTTGCTGGTGTTCGGCCAACCCGGAAAGAGGATATGGTAAATATCGGCATTCCCAACAACCATATTGCGTCTCCAACAGGATTCCTTGGGACGCCATCTCTGACTAGGTCTATCAATCACCATGTTGCTGAGGATCTGGACTCTACCAATGCCTTTGAAGGGCCCGAAAAGTTGCTAGAGGTGTGGTTTGCACCGTCACCGAATGACCTGACCAACTGTCGCCATGCGAACGGTCTCAAGGCCGTGCCCAAGGACGTGTGGACGCCTATGCTCGATCGTGTCAACTGCAAGGTGCTGTCCACAATCGAATCCGACGATGTGGATGCCTACCTCCTCTCCGAGTCGAGCATGTTCGTCTTTCCTCACAAGCTCATTTTGAAGACCTGCGGCACTACGACTTTGCTCCATGGGCTGGGTATGATTCTGGAGATTGCGGCGACTTATGGCGGCTTTCCAACCAACACAGCACCTCCAGGTCAGGGGATTAAGGACGCCGCTGCACCGTACCGCGTCTTCTACAGCCGCAAGAACTTCTTGTATCCTGACCGCCAGGTGGGTCCACATCGCAGTTGGCGAGACGAAGTGCGCCATCTCGACAAGCTCTTCCAGGGCGGCAGCGCGTATATGATCGGCAAGGTCAATGGCGAGCACTGGTTCCTGTACTTGACGGAGCCTTTCACCATGTTGACGCCTCCGGCTAGTCCGCAGAGCATCGAGATGCCTGAGACTGAAACGAAGATCCTCGACTTGCCGTCTTCGATGGTTTCTGATCGTGCCGCCAAGGTGTGCGAGGGAGAAGACGAGACGTTGGAGGTGCTGATGACCGACCTGGACGAAGAGAACGCCAAGCAGTTTTACCTCAACGAAGCGAGTGCGGTCGCTGAAGAGAGGTACAGCGGCGTTCAAGTCCATAAGGACGATACTATGGACGTTTTCGGGGACGTTGCGGACGTGAACGACAAAGGCTATCCTGCAGAGCTCACTACCGAAGGACATGCTTTGGGCACGGTCGTATCAGACAACTGTGGCCTCTCCAATATTTATCCCAAGGACAAGTACCCCGGCTCACGCATCGATGCGTATCTGTTCACTCCTTGTGGGTTCTCTGCAAATGGGGTCATCCCAGCTCCTGTAGGTGAGAAGGGTACGCACTACTTTACGGTCCACGTCACTCCTGAGCCAATCTGCTCTTACGCTTCATTCGAGACCAACGTGCCGTGTGGGCAGAGCGGACGCGACACCCAAGAGATCGTCCAGAATGCTGTTGACATCTTCAAACCTGGCCGGTTCTCCGTCACTCTATTTGAGGCCAAGACTAACTACGAGGAGCTCGATACTGCCGATGATGCCACACTGCTCAAGATTAGGGCTCTTGAGCGTCAGACCAAGATGCGCAGCGGCAAGATGGACGCCATCAAGGGCTATCGTCGCATCGATCGCATCGTTCATGATCTTGATGGGTACGACTTGGTGTTCCGCTACTACGAACGTAATGACTGGAAAGGAGGGGCGCCTCGCATTGGCGAGACTCTGTTTTAGAGGTACCGACTCGCAGTGATGAACGGGGTCAGGGTGGTGTTGGTGCTTGTGCTGGCAATGTCGTTCATTTACATATCCATAGCCGGCAGACGAGGCCGTGAATAACGATACCGAAGGCTGATACGCTGGTCTCATGCTAAACAGTCATGACCTAGCTGAGCTCTGCTTCATATAAGTATCATAATGGTCAGCTTCTAATACTCATGAGCACTCTTCCATGGCGGCAACAAGATACACAAGCACCCCTTCCCTCTTCTTGCTGTTTGAGCGAAGTGTCGATGCGATCGCCTCTCCTTATACACGTTGGTCTGAATCTTGCCTGAAGCAAGGCAACTGCCAGGCGAAATTGGGGGAACCTTACCGCTGGCGTCGCCTGAATTGCGCCTAACCGGTTATTGCCGCTTAGGCTTTGGATCTCCAAATGATTCATTCGCGCTCCTTCGCTACTTCCTCGATGGATATCGAGTTTCTTCGAACTCATTGACATTTTCAGAACATCTTTACATTTATTGCGAAGTGCAGGTTAAGATGTTACGTACGACTCGATGCTTGTGAGGCTCCACTAGACCTCGCGCGGCCGCAACATTCACACCCTCACTTACGCCTCTGCGACTCAAACCTCTCATATTCGTAACGCAACACGATCATATTAGCCTACACCGCACCACCCAACCCACCCACCACACGCACACCACAATGGCATTCTCCCCGCCCCCGCCAACAACCTCCTCCCTCCCGAACCCCAGAAAGCGCCCTTCGATATCGAGCACCGTCTCCGCGGCCGCAGCCAAACGCGCCAAATTACACCCTCTGCGCCAAACGTCCTTCCCTGCCGCACACCTCAACTCATCCGCCATCGACACCAGTCGCTCCGCCGTCTCCGCTAGATCAGAGACAGGGAGTGCGTTCAGCGGTACTTCGTCGAGACTACCCGGTGGCGGCAGCAGTGTAAGAGGCCGAGGCCGCCCTAAGAAGGACAAAGGCCGTATACCTTCGCGGGAGCCGGAGGGTACGGCCTCGCAGACCGGCGGAGCAGGCAGACCACGCCCAACCGGCCGCGGCCGAACCGCGAAATCAGTAATCAGCGCCCCCGCGGGTGAGGATGGCGACGACGAACCCAATGAGGATGAAGACGATTCAGACGAAGAAGGGTCCGACGAAGAAAACGCCCTCGCCCTGGCCGACGAGTTCGAAGCCGACAAACTCCTCCAACAACGAGAACGCCGCCTTGCATCGACCCTCACAGGTGATGCAGAGCAGCGCTATGAAGCGTTCAGAGGGATGAGGCTGGAGAAGAAGACCGTCAGGAGGATCGTGAATGCCGTGATGAGCCAGAGCGCGAATGAGAAGGTCGTGTTGAGTATCGGGTTCACGGGGAAACTGTTCTTGGGTGGGATCGTGGAGGGGGCGCGGGTCGTTCAACAGGAGTTCGCGCAGGCGTACGACGAGACCCGGGAAGTGGAGAAAGCGTGGAGGGTAGAGGAGTTGGCGCGCCTGAAGGCGGTCATTGAGCGGGAGAAAGAGGAAGGCGCAGTACGCATGGACGACAAGGACAGAGTGCTCGTTACCAGAGATATCGCGCGGCTAGAGAGGGAGGTGAAGGAGTATATCCCGAATCCGCATCGGGGAGGGTTACTGCCGGATCATTTGAGGGAGGCGTTGAGGCGGTATAGGGCTACGGGAGAGGGCTTTTCGGCGGGGGATCAGGGGAGTGCGCATGCGCTGTTGGGCGTTCCGGGGGGTTGTGTGAGGAGGTTGGGTGGGAGGCGGTTGTTTCGGTAATTAATGGTTGGTTGGGAGAGCAGGCGCGCTGTCCCAATCGACTACGTATGAGCCCTTGGCGGCGCTGCCATAGCAGCGGATGGATGAGTGGACGTCAAGCGCACGCACAGAAGATCAAGAAGCAGCATGCTATCGACAGCCCTGGCTACCAGTACGCTCCATGGAAGCCATCTGAGAGGAAGCGACGCATGACTATACTATCAAGGAAGCGTAAAGCTGCGCAGGTGTCATTGTGCTAGGTCTCCGGGTCCAAATTGACAAGCGCCTAGTTCACTATCTTTTCACTATCTTCTCGGAAGAGCTAGCTACCACGCCTGTTTGCGCTGCTCACAGTCAGTCTGATCATAATGATGCCCAGACCAACTCGATCTTCTCATCCATAACCTTCGAGTTGAACCACTCCAGAATCTCGATCTTGTCGTGACAGCACGTTGCGCCATTGAGAACATCGGCCCTCACTGCTGCAGGCACAGCAGCGTACAACTCCCAGGTCGCGAGGTTGCGCGCGATGCACTGTCGCAGACCGAGGCCCCAGGGGATCGCGTCGCGACTCATCTCGTCTGTTGGGTTTAGCCACCGCTCGGGTCTGAATTCGTGTGGATCGGGGAAGGTGGTCGGGTTGAAGTGTAGTTCGAATGGTGTGCAAGACACCTCTGTGCCATCCGGGAAATATGTGCCCTTGAAGGTCCAGCCGCCTCTGGGGACGACGCGCGGGAGACGGGAGGGGTTGGCCATGGATATCCTCAGGCCTTCTCTGATGACGCCGCGGAGGTAGGGCAGGGATTGAATGTCGGTCGTGTCTGGTGGGTGGGTTTTGAGCTCAGAGCACAGGCGAGTGTATGTCTCAGGGTGCTTTGCAAGCATGAACAGAATCGTCGCCAGGTTCATGCCCGTGCTGTCGGTGCCGGCGAACATCAAATCTTTGCACTGCGCCTTGACTTCGCTGACGTTGAAGCCCGCGTCGAGCAATTTTCCTTGGTACGTTGCCTTCCCCTGTTGTTTCTCGGACACAGTCGTATCGACGACTTCCTCCACAAAAGCATCCACAACGCCAATGCTCTCGAAGACCTTCCAGTCCGGATACAGCTTTGACTCCGCCCACGCAAGCCAATTGAATGCCCAGGTGGGCAGATACCAGTAGCGGCCGACGGCGACGAAGCTGTTGACCATCCCACTTGCCGAAAGCTCTTCGTGTCCTTCGCTTTGAGCGTCGTTGGGCTGAGTCAACCCACCGTACTGCTTCCCGAAAAGGTAAGACGATACAACATCCACAGCCAGTGACCGTGCGAGGTCAAGCACATTGACAGGCCGACCTGAACGAGCAGCCGCGCGTATCCGATCTATCCATTGGGTGATGCAGCTGTCGATAACCCCTTGCCCTTGTCGTAGATCAGCGGTACTGAACAGCGCGGCTACTGCTTTCGCCCTCGCTGCTCTCGGAGCGTTGTCTAGCTCCGAGAAGATCGAGGCGTGGCCGTCGATGTCGAAGTTGCGATAGAAGGAGGCTTTGCGGAAGCCGCTTCTGTCTACATAGGTCGTTTGAAGAGCCTCTCCATCCGCAATGTCGACGGAAGATGGACCCGTGCGGACGATAGGACCGTACTTCTGGTGCAGCTTGTGAACGGCGGTACACTCGTCGCCGATCCAGGCGTGGTAGACGAGCCAGAGGGATGACAGGCGCGGCAGGAAGGGGCCTGGGATGCGGGAGAGGGAGTGGGCTGGCGACAGACGGTAGATGGATCTGATAACCAGGTAGAGGAGAGTGAGGAGCGTAGTGGTGTAGGCGGCTTGGAGGAGGATCATGGTGGTGATGGCGACGGGATGGTCAGGTCAAGTTGTATGGCTCACATGATGTCCAGGTATTCGGCCATGATATCGAATTGATTTGAGGTGCAAATTGTGACTCAATTTGGTATCACCTCGAGTTCAAGTTGACGTTGTCATGATGGTGGAGTTCGAGGCAATCGGAGGCGGTTTGTCCTTCCCCGTACCTGATATGATGTAGAGTCGCTGCACCTGCTGTCGGCCGATTCGATCCTTCCGGAAGCATGAATTCGCGAACTACAGTACATTCGCGGCACCTATCGTACCTGCCAATCGAGCAGCTCGGGACATATCCTAGATAATGATAAAGACTCGGTATGGTGACCGACCTGCGCCTATCTCCAGATGGCGGACAAGAGCGTGGTCCATCTCCAACGTGGGATGTCCCAATCTGCCCACCTTAAGATATCGTTGATATAGCCTAAGAAGCCATGTGTGTCTGTCCCGTCTGACGCAGAAAGATTTTACGGCAGTGAAAATTCGCTATGGCGCCCAACGGAACAAATGGCGCGAATGGCGCGAATGGCGCGAATGGCACCACGCCGTCACGCAAGATCGTTGTTGCTGGCGCTCAGCTTGGTCCCATTGACATGACAACACCCAGATCAGATGTGCTTGACCGTTGCTTCAAGTTGATGGACGAGGCAAAATCCAAGAACGTCAAGTTGATTGTCTTCCCAGAGATCGCACTTACCTCGTTTTTCCCACGCCACCTGATCCAAGATCCGGATGAGTTGGAGACATTCTTCGAACAGGAGGTGGAAGGTGACCCGACAAAAGCACTCAACATGAAGCCACTCTTCGACAAAGCCCGAGAGTACGGCATCGATGTCAGCATAGGATACGCTGAATGCGCAGACCCAACCTTGACGCCTCACAAGCACTTCAACACCGCGATCTACTATTCCGCCAAGGCAGACAAGATCGTCGGCAAGTACCGTAAAGTCCACCTACCTGGCACATTCGAGCCATACGAGCGCAAGGACGCCACGAACCAGCTTGAGAAGCGGTACTTCGCGCCAGGCAATCTCGGCTTCAAGGCGTTTCGCGTCCCAGGCCTCGTTGAAAACGCAGCCACCAAGTCCTCCGGCCAGGAAGCCAACAGTGCGGACACTATCGGTCGCGGCGACCCAATCGTCGGCATGATGATTTGCAACGATCGCCGCTGGGCGGAAGCCTGGCGCGCATATGGCCTGCAGGGCGCCGAGCTCGTCCTCGAGGGCTACAACACCACAGGCTGGGCACCCGAGCTGCTGGGAACGAACCCCAAGAATCAGACGAAGGAGCAGGTCAAGGAGGAAGCCATCTTCCACCACAAGCTGTCCGTACAGCATGGCAGCTACACCAACGCTTGCTGGAGCGTTAATGTGGCAAAGTGCGGATTGGAAGATGGGAAGTACCCGTTGATCCCAGGGAGCTGTATTGTAGATCCGGACGGGGCGATTGTAGTTGAGGCGAAGACGGAGGACGATGAGCTGTTTGTGTGGGAATGTGATTTAGATTTGTGTAAACGGGGGAAGGGGAAGGTGTTTGCCTTTGAGAGGCATCGCAGGACGGAGGCTTACGGGATATTGGTTGAGCAGACTGGGGTTAAGGAGCCGGAGCTTTTGTAGGCGGATTGACAGCTTGACGTTCTCGTAGAAGCGTCATCGAACGTTGTTATCCAAGTGTCACCCAGCAGCGACCGCTTTATTTGTCCAAGAATATGGTCAAGGCGAATGCGTGCATGACGAATCGAAAATGTAGACGGCAAGGAGAAACAACCTGTGCATTGTACGGTACGATGTCTCGTGTTCCTGGCAAACCTTCTTTCGGCCCCCTGAAATTGCTGTCTCTGAATCGCATCGAGCTCCGATAAGGCAATCTTGGCATTTATAAATAGCTGCATCATCGTCGCCAACTTCTTGTCCGTTCTTCATTTCTTGCTCCGCGCTCGAGCATATTGCAATATTGGACACGGAGCAGACTGGTGTTGAGACGCACCATCCGGATCGCCCAGTATACAACTACACACTACTCTATAGCCGCCGTTTGTGCTTTCACAACATAGCGCCAGATTTCAAGGTTTGATCGATACAGAAGCCTCGGCTTGCCGAAGAAGTGCAAACGTCCCACAGACTCGGGACGCAACCAAATCTTGAAATGTCAGACCCGCACCCGATGGCTCTTCGCCCAGGCGGCTCGCCGTCACCATCGCCAGACCCGGTCCAGCAGCAACAACATCAGCAGAGCCGCCAATCCTCCGCACAGCAACCCTCCCAGTACGGTGGACAGCCAACAGCATCGACACCTCAGTATGGCGCGGGCGCGCCCTTGAATCGACCACAGAGCAATAACCAACAACCTACCAACTTCAGCACTCGCTTTTCGAGCGCAAATTTCCCGTCACCTGTCGAAGCAGGTTCAGGACAATCTCCCATTTCACCCGCCCCAAATCCATTTGTGGATCACCAACAGAACCACTCCCGCTCTCGTAGCAGCACCGCCGGTCAATCCAGTCAATACAACCAGTACCATCCCAACACCAATACCGATGGGCCGCCACTACAACCTCAACACTCGGGCTATGTCTCCCCCTCCAACGGCGCTGCTCTGCAACCAACCACATCCCGTCCAACCTCCCGCTCGACCATGAACACAACCACCCCATCGCGCCCAACAACCGCAAAGTCTCCCTTCAGCACCCCCATCTCCGCCCCACCTCGATCGCGCCCCGCGCAAATCCTCCTCATCAACCCCAACTCCACACGCAGCATGACCGACAACATGCTCGTGCACGTCCGGCCCTCCCTCCCCGCCAACGTCGAACTCACCGGGTACACGGCGCCCTACCCTTCCCCGCTGGCGATCGAATCCGCTACTGACGCGATCATGTCTACTGAAGCCTGCCTGCGCGACCTCGCTAAGCACGCCGCGCCTAATGGGGAGACGATTCAGAACTTTGACGGGTTGATCGTGGCGTGCTACTCTGCGCATCCGCTGATCGATGCGTTGCGGGAAGCGTATGACGTGCCTGTTATCGGGATCATGGAGGCGAGTCTGTACGTGGCGCGCATGTTGGGTGCGCGGTTCGGGATCGTGAGTACGAGTTTGCGGTCGAAGTTTAAGCAGGAGGACGCCGTGGAGGCGTATGGGTTGTCGCATTTCTACGTTGGGTCGGAGGCCACACAACTTGGTGTGCTAGACCTCGATGCGAAGGGGAGCAGCGCGGGACAGGAAGTGAACAAGCGGGTGGCGCACTGTGCGCGGGCGCTGGCGGCGAGGGGCGCGGATACGATTTTGTTGGGGTGCGCGGGGATGACAGAGGTGATTAGGGCGGCGAAGGATGGAGTCAGGGAGGAGGATGGGCGGAGGACGGTGAATGTCATTGATGGGGTGGAGGCTGCTATTCCAGCTGATGAGTGGACTTGTGGGGATGGCGGTGCCGACGAGTAAGAGAGGGTTGTATAAGGGGGAGAGGGAGGGGCGGCGGATGAGAGGGCAGAACTGGTTGTGAGTGGTTCGGTCATGATAGTGTACTGAAGGGATTACGTGCTTGCTTATGGGCCAGTTGCAGCGGCTGTCGTGCTAGAGCGAATGATGAGTGAGTGCTATGAATGGCGATATGTATAGTCAACAGCAAGCACAGATATTTTGGGACAGACATACACACGCTTACATGAGAATACTGTCAGTGCATGGCCACGAGAGCTTACTGAGACTCTGAGTGAACTAGAGCATGTCGCTGTACGCTGCCTGCGAACCCATGGACTGGGTGTCTTGCCATTACGAAGCAGTCACTGCCTGGAACAAGTCAATGCCAAGACTTTCCATTTTCGGGGTCTTGGCAAAGCAATTCCCATCCCACACGATTCGATATGACCAAAAACAACTCCTACACCATTCTACAACCTCCCTCGACGCCGCACAGCTCCTCGCTGTCGCAAAAAGCAATGAAGAGAGTGGGATTCGAACCCACGCGGGTTGCCCCATGAGAAATCTAGTGAGCTAGGATTTAAGCTGTACGCTTGAGTCCCACTATGAGAGAATGAATCAGTTATGAAGTTCCTGAAGTTGCTTCAGGGGTGAGAGCTCACCGCCATAACCGCTCGGCCATCCTCCCGACCAGGTTGAAGGAATGTGTGTCGATTTCGACGCCATTTCAGGCGCAGATTTGGCGGTCAAAGGTATATATACTACAAAAGCGCTGCCCCCGCAGCTTGCCTAAAATGGCAACTCCAACGGCCTTCGCAATAAGCCGCAAGGGTCCAATTCGAAGACCTTCGGGCATATGTGGGGAGGTGCAAAGGCGCTCTGAATACCGCTGCTACCTGATCAGCTCTCTTGACGACAGTACACGTTGGGGAGCATGCTGAAAGCATAAAGCATGGAGAACGTCACAGCTGAGCACATCCCAGGTTTGCCCGTCTGTGATTGCACGTGTCCCAAACTCCCAGTCATCAAGGAGTCGAGTCAGGACAGTCCTGTACCGGGGACGAAAATTCGGACGAGTGTCCTGTCCCTGGAATGTCCTAGCATGGAATTGACGATCAGTTGTCACTTATTGCCGAAGGCAACAATGCGGCGTTATGACATTGCACCTTGGCAATCAAATTGATAATTACGATGCGAGTCTGGCACCATTGAATGCAGTTGCCACAACCTCGCCACCGTGGAAGTAGAACGAGAAGTTGCGACCAAGAACAAGACCAAATTCGGAAAGGCGCCGTCCAAGCCCGTCTCTCTCCCATCGTACTCTCCCTAACGTAAGCACCGCATTTCAGGCCTTCGTCCTCTTCACATTACCAGCAACGGCTGAGTTCGAGTGCGCATCGTCCTACGAGACCGAGATTCGTATCCAAGCTGCTGCTAGGGGGGCCGCTGTGCTGGAAGAGGCCGTGGGAATGTCGCACACAATGAGTAACTCTACTTCGCCGGCAGCGAACGAGGGACCGCATGATCATAGTCAGGGTCCCCCACGCAAGAAGATGCGGAGTACGTACACGATGAACCTACGTATACATGTGCAATCTAACGGACGCAACAGAGGGGACTAAGAGCTGTCTGGAATGTAGGAGGAGAAAGATCAAGTGTACATTTGAGGTCGGAAGGACCGCCATCTGCAATGAATGCTACGCCCGGGGCTCGACCTGTATCGATCAAGAGCATGGCGACATACAGACATATGCACAGCAGACCGCAGCAGAGCAATCCTCGTACAGCTTGCGAGAGAGAGTGACGCAGCTTGAAGATCTTGTCAAAAATGTCTTGAATCGCCTACCAGAGGGCCAGAATGGGGAGAGCCCAACGATTGACCGCACTCAGGTAGATGCGCAGGCCGCAGAAGTTCTCAAGAGTCTCAAGACTGGCGCCGCACCGACATCTCCGGCAGCAGAGGAGTCGATATACTTGCCAGGAGGCCTTCGAGATGAAGCGCCTGCTTTGTCACTGTTCGACAATGCCGTCATCAGCCGCAAGGACTCAGCGCCAGCCATGTCTCGGTCACAGTACAACAAGTCAAAAACTGTCATCGCAGCACTGAATCAGCTGCTGCCATCTCCGCATGATCTTGATATTATACTGGAGTCTTCGGGAGAGTGGTGGACAATCTGGCGCAAAATGTTCCCACAGATCACGGATCGCAGGTGTGAGACATATAAGCAATCGGTCTCTCATTCGTTGAGATCAGACAAGCCGGCAGAAATCGCGAAGATCATGCTTTGCTTAGCCATCAGCATACACCAGATGCCCAACGGCTTCGACTGGAAACGGCTACAGCTGAAAGATACTCGATCACAATTTATCGAGAAGTATGTCTCGACGGTAAACAAGCTGGTTGTTTGCGACGACGAAATTGCCGCCACGGTCGAAGGTATCGAATGCATGGCTCTTGAGGCGAAGTATCAGGTCAATATGGGCCGCCCTCGGCGAGCCTGGCTTCTCTATACTCGCGCAATCAGCTTCGCCCAACTCCTAGGCTTCCATCGGCTAGCCAATCACCCTGACAAGACGAGCAATGACTACAAACGACAGGTCAGCATCTGGACACACCTGGTTCTTGGCGATCGATTCATGTCACTAGTTCTCGGTCTACCTTACTCAGTGCCTGACGCCTTCTGCACGCCTTACATGCATAACGAAGGCTCCTTAAAAATCAACGATGCAGAAAACTACATCCAACATATGCTGGAGCTTGTGGGTCGCGTAGTCGATCGCAATCAGTCGGTCACTCCGATGGCATATTCGGCCACGCTGGCCCTGGACCGGCAGCTGGATGATCTTGCTGCTGCCCAGGATCCTTCATGGTGGACCACAGAAATGATCCCAGGTCAGCTCGTGGAAGACCACTTCGATCGATTACAAGCACAATTCTTCCATCATCAAGTCAAAGTACTACTTCACATGCCGTTCATGCTACGGCCACATAATGCGCACGACAAGCGGTATCAGTACTCCCACACGCAGGCTTTGGACGGTGCTCGAGGCATGATTCGGTACTACGAAGCTCTGCGGGTGAACACTGCCGTTGGGCCGTACATCTGCAAGTTGCTGGACTTCCAGACGTTCACTGCTGCGATGCTACTCGTTCTCAACTTGTGCGGATATTCCACCCAACATCGGCAACTCGCAACAGCACTACAGCCCGACTTGGAGCAAGATCAGCGCGATTCAGAGTTGATTGATCTGACAATATCTCTGCTTCGCGGCGCTGCAGAAGAGGTCGGCGGCGTTGTAGCTGCACAGTCAGCCCAAGCACTCGAGATGATTGCTCGGGTCCGGCACATGACCCCAGAAATGGCCAAGGCCTGCTCTGCCGAAGAAATGGAACGTGCCACATGCCAGGTATCCATACCATATTTCGGCACAATCACAATCGGTGCAGGCAAGCAGTTCGTCCCCATCAAGCCAGGCACATATCCCAAGCCTAGCGACAAGCCTCCAAGGTCTGCCCCTCCAATGAATCAGAACACTGGCCTCCCAACTCCTCCATCATTGGCTTCCACGAGCTCGACGTTACCGTCGCCAGTGACTTCGAACCTCGACCGAACGAACAGTCTGGCATCCAAGCCACCTGATTGGGCAGGCACAGACTATGTTGCTCCAGGTCTAGGTCAGCCATGGCCCGAAGATGACCCATTTGTGCAATTCGACCCAATGATGGCTTTTCCTCCTGGTGATTGGCCAACCACAAATTCGAGTGGTGAGAGCTCGGGCTTTACGCCGCAGGCATTCACGAACACACCAGACCAGATGGGTATGAGCAGTGCGCAAGGATTTCCCTTCCAGACAGGAGCGTTTCCGTTCAGTACGGGCGGATTCAATGGTAGTATAGAGCTTGATCAGGGCTGGGACTTTTGGGGCGCGGCCCCTGTGATGCAGTAGTGTTGCGAGGCGGGCTGTATCTGGCACCGTATACTAATCTACAATGTGGATCAACTCCATGTGGCATGCCCTTGTAATTACCAGTATAGTGCAAGCGACCAACGTCACCTTAAGCGCATCAGTGGACGTATGAGGCGTCCGAGCCTCGTAAGAGTCGCTACATGTGTTTAACATTGCATGTAAAGCGCAGGGCAAAAGAGGCAGGATGTCAGCCCTAGGTCCCCGACGTCATTTGGGCACCTGGGCAGGCCAGAAACAGATGCACACCCACGCGCATGTCGTGTACCTCCGCTTAGCACACTACCTCGGCATCAAACGTTGCTGAGCTATCCACCAATCGAGATTCATTGTCAAACATGCAGTTGTCGATTGTGTACGCTGACTTGTTCACGACAGGTGCGTCCCAAGGTCGCTTTCTCCACGTCTTTCCAATCTGGAAATCCTCCGCCTTTCAAGGACAAAGCCCGGAGTCCATGTCAAACTCCCTCTAACTCCTGACTTGCCACTCCACCGGCGCGATGTTAGACCAGAGCTTATGTCGTCCCAAGACCCGAGGTCGTACGTAACCAGGTACTGAGTCGTAACAGATGAGTCTCAAGGCAATCATATTCACATACCGTCGCATCTACTTGCTACGAGGTCCCCAGGTCCCGCATCTTGGCAGCAAAAACGGCCGCCTGCCCCGCTCTGACTCGCAAGAAGAAGAGTAGCTGAGACAGAGCGTGGTGGGTGGCGGCTATGGTTAAGGTGCAGGCTACACCGCTGAGACAGGACTTTCGTAAGGCATTGCAGAACTCATACCAGCTTAGGTAGGTATCGTTCGGTCAACTGCACGGCGCAGTCATGCTCCGCGTTGAGCAAACAATTCACGGGTCCCCGAGCTTTACGATGGCGGCCGCCGCAGTTGGAAATCAAGAAGGCTCGTCTCGAAGCTTGTGCTTATTTTTCTAGGCCCTAACCGCACAGCACTCGCGAGGTATAAGTACAATGTGAAAGCTTCCTCGCAACGGACCCCTCGTACCAGAAACCCACTTTGCACTCTGTTCCTCGATTCAAGCACGACCACCCTAACACGCAATCTCACATAAAACGAAAGCACCACTGCCGCTCCCACCCACCCACTCTGATTCCAACACCTACACAGCAACAATGGCAACCTCCCCAAACGAACCCTTCTCCGCCATAATCTGCCATCCCCCGACCTTCACCGCCTCCGGCGTCCCAACACCAAGCTGGAAATTCGCCTCCAAAACCCTCACCCTCCCCCGCAGCCCTGCCCCCAAAGAACTCCAAATCCGCGTCCTCGCCACGGGGATCTGCCACACCGACCTCGTCGTCTCTTCCGCTCCTCCACCGTATGCCAACTATCCCGTCGTTCTGGGCCATGAGGGCGCTGGGATCGTTGAGGCTGTCGGCGAGGGAGTGACTGTGGCGAAGCCAGGCGATAAGGTCTTGTTGAGCTACTCGTATTGTGACGCGTGTGAGTTGTGTAAGTATGGCAAGAGTAAAGCGTGGTGCGAAGAATTCAGTCCACAGAATGTGGCACCGATAGAAGGGATGTTTCAGAATGGCGAGGAGAAGGTTCGGGGGAAGTATTTTGGACAGAGCTCTTTTGCGGCACGGACACTTGTGAACGAGGTCAGTGTGGTAAATGTGAGTCGAATGGTGGAGACGGAGGAGGAGTTGAAGTTATTAGCGCCGCTGGGTTGTGGGATCATGACTGGCGCGGGGAATATGCAGAATGTTCTCAAGGTTGGGGAAAGGGATGTGGTGTTGGTTACGGGACTAGGCGGCGTGGGTCTGGGAGGGGTCATGGCGGCGAAGGCGAGGGGCGCGAAGGCTATTGTCGTGGTCGATCGGGTGAAGTCGAGGCTGGAGTTGGCCAAGGAGTTGGGCGCGACGCATGTGTTGATACGACGGGAATATCGTTGGACGAACTCGCAAAGAAGATCAAGGAGGTGACTGCAGGTTTGAGGATCGCGTACGCGCTAGAGACGTCTGGAGTCACAAAGATCGCGGAACAAGCTGTGCTTGCTGTGGGACATCGAGGACACGTTGCGGTGGTCGGTGTGGCGCCTCCTACGGAATCCGTGTCTTTGCCGAATGCTGAGATGATGAGGAGGTCAAAGACGCTTAGTAACAACGTTCTTGGAGATTCGAATGCGGCGGATATGGTGCCGTTGCTGATTCGGTGGTGGAGGGAGGGGAAGTTACCTCTCGAGAAGCTGGTCAAGTTCTTCAAGGCGGAGGACTTCGAGGCGGTGCTGCATGGCATGCACGATGGTTCGGTGATTAAGCCTGTCCTGGTCTGGTGATTGAGAAAAATCAAGCGGGAGACAAGCAGTCTGATGTTGACGGAAATCCTGGAAAATGATAGACTTCCAGCGTCCGATTGTGTGCTGCTAGCTCGACAGAAAAGTGTTGTTGTTCATGCCGCATTTTTTTCAGACTTCCGTGGCCAGATCCCGTCAGAGGCTATGGGTCATACGAGGACTGATTACAAGGACTGTGATGGGCACTGTCAGGTTTCAGCTGTCTTAAGGCCGACACGCGTGAGGTGGCCTTCGGCTGACAACAAGGCAACGCCTGCCAAAGTCCAGAGAGCGCAAACATGATGGGACCTCGGCAGCACCACTCCTTCCCGGGAAGGTGCTTTATGTCATTTTGCCACCCATCTTGCCTCCGGCTCACAAGTGTAGACATGCGAAACTCAAGTCGACTTGATCTGCTTGACACCTGCCAGTTAGTTGAGTTTTGTCAGTGAGCTTGACTCGCGTTTCATTTGCCGTAGCTGCGACATGATGCGATCTTCACTCCATCCTGCACCTATAGCTTTCCAAAGTAGCTCCTGTTCGCTCTCTGGTGTCCGACTGTGCTCTTGAGGAAGTCGCCGATCGAGGTTTGTTGGGAAAGCGTAGCCCGCAGCGACTGCGTGGACTACTGCCGCAACTTCTGGACTGAGTTCGAAGTCTCCGTCCTCATCCCGATGCATCTTGATGATATATGGTAGTGTCTTCTTAATGATGCCCACTGTATCGATCGATTCCATCGTCCGACCAAATGCTGAGCTGATCTGAAGGAGGTTGGCACTTCGCTGTATATCTGTGGTGTCATTCTTGCCGGCTGCGTGAAACAAGAGGGGATTGAAGAAGACAGCATCGCCCTCCAAGAGAGGTGCTGACACCCAATTCTCGTCAAAATATGTGGCGAAGTCGCGCTGACGGTATGCAAGGAAGCCATCCTCGAGCACCTGAGAGAATGGTAGAAAGCGAGTGGGGCCGCTCTCTGATGGCATATTCGAGTGCGCGATTGCTCCTTGCAGGGTGAGATGCTGACTAGCAATATGCATTGTCTTTGGGAAAGCTCGACTACACGTATCGTTCTGAAATCCAAGATGATAGTCTCGGTGCACGGTTTGAGGCGTGCATCCCGGGTGGACAATGTTGACTTGTGCTGTCACTTGGTACATCGGGCCGAGCCATGATTTACAAACCTTTGCCAACCAAGGATTGGAATAGTATTGCACGAACGATTCAGGGTCTTGTTCGGCATGCTTCTGGAACGAGTTCCAGATTCGGCTGTTATGCCCTTTCGCTGCGAAATGATCGCCCTTGGAGGCCTCCCGCTCGGCGTCGATGATCCTGTCGAAGACCTTGTTCACCTTTCTGATGAGGCTGGGGTTACGAACAAAGTTCCTGAGTATGTATACTCCGGGGCCAGACAGAATGATGTGGTGCCACTCATCCATCAAGCGCTCGGAAAGATCCTCCATAGGTTCGTCCTCGATGTCATGTTTTGTCAGATCGTACACAGCTCCCTCATCAATGTCATATTTTGCTAGGTCGTACACAGGAATCTTCTTGATGACTTCTGTGGACAGCGGATATGAAACTGGGTTTCGGGCGGTGAGCTCCTTCAGCACCTCTAGTGAAGGAACTTGCCTCTCGCCAAATTTCCGCGATGGTATCGCCTCGCTGGCAGGTCTGTCGGTCCTGTCTGCTAAATCGACCGAAGGTGACATGATGTGTGATTCATTCAAACGTACGGCCGGAAGACCTGTTGCCCTGGACCGAGTAACAAGCTGACAGCAGGGTGCCGAGACTGTTCCCCAGGACGTCACACCACAATTTCCCTAGCTTCTTGTCAGGGGAGTTTCTGGGCTGCTGCCGCTAAGCAGCGAGTACAAGTCGCTTTGAAGATCTCGATATTGGTATGCAGCGCGAATAAAGTCATACTATGTCTGTCGTCCTCGAAGGCTCTGGGCGTTCTTGGCGCGTTGAATTTAGCTTGACGTGTGGCCGTACTACAGTTCTAGTAGATTAAGGCCACCACGAGCCAAGCTCTGCTTTTCTATCACTACTAATCTGGCAGACGACCACAGGACTTCAATCTGTGTTCTGTGAAGCTCATACCCGATGCCGAGAACACTCTAGCAAGAAGCCGGACCTTGCGGCAGTACGAGTTGCCAAAAGGATCGTTCAACGAGACCGGTTTCGACCCGAGACTTCATCGTGATTGCCCGATATGTGCTCGGTGACTTTTGTGCGGCCAAGATCGATGCCGAGCATCGTAAACCAGGCTGCAGCCCCTGCGGAAAGCACGCAATGATTGGAAGATCAAGTCAGTTGACGGAGCGCCGCTGCATATATAAGTGGCCATTTGACGCTGCAGGTTTCTGCAACCGTCGCATCACTACCTTTCTTGAATCTACTCACAATGTCTGACACACAGAAGAACACCACGTACTTGATCACGGGAGGCAATCGAGGTGAGGAATGCAGTCCTTGTCTCATGCAACTCAGACTGACCATCACCCCCAGGCATTGCGCTCGGACTTGTCACGGCGCTGTTGTCCCGCCCGTCCACGACTGTGATAGCATCAGTCCGTAACAAGACATCAGCTTCGCAGCTAGAGTCCGAGATTTCGAAGACCTCCGTGGGCACCAACAGCAAGCTCTACATCATCTTCTTGGACCTGGCCACCGTCACGAGCCCACAAGTCGCTCGTGATGCCCTCCAGGACAGTCTCGCAAAGCATATCACACACATTGATGTACTGATCTCGTCCGCTGCGATTATCTCGTCGATGGGCCCGTCCTTGACCACAACATCGGGAGAAATGCAGTCGCACTTCCAGGCTAACAGCACTGCTCAACTGATGCTCTTCCAAGCCTTCTGGCCGCTGTTGCAGGCGTCCGCCCAGCCAAAGTCCATCGCCATTACTTCGTCCGTTGGTAGCATCGGAGCACAAGAGCCGTTCAGTGGTGGTGCGTACGGTCCGAGCAAAGCTGCGCTAAACTGGATCGTCAAGCGCTTGCATCTTGAACTCCAAAAGGAAGGGCTCGTCAGTGTTGCTGTACATCCAGGCTGGGTTCAGACGGAAGGGGGTCAATTTGCTGCGGACGCGTGGAGCTACCCTGGCAAGCCGCCACTGACGATTGAGCAAAGTGTGACGGGAGTGCTGAGTGTGATCGACGGGGCGAGCAGGGACACTGTGTCCGGCAAGTTCATGAGTTACGATGGAACCGAGCTTGTTTGGTGAATACACTTCACCGCTGTCTTCAGGGTAGTCACCATGTCAGGGTGGCTACAAGTCGTAGGCATGAAAGCTTCGCCAATCATCTGATCATCAAGTCGTCTCGAGATCTTCCGGAGCTGATTCTTTAGGCGCAGATGTCCCTCCCAGTTTGACCTTCTTCAATTCCGTCCACAAGCTGATGCCATCGACTGTATTGGTCTTGGGGTGCCAAAGGTAGCCTGACAACAGATCGATGAAGTCTTGAGAAGTATTGAGCTTGAGGTCATTCACAAGCTCGGCCAGCACGCCAACAAACCACGTCCTGTGGGGTGTGCCAATACTGACGATTGCACCCATGGCGATCATCCATACTAGTAGCTCCTTGCTGCTGGTGGGTGACGGACGAAGTCCCAATAGACTGCGTCGTAGCCGAATTGCTGCCCTCTCGTACAGACCAACGACTGGTGGCGTCGGCCAGACCACCAGCAGATTATATATCATACATGCGTACCGGCAAGGTTCGTAATGCTCGTCGTATTCTGACTCGTATTCTGACATGCCGTAGCTCTCTGAATCCTGTAGAGATGGCAGGGACAACAGACAGTGCTGAGTGTAATTTCTCGCGTCGACGATGGTGATCGGCGGCCGCTGATTCGGAAAACCTTGCATGTGGTTCTCTACCAGTAACGTGTAGTCGCATATGTTTCTGATGACTTGAAGGAGAGCCATGACCATGGGGTCTTCTGTACCTTTCCATAGCGCCAGAAAGGAGTTGCCTAAGTGCGGCAGGGATGCTTGCGATGTTGCTCGCTCCGCAGCGGTGACTGACAAGCTTTCGCCAACCAGGAACTCGTTCGAACGCGAGAAAGGCAAATACGGCATGAATGGTCGGCTGAACGCTTTCGTTTGATCCATAAGATGACCACTATCGAATCAGCACTATACATGGGGCGGTATAAGTCGCACTCACAAAGTGATCATACTCGCCATACCGACAGGTGTTACAGCCTGTAGCCCACCCAGCTGCTGAACGAGATTTGCAAGACCCTGTCGGTGCATCTTGCTTGTCGACATCCGACCTAGTATGTGCAAAGACTGCAGCTCCTGGAACGCACTGACTCGATTTGGCAGTCTGCCTGTCCTCAAGGCAAGCTTAGAGTCAAGGTAGCTGAAGATCACGATTGGCCAGATATTAGCTGCATCAACCGCGGTGCGTGGGTCAGACAGTTGCTGGCGCAGGTGTTGTACGGCAAGCGTCTGGAGTCTCAACTCCAAGTCGGACTGCTCCTGCTCGGCTCTGATGATTCGATCGAACGTTATCGTTGCAAAGAAAATGCCGTGCAGCATAGCCTCACTATGGAATGCCATCCGCATCATCTCGTCCGTGAACTTAGGCCCAGCCAGGTCATTGGGCATAGCGCATACCAGGGCAGGCATGAACAGATCATCTGCGCAATCGTCAGCAGTGACAGCGCAGACATGTAGGACGCACGCTTCCTCAGGATATCCGCAACCATGTCGCCTGGCAATGAGGTGGGCAGTACCGAGAAAGGATCGTCTCGGCCATCATCGAGGAACGTCTGTGGCGCCTGCAGTCGAACAATCTGCTCATAGACCTCTTCGTCTGACTCGTCCTTGTTTCGAGACCGCCATGCTACAAGCGCATGATGGTCTCTTCGCTTTTGGTGGGCAGTCCTGCTCAGAGCTCGGCTCTTCTCGCTCCTGTTCTTCGGTGCTATGACCACGGCTCTCGATGCATCATCATCGTCTTCTTCATCAGACCCAGTCTGCATGTTTTGCAGAGCAGGGTCATCGCTGTCTAAGCAGACATCGAGCCGCGTCGATGGAGAAGAGAATCGTGTACCGGGAGATCACCCAAGGTGAAGGGTGAGGTTCGAGTCCCAGAAAACCAGGCCCTACTAGCGTACTAGTCCACCTGTCGAATCAAGTTTAGCTGCAGTTAGGCGGTCCTCCGGGTGCATTTACGGGTGGCAGATTGGGGGTTTGGTGGGGGGGCGAAATCTTGTGGAAACCCTGTCCCCAGAGTCTGTTATCCGCCGGCGGTGGCAACCGGCGCGGGATCACAAGCTTATTTTCTCGAGCTTTGCTCTTACTACCGTATCCATACTGCATAGATGTGAGCTGTTTTCTGCTCGCAGCTCGTGCTCGGCGATCGGGCACTCGAGTCGCATAGATACCGGTAGCTCCGACCAGCTACACTCTGTCAGTGGTCTCGACGCTGAACGTAGACCTCCAGCGACGACTGGCAGAAATACTACGGCTGCGAGGCAGGTAACGGTAGCCTCGAGAACTGCAGAGCGGTATCAGCTACTCGCGGTACGTGCTTGCGACTCGAAGGCACCTCACGAAGTTCCATGATCGAACTCGTCGATAGAGTGCATCATGACGACGCATGACCATGCTCAGCGTGAAGGTAGTCCAGATCGACAGAAGCAACGACGGCAATGTCGAAAATCCAAGTGCCGACTTCAAAGTCTCGGTTCACAAGGTGAAGGAACATTATGAGAAGTTACGACGCAGCCAACGCCCACATGAGAATGATACTTCAAGTTCGCCGCGACAGCCCTCCTGCTCATTGGGTCCGGCAGTTGAGAGGAAGTTCCTGCCTGGCATGATACGGGACATGATGTATAGGAGCGACTCAATCATCTGTCCATCGCTCCTTCTCTGCTCGAGGTGTTTGCGAGGCAGGCGTAGAGCTGTGCCTCGCGGGGCTTTCGGAAACGACTGGTGGGACGAAGGACGAATGCCAGCACACCTTCACTTACTTGTTCCGGACAATCTCGCTGCTACTAGACTCACTGAGCTCCACTCTTCGAATTGCCTGATCCGATACCCAAGCCATGCACGGCTTCAAGCTCGGGACAGGTTTACATGCCACGTGCCTGATAGAGCAGCTGCTTGTACCCAAGCACAGCAAAGGCAGGTTGGGCCTGGCTCTTTCCAGGACCCTGAGCCTGCGGCGACGATCACTGGACTGATATTAAAGCGCTACTGGTACCTGTGCTTCGAGACGGTACCCTACAACGCACCAACTCAGACGGGCTCTGGCACCTGACTGGCCAAGACAAAGCTGCGTGTTCGGCACGATGCGTCAGCAGTTAGTCACGTCGAGGCCATGATAAGTACCAGGATCTCAGATACGGGCGTGTGGCTTCTTTGATGGTACTTTTGTGTGCTTTATAAGTCATCCCTCGCCAAACCTCCCAGCTCAGTCCTCAACTGCCTATCAAGCTGCCGAAATGGCACTGACTAGTATGCCTCTGTCATCGACCCTGCTTAGACACAAGTGGTACTTCCTGCGAACCGGTTGGCATACAACGGAGTATGAACGCTCCACAATCGCCACGATGGCTTATCCTCGATGATGGCAACGCATATCGCATTCGCTGTGACGTCTTTTTGTCGATCTGAATAAACATGGTCAGACCGATTCTCGAGCCTTGTAATGTGTACGCACGCTCCGAGTACCAATGCATGGGCTAGACGAACCCGATGAAGACGGCCGCTAGCACTGCCGTCGCAAACAGACTGCTGGCTACCTCTTCAGCACGATGAAGGCGGCGGTATCGTTTCGATGGCTTCTCATTTACGTTCTGAGATGCGTTGCTAGCCTGCAATGTGTGGTCAAAGGTGTTGGAAGCATTCTCGTACGGTAAGTCATCGGTAAGTCCGGATTCTTGCGCCGCTACCTCGTCGTAGGTAGGAAGAATATGCGCCTGATGAGGTTCGATCCCATGAAGGGCGTTGCTGCAAGGGCCTCCCGCCTCGTTATCCCAATGCTTCTTCTGTGCATCGGTACTGTCGATTCCAAAGTTCTGTTCTGAAGGTGAATGGCTGACTCTGGACTCTTGCTGACTTTGTGAACAGCCGACGACCTCTGCGTATGTGGGAGGGTGCTCGATGGACACATTTTGTGGTGCCATGATGCAGAAGGTAATGCTTTGCGGGCGAGCCTCATCGGCTGCCAAGACGGAATATCTAGGCCATCGACAAATATTTACATGCTCACGTCTTTAATGACTACTATATACCTATGGCCTAGGGACAATTGGCATCGTTTGCACGACCCGGCGCGTCCATTGAATGTGCACGCTAAAGCAACCTCTCTCGCAATGATGGGGTGTTTTGGTCGAATCTTGCCACATTTCCAAATCAGGCAATTCTATACATGGACTGAACGTATACGTTGTTATCGCTCTCACATGTTTTCTGCGACTGAAACGGGTATGGCTCAACGTCGAACCGAATCCTTCCCAACAGCCACCAACATACATGGCGCGGACGTCCACTCTCACGTGGAATATAAATACGAGATCGAGTCCTTTCGCAGGATCGGAACTTCGATCGACTCTCAACGATAAGCCAGCGAGATCCTTCCAGCGGACCAGAGGGTGACTTGCAACCCATTACAGGCAGCGATAGTCACCACGCAGTCACTACGTACCACGAAGATCTCGCTAAGTGACAACTCGGTAGTAGAAGGTAAGGGTATCATGCATATAAGTAGAAGCACATGTCGAGGACAGACTACCGCAGAAACATCCTTCCAAAATCCTGGGCTTCCCTATCCTGTCCTGAACAGCACAACCGCATTCGTGAACCCAGCCACATTGTCTGTCGCAGTGATGACGCTCGTCCCATCAATCTCCGCCATACTCCTCACACCAACAGTGTTCAGCCCATACACGCTTACACTTGCGCCTCCCTCAACACTGAAAATTCCATCCTGGCACCCAGGATTGGTGCCTCCCGGCGCACAGCTGACATTGTTATTCGCAAAGAACGAGTACAGCCCTGCACCATATACCAAAACATCGCTCTCAGCGCCCAACACCCGCAATCCCCACCCATCGCATGCATTATTGAACGTTGTGTTTGGACCAGTAAAGTTCCTTCCCTCAATAGTATAGCAGTATTCCGGGAAGACAGGGTCATTCCACTGCGGCAAAGCCGTGAAAGGCAAAGTAGCAGGTGGATTCGGCTGATAGTATGCCGTCTCTGTCTGGATCTCGCCCATGAAGATCTGTGCTGTATCGGAAACCTGATACTCGTAGAGAACGTGATGCTCGACTGCAGTGCCCCACAGCCACAGTGGCCCGGCTGCGGAGTCAACGTATAAACCGCGGCCGTTGAAGATAGTGATCTGGCGGAGATCGGGGTCTTCGATGTCGTGGTCGGCCGTCCAAAGCCAGTTGGCGGACAGCTCGAGGTTGGCGGCAGAAGAGGTTATGTGCATAGACATGAAGCCGGCTATACATTGCTCTGGGACTGTTCCGGGTGGAATAGCGGTGGTCTTGTCGACCGGGCAGTTGTTGATCTGAAGGTCGGAGCCGGCGAACCCGCCGATTCGTACGTGTACGTCCCACAGAGAGGACGGGCCGGTGAGACTCTGGGAGCCATAGTCAGTCCAGGTCCCGCCTGCAGGTGCTGCAGATGGTGATGAAGAGGCAAGATTGTACTCGACAAAGATGGCGCCTGGAAGTGCTCCGCGACCAGATATCATGGCGTCTGCCCAGAGGACTGTACCGGTCTCCCCTGGCTTACCGATCTGAATGAACGGCTGCGGAGTGGACATGTCAGCGAAGAATGAGCCAGTAGCAAGAAGTGTCGGATATGCTTCGCCTGTAATGCGTGCCCCGGCTGGGATATATAATGTCTTCGTCAAAACATAGACGCCAGCATCGATGTAGAGTATCTTGCTCTGCGAGACTGCGCTGTTGACGACGGCTTGGAATGCTGCGGTATCGTCGGTCGATCCGTCTCCTATCGCACCTGCGCTGCGGACTGACAAAAAAGCCGATGCAGGCGCAGAGGCAAAGTCAGTCTTCGCGCTTCGATAGTATCTACCGTTGAGCAACAAAGAGCCGGGTCTATTATTGGGAGTGATAGGTCCTTCGATCACATTGGGACCATTCGGCGTGTAGGCATGGCCAGCAGCCCAGCCTGCAACTGTGGTGCTGCCTGTCGAGCCAGCAGGGCAGTCCCTGACGGACCTTCGACAATGGAGAGAACATTGTTGAATTGGACATTCTCGATAGCAAGAGCATTTGCTGCTGGTGGCTGTGACGAGTTGCTACGTCCGTAGGCGATACCGATGGGTGTGTTGGTGAATGTGGAATCGAAGATCAGCACTTGGCCAACGGATAGTGCACTTGGGGCTCCACTGGACATGTTCAAGCCGACCGAACAGTTGTTGATACTGAGGTATGAGTATGAGAAGCCCCAGTCCCAAATCTGGTTGATTGCGGTCACAGCATTGTATACAGTCAGATTTGACATCGTGAATTGTTGATTGCCCCAATTGAACGCGTAGAGACCGCCATAAGCGACAAGGTCATTGATGATGCCACCACTTCCTTCTGAAATGAAGACGCCTTGATGCTGTGTTCCCGGTGCATCGCTCAGCTTGAATACTAAGTTCTGGAGGCGAGTTGCTTGTGCCGTTGGCCAGAAGATACCTGTAACAGGAACTTCAGGCGGGACGGCGGTCAGATCGAGGATCAAATTTTCAATTTGTCTGAAGAACGTGTTTGTTGCACCGAATCCGCTGGAGTCAATGACCCAGCTGGTCATGTTGGCCGACGCTTTGATGACTGGCAGACAATTCGGGTTTCCGATGATCTGAGTATCATAAAAGTTCTTGATAGACGAAGAGACTAGATACTCTCCAGCTGGGAAGTATACAGTCGCTGGAGTCGTGGTAGAGGAGTTGCATGTTCCTGGCCCGCAGCGGTCGCCAGTCGAGATGGCTAGATTGATAGCTGCTGTGTCGTCTGTGACTCCGTCACCTACTGCACCAAAGTCCTTGACATTGCGGAAGACTTGATATCCTTCCGGCGCATAGGGAGCAATTCCTTGGTGCTGAATGTCCTCCAGCCAGAAGTAGCAAGTGCCATTGGTACTGTTCGAAGGAGTCGGGAATGGTGGATGGCCTCCTGGTGGACCTGTGACTGATCCCGGGCTGAGGGGCGGGAATTGGCCAGGTGGCGGACCGCCTGGAGGACCTCCGTTCGTAGGTGGCCCATATGGCGAAACGACCCCATTGGGGGGAGCGGCGCCAGCCGGCCCGTTGTTCGGAGACCCTCCATGGGGCGGTCCACCATTTGGCGGGCCACTACTTGACCCGGGGACATTCGCTGGCGGGCCGTTGGGATACTGGCTCTCGGGCGACACAGCAAAAGGCTGAGGCTGAGCAGTAGCGTAAGGAGCCTGCCCGGGCGCCAGACCATGCCGTGGTCCTCCGACGTGCTCTGGCTCATCACATTGGCGCTTCACAAGAGCGTTGGGTATGTCAGTCAGCCAGGGAGCATAGGCGCTGCTGGCTGAAGCAACCACGCTTTTGACCCATGCCGGTTGATGCGCTGGATCTATAGCAGAAGCAAGTGACAGGCAAGCGAGTGAAATGATCGGACGCATCGTGAGCGATGCAAAAGCGAGTGACTGGGATGGGCACAATTGACACAACCTACCTGCACATTTTGGATCTGGGGGAGTGAGCGAATATATGCCCGATTCACAAAGATCGCCTGGGGATCGACATAACTACCGCATGCGCAATGCGCATGTCTCATTTGAGGCGCGGCTCTGGTCGGAAGATCGTACGTTCGTCCTCTAAGAATGATTTAACGAAGTGATGATGATGGAACGAAGGCTTAGGAAGCCCCTTAGTCTCCGGAGACGATTGCCGAGATTGCAGCTAGCTATTTAGGGGTTTGGTAGCAACTCTGGTTGCACCTCCACCCCGTTCCCCTTGTCTTTGCCGACCATTCATACTCCAGATTCCAGATCGAATGTCTCCTTCTGCGACAACGCATACCAGGTTTCTGCGCGCAGGCAGATACTTTCGGCGGGAGCGTTGCGAAGCTGTAGATGTCAATGTTGAAGCTCCTTTCAAATTTGGCCGGCCTGACTTCTGGATTCTGATGCGGACCTCGCAATGGTCACGGCAATGAACACTGCAAGTGTCGAATCCCCGCATCTAAAAGATCTTGGCAGCCGTTAGGGATGTGCTCTTGGGATGATATCCTTGAAGCGCATCAACGACAGCACATGTTGCCCACGTCGTGCCATTTCATTTTGCTGATATCCGTCAATGGCCGGTGCCGTACGTGGATTGTGAGCTACACGACAGCCGTGGGCTGAACAGTAACAAGCGACGTGTCGGCCTTGGCGAATGCAGTACTCCCAAGAAGCATTGCGAACTGGACTGACATATTGCGCTCCTATTCTACTACAGGTCAAAGTGGGGACAGTGTCAATGGCGAGCGTGTCTGCACGATGTCTTGAGCCTTCCAACAATATGACACAACCGCGGATGCCAGTCCGGTGACCAGAATTGCTGCGTTATGCCGGGGATGTCTCGTGTTGCAGCTGTGTCACTTCGCCTGACTGGGTAGATGATGGCTGGCCACATTCATCACTTGCTCAGGATGCCTGGTCATAGCATGCCCGTCGTACGTCGCTGTGGTCTGGATCCACCGGTTGCTAGAGGCCAACCATTTCGGATCAGCATCCAGTACTTTCAGTATCCAGTCTCGATGGCAACTTCCTTAGCCGGGGAGTGCTTCGTCGCACAACATGCTGATCGCCACCAGCGAAAAGCCACGGGCAGCTGATCAAGCTGTATATCATATCGCGTTGCCATCAACCCAGCCAGCCATCATCCTTCTGTCGTAAGTTTGGCATATAATATATTTAGTGCTCAAAGTCACACAATCCCAGCCATGGCAACGAAATCCTCCTCCACCTCCGACAGTCCCCTAACAACCCACGCCGAGAACAACCCTAATAACTACGCCCAACCATACGACAACACGCCTCAACGCCAATCCCCCGCCCGAGCATCACAACAGCCCCACGCCGAGCACGGCGCCCCCATTGATCACAAAGTCCCCCAGGAAAATGTGATTCAGGCTCATCCGGACCTGCTCTGGTCTCGCATTCGTCACTCGCTGCGAGAGCCCTTCTCTGAGTTCTTGGGTACTTTCATTCTTGTGCTGTTTGGTGATGGGGCTATTGCTCAGGTCGTGCTGTCGGGGGAGACGAAGGGGACTTGGCAGAGTATTTGTTGGGGATATGGTGAGTCTGCTGCCCCAATAACAGATTTGTGAACTTGTAACCCGACTATGCCTGGATCATGATCGACTCAGAGTGGCATGCTGATGTCCATATCACAGGCATTGGCATAATGCTAGGGGTATATACAAGTGGTATCTCTGGCGGGTGAGTATCTTTCCCTTCCACCAAGACGGTCTCCGAGTTCCGCCATACCCTTGCAACCAGCTGATACAGTGCTCCCTTCCTTCCCATTAGACACATCAATCCGGCAGTAACCCTAACCAACGCCCTCCTCCGCCGCTTCCCCTGGCGCAAAGTGCCCCTCTACTTCCTCGCCCAGACCCTTGGCGCCATGACCGCCGCCGCTGTCGTCTACGGCAATTACCGCTCCGCCATCGACGCCTTCGAGGGATCCACCTCCACCCGCACTGTGCCCTTTTCTGCATCCCACACACCCACCGCAGGCATCTTCGCCACTTACCCCGCCGAGTTCATGACGCGAACGGGCATGTTCTTCTCCGAGTTCTTGGGCACGGCGTTGTTGATGTTCAGTATATATGCTTTGTTGGATCAGGCAATATTGCATGCCGGAGAAGTTGGTGCCCGTTGGGCTGTTCTTTGTGCTGTGGGGGATCGCGGGGTGTTTTGGGTGGGAGACTGGGTTTGCGTTGAATCCGGCGAGGGACTTTGGGCCTAGGTTGGTGACGTATATGATTGGATATGGGAGGGGGGTGTGGACTGCGGCTGGGGGGTATGCTTGGGTGAGTTGCTCGGTCTACTGGAAGGGCTGCGGTGTGGGTAAATGGGGGCTGACATTGTGTGTGCTGGTAGATCCCAATCATCGCACCCTTCTGCGGCGCAGCGTTCGGTGGTTGGCTGTACGACATGTTCCTTTTCACCGGCGAGTCGCCGATCAACACTGAGGGTGCCGGGTTGAAGAGGTTCATCAGCCCGAGGAAGGAGATCTGGTCGAACACTTATCAGTCCGAGCATGTGTGATCGTGGAACATCGTCTACGTCCTGTACCACTGGTACTGGCGGACTGCTGGTCGTGTGTTGGTTTCGAGAATGAGCTTCGCTGGTTGAGGATGGAAATTAGCCTGTCTCTACCTAAGGATCTGGTATTTGGCGACACGGCAACAGACAGGCGTGAGCCCGTTCTCGTCGCATCATCTGACCACGACACGGTGCGTGACATGAATCTTATAAGATGTCTCAACTCTCGTTGGGAGGCGGAGATGTGGCCCCAAGCCGCTAAGGAGGTGTTCGACGACTTCACACTGAGCGACGTACTCTCAAAGGATATTTTCGTCTTCGTCAGAAGCATCCTCCCTGTTGCCCTGCTGTGCCATAGATACCGTATCTCTTAATGATCTCGCTGCCGAAGCCGTGTCTTGCGAGCTCGCTTCGACTAGCGTGCCGCACGTGATCGTATCAGCAGCTTGAGTGTCTGCCTGGGCGATTTTGCCGTACTCCGCTTGTGATGCAATCGGTGGCTCGACTGTTCCAGACGGTGAACCTGCCGTTGTAGTTTGCGGATGGACTTCTGAGCTCTGGCTGCGACTGCATCAAAGTGGTTGCTGTAGGAATCGAAATCTTTTCGCAGGCTGTTGATCAACTCGATACATTCAACTGCATAGTCCAAGCGCCGCGCAACATGTTCATTAGACAATGTTGCGAGGCTGAGATTGACCTGCAATGTCATGAGCAGCGCACCCAGGCACAACAGTGGATTACTTACGTGAGCGCGACGATAGACGCCAAGATCGGGCCCCCAATGCAGTTCGTAGAGAATGTCGAGAGCATCATGGCGGTGTCCCTCGCGAGCTAGTCGGAGAGCTTGTCGGTGGCGACCTCTGTAGAAACGGACGAGATCCATAGTAATCGCAATAAATCTCGACAGGTGGTACAAGTTGGATGGATGGCAGATGGGAAGGTTCCTTCTCCGCACGGAAAGTGTCATAGCAGGAATCTGCAGCCAGGGAAGCTGTTTGTCGCTAGGTGACGATGTGATGGTCCTCTTAGCATCAACTACAGACCTCAATACATATGCGGCGAACAAGTAGCCAAGTCATCCTCCACAGTTCCTCTGATCTCATCGTCCGTCCTCTTCCTGGATCGAAACGGTAGCGGAGCATCCCAGACCTGGGGTGTGCCTTCCCGCGCCAAATGTTGTGGGCCAGTCGGATGTCTGCTGCTGCTGGGAAGGTGCGAGTCGCCTATTCGTACTCGGAGCTGACGAACCTGACTGCTACGACGTGACGAACGGCGAGTTCGCGGACTCGAGGATGTTGAGTGAGGCTTGCGGGCGCGATACGAAGATGGCGGAAAGGCTCCTGTGCTGTTCCTTCCAGCTCCTGCGTCTAGATATCCCTCCCGTTCCTTTCCTTTGTTGGATGCTCGACCGCTGTTGTCGACGACAGCGCTGCCTCCTACACTAATGTTCTCCTCACCAGGTTCGCTGGCCGAGCCGGCACCACACTGACAGTGCTCCATTGTGGCTTTCCTGCCTCTCCTTACACCTGAGCGGCCTCGTCCGGTCTCACTGCCTCCACTACCTTCTCCACTGTAGCTGCTGAAGTCCTTTCCACGATGAGGCACGGTATAGAGTTGTGCCGGATCTGACTGCCGCAGCTGCTCAGCGCCCGTCATCGTGCCGCTCAAAATGTCAGTAATGCTCTTGAGGTGCTCGCTCACGAAGGCCAGATGGTGAGCTATGGCTTCGAGGTCGAGTGTGGAGACGGAGGATGGGACTGAGGTGGAGCTGGGGATGATGTGTGGTAGGGCACGGTAGACCCAGTCGCGTAGGTCAAGGACTGGGGATGCTGGTGGCGGTGGAAGATCTGGTGTTGCATCTTGGGGTGGCGGTTGGGTGGTTCTGGTGTCGTAGAAGTCTGTGATCACGGTTTGCTTCATTATTGCGAGGGAGGTTGGGGCTTGGAATGGGCAGTAGAAGATGAGAGCAGGAGTTTGGGCTGGAAGGGGAATGGTTCAAATTGTACTCACTTCGGCTCACCCGTGTCAAACGTGTGCGCATGAATGTTTCGCTTCCTACCCAGGTCACATATTTGTTGTTTGTCGGCGAACAAGGGCGTTGTAAACAACGACTTGCTTCACATGCTAGCAAATGCGGACAGGCAGTACGAACAGTTGCAGAGTCGCTTGTGCTGTCCATCGTTTCCAGACGATCGAAACGAATGCGTCGACCTGGCTATGACCTTATGAAATGAGAACTTGCATATCCTCTATCCATTCTTGGGAGCGCATCGATTGATAGGTTGCATCCTTTCGTTGTGATGGCGGCCTTTCTCACCGTCTAAATGCGCCCACCTTCCTCCTCCACCAAGCCACAAAGTCCATCGTGCTTACATCAATGCCCAGCTTCTTCAATTCTGCAGTATCAAGGTGGCAGTCGTACGGCCTCAGTGTGCCATCTGCCGCAGGGTTCTTACCGCTTTCCTGGTCCGCGACCATATTATTGAGAGGCAGACCCATTATTTCCGCAAACTTCTGCGAGATCTCGTATTTTGTCATCCTGTCTTCGCTCGAAAACTGCAGTACCTTGGGTAGCTCTTTGTCAGCCGGAGCTGTGTAGTATTTCGCAATATCAGCGCAGACTCTGGCAACATCTTCTGTGTTGGTCGGGTATCTAATAGCGTAGTCATCCATCTTGACTGTTTCTTTCTGTGCTTTTTGTAGCGAGTCCATGAGGATATTCACTGCCGACTCTTTATTGTTATCCTCGGGGTCCGTCGCACCGTAGAGCACTGGTACTCGTAGCACTACCGCGTTCTGGGCGGTCGCGAGAACTGCCTTCTCGCCATCGAGCTTGGTCTCGCCGTAGATATTCGTGGGTGCGGGTGTCGCGTCGGCGGCGTAGGGAGCTTCACCTTGTCGGCCTGGGAAGACGTAATCGGTCGAGATGTAGATAAGGAACGCGCCAGCAGCGTCTGAGGCTTCGGCGAGTGCTTTGGTAGCACTGACGTTCAGTTTGCGGGCGGCTTCTGGGTTGTTGTTACATGAGTCTGGTTGCCTGTCTGCTGCGCCTGCGAATTGTCAGTATTGAAGACGTGGGTGTCTCGTCGCGATTACAGTGAACTACAACTGTAGGCCTGACTTGTCAGCAGAGAATGAAAGTCTAGATGTCGTTATTTCATACTTGGTCTCAGTGAAGAGCTTCGCTACTTCATCCGCATCTTGAATGTCTACTTTGCGGATTTTTGGGGGCGTGGCGCGTGAGAAGCCTGTACCGACGACATTATAGCCGGCTCTCTCGAAGGCTTTGACCACTTGTCTGCCGAGCAGGCCCGTCGCACCCGTGATGAGAGCAGTCTGAGGCATGGTGCTCGGGAGAATGAAAATAGCAAAGGAATGTACTTAATAGCGATGATTTCAGCCGAAAACTCCTACGATTTCCGGACGATGACTTCTCTCGCATCCACCATCCATCGGGTACAGTACTTTGTGGCGACCGCAGCGTGAGCGTCCGCTCACGCTGTCGCCACGCAGACGAAGGCTCGTACACATCTAACTCACAGGCGTCGCGACGTCCATTCCCTTCTCATACCACTTCAATGATGTCTTCTTCCCCAAACACTCACGATTGCGAGTCCTTTGATGAAAAAGTTTTGGTATGGTTTCAGAAATTCCTCTCCTATGCAAGCACGGGAGAAAGCGGTCATGTTTTATAGTTTTCAACTAGCAAACAGCTGATCTCGGACGAATCCTCACTGATACAGCTAAGACCCTTGCACTTAGATGAAGAGGAGAAGGTCGGCAAGCCACGAGGCAGCGATCGACAGTCTTATATATGCGAAGAAGGTCGGCCTTGGCACGGCAGGCACGATATCACGTGATAATTTCTGGCAGCATCGCACCTGCCACTTTGGCAGTGAAAGCTGAAGTACCTGAGTCACTGATGACCTCGCACCTCTCTCCACTCCAAGGCTCATGCACTCTCAAGTTCAAGTCACAGTCACCCGAGAGCCTCCAGTTAGCAGAATGGTACACAAAACGGTACTTTCTACGTCCAAAAACAGACCTGTATCAAATGGTCTGACGGATCCGCTGGTACTGCTATCAAACGACTCCTATGGCACTCGTCGGTCAGGCTGCCACGCAGCTTGCCGACCTCCTCCTCTTCATCTAAGTGCAAGGGTCTTAGCTGTATCAGTGAGGATTCGTCCGAGATCAGCTGTGCGCGCGCTTCGCGCGCAACGCAGCTTGAGCGTGACATTCACGTATTTGCGTACACGGGAGAATCCCACGGCCACTGTGCGCTCACAGTATTGCAGCCGCGCCAATCCCGGCTCCGAACATGGCAGCAACCGTGATGAATGAACTGAAGGCCATGGTGGCCATACCACTTATTCCGTGTCCACTTGTGCAACCGCCTGCTGACCTAGCGCCAAAGACCATCGCGAAGCCGCCCGCCACGGCACTCGGGACCGACACGTGTAACGGCAACAGCACTGCTTCCTTGGTGCCAGGAGCATAACGCATGGTGGTGGCCGCACCAACAATCAAACCACCAGCAAAAGTGATGTTGGCGAAGCCAGGCCGCGTCTTGCCGCTTGTTATGGCCCATGTCCACTTCCCAGCTTCTTCAAAAGCACTGCTGACACCCAACGTCTTCTTTGACAGTCCCACAGACGCAGCTTGGGCAACTCCGATCAGCAGTCCGCCAATAACAGGGTTGAGCCAGTACTGTCTTTGAGGTGCCATCGTTTGCGCGCCAACAATCATCGCCAGGAGGAGCATTTCGTAGGCTAGGACCACTTTGGAAGTCGATAGGCCTGTCTTTTGCATTAAGGTATGCTGAGTGTCCGGCCTTGCATCAACAATTTGGGCCGTTTCCTTCCATTTGACGAAGACAGCGGCTCCCAGTATGCCGCCCGCAAGCGCCCAGTAAGCAGTCGAGATCCCAGCGGCCATCTGCACAAACACAGTCCCAGGACAGCATCCCGTTAATGCCATTCCAATGCCTTGAAGAGTCCCTCCTACAATATTTCCATCGTACATGCCGAACCAGCCGAAGCTGCTGTCCTTGCGGTGACCAAGCTTGACGTAGCCGTAAGCGTTTGATAAAGCAACACAGATTGCTGAACAAGCTGATGCAGCCATGAACGAGACCAGCATATGGAAGTTGGTCAACTTGAACTGATCAACGATAACGGTAGGCGAAGCGACGCCGGCGAGAGTGAGAGCGCCACCAAATATTGCGCCAGATGCCATTGCTGGCAGGAGAGGCTTGGATATTGCCATCGCAGCGGTACTGTCTGCTGTCGCTGGAGGGGTCTATGTTCCCGCAAGTCTCTTAGTAGAGCGATGTCGTTGACGACTCATTCCCGAGCACGCAATTTTCTCCCGATGACTCCGCTTGGCGCATGAGCGGGGCGATCCGAAGGCATCTGCTACTACGCCGGTGGCGCGGCCGTAGCGCTTGAAAACTTACTATGCCAACGATGCTGTGAATGCCCATCTTCGCATGGCATTACTGTAGACTCACAACAGCGAAGTTCAGCCTGTAATCGTCTGTGTACACGAGGAAAAGGCGCGGCGTTGCGACGGCCGAGAGGACATGGCATGCACCGGACGCGATGGCCGCTTCCCGTCGCGTTTCAACTGCTCAAGGACCGTCATTGCTGTTCCATCACCCCCACATCCGGAGGTCGCTAACTGCTTGAGCGTAAGCAAGCAAGTACGAACGATGTGCAGCAATTGCTCGTCCTTCCAGTAATCAGTTCTCTCCTCTCACATTTTCCCGTGCCGTGGTAGACTTTCATGCGACCTAGGCTTCTTCGTTGACAGACACATAGCTGCTCAAGTTCGTGCACGCCCTCATGTCTGCCTTACTTTCGTCTTCTTGAAGTGAATTCGCCTTCAATCCCTTCCAACATTCGCAGAAGGGCACGTTAAGAGCTGGGTGAGCGGGCTTTTCCGCCGTTTTTGATATATCAGCCCCCAACACGGGTCTTGATGACGGAGCCAAACATCCGAGTTTCACACGAATAGCATTGTTCGCTAAGCACGGACCACGGACCTCTAGCTGCTTTCGCAATTGCTGTCCGATCAAGCATCCCGCTGCCCCTCTCGCCCACCGCAAGACGTTGAGTCCATCTTGTCCGGATTCAGCAACTCACCTGCCTTTGAGGGTTCAGAACTTACTTCTATCTGAACCGCAACCGGATCGAGGCATGCGACCGACAATGATGACCTAGGAGCTGCCTTTGATACGGCGCAACGCACATCAATGGCAGCAGGGTTCTCACGCACACCGTCAAGCTAATATCAAGCCGGGCAACATCACCGGTAATGCATTGCATGGCTCAGACGGCGGTCGTCTAAAAAGGCATCAAAAGGCGCCGGAGTCAAGAGACAGTAAGCCTCCGTAGGGCGCTGAGAGATCAAACTGTGGAGGACTCATAAGCACAGACACTCTTCAAGCAGTGTTTGATCTATGAAAACGCATTGTGAATCTGCGCTGCCATGTGGTGCACCCGATCCATCGGGATCTCGTAAGCCATCGCCGAACTCAACCCGAAGTCCTCTGATAAGAACATCGACGTCGAGTATTTCGGGACCAACCTATCAAGGCTTGCGAGATCGTGAGCAAGCTTGGCTCGTCAAAGGCGAGAGAGCCCAATCTAGTCACTCCGGCGTGTCCAGAGTCTGTGAGCCAAAATTGGACAACGGCAGTCTTGGTTGACAGTGCTTCTAGACAGTTTGATCGGAGCCTGAGTCATCCCGAGCACTTTCGTCCCTGATACGAGGAATTGTGGCTACCCTAGTATTGACAGCAAACACCAGATTCCCCAGGAACAGTGGCCAGTGATAAAGTGGACCCTGAGTCGCACATTGTCGCACCCGAGCCATTCCGCGCGGGACTGGACGACCTCTGAACAAAGTTGAACGAAGTAGGTAGTCCGACTGTACACGTCTATCTAGTCTGGAAGGGTTACTATGCAGCTTTTTTGGTTCGATAGCACCATAAAAGGCGAGAGGTGCCGAAACCTGGAGAGATCCAAGGCACTCTCACATGCAGCCAGAATTTCGCACCAGCCGGGTTTCCGAACCAGAAAACACCCATACAAAGGGTGCCATCGATCAGGATGTCAGTGTGCCCAGAGTTCCTCGAAGCTCGTCGTGTGGTCGGAGGGTGTCAACGACCTACAATTCGCAGGTATCGAGAATGCCACAGATCAGATGAAGCAGGTGTTGTTCTTCATCAGGACGGCGTGGATTCCGGCGACACACAGGGCGAAGAAGGATGATGTGATTCATGTGGTAGTGCAGAACTTATTCAAATCTCAACTTGCATCGGCGACAACACTGCCGTATTTGACCATGATCAGCAAGCTTTCAGGCTCTCCAATCTCGAAGGTCGACTCATTGAAGAACAAGGCAAAAGTCATTCAGCTTTTGAAGAAGGAGCAGAGTGCCAGCTTAGCGATATCGTTGGGCGCAAGTCTCTTTGCTGCGGCTGCCGTTGAGGGCAACTTCGAGGAAGCTAGGATACATTCGGCGGCTCTACAAGTGGCAGTTGGTAGATTCATGAACAGAGGGTTCTTCGACCCAGATGCGACACACGAGGAGCTAAGCCAACTTATGCGTTGGGTGATACATCACCTTGTGTTCAACGAACTGCAAATATCCCATTCGACCTCGACAAAATCAGTCTTGGGCCTCGAGTGGCTGGTCGAAGCGTATGCCAAGTCAGAGCGGGAGCCGTGCTCAACGTTGATCGATCCGGTCCTGCACGAGTCGTTCATCTGCGGCCTTGAGAAAAGCACTCATGATCCGTTCGGAGACATCTGCGACAACTTGCGGGAAAGCCTCTGTATGCTGCATCAGAAAGAGCCGACGCGAGCAGCTGACAGCCCGACCAAAGCCCTTCGCGACTCTCTCTACGAGACGATACAAAGACGGCAAACCACCTATTGGGCATGGGTGAGGTTGGCATGCGAGAGATTCCCAGACCTGCATGTTCAAGCATCGTTCATCTACGCCATCTTAGCCTACTCTGCAACCTTTGCAACTGGACCACGACTACAGGACAAGTATGGCATTCTGTCACAGCTGAGATGCCATCTGAGCTACGTGAAACTCTTGGAAGATCCAAAAGTTCTGTTCTCGTATTGGATCGGTGCGACGTGGGAGCATAACGAGGCCATGGACTTCTATCTTGAGGACAAGTGGTTCACACGAGGTCTTGTACAGCTGTCATCCAACATGGGGATCGACAACTGGTCAAGTCTCAAGGCAACGATTGACCAATCTATGCCAGCTGATCTTGCTCAGCCGAATGGCTCAATCTGGTTTGACGACGAGATAAGGATGAGCATGGCGTTCGATGAGGGGTGAACACTTTCGACCAGTATCCCAACTGCGGGTCCTCACGAGAATGAAAACATAAGCTAGAACCGCTCGATAGAGACGCCTGGCCTTGTGGGCATGACAGGGCTCCAGTGCTCGGTTGCCGTGACCCCGCCAGATCGAGTGGTCGGGCAGCACCGTCAGAACCTGCTCGTCGCACCCCCAACCAGTAGCTCGTGAATGCCAGAATCGCCACTTCGATAGTAGGCAGGCAAGAGCAGTACACTGAGCGTACCTGCCGCGACATCGAGTTCAGACTCGCTGCGCCCTCCCGCAGTCTAGCCTCTGCTCCCCTCACCTGCTGGCGTGTGATCTCTCGCTTCACTAGCCTCGACGGCGACTCAGCAGTTTAGTACTCTACGCCTCCTAAACAGCAGTTGCCTGCGATTAAAGAGAAGGCAGCCGCGCAGCTGCGGGAGAGCCGCTCAGCTCCTGATCCCAGTCCGATGCAGCGACTCGCATGGTGGCCACTCGAATCTGTTCGCATGCTCGATGACGACGACAAGTTCACACAGGTGTTACGGGCTCTTGAACGACCCCGACGTCCTCTACCGAGTCATGTACTTGGGCCCGGCCAGTGCGAGACATTCAATGTGCATAAAAGAGCAGCAACGACGACAGCGGCTTTAGAAAATCCCTCAGACACTGGCTACGACGGCAAGGCTTACAACAGACTTGGTCATAATGGACTACAACAACACAACACGGCAGCAACAAGCTACAACGAGAACGCACGACGACGAAGACCTTCTACGCCGGACAAATCACGACGACAGCAATTTACAACTACGACAGCGACAGCGACGTTGTCCTTACCTTTCTTCCACATTGCAATAATACACCCCCGAAGGCTTCGCAAGCGAAGCCAAACGATGGTGCACACACATATGACTTCAAATACCAACATATCTCAATGCTCAAATATGGCAAATTTGAAATATGGCAATATTATTCGACGTATGTTGTACAAAGGAAGGAAAGAAAATCTTTGAGGGAAATGGGAAGAGGCAAGACTATATACCCCAGCGGTTGAAGAGCACATGTCAGCACATGTCACGAAAGAATGTGTGTGAGTCACTGGATGTCCAGAAGCTGAAGCTGCAAACCTGTTGCCTAGAGTCAAAATCTGGACAAGAACTCATCCTGTCCAGAGACACTCGAAGTTGTCTCCGCTCCACCCCTCAAAGTGAGTCACGATGCTCGGCCCACCTCCCAACAGGGCAGGCCGCCTTCCCGCTCTGCTCTTTTATCTGATATAGCGGAGTCTCTTGGCGTCATCTACAGAACTATGGGCGATCAAGGGTGGCAGAATGCTCAATAGCTCGGCAACTCAGCACTTCCCGCAAGCACGTTGAACCCCTTCCATTCCGAGACCGGTCGACTGCACCATCCCTGTCTCGCTGTCCCCTCCCAAGCGCAGGAGCGACCGGCTGATGACCTCTGCGCCTTCCTCGCCAGGTACTTCCCGAAGCAAGAGCGACTAAGTCACAGTCATCGCAACTACCTCGATCCGGACTTGCCTCAGCAGGAGCGACCAGGTGACGACATTCGCACCTGCTTCACCAGGTGCTATCTGCGGGAGGCGCGCCCGCTTGATTGCGCGCGCACCTACCATGTTGGGCACTTTGTGCGGCAACAGCGATCAATAGACGGCAGTCACACCTGCCTTGCCAAAGCACCCTCTGCAGCAGGAGCGATTGATTGACCTCAATCGCACCTACCTCGCCAGGCACACTCTGTAGAAGCAGTGACCGACTTATATCAATCGTGCCTGCCGCGCGAAGTCTTTCCTACTGGAGCTAGAGTGACCAACTACTTCCCAGCATTTTGCCCTGTTATTAGAGCAGCAGCAGCAAGAGCATGTTCAAGTTGGGGCCACGGGTGTTGTACCGGCTCCTGTATGATGAGGAGAACAAGTCATGCTTCCTTAATTTTCGAGGAACTTTGAAGTTGCCTATATGAGTAAGATATACACTATACAATCAACGCTCAGCCTTTTCCCACGGCATACCTAATTGCCAGTCAGTACCTGACGTCCCAGCCTGATAGCTGTGCAGTGTGATCGATGCACATTCCATGGGCCCACGAAGCTCCTGTGCCTCAGTGCCTAAAGCCATCCAACAGATGCAGCGCCCCGTCCGAACGCCGTCGCTAATGAGTGCTTGAGATATCATATTCCGCCTTCCTTGGCTGTCTTGCCTCCTTCTCTAGGCCATAGTGGTCCGTCGCCGAAGTCGAGCCGCTCTTCAATGATTCGTTCGGGCTGATTCGAGAGACGCTTGCGCTAGAGCCCGAGGTGGCCAGGATAAACTCTCCGCGATTTCGAGTGACAAAACACCCCTAGTGCTAGATCTCCCGTCCTATTCCTGCCAAATTTGACGGATGCCTCCTTCTACTTGGTCCCGTTCGCGGCCATTGCACCCATGAGAGTCGAGCTCTCGCCGCCATCATCAGCAGCGCCATCCCCATTAGCCCTCAGCTGATTCAAGGCCTGTTGTAGCGCTCCATGGCTCACCGTACCATTGCTATTGCTTCCCACGGAGTCATAGCTAGTCTGCTTGCTCTCCCCATTCTGCTGTCTGCTCAGCACAACATCTTCCTTCTTCTTGACTTCCAATGGCACGTCTTTCTTGCTGTCGTCGACCTTCTCAGAGCTGATCTTGCCCAGCATGTCGGTTTCCTTCTTCCCACTTGGCGGACTGCTGCTCAAAGCATTGGCGTTGGTCGTTTCGCTGAGATGACTGGGATCTCTGATCTTCTTTATGGGCCGTCTGGACCCTGGGCTGGATGACTCCATCGCGTTGAGCGCCTTCCTGCCCTCCTCTGATGCGCCAGAAGTCTTGCGTTTGCCGTTTGTTGCGGGTGTAGTACCATTGGCCGCCGAGCGAAGCGATTCGGGCATGGTGCCGGCGGCTTTATCGCCGGGTGTGATCTGGTCTGCACGACCGCCATCTTTGGCCGCTTCTCTTGCGACATGCTTGTTGGTCATGTACTCATCTAGCATGCTTTTCAGGACGTTCTGGCGCACTGGCTTAGCAAGGTAGTCGTTCATGCCCGCTTCCAAGCACTTCTCTCGGTCGCCTCTAATGGCTGAAGCAGTCATCGCAATAATCAGGACTTTGTTGACGTCTGGATCCGGATCGGCGCGAATCGCTTTTGTGGCTTCGTAGCCATCTAGCACGGGCATTTGCACATCCATCAAGACGAGATGGAATGGCTCGCCTTCTTTGGCTTTGCGGCGAAGGGCATCGTAGGCAAGCTGACCATCCTCGAAGGCTTCGCACTTGAAACCAATCTTACCGACATAGCTAATGGCGATTTTGCGATTGATAGCGTTGTCCTCAGCAATGCAGACGCGAACGTCCTCTTTGGCAATCTTTGACAAGTCGAGGTGCGCCAACTCCAATTGCTTCTTCTCCTCAGCCGTGCTCGGACTCGCAGCCTGTGACCAGTTTGCCATTGGGTCTGGCTCCTTCGCGGAGATCTTCATGTCCGGGACAGCGCTGTCTTTCGGGGCTTTTCGGAAGGTCAAAGTGAAGGAAACGGTTGTACCTTTATTCGGCGTGGATTCTATCCAGATCTTTCCTCCAAGAACGTTTTCGATCATGGCTTTGCAGATGCTGAGACCTAAGCCGCTTCCGCCGTACGATCGCGCAGTCGAGGAGTCGGCTTGCGAGAATGGCTGGAACAACCTTGTGAGCTGCTCTTCGGTAATGCCGATACCAGTATCGACTACGGCGCAAGTGATCTTCACTTTGCCGCCCGTCTCACCAGTCTTCCGGGCTTTCACTGTGACCGAGCCGGACGGCGTGAACTTGTACGCATTGCTGAGCAGGTTCATGAAGATTTGATGAAGGCGAACAGGGTCTCCAAGCACAAGACCATCGTCGATCTGCAGATCCTCGATTGTTTGCAGACCGTGCTCCTTGTTCGTGTAGGCCAGAGCTCTGACAACTTCGGTGATTGTCTCCTTCAGATTCAAGGGCACAGTGAACATTTGCATCTTCCCAGCCTCCAGCTTGGAGAAGTCCAGAATGTCGTTGATGACAGTAAGCAAGGTGTCAGCACAGACTCGAATGCTATCAGCGTAGCCTTCTTGGTCCTTGTTCAGTGGCGTGCCTTTCAGCAGCTCGGACATGCCAATTACACCGTTCAAGGGCGTACGAAGCTCATGACTGACATTGGCCAAGAAAATTGACTTCGCTTTGGCAGCTTCCTCTTTCAGCTTGACGTTGTGCATAGCCTCTGCTTCCGCCTTCTTGGCTTTTGCTTCAGCTTCTCGAGCTGCGACCAAGGCACGCTTCTGGGACTCGACCATGCTCGCATTCGAAGCACTGACCTTGCGCACCTTTCTGTATAGAAATGCGTTGCCAAGCGATATGGCCACTTGATTGGTGAGCAGGTTTAGAACGACTTGGCTGCGCTGCGTGAAAGCGTGTGGCCGTCCCTCGAGGTGAATGACACCCATGAGATGTTCCGCTTGCAAGATCGGAATTGTGATAAGAGAGCGACCATTAGGATTACGAGCAAGCCAAGCATCACCAACGTTGGAGAAGCGTTCATCGTCCAGCACATTCTGCAGGAAAATGGTTTCTTTGGTCCGCAACACGTAAGGCGTGACTTGTTGCGCAACCTGGTCGTCGACATCGGCAAACGGAATGCCATCAGGGTAGGTCTTAACGCCCGTTTCGTGATCGGCACTGCCAGCTACGACCCATCCGTTCTCTTCCGAATCGATGACGATAGCACAGAAGTCAGCTTGACCACCGACGGATTCCAGTATCACCGAAAGCATCTTTGAGAGTAACGAATCGATCTGTAACTCGGAACTGATGACTCTCGAGAAGTCCAGAATCGACGTCAGGTCGAGGATATCTAGGCCAAGTCCACTCACGTCTTGGGTACCATTACTGTTCTGTTTTGGATCAACCCATTTCTGGACATACTCCCGCTTATTTTGGTGGCCGGAGTTATCGTTGACGAAATCGGCGACTTCCATGGTCTGGACAGACATGTCGACATTCCGAGATGTAGTGGCTGTCTTCAACAACCACTCATGCCTTTCAGCAAGATGCTTGGCCTTGCCTACAGCGCTGAGTCTGTTATAGGCAGCCATGGCTTCTTGTATCATGACCTTCGCTGGTCTCTTGGCACCGCGCTCGAGTAAGAATTCGGCCTGCATCTCAAGTGCGAGAGCCTCCTCCAAGGCAAAGCCATGGACTTGACAATGGTCGATAGCAATCTCGACATTGTTGATGATGTTCTTGTAGTCACGCGACGCACATGCGATTGAGGCAGCCATGAGATGTGACCATGCTAAGAAGTTGATGTCGTATGCTTCACACCAAACATCTAGCCATCGCTTGCACTCTCTAGCTTCTTCGAGAAGAGGCTGGCGATCAGCCATGTCGGGCATCTCCCACGCCTCGCAACACAACGCAAGGCAGAGGTAGTAACGGACGGCAGCAACGGGACGACTCGACCACTGCTCATCCAGAGTTGTATTGACAAGCCGTCGGCCAAGCTCGATGACATGCTCAGTCTCGTCGTAGAGGAAGTAGGTGCCGATTGTGACCGCATCAAACATATCTTTGGGTCTGTTGCCGCTGACACCAAGCTTTTCCACCATGGCGTACCAGTCGGCTAATTTGAAACTATCGTCATCGAGCATGGTTTCGACGCTCGAGATACCAGTCTTGCCCTGCAGAGCACGAGCCGTCTGTCGCGAAGCCAGAACCAGTGTACCACCTCGGACGTCCGCCTCCCATTCGGGGAATTCTTCAGGTCCGTATGTGCAGAAAGCTTCGATCTCGGCCAGATCCTGGCCAGCGTAAAGCCGGGTGAGCGCCATGGCACCAATATTCAGCAGCGAAACAAAGCGGTCGTCGGATTGCATGGAGAAATCAAGGGCGTTCTCCAATACCGGCAGCAGATTGCGAATAGGCGTTCGGAATGGTCCAACGAAGAGACTGTAGAGCGTCCACCCACGACCTCTAGTCCAGGTGTCCTCGTAGAGAGTCAGAAAGTCTTGTGCGATGTCGCCATATTGATTCGCAAGCTCGAAGTTTTGAAAACGACCGATGGTTGCGCCGGCAAGATTCGTGAAGGCAAGACCAGCCTGCACCATTACGCCACGATCAACGATGACATGAATGAATTTGATGACCAGTTGGTACCACAGCATTGCTTGAAACCAGTAGGCGGCTCCAAGGGTTTCGCTGAGCACTGTGCCCAGCGCAATGACCGTCTTGTCCTCGCTGAGTGGCCATCGTATCACCTCGTCCATGTCGGTGCTCCTCAGCTTATTCTGGAGCTGCCTCATCTCGTCGTCGAGCGAAGTCCAGTTGGTTTCTGGCAGCTCCAGGCCCAGCCCAGTCAGGCATTCTCGCAAGACCCCGAAAGCAACGTTGTACTTTCCCTGTCGAGAATGAACCCTTCCTTGTAGTATGTAAGAACGTGTCTTATCTGCGGTACATCGAGCATGTTTGTAAGTTTCGTCGAGAAGTCTCAGGCACTCGTCGTCGTCTTTGGTTGCGTACAAGATCTCTGCTGTATTGACATGGAGCTGTAATGTTTCGTCGTACGTCACATCCTCAGCGTCAACATTCCACGGGTCATCTTGAAGGAGCTTGATGCTGGTTTGGTAGTACCACAGCGCTGTGGACTTGGCGCCCGATTCCATTGCTTTCATGGCTCCTCTCCAAAGCACATCCCGGTACTTCATGCGATCTTGAATTCGATTCTTGATGATGTCTGAACAGAGGCATATATGGCGCGCTAAAGGATATAGGTTGAACCTACACATGCTGAGATAGGACATCATCGCTTGTGTGATGATGAAGTGCATCTTCGTTGTGTTTTGGCATTCTCGCATCGAGTTAGCAGCATTGAGCACACGTGAGTGGGTGAATTTGAACTCGTCGTCAGTATCGCCAGGAGCGATGAAAAAGTAATTCATCAAGACCTGAAGGCCGTCGATGCATTCTGACTCAGTCAAATTGAGAGACTTAAAGGTTTTGGGACATGTCATATCATGGCTTTGATCACGACCACTGCTGTAGAAATATTGCCCGGTCAGGATCTCTTGGACCAGTCGGTACGAAAACGTGCTGCCGATGAGTGAAGCCCAGGCAAGTATGGCCCGCGGCGCCGGATCGAGCTCTGTCATGCGCTTGGTGAGGAAGGAGTTGTCCATAATGCCTGGCGAGTCCGAACCGCTGAGCTCGGCGACTAACTTATCGAAGTTGAACTGCCACCCAGCGCTTCTGTAGTCGTACCACAAGCAGTTGCGCTGATAGAACATCTGCAGGATCTCGCGCATCAGATACGGATTACCTCTGGTCTTTTCGTACACCACTGCAGCTAATGGCAGTATATCCTCAATGGATTGTGACATGGTCTCGGCCACATATTCAAAAGCATGTTTCTCTTTCAGATTCGTCAGATCTATCCTCTGAGCCGAGTCGAGATCGAGCACCTTTTGCGTAGGATCCAAAGGCTTGTCGTTTTCCGTTCGACTGGCCAGAAGAAAGATGACTGGGATTTTGGACTTTATGATGTGCAGTACTAGTTCCAAGGACTCGTTATCAGCAGCGTGAAAATCGTCTAAGCACAGGCAAATAACCTTGCCAGCCGTCATGAGGCGCAAAACATCCACAAAATTGTGCATGAATCTGATAGACTTGGTGCTAGCAGGGCCTCGTAGGAAATCGTTTCCATCTCTCGTGATACCGCTTGCCGGAGCCGGAGGCGCTCCCTCGAGCTCAACTGGAGCTTCCGTTCGTATGCTGGGCGTGCCCAATTCACTATTCGCAGTGTTGAGCATGATCTTCTTGGACGGTGCGGCTAGATCAAGAAGTGTCTCAGGAAGGTCCAGGACGCTATGCAAAACGCTCCAGAGTGGCTTCACATGTGATCGTAAATGTTCGTGGTACGGAGATGTGACATCGCGCTCCGAGAAGATCTGGCGGAAAAGGCTGCTCAAGGCCTTGATGAGGGGCTCAAAAGGCGTTGGTCGAGCTCGGTCGAATCTTGCCATGGCGAAATAGCCATGCCTCCGCACATGAGGTTGAACAGACCGAATGAGCATGGACTTGCCAATACCTTGTGCTCCAAGGACAGATATGACTTCTGTCTTGCCTCTGGACTTGTACTTATGGCTATTCCGTCGCCGTAGCATTGGGCCGAGTGTGTCAGACGCTTGAGAGAAGCCGCCGGAGAAGCTGCTTTCTTTGTCAGAGATGTCAATCGATAGTGTCCGATGGTCTGCAAATCCACGACCGACATGATTGAACTGTCGAGCTTCTTTGGCTGTCCCACTCCATGCCGGAGGTGCGTTATCGAGTCCGACCGTGGTCGAATTGCTTCTGGTCTCACGAAGACTGTATGAGCTTGAGCTGTCCGAATTTGGGTCGTCTAGGTCGAGGCCCTCTGACACCGAGGAATTGGAAGCGTTGCTAAGCAACTTCTGTGGGCTGGGACCGCCCCGTGGAGCAGACTGATTTTGGCGTTTCACAACTTTGTCGATGATCTTGGTCAGACGCTCGTACTCGAGATGGCGTCCAATCTGGCGCGAAGGCAGAATAAAAAAGGAAGATACATCGTGCTGTCCGATCTTATAGCTACGAATCTTTTCTTGATCGCCTTCTCCGAGAGCTTTTTGGACCTGAACGAAATCGTATTTCAAACCACTAATTGAATGATAGCGTGCGTCCATTTGCTTCTGGGTAGCTTTTGCCAGAATGTTGGCGATAACGTCCGGCACATCGATGCGGATCGCCGAGACAGCAGGTAGACGGGAGCTCAGAACTTTTTGGACAATGTCAATCGGAGTGTCGGCCTCGAACGCAGGCCGATCTGCGAGCAGAATCCAGAGCAAGATTCCAAGGCTGTAAATGTCTGTTCGACTATCGGGGTCTGCGGGCAAGCGGCCGGTCTGTTCTGGAGCAATGAATTGTAGCTTGTTCTTAACACCCAACTCCTTGCTCAGAGTCGCCCAGCCCTCACTGGATAGCAGATTCTCGAACGACCTTGGGCCAGCGCCCCAGTGCATCATGCGGACCATGTTCGCATCTCGATTCCAGTGGAAGGTATCCTGACGGATTTCGCCATGCACGGCTTTAGCACCATGATGAAGTAGCTCCAAGCACTCACAGGCGCCAATCGCAAAGTCCAGAAAGGATGAGAGGGTCATCTGCTGGGCCGGGGTGTCGCTGCTTCGTCTGTAGGCGCGCAGGCCGTAGAAAGCTGGGCCAAAGTCGACAACATCTTTGAGTGCGTTATAGCCCGGCGCCTCGTACACGCAGACAAGCATCGAGTTCGCATCCCCAGGTGTGGTAGGAAGCCGGAAGATGTCAATCGGTCGAATCGTATGGAGGCATTCTGGGTCATTCTGCTGGATGACTTGCTTGCAGTAGTTGTACTCGCGCTCGAGCTGCAGTATATGGGTGCTGACCCGTGCGACCACCGGGATCCATACTGGGTCTGCCTCATCTTTAGACGAGGAGAAGTCGCTACTTTCAGAAGTCCCGCTGATACTGCTCCAATGGCTATGTCTGAGCGACGGTCTGTGGTCTATCTTGGGCGATCCTCTTGTGGAACTTGACAGACCCGACCTCGAAGTCAGTGCACTCGACGCAGTGGAAGGACCGTCGATGTCGGGGTTATGGAGTATGCCGAGGACGTGCCAGTGATCGTATGTTGTGTGGAATGGAGGGAACTATCACTGCGGTCAGTATGCGCCGCGGGCAGCTGGCAGGTGTGCACTTACAGACTGGTCCCATGTATAATTAGGTACACTCGCCAGTCGCTCGAACAATCTCATCGGGGGCAGAGGAAGATCCTCGCCCAGGATGCTATCATCCATACTGCTTTGCTTCGAATTGCAATTGCCTAGGTCATGTTGTAGTGGTACGAGGGTACGAGGGCACACGTCGCATGCGCTGGCGACGTGGTCGTTGTCCAGTGACAGTCACGTCGACTGCGGCGTAGGCTACAAGTGCGAATGGTTGATTACGAAGCAAGTGTGGGAAAGCAAAGGCCGTAAAAGGTCACTGGTGGTGTCTGGAAGACGGGCATCGGAGAGTAGTAATCGGGGGTTCGTCCATGCGAAAGCTGAGTCATGGAGTAGGTTCCCCTCGTTGCCGGAAGTCACTGCAATAGCCGTGGATAGTCCACTCTGTTGGTGGCACTTGCCTAGCAAACTCGTCCGCGCAGGGGAAAGCCGTACGCCTATCAGCGCCTATCAACCCTACTATGCGGCAGTCGCAATAGCGCAGCCATTTCATTGGAGGACCGGTGACTTTCAATCGCGATCCTCAGGGTCCTTGTGAAATTTGGAGCACACAGATTCATCAATGTCGACATGGGAGAGTGCAATTGTACATGGCTTTGGACCTTGTGCTAGAGCGATAGCATGCTGCGCCTGCGCATAGCACAAGAGGACCGACCATGCAGACGAACGATTTAGTATGCAAATCGATACCGACGGACGGATTCAATAGCCTTTCGCATCTTGGCTGTTAATGAATGCTTCATTGATGCCTGGGGTAGCCTTCGTATTGGCCACCCGGATACGCTATTTCATGCAGTCAGCTATGGAGATGAGCCTAGATCCTTTCGCGACCTCGCGTCTACCTGGTCCATCTGGCCATGTCTTTTGATCTATGAGGATGGACTTCGATCTTGCTGTGCTCTGTCGACAATGAGTGATAAGATGACAGTAAACTTGCTTTGCGTTACCGACACACAACACGTGAGATATGTGGTCGTCAAACCATAATAGCGGCTACCAGCCAGACCAGCACTTTCGCTGCCATGCAGTACACGACAGTGGCTGCGGCTAAATTAGTGATAGGAGGAATAATGGGCCAACTGCCGTTGACGCTGGAGGACGATGCGCCCGGTGTCCCTGTCATTCCCGAAGCAGTGGGTGCCACAACACCTCCACTGCCACCCGAAGTCAGAGTGCTGTCGGTCGAGCTGGCAGACTCAACGCTTGAGTGAGATGTAGTTTCAGACGGTACATCGGAAGAGGCTGTTGAAGTTGGCAGTGTTGTCTGAGGGATAGGGGCTGGTTCTGAGGATGTGGCGGCTGAAGTTGACGAAGTCGTGATTGGGAGACTAGGCGAAGTCATGGTCGTACCAGAAGAGGCGCTGGTTGAGGAGACTGTGGTAGTTTCTGGAGACGTACTGCTTGTCGAAGAGGTCGACTGCGGACTGGCTGTGCTGATCGTGGCCGTCAGGGTCTGGGACAGCTGCGCGCCCAATTGACTGGCAGGGATGGCGGCACCCACACCGGCGCTTGTGTATGGAGTCGGCAGAGGGAGGTCTGATGACTCGGGCTTATCGGCTGGCGACTCATCGTACATGTTGCCCACAGTTCCATCTTGCATATGATATTCTCCCGTGATCAAGTTCGCGGTGTCGCCCTGAGGTGTTCTATAGCTACCGTTCGAAGCAGAGCCATAGGATCCGTCAGGCAGGAAGTAGCTTGTGGTGAATCGATCCTGTTATTCAGTTAATGGTCGTCCTGAAGGGCGAATGGATCCGTACCCAGCAGAACGCGATCTTGAAGCTCTGGATCATCTCACATGCCGACCCGACGGCACCTGTTTCTCTTGTCAGCATTTGAACATGGATTGCTGGGACGACTTACAACACAATGAGTCGCCGTAGTCAGTGCGTCTGATGACAGCGGCCTCCTGGACTGAGTTTTCGCCAGCAGGCAGACCAACGATGGTGTAGATCAACTCAAGGTAGAATCTGGCAAGATCTGGACCAATGACAGGGACTTCTCTGCTAGAGGCCCCGGCGGGCGAACATTGATTGAATCCATCAAGGCATGCCTGTTGGGCTGCTGCAGTACTGATGAAGAAAGGAATGATAATCCACGAGATGAAGCTTGCGAGCTTCATGATGGAATCTGACTTTTGCTTACAACGATGGAGGACTCCTCGAAGTATTTCGAGTCCGACAGAAGTTCTGCTGGGCAGGACAGGACGTCGACGGAGGTGTGGAAGGTGCTCTGGTAGGAAGGCACGACTCTTGCAGCATTGACTGCCAGTGTTGTCAATAAATTTGCGGGACTTACACTTAATTGACTGCTTGCGCACGCGTTTTCGTCAACATTTTTCCGCAGCATTGACTTCGTAATGCTGTTCACTTGATGTCTGAAGACTTCTGCCGCAGCGGTGACGCCAGCTTTGTACAGTGACACAAAAACACTTGCCTCACCTGCCAGCTTCCCGTGAACTCATCTTTGCACCTACAGTCTGCATCAGGACACATCTGCTCACCTTGGACCGATCTCTGTCGGAACGATGAACTCAGAGAAGTCTGCATCAGGGCATTGGGTAAGAAGCAAAACCTTGGCCTGAGTAACGCTGTCCACCAGCATAGGCTATGTCGTTTCATTCTCCCTCCTTCAAGTCCTGCGAATTTTCCCGACTGCCGACAGAATGGGTCATTTTTCGTCAGCAGTCTCCAGAGACTGTTGCAAGGACTCGCTCTGCAGCTTCTGTGTACTCATCCGGTCTCTGCCCACCATATGAGAGTGAAGCTCAATCTTAATCTGGTTTCCATGTTCTCGACGGTCGATCAGCGCCACGAGGCTACTGATTCATCAGGACTCAATCTACCAAATCACTAGTCGCTCAGGACGCTACCTCTGCGGCACTGTGACTCTGTTGCATGAGGTGCAAGACCATAAGATGAAAGAGTATGACGTGCAACTGGTCCTAGCTTAACGCCAAGCCAGTCGCCATCGGACTACAAAATCTAGCGAGATTGACGTTGACTTCGTGCTTCAATATTGCCTCTATCCTCGTTGTTGGGTACGTCAAACGTTGACAGATCTTCACAATGACCGCCTAGCAGCGCTCTAGCACGAGGGTGTGTTCCTCGTGGAACGCGATGCTTCCAAGAAAATCCGAGTTATTGGAACGAATATTGGTCGGTCTCGGCATCAACGCTCGAAAGGAAATTGCCCAGCGATTCATTATTCAATGTGATCGACGTCGTCATTCCTTCCTCATGCGCGACCTGTAACCTTTAGGGGTTTCTGCAGTGTTGCCATCATTACTCGACGATCAAACTTGCGGAAAATGCGATATCTGAGTTTGCTAAGTCATGCTTGGAATGCGGCTATGCGGTGGGTCATCCACTGCAACGACTCGACTGCCCCGAGAAAAGCCCATTCATCATCTTCGTCCAGCAGGCTATACAGATGTGTGAGCGCTGTAGTGTGCACGGACCTGAAACGATTCGTTATGGCATGCAGGTAAGCTAGCGTCGAATGGGCACCTTGAGGTGAGTGTTATTGAGACCCAGTCAGTAACCAGATCTGGGTTGCCTTGCATGGCGCCGTTAGCAATCCTGGCTGCTGATCCTCTTGGCTTATCCCTGTCTATCATCTTTCGGTATGCTGTCTCTGTGCGGATCTTCACCTTTTGGGCCAAGGAAGTCGGATTGCCTCTTCGCCGTGGCATCATCTGATCTTGATCGGCGCAGCTATGGCTGGTTTCAGGCTAGCAGTAGGTTTCATTGCTGCTAAACACCAACTACGGACTTCCAACGTTCCACGACCAGACTATCAAACGGTCGTTAGTCCCACGAGACAAATCCAAAAGCAATCATACTGGTGATTAGCAAGTCAACACTCATGGCTCCGCTCGGTGTCGCAAAGCAGAGCATGATGAGGTGATTGCAAGTTGCTGGTGTGGCCCTGGGAAGGATATAAACCTCGTCCAAGGACTGCATGGAGGACTTCCTTTTCATCAACAAATCGCTCACTCACTACAACCCGCACTTGTCTACCACAGACGTCCACTCATTACAACAACGACATTATCAGTTTAATCCGATCAATATCTACCACCAAACACCAACCGTCCATCAAGATGCGTGCTACATTCTTCACTGCTCTCTTGGCCACCGCTGCCATTGCTGCCCCCACAGGTATGTAGTCCAACATTCCGCCAAGGAGTCACCCAATTGACAGTCACAGTTCAAAAGCGTACCGATGTCGCTGTTGCTGGTAGCTCCCTGAGCGCGCCCATCGTTGTCCACAAGCGCCAACTCGGCCTCGACCTCGGTGGTGTCCTCGGCGGGGTTGTTGGCTCAGTCGACAACGTTCTGACCATCGTCAACGGCCTGCTCACCACCGTTACCAGCACCGTTGGTAACGCGGACAGCATCGTCACATCCATCCTCGATGGTGCCGTCACTGACGTGGAGGGTGCTCTGACCGACGTTGAGGGCCAACTCGAATCCGCCATCACTCTTGTCGAATCCGTCGTGTCTGCAGTTGATGTCTCGTCCATCGTTGCGGGTGTCGACTCCGAGGTCACTTCCACCATCACCACTGTCGAAGGTCTCCTCGCTGATGTTGAGTCCATTGCTGGCGTCGTTGATGTTGGCGCCACTCTCGACACCGTCACTGGCCTCGTCAATCAACTCCTTGCTGCTCTTCAGCCCCTGACTGGTGCCGTCAGCATTGCTTAGATGGTGTGTCTGAGGCAAGAAAGGACAAGGGATACCCTGCATTCGCATTCCGATTTGGTTCATTGGCAGGCATTTCACGCAAGCACACGTATAGCAGACGATGCTGTCATCGATGGAGTTTTCTGAAGATCACAAGATATATATTGGTTACCGAGGAACATAGCATAATGAAGCGTTTTCGCATATTGTTTCATAGGGGTTGATCCTTCCTTGACTGTAACTCGATAGCTCCTTGCGTGCTCTTGAGTACTTGCTGCTGCGGGGAGTTTCTCACACTTATCTTGTTGGCTATGTCAATGAAGCTTCGGTAATAGCATAGCAGCTCTTCGAATGCTGTGTGCGAGTCCGGTCGAGAGATGTCGTTCCAGCAAGGACCGTCTCCCTGTCCCTGCATCACTTGGCGTCCACCTGTGTGGGGAAGGCTTTTCGGCAAGCCACAGGCGCATAGAACTCTCCAACAGCCAAAAACCACCTCTCATCAACTCACGCTTGCTGCAGCGTCCCTGATCAAGTACAAATATCGAAGACCCGACCAGACTACTGTAACAACTCAATGGTAGTACGCAAGTGCAAAGGTTGTCGCACGAACCACCGGCCGCACGGCTATCTCTAGTCGATCTGGCTGGCGACTTTTTCGTTGCCCCTCATGAACAACTCGGTGCCGGACGCATGGGATGATCAGTGGTCATCGGTAGCAGATGTAGTCCTGTCTTGTCGCGTACATTCCCGACGAGTTCTGACGTGCACCAGACCACTCCTGGCTCATCCGTCTCAGGCGCAAACAAGAAGGTGTCCTCAAAGGTCAGCAAAGCTCAGAAAAGAGCGCAACAGGCCGAGTTCAATCGTCAACTCTGGGCAGAGGCGTAGGCAGACCGAGTCCCTGACGAGCGGTAGACAAACTAATACAATCTAGGGAAGGTCCAAGAGAAACCAACTATTTCCTCGAATCTCGCAGCCCAGTCCCTCTACAATCAGACTATAAGCCACCGCCTGTCCTGCTATCCCGAAAAGGACCGCCCATCGTCAGCTCTGCCAGACCTGCCAACCACGGTCTCACTACCTACGACACCAATGACAAGGCCGAGTCGTCCGAGGATGAAGAGGAAGTAAAGGCCCGCGAACAGACTATGGCTGAGCGTAAGGCGCAAGCGGCTAGAGAAAGAGTAGAGAAGCAGCGCAAGTACGACGAGCGAAGGCAAGAGCTTTTCGGTAAGGCGAGTGCCAGTGGTGCGAGTAACAATGCAAGACCCAACAGTCAATCTGGCACGTCCACGCCAAACAGTCTCACCCCACCTGGATCTCGATCTGCTACACCCAGCCGAGGTCGAGGTCGCGGGAGAGGAAGAGCCAACGCAAACTCACACGCCCAGCAAGGCCGTCTTCAGCAACGACAGCCAGCGCTCTTTGACCCTAGCTACACCGCCAAGCCCGACTCGATCTTCGTACAGCGTCAACAGAGCTCACAGAGCCCCTTGCCGCCGAAAGAGCAACCACAGAAGCCCATTCGCGAGCCAAGGGGTCCTGATGGAAGCGGTCGAGGCGGGTTTGGCTTCAGTTCCACTCGCGAGTCACGTTACATGACTGATCTGGCCAACAACATGGCTGAGTCTGTCTTGGGTCCGTGAATGCTTGAAGTGCGTTGCACCTCTGCAATGGTCTTTCTTCGGACAGCATCTTCGCAGTGAACGCATCAGAAATTAGCATTTATGTTGCTAGCGCGCGACATATAGGACAGTCTACTGACCACCCACCTCAGGCCTCGGTGTCACTTGCGGCAGACCGGCGCGAAGAAAACTACGACGTGAGCAATATGGCAATGCCCAAGACACCTTTGCTGCAACCGTCAACTTCGAAAGTCGTCACCAGATATCCGTACGAGGAAGCGGAGCGTACGTTCAACATCTTTGACGGCGACAGGAAGGGCTGCACGGTGTTCGGAGAGCATACCTTGTACGAGACAGCGCTGCATGCCATGACTGACGAGCTTGATTTCGGTGGCACTTATGGCGAACGACACGTTTTTCTCGATCCTCCTGGGCTAAACAAGATCACGCCGCTGAGCGAACTCCCGAGAAGAGCATCGAATGTTGATACTCTCTCCGCCCAGTAAGAGGCACGATATAGTGAAGCGATGCCCTGAAAGTGCCTTGAGGCTTAGGGAATGCCAAAGTTGGAACCCGGATGGGCAGAGGCTCGAGTAACGCGCCATGGACCGGATCGATGCATTCCGACTATAGCGAAAACGCTGACGAGACAGCGATTCTGCGCATTTCACTGGGTACGTAGTCGGCTGTGCGGTCTCGACTACTTGCATTCGCGTCCTGCATTTTGGGTTTTTGGGCACTGCAAACAGACAGCACCAGACGCGCGACGACCCATTGATCCTGCATCAATATGGGCGGCGACAGACCGACAAGATTCACGATCTAATTGGTTGCACGCACTTCCGTCCGTGCATCCCTGTTCGGTCGGCTTGGCATGTGTCTCCCTCAAGTAGGTATGCAACGGTATGCAGGCCTTTGCGCGATGTGCTGTCAGAAGTCGAAGCCGGATTGGCATTGCGGTGCGACATGGCACTTCCTTCCGTGTGAGTATGATCGACATGCTGCTCCCCGGGGCCCATCAGGCGACAGCATTGAACCATGTCCAACTTCGAAATATATATATGTGGTAGCCATATACTTCAACGAGGTCGCGCTCTTCTACTACAGTCAACCTCTATAGCACAACCAAGACCACACAACCCTTCAACCTACCCACCCAAACCATCGAGGCCTAACCTCAGCCTACAGTCCCTCCACAATGGGCTCAACCACCCCAACAATAACCCTCCACTCCCGTACCTACCACCCACCCGTCCAACCAACCGTAGTAATCTGCATCGACGGTTTCGACCCAACCTACTTATCCCCCTCCACAACTCCCAACCTGTTCTCCTTCACAGACCCAGCCAACGGCTTCCACGCCACAGCTCACTGCGCCATGCCCTCCCTCACCAACCCCAACAACCTCTCCATCATCACCGGCGCGCCCACCGCCGCCCACGGCGTCTCCGGGAACTACTACCTCGACAAGGCTACCGGCAAGGAAGTCATGATGGTCGATGATCGCTCGATGTGGGGAAGCACCATCCTCGCTGAGTTAGCCAACCAGTTGGGTGTGCGGGTGGCGGCGATTACCGCGAAGAATAAATTGAGGAGGATCATCCAACATGGGCTGACGCCGCCGGAGAAGACGGGTGCGATTTGTTTCAGCGCGCAGTTTGCGAACGAAGCCACCTTCGCCTCGAACGGCATCGAAGATGTCGAAGCGTGGCTGGGGCAGCCATCACCGCCGCAATATTCCGGCGAGCTGTCCCTGTTCGTGCTCGACGCCGGGCTGAAGTTGCTGCAAGAAGACCGTGCGGATCTGTTTTATTTGACGCTGTCGGATTATATCCAGCATAAGCATGCACCCGAGGAGCCCGAGGCGAAGTGGTTCATGGGGGAGATTGATCGACGGGTGGGGGAGTTTGTGGGGATGGGAGCGTTGGTGGTGGTCACGGGGGATCATGGGATGAGTGCGAAGGCGGATGGAGTAAGGGGTGAGCCGAATGTGTTATTCCTCGAGGACGCATTGTGCGAGAGGTGGCCGGAAGCCAATGCGCGGGTGATTTGCCCAATTGCGGACCCGTTTGTCAAGCATCACGGTGCACTTGGCGGGTTTGTGCGCGTGCATCTTCTGGGGAAGGGGCAGCCAGATGCTGGTGTTGTAAAGGAGATGTTGGAGTTTGTGAGCGGTTTTCCGGAGGTGGAGGTCGCGTACACTGGCGCGGAAGCAGCGAGGCGGTTTGAGATGCCGGTTGAGAGGGAGGGAGATCTGGTGGTGATTTCGAAGGAGTATTCTGTATTGGGAGGAAGGAGGAATGAGCATGACCTGGAAGGACTGAAGGGACACAAGCTGAGGTCTCACGGTGGGCTGTCGGAACAGGAGATTCCGTTGCTAAGATCGAAGCCTTTGAGTGCTGAGGCGCTGGAGAAGTCAAAGGGGAGGCATTGGCGGAATTTTGACGCCTTTGATCTCGCGCTCAATCATTGAGTACGATCGCGCGAAGCTGTAGTCACGTCTCTGTAGTATAGCTTTCATAGCTTTCATGAAATCGTCCACCTCAATCACGCACAAATTGCGAAGCTTTGCTCGTCGCATTGGTTTAGGAAAATCTAAGGACGTCATCAGACATTTGTGAAGTCCGGAAACTCTGCGGAAAAGTCGACTGGAAACAGTGACCAGTCGATCTCTGTTGCCGTCGACGGCAACATCACGGGCTGGCCTCCCACAGTTGTTAGCATCGGATCATCCGGCATCTGTTGATAGTGTGGGCCGTTGACCTGAAAATGAGAATCAGGAGAGAACTCCCTACTGGTGAAGAGACCACCATCAAAATCGTTACCGGCCGGAATCGTGGCAACCTCTATCCGAGGTGCAGTCTGGTGAGTCGTTGACAAGCTTTGGAGCACTGGCTGAAGGCCCTTGGCAATAACACACAGCGGATGTTCAGGACTGAGTGTCAGCGAAAGTCCAGTGAGCAGACCACAGAGCTGCGTTACTGCGTTCCGAGCTTCGTGCTTTTTCGGGTCGCTGAGGTCTGAGAACGTCGAGTACATTGTCCTTGAACATACTGTCACAAGTATGACAGCTGCGAAAGCTAGTGAGGTGGCAAAGTAGGTTGGGAGTACGGGCGCTTGTGCGTGAGTCTCAAGAAACCGGGTGACGATGGCGATGGCGCTGTCGACCGCGTGGCTGGCAAACTCTGCTATGTCAGTCCTGCTTTGGGAACTTCTTGGAACAAAGATGGGTGTCGCTGGTGAGACGCCCCGGAAGGTATGGGCAAAGAGACAGAGCCTTGCGATGTGATAGTAGAGGTCCAGTGTGGGATCAGTAGACATGTCCAGGTCGTCTTGACTTGTCACCAGATCCGACCACTGCTTGTGCCAGCGGTCGAAGTACTTAGCTAGCTGATATAGCTCGTCGGCCTTTTCCTCGACTGGAAATGGTGTCCCGACATCCGCACCGAAGATGTCTAGCATCCGAGTGTTGAGAGTCCAGAGCTCCAGATGGCTGATCAACCGGATGTCCGCAGGTACGGAATGACGGCTTTTGAGGAGAGCACGTGGGTTCTGCAGCGATCGCATTGCACGAGTCATGGGTGGACGACCACGAACAAGCGTACACTGGTGATCACAAATGACGACAACAAAGTAGAGACGGGTTCTATCGTAGCACTTCGGATTGGTGTGCGGCATCTTCGTTATGCATCGATGCAGGTTGAGTTCTGCGGCGAATCGAACAGCTGTAAGATCTGTCAGTGTCTATAGACTTTGCGGGAAAAGAAGTTTTGTGCGTCAGGGTCCACGCACCGAGCGCCGACAGCGCAGTAGACAGATCAGATAGCCAAAAGGAGCCAATGCACAGTGCCCGGACGTCATCGAAGGTGTGTTGGCTTGTGAACAGTTCTGCGTTGACCTCTTCACGGAAGGATGCAAGACACTCCTGGTAGCATTTGGCAGAGCTGCAGAATGCAGCCACAGTGCAGATGGCAGAAGTCAGGAGTGAAGACCTTGACCGAATACTTGGCAGTTCGGCATTCTCCGGCAAAAGATTATAGGCGAAGTGGTCGAGGTGAAGCGCATAGAATTCGAATAGCTCTATCGCCGTGCGTTCCGTGATGACGCCTTTCGCGATCAGATCCGCTCTCGTACTTGGTCTGTAGCCTTCGTCGTTGGTGGATTGACCGACTAATGCTGAGCCAGGAAAGGATCCAGGATTGCATGCGAGATTGAGCATTGAGCCGCCTCGTGCCTGGGCGGTCGCGCGCTTTGCGGTATCTAATATCGTACTCTGCGGTGGGTTCAGTGCTTCGGATTGACCGACTGGCGGATGTTGTTGTACTTGAGTGAACGGTTCAAGATTTACGGGTCGAGTATCGTCTCGAGCAGATGATCGTCTTTCAAGATCTGCGACTCGCTGTTCCAGCTCCTCTTTCCAGCTGCGTAAGCAAGGTCAGCACTCAGTTGAGCCATCTATATCGATTCAGACGCACGCGATGTCACTGTCGAGGATCATCTGTATGCTCTTGTTGACCGTGCAAGAAAGCCCTCGCCCTTTGCATCGCTTGCAAGGTGGTCGCGCATCGTCCATATAACATTTGATCTGGGACCAGCGGATGAGTCTGTAAGATCGAGCATGTTGGCAATACCTGATGATGGCCTACCTTTAGTTTACGACATGCAACGCAAGCTGTGATTTTGCGTGTGATCTCGGGAGTCCGCTGCGTACTGCATGCCTCCTTTAGAGCGATAGCGGCCGACGTGGGAGCCATGATGAACACTGCCGCGCCACGCCTTTGTCGTGATTTATTCCATGCAGCTGCAACCGCAACTGCTTCGAAAGCCAGGGCGAATACCTAAGTAGGAGCGAGGTGTGAAACCGAGCAGTCACGTTTGAGTTCCGTCCACGTGGTCTTCCCCAAATCCGAGCGCCGGAGGCTGCGCCGCTGGAGTCAACTCACAATCTCACAACTATTTTACCATGAGTCTGGCATAGCTATAACATAGCTACATCATGGACGTTTCCGTTGAAGATCACTATGCACTGAGTGTGGCGAGACTATGAGTAGGCTTCTTCCGGGACAGTCCGCTGCCTGGTGGTTTAATCGTCGTCGTTCAACCAGGAATTCCTCCAAGCCCATGTATCCAGAAGAGGCAATTTGTTGGGTTGGCTCATATATACCTAGGCATGAGTGATCCAACAACAGAAGATCGCGAACCACCGACTCCCGAGGCATCATTTCAGGTCAGCCTACAAAACTGTCGCCTGGAACAGCCAAGAAGTGACGGACAGATATTTCGTTCTATGGTTGAATATAAATGCAGCGATCCCGCCATAGCACGACGATCATGCTAGAGCCACCTCAGTGAGCATCGTATACTGAGGTCATGAGATGGACGTCGTGCGACCAAACATTGCACGGGCACTGGGTCGCGTCAGCATTGCAAACCTGGCTCGTCGACTTGGGGTTCAGCAAGCGAAGAACCCAACTGCGGCATGTCAAAGCGTGACAGATGTTTACAGCATCCCACGACCGAGTCGCTGCATCGACCTCCTTTCGTACGGTTTAGTCTTGTGAAAGAGCAGAACCGCATCGACGATGATATGCTCCGATCGCGTGGTGCTCGAGTTTGCAGCATTGGCAGGCCGCCGATCGTAGGCTTGGCTGTCTTCTTCCGCCCTCCTAGCCAATGGGATGCTGCTTTAGCACTCCGCTGTGACGTTGGCCGAGTTCCGACCATGTGTTCGTTCGAACGTCAAGCGCTCGGCAGCGAGCAGCTAATCTTCGGAACGACTGATCACTGGCTTTTTCCGATATCCGGTCGCGTGTGTGCGCCCAAATGCGCGTGCGAAATGACGTGTGCCACACCGGACGGCTGTGGAGAGGGCGGCAACCGACTTCACCATATGCAAGATGGCAAGGACAGTATCTGGGGCGTCCATGGTGCGGAAGACGCCTTCTCCACGATGATGAGTGGTAGATAAAGAACCAGCTGTTCCCAAACCATGGAATCACTGAGTCCCTTTACTAAGTTGCATATCCGCCAGCCACTGTGAGAGGCTCTGATACACGATGCCACCTCCAAGAATCGACAACGAGGCTGTCGAGCATCAGGACTACACGGCCAGCGATGCTCCTCGCCCGGCACCACGGCGTGACTCGTCGGCCTCATCGGCGACCATCGGCGAGCACCAGCCTTCGACCACAGCGAAAGGCGCAAGCGACACAATGCAATATCAACATGCAGAGCGCCGGCGCAGCTCTGTCCTCAAGGACCGTCAGCCATCAGCGGCGGCGCAGCTGAAGAATCCTTTGGCTGGAATGAGCGAGGCCGATGTCCTCGCAGACGTTGACGGCTGGGTCGCCCAAAGAGGTCTGGACCACGAGCGGGAGACATTCCGACGAGGCGCTCTCCTTGCTCGAGTCATCAACACGGAAGGCGGCTTTGAAGCCATCGATCTGCCAGCTGACGAGAAGGACTGCCTGCGTAAGGAGGCCACGCATCGCTGGAGTCAGCCATTTCAGCTGTACTTTCTTGTCGTTCTTTGCGCTGGTTCCGCTATCGTGCAGGGCATGGATCAGACGGCTGTCAACGGAGCTCAGCAATTCTACCTTGCTGAGTTTGGCATTACCGACGTGTGGCAGACGGGGCTACTGAACGGCGCTCCATACCTGTGTTCTGCTCTCATCGGCTGCTGGACGAATGCGCCGCTGAACAAGTACTTTGGTCGTCGTGGCACTATCTTCATCTCCTGCACCATCTCCTTCATTTCGTCCTTCTGGATGGCTGCTGCAAACACATGGTGGAATCTCCTCCTCGCTCGATTCGTCCTTGGATTCGCCGTTGGCGCGAAGAGCTCGACGACGCCCGGTAAGTGTCGCAGATTCCATTCTAGGACCAGGTCTGACGATTCGCTTAGTGTATGCGGCAGAAAGCGCTCCCAAAGCTATCCGAGGGGCATTGACGATGATGTGGCAGATGTGGACAGGTACGCTTCCGATTACCTCCCCAAAATCATTGGACTGATTGACTCGCGCAGCATTCGGAATCATGATCGGCTTCATGGTCTCGGTCGCCTTCCAGAACTGCCGCCCCATCACCGGCAACGAAAACGAGCCCTGGCGCTGGATGATGGCTTCGACCGCCATTCCACCCATGTTCGTGATGGCCCAGGTCTATCTCTGCCCAGAGTCGCCGCGCTGGTACATGTCCAAAGGCAAATTCGATAAGGCATTCACCGCCTTCTGCCGCTTGCGCAACATGAAGGTCCTCGCCGCACGGGACATGTACTACGCCAACAAGCTTCTCGAGGTCGAGGAGTCGCAGCGAGAGGGCAAGAACCTCTTCAAGGAGTTCTTCACTATCCGTCGCAACCGACGGGCCGCGCAGTCTTCGTTCTTCGTGATGTTCATGCAGCAATTCTGTGGCGTAAGTAAACCCTTCCCACCCCCCTTTAGCGTCCAACAAAATCTCTAAAACCCGCACCAGGTCAACGTAATCGCCTACTACTCAACCATGATCTTCGAGCAATCAGGCTTCAGCCGCTCCAACGCGCTCCTCGTCTCCCTCGGCACCGGTGCCGTCAACTGGCTCTTCGCCATTCCCGCCATCTACACGATCGACACATTCGGACGCCGCAATCTACTCCTCACCACGTTCCCACTCATGGCCGCCTGTCTCCTGCTCACCGGCTTCTCCTTCTGGATCGAGCCTGGCGCGCCTGAGTCGCAGGGTCGCTTGGCTGGTGTCGCTACGGGGATATTCCTGTTCATGGCTGTGTATTCGCCGGGTGAGGGGCCGGTGCCGTTTACGTATTCGGCGGAGGCGTTCCCGATCTATATTCGCGACACGGGAATGTCATTTGCCACAGCGACCTGCTGGGGGTTCAACTTTATCCTTTCACTTACCTGGCCGGCGTTGCTTGAGGCCTTTAAGCCGCAGGGAGCGTTTGGGTGGTATGCGTGGTGGAATATTTTTGGTTGGATTTATGCGTATTTCTTGCTGCCGGAGACGAAGGTATGTGATCTTCGCTGCTTGCTCCGCCCAATGAATCGTTATGCTGACATTAGTGCCATAGAACCTCACGCTCGAAGAGCTCGACACGGTTTTCAACGTAGGCAACCGGGAGCATGGCAAGTACTATATGGACAAGTTGCCGTACTACCTCAAGAAGGCGATGCGAAAGGATGTCGAGCCCGTGCCACCTTTGTACCAGTTTGGCGGGTATCAGGAACGAGCTGGTAGTGTCACGGAGCCTGGTGACATGGGCGAGAAGAAAGGCAGTGCTGTCATTGCATAGACATCTGCTAAGTTTGTCTTGAGGACGAGCAGCTTGGTAGTGATCGCACCCGTCAGGACACGGAATCACCGTCTGTGGTCAGCGTTGTAGGCTGATGGATGTAATGATGTAGTGAGAGCCTGCAGGCGGTTTGTCCATATTAGGGAATCCTTAAGAAGCCTCTCTGGCCTTCGATTTATCCTGAGTGCTCCAGTGTTTGTCAGTGTCAATCGAATGAATTCTGATCTCACGCATTCGCACATGGATAATGTATAGGCTTTGCGACGAGTTCGATGGGTTCGTGATACATCAGGCTAGGCCAAAAGGTCCTTGCCGTTCTATACTCAGGTGGTGGTAGCGAGCCGTGGTCTGGATGACAGATCCAACCCGGAACCGCTCATACGTATCCTGACAAGTCATTAGCCATGGCTCGGTCCCAGCAGCGCGCAATGGTCGAAAGCCGCGAAAATGGGCCCAAAAAGTCGAATGCACAGTAGACATACCTTTCCGTGCACCCTGGAAGAAGAACCTCACTACCAAGACCTGCAATACAGCCATGCCCACCATCATCATCACCTCGATCAAGCTGAACTGAAATATTCTCTTCTCGGTCGACCTGACCGTACTGAAGTTCCGATTCTCTCTTGTTCTGAAATATTTCTGCATGCGGTTCACCGTGCTCAATTGCCCCGAGACCTTGAACACCAAATCCTCCAACTGATCGTGTGTTTCTGCTGGGGCGCCAGACCGCTGTGGTAGCAGTGCTGAGCCCGAGGATGATTCTGATCCCTCGACTGAGATCTCAAAGTCGACGTACTTGTCGGCGAATGTGGACATTGTGTTGGAGAAGCAAAAGGAGTATTGGCCTGCTATTTGTGCGGTAAAGACATAGTCGCCTTGTCGCTCTTTCTCGCCGGACAGGACTTGCTTGTCTTGAGGACCGATGACGGAGTAGTCGACATCGAAGGAGCCGCCAGATTGAACCTGTGAGAGAGGGAGATCAGTGATATGCGCACACGGAGCAGCCGCAGCAGTGGAGGAGCGACCCCTCCATTGGCTCATCAAGCCGTAGACTGATTGTGGCGGCATTCAGGAGACACGTACAGCGAAGTAGAAAGCAACCTTGCTGTTGAGCTTGTCTATGTCCTCAAAGAAGCATGCCTTCTCGTTGGCGGCGAGTTTATAAGTGAGAGCAGTGGCCGAGACAAGTGATGTGATACAGGAAAGGCCTGCGACGGTGGAGGTAAGGAAGCGCATCTTGACGTCGGTCTCGTGAGGCGGAGGCGGACGTTGCTGCTTGGAGACCTGGGCGACGTTGGCCTCGGACGGTGTACTATCACAACGAAGGAAACCCGCGATTCAGGAGATGTCGCATTTGCGCGGGATTCTTTTTTGACAGACAGGAGACCAATACGGGAAACGAGACGCGCCAAAGTGCGCAACGCGATTTGGTCGACGCGGCGAACGGCATGGCAAATCTCTACTTCACCTTTACCTCTGACTGTGGCTTCCATTGAGGTATGCTCGACGAGTGTTCAGCTACCAGGCATATCGGCAAGTCATGGCACAATGTCTGTCCAGGTCGTACAGAAGTGGAAGTGCTTGCTATCACTACTTGCGCTATGGCTACTAAACATATCCGTCTCTCGAAACTTCATTCTGAAACAGCACTATATCGTGCCGGCCTCTTCATCAAACGCAGGAGCATGCTATCTTGATCATTGACAGGTAAAGTATATGTGCACGCGCATGACCACAATGCGCGACGAATGCCTTTGAAAGACTTCCCCTCATCGATCGCCTACTTCCGCGATGGCAAATGTCTGCGTGGTGCCTGGCATTAATTGCACTGCTAATGCTGTCGACTTCCTGCACGCCGACCTTTTGGACGACGGCGTCTTCTGGGCTTGCCTGTCTGATCCATCTCGAACTTGTGCAGATGTCGCGAACGAGGACATCAACGGATTGGGAACTTTAATTGCTTTCCTCGCAACTGCCTTCCTCACTTTCCTGGTCGCTTGGGTGATCTTGATTTTTGATGTTGACATAGCAGGACGGCAGTCACAATCGATTCAAGCAGGCTCTCCTGAGGCGAGTATCTTGGACCACCGCTTTCGTGCTTTCCTTCACTTCACCATTGGACGGCGGTCTACATATCTCCAGCTATCGGATAGATGGTGCCATGTATTACAACGCCTGGTCATTGCGTTCAGCGATGGCCACCTCGTCACTGGACTGGCGATCTTGGTTGCGGCTTTTTCTCAGTCGAGGTCCATCACGATTTACCATTTCGTAAGTCTCTGCCACGATCCATAAATGGTGAGGAGGCCTGCACCTCCTCAGCTCTACCAAAATTTAAGACCTGGACCGATGACTGACCACGACTAGAACATCTCCGTATATCTTGCTTGGATATCACTCACTGTCCACATGATGACTCTCTCGATCTGTCGGCCATTGCTGCAAGCCCGACCACGACTGTTGTACTGGAGACTCGGCGCAGCGTCCGTGCTATGTGCGTTACTGTTGTCTACGCTGATACTGACCACTTCGCCACTATCTCCGATCAACTGGTACGACCTTGGGTACGACTATTCTCTAAACCGCAACGTGAACGTCAAACCGGCCGATCCCTTCTGGCTCGATACCACTGTCATCTGCTCCTGGAAATGCAGTACAATGTCACAGTGGTCAACTGACACGGTCGTCGCATTTGTCCTTGTTGTGGTGGGATTTCTGGGCAGGGTGATTAAATTGATAAGACCTCTGTCGGCACTATTTGAACGCACGCTGGTTGGTGTTATAAGTCGCTGGGTTCGCTCATGCTTCAATTCCTGCGCATTTCGGAAGCAGAGCTCTCGGTCATGGTTCTCCGGGACGTTCTGGTCCATCAATCAATGGATGATAGTTTGCATCTATCTTAATGGCCGGGCGATATGCGATCTGGCCTCTTCGACCCTTGCAGAGTGTCTATGGTTGACACTGTTCCTTGGATGGGGCGCCACGAAATTGATCTCTTGGCACTTCAAGTCACCGCTCTTGCCCTTTGAGGATACGATCGGCTTTGGACAGGTGCTTGCCTTATTTCTTCTACTATTGCCACTTGTAGCTATTCCAGAGTCATACACCTCCTGTACGTCTATCCTTCGTTGTCTCTGTTCCTACGAGATGCTTACATTTTGGCAGCCGATGGACGGGGTCCGCCGTATTCACCAGTGGCGGCTCGTAACTATCAGATGATGTCCAAGAGCCTCACATTCACGTCCATTGGAGTTGGATCTGGCTCAATGGGCAACGGAAACATGCATTCCACAGTTCCGAGACTGTTCCAAGATCCCATGGCCGCCTATAGCTCCATTACCTACCGACTTTTGATCATCAGCTACATGACGTCCGGCATCATCTGGCTGATGTTCATCATTGTGATGACGGCGTTTGATTCTGGCGTTATTCCTACGAACGCTCTGCAGTCTAGTCTTGGGTCAATCTTGTTGGTCGTCTTCATCCCTTTGATCTTCGCCGCCTCGGTCTTCTTCACCTTCATGCTCGCACCATTCTCAAGAACGATTTGGAGAACGGTCAGAGACACCTAGGTACAACCCGACGCCGAGAGGCGAGAGGCGAGGCCGGCTGACTAAGGCACTCGCAAACGACTTTGGGCCTCGGCCTATATATCGTACAACGCCCACCCGCAGCAGACGCCTGATTCTCGCACCACTATTTCGACCGAAAAAGTATACACCCGGCAGGCTAGCCCCTGGTCGTATCACACCGCCGGACCCAGAATGCATTTGTTAATGCCGGCAACACAACGTTGACAGCAGTCCAAAAAGTTGTTGGCGGCCATCGAGCTAGTCGCTGTGTCACGTATCACAGGTGGGGTTCATGCCCACTACATGCCTCTGCTCGTATATACACGATCTAGCAATGGGTATTCGGCTTCGGACGAAGCATACCTACCTACCTTGCGAGCGAATGTTTTCACGGATTTATCAGCATGAATTTGTGAACAATAGCTATACAAAACCAGGAGCTCTTAACGAACACTGAGCTATAGGCAGTACCTAAACGAGTATCCTTAGCACCTTATAAGGCCTAGCCTCACGCGATACCGATACCGACCATCTCCCCACACCCTGTGACCATGGCGCCCAAATACTCCAACAAACTCAACAACAAACTCGTCATCGTCGTCGGAGGCAGCTCGGGCATCGGCTACGCCGTCGCCGAAGCCAGCCTTGAAGGCGGCGCCAACGTCGTCATCGCCAGCCGCACCCAAAAGAACATCGACGCCGCCATCGCCAGCCTGACCGAAGCATATCCGGACTCAGCCAAACGTATCCGTGGGCATCCCTGCAACCTCGTCGACACCGATGCAGAGTCCGACGTGATCAAACTTTTCGACTTCGCCACCAACAACGGCGCCATTAAAATCGACCACATCGTCGACACCGCCGCAGCCGATGGACCTACGGTTGGCGACCTCGCCAGCGCTACAGTGGATACGTTTCTCGACTCTTACCGCGCGAGATGTCTTGGCTCTGCCGTACTCGCTAAGTACGCGCTGAAGTATATGCTTTCCTCATCATCCTCCTCCATCACAATGACAAGCGGCATCCTCGTCCGACGCCCCATGAAAGGCATGAGTCCGCGCATCGCTGCATCAAGCGCCAAGGAGGGCCTTGCTCGAACATTCGCGGTCGATCTCGCGCCGATCAGGGTGAATGTCGTGTCCCCAGGGGCGATCATGACGCCGTTGCTGGTGAAGATGTTTGATAGATTCGGCGAGGGCTTGAGGGAGAATATGCGGGGCAGTACGTTGCTGGGGGAGATTGGGCAGCCAGAGGACATTGCAGAGAGTTATCTGTGCAGTATGAAGAATCGATTTATGACGGGGCAGGTGGTGCAGTGTGATGGGGGCTTCTTGGTTAAGAACTGATGGGGCGGGGAGGCTGTGCTTAGCAAGAGGGAATCCAAGGGATCATCAACTTCGAAGAAAACCCTAGACATCGATCCTGTTGCCAGCTTGGTTCGTAGGAATTTGCGTAACTATCTGCCTGCGCCTCTACGACGTTTGCTATGCTATCCAGGATTGAGGTGGAAGGGTTGATTGGTGCATTTAATTGTCCTCGTGACTTCTCCTGTTCTCACAGCAGCATTTCACCAGGTCGAGGGATATCCTCTCGCGAGCTTGCATACAGTCTTTCGCCCCAGTGTCACGAGATGGAGCCCTCGTCCATACTTGTGGCCGACCCGACTCCGCGTGAATCACTGTACTCATCTGGTACACGCACAGCATTGTGACGAAGCGAGCATGTCTACCACCACCCACGTCCCCACCTCGTGTAGTGCGCGCGGTTCCACGCCTCCTCACTCAGTGCCGTCCACTCAGAGGCGCTTGAGCCTTGCCGACCATGCCCATGCTTCACCTTGAAGCCAGTAAAGTGCAGAAGACCCTTCATATATGGACAATCGAAGTCGCCTTCCAGCTTCGTACCATGGTCAGAGAATTTCATGCCCCTTGCAGGATAGCGATCGGCTTCGATCAGGATCTGGCCGTCAGCTCCACGCATGCGTGTGCGATACTCGTAGGTCGGGTTGTACTTGATGCTTGACGAGATACCAGAGGCAGCGCGAGCGCGTGTGGCGGCAGTCGGACAGATGCGCATGATGCCTTCAAACACACCAAAATGGAACCTAGCACAGAACCGCGAGAGCGAGGAGTCGGTAGCAGTCTCCGCTTCGGGAACATTGTCATCGCCCTCACTGTTGTCAGCTTCCTCACCGTACCCGTCGTATTCATACTCGGATTCTTTCTCGTCCGCTGCCACAGCGTTGAGACTAAAGTCGTCCACCAGGAAGATCTCCATGGAAAGCTTCTCAGGCGTGCTCTTGGAGCTGTACGTTGCCAGTTCTTGGCATTGAACAACCCACTCGCCCGTCAGATCCCAGTCTGCCGTTGACTTCGCCTCGTCGTACAGTGCCTGACGCTTCGCCTCTTCGGCAACCTTCTTTGCCTTCTGTTGAGCCTCCCAAGTCTTCCATTGGGCGGCAGCGATCTGATTGGCCTCTTTGACAAATGCCTCTACTTCTCTGCGCACAGCTCCTAGCTCGCCAAAGATCTCACAGCGCCGGGGCATGGCCCCTTCTGGCAGATCGACAGGTCCTGCGGCCACTTCGTACGCGATGCCTAACTCGAAGCAAGCTCTGTCTAGTCCGTAGTAGCGAACACTGTTTGTTCCGTAGTGCCCGCGGTCGACCTTCTGGCAGGAAGTCTTCAAGAACGTGTCGGGTTTCGCGGCTTCCTCCTCCAACGCGCGGCGAGGATTCTTTGGAAGCTTCTGCTCGAATGTGGTTGTGGCGGCATGCCACCATGCTTCGTCTCGTACGTGCCGCTGCTCGCGCGCCACGCGCTTTTGCTCACGCTCGAATTCTCTCATTGCTTTATCAATATCGTCCTGCTCAGCCTGCACAGCAAGATCCTTGCGAATGTCACGGCTTTTGAGTAGATTCATCAATTCTTCCTTCGAACCGGTTGTCTTCAGGCCGCGGAACGAACATTGAGATTGATAGTAGTCTTTGCGGCGCTCATCGTATTTTGGCTGTCGCTTTGCAATTTTGCCGGCTTTGGTCTTGACAATATCTGCTGGCAGTTTGCTATTTAGGTTCATGTCGAAGTAGTGACCGTAGCGAGTGAGCTTTCGTTGGGCGCGCTCATAGTCTTCCGGCGTCATGATCGCTAAAGTCATGCGAGAGTCTGCGTCGTGGCAGCAAACTTCGATGATGTCCGTTGAAATGACTAGCACCAGCGAATGGGTAATGTTTTGTGATGATTAGCTAGCTCCCTCTGAGAGATGCGGGGATGGCAGATGTACATATACACAGGCAGAGTGAAGCCTGCCTGACTTCCCTAGTGGCAGGTGACGGTGTGAAGGTGCCTGCCTGCAACCAAATTGGATCAATTTCTCACCCATGAGACAAGAGGTCCGCAATCTCATACGTCTGATACACGCTCGGTGGCACTTGTCGCAAGCACGAATACCTCCACAATCATACATGCCTTGCAAGCGCGTACTGGCACTGACCTTTGATGTAAGTATGTTCGTGACGAGGATGCCCGAAAGATTGAGTCCCAGGATATCTGACATCTGAGGTCTCTCGCACCAGGTGCACCACACTTGTGCGCCCATTGGCCTGGGCATCCACCTGGCTGCGTTGGTGGCAAGTTTTATGTATAGACAGAAGACGCCAAAATGTTGATAATTTTGTTTTGCGGATGGTCAATGACCGCGTTTGAATATCAACGGTAATACCATATGGGATCCAAATTCCATTCAGCCCAATCCACGCTGAGCAGCCAATGCGCCAAGTCATATGAATCATGCTGTCTTTCGATTGCGACACGTGCCAGGAGGACGATCGTCGGTCCACGAATTAAATTGCACGTATCCATCGGCATCTCGAATGATTTCCTACACATCCGTCGCAGGTGCCGCACTGCCCGCCTCTGGCGCCGGAGAACTGCTCTCGACAGGCTTTGAGCCTTTGAGCGGAGGGAAGTTGAATGGCTCGCTGACGCCCTCCTTGCCAATGTCCCACGCTCCAACCCGGTTGCCCAGATATCCTTTGTCCCAGATCAGTGCCCCAACCCATGGCTGGATGTTCCAGCTGACTTGTAGTGTTACATTGTTCCTCTCGCTCAGCACGCCTGATGGGTCGGTGATATGGTACTTGGGCTTCTGGTTGCGTAAATTGAGTAGACCCGGCTTGACCAGATCAGTCGTGACCCTTGCTGGCTTTGTGCTCTTCTTGCTCTTCAGTGTTTTGGATTTCTTGCTCTTGTTGACCCACGGCTCCCAGTATTGTGTCTTGAGGTTGTCGAAGGAGTACGGACTTTGCGGCGAAGGGATAATGGCATCCCAAATGACGGCTTCCGAGACTCCTCCTGCACTGCTCGGGTAGTTGGCCGTCACGTACACGAAAAGCTGCTTCGTGTTCCAGTTGAAGAGTGGTGACAGATCGGCATTTAGATCGAAGCGTATTTGTGCGTACTCCTCCCGCTTCGATGAATGGTAGTGTGGTCTGCCTTTGACGACTTCGACCTTACTGACACTGATGCTCGCACTCGGGTGCTCTGTGATCGGCGGGAACGGGAGGACTGTCAATAGTGCGATAACGCCGGCTGCGAGCGCTGCGCAAGTGGTGAAGAAGCCGAATGTGCTCGACAGGCGATTGAAAGCGGTATGCATTTTGGTAGTCCGCTGAGGCGGCTCTCAGGTGCAGAAAGTGACTTTTGGCAAAGAGATGCAGAAAACTGAACGCCGAGAACAGAACACAAGATGTAAAGAACGCCTTCAATATAGTGTCAGTGGTTGTGGTTGAGCGTGAGACGTGTCCAGAATGACAAAGTCCGAGTCAAGCATTGAACGGCGGACGCCTTCATGACTCGAGACGCCAAGGACGTGCAAAAACATCGATCGAATCCTCCCGCCAGGCTTTCTGCTTTCCCTTCTACCACAGACTTCGGCTTGGCGGCTCATATATCACAGCACACTCCACCATTGCTGTGTGTGATCGCAGTCGACGTAGGCGTTACGCTTGCGAAGGGTGTCATGATGAAGTCTACGAGGAAATTACCTGTCGTTAATCGCTCGCCCTACATTATTCCGTGTTCGAGGCGAGTTTCATTTCAAGGTTACATATATCGGATCCGAACGTAGAGGCTCGTCCCACCGGATAGCAAATGATGCTAAGACAGCATGACAAGTATTGCGGTCCGATTTCGATCGCTGGTGTTGTTTGGAAGGAGGAGGACGACACCGAGGTCCAGGACTCTGGTAAGGTACTAGGTAGGTATTCTGCTCGCCAAGAGACTTGAATGACATGAAACGTTCAAATGACCTCGAACAACTTGAACCAACCTCGTTCCTGCGTTCTTATCTATACTTTTCTAGCTACTCCGTACCACGTCCCCTATCGAGCCCACGCTCACTCCACTTAATACCGGACCATAATGTCGTCGAGGTCGTCTGTCAGTTCGTCAGCTTCTCCGTCTTCATTGCCGAAGAGCGGAACGACTTTGAAGATGAAGAAGCATGCAAACGGATGAGGTGACGATGGGGACGGGTGCGACATTCCAAGCGGCAGCGAGACGTGGCCAATCCAGGTCTGAGAGAGGTCTATCGAAGCCTCCGGTCAAACCGAACAGCAGCGACAGTATGTACTGAAGGCTCCCATCGGATCTCCCGGTGTGCCAACCTACAGATGGCTCGCCGAAAGCTTCGGATGGAAACGTATCACGGGACGGCGAGAGTCTCAAAGAGTAGGAAAAACCGTCCATGCGATGCCTGCAGACGACAAAAGATTGCTTGCAAGATTCCAGATCGCCCTCCCTGTGCCTTTTGTGTCCGGCGCAATCAGCCTTGCGAGTTTCTAACGAAGCCTTCTACTAAAACACGACAGGAGCACATAGATACAGTCTCGGTAACAGACCGCCAGGCAGAACCTCCAATATCTAATTGGGAATATGGATCCACCAGTACCCCGGCACCTGTCGAAAGCCTGACCGGCGGTCGCACTATTGTATTAGTGCCAAGTCGCAAGCCAGGACTCACCGAGACCTCGCAATTGCGCTGTTCCTCTCAAAATGGCGAATGGGGCAGGGAGTGCGACAGCGGAGACGAGCCTCTAGAAGCGTACTCTGACGATACGGCCCATTTTCTCGGGTTTGCAAGTGAGCAAGATCCACATCTTCTCGCTTCATTTCGATCGAACATCCTCAATGAAACAAGTTACATCGATGCCAAAATTCGTCAGGTCTCTCCCGGCGATGATCAAATTGGGCAGCCACCTGTGCACTTCAGTGTACTCAAGGATCTTTTCCCTGAACCTGACCAAAGGATCAAGCAGCAAGCGTCGGACTTGATCGAATCCTACGTGGGCTGTCACGGCGAGGCTTTGGTTCGCCTTTTCTTTCGATCCGTGCATCCAACTTATCCCATCCTTGCCAAGCGGCGTTTCCTCGAAATGTACCACAGCGACAGGTTACGTATCTCAGCTGCGCTCCGAGGCGTCGTATACGGTCTTGCGACCGTCTTTTGGGAACATGATGAAATACTTCGAGGCGCGGAATGCCTCGATCAAGGCAAGTTGTTCGAACTAGCGCACTGCTCGCTGAATCGAGAACTGGACTCCCCCAAACTCACTACACTGCAGGCGGCTCTTCTCATCATTCATGAACTTCCTCAACCCACCGGCACGTTGGAAAGCCCAAGGACATGGAGCTTGTCTTGCCAGGCGGTAGCTTGTGCCCAGAGCCTCGGACTTTATCGTGATCCTTCGCGATGGCAGATACCAAACTGGGAGAAATGCTTGCGTAAGAAATTGTGGTGGGCAGTCTATTTGACGGACAAATTCTCATCCATCGGACACGGAAACCCATCTCATGTTGCAGACGATGGATTCGACACGCCTTTATTAGAGATGGCCGACTTAGCCTGCGACGAAGAAATCGACAATTCCCATGCAGGTGGACTTTTTGTGAAAGAACAGACATCTTTCGATGTACAAAACGCCTCACATTTTCTGGAGATGATCAAGCTATCGCAACAGCTCAGTCGAATACTTGAGAAATTCTAGTAAGCTCACCCTATCTTCTAGGGTATTGACCTAGACTAATTTTTACAGCTCTGTCAACAGTCTGCGCGCTTCTAATCTTCTCGAGCCACGACGGGCCATGCTCAGATCGCACCTGGCACAGCTCGAATCCTGGTATGCCCTCCTACCACAGTGTTTGACTATGGAGTTCTCGAGCAGCCAAAGGGTACCGAACAGAAATGGTAGGGACCTCTCGTTCTCGTATGACCTTGGCTGAAATTGGACGACCAGGTTCGCTTCATCTCGCCTTTTTCGCGGTCAAGACCTTGATATACAGGGCTCTCATGTATCCTGCAAGCTCAGCGTCGAAAGCAGACCCAACCTCCGCATTGTCCCAAACCCTACCTGAAGCGTTGTCTCAATCTCGTTCCTTTGTTGACTGTGTTGCGAAGATTCGCGAGGAGGATCTAAAAGCTTTCTGGGGTCGCCGTAAGTGTTTTCCGGAGACTTCACTCTACCATACTTGATACGTTAGGAGCTCAGAGTGCATGATTTACTAACGCAATCACGCCTCAGATGCTCGGACAAATCTCCTTCTGGCTGGCAATTTTCTGGTCTATCTGTTCCTGCTGGCTTCAGCCGGTGATCACGTTAAGCAAGCTCACGATCTGCTTGAAAGCTACCACGAATCACTGTCCAAATTGATGAAAGTCGCAGATAGCACGTCTATGGGATTGATCAGGCCATCTGTTCTTCGTTTCGAATCCTTTTTCCAACAGGCTCCATCGATCCTTCGACAAGGTTCAGGCTAGACCTCAATGCATGTGTGTCCCATACTATGGAAGTCGATCAGACGACATGCACTTTACAACACAAAACCTCTGATAACCTCAGTCAGTACCTCATGCGGCGACAGCCGTGACAGTGGTGACGGTGGTCGCCCTCGACTGATACTGTGTGTTGGCCCGAGAGATTCGGTATGCGCTTTGGAGTACTGGAGCGTACTTGATGGGGCGATTCGCGTCCGTACAAGCTGGAAGACATTCAATAATCGAGTGCGAGTCCGGACTCACGAAGAACGGAATCGAATATCGATCTCTGGTCATCCGATGTGGGCCAGTATATCGATCTTGGTCTGGTGGCAGCGTCACTCGGTGTAGCGTCGATTTCAGGTCGTCTGTTACAAGTGTTAACCAAAGCCCTCGAACTCGACTGATCTAACGTACCATTGCTCCACCGCATCAGGAGATCGCCAACATTCATCACAAGCGCATTCTTGATCGGGGTCGCCGTGATAAACTGGCCAGGTTTGTGTGGGTTTTCGACTTCCAAGCCACCACAATCGTCCTGGAAGAGCATAGTCACCGAACCCCAATCCGTGTGAGCCGGCATTCTTGCAACAGCAGCACTGGCCACCGAAGCAGCCTCGACGGGCGGATAGTGCAACAAACGCAGCTGATTGTTGTGTCCTGAATGGAATCTCAGCAGGAAATCTTCATCCAGACCGAGCCCCAGCGCAATCGCAGACAATATCGAGTTCGCCACCCCGTTGCACTCCCAGTAAAAGCGGGTGGTGAATGACCGAAACCCCGGCAGGACATCCTCCGGTAGCCACACGTTGGGCTGCTCGGTGTTCTCCTCACTGCCAATCTCATAGCTCTCCTGTTCGATTCGAGATTGTTAGTCAAAATCGCTTCAATGACTGGAGAAACCAAGAGGCTGTCATGCCATACCTTGTGATCGGTCGTCTGTCTAAGCAGACTCGCGAGCTCCGGATCTTCTTTCTCGCTGGCCTGCTGGGAAACTTTCTCCAGGCCGGGCCAGGAGTATCCTCGATGCACTTTGGCGCCATCTGGATGAGGTGCCAGCATCTTCTTGTCCTGGTCCAGGGCAAAGAGCTTATGGGTCCATCCGAATGCCTCCTCGACTAGCTCGGCAGGAAGACCATGGTTGGTGATATAGACGAAACCGACCCTGCGACAGACGTCTACTAAAGTTTTGGCAACCTGGACACGGTCTGCTTGAGTCCTTCCTTCTCTCCACGCCGAGAAGTCCAGCACGGGCAGGCCGCCGCCTTCACTAAGGACAGAGGCTTCTGCCATCTTTCTTGCCGCGATTGTCGATTCTTATCGTCCACTTCGTCCTCGGTTGAAGAAGGTGCAGAACTCACAAGCAGACAGAATTGACATCCGCAAGAAGAACGCTTCCTTTCTACCAACGTGTTCATGTGGTATAGGCGAACCAATTAGCAGACCTAAGCTTGCTCAGCACGATTTGTCCCGACCTATAGGGAACAATTTGGCCTATCTCGGCCGCAGAGGCTGCCCTGTGGGAGCTGTGAGGTAGATCAGGGTCGTAGCGGACACCTCCGGCCTCGCCACCCAATTATGAGGTACAGAGTTGGCCGTAGCGTCGGCCAAGTATCCTGACTCGACCCGCAGCCCTCTGCACATCTATCCGTCTACCGCGCAACTCTAGATATGGCACCATTCGAGACTGATAAGGACGATTTGAAGCTCGACAACAGACTATGGACAGGTTGTGTATAATAGTATCACAATTCTCCGTGCGCAATGGATCATCACTTTGACCTCCCGGATCTGATTCTTCAGGAACCATAGCACCTTTCTGGCACTTCGCCGATTCAATCAAAGTCCCCCTCCACCTTCCTCCTATCCACCTCGGACCTGGTCTTGCGCCACAAGATGGTCTCCGAAGAGTTCAAGGCCAAAGCCAGAAGATGGGCTACAAAGCTCGAGTGTCCAGTCGACGAGGACAGGGACTACGAAAATACATACGTGGGCCGCACCAAGCCTCCCAGCCTGTGGTGTACTGCCAGCTGACCATGCCGACAGTGGTGCAACCGTGATTTGATTCCCATCCCAAGAGAGCGACGAACATGGACATGGCAAGGCTACGCTGGGTATTGGATCATCAATGGCATCAACACTACCGCTTGGACTGCTGGATCAAGTCTGCTGGCGCTGGGCCTGAGCGTTGGGCAGGCGATGGGTGTGATTGTTGGTGCCTCACTCTTCGCGGCTGTGATATCCGTCATTGCTGGCTGGCCTGGTTCGCACCAATACCTTGGCTTTACCATTCTTTCCCGAGCACAATGGGGAATGCGAGGAGGATTCTGGCCCGTTCTCAACAGGATCATGACCACCATTATCTGGATGGGTATCCAACTGTACTGGGGTGGTCAAGCGGTGAAGATCATTCTAGGCGCCATCATCGGTCACCCATTTGTGCATATGAAGAACACCCTACCAGAATCTGCGAATGTCGACACGGCTAGCCTGATCAGCTTCTTCGTTTTTGTGATAGTCTTTCTACCAACACTGATGGTGCCCCCTGAGAAGTTGCAAAAGCCATTTCTGGTATGTGATGCAAAAATGCACGGCAAGCCAGATGCTAATTTCTCCTACAGGTGGCCTTTGGAATGATCGCAGGAACCATGTTTGGCATGCTCATCTGGGCTCTGTGTGCTGCACATGGCGCTGGCACACTGGTATCAACTGGTCCAACGAAACATGGTTCAGCCTTGAGCTGGGGAACGCTCTATGGTCTTCAGTCTCTGGTGGGTGGTTATGGTAGCGGATGTCTTGGCCAGGCAGACTGGACCCGCTATTCAAAATATCCAAACGCAGCTCTCTTCGGCCAAGCTGTCACCGCACCAATCGCTATCTCAATCACGGCTCTTTGTGGACTTCTCATCACTTCCGCGACTGCCAAGATCTACGGCGAGGTTTACTGGAACCCGTTTGAGCTTCTCCTCGCAATCCAGGATCATTCACTTTCTCCAGGCGCCAGAGCCGGCACTTTCTTCGCCGCTCTAGGTTTCGCGGCTTCACAATTTGCCCTTTGCATTGTCCTGAACTCGGTGTCGGCCGGTATGGACATGGCCGCACTGATGCCAAAGTATATCAACATCCGCCGAGGTGCATACATTCTGACACTCATCTCCATCTGCATCTGTCCATGGCAGTATGTCACCCGTGCGACCGTGTTCATCACCGTCCTCTCCGGCTGGAGCGTCTTTTTGAGTCCGATGACCGGGATCTTATGCAGCGATTACTTCCTGGTGCGCAAGCGAGAATACCACATTGGAGACTTGTATCTCGGTGTCGATACAGCCGGAGCATACTGGTACACTGCGGGGTTCAACTGGCGAGGATTTGTTGCATGGGCCATGGCTCTTTGGCCAATGTTGCGTAAGTTCTACAGCTCATGATGTCGCTCCCAGGAGGCCGTTCACTGACATTGACATATAGCCGGGTTCGTAAGGAATGTGAAGGGCATCAGCGACGGCGCCGGCTGGGATCGCTTGTACCAGATGAGCTACTTTTTCGGTTTCCTCACGGCCGGATTGTTGTACTGGGCCTTCCACACCATCTTCCCAGCCGAAAAACAGACTGGTAGCTCCCCGTTTACACTCAAGGCGCATCATCAGCGTGTACAAATCGGGGACGAGAAGCTGGGTGTCATCGATGGTCAGCCGGTCGAAGCTTTCGAAGCGCTCCCTGGAACAGGTCACAAGCAACTCGCAAAGGCGGAGTCCACGTCGGTCGATAGCGCATAGACACTGATTCGGCAACATGTCGCTAGTCTGACTGGATAACGATGGCTGTGAAAGGCTTTTTTGCATTGCAGGAATGATGCTGTTACTGAAGACTTTAGATCACTGGCTCTATATGTCAGGGCGCGTCTGATTGCTAGGTATCCAAGAACCATCGACATCCCAAGTCGCAGGATTGCTATGTCGCCCATGCTCACGACCGTTCATCCAAGCAAGCCGCACAAACCACGGCTCATGTATTTCCCTGCTACCCCTCTTTTCCAAAGTGGTGCCATTCGTGTAGTCCATCTCTTCAACATACCGTCTCCAATACTCGACATCGTTCACCATGATACTAATACCATCAACGCCGGTGTCCGTAGGAATGGCACCCCAGCTCAATTCGACTTTGTTGCCGCTTGAGCTCACCGTAGCGTTCACGACGGGTGCATGCGCGCCCCACCAGCTTCTTCCGTTGCCGTCGTTACCTTCGTGGAGGTCGGCTGGTGTTTGAATGATGGAGTCGAAGCCCCAGCGCGCTGCACCATTGATGTGCAGGCCGAGTAGTATGCCTTGGAAGACGAGACCTGGGCGAGTCTGGAAGCCAGTCCCTGGGAGGAGCATCAGGGGGTAGAAGTAATGATGCAGGCGAAGTCTTTCGCCAGGTAGGGCGAAGAGGAGGAGCAGGCCAACGCCGAATGTTGCATATATGGCCAGATACTTGGGCAAGCGACCTGCGCGGCGGATGGACAGGATTTGCACGACGGCTGCGGTGGCGATGATGCCTATGATGATGACCAGGGCAAGGACAGCGCCTGGTTGACGAAGGTCGCGAGGTGTGAGTCGTGCGATGGGGATCCAGCCTTCGAATGTATAGTTGTTGAGAGCGCCGATGGAGAAGAATGACAGGTATAGGATCGTCTTTTCGAACTGCGCGGTCAGGCCACGAAGCAGAGGCCGGGCAGATGTGATATAGATGACGTATGCCATGAAGCTGCCAGGAAGCATTGTACCGAACAGTGTGCTCACAAGTCCGTAGAAGTCCCGTCCACTAGGCGGGTCCGAGACAAGACCAACGTGAAATATCGTGATGTAGTATAGCGAGAAGAAGAATACAGCCGGAGAGGTGGTGAATATGCTTAGGAGGGACAGAGCCACGGCAGTGACGGCGAACATGGGCCATTTTGACGTGGATGGGCACTTCATGTCCTTGTCAGGTACGGACAGGAACCTGTATGCCATTCGGAAACTTGCGGGAAAGTCGAAGCTCTTGATGCCGTGCTGTTTCGAGCCAGTGAAGGAGTCATGCTCGCCGATAAGTTCAGCCACTCCACAGCCGCCTTGTACGAGTTCGATCACTCCAGCATGGACAGCGGCTAGACAAAGCCAGCTGTCACCGCGATAGATAGCGCCCGCCTCAGGTTCTTCCGGGTCAGGGCCTCCTATAACCAATGGCTCATAAATGTGGGACCCATTGCCTACCCAGCGTTCTTCAAGCAGGTTGGCCCTGTCGCATTTGGCTGGACACCGGAAAGGCCGCAGGCCTGTGAATGGACGACATTCGTTACCATTGACACCACATCTGTTGCTGCCAGCCCAGAAGCTTGTTGCGCAACCCACGTTGCTAGGCCTGCCATAACCTTGTATGCTGCCAGACGTGAGCTGGTCTCGAAGCATGAGCGACCATATCAGAAACCAGACTGCGTAGAAAGCGCCGAGCAAGCATATCCGGTGCCTCTTGTTTGGTAGATACTGATCCAGCAGTTGTATAGGCGCTTGCTGTATCTTGGGAAACAGAGGTATGATCTTCGGCTCCTGTGAAGGCACGGGCCCTTTTGTCCATGTCACTACCGCCCGTGCGACATGCCGTGCTTTCTCCGCTACCCAGTCATACTTCGAAGAGCCACCAGGCTTCCGAAGCCAGGCCGGCACAGGGAGACGGCGTCCGTTAGGCTCGTTCTCTGTAGAAGACTGTGAGGAGGAACGTATATGTAGGTCAGCGGTCGTCTCGGTCTCTGACTCGTCGTCTGTCAGAGGTGGGATGTGAGGGCCAGCCTCTTCATCGTCTCTATAAGGATGAGGTGTAGTCATGATTCCGCATACTGCGCTCTTATAGCACGGAAGCAAGGAACGCCTCCATGGACAGTGTTCGCTACTTAAGTATGTTGTACCTACTTGAATGATGTCCGCCGGCGGCTCCGGTGCGAAGCTCGGCAGGACGCCGGACGATGAGCCAGCGCGAGCGCTCCGCACACCGTATTGCTCGCACTCTCTGCGCTCACTCAGTCCTCGGGCTTTACTTAGGCAAACATGGCATCAGCAGATATCAGGGTCGGGTTCCACGTGTCTGATGTTGAGACTATATGAACGTCGCCTGTTCCTCGATGTTACCTGTAGCGATCATGCTTCCTTCTGATATGATGGCGATTACTATTCCGCACTCACTGATGTCGCCGATAAGACGGCAGTCGGTACTTGCATGATTGGTCGGTGCTCTTTCCTCGGCCAGTATTTCTTCGTTTCCACCGCTCGGAACGGTCGAAGATAGCGGATGGAGATGCGCGTACCCCGGCCTACCCAAAAGTCGTGTACATCATGTCCCGCATGCAACATAGGGCGGCCCACGCCCTTGATGTTCTTGCGAGAGGCTGCTCGTTCCTGCTCTCGTTTCTGGACTGTCTTTGACTTTATATTGTTGTCCTGCTAACTCACATCCCTCTTGACGTGAGCGTTTGAGCTCAGAAACCCACATCATGGAAGGCTCAACGAATACAGGCAAGTCGCCGCCACAAGATGTGTCACATTACTTTTCGCGGACCACCAACAGAAGAGCGCCCAGCAGGGTCAAAGCATTTTACAAGTACTTTCAGATCCCCGGCATACAGAACCTAGCTGGAGGCATGCCGTTTTCCTCCTACTTCCCATTCGACACCCTTGAAGCAGGAGTGGCTCTACCTAACCGGTTCAAACCCACTCCCAACGACCCAGTCGATCCTCCGAATGCCAGGGCTCACAAGAAAGGTCCAGAAGCTGCGCACTTGCTTGTACCTCACGACTCTGCTGAGAAAGACGTCCTACATAAGATTGATCTGTCGACGGCACTGCAGTATGGCACCGCGCAAGGATATCCATCTCTGTACAGCTTTGTCCGAGGTTTCGTGCAGATCAACATGCACCCGAACATTCCCTATGAGGGCGGCGCGGAAGTGATCTTGACGTGTGGCTCGACCGATGGCTTCAGCAAGATTCTGGAATGTTTCACGAATATCTGGGACGAAGAACGGGACTGGATCAGAGATCGTGAAGGAGTGTTATGCGAAGAGTTTGCTTACATGAATGCCATTCAGACTGCAGCTCCGCGGGGCCTCAACGTCGTGACTGTCAAGATCGACGACGAGGGCATGCTTGCACACGGACCAGGTGGTCTGGCTGACGTCCTGGACAACTGGGACGTCTATCGCGGCAAGCGTCCCCATATCATCTACACAGTCACAATGGGCCAAAATCCTACATCAGGCTTACTTTCTGTGAAGCGACGGAAGGAGATCTATGCGATCTGTCAGAAGTACGATGTACTCATAGCCGAGGATGATCCATACTGGTTCCTGCAATTTCCCTCTGCCAACGAGCTTTCTCTCAAAGCAAGAGGTCATGCTGTCTCGGAAAATCACCCTCTGGAGCCGTACAACTACAACACTGCCAGCGGCGGCAAATCATCCGGTTATGAGTTCCTCGACTCGCTCGTGCCGTCATACCTATCGATAGATGTCGATGGCCGGGTCATCCGCATGGACACTTTCTCGAAGTGTGTAGCCCCTGGAGCCCGTCTGGGGTGGTTGACAGCCCAGCCCAAGGTGGTCGAGACCATTCAGCGCATCACAGAGACATCTACCCAACAGCCGTCAGGGTTTGTTCAATCCGTGATTGCGGAACTGCTTGCAGGACCCTCAGACACCGCGGATGATCCTGGAAAAGGTGGCTCAAAGGATGGATCTGGATGGAAAGTTGATGGCTGGGTGCGTTGGCTAGAAGGCCTTCGAGGCAACTACGAGCGACGGATGCAGACGATGGCTTCTGCGTTGGAGGAGGGGCGCTACCTCGTCCGACAATCAACGAATTCTGAAGGGTTCGAGGAGGTGTCCAAGACACAGATCTATGATTTCAACTACCCCATGGCCGGCATGTTCCTTTGGCTTCGCTGCCATTTCGATACGCATCCACTATACACGGAGCCTCATCTAGTGGGAGCACATAACTTTACCGGGCCGGATCTGAGTCGCGCCTTCTGGCTTTTCCAGACGAAGCCAAAGTACAGAGTTCTTGCTGCGCCAGGACAGATGTTTGCGCCTTCACCAGCCGTCAGCGAGGAGAGCGCGTGGCAGTACTTCAGACTTTGCTTTGCAGCAGTTGACGAAGCTATCGTGAAGTCGAGTTCAGAAAACTTCGTGGAGTCTGCTCGTGATTTCTGGAAGCTAGACGCGAAGCAGGTCCAGGAATTGCTTGATGAGCTGGCAGCTCCAGCGCCGCCAAGCGAGGCCGAGGCTATGGCGATGTCACAGGTGAGTTCATGCATGCTCCGAACCCGGTAGTCGTGCTGATCTTAAACAGGCGCAGTACGCGATCAATCCAACTCTTTGCTGACCACTGAGATGACGCTTAATTCGAGCGCACACTGTATACATTCCGAATAAATAGATGGTTTTCTATCGACTGGTTCGCTCCCTGGCTGGCTTTGGCTTGCGGCTTGTCGACGTTTCATTCGTTGGACGCCCTCACGGTCGTTCTCTTTCCATACGCTGTTTTCATATGGTTGTTGTCCGGAGTATTCTGTTGCTTGCAAACCAGCGACGACCATCGCGACTCGTTTAGTCCAGGAGTTGGTCAAGTATAAAGTACTCTCGAGGTTTTTGTGCTTCTCGACCCCTTATTCTTCTAATTTCTCCCGCTATCTTCCATCTCGTCTCATAGAAGCAGGTCTTGGATCATCAGCAGCATCCGTTGACGGCAGCGACGGAGAGCCATTCAAGGAAGCCGAGCACAAACGGTTTAGCGGGCTTGAAGCGACTTGCCCATCGTCAGGGCTCTGCATGATACGTGAGTCGACCTCAACGAAACGACCACGAGAAAGGGTGAATACCGACCGCTTCCGACCCACAATGTCTGGTTCCTCACGCTCGAGAAACGACACATCTACCCACAACATCGGGAACAGCACCCTGGACGCAATCCGAGAGTGCGTTGACGCGTTGCACAAAATCAGGAAGCGAAATTTTCTTACCTATCAGCGGAACACCGACAAGAGAATGGGCAAACCCAAGCAGAACGATCTCATCAAGGAACAGAAGAAAGCCAATGCAGTGACCCATGATGCCAATTGTAGACTGGACGCTTACACTATGCATTTGAGGGCCAGTTTAACTTCGGGTACTCCGAGCCCGTGGGAGATGGCAAAGTTCGAAGAACTATACGGCGTCGACTACGGTACGGTCTTGCAGCATATTCACAATCCAGATTTTCTACAAGTCACCAACCATCGCGCTACAGCGATGATGGAGCTTGCGAGGAGCCACAACGGACTTGAGACGTTCATAGATGACATTGATCGGTACCAGAACAATGTCGCACGCATCGCAGGTCCAGCCCAGCTGGCGAATCACGAACTCCATCACTGGGCTTCACAGATCGATCTAGACTCTTACTCGATTTTACCTCGGCGTGGGTCTCCAGGGACGCCGGCAAAACCCAGAAGAAACGTGATGGATTTTCTGAAAATCACGACAGGTACCCAATCTCAGCAGAGAGAAGCAGCTCGCCTAGCCAAACTTGACGCAGGGTAAACTTCATCGGGCAAGACTTCCGTGCGAGGATCATTTGCCAACGCTCTCACAACAGCGAGGCGCAAGCTCAGTCCTAGCAGCCGCTCTCAGGGAAGTGATACCACCGAACTCACCAACGCTAGCAGCACTGGGAGTGCGATCAGAGGTCGGCGAGGATGAAGGCCTTTACACTTGGAAGGCTCAATCAATGCCATCGACATACCTTTCTTGTACGCGGTCGCTAGCGTGAAAGGGAGCTGGCGTGAGTCGAACAGCATGCGCGAAAAAGGATAGATAGGGCAAGGAAGAGATAAGCACAGTGTACGATAAGTAACATGGCAAGGATGGCATTCAGGAGGTGTAAGGCGTCTCGACAGGTGTACCGCAATACTGGAGTAGGTTGCGCTGGGGCAGCTTTCAGGATCGACAGAGTTAGGACCAAATACTGGTGAGATCACCGTCCTTGATGACGGAACAAATAACATTCGTCCCTGGTGGATGATCGATACAGGTCAGATGGACATAGATCTACACGAAAACACTTCTGACACGAATCGTATCGGCCGTCGACGAGAAAACCTCAAGGGAATTTGATGCATCCGCGACAGATTCCAACGGTCACAAGAGGCGACTCAAGCTTCGCAATTGGGCCAAGTATTCTCACGGCAGTGAGACCGCTGGACTTGGACAGCCCGCCAGCCCATAATCTTCACGTGGCAGGCGTGACTATCTTTACGGCGACTTGGCGGGGGCGATTGTGGTCCGAACGAGGATGGAAGGAATGCAAAAACGACTCCCTGAGGTGAGCCGAAGCCATTATTAGCCACTGTGACTTACTTTCAGAACTTCCACCAACTCAACTGTTCGAATTACCCTGCTTCTCACTCTGCGCTGGTCAACGACCTTGTTCCAAAGATGGTGGACAAGCACGGTCTGGTGTCTTCTATTGGCACTGTACCATTGACAAGGCTCCTCTTTATCACAACGCAGACGGGCCAACTGATCTGGAAGCGTCCATTGGCACAATTCCAGTCATGGCGCGGCCCTTCCACATCATTGTTGCTACAAACACGCTGCTGGGCAGACTCCCATCATCAGAAACTACTAAACATGCGACATCCATCAGAAGGACCAGAGCTCCCCACTATCACACCTTCCTACCGTCATGGATCCAGAAGATTCCGAGGCCAGCGTCCAGTGGTCGGACGAAGTCACCGTGCAAGATGTGAACCGCCAGCTTTCAGAAGCCCAGGTAGCTATCGCACGACTCGCACGCACGCTCGACCGATTCGACGCTTCTGTTACTGATACCTTTCAGCAAGTTCGCCTCTGGGGCTTAGATCGAAATACCCATCCCGGCTCCGGTAATGGCAGACCGATTCGAATCGAGATCGAAGCTACGCATGGAGATTTCAGCCGCCAACTGATGGATACCCAGTCGGAGATGACACAACTAAGAGGCATGCTCAACGACACCAGCAATTCTGTCATGCATCTCCTTGAGAACGTTCACTTTCACGACCGTGACTCTGACTCTGGCGATGATGCATACTTCCACGTGATCGACGATAGCACGTACAACGTCATGCAATGTGCCGTCCACAAGCTCAAGCTGATCAGATACCGCAACCTACTCACGTATCTGCGGACGCATCGTGGGGTACGAGCCAATCAAGCCACAATCGACCAGACGAACGCAGAAGTACACAATGGCGACTGTCTATGCGACGCGAATCTCCTGCTCGACATCGGAGTCCATGTCGAAGATCGTATGCCACGTCGAGCACAGGCCGTTTGGGAAACAGTCTTCGAGGATTTGTATGGCTGCTTGTATGACGACGTATTCAACAATGCTCACGATCTGGACTTCATCAAACTCGCCAATTATCGGGCCACAACACTCATGTCTACACGGAAACCATTCTATCCGGAGAAGAAGACGCTGTACGATCGCATCATTGACAACGTGAAGCAACTCCAGGAGGTACTCATACGCGGTATTACAGTTGAGGATCACGATATGATCCGACGCTTGTACCCAGAAGTCGAGCCAGCATTTGAGGCGTTGCAAGCGATAAATCGAGCGGAGAGGGAGGCTAAACAAAATCAGAACAATCAGGGCTATACCGCTCACGACGCTGATCTGAACCTGCCGCAAGGAAGTAGCCGAGCGCGCCGTAGAGGACTAGGAGGCGGTATCGGGAGCGATCAGAACGGTCAGAACGCCCGGAACAGCCAAAATAATCAGAACGGCCAGAACAACCAGAATCGCAAGAACAATCAGAATCGCCAGAACAATCAGAATCGCCAGAACAACCAGAACAACCAGAACAACCAGAACAACGCTGTCAATAATGCCTTACCTCCTAACAGCAGTCCTGCTGACGATCGCACGGTCTCCACAGCAACGACAGGCATCGAAGATGACCTAGCAAGTGCAAGCATTCAAGACAACAACGCCACCACAGGTGCTGGCCCTACGACTCCGAGCAGTAGGACCAACAGTCAGAATCCGGTGTCTACGCCACCGAGAAGCGCTGGGAGAGATCGAGGACGCGGAGATGGGCTTGCAGGTCGTGGGCACGGAGACGGCGGTAGAGGTCGAGGAGGTGGGAACGGAGATCGAGGTCGAGGCGTCTGGCGAGGGAGAGGAAGAGGAAGAGCATTCGTCCCATATTCTCCTTCTGCCCACCGCACGGAGCCGGAGCTGGTCGATTTCAGCGCCATTGAGGGTCCGAACAGCCAAGTGCAAGGCACGCTATCAAATGTATGCCGCCGACCTCAGCACAGCGCTTATACCAACAACTCAAGCACAAACGAGAACGATGGCCAAAATCCATTCTCGTCACCGAACAACTCCTCGCATGTTGAGTCCTCCTCACTCAGCAGCAACGACAACAACCGCCGATGTGGCATCAAACTCACACAATTCCGCAAAGTCAAAGACTGCCTCAGCTCAGCCAACAAGTTGATCATCCGCTTGATCTGTCCTCGTCGATCGGGTTCAAAGCGGTCAACCTGTGACGGCAGTGATCAAGAAGACCTTACGCCAGCTGGTCCGCTGAGTCGAGACGCAGCTGCGAATGGTGATGGTGATGGTGAAGATGTGGCCGTGATGGAGGATCCAGTAAGCGACTCAAGTGGAATGGAGGACGTGGATGTGGAAGGAGCGGGGACTGAGCTCAGTGAGGATGCAGTGCTCAAGGAGCAAGAAATGAATCGACCGCGAGAAGGTAGCAGAGCGGCGACGACTGCGCCAGGAGGGGGTGCTGACAACTGAGGAGTGACGAGCACGAGAAGGAACGTCCGGACGGTCTGTAGGCATCATCTGAGTTCGAATGGAATTGGCCGCCCGGAATTTTCAATATGCAAGGCTTACAGTTGGACTTGTGTTGGCATGTCCACATTACGTGCTCCCACGGAGTACCTCTCTAGATGACAATGCGTGTGGTGGAGTGGCATCGTTGTGTAATGTGCTTTTTGTATGGAGGAGGGTTCAGGAAAAAAATTTGATGGCGAATGGTGCTCAAGCTTGCTTGTGCGATAGGTATCGGGTTACTCTACTACAGGAACACAATCGACGCATCACAAGTCTCGGCTTGCATCCGAAGGGCTCGGCGTACACATCTTTCAATCTCTCCCTCGCCACTGTTCCCACGTCAAGCACCAACCGGAACTCCCCTCAAACCCCTCGGCTCCCTAGTCTCCGCCTCCTTCCCATTCCTCCGCAACCTCGTCTTCCTCGACTCCGCATACACCTGCCTCCTCGCCCGCTGCACACTCCTCAATGTCTGGTGCTCCTTCCAACTGTGCCAGGAATTACACGCCACACCCGAGTCATAGAACAACGCTGTCATCGCAACTATCCTGCTTCGGCATTGCCACAGCTGTGACCTCCACAACCGGTCACTTTGTCTCGTCCCACTCGGCGCTCAACCCTCGACGATCTAGTCGACAAGGTCCTCGAGAAGCTGGACGCGGAAGGAGAAGGTGGCGAGATTCCGGCGTGGAAGGCGCGGAGGGAGTCGCTGAGGATGGTGGGTGGGTCTGTGTCGAAGATTAGGATGTCTTTGAGCCTGAAATTGACGGAGCTGGTGGGGAAGAGGGCGTATCTGGCGACGTAAGTGCTATGGCGGTAGGCGCTTGATCAGACCATCCGCCGTCTTCTGACGAGCCGACGAAGTCTCGCGATTCTAGTAGGCGATAGTTGTTGAAGGTGAAGTCCAGGCATCGTTCTTGCCAAAGAATATTCCGCCGGGCACATCGAAGACCTTGATGCCCAAGCCACGAGGAGCAGGAGCTGTATCGGGCGAGATGGCAGGTGGGAGGGACATTTGTTCTTTCCCAGGGAGGTTGATGCGCCCCTCTTGCTCAGTGCCATGGTTCCTTCCCTTCCTGTGAGTCCTGCTGCAGCTTCTCATACTTCTGCATCGTTCTTGTAAGCACCAAACTTTCGAACCACTGCATCATCCATCCCCCAGCTAGCCATCATATTTCATGCAATTCTGCTCCCTTGCCATCGGTGTGTGCTGGTCAATCATGAGACACTGCCTGATCATGCTACATACACCTTGGTCCAGGTCAAAAACTCGACCAGGGCGAATTAGAGCCGGCATTCCAGCCTCCACCTACCTCTTAGTGGAAGCTGATCGACCGGACCTCACTTCCGTCCTTACGATAACAAACGCATGAGCGATCGACGTTTGGGCAGCTTCCCTAGCCCAGCAAACGCCCTCGCTTTACAGCCAGCCCTCTCAGACCGAGTCCAACAAGCCCTGGAGCAATATCACAACCATACACAAAAGTGGGACCTGGACGAAAGCAGAGCTGAAGCACGCCACAAGGGTCAAATTTAGCCTCACCTGACGGCTGGCTCAGCCATCGGTTCCAAACCTCGCAGACCTACCTGACCCGACATAATCCTCTACTCCCAGTACGAGTTGTCCGTTGCACGCACCCAGTGACGGTCTCTGTGTCCCTGATACTTTGATTGAGGGGAGGCCGCGACACAGTGTGTCTGCATAAAGCCGCTGTGTGAGCCGAGTAGAGGTCGAAAAGAGCATGCTTGACATGATCGCCAGTTGTACGGTTCTCGGGTAGTAGGTTCGGTGGAAGTCAGACTGAAGGCTTGGTGGTTGGATTGTCTATTGGCTGCACATGCATTTTCATCGCATATGCGAACTAGCAAGCGCTTCTGCGATGTCTGCAAAGGAGCTGCCGATGCTGGGCCCGAAGCGCCTTCGGAAGATCAACCAAAGCCGAGATGAAGTGTCCAATTAGCCAGTGGCAGCCGTCAGATTCGTAGAGTCTGGTGTGAGAATTTGAATGGCGCAGCCATTCCGACGCCGCGACCGGGCTTCTCGATCTACCCTATCATGGCAGCCTCTGCGGGCCTTCGGACATCGCTCCTGGCACAACAGTGTCATCACGGCTCCAAAGAGTTGCGAGGCCGCCAGTAATTCTTTCAGCACTCATCGAGGATAACGCTAGCACCGAAAGACAGAAAGCAATAGATCAAGAGGTCGGAGGGATTGAGCAGCAATCTCAAATACCTGGAAAACACATCGTAAGCGCCTAGGCTAAGATCGACAAAACGACGAGATGAAGACACCATTTGCACTTGTCCTGATCCCGTAAGCAGCTGCAACACGCCAGGGCCATCTCTGATGGTCCGCCGGATCACCAAGCGAACAGCAAACCAACAGCTGCCACCAACAGAGCCGCGGCAGCACTGACAGATGCCCGCGAGACGCCATTCTCACTCGAGCTCCCACTCTCACTCGCTCCAGCACCAGGCTCGGCAGTAGGGAGACTCATGAGTTCCTGTCCGGCCGTGACGGTCGCCGAGAAGGTCTGCCAATCCAGCGACTTGGTCGGAATCGCAACATTGCTGCTTTCGGTAATACCGTCCACGGCTGCGGTGATTTGACAGTCATAGTCCTTGTCGGCTCTGGTCACTTGGCATTTGATGTTCATGGAGATGGATGTGCTTGCGATATCGCCGTCGAGATCGAAGGCCTATCACAGTCAGTCACGTTGCAGTGGAGTTAGGCACGCATGATCCACTGAGGTCCTCCTCCGCGAGGTAATGGCAACTTACAAAAGTGGAAGGGCCATTAACCAAAGTGAATTGCTCAGACTCGAACTCTGCCAGAGTCTGCGCATCTGGTGGGGAGGCTAGTTCGACGAAATATGTTGTCGCGGCGTCATTCTGTTAGAAAGCAAGTCAGCCATGATCTGAGGACTTATATATCACGCGGTTAAGATTTGGGCTCTGATTTGGCCGTCTGGGTTTACTCACCGCAGAAACCACGGAGCCATATAGCCATCTATATCTGCCGCAGAGAATCCAGCTTCTCCCAGGATGTATAGGTTCACATCCGTCGATCTCGTCAAGCTCGCGCTTGAGGTGATGGTACTGCTAAGAAATGTGGTCGATGGAGTCTGGGTGGCCAAGGGTAACGTTTCACTTTGTGTATCTGTGGGCAATGCCGCTGTTGACAGGACGGTGTCTTGTGCGCGTGTGAATCTAGCGGCAAGCAAGGCGGCCGCGATGGTCGAGACGATTGCGTTCTTCATCTTGGACAGCTTGCTTGAGTGGACGATGCGCAGATGTTGTCCTGATGAGCTGTGAGGTCTTGTTGAGGCGAAATACCTCTGCTTTCGGTGGGAGTGAAGCGTAGGAAATGCTGAGGCGGCACCTCACGCCAGACGCACGACGGCGAGCACGGTTCATATACATCTATGTTCTGTTGGTGTTGCCAATTCGACCAATTTCGCTCCTGTGTACACATATAGAACGCCTGACAGGGGTCGTGTCGCCTTCTAATGGGGCGGAGTGGCAGCCAAGACCAACGGTCTTGATCGCACCGTTTCATCTGGCCCCGGACCTACCTGTTCCTAGCCACACAGCGGCTGCCACCCGGTGCTGTTCTGTATGCAGCTTCCGCAGAGAAGGCTGCGCCTTCCGCACAAGCGTCGAGTATCCAAATGCAGGTACTGTGTCTCGGCACCTCGTAGTTTCCAAGGTTGTGATGCACGAGCGGACCGAGTAGCTACCGACTTTGCATGAGTTGTTCGAGAAGCCAATGGAACGGTGCCACTGAACATACGGGCGCGCTTTGGAAGTCGACGAAAAGTCCTGCGGCGTCAAGATTGACGCATACGAGCCGGAGGATAAAGTACGATGAAGCTGAAATCACAACACGAGAGACCGGCAACCGTTATGCCTTTCGACATGTGTCTTGGCATTGCTCATTCCAGCCGCAGGTAGGTGCCTTTTGGGATACCATTGATTCTCTTCAATACCTACTGACCAGTGTACTTGCCGTTGATACGACGAAGACCATCTATCACTGTGATTCTTGCTGTAGGTGACTGTACATACTTAACCTGAACCTTTTAGACATTACACGAATCCGCGTTTCCCTTTCAATTCCAGGCTCACGCAGCTGCCGTCCGGCAGAAGTGCTATCCAATTTGCCCAATTGTGGCACAGGTTGTCCTGCTGCCTCACTGCCCAATCGCAACCCGCGCATCGCATACGTGTTCACAGGTGCAGCCCAACATGCAATTCCTGATGGTCTTGCCGTGGTGAAACCCTCTCGTTCCTCACCTCTTCTTCTTTCCTGCCTTGCCAGCCGGACTCGCAGCCTTTGGCGCGGCAGCCGGAGGTGGCGCAGCACCACCTGCAGCAGGTCGCGGACCCGCGCCGAGCCCTCCGCCCATGGTGTCGCCCATCCTCCGATTCATGATCTGCCTGCTCGCAAAGCTGACCACCAGCATCATGAGCCAGCTCGGCAAAGCACCCATCAGCCACAGCCCGTATCCAAAGGGCACCGTCAGCCCGAATTTCTGGACACTCCCGTCGATGGGATGCAGCCACCCCTCGTAGGGTGTATATTTCAGATAGCGGGAGTCGGTTTTCGAGGGGACGGACGTCATGTTTGTGGTTGAGACGGAGCTGGCATTGAATCGGATTATGCGAAGATCGGTAGCTCCAGACGGGTTGGGATAGAAGTGCCAAATAGCGGGGACGCCGGCGGACCAGGCCGTGCAGAGGATCTCGTTCTGTTCGCAGTCGACGGACCCGAGCCGCAGAGGCGGTTCGGACGAAGATGACTTGGGCAGTGCGGAGAGGTATGCGACGGATTTCTATGAGACGCACGGACACACACGTTAGCATCTGAACAGCACACAGCTAGCATAGTGGTTCAGAAGTAGAAGAGATAGACGTACATTCCATGTCGCCTCAGCATGCTCGCAACGGCCGAAACAAGTCTTGTTCCCGCCCGTCATGAAAACCATCCACTCCTCGGGCGGGCTCTTTGGCCACAGATGAGCCTTCCAGTTCTGCATGTTCAGCGGTTGCACCACTTGTGCGGCAACCGCGCTCGCACCGGCATCGAGGCCATAGGGAAAGGCGTTGAAGATTTGCGCGCCGAAGTTCGATGTCCAGGCGCTCATTTTTTCCATCACGCCGGGCTGCTGCGTCATGGCGGCGCCCGAGAGGGCGAGGAGGGGGATGACGCGCATCTTCGAAAGTCGGTCGGAAGGCGGCTGCGACCGGAACGGAGAACGCAAATAGGTAAGAGGGAAAGGAACCTAGAACAAGTGCGCAGCAAACGAAGCTGTGAAAGAAGTGTATCAAAAAGAGAAGATGACAGCGACAGGAACGAGCTTGGAGAGGACGATGATGGAAGCTTTTCGACTTCTCCCCGTGCTTGAAGCAGACGTATGTGTTCATAAGGGTCCTCCTCGGGGCGGGTTGTGGTCAAACGTCGTCACTGGGGGCAACCTGGGGAAGCTAACGAAGGATGCAGTTAGGCGGGCGGCTGTTTCTCGCTTCAAACTGCAGTATAGGGGCTCAAACGCGGTAGCCTGAACGTTGCTCGAGCGATGTAGGTAAACTCGACGGCGTTGTCTTTGCATGTACATATACTACTGGCAAGGCATCTGCGCTGGTCTCCAGGGGCTACAATCTGTACTGAGAGGGCAGGAGCGTCATGGCAGCCGCACCAACAGCGTGTGCCGCAACCACAACCGCGGAAAGCGACATCGTCTTCAGCATCCAAACCGACACCGTCGTAGAACCCAGCGTTCCCTGCGATACCAACGGGATCCCTTCGGCAACCATCACCAGCGATGCGAGCACAGCCACCGGTACCGATGGTCTCCCGTCATTCCCATATAGCGGAACATGTTCAGCACCATTGATGACTGGCGACCGTCCCTTCTGGGCATCCTCTGGCTACGACCCATTCGAGTGTGGTGCAGAAGTCATCCTGCTGGACTGGACGATATACTGCTGCAAAGGCCTCATGATTGACGTCTCGCAGCCGCTAACTGGACAGGAGGGCCCTAACGGAACGGAGAGGGGCGAGATGTGCTTCGAGAACATCCGCTGCTGCTCCGACGATCCCAACACCACCAACGCGCCGATCACGACTTGTACTGTTGGAACACCGGCGACCCTGCTCCTGGAGAGCCAGGTCAGCACTGCATTCTACGCTACGGCTAGCACGACATGCACAGACTTCTTCTGCTCCGACTCATCATCAATATCTTCGCCAACGACAGGGTCAACACCAACATCATCCTCAACACCCACAGGCTCATCGAGCGCAGCCCAGACGCTCTCACCCTCCTCGGCCTCCTTGCCCTCATACTGCTCATCATTGGTAATCCTGCCATTCGATCCCTACTGCCTTAGCCAGTTCCTGCAAACTCCCCAGCGTGCCTACATGCTCCCACTGCGCCCTCTCCTGCTGGTACAGCCTCCAATGCTGTTCCGCCACCAACTTCGGCGAACAATACTTATCCTCAGGACTCACGATCCCATTGATATCCAACCACGCCACATGCACGCCCTGTGGACCAGCAATCTGATCAAACGACTTCAAAAAATTACACTGTGCCGCCTTCTGCATCGACAATGAAAAGAACGGGTTCAACGGCTGCTGCCGAATACCACTGGCGGAGAGGAAGAAGGACGCCTTTCCACCCTGTTTAGCACTCTCCGCTAGATGCGGCAGAGCCCAGACGGCAGCAGCATAGATCCCCACATTAATGACCTTGAAATCCTGGAGCAGTTCATCGGCGGTGAACTCCCCAAATTGGCTGGGGCCGACGCGCGCGGCGTTGTAGATCACTATTTCGGGAGATCCGAGAGAATCTGCGACTTTGTCGAGGGTGGATTTGAGGGCGGTGTGGTCTGCTACGTCGACGGCGAAGGACTCGACTTTGACCGATTTGTCGGATGATGCTGCGGACTGGACGGTCTGGACATCCTGCTTGAGGCGCTCGGCGTTGCGCGAGAGGAGCGCAATGTTGAAGCCCTTTGAGGCGAATAGGGAAGCGGTTGCTGTGCCGATGCCGGGCCCGGAGCCGATGAGGACGAGGAGCTTGTTGGACGATGCTGTCGACGAGCCCATGGTTGTATGTTGCGAATTATTCGGGAAGATCTATACTGCTCCGCGCTCGTAGCTATCTAACGGGATGGTACTCTAAAGCGGAGTCTCATCAGCGCAGCAGCAGCAAGTACACTATATACGGATATACATGCACGACATTCGAAGCTGGAGACAAACTTTCGACAACGTCACGTCGCGCTTGTAGCCAGAGGGGCAAAGTGTATATAGCTTGTGCCTACCCATTTTGGCACGAAATAACTCGAACGGGACGAATTGCCAGAACCTTGATGCACTTTGAGAAGGATTATGCATGTGTGGACGTTGCTGGTGCCCTCGCAAGCGCAGGTCGCCACGAATTATAGATCTCGCAACAAGCTCTTGAGTATGGTATTTAGATTTCTCCATTCCACAAAGCGAGTGGTTCTCACTACCCGAAGCGGTAATCCGGGCTCAATCCATACTAGTGGGCGGCGTGTTACCTAAGAAAGTTGTCAACTGGGCAGTTACCCAGCTTATGAAAGAGGTTATAGGTGGACACTTTTGGTTATTGTGTCTGTGCATGACTGGTCGAGCTGCCCTTCCGGGCGTATCGTATATCAAACACGATGCCATACCCATGGAGCTACCCGAACACGAAGCTGCGAGGCGACCAGTTCGCCGGACCGCGCTTGGCGGGCGGAAAGGCATAACCTGGAAGACCTGCTGACGGATGACAACGCAGTCGCGCTTAAGTAGCGACACAGCGCGACCGACCTGCCACTCGAGTGTGCCATCAAGTGCGCAGATGGCCAGTACGCTCGACTTCATTCTGCCACTGCCACCAAGCACTAGCATGGCCAGCGACGGCTAACACAGTGCTATTGCTCGGCCCACGGGAACAAGCTGTGAACTGATGGCGGCTTTCTCGGCAGCTTCTTCATGGCAATCCAGACCATGAGCCGTACTTGAGAGGTAGCATTGATGATCTGACAGGCTTGCCTTTCGGGATGGATAACGACACAATGCCGGTTCGAAGATTCGACGACTAACGGACCTCGTGATTCACGTCGCCTATCGAATTTCGGCGCCGGTCTTTCTCGTAGATGCCACTTATTCGCGACCGTACGCGCCATCTCCTGGAGCGCAATCGTGTCGGCGCAGCATCTCAGTGCCCTCATCCGCACCAGCCTTCCCACCAACGTAGGAAACCATGTTCCACAGAGCTTAGATTCCCTTGTAAGCCAGTGACAGTGCAGCTTGCTTCGCATTGCGGAAAGATCTCCCTTGGCAGCTTTGCAAAAGTCATCGGAGACCGGCCCTTGCTCATTCCAGGCTATCGGCTCCCTGCCAGAACCAGCAAATTCCATGTCGGAAGCTTGGTTTTGCATCCCATAGCAGATGCCATGTATGTTATTCCCAGAGTGTACTTTGCTGTTCCTTGATCGTTTGTGCACGTGTTCGATACTCAGCCTTGACATTCTCTGGCTCAGCATTCCACTGCTATCCAAGCATGACAGAGATGTCATTGTTGTGAAGGTCAGGCTTCTCAGCCTTGACAGAGTGGTGGTAGTGCTTGCGCTAGAGGATGAAGGGCACTGGGAGGACCGGCAACCTTGGTGAGTCTTTGTCCGAGGTGTCAGGTGTGTCTGAGGGAGAATTGATAGTCGCTGGCGAGCTGTCGGGTGATGAAGCAGAGAGCCGCTGGGGATCTTTCTCCATGAGCCTCAAGTCAGCCATCCAATGACTTTGGCACGTCGAGCTCGAGTTCGTTCTTCAGCAATTCGCTCAGCCCTGAGCCATCCCTCAGGTAGACCCACCTGCCTCCGTGATCGTAGTCCGTGATCTTGCCCTCAACATCGACACTCAAGGATGCAGCATCTGTGCCCTCCTTCGCATCCTGCCCAGCGCCAGGAGCTTGATAGTCGTAACGTTTGGGACCGGAAAGGGGACTCGACAGCCAGATTTGCTTATTTGGTGGTTGCTTGTTGATGACCCATGTGCCTTGAGGTGTTTCACATTTTAGAACGCCAGCCTAAGACGAGTATGTCAGTTACCACAACTTCACGCTATTACGAGATGGGGAGGAACATACACTGTATTCAACGTCGTATTCGGCATTGGCCTCGGCCTTCTCTTCAAGTGCAGAGACCAGACGGTCGAGGTAGTCATCGGAGAGCTCATGATAGGTCTCGTTGTCGAGCGGCGTTGGTTCGTCTGCGGCGGAGGCTGTGGTCTGCGCCTCGGGATTTGGTGGTGCTGGGTCAGAGGTCTCTGGTCGTAGGCCCTTGTGTAAACGAGCGGTTGTTGTGAGGAAGCGAGGATTTGCAGATGAGTTCGATGCCGAGGATGTGGGGTGCGAGTGAGCTGCCGCTGAGCGTGATGAAGGTGTCTGAGGACAGGTGAATCGGACCAGAGCCAGCGAAGTGAAGTGAGCCTTCTCTGGTGCAGTGACTGTCCGCTCGTGCATGCGGCTAAGAATACGTCGCAGCGACCGAACTGTTGCTGTAGCTCGGGACATCTTCTGCGAACTTGAAGCTCGGGCCAGAGCTCTCACGTAGCTACTATAGCGATGTGGTGGATTGCTATTGCTGCGTATTCGCAAGTTGGTGGCCAGCCAGATGCAAGTGCAGGTGCACCTGCAGTCTAGTCTCCGAACAATCACGTAAATTGAAAAGTCGCGACTTCGCTGGCATCATAAAAGTGGGGCAGAGTTCTTTGCTTCAAAGGGCGCCTCAACTTCGTTCCTACCAAGACTTCAGGTAGGTTTGTGAGTCACTTTGGAGAGACCAACGTCGACCGAGGGCGTGCCATATAAGTCAGGGCTGCTTTTGCACAAGTAAAGTGCGTCCAAGTTGCCTCGCATACATTGAAGATGGCACCCACCAAGCTTCAATTCGTCACTACAGATGTCTTCACAACCAAAGCCTACGAGGGGAACCCACTGGGCTTGGTCCGGCTTCCCAAGTCCCAGAAGTTGACACAGGACCAGAAGCAGAAGATTGCATTCGAGTTCAACCTCTCCGAGACAGTCATATTGCACGAAAGTGAGGAGAGCTACCGGACTTCTGAATGGACATTTGACATTTTCATTACCACATCTGAGATCCCCTTTGCTGGCCATCCGACCATTGGTACCATCTGCTATCTCGGCCGCTCGCTGCAGGCGACCGGATCCGGTGGTGTCATTGAAGGCAAATTGAAATGCAAAGCCGGCCTCATCCCTTGGAAATACGACACATCGTCCGGGGCGGCCTCTGCTGAGATTCCTCATGACAGCCACCTGCACAGCACCTCGCTCGACATTCGCGGACTTCACGCCATCGGCGTCCAGGAGGACGTCACGAAATCATTCCTCAACTCAGCGCCGATTGTGTCCATTGTTAAAGGCATGACGTTCTGTCTGGTTGAGCTGTCATCTCTCGAGCGCTCGCAGCCGTTAAGGCAGGATACAAGTCTCTGCCGAGGGAAGGTCTGACTCCTGAGTACGCTTCCACTGGTGTGGCCGGCCTGTTCTTCTACCATGTTACGGGTGAAGGTGCTGCGGACGGCACGACTGGAATTCGCACGAGGATGATTCGTACTCGCATGATCCTTGACCACCTGGAGGACCCCGCAACTGGATCTGCGTCGGCAACGCTGTCGGTGTACCTTTCAAAGCATCATCCCAAACTTCGGAACACACAGCAGAAGTTGCATAAGTTCGAGTTGACGCAGGGCGTTGAGATCGGACGCAAAAGTGTCATTGGAGTCGATGTCTCTCTTGATGGCGCCGGCAAGGTCGAGAAGGTCGTGTTGAACGGCACTGCCGTTGAGATTATGGAAGGCAACATCACCGTGCCATAGTTTCAAATAATCCATGTTTATCAGGTCTCGTTGGCTGCCTTCAATCTGTCTGCAGCTCTTGACTCGACGTAGAAGCCTGGATCCGGCTTGCGCTCCATATGTACTTCGGCCTTTGTCATAGGCTGGTCCACCTCTTTCACGGCGATCAACTCTTTGACCTTCATGAGTTGACCCGCGACATCGGGAGATACGGGATGGAAGACTGTCGCCATACGCTTCCGCAGTCCAAGCGCTTTGAGAACATTCGACGATTTCGCTGGTAGACCGATGGCTGAGCGTATCAGTGTGATGCGGAAGTATGCCATGGCTGATGTCGAGCACTTTGAAATAGAGAAGACACCGAAGAAAGCTGTCGCGATGATTACTTTTTGAGAGCATTCGTCTTTCGGTGAAAGCGGCGTCTGTGCACCGCCGTAGAATTTGGCCGCGGAGCGCCGCCAGTCCGCATTCATGGAGCGACGCTCAAGGACCACTGCAATGACTCCCGTCTGTCACAACTAAATACGAACGGCCACCCAACTCCGCAACACGCAGTACACCTGTACAAGTCCAATACACTCATCCCCGTCCCAGTAGACACTTGCAGCAGCAAGAAATACAACCAAACGGACCATCAAATCGACGCCATCGACAGCAAGTGAGGCAAGCCCTCGGGCTCGAACGTTGGGAAGTGGCCGATGGATCAAAGGGAGCGCTAGAGCCGCTGGCTGGATAGCTTGGAATCCTGCGGTCTTGACGCCTATGCGCACAATATGTCAACCAAAACTGCTGCGGACACGAGCCTATCCGTTCCCCAGATCAACGAACTACTCCGGACGGCGGACGATCTTGAGAAGATCACAAGTCTGAAGGCCGACGTTGCGCGCAAGAAGGCAGACATTGACTCTCGACTACGCGAGGGTCTAAAGGATCATCTAGAGACGACGCAAAATGGCATGTCCACCTTGTCCGAGGGCCAGAAGCTGGTCGGCCAGATCAAGGAGGAAATGAAGAGCATACACGACTTATGTGAACAAGCACAGTCGATACGGAAGAACTTCCCTCAGATTGACTATCTCGCAAAGGTACACCGCAACTTCGAGGCCACACGTGCTATGCAAGCCGGCTTGGACACCTTCGAGAGGGATTGCGCCTATGTACAACAATTACTGGAGGATGATGAGCAGGATCCAGAGAACCAGGCCAACTTGTTAGAAGCACATATGCGACTCACAAGGCTGCGAGACTTCAGAGACGAAGCACTCGACCAAATACGGAGGGCCAGGGATAGCAGCCTGGAACAGACCCTCACCGACTGGTTCCAGCCACTGGAAGCGGTCATTGATTTATTCGACGAGCACATCGGCTTCATCTGTATGCGCTTGATCGACTTCGTTCAGAACGACCTCAACGGCACTGTCGTGCGGCTAGCCATTGTCATTGCATCAGAGGAGAAGAACGACGATCGAGTGCGAGCTCTACAGGACGCCCAGAAGGACCATCAAGATCTAGTTAGCAAATTCACATCCTTCACTATTGGACCCAAGACGATTCGTGGCTACAAGGAGAAGTTCCTCCAAGCCATAGAAGCCGTAGCCAACAATATGCTCGAGCAAACCCGCCAGGACTTCGACGACGACCCGTCAAAACTCGAAAAATACACCAAATGGTTCTTCAACAACCTCTTCGTCGTCAAGCAGGGCATGCAAACCCTCTTCCCCAAGAAATGGAAGATATTCAACACCTACGTCAACATATACCACAAAGCCATGCACGACTTCCTCCTCTCATACGTCGACTCTCCCGAACTTCGCCCACCCAACATGCTCGGCATAGTCCACTACGTCGAAGTCTACTACCGCAAGCTCGACAAGCTCGGTGTCCCCCAATCCGACCTGAAGCCCCACGTCGTCGACAACCGCGAGCAAGACCTCGTCCGCGAGTATCGCAACATCATCACCAAAGCCCTCGTCTCTTGGATCGATCGCATGTACATCAACGACCGCAAAGCCTTTCTCGCCCGCTCCACCGACGCCATCGAGCAAGACGCCGACGGCCGCTTCAAGACCAAAACCATGGGCGACATGTGGCGCATGCTGCACGAACAACTCGAAGCCGCCGGCAACTCCGAGCGCGAGGATGTCGTCGAAGGGGTCGTCTCCGCCATGTTCTCTGCCCTCAAATCCCGCCAACAACAATGGGAACGCCTTGTCACCGAAGAGTCCACCAAATTCCAATCTCCAACCCCAGAAATCCTCGAAACCCTCAACCACTTCCAAGACTGGCTCCTCGCCATCGCAAACGACCAAATCGCCTGCATCGACGACACTCCCACCGCCGACCCGACCGACCCGACCGCCCAAGTCGGCTACCTCTCCCGCTTCAAAGAAGACTTCACCCACCTGCCCACCCCACCATCCCAAAAATTCCTATCCACAAACGGCACCACCGAACTCGAATCCATCCGCGACGGCTACGTCGACCTCTCAACCCACTGTATAAACCGCTTCGTCAGCCTGATCTTCGCCGTAGACTTCCGCGCCATCATGGCCGACTTCTTCGTCCCCACCAATGGTACGACCAACCCGCCATGTCCCGCATCACCACCACCTTCGACGACTACATCTCAGACTACTCCCTCGTCCTGCACCCCTCTTTACTCGACATCCTGATCGAAGAGCTCTCCGACGCTCTTCTGATCGCCTACCTCACCGCCCTCCGCACCAACAAATCCGTCAAATTCCGGCGCTCCGACCCCTTCGCCGCAAAATTTCGCGACGATGTCCTCAGCGCCTTCTCCTTTTTCGAGAAATTCCCTGAATCCTTCCAGGAAACCATTAAGCCGAGGTGGAAGTGCGTGAATTTCACGGTCAGGTTACTTGAGACAGAGAAGAGTGGGGTGGTGGATGTATACACACAATTCAAAGCCGAGTTTTGGGATCTGCAGTTGAGTTGGGTGGAGGGGGTGTTGAAGACGCGGGACGATTGCGATCGGAACATGGTCGCTGGGGTGAAGAGGGCCGCGGCGGGCACGTATGGGGAACGGGGAGTGGAGAGTGTGATGGGGAAGGTTAAATGAGCGACAGTCATTCACATTTAGCAATGCTTTGATTGTATACCTGTAGTAGAGCGCCCGAGCCCTATTGTATGAGCAAAGTCAAGCACCACCCGCCATCAGATTCTTCCCCTTGACACTCTTCCACTCAAAAAGCACACTACACAACGCCGCCATCCCACCACACGCGATGCTGAGGATATACGCATTCGTGATCGCCTTGTTGTATCCCATCAGCACAGCCGGCAGCAACACCTCCGGCACCACCTTCCTGATATTCGTCGCGCCCGCCATAAGCAAGATCTGCGGATCCAATCCGGGCGCATACTTTGGTATCTCGTTCACCAAACTATTCGCGAAGATATTCTGCGCGATACTAATGCTGATGGCGCCACCCAAGCTATTGAAGAAGATAGCTATGCCGTTGCCGACAGGCATGTCCTTCTTCGAGAGCACGACCTGCACCGCAATGAAGGGGATCTGCACGCACGTCCCGCTCCCGCCTCCAGCGAGGATCTGGTAGCCGATCCATTGGCCCGCAGAGGAGTGGACTTTGAGGGTGTAGATCAGCCCGGCACCAATCGTGAAGAGAACCGAGCCGAAATAGAGGAAGGGGACGTAGAAGCCCATGACCGTTATCGTGCCGCCGACGATGATCGAGAACAGGGTGTTGCTGACGAGATAGGGGATCGTGCGTATGCCGGAGCCTTCAGCCGTGGTGCCCTTGACAGCTTGGAAGTAGAAGGGGAGGTAGTAGATGTGCGTGTACAGCGCCATAGAGAGGAAGACTGAGAAGACTGCGCAGGCGAGGACTGTGCGCTGCTTGAGCAAGATTCGCGGTGGGATGGTTGCCGTTTCGCCCTTGTAGAGTTGGATTGCGGTGAAGGTGGAGATGAGGAGGAAGAAGCCGAGGAGACAGCCCCAGACCTTGGAGTTCTTCCAGGAGTAGGTGACGCCGCCCCATTGGAGGGCTAGGAGGAGGCAGACGATTGCGGTGATGAGGAAGAAGGCGCCGATCAGATCGATCTGGCCGATTTTCTGCTTGAGGTTTAAAGTGGAGTTCTCGCGTTCGGGATTGCTGAAGAAGAAGAAGACGACGATGAGGGAGATGGCGCCGATTGGGAGGTTGATGTAGAAGCACCAGCGCCATGATACGCCTGGTTATTGTTAGCCGAGTCTGCTTTGTTAGCCCAGGGGAGACCTACGGTCAGTAAAGGCTCCTCCTAGTATTGGGCCGACAACAGAGGCAATGCCAAACATTGAAGAGACGAGACCGATGAAAATGGGCCGTCTGCGGAGCGGCACGCTGTACCCAATGATGGTCATGCCGCCAGAGAACAGGCCTGCCGCGCCAACGCCGGCCACGGCACGGCCAACGATGAGCATAGGCGAGCTGACCGCGGCTCCGCAGATCACGGAACCAAGTTCAAAGATGGCAAGTGCAATCATGTAGGTCCATTTGATGTTAAAATAGCCATAGACCTTACCAAATGATGGCTGCAGCGAGGTCGTTGTCAGCAAATAGCTTGAGCCGTACCTATAGAGCTTTCAGTACCACCACTGGCAGTTGGCGCAACCATACGTACCAGCCTACATCGTCAAGCGAGTTGAAGACGGAAGTGATGCGAGGAATGGCGGTCGCAATAATTGTGTTGTCGAGTGCGATGACAAACGTGGTCAGGCACAGGCCGAGCACTAAAAATGCCAGAGGCACACCCTTGACGTACTTCGACTCATCTTCGGCTTCTGAAGCAGCATTGGAAGGTGTTCGTTCAGCTTCGGACGTGGTTGTCTCGGTGTTTGGATTCAAAGTTTCTGTCTTGTTGTTCGGTGTCTCTACCGTCTCCGCGGCTGGTGCTTCTGTTATTGGCTCATCTGCAGTCGGCTTTTCTGTACTTGATTGACCTGTCTCCTTGTTGATCGCATCAACCTCTGACGCAGGCGAAGAGTCTGCTGTAGAGGGTTTTGTATCAGCGGCACTTTTCGACCACGGGAGCTTCATATTAGTATGTGTACGCGATGCGATGGTGGTTACTCTCAAAGTTGCAGCACATGCGGAGAGATATGCGTTATGTATGTAAGGTAGTAACAAGGCATTTCGGAAACCATAGGATCCGAGCACAGAACGGCTAGAGAGAAATCGCTGATCACGAAGTGACGCCGTTACTAGCAAATTGGGCGAATCGAGTGCTTTACAAGAATTCGAAAAAGCCCGGGCCCTCGCTTCGACTTGAAAGTCGACAACGAGCAGCAGGCGATCGACAAGGGAGTTCTGGAGAACCCCCGGTTATTGGTCTTCTATCCGGGGTGTAACAAAAGCTTTTCGTTCACTTTTCCCATTGTGGTCTAGCGGAACAGGGAGAAGATGAGCAGGGGTCGTGCGTCGTGGTCGTAATTCTCGTAATCCGGCTTGATATCGCCGCAGAGTTCGTCGTCTGTGGCCTCCAAGTTATTGCCATGTGAGGTAGTTTTTGTAGCTTCAGATACGGAGGTCGAGAGAGGCACAGGGTCGTTCTCAGCCGGTCCACGAATTTCTGCTCTTTATGATCCAGCGGAATAGGCAGGTGTTAGAACTCAGCTCAATTCCGCTGTCGCCGTCTGTCGACTACAGACTCATTGGGTCGGTTTCTTGTAGTTCGTCTCCCTCGAGGCACAGGCCCGCTGTTGACTGGTCTCATGAACGCCTGCCAAGCAGATCAGTTGTCCTGGGAGATCAGTCTTGACAGGATCGAAAACGGATTTGCAAGACCGCACAAGCACCGAGGTCGACCAGGCGTTCGGTCAAAAGGGCATCGTCATTTGATACAAAAGATAGTCGTCGAGCTGGTTATACGACTCGCTTGACCTGCAGCATGGTCAGCAACAACGCGTGCCAGAGTACACATTGAAGCCTAAGATACCTCAAAGAATCTCTTCAACCACCAGACCTGAAAGACACCTTCGCCGATCAAGACACCCAGCTGGAAAATCGACCACCATTTCACTCGAGCGTTGGTACTTTCAGCAGTGTTGCGGTGTGTTCTCTCTCTGACCACAATGTAGGCCTGCTCGTCTTTGACTTGAGCCAAAGCCTCCGACATCTTCTTGACTGGAGAGATGTCAGTATTCGGGCATTGCTGCAGGATCTTCTGAGCTCACCTTCGGCTTCTAGTGGGTCTGACGGAGTTTCTGATTCTGGCACATAGACTATGCCATGCACATTGAACGACACCTCCTTGCTATTGGCGGACCAATGCTCATTGCTGAAGCAGTACATGTATTTGCCATCTCGTTTCGCGTCAAAGGAGTAATCGCCTGATGACACACTTCGTAACGACACTTCCTGTCTGCTCGTAGGATCATTGATCTGATCATCGTTAGTGGTTGACCATCTGCCTGGTGTAGGGGGCTCTCATACGTAGAAGTCGATGTCTAGGTTGCCAGAACCTCCAAATTCCCGATCACCGACTTGGAATGTGACGGTCATCTTGTCGCCGGCATGCAACTCTTCGTGAAAGCATTCTCGCGAGTGTGCTTTGAGTTGTATATTGTGCGCAAGAGAAGCCCCTAACAGTGTGGCCGTGGCTAGCAGGGAGGTGACGCTGAATCGCATGATGGGTTACGAGCAGCTGAAATGGCGAGGAAGGAAGCGAAAGAGCGACTGCTTTGTCCGCAATACGGGAGGGACAGTCGAGCACTGATGAGAGTTGAGATGACTGCGACTCGTTCAATGTCAGTTGCGATGTGCCCGCAGTCTGCGACTTTTTTGGAGACACTCGTGGACGACTTGGACTTGGATGCCAGGGGTTGACAGTGGTCTTGGCAGCGTTCAACTCTGAATTTGTCAAATGCCACGTCCCTTTCTCCTTTCCACCTTCAAGTCGTCGTGTCGGGAACAGAGCCGGCGCGCTTTCACGTGCTCCTCTCTGTCTGGAGGCCGTCGCTGCAATCACAGCCGGCTGTCAAGACCTTGTTGTCCTCCCCGGTCCACTGAGGACCTGGCATGCATTCCCCATTAGGTAGACGTATAGGTAAGATGCTCAAGCATTGGAATTGACAAAGCCACGAGTAGGCCAGAGCCACCAAGTCCAAGCTGGCTATACTTTGAATCGGATCAAGCTCATTGCGCACAGTAGCAATGGATGGCAACCATAAGGCTCGTAGATTGATCGTACATGTTGAATCATAGCATCGGGAAACCGTTGTCCAGGGAACTAACACAGACATTCACGTGAAAACGAAATCGACTTCACGTCTTGCAGGAGGATTCCAACATGCAATGATCAATCGCTTTCATACGCTGCACCGATCTGCACGAAGCAATCAACCGTCTACGCACCAGCATCTTCGTGTACCGTGTTCAGCGGTCGCAATGTCCCTCCGAGCGGTTTTCACCGACAGCAAAGGCAAGCAACGTGTTGTCAAAGTGCCTTGGTACGCAGCACTTGCAGGAGCGTCGCCAACGCGTCCGCCTCCCGAAGACGTATGGTGGACACTTGACTTACGCCCCCACTTGAAGCTGATCATCACATAGAAGCGAAAGCCATGCAGTAATTGCAAGGGAGAGGGCAAATGTAGCGGCTGTGGCGGCAAAGGCAAGGTCGGCGACAAGGGCAGTCCAAAGAAGGGTGGAGGTATGGCGAAAGGTGATGGCGAGAAGTCCGGCGAGAAGTCGGGCGACAACAACGATTCCACCGGCGAGGAGGAAACTTACACAGCCGAAGACGATAAGACGATCATCAAGATGAAGACCAGCGGCAAGACCTGGCAAGAGATCCTTGAAGCAATCGGTAAGACCTCCAAGTCGCAGCTCCAGATGCATTTCAAGAATGATCTACAAGACGAGGCCGGTGGTGGTGGCGGCGGCGAGAGCAAAGGCGAAGCAAAGGACACGGGAAAAGGCAATCAGCTACCAAAGGTGGTGGTGTAAGTCGACGCATTGACGGTGGACTATATGTGCCTTGCTAATGGTCTGCAGAAGGGTCAGCCTGGCAAGAAAGGCGCTCTAGACGAGCAGATGGCCAAGGAGCTGGACAAGCAGGAGTCTCGCAAGTGGGAGAACATGGCTTCACGACACTTCGACAAGACTGGAGAGCGCATTTCCGCCGAACAGGCTAAGCAGAAGTACGGGAAGTGAATATCGGCGGCAGTGTAGACCACAGCTTTGAGCAAAGTGGCAAAGTGGCAAAGTATGTGTGGCATACGGAATCGTGATAAAGATTCCTCTCATGTTGGAGCAGTGCTCGGGTCACTCGGTTGACTGCCGCGCCTGGTGCTCCTCCCATGTCAGACACGATCAATCTTGAACGACCTCACACTTAGAGCTGTGCGACTTCGACGCCTGCGAACAAGCTTCACTATCCACATCAACAAACCTTACTGCCTCTTAACGAAACTATCCTGGTTGCATGATTAATCATACCTGGGTGCACTTTCATTATGCCGATATCCATCGGCGCCTTCCTGATTGTCTCGCTGTTCACTCTCCATTCCGGACGTGGAGTCTATGTCGATGCTGCACCTTCCTTCCCCGACCATCGCATCTGGCAAGCTTCCAACTTCCAGTCCCTCATCACTTTCGGCGACAGCTACACCGATGAGAGTCGCATGAACTATGTTTTCTCGCATAATGGGAATGTGCCGCCCACGGGAACGCTATTGCCGGACTCGAATATTACGGCAAGCGGCGGGAGGACATGGCCACGCTACGTCGTCCAGTACGCCGGTAGCGAAACTGCAGACAGCTGGCAACCAAGGATGACGCTCTTCAATTATGCTGTAAGTGGAGCTGTCTGCTCGATCAACATCACTCAACGGTAAGCATATACGGCTGTCATGTGTGCCCGGTTTGCAGACCACTTACATAACGTACAGAGACTTTGGTCGCCCGAACTTTCCCTCGGTCCTCGAGTACCAGCTACCTGCATTCCTGTCAGACGAAGACTCTCTTCGTGCCAATACGACCTTGCCATACTTCACACCACCGTTGACAGCTTCGAATGCAGTATACGCGATCTGGATAGGAACCAACGACTTGGGTGTCTTCTTCAAGGAAGGCCAATACCCGGACAAAATCCTCAACGAATACATCGACTGTGTCTACCGTGTCCTCGACGGCCTATACCATGGCGGCGGCAGAGTCTTCGTTTTGATGAATGTTCCTCCTTTACACTTGGCGCCCTTGTACTCGAGCGTCGATGATCTCATGCAAGAGTACGTGGCCTTGGTCAACGCAATCTACAAGTATCGAACTCCATACGAGGCCCTTAATGCTAAACGTTATCCGAATGCGAGCTTCGCCACCTTCAATGTCAGTGGACTGATGGAAAACATGTACCTGCATCCTGAAAGATACTTCAACGGTACGATGCCGGCCAATGTGACGGGCGCTGAGCAGACTTGTGTGCCGAACGCGTCGGGCATCGGCTCGACCTGTGTCAAGATGTACAATGGGACGAGCCCGGATAGCTTCATGTGGTTTGATGAGTTGCACCCAAGTACACAGACGGATCGCAATATTGCTCGGACGTTCTTGGACGTCTTGAATGGGAAGAGCACGTACGCTGAGTACTGGTGACGTTTGTTGAAATTTGCGCGTAGTCTCGTATGCGTCTGTCTGTCGACTAGTCATCAGTGGTAACAACAATCATCATGATCACGAGCTGCTGCTTCAAGTTGCCCCTTCGAGAGCGGAACTCTCACTGGCACCTGGCCAGGCTTGTACCTAACAAGGCGGGGAAGGTCACCCGAATCCTCCGCATTTTTAGGGACCAACGCCCCGGCCGGAGGCGGGTAGCTTTGGCGAAGCTTGGCTCCGGGCTGGCATCCATCTCTGGTCGAGACCATGTTGTCACCCTTCAACGTTGTCATCGCTCGTGCGCCAGCGGCATTCAAGTCTTGCTTGAGTGCAGCGGCTTTTCTTTCAATCTAGCCATCGTTATGGACTAGACGCGCTCATGAAGGCGGAACATGAGCTCTACCGACGTCGCTGGTGGTGATGACACGCCCCAGAAGCAAGCAGCGTGCTTGCAGTGTCGACGCAGTAAAATCAAGTGCTTGCGGGATCCTGATGCGACAGTCTGCAAGCGATGTGCCAGCAACTCCATCGAATGCGTGATTCCCGAATACCATGTTGGCCGATATAAGGGCGTGAAGAAGTATGTACTCGCGACGTGCCGGACACTCGCTGACAATTTCCAGCAAACGTAGCGGTCTGGAGAAAGCAATTCATCAAGTGGAACAGGCCATCAAACGGTCGAAAGGCAACAGCGTCACTTTCGAGCACGAGAACGAAGTTCCACTGCGCCAGCTCATAGACTGGGATGAGCTCGGTGAAAATGGCAACGCTCGTGGTGTCCGGCGGCGGTCATCAGCGGTTGTTTCGCCGACAAGTGGTCTCGATGTCGCTGCTGCCGGAAGGGAGCGCTCTCAAGATTTTGTGCAGCCGGCAGACCTACCGCCAGTCCTTCATCATCGACAGAGCTTCAGTCACACGGCGTCAGTAGATCACACTGAGAAACCGGATGAGTTGGCTGTCGACAATGCGGACAATCCTCTGCAACTCCTTGCTATGGCCTCATCAATGCCCAATCAGTCGCCATCGACAGTGATCACGCCTTCGCCTGCCGCCGGACCCAGCACAAGTCACACCGATGGCGATGACGCGGAACTCCAGCAATATTTTGGTAGTCTCATGCCTGTGCTTGACAACACTCGTGATCTTGATCCTGTGGAGATGGGACTAGTCACACGCGAGGAGGCCGACACGCTCTTCACGTACTTCTACGAGAACCTGTCGCATACACGATGGGGCATGGATCCTATACTACACACGGCAGCTTTTGTACGGTCACGGTCGTCATTCTTGTTCACATCGGTTCTCGCCGCCTCAGCAACATTCATGCCCAACACAGCCGCGATAGCGAAGCGCTTATCGGTGCATCGTGGCTATCTGGCACAGCAAGTGATCAACAAACGTCATCGATCGATTGAGATCGTACTCGCATTTATCGTCAATGTGCCTTGGATGTCACCAGGGAAGCATTGGACTGACGATGAGACGTGCTCCTACCTGTCCATGGCACTCACACTGGCATTAGATCTTCAGCTGAACAAGATCGTGGTACCATCGCCCACGATCCGACCTCCTGGCTTTCTTGAGAGAATATCGAAGGCAGACTGCATTGACGCGGAAAAGGCTCTACAACTCGACGGCTTCGGCCATATCGATCCAGCGTCAGCGTGGGGAAGACGACTGCTACGAACCAGAGAGCGTGTCTGGCTAGCCTTGTTTGTCCTCGATCGAGGCATCTGTCTTGCTCGAGGTCGACCATACGCTGTGCCGATCGGACCACTGGTCGACAGCTGCGACACGTGGCACATATCCGATATCGCTGATCGCTGGGATGGAAGCGTCATTTCTACAGCAGTTCTGCGACGCGACTTGGTTGGCCTCATCGCATCTGTCAGGGACATATGTGACAACAGCCAGCTGAACACAATGAACGGATCTACAGCGGTGAAGACTCTCAAGGAAAAGATTGATCGATTCTTCGACCAATGGACTTCGGTCTGGTCATACCAACTAACTCAGGGCGACGGACAACTGCCGCCTTATGTGGAAATCCTGGTCTCCCATACGAAGCTTTCGACGTATTGTAGTGTCGTTAATCATCCCACGGCTCCCTCCGATGTCAAGCAGTTCTTCCGGGCCGCAGGACTGTCTTCAGCGCTTAATGTCATGCGAGTCGTCGTGCAAGGTGAGAACAGACTCAAGTCTATGCCAAACAATTCCGTTATTATGGTCTCGTTTGCAGCCTGCTTCACGCTTGGCCTGACAGTCACCGCCAACGACGAGAATGCGTCTGGTGCACCAAACGCCAGAGCGCTGATTGAGCAGACTGCACGCGTACTAGAGCGTATTGGCAAGACACCGAAGCATCGCAATGGCACGTCGGCGCTCTTTGGACGTCACATAAGGAGAATCATGCGGCAGTCGTTTCCTGACCACCCGCTTCCTGCAGCGCCAGCTCCCAATGGCTTCATGCAAGCCCCAATGGGCGCACCTCAGCTCCCTGCGCCAATGCCGCAACAGGCAGACGTGAGTCAGCCATATACGTTTGACATGACCGATGACCAGATCATCGAAGCTATTAACAATGCGAGTGCATCTCAGGAGCTGTTCCAGATCGATGAATCCCAGTTTCTGGACTGGCTGGAGTGGCCGAATACAACTTGGGGCTGAACAGCCCGCCATGTACATGATGATTTTCTTCATGCCTTGGTTGACGATTTCACAGCTTCGCAGCATCGGGATGAGGCGTGTCTCCATGCGTTGACAAGTCCCTGGTCAGCGCTACAAGCCTTTGTAGCTGCTCCAAGAAGACGAAAGTCAGTATCGTGTTGGGCGTCAGTCTCACGAATGCCGGGAGCCAACCTCTCAACAAGAACCCTGGCCCTTCCTGGCGCAGCGAATCTGTGATAATACGTCCTAGACTTGGCCTCATCCCATCGACCACAACTGCATTCTGGATACGACTCTTCAGAACATCAGCTGGAGCACAAGCTGTGGTCGCAACTGTACCTGCCACAAACGAAGCAAGAAAATGCGTTGGCAGACCGTCCTTCATACTGATCGCAGGATTGGTCAACAGCTCGTGCTTCGCAGCGGAGTATGTCGCGATCTGACCGACATTCATGATGACGCTTCGGACGATGTTTGGCGCCAGCCTCGTCCAAATGTTTGAACACCCTCCTCTCTGGCTATCCGCACAATTGCATCGAAACAATTCTTATATTTGAATTGCTGTATAGCAGGTTTCGCCCCATCAGCACACATCCTCACCAAGGCGACCTCGGTCGGATTTCCGACTACCCCCGCCATGGCTCCCGCGGCGCCTGCGAGGGCGATCTCTGTCATCGATGAAAGCTTCCGCTGCCCGGTTTTCTCACGGGCTCGCTGCGCCATGTAATTATATGCGCCAAACCGAAGAGTCGTGTACGTGGACTGGCGTAAGATCGAGGCTGAAATGCCTGACCAAAGCGACACAACACCATCACGTTGCGCGAAGAATGTGATGGTACTGAGCATGCTCTGCCGAGAGGCCATGGTTTGCATACGATACTTGGTTTGGTCAAGAGGGTGGGTGCAGCATGCCGCGAGAGAGCCCGCAGCGCCTCCCAGCCAGAAGGGCTGACGTTGTGGTTTCTTTGCACTGCGCATTTGTGCTGACCCGGCCGATGGCGGCTGACCTGTGGAAGACATTGCGGCGACGGATCGGTGGTAGATCAATGAAGTGAAGCACAGGTTGGCTAGGAGATCGGTGGGACTATACATATATCCATGTGCTATAAATGTCTATTCTGTGTTGTGCTGGTGCTGAGCACATAAAACGGAAGGAGCTATCGTCACTGGAATGACTCCAGGGAGGCCTCTGACAATATAGCGCCCCGAGCGACTGCTGACACTGTTTGCCTTTCACTGCATTGTAGAAGTATCTTGCTGTGTTCTTTGATAGAACCGCGCCAAGGCAATCAGAGACTCGGCCCATCTCGGGCTCACAAATATCGCCGACTCCAGAAAATCCATCCTCGAGCTCAGCTCCCGGAATGGCAATCGCGCTTTCGCGCTGCTGAGGTCACGGTGCTGAGAAAGCCGCCCAATTCCGAAGGGTCTTTACACAACAGGGGTGTCGCATAATAATAACACGGGTGCACCTTCCGATCATTTGTGCTCTCTTCTCTATCTGTTCAATTGTACGTATTGCGAATTGAGTGTCACTTCGGATTAGCAGAACGACTATATACACAGCGTCAGCATCACTGTAAGGTAGCTCTCGAGCTTTGGATTACAGGCAGCATAGCGCTTGCCCAGCAGTCCAGCACAATGGCGAGCAAGAGAACGCTTCTTCTCGCGGTCAACGACCTCAGACCCTCAACATACTCGCGTGTACACAGCATGCGATCACTCACGACTTGTAGAGCGCGCCACACGCTCCGGCAACCTACCACACCAGCAGCGCATTCCCGGAATCAGTCTCTTCGAGCGTTCAGCACATCCCAAAACTACCGTGAGGCGCCAGCTTCAGCACCACCACAGACCAGAACCAGCGGATCCAAAGTCTGGTCCTCCGCAGATGAAGCCGTAGCAGACATCCAATCCGGCAGCGTGATCCTGTCCGCAGGCTTTGGTCTCTGTGGCACCGCCGAGACGATCATTCACGCCATGGTTGCTCGCGGTATTGATTCGCTCAATAATCTCACCGCAGTCTCCAACAATGCTGGCTCGTCCGGAGATGGCGGTCTAAGTCCACTGACCAGATCTGGACAGATTTCTAGGTGTATCATGAGCTACCTGGGCAACAACAAGAAACTAGAGGAGAGGTATTTGACTGGACAGATTGCGATTGAGCTGTGTCCACAAGGCACGCTGGCCGAAAGGATCAGGGCTGCAGGTGCGGGCATTCCGGCTTTCTATACGCCTACGGGTGTGAGCACGTTCATCCAGACCGGCGAGATTCCGACGAGGCTAGGCACGGATGAGGCAACGGGCAAGCCGGTCGTGCTGGAAGGTGGAAAGGTGAAGGAGACTAGAATTTTCAACGGAAGGCAGTTCGTCATGGAGACGGCGTTACCTGGCGATGTTGCGGTGTTGAGGGCGTGGAAAGCCGACGAGGCGGGCAACTGCGTCTTCAGATACACGACTAAGGCATTCGGGCCAATCATGGCAAAAGCCGCAAAAGTCACGATCGTAGAGGCCGAAGAGATTGTGCCCATCGGAAGCATCGATCCCAATGATGTGCACCTGCCGGGTATCTATGTCGACAGAGTCGTGAAGGCTACAAGGGAGAAAATGCTGGAGATCAAGAAGTTGAGGCCGACCGGGGAGGCGGGTGAGGAGAAGATGACAGATGCTCTTGTCAGAAGGAACAGGATTGCCAAGCGTGCGGCAAAAGAACTGAAGGATGGCATGTATGTCAATCTGGGTGTGGGTATGCCGACTTTGGCACCCAGCTACTTGCCGGACGATGTCAAGGTGTGGATTCAGTCTGAGAACGGTATACTCGGGATGGGTCCTTATCCCACAGAAGACGAGGTAGATCCCGACATTATCAACGCAGGCAAGGAGACCGTCACGCTGGCGCCAGGTGCGAGCACGTTCGACTCAAGTGAGAGCTTTGGCATGATCAGGGGCGGGCACGTCGATGTGAGCATCCTGGGCGCGTTACAAGTCAGCGCCGCGGGTGATTTGGCGAACTACATGATTCCAGGGAAGGTGTTCAAGGGCATGGGTGGTAAGTTGCTCCTTCTCCATTGACGTACCAAGAGTACTAACGGAATGTACAGGCGCGATGGATCTTGTTTCAAATCCATCACAAACGAAGATTGTTGTCACGACAGACCACGTCGACAAAAACGGTCGCTCGAAGATCGTTGAGAAGTGCGGACTGCCGCTTACAGGCGCAAGAGTCGTGTCGACTATCATCACCGACATTGCGGTCTTCCAGGTGGACCGAGAGAAGGGCACGCTGACTCTGACTGAGATTGCTGACGGGCATGATCTGGAGGAGGTGAAATCGAAGACGGATGCAAAGTTCAGCGTTGCTGATGACATGGGAAGTTTCTAGGCGGTTTCTCGGGCGCAGCAAACGAGCATTGGCTGAATCAGAGCAAGTGTTGGATATTAATCTCTTTGTTTTCAGCGTAGACGGGATGCAGGATTAATGTATCATAGAGAAAGACCCAGTCGCTAGCTCACTAGTGCAACTGCCTGCTGCCTGCTTGCGTCGGTTCACATGCCCGAAGCATTAAAGTACGATGTCTCTCCCCGTCCGTATGCCTTCCCGAAGGCACATGCAGGAGTGACTCATACGCTGTCTCAGTGTTCCAAGGCGCTGGTAGCCTCGCAGGCGTGGTCGCTGTGCGGACTCGGCGGCCAGACAACCAGCACATGGCACGGCGTGGCGCTCGGCCAAATAAATATCGCCGAACGGAACGAAACCCGGGTCCTCTATCCACAATCGAATCCTGACGACACTCCGGTAACTCCTGGCAACAACAGCACCATCCACCTGATAATTTGCGCGAGTTCGTTCCGAATGGGTGATACTAGGGCCAGAGGCGAACGACAAGGTAGATCAGTCAATTCGATAAAGACGAGGACATCGAGCTGACCTTGCCTTTCTACAGCCAAGCTCAACACATCCAGGCCAGCGAAAGCACCCAAAGCAGACATGTCGAAGCTATCAGAGGGCTTGAAAGCTCTCATCAATGCTGCACACGCTCGACCTACCGTCACTAAAGCGCCTGCCAACGTCAGGGCCATATACAGCCAGATATCAGATTCTGCCAAAACACATCATGTCGGCACACCAGCATGGCTCACCATCGCAACAGCAACAACCATGACCTTGAACTCGCCTGCATCGCTGCTACAACTACATGCTCTGGCATCTCAGTCACAGTCAAAGCTCAGCCCTACGGAGACTGCAGAGCTCATGCGCGAAGTCGGCCTCAAATGCATCTCCTTCAATGGCATTCCGCGGACGATCAACTCCCTTGGTGCTTTCAGGGACGGCCTTCCAAAGGACGTTCAGTCACAGCTCAAGACTGAACCGACGAGGGAGATCTCGTCACAGAATGCCGACGCCATCGTGTCACGCGGGCGTTCGCTGTGGAACAGTATCTACCGCCCCTTCGAAGACAAGCTCGTCGACAAGCTAGCACTTTCACACCCCAACCTACCGGTCTATATCATAAATTCGCACTATGCAACCAATCTGTCCGACCCAGATCAAAACATGCCTGTGAAGGTGGGCCGCGTTTTGACGAGCCTGGTGGCAATATCGTGCCTCCGCGCCCAGACTGGAGTTGCGCCGCAAGTCTTGAGCCATATTTTCGGGTTGCGCAAAGCTTTTGACGATGGCTCTGCTGAGACAGATGTCGAAGGTGGTAAGTGGCTTGCTGGTGAAGAAGGCAATCGCTGGATTCTGGATACTATCGATTCTATCGTGGCATCCATTGGCGGGGAGGCAGGCACGACCTTTGCGCCAGGTCTTGGACAGGAAAGGGCGAAGCTTTAGATTTTCCACCCAATGCCAAAGCGATGACCCGACATCATATACCCGCGAAAGACTCGCGGAATCTTGAGAGTAACTCGCGACAGATCATACGTCCATGAGAAGTGGACGACGAAAGTCCCCGCAGGTGACCTTTGGTGATTGGAGTCGGAGCCAAGATTTCTGGATCTGCCTGGATTGCGCATTAAAACCCCTCATTCATGCGAAGCAGCTAAGGGTCCGCCCGAGTCCTTCGAGAAGGCTTCATGGCACCAACACGACTCATCAACACCTCAGACCTGTCGTTCGAATCGAGGTTTGCTCATTTGCACCCACGTGACATCGATTTCCCCCACTACGCCATCATCTCCCATCGTTGGGGACCAGATGAGATAAGCTATCAGGAGTTCAATTACTTTACCAGTGCCGAGACAGGGAGGAATGACATTATCGCACGAGTACTTGGCATCGACTTGCGCAAGGAGCATGGCGCCGGTCATCGGAAAGTCATCGATGCTTGCGCGAAGGCCCGATCCATGGGGTACCAATGGATATGGATAGACACCGTCTGCATCGGAGTAGTGGTGCAGAGCTCAGCGAAGCGATCAACTCGATGTACGAATGGTACAGCTCATCAGCCACGTGTTTCGTGTATCTCTCCGACGTCGTCCACACTGATGTTCAACTGGAACAGAGCGACAATGTTTTCTGGCGCAGTCAATGGTGGAAAAGAGGCTGGACGGTATGAGCATCTCTCCGGGCCTCGCTCTGGGTCTATGAACCATCTACTCCTGCGGACAACCCGCTGACCGCGACAGTTGCAAGAGCTGCTTGCGCCCCGGTCGCTCCGATTTTTCGACAAAGACTGGACTCACTTAGCGTACGGCCTAGACCTGGGCTCAAAAATTGCCGAGAGGATGCGTATACCATCAATACCGCTTTACTCCTTCAGCCTTGTCTCGGTAGCAGAACGAATCAGTTGGGCTAGGGACAGGGATACATCACGCAGTGAAGATCGGGCATATAGCTCCTCGGTCTCTGCGAGGTGAGCATGCCCCTTCTGTACGGCGAGGGTCATCGAGCATTCCAAAGACTACTAAAAGCGATCCTGGCCGAATCCACCGACGAAGTATCTTCGCCTTAGGAGGATCTGTACAACATGTGGCCCGTTTGTCGGACGATGGCATTGTCATCGTTCCGCTGCTTCCACGCAGTCCCCTCGAAGTTGCGACCGAGTACTCATGCAGGCCCCATGCGGTTGTCAGTCACAATGGGAAATATAACGCCGGTGACCTCCTGAAACCCCGATCACTGACGATTACAAACATCGGAATCCGCACCCATGTACAATATATCACCATAGAGCCCTCTACTCGCAAGGCTCGCCGGCTCGACGAGCGAGGCCGCGCCACGACTCGGCCGAACGTCATCTGGGCGGTCATCTTTTCGGCGTTCAAAAGGGTGGCAGAAACGACGATTAAAGAACCACTGCTTAGGTGTTTTGTGCCTGCAGATGGAGAGCTCAGGACAGGGATGACGGTACTCCAGCCTTACTTTTATGACTCGGAGGCGATCGCCGTTGCCCGTGCGAGCTGGGCGCGGTGTCTGCAGCTGATAGATTCTGGAACTTCTGCTGTGAGTGGTGTGTTCCAAGAAGCAGAAGTGACATTGGCGTGGACAGGGGTGTACATGTACTGGACCGAAGAAGTACGGCCCTTTCGTGCTTGATTCGCAGATTAGATGAATCCATGCGATGGTGACGGTACCTTTGTGTGCCACCGTCAACCCCGCTCATGCAGTTTCTGGACAAGTACGCACTATGCTCTCTACGCCTACGGTCTCCTTTGGTGATTCAGTCGGCGATTCGCTCCCTGTTTGTGTTGCCCATTTTTGAATCCTCCGACCCTCGTTTGCGGATGATCAGCGATGGGTATGCAAGTGCAAATGTGACCTCCAGGCTCTTGGCAGCACCACTGGCAGCACGGAGCGGCCGGTCTGCAGCAATGCCATCATACATGATAAGCGAGTTGGCCAGATCACCGGCAAGTGCGACAATGGCTCTTGTCTCGTTTCATGTCACAGAGGTCGTCTAGCTGAATAATGCCTTCCATCGAGGTCTTGCCATCGTTGTGGACGTTAGTGTTCAGCGGCGTCATCGTCTTGACCTGGGTGCTATATGCGGCAATTTGTCGCCTATATCTCCATTCGCTGGGCAATGTACCCGGGCCGCGTCTTGCTGCTCTCACCTATTGGTATGAGTGCTACTATGATGCGCTGCTGCAAGGAAAGTACATTTTCAGGCTCGATGAATTGCATAAAGAGTATGGTGCAGTCGTACGCGTCAACCCGAACGAAGTCCACATCCAAGACTCCGACTTCTTCGACCAATTCTACGGCTCAACACGAAAACTCGATAAGGACAGCTATTTCTATCGCTTCACCGACTCACTAGACTCTGCTTTCGCAACGAAGTCGTGGTCTGTCCATCGTCAACGACGGAAGGCGTTCAATCGCTACTTCTCTCCGGCGGCCCTCAGTAGGAAGGAGCAGGATGTTCGTGACTGCGCCTTGCAACTTTGCAAGCAACTCGAGTCCAAGCGTGGTTCCGGGAAACCTGTGTTCTTGGGTACTGCTTTTCGAGCACTTGCAGCCGATGTGATTAGCCAGTATGCACTGGATTCGTGCTTTGACGTCCTCAGGCAGAAGGATTTCGGTCAGGACTTCACGAACCTCAACCGGACCCTGTCTTCTGTCACCATGTACCAACGCCACTTCCCATGGACCTTACCAGCCCTACTGGTCATTCCAGACTGGTTTCAACGCCTCTCGGCAGGTTCCGCGATGATCATGATGTTGGACTTCCAGAAGAGTAATCGTGCGATCGCGGCACAGATTGCTAAGGCGCCGAAGAGAAACGCGGAGCTCGAAGATGGCATCTTTCACGGAATCTGCAACTCAGACCTGCCGACAAGCGACAAGACTGCTGAACGTCTGATGCAAGAGACCATGTCATTCATTGGCGCTGGCACGGAAACGACAGCCAGTTGCCTCGAACATACGATGTACTACGTGCTGGCTAATCCTGCGATTCACGACAGGCTCTCCCAAGAATTGGCGGCTGCTGCTCAGTCAGGCGATTTGACTTCAAACGAGACTCTCAAACAATTGCCCTATCTCGAGGCCTGCATCAAGGAGGGCCTCCGGATGGGCAACGAAGTATCTGGTCGACTGCCACGTATCGACCCAAATGATGCTGTCACCTACGGCAAGTATGTCTTCCCTCCTGGCACGGTTATCAGCATGTCGATCCGCGACATGCATCTGGACCCGAAGTGTCATCCGGACCCACTCAGATTCAATCCTGAGCGCTTTTTGGATCCGAAGCTACGCGATCAGACTGAGAGGTACTTTGCGCCGTTCAATAAGGGGTCCAGGTCATGCGTGGGTCGAGAGCTGTCTTGGCTCGAGATGAGAATGACTTTGGCATTGGTGGTACATCGCTTTAAGTTGACGATGGTCAACACCGAAGAGGTGGATGTTAGCATGGCCCATGACTTCTTTGCGCCATTTCATCCGAAGGGAAGTCGCGGTCTGCAGGCACTTGTAGATTGAGTGCTTGGGCAACAGCCGGAGGGCTGTCTGCGACAGGCATGAGTCATGAGTCTGCCGTAGAAATGTCATGATCATCCCAATGTGACAGCTTATGGGGCCCGCGTCGGCAACTTGCATATCGTTTCTTTGTCCTTGGTGATCTTGGCATGGGGCTGATCGGCAGTTCTCCGAACACTACTCACCACCACCCTCCCTGACATCCAGCACGAACTCATCTTGGGCTAACAGATGCGAGTGTATGGTGATGCGCTTCGACCGAAGTGCGTCAACAGAAATCCAGCCTCGTCCAAGGACGCAGAGCCGTGCCGCCGCCAGATGGTAATAAGACTGTCGATTACGCCTGCACACAACGCGGCGACGAAGATTGCGGCGGAAAACAGCAGCAGCAGGTCGTGTCGGTATCCGAGACAACTCACCGCTACAAGCATGCGTGCGCCATAGGAAGGCTGCTTCACCGCAACGCTGACCCATAGGAAATTCCAGAAATGGTTTCTGGGCTTCAAAGCAGCAAACAGCTTTGACATAAAAGAAGATGGGAGTACAGGCTCTCCTCGTCCCTTTCTCTGCTTCTTCCCTATCGCCAATTCCAAAGCTACTTGATCATCCATCGCTTGTACACCCACATCACTCAGCTTGCTCTTCACCACAAAGCGAACACCATTTCGAACACTATGTCTACCTACTCAGCCTCTTCTGCATCCGACGGCATCATGACCCCAACATCAAGCAAGTCGTCCGACAGCATCATCGACAACAACAATCAAGCTCAGTCCGATGTGCGCGAGGTATCAAGCCCCACCACGATGCTCGGACAAGCCAAACAAGGGGTCAAAGACCTTCTTGCCCCATTCCGCGCAGACTTCAATTCCGAGATTCACAGCACCATCAACCACACTCTTCTGGTCAGTCTTCCGATCACGCTGGCGGTAATGCTCAAGGCCGACACATTCCACAACAAGAAGGTAGAGAATCAGAACTTCGTCAACAAGAACAGATGCCCCGCCAACACAACCGAGACTCGCGAGCGGCTCGACTTGCTTGCCAAATGCGTCAATGCAGGCAACCATGGTCCGAGTTTTGGAAGCTTCTACGACCAGAATTCCACCAAAGTCCACCTTCTTGGTGGTCTGTTGGCTGTTCTGGCAGTCATGGCGTTGATCAAGACTACGAAGAGCGCCATTCGTCTCACAGACACTCTCTTCGCGGCCACTGATAAGCGCATGGTCCGAGAAGATGGGGTCATGATGAAGGTTGGGAGTGTCATCTCAGCTCTTATCATGGTGCTGCTCAACTTCATCGCTCTGTTCTACGTGGTGACGGTGATTGTCAACTTCGGCGAATGGTTCGGATATGCGACTCAGTACTCTGGAATGGACCTCAGCAAGTTGACCTGGAGTCTGAAGTAGGGTCTGGACCCCGCTAGCCACAGCGATGGTGTTGGAGAAGGGTCTTGATGGCTGGGGGCATTGGTTCTGGCTGGAGTCTGCGGGGGTTGAGTGGTCGTCGGAGACGTAGGGCTCGACTTCGGAGGGAACGTAGCAGTCGCAACCTGGGGTAGCTGACATTTGAGGAATCACGTGAAGAGAATACAATCTGAGACCGGTTGGCCTTTGATATGTCCCTGTATTTGTAACATGCGATGCTGACCAACGCTTGCTTCGGCTCCTCTATACTGCGATCGTCTGAAACTTGTGCTTGATTCTGCCTGTGTGCGTTGGCCCGTTGTGTCCAGGCGCTACCACCACCACAGGAGCTACGTCTCTTTCCGACACAATCTACCTACATCCTGCCCAACTCCTTGCCCTCCAAGTACACCTTCTCCCTCGGTCCACTCCCACAGATCACTCCCAACACAGCTCCTACACCAGAAGACTCCCCTCGGATCCCAACACCTCTTAACCTCCGACAACCTCTCATAATGCTCTTTCCCAAAGTAGTCATCCTTCCACTCCAGGTTCGTTGGATCTGCCTCATTCATATACGCCCCAGAGCCTGGCTCCAACTTCTTGAGTGCATTCACCCTCTCCTGCAGGTCCTTGGTCGCGACTGCCTTCTCTTCCACGCCAAGCCCCCACGATGCGGGAAGCACGACGTGGGTGTAAGCTGTTCGCCAGGCTGGAAGGAGGGCATTACCTCCTCCTGGTAACTTTGCCGCGTTCTCGCCTGCGAAACGATGTGAGCCTGGGCCGGAGACCAGGTGGCCGAGTTGGGGCATGAATGGGTATCTCCCACTTGCTGCGGCGAATGCGGCGGCCATTTCGGAGAGTGGTTGGGAGAGGCCTTTGGAGCCGAGCAGCCAGGAGCCAAGGCGGGTGTGCGTCGACCCAACTGTTTGTCCGGCGTTGGCTTGCCACGCCTTACTGAAGGGATCAGTGGCAGGGACGGGAAAGCCACCGGCGTTGATGGGATCCGGCATGCTGCTTGACAAGTCGCGTAGGGCTTCCTCGAGCGGCGCCATGATCTCGGATATGATATGGATCGAAGTGTTGAACATGAATGACCCAAAGATCAGTCCCTGTTGCGACGGAGGAACAAGTGAGGCGTTGAAGGGTATCTCCATCCCAGAGTTCCCGTTCTCGCCGGCAAGCACCGAGACGTTTGGCAGTATAAAGTAGTAGCCCATACCTCCTGCTTCAGCAATGCGAGGTAAGTGTTGGTGGAAAAGGGCAGTCATGTTCCAGAAGGACTGCGAGACGGCGGTGGTGTTGTAGAGGAAGACGTAGTTGGACAGGCTGACTGGTGGGTAGGCGAGCATGGTTACGGAGAGGAGGACTCCGTATGTCGATGGTCCGCCCTGGTCGTCGAAGAAAACGTCAGCATGGTGTGTTCACTGGGAGCCCAGTTGGCAATGACAAACCCAGTCAAGACGCAAAAGGAGATCTGGAGTACTCACACCTCTCATCGCCCAAAACAACTCCTTCAGTGGTCCTCCACAACTTCCCTTTAGTACTCTAATTTCGCCATCGGCAGTGACAACCTCCATCTCAACGACTTGATCAGCTCCCAGACCATAAAGAGCAGACACTGGACTGTGGCCGCCGCCACCGCTCCAGCCACCTATACCCACGTTCGGGTCCGCACCACCGACTATGCTTAGATTCTCCTCGGCCATGCGCCGGTAGAGCTCGAACATGCGCATCCCAGCTCCGATTTTGACAGTGGCGGTGGCTGGGCTGTACTTGGCGGCCAGCGGTGAGTTGTGGGTGACATCTACGCCTCTGAGGTGGTGCGTGTGAATGGAGAGCGAGCCACGGCCGGCAGATCTGTGACACGGTCAGCCTGCTCGAAGCTTGTACCAGTCATGGAGAGGGACAACGGAGACCACATACCGACCCGGAAAGTCATGTCCCGTACCTTGATGACGAGCCTGACTCCCGTCTCCGCCGCGAACTTCACAGCAGCAGCAACGTGCTCATGCGTGCTGGCATTCACTGTGTAGGCAGGATAGCCGTCCCTACTACAAGGCGCGCCAAGCTCGGGGTAAGGGAGACAGGTGTCGTCGTTGTAATCGCTTGTGATCGGGTTTTCGGCGTGCCAGTCTGACAGCACCCAGTTCTTGCGCAATACTAGACATGAATCGTTGTTGAACTGCTCTGGCCAGCTTGGATGACAGACTGCTCCGGGTGGAGGTGGCGAGATCAACTTGCCGCCGATTGTAGTGTTCAGGTCAGTCCATTGCTGCGGAGAAGGCCAGTGAGGCTCTCCTGGGAGAGGTTTGCAGTGCTGCGGTTGAAGAGGGGGGGAGGAGTAGGACAGGAAGGGGAGAAAGCCGGAGAGAAGTAATGTCAAGGTCTTCATCATACGCAGTGGTTCCGTTTGTGACCAAATTGTGCTGGCGGAGATGATGGCAGTCGTGTTGGCTGCCAAAGGAGAAGAGAGCAGGGACTGCATCGTAGCTAACGGCGATGTGGTTTATACGTCGAATGGGTGAAGGACTATGCTAGGTCCTACCTGATCGCAGATACCACGAATAGTCCCCTGGGCACGAGGTATACCTTACCAAGAAACGTGTCTGCCTTGTCTGTCGCCAAGTACATGAACATCATGTCGAGTGCTGCAGACTCGGTACCGAATCCCAGGGTCCCACCGAGTACGCGGACGGTTGCGAGGTGGAGAAGCGAAAGGGGAGCGGTGATGATGAAGATGTCACGATCCTTCCACACATGTCGTTTGCAATTCAAAATCCTGAGCAGTCTGTATCAGTGTCGACGTGGACGTGATTGGCTCCTGACCACGAGGCAGTTTTGTTGCTGAGGTAGTGCGTCGGGTCGTCGAAGCGGAGGAACACGAATACGCGATGAATTACGTCGAGGTCAAGACCCTGGAGCGCAGCCGCTAAACCGATTTCAGAAGCAATGCACGAGCCTCAGAGAAGCAGAAGAGGTCAGTCAGTATATTGACCTATATTTGGCAGGAATGGGAAGTCTCATCGTACACGTGAGTGCCGTACTTGCCGAATTGTCAAGACTACTACTGCCAAGTGAGGAAGAGGTGCCATTTGCAGACCTCGGGAGGCAAGAGTGGAATCGGGCCTGCTTAGCTACCTATCCCTACGCGCATTCACGTCCTATGCAGCATCGCTGCTTCCGAGGTATTTACTTGTGACCACCGCCCATCGCGCTGTACAAAATTGGTCCTGCTCTTCCGTTGCTGCGAGACATTTTGTCTCCGCAACACTCCGTACTCTCCCTGCTATGTACTCTTTGACTTTGTACGAAACCAAAAGCAACCCAGCTCTTTCTGCCCCCCAACAGGGACTTTGGCAATCGATGTTGCAATCGAGCTGGCCCGGGGTATCATTGTTGATAGTCTTGTTGACGAAAACTTGCTCCAAATTGATTGCTGCTGAAAAGAAAAACGTATTGACAGTTTTGCGTGGCGCATCGGCCATCTATACGTCCGGCTACCAGAGGGAGTGAAATAAGCTGTGCAAACCAAAATGGTCCAGATTCCTGACCAGACCCCCGCAATGCCGCTTAAACGTATCAAATGAGCGATGCTCGAGCAGATGTGAGCGACTGTGCTCAAAATATGCGACATGAGGTGAGCGTAGCGTAATGTTGGCAAATGACAAAAGAAATCGAAAATGTTGTAGCGTGGAGGCCGCCTTCCCTTCATATTGGCGTGTCTTGCAGTTGACTCTGCTTCACTGCTGTTTGGCTGGGCCGTGATCGTGCTGTACTTGGAAGACTTTGTCAAGTCTCCATCGGCTTTGGAGCAATGTCGTCAAACGGTGGTAATAGATCGCCTTTGGCATCAAGCGGACTTGCGTCGTCGTCAACGTCTGCACCGAGATCAAGATCCTCTCTCCCTTTGCTCAGAGTGGGTGTCTGCGGGCTCGTGTTCTCACTGAGATCAGCCAAAGGATCTTTCCCTTCGAGAGACTCCGGCTTGACGCGCAAAGCACGCGGCTGCGAACTAAATGCGCGCAGAGGACGTGCTTCGATAGCGGTACCTGAAGGCTTCGCAGAAGGCGTGCCCATTCGACGGGCTGCTGCAGCAGCCGCAAGAGGTCGCATCGCTGGCGGTGGGCGATCACTGTTGGAAGATAGTCGCCGTGAAGTTTGGACAGTGTTCGGTGGCGTCATGGGCCCAGATGAATAGCTTGCCGCCGGACTGACTGCACGGCCAGCCTTTGATGGCGTTGCAGTGTAGTCGCCAGCTAGTTGTCCGAACGCGTTGATTGAGACATCTCGGGCCTTTCGCAGATTGCCCCATGCTGCTTGTCCAACCATTGGTAGAACGCTTCTAGGAGACTGAGCATATCCCATGATGTCAGAAAGCGACGGCAAGCTCGCCGCCGCACCAGGACCTGCATTGCGAGCTGCACGCTCTCGAATCTGCTGCTCCATCTGAATATGCGTCTTCAAACGGATCGCAGCATCTCGAACGGCTTCACGATCGAACTCTGGCTTGCTGAGAGATTGAACGATCTCTTCCATCTCATCGATGCGCACGCCAAGTAGTTCTCGAAGCCACAATGCCTCAGTCTCGTATGCCTTGATCTTGTCGGGTGCCTCTTTGTCGACCTTGCCTAGCTCGGCCTGCAGGCGTTCCTTCTCCTGGTCACTTTCGTGTAGCTGTTCCTGCAAGGTGATGATCGTCTCACGCAGGCTTTGCACAGAGATCTTCTCAGGCAGATCAGTGCCCTTCATCAAGGACAGCGAGGCGCTCGTCGCGCGCTGAGGAGGCGATGCGACGACGGAATTAGCCGGCGTTGGCAGATTCGCACCTCTTGCCATTGCGGCGCTGACAGCTGCTTGAGCTGCCGACTTGGAGATTGACAAGCGCTCTTCGAGATCAGTAATCTTGCCTTCGAGATGTTGGATCTTGTCTTCGCTGAGGGCCAGTTTCTCATTGTAGTGATGCTCCATGCGGTGTCTGTCATCCGATGAGTTGTGCATAGCCCGCGTATGGCGTTCTCTGAGGTCACCAAGATGCCTGTCGTGACCTGCACTTTGCTCTTCGAGTGCAGCCTGGTGCTTCTCAGCTTGCTCCTGGAGTGCAAGCTTCCGAACTTCTTCAGCATCGGCGAGCGCAGCATCATACTTAGCTTTGTGGTCTTCGAGGTCGATCTCCGCGGTATCGAGACGAGCCTGGAGACGACTGATCCGTGCTTCAGAGTCAGACTTGTGGCCCTCGAGCTGAGATCGAGCGCCGTCGGCTTCAGCTTGGAGTCGTGCAGTAGCAGTTGCAATGTCAGCCTCTTTAGACTCCTTGACATGATGCAATTCTCGTTCGATACGATATGCACGGTCTTCGTGCTGAGTGCTTGCAGCTCGAGTGGCGGACAGGTCTTCCTGGAATTTGAACATATCTTGTTGAAGATGTTCGAACCGATCCTTGTAAGCAAGCGCATCCTTCAGCTGCTTTGAAACGTAGTCATGGTCGACCTCGGCTTTCTGCTGTGACCGCGACGCAGAATCGAGTGCGCCCTCAATCATGGTAATCTTGGTGAGCAACTCATGCTCGCGCTGGCGCCAGGCAGCTTGCTCGGTCGCCAAGTCTCGGACGGTAGAAGCAATCTCGTTGCGAAGCTGCTCTGTTTTGGAATGAAGTGCTTGTGACGTCCTATTTCTTTCCTCAAGCTGGTCTTTCAGATTCCAGAGAGTCCGGGTGAGCTCCTTGGATTTGGCGGATTCTTCATCGAGATCAGCGGTCAGATCGCGGACTCTGCTCCTCTCATCCTCTAGATCATACGAGAGATCTTTGACTTTGGTTCGTGCATCGTGCAAGCTGTCAGAAAGATCGTTGCTTTCATTGCGCAATCTCTCGATATCGGCTTCACGCTCTTGCTTGTAACGGCGATATTCGTTGAGGTTCTCTTCCTGTTCATCAATCATCAGGTTCAGTCGCTCCACTTCGCGCTCCGAGGCCTTGTAGGCTTCTTTCTCTTGAACGAAGGCCTGCAAGTTCTGTTCAGCCATCTCGCTCGACTCGCGATGAACGATGACCTCATCTTCAGCTTTCTGAAGTTTCTGCCTGACCTCGTGGAGCTCATCCTCTTGCTGCTTCCGCAGTCTCGCTTCGTGCTCGGCGCGCTCTTGCTCGACCTTCAGCATAGCCTCGAGACCATCGAGTTGTAGTTTGAAATTTTCTCTCTTCGAACCGTGGTCTTGTTCCGTGCGAGAACCTCTCAAACGAGGATGCGAGCCGATAACATCCTCAAGCGTACGCTTGAGATCTTTCTGCTGGACGTTGTTGGCGGACTTTGCGAGCATGGTCCGTAGTTCGGCGAGCTCTTCCTGAAGTTGTGCATGATCATTGTCAGCTCGTTCCTGAGTAAGCTCTCTCATTTCTGCGAGCTCTTCGCGAATGCTGGAGAGATCAATTGTCGGAGCGACAGGCTGAAGCATGCTTTCCCGAAATTGTGCAAGTCCCTCCGCGACAGCAGCACGTACCCTGCTAGCCTGGCGATTTCGCTTCGTGTCAGGTGACCGCGACCGATACGTCGAGAAGCCTTCGTAGGCGTTGTAGTCGTCCTCATCATCAGCATCTGACTCTTTAATATCGCTCGACGTGCTCTTACGCTTACTCGTAGGCCGAGTGGCAAGAAGCGAGAGTGAATGCTGAATGGTCTGCAGAGTCCTTTCCACCGGTCCCAAGCGGTTCTCTAGGATACCATCAACCAGGTCATTGACATGGCCGTCAAAGTATTGTGCACGAGACTGCAGCTTATCCTCTTCAACGGATGAAAGCACATCGTTCCAGTCACTGACTTCCTCTTTGCCACTGTTGAGCTTGTGAATGCCCAGACCAAGGCCGAATGAAGCAGCGTTAGCAGCTTGAGTCGGCTCAATCGGACGTTCGATTCTGCGAGGACTTGGGCTAGGTGCATCGCTGCGGAAGTTGTTGCCCAGTCGCATGTCGACCAGCGGTGTTGATTCCACAGGAGAGTCGTTTCGCTCAATACCGAGTTCTGGATTGCTTTCAAACTGCTTCATCACGGCATCGATCTCCTCAAAAGATGGCATAAGATCGTCTTCATCGTCCGAAAACTCGACTTTTGGCAACTCCTTCCGACCAGGAACGTAGGCCGGGCTTGCCAATGACGCACTGTCATACTGAGGCCCGTATCTGGAGCTCGAAATTGATAGATCGTGAGTGTTCTGTGGTGCATATCTCGAGCTAGCTAGCGACGCTAGCCGATCGTGTTGGAGTGCAACAACAGGGCTGCTATCCGACACATTGCGTTCTGATTGTATTGGCTGCGAGTCTGTGGCCGAATGCTTTGCAGAATAGTCTCTAGAACGCTCGTCGATCTCAGATGTAGCTGTGTCATCCACATTTTGGGACAACTTGATGTCTCTGGAGATGCTCTCATTCACTGAGGACGGAAGCGGCTGATCTGGCATTGCCGGCGACGGTGCGAAATCATTGCTCGCGGGAGGTGGTGAGCTTGGTAGTTCCGGTGACGGCGATTTGGCGAAGCGGGAAGCCATTAGGCCCTTGCCTTTGGATGGTTTCGAACCTGACACAGGTGACTCGACAGCTTTCTCAGGTGTTATAGATGATCCTGGAGTATCCGCCGGTTTCGGCGACTTGTAGACGAATGGTTGTGCAAGTGCCGACAAAGATGACCTCGACTTATGCTGCGGAGCTGGAGATGTATCACGAGCAGGTGAAGACAGGTCCATGTTCGAGGGCCCAGCTTCGACATCTGAGCCTTGGAAGAGCTCGGACCGTGGCTGGGCTTCGCTGAAGTTGATGGCATCGCGCTCATCTTTGAACTGGAACGGCGAAGCTCTGCCAAGGATAACTCTTCGGTGCGATGAAGCAGGCGAGCTGGCTGCAGATCCGCTCCTCGATTCAGCCGGAATGTATGAGTAGCCATCGACAGGCTTTTCCTTCGGCTTCTCAGGGGAAGGTTGCCTCTCGCTGATGATCTCCGAGAGGATACGAGAGTTGCCCGTGAAAGGCGCAGAGTCCGCAAAGACAGGACTGCGGTCACCGTCGCTACCGAATGTGCGTGCTCTCTTGGCTCGATCTGTTGGAATTGGTGCTCTTCCGTCAGAGGCATCACTTTCACTCTCCGCTCCGCCCGCTGAAGCACTTTCGCCGGAGACCGAGGAAATGGAGCCTTGTGGACCGTCTTTCGATCGAGGCCGAACAATCGGCAAAGCCTTGGCGCGTCGGACTGCTTGCGTCCCAGGCGCGATATTGACCTTGCCAAATATACTGGTCTCAATGGGTTTCTCGACTGTCGACGTCGATCCAGTTGCAAGACCCTTGGCTAGACCGCTGCTCGGGTTGAAGACGGGAGCATCAACATTGAATGAAGCAGACGAGAAAGCCAATGGAGATGGCTTAGCGACCGAAGATAGCGGCGACTTTGTATGGTTCGAAATCGGTGACTCGACATCAAAGGTGGCCGATGAGAATGCAAACGGTGATTGCTGCATGCCGGTCGCCTTCGTAAGCGGATCTGCCGCCTTGGAAGCCCCTCCAGGTACAAAAGCGGGGGCTTCGACATTGAGTGCTGAAACAGACGGCTTCACTGTACGGGCAGCTCCAGGCTTAAAAGTGGATGTGGGCGTTTTGAATGACGCTGTGAAAGGCTTGAAAGCATTTGTACCACCGAAATCGAAGTTCGAGCTATTAAAGCCCGCAGAAGGGTCGAACGGTTTGGCTTCCACATTGAATTTGGGCTGTGATGGTTTTGATGTGTGGTCGTTCTCCGCGTGGGCCTTGTCTCCACGAGCAGCATCACTGAGTGCTTGCCAGTTGTTGAAGGGGTTGGCGTCGCGGGCGAGAGCTGGGGTGCCAGCGAGACTGGGATTTGTGACGATGTCGGACTGATCATCGGCTCCTCCCATTGTCTCAGGTCGCTTGAGTATGGCAGATCCTCGTGGTCCTCTTCGTGTTTGGCGCCCTTCGCTTCTTCCTTTGCTTCCGCCAGCGAGTCTCTGCCCGCTTCGCCTTCTTGGTCTTGCTTTGCTAAAGCAGCCTCTGCTTCGTCGATCTCCCTCTGCAGAGCAGCACTAAGATTGTGACGATGACTTCGGGGTGTCGGGTGCTGAATCTCAGGCGCTGGCCTTGGTGTATGAGCAAAGACTGGCGTTCGTGGTGCACTGCCCGAAGCATGAGATACTGCTGGAGGGCTCAGATTAGACGTCAGACCATGAGGTGATTCAGCTGCCGGCGCGGCAGGAAAGTAAGATTCCTGTGACTGAATTGGTTGCGGACGGCCGTCTGAAGGCCCACCCACAGGTGATAAAACCTGATCGAGGCTCTGTATGCCATGCGCGTTGATTGGAGAGAAGCTCGTCGGGCGCCGTAAGTGGGCATTCAGACCAGGAAGGAATGGACTTGTCTGTCCCGGAACGAACTCGTTCGGAGACACAACGCGGTTCTGTCCTGGATGAAAGGCAAGCGAGCCTTTGTGTGCATGCATCGAGCCAGGAAAGCCATTGGCTTGAGATGACGCGCCAGATCCCAATGTTGAGCCTCTTCCTGACGAGATGCTGAAAGGTGGGGAGAACGGATTACTAGCCACTCTGCCAGTGTTGCTGGCTGCCGATGACGTGCCCACGGGAGGTGAGACCGCGCCTGGGAATCTTGAAGACGCACGACTGAGCGAGGCCGATAGTGGTGATGGTCCGGACTGAGGTGGCTCAGAATCACTTAGCGTTACACCCAATGCTCGTAGTTTCTCCTCTTGTAAGTAGTCTACCCATTTCTGCCATTCCGATTGATCTGGAATGTAAACTTTGAACGATCGCATCTGGCGTTCTGCTGAGATTTCTGCAGGGTCAGGAAACGGCGCGGCGCTTTGACCATTGGTGAAAGTGGCAGTTACGCCATCGACATCTGTCAATTCGAAACCCTTCGTGCTGTAGCCCTGTGACAGCAGATCTGCAAGCTTTTCGCGGACCGCAGTGGGCGAGAGAACCGGCGGTAGACCTGCTGACTCTCGGTCTGTGATCGGCAGCGATATGATGCAGTTCTTGCCCTTCCATACGACTTTCCGCCGTTGCTTGTGGAAAGAGCTGAGCGATTGATGCATGCGAGGCCGAGAGGGAGATACTGGCCCTTCCGTTGGCGTGACTACTGCGTTCTCCGGCACTTCATTCTCGGGCAGACTCGGCAGGGGTTTGACGACCTCGACATCTGGCTTGTGACCTGACGTCGGCTCTTCTAGCTCCGCCATTCTCGATTGTGCGACAGCTCTTGACGTTTGGCGAGGTCGACTCACGCTGAATGTTTCGGGCGTCACAGTGTCAGTAGATGCTTGTGGTTCGTGAGTCAGATGGCTGCCAGGAGAAGAACGATCGTGTCCAGCTGAAAGCTCCAACGCTGCTAGATCTTCGTTCCGTCTGGGAGTGCGATGTTCAAGCTGAGTCGTGTCGCGGTCGCTGTCGTCCGAGTCGCTTAGCCAGTTGGCGTGCTCAGACTTGAGTCTCGTTGGCCGAGGGCGAGGTTCTGGGGAGGAAATCAAGTGACTGAGTGAATGTCGCGCAAGTGAAGAGCCACGAGCATGCGGTTGGTCGCCGAATCTCGGAGGCGACTGAAGTTCTGAATCGATACTACTGCGCCTGGCGCGAACACGTGCTGCAGAGTCTGGACTGGGAGACGCGTAGGGAGACCCTGCGAGGATAGTCAGTTCTCTGCACGGACTGCACCGTGGACGGTATTCTGAGCTTGTTCAAGTCGTGACTCTGAGTTCGGCTCCTTCGCGATGTAGCAGATAGGCATGTACTCACCCCAAGCAGCAGCGTAGTATGTACCACTTCCGCCTCTTTGACGACTCTGGTCGGGCGACCTCAGCAGGTCTATATGGTCGCGTCCGCGTCGGAGAGCCGGCAACGGTGGTAGGGTAAAGGGGCTGACCCAGTCGCCGGAGGAGAGGCTGTCGTCTCTGTCCCGCAGAGCCGTCGGACCTTGATCGCGACCTCTGGAGGTAGGCTGAGGATCACGCGAAGACGAATGTGCAGGCTCGACGCGCTCTTCGGAAGTCATGAACGGAAAGACGGTGGTCGATGGTGATGATTAGGCTGACGTGTATAGATTATGAGAAACGCGATTCGAAATACATGGCAAGTAGCATGACAATCGCTCCGTATGCACGTCGCGATCTGCGCATGCGGTAGCGCTATAGTGGTGCGAGGAACGAGTTGAAGATGAGTGTGGTTGCTGTGAGTGAGGTTCCGTCCGAAAGAAAGTTGGGAACATGGAGACTCAGGCTTGCTCGCGTCTGCCAAGATTTTGAGCTGTCGATGTTTCTTGAAATGAGACTGTACTTTTCACTCAAAAACTGCAGAGACCCCCCGAATTCGCGTTGCATCGGCCCCATCCATACACAGTCTTACAGGCGTGTATTGGTCAGACGCACAACGCGGGCTATTCAGTTCAATTGGGCTTAGAGAAAGCCTTAACCGAACGGGCCGATGTCAATTGCTGCAGGGGTGTTTGGCTATTTTCCGAAAACGCGTCACGACTCACGGATTTATGTAGCTGTTGAGAGCAGCAGACCTCCTCGTAGCATACAACTGAATCACAGCTAGACTCCAGACGAGTAGAGAGCGTGAGGAATGGCGGTTCATGAAATTTTTCTGGACTCCTCGACCTAGCGCACGCACAGAATCGACACCTTCTAGAAGGAGTCGGAGTGGGTCAGGAACAGCGATCATGAATGGCAGCCGAGATGACGTTTAATTTGCCGTGTCGCTGAATCGCAACTGCTTTCGCTCTCCTGAAAACTGACTTGGGAAGGCAGTACGATATCCATAGGTCGCGTCCGCACAATACTGCATCGTTCGCTCGCTTTGTTCTGGCCGGGCTAGCTTCCACGGTCCTAACATCTCTCGCGCAGCAGCGACCCTGTCGCAAGTCATGCAGTCCCGTCGGCATTCATTCTGCTCATATTAACCGGGTGCATGGAAGCACGGCCGTGTGCCCTCCTCACGTGTCTCAAAACGGGTCAAGCAATCCGCTGCTCATTCCGTCGAACATACAGCTGAAGCCTATAACAAATCGTGTCCATCGATTCTTCGACACAGCAAGGCTGCGATGGCTCGATGGACCGACATCATCTGTCAGCTCTTGGGCACACGCACATGCGTTTCGAGATGCGCCTACAGACAGGGGCATACTGAGATTATTGCAAGCAAGACACGAGAGAAGACACCGGTGCTGGCAGTAATTGGGTTGGCGTCATCGTTGTGCACAGTTCCTCTGCCAAGGGCGGTCGGACACGCTGATGATTCTCGCGGCTCCTCAGTGTCTCCGCATCATTCAGACTGTCAACATTTGTCTTCAGCATCGGAACAGACCTTACCGGTGCGTAGGTACGGACAATTTGGACGGTAAGCCATGCGGATTCTTGTGAGACCAGCTCTGCTCAATGCACAAGGACGCAAAACATGCGCAATCATCTGACTCCTAGATTGAATGCGGGTCTTGCACTCGAAGTCACCGCAGCGCGCGTCACTCAATCCTCGCCTCGTGTGGTAATCAGAGCCCGATCCGTTCAGGTGGAATCTACGTTGATGGCGAGGTAAGATCTGATCGGGTCAGACGATAGGTGACCGGTCTGTCTAGACACTATACGCTGGCTACGATCCTCTTGGTCGGCACTCTGGAGGCGCCTACGGCCATGCGTGCTTCGTTTGACTGCTCGCACACGCTGCAAATTTATCGTATTGGCGCATGACTAAACAATCACCACATCACCTAGGATTCAAGCCTGCTTGGCGCCTCTTGGGCGTCAGGCAGTTGTACTGCAGCTTGAGCCAAAACAGATCGGTCAGCATATTGGACAGCAGATGTTCTTTTCGAAGAGACCTTCGTGTAGTTCGTCGTCGCAAAATAACACGGATCTGGACATGCAGCGTTATGAATGTTTCACGGTCTGCAGCTCCAAGTTTCAATTTACGGCCCACTTTCACCTGATTGTACTTCCTGCATAGGCATTAAGGTGTTAAGGCGTCCGTTCTCAGCACACAACGCCCAATCAGAGATACAGAGTGACATCAAAGAATTCTTGGATCTGTCAACAGTCTTACACAAATGGCGTCTGCTTCAGATGGCACGAACTGCCGAGGCGGGGACTGTGTCATCGACTACAGCTTTCGAAACCTTTCTTGGCGTGGCTTCAGCATTGGATGATGAACATTGACAGACTTGGGGACGATTTTCTGTGGTTGAAGCCTTTCGAGTATCCCGGGCAGACGGTCGATGACTAGTGCCGCTGAGATAATAATGGAGTTCACAAGGACAGGCTCGCGACCTGGACCAACTCAGGCTTCCTATTGCGGCGCTACTGCGATCCTTGCTGTAACAGCGCTGCGACTAACGTAATTCGGGGTTCACAGCCTCTGACTACGAGCCGATGCCTGGTTCTAATATATGAGGCCATTTCTAGCTACGCCCCAGAGCATTGTTGCTGCACTGTCACAACAAACCAGCATTCCGCCACCATGGAGACGATCGAGCCAGATTATCTAGTTTGTGGCGCTGGCGCCATGGGAATGGCTTTCGTCGACACGGTAAGTCAACATAAAACCTCTGACGCAGCACCTACCCTGCGGTTCGATCGAGCCATTACAATCGTTCAGTCGTACCTAGCGTCACACGTTACTGAACAAGGCCATAGCTCGTTAGCGACACAACGGCCACCATAGCTATCGTCGACCGATATGCCCAACCAGGAGGACACTGGACAAGGTAAGCACACCATCACGTCACTAGCGACAAAAGCACAGCAATGCGAGTGGCTGCAGGCAGCTTGGTCTGTCCTAACGGGAGGCTTCGGCACGACTGTCACCACTCGAGACGCCCTGGTCATCATGTCCATCTGGGCACCTTGCCTGATATGGTGACCAGAACTTCGAAAGTCTGGATAGCTACGGACTGAGGGCCAACAGGCAATGTCAAACCAGATCGGCTGACATCTGTGGCACAGAGCTTATCCTTTCGTTCACTTGCACCACAGTTCGGTCTTCTATGGTGTCAACTCCAGAATTCTGGGTGATCAAAAGACTGATGTGGTGGGATGGAACAAGGGAAACTCGACGATGGCGCCCGGGCTTGAAGTTCGTGCGTATTACACCAACGTGATGCACAGTACGTTTCTGCCCTCGGGCCGAGTGACCTACTATCCAATGCACGAGTATACTGGAAATGGCGAATTCAGATCTCTGCTCACGAGCAAGACTTATCACGTTGGCGAGAAGACGAAGATCGTCGATGCAACGTGAGATCGAGCTTCTTCTGTTCGTCAGAGCTTAAGCTTATCACTCTCCAGTTACATGAACGTCGAAGTCCCGTCAATGCGACCGCCGCCTTATAAAATTTCGAATGAAGTCGAAGTTATCGCGCCCAACAATCTGCCCGACATCCAGCGACCTTATGCGGGCTACACTGTAGTCGGCTCTGGCAAAACCTCCATAGATAGCTGCTTGTGGCTGTTAGCTAATGGCATCGACCCTGCGCACATCACTTGGATTCGACCTCGTGATATGTGGTGTTTCGATCGGGCAATTATGCAGCCCCCAGATCGGTTCAGAGACCAAAACGTGGCTGCATCGATGGCGACTGGTGAGGCAATCATGTCCGCTACTTCCATTGACGACATGTGGTTGCGTCTCGAAAAGGCGGGGGTGATGCTCCGTGTCGATGAACATGCCAAACCAACCATGTGGAGATGCGCCACCATCAGTGTACTCGAGCTCGAGCAACTGAAAAGGATCAAGAACGTTGTTCGAAAGGGCAGGCTCCGTGGCGTGAGCAACGACCAGGTTACTCTTGAGAGTGGCTCATACACGCCAGTGGCAGATTCGATTTACATTGATTGCAGTGCCAACTCGATTCCGAAGCAGCCAAGCGTCCCAATCTTCAACGGCAGACACATTACTCTGCAGCCTGTCCGCGCATGCCAGCAAGTCTTCAGCGCTGCCGTAATTGCGCATATCGAGGCTACTTACGATGATGAGAAGTTCAAGAACGACCTCACTACACCTATACCTCATCCGGAGCACCCTGATGAATACCCTGGCCAACGATTACAGACATTGCGCAACGAGATCGGCTGGAGGACGCAACCCAAGACCGCCGCGTTCGTGGCGAACTCTCGCCTCGATGTGGTGGGCGCCATGAATCCATTGCCGCCCAGCGATCCACGGGAGCGTGAGAAGTTTCAGGCAGTTGTTGCCGCGGCCTTTGCTGCGCAGATGGAAAAGCTGGAGATGCTGGCGAGGTCAGACTCTGACAGAGAACATTCGATCGGACAGAAGAGTGAGATGGCGGAGGCACGTTTGTAGCCGGTGGTTGAGTACGATGTCAAAGTAGAGCACGAGGTCTCCCACGACTATCCATAGGAACGTGCAAGAACAGCGCTGAGGCTTCGAATGGACCGCATTTCGCGAATACTGCCTCGCCTACCAAATGTGCAATGACGTAACTGGGCAAGTCTCAGAAGCGCAGGGATGTTAAATTCCTCCCTTCTTGCCTTGTCGAGATCGTTCCAAACTCCCGTGTGGCGTCCATATGGGCGTCGAGTGTGCCCTGAGCTCGGGTGAGTATTTACGACTTCTGCCATAGCCAAGTCGTTTGAGCAACAGGCGCAACGGATCGTGGGCGTTTTGGCAGGATACCTCTTTGTCTAACCAACCTTGAACGCCTTAACACAGCCGGCAACCTTGGAGGTTCTCAACGAGCAACGTGAACCCGTTCAGTGGGCCGCTTTCAAAGGCGACGGTACCAGAACGATATTCGAGATCGATCGGACCAAGATCGGACACATCTCGAAAACGTGTCTCGCAACTTCTTCCGAGAAGGTTTCGCGGTAGAGGTCTCGAACGCGGATCTTTTGCGGGGAACCTGACCACGACATGTCGTTCATGACCACGAATTTGCCCAACTTGAGCCTCAGAGTGCAGACTTCCATGCAGCGACATCGCTCTACGACTCATGAGCCAGCCCAATTGTGACAATGGGTCCCTCCTAGACATTTGCAGCATGTGAATCAAATATGCGTGTCAAGCACCGAGCTCTTCGGACTCTGCTCAAGTATCTTCGTCCATTCAGCATCGTAGCTAACAGACCAGACCTATAACATGCCTTCCCAGCAATCGATCAAAGCGGGAGACCGCACTATCAAGCTCAACACTTGGCAATTCATCGGCAATGAATGGAAGGAAGCTGTTGGCAAATCGACTTTCGGTATCGAGAATCCTTCTACCGGCGAAGAGGTCATTCAAGTATCAGAAGGAAAGGCCGAAGATGTCGACATCGCCGTCAAGACCGCCCGGAAGACATTCAAGGATCCCGCATACAAGGAGATGAACCCGACAGACAGGTCGGCCATTCTTCAGAAGCTTGCCGATCTGATGCAGGAGAACTTCGATGACTTGGTCGCGCTGGAGATGCTGGATACTGGCAAGACACACAAGCAGTGCTCGAACCTGGACGTGCCAGCCTCGATAGGCACGCTGAGATATTACGCCGGGTGGGCGGACAAGGTCCTTGGCCTGTCATCCTTCAACATTCCCAAGACGTTCGCATATACTAAGCGCGAGCCCGTCGGCGTGTGCGGTCAGATCATCCCCTGGAACTTCCCACTGCTCATGTTCACTTGTACGTATAAAGCATCAACCTGAGTCGGGCGAGATATCAATCTCTCAGCTCTGGTTCTTCCCCGTACATTTTGGGTCTGACAGGTGCAATAGGGAAGATCGCCCCAGCTTTCGCCTGCGGCAACACAGTCGTGATCAAGTCGGCAGAAGCTACACCACTTTCCGCACTCTACATGTGTGACCTGATTGTCAAGGCAGGTTTCCCGGCAGGTTCGATCAACTTGATCACCGGCTACGGAAAGAATGCTGGTGCTGCCATTGCTTCTCATATGGATGTCAACAAGGTCGCTTTCACTGGCTCAACGGTTACCGGACGATCAATTTTGAAAGCCGCGGCCAGCTCGAATCTCAAGAAGGTGACACTGGAGCTGGGAGGCAAAAGAGTCCGGTATGTGGACTGTAAGCGACGATTCTCGGAGCTAACAAGACACAGAACATCATCTTCCCGGATGCCGATCTCAAGAAGGCGATCGAATGGTCAATCTGGGGCATCAACATGAACTTTGGCCAGACTTGCCACGCCGGAACGCGCATCTACGTGCACGAGGATGTCTACGATGAGTTCCTCGAGCTCTACACGGCGCGTATGAAGAAAATGGTGGTTGGTGACAACTTTGACAAGAACAACACGCAAGGCCCACAGAACTCGAAGATGCAGTATGAGAAAATTCTCGGCTATATTGACTCTGGCAAGAGTGATGGTGCTACTGTCCACCTGGGCGGCAACGCCATCAAGGGCAAGGACGGCTCGAAGGGATACTTCATCGAGCCAACTATCTTCACGAATGTTACAGCCAATATGAAGATCATGCGCGAGGAGATCTTTGGACCTGTTGTTGCGATTGCTAAGTTCAAGACCGAGGAGGAGGTTATTGAGATGGCCAACGATACCACTTACGGTCTTGCTGCTGGTGTTCACACAAAGGACTACGAAAGAGCTATTCGCGTGACTAGTGCTCTGGAAGCTGGCACGACTTGGGTCAATATGTACAACTTCGTGCATTGGTCGATCCCCTTCGGTGAGTGTTCTGGTCCACAAATCCGAATCTCATCGAGTACTAACCGAGTCACAGGCGGATATAAGGAGAGCGGTATCGGTCGTGAGTGCGGCGAGGCAGCGCTGGAGAACTACACAGAAGTCAAGGCGGTATACTTTAACATGGGGATGAGAGCGCCAGATGCCCTTGACGATTGAAAGGTCAAGCGGCGTGTATGACAGGCTGTCGTCGGGTTCGAAATGTCATCCGGAATTGATCCGTACTAAATGAAACCTGATATCGCGATCTGGTTTTCTGCAGACTGCCGTTCTTTGGAGTTTACCCAGAAGCAAACATGTCATCGGCCGCAACCCAGATGTCGCGGCAGCTGCAACACACGAAACCGGTGGCTTGCCGTGGCCGAATGGCCTGAAAGTCTTGACCTCGGCCGGATCCGTGTGGGTGTAAGCAACCGTGTTCTGGGGTCTGCGCTTGCGGTTCCGATCACAGCAAGATTGCATCTTAAAAGTTAACATCGCAGTACCAGGCAGCGGCTCACCGTAGACTTTCGCCACAACCACCATACTTTGCCGGCCGCGCACACACGCAGCCCGCCCGAGAAGCGTTGAGTAAGTGATCAGCAAAATCCTTGCAAGGTGCTAAACTTCCAGAAGGAATGGAGTGGCTTCGGCACATCCATCACTGGCTGACGCCAAAGCCGAGGGCCAACCAGATTTCTCCGGCCGAATGTCGCACCATACAGTACCACCATACCCCTCTACCCTCACCTCGTGTCACGTTGCTTTTCGGGCGGCTGCCAACGGCTTGATGGCCTGATGGGTGTGCCTGCTTATGCAGGGCCCCTCGAAGTTTAGTGGGTGGGATTGGGGTTTCGTCGGCTGCCGGTGCAACGTGATGCACGGGCAGTTTGCGAATCTTTCGGTTTGCTGCTAGATGGGCTTTGTTCGCTTGTTCTGTAGAGCTTGCTGTACTTCAGACGCAGATAGCAAGCTACAAGAACCGTCTGTTGACCTATACAACACCGCGATAAGCTCATCTTCTTTCAGCTACTTCAGCATCGTCGACCGGACACCGCCGCGCAACCCACCATGGATTTCATCACCAACAATAGCTTCGACCTCAAGCGACGCTTCTCACGGCGCTCGAAATCCTCCAAAGCCTCAGCACCCACATCATCACCCGCCATCATCCGCCCAACAATCGACACTTCCTCTGGCATCATCGCCATCCGTTACGACTCACCCGAGGCCTCCGCAACTAACACGCCCGTCAGCGAAAAATCAGACAGCAGCTTCGACAGCTCAAGCATCAGCACCGCCGATAAGCCGACGCCGGTGCGGCCCAGCATACCAAAACGGAGCGCTAGTCGACGAAATACCACGAACTCAGTGCCGACCGTCTTATCGAATAGCAGGGCGAGACAGACGGCGACGCCGCCGCGCTCGATCGCAGAGACGCTGGCAGCATACGAAGACTCGGCGCCGCCGCCACCGATACCGCCAAAGTCGCCTTATCGGGCTTCGAGGCTGATGGTGCAGTTGCAGCAGGAGCTGGCTGAGTCACCGGACGAGGAGCATCTAGAGGCCGGGAGGGAAGAGTATCCGCCTCTAGAGCTGCAGCGGTCGTTCTACATTGAGGAGGAAGACGAGGATGAGGATGACATGGACGTTGCCGAGCGGCTGAGTGTGAGGACTGTGTAGCATGAGAGGTGCACGAGAAACGAACAATGACGAGCAAACGAGAACACGAAATGTATAAGACAAACTGGAGGATTGACACGGTCGCTACACGAGAAATACTCTGGGCGTCCTACATAGATTTGAAGAGGGGATCTGTTCTCACGGAATCTTTGGAAGGTTCCATGGATCAGAAAAACATTCAATCAAAGAAGGACATGTGTGCAATGACGCGAACTGACCGAGACGTGAAGTCCCTATCGAGTCACCTTGTGTCTACCATTTCGAATTGCCCCAGCCATTTTTGATTTCTAGAGATATGCCCAAACTCATCTCATACAAGAGTCCAGTCTTATTCTTCGACACATGGACTGTCTTACACTGACATTCCTTCCCCTGGATCTCGATTCGGGTACAAAAGCACGACCACATATATCTTCCCTCCCCAGCAAACCGTTTCACAGCCCCTTAAACCGAGCCCAACCAGCACTCTTGTAAGCCGCGGCCTTCTTTGGTGTCAGCTCCTCCACATTGATGTTGATCTGCTCCGCAGCCTTTCCGTCCCACGAGTACACTCCTCCTCTGCCTTCCTCAGCGACCTTTCCACTAACATCACGGCGTCGAGCCATGCCCCTACCGAATTCGGGATCGAGACCAGCATAGCCGCTGTGGAGGTCGAGAGCGGTCGAGTTGGAAGTCTGTCTTGGGCTGTCGTACTTCTTGACTGGCACAGGCTTGCGTGCCGGTGATTGCTGAATTGGTGGAGGGGTGGGCGAGTAGTGGTCGGTGTTACTCGGCCGATGCAGCGACGCTCGAGAGCCATAGGGACTCTGCTGCTGGTACATGTACTGCGGTGGAAGTGTGGGGACTTCTTCTTCGTCATCGTCGCTGCCATATACCTCGAAGTTGGCACTGTAGTCGCTGGCAGACTGGGCTGACTTGGTGGTGTGCGATCTGTCTACGCCGAGTCTGTCGTGATCGTGCTCGTGGTCGTGGTCGTTGAAGACATCAGCTGACTGTGGCGCTGGTGGCGCTGTCTGGCCTTTCTCGACGCCAATGCTGCCAATGCTTGCCCGCAAATCGCCATAGAATCTGCCTTTGGTGCCACTGCCGATAAACGACGAAGCTCGGCTGTTGCCATCGGTGGATGTGAGAGCTGGCCTGGCTGGACTGGATTGCGGGTCGCGATTGTAGTAAGGTGTGTCAATCTTGCTGCCGTAGTAGTTCTCGTCGTTCATGTCAAAGCCTGTTCTGATAGGTGTGGGTGGTTCATGGCAGGGTTCTCTGCTGCGTTTGTTCGGTGACGGCTGAGGAGGCGCCATCATAGTAGCGTCGTGAGCACTGTCAGCGATAACGTCTCTCCTCACGACCGTTGTCGAGTGATCAAGGTCGACGGAAGGACGATTGCTCCAGGTATGTGTGATGGGACCATGTCCATTTGAGGAGATGGCTGACACCGGAGAGATGGGCCGAACCTCATGATTCAGCTGCTGCTCGGCAGCCTCGCTCAACTCGGTAGGCTGACCTTCGTAGTCCATGTACGACAGCCAGGATGATGCTTTTTCTGGTGCACGTTCAGGTGAGTGCTGAGGTGAAGATTGTACAGCAGCAGCACGACCCGGACGGTAATCGAGTCCTGCTCCTACTGGCCGAGAGTTGGGGGCTGGGCTCTGTGTTGCATTGGGTCGTAGAGGGGAGCCTGGAAGTGAGTTGACAGAGACGCGATATGGATCTTTCGTGACCTCTTCGAAGCCTTTGCGCATCTCTGCCCGAGAATTGCGCGCGCTTTCGTTTCCATAGAGCGTGACGCTATCGGCGGAGTCGGTACGGGTATGGATGAATGGCACTCTGCGCCCACTCATGTCTGACTGTCTCTTTGCAGCAAGCGTCGATGCACTCATGTGCTTCTCTGTGATGTTCATGGACGACTTGTTACGCTTGTGACCGAATCGGCTGGTAAGATTCTCCTCGAGAGGGTTCATATCAGGCGGTAGCTTTGTGATCTTGCGGAATATCTGTGCCAACCATATGGTCAAAGCCAACGATATTGCGAGGATTCCGCCTAGCGTCGAGCTGAGAATGAAGAAGGCGAAGATGATCTTGTAGCTGATGTCGTTGTCATTGAAAAGTGTTCCCCACTCATATGCATTTTGGGCATAGTCGAGATAAGACATGTATGCCGAGAAGCCACAGAACGGTAGCAGACCCAAGTCGATCAAGCCCGAGAAGATCATGTAGCTTGCTGTCGATCCTGGCGTGCGTGCGGTGACCGATCGACTGAGATGGTAGACTGCGTAGAAACAGTGAGCCACAGCCAGGGCTGGTGCTACTCTTATGATCCATGCCACTGCTGTACTGGTCTTATTGATGGCGATGACGCAGAACAGCATGCCCAGCGCTGCCAATAGAGCCGCCCATCGCAGTATCAGCAGGCATGTTCTCACTCTTACAACCTTCGACTTGGTGTTGGGCGGCATCGGCTGTGCTGTGAGGTTCCCATATGGTACGTGTAGGTAGGAGTCCGGGTGCTGGTTGAAGTCGACTAACGGACCATTGGACTTAGGTCTCTGAGGCTTCTGCGCCCATGACGCTTGAGTAGCAGCTCTTGGGTTGAATCCCTGCTGCGTAGGAGCCCCGAAGGTCCAGCTTTGAGGGCGGTCGTAGAGAAAAGGAGCGTTGGAGCCGCCCATGGCTGGCTTGTTGGAACGACTGTGTCAGGCTTGAAGCTCGTGCTCAGGAATGATGTAGACGAGCGCAGCTTGTCAGATTGACTGGAATGCTGAGCACATGTCGCTCGCTTAACTCCTTTGGCGAGAGGAAGTCGTGCAAGCATCATTGTTGACCCTCGAGGCTTTTTGCGGGTTGCTAGGGGCAACGATCGGGAGTGATCTGGCATCCCCACGATTCATCAAACCTTCGAATCGCCTGCATTACCCATACAGTCACACTTTGCCATCACTGGCACTCACCTCATGTCTGCAACTTGACGCCGTGAATTGCGTCATGATGAGTGCGAAAGCTGCTATGAAAGCCACTGAACATCGACTGCTCCCGCCTAACGAAGCCGCGTCCAAGGTGTGACGCTTTCTCCAATTCGCCCTCCACGTTCCCGAGGCTCCATTGTGTCTTCGAACCCGGATGCTGCGTTCCTGACGCTGGATTGAAGAGACGTTTCGATGATGCCTGGCTTCTGGGATGCAAAGGTCGGTGTGTTCGCCGCGAAGGTCCATTGTAGGTTCAGATCTTGTCGCCCGAAGTTCCCACTCTAGAGCTTGGGGATCCCGGTTTGCTCGACTAGGGCACGTGTATCCCAGAATGCGACACTGATGGCATAAGCTACTCTGGTCGGATCGTCTGGGACAGCGTCTGAAGATTACTTGACTCGATTGAGATTGATTACTACCTAACCTGAATCTTTCGACTGATCGAAAAATCCTTCTGTACCCAACGCCACGCATTTATCGACGTTTATCATGGGTTACCATTACTCATTATGCACTTCATAAGCATACATAGCTCGTGTCATACCACATACTCCCTCCGGCCATCAGTATGTCGTCAGAAAGGCCAAGCACTCATAAGTCTCCTCGAGACATAGTTCTCAAACGACAGAACGACGATCGATCAAGCTCTCCGGGATCGACAAGGGCCGACCGAAGCTCTGATTCAGCGCAAGCGCATGCGAAGAAGACCTTGTGTGGAAGTCATCATCCAGCAGAGCGAAAGTTGCACCCTCGCCGTCTTGGCCCGGGTTGACGCGCTCATAGCTCATGAGCTTCAGCAACTTGTAGAAGCCAGTGGCGAAGATCGCTCCGAGGATTGGACCGACCCAGTAGATCCAGTGTGACTCAGGGTAGTCGCTGTTTGCTACACAGGGGCCGAAGCTGCGGGCGGGATTGAGTGAGCCACCAGTGTAATAGACGCCGGCCAGCTCTGCTGTGAACAGGGAGAGCCCGATCCCGAGAGGAGCAAGGAACGTCGCACGATGTTTCTCAACAGCCAGCATATAGATCGTGAAGACGAGTTGCGCCGTGAGCATCATCTCGATGAACATACCCTGGACTGGAGTCGTGGGCAGACTGAGTGTGGTAGTCACTGCCAGCGGACCGGGAAAGAGGTACTTGACGACGAGGCTTGCAACAATGCCGCCAATGATCTGCGCGGGAATGACCACGATACCACGAATTATGGGCACTGCTCCGCCGAGACACAAGCCGATGGTAACGGCAGGATTAAACACCCCACCGGAGATGCGGAAGAAGATCCATACGGTAGCTGTGAGAGAGACTCCGAAGCAAGTGCTAATGTACAGCAGGACTAGCGGATCAGGACCTTGAGGGATGTCGGTATTTTCGTCGCCTGTGATACTTCGGGGTGCATTGGCCGTTTGTGTGCCTGCAAATGCGAAGAAAAGGAATAGGAACGTCCCCATGAATTCTGCCATCGCGGCCACAAAGTGATTCTGGACCTTTGCGGGGATGCGGCTAAGCAAGCCCATCGAAGATCCCCTCTTCTGGGCCTCTAAATCTCGAGAAGCGATTGTGGTGGCGCCCATCTTGTCGATTACCCCGGAAACGATTCTTTAGTGCTGTGATAGTTGTTGATCGTGGCGAGCCCAACGGTCAGATCGTCGCGAGCTATATGTATCCGGGCTGGAGGATTCATGGCCCTCGATCGAGCTCACTGTGTCATCCAGCCTGCCACATCATCGCCACCTCGATTGTGGTCGGTTTTTGCGATATGCATCGCATTTTGGTAGCGGAAACATAAGCGAGATCTTATCGACGAGGTCGGAAGTCGGGTTCCAGGTACTCGGATGTATCAAAAGTCATCTGGGAGCGTGTGCTGGCAGAGAAGAGCCAGTGGCAGACAAAGGACCGGCATGTTAAAGCAAAAATTGTCTTGGAACTGGGCAGGACTTGGCCGAAGAATCTTCTGTCAGCAGGGATGGCCCTAGGGCAAGGCTGTACGCTGTAAGCTGGGACTTGGGGGCCGGAAAAAGGAAGTCCAGAGAAAACAGCAATGAGGCTGCCACAAGTGCTTCCTTCGGGGCGGGATGGCATCATCTCTTGATATAATTAAGATCAGTGCGGTGAACAGCGTGAGTGAGATGCAACAACTGCGCGTGTCTCAGCGACCAGGCGTGTCGACGCCGTCCTTCTCTGAAAGAACCCTGACGTTTCATACCGACCCCATCAAATCTGCCAGGAAAGCCATCGCTGGCTCCCACGCGACGGTGAGGACCGTCATCGTCCTGCGGTCCAGCTTACCAGCGCTCGTGGGAGGTGATGCACAAGCTCGTCATCATCTTGATTCCAGAACACTGGTCGACTTGTCAGCATATCCTTGCGATGCGTGCAGAGAACATGCATGCATGCCAGCCTCAGCCATCATTAGTCAAGCTACGTGTACACACGATAGCAATGTGCAGACCATGAAATAGTGTGCACCATTCAGTTGCTGGGTTTTCATGGGTTGCGTGAAGAAGATGCGTAGTTTCTGTTCAAAGGTCGAAGCTAAGTTCCGAGAAAGTTCTGGTATGAATTCCTGGGTGTGGTTTCGGGCCTTGGCCTATCATCCGGCGACACAAGGAGCGACCGTACCTGAAGTATCGCTCCTCAAGCTGTCCAAATCTACCTGAAATAGATTCATGAGGATGAAGCTGGAGCTGGAAACCTGATCAGTGTTTCATCTGCAGCAAATACCGCGAAATTCGTCCACACCGCAGCTAAGTCATTCGAACCGTTGCACCAACGCCCCTCGCTGGCATCGCTAGCCAGCCGACGCGATCAATTGCAAATTCTCGACAAGCTTCGCACATGCACCAACGAGTCTGCTAGACCTTCAGCTATTACACAAGTGAGGGCATACGACTCAAGTCAGCTCAGCTGTAATCGTTATATCTCCAAAATGGCTATACGAATCGGACTACTAGATAGGCGGCAGCCGCTTGGAGATCTCCCATCGCATAGCTTACCTAATTTCACCAAGCATCTTTCGAAGATGATCTCATCGCCTAGGTATGCTCCGCCATTTGTGCAGTGGGACAGCTCCTGAGGACTTTGTAGCTTCAACGTGGCGCAGGCACGTTACGCATTTCTGCGCATCTTATAACGCCGCTCCTTGTCTCCGAAGGCATTTCCAATTCTGACGAATTAGCACGTTCCTCCCCAAGAGCTGTATAGATCTACGCAATGACAGTTCAAAAGTACGGAGCCGTAAACAGTAGATCGATTCGCTTAGAAATTAGCGCTTGATGTCTTCTTACAGTTCGAACGCGACCAGCTCGACTTGGTAAGCTACCTTCCACCAGACGAGTGCGGATCTATGCTTCTCCGCGGTGATGGACATGCCCCTTGAGCCCCTTGAGCTGTTTGGAAATGCAGACCTCCAGCGACCAGCTATGATTTAGGCCGTCACCAGTCCGTCTTGGAACCTTGGCGCAGCCTATCAATTTGTGCCCGTACCAATCATTTGACGCAGCTGCCGCGGCACTATTGCAGGGGATGAGCACGATGCGCAACGCGCTGAGGCTGAACAAGCTGAAGCTTGATAGTACTTAATGGCACCCCCGTCGTCTGAGAGCTGGTGAAGGACACCGACAATAGCAATCATGGTCTTCTACGGCGGCTTCTCGAAAGGATGTATAACCTGCCTGAAGAGGAGGGTCAAAGTAAGTGCCGCAAATCCGAAGGCTCCAGAACTGACATCCCCAGTGTGATGAAGCTAAGCCAACCTGTAATCGGTGCGCCAAATCGAAGAGGGAGTGCCTCGGATATCGCGATGAACAAGCACTGGCTTTTCGGGACGAAGGTAGAGCAGCAGCAGGTAGTGTTCCGAGATGGCGCAACAAAGTCCGACATCAGAACAGTGATCAGACTCGCTACATTCGGCGATTCACTGATGCGGTCCTGGATACGTCAATCCATTCGGACGCTGCGCTTTGTGGCATCCCTACGGTCGCTATCGTCTACGCTCTCCGAGCCGAGCCAGGTTCTTCTCTGTCGCATGCCAAGGAAGCTCTCAACACGGCCATGATGGCCGCACGTGATCCAAAGAACAAGGACTTGAGAGAGTCTTCCCATCTGCGCTATGGCAAGGCTATTACATCCCTGGCTAGTGATACGAAGGCCAATTATGAGTCGCATGACATCTTGATCTGCATCCTTCTACTGGTCCTTGCTGGTGCTACAATGGAAACTGGACCAAAGCTCGCCTGGTGGGCTATGCATAGTTGGGCGTCGGAGGCTATTGCTCGCTCGATGGGTCGGGAGATGGGAAAGGATAAGCAGTCGATACAAATCTTGCTCTGTATACGATCGCAGATGGTGCGGATGTAATCGTTACATTAGTGCTTGAGCTAACGGTGGTAGCTGCTACGACATTCGACTCGACCGGAGCGCTTCGTCGACATCGTCAATGATGAAAATCCCAACTTGCTGTCCTGGTCGGACATACCCGAGGAGTTCCACAACAATCCAGCCTTCACGCTGCAGAGATTGTTGACCCCAGTGCCAGGCATACGTTGGGATTTCGAACACTTTATGGACGAGCCTTACGCCGATACAGACATGCTACAAGGGTTTGATCTCATCGCACGATGTCGGAGAGTGGACCAGGCGCTGTCTCACTGGCATGAGTTTCTCCCACCAGATTGGCAACCGATATACGTCGATCATAAACCGACAGCGATCCCAGAGGATGATGACCTGAGGACCATCATGGCGTGGGCGGCTGGTGAGAGGATATGTATCTATCGCGATCAATGGGTGCTCTTCCACCAGTCTACCTTGATGATCTACAGATACTTCCTTCAGGCTTTCATCTTGAGCGTGGGAGCACGAATGCTGGGCTGTACAGTACATGATATTGCGAACGATGAGATCGATAAGAGAGAGCCGCTGTACTCGATGCTAGTACAGGCAAAGGAGGCGATCCTGGGGCTGCTAGATCGATCATGTCGGTCTGTGTATCATGTAAGTCGTCCGCCCCGGTCGCAGACTCGCCTGACGCTGGCAGCACCTTGGCTTGTCGCCAATCCAAATCGGCACGAGTACAATCAAGTCACCCATGGATTTGAAGCCTCCAGTCTTTGCGCCAATCATCCTGATGAAGCTGTTGTGGCAATCCAATTCAGTCATCATTGGTGATGATAGACATCGAAAGATGGTAAAAGCATCGTTGAGGTTTCTTGGCGAGCACTTCGGGACGAAGTTCTGCTGTCACTTGGGCAGTAACGATGAATGGTGCGAGACGCCGCTGTTCTCGATCGATCCTGCAAACTATGCCATTCGCCGGAAGGCAGCCGAGGTTCCGGGTTTGTCAGAGACCTTTGCGAAGGTCGACGTGGCGTCCTGACAGTTTTCTGAGTACAATACTCACAGGACCTCTCCTTGAAGGCGAGTGCAGCATCTCAGCGAAGACTATACGACCGCAGCTGGAGCACCAACGCCTTCTGAAGGTGTCAACCGAGGCATCGGTCATTGTGCCTGTGCGCTTGGTGGAGGAGACCGAAAAGTCTATCGAAAACTGTTTTCCCGGCGCAAGCTTAAATTCCAGGAACGGCTATGTTCTCGTGTTGACTGACGCTAGCCAAGCGATTTTGTGCCTGCTCAATTGTGGCAACGCTGTTCTGCTCCCACTACTCGGGAAACCCAAGCTCAAGCCGCCATTCTCATTACGAAGCAGTATGCTTCAGCATCTGCAGCGGTGTGCTCAGACCGCACGGAGTCCGATCTTCAAGAGAAGTCATGGATCAGACGATGTCTTGGCTGGGTGTTGGTCGAGTGTCGCTCGGTTTGACTGTAGCAGAAATTCTACAGGTGCTGGTGAGGCTATATAATGCATGAGAACCGCCGTGCTGGAGTGCTTCAGAGCAAGCAAGAAGGTATACCGGCAAAATGTATACGAAAGCATTCCTAGCGCTTATCGCAACGGCTTCAGCAGTGCCGTCACCCAGACAAACTACCTCGCAATCTCTCAACGTCACAGAGTCGACTTGGGACGGCGAGTGCTTCTACCCAAAGCCCGTCGATGATTTCTCACTGGATTTTTACCTCGGTCGATGGTACCAAGTCGCCGGTTCGTCATTTGGCGAGACTGCTGGCTGCACATGCATCTACGCAGAGTACAGTCTCAACGAGAACGGCACGGTCAATGTGTTGAACGGATGTCAGGCTGGGGAGCAGGATGTCACGATTCGAGCATCGCCAGTGCAGCAGATTCAGCCTATGGAGAAGCCGGCGTGTTCAGAGTCCAATTCCCTCCTGCGCCTCCACCAACCGAATGTACTGGACCGAATTATATTATCCAGGCGTACGAGCCGCGATGGGCAATTGTGCAGGCATCAAACTTCTCAACGCTGTTCCTGCTGTCTAGAGTCCAGAACCCTCCAGAGGAGCAGGTTGACGAATGGCTGGATGTGGCAGGTAGACTGGGCACGAACTTGACCAGTGTTGCCAAAATCAGTCAGGACGACTGTCTATTCACTTGAGGCGGACTGGAGACTTGATAGCACCGGCAAGCTTGCAGACCAAGCGATGACCATGGCGCCGAGGCAAAGTATCTTTGTGCCGGGCGGTTTGGGACCGTAACGAAGGCTGGTCTTGACCTAGTATAGGTTCCCGGATGATTGCTCTGCGGCGTCATGTGCAGCATGCGGCAGAAGCGTTGAAGACGAAGACCATCTGTACAAATCTCCCTAGACATCCGTTAGGCGCAGTGAAAAGTTTGGTGGACTTCCAGATATGGTAACTCAGCCGCCCAACAACTTCAACTTCAAATCCCTTAGTCAACCTCCTGCATGAAAATACCATACACTTGTTAACATTCGGGGCGGTTTTCTCTTCCAACACTTCTCCAGGCTTGTGCGCTTGCTGACGCTCTAGGACAGCTCATCACAGACCATCCGAGTGCCGCGACATTGCTGTGAAGGGTTTTGCACGACGGACGCTCTGTTATGACAGGCTCCTACAGTGTTGCCGTCGTCGGCTACGGATTGAGTGCCAAAATCTTTCACATACCATTCATTCAGGCCGTTGATGCCTTCCGGCTCCACGGTATCGTTCAGCGTACGCCCAAGCCGGGAAACGATGCTTCGAAAGACTTTCCATCTGCAAGAATCTACCTGCATTCGAAGACGCAACTGCTGATGCCGAGGTCGACGTCATTGTCATCTCGAGTATTCCAGAGACCCACTTTGCCTTCGCCAAAGCAGCTCTGGAAGCCGGCAAGCACGTGATCGTTGAGAAGCCATTCGTCCCGACCTCCGCCGAAGCTTCGCAGCTGGTGGAGGTCGTGAAGCGGACAGGAAAGCAATTGAGTGTCTTCCAGAACCGGCGATGGGATTCGGATTATTGCACGGTCGCGAAAGTGATGAAGGAGGGCCTGCTAGGCGATATAGCCGAGTTTGAGACGCACTTCGACCGCCATCGACCCGATCCTCCGGCAGATTCGTGGAAGCTTGAGGACAAGCCAGGTAACGGTGCGCTGTATGATTTGGGAAGTCACCTGATCGATCAGATCTACCACTCCTTCGGGCTGCCGGAGAAAGTCACTGGATTTGTGGGCAACCAGAGGAGAGGGGTGAAGGGTGGTGCACCGGATTCATGTACGGTGCTGTTGCACTATCCTGGCATGCTGGCTACTGCGAAAGCAGGTGTGGTAAGCTGCGAGACGAAGCAGCTGAGGTTTTGGGTGAAGGGAACGAAAGGGAGCTTCAAGAAGTTCCATCTCGACGTACAAGAAGGTCAACTACGGGACGGGATGAGACCTGCGGACAAGGGCTATGGGCTGGACCCGGAGGAACACTATGGTAGGTCTCTTGTTGGCGGACAGATGGCCAATATTGACCTTTGCAGGCACATTGACGACGCTTATCGATGGCAAGCCCCAGCGCGAAGTCTATCCTACAGTCGAAGCTCCTACATACGTGGCCTACTATCGGCAATTCGCAGAGGCTCTAGCCGGGAAAGCGCCTGTCCCGGTCAGTGCGGAAGAAGCGCGAGATGTGCTGCGGATCATCGAGGCGGCGATCCAGAGCTCGCACGAAGAGCGAAGTGTGCGGATCTGAAGCAGTGCACGATGCTTGACTGGCCTCGGTCCACAGAGTGAGCAGCGGACCGTGGAGACTGATGTTATCAAATGCAGAAGTCAAGCCGAAGCTAATCCTGTAGACGCCAAGATCGAACCCATGAGAACCAGAATGAAGTGGGCCGACACAGCTTCCGCGAACAGCAAGCGGATTCAGACATATCGGTGAGGACAATAGGGCAGTGAGATCAATGGCTGTGACATGCGGTCCCATGATCAGGAGTTCGAGACACAGTGGCACCGAAAATTGCGCGCGAGACTATCGAAGCCCTCCGCGGGGGCGTGTTGATGAGAACGACGCAAGATCCAGCTCCAAGAGTGTTGACAGCTTCTAGAGGTTCAGCATCCGCCAGGATCGGATGCCGGAGCTACCACACAGAATCTCTGTGGACATCACAAAAATTTCTCCGCCATGGCACCGTGAGAAGGTGCTCCTCGAATCTTGACTCGGGGACGCAGAAATTTCGACGATCAATGTGGGCCCGACCTTGGCAACCCCGCCTTCGCTTGGAGCTACCTACATTTTGACGACATCTCTCCGTCGACTGCGTAGCTACAGGTGTTCCAGTCCTGGCGCTCTCAACGACGATCCGCAAGAGACGTTGCCCTGGCAGTCGCGCTTGCCTCGAAACGTGACGGCCTGCGGCGCTAAATGCTGCCCGTGACCTGAGGGAACCGAACGATGTTGGTGAGTGCAGAGCGGATTGCGGAGATGTTGCTGATGTCTTTGCTTGGCATTTGCCTGAGTATTTGCCGGACTCAGTCGGCATGTTGCCGATGATGCGCTATATAGTCAATGGTTTCTTGAGAAAGCGAGGTCTTGCTGCCAACCGCCCAACATGAAGCGAATGAGTATTGTCGCGGCAGCGTTGCTGACATTGGCCCAGGCATCGAAGAGCTATCGTGATGCCTCCCTGTCTGTGTCAGAGCGGGTGGAGGACCTACTTGCTCAGATGACCGTGGAGGAGAAGGCTGGACAACTGTTCCATTCCATGCTGCCCCAGGCGCCGCTCAATGTGACCTCGGAAACGCGGAACAGCACTGAATTTATGCTCAAAGAGCAACTACTAACGCACTTCAATCTACTGGGCGGCATTAGCAATCCAGCCGAGACTGCAAATTTCATCAACAGCGTTCAAAAGGTTGCTCTCTCAACACGTCTCGGCATCCCAGTCACTATCTCGACAGACCCTCGCCATGCGTTCACCGAGAATATCGGCACTGGCTTCGCGGCAACAAGCTTTTCTCAGTGGCCCGAATCCCTTGGACTAGCCGCACTGAGAGACGCCAGCCTGGTCGAGAAGTTCGCAGACATCGCTCGTCAAGAGTATCTGGCTGTCGGTCTCCGTGTTGCTCTTCATCCGCAGATCGACCTGTCGACAGAGCCAGGTGGTCTCGTATCGCCAACACGATGGGTGAGGACGCTGCTTTGACTTCTGAACTTGTTGTTGCCTATCTGAAAGGTTTTCATGGCGAGAACTTCGGCCCAGACTCTGTGTCGACTGTCACGAAGCACTTTCCGGGTGCTGGACCAATGGAGAATGGCGAAGACTCACATTTCGTGTACGGCAAGAATCAAACGTATCCCGGCAACAATTTCGATCACCATTTGATTCCATTCAAGGCGGCGATTGCGGCCGGGGCGCGACAAATGATGCCGTACTACTCACGTCCTATCGGCACAAAATATGAAGAAGTCGGCTTCTCGTTCAACAAGGGGATTGTGACGGATCTACTGCAGCACGAATTGGGCTTCAAAGGAGTCGTTTGTTCTGACTGGGGCCTCATTACCGACACAGAGATTGCTGGCCAGGATATGCCGGCTCGAGCTTGGGGTGTCGAGTACCTCAGTGAGAAGGAACGTGCTCTGAGGATCCTTCAGAGCGGTGTCGATCAATTCGGGGGCGAGACAAGGCCTGAGCTGATTGTGGACCTTGTGAAAGACGGTGCAGTGTCTGAGGAGCGGCTTGATGTGTCAGTACGGAAGCTGCTACGGGAGAAGTTTGAGCTGGGTCTTTTCGACTCGCCCTTCGTAGATGTGACAAAAGCAAACGGTACTGTTGGGAAGCCAGAATTTGTTCAGGCTGGCAATGATGCACAGAGGAGGGCGTATACGCTGCTGACGAATACTATCCTTCCATTGAAGGTCGAGGGGAAGTGGTACCTTGAGGGCATCAACGCGACCTACCTCGAGAGTCGGGGACTAACGGTGGTGAAAACTCCGGAGGAGGCTGAATTCGCTATCTTGCGTTTGCAGACGCCCTACGTTCCACGTCCTGGCGGCTTCGAGAAGAACTACCATACAGGAACGCTTGAGTTCTCTGAGGAGGAGAAAGGCCGGCAGGCAAAGATCTATGCTACAGTGCCAACCATTGTGGATATTCGTCTCGAGAGACCTGCAGCGATACCAGAAATTGCCGAACATGCAGCAGCGTTGCTGGCCAACTTCGGAAGTGGCCCAGAGGCGCTTCTTGATGTTATCTTCAACGTGAACGGCTACGGTCCAGAGGGCAAGCTGCCTTTTGACCTTCCGAGGTCGAACGCTGCAGTGGAGGCCTCGCGTGAGGATGTACCGTTCGATACGAAGGATCCTGTCTTCAGGTTCGGCCATGGGTTGAGGTATGAATAGTGCGAGGAGCGATCTAGCGGCGAGCGAAGGATGTCGCGGACGACCAGTCTGCGGTAGTTCTTGCTATCGAGCTCGAATATCGCTGCTTGGGGGACTGCCGGCAAGTAACAGACGCCCTGGCGATGGATCCCTTCACTGTCATGCAAGCACACTTTTGTTTCATGAAAAATACTGTGTGTGCCGCTGAAGTCGAAGGCTCTCTTGCACGTGCTTGCCTGACTATATGCGACATCCATCCTCTGATCACTGCGCTTGGCCGCAGCTCAACGTCAAATCGTGCACGAGAACGTCGACCACAGTCGCTGTCATGGCTGCGAGATCCATGACTGGAATCCGGCAGAGTCCATGATGACACTAGGTCAGCCTTCTTGGTGCTCATCTCCTAGCAATGCATGGCCGACTGCTGTGGACGCAATGACGCTGCGAGCGCTACAGTGTACAGCAGCGTAATGGAGTCACCAGGCGCACTTATCATGGCGAGCAGATGTCAGGACGCCAACCAGAACAACCCTTCTTTGCACTGGTCCCCGGCTCCCAACACTCCCGTAGGATTTGCGCATCCAGGACGAGCATTAGAGACTGCTCCTCCCGCGCGATCTTTGCTCCGTTTCCTGCTTCCCCGGATTTCCAAGCAATAATCTTGTGGGGCAGACTTTTCATCAACGCACTGTTTCGGGACGCCCGACAAGGTAGCATTGAAGTACGCGCTATGGCAGGGAGACTTATGTGAAGGATGAGCGAGAGATTGGCGACGACAGTGCGCCGATGCAATCGTGAGGGCGTACCTTATCTCGCCAGGCACGGGTCTCGTGCTGAGCAGAGTCCACAGCGGCGATAGCCTATGCTAGAGACGGCTCGGAGCGATTCTCGGGTTGAGCACGGTGGGTCGCGGTACTGTTCTCGAACAGGTGCTACACCAGCAGACTAAGAGACCGAAGTACGGCCAAACTATCGACAACTGCAGCTTCCTCGAGCGAACATGTCCGGCGAAGCGACATAGCGGAAGCGGAGAGGTGTCCGATGAGTCCCGAGCAGTGATGGACCAGTAAGGGGACCAATCTGGTGCTGACGGATGGTCATAGTAGTGCAAAGCGATCACAGCCTTGACGCAGCGTGTCTGCTCGGTCGAAAGGGACCAGACCTTGACCGATGGGCGTGCTCCAGATGTCCAAAGTGGTGAGACATGCGATGGCCAGCCGTGATGCGGCCGATGTTGCGTCATCCGGCGTGTGAATTGTCCAGAGCTGTCAACTGGTCTGCTATCCCCATGTTAGTTCTACATATCGCGCTGCGAGGGTCAGCAACGGACAATTACAACGCTCTACGGTGGCAAGCCTCTTCGCGAAAAGGTAAACTCGTGCAAACAAGCGTTGCAACATCATGCACAACCTGTTCAAAAGTTGGCATTCGCCTTCCTCGCCGAAGACTTCTCTCTGATATTCGCTCCCGCTTCTACATGACATTCTCGATTCCCGCGTCATCGTCCTCTCGTCCGTGAAGGGTTGAACAGTAGAAATGGGGCTTGAATCGGGGACTGCGGTGATGATTCGGGAAGGCAATTGCAGTGAAGCGATCTATAAGCAATGCGGACGTCGACAGGTCAAGCAAGGGAAGCTGCTACCGAGAGCAGCATGTCTTGGATACCAATGGTCTGAAGCCCACGAGCGCATGGTCTCCGATTCAGCGAGTAGGTAGATAGTCCTAATTTTGGAGCTTGACTCTGCTTTTATATTCGAACGACTCTAAATGTCATCCGGCGTCGCTCCACTACATCTTTCGTTCGGCCCCAAGAAGCCACCACTCCGCCGCCGTTCACCCCAGCTCCGAGCTCCGCACTGTTCAACTCGCAGTAAAATGTTCGGCTGCCCGTGGCGCTGGTGGACGGGTTGCTGAACTCAGCAATTTTGTTGCTGCGATCAAATCCTAATTCTTGATGCGGTAAAGACGTCGACTGCAGCGATCCTGTCGTCAGGCTAGGCTAAACAGCGTCCCATATCGAGCTGGTCCTTGACGCCTGCCAATCAGCATTTTTGATCCACTAAGTTTCAAGGCCTTCGAAACAGTCTGCCTTAAGATGGCTAGGAAGGACTCTGTACCCGACGCAGAAGTGCAGAGTCTGTCCTCGAGATCGCTCTATACCACCGCGGGTTCGTCTCGAGACATTCGTCGTCTCTCGCTCTGTCCGTGCTTGCCCTTGTCCGAGACCTCTACCGAAGGCAACAGATCCAACAAGTGGAATGGGCACATTAGTACGAGATGACAACCTTCGTTGATTTGTCTGCAAAGCTGGGCGAGCCGTCCAACATTCTCCGTTGGTATGAGGTCACAGCCGCTTGTATAAAGCTTGCACGCGGAGCTCGCCACAATTTTGTCGCTGCACTGTCTCGGGGGAAGCAAAGTTGCCACTTTAGCCTCGATACAAGATTGACTTCAAGCCTGCGGAAACCACTGAGGCCATGCAGACGCTAATCACAGTGCGTCTGTCGTCGTGCTGAGCCTCGCAACATGCCACGTACTACGCGGTGCGATGTGAGAGAGTCTGCGTTATTTTGTGGCTGACTTCAGTCTGATCGTCAGACACCACCATACAGAGTCGACTCCTCTGTGTAACATCAGCTCGGGAGTAGTTAGGTGTCTGAGATCCTGCTCATGCTGGTCCGTAACCTCACGCCGCTATCTCCCAGAGTCGCAAAGCGAGCAGATCCAAGTTTTCGGCCAGACGTTTGGGTCGAACAGCAAATCAAGGTACTGATGAAGTGAGTCGCTGTCAATCGAAGCGACAGCGGCCGTGTCGCCAGGGAACGGTCATGGCGACGCAGTGTCTGGAGCTGTTGTGACACTAACACGCGATCAGGCTGTAAGTCCAGCCGCTCAGCAGAGCATAGGCCTCTCGAGACCTATCCGCGGCCATAGCATCGGGCGTGTTCCTTCGAAGATGTGCCGAGGACTTGTGTAGCCCAGCCCACTGCATTTTGGCGCAGCTGATACAATGTAGCGTGAGGTGCTTGGCTTCAGCGATGGGGCGCGCAGCTGGCAGTGAGGACCGCCGCGTAACGCTCACGGTCGCTAGACGTGTTGTGACAGGCGGTGTATTCCAAGTGCATCAATCGATGTGGTCACCATGAAGGACCGAATATTCAAGTCGGAGCAGCTATTGCGCTGTACGCATAAGTGCCGATCGGCTGCAGGATTGCTCGTCGAGCATCGGTGCATCCTGTTTTGACGATGGGTATTGCGAAGCTATGAAACTAATGACGCTGTATGTATCCTAGGTTTGGACGTACTGCTTGCTAGTCAGGAACAAGAAGCATTAGCTTTGGGCCCTAAACCTGAGCTGTCCTCAACTTTAGTCCTGAGCTGGGGGATCCCCACTGCTGGAGACTTTTCTAGCGTGGTATGCAGAGAGTCTCTAGGCGTTTTTCGCACATCTGGCATCTGCTGAAAATCCCAATTTTTTCGAATTGCCAAAGCTCGCTGCGACGCGTGTAGGGCCCGAAAAGTTGCGCTGCACGCTGCAAGACATTTTATTTTGGCAGTGGTTCCGATTTGATGAAACGATCTGGCGACTCCCTGAATGGCTTGATCCTACACTCGCAGCTCAAATATCCGGTGGGTGCACTGCCGTAATCCGACAAGACCTTCCGTGACGTCCGAAACACAGCTTGGGGTCACTGACGGCTGCTTGAGACCAGCACAACGTCGCTGGAAGCGATCGAGCGACTCCAGAAAATGTCCGTAGCGTGGTGTTTGGTGCTGGAACTGCACAAAACCATCTCGAAATACGATAGTCGTTTCGCGCGGCGTGGAACGGCAAGGATCCAAACGACACGTAGTTGTGAGCCTGCCTTTGAGCCGACATAAACCTCAGTTGTGCGATGATCCAGACGAGAGCCGTCATTTTCGTCGTGTGCGCGAGTCGGCGGCTGATTGCGGCCGTGTTCGACTGCGAGGACACGGCGAAGGCTGATCGTGCTGGCAAACGCAGGAACAGATGCATGCGCCAGATTCCGCTCCGGCCTTCAATGAGTCCACTAGTTTTCTCTTGATTGTTGCCGACCTTCGATGAGTAGTTTTCGTATATCAACAAGGGGAGGTCTTCTTGCATGTATCAGAGCTTGATCAAGTAATCAGGACACTAGGTAGTAGTTCGATTGCGACCCCGACTGGCCGAGGCTGATCTACTAGACCGTCTCAACGGCGAGCTGTGTGGCTCACTGACTCTAGGAAGTGCGCCAAACCATGGGATGAAAGACGACGTCCAAGCTGGCTCGCCGGGGAACGCACGGTCGCGATGATCCGCATCATGGACATGCTCTGCGCGCGCGCTCCCATAGTGTATGATTTATGGGAGAGACATCGTTGGAGCCAACACGGCATAGGCGTCCGTATGCTGGGACGAGCATCTTGTGATGATCTCTACATAGTAGTCTGTTCCGTGACCGAACGCGCAATCCTCTAACTGAGGCGGAAAATGCTGTGACTTCGAGCTGTCAACCGACATAGCGCGCGAGAGGTTTCGACGAGGGGCTTTGTGAGCGCCAGATTGCCCCGGAGCCAACACTGTATGGTGCTCGTGCGTCAGCTTGCACGTAGATCTCTCGAAATGCCATCAAGCTGCTCTTCCTCATCATCGAGCGCTGGGCAAAACTCTCAAGTTGCAACCAGCGCATGTAGTGTCTTGTGAAATGCCATCAAGCTGTCTTTAGCCGTGTATGTAGCGTGGCAATGAAAGCGCTGGCATAGACTCAGAAGCGGGCAGAAGCACGTCCTCCGTCTCAACGCTGGTGATCGCCTTGGTACATCTTTTGTTGATTCCAGTTGTGCTCAATAGATTCATTCGAGCGTTTGATGAGTCTGTTCTTCCGAAGGCGGTTCACTTGCAGACCTCGTGCTTAGTGGAATGATCAACTACACTGCACCTTGTTTCGGTCGCCGTGAGCACACTCAAGCCACGAGCGCCGACCGGCCGACTCGGACCAATGCGTTGACAATTACTGCGTGAGCCACGGTCAGAATCTTGCGACGGCAAGCGTATGGGAGCCGTGATCGTCGGTTTGAACACCGGAGAATACCGGAGCGCTTGTCTGAAAGTGTGGTCGTGTCGAGCAATTGTTGATCGAGCATCGTGTGGCCGTCTCTGACCAGGTGCGGGCCGTAGTAGCGACTTCTGGGCCTTTGCAACGCGTCTTTCGCGATGCCTGCAAGAACACAAGAGGAAGACCACCGCAGACACGCTCGACGCTGCAGAAAGTCGAAAACAAGCGAGTGGGTTGGCGGAAGAGCAACCTGTTGTTCATTTACCAGATGTTGTGGGCACAAAGATGTTGAAGTATGTGCTGCAGCTTTTGTTGATCGAAATGTGCCGCCATGGAGATGATGAAATCATAGTTGAAAGCAAACAACTCGGGGAAGACTGCAAGGGCCGTGCAATCTCTCTGCAAACAGTCGTGTACCATAGGATGTAGTGGCCAGAATAGACGGTGCGTGATACACTACCGCATGCAAAATTAATAGCACATCAGCATGCCACCTGTCTTGTCGCGTACCTGAGGGAGTTGAGAGTCCGATTGAAGTGTAGATGAAGGAGAGCTTATTGCTGGTGTTTGCTAGCGAAACTTCGTGTATGCGGCGAGTTGAACTGAGGTCGCGCAAAAACCTGGTTGTAGGTAGCGCATTGTGTTCGTACCGCGCGCGAAAGTCGCGTACAAGAAATTTCATACGAGTTAAAGCTGTAAATGACACTGTACGTCCTGTGGTTGTGGAGCGCATACTTGGCTAGTCAGGAACAAGCTATGGCTGTCGAGAAGCCTAGCCCTGAGTTGTCCCCAACCTTAATTTCGTCTGCGGGCTCAGTGTCTTACCAGCAAAGGCTTGCGCATCAAAGTCCCAGCCTATACGTCCGCAAGAACTTCCGTCGGCGCTCAGTTCAGCGTCGAGCCGCGAAGTCGAGAGACCTATCTGTGTGAAAATGTGTGATGGTAGGCAAGGCAAATGTCTTTGAACACCTGGAGAGACTGTCGCTGATTTTCAGACTCAAGCTCAGGCCCAAGTTAGGGAGTCAGATGATTCGGGAGGGGTCATTGAACGCTTTATGAAACTCTAGCGCGCTGAGCTTGCCCAACTTGGGTCCGAATGAGAAACTCTGAGACTGAATTCGATCTCCAAATATCGTTCTACGCTCTACTGAAGCGCTCTTTGACGAATACGCGGTCGTTCCCAACGAGCGCAATGGACCTGGTCGCGAGGTCGACTAGCTGGAATTCTCAGGTGAGTGCGACGGTTGTCGAATGAATTGGCGCGCAGTTTGCTCCCGGACTGGTAAATGTTCGAGGAAGCCCTGCACCATGCGACAATGTCAAGAGAGAAACACCATTGTGTTCGCTGGGCGAGAATGCGCGGAACACAGATCATGTCAAAGAGAGCGGTCTCCAAACGATAGTACTGCATCAACAATCTGTTAGTCGCTTCTTCCGCAAATGGAGATGAGATTCCCTTAAGATCCCGGAAAAGACAGCGGCGGCGGTCACTTGCCCGCTCTCCGATCATCGCTCGGGGTTCAAGGGCACGTCCATAGCAAGAGAGCGTCGTCTAAGAATGTCCTCGCAAAAGTCCCTGGATGTCCCTTTCTGTAAATATATGCAAGGTATACAAGTACGCTCGCAGGACTGCACAGCTCGCTTTTGTCGTGCTGCACTTCTCAGCAGCATCCCATATCAGACACAGACGTCTCTGCCTTAACTTCACCATCATGCGTTCACCAAACCAGCAACTTCTTGTGGCGCAGAACAGCCTGAAGATGCGGCCAGGGATGTAAGAAAGTGAAGAATCCACTGGGTCATAAATCTCATAAAGGTCGCCGGGAATTATCGAATTGGCCGCGAACCTTCTGACCGCGAGGAAAGCGTCAAGAAGGCCGTAGCTGTAGCGGAGGACTGCAGGCCAGCTGGCGGATATCACTGGGTTACAGCACTTTGATCACGCGTCAACAAACACTTGATCGTGCTATCACTGTCGTCCTAAGACTGAAGAGGCTTGTGCCGACCAAGCGATAAGATCTGACGGCGAGCTGCGCCCGAAGAAGTCGCACTACATAGCTCGTTGCAAGAGAGAGCGTTGTCTTCCTCCTGGCGCAACATTTCACCATGTTCAATCCGTCTGGACGTCTGTCGCTTCACAACCATCACAGTCTAATGGTTTCTATATCATAACAAGCATCCACCTGCGCGACGGGAAGTTCATTTCGTTGTCGCGAGGAGCACAAGATGGAAGCGCTGCATACACGGGACACTGCTGATCTAGAAACAGTTCGTCAACCATTTGCGTGTGCGAATGCGAATGCCGGCAACCTTGGTGAGGGTGTTTATATCATTCTTGTGCAGAATTTTGTGTATCAATCAACCAGATGTGTTCTTCTTGTGCTGCTGGATGACTAGCTAGCTGGCTAGGGTAAGGAAGACTTACTGTACACAATGCCATGATTGAGCGACGAGACTGACTGCACCAGCGACGCTTCCTGGCACTTGTCAGTGGCTTCTGGTACAGGCCTAGACGTCGAGGACGTCAGTGGCCGAGCAGACTGTAGCTGAAACGCTGTTGTCGTGCTGTACAATCCGACCTACTGCCAGCAAACAGTCAGAACGCAGCGGTTGTCGTCAAGCTCAGTGCATAAGCAACAAATGTCGAGCAATGAAGACTTCATGCCATACAGCCACGGTGCTATGAGGCACACAAAATGTCAGGGACACAGAAACCGTCACCGGGTGCGTGCAACGGACAACTTGCACTGGGAGCAGAGGCTTCCGTCGGGTCAAGTAGTTCTGCGAGGTTTGAGAACGCTGGCTGTGCAGACGTCGGTGCAGATGGGCATTGCTTGTGGATCTGGCTCTGCTGCAATGCACTGTCATGTGCGTGACGCAGGTATGGTATTTCTTGCTCGATTTCCGAACGGGAGGGAGCGCAAGCAGGGGCGGTGGCGGCATGGCTCGAAGACTGCGCAGCATCAAAGTCGAAAGATGTGATGGAGGAAGAGACGGGGAGGAAAATTCTGCAAGTGGAACGGTAGTTACAATTCGTTCCTTCGCGCGGAAGGCACGCGTGCCTGGTGTTGTTGCCCGTGGAAGGCACGCGTCCAGTATCGTGCCTTCCCTACCTCAAAAGCATCATCCAATACCTTCGGCTACTGCACCCAAAGGTGAACCAACGGCATCTTTCAGTGATCTCGATCATTGGCAAATGAAAGGACGGCCCAGCAATTAACATAGCAACAGCACAAAGCAACATTTTCGAGTCGCCCTTCAGTCCCTAATACAGGTTCTGCAGCTACTGCCCTCAGTCTCGAGATCCACTCAGCACATGTGACAGCCCTAGTATCCGCCCGCAGTAACACCACCGAGTGCTGCAACGTTGCGGTGCAGCTCATGAGCGATGCCCAGCTTCCCCAAGAAGTACTCCTCCTTCTCAGTCATCATATAGTTCCGAGCCGTGCGCCATGACCTCCAATCACCGGCATTGACCTCCTTGTAGACCTTCTCCTCGGCTGGGTCCAGCAGTATCGGATCGATCTGAGCCTCAGGGACCGGATGCACAAAGAACGGAATCGAGTATCGCGATGGCAACATCGCCTCGGATCCATCCTCGGGAGTGAACGCTTCCGGAGCCACGACCCGGTGCATAGTGCTCTTAACGCGGCCGTTGAGCAGTCTATGCAACAGATCCCCGATGTTGATCAGAATAGTGCCATCTTTTGGAGTTGCTGGAATGAATTTGCCCGTGTGAAAAGGGTCAATCTCCAGACCGCCAATAGAATCTTGAAAAAGCAGCGTGCAGAGACTGTAGTCGCAATGAGGCCGAATTCTTCCGTCTTTGCCAGCTCCATCTTTTGCCGCAGAAGCTGCGATGACAGATGCAGGCACCGGGGGATAATGCAGGATTCGGAGCTGAGGGTCACTGTCGCCAGTGATGGGCTTGAAGTATCCTTCGCCGCCAGGAAGTTCCAGTGCGAGTGCAAGGCACGCCAGAACCTCTTCCGACAGCTTGAAGGCTTCTTGGTAGAAACTATCAAGGACAGCCTCAAAGTCGCGGATTCCTGGGTTGTATGCGGCAAGCTCTTCGGGCGTCGGACACAATTCGTTCTTGTAACGTCGATGCTCGTATGCTTCTTTGTAATCCTTCTTCATAGCCTTGCCCTTGTGGTCGAACCCGATATCCTTGCCCTGAGCACTGTAGCCTTGGTTCTCAGTGGGGTCTCGAAGCGCATAGCGTTGTTTGAAATCCAGGGGAAGGTCGAAGAAGTCTTTAGCCTGTGTCGGGCGTTAGTGAAGACGTGAACGAGGTGTGAGGAGACGCACGAGAGTGAAGATCTCATTGATTCTTGCCTGGCTGATGCCTGTGTCCTTCAGGTACAGAAACCCAATGTCACGAAAGGCAGCATAGACTTGCTGAGCAACCTCTTGACGTACTGCTGCCTGTCCGGTCAAGAATGGCTCGAAAGAGATGACAGGAATTTCAGGCTTCGCCATGATGGGCTTTGATGCTCTTTGCGTCTGGTGTACTTAATGTGTTATGGCCCGGTATGTATTGGTGTATCAAGGAGGAGGGAAATGGCGATAAGCTGGCGGTCGGCGAAAGATAGACCTTAGGGTCTCTTACCATGTAGTCACGGAGCAAACGAACAGTCAATTGGCGCTCGTTCGTGGGTCGCTCTGTCAACCCGGGGTCGAGGTCAAGGACCAACAGTGGACAGTGGGCACATACATAGATGCGTGGACACACACTCACCTACGCTGGGGTGTTGTGGACCCAGAGGTGTGTAGTTCAGATTAAGATAGTGCAGGCATATCGAGTCCAGAATATGTACTACCATGGACACGCCGTGGAGTCTTCTCCACACGAACGGCGATGGTTAGTAGTATGCCGCATCTTTCGTGTAGGCAAGCAGCGCACGCTAGGCCAGAACACGGCAAATAAGCACCTCTGAATCAGTGGGGGTACAGACTTCGCGCTTCTCCGAGTTTTCCCACGGCGCTGGCCAGACTAGTGGAATTGGAGGTGATCGACCGCACGCGTATCTTCCAGGGCAAATGATCGCTCTCATCGTTTCATCATCCGAAGGAGGAAAGAGAGCACCAAGACAGGCTTGTTCCGAATCGTGAACGATATGTGTGTCGCCTACGGATCATCAAGGGTAGATGCGACTGACCTTCAATCGAAGTCCTGCGTGGCTTGGCAAGGCTGAGTCAGGCAACCAATTGATCTCTCGCTATACCTAAGCCATCCTCACAGCACGGCGCCGAGGCTGAGGTTCCGTGGCCCTTTGCCCTCGCCCTTGGGCTGTTCTAATGACCACGCGACAGCGTGGAGGTCAGTGACCCGGCACTATGTTCGATTTCTGTCATGCGAATCACTACTGACAATCACTGAAGTCTGCTTGAGATGTCGGCATCGACGGCGCAAATGCGATGGCAAAACGCCGGCTTGCAGCCGATGCGAGTCTCTGGACGCAGATTGTGACTATAGCAGTCGCTTCCGCAATGCACACCCTCGCTCTAAGCGAAAATCGTTCTCTGGAACTCCGGTGAAAGGTCGACAGAATCAGAAACCTAGCCGGGATGGATCACAAGGTGATTCACTGCGATTGTCTGCTCCTGCAGCAGAACTGCCAATCACCGCAAGCACCACGCTGCAGCACACCGCGAATCCTCGCTTATTGCATGGCATCTTCGCCTCAGTCTACTCGGAGATCCTGCCAGCAGTCATTCCAAAGACTATCAAGCAAGAGACTGCTTTAGCATACTGTTAGACACCTCCCTACCGCCATTCCAGCCAGTACTGACAGATCACTAGGGTTTGAAAAGCCATGCGTCTTTCTAACAGCCTGCCAAGGTGAACAAAATCCATACTGGAGGTTTTCGCGCATGGCTTTGAGCTCGCCTCTTCTATTGCTCACCATCATATCGAATGCTGGCGAGTGGATGTATCTCGAAGGACTTCTCCAGGCCGATGATGTCGCAAAGCAGCATCGAACTGCGCTGCAAGCCCTCCAGAAGGCGATTGGTCTTGCACACCAACCAAGCTCGCGCACATCTGACCTGTCTGGGACGAGTCCAAAAGCCCTCGACGTCGGATTGGACACACTGGGTGCTGTTCTAATGCAGGTCACCAACTCGTACTTCCTAGGATGGGGGCCAGTGCAGTATCATCTAGACGCAGCCAGTCATTTGATCCAGGAACTCGGAATCTCATCCTTCAAGGGTGACGATTTCATGTCTTCGTTCCTACTTCAACGATTTATCCTGCTCGACGTCTGGAGCGCCATGTTGCAGAATCATCGACCCCTTCTACCGAGTGGGCACTGGGCCCTGCAGCCTGAAGCAATGCTGGACTCTCGAGACCCGTCGTTCCGCGAGATGACGGGCTGTCCGCATCCTGTGATATGTATTCTGTCGCGTATATGTCACCTGGTAGCCGATCTAGGCAAGGAAGACACCTCGGATATTCTACGTGTTGCCTTCATCGCTGAGAACGATCTGCGCTTATACGGATCAACGACAGGTATACATGAAAAGGTTCAAGAACAGGACGCACAATCCGACTATGAGATATTGGCCCGTTGTTGGTACTGGTGTGCTCATCTCCTCATACAACGAAGGATCTATGCAGATCCATGGTCGTCTCGCCGGGTTTCCGAGACTGTCTATACGCTCACAGCACTAGTCGAATCTATCTCAAGCTCATCGAAGCTCTATCAGAAGGTAGAGACCTTTCTATGCGTGCTTGCTGTGGAAGCCGAAGATGAAGTGGTCGTACAATGGATACTGAAGAAAAACAAGGCTCTGGCAAAGCGAACTCCTAGCAGAACAAGAGACGATATTGTTGGTGCAATGACTGCTCGGATCCGCGGGAAGCCAGGCTAACCAAACCTTGGACTCAACTGGAGAGTTACTGGTGGCAATCAGTATGTGTCTGAGTAAGGGGATATGAGTGACGACGCGTGTCAAGAGAGTGCTATTTGTGTAGATAATGTGACTGTATGTCATTGAGATGGCAACACCATAGCCGAGGCCGGCACAACAGGAGCTGCTGTCACCTATGCCATCTGTTTGGCAGGTGCCACCTGAATCTTCTCAGCTGGCTCATTGCCCGCGTTCCGATCTTCTCCATTGACACTCACGGAATCGAGGAATGGAGCATCTTTGGCTCCACTCTTCACGTCCTTCAAATCTGGGACATCAGAGTGCTTGACACCATAGAACTTCGCATCAACCTCTTCCAGCGTCAGACCTCGTGTCTCAACCCACCAATACCACACCATCCCAACGATTATGATATCAGCGGAGCCGAAAATCATGTATGTCTTCCAGCCAATGTTCCTTAGCGCAAATGGAGCACCCATCGTCGAGATGAGACCACAGATCTTGGTCGTAAGCGTGTAGAAGCCCATACCGGTTGCTCGAATCTGGTAAGACAAGATTTCGGTCGGATAGAGCACCGTAAGAGGATTCACGCCAAAGGAGTAGCAGCCTCTGACCAGGAAAATCATCGCCAGTGTAGCATAAATGCCAGACGTGTTGTCGGAGTTACCGTAAACAGCAGTGAGAGCGCCTAGTATGAAAAGGAAGATGGCAACGCCGCTGAGTCCGACACCGCACATCATTTTCCGTGGGAAGCAGTCGCTGTACCAGGAGGCCACAACGCTGATCGTCAAGCTCCATATGGTAAGGATGATGTTGATGATCAATTGCGTGCGAACATTGGTAACTCCGGCTTGGGACATCATCACTCCGAAGTAATAGGTGATGGTATTGTTTCCGCAGAGCATCACAATGACTGAGTAGCTTGCTGCAATCGAGATTCGTTTCCGATTGACGGCATGTTTCCAGGCCTGCCAAAAGGTCATCTGTTTGCCTTCGGACTTCTCCCAAGCAAGGGTGTCGGAGATTTCTCTGTACTGGACAACAGTGATCGGATCTTCGCGATTGCCTTTGCTGTTGACCATAGCGATGACCTGAAGAGCCTCTTCATGACGATCGCGGCTGATCAACCATCTAGCGACTCGGGAAGGAAAGGGACGACGATCATGGCCGCGATGCTGAACACGATCTGTAACAGGCTGGGTAGTCGCCAAGCCCATGATGAGGCCCAACCTTCGGACTGCGCACGATAAGCTATAGCCTTGAGAGGCGAATGGGAGACTTACTCCGACACATACTGCGTTGGCAAGGAGTGTACCAACGCCCCAACATGAGTAGTACAAGCCCATGGCAAATGCACGGTGCGACGGTTTGGCGCACTCAGCAACGTAAGTTGGACAGGCGACTGCCGCGATTGCCATGCCAAGTCCGATGATGAAGCGACCGGTGATGAACATAGCAATGTGGACTGCCGCAGCTTGGATGACTGCTCCGACAGTGCAGATTGTACCCGCAATGAACAGAGCTTCCCGTCGGCCTCTGAGATCAGTGAGCTGACCGGCGAACAATGATCCGATACAGCCACCAACGTAGGAGATGGCAGTATTCAATGCATATGTTGAGGTGTTCAGTGTGAAGTAAGATTGATAGCTGTCCATGACGTTCAAGCCGCCCATGAGAGAGCTATCGAAGCCGGTCATCTGCGCGTGGGTTAGTCCTGCCCAAATCGCTCGAATGTTGCGGCCATACCACTGAGTCGATGAAGCATGTACCGACGATCAGCACCGTCAAGGCGGTCTCGGAGCGAGGGACCAGTTTCGAGACATGATTGGCCTCGTACGAGCTGCTCATTGTGACTGGGGCTAAGGTTGTTGGCTACTGAGTAACAGGTGAATGTGAGTCTAGAAGATTGTCGTAGGGCGGACTGGTCGGTCAGAGGAGCATCCAGCACATATGAACATATTATACCCCAGATAGTGTTCATATTCGAGACGCAGCTACTCAGAACCGACCTTCGTTGATAGCAGAAGCACTGCATCCCCATCTTTGCCCCATCACCAGAAGCGCCGAGAAGAGATGTAGCCACATGGCAGATAAGGTCTGAAAGGTCCTCCGAGCCTATCGGTGTGTCTTTGTATCATTCTGTAGCTCATGGGCTCCGTAAGTGGAACTCTATCAGAAGATCCAAAGTGCTCGATCATAAAGATAGCGTCTAGCTTTGATGGTGCGTATTTCTCCCAGTGTGGTTAGCGTGACATTGCCATCCGAGGTGGCTTGGCGAAAAGTCCCCTATCATGACGGGAACAGCGGAAAGCCCATGCGACGTGGGCCTGCGAGTTCTTGATGCACGTCGACGGTTGCCGGATTCGGACTCGTAGATGGACGTCCAGATAGGTTGATTGGAAGCACTGTACAGCATAGATGTATCTAGGTGCGGCTCAACTGACCAACTCTCCCAGCACCAGACTCTGCACCAGACTCTCAGTGCCCAGTAGCTTCCACGAAGGTGCGGCCACCGCTGCTGCAGCAGCCTTGCTCTTTCTCCCACGCCTGTTCCCACTACTGACAACAGTGGCCTCGGAACTACTTTTCAGGACGACCTCGGCCGCCTCTAGCTTCTCCTCCTCAACATACACGATGTCTGCAGCTTGCCCACCATCCAAGCACTCCTTGGCCGCTTTGGCATCAACTATTGTCTCCACACTGACAGCGCCCATAGCGTGCATGAAGAACAGGTAGTTTCGCATCTTCGAGCCTTTGCCCATAATCACCATAACTTTCTTGCCTGCCAGGACCTGGTCACGCTGAGCCAGGATATCCTCCAGCTCAGCCTCACCAACAGCCATCGGCGGCAAGAGTCTCGACCGAACCGCGCCTTCGAGCTGTTCACACTCGCCCGCCGGTAGCAGCCATTTCCGCCAGTCGAGCAGCTTACCCTGGGCAAGGCACGCCTCAATCCATCTTCCGCTCAGACAGGGAAATCCGAGGGCGAGGGCTTGTAAATATTTCGGCTTGCGGGAGTGCTTGTCCGCTAGGAGTGCGGTGAAGCCAGCGCCAGCGAAGCTCGCGCGCAAGGTCGTGGAGTCCGGCTCAAAGAGTTCGGAGAAGGAGTCATTGACGATACCTGCCCCGTTCGTCTTTAGCATCTGTATCAGCTCCTTTCTGCGGACCTCATCATCGTAGGAGATCGCGAAGACGAGGCCAGCGAGGAGGCCTTCCGTTTTGGGCGCTGTGGCAGCAATGGGGATGTCGACTGCGAGGTTTTGCCGACGCTGTCTTGAGGCTGGCGAGGTGGGTGTCGAGGACAGTTCTCCTGCGGGCGTCGTGATTCCGGTGGTCGTGTAGTGAAAGTCTCGGTCCTTCATTTGGTTCCACATATTGCTGTCGAGGTAGATGTTGGCTATGGGCACTTCGCGGACGCTGTCGGTCGAGACGCCTGCGGGCAAGCTCTTCCGCTGCTTTGGCGCAATGACAACGCTAGAATAGCCATACTGGTCGGTCATCACATCAGAATCGGAGACCTGGCCTTTGAGCCCGCGCACTACGTATGTGACCTTCTGGACACCTTCCATATTGACCTTGACCTGATCACCGATCCGCAGCTCCAGGCGACGCACACCGTAGATGTCCACATCGTCGGGGTCAAATTCTGGCCACTGGACCGTGAACTTCTGTCCGTCATTGCTCTTGCCAAGACATCGAGCTGGAAAGTAGGCCCGCGACTTCCCGTTGAAGCAGGCAAAGACGGCGTTTGGCGCCACGATCTCGCCGGCAGGAGCGGTTCTGTAGGTGGCTGGTGTTGAGGTGCTTTCCACGCTTTGCTCTCGCTGCGGTACGACTGAACTCGACTTTGGTGTTTGCTGTGGTGTAGGAGGGGCTGCTTCACGCTCGACTGACACTTCTCTACCAGTCGCATGCATCTTTCGGGCGACCACTTGTGCAGCATTCGCCTTAGCCTTTTCCGTCAATTTCCTCGGTCTCGTCGATCTCTTCTCGGTAACGACCTCAGGTTTCTGAACACTCACTGGCCGGACCGGTGCTTGCGGTGATGGGGTGACCTGGACATCCCACGTTCCATCTCGCTGCAGAGTCTGTGGCGCAATCCGACGAGGCTGTACGGCTGGCTGCGACTTGAGCAGCTCGTCGCCATCGTCAGCATTCGAATCTGAACTTGGCATCATGGGTTTGACGGATGTTGACACAGTCTCTGGTATTTCCAAACTCGGTCCAGTGCCTCGGTAGCGCTTCCGTGGCCGAAGCGGTGAGTCATCTGAGGGTATCTGCATTTGTGAGCCCAGTAATGCTTCTGCAGCATTGAATTCTTGGGATTGAGTCATTCCAGTCCGAGATGGCGTCGTAAGCTCCTCGGTCTCATCGATTCGTTTCCGTTTTGTTCTGGGTGTTCGAGTGTCCGTCGCAGGAGGCTCTAGACCAGTGGGAGCAGTTTCAAAAGGTGTGGTACTTGCAGGTTGTTTCGACGCATTCGTATCCGACAGCTGTGCTTTTCTTCGAGCAGAGTCAGTCTCCGCTATCGTGCTTGGCTTCGACGCATGTTGATCGGCTTCCGTTATAACAGCTTCGACTGCTTCCTCCTCGATTTCTGGCTGATCTTCGACTTGATTGCCATCGAGCGACCGACGGTCTTCTTCGCCCTGCTTGTCATCAGCCTCCCCATTCTGGCTATCCGGTGGCGAGGGGACTGGTGGCTTGGACGAGTCAGGTATTCGACGAGTATGGCCCGACCCGTTCTGACCACTGCCCGTCTGAGACTGCGGAACAAAGTCAGGACACTGATCGAGCTTGACTTGACTGGCCGCTGGCTGATCGGCACGGGTTGTGAAGGCTGCGAGTTTTCAACCGCGACCGAGCCGCTACTGTTCGGAGCGGTAGGAGGGCGATGCTGACGCAGCGAAGGACTTGCCTGCACAACTTCTGCAACCTCATCTAACGGGCGCACAGGTCGCATTGTAGTCTGTGGGACTAGCGTGGCGACGTAATTCTCCTTGTCTTCGGGCTCGAGAGCCATACGCTGGCTGAATCGTTGCACAACAGCCTCATCGTCCTCTTGCTCGGTCTCCGCTTCGCTATCGCGGTCCTCAATAAGGTCCTCCTCAGCCTGAATCGGCGGCGAGGCAATCGGACTTGCTTGTGTCGATCGTAACCATCCCTCAACATCAGCCGCGGGCGGTGTATTTCCAGCACTTCGCCTCCGCTTCTTTTTCGAACCATTCAGAAAGCTCTCACCCGAGTCTGAATCACTGTCCTCCGCCGCCAACTCCTCCTGCTGTTTCTGAGCTCGGAATGCCTGAGAATGCCTCATCGAGACATACCTTGGCGCGGGGTCGGCAGATCGCGGGCGGACGGACGACGAAGGCAGCCTCTGCAGAGGCGAAGATCCCACAGGACGATGCTCGACGTTAATTTCTGGTGAAGGACGATCTGACCGCGGCTCAACCTGATCGAGCGGCGAGGTTTGCGCTTGTGTCGCCTCGAATGCCTGCGATATTCCCATGCCCACCGGTGTGTCCTGGCTCTTCGACCTTAGCTGTGGCCGCTTAGCCACGCTCGCACTCGAACCATCGTGTGGTCTCTTCCGTCCCGCCGTAGCTGGGGTCTGCAGAAATCTCTGCGACTCAGGAAATTGCGTATGTCGTTGCGTGCGTTGCGTGGGTGAATACGCCACCGGCTCCGAATCACCAGCGGGGTTCCAACTCGAGAAGTCGACTGCACCAGTATCGCCTGCCTGCCACGTTGCTTGCGTCTCAACTTTACTGCGACTGCGAGTGATGGCGTGGATGCCCTCCTGCGAGATCTCCTGCGTGGCGTCGGCCGCCACCTCGGGCGCGCTCATCCTTGCCAGCGGCTGAGGCACGCGAGCGACATCGAGGCTTTCCGGGACTGTCGAGGGCAGAGACTCGGACTGCTCTGCTCGAGCTGCCTCAGGCTTCAAAAGATCGCGTCGAAACGCGGTCGGAGATCTGATGGACCCCTGCTCTGACGGCTGGTCGATTGCGCAATTAGCGTCGGGTTGAGATTCCGGCTGCATGGGAAATCCTTACCTTTGGACCATGCAGTAATTGTCGCTTCATTCGGGCGACTTCATCGGTAGAAATACTGTCTGTACCGATGCGCTCCATCTCTCCTCCATCCCTACGCCGTGTGTGAGATACAGGACAAGAGAATCAACTGTACAGGAAGTGGAAGTGGATGGAGCGGGCGATCACTTTGTCGCGTCCGAAAAAGGCTAAATTGGTGGGGCAAAAATCACGAGATCACATGAACAAGGCAAATAGCCTGAGGCGAATGGTGATGAGGACAAATTGTGATAGTAGTACCCAGGTACATCCTGTCGCCTGAACCACGAGGCACAGACTGCTCGAAGAACCCAGCTCAACATGCCCTCATCTGTCGCAACATCTAACCACGACTTCTGTTTGGCGTCCAACGCTTGACTGTGACATCCCGCACCCTGTACCTGGACAATTCGAGGCCGATATCTGTCTCTGCACTCCTCTCCCCGGCTGTCAGTGGAGGTGGAATATCCACATAGCAGATGAGCAACTGCTTCATCACCTGCTGCTGAACGCGATTGACTCCATGTAGCCACCACCAAGTCTTCTGCGTCTTGCTGGCCACGTAGTCTCGATGTCCCTGCGTCGACTGCCAATATAGATCACTGTAGGACGGCAAAATCGTGACCGAGAATTCGGCATGCGAGAAGGCGGGTCCTCTGTTGTAGAGCAGGTAGTCTGTCCCGAATTTGATGCCGGACCGCACAACCCATCCAGCTGATCTGTAGTGGTGGTAAACGGCATACGATAGCATAAACGGATCGTCTGGCTCCGCTGCCATCGACAATGACCGTGCTGGATGATATGAGTGCCGTCGAAACAGGGATAGTAGCGACGAGGGCGGCAGAATGGTATCACTGTCGTCGCAATACACTTCCAGCACGCCTAGTCCATACGACAGGAAGAACGTCTCTTCCATACTCAGAGTCAGATGCTCCTCGTTCTTGATCTCCACGTGCTTCTCCTCCTTCTCCGTTTCCACCGCAGCAGATCCTGGACTTTTGATAGGTGATATGACCGGCGAACTCAGATCAAACTCTCGTGCCTCGATCGTTGGCGAGAAGCGGACTGTCTTTGTGCGCTGTAACGGCGGCCGTGTCTCGAGGGGGTTCGTGTCTTCTGACGAGGTCGATGTCGGAGGCGGCGTCGGAAGACCATTAGTTTCCACCTGCTTCTTCCAGTCATCGTATCCAGCTATCGAACCATTCTGTGTATGAAGCTTCATCGCTGGTTTTGCCCCGATCGGCGTAGAAATTTCTGAGCCAACACACTCCCGATATCACTCACATCCGTTGCGTTGTTCTTTAGGATGTTTCCGTTCGCATTGGCCAACAATTCGTCGTTCAGCCTCTTCTCAATCTCTTCCTTCTCTTTTCTCGCCCTCTCCAGCTTGACTTGCTGACGTTCCGCCCTCCGCTTTGCTGTATTTTCTTCAGCCGTCGCGCCGTGTTTCTTCTGATTCTCCAGCCATGTTGGCTCGCTTCGACTCAAATTGCCTCGACCAAAAAAGCCCATCTCCCACAGTTTTCGAATCGTGTCCGGATCCGTGGCATGGATTGACGATGTGGCGGAAGAGAAGTATCCATTGTATGTTGGCTGCGTGGGAGGGTACAGTACTTGCGCCAAGTATGATAGGACGATGGCGGCAATGGAGAGTGGGTTGTGAGGTATCAGGACCGGTAGGGGATGAACTTCGATGGGAAGGAGATTCCGGTGGATGTCATTGTAGTTTGGTCTCTTCTTCTGCTTTGGCCTCGCCTTCTTCTCAGAAGATTGAGGTCGTGTGACCGCCGCAGAAGCCATGCTGTTCAACACTGTCAGCAGTGGTCTTCAACTCAAGACTTTGAGATCAATGACAGATGATTTAACAATCAGATACCGTTGTAGTCTAATACAAGTGCCCGCATTGAGGGTCGCTGAAATCAAAATGCTTCCAACTAGGCAAGAAAAGGAGTCATCACGTTGATGGGGACTGAGGACATCGGACTCACTCACTTTCGGATGGTGGTGACTCGGCAGGAAGGTTGAGGTTAGACGCGGGATATTGTCGAGTGCATCGCTAGTCTCGTCGTTGAAGCGTAGAAGACCGAAGGCGATAAGTTGGCAATGATTGTCATTGGAAGGAAGACGAGTGGTTGGTTCGATGTTTGTGTTCTCTAAAGTGGTGATGCAGCGCTGTTAAGCTTCGGCCGTTCGCCAAAATTTGGGTCAGTAGAACCGCCAAGCCTATAATGGCATGTGCATTTATTTATTGTTGCTTCGATTTTCCTTCTTCCCGTCAATTATACGATGTGGCCTTACTCATGGCCAACTACATCTCGACTCGACAATGTCGCCCTATTTGGGCGGCTCCGAAAACAAGCACCACCAGTGCCTGATCTGCGTCGGATCTTGACGGATGTGCCTGTTTGTATTTTGTGCCCAACGTGGCGTCCGTAGATTGACTCAACGTGCCTGCATCTCGTCCTATCGGTCCGATGCATTTAATTAATGCTCATCCCGAGACTCCATGATTGCCTTGGACCTATCTCGCACCCTGAGATGCAATGTTGGGATGCCCCTCCTATCATCCTTCCTCACTAACACTGAGGTGTGCCTCGTCAAGATGGAAACGGCTATCGCTGCTACCAAAATCTGCCACAACGAGGTATGCCTTGTGTACTGATGCAGTAGTTGTGTTATGGGAATGGTAGTAGGACAGCTTGCTGTGCTATTATTGCTATTCTGCCTTGAGTCTGTAATTGTATGTTCTGTACTTGTGAGTATGAATACTACTAGTAAGAGCTGGTAGATAATGATGGTTGTATGGTCTTAGAGTATGCTCCTTCTACATATTTGATGCTAGGGATCCAGCGGCTAAGGTTCGGCCACACGTGTCACGGGATGTTCCCAGAGATGTGACTGGTAGAGCTAGATGGGCAGCAACAGTCACTGGAGATGTTGCCCGCAGACTCTCGCACCGACAAAGCTACTGCTGTCCCCAGCCGCGAGGCTGTCGGCGGACGCGGTGCACGTGAGACCAACTACGTCGACCTCAACCTCAATTAGCGCCCAATGGCTTACACTGAGGACTATGATCTCGTCAGCGAAGTTTCCAACATAGCCTCGCATGGGTAGAACCTACCAGTTCAGTCTGTAGGCTTGAACACTGCCGTCGGCATAGAACTCGCAACCTTGGAAATTAATGGTGGTAACGAAGTTTGTGCAGGCAGTGTCGGAGAAGAACTGAACAGTGCAGTCATCGGTGCTGGTGCAAGAGCCGGCGTCGCCGGTGACAGGGCTGAATGCTTTCGGAGAGCCTTGGATGGTTGCAGGGGTACAGACTCCGTTGGGTATGGTGTAGCCGGGTCCTTGGAGTTCCTGGCAGTATCGACCTTCTTGAATGACGGCGCTGGGAGGTGTGTACGCTGGCGCGATTGATGTTGTCTAGATGATGTCAATATGCAGGCGGTCGCAGCTGCGCATACGGGATCTTACCGTCGTTGTCGTAGATGTCGTTGTAGTCGTAGTGGTAGTCGTGATGGGTTTAGTGGTGGTAGTGGTTGGCTTCTACGTGTGCGTTTAGCCTGCTTCATGTACTATCCACGAGAATCGTGGCTGACTTACAGTTGTTACCCTAGAGGTTGTCGTACTCTAGGCCTGTGTTAGAAAGATGAAGCCTCGGCGAAGGAATTGAGAAGCCAACGGACCTTACATGGCCTAGGTGTTTCGATGCAGGAGCAGAGCTAGGTTGTGTCAGCAAAGCCCGATGATGAACCAGGAGTGTACGAACCGTGGATACAAAGCTGGCTCCCTGCCCCTGGCACTTAGACCAGGCCGAAGAGGTCGGATTCACCGACGACGAAGTCGACTTGGATGTAGACTTTGATGTGGTTGTGGTCACCTTCGTTGTAGTCGTTGGTGCAGTGCGCTTGGAGAGACCCTTTGTACAAGCCACCGGATACTTGATCGAGCAATACGCTTGTGCAACATCGCAGTTCTTCAAGTAGGGTATGAGCTCGCCGTAAAGGCCGCCTGCGCACACGTTGCTGGTGCGTTGCTCGAGGGTCGGCGTCGCAAGCACACAAGCGATGAGAAGGAACGCGAAGGTGATGACAGATTGTACAGCCATTGTGGAAGAGAACACACGCTGTATATTTTAGCTTGAATGTAAGGAATAACCACACCACTTGTTGTTAGGCACTTCCAAGGCTGTTCTCGAGGATACCACCGTCCTACATATCTCCTCTTGACTGCCACGGTCAGGGTCCTCATGGTTCTAGTAGACTTTCCGTCAGGATGGCGAGATCATTGTCTTCCCTTCGGAGGCTGCGCTGAGGACAGAACCATAATATCGCCGACTCGATCGTGCATGAGTCAGGTAGGCGACAGTCCGTCCCATGGGGTTCCGTATGTTGTGGCTGAGGTTATGAGTTCCTAACCACCAGCTAAAGGGATTTCCAGAGATGCAAGCCAATGCTTCTATTCCCGTTCCTTGTCAGATCCGATCGTGTATAGTCCAGGCGGACCCCAAATCGCGGCGCTTCGTCGACTCACACCACTCCCAAATGCCAAGGGCATGATGCAGGTCGGCACTTCCGTAGGAAGTGATCGTGAAAGTTACCAGCCTAGGTTTCTAGGGTTATTGGCATAAAACCTTGTAATCACTCCAGTCAGGTCCAGAGCTTAAACTACCTTAATCCGGCGCAGTCACTAAGTGCAAAGTTGGTTTCAGGTGGCAAAGAGTACCATCAAACCCTTTGTGGCTTGCGCACAGATGCTCAAAGACTTTCTGAGGAGGGGCGGCAGTCAGTGGTGCAGTAGAGCTTCACAGTGGCGTGGGGAAGGCGAGCGCCCACGTGAGCTTGACGCAGATTTTACATGTACTGCACTGCCAAGACAGGAAGACCAGAAGACCAGCATCCTGAAACGTATTGCCGGTCAACACCAACTTGCACACAGTTGGTCATTCGCGCAGGCAACCATCTTGCAAGGTGGAAAGCAACTACTTCACAACATGTAGGCCCAAAGTGATCATTTTATGTCCCTCTCTATCATCGTCCGCTCCGCATACGCTTTCCAGCAGGACTTGGATTTCTGGAATGATGTGGCAGGTGTTATCGTCACTCGCCATCGCAACGAGCGCCGCTTACGCCCAAGCAAGCATACTGAATCGACATGAACAGACAGTACTGGAAGTCGACAACAACGTTGCAGCCTGTCAGACGCAAGCTCGCCATGCCGTGAGCACTCTCCAGCCACCCGCGCGGGGCTACACATCTGACATAGTACTCAGTGCCAGAAGTTAGCATGTGTCTTCCCCGATCAAGTGGTCTTCCCAAACAGCACCGTCTATGAAGGAGCAGAGTCCCACTATTGGAGCGTTCAGCAAAGTGAGCTACGTCCAACCTGCCGCTTCTTCCCCGACGGCGCTCAAGACGTCCGCAGTGCTCTGCAGATCGCGCAAGCAACCAATACGAGCGTTGCCGTTGTCTCAGGCGGCCACTCTTCAAACGTGAACGCCTCGAACATCGACCATGGCATGACGATGGACCTGGCTGCGCTTTCCAACATTGTCGTGTCCGAAGATCGTGCTTCTGTGTGGCTCGGTCCTGCAGCGATCTGGTCGGAGGTGTACGCTGCCCTCGAACCTCATGGCCTCACGGTGCCTGGCGGCCGTGTCGGTCATGTAGGCGTTGGAGGCTATGTGCTTGGTGGCGGCTTCTCATGGTATGCCAACACGCATGGCTGGAGCTGCGATAACGTGCTTGACTTCGTGGTCGTCACTCCAGATCTTCGGATCTTGCACGTCAATAGTTCGGCGCACGCTGATCTGTTCTGGGCACTCAAGGGCTCACTTGGCGCGTTTGGCGTGGTGACGGGTATCAGGATGCAGACGAGCCGCAATGCCGGTTTCTATGGCGGCGGGATTTCCTACAGCGACGAAGCTCTACCTGCCGTATACGTCGGGCTCAGCAACCTCGCCTACGAGTCTGAGACGACCCCAATACATTTGGCTACTTCTCCAGTGGGTATTCTGGCTCGCAGAAACAATGGTCCCACAACGTCTACCTCATCAACACGGCCAACTCCAGCGAGTCGAGCGCGAATGGCGACTTCCGCATGATCCCCAACAAGGGCCACAACCAACGCCACATGTCGCCCCGACAATCTGCGGATGAAATCGCAGAAAGCAATCCCCTTGGGTACCGCCGGTCCAAGTTCACAATCACCACGCTGGCGACTGTCGAGATCATGAATCTCACTCACCAATACGTCCGCGGCTTTGTCGAAGACGGGCTCAAACTGAGTTCAGACGAATTCTTCGGCATCACCTTTCAACCCATCACCAGCCCGCACCTTCAGGCTCAAGGCCAGAATATCTTCAGCGACCGCCTGAGGCTTGAGTGGGGACCACTACTGCTCATCTCCATTGAGCTCTGGTGGAAGGATCCGACCCGTGATGCTTTCTTCGAGAACGAGATGAAGGGGTTGTGTGAGGATGGGCTGGAGTTCTTTTTCATGTAAGTCCTCCAGCGGACAGTCTGAGAAACCTACTGACATTGCTGTAGGTGGATGCGTGTGTTGCATCCTTGGGTCTACCCAAACTATGCTGCCAGCTGGCAGGATGCACTTTCAGCAGAGCGGCTGGGAAAGGACTTCGAGCAAAGATTGGCGGGTGTTAGGCAAAGTTACGATGCACAGAATTTGTGGCAGGGGATGGTGCCCGGAATATGGCATGTCTGAGGTATGTGTGAAGAGGTCTGTACATAGGAGACATCTCGCTGGGAGCAAATTCAGGCGAATAACCGATGAAGCTTGGATCTTATGTTGTAGCATTCTATGTCCAGCTTCGTCCTGTCCCTCATGATAGAGGCCCAGGTCCCCGACCGGTTGACGCCAAGCCTGGAGTTGCGGTTTTTGGGGAAAAAGTGTCTACTGATTTTCGACGGGTTTGACCTACCTATACGTGAACACTCAACTGCATACGTGTCGCATCCATTGTCGCAACTGTACAACACTGGCGCACGCCGATCCACGCACTCCGGACCTCACTGTACAGCCACCATGCATCTTATGTACACCGAAGACGCCTCCGGCAAGCGCATTTATACCCTGCGCAAAGTCCTCGATGGCACCGTCACAAAAAGCGCACACCCTGCGAGATTCAGCCCTGACGACAAGTACTCGCGGCACCGAGTCACGCTGAAGAAGAGATATGGGCTGCTCTTGACGCAGCAAGGTAGGGACTATTGATCTGGAGAATGGAGAATAGAAAGAGTCGCTGACCATATGATAGCTGAGACGAAAAAGTGACCATTTTACGTGGAGGAGAATAAAGTCGAAATTGTGTACGAGGCGTTCAGGGTGTAGGATATGGGTATCGGCGCTCTATGGGCGGATTACGACCAGCGCATTCGTTTGGCTATGCGGTCAACGGTATGACAACCGGAGGCGGCGTCAAGGGCGCAATGGAGGAGGCTCAACTGCTTGATCCGAGCTCTGCAGATGTAGGTCAGGTGCGACAAAGGTAATTCGGATGGCAGTCACCAATCCAACGATGCGGCCGCCTCTAAGGGCATGCCCCGACTGCTGCGATGGGAGATTCAGAGCATCGAATCTGGAAGGTTGCACGACTCTCAGATGATCGACACAGGCAGAACGGAGTGTCGAGAGAAGCCCAAATGGCGGTTTAGGTGTTGACTCGACCACAGCATTGATAGCACCACTACCGCTTCCTCGAATTTACATTCCTACCAGCACCGACCTTCACCCTCCCACCCATCTTCCCCCGATCCCCCGTCAGAATCCCCGGCAGAGTATCCTCATCCATCAAATCCCGCTCCTTACTCCTCCTCTGCCCACTCATCGCCCGAATATACTCCTTCTGATCCTCCGCCAAGATCAATTGACTACCCCATCCGCCCTGTCCTCCGCCCTGCTGAGGCCCCTTCCATTTCTGGTTCGCCGTTCCAGCAATCGGCTTCGGTACGGAGAAGACGTTGCCACGATTGTTCCACTGCATGTTCGCCTTCAGATGCAATTTGACTTCACCCTTGTCGTTGGTTGTACAGCTGACCCGTGTGAGTGTGGGCTTGCCGCAGCGGGCACAGAATTGCTTCGACATGTCTTTCGTGGTGGCGAAGCAGGCGTGGCAGCGGAGGATGAATTGCTTGATCGATGATATCCGTTTGCAGGTTTTAGTGGAGAGGAGGTTCAGGTTGATCTGTAGGAGGACATTCTGCATGGCGAAGTCGCCGGTCATCGTCGCTACTTGCAGCGTCTTTTGTGTGGCGTTTGACTTGTCGGCTCCGTCGTCTCGAGCTTTGTGCTTTTTGATGTTTGATGGCGTGATCCAGCCTTCGTCCGAGTCGCCTGAGTCCTCTGGTGTCTCTTCTTGAGTTCCTATTTCTGCTTCTGATTCTGTTGCTTCCGCTTCCGCTCCCGCTCCTGAAACATCATTCGACTTTTCTGGCTCTTCTACTATCTGTAGTCGTTGCATTTCTTCGTTAGGCGCAGGGTCTATTTGCTGAACTTTCGTGGTTGACCCTGGAGCCTCTGTGCTTTCTGGTTCGCTCGAGGCATTTTGTGATGCGGGTACGCTGTCCTCTGTCGACAATTCTTCCTCCGTCCTTTTCGCAGGTGGACTTCCATTCACTCTCTTCTGACCAGGCACATTCCGCAGCCGCCAATCGCCGCCATTTCTCTCACACTCGAGCTCGTATGCCAGCGCCAGTATCTCGTAGTCCGTCTGACTCAGCACAGCGCCATCACCAGTCTTCCTCGCAAATTCCTTGACAAATCTGAGGCTCTCCGGCTTAGGTGTCCGCAACGTCAGGAACGGTCTGTAGAGCGTGTCTACTCTGCTCCTGGCTTCTTCATTTTTGATTTCAGCCAGCACTGTCGGCGTTGTCACAAGTTCATGGCCGTTGGCTCGTAGTGTCGAAATACCGGGGATATTCAGAAGGAGGGGCGATGAGTCCAGAACGATGGTGTGGCATGGTTTCGGTGGCTCGTTAGCCGGCGCAGTCGAAGCCATTGCGGGCTCGGAGCCGGGGAGTGTTTACAGACGATCAGAGGCTTGGTCGAGTATTACCGTGTACTGGTTGGGCCCATAGGTTGTACACTTCATCATGTGCGCAATGCGAAGACGTTTGATCCAAAAAATGTCTATCGATAACCGGGCTCGGAAATAGAATCCGTGTTAAACATTCCCCGAGCTGACCTTCTCAGCAAATCTAGGTAGCTAAGTTCCCCATCAGCACGACCATAACACAGCAAACACAGCTACTGGGAGCGAACACTCAAGGATGCCATCTGGTTGTGATTGGGAAAAGATTCATGTGGTTGACTGGACCATCTGCGTACAAGAGGGCGTACCGTGGGCGGCAAGATATTGCACGAACTTGGGACCAGTATACCATTCGAGTAGCCGGAATGCCATGCTACTGGAAGCTTCGTTCTGACCGACTGATGGTCAACAAGCTGTCATCGTGGGTCCCTAGTGAAGCCGGTGTCGAACGTCGAAGTAAGAAGCCGGGAGAGCGTCTTCCCTTCCCAGCACAGCCCCAATCCCCCTCCTTTCCTTCCCTCCCTTTCGACCCTATCCTTCGATCATACTTTCACAGCACATACCGAAATCCCAAATGCCGATCCCCCAACCTCAACAGCTCCTCCTTGCCCATAGTTTCACTGTAACCCCATCTCGCCTTCTCCTCCGGATGGTCCAATAACGCAGGATCAACATCCCTCCCATCCGGGTGCGCAAAGCTGATCGCGTCTCGTCGCTTGTTCTCGCGCCAGTTCACGAAGATAATGGCGCTGGTCATGAGGAATGTGAGGGAGGCGAAGCCAAGATTGATGGCATGGCCTTTGATGAAGCGTGGCGCCTCGGCTGTGGGATAGATGTTGGAGGAGATGAGGCCAGCCGAGTTGCCGATTGTGAAGAAGAAGCCCATCACCTGTTGAGAAGAATCAGCCACTGGAACAATGTGGTGGAAAGATCTGGGAAACGGGCAAGAACTCACAGTTGCGCGCACATAAATCGGACCAAAGTTCGCGCCCACCCAGCTGATCGCCAACGCAATATTCGGCGAAACTCCAGCCACAGTCAAGAAGATACCAAAGTACTTCACCCCAGGCGCCACATCCGAGATCAGAATCGCGTAACCAGCAATCGTGAACAAGGACCAGAACAGGATGAACGGGCCTCGGATAAAGTATCGATCTGCCACGAACACGGTCGTCATTGTCGTAATGAACCCGAACACGTATGGCGGAGTCGACATCAAGTTCGCTGACGCGCCGGTGAACTTCAGATCCGCGATAATCGTCGGCGTGAACAGCGCCAGACTATACAACGGCTCGGCGATCGAGATGTACATGATCGCATACATATACGTCCGGTAATCGGCGAACGCAGTCTTCACCTGATCCCACGAGAACGGCACATCGGCGTTCGTCACGCCCTGGCTCTTGGCGAGGAAGTGATTCCATTTTTTGGTCTCCTCTTTTGTGAGGATCTTGTTGTCGTCCGCCGGGAAGTCAACGAGGAGCCACCAGCCGGGAATGGCGGCAAAGAGTGTGACGAGACCCTCGAGGATGAAGATCCAGCGCCAGCCGCCCGGTGTGGGGACGTTCTTCTGGTGAGGGAGGTCGCCGAAGTGCTCCCAGGCGGGAAAGGGAATGTACTTGAGACCGTATGCGAGAACTCCTCCGAAGGCCCCAGCAAGCGTCGCTCCAGAGAAGAAGATCCCTATGCGGAAGCTCTGCTGTCGTCTCGCGTACCAGCAGGTAAGTAAAAAGTTGATGCCTGTGGTTTCAATCAGCTTCCTGTCGCGATGAATGGCGTCCGTGGACTTACCAGGAAACAGCCCTCCCTCAGCAATACCCAAAAAGAACCGTGCCGCCTGCAAGCCAGCCGCGTTCTCGACCAGACCCATTAGCGTCATAGTAATGCCCCAAGCAACCATAATGATTGGAATCCAGCGATGAGGCTTGACGGCTTTGAGGACCAGATTCGAGGGAACTTCGACAATGATGTAGCCGATGAAGAAGACGGAGAGCGAGATAGCGTATTTGTTGCCGGTCACGATGCCCAGGTCGCCTTTGAGACCGGCGACGGCGGCTTGGCCGATGTTGACACGGTCGAGGAAGGATAGGAGATAGCTATTGGGTCGTAAGCCGCTGATTCGAAGCGCAGTAGAGCATGGAAAAACACGAAACGTACAGTAAAGTACAGTAAGGGATGATCGCCCAATCCAGTTTGTGGATGATATGGCGGTATTCCTTCTGGCTCATAGCGAGCTCGTCGGGATTGACATCGTCGTTGCCCTCAGCGATGTGCTTCTCGTTGGAGAGCTTGGGTGAGTTGTTGCTGTCTGGTGTAGAGACACCATCGCGGACAGCGGTATCCTGCTCGGCCGACATTTCGACTGCTGAAGGCGTTGCTGTGTCCCCAAGATCGGTGATGGCGTTGCCAGACCTTTGTAGCCAATGAGTAGAGTAAAGCAAGGGGAGAAAGTGCAAAGCACAGACAGAGCGTGATTACAAAAGCAGACAAAACCGCGGAAGCGCCAGCTACTATGAAATAGTAAACCTGCCAGAAGAAGACGACAGACTTTTGTGGCGGCACGTTCGGATATAGAGAAAACAGAGAACTATTTTCTGTTCGTGGCACTAGCACCTGTCGCAAAGGGCATCGCGCCCGCAAAATGAACTGTACTCCATCTTTGGTAGGGCGGGTGACTGAAGTTGGGGATTGTACCCACAGCGGCATCAGCGCCGAGTGGGGAGGATGACACACCACAGACAGGCGGTGGCGAGGCAACCCACAGCTAGAGAGTAAACGAGTCGACGCCAGTGGCGAGGACGGGATGTGCCCTGGCTGCTACTGTTTTTACACCCATCAGGTTGCACTTCTGCTCGTGTGATCACTGAGCCGTCCGCAGAAGTAGCTGTCGAGCTGTCGTTGCATGTTTTCGCAATTACCTTTGGGACACGATGGTATACTTCTGCTAAGCACCGTAAGTTCAAGGTGGCTTGCTGGCAACTCAATGCTTGTGCAGCGTTCAACTTGCGACAAGAATAACAAGCTTCTAGCGCCCAGACCTCGGCGTCAGGCGGCCTCCGAGCGAACACGAGCCTGCAAGACTTTGAGTTGGCGGGCACGACCCTCTGGGTTCGTCGATGGCTGACGCCGAACGGCAGCAGGCCTGAGGTTGGACGTCTTAAGGACAGCGAGCGAGGTCTGCACAGCGGTCAATTAGCTTGGGGAAGAATCTCTCCATCGCGTACGGATAGATCAGGTACCTACCTGAGCGAGCGATCGCTGACTGCAGCTGTCAGAGTGGAAGTTGGAGGCTGCAAAGTTTATACGGACGAGCACGGCTCAAAGATCTCACGAAGACAAGAAGGATCAGGCTTTCGTAGGATATTTACATTTGTTCGTGCTCAGAATTTGTGTCGGTAACTAATAGCAGATGAACGAGTTGACCCGATATGCAGGTGCTCTTGATGTAGTGCTCCTGCCTATGCATACCTATGCGACCATTACGCCTGCCTCAAATTTGTGTCGAGACGCGAGATTCCCATCAGAAAAGCCTCTGTAATCATCAGATACTGTGAGAGGCATTATCCGCATTGAAACGACCCGCGATGCAGTGAACATCCTCGCCCCAGTAACGCCCATTGATAGCAACGCCCACAAATGCAACGTGGCACAATCTGGCGGGACTTTTCGTTTGATGTGCCATAAGCTGACGTCCACCTCGAGTGCGAGGTCTTGCACAATCTCACATCGCCCTGAGATAGACATGATGACTTCGCTCATATGCCAATCTCTGGCAAGGTCGAGATAACTCTTGTCCATGCCGTCCTATCAACCTATTGCTGTTGTTGAAAGTTCTGAAAGAAGCCCGGAGGAAACTGGAAAGGCATGCCATTTGGCATTGTCGGCATTGGCATATTGGCGAAGTTGAACGGCATGTTGGCTCCATTGCCATTGGGATTGACAGGGACGTTGTTGGGGTTGTTGTTGTCTCGTGAGAGTGGTCGATTGTCGCCGCCCGTGCGCGTTGAGACGGGACCTCGTTTGCCGCCTGTGTCGGTCGCAATGCGACGACTCATAGCTGATGTCACTGTCAGTACCTTTGTAGCTTAAATGATGTGTGGGAGCTTACCTTTCGACGAAACGCCAGCACCAATCTCAATATCCGGCTCCTCCACCACCATGCCAGTTTCCATCGGTTGTCCACCAGTACCGCCATACTCGGCAGTGACCATCCACTTGCGATCGGCATCAGTGAGTCGTTCCATTGGAATAATACTGACGCCAGTCTGATAGTCGCTGCAGTCTCGCGGACCGAAGCCAACACCCCACTTCGTGCGCAGCTGTGAGTTTCCCTCTCGAAAGTCCTCCATGCCAATACGAGCCTTCTCGGCATCCTTGCGGGTCAACATCTTGATGAAAGCGTGTCGTTTGTCGACATTGACTATGCAGGTCTGGACGATACCGAATTTGCCGAACAAATCTCGTAGATGTGGTTCTCGCTGTGTGACACCGCCAACGAAGAGTGTTCGACTCATGACTTTGATAGAACCGGCAGGCAGACTCGGATCGTATGTGATGTTGCGCTCGGCAGGAGGAAGATTGGGCTCATTCTTCTGTGGGCTTGGAGAGCGTCGTCTTCTACCTTGCGGGCTACGCTGACGATAGCTATCACCACCGCCACCTCGGCGATTTTCACGGTACGGATTAGCACCAGGACTGTTGCCGCGGCGGCGACGACCTGGAGACTCATCCCGCTTTCTACCATAGTCCGGTGAGCGTGACCGGCGACGACCGTTTGGAGAGCGGGTGTGTGCATCTTGATCACGTGATGCTCCACCATACTGATTACCACCGTTCTGCGCGGTCTGAGCGTTCAGCATCTGCAAGGCGGTAGCCCATTGGTCAGGCGGAACACCTTGAGCAGCCAGAGCTTGGATGAGTTGTAGTTGCATCTGAGCAGCTGGGTCGGTAGGCCCAGCAGCAGGGGCCGCTGCAGGTGGTGCAAGTAGAGCAGCAAATGGATTGGGGTTTGTTTGAGGTACGTTGGCAGGACTCTGGCTCGTGGCGCCATTATTCAAGCCTGAGAACATTGCTCCTAAGGGATTTACAGCATTCCCCTGCGGACCGATCGCGTTTACGATACCGGGATTGCCTCCAAAATGGGTGCCTAGGATATTATTCAAGCTAGCAGGAGGCATCGCAGTAGTTACCGGGAGCTGCTGGGCAGCAGCATTCTGCTGAGACATGGCTTCAACTTTTCGAGAAGAGCAGAAGTGTCCTGAGCAGCGACGGTGACCTGAGCTGGTTGTTGAGGGTTGTTAGCCATTCCGAGGGGTGTGAAGCCAGGTCGTGGCGATCCGATGGGTGTTGTGCCTAGATCTGGTCAGTAGAAGATACTGTGGTGGGTGAAGAGAGACATACTCTTGTGTGGTGCAGCTAGTTGCTCCTTCCATTTGGATCTCTTGGAAGCAGGAAATGTGTTGCCCCTCTCCCAGATGTCGAACAGTCTCATGATCTTGTCCTTTTGATCGTCTGGGGCTGTAGCGATGGTATCATTTACGAACACGTCGATCAGCTCAGTGATACGATACACTCCAGCAGCGAATGTGCCATCAGCAGCTCCTGCGCCCAAGGGCTGGCCAGACTTCTTTGCGCCATCGATCCACTGTCGAAGGACTGAATCTACAACGTAGAGCACGCCTAGCTTGTATGGACCCGGGGCCTTCTTGAAATGAGTGAAGAGCTTCTGAATGATTACTGTGGATGACTGTCGAGTGTCGTTAGCAAGTTGTGCGACAGGGAGGCGGGCAAGTGGTTAACATACTTGTACGTTGGCGGCACAGAGAGATGTGATGGCGTCGATCTTTGGTTTAGTAGCACCTGGAGGTTTGAGGGATAGCATAGACTGCAGGACAGTGTCCAGCTCTGCTACAGCGGAAGTCATGATGACTTTACTGTTACTGTCTTCAATGCACTCAGCTGAGAATACTCGATCTACCACAGGATGATGTCTAATCCGGTCTGGACGAAGCTGAACTCCAGCGCAGTTACAAGAAAGAGAGTGTGCTACTGCGAAAGTCGTGGATGCTACGATCCAGATCGACACAGTCCAGCACAGCGACTGCGCTGCCAGGGATGGCGTTAGGAAGAGTCAGAGGTGGCGCGAGTGCTACTGTATGTACAAGAGTCGTGCGCGATCGCAGTCGTATCGATCCGCGTGTCGCTAGGGTCGAGGATGTCTCTATCTGGCGTGTATGCTTAGATCGTGGCGAGATTGAGATGCAATGGGCGGGATATGGGTGGTAGAGAGGATGATGAAGATGAAGAGAAAGGTCGTGATGTGGCAGGTTTTCAATGAACAAGACAAAGCGGAGAAGCCTTTTAGCGCCTAAAGCTACGGTGAGTCCTACTGCCTAGAAGCGCTGTCGGATGGCAGGTTGGTGAGTTCAGAGCTTGTGCTCAACGGAGAAATCTGCAATGCTGTGGAGCGGCTAGCTTTCACTCAATAACTTATAATTTTGGAACACCCTTTCATATTGTTATCTCACGCCTTGTTTGACTTGCTCTGTACTGTTTGCTGCATTCATTGTCTTGACCTGTCCACACAACTGCAACATGGCTGCCTCACTCCGACTGGGCAGCGCAGCCCTCCGCGCATCCTCGAGACCTGTCCTGTCAAGAGCCGCATACTCCGGCGTCCGAGCTGCGAGTACCCAGGTGCGATATGGCCCACCCTGCAACCAACATACCAGACTGACGTATATGATCACAGTCGCTGAAGGAAGTCTTCGCTGCCAAGCTGCCTGGTGAAATCGAGAAGATCAAGAAGCTCCGATCAGAAGCTGGTACGTGGCTATCGCAAGCGTTCATTGTTGACAGTGACTGATCTGGCCGATAGGTAACAAGGTCGTCGGCGAGGTCACTCTCGACCAGGTCTATGGTGGTGCTCGAGGCATCAAGTCACTCGTGTGGGAAGGGTCAGTCCTTGACTCCGAGGAAGGCATTCGCTTCCGCGGGCGGACGATCCCAGAATGCCAGGAGCAGCTCCCTAAAGCTCCTGGCGGAGAGGAACCTCTTCCTGAGGGTCTCTTCTGGCTTCTCTTGACTGGCGAGGTTCCCAGCGAGCAGCAAGTCCGCGACCTCTCCGCCGACTGGGCTGCGCGTGCCGAGCTCCCGAAGCACGTCGAGGACCTCATCGACCGCTGCCCGTCAACTCTCCACCCCATGGCTCAATTTTCGATCGCCGTGGTTGCCCTCGAGCACGAGTCCGAGTTCGCGAAAGCCTACGCTAAGGGTATCAACAAGAAAGAGTACTGGTCATACACATTCGAGGATTCGATGAACCTCATCGCGAAGCTGCCCACTATCGCAGCCAAGATCTACCGCAATGTCTACAAGGATGGCAAGGTTGCTCCGATCCAAAAAGACCAGGACTTCTCCTTCAACTTGGCCAACCAGCTGGGCTACGGGGACAACAAGGACTTCATCGAGCTAATGCGTCTGTACATGACCATTCACACCGATCACGAAGGTGGCAACGTTAGTGCTCACACCACCCACTTGGTCGGTAGCGCTCTCAGCTCGCCTATGCTGTCTCTGGCTGCCGGCCTGAACGGTCTGGCCGGTCCTCTGCACGGATTGGCCAATCAGGAGGTGCTCAACTGGCTCACGCAAATGAAGCAGTCTGTTGGCAGCGATCTGAGCGACAAGTCGATCACCGACTACCTCTGGTCGACCTTGAAGGCTGGACGCGTGGTGCCTGGTTACGGCCACGCTGTGCTGCGCAAGACTGATCCTGCTACGTGTCACAACGCGAGTTCGCCCTCCGCAAGCTTCCTGAGGATCCCATGTTCAAGCTGGTCAGCCAGGTCTACAAGATTGCTCCCGGTGTCTTGACCGAGCACGGCAAGACCAAGAACCCATATCCCAATGTCGATGCTGTAAGTGTCGCTATTTCTCCTGACTGAACTTACGCTAACTTTTTGCAGCACTCTGGTGTCCTCCTGCAGTACTACGGCTTGACTGAAGCCAACTACTACACAGTCCTGTTCGGCGTGTCTCGTGCTCTTGGTGTTCTCCCGCAACTCATCATCGACCGTGCCGTCGGTGCTCCGATCGAGCGGCCCAAGTCATTCAGCACAGAAGCATACGCCAAGCTTGTCGGAGTTTCCCTGTAGACAGAGGTTCTTGGTCTATTCAATGCCTCAATGAGCACTTTCAAGCGTGTAGTTATACTATGAGCGGTCTAGGGCTTCCGGGTGTATTCCACGGCATTACTACAATCTAAGCTAATTTTTTACTGATAATTCAAGCCTTGTAAAAGTAGCTGTTGGGATCCGACAGTGCGTATCTGCTAATGCTGAATTCTCCAACAATGATCTTTAGGCGGCTACGGCGTCGCCCGGGGCCCGAGCCTCCAGTGTTGGGTTGTGCTTTTGTTGAGCCGGGGCGCTAAGAGGCCGACGTGCATGTGCTTTCCCAAATGAACTATTTTCGGGTTACTCCCGAATCACTCATTCACTGCTTGTACCACACCTCATCGTCGTCCAGCTTACAGCACTGTCTCGCGATACCTGATCCAATCTCCGCTCACATATCGTGCCCTTGCTGCCTTCTACCTTGTGGCAACACTCACCGCAGATCCTTCGACATTCATAGACTCCTGCCTCACCCGTGACATCCAACCGAGGCTACGAAGCCAGCATACTCCCTTGGTCAGGGCAGACACCCAACAGCAGCACCTACACGATGTCAACACAATCAGTGATGGGCAACTCGACGCCTGCCGCGCAGAAGATCGAGAAGAAGCCCGTGAAGTTCTCGAACTTGCTCCTCGGAGCTGGCCTGAACATGTTCGAGGTCACTACCCTCGGCCAGCCCTTGGAAGTCGTCAAGACCACCATGGCCGCCAACAGGACAGACACATTCGCTGGTGCCATGAGCAGGATATGGGGACGCGGTGGTGCTCTTGGCTGTGCGTTGACGTCCCTTATCTATCGATGACCCTTCCACTAATACTCCGTGCAGTCTACCAAGGCCTCATCCCCTGGGCCTGGATCGAAGCCTCCACCAAAGGCGCCGTACTTCTCTTCGTCGCCTCCGAAGCCGAATACTACGCAAAAACATTTGGCGCCAACAACTTTGTCGCCGGCATCAGCGGTGGCATGTTCGGCGGTCTTGCTCAAGCATACGCGACGATGGGCTTCTGCACATGCATGAAAACAGTCGAAATCACCCAACACAAGCTCGCCGCGCAGGGCATCAAGCCTCCATCCACATTCACCACTTTTGCCAACATCTACCGACAAGAAGGCATCCGCGGCATCAACAAGGGCGTCAACGCAGTTGCTATCCGACAAGTCACCAACTGGGGTTCTCGGTTCGGTCTGTCACGTCTGGCGGAAAACGGGATCAGGAGCTTGACGGGCAAAGACGACGGTCAAAAACTTTCCGTAATCGAGAAGATCACTGCTTCTGCTCTAGGTGGTGGCTTGTCTGCCTGGAACCAGCCGATCGAGGTCATCCGTGTTGAGATGCAGAGCAAGACCGTCGACCCAAATCGCCCGAAGAACCTGACCGTTGGGAAGACACTGAGGTATATCTACGGCCAGAACGGCATCAAGGGTCTATATCGTGGTGTGGCGCCCCGTATTGGATTGGGCGTGTGGCAGACTGTGTGCATGGTGGCATTGGGTGATGTGTAAGTGTTTTGCTCGACGAACTTCGTCTCGTTCAAGCGGCCGACCCACACTGACTGATCTGTTCGCAGGGCCAAAGAAGCAGTCGAGAAACTCACCGGCGAGACCGTTACCGCGAAGCATTAAACAAGCTAACGATCCTCCCCACCAAACAACTTTTCATATCTCCAAACCGAATCACATAAGACGCACGCAAGAGATGTATCACCAGCACGACATTGAAATCCATCCATGTGCAATCCAAGTCAGCGCATGCGTAAGAAAAACATAGAATGCTGTCGGGAATGTTGGAGAATTTCAGGAAGCCGCCGTCACGAGATGCCGTCCGAGTAGCAGAGACCCTGTGAGCCTGAAGCGAGCATTTACTTCCGGCCATCTGCTGAGGGAGGAGAGATGATGCAAGACGGTCGATCTATCACACCCTGAGTTTCTGAAAACGCTCACGGGCAGACAGAGCTCGGTAGCGTAGGAGTATTCCAGAAATTCCGCGGTGGACACCGACGTGTTTTTGAGAGAGCGGGAAGGTGCTTCAAACTCGATGCACACGGGAAAATCGAACGCTGAGGCTTGAAAAGCGTATAGCGGTCCAAAAACGCTTTCTGCCCTTCCACGAACTCTGAATGTCCGCTATACTTCCCCGCTTGGGTGCGATCCTGAAATTTTGACTTTATGGGAAAAGAGACCGCTGTCCGAATGCTTTGAACTCCCATGTAGGTGGACACCGTGGATGTGCTGCTGCCTGTACTGACTCGTGATATGTCCCAAGACCAGCGCCAATACAAGAGGTCGTTGCAATAGGGATTCCAGCATCTACGTGCCCAATTCACGCCTCTCTAGAGCTCTAAAAATCCAAGCACATGGAATTCCGATATCCAGGCGACCACTACGCCCAAGCCGGCAATCCCACTCTGACTCGGACTGAGGACGAGGCAACGAGGCTATACCCCTGCGATTGCGTCCGTACACTATCTCGCTGGATCCAACACGCCAAAGCAGTGTCTCCCAGTGCATTGCGCATGACGAAGATGTCCTTCAGGGATATTTAAGCTACATCTGATGGAAATAAAGTCTGATCGCAGTGAGAAACAGAAGTATAGACGAAAGGGAAGCCATGCGAGTAGGAAATTCATATCATTTGCGTCTGATGACCTTGTCAGGATCTAGGCGCCTGGACTGTGCTCAGAGTCGCAGCACCGGGGTCTGAGAACTTCCCAGAGCCCATCGATGGACGGTCGTCGAAGAAGGAAAGCATATCCATCGTGTCATCATGTAATGAGACTCCTTTCGACGTGCCTGGCACGCGGAACTGCCTTTGGCCGTGGTTGGGTGCTGTAGGTGTGATCGATCGCTCCACCTAATTCGATCTTAACCACATGTGACGATTTCCAGCCAGATTGGCTGCAAAGGACGTGTCGAGGATGGAAAGGCGATCAGCCTCTTTCAACTCAACCACGACCTTGACTACAGGACGGCCACCATTCCAACCCTTGCCACTACCTTCCATCGGGGAGTTGACCCACTCCAATATCCCGTTGTAGCTTTCTGTGCAGTAGAAGAAGCTGGAGTCGAGCTCCTCGACCTTGATACCAGTGGCAGCATCGACGTCACCGAACTTGAGCTTTGGGTTCATGAGGTAGATGTGGACAACGTCGATGGTATCCCACCAGGCTTTGACAGCGGCTCTGAAGGAGGGGATATCGGCGAGATTGGTTCTGGACAGGACGGGGAAGTATTTTGCCAGTTCAGGCTGCTCCTTCGTGCTGTCGACCATGTTCTTGGTAAGGCTGATATCCTTAGGATCGACTTTGGCTAGTGCTGCAGTTAGGTCAGTCCACTGGTTGGGAGCTTTGGGCGGAGATGGCGCGAACTTACGGCTTGAAGTGGATGGTTTGTCATTCGCCTCGGTGTCATCGGTAGTCTTTTCCGTACGATCATGGGCAGCCTGACGCTGACTAAGTGCGACGACGGATCTCATGACGGTGAGGTAGAGCTGCTTTTTACTAGCCACGACCTGTACTGGAGCATAGCGAAATGGCAGGACTTCGACTTCGACGGACGTCTTGGATGCGCTGGCGTCATCTGCTGCTTCGACAGGTGCTCGAGAACGGAGGATCACGGCGACGATAGCGATGCTGAGGGGTTCATCGGCGACTGGAGTATCGGACTTGGCTGCGGTACCGTTGGCGGCACCAGTGGCAGAGATGACCAGGCCCGAGCCTTGAATGCTGGACAATGTGTCCCGAACAGATGTCGTAAGCTTGTCAGCTTCGGCCTGTACGTTCTCGATAGTATCAAACGGTCTCAGGTTGTCGAGATACTAGCATAGCATCAGCACAACGGACTAGGAGAAGGATGATATGTAAGTCAATGTGCTCACAGCATAGTTTCGATGACATTCAGTCAGAATCTTGTCCCGTAGATTTTGCTCTTTAGTGCTGATAGCTGGTGCTGGACGGCTGATGACTCTTCGAACAATCTGGTCGATTCAATAGATTGCCTTCGTCACTGTGGCCGTACGTGTCGGCTTGGGCACCTCAGGCAGCAGAGGCAGTGCTGATTGTGATGACATTTTGTGTTGTCAACGGAATCCTTGCAGCAAGGAGTGGACAGGCTTCGGTAAAGACGATATTTTGAAGACGATGAACATCAACAAACCTAGATGAGGGGCAAGGCATCACTATTACAGTCGAAAAGAAGATGTGAGATGTTGAAACCGTTGTCCGGGGCAGTGTACTGGCAAGTGATGACCACCAATATTCGAGGCAGGTGACAGTGCTCTTTCTTAGCCAAGGCAGTCCGTCAACCGCGGACATGGCATGAGGTCAACAGAAAGACTCAGTTCTCGAATATCAATTGTCAAGGTTATGATCTGGCAACAGTCTTGTATGCTAGAGTTATGAATGTGAAGGGGAGGAGAACGCTTCCAGACCATGCTGGAGATGCAGCGAAGTTGCGCTTAGGCCGTCGGATCATTTAAGTCTGCGGGAAGGGGATCTTGGTTTCGCCTCCATGGAAGACTACTCACAACTCGCGCCACGAGAAGGCGTCCCAAATAGCGAGTCAAAAGAACTATAGGAGAGAAGCAGTGATCTCAGAAATCCCTACGCCACAGTCAGTAGTAACACCGCCGCCTTATTGGCATTTGTTGTCGCATCGCCACGGAGCAGGTATGCTGGATCCGGTACTCTGGCGCTGACTCTACTGATTCTTCGAGGGCCCCAGAGTAGGTTCACCTATGCATTGTCACTCGTCGAACCGGGGACATGGCGAAGCTAGTGCAGCAGCCATGTCCGACGGCGGGAGACGCCCGCCTGCTTTCCATGCGGCATCCGACAAGCAGGAGTAGCAGGCTAGCTTGTGTGTCACAACCGCAAGGGAGGCACCGGAAGAGCAGAATCCGGTGGTCGTCAAGCCGTTAGCTATATCTGACAGCACCGTCTGATTTGCGGTCCCTCGCCGGCGTCAACATCCCTTGGGCCCCTTGCCCTAGAGTTTGGTAAGCATCTTTCGGAGACAGAAGACTCACTCCATTATTCTGTATTGACCTCCATCTCGCGCACCATCGGGAAAGGCTATGAAGCAGGTATGCGGCGGGTCTTCAACCGGCAGTGGCCTTACAGGTTTCGGTCGGGTCGCACTGCCGGCTTCGTACCCATTGCATCGTCACTCATCGAACCGGGAACACAGCAACATCACATGCCACTGTATCCGACGGCGGGAGACGCCCGACTGCTTTCCATGCGGCATCCGACAAGCAGGAGTAGCAGCCTAGGGACTGTGTGTCACAACCACAGGACCGGCACCGGGCAGGAATGATCAGGTGGTCATGCGACTCAGTCGATTAGACAACACCGTCTTTCTTTGCTTGTGCGCCGGCGTCAACGTTTCCTGGGCCCCTTGCCCTAGAGTATCGTGAGCATCTTAAGCGAGAGTACGTACCGGATGCGATCGTGTCTCATGAAACTGGAATCTGAGCCTGCTGAAGCGTTAGAGATAATGAGCAGGTGTTTTCGGCGCGCGCTCGACTCACCAGTCGTACACGATCGCAGTCTGTTGCGAAAGGGTCAGCTGTGACGAGTGTGAGGGCTGGCAACTCTTACCTTGCTGATGCGGAGAAATACGCACATACTGTCGAGATAGATGCAGTCGGCTGATAGGTAAGAAGCATCGAATTGGACGCATGCTTTGCCGAGTGGAAGATGTAGAGACAAAGGAAGTGGTGCGGTCAAGAACAAGCAAGGTGGAAGTGGGGCAGTTCGCGTTTGCGCGTGCAGATCGCCTTGTTGCCTAATTTCAGACGTCACACCTTGGCAATTTCAACGCGCTTCAGTGTCAAGTGCCGTCATCGTCGAGCTTCAACCTTCGCTCAACACCACGTCAACGCGTCGCGACGCCGACAGTCTACTGGCGTTCGCTATGTTGACCACGCCGGAGGATTTGTAGGGTCGTTCGAAGACAGCGATTAATCATTTCTTAGCTACATACTTGCTACATAATCTACCTCGAGAGGACTCAGCTCACCGCGTACACGGCTTGACATCCCACACCACGAGAAGGTGCCTCTCATCGCGGGACAAAAGAATGAAAGCTCTCTTCGCTTGGAATGCCCTCAGTTGAGGGATGGGTATAAACGACGGCCTATGGGCATTCGAGACGTGCGCAACACCTATACCTTTTGGTGAAAGCGTCCGCTCTACTAGGCCGAGGACTTCTGTCTGGCTGTTATTCCATCCCTTTCGCACCGTCGATCTACCGCCCCAAGGAAGGACCTGTCGGTGTAGGCAACAGGTCTTCTGGTAAAACCGCACGGCGGATCGTGACTGGGGTCCCTTCTGCGCCTTGTGCCAGCTCCGCTCGCGCGGCTAATGGAGACCGATGGGTGTGTCGGCCCAGCAAACACCCTTGTCTGATTGCGCTCGAAGTCATCACCCAGACGATCCTGACTAAAAAAGAATCTGGTCAGCGCAGCGATTGGGAGGGAGACTTACATCGTTCGTGGGTCGCGGTTGCGGCGCGGAGTGGCTGCTCAGGCCACTGACGATGTGCTGAAGGTTTGGGAAGAGGCGCAAATGGTACGAGAGAAATAACACGCACCTGATTTGGAGATTGAAGTTGTGCGCGATGCAAGGTGGAACCGTGTTGCCTGAAACTTCGGTTAAGAACGGTGGTCTTCACTAGAACTTCACTTGATGCTTTGATTGCTGACATTGTCTGAGCGCGATGCACTGCCCTGCCCTTTTCTTTTCGATGTCTTGCATCGCTGAACGTCGTTCGACCCATCTCTGGACACCGCGAATTGCGTTGACATCGTTACTCAGTGGTACATGCGCCATTCTGAAGGCATATCTGTGCACGACTGACTTCACTTAGATACGCAAGGAACACTTCAAGATGCCACTCAAACAGTTGAAAAAGCCTTTGAAGGCCGATTCTGTGGCTAAGAAGGAATACTACCGTCTCTGGAATCGATCCGAGGAGCTACGAAAGGGTGACAACATACCGCTTGTTGTGGCTGGTCCGGCGCGAGTTGACATTGAGAGTCACGCAGATGGCTTCGTTGAGGTATAGTGACCGCTATCCGACATGTACGCTTCTATCTCCCCGTCCAGACGCTGATTCCTGTTTTCATCAGATGTTTCGTAACAATGCGCCCACCCTGGATGATGCCGAGTTGGCTTCCTTGGTCGAAGTCTACGTCAACGAGATGAATCGAGTCTACGATGCACGGGCTACTGCCGCTGCTGCCCCGAAGCAGGTCAAGGGTCACCCGAACACGCATAATTCCGAATCGACACCTAGCATGAACGCCAATGCTGTCCTACCTGCTAAGGCCTTTGCTGAACCAGCCATCGTCGTTGCTGTCTTTAGAGCTCGGGCAGATTCTATCTCGATCACGTATCCGTTGCTTCAGGGCGAGATGCAGGTCTTGTGTCCTTTCACTGCCATACCAATGTCTGCCCTCCCCACCGATTCTACCAAGTTATTGCGCAACGCTGCTCAGTGGATCGTCCAAGGTCTTCCAACGGCTTCACAGGTCAACGAAGCTACAGCTCAAGAGTCCGACACTGGCGAAGATCCAACTACCGACGTCGCGTCGAGCGAACTCCCTGTCGAAGCGTCCGGCACGAAGGACCTTCCTACCGATCGCCTCTTCAGCGGTGGTGCCCGTCCCGGCTGCTCCGAGAACATGAGAGAAGGCTACATCGCACACCACGAACACATGACCTGTCAAGTTGAATTCTTCTCCCCAAACCAAGGGTCGTGTAGACGATGCTACCATTCAAGACTACATCAAGTCCCTGGTCGATCTCAAGAACGATTGCTGGGATCGCCGCAATGTGAACTACAATCACTGGCTCCGGGAACTAACCAAGGCTGTTGGTCAGGGTGAAGCACTCCCACTCCTGGTGGTAGTCGTCGCTCAGAAGGAAGATGACAAACCCAAAGGCGAGACGTATGGAGTCCTCAAGCGTCCACGTAGTCAGGCCGATGTCGAGGAGCTCGAGAAGAAGGCCAAGCGCCCGAGATCCCACAACTGACGCAAGTATGTATGACCATCAACCTGCGGTACACACTGGGTCTTGTGCGGAAGTGAGACACGGGAGGCAGCGAGCGAAGCGGCACCACAGCCAGAGCCGAGGCTTTTGTAACTTGTATGCATAGCAGCAAAGGCATGCGATCATACCTCGTCTCGCGAAGAGGGGAAAGGACGGCATTGTGGCGAAGTCGGGAAAGGGTCAATCAGTTCTGTGTGTCCAGACCAGTGCTTTGAGGAGGACAACCACTTGGACTGCGACTGACAACAGGGTTCCTTCAGTGCGTCGGTCCAGCCAGCGATCCTGTCTGATTGCGCTCGAAGTCACCACTCACACGATCCCGAATCCAAATTTTTATGGCGAGGTCGAGAGAGAAACATATTACAACCATGCGTCGCAACCATCGGACAAAGGGGCTGACAGTATCGGGCCCCCGTCACTGCCGATATGCTGAGGCTGCTAGGATACATATCAGCGTTATGAGAGAAATGACAGATATTCAACCTGGTTGAGGTTCGGTTTTATGTGAATTGGTGATGACACAGAGTCGTGCTGCCTGCGAACTGGGGGCGAAGCTTCTATTGAGGGCGACCTTTCTCAGGAGAACTTCACTTGATCCTCTGACATGGCTGATGTTGCCTTAACGCGAGACACCTTCGTTCTTCGTTTCTCAATATCTTCTAACACTAACTCCGTCGATCCAACTCTGACCACGGCGACGTCCATCCTCGGCGATACTCATTGGTACAGTCTTGATCTCTTGACATACACACGTCCGCTACTTGAGACCAAACAGAAAGACGAAGCACACTCCATAATGCCTGAAGCGATCCAAACCCAAGAGAAACCCACGTCCACTGCAACCGAAGCCGAATTCCAGCGCCTCACTGAGCGAGTCGTTGAGTTCTACGAGGATTACGCACCTGAACTACGAGTCAACAAACCCAAGGCGAGGATCGACCTCGAGGCTCTACTCGTTGACTTGGTTGAGGTATGGAATAACGAAATACTCAACGTCTCTTCCTGTCCAGTCGCTGATTGCTATACCGCCAGATGATCGAGAACCTGGAGCCCTATCTAGATGACACCGTACTCGAGAGCCTCGTCGAAAAAACCGTCAAGAACATGCACGAAATCCTCGACGCCGAAGTCGTTGTCGAACTCGACCGGATGCAACTCAACGATAGTGCCGAGCCGCAGGATTCGGAGATGGCTTCCTAAAAAGTGATGAACGTGTAGCAAGCACGATGGCCAGACGCACAACGCTGCAAGGTTCTGCTCGGTGCGCGCGAGGAAAGAAGGAAGGCGGTGCTGCTGCGACGGGCAGAACTCTGATGAGCACGGAGAGATGACGCAGAACAAGCGCCTTTGCTGAGCCACGTCTCGTACTGTGTCCAGCTAGAACTTGATCGCACGTGGGCGTGGACGGAGGAGATTCGCAGTCCGACTCAGATCCAAGTCGGTACCTCATACTTACTGAGTACCAAGGCAGACAAATATTCGTGGTGCCATGTCGTGCTTCCCAAATCTTTGCAGCCCCGGACCTTCTAGACCTCTTACTATACACACACGCCCTTCACACTTCTGTGCTCCAAACCTCAAGGCAACACAATATACTTCGCCAGCCTCTCCGGAATCGCGCCCCTCAACCCCTTCTCATTCAACCACTTCTCACTAAACAGCCGATCCGCATACCGATACGCCCCATCACACAACACCGTGACCACCGTACTCCCCTCCCCCAACTTCTCCGCCACCTGCTTCGCCGCCGCCACATTCAACGCTGAACTTGCCCCCAAATACAATCCTTCCTCGTCCAAACACCGATATACCTGAAATATCGACTCCTCGTCGGGGACGTGTACTGAGCCGTCGAGTTCGGATACTTCTTGGGCCAAGTTGTCGGTCACGCGGCCTTGACCGATGCCCTCGGTGATGGAGCTGCCGGTGCGTTCTTTGAGAGTGCCGCCGGACTGGATGTAGGAGTGCAGGACGGAGCCGGGCGGGTCGGCGAGGAAGGATTTGACGCGGTTTTGGGAGAGGTCTTTTAGGGAGCGGGTGACGCCGGCGAGCGTGCCTGAGAAATGGACTTGTCAGCCATGTGCTCGGATTGGAAGTTTCAGGGCAGATCAAGGACGAAAAATAATAGAGTCACCGCTTCGTCCGGGCGAGCAGGATCCCGCACGGTGGATCACTAGATGACCACGTCCATCAACAAGATGGTCACTCTCTTACCACAGGGAGGAAGGGATCAGTAACTCACCACCAGTACCAGTCGCACAAGTAAAAGCATCAATCTTTCCTCCCGTCTGCGCCCAAATCTCCGGCCCCGTCGTCTCAACATGCGCCCTCCGATTCGCCGTGTTGTCAAACTGGTTCGTCCACACCGCACCCTTCTCCGGATCCTCCTTCGCCACCCGCTCCGCATGCCGCTTCGCCTGCCAGTTGTAATTCTCGCTATTCTCCCACGCCACCGCTGGCACTGGGTAGACTTCCGCGCCCAGCAACCGCAACAAATCTATCTTGCCCTGGGATTGTGTGTTGGGCATGTATATCACCAGTTTATACCCCCGGGACCGACAGACGTGTGCGAGGCCGATGCCCGTGTTGCCGGCAGTGCCTTCGACGACTGTGCCGCCTGGCTTGAGGAGGCCGCGGTCTTCGGCGTCCTTGACGACGTAGAGGGCAGCGCGGTCTTTGACACTGCCGCCGGGGTTCTGGAATTCGGCTTTGCCGAGGATGGTACATTTGGTTTGCGCGGACAGGGCGGAGAGGCGGATGAGGGGGGTGTTGCCAATTGCTACGGGCCGGAGTCAGCGAGTGTGCTTGTTTGGGAAGCGTGGACTTGTCATGGGATCATGTACCGCCAGTCAAGGCATCAGCTATGCCCTGTGATTTGGAGACTTGGGCATGGTATGAAGTTATGTCCGCAGGCGAGGTGTTGTGTGAGGAGGAGGAGGAGGTTGCATGGCGCGAGCAGCGGTGCTGGTGGTGAGTCGTCGTATTGAGCTGCGGATGGGGTTGACGGCCATGGCGCGGCGAACGGAAACGTAGCAGCTGTGCAGGGAGCTCGAGAGACGAGTGTGCTACGGATGGCAGTGGTTCACAACTACGAGAAACTTTCATGGGAAGTTTTGTGGTTGGAGAACAATTGCATCATATCCAATGCCCACGTTCAAATTGCCCTTCGGCTATTTTTCTAAGAGCCGTAGCCGTAGGTTTCGGAAGCGCTTGATCTTGGTCATCGCCCGGATCTACTGCCTGTCTATAGCGGTCTTCTACTCGTAAACATACCCTACTGTATGGTGGAATGCTTTCGGGTCATGCTGGAATAATGTCTTGCCGGGTTCTTAGCCACCCTCCGAATAGCCACAATAAGTGTGGGTGAGCAGGTGCAAAGAGGGAATTGTCTGGGCTCATGAAGACGCGACAGAGTGCGAGTAAGAGTACCGACCAGGCTCAAGTATCCTGATGTTGTGATATCGAACCAAAGTCTACTGCATTGACTCACTGTCGTGATGTGCGGGTCTCATCCACAGTAGCGACCACAGATCAGAGCACTCACGCACCCAATCCCCAAGCCTCCCTTTCCCCTGAACCCATTCCCTCAACTTCCCACCCACCACCACTCCTACCAACCAATACCTCCCCTTTTCGTCTGCTCAACCACTGCCCATCTCCCGCTCCACCCAGCAGGCCCTTCCCATGACCATCCCTCAGCTCGACGTCTCGATCCCAAACCACCTTGCCCCTCAAAAGCACCCGTCTCGGCCAATTTTCCACTTCATGGCCCTCGAACGGCGTATAATCGATCGCGTGATGCAGCATTGCATTCCTGATCACTGTTCTGCCCTTTGAGTCCCCCTGGGGATACCAAATTACAACATCAGCATCATACCCCGGCGCAAGCACCCCCTTCCGGTCCCCAAACCCATACAGCCGCGCTGCATTCGTGCTCGTGACCGCCACAAACTTCTCCAGACTGATCCGCCGTGCCGCTGGTACCTTGTCACTCGTTGCAGCGTGGAACAGTACGGGAAGCCGTGTCTCGATGCCAGGTAGCCCGTTGGGTGTAGCCGCGAAGGTAGGTTTCGAGCCATCGCCCTTCAGACGAGCGGCCTCAACGGCCTTTTGTTTGCCGGATACAATATCGTCGTACCGTGTCGGTGCATGGTCTGAGGAGATGACGGTGATAGTCCCGTTGTTCAAGCTGTCCCAAACGGCCTGCAAGTCATCCTCAGAGTGTCGCAGGGGTGGCGCGCAGATGTGTTTCGCACCAGCCCATTCGTCATGCTCCTCATGAACGTGGCTGGTCTCGGGATCCTGGTGGATGTTGGTCGTCGAGGCGAGTTGTTGCGAAGTGAGATAAAGGTAGTGCGGGCAGGTTTCGGCATGAATGGGCAACAAGGACTTCGACTGTGCTTTGCGCGCATGGGAGAGCGCCACGGGCGTGGACATGTGCACTAGGAGGATGGGCGTGGAAGTCAGTGTAGCGAGGGCGATGGCGCGGTGCGTCGCTTCGCTCTCAGCTATTGCAGGGCGAGCTAGGGCGTGGTAGTAAGGAGTGGTCTTGTTGTGGGCGAGGAGGCGTTGGGTGACGAGGTCGATCATGTCGGCATTCTCGGCGTGGATCATAGTCGTCATGCCCAAGGAGCGGGTGGTCATCATGATGTCCAGCATTTGCCCATCGTGGAGGCGCTTTCCGGGGTATGTCATGTAGAGCTTGACGCTGGTGATGCCGCCTTCGGAGGCGAGTTTAGGGAGTTCATTGTTGAGAATGTGAGGGGTGGGTTTGGTGAGTATGAGGTGGAAGCCGTAGTCGATGTATGACTGATTGCGTGCACGGGAGTGATATTCGTCGATTACAGGGAAGAGTGATTCGTCTTTGTGCTCTTGAGTCGCGAAGGCGAGGATCGTGGTGTTGCCGCCGGCGAGAGCCGAGCGGGAGCCGGAGAGCCATTTGTCGCCGGAGGAAGCGTTGTCTTGGTGGAGATGGACGTGGGAGTCGATGCCGCCAGGTGTGACATATGCTCCTTCAGCGTCGATGACTTGGGTTGATTGGGAGGGTTGGAGAGTGCTGGCTATAGCGCTGATCTTGCCGGATGTGATGCCGATGCTACAGAGATAGGGATAGACTTCTGATGCTGTTATTATTCGGGCGTTTGTGATAATGGTGTCGAATTCCATGACTATCGACCCTTCGTCCTCACCTACAACACTGCCATAGAAAGGACAAAGGACGGCGAAGGGCCCTAACTGGCAAGACTAATTTGTGCTCGTGGATATCTACTATCTATCTTGAGTACGCTGATATCCGTTGTGGACACGGCGGTCCGATGCGATGCATATCAGTAACTTTTCTCTATGCGATTCTCACATTTTTGACTTCGTCGACCTCTTTTGGACACTAGGGAGACCTCTGCAGCACTCCGTAAGTCTACCGTCGCTATCCATCGCATGTCAACGACTATCCGCTTCGAACAACATTGTGCACATGACACGCATCTCATTAACACTCCAGGGCGGCTCCTGACCTCCTCAGCGAGACAGCTGTCGCGATCAGAATGGTGGCTCCGCCCAGCAGTGTTGCTGTCAAGATACGGAATAGCGCTTGTTTGCTAGGCGGCCCCTGTAGCGTTGTTCGAATAACCTCGGAGGGGTCCTACTCCTTCCCGGTTGGAATCTTGAAGAACACGCCCGGGGAGTCCTTTGTGGCCTGCTTGTCGCATCTGTAGAATCCCTTGCGATCGAATTGTATGAAGTCGTCCACCTTCACGTCAGCAACGTTGCAATCCGCGACAGCAGTCTCGTCCTTTGTCAGTCTCAGCCTCCAGGAACTCCTCCCATCGATCCTCCTCCTCCTCGCTGAGCTTATCCTTGTTGAGCAGATGCTTGAACTCATGCAGCTCAACGTTGATCAGATCCTGATCCGTGGACAGCCAGGTAACTTTCTTCTTGGTAAGCTTGAAGTCGCCATCCAGATGAAGGTCCAGCTCCAATGACCTCACATGGCCTAGCGACTTGACACCATCTGTGATGTCGCCGTTGGTCGTTGACTCGTACTCGATCTTTCGAACATATGCATTGCCCCAATTCATCAGGGTGATCTCCTCATCCTGCTCGAAAGTCCGTGCATCCTCCTGCTCAAAGATAACATTCTTGCTGAACACTACCTTCTTGTTGCCCAGAGAATACTTAGCGTGCTTCGGCTTCTCCTCCGTTTTGGTCTCACCGACTCCCTTGATGACGGCCTTCACCTGCTTCGAGTCGATGGCAGTGTAGCGACCAGCCAGCGGATCGATCACCTTCTTATTGAATGTCCAAATAGTGTGCCAGTCCATGTTGACGACGTTCTTGCTCGGTCCCTGACTGACCATGAACTCGCGAAGACCTTGAATGGTCATTCCACGTCTTCGCATGCCTCGAACCGTTGGAAAACGTGGGTCATCCCAGCCTGTGACAGCGCCACCATCCACCAGCTTGGTCAACTTTCGTTTCGACATCAGGGTACGAATGAACTGAATCTTCGAGAACGTCCAGATGAACGGCGACCGCAATCCGAGAGCCTTGAGAATCCACTTGTACTGAGCATCCTGGTCGTTGTACTCAGTGGTCCGAAGAGCATGTGTGACGCCCTCGATTGAGTCAACGACTGGACAAGCAAACTGATATGTTGGATATGCCTTGTACTTGGTTCCCGTCCGGTGATGTGGGTTCTGAGATTTTGGACAACGGAAGATGACGGGATCGCGCAATGAGGCATTGTCGTTGGCGTATGAGATTTTGGCTCGTATACACCATCTGCGACCCTCGTCCGTGCCTTGCCTCATCTCGTCAAATCTCTTCAGGTTGTCCTCAACACTATCATCTCGGTGTACGCTTGGCTCGCGATCCATTCTCATCTTGCTCATGACATCTCCTGGTGTGTCATCCGCGAATGCTTTCCCTGCCTTGATGATCTCGACGCACTGTTTCTCGATCTCGTCAAAGTAGTCGCTAGTGTACGAGATCTGGTCAGGCTTGATGCCCAGCAGGCCGACGTCCTCAAGTATGGCATCTTGGTATTCCTCTTTCTCCTTCTCGGTGTTGGTGTCGTCGAAGCGGAGGATCATCTTCCCACCCGGATACTGCTCGTGTGCGAAATAGTCATTGAGCAACGCTGCTTTCGAATGGCCGATATGCAGGTATCCTGAGGCTCTGGCGGGAAGCGTGTGACTACGCCCTTGTCGCCGTCGGGCAGGGCGAGCTTTGCGACCTTTCCACCCTTGTTCTTTGGCGGCATTGTGATAGCCTAGTGGTGTTCGTTGAGTGCAATACTCGATGGTTGCAAGTCGGTCTCGAGGAATCTGGAGCAAGCCTGAGGAAGTTGGCTTTCGTGTGCTGGCAAAAGCTGTGACTCACGCAGGCTCGACACAGACCTTTCAACTTTGCTCGGATGTGTAGCAGTTGCAGTACGAGGGGCATGAACGAGCCAAATTTTGACTCCAAATTTCTAGAAGGCAGCGGTGGAGCCCCCCAATTTCTGGGCAGGATTTCTCGATATATCTTTTCTGATGTCTAACGCACAAGTGAGGCTCAACCCAAATCTACGGACTTGATCGGCGCAAGAACGGTAGCCAATGTCATTGTCTGGGGATATCTCTATGACGGCGTCATCGTCACGCTATAGTATCCGCTCTTTCTCAGCATCTCTTCGAACGTACGGAATTTCCTGGCGCTCGCCTTTTTCTCGAAAAGGACATCAAGTTCATGAGTATTGAGGCCTCTAATTTCCGGCAGCCTGAACCAACAATAGACCCAGCAGACAGCGTTCATGCCTGCGCAGAAGAAGCAGGCCTTTCCCCGCCAATTAAATGCCAATGGATTCAACATTCGCTGAATCAGGACGTTAGTGACAATGGAGTTGACGCTGTAAGCCACGCGCGCCAATACTACTGTCTTGACACGTAGTCGGTTAGATGGCAGCTCCGGTATGATAGCATAGGTAAGCGGACCAATTGTTGCATCGAAAACGAATATGAAAAGCAATATTAAGCTCACCACCGTCCATAATGTCGCCTGTGACTCCGGGAGGCAGCTGACAATGCCAGCAATGCTCAGCAGCACGAAGCAGCAAGCCAAGCCAATCAAGTATAGCAGTCGGCGGCGCTGAACGTATTTGAGGAGGAGCAAGGACACAAAGGCACCGAGAATGGCAAGACCCTGCATGCCTAGAGTTATGTCGAAGCTGTGTTCTTGGGAGAAGTTAAGTCGCCGGAATAAGTACGGAGCGTAGCCGATGATCGGAAGGCCACTCATATTCTGCGTCATGAACACCATACAGGCAATCTCAGTGCGGCGCAGATTCGAGCCACGGAAGCAAGCGGCGTACGGGACTTGTGCGACAAACCCGCCGACTCGGGCATTGGTAGACATTTGCTCGATCCGGGCAGACTCGCGGTTCAATTCAATGTCGACTCGATGGTGCTGATTGAGTTTCCGCGCCGCAAGGTCTTCGACATGCTCGGTGTGCTCCATCATTGCTACGATGTTGTCGATCTCGCTGTCAGGCACGCCATTGGCAAGTCGGTGAAGTGCTTTCCTGGCATCTTCTGGTCGCAGGCGCCGAACCAGTGACCATGGAGATTCTGGCGCATACCAGGTGATGACGAGCAGAAGCAGTATCCAGAACCATTGGAGGCCAAATGGAGTGCGAAAGCTCCAGGACGATTGAACGTTTCCCACACCCCGAACCACGCCTAGCGCACAAAGCTGACCCAGTAGCCAGCAGAGATTGATGTTGCTCGTCACATATCCTCGAAGGTTGAGAGGCATCACTTCCGCAGCGTACGTCGTTGTCAGAGTCGAGAAGACGCCCCACGGAAGCCCGCACAGAATCTGTCCAGCAAGCAAGGTCTGGATGTTGAATGCGAAGAAAGGCAGGAACAAAAACAGGCCCAATACTAACAAAGCGCCTCCCATCGTTTTGCGGTACCCGAATCGGTCAGTCAGAATGCCATTGGCGAAGAGGCCAAAAATAGAACTAACGACCGCTCCGTTGCTGATGGAAGCCTGCCATTTGGGACTGATCTGATACTGGCCTGCACCATCTGGCACACCATACGTCTTTTGAAATGTGTCGAATGCATACAGGCTCGTGACAAGTGCTGTATCATAGCCTTCCATGATGATGGCAAGCGAGATTCCGACAGCCCAGGCAATTGCTTTTGGGTACTTGCGCATCCCCTGGCGGAAGGTCATTTGATGTTCCGCCCGACTGGCAGTGAAGGCTGCAGGGCCTATGTGAGGGAGCGTCGAGGTCGATGACGATGCTCGAACCGCAGTGCTTTGCTTCGCGTCGGACGGACCGGGCTGCCTGAATGATGCGAGGCCATGTTGGTCTCGCACATCTTCGACATGGTGTGTGACGAAGACATTGAGCTCGAGAAGCTCTGATGGGTGAAAGTCGGCAGCCGTTGCCATCAAAAGTGGGCGTCAATTGTTTCGTGCTTTGTTCGTTGGCTCTCTGCTTCACAGCAGGTCGAGAATGCCTGCCAGCAGTCGTCGTGGAATTCCCATGACACTACGACGAGCGCACATGCTGCGGCTATTTTCTGCAGGATAACGTCAGAAAGGACGTTCAGTTCTACTCTCAATGGCTCAAACGTCGTTCGAGTACAGCAGGCACATCTGGAGAAGATTTTGCAGCGATTCCCAAGCTCAAAATAAGGAATTCTGTACGGTTAGTACATCAACGAGGTTTTCCGCCGACGTAACGGAAAACCGTGCGGAGTAAAAGTCTAACCCGGAGACACAGGTCAGGCGTGGCTTTGGTCTCGACAGAGTTCGGGCGCTCAAGCCGGGGAAGCCCAAACAGCATGGGACCCTTGCGCCACCGCAGTCGTGTACAGGCAGGCCATCACAACTCGATCATAAATGTACAAGACGATGAGTTTCATACCCTGATATGCAGCGCATGCTCAGCCGCTGCGCACCAGCGCATACTGACCGTCCCACAGGTCTGCTTGTATCTCGGTAGCCATGTGTAGACGACATTGGAGCGTTACGCAATCAAGAAATTGTTCATTCATTCGAAGTATGGGTGTTACAGGCATCGTAGCCTGTGGTGCATTAGTATAGAAAGCCGGATCTTGTTCCTAGGAGACAGGCAACTTCTGCGATATTCCAATCCCGGCTTGTGCTGGGAACAAAACCGGATCCGACCTTGATGAGAGCAAAGTGACAGCGATAGGACGAGCCATTGGTATCAGTAACGATACATGTGTCTGCAAGAGCTGGGTATCCGGCCAAATCTAGAGCGTCATTGGCATTGAGTGCTCGTCCGATACCAAATACTTGATTACGAGACCAGAGGTTGACCGCGAACGGACATTCGGCCCAGTAGACTGAAGACGTGGAATCGAGAGACTTACTGACGCATTTTCATTCGATTCCTAGATGGCATGACAAAGTGAACCGCCTCCGACGCCGGCCGGCTTAGATCCGACCACGCCTCTTCATGTGTTGATGACTCTTGCGACCTGTTGGAAGTTGCAGTGCAGTCGGTCAGCGATCGTGGACCAAACGTGGTGCGCCTTCTGTGAGTCGCAGAGGAAGAGGTTTGCTGTGGGCAATTTCTAAGCGCGGCGTACGCTTCGGGTTGTCATCGGCGGAACCATCCTCGAAGATCCCAGTGTTCGCTTTTCGATACAGTGTCTGCGCAGAAGTAAGAGCAGATTTCCATCACGTTTGAATCCGCAATTCAAGGGGACCCGACTTGACCAAAGCGACAATGCTTGCCAGGGCGCATGATCCGAGCATACCGCCAATTCGGACTGCGGGACGGAACGGAGCTCCATACTCTGCTTGCTATGCGACAATACACCGATGTAAGACTCCTCCAGACTTCAGGGACCAGAAGAAAGAGCTCAAAGCGGCGTACTGCCTCGAGTGACTCAATTGAGACACTGTTTACCGAGCTCGAGTCCTTCACAAAGCAGGCAGTACATCGGCGGCGTCGGCGCACGCTCGGGCTAAAGTCACATCGTCGGACACGCCACGGCAGTGGATAGCAACGGATCTGCTGCTAGATCGCACTAATGCGTGTCATATCTCGTCCATCGCTCGGCGGTCCTCTCTCAAGAATTGAGCTCTCTGGGTAATGCATTGTCCGGATCTATCACATCGGTAATGCCATCCGAGCATATCGCCAACTTCGCGTAAAAGAAGTCTTCGATGCCACGATTTGATGGTAGCATTCGCGCACGTGGGCCGGCCGGTCTGTTTGCTGCCAATCGCAGAAGATACTCTTCGCCTCGTTCAGGCAGTGCGCATCAGTGTTCCTTCGAATCCCAGATTGCAACGAGCTGAATTACAACTTCCCAGATCCGATGGCGACCACGCCCATGGACACTTACACGAGAGCCTGCTTCGTGCCGTCTCTTACGTTCAATGACTGCCTGCTGCGTTAGGGACGCTGCGACATGCCAGCAGCGTGCAGATAACTCACTCTGGTTGTTCGAAGTGTGTTCAATGTGCGCGCCTCAGTTGGCTGAGCAATATGGCCCATTCTGGGAAGAATGACCAATGACTGAGACAGCTCCCCGAAGGTGAGTGATCTTCTCTGATGCTTGGCCACTTCTGGCAGCGCAGCATCACCAGAGTGACCGAAATTCGCGAACGTCGTGCAAGAGTACAAGCTGCAGAACAGTATACCGAGACACGGGCGAAAGGCATGCGTAGGCCCACCAACTTCGCCAGGAGATCGTGATGGTGCAAGGCCTGCTAATTACCGTGACTCGCAGACGATACTGCCAAGCTGTCTTGACGGGAAGTGACAGTTCGGCAGACGCGCTTGAAGCGAACAGCAGACGCGTAAAGCTGGACCATGTAACTATCCGACTTTGGGGCAGAAAGCTGCAATGCAGGGTCATGGTACGTACCTTGTGGATACAGCGCGCTCACGTCCCCCGAGATTTCGGCGAAGGCACACCCACCAGACTTCATGGGCCGAGAGCGACCGCCAAATGAGATCTGGAAGATGAGCAATCACGGAGTGTTAGTCCGCAGACCTCGTCGTTTGCACTGCATCACCTTTGCTATCAGCGAAGCCATACCTATGACGATTCTCGACAAGATTGAATATGATGGGACAGCGAGCAGCATACAGTGTCGAGGCTTCGGCCACTCAATGTAGCCAAAGGCAACCATCGTGAGACCATGGACAGTAGCCATGAGTCGGGCGAGTCAGTCGAAGCTTCAACCCTGCTCGCCGACTAGAACCTCGAGATTTGAGGGGCACAGTGGTACACCACGTTGGTCACTCGATGATGTACTTCGTCGCGGTCGATGATGCTGGACTACTTAGCGTGATCATCATTGCGGCGCCGTTCATGTCCCGGGGTCTTAGCTGTGGTGACCGTTATTGGAGCCACCCTGATCAGTGATAGAAGACCGCGTAGGCGACCTGTCATCTTGTGACTTTAGCGTTCCACAGACCAGCAGCTCATGCACAGATGCGCCGATCCATCGCCGAAGGGCAAGAAGAACAGACTGCGATTGCTCAATTGGCCAACGACAGCGAAGCGAGCGCTTCCAGATGCGGTTGACGGTACCGGTAGGTCAGAGGCACAGACGCAGTCCTTTCTGACTCGGTTCCGAGCATATCTGCTTGATCAGAAGCATGGCTGTGTTGAGGAAGTTGATTTCCTCATCCCACCGGAAATCCGCTGAAGTGGAGTGTCTTTTTCACTTGGCCGACATTCGCCCTTTGTGGGTGTAAGTGGTCTGATAATTGTTTGTTGCAGAGTGACCTGAGGGGAACGCATCGAATGATGTTTCTGCAGCCAGCGCATTTTACGATCCCGTCGTTCACGCGGCTCGACAGCCCTTACTACCCAAATAAGCGCCTTTCTGGCATTGTGTAGAAATCTTAGGCGTCAAGGTCGGACGAGCTGGTCCGCCTATGACTACCTTTGGTGGCTTTTTGGACCAGGGTCTCGCTTCGCGGTTCTACCCGCTGTTCGTCCTCACACCGAAAGTACATGATAGAGATAACGAGGGTCTGTACACAGAATATACACTGTCAGCCTAGCGGACAAGCTGTATGACTTGATCGAGTGCTGTAGCACAGCGACACTCGCGACAGCTGGGTACGTTAGGGTACATCGCAGCGGGGCAAGGGCCACCTTGGCATCGTGGCTACCCGTTCCAGGCAGCGGGCACGTCTGTGACGTTGTATGTACGTCGTACCTTAGATTGTGCTGTCAAGATGGGTTTGTGGAGCGATTTGGAGATGGTAGAAATGGCCGAAGAATAAGCAAGAAAAAGTTTTGACGAGATGGAGCGACAAAAATCGAGGCTTTGTTTAGACGTTACAGGGGGTGACCTCGTTTAACGGCAGATAGCATCCGACTCGAATGCAGTGACTCTCCGGAGATGTACATGCTCTGTTAACGGTAACACAAGCCTCGCAATTGCTAGAATCTATAACAGCTCTCGGCTACGCTCCTTCCTCTTACTACCTACTAGTATACATGTGCACGACCTCCTCCTCTCAAGGATAACTCTCGGAACAAAGATACTTACTAGCCCTTCTCGACGACAGATCCGGATAAGATACCCTTTCGTACCCTATGAGCGTATATGGTCGACAACCCCGATTTGCAAGCATATTCGACATGACCACCCAGAGTCCCTATGGTGACGCCTTCCATATGCTTGCCAACAAATTCAAGCAAATCGACCAACAAAGTAATGCGAGGGCGAGCGTAACGTCGTCCAGGTCACAGAGTATGTTCCCGCTCAATGGGAACTTGGGAAGTCCTAGACTGATGTTGTACAGCTTCCAGCAGCGTTCCGCATACGGTTAGGCGGCAACCATCACACACTCCAACGAACAGCTACGGCTCACCTCAGTGTCCTTCGTGTCATCTCCTGCGTCGCTCGTCCACCGCCTCATCGACAACTTCGAGCACATGCACACATCAGTCCTGCCAAGAGATCGATAGGCTCCCCTCACCCACTCAACGAGGACGTCAATCCCTGTTAGTGATCGAATCCAGCGAGGAATCTTCAAGCAGCAGCCATACATCCCCTGCCGAGAGTCATAGCCGTTCAAGTGTTGACTCACCAGATCGAGCCTCATTTCAGCGATCTCAACAGTACGACGACCGTCGCAAACCTGTGGGTTTGACTAGAGCTCCATATGATGCTGTACGAGATACTCCACGGCGGTGAACGTTGCCTCAGAACGGTATTGTTCATGACTGATCGAACACACTCTCCATGTCCGCCTGGTTGGATGCTTCCGACAAGGTTAGCGCGGACCAGGAGACAAAACTTTTGCATCTCGTGGGATCTTGAAGTCTCGTAGGGACAGATACCTTGATGCTGCAACGATCCCACTCCGATTGACGACAGGGAGAAATCAGAGTTCGGCAAATAGGGATTTGCCCGCCGAAACTGGTAAAGCATTTTTCCATGAACGATGGTTCTTGCACCCGCTCATTATGCTGGACTGCCGTCGGCCCTCGCCGACGGGTGAGAGTCCCCTCTGCCGGTGAGGCACCGAGAACCGCGGCTCTGAATCAAATGCAGCCACAAGTCTGCACGAGCAGAAAAGTGTACCGGAAGCGGCACAATTAATGTTAAGCGCGCGAGAATTTTCGCGAGAGCAAACATCGTGCTAAATGGTCCACCGGCGAGCATGCCAACATGGAGTTCGGAGAAAGAGGAGTAAGTGCGAGCTGCATGGGGCAGTCTGGCACAAAACGACTGATTCGATCTTTTCGTTCGTCGCTTTAAGTTGCCATCGCAGATCTTGCGATAGCTCGGGGTGCGAGGTTCGGAGAATTGCCAAGAACGGTCCGAATCCGTCCAGCCGGAGAGGAGATCAGAACTCTCGCTGCTGACGCACACTGCACGTGCACTGTGTAGCGCTTTCCGCCCACAGATTGCAAGGTGCACGATGCTCTCCGCACCTTCTCTATGGAGACGCGCGTCTGCTCGCTGATGTGGTGTTCCTCTGGCGATCACGTGTATATAGACTGTTCACGTTAGATGTGGATGCAGTCAAGCAGACACGGCTATTCGTTGCTTTGATTCCCTACCAAATAACATTACTATTGTCATCTTCACTTCCTACGAAGTCTCCACGATAACAGATAGAGCACATGAGTCAAGCTTCTGTAAGTTCATGTGCTTCCCAAGTCATGAGAGGTTAGTGGCGCCTAGCAAAGTCTCGACTAAAACGCCATCCTTCCTATAGACCGCAGCAATTCCCGGCCAGCGCCCAACTTACTGAGAGGTACAAAGGACACTGGCGCCACGTCACCGGAATGATCACATGTTGCTCATGCTCATGTTGCCGCCAGCCGAAACGTTACGGAACGGTTGATGTAATCGGGTCCACATCAATACTTGGACTGCTATGAAGCTTCGTTGAGACGCTCGGATGTGAATTTCTGCTCGCCTGCTTGTGGACTAGGTAATGGCCGTGAGTCGCAGTTAAGCAGCAGACTTGTGAAAACAAGTAATTGAGCAATAGACAGTATGTTGTCGACTGTCAAGTCAGCATGGCTGGCGGATTTGCCTGTTGCGTTGTCGCTGACTTTGGTGATGCAAGTGACCAACGGCTGTAGACATCTGAGCTGCTGGAAAAGGGGAAGTTTCGTCATGTTTGCGCAGCGTGTGGCGCGGAGAGCTTCGTCCGTCATCTGATTATCGCATGCTTGCGGAGAGCCTGCTTCTTCGTTGTCATAACAAGAGAGCCCCGAATGCAGTACCGTGTGCGCAGTCAATTATGAGTGCCGAGAAAAGATGCGGATGGCCACGGGAACGGTACATGAAGAGGGCACCTGGCGATACCAAGTCCTCGTCGTGCTCCACAAGTTGCTGGCCCATGCTGACGGGACACAGTCTGTCCGATCATTATCCAGCCAAGAATCAATTCGACCTGCAGACATGTTGGGTCATTAGGCATATGATAAGGTCGATGTAGTTGTTGAATGTGACACATTCGACCTGAGCAACGACCCATAGTGGTAGATTCGAGTCGTCCGTTACGAGAGTTGCTCGCGTCAATGCGCAGTAGAAGTGATGTTCGTCAGATGTGCATTTCGATGCAGTGCGCTCTGAAACAACTAAGCCTTCGATAGGGTTGAAAGCAGCGACACGACAGGTGACGACACCAGCCAGAAGTTCTCGCACAACGCTTGCCTTCTGACCAGGCTACTAGTTGCCGGAATCCGATTCGTGCCTGGTACTGTCAAGTTTTCCAGCTCTCCTGGATACAACGATCATCGCGGTGGCAGAAGGGTGCTGCGCACATGATCAGTGGCTGCCAAAAGTACATACCTCTGCATCATCGGCAGACCGGGCCACTAAGCATCGGTCAAGGAGTCTCCCAGACGTTCTGGAGCTCGCCACGAGGCAAGGAGCCACGAGTCGCAAAGCCGCGAGACCTCGAATGCCACACAAAATTGCGTGCAGCTGTCAAAGTATGGGAACGAAATTCAACGTTCCACATGGGAATGACCCGCTTCGTAGGTTGCTCAATGCTGGCATTCCCTTACATTGCTTGCCAAGAGTTGGGCATCAGTCACCAGTACCTTGCTCAGATCCGGGGAACGATCGATCTGTTGGTTCCCCAGTGAATGGCAGTTTGGACGTGCGACGAGGCTCGGCGACGTTGTTGAGCTCAATGTTGCAGCTTGTGCATTGTACGGAAATCAAGTTATATCGCAGCAATGTCAATTGAGGGTAGCAATGCACAGTGTGAACCATCAGGCTACCTCACCGTTGAGCTCAGACCACGGCAACACCGAGCCGCACCAGTCAATAGCACTGAGGGTCTCTGGGCAACCACGTGGCACTATCGAAAAGTAAAAACACGACGAATCGATCGGATCGTGGTGGCTGCTGCTCGTCACCTGGCGTTGGGATTCGGGAAGGGTTTGCGAAGCCCCTTGCGTGTGGCTTGATGGACGGCAGTTCCGAGTGAGGCTTGAGGACAGGAAAGTGGACATGAGATTGCAATCTTTGGAAAACGTCAGGCTGATTCATCCTCCAAAATGGCGGAGGGTTGCGAGTAACAAAACAAGAGGTCGACTTAGGAGCTTTCGGAACACAATGCTGCCATGATGCCTATTTTCGCTTGCGAGTTTGACGAAGCGATGAGGAGGAGAGATATCGCTACCGACAGTGAGCAGAATAGTAGTTGCATGATGATTGATGAATGATGAGGAGAAATGACGAAGGTTTCAAGTCGGGTGCAGCCCCACTACCACGCAGCCTCAGTTCTTGTCTCGCGATCTCGACCTCAATCGACCGTCGCTCGCTACACCCGCGTTTCTCATTTTCCACCTGAGAGCTTTCCTTCTCGTCGCTCTTTTCGTCCTGGTCTCTTGCTGCGTTGGCGGGGGTGGAGCTCGGTATCTGCATGATATGCAGGCACTACGCTCGGTTTGAGCAAGCAAGTCGCAATCACAATACATTATTGGCCGGTGCTGCCGTCTAGTCAGGAACAACCCAGGCGGCCGCCTGCATGGGCTTTCTACATCAGGCCATAGCATGCCGGTCTTCGCCTTTACTAGCGATCAATCCATCCCACATAAGGACTGACTAACGTGTTGCAGGTCACGCACTGACCTCCTGACTCCTCCTGTGTGTTGAATTTCGTGCTGGAAGAGAATTGTTGTCTGTTCTTTTGCAAGGAGATGTGGACAACACACACCCGCAACTTTCATCAGATCAGCCGCATCGGCCACCACGAAGCCACACTAAACTATCGCTACTGACTTCAAACGTTTTCTCCTGGACAACTGCATAGGCACCATACTCGATCTGGTTCAAGGTCTTGCACCGCACTTGTTGACCGCCATCTGATCATGACATCTTTGTGGGCTAAGCTGTCAAAAGCGTCGGTACCTGCAGGTACAGCACGACATTCGTGGTTCGATTGCAAGGGTTTCCTGCCACAGCTGCCAGAAATGGTGGAGCAATCATATTCCGAAAGGGAGTCTCAGGCTCTCAGCAGCCAAATTTGTGGCTGTCTCCTACTCACCTGAACAGCACACACATTTACACAGGGTCCAAATTGGGCTGGCTCTCTTCGTATTTGCACATTTCTAGAACCGTTCGTGCCTGTCTGCCTGCTAGCCTACTAAGACTCGTGCATGAGGAAGCGTTCAGCTCTTCGCACTCGTTCATATCGTTATTAAGTTCGATTCTTCCCCCTCAAGACCCGAACTCTTCGTTGAGCCTCATCACCAGTTCGTGTGCTTGCTCCTTTGTTCCTGTCGATCATTGCCTGACACCTCGGCGTCTCCCTGGACTACCAACACATGACAAAGGACGATCACCTGGTCTTGTGAAACATTGATCGTGTCTCGAGCAGAGTTCGGCCGTCGGAAGTGCTAGGCCAATCTCATGCAATCCCGTCACAGACATAAACCGACATTATCGCCATCAACGCAATGGCTCTTCCTGTGCTACAACCAGCTTTTACCATGAGCGCTCTTCCGGTCTTCTCATCGCCGCCAGCGAGCAGGACACCATCACCGGAGTACATTGCGACTCGGCTGCACTCGATAGCAAACTACAAACTTAGGCTAGAGTCATCACAGAACGATCCTGTCCTTCGAAAACTGCTAGGGCACATCTTCGTCTATGACGCCATTCGCGACCATCACCAGAACCACTCGGTATACACATCACCTACACAATCCCGACGACGGCAGCAACAGCTTCAACGGCGGCAGCAGAGCGAGCGATCCCATCTGCCCCTACTCAGCTCAGTTGAGGAGGAGATTCCCGCGTCCACCGAGTCATCTGACTCATCATCATCATCTTCAAATGCCGAAGACATCTCGAATTACCTATCGACACTTCCCTCCGCAGACATCCCACCATCATCGGTCCAGGCGTTTGTCAACTTCCAGCAAGCCATCGCCTCGCAACTCGCCACGTTATCACAATTACGGCTGCAAAATGCATCGCGCCAACTATACCATATGACCACAGGAAATGACGAGGGCGACGAAATGGCAGTGGAGGAATACGACAGTGATGAAGATATCGATGACGATAGCGATTACGACAGCTATGACGGTGACGACGCTGACTGGCGATTCGAAGACGACAATACTGAAACGGGCGACAGCGACACTGATCCGGAAAGTGTTCCTTCTGAGCCTACATCACCTACTCGGAGGACTTTGGGGCGATGTCAGATTGTGCTCCTTCGGGAAAGGACTTGAAGTCCGACGGTGGGAGTTACTTTTTGCCCATGGTCGCAGTTACTGCATGAAGGCATAAGCAAAGAACGATCCGACGATCAATCATTGTTCATTCTACGTCATTTACTATCAAAAGCGAAGGCGTTGGTGGTTACGAACGGAGTTTCTGAGCACTTCCATGCCTCTACTCTTTGGTCTTCAGAGTTGAGGGCTATTTTTGACCCTTTTAGATAATCTGCGCTTCTCGCAGCTCAATTCTAATCTGCTTTAACAGCAGACCTCACACTTCTCCCTATCGTCGCCCTCTGCTAGCCTCTTCGTACTTGTGACCCTCAAGATCGAATCCCACCAATCCATCAGCTCAATGACCACATCCACGTCGGGACAGCTGAGGCAAACTACCCAATCAAACCCTAAAGCCTGCACGGCTCTAGCGCGAACCATAGTCCCTGAGTTCTTGAACAGACACGGGAGATCCCCTCATGATCACAACTCCTCCGCACCCATGCATCGAGCTGAAACCTTCCTCTGGGCTCCGGTTCTAGGTATGAAAAGCTTCGATGACAGCGGATGTTCGTTTCCCGTGAGCGCATAACATGAACACAGGCACAAAGTCTCGGCAGAGACCTTGCGTGGCCTGTCGAAGGTGGTGTGCATGTACTTGTTGAGGTCGCAGCTGCTGAGTCGTCGAGCACACTCGCGGATGCTGCACTGAGGCATTCGATTGATCCTTGTCCCGGACATCTCAGCCCGGAGCAGAGCACTATACATGGCACCAAATGCCACACGAGAGACCTGCTGGCGTAGGGCTGAAAGTCGGGGCCAGTGTCAGTATGCCATGCCGAATCGGTTCCAAGGCTTACAAGAACGACAGGCACATGCGCAGATACGTCGAAAACACGACGTGCAGGTACGGTCTACTCCAATCGAAATACCTGGCCTCTTCCTGCCCAAATCCTGGTGTAATTCAGAACACCAGATGCGCAGTCTTGGCCTTCATTCATGTGCATGGTCTGTTGTCGATTGAATCGTCTCCTCTGTGGTATCCCAATTGTATGGAGCCCAGGAGACCTTCAAATTGTCGCCGGGATCATACGGGTACATTGATCTGAGGAATGGTGTATCATTGTATTGGAGCGGCGAGGTGAGCAGCATCGATCTTGATGCTTTGTCTCGTCTGTGCTAGTGTGCTCGCGATCACGTTGGATAGGTAGTGAAAAGGGACAGCCACTAGTCCACAGCACAGGTTCATCTTTCTCTCCTATGCCAAAGTTGCATTTCCTCCCTACTGCCAAAGCTGGCCAGGCGCGGAGTTCTCGAGCCGGTACCTTACATAATCCACCATCACCGGCACCAGCCTAGGCCCTTGTTCCACTTGGCGCCTCGCGGCAGTCTCATCGCATTATCTCGGATTTGCTCGGAGTCAGCACGGAATCGTGTCGGAGGTCTGGCAGAAGGAAAAATCCATCGCGTGAAATTTGGGGCCGATGCATCACCCTTCGTGTTGCAGATTGTGGTATCCTAGACTCCTGTGCCGTGGTGACGATGATAAGGTCCTTCCCCCGAATTTCTCCTCGTACGTCGAAATTGGTTGCTTGTGACTCGATGGAGGAACAGGATCTTCCGTGCTAGATATCTATGCAACGATGCACCACGCGTGAACCGCAGCTGCCATGAGGTGTCGAGCTCGATGGCAGGTACGTTAGCCATTTGCGTCAATGGATCATTTTTGTTGAATCAGGACGTGCCGTTGCTGCGTTTTCAAGCTGTCGCCAACAATGAGGTTACCGAGATTTTGTAGCAACTCTTCCTGCGGTTGAGGCTGCACGCTCATGCTGTCTCAGCCGCCCTGCTGTGCACCTGGCCCAATCCACGTCCTCGACAGCGAGCAGTCTTCATGATGACCTGTCATTTTCACTGTCCGCTCCAGTGTCCGCACATGCTCTTTCAGACGTGTCAACTCAGCCTGCATATGGCGCATCTCCACCTCCGACTGATTGATATAATTCATAGCGTCATCTAGCACCTCACTTTTCTTGAACTTGGTTGGTGTAGGGTAGCCGCTATCGCTACTCGGTGCCTTCTTTGCTCGCGGTCTGATGTCGTGGCCTACATAGTCTTCATCGTCGGCGGAATCAATGTCCGAATCATCGTTCGTTGCATTGTTGAGCCGATTCGGACGGTACTGGGCATTCTGGATGGTGGTGTGTAGTAGTTGGAGCTTGGTGTTGAGATTTTCGCGATACTTCTTCTCCACGAGCGAATGGGCTTGCTTTGCTCGCTGCTTTTTGTCTGTTCGTGAAACTGTCTTCCCAGGCGCAGATGGGTCGCGTTTAGCCGCCGGCCGGTGTGAGGGTGCAGGCTTCGAGTCTTCACCGCTGACAGATATTGGCGCTGGATCACGTCTCCGATCAACCGATATGGGCCGTCGCAGGCGAAAGAATGTCCGAAGTGGTGACCGCAAATGCGGACCTTGAGCAAGGTCTGATGGACGGATACGAGGTGCTGGAACGCATTCTTCGATAGCCGGCAAACTGGTGAAGTTCATACAGGGTGCATCTGGCCCGCACTGTGATGGATCGCACACATCAGTGTCCCCGGATAGTAAAGGGCACACCTTTTCGGAGACAAAGTTGGTAGCATTCGTGCCAGCTGCTCGGTAGGCTGGACATATGTTTGGATCGACTCCGGACAGTGAGCTACTTCGAACCGATGAAGCACTCGATATGTCAAGCGGGGAGAGTGTATTCGACTCGACGTTCATGAGTTCCGAGAACTCGTAGGGATCAGCGCTGAACATCTCTCCTTCTTCAGACTTGTCCATGCCCAATGGAGGACGACGGACCGTGGGAAGACTGTCGATTGCCACAATGTCGCTCGTGCTGTGCTGTAGTCGAGTAGGTCGAGTATGCTCATAGCCGGTGAAGTCCACATTTTGCTCGTGCCATCCGTCTATGATATAATGTAGATTGGGGTCGTAGTTGTAGCTCGGACCAGTGTATGAGGCTTGACCTGTGATCATGCGAGAGAAAGGCATTGCCAGACAGTCTCAATCCAGACCTGCGATCAAGTGTTGACGTCGGAGGGGTCAAGGTCGGAAATATCAGACCACAGAAAGGTACATAGAATGGATATAGCACAACGTAGATCACTACAGATGCAAGTAGGCTTAGCTGGCTGGCCAGACTAGGCAGTGGATTGGCCTTAGTCACAATACCTACCGGCAAGTGCCTGAGAGAGCCAATGCAGGGGATGCTCTGGATGGGGTACAGTGGCAGGCAATTCGTGACGAACTCGCCTGCGAGATTTCGAGACGATGAAGACAAGCCCTGTTTGAGAAGTCATCGACCGCCCAGATCTAGCAGGCAATATCCAGCAACTTGGTCACTCGAGGAGTATTTCGAGAGTGGGCTAAGGTAAATCCGTCGGGAAGCTTTTCGCAGCAAGGGTCCCATGCTTGAGAAGGCGTTAGACCAGTGGTGAATTTCCAGTCCCACGTGGCTATCTGATGATGTCTGCCATGTCGAGAGACTCATCGTCGGACTGTGCCGGTATCAACACACATGGCGGAAGCCATGGTCGGACGACGCGTGATCGCAGCCTGATGAATGCCAGTGACTTGCAGCACATCGGAACAGAAATCTCACACCACCCATGGGAGGGAAGGGAAGAGTCGGGGTCCAAAAGAGCTTGAAGACAGAGTTTAGTGGGTTGCTATCAATTTGTGCTAGGGAATAGGTAGCTTTTGCGACAGGCACGATTCATATTTCACTCGTCGATTATCATCTTCGCTTCCATTTCGTGACTTTCATGACTGGGAACCCATCCCCACCATTATCGACTTAGCGCGCGCTCTCACCTACTGTGGCAGTCAGTTCTACCAGACTTTAACAAGGAGCCGCATCGGAGTCTCATGAGGTTTCGGGCAGATCCTACAGCCAAGGTTGGTACAGCAGTTTTAGCCCAACCGTACGCTGCCGTGCGTCAGCAACGGGGCTACTCTGATGCTGATGGTAGCCGGTCACTGTCGGGCCGGATTGTTTGGCTCAAGTCTATGCCATACAGGGAGGTTGGGTACATCACTACGCACCAGCGTTAGCAGTTGAGCCATCCCATCCAGAGGACCGTGAACTCAGCATCCCCGTGCTCTGTCTTCGTTTTGAGCTACTAGGTTTACACGTACTGATCAGATCATGTCACAATTGTTGAGGTCAGCCTCTGGTACGGACATATGGTCTCCCCAGCGTGTGAGGCATCTCGATCCATAGACGTGGTCGAGGGATGTTTACTTAGTGTAGCATTCTGGCCAGGCGGACTTCACCCTGATACTTCTACGAAGTGGTTCTGGTGGTCTTTCATAATGTCGAGCAATACATGGATGAGATCAGGAGTAGGAGATCCATGCTGCGGAGATATGGCTTTCACTGCATCCTCGTGACGCCTGGACGGGAGTGTTAGGGACTGTTGTTCAAGGCAAGTTGGCTCAAATTTCGCGTAAGTTGCTACGTATCTATCAAAGGCCCAGGAGACAAGGGCGAGATGAGCACAACGAAGCAGATCTCTTCCCATAATCTACAATTTGTTACTGTGATACCGAGTACCTGGCATCGTGAACGAAGGTTGCTCTCCTCCACACTGGAAGCTTTCGGTCCGGGATGAGTATCCGGCAAGCAAGCAGTAACCAATCGACGCCTGCCTGTCCCCACCGACGTCATATCTCTGCAGCCGAGCACGTCCTGATCGATAAAGCGCCCTGAGCTCTTCCTCCTTATTGACAACATCAACAGGTTCATGCTATCAGACGGGTAGAGAGCGTGCATACATCCACACGAGCGTTTCAAGAGACCACGCTGATCAGCGTTCCAAATTGTAGGCGGCTCATATCGTTCATCCTTCAGACTGGAACAAGCCAGATTGAGGCACGCGCATCCGATCTCCGGAATGCGGTGATCCAGAGATCAGTACGACAACGACGACATCGCCGCAGCCCGTACTGAATCGCCACAATGCCACCTGCCGCCACCAATGATGCTCCCGACCCCGAAGCGCAACCCCTCCTATCCTCCGACCGCGCCCGCCTGCCCTCCACTTCCCGGGAGAGCGATATTGTCGACTGCCACATCTCAAAACTCCACGGCGAAGATAGCACAGTACACATCCTGCGCGCGCGCTTGCGCACCTTCTTCGCCTCCAAATGGGGTCACTACTTCGTTATCATACTCGTCTCGCTCGACATAACGTGCATATTCGCGGACTTCCTGCTTAAGCTACACGTATGCGAGCACACCTGCTCCGGCAAACCAGATCAAGGCTTCGATCCGAAACCATGGGACCAGACAGAGGGAGTGCTCAGCATGCTCAGTCTGCTTTTCAGCAGTCTCTTCATAGCTGAGCTGGTCGCTTCCGTTTTCGCGTTTGGACCAGGTCGATACTTTCTCCAGAGCAGGTTCCACGTTTTTGATGCGGTGGTAATTGTGGTGGCATTCGTGGTGGAACTACTTCTCCGAGGACCACTAGAGGAGGTTGGTGGGCTGGTCGTTGTTTTGCGGCTGTGGAGAGTGTTCAAGATCATTGAGGAGTTCTCGGCAGGCGCAGCAGATGAATTGGAAGGCGTGGAAGAAAGGTGTAAAGGTTTGGAGGAGGAGAATGAGGGATTAAGAAAAGAATTGGAGGGGCTGAGGCAGAGGTATTCGCAAATGAGGGAAGGAAATGGCAACGGAAGACTGAATGGTTCTGCGTGATGTGCCCGATTGATCGAATGGAAAACATATTGTTATCACGGTCGTGTTGCAAGGTTCTATAGGCACTAACAACTGTCAAAAAAGCGAAAACAACCGACCACTCACCAAGTACAGTCAGAGAATTCTAATGCGCGCCTGAAAGTAGGTCACTACACCGGGGTGAAGGGCTTCGATATTCTCGTTCCTATTGATTTGTGGTCGATTGCGAACGAGAATCTAGACTAACAAATATATAAAGGCAGCAAACAGAGGTGCCAAGGCTAGACTGCCGGCGCAGTGGGTGGCAAGTGACATTGTCAGGGACGATGCCTTCCCTACGATTGCGAAGACAGATTAACAGGCCGCGTCTAGGTATGACATTCACGTTTATACGAGATCTACTGTATCTGCTCGCAGCATTGTCGTCTTCGTCACTTCCTGTTGTCGCATGACAATATATTGCGCCTTAGCAACCCAAGAATCTTCGCAGCAGGACGCGAGTCTCAGCGCCAGCGAAGAAACATCAAACCCTTCGATTCTCCTCGCCCCAGTACGAAACCCCAACATCAGGCAGCCGCCTCTCAGACCCAGCCGGCGAGCCCGAAACTACCTTCTCAGCATTATCACCAACACCACTGCCGCTGGCCCACCGCCTCGCCCACGGCGTACTCACCTCCCTCAAACCACTCCTGCCCATGACATGCCTCCTCCACCCGTCCCACCCCACCAACCCAAACCACACCGCTCCCAACACACCCATAACCACCGCATTTCTCACAACACTATGGTCCTTCACAAACTCCCAACCAACCAGCCTGAAACCCAACCACGAATTCACCCACCCCATCACAATCCCACACCTCCCAACCCACCGATGCACATACTTAAACCCACTCGACTTCCCCTTCCTTCCGTACCTCACATGATGTACCAACCCTAAAGCCGGCTGTACCGCAATGATCATACTCGTCGTCAACAATCCCAACGCCACATGCGCTTTGACGGGATTGATGTAGTGCAAGTCGTTGCGCGCGATGTCGATACCCAGACCCATAGCGCCAATCATCATACACAGTCCCAAGATCTGGATCGGGGCGTGCACGCGCGTGATGACGCGCCGGACGACGCCGTTGAGGGGCAGGTGTGGGGCGATAGCGCCGAGGGGGAAGAGGACGAGAAAGACAATGGACATGATGCAGGCGTGGCCATTGCGTTTCCGCAAATAAATCTTGTAGCTGTCGTCAAAGGCCTGCCGGGGCTCGAGGGGGAATGTGTGAAGATCTGGTGAGGGATCTGCTGCGGCGAGAGGTGTGTACGGGCAGAGGAGCACAGTAGTGAGCATCAGGAGGGTGCTGGTGAGCGTCGGCATGTTGATGAATCTGTTGCTGTCGTCTGCCCGAAAATGATTTCGCACCGGTAAGGAAGTGTTCTCAATTGGGTTGTCGAGTCTCTCGATTGCTTTATGAGTTCCACACTTGCTTGAGGGGAGTTTGTTGGCTTTGTATCTTGTTGATACTCCTTGAGTGCGTTGCTATTTCTAGCACTCTGGTTCACCTCGCCCATTGAATGCAGTACACTCGCCGCGTCACGCAGAGGGCCTAGTAGATATGACCAAGCCTAACACATTAATGGTTGTGGTCGTGGTCGGGTTTCGTGGTTTAGGACAGGACGCCCTCCGGCTGCCCAATAAGACTGCAGCTTAGCATGCTTATTCCAGTCAAAGGTCTCGTAAGAGTCGTAAGCTATCCCTGGCAAGGAAACGACCGATGCTTAGCACAGACTCCTCCGAGGCATACGCGGACATTCCCCAGGTTCAACTAATAGACGAGATCTTGTGTGAAAGTAGAGACGACCAATCACATATGCTGTTATCCGTCCTCATCGCGCTGTGCTGTCCTTCTGATGCAGAAGCACATTGACGACGATGGAAACGATCACAAAGATGGCAGTGCGTTGTCTAGTCCTCCTGCCAGTTGTGGTAGACACGGCTGACATTTGTCACTCTTGTAAAAACCAAGTTTCTTGCGTGGCCTTCCTAAGCTGTTCCAGCATCATAGATCCAGAAGGTCGAGGATTGACTATTTTTGATGGACGATGTCAACGGAGAAGATGCAGATGACGTGGCAGGCCTCGTCGAATGGAACAAGTGCTCTCTCGGCTGAGAAACTGATCGGACCACTGTCATATATCAGCAGGACCGTCCGTGCTCAAAGCCCTAGACCAGCGGCCAGACTCCCTCAAGCCCTCATCTCCCATCTCACCATGATGTCCACCATCTCAGCCATCCTCTTTCTGACGATCCCATTGTTTACCAATGCTCAGGACTACGGTGGCAGCCCAGCGCCAAAATCTTCCTCCGCCTCGGCAGCAGCAGCTTCTTCTGCGCCTGCGGCTGGGGTTCACGTCGTCGATGTCGGCAAGACAGGATTCAACTTCATGCCCAGCTCACTGACGGCCAAAGTGGGTGACCAAGTTGAGTTCCATTTCGACAATCCGACACATTCCGTTGCGCAGAGCGTCTTTAACAGTCCATGCGCGCCGAGTGGTCCGACAGGTTTCTGGAGCGGGTTTCCTAACGACTTGGTATGTCTGCTACCGCTCCTGCAACGCGACAGTCCAGACAAAGGGACGGACAATCATGTGCTAACGTATAGCACCAGTCGAAACCATTCACGATCACAATTAACAGCACAGATCCAATATGGTTCTACTGCGCCCAAGTCAGCCATTGCCAGAGCGGTATGGTCGGTGTCATCAACCCTCCGTATGACAAACCGCCCCTTTGATGGCCACAGCATATGACTGACGCTGTCTAGATCTGGTCAAACAATTGACGACTTCACCTCCGCTGCCAAGAACGCGCCCAACAGCAAAGCACCCACTACCATCCAAGGTGGTGTCTTTGCTGCTGCCTCTGGTGCCAAGACGTCTGGCTCTGCGTCCGCTTCGGCCTCTGGAACTGGGTCCGCTGCCACTTCGAGCGCCTCGTCTGTCAGTGGCGTGGAGAGGCTGTCTGTCGATGTTATGGCTGCGTTGGGTGCGGGTGGTCTCATGCTGGCTTGGATGAGCTAGATGGTGGATGTCGGGACCCGGCGAGTGATCGGAAGCGCCGTCAACTGGCGTAAAATATGTCATCGTGTCGGCGTTAATACTTGGCTGCTGGGGACGGGATAGCGTAGGCTAAGTTGTGCTGTGCTGTGCTTGACGCTGCAGCATAGTGCCTAATAGCTTTTGCGAGCATTTAGTACGATCGTCCAGTCATAGACAATAATTCTGCACGTTTCGAGGCCTCCGCGAGGATGCTTTGGCCTCACTTGTCGATGCTCGCCTTGCCAGTGCTCGGATCCATAAGATCAATTTCTTCTTCTCTGCGCCTGATCTGTATCTTACAGCGTGGATCGGCAACGATTGCATTCTCGAACGAAAAGTGCGTTGGCTTCTGGTCTTCTATTCCGTCCGCGGCCTTCAAGTATCGAAACTCATATTTCAACAGCAAGAAACAGAACAAGATCTTGATCTCATTTGCAGCGAAAAATCGACCAGGACAAGCATGTGTGCCATAGCCGAAACTCATATGATCAGCCGTGAGCGTGACGAACTGATGACGATTCTCCTCTCCTGGATGGTCACGCATCTTGAGAAAGCGATGAGGATCAAACTTTTCCGGTTCAGGAAACGCCTCAGCATTGACGTCTTTCGAGTCGCGTATCATGATCCGTGAGCCAGCGCGAAGTACGATGCCGTCAGACAGGGTAATGTCCTTGAGCACAAGACGGTTCATCGAGGTGGCTGACATTGGTCGTACACGTTGAGATTCTTTCAGAAACGAATCCATGATGCGCAGCTTGTACAAAGTCTGCTTACTCCAGCCGTTGGTTGTGAGGACCTCAATGACTTCAGCACGTAGCTCGCGGATCAGTTCTGGGCTTTCGCAAAGTGCCAGAATGGCGTTGGAGATAGTTTCTGAGGTAGTATGAATAGCTGCCATTGACAGCGCAAGCTGTGCAGCGACAAAGTCAGGCACTCTGCCGTGAACATGGGAGCTTTCGGTCATCCAGGCAATGGCGTCAGCCTGCTTCGGTGGCTTCTCGCCCGCATCTAGGATCTTCTGTGTCCGCTCCCGTCGAAGTCGCACTTCCTCATTGATCAGTCGTCGAGCAGCTTGGACCTGTGCTTTGATGCGCTTGCAGGGCGTGGGGACCAGGTATAGCAGCGGCCTGGCTATTGCTGGAACTAAGCGCATAAGCTGGGCGGATTTGAACAGATCAACCGTATGGCCCTTGGCAATGTCAAGCCACGCCTGGTTGCGGCAGAGAGGTAGGCCTAGTAGAATACGTGACGATAGCCGTGAAACAATGTCAAGGACTCTTTCTTTTATTGCGACTGACTCGTAGTGGGCGTCCTCCCCAAGAATATTGTGTAGGCTGTCGTTTGTTTCATCAACAAGATCGTCTGTGAGCATAGCCAGAGATTGAGTAAGCCTTACCCGGACGACCTCTTGCATGAAGAAATCATCCTTGAGGCCTTCTGTGAAAGCGTCAAAACCTGGATACCCGGCGAGAAAGTCCTTCTTGACTGATTCGGTGAAGCTCAGATTTTCGTTATTCCTAAGCTCTTCCGCATACTTCGTCGGCAAAATTACCTTCCACCCACTAGTGGAGGGCACCTGGAAGGGGGTTTCGTTGAAGTCAGCGAGTCCTTTCGCGATTATAGCTGGGCCGTCAATTATCCAGTAGAACCTGGTGGGAATGAGTTTTGCAATGGATCCGCGACGGTCCGCCTGCACAATCGGAAGCGCTGGGTCTGGACCTTGGCTGATCATCCATCGCCAGAGCCCAACAAAGACCAGGAACGTGAGGGCAAGTAAGAACCATGCGTCTTTGCGTTCGAACGAAGCAAAACTGAAGGACATTGTTGAGGCCACTGCGACGAGGTGAGTCAACGATTGATCTCGCTTCTTGAAATGTGTGGAGAGAGAGCAGCTCGATCAAAGGAGCTTGACGAAAGCGCCGTTTCTTACACAAAACGGGTCTGTCGGGTCCGGGATGCCAGAAGAAGACTTCACCTTTGATGATGCGGAGACCACATTCACCACATTCGATGCTGCGGAGGTGACTATCCGCGTCGTTGTGTGACTGCCATATGAAACCCTGATTTGTCAGCGGGTCGCAGCTAAAACGGCAACGTTTCGCAGAATTGCTGCTTGAGCGGGATAGATTCTCGAAGCAATGCAGAGTTGATGCCTGAGACTGTCTGTGGCTACTGATCATGCGAATTACCGGACGTCTGAACCATCATGGATGTCAGCAAGGTGCATGCGAAGCCCCACGATGCGACGTCTGTGAACTCTGCGAATGGGTCGTGACAACGACGTCAAGGCCACGGAACGTGAATGAATGACGCGTTGAGGGCAACGAGCCGCAAGGCTGAATTGCAGCCTTGACGGCCAGGAGAACAAATTTCTTGTCCAGACTTCAATTTCTGCTGATGGTTGCTATGTAACGACTATCTGCCGCGCGATAACAACGCATTGTGAGCTGAACTATCGCAACACTTTCAACTCCGTAATAAACGCTCGGTCATCTACTTTGTAGATGCCCGCAATGGCCTCACTTTCAGCAGAAGAAGATCCCAAGAAAAGACCATTAGAACGCGTAAAGTATGGGTAGCTCGTCAGCATCAACGCGTGGCAAAAGGACGCATGAAACAAATGATCTCAACTTCGGCCATTTCGGTGCATGGAAGTACGATAGTGCCGAGGAGGCCTGGTCGAGTCTCCGACAAGGTCTACCTCGCGGCAGAAACGAAATCCCCATTTTGAATTTTCTGAATATGGCGGAACTGCATGAGAAATCCCAAAATCACGGCAGATCAGCTACTGTCATCGCTGATACCCCCCCAAAGCGGCCACTGCGATTGTTCAAACCATATCAGGCTGCTCTAGGACGATCTTGCAACGCCGACACAAGCGCCGTCAACGAGCCGTCGGCACAATCGAGCAGCATTTTCTGCCACGCGCATGGCCCCTACGAGCAAGACAGCCATGTGTCACTGCTGCCTGTCTTCCTGTACCGTTCACGACTCGACAGTGCTTCGCTAGCTATACATCCTATTCGATCCCGCAACGCCCTGGAACTTAGACGAGCCATACCGGAGCTTGGGTCCAATGCCTGCATAGTTCCTGCACCATGTCGTGGCTCAATACTTGGTATCACCGGATCTCCCGAAAAAGACAACATTGCCATTCGGCAGGGCACCGCCAGCACGATCTGCAGAGTCCACGTCAGTACCCAAAAACGCAGCACAGATGGTTCCGGCACGGTCTTCGAGCTTGAAGTCGTTGCCTCAATTCCAATCAGTCGTACAGGTGGATGCGCGCACGCTCATGTCGCTTTCGACCCATCTAACAGTGGCAAGATCGGCATCGTGGACGAACGGGGCAATTGGAGCGTTTGGAAATTGAAAGGCAAAAGAAACCAGTCGGCTAGACTACTGATGTCCGCCCATCTGCAAGCATCTGGAAGACTACTCGCCGTTACTACCGCCACGATATCCACTGCTATACATCCTGTCGAGGGCTGGCACCGCATTTGTTGGCTGGAGATTGAGGAACCAGACATACGACTGCTATTGGTGTGCAATAGGCAGAACGCACGTGTGTTCGATATATCTGGCAACTTGCTCAGCGATGTCGACGTACGACTTGGGCAGACTGCGGCCCAGAACAGATTTCTGGATGTGCAGCACAGTGGCATTGACCGGTCAATATGTTACATACTGACAGGCAGTCGCATTCTTGCCATGCAGTTGACGAAACCCGAGACGGGCGCTGCTAAGCTTGAGGTGGTGTGCTCCTGGGTGCATTTCCTCAACGGGCAGAACGGAAACCTGGCGATGAGCGTTATTGAGAGTCATGACTGTAAGATGGGCTGCTCAACTTCACTTTGGACGGACTAACTCGTCACAGTACGCTGCGTTGTCATCCATGACGGCTATCAATCACCACAACTCTTTTGTATGAAGGTCTCGCCTCTACAGGGATTAGTCGCAGTGGGCGATCGTGCAAGTCTCCAGGCTTCCTCAGAGCTAGACGAGACCCGCTTCACAGCGGTGTCAGCACTCCAGCTGGTCGAACTTCCGCCCAGGCGACGAGCCCGACATCCAGCCCCGTCCGACTTCTTCGTCAAACTTGTTGCATGCGACGCAAATGAAAAACTTCTGGACATTACATTCGAGCTCGGTTCCGATGTTGCTCACGATAGCAGTGTCGGCGATGTCAGTGGGACCGGGACCACGGCTTTGTATCTGGGCCAGGACGAAGACTGGCATTTTGCGAGCTCTAGGCGCATCGATTATGGCGAGGGCCTCAGCGATCAAGTGATTCCTGACGATGCTGATCTTGAATTGGGGGTGGAACAGCACTTGATACAACGAGTGTTGCCTGAAATTCACGACCGAGCAGCTAAGGAGTGGAAAGATATTCTGCAAGACACGATCAGTGCGTCTGGGACAAAAGCGGCAGAGGAGGCGTTCCAAGATGTACAACATTTCGCAACTGACACAGACCGCAAGCATGAAGTACGCCAGGTCGCCGCAGAGCTCATGTCCGATGTCCACATCGCAGACTTGCAAAGTTTTTCGCAACGCCTGGATGTATGGGCAGAACAGAGCGCGGACGGTAGTAGACCTGCGCCTGCTGTACCATCCTACAGATCCAGAGACGCTTCATCGAAGGCTCTGGTCGACGAGCACGAGGAACTTCTCAACGAATTCGTCGAACCGCTTTCTCGAGATTTGCCCGACCGTGTACGAGTTCAAAGTGAACGGATCGCAAGACAAGTGGCTTTGGATGGGTGGATGTCATCAGTCGTACTAGGAGACACTGCGCCTCAGCAAGGAGATGTGGAGATGGTGCAGACGAAGCAAGAATCACCTTCACCAGAGGAGGGCCATGCTGAGAGCAAACACGACAACGACTTGTACACGGCGCTGCGCCGGCACACGAACTTCAACGTGCCTATGAGCACATCTACAAGTCAAGCGACAGCTTCGAGGATCATGGCACATCTTCCTACCGGGCTCAGCGATCCGATTTCGTACTCCTACCACGACATTGAAACAGATCTCCGGGAGCATCAGACGCAGGAGGAGCTCGCAAGCTTCCCGGAGAATGAGCGTCGAAAACTCGAGCGGGCGCAGATTCGGAAAGAGCAGAGGTTGGCGCAGCTACAGCGGCGGAGAGATGCCATACAGTCGCAGGACTTCAGCGTCCCTGGACTGAATGTCTTGGATCCCCGCGAGGTCCAGAGCAGTCAGCTCGTGCCGGATATCAATGGCACCAGTCAGGCGGTGCCGATGCCAATGACGCAGCCGGAGAGAGGTCCTCATGGTGAGCGAAAGCTATTGAAGAGCAAAGGTGGAAAAAGAAGGAAAGGATTTTGAAGCATTTGTTCGTCCTGAAGAGCTCTTAGCGGCAACGATGTGTGTCTCCAGATTCGAGATGCTTGGCATAAATCTGGAGAATGCGGGGTAGAGTCGCGTGATACCAAGCTAAAGCACGACCTGGTATGATGGAAGGTACTGGCATTGAGACGCGGGGCTCAGCTTACTCCTTCCGCACAGTACTGACCCTCCTGTTCTCCTTATCATTCATCACACACATTCCCGTTGCCTGCTACAGACCTTCTGCTTGGCCTGCATCTCGACGAAGTCGTACACGCTTTGTCACTGGTAAGCCTGACCTCGCTCTAACACACGTCACTGCCTTGATTGCACCGCGGCGACTGACCCCTCCATCAGAACGCGTCCACGCACCTCACTCGACCCACCAAACACATTCACAATGTCTGCCGATACGTCAGATCTGAAGAAGGTCGATTCGGCCGTCGCCGGCGTGGACGAGCAGAAGAAGCGTAGAGCGACTTCTACTGCTCCTGGTGTCATGAACATTGCCGACCTGGGTACGTCTGTGCCCCACCATGCCACATCAGAGCTGACATGAATGTCAGAGAAGGAAGGTGTCAAGATCAAGATTGCCCCGGAGACGCAAGGCACAGGATGGTACATACATCACCAAGCCTCGCTAGCAGCCACTGACATGGCTCCAGGAAGATGAACTCCTCATCCAGCACTGTAGCCGACCCGTCGATACTGAAGGTCATGCTCACCGAGCCTCCGGTGAAGAAGATTGACCTCCACTTTCCCCTCGGTCTCGAAGTCACTGCTCGCAGCCTGAAAGGTGTAACGATCAAGGACGCACTGGACGCCATCCACAAGCAGTTCAAGAAGAAGGTGAGTTTCCACAACCCACACCCCTACCTAGACTAACAAGATCCAGGCGGACGACGAGCTCGAGCTGCCATACCTCAAGGGCTTCGAATGGGATCCCGAAGAGAGCTGGACACGACTCAAGGTTCACCAGTCTAAAGACGCCGGTCCCGTCGGTGGTGGCGGTGGTGGCAAAAAGAAGAAGGGCAAGAAGGAAGAAGAGTAGACATTGTCGTGTCTCCCCGGCTCTGTGCCTGTCGGAATGTGCTAATGCTGAGAATCGGACTGGAGTTTGCATGCATGCATGTATGATACCAACACATCGTTGCTTTCAAGCTCGATCGAAGAGACAAAAGCTAGGCGTTCGCTAGCAGCAACTGCCTACACATCATCCTACAAGGAGGAACCTTCGCAACGAAGGTAGTATCCAGAAGTAAAAGATAGCATGTAGACTTGCTACCGAGCTGCTGTTCACACGTACAGAATCGAGACGAGGAATCCCAGCTCAAGTACTGTAAACAAGTTCAAGTTTTGGCCGAGTCACCGAAGCAGCCGATGCGCGACTGGTGCGGGCAAGACTACCATAGACGCCTCGCTTCTTCTCATCGTCACTACCCGTGGACCTTAATTAGCTACACTTTCCATCCCACGACATACTGTAAATCAGGTCAATACTCCATCTGCGCAACAGGCGTTCAGAAGGGTTCCTGTTCTTCAACAGACCAGTTTCACGATCAAATGAGAGACGCGATACTTAGGCGGCCAATCCTACGTCTTAGGCGTCCTTCTACCTCTGCAAACCTCAGGTAATAACGGACACTTCCGCCTGGAATTTCTGAGCCTCTTCAAAGCCCGATCCCCCTGATCTTCGCATTAATCAGCCGTATGGCGATTCAAATTGTCCCGCTCGGACAGGAGGCCCGTTCATAATGCGACCTCGGGATGACACTATTTGTATCTCAAACGAGCCTGAAGGGCATCAGAAGAAGTTGAATTCCCTAAGCTAGGGTCGCAAACGAGAACGAAAAAGCTTAACAGCCGCAACGATAGACGACTAACCCCCCAAACAGGCAATGCGGTGGGCCTACCGGCATCAGCTTCCACGACAATCGTTCTACAACGCTGCTTCTGTCTGTGATACATAAGCCAGACACCTGTCGCAGGAGCGTCGCGGTTGGCCCCTGGGACACGCGTTGGAGGTGTGGCAAGATGCTTGCAAGTCCAAACCCAACATGTCGACCGAGAATATAAATGTGACAGGACTTGCCTGAATTTCGAGAAAGCTGCAACTCTGGCACCTTTGCTGTACGTTGTCACGGTCGTGACCACCTTTCTAGAGCTCGGGGCGATATGATGGTGACATCACTCATTCCCAGCTCGAACTGGGGCTTGCTCTGGGCTGTCCCGCTCCTCTTCACAGTCTATGTCAGCATCAACAGGACGATTCGCATATACAAAAACTACAGCAAGGTTGCGCATCTCAAGAACGATATTCCAATCGTAATTGCGTGGTGGACTTATCAAGGTGAGTGTCTTACGAAGCCTGGAAATGAGGGATTGGAGGTGCTTCTCATAGCTGGAGGCAATGATCGTACACCGCGGCACAATCTATCAGTCTTCAGCGACAAGACACTGTCCAGCTGCGTACCCTCAAAACCATCCAGCCCCAACGTTCTGATCTCTATGGCCGGCCACTGACCATACGCGCTCTTCATAGACCCTCTCTGGATGCTCATCGGCCCAGTCCTCTTCCCACGTCTCTACACAACTTTTCCATTCCTCGAGAACACCTGGCTCCGCTGCTCCTATCTCGGATGGACCAACTACGACCGTGGACGTATCCACGGTCCTGATGCTCTCGGCCCGGCCTTCATCCTCATTTGCCCCAACCGGACAGAGTTCTACACTACCGACCCCAACACATCTTTCGAGGTCTCCAAGGACTGGAAGACGTATACTAGGCCTGGCGATTTGTACCAGGTCTTTGACATCTTCGGCAAGAATGTCAACACCGTCAATGGTCCAGATTGGCCGCGTCATCGCAAGATCACAGGTGGTGCCTTTGAGCGGCAGGAAGTTCTGAGGTCCGTTTGGGAAGAGGCACGGAGACGAGCTTCGGAGCTGGCTACCACACTAGTGCCCGGAAGCAAAAGCGGCGGTCTGGAGACCGACGAGGCAGCCACTGAACTCAACATGACGCAGAATAAGGCTCATATGTCCCTGCTCACCATGTCCGTCCTCTCGGTTGCCGCCTTTGGCAAAGCGGGATACAGTGCTGCAGATTCCAAGGACAAGTCACTCGGTCAATTGGAGCCAGGCCACACTTTGACTTACTTCGACACTGCTCGCTTGATGTTCGAAAACCTAATGGGAGTGATCGTCTTTGGCAGTACCAGCCTGCCCCGATGGCTGCTTCCACCGAAGATCAAGCAAGTCAGAGTTGCCGTCGACGAATACTCATTGTTTCTGAAAGAGCTGTTGAACAGAGTGTATGAGCAGAAAGAGGTCAATCCAGGTGCTCTGGACGGTAACGACTTGGCTAGTGCGATCGTGCGGGCGAATGAGGCAGAGAAGACGGCCCACGCTGCGTTGCAGAAAGCTGGAGACAGTAGCGTTGGACCCAGTTCCACAAAGCCCTACCTGACCGAATCGGAGCTGTATGGAAATATGTTTATGTTCAACATTGCTGGATATGAGTCGACTAGTATGGTATTGAACTTCACAATTGCGTATTTGGCCAAAGATGAAGCCCTTCTAAACTGGGTGAAAGAGGAGGTCGACGCCGTGGAGAAGGAGTTGGGTGGGCTAGAAGACTATGAGGCATGTTTCCAGGGGCTAGTGAGGACAAGAGCCTTGATGGTGAGTCTCAGTGCCTTGCCTCTCTAGCGTCCGCCGTCAACTCGAAGGAACTGCTCTACTGACACAGACCACTACTACAGTACGAAACTCTCCGTTTGCACGTCCCAGTCGCCCACCTCCCGCGCCTCACTCCACCAGATCAGTACACTACCATCACGATTCCTCATCCCAAGCGTTCCGAGAAAGGAGAACACCTCTCAATTCCCATCCCACCCAACTCTTGTGTCTCCATCCCCGCCGTCATCGCGGGCTACCTACCCCAAAGCTTCGCGGAACCCTACACATACGACCCACGACGATTCATCGCAGGAGCTGGCAGCACAACGACCACGCAAGTAACACTACCAATCGCGCCAGCACCATCATCATCTCAAAATACCCACTTCCAGAAAGGCAAAGAGACCCTCCTTTCCGAAAAGACTCTGGCCACCCAGACCGCCTACCAACCCTGGCTCTCCGGCCCACGCGCCTGCCCCGGCCGGAAGTTCTCGCAAGTCGAGTTCGTCGCCGTGATCGCCACTCTAGTCTCTCAAGGCATCCGCATCGGCCCTCGGGGCAAGGATGCAGCAGAGAGGGAACGGGAAAGGGAGAAGTTGAGCGCAGGGGTGGAGGATGTGGTGTTTAACATGTCTGCTGTGATGAGGCGGGAGGGAGAGGTTGGGGTAAGGTTCTATCGCGATGGGTGAGGGGAACTCAGAGGGCATCTTCGTCTGAATTCGAGGTGGCCAGCACTATGCGTCTGAGTAGGCTGCGTGGCTTCATGCTAGAAGGGACCAGAGGCTTCGAGGCAAGGGATAAGTCGGTCCGAGCTCAGCGAGCACGTATACAGACTGTCCTGCGCACGTGGTTTCTCACGCGGATACTTGAGTCAGCCGGCTCCGGGTACATCCCATCGGTGCTTGGTCATCCGGTCTCGTATACGACCTCGTGTCATCCGGCGTCCGAAGTGCTCCTTCCTCGACAGCTTCTTCCTTGGGCGTTCTTTCCTCCAGTGTTGCCGCTTCGAGAGCTCCTTCCCCCAGGGATCCTTTCCGGTTTGCTCTTTCCCTGTGTGCTCTTCTTCTATGTGCTCCTTCCTCAAGTGCTTCTTCCTCAAGTGCTTCTTCCTCAAGTGCTTCTTCCTCAAGTGCTTCTTCCTCAAGTGCTTCTTCCTCAAGTGCTTCTTCCTCAAGTGCTTCTTCCTCAAGTGCTTCTTCCTCAAGTGCTCCTTCCTCAACTGCTCCTTCCTTGATAGCTCCTGCCTCGACAGCTCCTTCCTCGACAGCTCCTTCCTCGACAGCTCCTTCCTCGACAGCTCCTTCCTGACTTGAATCCTCCGCAGGTGATCCTTCCATTCCAGTGTCCCAGGGTCGAAGCTGCCTTGACCACTCTTGCCGTGCCCAGATTCCCCCGGGTGCTCCTTCCCAGAAAGCATTCCCTAAGACGCAGCTTCCTTGACAGGTTCCGCTCCACTCGGCCGTCCCTTCCTCACCTCATCCTTCCCGATTGGTGCCTCCTAGATCGCCACTTCCTCACGATCACCTACTGCCATAAAATGGCAAAACCGGATGACACGATCAGAGCAGAGATGATCTGAGACCGGTTGACTGGAGCCTGCCTCGCGCGGATCTCGTAGGCGGTATTCCTTCTTCTGACCGCAGCTGCGCAATTCAGTCATTCCTAGAACGACGCAAGTCTCCCGTTCTTGGACGCTCGATGAAATGAGACGACCTTGTGAAGTAAGAAGTACTTGTACATAAATACATGTGGCTGATCGCTACTGCTGCCCCTGTCTAAAGCGAGCGAATGCGGCCTATCACGTCGTCCGACCGGCGCTTGTGCATCGCATATGCTCCCTGTTCCCTTTGACATGATCCATGGATTCACTTTGCGCCCTGCTCACCATTCGTATCCCTTTTCCGTCCCTCATGTGCCCCTTTCGCTTTACTTGAAGCCATGCACTGTCATGCTAGCCCCTAAAAATCACACATCACAACCAAGCAGCCCATGGCCCGAGCATCAGGCACAGTCTCTTCGGGTTCGTCGCCTCGCTGATCTAAAGCCATGCAGCCCACAGCCCATCCATCTGGCTCAACTTCTCGGGATTCGTGGCTTTGCTGATCATGTCCACCACAGTCTGACTCGCTGGAAGGGAGCCACCAGGAGCGCCGCCGCAGGAGGTTGCACAGCACCCGCTTGTGTACTGCCAGTTGCGCCAGTCGCGCCGTTCGCAGCACTGGCGGTGGCACTGCTGCTTCCTTCTCCATTGCCGCTGCTACCATTGACACCGTTGACATTGGGAGCACTGCCAGCAGCGCCCACATCATGCTGCGTGACGCCCAAGAACAGCGCCTTCTTGACCACGATCTCACAATTCTGACCTACCAGCTCCCTCAACTGCCCTCCCTCCATCATACTATTCATCTTGTCCTGTCCACCACTCGATCCAGCCCGTCCAGCTATCCACGCGATTACCTCGTCGCGAACAAAGACGCTCAGCATCTGTGCCATCTCGTATCCATTGTCCGGCTCCGCGAGGCAGCGTGCGATAGCCATGAGTGACGCAGTGAAGATACCCTCCACAGCCAAAGGCCCAATGAGGGTTTGCAAATTGGGAGTAAGACGGAAGGGAACAGCTTCATTGTTCCAGAACAGTGGCTTCTGAACGCTCATCGTGGGAAGCGCGTCCACCGCCCAGACGTCGCCTGTCGACCTGCTGATCGCCATCTTCATAGGATATCGGCCTGTCATGTGCATTACATGTGTCATGAACGCGGTCGTGGCGTACTGGTAGGCAAATTGCCGTCGGAACAGCCAGAAGTCCGCGAACGATGGGTAGATCTTCTTGAAGTAGTTGAGCGCAATGGTATTCGGTGCCCACTTGCTTTGAATCTTGTTGAAGATCTCGGTCTTAACAACGAGCTGCTGCTCATTAGTCAGCGTCTTAGCGCGTTGTTGTTCGTGGAGACTGCGGAGTTGGTCGAGAAGGAAGAGCATAGGTTCATCGCGGCTCATATTCGGGGTATTGGCCACGTAATCTTCGTAGATGGTTTGTAGGGTGACATAAGACGCGTCGTCCTGGACCAATCTGATCGGCGGTGCTATCGGGACAAAGATTGGCAAGTGGAAGTACAAATTGCGGCGCCGAGCTTCTTTGCGTTTGGCAAGAGTCTGATTGAAGATGCGGAAGAGTTGCACGATGCGCTCCTCCCGGCGCACTTTGCCCCCCGTGGGATGTTGGACTGCGAAGGGGTGTAGTGAGCCATCGTGGCCGCGCAGAGTAATGCGTCGATGGCAGATGTTGTTGCCGCGAACCAGTTCAACTGTAGGCATGAAGCGCTCAATCCGCACAAAGTCCTTGTTGTTGTCCTTGTGCTGTTGATATTGTCCCGGCACTTCTACCATGTCGTCGAATTTGAGGAACTTGAACTCCGACAGATGATGACTGTAAGACTCGAGAGGTGCCCACTGCTGGCGGTGATCCAGCTTGTTCTCAAACTTGTCCCGCCAACGAGTGAGCTTCTGGATGTACTCGTACATCGTTGGCCGGGTCTTGACGAATTCAGCTTCGAAGGAACCTCTGATATGCGCAGGAAGAACCGATGCCACGAATCTTTGGATATTTGCTTCGGTCGATGCTGGCAGTTTCGCACCTTCGGCGTAGTGCTGAGGTGACCGACTGACATAATTAAGGCCATCGTTTAGCAAAGCCACAATCAGTCGATGTGCATCCTCATCAGGTGGACACTTGAAGTGCTTCGACAACTGGTCTGTCATGGTTTCCATCGACAAAGCAAGGAGTGGGAAGCCCGTCTTGAGACCGTCCATGATTTCGCCGGCGTGCTCCCATGGTTTCTTTGGCGTCTCCTTGACAGGAGCCTCAGGCTTCGTATCGCCATTAGCTTCAACCTTTGGCTTCACTTCAGCGTCGCCGTTCGTTGTGGCGGGAGCATCACCGTTGGCAGTGCCTGGTCGAGAGCCGCTATCAGACTCCTTGGCAGGAGTTGCTTGTTTCGCTGGGGTCGATCGTTGCTCTTGCTGTTTCCGCTTGTTGGAAAGATCCTCACGGGCAGCTCGAAGATGATAGAACAGTGCCTGCGGGAAGACCTTTGCAATTTTCGAGAGCACAGATGATGCCAGACGAGCTTCCTTGTGCTCCAGACTGCCGAGCAGTTGCGGGATGAACGTGGTCCAATACCACACAGGAGTATCGCCTTTGAAGTCCTCGAATGCTTTGGCAATCTGACCTTCTTCGTCGTCCAGACTAAGCAGCCACAAGACTCGACTGAGCATTTTGCGAGATTTGGCGCTCTTGTAAAGACCAGCAGCTTCCAGGTAGCAACTGACAGCATTCGAAGCAGCCTCCATGGTACCAGGATTCTCCTTGAATTTGCGGTCTGAATACTGGCCCCACTCGGCCCAGGCCTTGGGAAGGCGCAAGTCATAGTATAACGCAACCCCAAAGGCCTCGTTGGCGTCCTCAGCATGCTGCAACTTGGCCAAGAACATGCCCTTGAGAGTGTAGAATTCGGCCTTCTGTTGAGCACCAAAATAGTTGAGATTGGTGTTGTTGATCACATCCAGACCGTTATTCAGCTCGGATTTGTTCTGATAATGGCATTTCGCTTGCTCTCTCAATTTAAGGAAGGCCTCCTGGATCTCGATATTTGGGAGAGTGTAGATCTTGCCAAGCTGATTGATGCAGACCTCTGGCATCTGATGCTTTCGTGCGACGTGCGCGAACTTATTGATGATCCACGCGGTCTCATGATAGCCGCGGAATGCATAACTATTGTTGCCGACTTGGTTTCCTCCGGGTGGCAACAGCTTCAGATACGTGTCGTTGACCAGCTGGAAGACGTGCTGGCGCCAAGTGACAAGATCTTGCCAGGCATTGATATCGTCCCACACATTTGGCAGACGGTCTCTCCAGGCTTGGAGGAGCAGCTTGACTTCCTGAGACTTGCTGTCCAAGTTGCGCTCGTTGGTGCTCATGAGACTGTCACAAATGACACTTCCGTCATGTAGCTCGACGAGTTGCTGAAAGTTCTGGAGAATCGGGATATGGGCATTGGTGATGCGGCGGGGCAGCTGGTGCCATTTGCGGATTGAGAGCTGAGTAGCTTCGTCGCAAATATGCTGAAATTCTGGGCGACCGATCTGCTTCAAGTTGTACTTGAGCAGAGCCATGAACGCCTGGAAGAAAGTCCGCCGAGGTGTTGGTGCATCTGAAACAGACTTTATCATGTTGTCAAGCTGAGCTCGGTTGGTCTCGTCGCTCCAGGCGTCATAGTTGCGCCAAGCAGACTCCAGTAGCAGATCGTTGAAGTTCTCGTGTTTGGCGAACTCTCCTAGGATATCCCACTGTTGAAGCTTCTGGGCACACATGACCCAATGATCCTCCCAGATGTAGTACTCGCCCTGAGAAAACGGCATCACGCCAGTGCGAGCCTTGACCTGAGCAGCCTCCCAAAGATGCTGTGCTTTGTCCCACATTCCATGCTGTTCGTAGGAAAGAGCAGAATTGGTCTCCATGAACTTGCAGCGCCGACGCCATGTGCCATAGAAAAGGTCGTCTTCCTGCAAGCTAGCGTAGATCTCGACAAGAGCATCGAGATTGCTCTCACGTACTTGAGCCGTGTCTATGAGCGGATCGATCGTAGACTCTTCGAGGGCAGTGAGCCCGGTGTACCAAGCGTCGTAGGTGCGGCTCAGGAACTTCAGAACATGCGGTGGTACCTTGAACCGTGGTCGAGCACGAATTACGCCCTCGAGCAAAGCCTGGACCACGTTCGGACGATGATTGAGCTGTCGCTGGTGGTACTCCCGCGTCAGAAGTGTGACCATCCCTTTCTCAAGCTCGAGTCGCTCATCTCTGGTGAGCGCAGACCAGCAAAGAGGGAACAATGTGACCCAAACATCGTAGGCTAGCTGATCATCTGTGTGCTGCAGCTGCGTCAACGGCTCAAGGAGATCGCGGACCTTGACATCGCGAATGTCCTCATTGAATTTTCGCTGTGCCGAGACCATCTCTTCGAGCGACTCCTCGATCATGATATCGTCTTGGCTTTGTTCCGGGTTGACCAACTTGGCGCTGAACATCTGCGAAACCGGGCAGATAGTAATATCGTCGGGGTGAAGTCGAGCAGGCATTGTCATGTCGATCGATCCCATGATGAGCTGTGACGCTTGCTTGAGCCAAAAAGAGTCGGCCAATGTATCCCAGTTCTGCTGCGTGAGAACATAGCCTATGCGGAAGTTTGCAGTCTCCGACAATGCACGGTTGAATATGGTCATGAAGCGCGTTCGAGTCTCCACATCCTTTGCCCTCGTCCCTATCAAGAATGCATGCTCTAGTCGCACCGTCAACTCCGTTCGAGTAACGGTGGGATCCTCATAGATTTTGATGACCAGTTCGAGGAATCGCTCAAGTAAGCTCTGGTTGGGCCATCTCTCGAAGACGAGCATTTTGTGGAGTACAGCCGTCTTTTCTTTAAGCGTCGGCCACGCCTCACTCGAATTGAATATCCAGTTTTCGACCACATCCAGGATTTTGTTGGCGATCTCAGCATTGTATGACTTTTCGACGAGAGACGCCAACACACTAAGATACGGTCGTCGCTGTTCACCCAATGTAGCCATGCGTGCTGACATGATGTCTATCGACTTCTTGACCAGGTCTACTCCCAAAGAGAACTCATATGCGTCGCCCAACGGCTCACCTATGCGCCAATTTGGCGGCGGAGCGGTAGTCGGCATCATGTAAGCACCGATGTGGTCCTTGGCCAGCTTCGTTTGAAACACTCTCATCAGTCCGGGCATATGCTCGTCCACTTCAGACGGTCGCACTTTGGCCAGAGTCCAGAGATTGTTGGTTGCCGCAGTGGGATTAATCGCTGATAAGCCTTCACCAATGATAGTCTTCGAGAACTTGGTCAGAAACTCGGCTGATGCACTGTCAAGGTCCATGGCGTCTTCATCGTCAGCTTTGACCTCGGGGATCGCCTCGAGTACCTGTACAAGAAGAGGCTTCGTTTGCGAGCTCTCAGCTACCCAGTGAATGCAATCTTGAATCTCTGGATCTTCCGACTTGAGGGGTTTCTCGAGAAGCTTCTGTATCAGCTCTATATTTGCCAGTTTCCAGTCGTTTGACTTTGTGGCCAAGAGAATCCGCATCACCTGCAGTGTATTGACCATACAAGTCAGATGTTTCTCATCTGGCTTGTCGGCATTACTTCCAGCCAACATTGGATCAAGGAGCTTAGGGTACAGTCCAACGTCGACATCGGCCCACAGCTGGGGTGACACGAGGTCTTGGAGGAGTTGGACAGCTTTCTTGACCATATCGGTCGAGTTCACAGCTTGTTGAGCTTTCTGTAGAGCTCGTGCCTTCATCTCCGTGGCAGGGACTGGGAATCTTTCTTGCAAAGCCGTCACAAAGGTGATCATGTACTTGACCACCATCGTTCTGAGATCGATCGGAATCTGATACTCGGGTTTGTCTTTCCTATCTGGAGTCGACGCGGCTGGCGTGATCGAGTCACGTTTCTTGGCAGGGGACTCCGAAGATTGGACAGGTGACTTGGGACTGACCCGTCGCTTTTCCCACTGCGCTATAAGATTAATCAAGGACAGTGCCAGCTTCTTGCTCTCGCTTGATGGGTTAGGAGGTGCGGCGATCTTGTGCAGCATTTGTATCATCGTTGGAATGAAGAATTCGCGATACTCATAAAACAGATCTGCTTGCCGAACAACGAAATTGAAGATGCTTTGCACCTGCTGCAGATTGCCGGATTCTTCGTTCAGGACCTTCTTGGGCAGACGAGCCCACGGTGGTGTTCGCTTGTCTCCCGGCGTTGCGTTAGGCGTGCGGACTGGCAAAATCGGCGCAAGTACCTCGAGAGCCTGCGTGACAAGAGCCTTGCCCTCGTTTTGATGTGCCCTCAGGAGGACCATGTAAATCTGCTGGACAAGTTTGGCGGGAGCTTCGTAGAACCTGATAAAGTAGGAGATCAGCACGTACGCCGCGTACTTGTTGATCACATCCTCAAGGCGTATGTATGCCCAGGCGAATTTGATCACGTCTTTGCGATATTCGGAAACAGCCTCACTGTGATATTTGAGCATGAAAGCCGACAGTTGCAAGACTTCCATCCGAGAATGATCAATGCCAGGTTGCGAATTATCGTCTGTCACTTCGCCTGGAGTCTTCCAAAGCTTTTCGTGCATCGTGTCGAACATGGCCTTGTTCATCAGAGTTCCATCGTACTCATTATCTTTTCGAGCACGTTGGATATCTTCCGCAACAATCGGGTTGACGATGTTATGCAGCAGGAAAGTCTTCAACTTCTGCGAGGGTGCCTTCTGGGTGTATATGTCGAGACTTCGTTCGATCAAGCTGCGTTGTAATTCTGTGGACTCGCTTTTGATCAACTTCTTGTAGATGAACTGATTCAGCTGTAAGGACGCCTTGATATCGCCTTCGGCTTCACAGGTGAAGACATCCATTGCAAAGTCGATGTCGGTGGGCTTTGCGGACAAATACGTGATGAGAACGTTATTCAGCGCGTCGCCAGCTTGTTGGGCACGTAGACGTTGATTATGTTGTAGCTCGTCTTGTCGTAGCTTTCGCTGAACGGTCTGGCCTCCTTCCAGCAATTTCTTAACAAACGGCAGTTGATCTGCAATCCACTCTGAGGCCTTTTCGCTGGCACAGACCGCCGATGTTGCGAGAATGCCGCTAATGAGGCAGATGTCGGCCCCTTCGCCAGCAGCGGCGTCGAAGATGGTAGCTGAAAATGCATCAATTTCGGCCATGACCATCTCGCGCAATGGCTCGCTCTGAGTGTCCGAAAGAATCTGGGCAAAAAAGCGACCATACTTCTCCTCTTGTAATTTGCCCTGGAAAAAGGTCAAGGTGTCTTTCGGATACTTGTTGAGATATAGGACGAGAGGCTGTCGAAAAGGGCTGGCGGTAGTGCGCCTCAGTTTCGACTCAAGGTCCAGTACGCTGTTGACCAATTTGGCCATGAATTGTGTTGCGGTGGGCGGAAGTAGATGAAATATGTTGACGATTGCCGCAACGATCTTCATCTGTGGATTCTGTTCGATCATCCCGAATGAGACCTTTTGCAGTAGGGACTCTTCGGCAATCACGTCCAGATGCTCGAGCAAACGAGACCCTATCTCGACCTTAAAGTAATTCGTGAGCAACGTAAGCAGTCGAGCAAGACCATCCAACCCGGCAACGGTCAACTTCTTCGGGTCTTGGAGATTCATGAGAATGGGCCGTAGACCGTTTTGCAGGAGGTCTTTTGGTAGCTTGTTGGTTTTCTCCAGGACTTCTTTCAGGCCGGCATGGGCAGCTCGATAACTTCTTGAGACTTTGAGTAAAGCAGCTTGAAGAAGACAGTGATGATCTTCGAGCGACTTGAGCTTTGTGCGCCCTGCGCAAAGTCTGGCAGACTCATTGTCATCGACAGGAGCCTCAAGCAACTGACTCGAAGGCTGACAATGAGTTCTGAAGCGCTAAACTCTTCTGGCTTGGCATGAAGAATATCAGATTCTGCATCTGCAAGGGCCAGCGACTCCATGGTAAGTCGGTTGAGCTGATCATTGAGTGGCACCAGATCGTGACCCAGCTCCAAGCAGTAGGTAATCGCATCGATGAAGCCTGTCTGAGACAGGAACGGCAGTGCTCTGAGAGGCTTATTGAATATTGGTGCCAAGAGGCGCTCTTTGACAGGAGCGATCAACTCGTACACCTCAACACCGATTTGTTCCGCCATGATCGAGAACGAACGTTGCGCAGTTGCTCTTACATGCTTATTCATGTGGGACAGCTCGACACTTAGGAGGACAGACATCTGATGAGCATAGTTCTTCTCGTTGCTGATAGACTCCTTATTAATGCCCTGACAGATTCTCTTGAGGATGACATAGAGAGTCTCCTGTGCTGTAATCCGTGTGCTGGCAGGAACATCTTGTGGCGTATCTTTGATGACAAAGAGAAGAGCCTTCACGATATCGAGATGGCGTCGCGAAAGAAACATAGATCCAAGGTCAAGCTTGGTGACAATGATTTGCAGCCCAAGCGATGCACCCGCCTTGGTGAACCATTCAACCTCGCGGCACTTCTGGCAAAATGTTTGAGCCATGTGATAGAAGAATGGAAACTTGGCTGCTTTATCTGCTTGTCCGAAGATGGTCCTCGCCGTGTCGCGGACGGTGAACATCGCGGCCTCTGCAGCTGCACGGATAGCAGCGTTTTCGGATGCGAAGCAGTCGACAAGGACATCTGCGAGCATTTTCGTGCTCAAGTAGACCGCGCCCTCGCCGGAGTTGACGTCAAATGGCTTCGTTCGGCGTCCCGCATCACATAGTGATTGACCGAGCTCGATTATGGTGAAATGCCTTGCGATGTTTGTCACGAATTCGGAAGCCATCCGTTCGAGTTCGGGTATCGCGGTCGCAGAGAAGCACGCTCTCATTAATTTCTTCGCATTTTCTTCCTCTTCTCGTCGCTTCTGACGAACTTGGTTCCCTCGTTCTGTGACAGCATAGTCGTGTACGTCTCGTAGCGAGCAGCGGCGAGATCGTTGGCCTGCAGTCGGAGCAGCGCAGCAAAGTCCTCCGGCAACTGGTCATACCCTATGAAAAGTTTGGCCTGATTGCTGATCAACTTGAAAGCTTCTTGCTTATAGTAGAGCTCAAGGGAGTGTGGCTTTCCGGATCCAGGTCGGACTGGCTCCTTCAGCCTCTTGATTGCCAGGTCTGTTCCAACTTTCAGTGGGAAAGCTCGGTCCTTGTTGGTACCGATTAGTCTCACATCGAAACTAGCATCATCGTCGGTGCATTCCTTGTATGACAATTGGTGGGGGTGATTCAAGAACTTTCGGTTTCGTCCTCCCAGCTTGCCGAGTATTCTCATGGTCGTATGGGAATGGAAGTGTTGATATGGTTGCGGCTGCAGATGCTCGAACAGCGCAGTCATGAGGTCATCCATAATCGGCGCCATGATGGGATCCAGATAGTCAGCAGTGAGGTTGTCGACGCAAAGTTCCAATGTCCGCAGCCCCTGACTGACGAGATCGGGGCCCGCGCGAAGCGCGACCACCAAGGGTCTCATGAGATGGCTCAGATGTGGCAGCAGATGTGACAGTCTAGCAGGTACAGTCAACGTCAGCTCAACATACAAGTCCCGATCGTGCAGGTCGCGAGCTCCCTGCAAAAGTTGGTTGAATGTTTCAAGCAGCATTTCCAGTAATGGCAGAATCTCTTTGTAGAGCAATTCGAATCGACCACCTCCTATACTTCGGAACAGTGATCTGAGCAGCACGAAATAATGGATCGGTTTCTCGGCGCTGACCGACAGATGCACGCACTGTGTGACGATTTTGGTGATATGAGGTAACAGCACCTGCTCGTTATGCGCGGAGAACAGCGTTACCGCCATAAATGAAAGCTTGAACATCCGTAGCAGGATCGATGACTTCTTGACATCTGACGAGCCGACTTCGCCTAGCTGTTTCATAAGATACTGAAGCACCATACCAGCGAAGGCGGGTGAAGTAGTCTCACTCGCAAGGAAGAATTGCGGAAGATGAAGTAACGCCGTGTGCTCGAACATCAGCTCATGGAGATGGGGTATCTCTGCTTGATACACTTCGTGGAAAGTTGCAGGATCGAGGCAATGGAAGACCGTGCCGAAGCTCTCGAGTAGCTCCTTCTCTTCGCGGCTCATCTGCGCCATCGAGTGGCTGGCCACAGAATCTATTGGTGAGGAATGCGGTAATTCAGTTGGCGTGACGTCCGTGCTGTAGTAGCGGAAGACTCGAGCTCCTTCGTGGAATAGCTTTGTGACGACCCTGACCTCCTCAGCGTTGTAGCCGAACGATATGTCGCCCCAATTAGGCGGCAGATTGGCAGGATCGATATTGGACTGAGGCGGATTGCAAGTCTTGAGCTGGTAGAACATGTTCTTGAGTCCATTCACCAAGTTCTTGAACAGGAACTTGTTGTCGGCCACTGGATCAGTCCCTCTATCGCGAGGACTTGACGTTTTGATTGGGCTGGCGTTGAAAATGCCGACCTCGTCCCAGTCCGGAAAATTGTCCTTGTCGTCCATGTAAGACTCGGAAGCTTGATCCTTGTTCTTGTCGCCATAGAGCTTGCTGAGCTTCACAGCATTTGCATACTGGTAGTTCATGGCCGCAAACTTGTCGCCTATAGCATCAAGAATCATGACTAGAAAATGTCGAGCGTCCTCCTTGTCTTCCAGCTTGGTGATGCTCTCGGCCATATTAAGTAAAAGCTTCGCGCTCATGGTCTGAAAACTCGTGCCAGGAAAGTTGTCGTGCAGATTTCGTGTGTAGACTTCGATGGTCTTGCGGATCTGATCGCGATTCAGAGACTCTCGAACATGATGGATCAGATCAGCCAACATGCTGTATGCCAGCGGCCTCATAGACTCATAGACAGTCAAGCCATTGCCAATCAATATCCGATCGTCCAACAACTCGTCGATCTTGTTGAGGAAAATCTTGCGATAGTTGAAGTTGATGATATGCCTAATAGCAACGAGGAGCTCCTTACGCGCGCTCGATTTCTCTCTTGGACAGTCTTTGAGCAAACGAACGACAACGCCAGGGAGTGTGGGCAAGAAATCTTTCAGCTGATCAGCATACACTCGCAAGAGATACGCCAGAAAGCTCATAGTCTTAACCTGAGCCGTGATGAAATCTCCGAAAGCAGCCCGATTCTTGATCTCTTTACTGACACCCGTAAAGATTGTATTGTTCTGTGCAGCATCGTCGTGAGCCTTCTTCTGTGCCTTTGCTTGCAACATGAGTATGCTCTTGATTGAGGGCACGAACTTCTTGACGTTGGTCGGTACGGAAGATCGATGGGCTTGGAAGATGGAAACGACGATGATGGGGCACTCCGACAGCACCTTGAAGGACTTCATGCCTTTCGCAAGGGGTAGCAGTTCCTTCTTTTCCGTGCCAGGGTCTGAAACGGTCATGGCTGGACTGCCAGGTCTCGGAGACTGGGACGTTGTTGCTGTGCCGGCGGAAGTAGTGGTTGAGACAGGTGCTGGGTCGTCAAAGGTGTCCTTCACGACGGTATCCATTGCCTCGAACATCTCCTGGATCAGATCGAGGAATGGCTGAACTTTGGACTCTGTGGCGCGCTGCTGGCTTCGAGCCAAATCCATAACGGTCTTGAGGCACAGTACGGCATTATCCTCGTTCTCGACTCGTACCAGGTCCATCAGCAAGTCGACCATGTCGACAGCGTATGGCTCGATTTCGGGCGACGCATGCTGCAACCGGTGTAATATCTCTAGCAGCTGGTTGCGCAGTGTGTGCTCGGAAGAGTTGGGATTGAACTCGGGTTTGCCCTCTAGCAATTTCTTGAATACTGGCCATAGTTTCGACAGGAATTTCTGGTAGGCTGCAGCGGGCGTGCAGAGTGTGTCTATGGAATCGCGCAATTCGAGGGCATAGCTGGACTTTGCTCTCGTATCTATTGGGGTTGTTAGTGGTGGACGAGTGTCCTTGGGTGAGGGTACTTGCCGACTTTGGGATCTGCCAGCCGCGTCGCATACAAGTCGATCTTCTGTGAGGGGTCCATGCTTGCGGACGTGCTGAGTCTACTGGGCCGGCCCAGCACTCGCTACACGCACAGCAAGGTCGCCGTGTTCAGCGTCGACGTCGAGGGCTCTGCATATGGCCTGACAGAGCGTTGTTTCGAAGATGCGATCCGGGCAATTCTGCGAGAATGCTTTCGCGCTGAATCCGTGGGCTAAGGTACTCGCGAGTCTCGACAATTAGATACGTTTCATCAGTCGCATTAAGAAGGAATGGCACAGAGCGTAGCCCACGCTCAGTGACACCGAAACACCAAATGAAAAGGATGAACGGGTGAGGATAGTTGGCGACAATGATGTCTCGTTTATGAGAGTGCTTTCGAAGCGTGCCAGACTCCAACTCACTCGGGCATGCGTTTGACCTGGAAAAGCAGATCTTTGCCTCTTTGGGTTGCTGCGGCCCGGGCCTTCTCATTCACGTGATCGTCTTGGGCAGGATCGCGACTGCCTCAAATTCGCGTTCGGTGTTTCTGATGCTGCTTTCCTCAACACATGATACATCGTCTTCACGCCGCCATTCCTGCGAAGGAAGCTGCCTGCCTGCTCACGCACTGCCAAGGTGCAGTTCGTGGGGAGTAGGGCAAGTGCGATGAACGGGCCTTCTGGATTCCCTTCCGTGCATGCATCGGTGAGTAAGGTAGTTCTGGTGAAGAAAGCACTGGTTCGCAGGACTTCAAGAGATGAGCCCAAAGCAAGTACGGCCAAGCTTGACATAATTCGATCAGCTGTTTGCTTGATACCTTGATTCGCAAAGAGCATCGCCTCGATCTGACCATTTCATTGCCGGTCCATTTCACATCTCTAGTATTGTCGCTATCCTCGACATGAACCGAGATCTATGTTCAGCTGTCCCAGCCGCAATTGATATCAAGCTGTGGGCAATGTCAGCGTCGATCGAGCTGACACATCGAACCTATCGACGCATCGCGCTTCTGGGAGCCGACAGACGAGGTTTCCACGGAGCGCGTCCAGATTGAGGCGATCAGTAAACGCTGTCCGATGCAAGCGAATCAAACGTTGATATCGCGACCATGATATCCGCGTCCTAGACAGCCTTCAAAAGCCCATCTCGGGTACCTTGGACTACAGGCCATGCCCTGCTACGCCTGCTCAGGTGCTTACATACACGCGTCCGAATTTGGGGTTTAGCCAATCACAAGCAACTAAAAGTCCACTCAATGTGGACAAGCGTGGAATGCATGTTCAGCCTTACACGCTATTGTGCGAGTATGCTGTACACTACGAGCTTTTGAGAGCAAGGCAGCCACGGCCTATGCGAAGAATCAGAAATGCACTCGACACATTTCATAGGAGACCGTTGCGGTTGTTATCAATTACCGATCAATGGATACATCGACAACTCCGAGATGTCTGTGTCTCTCGCTCGCCTATATACGGACAACATAATGCAACGAACGGTCGTCGCTACCTGCCGTCTCTACAGGAAACATACAGATCTACAACATGCCAAGGCACACAAGCAAGGAACCAAAGGCAACCAAGCCAGCGAGTGGGGGTGAAGGCCTGTTGTTCGTGGCGCAGGACTCTTCGCATTTCCGACGCGAAAACCTTCGTGCGATTGTAAGCCATGCTCGGAAGACACAAACCCAGCAGAAGCACGCAAGGCGAAGAGCTTCTGCTTTGAGCGAGTCGCACTACGCCAGAAGCCTTGTTGGTTGGCAATTAGATGTGCCAGCCAACGAGCGAAACAAGGCGGCCATGACGTTGCCTCATGCGACCACGGTCAACACCACGTTGCCTTCCGGTGACATTGTCGCATCCGATGCAAGACCGATGCAATTTCGGATTGACCTACCAATATCGGGTGGACTACGATCAGATCCGTTCGCGAGTTTCCCAATGGAGAATTCTCGAGAGTCAATGATGATGATTGACTTCTGTGAGTGGCTGTCATGACGCCGCATTTGGATGCTCATGCAACTTCTCTAGATGTACAAGTTTACTCGTTCCACAAGACAGCAGTTCTCGAGGACTGTGTCAGCGCCAACACCATCATGGATATTTGCGTAGGTTTCAGCAACTCCAGTCCTTTCATGCCCATATTCGGCGGCCTGCCCAGTTCTAGGTGTGCCACGTTCCCGATTGGGATGACGTTGGAGTTGTTCTGATTTGCGCCTGCTCGTACCAGTCTCAGGCCCGACTGACTTGTCCAGTGGCCTCACGTGCTCAGAGATGAGCTTGCCTTTGACGCAACCCTGGCTTTGACCCGCATAGTATGGTTGCAAAGCCACGATTTGCCTTTCCTCCAGGATGGACAGGCACTGCGATACAAGGAGAGAACCTTGGCAAAGTTGAAACAAAGAGTGACAGCATGGAACACGACAGTGACGGAGGCTGTCATTTTCACAGTCTGCCGACTAGTCACAATAGCAGTACGTCGAGATGAGATCGTACAACAGCTTTCTGTGATTGACTCGGACCGCAGTACTTGACATGCGACGATGAAGCTTTCCAGATACATCTCAATGCACTGGAAAGGCTTACCGACGAGTACGCAAAATTCAAAGGCTCCCTGGATAATGACGCTCGAGTCATCCACGCTCGTCTGCAAGGCTATTGTCATGGGTATAGTTTCCTTGAGCGGAGGCATATTGCTAGTATCACCTAACGAAACGAACAGATGGCGTTCGTTGCAGGCGTACCGCTCCCGAACCGCCAAAGTCACCATGAATGACGCCTCCCCTGCTGCGAACGGTCTCGGACATCCCACGCCACTCACTCGCGATGGACATTCCCTAGGATTGGCTCCTGGTTTGGTGCCCCTCGTGGACCAGGATCTGATATGCACTGAAGTCCTCACAGTATTCAGTGTGCTCGATTCAATACTAAGAGGCTTCGTCGATCGAACTCTGGACAATTCCGAATTTCGACGAACGCATTATCTCGTGTATTCCGCCATACATGCTCTTGCTACATCGTCGAAAGTCTCTGATCTCGATGTCCAACTGTGCTGCGGAGCCATCGGGCTTTACTTCCTCGTCCTAATACTATGCACCGATGCGCACGATGTGGATGCGTCACAAGCCATTGACGCTTTGCAGAACAGTCTGGATGCTGTGGCCAACATCTTCATACATAAGAGGCATATCGGTGCCCATGATAGCCCTGCGCACCAGGCTGTCTTCCGGCTGGCCGCATTCTTGCTCGGATGCGCTTGCTTGTATCCATCTCCAAGAACGAGCTCCAGTACGCGCGTCAAAGGCCAGATTATACTCTTCAGCATGCATGAAAATCTCTTTGGACTTTCGGATACCGACGAAGCATATGACACCCGCAGGCCGTTCAGTGAGTTGATATTCGACGCTCTTGTTGAACAGTCCGTCCAGGCAATGACCTTTCCCGATGTGATTGTTCCGATGCTCCGACGAATATATATTGCTGCAGCAATGCGGCAGCAGGAGTGGGAGTCGCGCGGCTTATTCCGGATGGGCATGTCGGGTGATGACAGAGTCGAGTATATGGTGCTGCGACATTTTCGTGGTAAGTGTCCAGCCGCTCTTCTTATCCTTGCCTTCTCCCACCCGAAGAACCCTCCACCCGCGGGGCAGACCGATGGCTGAGTCCCTGCCGTTGACACAGGCTCAGTGGAATCACTTGGCTGACCCATTCTCTACAACCACAGGCGCACTCGCGATACCTTCAACACAAGTCGTCTCATGACTGATTTTCCGTCCCGACTCGCTGCTCTCTCTACCGCGCGCATCCTGCTCGCCGCTACGTGTTCCACCGCCGATCTCGGATACAATGCGTAGTACATCAGTGGCGGCGCCGACTCCTGTTGTCCCAATCCGTTTCAAGCATTCCACGACACCAACCTCCGGATCCGATCCTGGCCACCATAGTCCGGGGATCATCATAAAGAAGAAGTCTTGAGGACAGGTACGACCGGTGTTTTCAATTGTCTAGAAGATGCAAGGAGCGCAGCAGCGAGGCGAGCTTGTGCAGTTTGGCAAGGACAGTGAGAAAGCTGCATCCTTCCATAAAGAAGAAGTGGACATATAGTGCCTCCATCAGGACCTCACTCTCCTGCAGACACGAACACATGTGGCACCGACAAATGTTGGCAGGGGTGTGGACCAGCAGTCATCCTTCAGGATCAGCCTGAGGCGACACACCACATCTCCGAAGCCAGTCATTACTATTGCTGTATCCAGTAATCTACGCCTTCGCGTTCTTCTTGGCAGTCATGTATCGAGGTCAGATTCTCCAGTCAAGAATCCCATGCTGATTATGTATTACACGCACCAAATCAGCATTAGATCCCGCCGATTTTCCCTCGCGCCGCTAGCTCATCGGGCAACCGCGCCGCACGTAAGCTCAGCTTTCTCTGATCTGGCTATCATTATGGAATACATCAGGCACCCCAGCGGCTTTGCAGCCCCACTGTCTTTGTCATCTACACGATATGAATGTCTGCCTTACCTGGAGCTCTTGATCGCGCCGAGCGCTCGGATCTGTTGCCTTCTTTCGTCTCTCAAGATTCCGCAGCGCAGAAGGGCCGTGGCATCCGCTGGTGTTTGTTACTATGACACATTCAAGTCGCGAGGTCAATCACGCAACCGCGACGGATGCGATTCAGCTACAAGGCTGCTGCCTACTACATACGCACCAAGCCTGTCCCACCGCATATACTGCTCCGGTATAGCGCACAATCAATCGCGGAGGTTTGAAGTCCTGATTGGGTAGTATATGAGTTCATCTACGGAAAACTTCGCACCCCCTCAGTGGTCTCGAAGGCCAGAGCCGTATAGAATGCCCGATGTTTATGATACATGAAAAGGCGTTTGAATCAGCGCTGCCCAGATAGCTCTTTGCGCGCGCTCCAACACCGTGGCTGATAAGTATTATGATACGAAATTCTACTCCACTTCCTTGCCTTGCACATTGCGTTCTTGACGAAGCGCTCGCAACGCTGGAAACGCTCGCAACAGTGAGGATACTCGCAACGATGAAGACGTTTGCAAAGATGTACACACCCACCCACAGCCTCTGTTGCGAGACTATGCAATGGGCATTGTCTGTCGGCCTTCGCCATGGAACGCCACGCACTGCGAACGACTGTGCTAATTAGAACTGACCGCCTATCGGGCAGGTGCGACTTGCGCAACCCTGCCTTCGACTGCAGAGTCACCACTAATCTTGCTGTGCTGGTATGGTAGATGGCCCTTTCTTCGTAACACAGGCTCCTGCCTCCCTGGACGAGACCACCAAGGGTCCTTCATTGGATGACACTCAAATCTCCTCTTCGCGCTCACGCTCATGAGAAGTCGCGCAGACCCCTTCTCTCGGCTTCGCTGGCAGCATACAAGCTACCTAGCAGTCTTGCCTCATCGAGCCTTCCCGCCGTCTCTCCCGCTCCCACGTCATCCATCACCACGCCTCTGTTCCGATTTCCTCCACGCAGATCCAAGGCACCAATCCCTCCCCCTAGCTCCACCATGTCTTCGTCTTCGAGGTCACTCTCACTCGTCATCCTCGGGTCACCAAGATCCTCCATCGTCCCAGGATGCACATACCCATACAGCATGAACCGGATATAATGCCCTCCAAAATGCAATCCTCTTCTGACTGCCTCCCTCGGAAACAGCTGGTCCGGCCTTAGCAAAATCGGGAGGTCCTTGACCGGCACCAACGTCTTGATCGATTTGCCATTGCTGTCCGTGAGGGTTTGAGTAGTGCTGACCTTACGACCCCAGAATTCCCTACGCATGCGACCCCAGTTGCGCTGCGGAACTCCGAATAGTCTCTCCTTTCCATTGATGGCATCAACAGCGCCCGCACCCGACTGATTAGCGATGGTGTGAACCTCCCAGGAGTTTTCGCTATCAACTTCGGGCTCTTCTCCGGGCCCTGGCTCATACTTCCACTCCACCCATGCCTTCATCATCTCGAACCTCGTACTCATCGCCTCACCCTTCAGCACTTTTAGAAGCATGCTCAGTCCAGTCTCCCAGGACATGACGATCCGCCGTCCTTCCACACGACGCTCCCGAGCAAGTGGATTGGTGAAGAGCATATCCAGCTTCACAAAGAAGCAGCACCCGAAGTACAGATCCAACTCATTTAACAATACCACATTATGCACATATCCAATTCGCCTCGCATTATCCGGAATATCCATCAGAAACCAGATCTTCTTCAACACAATTTCACACCGCCTCGGCAGCGGGATGCCTCGAGCTCGGAACAACTCCATGATTTCCTTGACAGCTGTTTCGCGATACAGCACCATCCGCAACCAGCGGAAACTTGGCACATACCGCGTCACACCCGCCGCGGCCTTGACTGGATCCGGATGTGGGATTCTCGCAGCAGGATCCTTCCGGCAAAGAGACGCGTAGCTCCTGAACGGGAAGATCCTCGCGGAATCTGGCGCCTGTCTCAACGCTTGTGACAACACTACAGTAGTAAACCGTGTGTCGATAATTGTATGAAAATCCCGACTGATAGCGTACAAGCTCACCAGATCCTCCAGCGGTAGAGTCGCAGCAAGTTGGAAGCACAACTCAGGATAGAGCAGGAAGCCTTGGAAGACAGTGAAGTCGGGGTTGTTGGTGCGGACGTAGATGTAGGCCGGAGCGGGCATGGTGATCGAGTCTGGACCGCGTTTACGCTTGAGGGATTTGGCGTAGCTGGCGGCGCGGCGAAGGCGATTGGGTGATGTTAGGGCGTTCTCGGGAATGGAGGGGAGGCGTGGTGTGGCAGGTCGGAGGCGAGGAGTGGCGGGTGGCGTTGTTGTGCTGGTCGGAGGTTTGGTGAGTGTGGCTTTGGAAGTGAAGGAGGGCACGCGGCGGCCGTGAGCGTCTCGGTCGGTGTCAATAAGGGAGGGGTGAGGTGGTTGTGGAAGCGATTGCTTTGCGACCTCCTGAGATGAGGCTGGCGGCTTTCCGATCGGACCAGGGAAATTGGGCGTGGCTGGACTCTGAGGAATGGGAGGAAGTGCACTGCTCCGAAGCTTGCGGACTTGAAGATCGGAGAGACTGGGTGTACGGACGAGGCCATTTCTAGGATCAGCAGGTGTTAGATTGAAGATTCGAGGCCGAGATGCTTGATCAGATTGCTGATACTGTGGCGCAGGCTGGAGTGGTGCACGAAAAGTGAATGAGGACTGCCCAGCTGCTTGAACACTAGCATTGAATGATCGAGAATCTTGAAGAGAGGCTTGAGCCGGAGTAGCTGTAGTTTGCCATGGCAGCGGTGAAGCAATCTGCCTTGCGACTGCATTCTCCTGTCCGGCAGCCTGAACCTGTCGCTGTTTAGCCTGCTCAAGCAAGTCCTCCGTGCCGTAGACTCCCTGTCGCCGTGAGTCCTTCTCATCGAAAGTCAATCCTTGGAAGGCTGTCGCAGTCGGTGTGATACGGGTCTCTTCCTGTGTGCCATTGGTCGTGGCATTGTGACGGGTCGCAGCAGTCAAGTCAATCGGTGTGAGTCCGTGACTGGCTTGATGGCTGTTATTGTTCTTTTTGCTCGGTTTCTTGTTGTGGGTTTTGCCGTGGTGTATGAGAGAGTTGAAGAGCTCTTTGCCATCTGAGAAGAAGCGCGACTTCTTCTTGGGCGGTTGGCCGTCCATGGTTGTTGACCGATGGCGCTCAGGATGAAAGATCTCCTCTGCTCGGCCTTCGATGAAATGTGATGTTGGCTTCGATGAAAGCGTTAGATATAGACCGAAAAGTCAGGTGGCTGGCAGTTGTGCTGTGCTCGAGGACAATAGCATCGGACCAGGCAACCATGGGTACTAGCCACTTTCGGAGACCTATTGTTCTTGCTGAAGTCAAGTGAGCAGCTGATAGCAAGGGAGAGAGTCGCTGGGCAACCTTAGCAGCAGCAACAGCAGTTCTGAGAAGGTGAGAATGAATCGTGATAGTCATTCGCTCTGAGCGGAGAAGGCATGCTAAAAGTGCACTGCAAAACGTACTGTAGTCTCATCGCACTATCGCCAGAACCAACCGCCGCCACTTTTCCTAGGCTTCTCATGGGAAGTCCCCTGGTCCTCGACCTGCTTTGGTCCTCGGACTGTATCCGTCATCTGAGTCTGCGCGGTCGTTTGCGTCTGCTTGTCAACCGTGGGAAAGTCTTGTGCCGCCAGGTGCGTCTTCAGCCATTGCGGCACCTCTCTCGTCTGTGGATGGGCGTAGTCGACCGACTCCTCGCTCTCTTCCTTGCCATCAGCAAACCTGCGCCTGAGGACTCGTCGTGTTTCGACTGAGCCATCTGGGAGTGTTCGGCTCTCTGTTCTGGTCATCGTAGAGACAATGGAGTCTTGTCCGGCACTTGTACACTCGCTGCGATACTCTCTAGCTGTAGCTGCTCTGTGCACTGAGAAAGCATCTGCGAATGACCCAGCAAAGCTCTCGACTTCCTTTGCGACTTGGGCGATGATGCTCGCTATTGGCGTCGCTTGCGGCGTGGAGTCAATCTCGGGCACGGTCTTGTCTGTGTCTTCAAATTCTCCCTCGTATTCTTCGCGCACCTCAACGGCACCTTTGATCCCAGCTCCCATACCTACTCCACGGTAGCTGAGGCCATTCGGCCCATTCACGACTAATCCAACCACTTCGTCGGACTGCCCATCGCCATGGTGCGCATCCCTATACAGCGAATTGAAGGCCTCAGTCATCCACGCTCTGTCTCCGGGCCTCATCGAAGCCTCCCTGCCCCGTGGGAAAGCCAGCGGCGAGAATGGACTTCTGAGCATATATGGCCAGAAGTGGTCTTCGTCCCTAAATGGATCCAGCTCTTCGCCCCTCGTCCTCTCGAATGCTGGACCTATGAAGGGGAACGGTAGCTTTTCTTGTGTTTGGCTAGGCAGCTCCTCCATGCGGTCCCACAGATCGAGCTCCGTCTGTGCTTCTCGCAGCTGCGGCTCAGCTTCATCTAGCATGGCTTGCACGTGCCTTTTCGCAGCTGCTATTTCGGCTGGCGACGGTACAGGTGCGTGCTCGACCTGGCTGTCTTGCTCTTGACGCGCCATCATAAGGCGCCTCTTGTTCGATTCCTCTAGCTCCTGCAACTGTCTCTTATAGTCCTCCAGGGCAGGGAACTTGGTCCGGTCGTCAGCTGGTCCGCTGTACATTTGACTTGCTCGTGCATCGTCGGGTTCTCTGGTCAGCATCTCACGCGATCGAAGGTCGCCCTCTGCCGCAGTTCTCAGATTCTGCTGCACAGCATCGGCCGCCTCCAGGATTCCTCGCCCGACATCCAGTCTCCCGTTTCTAAGCATCGTCTCAAATGCTTCTTCTTCTCGTCTCCTCATCTCCTCAGCTATAGACCTGGCCTGGAACGGCCATGAGCCGTGGAACATAGCCCGGAACTGATTATCTGCGAATCTGCGGAAGCGGATGAAGGGATTGTCGTCGTCGCGCTCGGTTCTGGGCCACGGCGTCTGGTATCTTTGGAAAGCTGTGCGCCTTGTCAGCAAATTCGATCGAATTGAATGATAGGCGTTGCGAAAGAAGGGATCGTCACGTACGATCACATGGTGGCGGAGGGTGTGAGCCTTTGTCCTCCCTCGCTCTTGCTTCCTTCTCGGCTTCCGGCATGTTGACACAGCCGGTGTTTTGCAGGTGCTCTGACTGTGGCTTGTACAGTGATCGGAGCAGAATTGGAAGGACCGATGGCGGCTACAACCGCGCGATCTGATGGGTTTCACTGCTAGATGCATGATGCCGACACAGGGTTCAGGCGGGGAAGGACTCCACGTGATCGCCCCTGCATTAAGCAACCTTGGAAGGCAACCAGGCAAACCTTAGCCTGGGGTGAGGAACATCTTATACGGGCGGTGTTAGTGTACCACTAGTATGCAAGACCGGCGAGGACGTCACGAGGAGATGCTGCTCTACCACAATCACTGTGTCCTACGACTGCTGGTCTAGCCGGTAGAGTGTTGTCTATATTCCTGGCAATGTTCGTTTGTATTGAGACCTACATCTGGAGCAGTACCAACGCTGAGCTAGGCGACTGTCGATCGCACTGTGATCGACGCAAAGCCCGAAATGGCGATCGTAGACAAAGCGTTGTCCGCAATGCAACTTGTGCTGGACATGCGTGCGCTTCTACCCAGGTTCCACCGTCCAAGCCCCGTCGAGAATCGTTCTCGGGCATCAATAACCCAGCTTTCTCCAATGTCTCGTCGCAATCCATTCCCAGAGCCCCTGACTTCTCGACATAGAAGGACGACTAGCTCTCTCAAGCTGGTACAACTTGTAAGCTTTCTTCCTCCGAGCGACCTGCTCCTTTTCTCTCCGAGCCATTCCCTCTGCCAAGAGCCATCCGAACCTTCGGTTCCATTCCTCTCGCGCAGCTCGGACCCGCACAGCATGAGCAAGCTCGGCCTGAAACAGGAGGTGTGCTCGCTTGCGTGACATCCATTCGATCTGGAAGTGAAAAGCTCGTCGGATGTGCCAGACCTCTGGCAATACAGAAGACTTATTCCTGCGAGTGGCTCGAAGCCTCGGGCGTCAGCAAGCTAAGCGCGTCCTCAGCGATTCTAGCGCCTGAACGAAATCGGCGTCAAACATGGTAGGAAGACAACGCCAGTTTACAAACCGGAATTCGCCGAGGCTGTACTGGTTGAGCTGGAGGAATTGAGCAATGGCCTCTGGCGTCGCTGGCATATCCTGAACACGAATGCTCTTCAGTGCTGTCAAGCGGATGTCCTGGAGCAACGTATTAAGGGAGAAGCTCTCGGCATCGGCCCAGGCGTGGTCGATATGATCCTGGCACACTTCCCGATTATTGCGATTGTATCTGAGCACTGCAATGCGGAGCAAGTGAAGTTTGCAGGCCATTAGGAAGAAGCGTTGCGAAGGTTTAGTGGCACTTTACCTGACCAGCTTATAGCGCACAATCAGCCACAAGCGCGAAGCCCCGTCCACCTTGATCGCACTCGACATGCTGACCTGCAGCGCCCAATCTCCAAACGTGGCGTCCACAGTCGCGATCCTAAACATATTCATCCCTCCAATCTTGACCGGCCCGCTATCAAATGGCACCACCTGGTCACTTGTACCGCCACTGCCCCCAACATACTTGAGGTTGATTCCCAAGCTCGCCGCCTCCGTGAAACCCAGGTTTGTCACCAAACTAACATCCGCTACCCTTACCTTCGCGGCGTCCCTCCCAGCCACAAAGGCCGGCAACCTCGCCTGCAGCTGCCTGAGCACCAAGCTTCGCACATCCGCCTGCCCGTTTGTCGCCGACGGGGCCGCTACCGCCAGCTTCGCCCACTCGGCCGCAAACTCGGCCCTCACGTCCAACAGCGCCAGCAACCCAACCTCTTTACTGGCCTCCTCCACGGTGCCCATCCACTCCAGCACACTCCCCGCCGCGGCACGCCCGAGCGCCTCGCCGCCCTCCGACGCCACGTAGCGCAGCGACAACACCACGTCCGCGATGGACGCGTAATCAAATGGCCGGAACCCCGCCGGCGGCAGAGTCAGCTGCACGTCGAGATCGCGCCCGCGCCCTCAAAGGGCGCGAAACGCTCGTCCTTGAGGGACAGTTCGAAGACGCCCGAGTCGTTTTGCGCCGAGGATAGCGCGACCGTGTCCACAGGTGGCGACGGGTGGCTGCGGAACCGGGCATCCAGGCCGCCGTTGGAGGTGTCCTCGACGTAGTCGCGGGCCGAGGTGGCGCGGGCGTCGGCGCGGTAGCGGTGCTTCAGGAGGCGGAGTGTCGCGTTGATGCCCGTGTAGGGCCCTGCGACGCAGGGAATGGTGAGTGACGCGGTGCGGATGCGTCGGTGGAAGTGGCCTGGGAAGTCCGCGTCGAAGGCGACTTCGGGGACATTGAAGGTGCAGCTGCCCGTCTCGCGCAGGGTGAGGAGTTGATAGGGGTTGAGTTGGCGCAGCGAGATGGCTTTGGTCAGTTCGTAGTCGTGGCCCCTGCTCTCTTGGTACGCTGTGTCCATGCGCTTCAGCGCGAGGTAGAGTTGCTGGCTGGACTGAAGGCCATCGCGGGCCGGGTTGAAGTAGCCAAACGAGACAAAGTCGACCGAGTTCTGTACGGCGGTGGGGCGGCGCTCGAAGCGGAAGGCTTGTTCGGCCTTTTTGGCCATGTCGTACGCCAGGAGATAGGCTTGGTACATCGCCGTGCGCACGCCGCCCTCGAGGTAGCTGTACAGCTCGTCGTTGGTGTATTTGTCGCGGAGGAAGTCGTGGACTTCTTGCGAGTTGTCGATCAGCTTCTGTTGGTTGCTGATGTCCTGATTCGTGATGGCGATACGGGTATTTTGTGTGGCAATCTGGCTGTTGACGTGCTCGAACTCGAGACCCGCCAGATTCATCTGGTGCACGCGGTCCTATCGTCACTTTAGCCACAACCAGTTCCTACAGTCACTATCTTCTCTGCTTACAACGCACCTGGAATTGTTTGACGTAACCCGCCTTGCGTCCAGCCTGCATGGAGCTGAAGTTGCTGTCGCTCGCGAACGTTTGTGTGTACCGAGCTGCCGCTTGGAAGGCAGCGGCAATGTTAGGCATCCCCCAGGCGACCTCGATGCCGCATCCCATGGGCGTGCCGTGCACGTTGAAGCTGGGCAATGCGTGCAGGATCCCTGCCATGATCTCGAGATTGGCAACCTCCCCATTCCAGAATTGGGCGATGATGGCTTGCGTTTGCTCCTGGAGCTCCAGGCTGTTGAGATGGGTGTCCCCAGCTGCGGGAGGGTCAATTTTGATGGTCATGGGCGTAAATGGGAGGTTGCTGCTCCCCAGAGATGGTACCTCGACACCGGCCAGCCGGGAGAAGAAGTCGAAGCGAGCTTTCGATGACTGTCGATTCGAGTTAGATATACCGCAAAAATACAATTGCAAATACTGGATAGTGACTTACCTGTTGAAGAACTTGAAGAGCCACAAGCGACTTGTTCGCTTCTTCGAGTTGAAGCTTCTTCATATCAAGTATCATTTTGTTCATGGTGAGCTCATGTCCCGTGCGCAGCATTTGCAGTGCCTCGCCGTCTCGCTTTTCTTTGATGGAGAGCAAAGAAGCTTCGAGACTCTTCAGCTCGCCCGTCATCTCCAGAGCCCGCGCAATAAGCCAAGTGAATCGGTAATTAGGCAGGCTTGTATTGAGATCATTTAGCGCACTTGATAGACTCAATCCCGACGCCACAGCAGCCACCAACTCACCGGGGTCGATTGGCGCATCCCAGAGAGCCAGAGGCATGGGTCGGCCATCAATGTCGAGACAGTTGCGTATGTTGTACAATCTCTGGTCAATGGTGGTCCGAAGTGCTTGGAGCTTTGGATTGGAAGGGAGGCAGAAGTAGCTCGAAGTAGCTAGGCCGAAGACGTTGGCAAGCCCGATTTGTTTGATCTTCTCCAGGGGAGAAACTGCACTGTCCTCCGAGACTGTGAAGGGGAAGGGTTTCTGGTTGCTGAACGGAAAAGCGACCTCAAGTTGCACGGCCGCGTTGCTGAAGGCATCCCACTTGTTGAGGAGGGAGTGGTAAGTCTGAGGAATCTTCTTGCCCTTCGCTGGAATCGTCTCACCTTTGGGACCGTACAGGTGACTAGCTAGGACGTACAGCTGGATAGCGAGTGGGATGTCCTCAAGTGTCCGCCGACGGAAATACATGTCTCCATATGCAATCAAGGCCTGAATATAGAGCATGACAGTCCACTTCATGTACGACACGGTACGTCCACGTGCTACCACAAAGGGCTGGAATGGATGGTCTCGCCATTTGGTGATGTTGAGGTCCCATTGGCGAGGCTTTAGGCGACTGAAGATCGTCTCAAGCACTCTCTTGGATGAGGCCTTCTGGAACGGGAGCCACTTCCAGACGCGCGTGACATCGGGGCCATCTGCGTAGGGATTGAATACGTGGTGTATCATATCCAAGGCTTCTTCAAATTGCTGGCCAGTTAAGAGCGCATTGGCCCCGAGAATAGGTGCGAAGAAACCAAGCTCCCAGTTGTAGTTGGTATATGGTTTAGATAACTCCGCAAAGGTCGGACGCTGAACGCCATCTGCATTTGCTTCAGATGCCCCTGTACCAAATGTCGGCTCCTCCAGCTCTGGCGAGGAGGCGAGTAGTGTTTGGTAGACGGCCTCAATGGGCTCAATACTCGTAGCTTCGGTGGTTCGGGTCGCTGCACTGACGAGCTCTGCGGAGAATGGATGGTAGAAGATGTCGCTATCGTCAGCTGCATAGTTTATCCGCCCCTCAGGCTCGGTGAATGTGTACGCCACGTTGGGCGTGGTGTTGATCAAGGGCAGCGTTGTCCCATCATCAGACTTCTGGAGAGAAACAACAGTGAAGGAATCAGATCTGCCGCCGAGCAGCTGAAAGCTTGTGGACACCCAATTCTTGGGTTTCGTCTGGAAGGTTGACGTTCCCTTTTGAATGACGCTCCCATTGAAGACATAGTTGCCCAGATACGAGGCATCATGGCTGTTCCAGATTTCAATATTGATGTACTGCGCCCCATTAGCTCGGGTGGCGATTTGCGGCATGAGCTGGAATGAGTCGACTGGCAAGGGTTTCAAATCGGTAAAAGGTGTCGTTGTGAAAGGCTCTGATGCGATCTGCTTGTTGGTCCACTTGCCAGATCGATACTCTGTCCATGATACCTTCAATTCCCAGATCGATGGAGGAGTGAGTTCATCGGCCTTGGTGGTCGACCCGGGTTTGGTCATCTCGCCAAAGTCCTGCGCAAGAGCGACGGTGTTGGGGACGGCTTTCTGCACCAACTCACCAATGAAGAAGAGTCGACGGCCTTGCCACACCATTGGCGCCACGTAACATCCGGTGAAGGACGCTTTAGGCTGGATTGAGCTGAAGTCGACAGCCGTATCGTCCAGTATCACCTCATTAGCTGCCCTTGCACCCTCTGCTGGCGGGCTTGCTTCGTCCCGGAGCACGTTGTCAGCCGGCCCTCGGCCACCAACGAATTCTGATGCGAGGCGAGGGACAGCCACCGTGCTATACTCGATTGTGTAGGTCGGAATGTCAACAGTGATGCGGATCCAGGGGGTCCATTCGTGATTGAAGTAGTCATAGCTCCGGTAGAAGAAAAGATACGGAGATCCAACTGTCATAGCGACACAGTGGAATATGAACTTGTCCGACTCTCGCGTTTCCTGATAAATCGCGACAGCACGCAGGTGAGCGATCTGATCCAGCTTATCGACATAGGTCTTGAAGGACTCCAGCACATTAGTGGGATTCACGTCGCGTTGCAGCAGCTCACTCTCCATATCGGTGTAAATTGGGGTCTTGTCGTCACGCAACGAGGGGATCATCCAGTTCTCGGGCCACAACCAAACTTTCCGGTTTGCTGTCCAGACGGTCTGCTTAGACATCCATTTCCAGCGATCGGCGTCTAGAGCATCGTTGAGCACCCCGTACTTCTCTTCCAGGCCCAGTATGCACCGTTGCACAAACAGCTGCACGGAGGAGATAGCTTGCTTGGTGCGGGAGGTTTGCATACATGCGCCCATTTGCACGTCCAGTAAGAAGAATTCAAACAGACCGTCTGCGTCAGCAACGCCCCACGTCTGTATGCTGGGCAGTACCAGTAGATAGGCAATGAGTGCATTCCGTTGGTTCTTGCGAAGCTGATCGTGTGTCGATTTGATGGCTTGCTCATAATCTGAGGCCGTATATCGTCCCTGAATGGTCTGTCGAATGCTTTTGGCTAAATTCCAGGTCGGTTGAAAATCGAGCTTCAAGTCCGTCCACGACAGAAGCAAGCTCAGATCCGAAATGCCAGTTTTCTTTCCTAGCGCAAAAGTCTTGGACATTCTGGTCAGGGCGACCTCGTTCTGGAATAATTTGACATCTGACATGTTGAAGTTTTCCTTTGCAAGCAATACCTTGATCGAGGCCGCATCCCAGGTTGTCACTTCCGAGATGATGCCGCTGAGTTCGTCGATCGAAGTCGTAGTTCCAGGCTTATCTCTGAGACTGGCCCATTTGAAGAGATCTAACAGGCCCTTCTGTTGTCTTACTAACGACTCTCGTAGCTCATAGTACTGTAAGAGTCGTTTCCACGCAGGAAGACTGACCCTGTTGAGATCGACGCCGTCAAATTGGCTACCGTGGCGCTGGAAGTACTGGGCCTCTGTGAGGTCCAGTGAAAACCCCTGTACACCATTGAAGCCTTGACAATGGACTTCAGCACCTCGCCAACGTCGCCCACGGACGGGTCTGGAATCATAGCACTTAATGGAATTGCCGTTATTTCGCTCGTGGCTGTCTTCCATCGAAGGTCCCCAGGTATGGTCTGCCCAGTGACGCTGAGCGTAGTCAGCTTGCCCCCAATCAAGGAGATCGGCTCGGTCCACCACAAATCCGAAGGATCTTCATTTCGAACAGTGAAGACAACGCGATTGCCGTCGAGTAAGATTGGGTCGGGCGGCTATCGCCCTGACCAAGTGCATAAAAAGCATATGAATCGGTGGTGGGTACAATCAAATAGCCGTTCCACGTTGGAGTGCGTTCAGCCTCCAGGTGACCCTTCAGTGCCAGCAGGATCGACATGGCAGATGCCTGCGATCCAACTGGACCGACGCTGATCACCTCCTTCAGTAGCCACGAGCACATGTCCGGGGACGAGGGGGCTACCCCTGACACGGTTGTTATGATGAAGTTGGACTCGAGCGTTGACCGAAGATAGGGAACAAAGTGGCGCATAAAATACACTCGCTTCTGGATTGCCGTGCCTGGAGTACCAGGGACCTCTTCGGTATCTTGCACAGGTGCCACATCGCCCTGAGTGAGGACTGCAACGGCCTCCTCTATCTTGCCTGCAAAGATGGCGCCCAAGTCGTTGGTCACGAACTTTTCGGCTTGCCTGTGCAGACGCTTCAGTGCTGCGGACCACTCTTGGTTGCTGGGGAAGATGGCCTCGGCTGCTGTGACTTCGTCGTCGGTCAGGCTGCCCGTCACCGACAGAGTAGCTCTTCGATTGCGCGGTGTGAGTGGATCTTTGTATATGACCTTGGTCAAACTTCTAAGTTTTCCTGCATCCAGCCCAATTGGTGCGTTCGTAGTATACAGCCGGGTTCCCTCTATGAGGCCAACGATGCTATCGACGACCGACGGTGCAAATAGTAGATTTGCTTTCGCCGTCACCTGGGCCATGGTAAGAACGGCCTCTTCTTGCTCCGTCAAGTCGGGCTGTGCCTTTGCAATAGACAGAAGACCTTCCAGGAGAGCTTGGGCTGTGCGGAGGACCGTCGCTGGCCCTGGGCCAATGGGGCGCAGGAGTTCCTCAGCATCGAAGATGATGTAGCGGAGTTGGGGAACAGTGAAAGAAGTAGCCGAGATTCGTGTCCATAGTAGATATAGGTCTAGAGTCGTGGACGCGCTGTCATAAGGGTTTGGCCAAAGATCCAAGGCCAGGACGAGATCTTCCGGACGTATGTCCAAAATCGAGGACAGAACCATATGGCGATAGAGTCTCGTCAGAGTCTTAATATCCAGAGGAGATTGTCGGGTCAGACCAGCACTTTTGAGAATACTGTCAAACGACTTTGCTTTGACATGCAGCGCAGCAAGGAGTAATGGTACATGCTCCCCGACATTGGTTTCAGAGCTGAGGTAGTGACCTGTCTTATCAGCGACGAAGACGCTATCAATGGCTTGTAGATTGTGCGTCAGGAACAGGCGAGCGTACAGGGATCTCTCTCCGAACGTTGGGATGTCGCTCCAGAGGCAGAGTAGTTTATCGAGATCTTGGCCAGTCAGGTCTGCGAGACGTTGAATGCTCATCAACTGCTTGATAAAGCCTGGACTAATGAACGGGAACGTGCTCGGGTCGCAGACAGGTCCAGGAGCCTCATCATCGCTGCATTCGCCGTCGTCACAGTCTCCTGCGCCGGCCTCATCTCCGCAGCCCTTGTCCTTGAAGTCGGAAAATGAAAATCCTCCATTCCCATTCGCTTCCTTCTCGAACGTGGTTGATGTCAGTGGATCGCCTGGCGGCAAGGTCGATCCGGGAGTGATCTCAGGCACTTTCCAGAGGCCCATCAAAGCCGCATCCAGTGTCGTTATGGTCCATCCAGACAGTTGAAGCTTCTTGTACAGTCGAATGAAGCGGTTTATGCGCTCCCATTCCCAGATATCTAAGGGTTTAGCATTGAGATGTAAAATCATAGTAGACTCAATGCTGCAAGTGTCTGCCACAATTGACCACGGAATAATTGGTGGGTTTCTGTCAGACCAAATCAAGTTACTTTCCCCGTCCACCAACACAGGCATAGAGGTGACGTTGATATTGTCGAGTTGTTCAACAGTAGCGTCGTTAGTCGCTTTGCAGTTTGGATGAGATCTATCCTGCCTTTGGGCAAGCTGGTCCGAATTGTCTGGAGACCGCCATAGAAAACCCGACTGTCCATCCACACCACACCAACAACTTGGCTGTTTTCGTCCGTCAGCTGACCAGACGTGTCAAGGTATCCCAGGACTCGAGGCTGCGAGCCTGTGATGATCAACGAGCTAGGATTCGACCCGGTAGTGTCATCGGAGGGAGGTCGCCATACCAAGTAGCCTTGGATTGGCAGACGAGGTTCTGGGGCACGCGTCAGTATGTTAAATCCGAGCATTGAAGTTGAGAGATCAGTTACCTGTTTTGCTTTCCAGCACGATGAGCTTGCCAATACAGTCAAACCACTTCCGAACCCATACACGAACCACTGGCTCTTCAAAGGTTGGCGTGTCAACTACCGGCTTAACTAGAGGGTTCCCGGTCGCGGGAATCTGCTGAAGCTGGATGTATTGTACCCATGGTTGTGCTTGGAGCAGGAAATCTGCAATCATCCTGCTCTTTCCCGATGCGTTTGGAATACCGACAGTCACGTGTTGAAGGAAACGGTAAGAGAAACGGATACTGTCCAGCAGAATTCTGTCCTTTCCCTCGGGCATCATTGGATTGACATACTTGGTATGCAGCAGATCAACAACATCAGGGAAGCTGAGGCCTGAACGCCTCAGAAACTGGGCCTTGACAAAGGACAGGCCCGTCCTTGTGCTGGGATCAATGCTACGAAGAGCATTGTCGTCGTTGAAACCCCAGTATGTGGATGTCGAGAGCAAGCCGATGTCCCGATGGTACTCGTCCTCTTGGATGATGTGACCGTTGTCGGCGAATTCAGAGCATTCGATGGCCCAAAAAGACTCGTGCGTGACTATGATGTATTCGCTGGGGGCGAGACCCATGTACTCTGCTGCTGCTGCACGGTCCTGCACGCGAGCCAACATGGTCGCGTAACGGATTTGCTTTTCAGAATTGGATATGAGCGCTGCGCGAACAGGCCACTGCCGGCCTGCAAGTCTCATGGTGTCGATAAGCTCAAAACGAGAAGTACCCAGGTAAGTAAGATAAAGGCGAGAAGCATCAAGAGGTTGGAAGTATGGCAGGGTGGCCAGCGGGTAGACAGCCTCGTTGAGGATGCAGTACGCCCTCTTCCGTGTGTTGCTAGGGCTTGCGAGCAGCTCCTCTGTCGTCTCGTTCTCGACATTCCAAGCTTCGATGACGGCTTTCCCCGTGATGGCAAAAGCATTTGCGTTTATGACGAAGGCCTCCATAACTTCGTTGGCAAGGTCGATCATGGGGAGTGGCGTGTTGGCATTGGCACACGTCAAGCGCAGATACTGCAGGTCAGGTCGGCGCTGGAAGAGCCTCTCAAGTGCAGTCCCCTGTATGTCTTCCTTGCCGGTATTGGACCATTTCTTGTCAGGATCGAGGTTATTGTTCCGCAGGTATTGGAGGAGGTCTACATAATAGGCGGTGGGACTGGTCACATCAAGACATTCTTCGCACTCGCACATGTCCATGTCTCCGAATAGGGCATCGAGATTGATGGCAGAAGGTGTTCCAGCGGTCGCATCTGCCAGCTCTTGGGCCATGATCTGGCGCTCCTCTAGGGACGTCTGTCCATCTATTGACCGTAGCCCGCTTCCTTTGATGGCAGCATGGAGTTGTACAAGAGTGTTATCAGCTCGCATTCGACTTGCCGTAGCATGGTCATGAATCTGGCTTGCCAGTTGCTCTGCCCGATTGCTCGAGCCACCCGAGTCGGCGATCATCGGCGACACCAGGGCCGTGAAACGTTTTTTGGGCAGAGCCGCCACGCGCATCGCGCTGGTCAGACCATGTTGAAGCAATGGTTCAAGTGCTTCAGGAGCTGGCGTGAGAGCTTGCGTCCGTTGGAGAGTTTTGAGATTCTCTGTGACGGAATTGCGAGTCTCCGGGTCAAGCTGCTCTTGGATGTCGTGGTCCTGATCCAGTCTCTTGAGCACAGACTCTGTGCGAATGTTGAAGTCTGGATGTCGGGCAAGGAACTTGACCATCTCGTCTCTGGTAGAAGCCGATGGTCCTATGGGAAGCTCTCTCGCATCGTCGCCGGCAATGCTGGGAGGCGACAACATCTGCTGCAGCACAGCGGTGGGTTCGGCCTGGAAAAGGCGCTGGCGGAAGTTCAAAGCTACGGTTGAGACCTTGGAGTTCTTTCCAGTCCGGGCTGTGACCGGCACGGGACCCGTACCGCCCGTCGCTTTCGCACTCTGCGGCAGCATGCTCTCAACACGAGCAATGTCATAACGAAGGGCTAGGTCACGCGTCGACTTGACGTCTCCATCGTCAAGGATAGCCGTGGCTACATCGACGTGGTCGTCAAGGACATCAGCCAAGACATTGGCCAATTTGACCCTGCTTGCATCTTGTTTGCGGCCTTGGCTCAACAGGTCGTGGACGAGGATGGTGAATGCTGCCGGCGACGTCTGATCTGAGACGTGCTCCAAGGTCGCATCCTCGGGGCTACCTAATGCATGCCGAACAATCTTGAGTCGACTGGAACGAGGGGCAGTGGTGACAGATCTCGCCATGATCCGATGTCAGTCCTTGGTCCCCTGGAAAGCTGTTGTAGCCATCTTTTGGTCAAACAAAAGATGGTAAGGAGGCTGCTCTTGCCTCGACAGGTACTGAACGACATAAGTTCTGGGTCGGCGGAAACGACGTCTGTACCCAAACGCCGACAGCCAAAAGCCACCTGTCCAAGACCTTGTCTCGGCGGCACGAGCCATGAGCTGGCGAAATAGCAGGCTGATGCTTGACCGGTGACACGATGGACGTAGCTCCCCAGATGAGCTGAACTGCAGCAGGCTGTGGAATACGATGGCGTCCGCCCATCGACTGTTCGAGCCGGGCTTGGCATACGCTTACGTAGACCTGCTGGCCCCCGTATTGGAGCGAACCCCGTGTTGCAAGCCTTGATGGCGGTCTCACCTTTGACTTATCATCACCTTTCCAGAAGGACTACAAGGATGACTAGGTTCGTTCGTTACTCGGATACGATGTCTTTGATACGAGTTCATGCCCGGCAAATGCCTGTGACATCCGCCTTGGGCCTCAAGCTTGACCCTCGTGCAACCCCTCCGTCCACCAAGCCAGAACCAGCGGGTGTTTGGCATCTGGCTCTCTACCTGGACCACTGTTGAGCTTCTACATTCATCATGGGCGATGATGGCCCCCTATTCTCGATTGGCAACGCTGAGCGATATCGCGACAATGCTACCGCTGCATCTGCCCTCAGGCCAGACCTGCCTGGACAGGCACCTTCGCAATCGGGCACAGGAAGCCTTCCGCGAACAGATGATGCCAGCAAGGCGAAGTCGTTATTACAGTCAAGTCTCCCTGCTGCTCCAGTCCTCGCCTTGCCATCGGGTGGCGGTGCAGTCAAGGGCATGGGCGAGAAGTTCTCAGTGAATTCAAGCAACGGCACCGGCTCCTTCTCTGTTCCCATCAAGGTCTCGCCTGGACGATCAGGTTTACAGCCAAGCCTATCACTCAATTATGACTCAGGTAATGGTAATGGGGAGTTTGGTCTTGGATGGCGGCTCTCGGGCGTAGACGCTATAACTCGAAAGACATCGAAAGGCGTGCCTCGCTACAACGACCACGGGCCCCGAGAAGATACTGATGTCTTTGTCTTGGCCGGTCTGGAAGACCTGGTCCCACTATGGAAGCGTGATGTGGCAGGTAATGTGGTATTTGACTCAGACAAACAACCTCGATACGATGAAGAGGATATTGACGGCCACAAGGTGCGAGCGTATGCGCCCCGAATCTTGAGCGTCTTCAATCGCATCGAGCGATGGACAAGCTTGGCAGATGCCAATGAAGTACACTGGCGTGTCATCAGCGCCGACAACGTTACGTCCATCTTTGGGTTGACTGCTGCGTCCCGAATCTATGATACCAGCTCAGACAATATCCCTGCCAACACTCGCATCTTCTCCTGGCTCCAAACAGAGCTGTACGACTCTCGCGGGAATGCCATGACATTCACCTACAAACGTGAAGATGCCGCCGACGTCAAGCTATCCCAGGCAAATGAGCTCCATCGCTCACAGACATCGCGTAAATCCAATCTATATCTCAAACGCATCCGATATGGGAACATCAATCCGAATCGTGATCTGACAACGTGGGAGGCCTTCTCAGCCACTTCTTTGCCCCAAACATCCTCTGTGTGGAAGTACTCACTTGTGTTCGACTACGGTGAGCATGCTGATGAGAATCCTAAGCCGGATGACGATGGGCGATGGTCTTGCCGGAGTGACGCTTTCTCGCGATACAACGCGGGCTTCGAGCTCCGTACGTACCGTCTTTGTCAACGTGTGCTTATGTTTCATCACTTCCAAGAGTTGGAAACTGAAGATAGCATCGTCTCCTCAGTCGATTTCTCCTACGATGAGAGCCCAACGGTGACCTACCTCATCGCCGCGCAACAGGTCGGTTACTCAGGTAACGGCAGACAACAGCCTCCTCTCAGAAAGCGTCAACCGCCTGTCGAGTTTGGATATTCTCGCTTTCCTTCCGACGATACTCTGTCGGACCTCGTTGTTGAGAACGTAGATCTTAGCAGCGTTCAAAACTTGCCCGCGGGCTTGGACAACACAAGTTATCGCTGGCTTGATCTTGACGGTGAGGGCATTTCGGGCATATTGACCGTCCAGCCAGAGGCTTGGTACTATAAGAGGAACACAAGCCCAACTAACTACTCTTTGGCGCCATCCGGTATGGATCCAGGCAAAGTTCAAGCACGTTTCGGCCCGCTTGAGTTTCTGAAGCATGGCCCGTTTCCCACAGCATCTGCATGGGACATGCAATTCTCCGATGTCACGGGCAACGGTAAACTCGACCTGGTATCACACGTTGCCCAACAGTGGGGCTTTTATGAGAGAAACGACGATGAGCCACAGGGATGGTTAAATTTCCGCCCTTTTCTGAAGTTTCCAAATGTCCGACCTGGCCACTCTGTCCAATTTCTCGATCTCACGGGTGACGGGCTCGCTGATATCCTAATTTACGATGACCAAGTCTTCACCTGGTACTCCTCGCGACAATCCGACGGATACGGACCTCCACAATCTGTCACGCAGCCTTGGGATGAACGAGAAGGCCCCGTCAGTGTCTTTGCGGACAGCCAACAGAGTATTTTCCTGGCTGACATGTCCGGGGATGGACTGGTGGACATATGCCGCATTCGAAACGGTGACTGCTGCTACTGGCCTCAACTAGGCCATGGCAACTTTGGCCGACAGGTGTGCTTTGACAATGCGCCTTGGTCTGACTACAGTGACCAGTTTGATCATAGTCGAATAAGGGTCGCGGATGTCGATGGCTCCGGCACCTCTGATATCCTTTATTTGAGCGATGCTGGTGTCGAAATCTACCAGAATCAGGCGGGCAACAGCTTCTCAGCGAAGAAGACGGTCCCAATGCCAGCTGTGAACCGCAGCGCTACCTTCAATACCGTCGACCTCCTTGGAAATGGCACCCAATGTATGGTGTGGTCTTCACCTTTACCGTGTGACAAGAATGCTCCGATGCGATATGTCGACATATTCGCAAATGTCAAGCCACATCTTCTCGTCCGCATGAACAACAACCTAGGTGCTGAAACAACGATCAGGTATGCACCTTCGACCAAGTTCTATCTCGCGGACCAAGAAAAGGGCAATGACTGGATCACAAAGGTGCATTTTCCGGTCCATGTTGTAGATAAGATTGAAACCCAGGATCTTGTTACAGGCAACAAGTTCACGACCAGCTACCGTTATGCGCACGGTTTCTACGATGGAACGGAGAGAGAATTCCGTGGCTTTGCCCGCATGGAGCAGATTGAACGAAGTCGCTTCGCCGACGGAGACAGCGCATGGTGCACGCCACCGGTTCGTACTGTGTCATGGTTCCATACCGGTGCCTACTACAACTCGCAGCGCATGGAGGATCTTTTGTTCAAGGAAGTGTTCCATGCCCGTGACTCGTCTGGACGGCCCGTGACTCTACAGCAGACTATCATGCCACCAGACTGCACCGAGGGGTTCCAACAAATGGAGGCTTGTCGTGCGCTGAAAGGAAAGCTGTTGCGGAGGGAGGTCTACGCCGAAGACGGCAGCGATAGGGAGCGCATCCCATATTCCGTCCAGGAGACGAACTATATCATCGTCGCCAGGCAGCCGATCCAAGATAGTCAGCAGCATGGAATCTATCACGTTCACCCTCGTGAAACTTTGGCATCGCACTACGAACGGAATCCAGAAGATGCTCGCGTTGCCCACCAGATCAGCTTGGAAGTCGATGATTTTGGCAATGTGCGAAAGGACATTCGTATATCCTATGGCCGACACCCTGGGAAGAGCGAGCTCGAGGCCGAGGACCGTCTCAAGCAGGAGACTTTGACTATGATCTACAACGAGGTCGATGTTACCAACAGCCTAGAGGGGAGGCATTTCCGGGTTCCTGCCCCTTGCAGCTCACGTCAGTACGAAGTTCGTGGTCTCAAGCCAAACGGAACCAATGCGCTCTTTCGCTTTGATGACATGGTCAAGGATGATTTTGCGGCCATTTTATTGCTTCCTTCTGTACCATCGTCAGACTGGGACAAACCTGACGCTATTCCCGTTCGTGGGAGGCGTCTTCTCCGGCAAGAACGCGCTCTATTCCAAGCAGACAACCTTTCCGACATACTCCCAATTGGCAAGATTGAGAACCTTGGTTTGCCAGGAGCCTACCATCAACTAGTCTTCACGAAGGACCTCTTTGCCGAGTTGTACGCCTCTCCCGATACGACACAGCCTCTACTCTCTGCTTCGGAAGTCTTCGCTGGCCAAGGCTATATAGATCTCGATGGAGACGGCAACGTTTGGACGAACACCGCCAAAGTCTCATACACTTCCGATCCAAGCACTGATGAGCTGGCTGAGGCGCGCAGGTCATTCTTCTTACCCAAAACCTTTGTGGACATCTTCGGCAATACCTCTACTGTCAGCTATGATGCTTATTCATTCTTCCCGGTCGGCTCTCGTGACGCCGCAGGCAATGTCTCGACTATCACGATGAACTATCGCGCCTTGAAACCCGCTACCGTTACCGACCTCAATGGCAACGTATCTTCTGCAGCTTACGATAGCACGGGCTCGGTTGCAGGAGTTGCGATTTCTGGCAAGCCCTCGGATAATCTAGGGGACACCATGCTTGGATTTCAACCAGATTTGTCGCAGGAAGCTCTCGATCGGTTCCTATCGAATCCCGATGCGCAAGCCGCTGCTGCACTGCTGGGAAATGCCACTAGCCGTGTTCTGTACGACCCGTGGAGGATGAAGGACCATGGACTTCCGATCTATTCGGCTTTCATCTCCCGCGAAACTCACGTTAACTCGCCCGTTCCCCGAACCGGAGCACTGTTCCAGGTACAAATCACCTATTCTGACGGATTTGGTCGAGAGATCCAGGTAAAGACGCATACCAAAGCGGGACCTCTCGGAGACCGGGGTCCCGATGTGCCAGACCGCTGGGTTGGTAGCGGCTGGAAGGTCTTCAACAGCAAGGGCAAACCCGTGAAGCAATTTGAACCATTCTTCGATACAAGCGCAGAGTATCAACCTGACATGAAGGTCGGAGTATCTCCTCTCTCGCTTTACGACGCACTGGACCGAGTGGTGGCCGTGGTGCAACCTGATCACAGCATTGAGAAGACCGTGTATACACCTGGTCTCAGACTCGCTTCGATGCGAACGACAATGTGGAGATCTCGGATCCCCGCAACGATCCTGACGTTGGTCAGTACTTCAAACCTCTCCCACTCTCCGAGTTTCTCCCCTCGTGGTTCGACACGAAGAGCAAGAGCGCCCTTCTAGCCGAAAGAGAAGCCGCAAATCGGACCTTGTCACACAGAAATACACCCCAGACCTCTTTTCTAGACGGCCTCGGTCGTGTGTTCCTCGTCACTACGTCACTCCCAGACACAGTCCGGACCACCACGGACCTGGACATTCTAGGAAATGGACGAGTCATTCGAGATGCACTTTCTCGCAAGGTTACCGTTTCTGCATATGACATGTGCCAGCGAAAGGTTTCATCCACGACCATTGACTCGGGCTGGACCTGCAAGCTTCTGGACGGAGCCGACAAGGAGAGCATGACATGGAACAACCGCGGCTTCAGGCTTCGTATCGAGTCTGATCGGCTTCGACGGCCTAAGAATACATGGTGGCTCGACGCAAATGCTACATCTGAGGTCCTGACAAGTCAGATCATCTACGGCGAGGACTTTCCGTCTCTGGCGACTGACGATGCCGCGGCGCACAACCTCAGGGGTAAAGTGTGGCAAGTACTAGACCAATCGGGCATCGTTACAAACTCGGACTATGACTTGGCTGGGAACATAACACACTCGTTGCGTAAGCTGTCTTCCAATTACAAGCAAACCTTTGGCGTTTCGATGGACATGCCCTTAGAGGACGGTCAGCACGAGTCAACAGAAGAGTTCGACATTTTGCGCCGCCCGGTTCGCTCCAACACCTCGGATGGAACCATCACCAGTCGAGTTTACGACCAATCAACCCAGCTCAGCACAATGTACGTGAATGTTGATGGCCAACATGCTATTGATGCAGACCCGACGAGCTGGACCCTCGTCCTCAACAACGTGCAGTACAATGCTCGGGGCCAGGTGACAAGCATTATGTATGGAAACGGTACAACCACCACTTGCACATACGATCGACTCCGCTCGCGCCTCCGGCAGCTACAGACAACTGGGCCAGGGAACGGCAATATCCTGCAAGACCTAAGTTACACCTACGACGCTGTCGGCAACATCACGAACATCCAAGATGCTGCTCAGCAGACAGCGTTCTTCCGCAACACAGTCGTGGATGCCAGCAGCAGCTTTGAGTATGATGCCCTCTACCGGCTGATCTCCGCCACGGGCCGCGAACATCTGGGACAGACTAACGGCCGTCCACAATCACCCACGGCGCCCGACTGGTCAGACAGCACACACAGTGGTTCCGATGTGGGTGGTACCGCTATGGGTCGCTATACTGAGAAATATCGCTACGATCTCTGCGGCAATCTGTTGTCCCTGCAGCATCTAGGCAGTACCCCTCAAGCCCCCGGTTGGACGCGTGACTACGCGTACAACGAACCCGGCCTGGTGGAGAGGGGACCCAGGTCGAACCGACTGAGCTCGACAACGGTGAGCGGCAGGACCGAGTCATATCGCTACCATGATAACGCCGGCCTGACGGGCAATATGACATCAATGCCCCATCTTCGCGTCATGCGTTGGGATTTTGCCGACCGACTGCAAGCAACCTCGAAGCAATCCGTCTCCCCAAACGGCACCCAAACCCCTGAGACAACTTACTACTCTACGACTTCCGCGGCACACGCATCCGCAAGATCACTGAAAGTGAGGCTGGCCCAGACTCACACCCAACGCCCATCAAGCTGCAGGAACGCACCTACTTCGCCAGCCACGAGACATTCGCCCGATACGCCCCCAACAGCACCGCCGCGCCGCTCAAGCGCACTACCTTCCACGCACGTACCGAGTATGGACACATCGCCGACTTCTGCACCCGTACCAGTGGCACCGACGACGGGGTGCCCTTCCAGCTGCGCTTTCGTCTACACAACCACCTCGGCAGCGCCGTGTTGGAACTTAGCGACACTGCAAAGGTGCTGTCGTACGAGGAATTCTTTCCCTTCGGAGCGACCAGCTACCGCGCCACGCCCGGTCAGGTTGATGTTGCAAAACGATATCGCTTCACCGACAAGGAACTCGACGCCGAAAATGGGCTTCACTTCTTCGGCGCACGATACTACGCGGCGTGGCTGGGGCGTTGGACGGCGGCAGATCCTGTCGTCGGTGCACGCACGCGGTATGACTATGCGGCCGACAATCCGATCCGGCTGGTCGATCCGGACGGACGACAACCCAAACCCGCAGGAGACGGCGGGGGCGGCGGTTCTGGTGGCTGGATAGACGTACCGTCCGGCAGCGTACTAGGCAGCCTGACGCACATCGTGGCGCTCGCAGCCCTGCAGGAGCGCCTCTCGCTGCGCATCCCACCCATCCTCTCCTACGCCGAGTACCGCACGCTGACGGGCGGCTCAAAGTCCAACCCCGGCGGCGACACGACGGGCGAGATTGACCTGGCGGTGCTCCTGCCCAAAGTCCCCACCGTAGGCGAGTGGACAGCCGACCTCTACGAACTGAAACCAGACAGCATGGCAAGCGAGCTCTCGGACGCCCGGGCCTACAAATACCAATCCGAAACGCAACTCTACGCGAAATACTTTCCCACCGACCTGGGACCCTGGGCCGTGTCACCGACGCCCGCCCCGGCAGCATCATCGAATACCTCGACCGCGCCGACCAGTCGCTCCCGCCCGGCAGCCGCATCCTCGACCCCATCACCTTCTCCACGCCGCTGGGCGACGTCCGCATCAACCTCGGTCTGCAGGACACCGACGCCAAGGGCAGCAAGGCCCGCGGCCTTATCCTCTACCAGTCCAGATCCGGCCCAAGAACGGCAACGCCAAGGCCACCCGCCAGATGGCCGAGGACATGTTCAAGCTCTTCACAGCCCAATTGGCCGCGCAGGCCGCAATGCGCGCGGGCCAGCAGCTCGGCCAAGCCGTTCCTGCTGGTGGCGGTGCTGGTAGTCACGGTGGTTCTGGCACACAAGGCCAGGCCGGACAGGGACCGACGCCCGTTCCGTCAGGCGGAACGCTGGATGGGTCAAGTGGGCGGTTGGGGCGCGTTGGTCGTGGCGGCGGTGGCGATTGCATTGACCGGCGTCGGTGCCGTGGCGGAGGGTGGCATGGCGCTGGGAGCCGGTGGCACTGCTGCGGCTGCTGGGGGTGGCACTGCTACTGCCACTGCCACTGCCACGGGTGCCGGCCCCGCGACGGCGACGGCGACGGCGACGACGGCGACGGGGTGGAGCTGGTTGATGCTGGCCCCTGCGGCGCTTTGATTGGGGCGCGGCTTGGAGTTTGGGCTTTTTGGTTGTGCTAGGGGGCTTTTGGCCTTGGTTCGTTGAGTGCAGTGCAGTGCAGTGCTAGTATCTTCATCGGTTGGCTGTACTCGGTCTGGTAGTTGGTGTATTGCCTGATGCTCACTGATGTAGCTGCAATCCAAAAAGAAATGAAAATCTTCGATCGTTACCGGTCAGACGCTGAGATTCGAGCGACGCTGGTTTTAGGATCGTCAGAGGTTGTGTTTGCATCGACGCTGGCAGAAACAGCACGTATGTCTGTCTCACTGCGTAGGTGCTAAAATAAGCACCGTGTGAACTAAGACGTTTCGAGAAAACTCACCTGCAGTCTCGCAGGCGGTGTTCCGTCCCGAGGTCAGCCGGCGTCGTAAGGAGACTGTATCATGTATCCTGATCAGGACCATTGCGCGCCATGGTGTTCGGAAGTGTACAGTTGTTCACGATTTCCAAAAAGAATTTCGAGACAGCACATCTTGTTGAGGACCAGCTCTCATTGCTATGGGAGGGACTCTCTCAGGGTCACCCGTGGGGAACCTGCGCCGGAGTCGTGCTCTGCGAATTCATATGTGATTTTCGGCTGCCTCGAGTATTCGCGCTGGCATCTGAGTAGTATCGGTGTGGACAGATCCCCACAAGGTAGAGTTTTCCCCAGCCTCTTGAGTATCCGTGCTCTGCTCTCACACTACGGGACCACAATCATCCCTTGCAGCCACGTCGTGGCTTATTCTCCATCTATCTCTGGGTAGCTATGTTGTAGTCCGTTCTCCCACGATCTTCTTGCAACCCAAGCCCAGTGTCGCCGACTACGTCGAGCCGAACGAGAACTTCGCCGGTGAGCATGGTGCTCTTCCCATGCTGCCAGCCTCGCGGCTCTCTCCTCGGCATCTTTCCTCTCATGATAGTCCTGCCACCATCGATTACACTCCTCCTGCTCCTCCCCAAACACTCTGTCCCGCTCCTCTGCCTCCATCTGCAGCTTTCTAGGGCGCTGCTCTCTCTTCTGGTCTAGATCTTCGATGTCGAAATAGAACGTGCGCTTGATGTCCCACAGTTCTGGCAGCACAAAGACCTTGGACCGTCGCGCAACCTCTGCCAGGTCGTTGAGAGCCCGGTTCTCATATTCTCTGGCGCAGAACTCCTCTCGAGGATCGTAATGAACTGGGAAGTCGTAGGCTCGTCCTTTGATCCAATCTTTGACATCCTTGGACATGAGATCCTTGTGGCCCGGTGCGTTGATAGACTCAAATGCCTTCTTGTATCGATCGTTGATAATCTGGTTGAGGAAATCCGTCTCTGTGGTCATGCACCAGGTTTTGCGTGTTTCCAGAGTGGTCTTTCCAGTATTACGGAACGCTGACATATCGACATCGTAATCCCACTTCTCAACAGAAGCCCGACGCTTGCCGTACTCTGCGGATGGTCGCTCCCAGCGATACAGGCCAAGTTCGCCACTTATGCAGAGAACAAACATCGAACCCTTGCGGCTAATGCCTGTGCAATGACGACCTGCTCGGAACTCCGCCATGGTATGATTACAAGAACGAGTTGTACCGTTGTAAGAGTCATTGCAGTATTCCCGGAGAAGCTGCTCTGTCCAGCTTCCACGATCCGCAAGCTCAGTCGTGCTCAATCGACTCAAGTGCTCCAAATGTTGGGGGTACTGGCTGTCCCTGACGGCAAGATGCAGGTGACATTGTTCGTCTGAGTGGCACCGAAAGCTCAAAGCATGGAATGCCGCAACGTCTGAGATGCCTTGTTCCAGAAGGAGACTGTGGAGGACCGCAGCAGACACCTTGAAATAATATTTCCAAAGTCGTGCATCAAGTTCTTCTTGCCAGAGGCGGTGATTGCGCGCCGGATATTGCCCTTCGCAATCCATCCTCCTTCTGCTGCTTGGCCGCTCGATTGTAAGCAGATCCAGAGCGTCACCTGCGGCAGTGCCGACTTCTTGCACGAAAGATGCGGCAGAAGTGCCGATGGCAAGGCTAGGAAAGCAGTCCCATGCTGAGAGACGGAATTCCTTGAGGCAGTGGGTGTGCCGACTGAGGAACCTGCCAATACTTCGACCGTCCCCGGGCATGTCATGGATGTGGAGACTCTCGAGTGTTTCGAAGGTCGTGTCGTGTAGCAGCATCTCAAAGGACAAGGTGTGGACAGGAGAGTCAAAGTTGAAATCTTTGTGGCTCATGCACAAATCTCCGGACGAGCTTGATACCTGTAACCTTGGGCAAGGATTGCAATGCTGAGCGTTTGCAGGGTCTCGGACATAAGACGCAGCGTATCCCGGAGGTTTGTCGAGACTGACAGCAGGTGTTCATCCTCTCCGTAGTGCAATTGCAGACTGAGGTGTCTCAACCTGCTCAGAATTTGCATAGGTGTTTGACCCTGCTTGTCGGCGATGCTCTCGTAGCCTCTGAACATATCGAAGGTCATCGAGTTCATCCTCCATGTGACCATGCTGAGCTCCAATAGCGGTTGCTTAAGCTGCCGAATTGCATCCAGGATCTGATAGAAGACCGTGTCTTCGCCAAAGTCGTGTGTTCCGCGGTATCTGGTCCACCTTCCGGTATCAGCTGTAGTGATTGTGACCTTGCGAACATTCTCCAGCTGTTTGAAGTCTGACAGGAACTGCGTGGCTGCAAAAAAGGGAGTGCCATCGGGATTTGTCGCGCAGCAATCTTCCGCAAGGCAATTCCAACGAGCGAAGGCGTTTCGCCATCGAGGCTCGGAATCATAGATTGTTTTGTGCTCCTTGTATATGTAGGACATGTCGAAGACCACATGTTTGATGCAACCTCTGATCTTGGTGGGAAGAGCACTCAATCGCTCGACAGAGCGATAATTCGAAGCCAGAGTAACTTTTGTGAACGTCTGCCCTGCTAGTATGTCTGTCATGTACCGTGTAGATAACCGCAGAGACTTCAGGTCAGCCACACTCAAGTAGGTAGCGACTTTCTGAACTAGCTCCGGAAGAAGCTCTTCTAGCGGTGCGAGAGTCTTCTCTTGTTGTACTTGTGCAGCCATCTTGGCTGATAGTCGTCCGTGTGTAATAGATTCTGGCGATGTCTGAGGTAAAGAAGAAAGAATGCCGCCTTCGTGAGGATGAGCAGCCAAGGTTATGTTGGCAGAAGTCCAGGCAGACAGTAATCACAGCTTCACGCCATCACTGCGATTGACGCGACTGATGCAGAGATTCACCCCGTCACCAGCTTCCAGGCTCTTGCAGGAACTTGCCTGAGTGTCTGTATCTCTTTGTCAAGTGATATATACATATGCGGGCGTGCTGCGTTGCATGCCTTATGTGATATGGGCAATACGCTCACATCACATAAGGCAGGTCCATGTGGCAACCTTTCCGGCGGCATATTGTCAAGTCTTCTGATATCCGGCTTGAAGGACATCCCGAGCATCGTTTGAAGGGTTATAATTGATGCTTGACCAAAGGAAGCTTGACAAGCTCGAGGACCGAGGCAATCGCAGGTATATCGTGTCGCCTCATCGTTGTCCTATCTGAAGCAAGCGACAGATTATTGAAATGTTGCTCAAACTCGCCAACCGATGTTGTATACCTCGGTAGAGAAGCTGAATCAAATCGGCTATCACCATGGTCGCGCCTACCTCCAGGAGCCCTCCGTCACGTTAATTGCGGCGTCCCAACTGCGAATGTCCACAAAAGTGGCAATCACGATGCTGATGTCAAACATAATGAGCAGTCGAGCGTTAAAATAGCACACTGTTCCGATTGTTGTCGCCGAAAGGCCTGCTGGACACTTTTGCTTTGATTAGGATTTACATACATGCCTACCTACTTACTTACAATGCCTCCACACACCCATATACAGAGAACCAGCCGCTCATCTCAATCGACGGCATCGCTCTTTGATTCGCGATGTCATCCCACCTTGAATCTCGCACTCCTCGCCATTCGAGTGCGGTATTGCTGCTTTTTGGTTTACCGCAATACGACTTCGAGGTGACTAGCTAACGTCCGTGCTTCTGGGGGCACTGTTTCCAGGATTAATTCGCTCAGCGTGAAACCACGTTGTGTCCTTAGTCCCGGAAGGTCAGGTAGTCAGCAGCCTGCGATCACGCCGTTAGCAATCATACTCCCTCAACACACACAGTCAAGGAACTGAGACGATCGAACTTACCTTGTCAATATCATAGTCATACTTTTCCAGCGCCGCAACTGAATCTGCGCGATTGAAACCCATGCCCGTCAACATCTTCACAATGGGGTCGTCATGTTCGCTGGTCGTACTGATGGCTCTTGCCAGGTTAGGTCTGTTGTCTCCACCTGCGCCTTCGACCGTAAGCGTATTCGTCTTAGCCAACGGCGGCGTCGTAGCTGCCGTATCACGCGGAGGCGGCACAGGAACCGCCCGCTCCGGCAGAGGCGAGTCCGTTGGCGGCACTTCTCGACTCTTCGTCAGAGCGAGTGCTGTTGGGGAGATGGCAGTGGCTTGTGTCTCGGCAGTGGGTGTGGTCTCGCCATCTTCAGGCTCCTCGAAACCGACGGTCTTGGGTGCAGAGTTATTGCTGCTGGACAGCCCACTGAAGATGTCGTCCCAGTCATGTGCTGTTTGAGGATTTCCTGTGCCTGGTGAGGGCCCAGCGGGAGGTACTGGACCAGCTGACTTGTCTGTGCCGAAGTCGAAGAAGTCATTCTTCGCGGGTGGTGGAGGTGGAGTGGCTGAACCATTGGTTACGGCTGTGTTGAATGATGGTGGCGGCACAGTCGCCGCTGCTGAGCTGCTAGACGCAGCGGTTGTGCTCGACGGAGCAGGTGAGTCAAAGGTGGGGTCGAATTGAGCGGTATCTCGCTTGTTGTGAGGCACGTCATCCTCGTCGTCTGAGTCGGAGTCATCTTCGACCTGGGCAGGTCCCACTCCAGCAAAGGCTGAGTCAAAGTCGAATGGGGTCGACTTTGCTACGGCAGGTGGGGGTGGCGACGCTCCAGCATTCTGCGCGTGGCCGACTTCGGGACCGTATGAGTGCGCTTCCGGCGCGGACTGCTGCACCGTCTCGCCACCAGCAGGAGGCGGCGACGTCGGATCCTCTCGCTCCGGCAGAAGTCCTGCATATTCCCGAGCGAAATGGTTCGGATTTGAACCAGCAGCGTTTTGATAGTCCGGCGGAGGCGGTGTCTGTGTCGAAAAGTCCGGCAACGAGCTAGCAGCCGAAGGCGTCTGCTGAATTTGCGGCCGAGGCGCAAGGTGAGATGGCACCGCTGAAGCGACCGCGGGCTGAGCCTCTGCCGCTTTGGATTTGTTGAAGTCGTCGTCGAAACCTGCCGGCTCCTCACTTGACTCACTTTCGCTGTCGCTGTCTTCCAACTCTTTGATATCCGGGAACTCCTGGTTGGATGCACCGTTGGCCGCAGGCGCGGCCTTCATACCTGCAAATGCAGAATCAAAGTCCCTTGCCTGATCAGAAGCGGATCGTTGATGGACAGCGCCTGCGAAGTACTGATCAAAGTCATCGTCTTCCTTAGCAGGACCCTTTCCTTTGTCTTCACCATTCGTAGCTGCTGCAACACCAACACCTGCTGCAACTGCCGCGGCGCCTGCACCAATTGCAGCACCGGTACCAAATCCACTCGCCGTAGGAGTCTGAACTCCAGGTGTGTCGCCGCCAGGGAAAGCGCCCGGCAATTCAAGATTCTCAGTGGACTTCCCAAACATTTCCTCCGTCGACATCTCACCGGTGGGAATAGTCTGTTTGACCGACTCCTGCTCTTCGTCCTGTGCGCTGGGCGCGAATGGATCATCAGCCTTGCTGTCCTCTGTACCGTACGTGGACGATCCGGGAGTCAGAGCACGAGGCGTGTTGCCTTCTTCCGGGCTCAAGCGACTAGCAGGCGCCGCAACTCGAACCGATGAATTGACCGACTCGTTTCTCGACAGTGAATGAGGAAAGGGCAGAGCTGCAGATGTAATCTGACTCGCAGAAGGAGGTGCTGGCGGCTCCATGATCTGTGGTGTGCTAGAAGACGCTCGAGAGATGCCAGCAGGTGGAGTATCATTGGCAGAGTCGAAAGATCTGTCGAATGACGTGGCAGGGGCAGGAGCAGCTGCGCCAAATGAAGGTCCGAAGATATTGTCGAATGCACTCTGATTATGCTGCTGCTGCGGCTGCGGCTCAGGCGAGGCCACCGTCTCGGAGGGTGTCCGTCTGAAGAAGGGGTTCGAGCTCGTCGAGGGCGCAGGGCTGACAATGTCTCTGGACACCGCTGGTGGACTCGTGACTGCCGGCGGGCTTGCGACGGCCGGAGGGCTCTTGACAGCCGCACGCGCACGCTCCGCCTCCTCAACTTCCCTCTTAGAATTCTCAATAGCACGCGCCGACTCCACCGCCTCTCTTGCATGGTCCTCAATCTCCTTCTGCGCAGCGGTGAGCTCGGCTTTTAAGCGATCCCTTTCAGCTTCGTTAGTCGCAAGCTGCTTCTTATTGATCGCGACCAGACCTTTTTGTTGCCGTGCATCGGACTTGAGCTTCTCGAGCTGTGGTTTCAACGAGTCGACCTCGGCGTTCATTTGGCGAATCTTTTCCTTCAAAGCCGCGTTCTCGCGTTGGTCGGTCTCGAATTGCTGGCGCAGCTGTTGGTGCTGTGTTGATAGATCCTGGTGATTTCCATTAATCATCGCGTAGTCTGATTGTAGACGCTTCGTGTCGCCTTTGACAGCTGCGAGCTGGTCTTTTAAAGCTTTGACTTCCTTGACTTCGCTTTCGTACAATTGTCGCAGTTGGCCGAGCCGGCTCTCGAATGCTCTCTTCTGAGCACTCGTCTGATTGATTTCTTGCTCCGTCTGCCCGCGAGAAGTGTGCAGGTCTGTCATCTGCTTCGACAAGTTTCCAACCTGGTTCGACAAATTGGCCAGCTCAGTGGTTTCGTTTGTAATCTTCGAGGTCTCGGCTGGGTCAGCGTCACCAAGCAGGTCATCATGGGAGGGAGATGCGATAGAGCGATTCTGGTTCAAAGAAGGCGAACCAGTAGCTTGCGGATTCAGCGATTGGCCAAAGGAGCTTGTTGGCACGAATGGTCGGAACTGTGTAGAAGTGGATGGTGACGATGGTGCGGGAGGATTTGCGAAAGGACCAGCATCAGTCCCGCCCGTCGATTGAGCAACCTGCTGCTGAGGCGTGCCAGGTGGACCAAATGCATCGAGACCGAATAGATCGTCCGCCGCAGATTTTGGCTTTGTCGGAGCCGCGTTCTCGAAAGCCGGTGCTGTGGGCTGTGATGGAGGGATGTGTTGCTTGCGCTTGCTTGGCGGGATTAATGCCGGAGGAAGCGACTGAGGTAGAATACCTCGACCATCTTTGGAACCACGCTGTTGCCGGATGAGGTACATCGCCACGGCAAATTCATCCCTGTCCAGTCTGCCTTCAGAATTGATGTCAGACAGATCCCAGATCTGCGCAAGGACTTCTTCTGGGAGGCGAGCATTGCCGAAGAACTCGACCGCCTGTCCACCTGAAATGTAGCCACTGCCAGACTTGTCGATTGTGGCGAAGATCTGATCAAACTTGGCCTTGTCGGGCGCATTGATTAGCCACATTTCCCCAGTCGACTGCTGTGACAGCGGCGTGCCAGCTTGCGCTCTCGTGATCGGACTTTGAGGACGGCCGTAACCAGAAAATTGAGGTGCGATCTGAGGCTGAGCTGATCCCGGTCGCGACCCAGGACCTCGCTGGCCGACTGGCGGCGGTCTTCGGAGGGCAGCCTCATACAAGCCTGGCGGAAGAGTATTCGGCACGCCGCGCATTTGACCTGACTTGAACGAAGCAAGCAGATGCATTGCAATCACAAATTCCGTGACATCGAGCGCGCCTCGACCCTGCGTATCCGAGAGACCCCAGATCCGTCCAAGCACATCATTCGGCAGCCGTGCTCGCTCGAAGATCTGCTTTGCAATGACGCCAGACAGCATGCCATTTTCTGCGTCCGATCTTTCAAACAAGCCCGAATACTCGGCTACCTTGTCGGGACTAAGCGGAGGGACTCGAATGGGTGCGCCAGTAGGGCTTTGCGGAGGGCCGGTCGGTTGTTGCTGAACGGGAGGTGGCACCGGCTGCGCCGGCTGGCTGGCGGTGCTGCCACTGAATCGTGGAAGAGGAGCCACTGTTGTTGATGAGTACGGTTTCACCATGCTTCTGATCAAACTGACCTTGAGTCGCAAGTTGTGGCGTCGGACTACGACCAGCCTGCGCATGGCCTATAAGCCGCAGCACGACGCCAAAGCCTGCCGCCGTCAAGAAGCCGTTGTTTTCCGAGTCGGCGATTTGCCAGATCTGTAGCATGTGAGCATTGTGACTGTCCTCCTATCCTCCTTCAGAGTCGTACCTGGCCAAGCATATCCGGCGACAGGCTCGTCCTCGAGAAGAAATCGAGCGCATGGTCGCCGGACACGACACCGAAGCCATCAGGATCCCTACTCGGCTTGTTAGCTGGTGCTATTTCGTCGTCGAGGCTGCGTCATCGGCACGTACGCTTCTTTCAGCAGGCGCGAGTATGCGCTCTTCTCGTCGGCGGTCAGATTGAGATTCGGGTGCCCTTGAGAAAGAATGTCAGCTCGTGGTACGCTCGTGCAGATATGACAGCAGCCTACCTGCGCCGGCCGCCCCGATCTGGGTGTCTGCCATGCTAGCTCAGACCCGGGACCACGGGGAAAGATGCTACAAATGCTCGCTGCGAATCGCTGGGAAGACAAATCAGACGATCATCGAGATAACGACGCGCAGGCCATGTACAAGGTTTCGCTGTCGAATAGCCAAAAGTAAAGAATCGGCAGGAGAGGCTGGTTAGGCCTGTGTTCCATGTACCTCGCTTTGTAAAGGTCGGAACGACGTAGAGCTCCGCCTAATTCCGGTTAAATCCACATTGATCACCTATCCTACTGATCGATGGCAACACGCGTCTCGCGGACCTCACTGTACGTGCCTACTCAGATCGAGTGTAATGAAATTCGCAACTAACAGCGAACCAAGTCAAAGGCATAGAAGGCCGGTTGCATCAAGCACTTGTGGTTGATATTGGGCTGTACATACACCTCCGCTCGTTGATCGCTCTGCTATTCTTACTACACAGAAATGAATCGCTTGCCGCCTGCTTGCAAAGCCGTGATTTCAAAGCCGGAACCAATCTATCAAAGACCAGTCTCCCCGATAGTAGCTGACAAGCAAGACCGGATAGCAGAGGCAGGGGCTGTGGGTAGTAGAAATCGTGTGTTCTCCGGGTGATTCTCCGGTCAATGCGGACAGCAGATAAGCTGGCACAATCTTGTTATGAGATGGACACCTTAGTGCTCAAGCTCCTCGCCCTCGACGTCCTCGATGGAGTCGCTGGCAACCTCCTCGTAGTCGCGCTCAAGAGCAGCAAGATCTTCACGCGCCTCGGAGAATTCACCTTCCTCCATACCCTCACCAACGTACCAATCTGTGACAAATTAGTGACTAATCGTTAATAGGATTGACGTCGACTTACGAACGAAGGCACGCTTGGAGTACATGAGGTCGAACTTGTGTGAGAGAGCACCCCAAGCCTCGGCAATGGCGGTGGTATTGGAGAGCATGCACACAGCGCGGTTAACCTTGGCGAGATCTCCATTGGGAACCATCTGAGGTGGCTGGTAGCAGATACCAATCTTGAAGCCAGTCGGGCACCAGTCAACGAATTGAATGGTGCGCTTGGTCTTGAGAGAGGCGACTGCAGAGTGAACATCGTTGGGAACGACATCACCACGGTATAGCAGACAAGTGGCCATGTACTTGCCAGTGCGAGGATCACACTTAACCATCTGGTTGTTGGGCTCGAAGCAAGAGTTCGAGATCTCCTGCACCGAGTTGGACTCGTGCGAGGCCTTGGCGGCTGAGACGACTGGGGAGTAGGCGACCAGAGGGAAGTGGATACGCGGGTATGGCACAAGATTGGTCTGGAACTCGTTGAGATCGACGTTGAGGGAACCGTCGAAGCGGAGGGAGGCAGTGATGGATGAGACGACTGTGATTGATTAGTCATGTGCGAAAAAATGGGAATGATCAGACTCGCCTTGAGCAATGAGACGGTTCAAGTTCTCATAGTTGGGGCGCTCGATACCCAAGTTGCGACGGCAGATGTCGTAGATGGCCTCGTTGTCGACCATGAATGAGCAATCCGAGTGCTCCAGAGTAGTGTGAGTAGTAAGGATCGAGTTGTATGGCTCAACGACAGCGTTGGAGACCTGAGGCGCAGGGTAGACGGAGAACTCAAGCTTGCACTTCTTGCCGTAGTCGACAGATAGACGCTCCATCAACAAGGCGCCGAAGCCAGAGCCAGTGCCACCACCGAAGGAGTGGAAGACAAGGAAGCCCTGAAGACCAGCGCAGTTGTCGGCGACACGGCGAATCTTGTCGAGGACCTGGTCGATGAGCTCCTTGCCCACGGTGTAGTGACCTCGAGCATAGTTGTTGGATGCGTCCTCCTTGCCAGTGATCATGTGCTCAGGGTGGAAGAGCGATCGGTATGTGCCAGTGCGGACCTCATCGACGACATTGGGTTCGAGATCGCAGTAGATGGTACGCGGGACATATTTGCCTTGGCCTGTGCCTTTGTCAGTATTCCTGTCACTATCTTGATCATTAGGCACTCTTGCGCCCACCTGTCTCGGAGAAGAAAGTGCTGAAGCCTTGGTCAGGATCAGCGGCTTTGCGCTCGGGAGTAAGGTATCCATCGGGCTGTCGAGGATGTTAGCAGGGTCGCATCGGTGGCGGCGGTGAGGGGCATCTTACCTGAATGCCGTGCTCGAGGCAGTAGAGCTGGTAACGTTAGTAAACATGGCAGATTCGCAGGCTGAGGTTTACGAACCTCCCAGCAGGAGTTGGCGATCTGGCAACCGGCCTGGCCGACTATACGTAGTATGTTAGTAGGCGATCAAGGAGAGGAGTCGGTGGACAGGGGTTGTCGCCTGCGCTCGACGCGTCTCGAACGTACCGTTGAGGGAGATGACTTCTCTCATATTGGCGTGGTACTTGTTGAAGTCAGAGTATTACGAGGAGTAGGTGCAAGAGGCGTCGACTCGTGGACAACAGGGTACAAGGAGCGTGCCGCTGAGAGTCGTGCTGGAGGCAAGATGAGGGAGGACCGAATGTTGACAGTGGGGTATTTTGTTTCTGCACACCGCCTGGTTGATTGGAAAAGCGCGTAGCCCGCTTTTGGAAGGAGTCTTGGCATTAAGTGGCTCGGCTTCACTTGAAGAGCACAAGTGACGTGCATATCACGATTGACCGAGAGAAATGATTACGAAGTCAGATACACAACATCACTTCGCAGTGCTTGTACTACCGCGAATCTAGGATAGTCTCCCGAGAGGTACAAGCAGACAACATGTTGCCACTCGTCATGTACCTCATCTGTATGGTGGCACCCTTCACTCTTGCCAACACCGAGAAAGTCATCTTCGTCACTCCTGAAGCCCAAGACTTCGTCCACGATGCCAGTCTCGACAATCTGCTGCTCGAGCGCTTGACATCGGCCAACTTCTCTCTGCGAACATATGTAAATGCTACGTTTCCAACAGAAGATGCTCCCAAGGGTACCGAAACGTGGCTACTGCTTGAGGATCTCACACCTAATCAGCGCCATGAAGTGCGCATCTGCTGGCTCGCTACACAACCCACTTCTTTCTGGCTGTACACGCATACCATGGTCGAGGTGTTCTCGGATCCAACATTGCTCTCAGCGGTGACCGATTACTCAAACAGGCGTCGTAGGAGCATCTCTTCGGCCGAACTCGACGAATTTCGATCAAGGAGCGATCGCAGAGCACCGAGCAGCGACAGACCGAGCACGTTCCTGTTCCTGCAGATCCATGCTGCAGCAGATTATTTCAGCCTGAACGATGACTTGATGAAGAATGTACCGCCAGTCCATGCGGACATCATCCTTGATCCGTATCTGCTCAACATCTTTCCGCAGTCACTTGTGCCAACAGCTGTGTACATCGTGATCATCGCCATCATCGGCTGGTTCGTGTCAGGCTGGATATACAGCAATCTGATCCATCCCTTGCTTGCCGAGGAGCCAAAGCCAGCCAAGAAGGCGGAGTGAGCTTGCCACCACAACTTGCTTAGCTCAGATCAAAGACTTACACGCCTTCTGCTCAGTACTGGCAGACAGTCACGTTTTCTCGAGACGGCGCCTCAAGTCACGCCCATCTGGTAAGGATCCTGCAGCTGATCATAGTCCGTCATCAACGAGAACAGCGGAAATTCCTCCGCATACGATGGGAGGCTGGGTATTCCAGACCCAGCCGGAGAGACTTCGTTCAATCCTGCCAATTGATCGAAACCATAAGTCGGGAAAGCGAACTGCTGTTGCGCTTCAGCCTCATCTGCCAGGTTCCCAGACGTGGTCAACACTGGCCCTCGCCCCTCAGCAGGCATGTCGAAGTTGATCGACCACGGCTCCTGCTGTTGTATCGCATCGTTGAAGATACCGAACCCTGTGTCAAAGCCCTGTGTCATCATGTCGTTCATCGGCTGCTGCTGCTGCATCTGATTCTGGTTCTGGTTTTGATTCTGATCAGCGAGTTTCGGCAATTCGGGAGTCTCCTTGATCGGGTCGCCGAAGATGTTGTGAATATCTTTCCGCCGCCTGTGCAATTCTCGTTGTTCTCGGCGACGAATGTGTTCCATGGCAGCATCGCGGAGGTGGCCGGTAATCTGCTCGTATCGTCGCGCGGATGGGTCGTCTCTGGCCATGACGGACAGGACAGAGATTGCCTGGTCGAGGCTGCTGAGGAGAGGAAAGTTGCGGTCGAAGTCTCCAAAAATGGAGAAGCCAATCACCATGGCGCTTACTGAAATACATTAGCCTTGATGTGTTGCAGGAGGCATTCGACTTACCAAATGAAGAGTTGGTGACCACAAACAATCGCTTTGGTACGCCAGGCGTGTGCACGAGATCGCTCGCGATCTCCACGCTCCTCAGCGCTGCATCGATGCAAGCCTCGCTCAGAGTACTGGTGACCTCACTGCTGCTGCCACTCGCGACAGCTGGTCCGGCCTTATCCTCCTCCTCTTCTTCGCCGCCGCCGGTCATGCTCTGTTGCTGGTTGGAATGCAACTGCTGCTGTTTCCTCCGCCTCTTCAGCTTCCCACTGACCTTGAATATCAAGAACGGCCGCGTCAACAGAATGATGCTCCAGTAGTACGCGCTTTTCAAATGTGCAACACCGATGGTCTGCTGCAACGTCGGCGAACCACTGCCAGGCGTTTGATCCAGCCCGTCTTGGTGCAGACCAGCAGGAAGCTGTAGCGTCCAATCCCTGTACTGCCGACTTATGCTCTCAACAAGCTGTACGCTTACTTCCCTCCGGCAGTAGACCTCGTTCATGATGCGCTCGAAGATGAAGCATATCCTCAGCATTGCCGAGCTGTTGAGCCCTGCCATTTGGATAGTCTCATAGTCTCTTGACTTTGCGTCCCAACTCACACTCCCGCCGTCCACTTCACTCGTCGCAGGCGGTCGACCAAGACTGGCACTCATGTATAAGTCCAACATGCGCAAGCTCTTCCACACTCGTTCTCTAGTCTCACGCTCTTTCTGCTCGAAGAGCCGGCTGATGTCGCCTCTGTGCAGACCCAGTGCATATGCCGCTCGCACGGCGATACCGAGTAGCATGAACGCACCATTTCGCCGACACGCAGTGAGCATGAAAAACGTGATGAGGGCGTAGCTCTGGATCGTCATGACGGACGGATCGTCCATGAAGCTGGCGGCTACCAGTTCACGCCCCCGTTGCAGGTACACTTCAGCAACAGAAGGCGCGCCGTCGACACCAGGGCTGACTCCTTGCTCGTTGACCTCTCTTCCCTCGGACCCGAGCTTGACTTGCGTGCCGATGGCAAGAACGAGATAATATATACTGGCCTCGATGCCGTCTTCTTCTTTCTCCGGCAGAGCAGCCCAACGGCTCACAGATTCGAGGATCTCGCCTTGTTCGAACAGGTCAATGAAGCCGCTGGAGGCGAGCAGGTAGTGCCTGACCAGGTTCCGAGCCTCGCTCGCTGAGGGCCGCTTCACTTTCCGACCCTTGGGTAGAGGTATGCTGGCGTTGACTTCCACCATGGCATGTCTCAAGGGATCCCTGGTGAGACCACTTTCCCCAATCTCCGCCTTGACTAATCTGCGGATGTTTTGGACGAATGCCAGGTTCGACGAGTCTCCGACGAATATGAACTTGCCATGGCCATCTTTTAGTAGACGTGCTAGCTTAGGAACAGGAGCTCTTGATGCAGGATCTTGAACATCAACGCCGCTGCCTGGATCAGCATGCGTTATTGGGTGAGGGTTGAACATCATGTCAGGTATTGCTTCCAGGGTGGGGGTCCTTGCGGCAGATCTACCGCCAGACAATTCGAGAAGTGACTCAATAGCAATTTCTGCATCTTTCGTCGTAGTGTCTCGAGCTAAGTCCACGGCCAGAGCGTTGTCCAATGTGAGACGTCGGGATGGATCCGTGTCTCCTGGCATTCCAGCGTCGTTGACTTCACCGTAAGAATTCTGCTGGAATTGCTGCCCGTCATCTGGCGAGATGTACTCGCCGTTAGTGCCGTGATCAATTGGGCTTAATCCAGCTATAGAGCTCCGTTTCCGTCGAGCAGAGAAGCCGTCTGAGAATTTACACGACGATTCTCGACTACGACGCTTGCATAGAAGACAAGGATGCGATCCATCGCATTTCTCTTTCCGTCTCTGTTGGCACTTGAATTAGCAAAAGCATTCAACGCACGTTCAAGCCACAGCATAATGGCAAAACGAACCTTGCATGTATCACAGGCTCGAGCCACTCGTTTCCGATCCTCGTCTTTCACGCGAGGACGAGGCATCGAGATCGATTGGCCCTTGTCCAGGAGGTACTGAGCCGAAAAGCAGTGGTGGATCGGTACCAAACTCCAGGGAAGTGGGCGATCGGATGAGGTACTCGTGCATATAAGCAGGACTTTCTGGGACGAGTCTAAAAGTCACTGCGTCCCATGTTTTACAATCGAACTGCTCAGATGCTACATCCAGTGCTGCGCACGTGCCTGTCTGACTTTGCTACCGAGGGAGATGAAGCTGAATTCGAGATTAGTCGGATGTGGGACGCGACGAGACCGCAAACAAGTGGAGGCGGGGAGCCTGGGCCAGTCTGGGGGTGACCAATCATCACAGGGACGAGATAATCAGGGCAAGCACGATTTTGCGCCGCTTCTCCCTCCCTTTCATCGTCCTACGCGTCGAACGAAACAATTCTTGCTGCGGCCTCAGCATTCATTTCAATATGATCAAGAGAAGGAGCACTGGCTCAGCGCTCACGAGTACATACTGTCAATGAAACTATGTCTTTTGAAGTTGCCGAAGCATTGGAATTTCTGCTACATGTCGAAGTGGTCCTCCGCAATGAATGTGCGCGGGAAAGAAGCCAATGCAGCAAATGCGAAATTCAGGACGCTGAAGCAGACACATTAAGCGTTGATAGCGCCGGACGTGGCCAGCTGCGTACCTTCTGACTTAGAATCCAATGGAGCCATCATGATGTCGTACTTGAGCTGCTTCTTAGCAGTCTTGTCACCCTCGAGAGGCACAAAGTCAACAACAAGGGAGTCCTTCACAGCAAAAACCGAGTCATCGTCAAGATACGGGCTGTCCTTGTCGAAAATCTGGGTCGTGATGGGCTTGTAGCCTTCCACGAGAACCTGGTCGAAGGTAAGAAGCTTTCACGGTGCGCGGACGAGAACAACTTACAATCAAGTGAATGTGCGCCGGACGGTATGGGTGACGATCCAGAAGCTGCAGAAGCTTGCCGGCCGGTCCGTCGTATGGGATGGGGTATGGTGTTGGCCGAATGGCGTAGTACGCATATTCGCCGTTCTCATCCGTCTCAAACTTGCCTCGGAGGTTCAGATCTTTCTGGTTGGGATCTTGTTGCTCATAGTAGCCGTTCGTCGAGCACTCCCATACATCGATTGTTGCGCCCTTGAGCGGTTTCTTGGTCTTTGCACACATCACTTTACCGTGCATGTACACTGGCTCGGCATCCGCGGGCGTGTCGTGGCTAATGTTGGCGCCCTTTGGAAGTGTGGGATGGTCGTGACGGAAGAAGGGACCCAGGATGGCGCTGGCTGTTGCTACATCTGCAGCCTCGGCAGCCTTCTTGTAGGTAATCTCGTCGACCAAGCTGGGGAAGTGTCAGACACGCCAGAAAGACTCAGTCGGATAAGGCACTTACGATTCGATACCAAGAACATCACACATGAGCTGGCCTTCGTTGCGCTTCTCATCCGACATCTGTCCAGACCAGTTGATCATGTTGACACCTTCCATCCATTCGTCCGCCGTGAGGTCTACCTCTCGCGCCCAGTCGTGAAGATGGCGGATCAGACTGGAGAGGACCTCCTTGACACGAGGGTTGGCCTTAGGGCCAGTCGCATCAATGACATGCTGTGTGAAGTTTGGGTCGTACTTGGGAGCGGCGCTGCCCATCTTGAAAGCTAAGGGCAGACGAAGGGTTGGGGCGTGGAATCGTCTCTGGTGTTCTGACGAGGGGCAGGGCGGATAGTGCACAGAGTATCAGAATCGCCGGTCTGTCACGTTTTGATATAGGGGTCTCTCCTGCGATATCGCAAGAATTGCAGGTAAGATGAAAATGCTGCCAGCGTGCCCGCTTCCCAGGGGTCTAGAACTGTATATAAACCGACATTGACTTCCGTCGTAATGGTGGCCGCTTGCCGAAGGACACAGTCGTTCATCATCACGACCCCGCGCATTGAGAACTCTCCAACACGCTATTCTGCACCCCAGGGCAGGTGCTTGGACCAATGAATGGCCCTCTATCTACAAGTCTCTAGGCCCCATTCGTCAGCTCTTGGGAGCTTCGGATCGATGACCGGCAATCGCCCTCGCCCTCACAGAAACGCGACGCCAATGCTGCGCGGAACAGCATTTTGCCCCAGTCGGTCTCTTGAACACCAATGATGATCAACGCTTGTGTCAAGTGGCCAACTCGCCAGCAGAGAGACCAAGACATGCTGGCCACGGTCCGTGTGCTCTTTGGCATGGGATAGGTACTTGCTTTACAGTCCTCCGGTCGGCCTCTCGGCGCGTAAGCTCGATGAGCGCTACTCAAGGCAGTCGCGCCGCTTGATTTGCCTGTCAGCAACGACGCTCAAAGAACGCAATCCAGCAACAGCTCCATCAGGCTGGACCACGAGGTTCGTCATCATGGCGATATTGCTGTACATGCAATGGAAGACACGAAGTAAGGCCAAGCCTGCAGGACCGGTGCGACAAGCAGGCAATATGTCATCTCGCAGAATGAGAAACAGTCAACTGCATGTTTCACGATCTGAAGAACGACTGGATTTTGACAGCGGAGTTTCGACCTTTCTCGTCCAGGGTCAGGATACATCGCCATCGACGGTCGGACCTGCACACCGCTACGCAGGGAAGCCATCGCATCTCCGTTCCTGCATTTCGGGCGTGACAGCGTGGAGAAGCCGTAGCATAATGGCTCTCGGGCAAGCACAGTAACTCATGTAGGTCGCCTGGAAGGAAGGCGCAACTGCCTCCTTCTAGACTCGCCAGCTGCGCACGCTGATTAGCTTCTGATGCTTTCTGTGGGATGGCTCAGATCACAATCAAGCTGCATGCTGCCGTCCCACGTCCAACGTCAACACTAATATGCGGTGGTACAATTCGCCAACTTTGAGATGTCTCTCGAAGACGCATTATCCAAGCAATATCCTCGGAGAGCCAGAAACATCGACCTCAGGTAGGTGGGAAAGTCCCTCCCAACTGGAACAGCGTCGTACTGCCGTGAACGCTGCCTCACAAACACCACGGCTTCGTGTCTGTTGTGCTATCCTTGGATCGTGCCGAACCCCTTTCTCGCGTCATGCTGTCCCTTATTCATAACATTCCCATGATACTCGCGCCCGCAAAACATCAACAAGTCGAATCTGCTTGTCGGCCAGGTATTGCAGGATTCATTGTTCACGCATCTCAGGACGAAAGGACAGACAACTGCATTCTCCATCAAGCATGGAGACACTCGAATGTTACAGGACGCCGCCAACCTCTCCTCAGCCAGTCGAAACAGATGTGATGAGAACTCGTTCGAAACGCGTTGCCATCTCATCTCCGTCCCGACCTTTGTCTCCACGAGACGTACCGCTTCCAATTTCTCCTGTTCCAAGTTCGCCTTACCCGAGAGTCCTGTCACTATCAGGCTCTTCCGTCTCATCGAGACAAACGCGACCGTCAACGGACGGTCAGATCACTCCAAGAGCAACGACTCCAGGCAGCCCGCCACAAAGGCCGCCGCGTCCGCCTACATCTCTTCTCAACATTCGACCCACTATAATCCTCGCACCACTACTCGTACCGTCCCTTCCGCCGGCTGACCGGCCAGTATTTCTGAAAGGCAAGAATTCCTTCTCCACTGGCTCGACGTCGCTCAGCAATCCAGACCTCAGCATCGGCACTTGCAGCACATGGGAAGAGCAACCTTCCTCGGATTTGACGCCACCGTCGCCATTGTTCTCGCCCACCAGCAAGCAGCCCCAGTGCTCTTTCGTCAGTCCGGTCGAGCACAGGTCTGTCCTACACGATAAGCGACGCCCATCCTTGCCGACGCTACCGAAGGCCGTGATCAAGTCTCATCGATACAACAGCCATGCTCCGATCTACTCGCACAAACACAGCAACAGCTACAGTCCCACCTCGGCCCGACACCCATCAACCGGCAGCTCAGCCCATCCCTCCACCGAGACACCTTCAGCCACCTCCTCGCCATCGAGCTCACTAATCCGCCTCTCCCCTCCTCATCCACCATCGCCATCACCATACCCACCGCCAACCTCGCCTCTGCCACTCCCTCCATGCCCCTCACCCCTCGCCCAAACCCACCACTCCTACGTCCGAACACCGCACCACATCATTCGCCATCAACGACAAAGGCCCGTGTCCCCCACGAAACGGGCCTCGATCCGCCTCTGCGACCCCAACGACGACCTTGAAATCACTCCCATCCGAGACACAGACTACACCACCACTACCAGCTACCTCCAGCCCTCCGACCACGACATCTTCCGTCCCATGTCCCTTTCGCCGCCACCGCTTGCCTCGTTTCACTCGCCACTGTATCCTGACCTGGGTTTCTCCCGCCATCGCCACGCGAACAGCCATCATCAGTTTGATGAAGAAGGACATCCTGGTGAGATGATGGTGCCGGATTGCGCCGACGATTTCGATCCGCTCCCTCATCAGAACAGCAGCGGTGAAAGGCGACGGTGGCGGACACACAGACGACTATGGATGGTGGCAACGGTGTCACTGGTGGCAGTCTTAGTTGGTGGCATCCTCTGTGGCGTGCTTTGGCGTCTGAGTCAATGAGCATGAGCGCGATGGGATAAGCGCGGGATCGATTGCAGCACGATGAGCTGTGGAAAGCTGCAAGGCAGTGAGTCCACAGACAGTATCGAAGCCTACCGCAAGCAGGAAATTAAAAGCGAGAGATAGATTGTATTGCAGATACATTGGAAACGAACGCTGAGAGCCTCATGCACCACAAACTGCAGCTGCAAGCCTTCTCTTTGAGGAGGGCGCAAAAGTACCCTACACAGTTACACTCAAGTCCTCGATCGAACCCCAACGATGTCATGACCGTTGCCTGACTCTGCCACTCACTCACTGCACGCCTCAGAGCATGGGACTGGAAACCTCGTCAGCCGGTCTGTACGTAGCCGTCGTGTCATCCGGTCTTGCGAACGAGTCCTTGACATTCGCACCTGCCCGCCTCGTCACCCGCTCTTGCCAGTCATTCGCTCCTGCCAGCCAGCTCCTCATCTTTGCTCTTGTCGATGCTCCGCGCTTGCAGCTCCTGCCGACTGTTCCTTGCCGCCCTCACATGCCAAGCATTCCTTGTCATCCGGTCTCGCCGTCCCAATCGCTGTCAACCGGTTTCCTTGAGTTCCTGTCAACCGGCGCGACTTAATGGCTAGACACCCTACACCTCGAACGAGCTTATAGGAGCATCTGCTCAACGTCGCGGTTGCTACTACTGGCGGACATCCCAGAGGATGATGATGATCATGCTGTAGTGCGCTCAGACTGTTTGGCTGAGTTTGATGACGTACAAGGTCGGCTGCTGGACGAAGCAGGAAGAGAGGTGGGAACAAATATATGCCCGCTGAACATTTGCCATATGGCACCTCAAGCAAACAAGCAAGGGATATCCTCAGCAACGCAGGCCCAACGCCTAGCTGCAAAACCACAGATAATCCATCTCACAAGCGGGCACCTCGCAGAGGGTTCGTCCTCTCGCCGTACGCATCTGTCTGGTATTTACCCGCAGTGCAAAGTACGCTCTGCTCATCACACCTTCCCCGACATCGCTGCATCATGTGTTGCGGCTTTCCACTCCCCTGTTCCCTCAGCTGGAAGTCTCCACCCCTCGCCATCTCCCGGACACACCCCTCTGTACCACCCTTCCGGCCAGGTCCTGGTCTTGACCCTCTCTGCCAGAAATCCCGCCTGCTGCACATTGCACTCGTCCGCAATCTGCCTCAGTCTGCGCTCTGCCCACTCTCGCTGGAAGTCTGTAGCTGTATCCACTGCTACGCTCGTGCTGAGCGCCCAGGGGAGGTGGCAACCTGATGCGCTGCGGACCAGGGGAAGGGAGCCGGCAAGAATGCTTGAAGGCGTGGGAAAGTGGGACCATAGGAAGTTGGGCGATTTTGGAGTCAAAGAGTTGGAAGTGTCTATCTGCGAGCGCGACCCATCCAGGTAGCGAGGTACTGTGGGACCGAAGCAACGATGCCGTCTGTCATGGCGCGCATAGTGTCAGTAGCGTGCTGGAGTAAGGTGGTGTGCTCGGCGGTGCTGAACATGGGAGGACGGCGAGTCATGCCGATTAGGAGGATCGAGCGAATGAGTTGGTTGACCTGGACACGCATGGCGCGGATGCCGTTGGAGAGTTCGGCCATGTTGAAGAGAGCGTATTCGTGGCAGTAGCCAAGTGGCATGAGATCTTCGTAGTCGAAGCTACCAGGCGGCAGGTCGGACTTTTGGATGACTCGACGCGGAGCGCTGCCGAGAACGGTGTGTGCAGCCCCAACAGCTTCCTCGTCGAGAGTGACGGCCATGCTCACAAGGGAGGTGAGCTCTTCTGGGGTTGATGTCGTTGCTGGTGGGTGGCGTGTCTTGCCCCAGAAGGCGGTGTATTTGACAGTGAATTCGAAGCAGCGCCAGAGAGCGCCCATAACGGTGCCGGGCTGGCCTTCGATGTGGCTGGGCATGGTACGGGCAGCTATTGTGAGATCGGAGATGCATTCGGGGAGATCGATACGTCTTTGCATGCAGTTGACACAGATCGGTATGGCGGCTTGTACGAAGAGTCGACGGCCATCGATGGTGGCGAACTGAGCAGGACCTCGGATCTCCAGGAGAGCAGCAGCGCCTTCCGCGTGGTTGGACCAAGCGCTCAAGGTACTGACGTGCTTCTGACGCGGATCAGGAGATTTCGAATCCGGGTTGGCGAAGGTCTCGTACATTATGAGAATGGTCACAGCAAGAACTGTTGCGTCCTTCTTCACCTCGTATGGATCGCATATTGCTCGGTTTAGGGCACGTACCGCGGCCAGGTACTTGGCTGATGCGTGCTCAGGGAGTGGCGCTGAGAGAGGTTCTGGAGGGAAGTGGTACAAGGAGATGAGGCCAAGTGCCAGTACGGAGTTGTAGAGTGCCAGAGAACTGGCATCTGGCGCAGAAGCTGAAAGGTTCGAGAGCGGATGTTGTGCGCTCTCGAAGAATGTGTTCTGCCTGTGCTCCTGCGGCGTGAAGTGCGTGAAGAAGAACTCCATAGCTTGCGTCTCGAGCTGTGTAGGTAGAACATCGACGTCGCCGGAGAAGGTCTTCTGCTCGGGCCCGAGACTGATAGGCAGCGGTGCACTGCCCGCATGCCGAGGAGTGCTATTGCTGGTTGAAGATGACTCTGGATAGGAATAGTCGAGGTCGTCACGCCTTGCATTTTCCGCGTGACTTCCTGTGTCTCGTCCAAGAACATCATATCGACAGCGTCACGGTAGCCGCCGCATTCCCGCTTTGCTTTCTCGCAGTTCTGACATATTCCGGGACGCTGATCGCAGCGTATCTTGCGCTTTCGGCACGTCAGACAGCCTTTAGATGGTGGTCCACGATATGGCATGGTTGCAAAGCAGAGATTTGCAGATCTAGTGTGTTCTGACGAGGAAGTCGCGACTTCGGTAGTAAATCATAGAATGCAGCTACTCCTGAGTCGCTACCAGAGTGCTCTTGTAGATGTATGAGCGCAGCAAAGGGCGTATAGAATGCCGGCGCCGAGTATTGGCCTAGACCTCCGCCTTACTCCCTACGCCTCGTAGCTGTAGCCTAAGGACCTTTGGTCGACTGTCGTGATATAACGGTTGCCTTTCGCGGCGCATACCGAAGGAGTCAGAGCTTACCTCTCCCACGTGGTTGGACACGTGTAATGGCCGTGTTTATGCATAGAACGGGCGCCTGAAATGATCTACTGAGGTATATGAGGCTGTTCAACATACCTTATAGGGCCTTGCGGCATATTCTACTGAGTTTCGGCACGGAGAGGGACAAGATCACCATAGCTGAAAAGCCAGGAAAACTCAATTCAATCTCGCATAAACGCTGTCACACCAACAACTGGGCTGCCTGGGCATTCCAAAGATAGCTGGAGGCGCAGATTCGAGGAGAAAGTGGACTGGTGGTTAAGGGGAAGGTTCATGGAAATTTGTAGGCTGCTAGCAAAATGCTGGAGCGCCGTTGATATTCATCTGAGATGGACTCAAGTCGATACAACTATCGAAGAGGGACTAATGCTGCACATGGCTAGGCGGTACCAAGCCTTTGGCTTAAGCAAGACGATAGGTGTATCATCTCGCTTCGGGGCGGATACCGACCGCAGTCATTGGCCAGCGGGCGCCCATTGCACCCAGTAGTAGATCTAGCCGGTCTTGAGCCGGTTGGGGGCCATGCCATAGCGTCGGGAGTCCTCCTGGAGCCTCCGGAATATGCCCATGGCACTGTCCAGAGACAATCAGCTCTCACCACGCAGGGGTGGCAGAGGTGGTGTTGACTTCGTCAGCCCAGGAATCTGTGCTGCTTTCGAAAGCGTGGCCAGACACAGCACCAACATCTTCCTTCTTCAGAGCGATGTTCTCCTGACCACTCGCACTGTCATATGCCGTCGAATCGGTGCTCATCCAGCCGCCATCACCAGAGACAGGAGCAGCTTTAGCCCAATCGTCTGTGCCACCAGTAGTAGCGCCACCAGCATCGGCATCCCATCCTCCGCCAATAGCGCCAGCACCAGCATCCCAGTCGCCGCCGCCCCCAGCAGCTGCATCGTCGCCAGCATTGTCCCAACCAGCACCCGTGCCATCAGCACCTTCACGTTCAGCGTCTCGCTTGGCCTTGCGCTCATCGATGAATCTCTTCTGATCCTCGAATTCAGCCTTGAGATCTTTGTCAAAGTCAGGATAGTCTTCACGCAGCTCAGACAAGACTTCCATCTCCTCGGGGGTATCTTCAGAGTCGAGGTGGCCAGACCACCAGGAGAAGAAGATCGTGGCAGCGGCGACTTGTCGGAGATCCGCCGGTGCAGTCTCATCTCTGTAGATGTCCTCTATTGACCGTTAGTGCCAGCTGGCAGTGAACTTGAGTGACGCCTTACCGATGAGATCCCAACTCAGACGACGGTCTTTCTCACGCTGGAACTTGGCCATCTTGCGCATGCGCTTGATGATCTTTTCCTGGAAGTCACGGGCAGGCACCTCGATGCTCTCGGCTGCGCGGATGATCTTGATGTAGCGAGCCAACGTCTCTGGATCGTCTTCGTCGTACTGTAATCAAGTTAGCTTTGAACAGCGAATGAGTTGCATCTGCTCACTGTGTCGAACTCAACAATCTCCTTGTTCTCAATGCATCGCCGGATCCACTCCAAGATCTCTTTGATCGCCTTTTCGTCACAATGCTTCGGCAATTCGATGAGCTTCTCGCCTCTAATGATGTCTGCTCTGAATAGGTCTGAGAATAGGACAAGCGCTTCCCGAGGAAACTTCTGTACGATGAGATCTAGAGCGCCAGTTGCGGGATTACGATGGAAGATTGGGACAAAGTGCTTCTGGAAGTCGTCACTGTATGAAGTGTCAGTTCTCGTTCAACGCTACTGATGATGATGGAAAACATACCCGTCGCATTTCTCAGTGAACTTTGACAGCACTGCCGAATCTCGTGAGCGACGTTGCGAGGGCTTGAGGCCGACACAAGTATGAAGTCGAAGTGCGCAAGCTGGTAGACTCACTGATGCCGCGATTACGCTGAGGCTTGTCTTCAGTCTCACCAAAGTCGGCCATGTTGACGGATTGAGTCTCCTTATTGTTGTCTGAAGTGCTGTGAACCGCTGTCCAGGCTCGTAGAGTATGAGTGTATGATGCGGAGAGCGCTTCGAGTTGTCGATGAAGGCAAGCAACGAAAGACAGTGACTGTGGTAAGTGGGGCCTTGCTGCCAAGACCTATCGCACCTGCGACTTGACGATAGAAGTCTCAATTCAGGGTCAGGTCAGGGTGAGGTATGCAGATTGCCGCAGTGCCGAAGCTTTTGTTTCGGAAACTGAGGCTTGGGTAGATGATAGACGACAGCAAACATATTGACCCAGGCCAGCCTTGCGGGAACGGCTCCCAAACGATATCAGATCGGCTAGCAAACAATGCAATTACCTACCGCACGGCTTTCAGCTCCAGCGCCGTCTTGGATACGAGACCCGTACGCTTCCACCGTAGCTGTCCCCTTTGTCGATAGAGCTTTCTTCCAAATTCCAAGGGCGATCGTGATGGGACTGATCTCCTTCAAGTGCTGCGGATGAAGACAAAGCGCGAACGCGACGAAGCCGATGTTTGGCCATACCGGATCCGAGACAGCTGACCTACACCTCTCCTATTCCTTGAAGAGCCTGGCTACCTACAATATCGAAGAACTGCCGATGTGTCAAGCAATTGGCTTGCAAAATGCAATCAGTTGCATGAAGAAAGAAGGCAAGAAGTGGTAGTGTGCAGGCTTAAACTATCTTGCTCTCGGACCTTGCGGAGTTAACTTCCTTGAGCCATGAGCATGATTGTGCCTGGTCTCACTGCCAGTCCTTCTGTACACCCAGGGACATCAATGCTGGATCATCATCGTTCACTTCGTTGTACACATCACAGACATTAGTATAGCCTGCAGAAGCCTTGTCCACGCCTAGACCTCCCAGTCCAAGCCATCGCTGTCGAAGAGGTCATCAAGATCATCATCTTCCCACTCGACCACTTTCTTTCCCGGAGCTTCCTGGCATTGCGCCTTCTTTCGCTTGAACTCAGCCAAGAGTGCTTGCTCAGCATCTCTCGCTTTCCGCGCCTTCGCCTCTGCCTCCGCCGCCCGCTTAGCAGCGAGTTCCTCCCCAAATCGCCGCACGATGTCGCACTCCTCCTTTGTGAACTGCCGACGGACTTCCTTGATTGCCTTGACGCGATGCTCCTTGTCTTCTTCGAGCTCGAATTCACTCTTTGGCGTGCTGGATGTCGGGTCCTCTGTCGTGGTGTTTGTCTTTTGGGTGGATTGCTCTGATAGTCTTTGGGCTTTGAGCGCCTGGCTGAGCGTTTCAGCGTTGAGGTGTGATGACTCCATAGTTGCGATACGGCGATCTTTGGTGAGAATGCTTCTGGCGTACTCTGAATCAAGTCAACAGGTGGGATATGGGAGCTGTCGAATGACTTGTTAATGCTTGAGCCACGAGGACGATGGTGTGAGTGGCTCAATAATGGACAGACATTCTTAAAGGGGCGCTCTGACCACTCTGTTGCCTTAAAGCCTCCGTTTGTGTGAAGCACTGCTATCTGTCACCGTGGCGAGGCGAGCTGCTTTGTTTGTTGCTAGGAGATATGGTGATGGTGACAGCTGGAGGCAGTTCAAGTGATGACTCTGTATGGCTGTCAAACTTGCAGAAAGGCAGCAGGTGTGTGCATGGTCTGTGCAGAGATCAGTGCAAGAATGCGTTGGTGTAGATGCCTCATCAAGCAGGCTTCAGACAGAGAGCTTCGCAAGCTGTCCATGAATTGATCATGCCGTAGAAGCAGGGGTATCTCGTCTATGTGGAAAAGCTTTTCGAAGTCCGCCAAAATGCTTTTACTGCCGCGCTATGCAAGTGCCCACATCCACCTTCGCTGTCATGCCTCGCTACTGTGTGGAAAACCGGCACCGGTGCACCTCAGGCCGGAAACTCGTCATCTACAATCAGCCGCGTACTGATACTCATTGCGTTCAGCTCCCGACTCAGCAGCAGGAAGCTGTACGGCATCTGTAGTGTCACCACCTTAGAGCCTGCTTCACTGTCTCCCGCTGTGATACAGCGCTTGCACTGCCGATTGAAAGCCGTGAAGCCACAACTCTCGCAGATCTCCACATTGTGCACGTCCGAGCTCAGCATCAGACGCTCGCGCATCAGCTGGCTGGCGCCGTATGCGATCAAGCAGTCGCGCTCCATTTCTCCCAAACGCAGACCGCCGTCTCGAGAGCGGCCTTCCATGGGCTGACGGGTGAGGATAGCTCTAGGTCCACGCGCGCGTGAGTGCATCTTATCTTGCACCATGTGCTTGAGCTTCTGATAATAGATGGGGCCGGTAAACACGTAAGCTGGCAATGGTTCGCCTGTGACGCCTGAGGTGAGGTAGTCCTTCCCGTCATAGGAGAAGCCGTGGTTCATGAGGACTTGTGACATGTCGTCGAGCTGGGAGCCACCAAAGGCAGTGCCGTACTCAAACTTGCCATCAAGGATGCCGGCTTTTCCGGAAACAAGCTCCAGCATTTTGCCGACGGTCATACGAGATGGGAAGCCGTGCGGGTTCATGATGATATCCGGCGTGACGCCTTGGTCACTGAAAGGCATATCTTCTTGGGAGACGATGATTCCGACCACTCCCTTTTGTCCGTGGCGGGAGGAGAACTTGTCGCCAACTTCGGGGATACGGGTTTGCCGGGTCTGAATCTTGATGAGTTGCGAACCGTTCTCGACTTCAGAGACCATGACTTTGTCTACGTAGGAGAAATCGCTGAGCTTGTATCGTTGAGGTTGAGGTATGGCATTGTCCGAATCGTGCCCGTTTCCGTTGTCAGAGAAGCCTGAGCTGTTGGCGTTCTGCGGTAGGTGCTTATTGATGAAGACTTCTCCTGCCGAGATCTTCTCACCCACACGTGCGATGCCATCGTAGTCCAGCAAGGCGTGCTCTTTTACATTGACACCGGTCTGCTGATCGATCGTCGGCTCACGAACACTGTCCTTACTGCCGTTCGGGTAGAGCTTTAGTGAAACAGGATACTTTCGAAGTACCTGGCATCGTCCAAAACCTCGATCAACACTGGCACGATTCAGAACCAAAGCGTCTTCAATGTCGTACCCACTGAAGGACATGACAGCCACTGTAGCGTTCTGACCAGCCGGAAGTTGGTCGTATTTGATTAGCTCGATTGTCCGTGTCTTGACAAGCGGTTTCTGAGGGTACACCATGAGGTAGAGTATTGTGTCAATGCGCAGAAACTGGTTGCTGGCAATAGCACCGATGGCCTGTTTACCCATAGCACACTGGTAGGTGTTTCTAGGTGACTGGTTATGGTGTGGATATGGGATGAGACCAGCAACGGCGCCTAATATCGTGAACGGCTCAATCTCCAGATGTGTCGTGTTCGTCGTGATATCATCCTCGGTGAGTGCAATCAAAGCGTCATTCATTTCATTCGTGTCCAAATATTCAACCAGACCTCTGGCGAGGAAGTCCTCGAAGTCCATTGATCCACGCTGAAGAGATTTGAGATATCTCTTCGTGACCTTGGACTTGCGGTCTTCGACAATGATCAGGGGCCGACAGACTCGACCTTCATCGGTCGCTATCTGTATGGCACTGTGGTGGTGGTTGATGAAGATGGAGACGAACTCAGAAATTCGGCCAGATCGTCTCAGCTTTCGAAAGGCGCCAAGGAATTGTGATGGATATCTCGTTACAGCGAGCGGAGTGCCATTCAGCATGACAAGATAAGAACCAGGAGCGTATAGCTCGGAGCCGCCGACTGAGCTGATATCTTCCGCCCCGAGCATGTAAATGATCCGCTTGATCGGCTCTTGCAGTTGTTCGGTTGTGATGTGTGTCATCAAGGCTGTGTTCTTGACCAAACCACAGCTCTCACCCTCGGGTGTGTCTGCAGGACATAACATGCCGAAAGACGACGGCTGAAGAGCACGCGGCCCAGACACTTTGCGAGTCTTCTCGAATTGAGATGAAATTCTCGTCATCATGCCTAATGTAGCAATAAAACTCAGGCGATTGAGGAGATGTGAGACACCGGCTCGCTCCATGCGGAATCGCTTGAGATTCCAGTTGCCTGTGGCAATGGCTCTGCTCATAGCCTGCGTGATCTGAGATGCGTGACCAATCATGATCGCACAGGGATCTGGAACTTCAGTCTTGTTCGGCCTCCTCAGGATCTTGTCCATGTTCAGCTTGATATCGAAGTTGTACTTCTTCCACGAATCTTCAAAGAGAAGTGATAACATTTGTCCTGCCAATTCAATACGCTTATTTCCAACGTAGTCGCGATCGTCCACCATATCAGGATTTTGCTTCGTCATGAGACATCGTCGAGCCATGTGAGCAATAAAGATTGCTTTAGGTCTGAAATCTAGATCTTCGATGGGGACATGTGCAAGGAGCACATTTGAGACAGCTTCGAGTGCCTCCTGAACATAGTTTCGCTTGACCTGGCCGAAGGGCGTCTGCTTTCGTGCGATTTTGATTCGGCTTCCAACGTGATCCAAGGCTTGCTGTTGGGTGTGAATGCCAAGCTTGATTGTTTCCTCAAAGTTTTCTGCGAAGTCGTCCTGAAGTGCCTGGTCTGTACCAGCAACGATAGTCATCATCTCCATGTCGTTCGCAACACCCATGGCTTTCAGGAGCACGCATATCGGGATTGGCTCCTGTAGAATATTGTGATTCATTGTGATCAAGCCCTTCCGAAGGCTAACGTAAGTCTTAGATTTTCGCGCGTGCGTTGAGCTTGTGCAAGAGGCTGTAATCAGACCCTTCTTAGGCTCTGTCTCGACAATGATACGATTCTTGCTCAACTGCTCTTGCATAAGAATGACTTTCTCGGTGCCATTCACGATGAAATATCCGCCTGGGTCGAGAGGGCATTCCTGTAAGTCGACCTGTTCCGCCTCTGTTTTCCCGGACAAAATACAGCGTGAAGATCGAAGCATGATTGGAAGCCTGCCAATGGTCATGCCCTTCCGTCGAAAGATCTGATTGCCTTTGGGATATTGAACGTCGACTAGGATTGGCGCGGCGTAGGTCAGATCTCTCAACCTGCACTCATTGGGTGAGACGGTCGACTCTCGTCCATCTCCGTAGTATTGCTCGTCGTAACGAGATGGCTTGCCCACATAGATGTTGAGATACTTGATGTAGAAATTCGGGTCGATGTCGCTGAGGATCAAGGCTCTGACTCAATGATTTTCTTGAGCTCGACCTCGACGAAGTGATTGAAGCTGTCGATGTGTTGATGAATCAGACCCTTGACCTTCAGAAATGCTGGTAGCAAATTCCACTTGTCTCGAGCCGTCTCAATGCTATCGGTGAGCAACTTCTGGTCGTAGAAGGGTTCCAGGATTGCACCGAAAGTATCTCTCGCGAGCGGCGCCTTCCGTGGCCTCTCGTCCTTCGTCTGAGATTTGACATGCTTTTCGTTCGAACTCTTGCCATGGGTGGCCACCTCTTCATCAATTTGTGCCTCAGGTGCCCTCCCCACAGGGCCTGCACTCTTCTTTCTCCTGGGAGGCATGATGTCGCCGTCTCATGCCACGAATCTTGTTACGACAATGGTATTGCTAGTCTCATCGCGATGCTTCAGCCAAATATTGAAAAACAACAGATTTGGTCACCAACTTCACTCCAGATGTCCCCACTCTCACGGGCAGCGGAATATCTATTGACCGGCATGACTCAGTGAGCTGCTCTCCCAGTCCTCATGCCCCAACGTAGTCAGGATACTCTTCTTGCAAGCGAATTAGACAAGCCTGTAGCACTATGTAGAGTAAAGTGACAACAAAACTTAGTGACAATATCAAAACGACGGCATTGTTATTTGGTGGGAAGGAGAGAGCTCACGTTGGAAACTATTGAGTGTAAGTCATTTTCTATCCTACAGTGCATTTCTGCTTTCTGTACGCATTGCCTCGAAGTTGCGTCGATCCGTGGTTATAGCAGCAACACATCCTGCGCTTTGACCTGCTCGCCGGTCCTCCGATCATTGCGCAATAATATAAGTGCCCGTTAACCCACACGCTTATCCCGCCTATCATCGCGCCATTCACTCCAGGGCTCGCAGTCCACCCGTACCTCCCAGCATCACAGGCTTCAGGCTCTTCCGCACCAATTCGATCCAGACCGCTGCCCCTCATTTCAAAATTCACGAATCACAAAGACACGACTCCCATACTCTTGTGTCGAGGTCCTCCGACTCTGTTCACGAAAGTGCATCTGTCTCGTGCACAGAGTTTGTGCCTGAACCACAAAAGATAGTTAGGCGGATCCTCGTCTTTTGTTGCCGAAAGTCACACGGTTGAGGGCCGAAGTCGACCAGCACACGAAAACGCACCCGTCTCTTGGGCGCAGAACAGCACCTCCCACGCTATAGAAGCAAGGACTAAAGCGATCCCTGCCCATAGCTGGAACATCAAGTCATGCGATCAAAAGCATGCCGCTGCCAGATGCTGATGCTGGTGGCTTGCACTGCACGAAGTAGCTCCCATCCAGCAAAGTCATCGTAGGAGGGCCACGAAGCACGGATTGCGCCTGTGACTGTGAAGCAACGACAGCATGGCAGAGCTCGATCGGCAGCATTGTTACCTTGGATCACCCCTCTGTGGTGGTAGCCGTCCCTGGTGCCTGCATAATTCTGGCGGGATCAGAGGGCGGTTGAGGGGTGGATCCCTGCCTCACTGACCGCTTGTTCGAGTTCATCTTTACTCGCGATGATCGACCGAGCAAGTGGTCCAGACGCAGATATGACTGGTCCATCAAGGTCTGCAGCAAATCTGCCATTCGATTGCTTCGTCTTGCAGCTCCTCAGCAGGAGTACAGGAGAAGATCATTTGATTGGGCTTCGTGCTTCATCATGGCTTTGCAGATGACTGCAGAGCAAAAGCTCACACAAGTTCTCCATGATTTGGTCAGTTGGGCGCGAAAAAGCTCGAAGACCAAACGGGAGAACCGTACCATTGTTCGACAGCTCCCACCCGCACAAATGCAGGCTGGGCAGCGTGAGATACCCCATAGCGCCAGTCCCATACTGGCCAGGGTCCCCCCTAAAAACGCAGGCCCTTCATGGTGAAAAAGCCACACCCGGATCGGCTCTGGGCAAGAGCCAGATGCCCTGGCCTCTTGCATCTCATCTCTAGACTCGATTCATCTCTCACTTCTCTTCGACAGCGCGCCCCTCTTTCGTCTGCACAACACCTTGTACCATATCTCTGTGCGCCATATTGATGTTCGAATCTAACGCTGTATTCAAAGCACCAGTCATTTCTGCAAATCCTGCACAGCCCACGTGGAAGTCAGAGAGCTCTTGCTTTTCGTCGGGGTTCGTAGGACGGTCTTCTCCAACATCTCTGTCGAACCTCGAACTACCCGCATGCTCCCCCTGAGCACGACCGCGTACACCGCACATGGTGGTGGCCTTCAATCTTGAATACACGAAGAGATAGGGCTCTGTGTACAATCATCTGGAGTTGGGTGTGCCATCAGGACACGATCAAGGCCCACTAAAACCCGACAACGGCAACGTATGTGGATTCGAGACGTCGACATACCTCGTCCCGGACCAAAAGCATAAGCAGCAACCCGCACAAGGGAATTCTGAAACAGTTGTGTTGGCAACTCATTGTCCAGTCGTACATCGGTCTCCATTATGGCCTTCCAGAATTCATTAAGCGGGCGCATGGAAGAGTTGCGATTTCCTGCTCTTCGATCTCCAGATCACGATACTTTTACCGCGACTGGTCCTGCAACAGCAAGACCCGAGTCTGGATTTTTCGGTCAAAGCAGTGGTGATGCTCGGGCCAGTCTTCAACGACGCTTCACCACAGATGCAAGCAAGATGTCGCCGAGACCGTTTGGAGGACCACAACAATTCAGCGGCATGCCTCAGACAGTACGTACCTCTTTCATCACATTTCCAAGAGAATGGCAGATGGGCGTATGCTGGGGCAAAATCCGCCAAGTTCATGGTGACCAGAATGGATATCGGATCCTGCTGAACCCGTCCGAGACTGCTGCTTTCCAACGCTTCGTTCTAGTATGATCCGTTAGCTGACTTCTAAGCAGGGTAGTAAGCAGAAGCTTATGGATGAAATCCATTCTGCAAAACGAATGGCCGAAGAACAACTTAGACTTCTCGAGATGCAAGAACGTCGTCTTCAGATGGGCTCCAATCCGGAAGAAAGCATGGATTCCATCTCCAATCGTCTGAGCAGAGCAAGCCTCCATGGACCAGTGTCAGAGCCCACCACCCCGCCGGAGTACGCAGACAGTTCATATCGCTATTCTCGAGGTTCGCGCTTATCTACAAGTTCGATAATGAGTCCCCCAGGTCTTGGCGGCAAACGCTACTCGCAGACATCGGGTCACTTGATGTCCCCATCGGCCACACGAATGTCTGGATCTATGTTCCCCAATGCTCAGCCATCGGCCAAGTCAGTCCCTGCCTCTAGGAGAGGATCTGACGAAGAAGAAGACTTTGCAGACGACCTGCCTAACATCCGACAACCTGCTATGTAAGCCCCTATTGAGACCCAATGGTATTCCCGGTGGTGTTCTTGTCAGTTTGTTGCTTGCCCGTTTGTCTGATCAGGCCCCAATTTCCCTGGAGCCCTGTCACTGGTCGGCTAATGGCTATTGAAGTCACGAGCACAATAGTCATTGATCTGATGCCGAGCACGTGCTCGAGCTTGATCGGCTATTTGAACTTCTCTTGCTTTTGATTCTCTGACGGTTGTTTACGCTGCGCAACCATCCTCCTTTTTCAACAGTTCGATCTGACTTTCATTCAGTGGCAACAGATATTCTATGCCGGTTGGCACAAGCCGTCCACCGCAATCTCACCGCTTTAGCGTGGGTCCCCCGAGTTCTCGGAACGGGTTCGATCTGCCTATCAACACGTCTTTCTTGGACGATAGTGAGAGTCATTCGATCGTCAACGGTCTCGACCTCAAATCCCCTATTTCCAAGACTTTCGCTCAGCTCGAGGGAGACGACGCTTTCCCGACTTTGAGATCTGACGGTCAGAAGGTAGGCTCAAATCTCGAATCAGTCTCATTAGAGCCTCACTGACATTTTCAGTTGTCGGCCAATTCAGCTGCACTAGATCTTGCCAATTCCAAGACACCAGACGGTCTTTCTCTCCTAGAGGGTTCAGATTGGACCATCGGTTCTCGAGTTCGTCCAGACCATCAGTCTATGCCTCAGAACGATTCTAGCATGTACCGTCCTGTCCTGAGTAACATCACTGCAACCAACGGTGATCGTTCAGTTGAGCCTACTCGTCGCAAGAGCCAGCGTCACTCCCTGGGTGTCATGTTTCAAGATCCCGTTACCACCAACGGCAATCAGCCTCCTCTACCCACTACTCGTCCTGCTTCTTTGCAGACATCCTATTCCACCAACGACGTTCCCACTGTCCGCAAGTCTCTGAACATGGACATGGCTCCTCCAAAGACCACCGCTGAACAGCAGTTCCGCAACCATAACATCAACATGGGTCGCATTCCGAATGGTGCCGGCGCCAACCGCCAGAGCCGCGAATACGGCAATGGTGCCATGTCCGACAAGACTGCTGTTCCTCAGAATGGTCTTCAAGGTGCTGCGCCGTACGGCACTGGCTATGAATCCAATATCATGGGCATGAGCAACGGCTACAATGGACCCTCCACCTACAGCGCTGCCAACATGGCTGCTAACGGCTTCATCAATGGCCAGAACGGCAACACTCAGGGGTACGGCTTCAACAATGGTGGCTACGGCAACAACTATGCCAAGAGTGGTGAGGCTGCAAACCGTGGCGGCCGTCGCAACTTCGACGAGACCCGCTTCAACAATGCTCCTCTGTCGACGTATCAAGGTCGTCTGTACGAATTGTGCAAGGACCAACACGGTTGTCGCTATCTTCAGCGCAAGCTGGAAGAGGGTGTTCCTGATCAGATCGAGTTCATTTTCCAAGAGACTTACCCATACATCATTGAGTTGATGACGGATCCTTTCGGCAATTATCTGTGCCAGAAGTTGTTTGAGCACTGCAACGAGCAGCAGCGCAACGTCCTCATCGCCACTTCTTCTCCTGCCCTGGCTGTCATTGCTGAGAACCAGCACGGCACTCGGGCTCTGCAGAAGATGATCGAATTCCTCCACACCTCGGAGCAGGTCGCTATGGTCACTGCCGCTCTAGACCCCTGGGTCGTCAAGCTCGTTCAGGACCTCAACGGCAATCACGTCATTCAGAAGTGCCTTACTCGCCTTGGTGCTGAGCAATCTCAGTTCATCTACGACTCTGTCGCCAAGAACTGCGTTCAAGTTGGCACTCATCGTCATGGCTGCTGCGTCCTTCAGCGCTGCATCGATCACTCTCAGGGTGTCCAGCGCGCCAATCTGATCGGTCAGATCATCAGTTGCGCTTTCGATCTGGTTCAAGACCCATTCGGCAACTACGTCGTCCAGTACATTCTCGATCTTGATGAGCCGGTTTTTACGAAGCCACTCTGCGAGAGCTTCCATGGCAAGGTCGTTGCTTTGTCGAAGCAGAAGTTCTCTTCCAACGTCATCGAGAAGTGTCTTCGCACTGCTGACATGGATACGAAGCGTGCTTTGGTTGAGGAGATGATCGGCAGTGAGTTGGAGCGCATGCTTCGCGACTCATTCGCCAACTACGTCGTTCAGACTGCTCTCGACCACGTCGATCCGACTACTCGTGCCCGTCTGAGTGATGCCATCAAGCCAATCCTGCCGGCCATCAAGTCCACTCCTCATGGTCGTCGCATTGCTAGCAAGATCGTCAACCACTCCGAGCCTGCTCACGGTCCAGCTCCTCCGGTCGCTCCACCGGTCGATAACTACAGCATGTCCACTGGTCGTGCTTCCGGTCGTCGTCAGATTCAGATTGTTGGCGGTGGTTTCAATGTTCCTCGTGCCAACGTTCCCAACTACAATCACAACGGTCAGAATGGCGATCATGGCTTTGTCAACGGCAACGGCATCACCAACGGCTACGGCAATGGTGTCCCGCCCAACTCTGGTCCTCATGAAATGTATGCTCCGCAGGGCTATGGCTACGCCAACGGCCACCTTGGCAACGGCTTCATCTAAGTCGACCCTCATTCCGTGATCACTCATGATTCACGACGCTACGATTTTCTCCGATGTGCTCTATTCACCAATGCATAGACCAGTCTCAGCTTTCACACGACGGATGATTGCAGACGACATTTTCGAAGTCATAACGAATGGTTGTATCATTCAGGCGTTTCCCATGCACAAACATTCCTATCCCTAAAACCATAAAACAACAAAAAAAACGACTCTACGGCCATTGATGCGACACGAATCGAATATTCAATCTTTGTCCAGCATCGCAGCCTGGTACCATTCTACACCCCAGCATTCACGATCGATAGAGGTTCTGGTACATCGGATCTCTTTGGCATTGTGGATGCTCACATTAATTCATGGTCGTGGAGTTCTGCTTTCTCTTCGTTCTCACAGATTGTATTGCATCATTCATCAGGAGACACACAGTCCCAACAGCTCGGTCCCTCATACCCATCAACACGAAGGGTAAACCAGCAAATGTATTCCACACCAAACAAGCATAAGGCATGGCGAAACATACGAGGCATAACGGTTGACATGAAACGAAATCTTGCAGGATGACAGGAACGTTGGTCGACTGATTGCACAAAGAAACCTCTTTTTGATTGAAGATAGGTTCATATTCCAGGGATACCCAAAACTACTGCTATCTGCCGCTTGGGATGAAGCTGAGCAATGTACCATACCATCAGGCAAGGTCCAGGCTAGACACCACACCATAGCATTCGACAGTGAATGTGTCATAGTCATCCTTCTTTCCGTAGGCTGCTTGAGTGATGATGTGACAATGCTGTCTGATGGTGAAGGCAGTGACCTACCGTCTTCCATCTATCGTGACTTTCTCAACTCGTCCGAACTTCGACCGAAGCCTAGATTACTTCGCGACCGCGTCTCCAAGTTCGTCCTACGCGTAGAATGACCTCACGAAGACATCAAACCACACCCGGACTAAAGATGGTCGCAATCCTCCCAGACGAAGTCCTTGACATCGTAAGACAACAATGGCCCTGCCGAGAAGAGCAGACCAGAACACTGTTTAGCCTATACAATGTACGACTAAACCCCCCTCTTCAATCAGCCCGCAACCATTGACTGACCATTTTCAAGAAGATCTATCCCCCACCACCCACAACCGTAATCCACGGCCTCGACGGTACCAACAAGCTCGATCTCATCGCCTCCGTCCTTGCTGCCCGCAGGCTTCCCCACGCGATCGTCAAATGTCGAGAATGTCTGTCGCAGCGACATCTCCTGTCCAAGATCTTCACCAGCTGTGCGAGAGCACTGGATCGGGCGGAGGCGATTGAGTCGTATGAGAGGGTTGAGAACATCAATGGGCTGCTCGTGAACCTCGAGAGGCTGTGTAGGAGTGTAGACAAACGGCATGTCGTACTTGTGCTGGATGCGGTGGACGAGTTAAGGGGAGCAGGGGGAACGTTGTTGGCTGCGCTGGCGAGGCTGGGTGATTTGGTAGGTTGCCATGTCTCTTGTTTGATCTACAGGCATGCATGTGGACACCGAAGCGCGATCTCGATAGACAAGAACAACGACAAGCCAGCTAACGCACAGAATCTAGATCCCAACCCTCTCCCTCATCCTAACCACAACCTCCCCACGCCCCCTCCCCCTTCATCGCTCAGGAGTCCCCTACATCCACTTCCCACCATACACGCGCTCCGAAGCCGTGATCATCGTCACCACTAGCATACCCGACGACAAGCTCATCCCACCCCGCCTCGCTCCCAACCTCAACATCGCCCAACCCATCAAGGATTCTCTCCACAAGATCTACACGCAATTCGCAATCACGGTCTACGACGCCCTCATCGCACCTACAAGCACGCACTCGCTAGCGGTCTTCCGGCAGTGTTTGGAGAAATTGTGGCCGCGGTTCATATGGCCGGCTTTGGATGGGGAGGTGCTGCCTGTGAATAGTAGGAATAAGAAGGGCAAGGACACGAAGTGGGACTTCGCGAGACTATTGGTGCGAAATCGCGGCTTGTTAAGTGGCAAAGCCGTTGAGCAGGTACTGTTGGACACGCTTGAGCGCGACCGAAGTGAGGGATGGAGTTTCGACGATCTACAGCGAGAGTCCTCGCAGAAGAGGCAGCAGAAGGAGAGACAGTCGCAAGCGCAGGAAGCATTGCAGCTCTTGTCTGATCCGAACGTGGCGGCGACTGACGTCGCTGCGTTACCTGCCGGCTCGGTCGCATCGCTGGCGCAGAAGCATCTCCTAACGCCCCTCATAGCCCTCCTCCTTCTAGCAACCCACCTCGCCAGCACGACGCCCTCAAAACACGACATCCTCCTCTTCTCCCGCCTGTCCAATACCTCCGCCAAACACCGTAAGATCCGCTACATCAAGCGTGGGAACCCAGGTTCTACTCCCAAGAAGGCGAATGAGGACGGCAGAAGAAAAGACAAGACGAAACGAGCAGGACCTAGGGCGGTAGGGCTGGAGCGGGTGCTTGCTTTGGCAAGGGCGGTGAGTGGTGAAGTACTGACTGAGAAGGGGCACAAGGGATGGAGTGATGCTGCCATGGGGGCGATGGGGGAGTTGGAAAGGATGCGGCTCGTTAGGCGCGATGACGCACCCAGACAATGGGCGGTGGAGGAGATGGGGCAGGAGAAAGTGGTATGGTGAGTGCGGGTGTCGTTGGCGTCCCCGGAGGAGGGAGGTGGAAAGTCAATATCGGAAGAGAGACCGTTCAGGAGTTGGTTGGTGGGTTTGGGCTGGGCGTTGCGGAGTGGGAGTTGGATATCTGACCGAACACCATCCTTTGGGTGTCCAGGAACACCAGTCCTTGGGTGTCCAGGACGGAAGAATATGATCCTCCGTGTGCTTGGAGACGGATGGTAATCTGATGATGATTACTGATCGCGGCGTCAAAGTGTTGAGCTGCGGCCTGGAGTCAATGACGAATGTTGAGACTCAAGTCCATTCTGTGCATATAGTGAGTCCGTTGTACAAGAGGGAAGTCATCATTGTTCGCTGAAATATCGATCAGACCCATACTTCCGGCTCCCCCTCCATCCCAGACACATCCCTTCACTGTCGATCAAGGATGTCCTCACCAATCGTGGACGAACTGCTTCGCAGGAACAAAGAGTATGCAGACTCAGTCCACAAACCATTGCCCTTGCTACACGGCTCCGACGGCAAGCTGCGACAAGGTAGTAGGGCAGTCATCGGTCAGTACCACTTTCCCTCACAACGAAGACCTCGCAAGAGCGATAGCACGATGGCTCATACATATGACCGTCTTTCAGTGACCTGCGCAGATCCCCGGATCATCCCAGAGTCCTTCCTGGGCTTTCGCCTGCCAAACAACTCCCCAATGGGTATGTTCTGTGCGATCCGTTCTCCGGTGTGAACCTTTGATAGGACGTCTCGAACTCACGACAAGTACCTACCTAGCTATACCAGTAATCCGAGTCATCGGCGGCCGCGCAATCCACGCCATCGAGAATATCGTGGGGCTTGATGCTGCTTTTGGTGTTGACACGGTCGTTCTGGTGCATCACAAGGATTGCGGCTTGACGCACTTTGATGAAGCCAGGCTCAAGGCGACGCTGAGAAAAAGGTTTCCGGAGCAGGGTGCGATGATCGAGACGATTGCTTTTGGGGCGATTGGGAAGTAAGTTGGTTCTCTGTCGTTATGTCGTGCCCTGTGAACGAGATAAGCTGACACGTTTGGGGAATGGTAGGCTCGGTCAAAGTTTGGTCGACGATGCGGTATTCATCAAGCAGCACCCGCTTGTCAGGGGGGAGGTCGTTGTTAAGGGCTTTATGTACGATATTGAGGGTGGGTTGTTGGAGGAGGTTGTGTAGGTGGACTGGACATCGAGCGTTGCGCAGAGCATTCGGACGGTAGCGGATACTCATCTGCGCTACCGTGCAGGTACTGAGTATAGTCACGCGAAGAGCAGTAAATGCCTCGGCCAGGTCAGTGAAGTGATGATTTCGGTTTGTGTCGGATCTTGACTTCGTTGGAAAGGTACAAGTCGCCGTCGTGGCCTCGATTTATTCCTCTTTCTCTTCTACCACATCGACACACCGCGATAGCAACTCGACAGAACATTGTCATACCTTAGTAGTAGCTACTGCTGCCTGGTGGGACGAACATCTTCGTAGTATGGTCAGACTTGTGTTTGAGAGCGCGTTGATACGACGTTCGTCTCTAGAAGCGGTAGACGATCATACGGAGCATGAACAGATGAAGTAGTGAATGAAGTGGTGACAGAGGTCGTTGGGAAAGGATGGTCAGCCTCAGTAGCTGGATGAGCCGATGAGGATAAGATGAGCATGAGGATACGCCCTGATCCCGTAACCATTCCAGAGTTGTCATGAGGTTATCTGGCTGAGTCGTGCAGGCAGCGAACGTGTTAATCGGACATCTGGAGATATATGTGCGGTTGACCGTCAGACATCCTGCTGTATCGGGATAACAAGCCTGCCTGCAAATGGACCGCTTCCTCTGCTCAGCTCAGCACAACAGTGATCTCTACCACAAGATGAAGCGTTCTTCTCCCGAGCAATAGTGAGTGCGGAAGCCATCAGCCTTTCCAGGACTCACAACTCGCTTTGGAGGGAGGCGGCTCTTGTGGCGCCGGATGACAAAAGTGCGTTGACATTGGACAAACCCGGATGAGTAGGTCCTTCGACCGATCGGTTGACAAAATGTTTGCCTCGATTCTGGTACACATATCTGGTCTTGTTGCAACGTATGTGTAGCGACTTGCGATCGGATGGACCATCGGAATGCACCTGAACAGTTGGTGAAGTTCACCGTGGAAACATGATCGAACCTCTTCAAATCGACGTCGCCTCCAAGTGCTCAGCAGACGAGGATGGGATACATTACGGGTCCATGTACACAGAGGTATGCACATGCTCAGGTACTCAGCTACAGAACATGGCCGAGCACTCATGTACCTTACCCCACCAACCCTACGCATTCAGCGCCCCAACAGCGACACTTTCCCTTTGCCGGACCTCCTGCTCCCTCTCCCACTTCTCCTTCTCCCTCTTCACCTTCGCTTTCTGCTTCCGCAGCTTATCAAACCTGCCCCTCGCCCCATATTTCACCTTCGTAATCATATCGTTCGCCTGGCCCTTGGTCAGATCCGCCGGCGTCAAGGGTTGTTGATCTGGATCACCACTTTCGGGATCAAGACCCGCCGTGACGCCGCGTAGGTTATTCAGAAAATTCAGCTGAGACTCCGAGGCTGGAGAGCGCCGCCAAGATGAAGCGGTGGCGAGCCAGATGCGTTCGAACTTCGACGCAGCGAAAGTGTCGGCGGCGGCGACGGCGGATGCCAAAGTAGAAGCGGTGGCGATCGTGCGAGGCGCGGACCACGGGGATTTGGAGTGCGCATGGGAGGGGAGAGGGTATTTGTATGTTATGGTAAAGGGGTCTGGTGGGGTTTCAGAGGCAGATGAGGAGGGTGGCTCTGGAGAGGAGGGCTTTGAGGTGGCCTTCTTTGACTTGCTCGCTCTGCTAACGGTGGATGACTCCGATATGTAGGCTATGGTCAGTATGCCTGCGGGCGGGCAAAGCATGTACTTGCTGCTGTCGACCTGGACCCAGGCGTTAGGCGACATGGCGCGGATGTGCCGTTCGCCAGAGGTGTCTTCGATAAGATCGTGGACTGTCTCGTAGTGGGTGAAGTCGAGGACTGCTTCTGGGTGAGCGATGTTGGAGGGCCGTTGCATGGGTATCTTCTCATCCTCATCTCGCTTGTCTTTGAGCTTCTGGAGGTCTTCCGCTGTGGCGTCTTTGACGATTTCAGATGGGTCTAGGCCGAATAAAGTCGGTACGGTGACAATGCCAGTCTCGAGCGAGGCCACCATGTCGATGACGTGGCAGTCATCTTTGCCTGGGTGAAGACGCATTCCGCGGCCGATCATCTGGACGAGTAGGTTGCGAGACTTGGTCGGTCGGGCGAGTACAACACAGTCAATGTTGGGAATATCGGTGCCTTCGGTGAAGATCGCACAGTTGACCAGGACGGGGAACTCGCCTCTTCGAAATGCATCAAGTCTGGCACGTCTTTCCTTCACTCGTGTGGAACCTGTGATGTATTGTGCATTGACACCCTCATCTCGAAATGCGGCGGTCAGAGACTCGACATGGGCAATATCAACACAAAAGACCAATGTTGACTTGCGCTCGTGAGCCTCTGACAGCCAAGCTTTGACAGTGATGTCGTTGGTCTCCTTGGTCCGCACAGCCTTGGACAGACTTCCGCTGAGAAAGTCGCCTGTGATTGCAGACTTCTTGACCTTGGACAAATCAGCCTTGGACTCGACAGTAGTGAACTTGACTCCGGACAGCCACTTCTCGTCGATCATGTCGATATAGTCTTTGTGGTAGACAATGTGGTCGATGGCGGCGCCCAAGCTCATGCCATCGAGGCGAGAGAGGGTTGCCGAGACACCGACTAGGGCAGGACAATCTTTAGTGGCGGGATACAGGCCAAAGTGCGCCAAAACGTCGAGGTACGTAGGCGCAACAATATGATGGGCTTCATCAACCAGGATGAGCTTGAAGTGAGAGGGAGTGTACTTCAGCAGACGATCTCCTGAAACGAGACTGCTGATCGAGGCGACCGTGATGTCCGCACTGCCTGTCGCTGCGTTGCTTCCCATTTCGATATCAATAGTCTTGCCTGGGTACGCCCTCTCGCAGTGTCGCGCAGCCTGCTCCACCAGTTCTCTTCGATGCGCCAGGATGAGAGTCTGCGTCGCATGTTTGTTCGAGCTTTGTATACGATCAATGAGCTGAGTAAAGACGATCTGGCAACCATTAGCATACCACGCCTCACGATTCTGCATTGACGTACAGTCTTGCCGCTACCTGTCGCAAGTGATATGCCCAATCGCTTGTGGCCTCTCTCCAGGTATGACAGCACAGACTGAATGCATTCCTCTTGGTATTCTCTGAGCCTTATGGTCGTGGTTTGTGGCGGTGGTGTCAGATCGGTAGCGCGCTCAACCACAGTCGCGAGGGATCTGCGCCGGGACCAGGGCGAAATGCGCAAAGCAACAGGCCCTCGCCATGATAGGGCCGTCCATCGCGAGCCCGAGAGCATGATCAGTCATTGTGTTGGCATTGTGTGGTTCAGCATTGGACACTCTTGATGCAAGCTGGCAGTGCTTCCAGGTAAAGTAAAGCAGTTCGCGGGCGAGATCGAAGTCGTCAGACTGATTCAAATGACCGTGTTTGCCTTGCAATGGTGTTCAAAGTTGCCTTCTCTTTATCCCATCATCGAGCAACAACGAAATTTTGTACTCCAGAGCCCGCCAGATCCGCTAGTCAGTTGTTCTGACATCATGCTAGACACGGCAGCCGCATCTTGGGTCTCACAAGATCTTAAAATGCTAGATCGAGATGGATATCGACCCAGCCGAAGACAGCGGCTTCGAACCATCAGATGAATTGTCTGATGCTTTTCAGAATGATGACACAGGAAGTACTCTACCCAACAATCACTTCGAGACCATCGAGGCCCGACGCAGTAGTCCTCTCAAAGTCGATCATCTGAACTCTATGAAATGGAACAATCTCAAAGCAGATTTCATACCTGCCTATCTTGACCTCTTCCACGAAGCAGCTCAGATAGATCAATCGGTCCTTCATCACGACAACTTTGACACCAGCTCAATCGGCACGGTAACATGGACTCCGTCCGAGAAGGACAGGTTCTTCCAGGCTCTCGATCGACATGGACGCCATAACCTACCAGCACTTGCGAAAGCCGTGGAATCGAAATCGGAGGTAGAGGTGAAGGCCTATTTGGACGCACTCAAGCAGACCGAAGCCGATAGGCAACTATATTACCGTCAGACTCGGAACATCTCGCACGCTGAGCTGCCAGCAGCCATTGCTATTGGAGAGAATCTGGAGGAAGTGCTCGATAGGGCCGCCGTTGCTTTAGCAGCACATGAGGAGCGCTATGACTACGCGAGCCGTGGGAACCACGCTGAATACATAGTCAACAAGGATGTCGCCAAGAGAATTGATGCAGAGAGCGAGGCGGCCGAAGATGACGACCAGGAGAATGACATTGCAGCAAAGAAGCCTGGCAACGAGCTTTTCAAGCTCGAAAGTTGGATTGAGTTGAGCACAAAACTGTTCATGGTAGGCACGCCTGTCAAGCAGGTCAAGTGGCGACAGCAGAGTCACGATGATTGGTACTCGTTGGCACATGGCGAGGAGTCGCCCTCGATCACCCAAGATGCATTGTCTGACTTCAGGGCTCTCGTGCTCAGCTTCGTACAACGCGTCGTGCAATCGTCCATCTTCCTTGCCGAGTCTCGGATCAGAGCATCTGCCAATCCGTGGTTCGACCCGCTGCGAAGAGTTAGTCAGGAGGACGTTTGGTCAGCACTTGACATCGTTGGCTCTCAGCGCAATAGTAATACGTTCTGGCTGGAGTGGCCACGGCGGAGTGGCGTCAGGATATGGTCAGGTTCACATCATAAGGGCGACAGCAGCAAACGCTATATCGACCACACCACAGCGCGAGAGATGTTGTCGCGACCGTCGTATCGAGGGCGTCACTCGCGCTCTGTTTCGAGAGCCTCGTCATCAGGAGCGACGGACGACTCGATGAGCTCGTCATCGTCGAGCGCTGGGGCCGGGCTCGCAGGTCAGGAGTCAGATTCGGGCTCTTCAACCGCTGGTGAGAATCATCTTACTGAAACAGGCGAGTTGTTCTCTCTGCACGATGAAGCCGAGACATCAGATTCGTTGAGCGCCCTATCTGATGAACAGCAACCACAAAGCGACACCGAAGAGCAGGAGGAAGAGGCTCGCCCACGTCGTGCGCCGAAAGCAAGAGCTATGCTCCCCGGCCAGCGAAAACGTCGGCTCGATCATGCCATGAAGCACTATATGGATGAGATCGATGCCCAAGCAACCCGCCAGGAGCAGGAACGGATCAGGCAACTGCTTGATCTTCTGGAGGAGAACGAGATCAAGCAAGAATCTAACTCTGAGCGACCAGGAAAGAGGCCCAAGGTGCTGCGGAAGACGATAGAAGATGTCAATGGATGGCAAGGGCCAGCACTGGCCGACTGGGAGGCTTATGAGTTGCCAGTCGAGTTTTCGATCAGGAGCGAGAAGGTGGACGGATGATTGCGGCAGTGTAACTTGTGAGGTGCAGTTGGACTCGCGAGGGATTGACAGGGGCGCCCCACGCACTCCAGGCTTCGGGGATGCAGATCCGACGCTTATTCTGCCGGGAAGGACCGACCGATCCTGCTTGGCAGGTACGAACCTGGAAGTAAACAACCTCCAAGTCGAAGGCATTTCAGAACATCAACAAAGTGTAGCACCATCGTTGCGAATATCCTTTCCATTGAACTTTGAAGCACACATCAAGCTCGGCACTTCGAAATAGCATCATCTCGAGCTTCTCCTTACCATCAATTGACACTACAGACCAGCAATACCATCAACACCAAGCTTCTCTCCTTGTGGAGCTCGAGTGACGTGCATCGACGCGAAATAGACGCGACCTGAACCTCGAGATATCCCAACCTCCTCGATTATCTGTTTCTACCCCACTATACACGATGGCATAGTCACGACAGCCTCACAAGATATTGATCGACGGTCTTGCCCCCAGCCAACGCGTCGACATGCCGTTGATCGAGGCGCATCTCGGCGACGAGAAGCATTTACAGGATATTGCAGATATCATCGCAGCTTCACACAAAGTGCTTGTGGTAACTGGTGCAGGCATCAGCACCAGTATTGGCATACCGGTAAGAGCATATGACTCGTTCGCTTGACAGCACTGATCACTCGAGCAGGACTTCCGATCTAAGGATGGATTGTACAACCTGATCCCAGAGTCAACACTTCCCTCGCCTCCTCCCTCTGAACCAGCAACGCCCATAAAGACGAGATATGAGTCGCCAGTGTCGACCCCGTCGCGTAAGCGCAAAGCAGAGGTATTGGAAGACGACGACGAGGAGCCCATCTCGTCCCAGAGCTCACATTCGGGTCGTAGATCGTCCATGACTCCTACAAAGAAGCTTCGTGGTCAAGACCTGTTCGACTCGCGAGTGTTTCAAGACGCAGCATCGACCACCATGTTCTACCGCTTCATCGCTTCCTTGCGAGAGAAGATCTACGACGAAGTCAAGGACACCAGTGGTACACACAAGTTCATCAAGACTTTACGCGATGGCGGCCGCCTCATGAGGTGCTACACACAAAATATTGACTGTCTTGAGTCTCGAGAGGGCCTCGTCACAGACTTGAAACGCGGCAAAGGCAACAAGAGAAGGTTCATGAAGAAGAATTACGAGAAGCCACGAGAGTCGCCAATCTTGCCTGGTTCGGAGATGGATGGCGGCTGCGAAGTGGTCCAACTGCATGGCGAGCTGGACACTTTACGGTGCTCGGTCTGCTCGACGCAATGGACCTGGACCGAGAACGAGACCGAGGTCTTCATGGATGGCTTTGCTCCACGATGTAAGAAATGTGCGAAGAAAAGTCTAGAGCGGCAGGAGACGGGCAAGAGAGGACTCACTGTTGGGTCGTTGCGTCCAAACATTGTGCTGTACGGCGAGGATCACCCACAAAACACCCTTCTGAGCCCTTTCGTACCGTACGACGCCAGTTGTCAGCCAGATGTCCTGATCATCATGGGTACATCACTAAAGGTGTTCGGCCTCCAGAAGATCATACGCGAATTCGCCAAAGCTGTGCATGGTCAGAAGAAGGGCAAAGTTATCTTCGTCAACCGCACAAGGCCTGCCGAAAGTGTCTGGGACAGCTTCATTGACTACTTCGTGCCCATGGACTGCGATGACTGGGTGATCGATCTAAGGCAGCGGCGGGCGGATATCTGGCTGCGGCAAGGCGAGATTGGTGCCACGATGAAGGTTTCGAAACCGAAGAAGCGAAAGTCCGAGCCGGTACAAAAGCAGAAGGGCGTGGAAGTGGTCATTCCCTTGCGGCCACAATCAATGCCTCCCAAGAAAGCTGCAAAGCAGGCCAAGTCCGCCAGAGGCCGCACGCCAGCAACGCCTCGTCATGCGCGAGAGCTCTTGAGGAAGAATGTCCTATCGCCGCTGATGCAAGCAAGGCGACCGGTAGCATCTCCATTGTCTAGTCCATCGAAAGCACCAGGTCCCAGAAAAGCACTCACACCCACGAAACAAGGGCCCTTCATCTTCCGATCGCCCAAGAGACCAGACTTCTCGCCGATCACGCCAGCCATCTTCGAAAGCAGCAGTCTGCGCAATGTAGTCACCGCTTCATCCGACACTAGCATTGAGATTCAAGAGAGCGAGCACGAGAAAGAGAACCTACCAGAGCCGGACACATACGGTCCAGAGACCCAAGTGGACGGAGCCGTGCCTGAGACGCCGACGAAAGCGCGCTACCAGAATATGATCGAGCACCTGATCAACAAGGAGACCCAGAATGATGTCGCGTTCGATGAGCGAGTGGGAGGAGTTAGTGGTTGTCTCGTGCCGGGCCTGCAGCGGAGAAGCAGTGGTAGACAAAGCGCTATGATGAAGAGTCCTCGTTGAGGAGGCTTATGCAAAGATGTTGACGTACGGCCGAGGCAAGTGCTGCTTAAAGCCTCGGGGAATATCTATATGAAACATATCGATTGAGTGCAGCGTTCGAAGCGAGCAGAAGGACAAGGTGGAGTAAATCCTGGACGAGAGGCCTCAGCCACAAGCAGTAGCTGCAATGAGATCATAATCATTTCGTCAAGCAAGACTCACCCGTCAGTTGTCTGCTCACGCATGACATTTGGCCAGCAATGCAGCAATGCCGCCACCAGAGAGCCTATCGTTCCTGGGCATCAGGCAAAGTCGTTCCATAGTCTTTTGTCGAGCGGACTGTCCGCGCCAAGATCTTCAAAAGTTTGCCTAACTCCATGCATTAGTCATTCCTCCATGCCGTCTTTTGCTTTTCGGTGCTTCACGATACGACAGACCGAGACCTCTTGACAAGAAGATGGAGCCGGCCGGCCAGTCTAGATGTGATTGACAGCTTTCGCGAACGAGGACAGGTCTCCAAGATCCATTGTGACGTTGGTGCCACGGTAGGTACATGTACCTCGATAAATAAGTATGAGCTCTCACCAACCTGAGTGAGACCTACCTGTAAGACATATTGACCAAAGCTCCTTCTTTCTGTCCTCATCCTGCCGCCATCTGGCTAGTACTTCAAATTTCCACAACCGTCCCATCAACTACGGTCTGATCGCAGCGCAGCCCACCCAGCTTAACCCCCATCTTACCCACACTATGGCGCGCCCAACTCCTTCCGCTCCGCTTCATGCAACTCAGCAACGCCCAATCCTCCTCCTCGGCGCCGGCGAACTAGGCCTCGCCCTCCTACACCACCTCACAACCCACCCGTCATTCTCCCCCACTCTACACCCCGTCACACTCGCTCTCCGGCCCTCGACCTTCACAGACCCGAACAGAGCAGCAGACCTCGCTTCCTACCGCGCGATCCATCCCGCCGTTTCATTCCTGGGCCTGGACATCGCGGATGCTGCCACTACTGTTGAAGTTCTCGCGGCGAAGTTTGGCGAGGGAGGGTATGGAACTATAATCCACGCCAACGGCATGACGCTCCCGCCCGGCTCGCAGCGCAAACTCACTGAAGCTGTCCTCCTCTATGCCGCCGCCGAAGAAGGTGACTCCGGCAAGAAGCGGGGGGTTAGGTACCTTCCCTGGCAGTTCGGCGTAGACTACGACATCCTCGGCCCCCGTAATGCCGGGGATGGGCTGTTCTCGGAAGCCTATGGTGTGCGGGAACTGCTTCGCTCGCCGCAAAACCAGGGAACTGTGGAGTGGTTGGTGGTGAGCTGTGGGATCTTCACGAGCTTCCTCTTCGAAGAGATTTGGGGCGTTGTTACTACAACGCCTGAGAAGCAGATCCGTGTTCGGGCTCTGGGGAGCTGGGAGGATGGGATTACTGCTACTACGGCGGGCGATATTGCGCGGGTGACTGCTGAGCTCGTGCTGGAGCCTCATGGGTATGTGAAGGAATGGCGGGAGAATAAGGTGTATATAGCGGGCGAGACGTTGACGTATGCGCAGCTTGTGGATACGGTTCAGCGGGTCACGGCGAGGGAAGTCCTGAGAGACCAGGTCTGGGATCGTGCGACTACGGCGCGGGAGGTGCAGAATGCTTCGGCGGACCAGAAGAAGATCTGGCAGTACAGAGCGGTATTCGGCGGTGGCGAAGGCGTGAGCTGGCCGGTTGAGGAGACGTGGAACCAGAAGCGAGGCTGGGTCATGGAGGGCATAGAAGGGTGGCTAACGAAGAATCTTGGAAAATTTTCAATGAAGTGATTTTGGAAGTCTATAGACACCTTCGAATGCATACTTGAAGATCCCAGCAGCTTCCGTGACGATGTCTGCCCTCTATACACACCCCCATATCCTACAGTACATTCTCGCAACCACATGGCTATTCACAGCAGATGTCCAAGATCTTATCCACGCCCCCTACAATTTCGCCTTCGGCCGGCTCTCCTTCTCCAGCCCAATCTTATACAGCTCATCCAACTCTGTCCTGAACTTCTTCGCCGCGAAAGGTCGCTTCAACTTCAGCGTCGGCGTCAAACACTCATTATCGACCGTGAACGGATCCACCATCAGACTCAGCACCTTCACCTTCTCGAATCCGCTCAACTTCTTCTTGGCCGCGCGCTCAAAGTCCCGCAGCACTGCCGCCTTGACCTTCTCATTTTGGCACGCCGACTTGACGGCCGCAATGTCAGTGGGAGAAATCGGAGTGCCGATGATCTTGGAAGCGAATGGCGCGAAGAAATCGGGCGAAACACCAAAGATGCCCACCAGAGAAGACTGCAGGCTGTCGCCGTGCACAAAGGCAGAAGCGAGGTAGTTGCATTGGCTGAGATAGACGCCCTCGATCTTTTCGGGGGACACGTATTCGCCCTGGGCTAGTTTGAGAACGTTTTTCCGGCGATCGATGATGGCCGTGCGGCCCAACTCGTCGATTTGGGCAATGTCACCGGTCTTGAACCAGCCGTCCTCGGTGAAAGATTTGGCAGTCTCTTCCGGGTTCTTGTAGTACTCCCTGAACACGGCGGGACCGCGTAGTAGGAGTTCGCCGCGTGGGTATGGCTTGTCATCGACGGTGTATTCCATGTCTGGTACGCTTAAGAGGCAGATCTCGATAGCACATACTGGCGCTCCGACATTGTTGACGGAAAGGTCGCCATCCAATTGGGTGATCGAGGCGGCGAAGGATTCTGTCAAGCCATAGCCCTGCAATAGTCGACCAGGCACGATGATCTGCAGGAACTGCTGCAGACCTGGATCCAAAGGTGCTGAACCGCTGGCCAGCATCCGTGTGTTCTGGAGACCGAGAGCAGAGGCAACCTTTTTGCTCCATATTCGATCATATAGCATATGCTTAGATGTCGGATTGTCCTTTCTGCGGATGTTTGCGAGTTTCGTGGAAACTACTTGTCGACTGAGGGCACCCTTGATGCCAGGCTGTTCTACGGTATTGCTTTTGATTACTCCACCGAAGCGGTTCCAGAGTCGTGGTACGCATGGGAATATTGTCGGTTTCATAATTTTCAGATCATCAACAAGTTCCAGCACATTACCATGAAAGTAGGCAATCTGGTTTCATCAGTTCAGCACTCCATGATTCACGGTATGAGAACTTACCCTTGAACCGGCCCACGTAGCCAATTGCTCCATCATTCGCTCATAGATATGGGCTGCGGGAAGGTAGGACGCGAAGATGTCTGTCTCTGTGATGCTGGTACCACATAGAGAGGCTGACGCTGCCGCGACACCGTTTCGATGCTCAAGTACAACTCCCTTTGGCATACCAGTAGTGCCGCTGGTGTAGTTGATCGTGAGGATGTCGTTTGGTTGAGGCGGATTGCATGGTCTTCCAGACTTGCTGCCAACGGCCTCGACTTCTGACATGGAAAGGATCTGGAGACCGGCCTCGCTGGCGAGAGATGAAAGCAGTGCTTTCTTTGACGTCTCTTGTGTTTCATTCTCTGCCGGCTCAAGGGACTCGACGGTGATAATGAACTTCAGGCATGAAACCCGCGATTTTAGTCGTAGGAGGTCGGTACGTGTGTGAGGGAGGTGACGACGCAGGGCAGCGAGGCATGGTTGATGATGAATTCGGTGGTCTCCGGGCCAAGAGTCTCGTAGAGAGAAACACTGTAGAGGGACTGGCTCATGCAGCCTAGGTCGGTGATTTGCCTGTAGTCGATCAGCACTCTTCAGTCATGCGACGGGCGCATCTCTTACCACTCAGGTCGATTCGGGCACCACAGTCCTACGCCAAACGGGCCAGTGATGCCTTGTCTGGCATGTAACTCCACGAGACCAGCACCGAATGCAGCTCGTCGTTGCTGGACGGTCTCATAGTCAAGGTATTGGTACGGGCCCCAGGCTTGCTTGCTGGAATTCCATGGTCGATGGCCCAGATATGGCTGATGCGGTAATCGCTTCGCGGTCTGTTCAAATACTGCAGCCAGTCAGTACTCTGTTACTGCTGCTTCTGATCCATCAGCACTCACTCTCATGCACCGTCCGTACCTCGGGGTCCAAAGTGTCTACCAAGGCATCCTGAAATCTCCAGTTGCGATAGACTGCTGTCCGGCCAGGCCTCTTGGAGTTTGGAAGGGGTACAGCATGCGCCTGACCCTTTGGTACGGGGCCCGCGTTCTCCTGACTCTTTCTCAGATGCAGCGGTTTTGACGAAAGGAAGGAGGTCATTGTTAATCAAGGATGGCGTAAGTAGTGTTCAGCAATGTATGTGCTCGAGGGCTTGAAGAGAAGTCGTAATGAAGGAACGACCCGTTGCACGAATGACTGCACACAGAACCAAGTGAAGGAACGAAAGGAAGGGTCAGCACTCTGCTGATGAAATGATGAACAAATTCATCACATGAGAGATGATGCGCCGCCGCTGCGCACAGGTCACGTCTCCTCGAGTAGCTGGAGCCAGCGGAATTGGCATTCTTTTTTGGAAACTGTGCTCCGTAAAAGTCACCAGCCGAGGTTTTCCAGCCTGGGTGCAACTTCCCAGGTACCTTCACAGCTCGCTAGGTGTTCTTGTGTCGGCCGCAATCATCAATGTCACACAGATCTGATGCCCAGAAGGCTGGAGTGTAGCTCAACGATAGCCAAGAGCATTGTAATCTGGTAGTAAGACGGGCAGAGGCATGTCCTGGTCGCCTTGCGAAGTTGCGAAGCATGGATGGATGTCAGCACATGCTCGCCTGCGGGCTTTCGTCACATCGCAGGCTCAGCATGTGCTCGCATAATGCTGCCGAGAGTCCGAAATCGGGACAGCCGCGGCCAGACCGCAGCCAATTGGGCACCCAAAAGCTCATGCTCCGGGGTGCAGAACTGAGGGCTAACTAGACGTTCGGACGTCTAGCTTCGGGCAGGCATTGTTGGTTGGTGAAACGCTATTGGCCGTCTCCTCAACACGATCAAGAGCTGTGACAACAGACGACTCGCGACAGTCTCTTTCAACCTACTTGTATTGCACAATGATCTGACTATCATTGTTCAGCAAGCTCTGACGGCCACGGCTGAATAACGATTGGCATCCTCAACTCCTAGAATACAACGCATGCATTATCGGCGCACGCTAGGAGAAGCGACACGTTGAGCAGCCAAGTCCCCGTGTCAGCAGCCACGTATCCTGCACGATGCTATGAGTTGCCTCTGCTCCTCAACAACGACGAGAGCAAGTGAGGCCTGAGGACTGCTGCGGGCCTTCATTGCCTCGGATCCTAGGCCTCTAGCAGCACATACGAGGATGTCTTTTTACAGACGCGGCTCTACACCACAAGTCAGACAACCGTCTTGAGCATTCAATCAGGTAGCCCCACTGAGACCAGCATCGCCCGACTTGCCCTCCGCCTCAGCGTTCTTCGCGTTACCACCACTTGTTTTGGCAGCAGCGCTCTTCTTGAACGACTGCTCGAAGTCGTGGATAATGTCATCGATATGCTCGTACCCAACCGAGATGCGGATCAGGTCTTCCGTTACACCAGAATCGATCCTCTCCTCCTCCGAAAGCTGCTCGTGGGTTGTGTTCCACGGGTGGATCGCCAAGGTCTTGCCGTCGCCGACGCTGTGACACACCCGTTTGTTAGCAAGATCTCCTCATCAAGCACAATCCGCTGTCACAAATGGGAGGCGATGACTTACTTGGCCAGATTCGAGATCAACTCGAAGTTGTCGACAATCTCGCTGCCCGCCGCGCCTCCTCCCTTGACTCCAAAAGATAGCACTCCTCCAAATCCCCGTGGCAAATACTTCTTCGCCAGTCCATGACTCTTATGACTCTCCAACCCCGGATAGCTCACCCAACTAACATGCTTATTCCCCTCCAGCCACTTCGCCAACTTCAACGCATTCTCCGCGATCCGCTCACACCTCAAACTCAACGTCTCCGTCCCAATCAAGAACTGCTGCGCATTGAACGGACTCATACAGCTCCCCAAATCTCTCAGCACCTCCACCCTGAGTCGAATGATAAACGCAATCGCCCCAAACGTATCGACAAACTTCAACCCATGATACCCCGGACTCGGATCATTGAACTGCGGAAATCGCTTCGCATTCTTCGCCCAGTCGAACTTCCCACTATCCACCACCATCCCGCCAATGCTGGTCCCATGGCCACCGATCCACTTGGTCGTGCTGTGTACGACGATATCCGCACCCCACTTAATCGGCTGGCAAAAGTACCCGCCGGCGCCAAAGGTATTGTCCACGACAACAGGCACACCGTGCTTGTGCGCTACTTCCGCAATTTTCTCAAAGTCGGGAACATTGTATCGCGGATTCCCAATTGTTTCGACATACACCGCCTTGGTCTTGTCATCGATCGCCGCCTCCAGCTCCTCAGGCGTATCCTGCTTCAAGAACTTCGTCTCAACGCCCAACCGCGGCAGGAACACCTTGAACTGGTTGTAAGTTCCACCATACAAGTTGCTCGTGCTGACGATGTTGTCCCCCGCGTGCGCCAGCGCGCTGATGGCCATGAATTGGGCAGCCTGGCCTGAGGATGCAGCCAGAGCAGCTACGCCGCCTTCGAGGGCAGCGATGCGCTTCTCGAGCACGTCAACGGTCGGGTTCATGATGCGGCTGTAAATGTTGCCGAACTCCTTCAGGCCGAAGAGGCGCGCGCCATGGGCGCTGTCGTCGAAGGTGAAGGAGGTGGTCTGGTAGATGGGCACGGCGCGCGACTTGGTTGCTGGGTCGGGGGCTTGACCGGCGTGGAGTTGGAGGGTTTCGAACTTTTGGACCCATTCTGGGGTTTCTGGTGATGCCATGGTGAGTAATAGGTGTGGTGGTGAGGCTGCGGTGTGTAAGGTAGGACGGTCCGAGCGCTGGGTTGGCTAGGTAGGTCGCTAAGAGCACAATGTGTGGTGACGAGTACGTGCAAAGGCGAGGCTTCTGCTCTGATTCCTGTATGAGCTTGACTCTACGGATTGAGAGGTCTCAAAAGGGTCCTGTTCTGGTCTGACTGCGAGGTAAGAAGGAACGAACAGACGTGAGAAGATACGAGAGGGGCACAGAAGAAAGAGCTGAGCCCGTATTCTCTTCTGTCAATATTTGTTGCTTGATCGAGCACCTTCACTGCACGAAAATGCGGGGTGATGCAAGCACGCAATCCTTGCGTGATGACAACTTTTTGGCCGGCGAGTCGGCGCACGGAAAGTTTGGTGAGGGGGAACGGGAGCAAGAGAGATCTCGAGCCGGATGACTTGACTTTGCTGTTGGAACGGGACAAACAATGGACTCTCGTTGTACACATACCCGCCTTATATCACGACGTCGTCTTTAACATGTCAGACGTGTAGCCTGCAGAACCTAGGTAGCACCAGATGAATTTCCCGTTGAAGGAGGTCCACGATTCCAGAACATCGCCGTTCTCCCAATGCGCGGGAGCCCGACGACATCCACTGTAGCGGACGTATCGTTTTCACTCAATACTTTCTGGATTCGAGATCTCCAGCATTGGTCAAGGAGCCGCTTATGTCAAAGATCAAGCGAGCTAAGCTGTGCGCCGCTCTACTGCCTCTGGAAGGCATAATTGCGTCTATTGGTGCTTCCCAGGAGCAGGCTTGATACGAAAGAGGCAAGAAAATATATTCCCGTGTCGAGTATCAGGTGCTGCTTTGTCCGTGGTGACCGAATCATCTGAATGAACTGCACATACAGCATGAGCGGCGGACGAGCAATGCAAGACTGTGTGTAGATGTTGGTTCCAGCTTAGCTCTGACATGAGGGGCGCCCGCCAAGTGTCCGTTGCTGATCTGAAGCCCGAATGCTTGAGTCACTCTTGGACCTCGATCATACTCACTGACTGTGCCTGCGCCTCAGGTCCTGTCTCAAGGAGGACCAGAAGGAAGACTGCTCATGGCATATCCAAGGTTGAGTACGGGGTTACGGCCGCAAATAGCGCAGTGAACGCCGGCGAGGGTGCGGAACCAATAGGCACACTGATCGTGCCTTGTCGCCGCGCCGCACGACTCCAGTTTCAAGTCTGCCAACGTCACTGTCAAGAGTCGATGCCTTCCGTCTCGCTCACGCGCACCACGTAACTCATCGCACTGTTCTTGCCCGCCCTCAAATCCTTCAACGCCCCGTCCAAGCCCCTGAGCCCGCCCTCCCTGACCTCATACTTCCTCGGCTGTATCCTTCCATCCTTGAGCAACTGTGCAAGGCTAGCACTCATCTTCCTCCCAAAAGTCGGACCTTCCGATCCAGTGAGGCCCAGATTGATCTTGTCCTTCCCAGTATCCTCCTGCCCAGGCCTTGCCCCAAGCGCCTTCCACAAACTCCCAGCCATTGCATGCGACACCTGCAACCCCGCAAACTTCCCATTCTGCGCCTGCTTCAGCTCTTGCGTTGCCTTTCCAGGCAGCGTCAACACAATCTTCCCATCTGGCTCAAGAACTTCCGCCAAGGTGAGATATGAGCCCTTGTCAGTGGCAGGATCGAACGCGTAGCGTGCCCTTTTGCCCTTAAGTGCTGATTTCAGATTCTCAACAAGCGCGTCGTGGCCGTCGCGATAATCGAACACAACATCGCCTTTCGAGGCATCCAGGAGTTCTTCAGCCACCCAGTCCTTTGCTCGACCAGCGATGGCGATGATTGGATGTATATTGCATATCCGCGCGAGCTTGATTGCCATTGTCCCCACAGCGGTGCTAGCGCCGTAGACGAGCAGTGGTTCATTCTCAAGTGGGTGACCGGGCTTCCGCGCATCCCAGGGGCCTTCTGCTAGCGCAAGACTTGACGGTGCGTAGAGGCCGATGACTGCCACGAAGTAGGCCATCGGAAGGGTCGCCGCGGCCTCGAAGGGTAGATCATCGGGGATGGGAATGCATGCGAAGTCCTCTACGATACAGTATTCGGCGAATACACCGTAAGGGGCGCCGAGCTGGTGTAGGGCGATCACACGCTGGCCAACCTGGAAGTCCTTGACGGCGGAGCAACCGCTGCTACGGTGCCGGCACAGTCGTCGCCCGAATTGGGGCAGTCGCCGATGGTTTTGAGCATGCCGGTGGGCATCTTCCAGTCTTTGGGATTAGTAGAGGCGACATGGACCTTGATGAGAATTGATGTTGGGCGTGGAAGCTCAGGTATGGGTACTCGGTGTATCGTCACGTTGGTGTTCTCGCACACATGTGCCTCCAGCATGCTGTCCTTGGCCATGGCGAACGCGTTGGCTGTAATAGGATAGCTGCTGTGTTGTGTCAATATATGCTGCTCGATGGCAGACCCGAGCCGCTGTTATATCATCAACCCATCCTACCTGTTCCCCATGTCGTCAGTATGTCATGGTACATATACACTTCGAATCATGCTTCGCGTAGTGCAAGCCAATGCTACATTTAACCACTACGAAGAGCTTGCTACCCTATCTTGTCAGACTTGAAGCATGGGTTGCGCGGTGCGAAACGTGTGGCGGATCTCTGCTGTACACACGAGAGGCCGACTTCCACCAAGATATGCTCTCGGGTTCTATGATCTGGCCGAAGACCCTGAGCTGAGCTCTCGGCACATGACTTCGGAGAAGATGACAACCTACGGCTAGCACTTTGTTAAAGTTGCCGTTCAGACACAAAGGATGTTGATCGTACTCAGGTCGCTGTAAGGAGATCATCTTGATACTTGCTTCGCGTGTCAATCTGGATGCGCTTCGCATCGGTGATTTGAATATCAGCAGAATTGTCAATTGCTTAAGCTAGAAGTGTGGAAGGGACGGCAATTGAAATGCCAACTGTGCTTTGGGAACACCCACGCGGATTTAGTAGGAAATAGCAAAAGGTCTGAACACTCGCTAGATTCCTGGACCACTCTGTTCACGACAATCAGACTACCATCACCTCCCTTCCCCAGTTCCCTGCACAACCCCTCATCATGCGGCGTCTCGTCTCCCTGGCCACAGCCGTGCAACTCCTCGCCCTTACCCTCGCCGCCTCGATCCGCATCAACATTCCCCCATCAACCCTGCTCCCCAACCCAAACGTCCTACCAGCGTCAACCCATGCCACCCTCACCACTTCCACAGGCCCAGAGCTCAGAGCCGTCATCCGGAAAGGCAACTACATCGAATTCCCCTCAATCCCCACCACGGCTCGCACCTCCTCCAAATCTACTCCCGCGACTACGTCTTCGCACCCTATCGCATCGATACCTCCTCTTCCAGCCCCGAGGCCGGCTTACAGATAATCGGCGCATACGAAACCTACCACGGCACGCAATGGTCCGATCACGGCATCCAACTCAACCCGAATGGGCAACCCACCACGGCGTTGACGCTCAATGCAAAGGTGCTATCAAAAAAGAACTTTTACGAAACACGGCCAGGCTTCAATGTGCTCAGTCTGCTTAAGAACCCAATGATCCTGATGGGCGGAGTGGCATTGCTATTCACATTCGGCATGCCCAAGCTGATGGAAAACATGGACCCGGAAATGAAGGCAGAATATGAGGAGATGCAGAAGAAGAGTCCCGTCGCTGGGTTGACGAGGGCGATGCAGGGCGGAGGAGCAGCTGGTGCGGGCGACGGGTTTGATCTGGCGGGCTTTCTGGCTGGGAAACAGTCGGACAGTGGTGGCGGTGAAGGTGCAGCAAGTAGTGGATCGACCAAGGGGAGTTCAGGCGGCATCCGGGAGCGGAAGCGATAGTATCGCTTTATTGAGCATCGACTGGCGAAGTCTGGAACGATGGAGCTTGTGAGTTCAAGTCAAAGCAGCACTGGGGGCCCTTGCAGGCAAATATACCCGACAGACCAATTCCTCATCTACATCTGCTGTTTAGTGAAAGTTTACTTGTCCAGTTCTCACGACACGCATAGGCTTCACGAAGCCTGGTGGCCAGATCATCGATCGGAACTACCATCACAGAACATGCTATGTCGCAGACTCTATCTGCGTCTCGTCACAAGCACGCGTTGAAGGACTGGCCTCTATCTGCGGCGCGAGTTACGTCCAGAGTGGAATCTCCAGGGAAAGGGTGCAAGCACCCTACTCTACATGTGACTCCCTCCGCAGATAGGCACCGGCCCATCGACGCGCCCGCCAGTGCTAAGGCATGCTCCGAGCTAAGACGGGAGGCAGGTGCAGACAGAAGTGAGATCCGGTGCGATCAACGGGCTGGAAGCTGCTGAATGTCACTCGAGAAAAAGGAGCACTCAACGCGAGACTGTGTCAAATGGGCTGCTGGTATATGCACTGGCAGTCTTCATTTCGTACATAAACATAACATATCTGGGTATTCGGCATCGCTAGCGTCAAACTTCGGACGGTCTCGCTTCAAGCGGCCGTGCCTCCCTTATACCACCTCATAGCAGCCTTTCCTCTATGACCAGCTTCGATCTCCTCCAGTGCTATTCGACACCATTCTCGGCAGTCTCTAGTATTCATGATCAGACAACCTCCGCTCCATCCCATCTCCTCCCTCCACCACCCGGATTCCCAATTTCCGCCCTCGTCCTCGACCTTCCCCTTGAGGTCCCTCTCGAGCCCCTCTCGCTCGCAATATCGATCGGCCACCTCGGCGGAGCTTCCCCGAACCATCCACTGTGCCGTGCAACACCACCTCTGCTACCCAAAGCTGCACTGATCCTCACACCGACACCAAAGCTGACCTCCCTCGCCTTCTCCCAAGCCTGGCCCGCGACCTGCACCACCTTCGTGCTATATGGCCTCACTACAGCCCATGGACTTCGCTCCTGCTGCTGCTGCTGCTGCTGCTGCGCCTGCATCGCCGCAGCCCCTCTTCCCTCCTCCTCAAACTTACTCCACCAACCCCTCGTCCCCGGATTTCGCGGCGGCACCACCACCAGATTCGGCTTCTCCCGCTGCTCTCGCAGGAGCTTATCCCAATGCTTCTCGTCACTCCCAGGACTGTTTCTTCCAAACCGCTCCCACCCGCCACCACTCCCTCCTCTGAAGGGGATGCCTGCCCAGCCTGAACCCCCTCCAACACCTAATCCGCATCCTAGATTCCACTTCCGCCGTCGCTGCTCCTCCTCGTAGTCCTCTGCATCTCTTTGTTGTTGGGCACGTAATAGCGTAAAGTGGTTCCGCGAGCGGGCTTTTGAGGCCGCTTGCGCGGATTTGAAGCTCCGCCAGGACAAGGGGCGTGCATCGGCGCGATATTGTGTGCGCTTGTAAGGTGGATCGTTCGGGGATCGGTCAGTTGTGTAGTGGATGGTCGTGACGGTAGTGGTTGGAGCTTTGGTCGGGAGGGGCGGGAGGAGGTTGGTGATTGAGGAGGTCGAGGGTTTCTGCGCGTGATGGGTTGGGGTATTGTTCTGGTGGATGGGCGCGAAGGTGAGGAGGTGGGACAGAGCGAAGATGGAGGAGGTCGTGAAGAGGATGCTGAGCAGTGTTGTTAGTCGATGGGACGGCATCATGGGACGACATAGTGTTGTGAAGGGTGAGGCACGTGATCTGGGGAGAGGACGTGGGTTCATGGATGAGATCCAGGGTTGCTGCAACCGAGGAGGCCACAGCTGGAGCCACAAGACGGTTCGCACCCTGGCCGCTGACCAACAGCTCGTACCAGCCATGTAATTCGGCCACTATGAGACACAGTGTGCCTCGATACCCGAGGACATTCTGCTGGCCAGTGCTCAAGCTCCAGCTCGGCATTCAACTGATCAAGTGCGATGGTGACCATTGACGGGCGAGAAACGGGGAGGGAACAACTCACAAGCAAAAACTCGCAAAAACAGCCCCAGCAACAGCCGTCCCCCTCACTCCCGTGCCATCCAACCTCTCCTCCTCCAGCTCCCGACTAGACTTCTTCCTAGCCCAATCCGCCAAGCAAATCATGCTTGCGAACCAGAAGGTCGCAGTCGTGAGTTCCGCGCCGGTCATCGCATAGCGGTGTGCTATCCGAGGAAACCATCGTGGTGCGAGGGTGGTGTATGGAATGACGAGGAGGATGCTGAAGACCGCGGTGAAGAGGGCGAAGTTGATTTGTGCGGGCGTCGCGAGCTCCGAGGCGGCAGTGTTGATAAGCGCGGCGAGATGTGAGATGATGGCGAGGGTGATTAGTGAGAAGAGGAACTGGGTGGCTCGGAGGAGGAAGAGAGGCGGGAGGCGATTGAGGTTGAGATTGAAGTCGGGCATGATTCCATGGACGTATCCTGTTGCGCGTATGCAGAAATGAACACTGCTGTGTAGGTTGTGCGCGCTTGTCGCGAATGTTGAAGACTCCCTCGTCCAGCGCGGAGCTTTCGTACGCGAGGACTCTTCAGTAAACCCGTACTGCTGGCATGCTGTAGTGCTGCAAGGAGGGATGTCTTAGGCCTGCTTTCCTCCACGTTGCCGTCAAGGTTGTCGGTCAATACTGGTAGTTGCAATGCACAAGAAAAGGTCACGAAAAGAACACAAGCACCTGGCATCGAACATCTGTTGTCCTTCTGAGCAGATCCAACCCAGATCTGGCCTTTGATGCCATCTTGCAGCGAAAACAGACCGCGTAAAGTTCAATAAAGGCTAAGGAAGAGACACATTAAGCATCTGCGACGCCCGGCACTTGGATGATCCTTGTCGCAAGCACGAGCTGCTCGACGAAAATGGTAGGTCGAGAGGGTCGAAAAGAGGCCCTGGGAGATCGAGGGCACTCTCGAGTCGCGGACTTGATTGGCTGAGAGTCGAAGTTTCAGGCAACGCGCTCCGCTCTTCATCTCCACCTGATATGGAGCGATCTTAGCGATTTGCTGTCGGACAATTTCCCCTTGTCTCTGATTTGAGACACGTCAAAATGTTCTATTTAGGCAATGGTTACCCAAAGGCCGGGCACAACGTCATACTACAACCGCGTTGTTGCTCGAGGGCGTGGGATCCGCTTTCCGACGCGTCGTTATCAGTCCTCCTGTGAAAAGCACAACAAATGGCAAGCAGGCCGCGGCTGTCAGTCCGAAACACCAGGTCATGGTCTTCCATCCCGCTGAGCGCTCTATGCCGGCGGCCATAAGTGGGCCCAGGAGGGCGCCTGCCGCCCAGCTGATGTTGAAGATGCCGTACGACGTGGAGTAGGCGCTTCTGCCACGGAAGATGTTCGCGTCCTTCTTTTCCTTACTGTCGCACACCTGCTTCTGTTTTAGTATCCCTTTTGTGGTAAACCGAACATCGACTTACCTTGCTGAATTCGGACATCAGTGACGTGACCAGTAAGGCTGTCGCGACTCCAATTCCAAGCAGCAGCACTACCATGAGGACAATTTGTCGTATACTATTGTGATCAACCAACCTGAAAAGCACCCAGAATGGTAGCAGCAGAATCGCGCCGAAAGTTGCGATCCAGCGAGGTCCTATCTTGTCGACCGTTCTGCCAATGATGGGTCCAAACATATGTGGTATGAGCAAGGCGATGAATATCAAGCCGGCGCCGAGAGAGTCCCAACCAAACATACGGTTGACGAATAGCGGCAGTGTCGCATCCAGTCCAGTCATTGTCATCGAAACCACCAGAGTGCCAACCCAGGCCGCCTGCAGACGCCGTGACTTGATAAGTACCACGAAGGTGGGTTGCCCTTTCCTCGATGCAACTGTGGGAGCTACTGTCATCTCATCGGCCCTCTTACCCTGATCATCGGGAACCCTTGCCGTCGTGTTTGTATCCTCCGCCAGCTCAAAACCCGGTCCGCCCTCCACTACCCCATCCTGCCACTTCCTCGCTCTATGCTTCTCGATAATCGCCAACCTCAGCACTATGTCCGTCCCGACCACCCCGAAACACATCCCAAAGACCTCAAAATACCCTCCCTCTCTATAGACTATCCCACCTAAGAACGGCGCCAGAATGGTACCCGCAGAATAACTCGCCGCAACAAACCCCATTGCCTGTCCTGATGCCTCTTTGCCCACCGTATCACTCAACAACGCCAACGCCACCACCCATACCACACCAGCCGAAGCACCCTGCAACACTCTCGCCACCACCAAAACAGTGAGCGACTTCCCGAAGCAGAACATCACCGTCGCTCCGAGCAAGACCACAAGGCCGGCCAAAAGCGGCGCCTGGCGGGACCTGATCCGATCGGCCAGGACGCCAAAGATGGGCGCTGCGACTAACAGAGCGGCGCCGTAGACGGCGAGGAGGATAGAGACCCAGTGCTGAACTTCCGAGGCCGCGAGGCCAACGCGGGATTCGAGCGCGAAGGGAATGACCGGGACGATGACGGCGTAGAGGAAGACATCGGTAAAGACTGCGAAGCAAACTGCGAGGGTGATGAACCAGTTTGAGGAGCGGGTTCTCAGCAGAATCGGTGGGCGAGAGCGGAAGCTCTGTACGGCGGCGCTCACGTCTTGCGAGAAAACTGCCATTGTCTCCTGATGAGTGATTGTCGCGTTTGCTGCTGCTAGCCAGCACTACATCGCATCGTGCCCCTCTTTTGTAGGTATTGATGAATGCCTCCAGCTCCTGGTTGATGTTGAGTTCGCTGACCGATGACCAGTGCATATCTCTTCGGATCCGACCGAGCGGGTGGGTTTTCCTAAAGCTAAGCCCTCGGCTAGCATTTTCTCGTGTTTTATACTTTTTGTCCTTCACGCGTTGCGGGTTTGATCGCGTTCAGTCCATTCACCGCGGATATCTACCTCCGCAAAGCAGCCGGTTCACGACAAGATGGATCGAAGCAAAAGACCGCAATGTCTAAGACGTCAGCTATGACAAAGTCCTCATCTGGCTTGCGGGAGGTGCTATGAATGATACCCACAGCCAAAGCTGAGCTTGAGTCATTTGAAGGACGCGATGGGGTCATTTGAAGCGTTCCACATCCGCAGGACCTCCCTCTCTGACCACATCGCAAGAGCGACAAGGTAGACATTGCCCATCTTGTGAAGTAGGCAGCTGATACATGGCGTTCTATACAGCTGGCGGCTGCTGCGCAAGTCCGTGGCTGGGATGCGTCCCATGGCGCACTCGAAGCACCCCGCGATGGACACTAGACCTTTGTCTCGTTCTTGTTCATTGACAAAGGTAATTCACAATGTCCTTGATCTGGCTTTGTGAGCGCATGGCACAAGGAGATAGAGCGGCTCTGCGTTGAGCGAAGGAGTCTGGATGATAAGTATGGACCTCTGGAGAGCAAACAGATGGTCTGTTCTCTGCAAGTTAGGCGCTCTCATCAGTGTCTACCTACAAAGTACAACATGCCCAAATCCACTCACAGCCATCCGTTGTTCGACCACTTGGGCCCAAAGGCACTGCGGAGCCTCAGGCTGTTCAGTTTGTGTAAGCACAGTAGCAATGCTGACGCGAGGAAACGTTACTACGCACTATCTTTACTACATCATCCAGACAAAGCTGACACTGACGAGGACAGAGTCAAGGCCACTACACGACAGCAAAAAATCAACGAGGCCTGGGAAACCCTTTCTGAAGCACTACCAGACACGCGCGTGGGTGAGCTGTCTTTCCCACAATGTTGTAATGGAGATCCATTCAATACAAGCAGTAAGCCCAAGGCATCTAACCATGATCCCTTCGAGTCCGATGGTGATGAGCAGCGCCCAGAGTGTGAACGAAAAGCTCGACCGGAGAAGGCGTTCTTCACTGAGGTCTGGGAATCACATGCAAATACAGACTACTTTCCGGAATTCTCAGTGCGTCAAGCAGAAGAAGCAGAGGCACTGTGGGCCAGTCTTCGAGACGAGCCACAGGTAGACACTCCACGTGCTGATCTTCTTGCTGCTCTTCGCACCGCACTCGGACAGCTGATCATCGGTAGCGTGTGTCTGGACGAAATGTTGCGTGGTGCAAAGCAGATGGCTGTGGTGCTCAAGCGTCGAGGTGGTCTATCTCTTCTACAGGGTTCCCTGGATGCTTTTCAACAGCAGCTCAAGGCTACGTCCTGGATCATGTCCCGCGAAGGCTTCTGGGGAGTCTATGATCCTAAAGTGACTAAAGCTGACAAGGAATGGTTTGCTAGTGAACTAAAGCTGTTTGATGGCTTTCCTAGGCCGCTTCGGCGCCTGTGGAAGTCTGTGTCCAGTCTATACGCTGACTATTATCACAGTATCAATGCTACACCACGGACTGTTGCCTCAGCGAGGTTGGAGGAAGAGACGATCCAGAAAGGTGATGGTATTCTTGGCCTGCCACAGAACTGGTCGCCGGATGATGCGGAATGGTGCGAGTATGAAGATGATCTGCCCGGAATCGAGGACCACGATACTCACGTCAGATCTTGCCGCGAGGTAGCCGCTCGGCAGTTGCTGCGCAGTCTTTGCGAGGGTAAGATTGAGCTCGAGAGACTCGTGAAGAATGCCAAAGATACCGACTGCCGCATTTACATTGAGCAGTTGGCTTATGGTGTCTATCAATGAGTGAAGCACTAATTCCCATCCGATATGCACTTTCTCAGCGCAGCTGGCCCCGGGCAGAAGCAGGTAGGGCGTGACTTTTCTGGCACGTTTTCGTTGACTTATCAGTCGACTCGAGCAGACAACTTATCAATTGGACAATCTTAGCGCCTATATGCAGATGACCCATCCAACGCTAGGTCGACCGCTCATCCAACCCATTTTGACTTTCCTCTTTCACCTCGCCTTCCCTGCTACTGTGCCTGATCCCAGTGCTCTGCCTTCTCTTCTGCCATGCCTTCCCTGTAGCCTCGGCGTGCCAGTGGTTGAGCTGTCGGGCGACCTTTGGCGTTCATTGCGGTCCAATCCTTCGTCTGACATTAATGGTGGCATCAGTGATTGTTATCGCATGACGGCCTGTGTATATGAGCGGTCTCGCTGTGTGATCTCGCTCACAATGTTTGCCGAAAGCCGACCTGGCCCTCAAGTACAATCTCCCCACGGTCTGCCTTCCTGTTCCTCCGCGAGTAGACGACAAAATTCTTGAGGACATGCAGCACCGTGAGAGCCTGGGTCGCTATAACGACTGACATTGCTGGCCTATGTTGTGGGTACACCAGAAGCGTCAGTAGGCATGAAGCAATTCTATCAAAGGATACTGGAAAGAGAGCTGTTCCAAGACCATGCGACCGATGAGAACGAACAGCTCGTTCATCATTGGTATGGTATGGGACCGGAAGAGATAGCGATGGACGACTCACAGATATTTCGGCGCGTCCTGCTGGCGGAAGATGTTCGCCGCCGCAATACCACCACAGGCTCCGCCGCCGATCAATCTAGTCTCCATGTCAGTGAAACGACTGAATCAAGCTGAGCCAAACATACAATGCACTAGCCACACTTCTCTTCATCTGACCCACGATATTGTTATGCATATAGCTCAGCAGACTCGGCACGTTACTGTTGGCACCACACACACCGAGAAAGACTCCCGCATAACGTGTCGCTGGATTCGTCGAGAACCCCATCATGGAAACGCCGACTACAGCAGTACTGGCATTCCAAATGATGATGATGCCGCGCTTGCGGTAATGGTCGGCAAGCCAGGCCGTGGTGAACATCCACACGGTTGCAACGACGTATGGTGGGAAGGCAAGAATTTGGGAGAGCGCAACGGAGTAGCCCATGTCGTTGCGGAGGATGATGGGGAGGAAACTGGGAGACGCAAGCAGGCGTGATTAGCAAGCTGTATTGAGTGAGGTTGGAGGGGCTGTTCAGGGTTGCCTCGGGGTACTTACAAGCCGAAGGAGTAGGTCACGATGTTGTTGAGGAAGTAAAGCCATGCAAACTCCCAGATTTTCCAGTCCCTCAAGTGGCTCAGAATCAGCGGCACAGTCAACTTGTCAACAACAGCATCGCCTCGGTCCCTCTGAATGCGATTAATCACAATCGTTGCTTCCGCTTCGGTCAGGAATGACTTTCGCGTGACGATGTTCGGTTTCGTTGCCTTGTCCGGGAAGTCGACGATGAACATGTATCCCACAAATCCTAGGACGCAAGTGATTGCGCCTTCGATGGCGAAGATCCACTGCCAACCATTGAGATTTGCGATTCCCTTCATCTCGGACAAGCCCCAGGCGAGGATACTGCTTGAGCCGGAGCCAGAAGGGCCAGGAGGTAGAAGGCGGAAAAACGTTTCTGAACTTCGTATCGGACGTACCTGGAGTGGAGGGTGAGGTAAGTAGGCTCTGTTTGGAAGGAATTTCTGGGGGAAGACTCACCAGCAACTCAGGAGAAAGACGCAACCAGGGAAGTAGCCCGCCTCTAGGACGCCGAGAAGGACTCGGCATCCCAGCAATTGCGTCCAGTGAGTAGTGAAACCCATGCCGATCGTAACGGCACCCCAGGCGATGACGAGGGACGAGAGCCATAATGCTGCACCGAGTCTGCGAATAACGATGTTCGCAGGAAACTGGAAGATGACGTACGGCACGAAGAAAATCATGGTAACCAACGAGTAGCGGTTCCCGACAGACAGCTGCAGGTCCTCGTCCATGCCGGCGATTCGTGCGTTCGGTAGATTCACACGGTCGATTAGAGCAAATGCATATATGACAGCCAAGCAAGGCAAAAGTCTGAAATCGATCTTTCTCATGACCCTTCGTGTCTCCTTATCGTCCTTCTCCTCGGGACCAGAAGCAGGAGCAGAAGCATCTTCCTCGAGGACTCGGGCAACGTCGATGCCTCCATCTCGGCCTCCATGCTGGAGCTCTTTGTCTTTGTCTGACGAGGAGTCGTTCTGAGGCAGGTGTTAGTGGTGATTGAAGCCCGCCGCGAGGGAAACATTGCATGGGTACCTGTTCCAGGTGGCGAGCATAGTCGTCCTTCTCATCATGGTGAGCCATATTCGCTGCGTTCGGTGTGGAATAGTGGGAGGGCTTCAAGTCAGGAAGTGCAGCATGAGATGTTTACCAGACCCAACGTGCTTGAGTGAAAACACATCATGTAACTTACTCATCGTTCTACCGAGATCGTCATATAACATCACAATCCAGATAGTGTACCTACCTAACCGAGAGCCGGCAAACCAGGGCAATCAGCGAGAGCCGCCTTCTGGCAGCCTCGGTCGGAACTGCCATTGGAGACAAATTGTGCACGTTGGATTTGTGAGCCAAGGTGTGAAGTGGAAATCCGATCTGTGCAGGACGCACGAGAGCGGGAAGAAGGTGAGGAGATCGAACTTGGCAAGAGCGATCTCTCCGCACCTTACCCCGATATGCGGCTGGGCATCATGCAGGATGACTCAGGACCACATAGGAGTGACGAGTTGAGCCACATGGACAGATTCGACTACCTCAGTAGGAGTCGAAAGCACAAGTGAAGACTTTCTGGACGAATGACTGGATCTCATGAAGCAGGAGAATGTGATATTTCGGCGCATTGGGAGTGCAGATGTGGTCATTGTATATATCTTGATCGCCGGAATTGTTGCGTTAGGTCAGTTGGGAAGCAAGTGCCTCGTCAGGGTTAGCATTGCACTCGAGAGGCCAGCGTCGCTGTGCGATCGAATGGAAGCATTCCGCGACACACTTGCTTGTTGCGCGAACACGGTGGTCCGCACCTATGAGAAGATCTTGTCCCAGTAGTATACGATCTTGCTCCTATCCACAAAGTCAGTACCTCGGACAGCGCAATAGAGACAGGTCTGCACATACTTCGGTGGCTTATAAACATACTGCGCCTCATACTCATTCACCTCATGCCACTCCTTTGGACGCAGCTCGACCTCATGAGGTGCACGCCATTTGGTCTTCTTGATGAGTTTCCAGCCAACGAAGAGCACAGGAAAGACGCCGACCATAGTGTAGCTGAACAGGAAAGTCGGAATGTCCCAGAACCCGGGAAGGAAGACCGTGTAGCCGCCAACGAATGTCATGACCATGGTCGCTGTAAGCGCGTAGTACGCAGTGAATGGCGACCACCAAGCAGTGTAGACGAGGCTGTTGCGATCGAGACCCTGCGCTTCGCAGGCTTTCTTCCAGCGGAGGAAAGTGAACGTCATCACCGAGAAGTTGATGAGCTGGGATGCGGTGATCTGGGATCGGTCAGCAAGAGTGAAGAGACGGTGACCGGTGGGAATGCGCCTACCAGACTGACAAACCAGTTGAGCACGGTAGCAGAGCCGCTGTTGAGTTGCAAGAACGACAGCAGTGAGATGAGCAAGACCGAGGCTACAGCGTAGATCGGAACGCCGTTTCTGGTGCAGCGTGTGAAGATCTTGGGAGCTTTGCCCTCGAGTGCCATACCGTAGAGACTTCGACTTGCGCAATAGCAGTAGCTGTTGCCAGCGGAGAAGGCACTGGTGAGGACCATAGCGTTGACAATGTGCGGCAGGACAGGGATCCTGAGCCGGGTCATAGACGCAACATATGGTGACCCAGCAGCACCAGGCTCGCCGTTCTTGAAAGCCGCGACCATCTGTTCATCACTGTATGGGACCACGATGCCGACGCAGAGAGATCCGATGACGAAGAAGAACATCAGTCGATAGAAGACAGCCTTGAATGCACGTGGCATAACATAGCGAGGGTTCTCGGCTTCACCCGCTGCCATGGCCACGTAGTCAGGACCGGCGATGGTAAAGGACGCCTGGATCAAACACTGTAGGAAGCCCAGGAAGCGCCCAAGTGAGCCGTCATAGTAAAGCTCTGTGAAAGAGCCAGGATTCTTCCAGTATCGGAACCCAAAGCGGTCATTGAGAGGATTGCCGCCAAGCATAACGACGAATGTGTAGCAGATCAGTCCTACGATGAGCAGCATCTTGCCTAACGCCAGCCAGAACTCTGTTTCGCCATAGTACTTGACTGCGAACAAGTTTGCAGCACTGAATGTTGTCAGTATCAGACCCAAAACCATCGCGTCACTCAAAGCAGCAAGTTGAGCTCTACGAACGAGTACTTACGCATAAGCAAGGATGATCGCTGCAATGACAGCGCCAGTGGGAATGACATCGGTCCAGAACTGTATTATGAAGTTGCATGCGACGATCTCGAATGGGACCAGGAACGCCTCTGTTTACCGCCGATATTGGTCAGCCTGAACCAGAATTTTGGAGGGATGTGTGAGATGAGAGACTAGGGGATCTCGAGCCAAAGCTAGACGACCACGAAGTGGCCGTTCGTGGGATTTGAGGTAGGCTGGCAGAACAAAGAGAACACCTTATCCAGGAGACCAGGATAGGCAGATTGAGCCTCCAAGACAATTGTCTCTGCTGCTCGATCCAGACTAGCTCCCAGTTGCTCACTGGTTCAGGCTTGCAGAAAGGGGACATACCGAAAAGGTAGAAGTTGTACCCAGCAGCTACGCCGAAAGCTTCGTCCACATAGCGATCGGCAAATCGAATGAACGGTGACGAGATTGGTAAATAAGTCACCATTTCAGCGACACAGTTCGTGACCGCAAGGATGAACGTGCACCTGTGGTCGCGTCAGTAGGCGGCTCTCGGTCACATCACGGCTGTCGGTGGGGTAAGGTCGCCTTGCGAACTACACTTCGTCCTGGCATAACGTACCAAATGGTGAAAGCCAGGAACAGAGATGCTGGGCCACCGTTGATCAAACCTCTGCCGATTTGGACAAAGAGAGCTGTGCCGATAGTGCCACCAATGCCGATAAGCTGGATGTGTCGCGCCTTCAGGTTCCGGTGCGTCATATCAACACCGTGCTTGATACTCTCCTCGTCAGACACCTCTGGCTCTGCCATGCCATATCCGGCCTTGAGTGACGCCACCAGAGATCCCTTTCGGGATCCACGACGAATGTCATTGTTATCGACGGATCCAGTGCGTTGAGGTTGAGGGCCAGTCACTGCATGGGCGCCCTTTTCGTTGAAAGGACCATCACTTGGGCCGTTTCCAGAAGACATGGTGGCTCAGGAGCAGTGGAAAAACATGAAAAGCTCGTCTGACAGGATCTGGCGAAGTCGATCAATTTGTAAACCCAGCTTTCACTCCGTCCAGGCTAGCTGGAAGGATCATCTGCGCAATTGCGAGAAACGCGGGAGGCAAGATCCAGCTGCTTTTCCCTACGCTTCGCTCCACACTGTCTCCATAAAGTCTTTGGATGGACGGAGCTTATCATCTTGGCTTCTGGGGCACTACCAGGGCTTTGGGAGTAGCTGAATCGTCAATTCAAAGCAAGGTCGCACTGGTGAGCGGCCAAGCGTGCTCTAAGAGTATTGGCAGACCTCAAGACACTAGAGACGAACCAGTAAGAAAAGTGGAAATCAAAAGTCGTGGCGCGGGAGTGGGTTGCCAAGCGAAATCCCGCTATACCTCGCGTGCGCGTAGAGGCCCGGCATCGGATCGGCATGCCCGTGGGATGATAGTTTGACATTCGAAGAGGCGTCAGACGGTGAAGCTGACGGGCACGACTTTGTACATCGTCGCCTTTTCATGCAGTCTTATGCAGTCAAGACTTCGAACACCCTGTCAGATCAGACATCGTCCCTGCCGACGCGGTAGATTAAGTTGTCGCTTCGACCCTGACGGCTCGACATCTCCGCATGAACGGCAGAAGAAATCTTGGCATTGGGGACCTAGGCTCTATTCTTGAGCTTTCAGAGAGTCGAGACCAGTCTACCAGAATTGTCATCTAGACCTTGGGAGTGACGTGATTTGTTTGCTTTTGCTTGCGTGTGACAGGAAAGAATGTGTCGAAGAGCGGTCTTGTGTCTTGCGCTGGCTGGGGCGTGTCTCGCCAGGGAGCTCATATTTCCCGATTCGCTGCAAATCAGGCCGGACGACCAAGTTGTGCTTGCGAGCGAGGGCTTCGAAGGCGATCAGAAATTCGCTGGTCTAACGACGTTTGCCAACCTGCCATGGCAACACTGTCTGTCAACGAGCGACGAGCAATATGACATCGCTTTTCTTGGGGCGCCCTTCGATACCGCTACAACTGGACGACCTGGAGCTCGCTTCGGTCCTACAGGCATTCGCCTTGGCTCCAGACGACTTCATGCCAGCGCTGGATGGAGCGCGTACACGCACGAGAATGCGTTTCAAAGCTGGGCGAAGGTCATAGATTGTGGTGACGCGCCGTTGACATTCCTCGACAACACAGCAGCTCTAAAGCAGCTCGTCTCAGCACACAAGCAAGTCTCTGGGAAGCATACCAATGCTTCCGACGTGAGCAGCGTGCCTCGGATCATCACTTTGGGAGGTGACCACACAACGACTCTTGCTGCCCTCAGATCGACAGTCCATCACTGGGGCCCGTCAATGTGATTCATTTCGACAGCCACATAGACACTTGGGATCCCAAAGTCCTCGGTGGAGGTATCTCGCACTATGCTGGTGTCAACCATGGCACCTTCCTTCACATCGCCGTGGAAGAGGGACTGGTCCTGAACAACTCCATCCATGCTGGCATAAGGGCTCCCGCAGTGAACAAGAAATACGATTGGAAGCATGACAAAGCATGCGGCTTCGAGATTGTGACTGCCCGAGATATTGACCGCATGGGCATCAGTGGAATCATACAGAAATTGAAGAGTCGGGTGGGTGACAGCAATGTGTATATAACCGTCGACATAGACGTACTGGACCCAGCGTATGCGCCGGCAACAGGCACCGCTGAGGTCGGAGGATGGACTACGAGAGAGCTGCTATCGATACTTGACGGACTCGAGGGGCTCAAAGTCATTGGGGCGGATATCGTCGAAGTTGCGCCGGTGTATGACAACGCTGGCGAGACGACCGTCCTTGCAGCGGCCGAGGTGGCTCACAGCTTGATGACTTTGATGGTGCAGACGCCGGTGAAGGCTTCGCGAGATGCTGATTGAGGTCAGTAGTAGGTTGGACAGTAGCACGAGGAGTAAATGCCAGTGCCTTCCAACTAGAGAACGCGTTAGAACTCATTGACGCGCCAGCCAATAACTAAAGGCCCATTTTGCTCCTGCCAAATTTGGAGATCGCGGGGCAACGACGTTTTTCAATCCTCGAGAAGAGGGGCACCGGCAAGCAGCTGGGTTGTGATCGGTGTTGACGCACTCGATCTCAGTGCCCGGGACTCACTGCACGCTGAACAAGCATTGCCCGTTACAGTTACCAGCCCAGGTGCCTTTGCTGTGTAAGCATCGATCCAGAGCCTCTAGCGGTCTAGCTCCCGTGCAACTGTCCTCCCAAATCCTCCATTTGCAAGCCCCTGCTGCCACATAACGGGTATCATTGGCATACTTTGGGAGGGATTCAAGCCTACCGCTAGTACAACCCCTAGGGGTTCCAAGTGAAAAGGGAGTGGCTGTTTGTGCAATATGTAATCGGCGGTCCCAGCTGCGACAACACCCCTCCACTACCCAGACTACCATCATCACGAGACATCATTCTATATACATTGCGGTCGCCTAAGTTGTCTGTTCCTTCTTAGATACTCACGAGACTATTACTAGTGTCTACTTCTGAACCAGGTTCGTTGAGCTGAACTATATAATCTCGCCATTATGGCCGATCCTCTCGCCTCACCACGTCCACATCTAGAAGAGCGCAAGAGCTTTGCTCCCAAGCAACCTGTCGAGATCGCCGAGCCCAAGAATGATCCCATCACCTACGAGCAGCTGAAAGAGCACGATGGTACGAGCCCAACATGTCACAATCGCGCGTATAGGCTTGACTGATATCGGACCTGCAGGCACGAGCCCAGACAAACCAGCATGGGTAGCAGTCAAAGGCACGGTCTTTGACGTGAGCCGAAATAACGCTTACGGCCCTGGAGGGAACTATGCAGGTACAAAAGGCCTCCCGCTTCCCTCAACCTTCCCTCCACAGTCGAGTCAACTCCCCACTAATATCGCGCCTTCTTTCCACAACAGTCTTCTCCGGCAAAGACCCTTCCCGCGCCCTGGCCACATCCAGCCTGAAAGCCGAGGACTGCGTTCCCGAGTGGTCAGATCTGGAGGACAAGCACAAGACGGTGCTCGACGAGTGGTACACGTTCTTCAGCAAGCGGTATAACATCGTTGGGAAGATCAGTCTGGCGAGCGATGCGCCTGGCATGGAGGAGCCGAAGATCTAGCAACTACCTATGCGGTAAATGGTACCTGAAATTGAGGTCTGCAAAGCGAGGGATGGTGAAATTGAGGACTGAAATACCCAGAAAGCCATATGAAAGCACGATGACACGGCCTTCGCACTCCAGAAATCAATCTGCACCTTCTGAGAGAAGAGACTATCAAACTCCTGCCCGCCCAACACCCAATTTCTCTGTACGATGCACAACACCAACACGTCTGACTAGGCCTCCAGTAGCTCATCCATCTGGGCAGTGAAGCAACCCAACCGACTCGGAGCATAATTAAACCAACCGTATCCCTACGTGAGCCCTCTATGTCAGGCGGTCTGGACGACACCCAAGTTCCAAACCTGTCTGGCACGCCCAGGCGAATTAATTTCATCTCACTGCCTTACCTCTGCCACGAAAGGAAGCCGACTTTCTCGCTTGAGCACTTCTATCTGTCCAGTCGCCGGAGGCTTGCCGGGAGATCAAGATTTCTACATAGTACACAATACTGCTTGCGGGACTGCCTGTCCACGAGGTTGCGGTCGCTGTCCAGAGCCTCGGACTCTCAGAATGGCGCGGCTGCCTCGGGCGTTCAACCCTTCCGTGCCTTCCTGGCCGAGCGTTTCTTCGCAATGATGCGGTTGCGCTTGGCGAGTTTGTTCTTCTCGTCCGGACTACCAGCTGCCTCGGTCTCTGTATGGCTGCTCTTGCCCTTCTTCCCACCATCGCTGGACTTGACCGAGTTCCCGTTCGCGCTTGCCTCGCGCTTCCTCTTCTTCTGCTGAGCACCGCTGAGCCTCTTGCCCATCCCCTTTGTACCAGCCGCCTGCTCATCATCCTCGATGCCCTCCCACTCCCCTTCACCACCGTCCCGCCTTTCCCTTCCTCTCTTCTCTCGTCCTTCGCGCCGCTGCACCACCTGCGCATTCTCAATCGCAAACTCCACGATCAGCCTCTTGCCCCTCTCCCCTTCACCCTCACCACCCTCCTTCGGCTTCAGCACATACCCATTCAACCACCGCAACCCGGCCAACGCACTCCTATGGCTCCAGTACTCCACGAACCCATACCCTCGACTCCTCCCACCCATGCCCTCTTTCACCTTGGAGCCCTGTTTCGAGTCCTCGAAGACAATCTTCGCTTGTCGAACAATACCCACGCCCTTCTTCTTGCGCTGGGTCTCGAGTTCAGCCATAAGGTCGGCTGCCCTCCGATTCTCTTCTGCTGATAGGGCGGACCGCTTCCCAGCTTTGCAGTCCGACGCGAACCCCACTACCGCCTCTCGCGCGAGCTGTTTGAGGTCTTTGGACGTGACCCATCGGGGCAGGTTGCGGATACTCAAGCGCGTAAGACTGATGCCCAAGTTCGGATTCATCTTGATCAGGCGCTGTCGTTGCTTAGCGCTGGCCTCTCGCATGTCGAGTTCGGGCTTGGAGAGCATTTCGTAGAGTTTGCTATTGCGTGGAATCGTGCCTTCGGAGAGGAGGTACAGGCGGCGCTTGTCCCGCTCGCGGGCTTTTTCGCGGGAGAGGGCGGACTGCGAGGCGAGGGCGTCGGCGGTGGGTTTGGGGAGGAAGCGGGTGATTTGGAGGATGCGGCCTTCCAGTGTGTACTTTCCAGAAGGGTCGGAGGCGTCGTTTTGGAGGATTGAGTGGGTGGATTGTGGGCCGTGGCGGTTGCGATTGAGTACGCTGCCAGAAGGGTCGGAGTCTAACTTCTTAGGAGCGCCTCGCACGCAGTCCTTGGCGTCGGATTCCTCGACGAAGTTGACGAAGCCGGTGCCCTTGGAGCGCTCGGTGGCGTGGTCATAAACGACACGGGCGTAGCGGGTTGGGCCGAAGTGGGTGGTGAAGTGCTCGCGTAGGGTGGCGTCGTCGGTGGTGAAGGGGAGGTTGCGGATGAAGATTGTCGTGTTGTCTGTGGAAGGTTTGTCTTCGAGGTCAGGCAGGTCGGCGGAGGGGTCGATGAGGTTGTCTTCTTCAGCCCCGGACGGGTTAGATGGCAAGGAAGCGCCCTCGTCGGCATCCGAGTCTGAGTCGTCAATGTGTTCGTCTTCTGCGACATCTTGCATGTCCACATCTCCCTTCGCATCCTCCACGCCATTCGCAGTCTGCTTCTCAACGCCACTCTTGCCGTTGATCCCCATTTCAGCCGCACTCTGCGCCTCGATCTCCTTGACTTTCTCCCACTCCTCCTTCTCCGCCATCCAGTCCACAGCCACAACCCTCCCATCAACTTCCTTCCCATTGACGCCTTCCAGCGCCCTCTCCGCATTCTTCCTTCCCCTGAGAATCACAATGCCAAATCCATAGCCCTCCCCTTTCCCACCCTTCTTCGGCACCACCGCATGCTTCACCTTGCCATAACTCTGGAACAGCTTCGTCAAATCTTCGCTTGTCTGTATGCTCCACGGCAGGTTCCGCACGATCAAACGTGGCGGCTGGGACTCCTTGCGCTGATCTTCCCTCTCTTTCCGCAGCCGCTCGCCAGTCGTATTCGTGCTCTTCGAGTTGCCCACCTTCCTTCTTTCAGATCTCTCACTCCCAGCGTCAACAGCCACCGCACCACCATTCGTAACCGCCAAGTCACCTCCGGCAGCGCCATCACGGTGCCTCGCTTCCGCGATCTCGACTCTGATCTTCCTTCCGAGCAGCGTGCTGCCATCGAACTCAGCGGCTGCGGCGGCTGCATCTGCGTGATCTGTGAAAGTTACAAACCCGAAGCCGCGGGAGATCTTGGTTGAAGGGTCGAGAACGACAGTGGCGTGTTTGAGCGGGTAGGACTCTGAGAAATGTGCGGCTAGGCTCTCGTTCGTGACCGAGGCGGGAAGGGAACGGACGAAGAGCGAGGAGGACCGGGTTTTGGTTTCTGCGGTTGGTTTGGTCGTTGATGCAAGGTCAGAGTTGGTGTCCTTGGTGGTGGTGGCTTGAGGTTCGGCGAGTATTGTTGAGGCAGCAGCGCCGTTTGAGAGCTTTCGCCGCTTGCTTGAGGAGTCCATCTCGGATTGAGTAGGGTCTGTGAGAGAATGTGGTTCAAGTTGGCGAGGACTAACAAAAGTTGTGAATCCCGAAATTTTGGGCTACTCCAAGAGCACTTATCGATAAGGCCATTCATTATGTCCTCTCGTCGTCACGGTTCCTTGTCCTCATCCTCCAAACTCCATCGTGCCGCCTTGATGTGGGCTTTCGTTATCAACCGAAATGGCCTATCACAGTGCTTTCACCTTGGCAAGACCCTTTGGGCGCCCATATTGCAATGCACCCTCCTGTCACTCGGAATCAAGGACGCGATCCTGGGGAGTTGCTGCTCTCGTCCGCAACCGCACTATCCCGGACGAGCGTGGTGAGTTGTGATACCTGCTGTCCAAGCTCGGAACGAACAATGGCCGCACATGTCCCCTTCCAGCCTGAGCATGGCATGAGTGCCATACCTATGTGACCTCTTACAAGGAGTCTACGGCTATATTAGCCGGGAGGCCGCAAGATGAAGCAAAGAACCACGCCATCTCGGATTCGGGGCCTTCTTATTGGAAGGGCTTCTTTCGATGCCTCCACCTGTGTCTGGTCTACTCTGCTGCTACTCAACGATATGACATTGCTAAACCAGGCCTGATCCAAGCTAAGTGCAGATGTTGTTGTGATGTAGATGGGATGCTACCCACAGCTCGGATTCTCAGGCCTGTGATTTGCTGAAGGCGGTAGTAGATGGCTACCAATGACTTAAGTCCGACAAGGCTGCATGATGCACGATCAGCGACGTATATAAGGGGCGCGACAGCATGTAGCAAGTAACAACAGCCCATTCAACACACCTGTCGCCCGTCTCATCGTCGTCAGAAAGCACGCATTCAATATGACCAGCAATATTCCCCAACGACGTCTCGGCAAGGATGGACCACTGGTGCCAGCCATGAGCTTCGGCCTAATGATGTTCGCTGGCGTGTATGGAGCGGCTCCCGACGACGAAGGAAAGTACAAGATCCTCGACAGAGCGCTGGAGCTTGGCGCCACCCTATGGGATACTGCTGAGTACGTCGAGTCTAAGCCAGATCCCTGTGTGTCATGAAAGACCTTTTGACCATGTTGCGCTCTCAACAGCTTGTACGGTGATTGCGAGAAGACGGTAGGCGAATGGTTCACGCGCACTGGCAAGCGCAAGGAGATCTTTCTGGCAACCAAGTTTGGCTTCGTCAAGGGAGACCCCAACTATGCCACCAGAAGCGACGCCGAGTTCTGCAATAATGCCGTTGAGGCAGCTTGAAGGAGCTGCAGACCGATTACATCGACCTATGTGAGTTCTACGCGAGGGGTGGAGCAGCACGGGACACTTACTGACTGTATCGCATCAGACTACTGTCACCACCCAGACCCCAAGGTATGTATGATATAGGACAGTCGAGCGGCTTGAGTAACCTTTCGAACAAGACACCGATCGAGGAAACGATGCGCGCTATGGTTGAGCTTCAAAAGTAAGCGCCCTTTCTGCGCCCACTCCATTTCTCAACAGTCGCAGCGCATATACATACTGACCTGTGTGCCGACAGGGAAGGCAAAATCCACCACATCGGCCTCTCCAACCTCTCGGCCAACAGTCTCCGCCGGGCTGTCAAGATCGCACCCGTTGCTGCCGTCCAGCTCGACTATTCACTCTTCACCCTAGATATCGAGACAGCAAAGACGAAGCACTTGCTAGCCACTTGCCGCGAATTGGGGGTTCCCGTGATCGCCTACTCTCCTCTCGGCCGTGGCTTGCTGACCTCCACCTTCGCTGCCACCGAACCGATCGAAATCGGCGACTTGCGCGGCAAATTGCTTCCACGCTTCCAGGGCGAGAACGTCACCAAGAACCAGAAGCTGGCTCAGGAGTTTGCGAAATTTGCGGCGAAGAAAGGGTGCACGCCTAGTCAGCTCGCTTTGGCGTGGTTGCTGAAGCAGGGTGATGATATTATCCCTACGCCGGGCACGAAGAATGTAAACTATCTGGAGAGCAACTGGGAAGCCTCCAGGTTCAATTGTCGGACGAGGAAGAAAAGGAGATCAGAGCCTGGGCAGAGCGAGCTGACGTTGGTGGTGCGCCGATTCCGGAGAGGTTAGAATTTGGACTGTATGTTGATACTGTCGAGGAGAAGTAAATGGAGGCAGACATGCATAGCAGGCAGTGAAATATAAGCTCCGGCTAAGTCCGTCATCGTAGTTACTTCTCAAGATCTTTCCTCCCATCTTCTCTCTCACTGCGAGCCGTGCGCAATGGCAGAGGAGTTCGATGACGCCGACTTCCTCGCCGCGGTCAATGCTGCCGACCGAAGCGGCACCGCTGGCCGGTCTGGCCCCAGCAGCGATGGACCAACACGCGTAGTGCAGCCAAAACCGCAAGCACTTCCCCAGCGTCAAGGTCCCTCCGCAATCCTCGTGTCGACGCGTCAGAAGGGCAACCCCATCCTGAATCATGTCAAGTCGCTGCCATGGGAATACTCAGACATTCCCTGCGACTACGTCCTAGGCGCCACAACATGCGCACTGTTCCTTTCGTTAAAATACCACCGCCTGCACCCTGAGTACATCTACAGTCGACTACGAGCACTGGGGAAATTGTACAATTTGCGGATACTGCTGACCATGGTAGACATCAACAACCACGAGGAGGCACTCAAAGAGCTCTCCAAGACGTCCATGATCAACAATCTCACTGTGGTTCTCTGCTGGTCGGCTCAGGAAGCAGGACGATATCTCGAGCTCTTCAAGTCCTATGAGCACGCCTCGGCGGATTCGATGCGGGCACATCAGGCACGGAATTACGAGGATAGTTTGGTGGAGTTTGTGACGACGCCGAGGAATATCAATAAGACGGATGCGAATAGTTTGATCAGCAATTTTGGGTCATTGAGGGCTGCTGTCAATGCTGAGCCGGAGGAATTAGCGTATGTGCCTGGCTGGGGCGAGAAGAAGGTCAAGGCTTGGTGTAATGCGGTGCGAGAGCCGTTCCGGGTCAAGAGGGCAGAGAGGACGAATGTTGGGCTGTATCGAGAGGCTACGTCTATGACGGATGGTGGCAGTGGCAGTGATCACAGCCGTGGTGTCACACCTGTGCCGATCTCAAGTGTGCCTTCTCTGAAGCACTCGAACACCACTCCGACTATGTCCAGGGAGAACACTAGACCGGAAGGCAGCAACAAGCGACCGAGACTGCAGGAGATCAGTCCAGATGACGACGATGCGGACGCTATGGCAGAGATCGAGAACACGAATGGCTCTTCGAGTCACGCAGATCGAGCAAAGGAGAAGCCGAATGAGCCGGTGCTTGCCAGTGGTGTGGCTGCCGCTCTTGCCAGACTACGCGACAACTCCTGATGACGCAATACGGGACAATATTTCATTCTACGCACCAAAGTCCAGCAACAGATAGGTACCCTGCGACTGGATCTATTTATGGCAGCAAAAGTTCGCCTACCGTGCGTGGGCAAGCTTTTGACTTTCCAGACCACCAATGGACATCTGTGGGGAACAAGCCACCCTGCGTTTGGTCACGAGATCTTCGATGTAATGATCACGACCTGAGCATTCAAAGAGAGTGCCATCAAAGGACTTGTCGTTCTAGGAGAGCAGCAATCGCTAGCATACAAAACGGCCCCTCCGTCACAGGGCCCGCCTGAGACTTCTCCAGCAGCGACGAGTGCATGACCATCACGTTCCCGAGACTGCATTCAAAGATTCGTCAGCATCGATTAGGACAACTAGATAACTCATCATGGACAATACAAGCACCGAACACTTGACCGCCCCCGCGAGTGAAGCTCTACAGTCTTTCACCGCGACTGGCCGCTCTTATAGCTCACCCACCAAGGCAGACAAATCCGGTAGAGCATGGAATGCCTACGCAACCGCCGAAGCCCTCGGCAACGGCGCGCCCAACTTGCTGCCCGTGAGATTCACAGACGAGAGTCTCATCGACGTGCCTGTCATGCGGCCTGAGGATGTCGCTCGGGCGGGCTTCGTGGGCAGAAATGGCACATCAGCATCCCAGATTTCTAGCGACGTAGGAAGCAGCAAGAAGGATCCGCTATCGTCGAGGTTCTCATTCCTCACAAAACGACGAGGCTCGTCAGACAAGAAGAAGGACGAATTCGTGATGAAGCAGATGACGAGAGCGGAGTACTTGAAGCACTACGCTAAAGACGCCGCTGGACGATACTGCGGCACGGGGACGCCTGCAGAGGACTGTATCCTGCGAAGCGAGGAAGACTTGTTGCGCTGGCGGAATACCTGACTGCCTCGACTGTCAACTCGCGGGCCGTCGATTGCCCATATAGGAGCCCGAACTGAAGTAACATTGTATTTCATCTTTCCTCGAAGTCACTCGGTCCTCGTGCAAGGCTAGACCATCCTATTAGTGGTGAATTGATCGGAGAATAGCCATAGATCGTATAACGAAGCGCAGTAATGCCGTGAGAAGAAGCAGTCTCTCAGTGAATGCTATTCCGTGTAGGACGCACGTGCAAAGTGCAGGGATCGTCGTCCAGACGCGAAGGTTTACTCCAACTCGAGGACAGCCGCCGCGAAATTTAACGTGTACCTGAGATCGGAACCAGTTGCACCTGTCGACTCCTTGCGTGAGCCGCGAGCGCTATGACGAGAAAGAAGGCGAAGGCGACCGATGTTGGAGGAGCAGACACACAAAATGGTGGCAGTGCCTTGCCGGTCAAGAGCAACTCCCCTCCTCCACCACCAGCACCCTCGACGCCGACACTGGTGATATGTCGAAACAAGTATGTGAGAAACTCTCGAGTACATAGTAGTCTTGCTGACACCCGCTCTGGCATTGGCGCTACATCTCATCGTATCACGGACCATGGCTCAATCTGCCACCAGAAGTCCTCGAGTCTCTGGCATACAGCAACTACTATTCACCTCACCCACAGCCAATCGACCCTGCCGTCTTCTTCGACCTGGTCAAGATCCGCAGGCTGATCGACGATGCGACCAGTCTCGCTGTCCGTGCTGCTAATGGTACCACTTCTTCGTCGCTCAACAACTCACTCAACGGGTCCAATGGCATGCTTAGTGGCTCAGATGCAGAGATATTGGGCATTGGATCTTCAAGAGGTGGAGGAAACGCGAAGCTGAGCAGGGAAAGGAAGCATCGCATGCGCGAACATGCTACTCAGAAACTGTCGCAGGCATACAGGCTGGATGAGATCGCGACTAGCGTCGTCACCATGCAATCAGCGTCTGCCCTGGAAGATGTGGCCAAGTTCGTCCTCCAGCGAGAAGAAACCAATGTCGACGCCCAATATGTCCATTTCTTTCACGAGAAGATACCCTCAAGAGCACTTGCGGCATCGACCACACTCGATACCCTGAACGACATAATACATCGCATGCCCACGGAAGCTTCCACCTATCGGACCAGAGCCGTCACCCGCATGTTCAAGAGAGATGCGACGGGCGCCGTCAAGGATCTGACGGATGGATTGGCCACCTTCCGACTCTACCACACTCAAGCACAGAATGAGCAGCGTGATCTCGTGCTCGCCAAAGACGCAGCCAAGGCAGCTCGAGATTATAACCGGGAAGCCAAAGTCGCCGAGAAAGACCAGCCCAGCAGCCTGGAACCCCAATTCCTCTTTCACCGCGCCAACACCTATTTGACTATGGCATGTGATTACATCGCTGACGCATTACACGGCCAGCCACCGCGCGACGCGCCACCACCCACGACGTCCGAAGGCGAGCAGCCCAAAGTAGATCCTCAGGAGAAGGAGGCCGCACGTGCTCGAGCCGAAGCCCGCAAGTATGTGCGTACCTATGCCAAGCGAGCCCTCCGCGACTACATGGGGTTTCTTGGCCACCTCGAGTACACGCCTGGACTGTCTGCAGAGTATACCGAGGCCTTCCTCCAAAAAATAGCTGCTTCCACTGCCACCACCAACGGCCGCCACAGCAATGACTCCCGCTCCCGTGCCGAGAAACTCCTCGACATCGACGCTCACTCCCAGTCCGGCATCTCGGACGCCCTCGTCAAATACGACCAAAGGCAGGACGCCTCAAATGCACCCATGCTTGACATTCCCAAACCCAAGATCTACAAAGTGAACGCCCTCTTCGCCCCCAACCCGCCTGCGGACCTACCTCCATTTCCACCCTCGACTTCTTCTCCAACTATCCCACCTCTTTCACATCCCGCCATCGACCTGCCCTCTCTCTCCGAATCCCTGACCTACCACCCCCTCCTGACCGAAGTCCTACACTCGTTGCTGCTAGCGCACGCCTTGGTTCAAACTTCGGCAAAGGAGCACCAGCGCCATGCGTACATGACCGCTCGACTGGCACGCGTTTTGGACGGCTACCCAGTCTTTCTGGCGGCACGGAGCCCTAGCAGGGGCGACTGGAGTGAGATTCTACGCCGAACGGGCAACTACCTGCAACTGCAGACCGCGTCTTGGGACAAACTCTGCACGCCAGCGCCTCCACCTGGAGGCCGAGGACAAAGGCAGGGCTCGAAAAGCGGCGGTACGGCGGTGGTGAGGAAAGGCAGTGCTGCGGCGGTGGCAGAGAAAGAAACAGCGGAGCAGAAACGGGAGCGTATCAAGCGCGCAGCCATAGAAGGCGCGATGGGCGACGAAAGAGTCGTGGATGAGGAGACTTTCCGGCGCAGTGTTGCTGCCAGGGAAGCGCTGGCCGAGAAGTTGGAGAAAGAGGAAGCTGAGGCGGACGAAAAGGCTGCAAAGAACGGTGCAGCAAACTCTTCGCTACTTACCAATGGCAGCGATACTGAGTGCAACGGCTCCAAGACCAGCGAAGATCATGCCAGTACCGCCTCGGCAGCCCCAGAGGACAAGCCCCTCCTCAACAAGGACAGAACTACCAGCAGCAACTATGGCAACGAAGCTTCGAAAGATTATCCCATCTCCACGGACCGCGCAGACCTCATCGTCCGGTGGATCAGAGAAGCACCACCTCCCAGCTCCAGCCTCGAAGGCTCGGAGGGCGGCGCGAAGAAGAAGTCGAGGTCGAGCGCTGCTGCTAAGGGCAGGCTGCGGAAAATGGCGAGTCAGACTACGACTGCCAGTGTTGAGACCGGCATGGAACAGAGCGTGGAGAGCTTGACTGTCGATTGAGGATCTAGAGCTAGCTGGTCCCCGTCGGTCGCCGTGGAGAATGTGCAATCTGGATCATCCTATAGCTGCTATCTGGACGCTGAATATGTAGGGCTTGTTAGCTAAACACATAACAGGACCTCACTGAAATTGCCATGCCTACGCCTTGCCGGCTTCCGACATCTTCTGCAGCGGGTGTGGACTTAGTGTGTCATCCTGCGGCATGCCAGATGGAATAGGTCAACCGGTCTTACGAAGACCCGTAATGCGGTGGGTCTTACAGCATAGTTGTGCAGGTACTGCTCCACGGTCCAATCACAAGCATTGATTCTGTACTCTCGACCCACTATGCCATTCGTCGTCACGATTGCTTTGCTATAGCACCATGGCTTGACTCCCAACCTTGCCAGTTCGTGCATGTGTTCACTGACCATCCATCGGCCAATGTATTGAGCACCTTTCACATGTCGCTTCAACAATCGCTCCCGTAACAACACTTTTTCTCTGTCTGGCCTTCCATGCCACCTACGCCATCCGCCGCCAGCACCAGCAACCTCAGCCTCTCCATCACTAATCCACTCGTTCTCTACCGGACTCTACTAGCCACCAACCGCCTCAAACCTGACCCAGCACAACACCGCCTCGCTCTCCAACTCCAGAAACTCTACTTCCGCCTAAAGGACTACCGGCCTGAAGTCGAGTACCGCCGGCGCCTTGAACGCGTGACACGAGGCCTCGCCTCCACCAAACGAACTTCATCTCTTACCCTACAGAATGGCTCCCAGCAGGGGCCTAGGCCTACCCGTGCCGGCACCTCACCACCGCGCCAACCCACCAACAGCTCCCTTTGGGCCGCCCTCACCAACCGCCAGCACACAACGCCAGAGATGAAAGCCCTCCTCCCCAGCACGCCCCTCCACGACACCGCTCTCGCCATCAACTCGCCCCAGGGTATGCTCCTGTACGGCGAAGTCGGCCGCGGCAAGTCCATGCTTTTGGATCTGCTCTTCAACTCGCTCCCATCAGACCGCAAACGTCGCTGGCATTTCAGCACGTTCATGCTGGATGTCTTCCGGCGATTGGAGATGGAGAGGATGGCGAGACTTGAGCAGTCCAGGCGCTCGTCGGGGAGTGTGCTCGGGGCAGGGCTGGAGCACGAGCACGTCGTCCTAAGTCTGGCACGGGAGACGGTCGAGACGAGTCCCGTGCTGTTTCTGGATGAGTTCCAAATGCCGGATCGGGCGAGTAGTCGGTTGGTGAATTCTTTCTTGATGGGGTTCTTTGGTTTGGGTGGTGTTTTGGTGGCGAGCTCGAATCGCATGCCGGAGGAGTTGAGTCGCGGGGTTGGTGTGAAGTTTGTGGATAGTCATTATCCTGGTAGTGGTCCTGGGAAGTGGGGAAGAGGAGGTTGGGTGGGAAATATGTTTGGTCAGAGGCAGGAGGAGAGGAAGAGGGACGAGACGGAGAGGTTTGCGGAGGTGTTGAAGGCAAGATGCGAGGTCTGGGAGATGGAGGGGCAGACGGACTGGCGAAGGGAACTGGACATTGACGACGCTGCCGAGGATGGCGCCACTACTACTGCTGATGCTGTCTCTGCACAAGAGATTGAGCCTTCACGGGCTGCGTCACCGAATACAAGCGACGAGAACATCATGAAGGACGGCCGACACGCCACATCGATCGACACAATCGATACTCCTCCAGCAACAACACCAGCAACCCTGCCCTCTTCAGACTCGCCGCCACACTACCATCTCTCAACCCTCGATCCCGCCTCCTTGGCCGCGGACATCAACCTCCTCAACCCTACCGCCCAATGGCAGCCACTCTCCCTCTCAATCTACACCCGCACTCTCACCTTCCCACAGACCTACTTTCCCACTCCTTCGACCAACCTTGCCACCACAGCAACAGCAGGCGGAACGCTCCTTTCCCCGTTCACACCCCTCCTAACAACTTACCTCGGCCCCGCCGACTACGTCTCGCTGGCGTCCACATTCCACAGCGTCATCCTCACCGACGTGCCCGTGCTGACTTCCTCGACCAAGAACGAGGCGAGAAGGCTGATCTGGCTGATTGATGCTCTTTATGAGGCAGGATGTAGGTTAGTGATTAGCGCGGAGGCGCCTGTCGATGGGCTCTTCTTTCCTGAAAGAAGAAAGAAGCTCAGGCAGGATAGAGGCGGTGTGGGGAGAGGGGGATCCAGTGCGAGTGAAGGTGAGCGAAGCGAACGTTACCTCACAGGCGAGACATTGGAAGGGTATGAGAGCGACAGCATCGACTCGGAAGCCATGTCGGAAATGTATCAGGATAGTACGGCGCCGTTCCGGCCGAACGTGAGTAGTTACGGAGGCGGAGGAAGCGAGGAGTGGCGGAGTGCAGATCCGACCTTTGCGCCCGCCGTACCCAACAACAATTTTCATACTCTCGGGGCCAGCAACAAAGATGATGGCTTCGGCGGGTGGAAAGGCCGTAACCGCAACATCCTCGCGGACGAAGACGCAGACTTCGGTCCGACCTACGGCAATGGGCGTGGACATGGTGCTAGCGCGAGCCAGGAAGGTCTGGAGGATGTGCTTCGTCGACAAGGCTTGAGTGTTGGCGCTGCGCCCGGGCTCGACACGGTGGGCGCGGGTCCGGATTTCACGGATACGAGGGTGCTTACTGGCGAGGATGAGAGGTTTGCGTATAAGCGGGCGAGGAGTAGGTTGTGGGAGATGTGTGGACGGCGTTGGTGGCGGGCACGCACTGATCATAATATTGGCGAGTGGTGGCGACCTGAGGGAGGGCAGGGGTTGGGTGGAAGTGAACGATTCTGGGAGGGTAGGCTGGCGGAGAATCATGCTGCAGCTGTTGAGAAGGTGGTGCAAGAACTCCAATCCGAGCAAGCGGGTTCGGAGTCAACGCATGATAGTGAGGGAAGTCATCATGACGAGACGAGGCGGGTCGATGCTTTGAGGGACGCTGAAGACGGCCTGACTGGTGCTACGGGTACCAGTGGTACGTCTGGCCAAAATGGAGAAGGGCTGTTCCGACACGGCGCAAGTCCATATCGCACAATCGAGGAGGCGCCGCCGAAGTTCGGCTGGCAGCATGCGTGGGGGATGATGACTTGGGGTAAGAAGGCTGGGGAGTGGGGAAAGGGTGTTGAAGGGGATCGTATAAAGGAGAAGGGAAATGGCGAAGTGAAAGGGGCAGGTGAGGGTGAGAAGTGAGGTGTGCCAATCAGCCGGGCCTGAGATGAAACCGGCTGTCGTCCGGCGACAGGTACATCCTGCCAAACCTACCTGGTCATCCGGTCTCGTGTACGGCCACCGGTCAACCGGTGTCTCCAGCAGATCTATCCATAAGGAAGGTACGCATGCCTCCACTCGCCCGCTCTTGCTGCAGGAGATTCTAGCGAGGCAGGTGCGCATGCCATTCGTCGGCCGCTCCTGCTCCAGGCACTGCTGGGCATGGCAGGTGCAAAGATCATCAACTGTTCGCTCCTGCTGTGTGATGCGCCTAACGAGGCAGGTGCGAAGGCTGGCCACCCATCGCTGCTACTGCTGGACGTATCTAGCGAGGCAGGTGGGAATGTCGTCCATTAGTCGCTCCTGCTGCAAAACTTGCCTCGCGAGGCAAGTGCGCCTGTCGTGGACGGTGTACAATGTGCGAAGGTCAATAGAGAGGCATCGAGGAGTGAAAATGCATCAGCGGATCTCTAGATCTTTGATATTACTGCATATGCCAAATATGCTGTCTAAAGATCCATACCAGCCGGTGCTTCCCAGTCTCGTCCCTGAGGCTCTAATCCTCCTTCACAGGCTCTGGCGTCTTCAGATATCCCTTCTCCTCCAGATGCCCAATAATAATCTTGACTGCATCCTCCACACTCGTCTCAGCACTCTTGATGTGGATCTCGGGCTTCAATGGCTCCTCGTACGGCGCACTGATTCCTGTGAATTCGGGAATCTTCCCCTCCCTCGCCTTCTTATACAGCCCCTTCGGATCCCTCTGCTCCGCCACCTCTACCGGCACGTCGATCCACACCTCCACAAACGGCACACCGCTTTCCCCTCCGGGCCTCTCGGCCTCGTGCAGAGCCCTTGCCTGGTCCCGATCCGCTCGGTACGGCGAAATGAACGAGGTAATGGCGATCGTGCAACTATCCGCAAACAACTTGGCGACTTCAGCGATACGCCGGATGTTCTCTGTCCGATCATCAGGACTGAATCCGAGGTTCTTGTTAAGACCGAAGCGGATGTTGTCGCCGTCCAGGCGGTAGGCGTTGAGGTTGTAGGGCGGACGGAGCAGGGCTTGCTCGAGGGCAACGGCGATGGTGGATTTGCCCGAGGCGGAGAGGCCTGTGAGCCAAATAGTGAAGCCGTTTTGTCTTCGGAGCCCTGCGCGGATCGGTGCCGTCAGAGGCGTTGGGTGGAAGGTGATGTTGCTGGAGGGTGATGTTAGTAGGGTTCTTGGCGTTATATGCTGGGACGGTATTGCCAGGTGGGACATTGACAGAAAGCGGGATTTTCGAGCAATGCCAACTCCCAGCCAGGTCTGAGCTGTGCCTACTGTCACGCTCGTCTGCCCCCAGTTCAAGCTGAATGCTAAACAAGCTGAGAGCCCTGGTGATGCTCGATCATACCCCGCACCAAGAGCCGCCCAGAGTGCGGTCTCATCATCAGCAGACGAAGCAGCGGAACTCGCTGGCGCTGTCTTGGGTGGGACTAAAATCTGTGCAGTGCCGGGTGTATCGGAGTACTTACGTTGCCATGATAGAATGGTTCTCAGCGAAACCGAGAACTCTGCGGGAAAATGTCTGCAGCCCAAATGATACGCCTAACGCCTCTGTATTGTTGAGATAAGCAGACGAAAAGGGATGTCTATTCTACTTCCGTGTCTGCGTTTCTAGTTTGACGTCCACAGAGTTTTGAGGATGTCGCCATTGCTGTGGAGCGGGAAAAGCAGAATTAGGTGCCAAGGCAGTCGGATTTGGATCCCGGTGATGTGGGGGCACATCGCGCGAGCTGTTGTCCCTGAATGAACCCTGTGTTGACCTTTGCCTTCTTCCTCATCAGAGCAGGTGTTGAGCTCATCCTGCAGGGCTTTGGTAGCGCCCACTCCAATGGGCAGCCTTAGCCATATATCTTCAACATGACCATTCTCGACTATCTGTTGCCAGCTGTCCCATTGCTGCCAGGGCTGGACCCTGAACCCAAGTAGACCATCATCAGCTGTGCTGTACGACTGATGCCCAACCCCTGTTGGACAACACACAGGATCCATCTGGATCAATATGTGGGCAGTGGACGGGCTAAGACGCGGCTCGATCCCTTCTCTGCTTGTCTCTGGCGGTAGTGAGAATCGGTCTGAACCGCTGATATAGTTTGCTAAGGCCGGTCTCCATTTGCCATGTCGGGGAGCTGTTCTCGAGCTGGATCTTCATGGGGAGCTGGCCTTCTGATCTCATGGTCCGGGAGTCTGATTGAGAGCAATTACTCTGGAGCGCCGAGCGACCTTCGCAACTAATATTAGTCGATGTGCCACAAGATGAATCTTCACTGGCTAGCTGCAGCTTTTAGTAGCTGTCCGTCAGGTCTGGTTAAACCTGGAACTGCAGCAGTAAGGAATGCTGATATCTGGTACGTTTGTAGTATTCCTTCGATGCCACTGCAAGAGCTTGATCGGTCCAGAGGTCTGTGGTGAAGCTGCCATAGGACTGTGTACTATTGCAGATCACCTGTGCTCGTGTTATCTAGCCCGCAACACCAGATATTTGGTCCGCTAGCCGCCGCTGACACTCATGATAGTTTGTATTTGGACTGGTACGGCCCAACGTTCGACTGGAGGGCCAGCTACCGGACTGGTCGACACCGCATGTTGTGATCGTACGACTTCTTTGCAGCTCATTGTCCATGTGTTGCAGTGACTGCCGACTTTTGGGGCCGTGTTTTTGCATGGGACTGGGCGACAACCCTCAGGCTGTTTTAGACGGGTCTGTCCAACATTCCTGGCTCCAGTGTATGCTCCACGACGGTCAGGGTGAGCTTCAGGGTGCAATTTTCACAGTAAGACTCTGGGCCACGGTTCATGCGGTTAGTTTGCAGCCATCAGGAGGTCTCAGAAGATTGGTGAGGATCATCGCGATGAGACTTGTCCTCGAATCCTGGACGCCGGCTTGTGATAGTCATACATCTTGGTCAATCTCGAGCCGTGGATAGCGGCAGCTAAGCGACGGTCGGTGGGCCAGTAGGAGATTCCGCCAAATCCGCATAACGTCCAGCTGTGCTGACATGTTCCTTTGCCTGATGTGGGACGTCTTCCATCTGTCAAGATAGCTTTGCGGGGTTCGGGTCAAAGATACGCACAAGGCCTCCGGAGCGCGGTTCTGCTGCTGGCCGACGAATGATCAGTGATCTTTCTGGATTGTCACCTACCAAACAAGATCGTGGGCTTACCTGTAGCGGCATCGCGTGCCTAGAGAGTGCTGTGGAGAAGCTAGGTGCTGGACCGTGTGCTCGTTCCTTCGACGGGCGGTTGTGCTAGATCCTGGAGAGCATGTGAGGAATAGTATCATTGCTAGCGACGCTTCTCCCACCACAGTCGCTTCCGCAACTCGCAAACCAGCAGACTCAGACCGGAATACTTACCACAAGACTTAATCAGGCATTGGAAACCACTCAGGAGGCCGGAAACGCGACTGGGGACTCCGGAGGCTCGATAAAGACACAGCGAGGACTTTGACCAGCATATCGGCCGCGAGTTTGATAAGGGGAAGATACCACCGCTCAACCGTTCACTTGCAAGACGAGGAAGTCTGACGACCCGCTGGGGATCTTGGGAGAACTCTGTACCAGTCAGGAAAGAGCACCTCTTCACATGAAAGTGCCATTCTCAACTGAGGCTCTTTATTCAGCAAGGGAAGCGACTGCCAAGACGTGACCTCACTGCAAGGCAACGTCCTTCTCAGGTTGAAGCAAACAGCGACGGCGGCAATGACTTCCGCACACTTCACCTTGTCAACCCCTTCATTTCCTGCCAGAGATCTCTTCACAGCTTCGCATATGAACTTACTGAAGGCATACTCAATCCGCATCACTTGGTCTTGCCCCTACCACCTCACATCACTTCATTTGACCACCTCGACAGCCATTAAAGCCGTTGACGACAACCAGTCGAACTAGGGCGGCATTCAGACCAGTCGACTGCTTTCCGAGAGAGGCCGCAGTCGACTCTCAAACAGCGACTTGATGTGCACCACCACTGGCCTAACGACTCCCGGCTTCTCTCAGCCTCTCTTTGCATAGCTCGATACCCAGTTGTCTCGCTACTTCGGCAGACTCGATGGCTTCAATGACCACCAAGATTGCTCAGCTCTTTGTCGGAACAGGTAGTCACTTACTTCCTTCATGGCAAGCGCGAACCACTGATGTCCTGTAGAAGCAGCAGAGCGAAACCATCTGAAGCGACTTGAGAGAGAGCAAGCACAGTACGGTAAGAATAACAAGCTCGTCAGTCGCGTGACCTTCGAAAAGTGTCCACCAGCTCGTAAGTTGATGCGTCGATTGTCATCTGTCCTCAGAATTGACGGAAAGCAGCACCTTCTCGGTTCCGGTTCAGCAAGATCACAGATCCGCTTCCATTGTGCCGCCGACCCAAGCCTTTCATACAGCTAGAGCCCACTCCAGAGCCGGTGCCTCCAGTCGAGGAAAATCCAAAGGCCCTGATCGACATACCACCGGATGCCTCAGCGATTGACATGACCGATGCAGATGTTCGACGAGTATGCAGCAGTTCGGCGCTACTAGATACGGTAGCCTGGGCTGACAACATGCCCGCGATGCCTGAGTATGAGGGACATGGTCGCTACCGCCTCGCTCGCAATGTGACGGATGAACGACGTCTCGAGTGCTTCCGTAAGCATAATGCGTCGACCACTGATTTCATGCTCGAGCAAGTTCGCGAATTGGATATCCCAGGTGTCAAGCCTGCGGTGTATGACGCCTTCATGGACGAGAAACGTCGCAAAGAAGAGGCCTTCAAGAATCCCTACGACGGTACCAAGCAAGCCGAATACATCGATACTCAGAACATCGACTTCCGACGTGGTTCCCTGGTCACGAGAGGTTTCTCATCTTCGACGTTGAGCAATTCGTGCAGCTCCTCCGCCTTGTCGCGCCGTCGCAAGAGCTCCTCACAGTCAAGTGCGCCTGCTGAGAACAGCACCCGTGCCACAAGTCGCCAGTCCTCCAATGGTCGAATTGATCTTCCCACTTCGCTTCACAAGATTGATGAGACTGTGGCTTCGGCCCACTTCACCCGTTCGAAGATTGAGAAGCCCTGCGAGTTCAATGCAAGTGGCGACCCGGACAACGCAGTAGCTTCTGACGACGACGACGACGATGAGTGGTCTGACGCGCCGTCTATTCCGGCTATCCACGCAAGTGCTTTGTCTGAGTCCTTGAGGCACGCACAGAAGCGCCCTGCGGGCTCGAACACTGCACTGAACCGCCCTGCAGTCAAAGACGTGGTGCAGAACAACCCACGGCCTCGTCAGTCCAGCCGACCCGTCTATCATCGTCAGCACTCGCGAGACCACATCCGCACAGACACCAAGGACATCCGTACGGGCACCAAGGACTGGTATCCGCAGAACAAGGTCCTTGACGACCCCGTGAACGACCCATCGAGGGTTCACAACCATTTCGTTCCGCTCAACAACGTCCTTGATGGTCCCGCATGGCAGCCTTCGGAAGTCCTCAACCATGTTAGGCAGGTCCGATTCTTGGATAATCCCATGGCTCCTCATTCGAGAGTTCATAACCGTGCAGGAACCGAAGACCGCGAATGGTACATGCAGCGGGTGGTTGAGAATGATCCACACCCCATAAAGGCGCAGGAGCATCTGCAACCTTACGAGAACAAGTCCTTCTCAACTTGTGCACCAAATGCGAAGAGCTGGCAGTCTATGAAATCGAAGGCTGCTTCGCACATGGAACAGCATATGGGTCGAACAGTTGCCGCCAGTAGTGGAGCTAGTAATGCTGCGAAGGCGAACAAGCAGCAACCAGAGGATGATTGGTATGATTCAGACTCTGACGTCCCTCTGGAGCTGCTGGTCGAGCCGCCACCAAAGCCTCAGCCTCGTACTCGTGGTGCTAAAGTGGTTCGTTTCTCGACAGTCGCTAAGGCGCCCGACACGCGTGCTCGAGGTCGAGCGAGGGCCACGACTGCGGTTCGTGATGCTGAATCGAAGGCTGATTCAACCGTCGTTGCAGCGCCAGAGAAACTTGTTGGTGGCCGAGCCAGATCCACGACTGTGATCCATCGCCCGATTGTTCCGCCTGTCGTTGAGATGACGAAGGATGGTGCTGCTGCAGCGTAGGAACGTGCAGAGAAGGCTCCGAGTGTCGTACGCCTCACATCCGATGGCATCCAGAATGAAAAGAAGGCCGAAGATCCCGCAGGACAAGGCGCGGTAGCCTCGAATGCGACTGCCTTTTCGAGAACGGTGATCGAAACAACCACAAAGATCCCTTGTGCTCAGTTGGCACAAACAGAGAAGGTTACGACAGTCCCGATGACTTTGGCTCGAGCTGGAAAGATTGAGATGGTGCAACATGTTGTGGTTGCGGAAAGAGTCTGACTGGCTTGGCTTCAGATGCACAAGCCGCGTGGCTTTCAAAGCACAAGCCGCATTACTCGGCCAAACGCTCTATCATTATCTCACAGGAGCAATGTTAGCCTGAGGAGGCGTCTGGGATCCGTTACACTCTCATGTCCTACAGAGACAGACTTATGGCCCACACTGTATGAATAGGGGGTTGAGCTTGAGCTATCACAGCAAGGGAAAGCTCTGCACAGACCGGAGCATAATGTCTAATCAGCAGATTCATTCATAGCAAAGAATGAATCATACTCATCACGCTCACTCTCTTAGCACAACCTAAGGACCTAACATTGGTAAACGATTTTTCCCTTTCCTCTTCTTTTCTTTGCCTGACAAAGTGCCATGGTTTTGGCACGCCTCACTATAGCAGAATCGCTACAGTGCCCTCCCTGGCTCGAAGACGCTCAACGAATCTTTCTTGTCAAGTGAAGCCCCGACGAGGCTCACCTCATACCATCCGACTTTATGATTGGCACAGCGTAAGACCGTCAGCGCCCGCTCGAGCTCGAATTCCTATAACAAAATACACCTCCCGACTAACACCCAAAGGCGATCCATCGCTACCTGCCCGACACGATCAGCAAAGCAGCATGAGACGTTCAGCGTCATCCCTAAGCCAGGAACACATATTCGATTGATCCGACCGGCTGACGTTCAGAGCGGAACTGTCGAGCTCAGACCATCGTCCCTCGTCACAAATCGAGCACCCTCCACAGTTCCGCATCTGAGTCGTCAACACTGCTCGAGCGTCCTGAGTGTCGCACCAGGTCCTTGTGCTAGCTCTCAGTTCAGAACGTCTTCAAGCATAGCATGCAACGAGTCATGCCCCAGAGCCTCGTCGAACAAAGCCATGCGTGCACGGACCTCAAGCATGTGAAGCGAAGGTAAACATATGATTGGTCAATGAATAGACACCACTACCCCTTTGAGCCACAAAGGCCCCGAGAGCATCGTCTTAGCTCTGTCTTAGCTCTGTCCAGCACTCGCCTCGAGTACAAGCACATCTTGAATTCAGACAACGTGCGTTCCTATCTTGAGAGATTGCTCCATTGTCTGTCCTGACCAGGAATAGACAATGCATTTCTGCGAGTCTTGGTGGATTGCGTATATGAAGCCCAGTGTCTGCTCTGCTCTGGTATTCGAGGATTCGCAAGTCAAATAAGCCAGAGCAATCGTGGAGAACAAGTTCTACTTCCGATCTGAACAGCTGACCAAGATATACATTACCATTACAAACAGGAACAAGAACAAGAACCCACATCCTCAACCATGAAGTTCACCCTCACAACAGCCACCCTCCTCCTGAGCGCCAGCCTCAGCCAGGCTACCGTCGAGGCCGACTCGTCCCTGAACACCACCTCGCTTCGCGCCCGATACATGATGAAATGGGACAGCTGGCAAGGCAATGCGCCCTACTCCTTCTGCGACCAATGCCCCGAGCCCGCACGCGACGGAGCCAAAGGGCCCGTGTCCTGCAACACAAACTCCCACACCTGCGACGGCAAAGCCCTCACCAACGATATCTGCGCCCAACAATGTTCCTGTGACCTGCCCTCCGGCTTCATTACCTGTAAAGCGTGGTCTGGTTGTCGCGATCGGACAGTTGAATGGAATTGTCAGTGTCACAGTGTGGCCGTGCCTACCGAGGGCAAGTGTATAGGTTTTATGTCGTGGGATCAAGGGCTGCAGGCGCAGAAAACCGGCAAGTGGCCAAGCATACCGCCGAATAAGATCAAAGCGCATCCAATTCCACAGGATGTGTCGGCTTTCAAGAAGAGGGCCTTTGGGCGGTGGGGTGGGTTTGGGCTTTTCTAAAGCATTGATTGATGCCAAACAGGGAGGTAAGGTAACTGAGCACAGCAGGTGGTATAAGCAATGCATCTATGTGAGTTGTCCGTGTCGATTCAATTCGTCAGGTGCCTGTGATCACGCGTTTCGTTGAATGTCGTTCAGTCCGTTCTGGCCTGGAATTGTAGCCACGGGCCATCTCTTTCGGCCAAGAATCGGTCGACCAGTTGATACTCGTCGTCGCTGACCTGCCAGCCTCTAGCTCTTCTTTCTTCACCTATCTTGGATACGTCGTTGCCGATCTCAACAGCCTGAGCGCGCCTGATATTATAAGACCAGATTATCCGCGCCAACGCAAGCGACAGCTCCAGATACGCCAGAGACTTCCCTACACAGCCGCGACTTCCCAAGCTGAACGCACAGAACGCTGTCTTGGCAAGAGCGACTTGTTCTGGATTCTGTAGCAGTAACGACTTCTCCGCGCTGGAGTCTGCAGGAAGCCATCGCTCAGGCCGAAATTCGTCTGCATACGGGAAGGCGGAAGGATCGCGATGAACAACGTATGCAGCAGCTCCAACAATCGTGCCTGTCGGGACGAACTCTTCGGTGCCATCAGATGCTGGTATAGCTAGTCCAGGACGCTGGACAACCAAGCGTCCAAGGTGCGTTGGTACACTGGGCGAGAGGCGAAGTGTTTCCTCTATGACTGCACGTAGGAGCGGAATCGCTGTTGGACTGAGCTGGATACCGGTCATGGAGTCGATCGTGGAGAATTTAGAGCGCAGTTCTTCTGTCAGCATTCGCAGATATGCGGCTGAGGACTGAAGAGTGAGGTAGAAGAGCGCTGCAGCCAGTGTTGTCGATGTCGTATCCGCACCCGCAGCGATGAGAAGGCTGGACTCGGCGTCAAGTTCGGTGCGGGTGAAAGCTGTGGGGGCTTCGAGTATGTAGTGCATTACGTCCTTGCGCTGAATTTTGGTTTGATTTCCATCGTGGGCAGACTGCCGCGAGATCCGATCCGTTACCTGATTGTTTGCATATTCCACGTACGCGTGTTCGTCCTTTGCGAGCTGTCCCCCGAAAAGGCTCATGAGGGTGGGCGAGGATATTATTGGCCTGATGAGAAATTGAAACGGCAAATGCGCGATCTGATCCTAGGTATCAGTACTTGCTGCTTGATTAAAAGTGGCAGCGTAGGACTTACAGGATAGACGAAAGCTGAACTGGACATAAGAAGACGTGGCACAAATCTGTGCTCGGCACTTGTCATGCAGTCGAATCTTTGGCCAAAGACGAGGTCGCCCATCACGTCGTACGCAAACCACGTCGCAAGATCAGACATGTTCTTCGACTTCGACCAGGCTGCGGTCCTACCTTTCATATCGCCCGCATCGGAAGTAGCTTGGTCATTAGCCAATAATGAAACCAATGTCGTGACATTGGCGACCACAAACGGCTCCAACTCCCGCAGAGCAGAGTCCGCAAATGCTCCCTCAATCACCTTCCTCTTTGTGGCGTGCTTGGTACGACTGATCTCCGTGTGCAATGAGTACGCTCCCGAAGGAGCATCAATGGTCTCATACCATGGCGACTTTCTCAGCGGGTTGTTGCCCCGTCCAGATTGGTAGATCGTGCGAAGCGCCGCCGGATCCGAGAAGGAGAGCTGGTTTGGTGCGATCCGGACGATTGAGCCATACTTGCGGTGTTCTTGCAGCTGAATAAGGTGGCGGTCCCCGGTGATGGCTTGCAAATACACTGGCAGTGATGTGATCTTGGAAAGGAATGGCCCAGGGTACTTTGCGAGCGGATGGATGGTGAGGCGGTACACCGTCCTTGCTGTGAGCTTGAAATCACGAGTCAGTAAGGTTCTGTTGTACCTACTTGTGGTTGTTGTCACTGTTTAACTGCAGACATACGAAGATGAGCACAGCCACCAGGCCGTAGAGTGAAGCCTCGGAGAGGTTGTTGATCAGCATCCTGGGTCAATTGCTCGTCGCTGACGTTATCCTAGCGGCCTGATATCGAATCTCCCAGCAAGCGCAGTTTCTCAATGTGCGGAAAGTACGATCATCATGATTTTTGAGCAGCCTAAGCCATCGACGACTGAATCCGACGTTGACTCCAGGAATGATGAGATTCGAGTTCGCCAGGCTTGCAGTTCGTGCAAGCCTAGACTTTGCTTGAGCTCCTCGGTATGATCGTTTGTACGCAGCACGTTGTATGGAGCAGCTTATCAACCAACGACAACTAACAATCTTGGAATGATCGCTTATAGACCAGCTAGTTGACAGCGGGTGGCGTTCGTCTTTGTGGCTTGCAGGCGCCAAGCGGGCTGGCCTCCTAGGTTTCGAACCGTCGGTTTAGTGAGAAGTTAGGATAAATAGTGGGGGTCTAACACTGATTCAATCACCCCTCGGACTGACCATCCCCCGTGTTGACGGGCCAGTAATCCTCCAGTCAGAGGGCTGAGTTCCGGGCGTGCGCATTTCATCACCTTGTGCGAACCGGCTCCCAAGTAGGCCATACCGGAACCAGTCTCTTGTGACTCCGGCATCAAGAATGGAGGTTTACGTCGTGGTAAAGGATTGCAGTGAAGGCAAGGACTTCGCAAACCTTCACGCATCGAATATGGGGACAGAAAAGACAGGGCGTGCGGCCCGGTCGATCTTGTGTAACCACGAAAGTTAAGAGGATTGGCTCCCACTGAACGACGAACTTCCGGGGCAGAACGCAGAAAACTCGGACGAACCAGAAAAGTATACTTTTACGTCGCTATATCTTCGAGAGGTGCCACGTCTGTGTGCGACGAATGATCATGTCCTCGCTACCTTCTCGACTGGAACGAGAATTATCTTCCCCCGGCTTGTTGGAAGCAGTGACAACTGCCCCGCCGCGACTCATGATGTCTGGCCGAAAATCGACTCTGTTTTCTGAAGATTGGGGCGCGCTGCCATTCTGCTTCGAATGCTGCTTGGAATATTTCGATGCTGCCTTGCTCCTCGCGTTTCTCGATCGATTGCCAGACCCGGCGCTCATCTGAGTGAGTTCGTGTTCGGTGAGAGGGATGTCGCTGGCGAAGCCGCCACTATGTAGCTCCTGGAAGACTCGATGGAGCGGTGGGACGGCTGCCGTCAGTATAGAGAAGCACATGACGAATCTGTTGCATGTTAGCCCTTCTGTCAGATTCGATGACGCGAGAGCCTTACTGTGCCATAATGATAGCATTCCTTACTCCCCATGTAAAGTCCGTCCTGGTCAGTACAGGCGCTAGTGTCCCGAGTTGCGCTAGGGAGAATGCGCACACACTGTATAGGTTAGGAAGACCACAATGAGAAATTCCTGCACGGGCACTACTCACATTATACGGACCATGAACAGCGACACGACTGTCAAACGTTGAGAAGTTTGCATCTGCAGCTGCCACACTGTAGGTATAAACATGATGCTGATGCCGAAGTCGCTGAGCAAGTTGACGATGATGACTGGATACCATAAGGCGCCGTTGATGCATTCGTCAGCGCGGTAGAGGCTTCGTGGCGCATTACATTGGAAGGCCAGTGCGAACACGGCGAACACCGTCCACACCAGCGTGGCACCGTGGGCAATAGGTACGAATCTCTTTCGAAGCGTGGAGGAGATGATGCTCAGTCGCTGCAGGGTATGGACCACGGCCAACTTTGCAACTCCTTGAGTCAGTACCCAGAGAATGTTGCTTGCGTACCAGAACTTTGACATATTAGCGAGGACCGCCATGGGAGCGGGAGAACTTACACGCATCGCATCGCTGAGGGCATCTTCGTCCAAGGAGTCAATGTGTCGCCCAAAGCCCGACACAGCAGCCCTTTCTGTCAGGACTGTCTGCGCCAGCCCAATGAGCTACAGCTGTGTCAGTACGTACCGCGAAGCTCGCAAATTGAACATACCGTGGCAAGGACGATGAGGCCATCGTCGAGTCCTGGTGTCCTTCGCAGGAGAAATATGGCAGAGACTCGAATTATACAGAAAAAGACTGTAGTGACGATAGGGATGTATGAGAGCACGACAATCGTTCCCGCTCGATTGTCTGCCGTCAGCTCGACAAGTGGTGGCTGGCTCGCCATACTGGCTTATGGGCAATCAATTGCTGGTTATCGAAGTCGAAAGCATGAAGTGTAGCGAAGTCAGGGAGCATATATTCGTCATCTGTCAAAAGCACAGCACAGATGCCGCACAGGAAAGTGCCGTTGCTGCTGCCCATTCAGTGTTATCGCACTCAGTCTTCGATATGATCCTGGCTCACAACAGCCAAGGTCAGGTACCCGGCATGCAGGCAGGCCAAACACTGCTGCTGCATGTGCCGCGCAAAAGCAGAATTGCTTCTTGCATCGAATCACTCAGGGACTGCGGGCGCATTGTGCCCGAATCGCGGTCTCAAAGTGCCGTAGCTCGAGCACACTATCATGATGCGGTATGGTTGGTTTCGACCCCTGTAAGTGAGCTTACCGATATCCAGAAACGCCAAGGATCGGAGCTACGGTAAGGGGCCGTACAGGCCGCTGTCAACGCAAACCTTGGGCGAGGCGACCGGCCAACTGGGATGGTACATGATGCTACTGCATTTCTAGCGTTGATCGTACGTTCTTTAGAAGTTCGAGATGCAGGCAGCATGCGGCTGATTGCAGACAATGTCCAGCCTAAAAGTTCTAGTGATGTCGCATCGCAGCTCTTCCTCATCACGGCATCACTGGTCCGAAAGCTTCGATACCCATCAAGTTGCGATTTGCGATTGTGGCAGGAGATTGCAGCAGTGTTCGACCATTGGATCGATCCCCGAAACGAACCAGCGTCTTGAGTCAGGAACGCGCTGTGTCAGTGGGCAATGGCAATCTCTTTGGGGATGACTGGGGGCTAGAGCAGGCTTCTAGCAACGTGGCCGGCTGCTTCTTAAGCGAAAGTCAGCATTTCTGCACGAGCTGTGTGGAGTGACTACTCGGTGGTTTGTCTATCAATGTCTCGCTGGAGTCGCTAGAGGACCCTGGGATACGTTCTACTGATGACTAGCCACCACATGGCCCTTCTCATGCCACATTTTGTCCTCTGGGACTTCTCACCTGCTCTACTTTGATCGCTTCTGTTGTCGTCCTCATTCTTTTCTGCTTCGTAGAGGGCGGTGATCGGATCATTTGAATTCACACAGGATGGAGGAGCACAAGGGAGATAGCCACATAGATGGCAAACTCGTCGGGAACGACACGACCGAGCGCAATGGCGTAAAGACATCAGAAGAGAATTCTTACGGCTCAAAGCAGAAGCTTGACGTGAGTATCACAGCCTTCTCCAAGATCAGCCCATAGCATACTGATGTACAGCACAGCGATACATTTCATTCTTACCAACAGTGGCTTTCGGTGCCAACCTTCAAGCAACATGGGAATCTGTAGCGGTGTCGTTTCAGGCCGGTTTATTGAACGGCGGTCCTGTAAGCATGCGCCGATCTGCTCACGAAGCTCCCTGCCTGACAGTACACAGACGTCTCTGGTATGGGGGACAGTGATTGCCTGGATAGGCTCTCTGGCTCTTGCTGCCTCACTGGCTGAGATGGCCTCGATGAACCCAACAGTCGGCGCCCAGTATCGATGGACGAGCAGGTTCGCACCTCGAGGCTTCGGCAGTCCCGCCTTCTGGGGCTTGCTGCAAGGCTGGATCACCGTGTTCGCCTGGATCACAACCTGTGCACAGCCAGCTTTCCTTCTTGGAACACTCATCCAGGGTCTCATTGTGCTCGATAATGACAACTATGCCTATGAAAGATGGCACGGCACCTTCCTCGCCTGGGCTATCTTTGCTGTGCCCATCATTATCAACATCTTCGCGAGAAAGCTCCTTCCATCGCTGGAAGTTATCGGTGGAATCACACATATCGTCTTCTTCATCGCCTGGGTCGTCACATTGGCTGCTCTCGCTCCACGGAGCTCGGCCGAGTTTGTCTTTGCTACCAACAGCTTTGGCTTAAGTGGATGGAGCAATGAGGGCGTACAATGGTGTGTAGGTCTGCTGTCGGCGGTCTTCCCACTGGGTGGCTTCGACGGTGTACTGCACATGAGCGACGAAGTGAAAGACGCCGAGAAGAAGGTTCCGATGTCGATGGTCCTCGGTCTGGCCATTAATGGTGCCATGTCCTTCGCTTTCATGATCACCATCCTCTTTTGTCTCGGCGACCCGGAGGCAGCGCTCACCACACCGACCGGCTATCCCATCATCCAGGTCGCTTACGGAGCGACCGGCAGTAAGGCCGCAACCATTGCCCTCTGCTCATTCATCATCTGGAACGGCATGATCGCCATGTTCAGCTCCCTCGCTTCCGTCTCCCGCCTGACTTGGGCCTTCGCTCGCGACAACGGATTGCCCTTCTCATCTTTCTTCGGCTACGTCCACCCAACACTCCGCATCCCTCTCAACGCCCTCGGCCTCGTCTCAACCGTCATCGTGATCCTCCAAGTCATCAACGTCGGTTCCTCGACCGCCCTTTTCGCCATCCTCGGCCTTTCGACTATCGGCCTGTACCTCTCCTACGTCCTGCCCGTCCTCTTTATCGTCATCGCCAAACTCCGCGGCGAGAGAATCGACTATGGACCATTTAAGCTTGGTGCGGCGGGCCTACCTATCAACATCTTTGCCGTCGTTTACGGTATCTTCATCCTCATCTGGCTGCCCTTCCCACCCTTCATGCCGGTGACGGGTACAAATATGAACTATGCGGGACCAATTATGGGTGCGGTGTTGATCGCGGCTGTTGCGGATTGGTTCATCACGGGTAAGAGGAGGTTCAAGGTGCCGGTTGAGAGCCAGCGACCAGTGGACTACTAGTCGAATTTGATATTTGGCTTTCTGTAAACCATATCCATCTTGGAGAGCTGCCGGCGGGATCTCTCTTCTCTCAGAAACCTGTCACTTAGCAAGCAATATAACACATCGTTTCTGTGCATACCTTGAAGGGACGAACGGAGGGGTCACTGCGAAGTTTACCAACTTGACCGCCAAGTAAAATTCCCGTCATTTGAAGAATCTTGGCATCAAGTTCTATCCTCACCTTCGTACAGAAAATACTCATTTGTTATTACCAATGATCTAGATGGACTGTTCCAGATTGACTCATGACAGGCGCCACGACTAGGCCATCATCTGAGCGTATGACACAAAGATGCTGCAAAGACATTGGATCCACAAGCCGCCCCAAGAGTTTCGCCCTGTCCCCTAAGGTCTGAGTCTACAAAGTAAGGGCGAACATACAACCGTCGAGCGCCAACGGATCCAAGAGTCACGCTCAGCCGGACATCGATATGGCACCCCAGCTTCCTTTGTACCTTATCCGCTTCTCACAAACCCACACATCCTTCCGACCAGCTGAGCTGGAAGCACTCGAACGCCTACTGAATGAGTCACTGCGGAAAGCACCTGGCAACGCAGCCTCAGGATTCACTGAAGGACTTGCGGCACATTTAAGGGGTCGAGGTATTGCAGCGAATAAGGTCAGGATCGAAGTTGAAGTTGTTCGCTACGAAGATGGGAGTCCGTTCTGTCTTGTCCGTTTTCGATTATATGTTCGATCAAGTCAAAAGGTAGGGCGGCCGGCGACTATCAGCAATGGTGTGGAGCAGAGCCAGACTACAGCGGAAGAGGGACTGCATGTGGCGGGAGTGCAAGCGGAAGATTCGGGGACAGAGCTCGAGGTTGACGAGGTTCTGCTGTCATATGTTGCACAAGAATTTGTACGAAGAGCTGTCCAGGCGAAAGGCATCTATGAGATCTGGGGCTTGGCTGGAGCAGGCCTTCAAGGGCACTTGGTCACTTGTCGAGGGACTGGCGCTATGCCGAACACTGTTGGGGTGCCGCCAGATGATAGTGGTCCCGTTCTACCATCTCCCAAGACACCGTTGCATCCCCTGTACAGCGATCTCCATACCTCCACTCGCAAGATGTCACAGCACCGATGGACACCTTACCAGAACTCAGCAACACTAAAGTTCAAATTCACCATCGATTCGTTCAATCACTCGCGCTCTTCACCTGATCAGCGAGACATAATCAACTCTTTCGCATATCTTGACTTTGGGGGACAGGTCCGGATGAAAGATGCCAACCAGGAATGGGTTGTCTTCGAAGAATGGGAGGGCCCACCCAGTCTTCCAATAAGTGACGGGCTCGGCGAGGTTGCAGCATTTGACAATACTCGCCGCGAGCTGCGGAGGCTCTACTTCGGCCGTACGATCTCGACCAAGACGCTAAGGCCGCTCATTGAGCGACACGACCTAAAGAAGCGCCCGTATATCAGCACAACCTCGATGGATGCGGAGCTAGCGTTGATGACAGCAAATGTCGCGCTGGCGGGCCCGGGAAAGATCTTCTTGGACCCGTTCTGCGGGACTGGTGGGTTTCTTGTTGCAGCAGCTGAGCTCGGTGCATGGGTGCTGGGTAGCGACATTGACGGAAGAAGTTTCCGGGGAAAGAGTGATCATGGCCTTGATGCCGGTGTGGGCAAGAACGTCAAGAAGTACGGCCTCCAGGATGGGTTCGGTGGTTGCTTGACCAGTGACTTGGTCAACACGCCCTTTCAGACGAGCGGTCGTAGGTGGCTTGACGGAATCATCAGTGATCCGCCTTACGGTGTTCGAGAAGGCTTGAAAGTGCTGGGGACCCGGAATGGCCCAGTCGGACTTGACCATGAGGATAGTCCAAGAACTCCTCATCTGATCGACGGCGTACCTGCACATACTCTGCCGGGATATGTTGCGCCCAAGAAGCCGTACAGCTTTGAACGGATGCTGGGTGATGTACTTGATTTTGCAGCCAGAACGCTGGTCGATGGAGGACGACTTGCTTTCTGGATGCCAAGCGCGAACGAAGACGAGCTCGGTCGAAAAGTTGAAGTCGCAGTTCCCAAGCACCATGCCTTAATTTTGAGACACGTCTGTGTGCAGCGCTTCAATCGGTGGAGCCGAAGTCTGCTCGTATACGAGCGAAGGCCTGGTGACCTTGAGACCCTGCTCATCGATGGGCTGAAAGCCGGTGTGGCGAAGCGAGAGGCAGGCTCGAACAAGGCGGACGATCTGAATCCGTTCCGGCGGCGCTACTTCCAAGCTTTCACCGTCCATAGCAATGAAGATACTGGTGGGTGAACCCGGCGTTCCTCAATGTCTGAGAATCGTAGACTGGCTGGGTCGCTCACGCCCCCACCTTGATTTCCTTGACGCCCTCCGCAAGATCATCTCCATCAACGTCGACTTCCTTGCCCACCAGACCACGCTCCCATAGCTCCTTGCCTGTCAATTTCTTCTCTTCGCTTCTCGCACCACCTTTTGCACCGCCCTTCTTCTTTTCCTCCGCCTCTTCCTCTTCTCGTCGTAGCCGTTCCTTCTCCTCCATTTCTACCTTGAACTTAGCCTGCCACTCAAGGAAACGTTCGCTCGTGACCTTAGTCCCGAAGAACTTGCGGTTTTCTTCCTCTTCAGCCTTCCGCACGACCTGTTCCTGCACTTCGTTCTTCTGCTTCTGCCTGTCCACCATGAGTTGCTCGGCCGCTTCTTTCAGTGTGCTGACGAGTGTGAATATCATAGCCATGCCGAGTGACTCCTCAATCGTGGGCTCCAGAGCCTCGAGCAACTGCGCTTTGTCCTCCGACACATCGAAGAGTGGGTGCTTGCTCGCGTTGGGAGGGGGCGCGAGATCCAGATGCGGCCCGACATCTGGATATGCCTCTGGATAAGCGACAGTGAGGAAGATTGTCGGAGGATCTACCCCCTCGTCACGAAAGTCGGGCGGTGCGTCCAGCGTTATAGATATTCGGAACGAGTTCTCGGACAAGTCTGATCGAGGGCATTAGTGAAAGACGTCTGGTCTGTGTGGATGGCTATGTACCTGTAATCTCATCCGGGAAGATCGAATCGAGCACCTCACGCTCTTCTTGCTGCTCGTCCGCGCCCATCTTGCCTGTGGACTGCTAGCTGCCGCCTTTCATCCATCGTATAGAAATACTTGAAACCTCCCAATTGCGGGGCCAAAATGATATATGCCAAGCCAACATAATCTACGAAGGTACGTTGGATGGGCTAGTAATAGGTAGTTTTCGCATGCAAGTAATGCTCGGTCTGCCTCACCTACCTGACCTCTTTGCCCGTCCTACCAGCTCCTCACATACCTACTGCGCAGGTCGTCGATCCTCTCGCATTTGCATCTCTGGATTGTAGATACTCAATGAAATGTGTCTTATGGTAGACAAGGCCGCTACAGTACGATTACGTGCATCGTCGCTCTCACAGGTAACGCGTTCCACTATCATCGTTCAGCTACCAGGAATGGTCAACAGGCTTATCAAGCACGTGCCTACGGATATCGCCAGCTTGGAGCTTCGATACATGTCGCTGGCTGACGCCCGCAAGTGTGAGGAACTGCGTATTTATTGCATTATCATGGCTTCAGGTGCGTCTCGATGCTGTTACAGTCTACCACAGGCGCCGATGACCCCAAGGGTGCTGTTTGGAATGCTTTGGGTCAACATAGCAGCCCTCCATCTACGTTCCAGCAAGCCCCAGTGACAAAGCTTGCTTCATCGCTCAGCAAGAAGGCAATGACCTTGGCTACCTCACCCGGTTCAGCCCACCGCTTCATAGACTGCGTACTGACATAGGCATCTCTGTACTCGCTTGGGATTGGCTCTGTAAGAGGCGTCATGATGGAGCCTAAGTTGATTACAGCAGTAACCGTCAGAAATATCTCTCCATCAAGACCTTGATTTGGGCAAGGAATCGACTTACCGGGAGCAACACAATTGATGCGAATCCCATTTTCACCCTCCTCGCGGGCAGCAACCTTCGTGAGACCGATCACAGCATGCTTACTCGCGACGTACGAACTCCACCCGGGCACAGCAACATGACCTGCAATACTTGCCACATTGACGACACTACCACCGCGCTTCATCTGCTGGAGCTCGGCGCGCAGACAGAAAAAGGTTCCTCGAGCGTTGATGTCCATGAGCTTGCTCCAGATCTCTTCCGTCGAGGCTCGAATGGGTACTGGCTCGCTAGTAACCGTGCCTGCAACGTTGGCTGCGCAATCGAGGTACCCGAAATGCTTGACTGTGTCGTCGATCCATTTGTTGATGGCGGACTCGGAGGTCACGTCGACGTGTGCGGTAAGATGAGCTTTGCTGGAGTCGGAGATCTTGGGAAGTGATTCCAGCGTTGCCTGGAGGCCGGTCGACGTCGCGATCGGAAAGGGAAAGAAGAACGCCGTGAGAGGCGAGGTACTGAGCAGTGGCACGCCCAATGCCAGATGCGGCGCCCGTGATGGCGATCTGTGTTGTGGTTGACCACGTCAGTACGTTTATGTCTCGAAGTAAGGGCAACCCGGGCAGGTCCAAACTCCACTCGAGTTGGTAAACTTACCACCTTGCCTTTCAGCGACGACATATTGCTGGCAACGGATTTGAGCGAGTAGTCGTGTCAGATATCGGTGAAGTGTGCAATGAAGAGGTGCTGAGCGAAGACTTACTTGACGGACGTCATTCGTAGGTTCTTATACGACTCGTCGTGATTTCCAGAAGTCCTCATCACGGTCAGGCCTTCCACATCCAGCAGGCACAGCCAGACGCCAGCAGTCGTATCTGGACACCCATGGTATGCCTAGAACGCTCGACTGCAAGCGATTGGGAGACACATCATCCGTGGTGTATATCCTTACCAGCGCTCGATGGACGGACCCAGCTTGAGGAGGGTTCCTTGGCCAGCTCCGATGTGCTTAGCAGCACTGGCGGGCACATGCAGAAACGATACTTCCAATCGTGTTACCGAAATAACTCGCAACCGTAGGTAGGAACTCAAGAAGCGCATTTGATCCCCAGCAGCTGAATATTGTTGCATCCTGAGATTGTTGTAGTGGCATTCAGGTAAAAGCACTACTTCCTGCACGTCGCGAGATAGCACGATTTCATGCACGATTGCCGAAGCTATGGAGAGGATCTAAGCCGGTAGAGGCATGGTAGAAGCTGACTTGCATGCGAGCTCGTGTTCGAGATCCGGACAGCATGACAGTGTAGGAGCTGTCTGGTAGGCACGAGGAGGGATGGTGTGGTGCGCAACGCTGAAGATAGCCTGGACAGCATCGAACCCATCAACCTGGTGGGTAGCAGTCTGTAATGGTGGTGTTCCGGTTTGGAAGTATATTCGCAAGACCGGATTGTACAAGTGTATCATACAACAACTTTGCAGAACCTATTGCCTACAGACCAGCCTTCAAGATCAAAGGTATCACCATTGCTGCATTAGATGACGTTCTCGTTGCAAGACCTTTGTCATTGGCATGATAGGAGCGAGACTACGACGACTTCCCGCCTGGTATTACTTGGTGAGACCGGATGACGAGCTTTGAGTCGGTCTCATACGAATCCGGTTGACACAACCGCCATGCATGTCATCCGGCTTCGGTCAGTCCGTCTGCAATTGGTTATATGATGCTGTATCGGTTAAAGGTCTACAGGGAGATTATCTAATAGGCCACGCGATAGCTTACAACGTCTCGGCGGATGGGACGCATCGCTGTATGTCCATTCTCGACAACTGATGCAATATACCCATGACACATGCGGCTTCTGTTCCTTGCGACCCTGCAACTCACATCGTGGTGTTGCAAACACCACACCTACCCATCAGCAGAGGGAGCTAGGCACCATGCCACCTGGATACCGACTCAGGCCTTATTGCAAGCATTGAGATAGACCTGCAACGGCGGGTAGCTCGTCTCCGCACCCTCCGCGCCATGCTCCTTAGCACAACCAGCGCACTGGCCCATAGCGATCCGAAAAGGCGTGCCCGCAGGACAGAATCTAGATAGCGTGAAGGCAACATCTTGACCGATAATACTAGCTTTGTTGAACAGAGCATAACAGGCCGTCGGACCAGATGACTGTCGCTGCTTGAGGCGAGCGAGCGGATTCGTGGTCCCACGTACACTGTACCCGTGAGGTGATTTGCCCGGCGGTTTGCTTCATGCCAGTCATCCCAAGTGCTGTCTCCCCAATTTCCAGTAGGGGCTGGGCAGACGGGCTGGCCGTAGATGTCGAATATAGCGTAGCTGAGGCCGAAGTCTTCAGGGTTGAGGTTGAAGAAGCCAGGCGGTGGTTCGAACCAGCCGCAGTCCGCATCAGTGGCAGACGGGCCTGTGGTGTCATTGACGTAGGCAGGTATTTCTGGCATGGGCTTGCATTCCTCGGGAGCGCAAAAGTATGTGCTCTCGGGCGAACTTCGCTCGAAGTTGCAGTTCTCTTGTGAAGGCGTGCAGAGCGTTCCGGGACTGTATTTTGTCTGTCAGTCAGTGTTATCTCGAGGTTTGCCTGGAACTCACGGGCAACCCCAGTGGTAGTCTGTTGGTAGAGGCGTGCTTGGCGTGTAGGTAGGGTTGACGATTCGGGATGGGCAGAGCACGAGACCAGTAAGCGCGGGCGGAGGAGGCAGACGGCAGTTCGTGACAGCGGCACTGGAGGTCACAGTCACGGTCTGGGCACTGAGTGTGGTGGTGACAGTCTTAGATCTAATCTCAACGACAGTGCTTGGCTGAACTTTTGTTTCGGTCTGTGTGTAAACAACTGTGACAGGATGGTCGATCGTCTCGGTGTGAGTGTTGAAAATCGTGGTCGGGCGAATTTCCGTCGTGGTGTCGGTCACGGAGAGGAATACAGTGGTTGTTGTTGGCCGCAGCTCTGTCAACGTTGTAAATATTGTTGTTGGCTGTAACTCTGTTACGGTCACAGAGAAGTAATTCGTAGTTGTCGTAGGCTGTAGCTCTGTCAAGGTTGCAGTCTTGTATTCCAGCTGAACGCTGGTGATGGTTTGGTACTGGACTTCTGTAGTGAGCAACGTAGAATACACAGTCGCCGTCACTTCTTGCACATCATGCCAGGCCCCGGCAGAAGCCGTTAGTGGGAGATACCCGCCGCTGCCTCCAGCTACCGCGTGAGTGCCAGCAAATAGCACAAGAGCCAGCAGGCTTGAACGTTGGATTCTCATAGCGGCACTCCTCTCTTCTGAATGCGTACTTGCCGATGCATTCGTTGTGGGATCGGTGGCTCGATCACGGTGCGAAGATCTTCAGCAGTCTCAAGAGGAACGAGTCGACTTAGGCTGTTCTCACCTTACCCTGCAGATCCTGTCCGAAAGTGTGGACGGAATTGTGCCTTCGCTGTACGCAACATCGACGGCACCTAGAGGTTGCGTCACCGAATCTGCCAGAACGTCAGTTCTGAATCATGGTTAGCCTATTCAAGCTGGGAAGCGTAGACGAAAGCCTGCAGCGTTTTGGCTGGCTGGTATGAGCAGCCAGTATGATCGGCGAGCAGGAGTAGGCGAGCTTCCTGCGCACCACAGCATTGGTGATACCGGTTCCGCAGAATCGGAGTTTTCAGTTTCCCGAGAATAGCAACGTGCCGGATCCTTGGACAGGGAAGAAGACATCGAGCTCGAGGCTGATCCAAAAGACACACGCTTCCTGCAACCTTGACTGCGCTTTCTGGCGTCACCCTACCTTGAAGAACGCAAATGTAGAGTACAGCGAACTGCACAAGCTATCAATAGATCAGGCGGCGTGACATGGCGACAAGAAGTCTGTGCAGCGAATTGAGATGGCTCCGGTACCCTGGCTCACGCCGTGGAGCGTATCCAACCGGCTTTCGCATACCGCATACTGTGCAGCGTTGCCGACAGTGGACAGTCGGACCACATCTCTGGCACACCACCAGAGACGCGCTAGGAGGTTTTGGAACACAGCAGAAAGCACTCGTATCCCGTTGGTACTTCAAAGAAGTAGGCTGTAGTCGTGCGCAAGGTATGCCCGACCAGAATTCGCAGGAGTGCTGTACGTGCTCAGGTCTCCCGCAGTGTCCGTCCGCGACGCCGCAGCCAGCATCTCTTGAGGCTGATTTTCTACGCGCGAGGCTCAGACACGCAGGGAATCCGGCAGACTTGTCGACTCGCCGCACCTAGCCGTATGATAGTTGCCAATTGGTTGTGGTGTCACAACATCAAGTCGTGAATCGCCAAGATGCGCACGATTGGGGGCCGCCAGATCCCCACAAAAACGCGTCAATATCTTGTCCCGCGTTTCTGTCGAGGCTCTTCCTTACATCACTCTCTCTGTTGTACAACATCTGTTCTTTGGAATGATCGCCTCACCTTCACAGTAAGCATTTCCGAAAAAGACATGCGTTGTGGAGGGATCACAGAAAGCAGCTCCGCGGCGCGCCACTCACTGAGGAGCTACCAGCTCGGATCTGGACCTCCCAGCTGCAGATCGCAGTGTTGATGCTCGCGTCACGATGTAGCAGTTCGGTTTTGTGCCGATGCTTCTGGGTGGGTGGCGTCGGCGTTACACAGACGTGTTCGCCGGCCATGTAACTTAGTGGAGGACTGCAAAATCGACGTAGGTCTAGCTCTGGCCCAGACGGTCACGATCTCGATTCCGAAGCAGTCGTGGCCCCTACCCATGGCTGCGGAGACTATTCACTTAGCAGAAGCAGCAGCTGTGATCAACTTCCGTAACGCAAGCGTCAAGACCATGGCACGTATAGTCAACGGTCCCTTTCGAGCCGACCCAAACCTCATCGACCTGAGTCTGGCTCTCGCTCAATCCAGCAGCTCTGGCGCTGTGCGCCTGGACTACTGCAAACTTTACCCGCGAGCATGCTGAGATTATCAGCACATGATGGTTGTTTTCGCACGTTCTAAGCCTTCAGATACATGAATGCATGTGCCGTTGAAGGTGTTCGCCTGATTGCTGAACGAAATGCGCATCAGTGGCTTCTTGAGCTACGGGACGTCTGTGGGACAAACTCGCCTGCCACGACTCAGAGCCGATCGCCTTGCTGACGGAGCATGACTGCCGCCCCAAAGGTCTGAGTCCATGACTGCTCCTGCCAGTCTCGATAAAATGTGTTTTCTTACGACCTAGCACATTACGTCTCAATATGTACATCATGATTTCCCTACGACACCTGTGTCTCTTCCTTAATCTCTGGCAGATGACCAGGGCTGATTTGACTCCTCAAGAAATTCATTCATGGAACAGACTTCGCGGCGCAGTCGTGCAAACAGATATCTTCCTCCAAGGAGGTCTGCTTCAGATTCCGCAAAGCAAGACCGGTTACCCAGGCAGATATGAGAACGGCTCTTTCTTTCGATTGAGTCTCAACGACTCTTTTGACGTCGCGGACAATCAAGCACCGCCACTGTTCAGAGCGCTGGACGACAAGAGGATAGAAGGCTCAGCTATCGGTCAGGATGGATTTATGATCGCCGACAACGACGAAATCTACGTCTATGGGTAAGAGCATCTCAGAATGCTCCCCGAATCGCTGACCATTGACCAGAGGTGCTTTCTCGAATCCTGCTCTGGTCGATAATGTCGTTTTCTCTGATGTGCTGTTCGACCCAACGATTGGAAGAGAAAACACCCTTCGGAACGCCAACCCAGCATATAGGTAAGCTATATTCCACGTCAACCTCTGCGGACATGAGTTGAAACACTCGGTCGACCGGGCAGGAGCACTCTGACCAATTCCGCAGGCCGAATGACGGGGCTTTTCAAGTCAAGTTGACTGCGGGTGCTGGCGCCAATGCACCAAGTGAAAGCCGTGGGTTCTACTTCGGTGGGCTGAAGAGACCTGACAATCAAGCCATCGGTGTCGACGATGGCATCGACAATCTGACTCTCTCCGATGGACTGGTCATCGTGGATACAACCGAACAGACGGTCTCGCATTGGACGATACCAGCCCTTGGAGTCGGCATTCAGTCACGAGCAGAGGCCACCCTGGCCTGGATTCCTGCTGGCGAGCAAGGCATGCTTGTCGCTGTTGGTGGTGTTTTGAATCCAAGCGACATCTTCAGTCCGTATGGACCATGGACCAACGATAGCATGGAACAAGGTAACAACTTCACCAAAGAAATACACCTGTTCGACGTAGCATCGTCAACGTGGTTCAGGCAGGCTATCGCAGATGGATCGCCGTGTCCACCGAGGCTAGCACGGGCGTGTGGTGTGGTATCCACCCATTTCAAGAAGACACATAAAGCCGACTCGCATCGTAAGCTCAACCATGTGCTCTATAACGTCCAGGCTCACTGATTGACTCTGGCAGATGATATCTTCCTCTATGGCGGCTATGATGGAGACAGCACAACCAGTTTCGACAGCGTGTGGGTGCTCAGCATCCCTTCCTTCAGGTTCATCGAGCTCCCAGCAGGACGAACAAGGAGAGATGGCCACATTTGTGTCAAGCCATATGATAACCAGATGATAGTCATTGGCGGGACACAGGATGGAACACTGCCTCTAGAGGACGGCCGGCTGGTCGACGTCTTCGATATGAACACGCTGGAGTGGACCGGCAGATACGATCCACTGGTCCATGACGACTACATACCAGCAGAGGTGATTGTCAGCGCTCTGCCGCAAGATCAGTGGGCCAATGTGAGAGGCTCTCCTCTTGCAGTTCCACTCAATACGACATACGACGTTGATAAACTTATTGCACTGGGACCGTATACGAAGTCGTCGCCCACACCGAGAACAGGGGGACCAGAAGATAGAACCAAGTCCCGCGACTTGGCCGTCAAGGCGGGCGTGCCAGTGGGCGTCATCGTTGGCCTGTCGATCATCGCGTTGTTGTTCTTCTGCTTGGTATGGCGTCCTCGAAGACGCAAGCTTGAACAGATCCAGGGTCACAAAACTGGCGCGACAGATGAGACAGCGCAAAGCTGGATCGACCGTTGGGTAGGAAGCACCGTTGTCGGGTCTACGCAAGGCAAAGATGTCAATTCCGATACTGATGGGGCGGGCTCTGTTCCAGAAGCCGCTCAGACACCTGAGCTTGATGGCTTGGGCTACGCTAGCACTCACCGATGGTCTCAATCGACTGCCGCTGCGCGTCCGCCTCGCCACAGAGATCCAGGAAGCGGCGAAGGACCCTACGAAGTCTACACACCTGACCACAGGACATCGCAAACGAGCGGTATTCACACAATTGCTTCAGATGGGGCAGAGTCGCCGAATGTCAGCAGATCAGACGTCAGAAAACAAAGCACCCATGCGCCCGGAGTGGTTAGTGGCGGGCAAGCTCCTTCTGAAATGAGCGACGCCGGTGCGGCGCAAATAATCTCTGACACAGGTGCAAAACCTGACAAGGGCGCAATGAGCGCGTCTCCGTCATCTCACAATCCGGCAGCAGCGCGATCCTCGAAGGCTAAGCATATTTCGTCAATCTCGGAGACAGCGGCCTTCGAGACGACTGCTGGCGCTACTACCGGTTCAATCAACACTAAGCGGTCGCCCATCTCACCAGTACAGTGGCCTGCGCGGCCATCGCATCACCGTCATAGTTCGAGCGTGAGTTCCGGTCTGAGTCCGCTGCCCTCCCCTGGCGAAGAGCAAGAAGAAGACGAGCAGATACGGACCATTTGAGACTGTCGGGGCAAAATGCTTGTGACGCCGGACGTGGTGAGGTCAATGCAGCACTGCGTGTCGCCTGCGTCACGGAAATGCGGTTGGAGTTCTCTGCAGATGTCGGTATCGCAATTCTGGCGTGGGCCGATCTCTCGCCTTCCGATGTTGTGCAACAAGCGTCGCAGAGTCGAGGAGGCGCAGGTCTCACATGTTGTGCACCACATTCACGATAATTCTACGGGTACTCATTGTTGATCTTCAGCTTGTTCGCGGTCGCGAAATCCTGCCCTATGTGCTCGCTTGCTACAAACACCTGGTGACCATAGAGCAAATCTCCCAACTGAGGTCACCGACCTAGGTACGCTTTCGTCTCTATGTGCATTTAGACCGCTTTGATGCTGTAATAGGCATTCCCGATCAGGAAATTTCACTTTCCTAAAACAGCTTCTATCGGTTCATCCTGGCGCCTCCTGAGCTCAAGTCGAAATCAAGAGTGCGCTTTTGTCTCCGCGATACATAAAAGCAGATGTGATCAAACAGTTGCACTACTCCCCGGCTTTTGACAGGGAGAAACTTGGGGCAGTCACTGGAGCACCGGGGAGAGCGGTGGAAGTTTTGTATGCAGGATCGCCGCGCCTGCCCGTCGGCAATTCAGGCGGCTTAGCTCGGCATTTTCGCCGAGCGCTCTTGCCAAGCTCTCTTCATGCACCGACTTTGCTGAACTGTCTCTTCTCCAATCGGTCTCAACGCCGTTCACAAATGAATGCATCTCTGACGTCCTCCGCCTAGAAGGCTTAATTAGCCGGTGGAAGAATGACCGCCATGGGGATCAAGGTGTACTGTACACCAGACCTGAGAACACCGAATTCGAAAAGGTAACGAGGTTTGAACATTTCCTGACTCTGGTGCATCACGACTTCGCTCGACATCAGCATCTGATTATCAGCTTCTTTGCCTAGCCAGTCGCGTAGCATTCGCTGTTTGACATCCTGATATAATCACAAACTCAGAGTAACCTGAAGCCAGTTCGATAGTGAGCATCTGCATTCACGAAGGCCTACAGCACCAGTAAGCAAACATGGCGCCCGACCTCAAGCAGAACAAGGCCTACCGCATAGTAGAGCACGCATATGCCAATGGCTATGCTGTCCCAGCAATGTGCTTGTACAATGTCGAGGGCATCCTAGCAACAGTACGAGCAGCGGAAGCCAAGAAGTCACCGGTTCTAATTCAGCTGTTCCCTTGGGCGATCGAGTATGCGGATGGCTTGCTCATCCACGCAGCGGCGGAGGCAGCCAAGAACGCGAGTGTGCCTGTTGCGGTGCACATGGACCATGCACAGAGTCCAGAGATCATTAAGCGGGCGGCAGAGTTGGGTGGTTGTAAGTTCTAACCCGTGTGCTATGTCCTCGCCAGCTGCTTCTGTAATGAATGCAACGGTAGATGGCTTGTGCTGGAAACATCACTGATCATACGATATAGTCGACGGCATAATGGTGGACATGTCTCATCACGAGCGTGCAGAAAATCTGGCCCTAACGAAAGAACTCGTTACATATCTTGCCGAGCGGGGCATCATCTCGGAAGCTGAACCTGGGCGTATCAACGGCGGTGAAGACGGCGTCTCGGACACTTTGGACCTTGAAGGCATCCTTACTACACCTGAGCAAGCGGAAGAATTCGTGGCAACGGGCATTCAATGGTTAGCACCAGCATTCGGAAACGTGCATGGGAAGTACGGACCTAAAGGACCTCAGTTGGAATGGGACAGACTGAAGGGCTTGGTGGATGCGGTCGGCGATCGAGTTAGGTTTGTACTACATGGGGCCGGCACGGAGTATTTCAAGGGAGATCTGCTCGGCCAGGCTGTGAAAGCTGGTCTATGCAAAATCAATTTGGTAAGCCGCTTCCTCCCCAGCTAATCGCGCAAGTGCTGATGCACCGGCGCCTAGAACGACGCAGTCAACGACAGCTATATCCGCGTAATGAAGGAGAAGGCTGGGAATACTCCATTGACACAGTTGCTTCAAGAGGTGACGGATGCGATGCAGAAAGATGTTGAGCAGCATATGGACTGGTTGGGCTCGAGCGGCAAAGCGTGGTGATCCTGGAGCCACTTTGAGTGTCGTCCAAGGAAGGTGTCGACACATGTTGGCGTGCTCATTGATGTACAGGTATAGCGACTCACGGAATTCTGCGTATATAAATGGTAAACGCCTGTGCTGATGCACACTTCGAGCTTTCTTCAGATTGGCATTGAACTTCCAAAGCAGTGATGGGAGCATTGAAGGTTGAATCGTTTGGAGCTGATCACATTGGAGAGGACCGTGTTGAAAGAGCATGTGCCGTGAATGGAATTTGATTCGCTATTAGCTGATACGGATAGGCCAACGGGCAGGGACTGTGGCCCAGTCCAGCTTATCAGAACCGACCACCGAAATCGATAGTTCCTCTACCCAAAGGACTCCTTGCAACAAAGTGGAACGGCACGATCCTCTAAACATACTTCCAAAGCGGCGAATTCGGAAATCAACCATGACAGGCTTCGTGCCAGCGTATAGCGTCTCGTATGCTGGCAAGCCTCTCGTAGCATTCGTACGCTCAATCGATGGCCGCCTCGGTGTGCTGAGATCGACCTGGCTCATGGAAGTTGGCAGCTCGGCTGCCATTGCATGGCCCTGCTGCTCGATGGCGGCTTTGCGAGCCTCTTTCTTTGCGGTTCGCTTCTGCTGGACTTTGTGTGCAATGGCGAGACCGCCGACAACGACGATAGCGACGACCATGATGTGAGTGTATTAGTTTGTTTGTTGGGTAGTGCTCGTGCTGGTGTTGGGGTTGGAACTGAAGCAGTCGATGATGTGTGTGTGTGGGCTGAGTAGTGATGGCTGTTTAATCTGTGTTGCTGTATATTGCTGGCTGTATCACTCAGTGCAAGAGATGAGCCTTCTATATATTCTTGAGGTCAGCGATTGCAGTTGGCAAGCGGTGCAAGCGAACACGATGGCATCACTGGGCAGTGTATGCACACAATTTGACATGAGTAATGAGCTTATCTTGACAGCATCTGGCTCTGAGCACGTGGGAAATGCGAAGTTCTGCCCGCGATTCCATCTCTCTGCATCATAGCTGGTACACCATTTGTCAGAGCGCCTCGAAGGTGCGTCTGAATTTGCTGGTAGCACTGTTCGCTACACAGCCACGGTTAATGTCGCCAAGGCCAGCCTAGTGCAAATGATATGGAATCAGCGCAAGCCATTAGCACAGATGCCGAGCGCAGCTTTTGCAACGCTTGAACTGCGAGATTCATACGACTGTTGATATTGGCAATGGTCTAACGTTCAGAATCGACAAGGGCGAGAGCTGAAGCATGCGATGCCTTAGATCGACCCAACAGAGTAACCCGGGCGCCTCGTCGGTGTGCTGCTATGTCGCGAGCTCAAGATTAGATTCGTATAGGAACAGTAGAACAGCACGGCGGAATATGCTGAGGCACTTTGGTCACTGCTCGTAACGTGCTCGTCGCTGATGTCTACTTCAGGCCGCAATTATGGAAAGAGCAGATAACCAGAAGAAGTTTTTGAACCCCGCACGAGCCTGCCTTTATAGACCGCCGTACTGCTGTCACAGTGCTTCGTTGGCAACCACAGATCTAGGAGGTTGAGCGGGGATCCGGTGAATCTGGAGTCTGGACACAACCCATCGCCTACGTCACGCGGTCGTCCGGAAGCTAATTGAGGCTCATCAGGAGATATAGATTCGACTGAGCTCCAGGTTCGTTTTGTCGCTGCTGACGTGATACACAAGTATATATCTAAGAGAGGTCGCAATTATGACGGCATCATTGTGGCTTGTCCCGCGCGAGAACAACCCGTTCACCAAGACCACAATAGAGCTGATCACCGAGACGGTACCCTCGAACTTCGTCTCACTACTGGAGGGCAAGAAGGTCAACTTTGAGCCCCACGTCACAGTAACGTCCGACATAGATGCCTCAAAATATGGAGACAAACCACAAGAATGGCTGGACAGCCTGAGCCTCCCCGAATTCAAGAAGGAAGTCAACGACCTGGTCCTCGAGATGGATGAGGTCGAAGCCGACGATCCGTATTTCCGGAAACTCACGATCAAATTGCTCAAGAACGACAACTTGATCAAACTCGCCGCTCAATGCAGGGCAGACGCAGTGGACAGCGAGTCCGCACAGAAATGGGCCGAGACCGAGTACAGCCCGCACCTGAGTCTCATGTATGCCGATATACCGCGTGCCGAAGTCAAGAAGAAGGTTCCGCTTATCGAGATGCAGATCGCGTACGCAATAGGAGATCTCTTTGCGTGCTGTGGCGGGACGTTGTGTATGGGTGGCTATCTGGTACTGGTCGATACTTCGAAGCCTGTGGATGAGTGGAAGACCATCGCGAAGCGAGAAACTCCGTGGGCCATGTGGAAAATGACCAGAAACATGATCTGAAGGCTTGAGGAGCGTAGCCGGGATCCCGTTGAGTGGAAAGCACATCAGCTGCCCATTTTCTGGAGACGTTTTGCAGCTCACTCTGTTGAATTAGTCTTGTGTATCGGCTGATTTGCGAGGCCAATTCCATGGTTCAAACCATCTCTACCCAGAGCTTTGTCGGACTCAATGCCGTTCAGCCATCTGGCTTTACTTCGTCCAACAGATAATGATGATCTGGAATACTTCAGACCGCAAACAGCTTTTGGCAGAATCGTTCCCAGGTGCCGGTGGGTCGAGGATGGCGAGCTGTGACTTTAAAAACTGGGCGTTTTCTTGGCAGATTCTATCCTCGGGCCACAAATACTGCTTATCATGCATTACTCGGCCAGGGAGGCCGCTGAGGCCCTGGGACTATCACGCTAATCGAGTCGTTAGGATTGAGATAAGCCTCACTCGAGCTTCAGTCCGAAAGGCTATCATCTCTTCGGCTTTCTGGCCAGGGAGGGCGCTGTAGGAGCAATGCCCAGTTCGTCCAGTCACAACCTGGGTGATGCTTGTTCCTCCGAAATGCCGATTCAGACAATGTGAGTACTTCCAGCTCCTGTTCCTTCACCGACTAACCAAGAAGATTCTCAATACCAGCATCATGCCTGCCACACCGCTTCGATCGCAGGTAGTTCTCGGAGGGCCGATGACTAAGGACGAACTACTACTACTCTCACCGGATCATGAGCAAACCCTCTGGGGGGCGTATGCCGACATTGGCAACGATGACTCAACTGTGGACGACCCGGCCTTGGAAGTGTATGTTGGTTCAGGAATCGGCATTCGCGGTGTTAAGACACGAACACAAAACTATGTACGGATCTCTGAGGGTCAAACAACACCTGAAAGTGGTAAACATGAGCAGCTCCTTGCAAAACCAGGAATCCGGAGCCGACCCCAATTGATTGCTGGCTATCGGAATGGCAAAGTGGTCCCTCGCCCATATGTTCTACTCATGGAACAGCTCTGCTCGATCCTTACCAAGGCCATCGATCTTCCCCTTGGGCGCTACCTCAGCCAGTCATATCACGAGATGCTTCTCGAAGCTCGCCATGAAAGCTTGCCAGATGTGCCTTGGGTTGGCCTCAACCGTGCCGCACAGCTATTACAGTGTCTCGGCAGCCGCGTTGTCAAGAGATTCTGTGACCATTGCAAGTGGGAAAACGACGGTATCAAATACCGCAACGTTGATCCTGGTCTTCCTGGAAGTGAGGTCAGTTGCAAGAACTGCCATAGATGGCAACGCGTGTATGGAATTGAGGGACCTCAATTCTTGATCGACGCCCGCTCAGGGTTGGCATCAAGAACTGCGAGAATTGCGGTACTGATGACTCGTCGGACGGACGTTTCGTCATGGGATTATGTAACGCTTGCTATGGCTATCAGCGAGATAATGGCAAAGCAAGGCCAGAGGACCTGTACAGAAAGGACTGCAAGACTTGCGGGGTTGCTCGTGGCACTCCTGGGGCTGGGGTCTTCTATCTTGGGGAGTGCAAGCGATGTCGCCGACCCCATGAGGCCAATGTCGAGCCCAGAGACTGTGAGAACTGTGGTGTCCCGACAACAGGCACTATGGTCAAAGGGGAATGCATGACCTGCTACGAGTATCGCAATGAGACGGGTCGTGCGCGTCCAGATAATGTCTACAACAAAGTCCTACACCAGGAGCAACATGAGCAGTGTACAACTTGTGGCATTGAGACTCTGGAACTAATCGTAAAGGGTGAATGCCCAGCTGCTGGAGCTGGCGCGGCCGGAAAGGGTATGCACGTCCAGCGGAGTTGAACAACCGAGGGCGACATGCACGTCCTGATCCAGCAATTCCTGAGCAAAAGAGTACCGCCAAGCAACCTGAGCGATGTGCGAACTGCGGCACTGAGCCACAGACTGATGGCCGCAAGGGATTTACGAAAGGTGAATGCAATGCCTGCTATACACATCGCCGCAGATAAAGATCACGCGTCCGGCGACTTCGATGAGCAAGGCTGCGAAGGCCGCGACCGCATCCACGACTGGTACCACCACCTCGGGCACCGCGTCTAAGACCAGCAAGGCTACGACCGCATCCACGACTGGTACCACCACCTCGGGCACCGTGTTTAAGAACAGCAAGGCTACGACCGCATCCACGACTGGTACCACCACCTCGGGCACTGCATCTACGCCTGGCACGTCTAGTGATAATGATCTCGATATCGTCATGTCAGATACGCTGCCGCTCAAGCCGCGTCGACCGCATAAGCCGCGTCAGCCGTATAAGCCACAACGGGGATCTCCCTCGCACGAAGACTGGGCCAGGATACGGCCAATACTCGCAGAACTCTACGTCGACCAGGGGATGCGCCTGCAGGATGTGCAGGACACTCTGGTGTCTCAGCACAACTTTCATGCGACAACGGACATGTACAGAAAACGCATCACTCAATGGAAGCTTCAGAAATGCGTCAAGTCCGCTGACAAGGCGAGTGGCGGCTACGACTGAAGGACACCAATGTGTACCCGGTGAGCTATAGGTGAAAGCGACAACGGTAACGTACGAGTGTGGCAGATACTGGAGAAGGAGCAAACGTGGGTTTTGCATGGAGTACCTACTTACACATCCAACGTGGGTAGGATATAGGAACATATATTTCGCGAGCATGGTTGAGGAAGCGGAAATCGAAACGAGAGAGAGGTGATGGAGCAGAGAAGGAACATACGTGGATGTAGTATGGAGTAATTGTAAGCGTTATAACATATGCTATGCATTCGGGCGGTTCACAGTTGGTGCATTCGACCCGGCCTCATAAGTGCTCGCCAAGACGAACCGGGCTTCCACATTAGGACTACTTAGTAGCTCAATCATTCAACATGGTTATGTCACTGATCGTGCACTCAAGGACAACTTCATTTCATCTCCTTCTGTTCAACTTCCTCTCCAATCATGTCTGTCTCTTCCATGCTTTCCGAGATGACATACCAAAAATGCGATCGCACTTTCATGGGACTTGCCTACCGAGCTGCGGTGCAAGATCTACGGAAATCTCGGCTTCGTCCAGAAGAACCCAATTGACCTTCCGAAAGCCACCATCAAGGCTGTGCGTCCAAATATTGCCGTTAACTGCCTTACCATCAGCAAGCAAATCAATGCCAGGGCGCGCGCAACACTATTCAGTAACGCATCCGAATTTGTCTTTCTCTTTCAATTCATGCTATCGCATCCTCGTCAGTGCCTCTGCCTGCGACAGTATGTCCGAAAGACTTCATACGCAGCAATCTCCTGGAGGTCATGGATGTTAGTGGCCTTCGACAGGAGCTGAATCTTGTGCCGAACCTCAAAGTCTCTCTTGTTGACCACACCACTTCCACGATTGGTGGACACCTCAAGAATACATCCGACATAGAAGATCTCGTCGGCGGAGTCTGCATGCACCTTGGGGATCTCAGAATAATTTGGCGAACCTGTAGCGCTAAACACCAGCTTTCCGTAAGTTGCTTCCTCCCCTCCCTTGACCGACCTGGGTTCAATGAAGCAGACAGCCAGGCTAGCTGTAGAGACAGCAATCATCATGTCGGAGACAAGCCATATGACTACGACAGTAGTGGAGTGTCTCATGAGCAGCTCGAACGACACTCCGCCAGGAATGAGATCTATAGAGCTGAAATTTTTCGGGTCGAAGGACTCGGTCCGCTCATAATAACCGGCGCGATCGACAGTATCTAGACTAGGAAGGTGGACGCTGGATTCCTTCGACCTAAAGGCTCCGATTTAGCCAGGGAACGTGGGTCGGAGACATTGGCTATCAGATACGGCAAGCGCGATGCGTGCAATGACAAGGTTGATTCATGACCTGTCGCAACGTGAAGTAGACACATTGAAAGTGTACAGTAGCGCATTACCAGCGTACCACGACCTTTGTCCTCGCAGAATAGCCCGTATGAACTTTGAGATTGTCCCTTGTGCTTCAAGGATTCGCACGCCACAAAGCGCATGGAAGGGCCTAATCCTCAGCTCAACATACCTTAGCTACGCAGCTCAGTCTGCTGCAGCTTTTCCCGCGAATCTCGGCGACCAAATTATTGTGAGAGCGGTTGCAAAGTCACCAGGAAGAATATTGCTTGTGACAACGACGGTAGGCTCCCTAGTCCTTGGCGCCAATTGCCGATGAATAACCGCAATGATCTTAATCTTCGGGACATACGTCGTACGTGCATCCCTTTACGATTGTGCTACACCACACGTGTACCTTTTTTCAATGGCCAATTTTGATTGAGAGGCTATAAATGCAGTCACAATAGCCAATGCGCTGAGTCCGGGTAGATGTGCCAGCAATAACGATGCCCCGCGATGAAGAGATGGCGTTCCTTTTGCGGGAAATAGACCTGGACCGTTGGCGACACCAAGGACAACCGAGCAACACTCCTGTAAGTAGCGACTCTGTCTCTTTCCACCTTGGCAGACGGAAAAGCAACAGTTCCCATTTCTTGGGCAGACCGGACTCCGGACAAGTGTCCCGAACCACTTTCCTTCAAGGGCTGAGATTCTGCGTGCTGTTTGGAACGATCATCGGCCTCCGAGCCCTCCTCCACCTCGCATGGAACACGGCCTATCGCTTCTGCACTGCAAGTTCGCCGTCGGCGGGAGTCAACCTGGCCGCAGTCCAGCAATGCACGATCGAGAACTTGCAAAGAGACTTGTCCTTTCTCAAGGGCGCACAGCCGATTACGGTAAGCGAGTTCATTCAGCGTCAGGATCGCCTGGCGGCTGTATTGTATCAAACTGGTATCGATGCTTTCATTGTTGAGCCGGGCTACACCTTTCAGTACTACAGCAATGTCTCACAACAAGATTGGGAACCATGGGAGCCGGAGGAACGCCCTTTTCTCATGGTCATGCAGCCTTCCATCCATGACGATGACACAGTGACTGCGAAGACGACATATCTTGCAGCGCATTTCGAGGAGGACCGGGTTCGTCAACTCGGCATTCCGTCAAGATCAGCGTTAGATATCATCACATGGGAAGAAAGCTCCAATCCTTATAGCGAACTGCTTTCAAAAGCATTCGGCAATGCTAAAGGACAGTCAGTCGTGGTCGATGAAGAGATGCGCGACTTTCTCGTGCGAGGACTGAGTTCTGCGGGATTCAAGGTATGTCTTGAACGGGCGAGGATACCATAAGCGGTCTCTTGCCTCGCCCTCAGCTCAAGCGGCCGCCTCGTACGTAGCTCGCACAACATTCCTGCTAACAATAGAAACGTCAGACCATCGGTCTCACGCCAGACATTGAGGCAATTAGGCAACAGAAGACCTCATCTGAGATGTCGATCCTCCGCGCTGTCAACACTGGCACAGTTGAAGCCATCCGTGCCATGCGACCCTGTCTGAGAGCAGGCCTACTTGAGAAAGACGTGATAAGCATACTCAACAACGCCCTCCTCAGCATTCCGGGCTTCTCACTTTTCTTCAATCTTGTTCTCTTTGACTCGAACGCTGCGCTACCGCACGGTGGAAAAGCAACGGGAGCCCTGGCGCTGACACCTACTACAGTGGTACTGATCGACGTCGGCGCCCACTACTTTGGCTACTCGTCTGACATCACTCGAAGCTTCATTATCGGCGAGCCGCCAAATACACTCGAAGAGCTTTCCGCAGACCTATCGTTGAAGCAACGCGTCTTTTCGACTGTCCTTGCAGCTCAGACGGCATCCGTGGCTCACTTTCGTCCTGGCCAGGTGGCCGCAAACGTGGATCTTGCAGCCCGTGCTACCATAACTAGGCTCTCGCCCGCAGGACAGAACTGGGCGTCAAGGTTCACGCACCGAGTCGGACACGGCATTGGGATCAAGGCGCACGAGAGTCCGTACCTGCATAGCGGTAACACGAAGACGTTGTTACGAGAGAACATGACTTTCACCAGTGAGCCGGGCATCTATCTGCCAAGGCAGTTCGGTGTCAGGACCGAAGACGTGTTTGCTGTTACACGCGAAAAGAATGGCGAGGTCGTCTGCTTGAGCGGCCGGGGGGCAAGAAGTTTGTGGGATCCTTGAGCATGGATCATACCACTGGCCACATTGCCGCGGGATTGCCTCGAGTAGGTCGTAATGTTCATGTATGGAGTCGCACCAGCGACAAATGTCCTTCAAGGAAGGCCTATACACCTCCTCAGCGGTAGTTGCCTTGACAGTCCTTTCATGCATCGCAAGGTCAAGCTTACAGAAAGTAGCCATACCATAGTTGCAAGTGGAGGTGTGGGTTGCCTCGTTTCTGCCCAATTAGGCAATGCGTGGATCGGTTGCCTAGTCTGCCCTACGCAGTATACCTCGTTCCAACTCATCATCAGCTATGTCATATGCGTACTCGCAAAGCGATGCATACAGAAGCAGTAATGACGAGGCATTGTATCAATCGCAGCAAGTATAGAGAAGCCTTTGCCGGGCTGAAAATCATCTTGACCCGCAAACAGAGGCAAGGCTGGCGCCCCCGGGCCTTGGCACTTTCCAACTTCAAGTCACCCAGCAACGACAGACATCACTTGATTCCAGTACTTTATATATTTCTGCATCAAATATTGACCCCAAATGCGTTGGTATGTCGACACAACTTTCGAGTTTCTGAGGTACACATAAGCAAGCTCTGTCTTGGCGCGTTTTCTATACACATTCCCTTCCGACGTCTCGAGTGGCCAAGTGAGATGGCTGCGGTAGCTGAATACTGTTGCCGGGTAGCGCCCGGCCTGTACTGGCTGCTTTCTTCTACCTTATACATCCCGCAGGTGTTCCGGTAACCGGGTAGCTCCCGGCCCGGAAGTTCTCGCCCTTGCACCATTTGTTTTTGAGATTTTTTTTGCGCTGGCTGGGCATGCGGATTTGTCTAGACCAATATTACTAGGCGCCTGTGTGCCTGGTCTTTACACTTCACTGATTCCCGCGCATCGCAGATCGGCAGGTCCCTGTACCGCTGGCTGTGGCGACGAAAAGTGTATCGGTTCTGAGTCGAGCAAGTGAGACAAATGGGCGCTGCATATATGTGATTCCACCCGTGGTCGTTCACGAAGCTCGTGTCAGCAGTAGCGGAGGCTCATGTCATCGTTGGGGCAAGAGTCGAGTGATTTCTCAAGCAAGCTTTGGGTCGATGATCATCGAACATAGTCTGAAGGCACAAACGAACTGTAATAGAGCAGTGAAAGAGTTGTCTGTCATCCTAAAAGCCACACATATGAACGTCGTCGGAGCCCTCCTCAACGCCGTTCAGGCCGAACCATCGCACACAGGCCAACGAGCGCACCCACAACCCCTGCTCCTTCCACTTCTCCATCACCTCCCACTTCTGCGTGATATTGACGTCCACACGCGCGAAAAAGTCTCGGGAGCCCTTCATGGTCTCAGAAAGCAGCCATTCCATGTACTGCTTCTCGTCTGGCGCGTCGAGGAAGGTGCTGAGCTCGTCGAGACACCGCAGCTGTATCTTGGTGCACGTAAATAGGTGGCTATCACGCCCAAAACTGTGCGGCGCGATACATTCTTGGTATTTGTTTTTGCTAGCGGCCTCCAGAAACAGAAACAGCTTGGGCAGAGTCGCACAATCGTTCGCGGCTCTCTCGATTTCGACGTTGAAATAGGGCCGAAGCCCTTCCCAACGCTCTCCAGCTGCAAATTGCATCGTGAATTGCCCTTTCATTTTGCCTGGTCCCTTTAGCGTCTCGATTTCCTTCTGTTGCGCTTTGTTGCGGTTCTGCGCGGCGGCATCGTTGTTGGCGGCGGTCATGGCAGCAGAAGTTGGTTGGGAGGGCGCTGCAGGAGGATTCTGTGGTGGTGGCGCAGGCGGAGCGGAGGCGGAGGCGGGAGCGGGATCTTCTTCTGTTATGATTTCTAGTTCGTCGTCGCTGCTCTCGTTCTCTTGGTCCGACATTTTGGCGCAGTGTTCTGGCTCAAAATCTGGTTCAGGAGTGCGCTGAAGTGTCAGAAAAATCGCGTCGCAGTCGCGAGTTTGTGGTTGCTGTCGAAATCGTTTCGAAATCTTGGCGCCAGAGGAGAAAGCCCCGTAGCAACCGTTCATCACTTAAAGCGGAAAGTTTGCAGAAGCTAGCGCCATGTTACCTGAGCGGAAGGCCTCCTCGTACCCCTGCTGACCTCGATTTGACATATGAAATGCGCTTTCAGGCACGAGGAGGCCTCCAAAGCAGCCAGAACGCGCCAATCGTACACCTTAATCCTCATCTGACCTCTCCTCCCGGCATCCTCCTCTAGCAGCTTCACAGCAGCCATACCCAACTCCCAAATCTCCTCTGCGACGTCTTTGTGACATGAGGAGTCCACAATGACACAAGTATCGGAATCTGTGCCGTTCAACAACCTGGAACGCAAGAACGCGTCCTTTTCATAAGCAAAGGGCAGCCCAGAGGCCGCCAGGCGACGATCAAAGCGCCGAGAGACTGTATTAGCAGCAATGGGATCACCATACGGCAGCTTGAGTGTGCGTGAGAGCAATATGGCCGCCCTGCTACTCGCTGGAAGTGCATCAGCGGCACGTTTCTGCAGGGCGGCCTCCTCGGTGGGCGGTGGCGTAAGCAAGGAAGCCGCCCAATCTTCGACAGTGTCAGGATCTGCTTCTTTTGGGTGCTCTTGGATCGACTCCGTCACGCTTTTCCTTTTTGTTTTGCCCTCATGCTGGTCGCCTTCAACCTCGACTGACTGAATGGCAGGCATCCTTTGACTGGGGCTTCTCCTTGGTAGCTCTGCCAGGATACGAGAGCCTTGACACTGCTCTTCGGCACACCAGGGCGGCGTTTTGGTCAAACCCCTGGGTCTGCGAGTTGTTCGCCGACGTGCTACAGATGCTGTCCCTCGCGCTGCTGGGTCTGATAGAACTGCTTGTACCGCCGCTGTCACCTCAGATGATGGACTTGGCTGTGTGAGGTCGACCTCTACGCGCGGTCGAGGCGTGTCATGAATGAGTGAGTAAGGCAGCTTGGCTGCCTTTGGCTGATGTGGCCCGCAAAGCTCCTCCGCCGCCTTACGCTTGCGCTGAGCTGCGGTAGCCACCGGAGTGGGCGAAGGTGGCGGGACGATCTCTGCAGACTCATGTAATGCCTGTTGGCGACGAGAGCTGGCAGCAGGCAAAGACGCCGAGCGTATTGCAACGCGGTTTGAGCCTATGGTTGATGGCGTCAGCGTCGACTCTGTGGTTTGGCTGGCCGCATTTCTCGACCTCCTTTCCACGGCATTAAGCTCGGCAGTATCAACCCTAATAAGAGGTGGCGGCATCTTGAGCTTCCGCCTTTCTAGTGGCGAGATACTTGCTGTAGCTATGCTTCGAGGTGTCTTTGCCGGGGACGTGCTCTGTGTGCTACCTGTTTGCCCTGCTGGAACCTTGCCATCAGCTGCTACAAGCTTTTTGATGATGTCTTGGTAAGCCGTATCATCCACGTCTTCTTGCAGAGGCTTTTTAGCAGCTTCCTGGAGGTCCGCAAAGCTGATGGTCTCGGTTACCGCACGATCATAGTGGACCTTAGTGATTCGAGGGAATCTCAATGTCCAGAAGTTGCAGCCACTGTTGCGGTCATAGCCAGAGCCGAGACATTCGACCACAAATGCCGGCTTGAAGATGACTGTAGGTGGGGCAGAGGCGGTCATGTCCTGCATTTGGTACGCCGTGTGCGTGTCGTGGCCCTCCTGACGAAGTCGACCGATGCGCTTGAGGTCTTCGAGCTCAGTCGGCGGGATGCAATGGGAGCCAGCGGACACCGTGTCAATAATTCGGAAAGAAGGCTTGTCGCCAAATCGCTCGACGGCGTCTTTGTCCTCCAAGCAGGCGATATAAAACACGTTCCAACCCTCCGAAGCTGCTACCCGACTGTCTGTCCTGGCCCCGATTATGCACAGATCGGCAGAGTCGCCCAGTTGCTGCAGATAGTCGCGTTTCAGCTTGATGCCCCTCGGGGGCTTGGTCCAATTATAGTAGGGATCATCGCTCCTCTTGAGCACAAATCCTTCCCAGCCGCACTGAATCGATCGCGCGAAGAGATTTTGCAACTTCAGGACTGCCTGTCTGGTCTTCCCAAAATCGACCAGCTCTCTCCAGCAGATTTCGCTCACTCCTGGGATCCGTGCGACAACATCTTTGAGGCAGCTGCGTCGCTTCTCGTGAGGTTTGGTCGCAAGGACTTGATTGTCAAGCAGAAGAATATCGTAGAATACGATCATAACGGCCTCGTCAGCTTTTCGTGGGCTATCCTTCTCGGCCCCAAGGAACTTGCCACCATGCTTGACATAGCGCCTGATCTTGTGGAACGGTTCAAAGGCTTTCTTACTACTGTTCCAGATCAGCAGCTCGCCTTCGAGTATACACCTGTGGCGGATCCTGCACTGCGCCGAGTCAAAGCGCAATGCTTTCCTGATTGCAGGATGCAGCGCTTCTCTGTCCAGTGTCGAATCCTTTCCACTCTTCGAAAAGATCTGGATCCGGTCCTGGCTCGACTCACGTGTGATGTGAATCTGGCAATATTCGCCATCATACTTCCGTTCGACGCTCATGCACTGTTTGTTGGTCATATTGACACAGTGCTTTACGCTCCGAGCCTTGTCGTAGGGTTGCCGAGTCAGCATGACGCCCGCCTGGGGCTTGAATCTTGTCGCGGCCACAGATCGGAGGGTTCTGATCTTGGTGATATCTGGCCGCGATGGAAAGCCTCGGAAGCCTTCGTGTGCAAGCATTTCTACCGCAGCCTCCAGATCATTTTGCGCAGCTAGCATATCGGGCAGCAGGAAGTGAACTTGGGCCAGTACGGCCGTCTCGGGCATCTGGACGGTGCGGAGATCTTTCAGGATTAGCCTGATGAGCCACTTCGCCTCATGGCTGCGCAGAGAAGTGATGATTGGGCCAAGTAGCTCATGGGGCTGAGCGACAACGTCCCTCCTTAGCTTCATCTTTGGACCAGCATACTTCGAGTTGGCGGCAACCTGTACCAGGGCGGCGTCTACTTCGTCCAGGGTGAATGTCTTGTTCGAAGAAGCCTCGGCTTCCGCCATGATGGACTCGACATGCTGAGCGAAGTCCATGCCAGGGCCAACCTGGGTCTGCCAATCTGTTAGACGTCTCATACGATGGCCGCCAAGGCCAAGCGCCCGGCCAAAGATCTTGGCGAGTCTGTTCTCGCGGAGATCGTAGACTCGATGAGGTAGTCTTTCGGGCAGCAGGCTCGATAGGAGAGCGACTGCTGACTCGCCATGACGTAGGATGTCGCTCTCGTGTTGAGCAAACCATTCTTCGATGATGCCACGCGCGGGCTTGGCGCTGCTGGCCGCTGTGGCTCGCGGGTCTTTGATGTCCTCGAGCTCCTGTAAAAGTGCTGCAAGATCGCGGAAGTTTATGGTCATGATGCATCGACCCAGCGTGTCATCGCGTGCTCCAGGTCACGGCGCTCATCAAGTGGTGCGCTGGACTGATCGAAGCACAAAGAAAGGGCCACTGATCTGTCGGTGGTTGACATGTTGTGCGGGGGGCTGGGTAGTGAGAATAGATCATATATATGTCCCGGCCAACGATCAAGTGACTACATTCAAAACGCCACAGTGAAGCAGTAATCGAACAAAGGGCAAAGCAAGACTTGTTCCAGTTCTTGCTGAGCGCGCCAATCAGTAAAGACGCGTCAAAGGTGAGTAGATAGTATTTGCTCCATTGCTCAATTAGGCATGTCTGAACGCTCAAAACGAAATCACCTCTCTTCATTTCCTGAAGACGCACTCAACTCCATCACCAACTCCATCAAAGCAATCACCAATTGTCCATCATTCAGGCGACCGCCACCGGCTGCGCTACTTCCTCGACAGCAGCAACCGGAATTGGATCCGGTCCGTTGATGACCTGCTTCACCAGCCATTTCAACAGCCCTTCCTTCTTCTCCTTTGCAACGACATCTTCGAAGCCTGATGGAGGCGTCACAGTCTTGCCGTCGCCGTCCTCGGTGTTCTTTTCAGTATCTGCATCCTCGTCATCCTCGCTCCATTCACCATGTCGCTTCTTCCGCCGATCTTTCCGCCGCTGCTCCTTCTGCTTTTTCTTCTTTTCTACCTCTGCCTCTGCTTCTTCCCGTTCACGAATGAGCTGATCGGCCCAAGCTTTGATTTCGTTGACCGCCTTCTGCGGTGAGCTCTTGCGCATGAGTATGAAGTCTTGCAGCTCGGCAGGAGAAACCTTGTATTCTGGAATTTGTTCGCAGAATCGGTCGGCCAGTCCTGCAAGCTCCTCTTCATTCGAACCTGACGCATCAGCTTCGCAGGTGCACTTGGTGGCAACCTTCACCGTGGTCTTGAGTCTTCTACGATACATTCGCATAAAGATCTCTCGCGCTTGAGGCCGCGATGCCCAAGCCAGCTTCACACTTACATCGACACGACCAGCCCGAATCAAAGCGTCATCGAGCTTCTCCTTGTGATTGGTGGTCATGATCAGGACCTGGCCTTCAGGGGCGCCTACTCCATCAATAGCGTTGAGCAGACCAGACAGTGTCACTCGGCTTTTCGCTTGTTGCTTGCGGTAACGCGTGTTGTAGTCATCGTCAGAGTCATCATCAGAGTCGTCCTGAAAATCACGAGACACACCAGCAGAGTCGATGTCTTCGAGCAGAACACAAGGTCGACCAATCATACTCTTCATCAACCGGTTGAGGTTATAATCGTCAAGATTCTTATCCAGCAAACTAATGATGTGGATGTCAAGCTTGAATTGGCCAGCAAGAGCCATCGCGAGAGATGACTTTCCGGTTCCGGGAGGACCGTAGAACAAATAGCCACGACGGTAAGGAATACCTTGTTGCTGATACCAAGCCTTCGTCTCCGGGTGCAGATACTCGGCAATGTCCTGCACAATCATCTCCTTTTGGCCTTCATCCAAGTTCACCGTGCTGATTGGACGCGCAAGCCGGTTCTGAGGTCGAGACCAGTTACCGTAGCCGTGCTCTTGCCCTGAGCTTCGGATTGAGGTAAGTCGATCTTGCGACTGGACCACTTTCTGCCCGCGGTCTATATCCGCAAACAATTCTGTAATAGGCTTCGTGCTCCATCCGAAGCAGAAGAATCGCAGGCTCTTAGAGAAACCTGGGTTGTAGGTCGAATCATCTCGATCTCTGCGTACGAGAAAGCTTCGACCCTTGTGCCGGAACAACAGCATACTGCGCGTGGAGTGGAGCACCATCTTGAATGGCTTCTCTTCATCTCCGTTCTGCTGCTTGTCGATCGGATTGCCCCAGTCGTCATAGTCGTCATCTGGACAATCTTCTTGGTCCCGCTTCAGGATCTGATAGCTGGACTCTCCGAGCATGTTGTTCCCCTGCCCGAGAATCTTCTTCTTACGCAAGAAGTTCTGAACCTGGAGAACGAAGGGGTCATCTCCGTCAATGGTGATTGAAGCAGTGAACAGACTGATGAACTGCGACCAAGTTGCTGAGATGGCTTCTGTGACTTTCGTGGCGTTGAGATATGATGCCAACACGATGGTGAGCAGCACGCTCATCAACTTCGACAGCCTCGGGTACTTTGCGAGTTTGGCGAGGACTTGTGGAAAGATCTGGATGATATATGCGGGTAGACCTAAGGTTCCGCCCGCGAGCATAGTCGGGATACTGCCTAGAAGATCGCTGGCTGCATCCGATCCGATGCTTGGGCGAGGCGACCCTGGCGGGCGCCAGGCAGCGAGGGCGTCCGCCATTGTATTTGTCGTTGATCTGAGTTTCGTTCTTGTTAATTCGATGATAGCAAAGAGAAGCTCGAGAACGGTGAGAGAGTTCAGATATAAAGGCAACACTCACTGCGAACCTGGCGGGGGTGAATTAGGCAGTGCACATGTGCTGTTTGGTCAAACAAGGCTTAGCCTTGGAATAGGCTGCTTGTCGGACTCGGCAGGTGACTCACCCGACCACTTGAGTGGAAGGTCATAACCTTGGAATATGATGTATGATGCCTGCCAGCAGTCATAATCGATGTCGTTGGGTCATAGTCGCAGCCTACTCCTAGTCTGAACATGCCTGTTCAACGAGTCCCTTCAGCACCAAAGTTCCGAATATGACACGAGATCGCATGAGCGCTATTGGCAGGCACGAGCCGCTAGCGTGGCATTTGCCTGATTGCCCCACAAACGCTAGTCGAAGAGTGGGATGGCGTGTGTTGCACTGCAGGCATCCGCGCCTCGGGGTTTCTGGTCACAGCCACCGTCCGTTGACTTCACCGGTCAGCATTTCCATCTTTTCATTACTCGTGCGAAGACCTTCCTTTAAGCCGCATGGTATCAGTATCCTCCCGATGGCGAGAATCATGGAGCTGCAATTTGGAGATTCAACACCGAGAGGATTCGGTATGACAAGCTCAGCGGCCTGCCCATATCGTCATCAAGCTTTCAACATGTGTCAAGAGAAGCATTTTGGGCTCGATGCATGATGCCGTCAAGCCGCAGTCAATTTCTTCCACCAACGGTTGCTCGCATCTACAACTCAATGCTGCGAGCCGTCCTGGCAGCTCAAGCCGATGGTGCCGAGACCCTCAGCCTTGCCAGTCATAATCGACCAAATCACCTCCCAAACACAGTCCCCCACATCTGATTGAGAGCCGCGATTCCCGTTGCCCGGTAAGTGTCATCCTCCACATAACTCCCCGTGTCATTCGCCTGCAGCACCATGTTCTTTCCATATCCTCCCGCCCCAGTCACTGGATCTCCTCCTGGACCATTCATATACACTGGCCAATGCGGCGCCGTCATCATATGGTTGTTCGGATCACCTGTCGCAATGAAGCTCGCCCACATCGAACTCATGAGCTGAGCAAGGTAGAAGTAGCTCTCCGGCACGTCTGTGAATGGCTTGGCATTTGCTGCGTATCCGAGACCGTCGGTGTTGTCGAAGACGAAGGCCACTTCTTGGAAATGGGCTACGCCGATGAAGTTTGGCAGTGGGTATGGGATCGTGTTGAAGCGGTACGAGTAAGTCGTCACATTGTAGTTGGCGTACTGCTGGTTGGTGAGCCGGCGTCCAGCGTGCATTGACAGGTCACCCCCGAAAGCATTGCCGCGCTTGTACTGATAGCCATAGGACGAATTGAGCGTGTAGGTGAGTGTCGTAGGAATGCCAATGGCAGGAATATCGGGGTATGTGGCTTCGATAATCGGCGCAGAGTCCTCCGTGAGGCCGGACCGCAGCAGATACCTTCGGAAGTCGGAATCATTGTTGATTCCAACGGGACCGAAGCTGGTGCCTTCATCGCTGTTGGCGCCAATCATATACGGTACCTTGACGAAGTCGCCGTTGATGACTGCTCCATACGTCGAGTTGGGTATAAAGTCGCCATCTGGCGCCGGACTGAAGCGGATGCCAGTCCTGTTGAACGCAGTGTTCAGTGTATCGAAGTCTTTGCCGCGGAGACAGCTTAGCTTGTCGTCCTCGTTACTACAGCCTGCAATGTCTGTGATATTGTCGAAGGTGCGCTGGCCAGTTGTTGCATTGTATGCTGCCACCATGGGGTTTCCGGACTGCCCGATTATGCCGCTGAAGAGGCCCTCGTCCTTGCCTCCATATGCGATGGCGTGCAGCCCGACGGCAGTGGCACCGGCTGATTCTCCAAAGATGGTCCTGCAGATCCGTCGTCAGCTCCCATATTTGCAGAGCAGAGTCCTCCACAGGTAATTACTTACACTTTAGCCGGATCGCCTCCGAAGGCAGCAATATTCTCCTGGATCCAATGCAGGGCAAGTCTGCAAAACTTCCGTCAAGGCCAGCCCCATGAAGCAAGATTCGGATAGGCAAAACAAACCTCTGATCCTTCATCCCAACATTGGTCGATCCCTCAGACTGTATCTCCTGCCCATTCAAGAATCCCCACGGACCCAGTCGGTATGCCATGGAGAGACCGATAACGGGATGACCGATCTTCACCGAGTTCTCTACAATGACTGTCGCCTAGCATCAGGATACAGGCAACTGGCCGTGTCAGAGGATTGAGCACATACACGACAGATTGTACCGCAGATCACTCGCGCCGCCCATATAAAAGCCTCCACCGTGGATCCAGGCTCCAATCGGTAGGGCCTGGCCGTCGAAACCGCTCGGTCGTACGATGTTTACAACGAGGCAGTCTTCGGACTGCTCGTAGCCGATTTGGTCGTAGCCGTATCCCTACATTCAGTCGCATCAACATCCCTACGGATTCCTTCGCTCGACAAGGCCAAAGAACTCACATAACATTCCGGATAATACTTCGTCGCCTCTAGCATTCCACTCCAAACATCCTTCAATGGCTGTGGCTCTCGAAACCGCAGATCGCCCAACGGTGGCTGAGCATAGGGAATACCGAGGAAGAAGTCCTGATTGTAGTTGGAGTTGTGCACGCCGGCTATGGTACCGTTCTGAATCGTCACTGTTGGTGCTCCTGCTTGGCGGACGGCGTGAGGGGTGCCGAGGGCTAGGGGTGGGAGGACGGAGAGGGCGGAAATGAGTGTTTGGCGTAATGACGGCATGGTGCGCTGTGGTCGAATGATGTTGAGATCGAGCCAAGGCGGTGAAAGGGCTTGAAGGAGTTGTGGCGGGAGTATATACTGGAAACAATCCATTGTATAGTGGTCGCGATGTCACCTTCCACTTCCAACACTCTAGTCTAGGATCGCCATCTGCCGTGCAATTACCCCGGAAAAATCACAGTCGGCCATACCTTTACTGTTGCTCACAAGTCCTTCTCCACAATCACAGACAAATGCACCTCCGCATTTCGGACTGTGCCTCAAGTCGTCGGACCAGCACCTAGGCAATCCGCAATATAGCCGCGCCACACAGAACCGAGCGTCCATACCACAGCCATCGAAGTGATGACAAGCAATGATGATCACCTACCTCGCTTACAGCAACGACACCAGGTGGTGACCTCATTCGGCGCATCGCCATGACTCGTGAGCAGTGTTGCGGAGAAAAAAAGTGTCGATCAACGCGGGGAAAGCAATGGGTTTCGGTTTACTCGGCGTAATTGAGTTGACTCGAACTTTTCTCCTAGGGTTGCCGAGGGATGGTCTCGATGGTACAGTAACAGATTGAGGATGGGACTGCAGCAAGATTGCGAGGATATTGGGTTTTACACATGAACAAATTTGAGTAGAAGCAGGAGCGAGAGCGACTTGCGGAGAACGTCCAAGAAGACTTTGGCGTCGGAGTATCTCAATGGTCTTTGAAATGTCCATATTGTCTAGTACTGCACCTACTTGCCTGTACTGCATTGCGCTTCTCCTCGGTTGCATGACAGCAGCATAGTATCCATGTGGTGGTATGAGCTTCCTTTCGCTTGCTTGTCTCGTGTGTGATCAATAGTGGGAAATTCCCATACAACGCCAATTCTTTCTGTCGAATAGTCTCTCACGCACCCTTGGAGCGTCCCTCAGGGCATCGTTGCATGCGGTTCACTTCTCAGAGCCGAAATGGCTTTATTTCTCCGTGCCTCAGTCGTCTCCGATGCTGGCAAAAGTTTCTGTGATCTTTTGTTGCAGTTCCTCGTACTTCTTTACAGCGGCCTCTTGGTCATCGGGCAGCTCGAACTTCATCGAACGAAGCTTGTGCTGGATGTCCTTCGTCTGCTCACTCACTCTAGACCATGAGATACCGCTCGACGCAGCCTTCTGAGCCTCATCCTGGAAAGCCATCATGTTGCGCATCATCCATTCGGTCTTCCAGAGTGGACAGAACTGGTCGTAGTCCGAGTAGCCGTTCTGTTGTAGGAAGTCGTCCTTCAACATGGCAGCCACATCAAGGACAATCTTGTCGCTGTCTCCCAGCGCCGATTTGCCGACCAATTGCACGACCTGGTCGAGTTCTTCTGAATTGGTGAGGAGGTTTCGGATTTGATCTCGCAGCTTCGGGAAATCGGGGTGATCTTTCTTGTAGAAGTCGTCGAGAATGCTGGTATATTTGCTGTATGACATCGATGTGTTGACGCTAGGGAAGTGCTTGCGCTGTGCGAGCTTCTTATCAAGACCCCAGAAGACTTGCACAATGTTGAGGGTTGATGAGGTGACAGGGTCTGAGAAATCGCCGCCAGGAGGTGACACGGCGCCGACAATCGAGACGCTACCTTCACGCTCTGGCGAGCCAAGCTGCGTGGAGGCGCCTGCACGTTCGTAGAAGGAAGCAAGCTTGGCACCGAGATAGGCTGGGAAACCTTGGTCAGCAGGCATCTCTCCGAGGCGACCTGACAACTCTCTCAGAGCTTCGGCCCAGCGTGACGACGAGTCAGCCATCATGGCGACGGCCTTGCCTGATCTCTGAAATATTCTGCAACTGTGATTCCAGTATAGATAGAAGCTTCTCGTGCCGCGACAGGCATGTTTGAGGTGTTGGCAATCAGACATGTGCGCTTCATGATGGGCTCTTGTCGACCGTCAATGGTGATCGATAGCTCTGGGAAGTCCATCAAGACTTCAGCCATCTCGTTGCCTCGCTCGCCTGGCTGGATTAGTACGGATCTGGATTCAGAGAGGAGCGTACATACCGCATCCAACGTAGACGATGATATCGCTGTTGGAGAACTTGGAAACAGACTGGGAAATGACAGTCTTGCCGCACCCAAAAGCACCTGGAATGCACACAGTACCGCCCTGCACGGACGGGAACAGCGCATCGAGCACACGCTGACCGACGATAAAGGCTGGTCGGCGCGTTTCCGCTCAGTGACAGGTCGAGGAACTCTGACAGGCCATGAGTGCATCATTGGGTATTCCTTCTCCTCGCCGTTGAACTCGACTGTCAGCAGCGGCTCAGCGACGGTGTATTCACCCTTGCCTGCGATCTTCTTGATGGTGCCCCGAGCTCGTGGTGGGAAGAGGATGTTGTGCTCGCTGATCAGTGTATTCTCCTCAACCTTGCCCCATATATCGCCTCCCGAGATATGGTCGCCCTCTTTCATAGTTGGTTCGAATTTCCATTTCTTCTCCCGGTCGAGGGCAGGAATGGCAATGCCGCGAGGAATATAGATGCTGTCGACCTTCTTTGCAATGCCCTTGAGAGGCCGCTGGATACCGTCGTAGATTGTCTCTAGAAGACCGGGGCCGAGCTCGACAGAGAGAGGCTTCTGTGTTCTCCAGACAGGATCACCGACAGTCACGCCGGCTGAACGTTGGTTAGCGATTGATCAGAGCTCCTGATGAGTGACTTACCAGTCTCTTCATACACCTGAATGGTGGCTTTGTCGCCCTCGATCCGAATGACTTCGCCGGAAAGCTCGTCATGGCCGACTTTGCACAGTTCGTACATAGATACACCAATCATGTCCTCCGCAACGATAACGGGACCAGAGATGGAGAAGATGCTGCCCTGGGGCTCGCCCAGCTCATCGCTCTTTGCCTTTGCGGCAGGCATGGCTCTGCGATATGTGCGAGTAGTGGTTTCGAGGAAGTTGAGTGGCTGCGGAAAAGCAAAAGGAAGTGCAGATGCTGAAGGGACGTAGCTCTCGTCGATGCCGTCTTCGAAAGGCTCAATCCAGACGCCAAGCTCTCTATTGACGTAGGAAAGCGCGGACAGATCCTCAATGCTCTTGCCTAATATTTTCTCGATTGTGCTGTGGCGGGTTCTCAGACGTGGACGTTTACCTAGACCGAGCATGCATGTGCTGCTTGCAAGCTACCCTACAGGAGCAGCGATGCAGCATCACAGAATACAGGAGCCTTATTGCAAAGCGGTCTGAGCATTGCTTGACAGCGTTCAACTCCAGGCGCCGCTAAAACGTTACAGCCGGAGATGCCCCTCACCTCCAGGGTATGCCCAGACCTTGCACCTGAGCTGCTGAGATACGAATACTTGATCTCCTTGACTTACACCTAGATACCTAGATACTTAAGTACTTATGGACGTGGCCCACGGTGAAGAGACAACTACTTCTTGCGCTGTATTCGGTAAGCCAGAGACTCGACCGTCGAATGACTACATCCCACATCCCCAAAGCATGTGTTCGGATGAAACAGGCGCCTGTGTCGTGCTCTGCGCCCAATGAATGCAGGTCACGACCTTCTGATCAAGCTTATCTGTGGATGAAGTGTGTGTGAACGTGCTCGATCGAGTATAGGCGAAGTCACAAGCAGTCCATAGTACTGATCGTGTGCGGTCATGTGGTGAATCGTGGGACAGCACGCTTGTAGAGAGGATACATGCTACAGAGTGGTGGTTGCTTGTCAATGTGAAGCTGTTTCAGTCCTACTCGTCCAGGCTACTACTGTACTTGACCATCACCACTGAAGGACAGAGGACCATCTCGTTGAAACCTTAGCTAAGCTGAGGGTCCAACCGCAGACCCTTGTCGCCTCTGGTCTGGGCAGGTATGAATGACCTCGTCGGACGCTGCAGTTGGCTTTCTCCGAACCTCATTGCCACGACCATTCACTTCCTTCCCTCCGTTCTATACCATCCACCGCACTATTGTTGCCATTCCACTTGTATGGGACGGTCTTCCAGAGTCTTCATTCCCCATTAGTACCATCAACAGCACCACACCTGTCAAGACAATCGAACAATTCACGGATCTGGGTATCCCCGCAGTCAGATCCACGGCCGTAACTCAGCATACGTTCGGTACAAACCGACCGTGAGCACTCCCAACGAACGAATATCATTTCCTCCGGGCCACTCTTATCAATACCAGTGTAGGCCTCCCCGAACACTGGTCCAGAGGCGTAGCATCAGCCTCTGTTATCCCGGAAACCTCTTCCCGTAACGACTGCTCCTCGGTCGAGCCAGCACAGTGAAGTCAATAAGGGCGGCTTTGCCGCCTTGAAGTCCTGGCAGAGCAAGATCAAGCTTCCATTCCCCAACTCAATTCCGACCGCCCATCCATCTCGACGTCCACAATTACATCAGATTTCCCCCAACTCTCTTCCCACCAACCCCCTCAATCAGCCCCATCCGCATCGTCCGGAGCCCCAGCCACTCACTCCTCCTCAAACCGATACACCACTCGATCAGTGCACGGCAGGAGAAGACGATCTTCAGCCGCATCGATAGGACCAAGCGGACGAAGGCGCGCAAGCGCGAGTCCCGAGCGAAAGAGACAGAGAGTCGATAGCAATATGCGGCCTGAGGACAGCTCTACACAAGCAATATCCAATGGCCACAATGGTGAGACCAACGGCGCTTCGCTCAAGAAGGCTTTACAGCCTGCGCTCAACGGGCACGACAGATCAGCCACTAATGGTGCGAGTTTTGCCGCCAATGGTGCCACAAAGAAGACCAGCCCGGTAAGAACCACAGCACAGTGGCATGGCCACAACCGTGAGGAAATCACCAGGATCCTAATCCAAGGCTTGAATGATCTTGGATACACCAGTGCAGCAGATGTGCTTGCCGACGAGAGTGGCTTTGAATTGGAGAGTCCTTCGGTCGCAGCCTTCAGATCAGCGGTGCTTGATGGGCGATGGAATCAAGCTGAGTCGATATTGCTTGGCACGGGATCTGGTGCTGAAAGCGCTGATCAAAATCAAGGTGGTGGACTCGTTCTCAAAGAAGGATTCAACCGAGGCCAGATGCTGTTCTCAATACGCGAGCAGAAGTTTCTCGAACTTCTGGACCAGCGAGAACTGAGTCGAGCATTAACGGTCCTGAGGACAGAATTGACTCCACTTGACTATGATATGCACAAATTGCACGCTTTGTCAACCTTACTGATGTGTCCGCCTGAGGATCTACGATCCAGGGCCCACTGGGCAGATACGATCGAGCAGGCGAGGCTCAAATTGCTGCAAGACCTTTCTCGATCTATTGCACCATCGGTCATGCTCAGAGAACACAGGCTTGCTGAGCTCTTCGCCCAGGTGAAGCAGGCTCAAATCAATCAATGTCTATACCATAACACCTCCGTTGCCCCATCGCTATACGACGATCATGACTGCAGCCGCGACGCTTTCCCTCTGCGAACATCTGATCTACTGGAGGATCATTCTGACGAAGTCTGGCACGTTCAATTTTCGCCTGACGGAACAATGCTTGCTAGCGCGAGTAAGGACAAGACAGCGCTGATCTACAGTGTACCGTCTTTCGAGCTGAAGCACAGGTTGACGGACCATAGCAAAGGTGTCACCTCACTTGCTTGGAGTCCGGACAGCAAGAAACTCATCACGTGCTCGATTGACGCTAGAGCCAAAGTTTGGAATGCGGAAACAGGACGTGTGATCTCAACTTTCGAGCACAGGACGACAGATAGCTATGCTATCACCGAGGCTGCATGGGGGCCGGATTCCATGAGCTTTGTCACTGGCAGTCACAACCGCAGTCTGGCCCTTTGCCTTTGGCGGATGGATTCGTCGACTCCTCAGCACGTCTGGGAGGGTGGCTTCAGGTCAGACTCTGTGATCATCACGCCTGACGGACGACGGATGGTTGTGGCAGACACCGAGGGTCGATTGCATTGCTTCAATTATCACACTTACCGAGAAGAGTTCTCAGTTCATCTGGGCAGTCGGGTCACCGGGATCAGTGTCAGCAGAGACAGCTCATATGTCCTGCTAAATTTGGAGGCCAGTGAAGTTCACATGTTCGATCTCGAGAAACGGGAAACGGTCAAGACGTTCACTGGTCAAAAGCAGGGCAGCTTTATGGTACGGAACTGCTTCGGTGGGGCGGCTGAGAATTTTGTGCTCAGCGGGAGTGAAGGTGAGTCGCGTAGCGATGCTCGCGACATTGCTAACGTCGTCACAGATGGTCTCGTATATGTTTGGCACAAAGAGAACACGCAGTTGATCGAGCAACTCTACGGTCATGGCAAGGGTCAAAGTGGTAAAGCAACGGTCAACACTGTGGATTGGAATCCTGTCGATCCTGGCATGTTTGCATCGGGCGGCGACGACAGGAAGATCAGAATGTAAGTGACACCGGCCCACTCTGCGGATGATGCTGACTTGTGAAGATGGACCAACTCAGTTGTGCCCGCCGAAGCGATACCCGGCTCATTAGCCAGAGAGGCTCCTCGTCACGAGATAAGCAGGACCAGCGCCATCAGGTCGACGCTATAACGATTTGCATCTATACCAGCGGTCACGAGAAGATTGGAATATAGCATATAGATATCTTGGTTAGGGATCTAGCATTCGAGGCGTTTGACAGTCATGGCATGGGTAGTGACACACTCTCAACACAGTCACTATGGGATGGTATACACGGGGCGGGTATCGGAGATGCATCCAGTTACACCCCTAGTCGGGCACACACTCACAGGCAATAGTTCAGATAGAGGACCGGGACGATTGTCTTAGCTTAGATCAGCTGATCTCGTGTCGCTTGAATCAGGAGGCGCCCCGATTGAGTGTCAGTAGACAAATGCCCGTCAAACGTGGTCCCGTGGCACTTTCCTCTGTTGGCAGAACGGCGATTGCCACTCAGAGAGTGAATGAAAGGCGCATTGTTTCTGCCTGCTGGGAAGCACGCTCATACCCTCTTAGCCTCCTGAGACTACATCATTCCGTGACGTGGAAATAGTATACCTATGGAAATCAACACTGATGCCTGTCTGGCGGCGTGGCGGCCAATCACTTCTGGACAGTCTTGCCAAGCCTCCTAGTACGTCGAACCCATCGTCTCACCCATCCGACACTCAACGAGCGCCATCTTCCTCTACGACAAACAGCCTTGACGACGCTCTCCGCATAGCAGCTCAGCGCAAACTTGATAGTCGCAAGCTTTCGATCAACAGCGAGCACTCCGCGCCGATATCCTTCAGACCCGCCATGGCGACTCCGCCGGGGGGTGTTGCGTATGTTTCCGCATTCATGGTCAAGGGAGGTAGACTGACAGGATGGGCAGGATCAACGTCAATGATCCGCAGTTGATCTCGCTCGTCAATAAGTTACAAGATGTGTTCAGTACAGTTGGCGTAAGATGTCCCTTCCGCATGCCTCTGCCATGGCTGATGTGAAAAGGTCAACAACCCAATTGACCTACCGCAAATCGCGGTGGTTGGTTCCCAGTCCAGCGGCAAGAGTTCTGTCTTAGAGAACATAGTCGGCCGTGACTTGTAAGACACCAAGACCAACGAAACTCAGAGCGCATGCTGACAGTCCGCAGCCTACCGCGCGGCTCCGGCATCGTAACACGAAGACCGCTCGTCCTCCAGCTCGTCAACAGACCCGTACCTGCGAAACTCCAGTCGAATGGCGTTTCCGAGAACGAATTGAAAGATAGCAAAGACTCACAAGCGAACGTCGATGAATGGGGGGAGTTCCTGCATTTACCCGGCCAGAAGTTCTACGATTTCAACAAGATAAGAGAAGAGATCGTCAAAGACACCGAAGCAAAGGCAGGCCGCAATGTCGGTATCTCACCACATCCCATCAACCTGCGGATTTATTCACCAAACGTTCTCACGCTCACACTCGTCGATCTGCCGGGTCTCACCCGAGTGCCTGTTGGCGATCAACCACGAGACATTGAGAAGCAGATCAGAGACATGGTACTGAAATACATTTCAAAGTCCAATGCTATCGTGCTGGCAGTGACAGCCGCCAACGTCGATTTGGCCAACTCAGATGGCTTGAAATTAGCAAGAGAAGTTGATCCTGAAGGTCAGCGGACAATTGGTGTTCTCACAAAGATCGACTTGATGGACACTGGGACGGACGTGGTTGACATTCTTGCTGGACGGATTATTCCACTCCGACTTGGATACGTGCCTGTGGTCAACAGAGGACAGCGTGATATTGAGAACAAGAAGCGAATCGACCTGGCGCTCAAAGCCGAAAAGGACTTCTTCGAGAATCACCCATCATACCGGAATAAAGCTTCGTATTGCGGCACGCCATACCTCGCCCGGAAGCTCAACCTCATTCTCATGATGCACATCAAGCAGACACTGCCAGACATCAAGACTCGCATCTCGAGCTCCCTCAAGAAGTACTCGGAAGAGTTAGATCAACTGGGTGCAGGCGATCTGCTTGGCAACAGTGCAAATATCATTCTCAACATCATTACAGAATTCTCGAACGAATACCGGACAGTCCTGGACGGAAACAGTCAAGAGCTCTCCAGCAACGAGTTGTCAGGAGGTGCTCGAATCTCATTTGTGTTCCACGAACTATATTCGAACGGCATCAAGGCGATCGATCCTTTCGAGCAAGTCAAAGACATCGACATTCGGACCATTCTCTACAACTCATCAGGCTCTTCGCCTGCATTGTTTGTCGGGACCACGGCGTTCGAACTAATCGTCAAGCAGCAGATCAAGCGGTTGGAGGAGCCTTCACTGAAGTGTGTTTCTCTGGTTTTCGACGAATTGGCACGCATTTTGGGACAGCTGCTCGGCAAGCAGCTTTTCCGGCGGTATCCTCAGCTGAAGGATAAGCTCTCCCAAGTCGTGCTTGCGTTCTTCCGGAAAGCGATGGACCCGACGAACAAGCTTGTGCGCGATCTGGTGGCTATGGAAGCCTGCTACATCAACACAGGTCATCCGGACTTCTTGAACGGCCATCGCGCAATGGCAATTGTGAACGACCGACACAACGCCGCTAAGCCAACGCAGGTTGACCCCAAGACTGGAAAGCCGCTGCAGCCGAACCTACCACCTCGCGCCGGCTCGCCTTCTCTGCCTACGGACGGCTCCGAACAAAATAGTGGTTTCTTTGGATCCTTCTTTGCAAGCAAGAACAAGAAGAAGATGGCAGCAATGGAAGCACCCCCTCCAACGTTGAAAGCCAGCGGAACGCTCTCCGAACGAGAGAACCAGGAAGTTGAGGTCATCAAGCTGCTCATCAACTCGTACTTCAACATTACCCGTCGCACAATGATTGACATGGTGCCAAAAGCTATCATGCTCAATCTGGTGCAGTAAGTCATGCTCCGTGAAACTTGCCATGCAATACTGACCCTTGTTCAGACTCACGAAAGACGAGATGCAACGCGAATTGCTCGAGCAAATGTACCGCACACAAGAATTTGACGATCTCCTGAAGGAGAGCGACTACACAGTCCGACGACGGAAGGAGTGCCAGCAGATGGTTGAAAGCTTGAGCAAAGCTAGTGAAATTGTCAGCCAGGTGCAGTGAACGTACTTAACCAGCGATGTTACTCAACCAATGACGGCTTCGAGAAGGACGTCGGAAGGAATGAAATGACCCTGCGGGTGATCAAGCTGCCAGTCAGGACCTGGTGACGCCAGATGGCAACACAATAGGCCTTCCTACTATTGTCGGACCCAGACAGCCGGCCTCGCGAGATCATTTCGCCCAGCGTCCGAGAGAAAGCACGGTTTACCGGTAGCAGCACCCAAATTACGTTATACCCCCAGGAACGGGTCAGCGAGAGGAAGCATGATAGCACGCAGAATTGATAGAACGACTCTTTTTTGTTGTTGTTGCACGGCGTCCTGGAGGAGGCTTGGTACACTCTGAGTGATGGCAGATCAGGTAGCTGTAGCTGCAGTAGTGCGAGGCAATATTACTTAGTGATGGTCAACCAGACTAAGCCTTTCATTCTCGTGGTCTTTCACTTCCTCAGGGCAGGCGTGGTGGTGAGATAGGATGCTGATAAGAATGCCTAAGGATCTTAACATTTGGGTATTGTATGTCTTCGACGCTAAGGGTCGAATCATTGCTTCATCGAGGACTGCTTATTCAGTCAACTCATGACGCTGGAGGTATCATATCGTAATCTATGTCATCTGAACCGTACACCATAGTCGCCGTGGAAGTCTGTTCCTTCTGATCGACTATGTCAGGCCTCGCCGTGGCTCTCTCGTCAACGAACTGGGCCATGGCTAGTTTGCTGTGTCACTAGCACGGTCTGGCATGGATGTCTTTTTGCTGCCACGCGGCTCACCCTGAAAGCGTGAAGTCCAGTACACCCTCTCGTTTCGGAAACAAATGTAGCGCAAATGCCACGAGTGTCCTCCAATAGCCTTCACAATCTCCGCCCTGGGGTCCAGCCTCATCGCTTCGGCCTCCTCTAGCAGCCGCTCCAGCGCAAGTACGACGGAGGCTTCGACTGGACACCGCTCGGTTAAGGCGTCAAGGCCATCTCCCTCTATCCGGTGACAGGCAAATTCGACCAGGCCATCCAGGCATTTGATCATGCCGAAGCGGAGACAAGCTCTGAACATCTCGTACGTGTATTTGACGGGTGACCCGCAGGAGTAATTCAGCGCAAGCCAAGGCCACAGAGTCCGGTCGTTGGTGTCCGGAGCCGATGGCGATAGGGTACCCCAGATCTGTGCTGCCAAGAGCTTTTCGTCGCAGCTGATACTACGCGCTAAGTTCCGCCGCCCGAGCGTAAGAATGATAGAGTCCGCCGTGTTAGGATTGGCTTCTATTGCGGCCTGCCGAATGAACTGCTCGCGAAGGCATGATGTGAGCGAATAGGCTTTGACGACTGGCTCGTAAACCATCAGACAGTCCGGGATATATCTGACTCTGGCGAAAGCACTGTAGGTTCCTCTTTCATAACCTCCATTAGGATTACTTGTTGTGAAAATGAAGCAGTCGTACATTTTGATATGCATGTCGATGACTCCTTCGTAGCTAGTGCCTTTGTAGGCGGTGCATGTGGCGTCGGTGAAATTCTCGAAAACGCTGATGCTGTCTTCGGGAAGTCGCTCAGACACGAAATGTATCGCCTTGATGTGTTCCGGTTTGAGTTGAATGTCGGGATTGTCGATCAAGACGGTCTGCCAGAGTCGTTGAGACAGCGTCACGTACGTCCACTTTAGATGCTGAACCCGCAGCCAATGGCTCTTCGCGAGAACCATCTGAAGCTCCTCACGGTCTGACACGGCTATGGTTTCTGACTGGCCTGGCAGTTTTGCTGCTTTGTAGTTCTCGTCAACGTTGAGCATGTCATCGGATTCATATGCGCATAACAGAAGTGTTTGCTCGAACACGATGAAGTCGGGTAGAAGCCTGTACAGCGTCCTACAGGTGTGAATCATGGAAGGCTCGAGGGCGTGGTTGAAGATCTTTATGAGGAGTTCTCGTGGAAGCTCGAGGAGAGCGAGTGGCCTTCTCGTCATCGAACCCATGTCGTCCATCGAGGACGACTCTGCTTCATTGAAGGCAATGGGAGGATTCGTACGAATGGTAGTGGTTGGCGAAGCGAGCCAATGCATTACAAGAAAGTTAGGAACAGGGATCGTCAAATGTCAGGGTAGGCACGGCCCTAGCCGAACCGAGCCTGCCACTAGTATAAACAGTCGTGTCTGACGTCACGCGCCATCCGACGCGTGCCCTCCTCTCGGTGGACTTCGATACTACAAAGTACACCCTAGCCATGCGGCAAAGCTTCAACACTCCTTTTGTGACACGACGCCTCACGTTCACATCTGCTCAAGTAGTCCATTAATGCCAGACACTCCGCGCAGAGTCTACAGCATGGCAGCACTGACACTAAAAAGGCACGCTTCTCAAATCCCTGATGATTCCACAGAGTCCAAACGCGCTCGCATATCCGAAGTCAATGCAGATACCGCAAAGTCAGAGGCCTTTCGACTGCTTGACCTCCCACCGGAGTTGATACTCAAAGTCTTCAGTTTCGCCAGAGAGCCATGCATGATTCACACCTGCAAGACTTTGTATGCAGTCCTACCTCCGTTCGTGGAATATACCCAAAAGCTTCTGCTTCTTGCATACGCTTCTCATGACTTGCTCCATCCGCTCATTCGTGAAGGGCCGAGATCCGGTAGCGATGCTTTCTGGACGTTACCCGGCCACATCGGGAGGCAATGGACATGGGTGGAACGCAGCGAAATGCAACAAGCAGCAGCGTCCAGTCACTGGTTACGGTCGGAGCATCTTCTCAGGACACACATGGCACTTTGCCGCCGACTTTGGCGGAGGACAATCCTCGATGACCCGAGTATTGAAATCGCACCGAAGCACTCTCAAGCGCTAGAAGCTACGGATCCAGCGCTCTTCGCGAAGTGGCCGATATGGCCGAAGTGCGTCAATGCCAAGATGACAGACAGCGACTCGGGGCATAACACCGCAATGACAATAGTTATGACCCAACCACTTTGTCAAATTAGCACCTATCTTCGATGCGAGCATGGTGGAAAGACATGGTATGCTCGGACCTGTCGAATACATCCCAGATTGTCTCATAACATACGACAAGCTCGAGCCCCATCAGATACGAATGAAAGCTTATCTGAGCGATGTTCTCTTGCGGCAGGCTTGTTATGATCAATATGTCATCGACAAGGATTTCGACCACCAAATCATGGGAGACGACTTGCCATGCTACCTCTCGTGCAATAAAGTCCTTCTCGAGAGGGAGATAAGGCGGATCTTAGAGAGACCCCTTCCTCATCCGACGCGTCCGAAGAAGTATATCGACGATGACAGATTACTTGCAAAGCTGCTCGACTGGAACGTTGCTTGTGACAGCCCGGTCGATATCACCTTCGCTATGCTGGAGGCAACACTCAAGTTTAATTTGCCAAAGTGCTTGGACGTACTGCTTATGCAACACTTGGAAAGCCGGTTCGCGGATAAGAGGCTGACGAAGCGTGTGTTTAGCATGACTGATGTAAAGAATCTCGGGAACGCGGCCTTCAAGATGGGTTACGATTTTGGTTCGACTATCTTTGAGCCTCTCGATGATGCAAGGTCTCGCTGGGATAAGGAACACAGGCATTTGTCATATGAAAATCGAGAGCAAACGGGCCTTCGTGCCAGTGACGAGGACATTGCTACTATGCAGAGAAGCGAATGGAATGAAGGGACGGAGCACGACGCGTACGCTGGGGCAGATATAGAGTTCAGAGAGACAGAGCTAGAGGATGCTCGAGAGCAGCTGGGAGCGTATGGCGAAAGAAGTCCCGATGATGTACAGGAGGAGCTCAGGATGTTGCCGGGTCAACTTGGCGAGAGTCAGGAGGCGGCGACGGCGATGGCGGCAGAAGAGGAAGAAGCAGCGGCAGCGGCAGCGGCAGAAGAAGCAGAAGACGAAGGAGTAGAAGAAGACGAAGCAGCATCAGAAGCTAATGAAGAAGCAACAGAAATCGAGTCAGAAGAAGAGGAGACAGATTGGCCGGTGGAAGAGGACGAGGATGAAGAGGAGGAACAAGAACACCAGAATTGGAGTGAGACGCAATGGAGGGCTTTCTTGGAAAGTGATGGGGAAATTTCTGACGATGAGGATTTCTCGGATGACGACGTGGGCTATTCGCACCGTATGCACTGGCGAGGTGGCGAAGGTGCTTCTTCAGGCGACGAAGACGATGAGGACGAAGATATCCAGAGTGACGAGGAGCAGTGGGCTGGCGAGGACGATGAGAGCGACGAGGGCGATGGGGGCGCCGGAGACGAAGACGACAGTGACGCGCCGTCACAGTTGGTAATGCCTGGATCCGCATTACCCAAGCTTCCACCCATCATTCCCTAGCAAGGGCGGATGGATTGGGTAATTGAATTTGGACAGTCCGCTGTCGGTATTTTCAGGGTCGAATTGTATCACCACATATGCAGCTGGTGGTTGTCTAGCTTGGGCATTAGTGAAGGATGTAACACTAGCACAGATACACAGAACTCTTACTGTACAGTTCGGGTTGGTACGAGTGTATACTACCTGATTTCTTTCTCTCATTTCCTGCCACAATTGACTTTGCAGCCCTATCCAACACCACCGTCATTGCCACCCTTGCTCGTATCCGCTCCAGCCAGCATCTCCTCACCCAACCCCTCCAAGAAGCTATCAACCTCCCTGCCCTCCCTTTCCGCCTTCTTCGCCAGCACTGCCTGTCTCCTCTCCTCCACCTCTCTCCTCCTCGCCTCAACCTTCTCCGCCCTCTCCTTCCGCTTCCGCTCCGTCTCCGCCCTCTCCTCCTCCAGACCCTTCTGCTCCTGCTTCCGCAATTCCTCGTCCTTGCTGAACCCGTAGAAGCCCGTCCCCTTTGTCCGGATCTCCGCCTCCCCATCATAGTGCGTCTCCGGCGGTGGGGTGGCTTCCTTGTCGCGTTTGGCTGCTAGCTCGGACATGCGGTCTGAAATGACGGTGTCGGGGTTGAACGCGGCGGTTTGGATTGTGTCGCCGTAGATGAGAGTGGAGGGGAGGGCAGGCCGGGCGGAGGCGTCTTCCATGGCAGCTTGGGCAGCGAGTTGGATACGTTGGCGACGGAGGTATTTGCGGTGTTGGGCGGGTGTGCCGGTTATGAGGCGGGAGAACTCGTCTAGCCATTGGACTTGCTTTTCTTCCTGGTCGGGATTCTCGTTGTCGTTGTCGTCTGAGGAGTCATTGTCTGAGGACGACTCCACGAGTTCGTCATGGTCCTCTTGTGAGTCGGCCCATTTCTTGTCGAAGTCCACCAAGCCGCCGCGGTCATGCTCGCCGTTCTGGTCGAGATACTCGCCGCGCTTCATGGCGTTGTACAGGCGGGTCTTCTCCAGCATTTTGCGCTTCGAGCGGTGGAGGTCAGTGTCAGAGGCGCGGCCAATGTTTGCGGACGTTTTGTGCCGTTGTTCTCCGCTGGACTGCTCGTCCGCGGCTGCGCGTTTCTTGACATTCTTGTTGTGGGCGGTGAATATCGAGGACTTCGACCCTGAGGCTTTGTTCTTGGTGGAGGGGACTGTGCCGTTGTGGTTGCTGGGCGTTTTGGCGGAGGAGATCAGGTTCGAGAGGTTGCTGGAGAAGGCAAGCGAGGAGGATGAAGAGATGGGTTTGTGCTTTTGCTTGGAAGGGTCGCGGGCGCGTACAGGCCTGAGGAGGTCATGGTCGGCTGGTCGGCTGCGCGCCCATTCGAGTCAGAGTCGGTACGTTCAAGAGAGGTGTTGTTGTACGGCGGACTGAGATTAGATTAGATCCTTGACCGGACAACATCTCCGTACAATTGACGTCAAAGGTGTGGCGGCGGAAGTTGGAGGCGGCTGGAGCACTACAGCTTGGTACGACTGAAGTATATAGCTAGACATCACCTGCCTGAACGTCACGAGTGCTGTCCGATTGATTTGTACCGTGTTAACAGTACACAAACCCCCCCGGATCAGGTGCATCGGCCACAATGAGCGATATCTCTTCATTTGCGGCGCTCCGCAAACATCAGAGCGAGGACTTGGCTAAGCTAGCGGAAGAGCATTTCAAGCATGAGTATGTCCAAGCCTCCTAATCGGACGCCACTTTCTGACAATTGCAGCCTACAAGAGACCGACAAGAAGACCCTGGTGAGCGCAGCTGGCAAAGTGCAGACCCATGCTCTAGTTGGGTCGATCGTTGGTGTCGGTTTGGGTGCTTTTCTTGCTATCCGTCTCAGGTCCAACAGACAGAAGATCTTTCAAGCTTTCAAGGCTGCAGAGAAACCCACGCATGTTGTCTTCGCAAGCGGCCGTCAAGAAGCAATTCCGGACATCGCACCTCTCATGAAGCCAACACCACTGGGAGATATTGCTGCTTATACGTTCTTCTCAATCGCAGGGGTGAGTCCTTCGTTAGACACCAGTCCGTCAGAGTATGAAGCTGACGCTTGAGTAGCTCTTCGTCGGTGGTGAAATCGGATTGTAAGTCATTGGCAAACTGCATCAGCACTTGTGTGGCTTCTGGGTTTGAGCATTGGAGGATCCCTTGGATGGCATTAAGCAATCCAGCACCCGCGCCAATTCGTTACCCCAGTAGGACACTTTGTTCCAGGACACGCTAACAGAAGCCCTTTTCTATAGCTTAACTGGTGCCTGGTCAGCCAAGCGGACGATTTCAGCTGATCCAGAGGTCCGGAGGAGGGTTGAGACAGCTTTCCGCAAGTTCAGGGCCGATGTCATGCGCAAGCAAATCGCGGATCTGGAAAAGAACACTGATGGCGAGACTGGAAGTGCTTCGCCGTTGTTTGAGTAGATCTGGTCGTATCCGGCATCAGCCTGGTCAGCATTTCCATACGCATGAGATTCGGAAAATTCTAGGCATATCTGATGCAGAAGCCACATTGGGGCGGACTCCGGGCTGGTCGCAATGGACTGGCTGCAATCATAATCTTGCACAACCACGAAAATTGACGACACAAATTTAAACCAGATACATTTCTGCTAAGTGGCGGGTACTTCCTGATCCCAAGGCAGTCTACGTGTTTGCTTGGAGTCCGGACGCGTGCCTGCCCACGATTGAGTATAGGGCAGGCACTAGCGTCACCGCCGCTTGTCACTTGCCTGCTTTGCTGGCAAATCTGTTGTGGGGGGCAAACATCGCCTCTTCAAATTCAGCTACTTGTTGTCTCTCCGTCTACATTCTCGTCCACCTGACTCTGTACCTGCTTCAGTACACGCTTCTTTGCTTGAACGCACTCACGATCTGTCCAGTGATGGCTCCAGAACTTGTGTCGCCGTGGTCTTGTTGGGGTGGAGGTACGTACACCTATGGATCTTTGTCGGACGAGATACTACTCTCCCGGCTCTGGTCCTTGCCAATACATGTTCAAACTGACAGATGCGACAGGGATTCTTGAGTCGGATCGAGCTCTTGACGCTGTGTCAGGCGATTTGTCGCAGGATCTTGGTGTTAACCTCAACTTCATCGGGGACTCGGAACATTTTGCAGGCAATCCAGAATGCACCCACGATCCCAAAGCGCGCTCTGTGGAGGACACTAGACTCTATCTCAACCAAGGCAACTTCGATCGCGTCTTTCGCAAGTATCAGATGAAGACCGGCCGCAACGTCTTTCCTGATGGTGAAAATGGCGTCCGCCAGGTAGTCACAGGTAAGCGGATTTCTAGCCCCAGAACAACACAGGCCAGAACTCCGTGCAGCTCCATATATTGCGACCTACGGCCGCTGTATGACACCGATTGCGCCAGGCTGACAGATCACAGGTCCGGAGGCCTGCTCTTTCTTAGTGGCCAAGGCTGTGATGGTCGGTGCCAGAATCCGCAACAAGCAGCTCGAATGGCTCAAAGCGAACTACAAGAAGGCGGGTCTCTGCAAAGAGGTGAGTATTTCATCTGAAGACTCACAGTCGTTCAACGCGACATTGGTGCTGATCGTATGTCAGGGCATCGAACAGATGGAGAAGGCTTTGGCAGACTACCCTAATGACGGCACTCCCTACCACCTCATCGAGCCCGATAGAACAGACCACGATATCTATCACGCTTTCGAGGAAGCCCGAGCGAAGATCATGGGTGGCAACACACGCCTTGACTACCCGGCCCCACGATATTTCGAGATAGGTAAGTGGACCTAAGAACCTGGATCGGGCGAGATATCAGTCTCCCGGCTCCGATCCTTCCCTTCCCAGTGCATCCTCATTCTGACAGGTGCAACAGACGTTCCAACTCAAGATCCTCTGAAAGCATCCAAGGTCAAGGAGAGACGTGCGAAAGGCGAGCCAACTTGGTTTCCCGGAGGTCCCGTGCTACGAGAGTGTGGCAAATGTGGCGTCCTCCATCATCATGTCGAGAAGCTCAGCGCATGCTCGGCCTGCAAGAAGATCCTGTAAGTAGCGCCGAAGAGCTGTTCTTTGCTGCAAACCCACCATATAGCCAGATCAGGCTAATACTCAACAGCTACTGCGGTAAAGACTGCCAACGCGCTCATTGGAAAGTGCACAAGAAGCATTGCGCCAGCTTTGCAGCTGCTCCACCTCCACCTACCATGGCTGAGATCGAACGATTCCGGTCCCCCATGCTGAAGGCTGGTCACGATCCGCTCGCTAAGCCAGGAACGGTCCTCTTCCCCCTGGTGGCGGAGTCTTTATGAAGCGATTCTCTGCCGATGGCTCGAATTCCACGATTGTCACAGACCCAGCTCTTGTCACCGAAATGCAGCAGAACCCGGGACTGGCATCTTTGGCTGCGCTAGTCCAGAATCTCAATTAGTACGGGGCGACTGCTGCTCCGGAAGAATGAACGATGCGACGAGCGCTCTGTCATGCTGTCACGAGCTGAAGCCTTCACGAGAGCAAGGACTGTGTCGCGACGACATGAACGTTAGATGTTAGATGCCAAGAGACTAGGCGGTGGTTCTTAACAAGTCTAGGTGGTCGGTAGGTGCTACCCACGCCACTCAAGTACCTTCTGAAGCAGCGGGTTCTCCTGGCATGCCGTATACTTAGTCTGTCGTCACTGCCGATCTTGCCTCGTTATGGAGATCTTGCCGACGCGATCTCAACGCCCTTCCACACTGCTGGTGTCTAGACCGCTTGAGCTGCTTGCTTGTCGAAGGAGTATCGCATATTGGTATGGAAGCAGGGCAAGTTGGGGGCCGATGACCATGACTCAACAGCTTGCCGCTTAATCAGAATATGAAAGATCCCCTCTGCTCTCGTGATATATATTCCGCAGCAGTGCCCGTATCACCGCAGACCGTTTCCTACCACAACTGACAACATGGCGCCATTACCACCAGTCCCATTGCAGTTGCAGACCGAGTCCATCGCAATCTCCTGCATGGACATGCACACGACAGGAGAGCCAACTCGGATCGTTTATGCTGGCTACCCTGAGCTAAGGGGCACACTCACGGAGCAGCGTGCGCAAGCTCTTGCGGAGCATGATCATATCCGTCGTCGTTTGATGTGGGAGCCACGAGGTCACTTCGACATGTATGGGGCAATCCTTCGCCCGGACACTGAACTCACGGCTTCAGGCCAAGCACATATCGGAGTACTTTTCACCACCAATGAAGGCTACAGCACGATGTGTGGGCACGCGACCATTGCCCTGGGACGCTTTCTCGTCGACTGCAAGGACGAGAGTGTCTTTTCGAGGCAAGCCCAGCTGCAGCACGACACGTCCTCGAACACGGCCATACTGAAACTGCATGCACCCTGCGGTCTGCTCGAAGTTACCGTTCCGACGAGACCGACGTCAGATGGCGGCTTTCAATCTGATCCAAGCCGTCCTGTATCGTTCATCTCGGTTCCCTCCTTCGCAACAGGCATCTCAGTCAACGTCCCAATCCCCGTCGAATACCAATGGCTCGAGCTTTTCGACCGGGACTACGTCACTGTCGACTTTGCTTACGGTGGGGCCTTCTACTGCTTCGTCACAGCTCGCGAGCTTGGCTTCTCCAGTGCACCGTTGACTGAGCTCGATATATCACGGTTGGACGTCGCTACGCGGAATCTCAAGGCAGCCATTACCACTAATCCAGCCCTGAGCAAGTACTACACCTACAAAGACGACAAAGGATTGAGCTTTTTGTACTCTATCCTGATCGTGGTAAAGGCGTTTGGTGTTCCAGCAGAAGGTACAAGTCATGCTGAGGCGGGCATGTGCTTCTTCGCAGATGGTCAGATTGACAGAAGCCCTACTGGTAGTGCCGTGGCAGCAAGGATCGCCTTAGCTGTAGCGAAAAGGGAGCTGGCAGACAAGGAGAAAAGAACATATCATTCATTGGTAAGCCTGGCGATGGATGACAAAGAAGAGGAAGGCTCCCCAAAAAGGGGCAAAGGAGCCTTCGTGGGGAGTGTACACAAAGATTTAGGCTACGAAGTCTCTGGCAAGCCCGCCGTAGAAGCGTTGGTACAGGGATATGCATATTATACCGGCTACTCGACGTATGTGGTCGAGGATGCAGACCCGCTCGGCGACGACGGCTTCATCTTCCGGCAGCTGAGCAAGGCAAAGCCCGAGAGTAAGGCCAGCGATGAAGATCCATAACGAAATCGAGGGTCGACGGAGCCACATAGCTCCTAACGCGCTCTGAACCGGACTGCCATTGTCCAGCAATAATCTATCATTGCAACAAGAGCGCTGCACTTGCAGCCAGCATACCCAGCATGCCATTCTGCACACACCAGCCCGCCCAACTATCTACCGCCTCATTCATCCTTCTTCCCTCGCCTTCCAGCATCCTCAATTTCATCAGTCTGCCACCCTTATCGACCCCTCGGATGGCTCTCTCCTGCCAGACCTCTTCAAAGCTGACAGCCCAGCTTTCCGCATCTTGTGCCATCCACAACCTCTCCGGCATCTGCAACGGCACGATCACAAAGCCAGGCATACCGGAACAGCTCACCGCGTCCGACAAGTCGTACACTAGGTTCAACACTCTAAAGACAATCACACATCGCCGCCTCGCTTCCTCGAAAATCCACTTCTCCCAACTCGTGGTGTGGGAAGTGTTCGTTGCCTCCATGCCTCGTCTCCCACCAACCCGCCACGCAATGGCTTGCGCAACATGGCTAAAGGCGACCAGGCTCGAGAGATCGAAATCTCGTGCGGACGTGCCCCCGACTCCGATAAGGTCATTGTCCAAGTCGAGTATCTCTTCTGCCGCTGTGGCGCGCAGGATCGCGTATAGGATCACAGTCTGCAACGACGCCAGGAGCTCCCAGTCATCCAGCGTTTCATGCGTCATCCAGATGGTCTCCCAGTGGGCTTGGATTGCTTGCCAAGCTACCTGCTTCATCGCCGGACACGAGGCGTCCTGAAAATCGCGGATCAATCGCTGACATTGGCCTAGTATACTGCGACCAGTTGCGGAGTGAGGCCCGGAGAGCTGACGCTCGTGAATGAAGGGCGGAAGGGACGTGCCCTGGCGGAAGGTCTCAAGGAACACGCGAAGGGACAGGATGACGACATTGCTCGTGGTATGGTGTGTTGTGGTCGAGGGGTATCTGGATGCGAATGTTCGCACCTTGGGTGGAGGCCGTTGCGGGGAGGTGATGGGCAATCCGCCGGTTATGGGCTTTGAGACTGACTTGATGGGGTCTCGAAGACCAAAGTGGGCACCTTAGGACCTTGACTCGTTTGGTCCAAGAATGTGGGTACCACTGGGATCTCGAGGTCGTTGGTCACGATGCCCGAGAAGTCGAAAGTTCCCGAGTCTTGCCAGCTGTGCGAGGTCGTGAGCGCAGATCTTGCCTCCACTACTGACCCGACACTCTCCTTGACGCCTGCTCGACCCGATGCGTGATCAACATATTCACACACCACGCCCCTCTTCAGGCACCGATAGCAGCTGGGCTCGGCTAAATTGCATCGGGCCTTGGACGCAACACAGGCAGCACATGCGCGCTTCTTTACTGGTGCCGGATTGTCGTGCTTGTCGCGGCAATAGTAGTAGTGTCGTCTTCGAGTCGTCTCTGCATTTGATGATCAGCTACCCGGGCAGCGGTTGCCAAGAAGGACGCCTACCTTGAGCTATCTTCTTTCCACAATACGGGCAAGGCACTGGCTCTTCGGGGAACATGGTGCTTCGAAGTATGGAATGCTACTGGCGTTTATGTTGGGCTGTTGATATGCGTCGTTAGAGGTCGTTTCAGCCAAGACGATATTGCAGATGATATATGTTTATCAGTATACAAATGTACACGGACACAGCCTTACGAGTTGTCCCCCACGGAAAACCGCGAACAGCGCTGCTGTAAGGCAGGTGCAATTGAGATGGTTCCTGACCAGCAGAGACCAATGAGTCGATATCTACTAATGGCTAAGCGTGCAAAAGGCGAAGACGGAAACAGTAGTTGAAATTGGGGAAGATGGAGCCATTTGTCAGCCCGGCTACGTACCTGGAACCACCTAGATGGTATTCACTTATCACTTCCATGTTTTTTCAACCGCGGCTCCCACGTCAGTTGTCTGATAACCATAGGCGATAGCAGAGCTCCATATACCTCAAAAAAATGCACCACTGCATGCTATCGTCAACATTTGTTTCAGCCGCTACGTAGGTCTCTAGTATCCAAGGCAAGTCCCCTTTCCAGATCAAGCATGACTGAACCCGCCATCAACGCCCACGACCTGGCCCGTCACGAAGCTGCTTCCCTTGCTCGCAATAAACACAATCACCTCCGCGACCTCTTCCACCGTTCCATTTCTCTTGATCTGCTGCTCCGACCTGAACCGCTTCACCAACTCGTGCTCCTCAGGCGGCACATTGTCCGTGCCAATCGGGCCCGGCGACACGATATTGGCCGTGATTCCCATCGGCCCCAACTCTTCGGCCCACGTGAATGTCAAGGTGTTCAACGCGCCCTTGGTCGCCGCGTAGAGCCCTGCAAAGCGCGACCCGATGCGCGATGCCACGGTGCCGATGCTGATCACCCGGCCACCAGGCTTGGCCATGTGAGGCAGAGCGGCGCCGACGAGGAGTAAGGGTCCGCGCACGTTGGCGTGGAAGATGTTGTCGAAGCCTTCATTGTCGAAGGCCGAGCTGGCGAAGAGGACGGCCGCGGCGTTGTTGATGATGATGTCGATCTTGCGGTTGGGGAATGCTTTGAGGGTTGCGTCGACAATGGTCGTGCCGAAGTCTGGGGACGCGGCGTCGGCTGAGACGCTGATGGCCTTCACTCCGAGGGATTGGAGTTTGGACACGGCGGTCTCGGCGGCGGCGGCGTTGGAGTTGTAGTGCAGGACGATCTATGTGAGAGGATTAGCTTGAATTGGGAAGTGGAGGGGTGGGGAGCTTACATCTGCTCCTTTCTGAGCGAGCAGGAGAGCGGTGGCGAAGCCGATACCGTTGGACTTGGCAGCGCCGGTGACGATGGCCAGCTTTCCTGCGAACTCTGCCATTTTGTTCTGAGTTGTTGGGGTTGGTTAGCGTTTGTCGTAAGTTGGAATGTCTGCTATGGAATAGGAGCTTCTGTCTGCGGAGCACTCAATTCGAACTATGGCCAGCGTCCTCTTATATAGTGAATGTGCTGGCCATTAGAGGAGGCCCGGACCATAGTCATGGGAAAGCCGCGAATCGTGATAAACCGCGCATATTGTCGATGTAGCGACCGCCGATGAACGCAGAGGCGGTGTTTCTTGTGGATTTGATAGTACTACTCGGAAACCCGCGAAACGTGACGAGTCCGGAGTGGAACAACCGACTAAACCCACTACCAGTCCTAGAACGGCTGTTAGTCAGCTAGACGCTGCCTGCATGGGCCTTGTAAAGCCAAATTGCCCACACGTCGCAAGGGATCGTGCTGTTCGTGGATTTCCGTCGATATGTTTGACCTAATCATCGCTGGAAACACGCTAACAAGCAGGGTTCGGCAAAAGTTCTCAAATCCTTGTACTCGGGTATACTATGCGGTAGACTTGTGTAATGAGGATCGGCTAGTATAGACCCTCGACAAGCTTACGAACTTCCAGCGCAAGAGCTTCCTCCTTCGAATCAGCTTTCTTGTTTGGATCTGGGTTGAGACCTCCGGACGCCCGCTTGACTATGGTATCGAGTTGGTCCTTGCCGACTCCCTTTTCTGTCAGAGTGGTCTTGAAGCCCAAATCCTTCACGAGCCCGTTTATCCGGTCCCCGACCGTTTCGGCGTCTTTCGCAGCATCACCGCTCGGAGTGCCGCCAATGAAGGGAAGAATATTCGCGACTCTGGCGGCATCGTCAGAACTAAGCCGCGCCTTGAGCTTGACGACATTGCCCAGCGTGAGACACGAAGTGATGCCGTGAGGTATGCCGTAAGGACTTCCGAGAGCGTAGCCCATGGTATGAGACAGGCCAAGACCTCCTTTGATGTTCCCGCCCAAAAAGCCTAATGAGGAGTATGCAGCAAGGAACAGGCGCGTGATGAGCTGCTCATCCTTAGGGTTGGCCTGGTATTTCGGTAAAAGATCAAACAGCTCCTTAATCGCCATAAGGCCAGACCATTGAGCGGGCATCAGTGTTGCCGTAGGATGGTACTGCATCTCGACGGCATGGTCCAGAGCTCGAATGCCGGTTGAGGCGAACAGCGATGGTGGTGTGTGCAAACCAAACTTAGGATCGTAGAAGATGTAAGATGCGTAGACGTTAGGATGAGCAATACCTGTCTTGACGCCATCCTCTTTCGTATAACCGGCCAGGAACGTGCACTCTGCAGCTGAAAGTGTGGTAGGTATATCTATGAGCGTCAGAAAGTTGCCGCCCTTTTCGTGCAGACGATGCGAGATAGCTTTAGCCGAGTCGATGGGAGACCCTCCGCCGACAGCGATTATTGTGTCAATCGTCTCGTCACTGTGCACCTTGTCGGTGGCTTCATCCAACTGAGCAATAGGGGCGTGCTCTTTGATGTTTGAAAAGGTGCCAGCGTGATGCTTTGAGGATAGCAGAGATTCTAGCTCCTTGATCAGAGGTGTCTTCGTCGCAAGAGAGTTGCCAGTGATGATGAATGCCTTAGACTTTTCGGACGGCAGGCAAGACAGAAGATGTTGTTTGACCGCATCTGGACCGTAGTATAGTCCCTTTAGAGCGGTATGTGGTTTATAGAATCCAGTAAGAGGATTCAGTGTCGCCTCCATCATGAGAGAACGTGCTGGTTGACTTCGCTGTAGCTGTGGAAGGATTGCTCGGAGACGATTCATGTCAGCTCCAAAGCTTCATGTACGACTCGAGGGTTGCTTCGATTCACGACTTTTGTCATCATTGCATGGTGGATGACGTACGTTAGGTAGCGTCGATGATTTGGTCCCCAAAAGAGAAGCCGAGGCAGTCGCCAAGCGTTGATTGGAGCTTCGCGACGCCTCACGCCTTCCTAACAAGGCGGACAGTAGCCAGGTTACCTAGGTAGGTACCATCTCTCCGAGGTGGGCTTCACACTACGAACAGCAGGAGGAGCGAAGCTTAATGGAAATGGTACCCCATCTGTGATGTGTCAGGTAAGGACGAGTGCTCGGGTTGGCTGTTATAGGGACATCTACGACATTATACTGATCTACGCCGAAAGGGTACGGTTGTGGAAACCGCCATCAGAAGGAGAGAAATGGCCATTGCATAACATACGCACCGATCTATGTTCCCTATATATCTGGCCCTCAGCTTACAGGAAGGGCTCCTCGCCTGGATTGATACGCATCATAAATGCAGCAATGTCCTCACTCGTCAGGAAATTATCTGCCATATTGTTCCGACCATGTCCTGCCGCAGCGGCTCTATCTTGAGATGGATACCTTGGGTCCATAGCACCTTGAGGAAGCATGCCTGGTGCCGGAGTCTGGTGAACAGGGCTGCTGTGCATTGAGCGTCCGTGTAACGACTGCTGTGAATTGCTAAGCACCTGACCTTGCATCTGATACGCAGCGTTGTGTTGAGATTGAAGGTGGGAATATCCATGGGACATCGCCTCGGTGTGGGAAGGGTAGCCATTGCTCATAGGAGCAGAGCTGCCATGCGAAGTTCCGTAGTCAGCAGACTCGGGCATTGAGAGCCCTTGTGCGGCAGCCGACAGACCATTCATTGGATTAATGTTCGGGTCGAAAGGCCAAGCAAATGTGTCAGAGAAGGGTACTTCCATGTCAGGCTGCTGCACAAAATAGTCCTGTGGCTGAGCCTGGCTGTAAGCATTGGAGTTCATCGAGGATTGCTGCATGTTGGATACAGTGGATTGGCTGTCGGACCGTATACTCGGATATGTATAGTCGTAAACAGAGTAGGAATTGGATCGAGAAGGTTCATTAGGTACAGGCTGCTGAGGTACTCCCCGTGGGTCAGGATGAGTCGCAGAGCGCTGGCGGGAATGCAAAGGAGGTCGACCGTCAGCAGGAATATTTGATGGTTGAGGCCCTTTCTGTTGCTGTTCTGAGAGACTTGTGGGGTCCGCTACCAGAACCCCAGGAGTCTGCTGCGGCTGCTGAGGTGGGCTATCAGAAAACAGCTGTTCATGAACACTGGTTGTTGGCGATACAGACATACTCGCCCTTGCTACTGGGTCAGCATCCGTTTGGCAGAATGAAGGTGTCTGATTTTCGATGGCCTCAATGTCAAGGTTGATGATGCGGGAGAGCCTCCTCGTAAGCACTTTGAGGACGTCCAGGCAGCGACGAGATCCTATGTCCTGGCAAGAGGTGCTCGCAAGCACGCGAATACCGGTAAAGGCGTCCTTTTCCACCATGCTGTATTCAGGATCACCCTTCTGCGTGGCGAGATAGAAGATAAGGGCCACGATCGCGAGGAAAATCGTGTACACAGACTGCCACGCTGCTGGCGCGAGGTAACCTTGAGCAAGCATCTCGTCTGACCTACTGATGGTTTCTCGTGCAATCTTAATGCACTCGCTAGCGCATCGCAGCTGTCGATGATCAGGCTCATTGTCGCCCCGTGGTCTAGCTAGATAGTGGAGGAACGGTCGGTACAGCAGGATGTGGCCCAGGTTGTGAGCCATTCGTAGCTCGTATATTGTACTACATTTCATCAGCGAACGTCCCGCAAGGGAAGAAGCTTACTTACCTCCTCCACGACTGCGACTCTGGGTCTACCGAGGACCCAAGAGCAGTTTGCAAGCCTTCCCTCCATTCCTGAAACTGCCTTTCGGTATCCGTAATCACTGCGCCGTTGATGAGCATTTTCCTCGATCGTCGTACCTGCCTCGCTTCTTGCTCGGTCTTTGGAAAGAGCTTCTGCACCATATTTGAAATGATTAGGAGTAGATCTCGGTACTGGGCGGACGCTGCAAGCATTCGCTGCTGATCGACAGGGACTGGCATTCCATTCGCAGAAATTTTGTAGTCTTCCATCATGCCACTCGGTCGTATTTGATCAACGTGGCTGAGGTTGACGAGACCTGGCAGACCTAAGATCGTGCCTGTGTAGATATCCAGCTTCACTATCGTCCATAATAGCCTAGCTCGTGTGCTATTTTCATTGTCCGTAAAGCTACCGTAGTTTGTCTGTGAATGAAGACCCATTCTCATAGCTGCAGCGGCCGCCAGGGCTATGTAAGTATGTGCTGTTGCTAGACGGGCAGTCGACATGAGAAACATCGCGAACACCATAACTGTCTGCAATGCAACCAGATCGTGACACTTGGTAACGTCTGTCATTTGTCTCGCTGCAATGAAGTGCCGCATTGCTTGATCAATGGTTCTTCGGCAACCCCGCTTACGGTGTCTGGGAGTGTCGAAGAGATAACCAAGTGCCATAACTCCAAAAAAGAGAGGAAGGAAGTCATGGTCCATGTCTTCGTAGTCGCTGGTATCCATACCGTAGACGCGATCGGTATGCATGTGAAACCAATTCACATCGATGAACTGTAATAGCTGGTAGGTCTGCTCGAACACAATAGTCATAAGCCGCGTGGCAGTGGTCCGTTCAGGAAGGAGCTGGTTGACAGCGACACGCGATGATAGCGCCTGCCTGTCCGGCAGTGGTGCGTCGAATAGGTTTGAAAGAGCGACGTGATTCGGGCTTTGGGAATTATCGCGTGGATCCGTGGGTTCGCCATCGTCCTGGAACAACTGCTGCGTCCTCTCCAGAAATTTGAAGCCTGATTGACCACCGTAGTAGATGGTATTGCTCTGGTCAGACGCAGTAAAGGCGCCTTGGCCATCCATCATGTTCTCAAGATCACCTCGATGGTCATCTTCTCGCGGATCTTCATTTTGCAAGGAAGTCGTACCCGAATCTGGCGAGCCTGGTGGTGTGTCGAAAATGGCATCGATTTCAGCACGATGCTTTACAGATGGATGCTCAGCCTGCATTTGCGCAATGAGCGCTCGTGCTCTGCGCAGGCGATCCTCCAGAATCTTGGTCCTGGGTGCGCCGCCCGTTCGTTGAGCTTTGGTCGAAGTGTAAATGCATCTCCGATTAAAATCTTCACACGCTTCACACGGTTGTCGTGCGTCGCAGCGGATTTTGCGTAGACGACACTCAACACATGCTCGGCTAACACGGGTGAAGCGACGTTTCTTTGGCAAAGCAGCAGTTTCGTGCTGGATTCCGATGTCATCCATCTCTGGTGGCATGACAGCACAGTGCCCTGACGCGTGTTCGACGAGGACACTAAGCGTCAGAAGCTATTGTCCTTCCATCCCACATCTTCCCCAGAAATTATGAACTTGTTGAAATCTTTGCCTCCTTGGCAACACGAGGAACATCTGCACAAAGACGCAGGCCAAGAAGGATGCAACGGGCCAGCAGTGATGACGGGCTTTCCACATGCCAGGGTCGACACCACTTGAGGAAGGTTTCGAGGTCGATCATGTAAACTTACTCCAAGTATCCGGCCGCGATAGTGGGCATGTGTGGCGACGTCACTACTCAGCCCTTTCTGGCTCCCGCCGGCATAAAATGTATGCTCTGTCCATCGGAAGTTTGCAGCCTTTGGCCTGCCAGGAGGGCTATTTGCCTACCATTTTGCTTTCGAAAGATTGCAAATACATGCGGGTAGTCGATGCTCGACCGGTTGCCTTTGGGGCTCGCAGACCCTGACGCGATAACCGCGCACATGTCTGCTATGGGTGTGCCAAACGTTTCTCAAAATCTTTCAACGCCCATCGATTCCGAGCGGGACCCTACCTAGGTAGTCAATGTGTATGATGAATTGTGTTGTGACCTCGTCGTCGTTGCACAAATTATGAACGCTGCCAATCACGCTTTGGGTGGGTCTCGAGTAGCCGTGCCAAGAGCCCGGGGCTGTGCACCCGTGGGATGGGTTTCCGAGATCCGGTCGATCTCTATCTCTAGGCCTTGACCGCTACAGCATATACACACCTAACCTTGACTAATCTCAGGCACCAATGCAGGAACAACCCGGCGTACCTGAGGACCTCGGATTGCAAGCGTAGCGGTAGCTAGCCAAGCTACCGCAATGAGTTGCCCTGAGCAAAAATGACAGCCATCCCCTCCAACCTCGTCCAAACCCTCCAAACACACACCTCGCCAGTCAACGCAATCACCTTCTCCTCCCTCGGCGGCACGTACATACTCACCGGCTCCTCTGACCGCCAGGTCCACCTCTCTCGCACCGAGCCCTCCAAAAGCACCTCAACAACAACCACAAGCCCCATACAAAAGTACGCCTCCCACGGCTACCCCGTCCTCTCTATCGCCGTCACCCGCTCCAATCAGCAATTCGCTTCCTCTGGTGGCGATCGTGCTGTGTTTCTATGGGACGTCTCCAACGCTGAAGGCACGACCCGCCGGTTTGGAAGCAATACCTCACAAGCACATACCTCGCGCATCACCTGCGTGGAATTTGCAGGCGCTGATGATTCAGTGTTGGTGAGCGGCAGCGATGACCGCAGCGTCAGGCTGTGGGATGTCAAGAGTAGAGACGCGAAGCCGCTGATGGTGTGGGAGGATGCCAAGGACGGAGTTAGTTGTCTGTCGGTGCCAGACAACGGAGTGGAGGTGTTGAGTGGGAGTATTGACGGGAGAGTGAGGTGTTATGATGTGAGGATGGGACGGGTCGTGGTCGATGTTATGGCGGGGGCGGTGACGAGCCTGGAGCTAGGGAGGGATGGGAAGACGATGTTGGTGGGTACGTTGGATGGGAAGGTGAGGTTGTTTGATCGGAGGGATGGGAGTTGTTTGAGAACGTTCCCCAACGAGGACCAGGAGCAGGGGTATAAGAATGAAAGTCTAAGACTGAAGAGCTGTCTGGCTATGAATGATGGTTTGGTGCTGAGTGGGAGTGAGGCAGATGGCAAGGTCAGGGCTTGGGATGTGCTGTCGGGAAAGAATGTTGGTGACATCACCCAAAATACCACTGGTAAGGTTGTTAGTGTGGTCAGCTGGAGAGAGGGAAGCAAGACTGAGGAGCGGACAGGCGTTTTCGCTGCTGGAGGTGCAGCTGGTACGGTGAGTATCTATGGAACATGAAAGTGCAATACCTGGACTGGAACCATAACCTATGATGCATGCTGTCTGCCTGGGACAGCTTTTGCCAAATTTTCTGGATGTCCTTAGCCGCTCATGCTGCGACTTCATCAACAACGGACGAAACCTGCTCGAACCCAAAGCGTAGTGCCTGCATCGCGCGGTCAAGATCACACTCCTTCACCAGCACGATGCCAGCCTTTGCTGTACTGAGAAAGGTGATGTCGAGGTTGCTGTCTGGTCCGGCATCCGAGCCAAGCTCCCGTTCCCGGCCCGTCTCACCAGCTGCAAGGCATCCAGCGACACCACACACAATACCCGTCGCCTCCATAGGCAACGCCTGAAGGTCGAATGATATAGGGACCAGCACGTCCTCTGAGTCAAGAGATTTGTTTCCGAGTAGAGCGCCGCCTAGCCGATCCAGAAGTCGAGCTTCGAGGAATATCGATATTGGATCATTGGCAGTCATCGTTATTGACAAGAACGAGGCCGCACTGCTCGGCGGCTTGACGGCATCGTGGTGGCCGTTCAGTGCGCCATTTGTGCTCTTTGCTGGTGTTCGGGCAATACTGCTCGCGGAGGTCGAGATGAGGACCTGCAGCAAATCGCTCTTTAGTCGATCCGACGTGGAAGGGTCGTCATCGTGTCCCGCACATGTCAGTAACCTCATCTCATCATCGACAACTGGGCTGATCTTATTCCTGCGCAACTTGTCGAAAGTACGGCGTTGCAATTCCGGCAGATCCTTAGCGGGCGGTGTCGAGGGCATGTTCAGCCCGTGACTGGTCGTTGGCGCAAGGATCCAGTCTGCCGAGTTTTGGCTATTGTTTCTATTATGATGATGGCCCAGCAGAGGTGAAGCAGGCGAGAGCTGGGATACAAATGCATCAGCAGATCGAGAGAAAACGAAGCCTCGCTGCTCTAGGGCAGTGGTAACGGTCCGTCGGGCGTATGTGGGCACGAGGATGAAGTCGCTGAAGTAAGTCGTGATAAAGAAAATTGATATGCCTGCCATTGCCAACGGGCTGGTTAACTCCAGCACCCTCTGACCGGCGTCGAGGCCTTGTCCATCCACCTGGATCACAGTGAAGGTCTCGTCCACGATCTCGAAGCCGTCGATCACGTCTTTCCACCTTTCTTGGATCGGTGAGAAGTATTTGTCCGCCAGGTATCGGGTACAGATTACGGACACTCCTTCAGGCGTGATGCTGACGTTCAGGAAATCGTGTCGATTCGTCCATGACGAATTCAACTCCTGGTCAGGATCATTGTCGTCGGCGAACAGCAGCTGTTGGATCGGCTGCAGGAACAATGTGTACAGGCCCGTCGGGATGTGTATCAACACTAGATGCGGCTCCAAAAATGAGATCTGGGCCATCATGAGATTGAGTGAGTCTGTCATACTGTGCGTGTATGTTGCATGCGAAGAGATTGAAATCACTGACAGATTGCTTGGCCCTCAGGACTGTGGTGGGAAAGCCAAGTGGTCCTTTGGGTCGGACCGGACTGTCGGTACCTTCGACTCCAGGCAGCTGTGACGTACTTTCAGGACCTTTGCATCTTAGGAAGCTGGGTTCTTCTGAGTGGTGACTTTGCTGAGAGGTGCCTTCTGCTCAAGGTACAGGCTTGCCACCTGTCGGAGGTCGATAGAAGGTCAGATGCTCGTCTTCTGCTCCTCTCATGCTGCAAAGTCTCCGGCTCGTTGGCAGGGATGACAGGCTGACAAGAACTCTTTCGTCTGATGATCGTTTGAGGATGGGAGTCAAGACCTGAGTCAATTAGACGAGGGGATGACGTTGAGCAGTCGAGCCCAGGACGACGACTGAATATCGAGCAAAATCCAAAGCTCTTCGTGCCGTCTTACGAAGGTAGTTGTAAGCGCTCAACGTGGTGTTGTCCGAGTGGAATGCAACGGATATTATCACCCCCCAAATTCGGCTGCTAGGTACTAGAAATCTGCGTCACAGTGCTTGTGAGCGCGGGTGGTCTTGCTCAAATCTGACGCGTGCTTGTGGCCTCAAGCGAGTCTGACAGCGGCTTCTCTCTGGGGAATATGTATATGATAGGCTGACCCCACACAAGTAATTGGGTAGCTGCTCCGGGTGTTGCTTCTGTTGCTGCATCGTCCTCATCATGACACGAAGCTGAACAGATGTAGCAGAGCATTTCTGCTGAGCCGCGCCCTTCCATCAGTCGTTGAATGCGGGGCTCGAGATAGGAACGCCCGTGACCTTTCTGGTTGTGATTGTGATGAACACGAAAGACTAGCGTGGGGGTTGTGCGTGCACGGGTTTGACCGAGGTGTGGAGATGAGGTTCTCTCATCAGATTATTATTGCAGAGATATGAAGTAATTCCGCAGGTTAGTCAGGCACCACGTGCAGTACAAAGCTCGATCACATGCTGCGGTAGCACCGAACTCGATGTCCCACTCGCTGTGCCGCTTCAGCTTAGGCCACCTCAGAGGAGCACTTTCGTGTTCGGTGGGGTGATCACACAGGCTATCGCCGACCAACACGGGTGAGAGATCACCCTCTGATTGCGCAAGATGCGAGATGACGTGCAGCAGATGCTAGGTGAGCTTAAATGTTTGGGGCAAGGATCATGCTGCTACAAGGCAGGTACTCCTCGTTGAAATTGGCAAACCTGATAGCCAAAGCCCGCTTGCCGAGCCGAAGCCTATCCATCATCTCACAAACGAATCCGGATGGTGCACTGCTTCTGCGCTCCTACCTCGACCTCAAACGGATACTCGCCGATAACGAGGGGCTGCGGCGTGAGTATGAGGAGATGGCGGCTGGCTCAGGATTGCGGCGAGCAATGAAGTGTGAAATAAGTACAAGGCAAGAACGCGGTCATACGGAAAGTATTGGTGGAAGGTGCTGGATGGAGTGAGGAGCTGCAGCTCAGGAAGGAACGACTGGACTTGCGACGAAGAGATCGTAAGACGAAGAAGAAGTCCAAGCAAGCACCTGCACCACTTGGAGGAGATCCAAACATTGCGGTGACGGAGCGTGATGCACCGGAAGCAAGCGATGGCTGGCTGAGGCTGCATTTAATGCAGATCCAGAGAGCTATTTTTCAAGTTGGTATTGGATCATTTGTCGGACTGTTCGGTTTGGGAAATGACGGAGGTCCTGCTGTTGGGAGACTGTGCATGTAAAATCAGAAGATCTAAAGGGCATCACTGCAACGAATCACAACAGTCGGACTTAATACTACTATCGCCGGAAGCCAAGGTTTCCGAGCTTTTGTTACAGAAAACGCGACTAGCACTTGTACATCCCTCACCACGCGAGACTTCTGATGCGTAAGGTATCGGCACTCATAGTCAACGCTAGCAAGCGTTCGCCGTAAGGCAATGCTTTCAGGATGCCCTGGATGTGGATCTTCTGATTTGGCGCTAGAGATCGTCGTTACTTCACCTACGAATTCGTAATCTCATGACACTCTTTCGACGACCACAATTCTGCTGGCTCAGCAAGCCTTCGGTATCGGAGATGAACATCCACTAGATATTCCAAGCGAGCCGTACTCACTATTGCTTTCAGATCGCGGGCACGTGGCAGCGACCGTGGCGCACATGCCCAGGAATGTTGGCCGGATCACATAGCCGACATTCCTCACGCAGGTGACCACTACTGAGGACGGCCTGCCAGCCTTCTTCATGTTCGAGTATAGCAGCAATGCTCCGACATACCATTCTGAGGTCGTCTTACTCGTCTGGGACGTCATCCGAGCCCAGTTTGCCTTGGGATGTCCTGACCATACTGAGGCAGTACCCTCCCAAATCAGTCAGCGCGCGTGCTTGAACCAGCCCTCTGCAACATTTTCCATGCCAGCGAAGGCCCACGAACAATAGAGCCATGGCTTTGATATACTCACGGAGTCAAGCCATGGCCGCCTCTTCAAGAACGCCATTCTACTAACATCCTTTATTTGCTTGTGTTGATCTTCTGCTCAACTGGCTCCGAAATGCGATCATCGTCACTGATAGTCACAACATTTCCTCTTCTGACTCTAGCACAGTACAGCCTCCAAGATGACTACACAATACAAAACTTCGCGAACATGTTCGACTTTGAGACAGTAGGTCTTCGATGTGATCGACAGCACAAATGTCGGACTGATCATTGATTTACAGGTCGACGACCCGACACACGGATACGTCAACTATGTGTCCCTGGCTGCTGCTGAGGCTGCCGGACTCTGGTCGACAAACAACGATTCTGTATACATGGGCGTCGACTATACAAGCATAGGGTCTGGACGTGGACGCAGTTCCGTCAGGATTATGAGCAAGAATACGTATAACCATGGACTCTTTATTTTGGATCTTGCACATATGCCAGAAGGCTGTGGTACATGGTAGGTGCCATCATCAATGTGCCAGCATTTGGCTGACCCATGTTTTCAGGCCTGCTTTCTGGCTACTTGGACCCAACTGGCCGACCTCAGGAGAAGTTGATATCCTCGAGGGTATTAACAGTCAATCGACGAACTCTTTCGCGCTGCACACCAATGCCGGTTGTCGAATTACACAGACTGGCAAGTTCACCGGAAGCATCTCCTCGTCCAATTGCGACGTCAACGCGCCTGATCAGGCCACGAACGTCGGCTGTGCCATCAAGACGAGTGACACTCAAAGTTATGGCACAGGTTTCAACAGTGCCGGAGGCGGCGTGTACGCCACGCAGTGGACGAGCGAAGCCATCAGCGTCTGGTTCTTTACTCGATCACAGATACCAGCAGACATCAATTCAGGGTCGCCTGATCCATCGACATGGGGTCTGCCACAAGCACAGTTCGCGGGCGGATGTGACATCGACACCCACATCATCAATCAGCAGATCGTCTTTACGAACACGTTCTGTGGCGATTGGGGCGGACAGGTCTGGGCACAGGATGCAACTTGCTCGCCACTGGCCTCTACGTGCCAGTCCTTCGTGCAAAACAACCCAGCCGCGTTTAAGAACGCGTACTGGGAGATCAATTCGTTGCGCGTGTATCAGAGCCCGAATGGTGGGACGGACGGTGTTGCAGGGCAAGATGGAACGCCTGGCGGTTCGGTTGCCTCTTCGGCAATAGCATCTGGACCACAGCCAACCTCAGTTGGGGTTGCTCCAACGGACGCCGCAGCCGGTAGTCCCACAGATGGAGCGGATGCTAATCCGAGCGACGTGGGATACGTGACGACACTGAGCACCGCATACACAACCTTGCCTCCCTCCACCAACAGCAATGGAGTTTCGCAAGATAGTCAGGCTCAGACGTCAGCAGTCCCACCTCCCGTCGCAGCGACCGCGACAGCACCGAGCAACCATCCACAGCCACCCTCGCCGCCGATAAATCCTCCGGGTGCGATGGTCTCGCAGATTGGAGATGGACAAATACAAGCTCCAGGACCCGGTCAGCGGGCGGGAGGTTTCTTTGCCAACGCATTCGGGGGTGGTCAGCGGCAGGGCGGCGCACCTCAAGCGGGACCTGTTGCGAACGATCCAGGAGCAGCAGCAACGCCGGCCACACTTGGACGCCTCAGGATTGGCGTGGCGCGCAAGGTCGACCACACGGGTCAAACCGCCGTCACAAGATCAGGAGATGGCGGCTGGAGCCATGGTGAGCCTGACGCCGGACTCACAATGGGAGTATTCGTTAAGAGAAACGGTTAGGTGACGAGATTATGGGACATATAAGTTAGTGTAATGCGATAACGAGTAATGAATCTCAGATAGAACGTACAGATCTACGCTTCATGTTCAGTTAGACCAGGCGCGTGAATATGGCCGATGTCATTGCCAAGAACTTTCAATACGGCGCGGCCAAAGTTGAAGCCGACCCCGCAAACGACTTGGTGAGTTGCACTTCGAGATAAGTACTGAACAAGCAGCCACGAACAGCCATCGGCAAGCGCGTCCGTCGTAGCCAGTGGCGTACCTACTGTATCGCATCTGCCCACCGAAGTCCTCATTACTCGCCCGACACGCCACAATGAAGAGGAAGCCGACCAATCTTCCACCAACATAAAGCTGCTTGATAGGCGCAAGCTGCGCTCAGCGTCTGTCAGAGGTGCTGCACCCTCTGCATAGCGTCGGCTCTTTCGCCTTGCGTTCTGCTAGCTCGCGCAGTCTGACAAGATGTCAGTGCGAGCGCCGACGAAGCAAGGCTCTGCCTCCTCCCAGTCGCGCAAACGAAAAGTGCTGCTGATGGGCAAGTCTGGCTCTGGAAAGTCGTCTATGCGCAGCATCATATTCTCAAACTATGTCGCCAGAGATGTCCGCCGGTTAGGCGCCACCATCGATGTAGAGCACTCGCACGCGAAGTTTATGGGCAATCTCACCCTCAATCTATGGGACTGCGGCGGCCAGGATGCATTTACAGAGTCATACTTGAATTCGCAGCGAGAATCCGTGTTCAGCGACGCCTCTGTGCTGATCTACGTCTTCGATATCGAATCGCGGGAAGTGGAAAGAGATCTGGAGACATATTCGGCCGTGGTCGCGGCGCTCAAAGAATTTTCGCCAACAGCACACATATTTTGTTTGGTCCACAAGATGGATCTGGTTCAGCATGAGCACAGAGAGCGGATATATGACGAGAGATGTCGCTTGATCATTGCGCGCTCGGAAGGCATGAAGCTGGAGACCTTCGCATCCAGCATCTGGGACCAGACGCTGTATAAGGCCTGGGCGGGCATTGTCCATAAGATGGTCCCCAATTTGGCAGCCATCGAGAAGTTCTTACTCAATTTCGCAGCGAGAATTTCGGCTGAAGAGATCATTCTTTTCGAGAGATCGACTTTCCTGATGGTCACATCGACATCGAACCTCCCATCTGCTGGTGGCGAGGACGACAACCCAAATCCAGACCGGCACGAACGCATCTCAAATATCATGAAGTCCTTCAAACACACCGTCGCGAAGAACACGCATACAACAGCTGCCGCAACCAACTTCATCATGGCTAAGGTGCAGACGCCAAGCTTTAATTCCTTTCTGGCACGTTTCACCGAAAATACTTACATCATGGTTGTCATGCCTCCGGGCGAAGCGGAGTTTAATTGTGCTGTACTCAATACTGCATTGGCAAGGGAGGCATTTCAGAAAGGTACTGGCGTTGAAGGCTGAGCTCACGAAGAGATGCGCAGCATTCAAGTCCAGCGTCGAATAGAAATTTGGCGATATTAGACCCCGGCGACCTTCAAGCTGAAGTCACATGAGCAGACTCAGTACCTGCTAGCGAACAAGAACACAAAAGCACTGGCATAGATCAGACGCCAGAAACGGCAGAATAAGGCAAAACAGCACCCCGAAAAGCTTAAACGATCGAAGATGTCATAATCAAGCAACTTGCCAGCCAGCTACTAGTTGTGCCTCGAATCGCAGCTCCGTTCATTAGCAGCTGTCACTTCGATTCATCAGCTTGGAAATACAAATCTCACTCGATATAGAGTCATCTTGCTGCTGGTGGCCAGATCAGCAGAACCCTACGTCCATCCGGTATTCTTTCATTGAAGCCTCATCCAAGCATTCCGTGCAACGAGGTCGTTCTTACCACTCGCGATAAGCTGTTGCCACAGTATACAGCCCTCCTCTTGCATGCTCATACCGTCCATATGCCGTCTCAAAACATCATTCGCGCCCTCCTTGGCCTCTCGACCGCAAATTTAGGCCTCTCGGCCTACACGTTATACAATGCCAATGAGAAATTAGAGCGCAATTGGGAGGAAGCTGAGTCGCGCATGGACACGCTTGAGGGAACTCTTCGCGGACACATCGGCATTATAGAGGATAGTCTCGAACGGATCGAGAAGACGCTGGACACGAAGCATGGACTGGGGAAGGGAATGAGTGCCAAGACGGAGGCTCTGTATGGTGGAAGAGGAAAGGATGGAAATGTCGGAGAGAAGTCGTGAGCAGAGGAAATCTGGCCAATCAGGCAAGAGTCTTGTTCGGTTCGTACAGGCAGATGAGAGAGGAGCCTTGCGGCAAGCCAGCTTTTTAACATACGAGCAGCCCTCTGAGGTACTGACTTATGAGTTTGCCAGCATCTTGTTCGAGCAAATCGAAGCGGGCTCCAATCCACATGTCTGGTCGAATGATAAAAGTTGTACCATGTTCGACATCGATCTCATAGCGCTCGCCAGCTGCACCAGCCTGATCATAATACACCTTTCCCAGTGGATCGAACCCGAGCTCATGCCATCCGTTATCGACTCTTTCCGGCAGTATCGTTAGAAACTGCACCGGTAGGTTGTTGTTTGAAGGCGCGAGGCTGTTGCCGTGCGAGGCTCCATTAATGTGGCCGTTCACTCCATCGACGCCAGCTTTGTGCGTGGGTCTGATCGCCGCCTCGACCTCCTCCTTGAACGAACGCAGCATGTCTTTTGCTGTCAAGCCACGGCCCACAAATGTCAGTATATGAAAATGTGCTTGATTGGGCATCAGCTTCAGAAGCCAGGCGCTCTCCCACAACGCTGGCAGCAGCACTCGGACGTCCGGAGCTCGAAGGCCTGGCCTTGCTGGTGCAGGTATCAGGACTTCCTCACCACTTGTGTCCTTCTCGTCCTCCCAAACAGCCGGGTTCTTCTGATAGCCCAGTGTCAGACCAGTATTGAAGCCCTTCGCTTCCATCAGAACTCTTCCCAGCACAACGTTGGGATCCTCTTCACCCTGCCACTTTTCCCATTGCTTTCCTTTCGGTATCCGCCCACTGACCAATTCACTGATTCCCTCGTCATACCTAATCAGCTTCTCCGCCAGCACCTGCCGCTCGGCATTATAAGTGTCTAGCAGCCTACGCTTCGCCCTGCCAGTCAAAACTAATGCTAACTTCCAGGCCAGGTTTGCCGCATCATTTACGCCAGCGTTCATACCCTGTCCTGCGCCACTCGAATGCGTGTGGCAGCTGCAGATAAGTATTAGTAAGAGGCACATCAACAGGGACAAAAGGGTGGTCCCCTGGCCAGGATCATATCGCCAAGGTGTTGGTTGCAATACTTATGGTAACTTACCTGTCGCCCGCGAGAAAGACAGCATCGTGTGCGAAAAAGGTCTTTGCCACCCTCTGACCGACACTGTACACGGACCCCCAGTCGACTTGAGCCCATTTCAGCTTGAAGGGCTGCACGCAGAGTTCGGACTCTTTGATGAAGATCTCCCGCTCGGTGAGGCCGCTGTTGGCGTATAGGCTTGTCGGGACGGATCGAACTTGTAGCCGAGTCGGGTAGCGCCGTGGTCAAGCGGTATCCAGAGAACGTTGCCGTACAAGGGAGACTCGATGGCGCCGTAGCTACGTGGCTTCGGCATCGTCGTGCTCTCCAGCACTCCATCAACTCTTACCCATTTGTCCTCCGTCCTGCTCCCTTCACTATCGATCCCGGCTGCCCCTCGCACCTTCGTCCTACTTCCATCACACCCGATTATGTACCGACATCTGACCTTGTACATCCTGTCTCCTCCGCCTCTCCCGTCCCTGATCGTCGCAACGACCCTTCCGACCTCTCCAGCCTCCACCCAATCATCCACAACCAATCCCTCAAATGCACACGGCGCATTGACCTCAACACCCACCTCCTCGCCTTTCCTCCTCAAGATCTCCTCCACATACTTCTGCCGCAGGACACTCGCAAATGTATACCTCGTATCACTAATCCCCTCAATAAACCCCCACGCGCCATCCTTTGTCCGTTCCCTGCCCTCCCGATCGAATGCCGCGCTGCTCCTCACAGCATAGCACTGCTGTTCGATCTCATGGCCTAGGCCCATCGCAGACAACAACTCCATGGATCGCGGCCAGAAGGTCACGGCGCGGCCGAAGGTGTCCTGGAGGGACTTGGGGTGTGCTTCGATGAGGTGGACATTGATTGAGGAGTAAGAGGGTGGTGAAAGGGGTGATGGGGTGGAGGGGAGTGAGAAGCGGCGGAGTTGGTAGCTAGGGTGAGGCCGACGGGACCGGCGCCGACTATGAGACGTCGGTGTCGATTATTGGGGTTGTGTCGTCCATGGTGGATTGTGGTCTGTGATAGCTCGCCTGGGACGACTGGACGCGAGTGAACGGGTTGTCCTCAGAGGGTGGAGGAAATTTGCTAATCTGTTGAGACGAAAGGTCCTGCTCAAACCTGTGCTGCGCCGCCCGTCAGTGGTGTGCTGATCGTCACTGTTGGTCTAGGGCTCTGAAGTCCCAGCAGATGAGCTATGGTGGTCGCTCGTGGGCGTGTTTCTCGGGCTTTTCCCAGTGATACTGAAGCACGCAAATGCATGACTATGAGATCTTCGTATCGACTTCTCTAGATCAGAATTTTGTATGCTGGAGACCTTCGTCCCCACTGTTGGTCGGACGGGTCCTCAGACCACCGATAAGCGACTCTGTATCGAGGCCGATCTCTGTCACCAGTATCTATAGGTGCTCGCCTTGGCGCAGTTGTCCGCTTGGGCACGGAGTTCACCGGCCGTTGTGCTATCGCAGGCGGGATGCATATAGGCGCGAGGTGTACTTGAGGAGATCGGACTCCTGTGAACTGCTATGTGAGATTAGTCACAATCGCATGCTAAATATAAAGGCACATTCCGGACACTCGCTGCAGCGGCAGAACCATTTCTAGATACGAGATGATCAGATCACGTTGTCGATGGGAGTAGTCTAGGTACGAGGCTTGATCAGTGGATTGTCGTCTCAAGAGTGAAGATTTGGCACATGAGCAGCCCAGAGACCTCGAATGCTTCGCGGGAGAAGCATCCATAGAGGAACAGCCAGCTACGTTGACGCGTCGATAAGCAGATTGAAGTTGATGTAGATGACGAGGGCCTAGGCAAGATCTCAAACGGTCGGTCATTCAATCATAAGAATGTCCTCTACATCCTCAATTTGCTGTCTGCCTGACCCAGTACTATATGACCCTCGTGAATGCGGCCTTCTGGGCCGATGCCGTTTCGTCAGAACTGCTTCGCTCCGACGATGACGACAAGGTAGATCGCAAGCGAGCTGGCGAAGTCCTTCTCGACGCTTGTTTTGACAGATGCTGTTGCTGTTGTTGTCTTTGCAAGTATTTTGAAGATGTGATCGTGACTTCGAAGTTGTGGACGTGAGATTTTTTGTCAAGCGGCATCTCGAGTCGTGAGTCCATTGTGGCTTTCTGGCGTATCGTCGTTCTTGTGTATTGTGTGAATGTTCAGTGGTCGATGCCGTTGTGTTGTGTGTTGAACTACTCTCCGGGATGGTCGCCAACCAGTGAAGACGTCTCAAGTGACAATGGACCAATGTCAATTGACGCAGTTCGAGTAGATGATGAGGTTGATTGAATGGCACGAATGTTACTGTAGCAATGACCTGTCTGCTTCCTCGTTGCTGTCTCTTTCACTGACCTACCTGACATTTCCATGGCTCTTTATCATCATGGTGCGCGGTATGCTCGCCGATGTGAAGACGCCAATTGTGTCACATCTTCGGGAAGCAAAGGCGAAGAATTCTCGAATGCAGCTATTCCACGCCAGAGCGGGAGATCATCACGATCGGCGAGATCGGAGAGGAGTCTTCCGGGGCAAGCCCTTCTCTCCGATCTCCAGCGGCAGCATGCTTGGGTTGCTTTCCTACCATCTTCAACAGGTGGCTCGTCTCTGTGCAGTAAACAGTCTCTGAGGCACATCATCCGCTGGGCCGGAGCGGGTAAATGTGCTCCAACGACGACTCAGCTCACCATTTCGATATCGAGCACTAACGACGTCGCTTGCATGGTCTGACAGAAGTACGAGATCGGAAAGTGGGCTTCCCGTTGTGGACAAGAGAATCGACCACCCTGTGAAATTGAACAATCAGCCGGTGACATCGAGATGGGAATGCTGGCTTTAGTAGGTGGATTCCTTGTTGGTAGACTCAACCATATCACGTCCAGGTCTTTAGCGCGTTGTACACCAATTTGCCGGACTTGAGGGGTGGAAATCCTGGGGTATGAGACAAGCTTCGAAACTGCCGTGGCTGAGGCCGCTTGTCAGAAGCTTCGCATTTATCCTAATATTTCTTCTGCTTTCTTACTTACAATGACTCTTATCAGCACCATCACAGAGCTGAACAGCGATCACATGGGCAGGTCCAAAGCGGCTGAAAGATGCGACAGCTTGGACCGAGACGGTAAGAGATTGCGCGGTGTATGGTCGTCGACGCACGATCCCGATCGCGACCCTAGAGCACGTCCTTTCCATGCGTCGGCCATATCGACCTAGAACACACGCTGCCTAGCATCATCGCTCGCACAGACGCCATCAAATGCTTTGCAGCAAGTCACTCGTCGTCATCGGCACCACAGCTATAAGTTACTGACTTCAGTCCACGCGGCCCTGCTACCACCTTCCTGACCCGGTAAGTGGCCGGCAGAAGGTGCGATGGAGACTCCCCAGATTTCTCCTCGTTCTACCCCATGTTCGATCGCCCTTACCAAGCCACTGCCAATTTATCCGGAGAACTATGTGCAGTCTCTGATGCAGGAAACAAGCCTCAGCTCCATGTCTCCAGTCAAGCGACCGAACTTTACGGCATGGCAATCCTTTCTTACTGGTCCCAACGACGCGATATGTGATATGCTATGTAAGTATCCGCGGTGGGAAATATCCGCAATGCCCACGAGGCAGCGTCTGGATATATGAATTTAACCGGACAGAGGTTCTCGAACGCTGCAAGGTCAGAGCACTGCAGCTTTGTCCCCAAAGCGGCGTGTATATAGCGCCGAGCTCGCAGCACATTGCCTCGACTGAAACCACCATCTCGTCGAGCTCTTCACTACATCAAGATGGCGACCACGAAAGAGGACATGTCGAAGTTGATGGCCAACGTCACGCCATGGTATAAGGATCCAGGACGACGGAAGCTGTATGCTCTCCTCCTAGTGCCACTCCTGTCGTCGGCGACCAACGGGTATGATGGCTGTGAGTGCTCCCGTTATCATTGGACTTACCAGATCCCGATGCCCTCCTTTCTCTCAATCTCAGCACAGTCATGGGCAAAGCTGATCACTTCTTACGGTACATAGCATTGATGAATGGTAAGCGTCTTCCCAAGTTCGATTTGCGACAGTAGGCTGACACCGCAGGTCTACAATCAATCACGTATTACGAGGACTACTTCAATCATCCACATGGATCGACACAAGGTCTGCTGAACGCGATCCAGAGCGTAGGCGGTATCGTGAGCCTTTTCACTGCGCCATACGCGGCAGACTACGGCGGCCGAAAGTGGACTATCTTCTTTGGCTGTTTGGTTGTTGTGATCGCTGGTCTTGTGCAATGCTTTGCCGTCAACGTAGGCATGTTCACGGCAGCGAGATTCCTCATTGGTCTTGGCTCAGGTTTCTCTGGTCTCGCCTCTCCATTGCTCATCACAGAGCTTGCTCACCCGTGCGAGCGCGGCAAGGTCTCTGCGCTGTATAACACGCAGTACTACTTTGGAGGTACGACTCACACCTTTGCTATGGAATCAGCTGCTAACTTCCCCGAAGCCTTCCTAGGTGGCTGGATCACATTCGGAACACTATACATTGGTGAGTTCAATTCTGAAACTGCAAGGTCACGATTCAGGAGTCGTTGTCGAGGGAAACGAGCATGCAGAGGACCTCCAAAAGCCCAGGTTGCTGACTCAAACCCCTATCAGATTCCAACTGGGCATGGAAACTTCCCAGTCTCCTTCAATCTGGCCCATCCTTCGTACAACTACTACTGGTCCTACTGCTACCAGAGTCACCTCGCTGGTTGATGTCCCGTGGCAAGGACGAGCGAGCGTTGAAGATTCTTGCGAAGTATCATGCCAACGGTGACGACAATGATCCATTAGTCAGACTCGAGTATGCCGAGATGCAGGCCACGATCTCGAAAGGCGAGCAGAAAGGACGTTGGTTGGAGCTGGTCAACACGAAGGGCAACAGATACCGAGCCTTCATCTGCCTCGCCTGTGGCGTCTTTTCACAGTTCTCAGGCACCAGTTTGACTGCCTACTATCTACATGATATCTTGGTGAAGCTCGGGATCGAAGACCCGAAGTATCAGAACAAGCTCAACGGATTCATTCTCATGGTCAACATGATCGAGGCCTGGTTCTGGGCTTTAATGGTTGATCGAGTTGGTCGACGCCCGCTATTTCTCATTGCATCCAGTGGAATGTGTTGCACATTCGCGATCTGGATTGCTTTAACAGCCGAGCAAATCCGACATCCAGATCAGCTTGGTTATGGCAAAGGTGTCATTGCCATGATCTTCTTCGTACGTATACCTGTGAACCTGGACGGGGTGATACATCGGTCTCCCTGTTCTTATGCTTCCTGATACGTGTTCAGACTAACAAATAACAGCATAACTTCTTCTACAACTTCGCATGGTACGTTACAATTTTGCTATAGAGCTATGATCCAGGGCTGACTGATCAGGATCTCGCTCAACGTGGCCTACCCACTCGAAATCCTTAGCTTCAAAATCCGGGCAAATGGACTGTTCTTGCAGGGGCTCAGCACGAACATCTGTCTGTTCCTATCTCAGTACACCATCCCACTCGGCATCGCTGCAGGGTCGTGGAGGTTTTATTTCTTCTTCGAGGGCTGGTTGCTCATTCAATTCGTGGTGGTCTACTTTTATTTCATCGAGACCCGCGGCGCAACTCTCGAAGAAATCAGCAAGACGTTCGACGGCGCTGATGCAGTGCAAGAATTCCAGGACAAGGCTAATCAAGTCGTTGGAATCACCGAGATTAGTGAGGCCGGGCGGAAGGGACGCTCGAACAGTGTTGGGGCTGGTGATGCTGAGCATGTGGATGAAATCCATGAGGTGAAGCGGGACTGAAGGGATGCTTGATCTCGGTCGTCTAGTCGCAGATATATTTGTTGCGGCGGCGAGATATTTGGCACCGGGCAGTTTCGACTGCGATGGGTAGGAGGCGCTCATAACCTTCGTGCAGTCTGCTTGAGCTGAGCATGATTGGCCGTTGGAAGGTGTTGACGCTTCAGTAAGCTCTTGATGTTTGAATATAGCAAATATTTGCTGTGGGTTCTACGACAGAATGATACTCAACCGGTCTCACATAGAACGACTAGTCATCCGGCGACAGATAAGCTTGCTTAACATTCCAGTCATCCGGTCTTGTGTGGACACCTGTCATCCGGCGCCATCGGAGAACTTTAGTATCTGACACTCAGATAGACGTCTTGCAACAACTCCATCGTATTGACACGGTCTTCGATCCACAAGCGACATTACTTACAGCACTGACCTTTCCGACTGCACCGGCAGATAAGGAAGAGCAGGCCTCAGGGAAGATGCTGAGGGTCTAACATCGGTTGGTAGCAAGATTTGTTTTGTGCTTCCTGGCCAGGGAGGGCGCTGTGAGAGTTCGGCAGAGTAATCAGCATGAACCCTGGACTGCCCTTCCAGCGCTATCCGCCACTCCTCGAATATCTCCGGGCAATTAGAAATGTCGTCTTCAGTCCGATCACGCCAGAGACGGCGCGTATCGTTCTCGTGCTGGGCAACCCATCGGCCGATCTGGACAGTTTTATATCCGCCATCACCTACAGTTATTTCCAGAATCATGTCAACAACCAACGAGCACGAGGAGCTATCTTCGTCCCACTGTTGAACATGCCTAAAACAGTGTCGGGCGACCTCTGGAGCTGAGGCCGGAATTCGGCGTTGCATTGCACTTGGCTACTACGCGACAGAGGAAGGCAAACCAGGACGACGACAAGGCTTGTCTGAAGGAGGTCATCACTATCCGAGATGTCTTGGACTCAGACGATACCCGTTCGGACTTGAGACACGTGTTCCGTCCAGACCTGTCAGAGTCCTCCCTGGGTCCGAAAATCCCTCTGGTCTTGGTCGACCACAATGCTCCGGCTATATCTATCCCCAAGATCCCCTCCTCGTCTATCCTCGCAAATCTCGATCTCATTGGATGTATCGATCACCACGTCGACGAGCACGTCATCCCAGAGGGATCATCTCCTCGGATAGTCACCACAGGGATCGGCAGCTGCACAACCCTCGTGGTATCCCATCTCCGCCAGTCTGGCACGTGGCCGAAAGTGCTCGACTCGCCACAGTCTGCTGCTGTAGCAGAAGTCTGCCACCTTGCTCTAGCCCCTATCCTAGTTGACACAAAGAATCTCAAAGCAGGTGGCGAGAAATGTTCCGATCTCGACCGCGCGATAGTGGCAGTTCTCCAAAATGAAATGAGCGGAACAGCAATGATGGGCATAAAGTCCTCCTGGAATCGAGATGACTTCTACGAGCCGGTCTTTGCGGCCAAAGCTGCTTCTCTAGACTTGCTGACTGCGCAAGAAATGTTTGAGCGCGACTACAAATCATGGACGGAAGGAGCAATCGAGATTGGAATTTCCAGTCTCGTGAGACCCGTGTCGTGGCTTGTCGAGCACTTCAAGGGAGGGGCGGCGGAATTAGCTGGCGAGATTCAGAGGTTCGCTAAGCAAATGCAGGACGAGCAAACGAGCGATGGGGTGGGCTTTGAGGTCTTCGTCATGCTGACGCCCGGACCCAAGGGCGGGAAGGGCAAGGAAGTCGTGATGGTGACATTCTCGGATAGGGCGGCGAAGGTGATAGAGGTATTTGAGGAGAAGGCAGGGGAATTGAAGCTGGAGGATTGGGACGATCGGTGTAGGGAGGACTTCAAGGCGGCTTTTGACAAGCAATGCGGGCAGATGAGGTACAAGGTATGGTGGATGACCAACCGTGAGAAAACGAGGAAGCAGGGAGCACCGCTTGTACGGGAGGCTGTGAGTGCTGTACAGCAGTAAGAGCTGTATTATTAGAGGCAGAAGTGACGCGCCCTTGAGGTCGATTGGAATCGCTTGATCCTGAGAACAAAATGACCTGAGTCTGGGCAAGTGGTCAGTTGGCGGTCGGAGTAAAATGACATGAGCATCAAAGCAGAATGACTGGGTCGTGAAATAAGCCTTGCTTCCGCTATGTACACGACACAATTTGGACAGTACAGCGCCCTCCCTGGATGGGAAAATTACTCCGTGCAATGATGGTGGACGATGCTGATGCTGTTATGGCAGACTTCTACGAGGCCCGCCCTGCAACTTCCAAGACGTATAGACCGATTAAGTAGATGCGACTGGGTCGTGGTAATGAGGGTGTGTTGTGAGAATGCTCGAGATCGAGGACTCGAACCTAAGGTGCCTCGATGGCGAAGAGACACCGGGTGACGGGCTCCAGAATAGCCATGACCGGATGACTGGTTGACCGACCTACCTGCAGGCGCCGGATAACATGGCCTCAGACGAGACCGGTTGACAGGTCCCCGTGCGGCTCATTCGTCGTCGCTTGATGAGTGTCTACCGATCAACAAAGCAAGGTCTCAGCTTCTCGTTACTGTTCCTTTGTCAGGCTGTTGCGTGTCTCGCCTGTTGAACGTCAGCATCGGTCTTTTCGTGTGGAGTTCCTCATGCAAGGCCAAAGCCCGCCACGTCCAAGCGATGGCCGCAACAAGGCAATGAGGCACCCCCAACACCGATCTGGCTGCCCAACAATCGGTGTGAACAACATGCGGCATCTTCGGCACGGCTCGCCATAACCATCGATATAAGTCCATACGAGCTATCACGAATCACCGAGGATAGCGAAAACATCAATACTGGTGCCTACGGGCATCATTGGCGTTACGTAGATGGCGGCACGCGAAGGATCGTTGGTGCTTTTGGTGGCCCGAAACCTTGTTTACCATGCGATTTCAGCTTCCTTCACGATCTTCATCCAATGAGCACGTTCAGCTCTGGCACAAAATTAGATGCTTTGACAGCGAAGAACATGGCCCGTGGTCGTGGAATTGACCACATTGAGAATCGACTAGCCCGATGACGTGAAGATTGACAGGTTTGTGGGACAGCTTTCCGATGCCTTAAGGAAGCAAGCTGCACTGCTGCAATGAGCTATAAGACACCGAGTCTTGGCCGGAGGTGATGAACACTTCCCGACCCTTGCCACATCGTGAGGCCTGAGAAGTGGCTGCGGTCAACAACACCGGATTCCTCAACATCTGACCGTGCATCTAGGGCGTCAGGCGCGACAGTAGAGATTCAGTACGCAGGACCTGCCTGGCGGCATACGAAGAACTTATATTGACACCACCTATCTCGACTACAGCCTTACTGACACATCGAACGCACAGTCGAAAGCCACTGGCGCATGAATGGGTCTGGAAGGTAGAGGCCTTTCAAGCTACCCACCATGCAGTCAACATTGCTTGTGCTCTCGACAATTTGCTCACTAGCATCCGCAGCAATACAATGGGGAAATTGTTCGAACGCAATCATTCCTCTAGCCAGTCCTAAGCTACAGTGCGCCACGCTCTCGGTTCCCTTGAACTGGTCTGACACCTCATCCACGAACATCACGATCGGCCTCACGCGTGTCGAGGCCGGTGACACATCGAAAAGAATCGGCAGCTTGATATTCAATCCAGGTGGTCCTGGAGAGCCAGCATCAACCGTCCTCGCGGGCCAAGCACTCGGCTTCCCGTTGTTCTCGACGAATATAAGTGACGTCTTTGACCTGGTCGGCTTCGACCCTCGTGGCGTCGGTCCATTCAGCACACCCGTCATCTGCGATCCAGAGGTCTTCAACACCCGCATCAACTACTATCCTAACTCCACCTCGCAATACAACGACTTAGTGACCGCCAACAAAGCCATTTGGCAGAACTGCCACAACTTGACCGGCGATCTCCTTTACAACGTCGACACCCTGTCTGTTGCGAAAGACCTCGAAGCACTCCGCATCGCTCTCGACGATGGACCGCTAAATTTCCTCGGCATCTCCTACGGTACAGTGATCGCCCAAACCTACGCTCGTCTTCATCCATCCTCATTCCGCACGATCGCCATGGACGCCGTAGTCGACCACAATATTTCGGCCACAGCACAATTCTTCGATGAAGCGCAGACGTACGAGGCTTCCCTCCATCGATTTGCCAGCTGGTGCAGTTCGACGAACAGCACATTCTGCCCGCTCAAAGGCAAGGACGTCATCTCCATCTTCAACGCCACAGTCGCCAATGCCACTCGCTCCCCACTACCTGTTCCCGGCTGTGTCAACACAGACCCCTCCATCACTGGCGGCTGCTTTGCCAACATCACCGCCGCCGAACTCATCAGCACGGCCCAAACCCTCCTTACTTTCAAAGATCCCAACGCGCCCGTCACGCTTGGCTGGCCGGCACTAGCAGGCGCGCTCGCTCTCGCCGCTCAAGGCAACGGCACCGCTATGGCGCAGGCCTTCGCTGCCGCAAACTTGGCAACCAGTAACATCTCCTCCTTGTTCGCTGGCACCGTCATTCCCTGTTTGGACGACTACACCGGCATCAACTCCTTTGCCGACATCCAGTACCGGCTGAGACTGGGAGAGTACGTCGCGCCTCTGACAAAAGGCATCTCCGAGAAATGGCGGCAGCAGGTCCGCTGCATCGGGTTTCCGATCCCCCCAACGTACCCGCAGACGGACATGTCTGTCAACAATACAGGGAAGGGGGACAAGGAAATGTTGCTGGCGACGAGTGAGTGGGATCCGAACGTGCCGTGGCTGTGGGCGGAGCAGGCTCGAAGCGCGATCGGGAATGCGACGTTGGTGCTTAGGGAAGGAGATGGGCATACGAGTTTCTACTTAGGCGGGAAGACGACGCGGGTCATTGAGGAATATTTTGTGAGTGGAGTGGCGCCCGAGCAGGGGCTGGTCGTGCCGAGTTGATGACGAGCGAAGTAGTTAGAAGAAGTCGGCGTGACGACAGGTTGGGCAAGAAAATAAAGCGGAATCATGTTCTTGCATTCATGTCATTGACCGTTGACTGAGAACGCCATGCGTCTAAATGCTTGGTCGCAGATCCCGATCTGCTGTTCCCTCCTTGTCTGTGTCTGGTTCTTCGTCATCTTCATCGTCATGCTCGTCGCTTACGTCGGAATCCGTGATCTGGGATCGCCATGCGTCTAGTTGCTTGGTCGCGGCTACCTTCATTGCACTGCTGCTACATTTCCGCACTACACGTACCTTGTTTCGACCGAGTTCGACGGAGACAGGCTCCCACGAATCTTCTGACGACAACAGCACAACCCCACCATCATCCAGAGGCCACTGATGTCGAGGACGAACGGTGACTATGAAGCCCATCGTATTCGTGTAGCCTGCCGGAGGCAAGTCTGTTGGATTCTCAGTCGCAATCTTCTTCTGTATCGAGAGGGCCTCCACAAGCTCCCAGCCTTTCTGGAATAAGTGCTCCTCGCTCGTTGAGACAACATTGTGAAGCCCTGCGTTCTCCGGCAACCCAGGATCACGCTCATATCGGGCATAGATGTTTTTGCGGAAGAGATAGAGGAAGTCGCTTGAAAACGGAAGAGCCCTGAACAGCTTTGCGAGAGTGGAGTAGGTCATTTGCGCCCAGTTGCGGATGGGATCATCTAGGCCTGGGAGGTCGATCCAAGCATGTGTGATCTCGTGCATAGCGGCGAGCGCGAGAGTGTTGTCGTCCAACATCTCAGCCAAGTCGAGACAGAAGAGCTGCAAGTCAATGTTGTAGCCACCGTCCTCAGCCTGAACCTCCGTACGAGAGTCGAAGTGACGGGAGGCGGAAAAGTGAGAGTAAAGATGGAAGATTTCGTCCGCACAATTGTACTCGGACAGATGCGTGTGCAAAATGTTCAGCTTGCCTTGGAGGGCTTTGCGATCGGAGGGTGTCTCGTCGCGAACATCCCGCGTCCAGACCTCGACCAGATTTCTGATTACCATCGATGAAGAGTTGCGGAGTTCGTAGAATCTGAGAAGGCACGGGCCGATATCGATCATGACTGGGCGCGGATTGTCAAGCCATCTGTACCTATTCCGATTTAACAAAGACGCATAGGTCACCCAGGCAGAGGTCTTACATCAAAATTTGCTCCTCGAGCTCTTTATCACCGTATGGAATTCGGAAGTACACGCCATCCGTCAGTCTCTTGTTAGGATAGATGCTGATCTGCGTCCAATCGTGTGCGCGGAACTTCTCGTGGAAATGATAGCCGGAGAATTGGCCTGGCCCATCTGGTGTGCCGACTTGAAGCTCGATTATGGACTGTGATGTCAGCACCGCGTTGGGACTGTCTGCGAGCGAATTCATGATCGTCGCGCGTGCTTGGCGAAACGAGGAAGAGAAATGCGACTGTGATTGTGATACATCGAAGAGGATATACACAAGGTAGCAGCCTTACCCACTTGATCCAGGCACCTAGAAACACGTGATGAGCGAAGCAGAGGCAGGGAGTGACATGATGAAGTCGCCTAGGCAGCCAAGTCGCCATCGCGCGAGAGCCGACCTTCTCAGGTGACATTTGGCATCGGGCACGAACAGCTGTCGCCGGTGAAATGCCGAAGCGTGACTCACGTGAAATCCGAGCAAGTCTCTGAGAGCGAAACATATCTTGCGCGCCAGCCTCGCAACTTCTTTTCATCCTTTCCACATCTCGATCGTCCACAGAACGGCGCAGCCCAGCCAACTCTCTAAGGACTTACCAGTTCTGTACTTCGGATGAAGGCGGAGAGATCATGGCCTACGCTGCGCCATCATTCTTTGGTCGATCGGGATTCTTCGTTCCTCAAGTTCCTCACCGAGCTCGTGGACGACCACACAAGCGGCCGGCACCCCAACGCGCCCAAAAGTTCGTGTTCGCCGATTGTGTTCTTGGAAGATCAGGCCCCCCGTGTGCAACCCGTTCAAGATACTTGCCTTCTGTGGCTATGCGATATCAGTGTCGCATATCCCACCGCGCCATCGATCTCTAAGCTGCAGTAGCAGTCTCTAGAGTCGTTAGCACCGGGTTTACGAACGGAGGTAAAGGTCGCGGGTACTGTATAAACAAGCGCTGTCTCGATTCAGATCTGCTAGCAGCATATCAATTGCAGTGTGGCAGACTGTCGACACTGATGTCTTGGCGGGTACGAAGGGTACCAGTCGGATCCTGACGCCGAATGTCTTCCTCGACAACAATGTCTCTGACAATCAGAGCATTGTTTTGAGTTTGTCCTTGTGGCAGCTTGCTACCCAAGGCTCTCTCGCATACTGAGTTCTGTTTGAATGTTTCAACCGAAGACCTAGGTGCTCGCATCGAGGATGGTCGGACGTTCCGTCACGTTCATTGGATCAAATGTCTTCGTCTGTGGCAGCTCTTCGGTTTGACCCGAGTTTGGGGTGTTAAGGTACCACTCAGTGACGGTCAGACGTTCTGTCATAGATGAAGATGGCTCAGGCAAGAGATTCATCTCTTGGTATTTCCTCTGGGGGATTTGTCGCATCTGGGGGACTTGCAGCAAATCATCTTCTTCCGAGATTGTGTTTTGTGGCAATGTTATAGCAAACAAAATGCTACGCCACTGAGCACAGTGTTCAGACACTGTGGTCATAGCAAAGCAGACAAGACGCGCCTGTGAGACTAACTCTAGCAGGATTCGAATCGAAAGTCATCACATGGTGGCTCGGATACCAATCGACCGCCGGTGAGTTCCTCATGAATGAATCTTGATGTTCGTGCGCTGACCCTGCATCGCAGAGATGAGTCCCCCAAAGGCAATGGCGATGCACGACGCAGAATGATCTAACTGAGAATGAACTGGATGGGCAGTACGACGGAAGGGGCGAATGTGGGAGAGAGTGATGTTGAAATTGACACGAGGCAACGCCCTGGCAGCCCACTATCGGCCGCCGTAGTACGAGTACTGCAATCAATACGAAGCCTATTGCATGGATGTAAACATGTGCACATTGTGTACCACACAGACCGCTTGAAGTGGAATGCCATATCTTTCTCGCCAGGCGCTGACGTGACTCGCGACCTGCGATCAGAAGATGGCCGATTCAAGACGAGTCTTCCCGCCTCCTCCACTCAATAATGGCCCGAGTAGAAGACGGCGGTCCGCCGCACCCAGATCTTGAGAACAGTCACCGAGTGCGCATCGGGGGTCTCTCTTACAGCGTCGTCGACGACTCTGCATACGTCGAAGCGCAGATTGCGCTCGTCTGGCCATATTCCAGTTCGACTCGGCAATATGCCTTCCTACTTTCCGAGACAGACACACGGCCGTTGAAGTCTGGCCGCCAGCTCAAGGTAATTCTTCACAATGGCGCAGCACGAGCGGTCCAAAACACAAGGGTTGGAATCGGCGATAGAATCAGACTGTCTCTACGGGGTGCTGTGCCGGCTGAGGCGCATGACAAGGATGCAACGCCCGGCAGAAGATATGGGTGGGATCTTGAATACCGCGACACAATTGTGCTAGAGGTCAGTCGACACGGTAGATATAGTGCTTGTGCTGATACAGCTTCATAGGTCATCCGTGGCCCCGGCGAGAACAACACTGTCGTGCAACACAAGTCATCTGCTCAAGTTTCTACAAATGGTACAAATGGTTCAACTAACGGCCACACTGTGGGAGAGATCTCCTTCGAATCGAGCCTCAACGATGCTTCTACCAAAGTCGACGCATTGGCGTTCTCGTTCAAGTCCCCTGCACCTCCGAGGTCGAGCGGCATAGGGGCTGCGCATTTCGACTCAGACGATCCGTTCGCGTCGGATATTGAGCAAGAGTCTGGGAGATCACGAAAGCGTACGAAGTTTGCCCGACCAAGTGGCGCTTGGACGCTTGTAATTGACGACCAGGACGATGACTACCCTAGCTCGCCGCTTGATGGTGACAGAATTGGGAATGGGCTTGTAGCACAGCCTCGCAGGCCATCAGACTCTGGAGAAGACACAGCCTTTGCAGAGGATTTGCAGCCAAGTCACATACCTGCAGATAATACTTCTAGGGTCGACCATTCTGATGGAAACGTCTCGTCAAGTATTGCTGGTCCTGCAGATCTTGGAAAGTCACCTTTGATCGAGACCGAAGCTTTACGACCTACCCTACCGGCCTTGGAGGATGGGAACGACACTAAAAACGTGGTCCCAGCATCTCCTGGAGATGGCTTCAGGCCAACCTCGATTCTAACTTCGTCAGGCCCAGAAACCATTGAGTATGCCACAACGGCAGAAGACGAGGCCAGCACCGAGCGCACAGATCTGCATGGTGTAGATCAACCAGTCATAGACACATCAGACACCAAACCATATGCTTACATTCCATCAGATGGGGACGTCACCGCAAAACCTTCGGTAGACTTTCAGAGAAGCATAGACACATCGCCAGATCTAGCAGGACAGCCAGCAATTGGAGCCATGGCACCTCCAATAACGCCTGCCCGATCGAGGATGCAGTTGGACATCCCAATGGTGCACGAAATCGTCGACACCCGCGCAACTACTCCTCGTCTGGTTCCTCTAGCCTCTCCTGGTCTTCCACTCGTATCGCCATTGGTCAAACAAGCTGGTGTCGAGACCGGCTACTTTCCTTTCATGTTTGGCGACATGTCAGAACTGGACAAGGACAGTCAGCGGCCAGTCGAATCCGCGCAGCTGCAAGTAGACAATGTCACAAGTACGGACCTCGCCACGAATGCTCGATCGTCGCAGGTTGAGCAGAACGTCCCAGGAGAGACTGATAGGGTCAAATCCGTGGCCGAACTGCCGCTGGACACAGGTGGCGAAGCAGAGTCCTCGGAACAGGCAGAGCCAGAGCCTATTCAGCAATCTGCACCAACGCTGCTGGATCCGCTTCTTTTGCACAACGAAGAGCCTTATGCCGCTACAGGGATGTCAGCCATCGAAGCAGACACTGTCGCAAAGACAACCGACGCACTCTCTTTTCTGGAAGAGTTCCTACAAATGTCGCCTGCCGTCGAAAGCCATCCGCCGACTGCGATCCCGAGTATGGGCGAAATAAGCGCTATCTCAACTCTGCCAGATCAAGTAGCGCCGTCTACCAACGATGATCAGGCTGCGATCGTCGCCGAAGGACGACCTCAGCTGGCGGAGACAGAGCTTGATGCGCGGCCGGAGCTCGAGCACAACTCGCGCCCTACCTCGCGTCAGGTGCATACAGACGGCGCCTTGGATTACACGGACACTGCTCAAGTCACCCACGCAGAACGTTCGCAGGTCGTAGTGGAAGACGGAAATCACGATGCCAACAAGCATGCTCCGGTAACGAGTGAGCATGTTAGTACGTTGAACGCCGAGAGCGATGCAATTGCCATACCTGAACCTCGTAAAGTCACGCACATCTCGAACGGAAACGCAGTTGACGAGGAGAATTACCTTCCTACCCCTGCCGCCACGCAGCGGAATGAACAAAGCGACATAGCCACAGAAGCGAAGCCTCACGAGATTCCTGACAATTCTCAAGGCAATCGAAATCGAGTGATTGCGGAAAGTTTCGAGCAACCGCCGCCCGAAACACCACTCGCAAAAACGCCGAGCAACTCGCAGTTGAACCGTCTTGCACCAACTCCCGTCACAAATAGACGTGCGTCACAAAGACTCACTCGCAAGTCTCAAGGCTCTGTGTCCATCGAGAGCCCGTTCTTCTCCGCCTCGAAAACGATCGTTGCTGAGCAGAAACGAGGCTCTGCTCAGCATGGTCTGTCCGCGGACAATGATGCAGAGATGGTGCCCATTCCACAAGAAGTGCCTGCAGCAAAACAGATGTTTGGTCTACAGACACCCCTCAGCTACTACCCGTCTCTTCACTCGCTCCAACGTTATTTCTACCAAGAAGTCGACATCATTGCTATCTGCGCGGAGCCTTCCTCCAAGCCCGCCCAGTCGACCCGCGGACCTCGCGACTGGCACACTACTTTGCGCCTCGCAGATCCTAGCTTGCCTGCCAAAGATGGCCACAGCATTTCTGTCCAGATCTTCCGGCCTTACAGAGTCGCTCTCCCACGTGCGTCCGCTGGCGATGCGGTGATTCTCCGAAACTTCAAGGTGCAGACAGCAAAACATCAATGGGCACTGCTGAGCACAGAAGAAAGCGCGTGGGCGGTGTTCAGCGGTGCTACTATGCACAGCTCAGATAAGGTCAAGATGAGCGGGCCACAGGTGGAGTACGGCGAGGAGGAGGCCGCGAGAATCAGGCAGTTGATGGGTTGGTGGCAACTAAAAGACTCGGCGATACCTGGGCTGCAGCACGCAGAGACCGTGGAAGAGGGAAGCGCTGAGCAGGCCGAAGAGGAGTCGTCTGACGCAGCTGCCCTCGAGGCGGAAGAAGACAGTATTGAAGTTCTGCCTACGATCGAAGAAGTAGAGTCTTCCTCGCCGCGTCGATCGCGCCGCCTCAACGACAATGTCGAAAATGATGCTCTTGAAAACGACAACGACACCGATGCAACGCCGGTAAAAATGGCACAAGCAGTACCGGAGGCTCCACGTCCGCTACGCCAACAACCATCTCGAAGAGCTCGAACGAAGACACCAACAACGGCCAGCACTGTGACTACAACCGCTCCGCCCTCGCCACGGACTCAGCGCAAAAAGAGAACACCGTCGATTGCCATCTCTGAAACATCGCCCTCAGCATCAGCAGCGTCTCCACCACCAGCACCACCATCGCCAGTCCAAACTCGGACCCGTCGTGCAACACGAAGCACCCACTCGCCGAATCCTAGCATGGCGAGTATTGCTGAGACTGCCTCTTCGATCGCAGGAACAAGTCAGGCCTCTCCAATGATCGAGACATTCCCTGCCACGGCGTCTTCCTCGAAGGGTCCCACGACCAGACGGGCAAGACAGCGATCGCCGCAAAAAGCCACACAAGCACGAGCACCTCCACAGCAACAGAGCTCTGACCCTGGATCATTTCGTGACCAAGAGCAAATTCAAGTCCAGGAGTCTAGCAAGCGCACAACACGCAGCACCCGCCGCAGAACTGCCTCCCCAACAGCGCCAGTCCTTGTGCACGAGCTGAGAGATGGAATGAGATATGTGGACGAGACAGCAGCCCCTGGCAGTGCGAGTCATGCTGCTGAGGAGGAGGTCGCGGCCAAGGAGAAGAAGAGGGGCGTAGTCACAAGCGAGAGGAGAAAGAGAGGTTTGCGGAGCGAGGACGTGCATGTTCTGCGGGATGGGAACCGGTGGGTGGACTGATGTGCTGGGCCTCATTTACGAGCCTCATGGGAGTGCTCTGAGTTTTATGCATGGCGTTGGTGGCTTATGAATGGTTGCAATTATTGAATCAGCTTACGGATCAATGGCAAGGCATCTGTAGAAGACGCGCCGTCATGGCTTTCAAGGATCTGCTCTCAGCAGCAGCAGCAAGCTGGCGCCGCTGGACTGGGACCAAGGTCAATCCATGCAATTACACACAGGTCCGGTGGGGTGACCGTGGCTGTAAACTGACCTCCAGGCTAAGTACTTGACTCAAGCATTTCCGGTTTCTTGGTAGAGTGTCATATTTGGAGTCTTGTTCGTTCTGCTACATATGCCTTTGCGAAACTATCTCTGCAGCTACCGTTGTGCTGATATGAGCGCTTTGTGGTCTGTCTGCTCGTCTTGCTAGCTCTTATCGCTATGAGCGAGCTCTCCTAGCTCCAGGCGACCTCCTCCTACTTTCAATCGTCGCACGGCCGAGAATGTGTGCCCTCCATTTCCTCTGGCTTGTTTATAGAAAAGCTAATGCCAATGCGCTCAACCCCGCCAGCCCCATCACAGTCCACCCGGTCACAATGACCTGCTTATTCGTAAACGCCGCACCCGTATCCCATACCAAATGCCGCACCCCATTCAAGCTATGATACGTGAACGGGAACGCCAGCATCACCTTCGTGAACACCTTCGCAATGATCGGCCAGCTCGCGAATGCAGCGGCCAAACTGGCGCTCTCGAGGTGCCAGCCGATGGTTGGAGCGGCGAGGTAGGCAATGCCGAAAATGTAGAAAATACCGCTCAAATAGACCCCCGTGATCCGGTTTAGGGAGGAGCCGATCCAGGTTATTTGTGGCTTGTAGATTGTGAGATGTGGGGAGACGGGGCGGTTGCGGCGTTGGGCGGCGAGGATGGTGTCGGCTGTTGCGGTTGGGACTGTGGCTGTCGCGGCGGGTCTGAATGCAGTTTAAGTCAGTAGTGTTCGCAATTCGTGGCCTTGAGCTTATATTGTCCCTGTAATGTGTGGATGGTGCGCCTCGGAAGCGGGACCGGGCGCCGGACGAGGGAGGAGAGGTCGACGTAGCAGGTATGGATGCTTACCGGTACTGTATATGTTGTCCCGTCGCGATTGCGAGTGGTGTGATTGTTCGACTGAAGGCTGAGGTCGCGGCGACTGCTCGGTTATCATGTTAGCTGGAACTGATCTGAAGCTCTTTATCGGATGCGGGTGAAGGACTGAGCGCACTGCGGGAGGGGAGAACGTACGTCGCCGAGTGCTCAGCTGGACCGCTCGCTGCGAGAACATGCTGAGAGACATGTTCGCAGACCTGGATTGTGATCTAGGAAAGGCGCACTGGTAAGCTTGAATCGCTGGTAGATGGAAGATGCGGACTTGAGGTCATGGAAAAGCAAGGAGCTGTGATTGGCTGAGTGCGAAGTGGAGTCCGTATGCCGAGGCAGGAACGACGACCACACACGACCACGGCCACCAGCGACATGCCCTCCGACATAGAGAGCACTTCACTGGAAGCTAGGCATTGAACATGGTGATGCAGCTCAAAATCAGGATCTGTCTACAGCTTTCGAGGAGGAACCGACATGATTGCGTGATTGCTCCAGGTTGTCGTCAAGTCTCTGGTGAGCCTCAGACTCAATGAATTCTTGTTTTGAACAGTCCAGAGTAAGATCTTCCAAATGTAAGAAACACGAGTTCATCGAGTCTGAAGCCCAGTGCACCTTCCATTACATGCCATGGAAGTCAGGCAAGAACGCTTTGGGAAGGGACGCTGTTGCTGTTCCTTCCTACTAAAGACCACATTGGAGCGGCCTCAGGTTGGTGGCCGTGGACGGCTGTCAAACTGATATTCTAGTGCTAGTGCCGTCGGAAGCGTAGTACAGCATGCCAAAAAGAGCTTGAAATTCGCGTAAGTCTGGTGTAAGTACCATATAACACGGTCTTGGCAATATCATCACCTTCACCTGACTCTATCTTCTGCCTGGCAACGAGGCTGTCGCACAACAAAATTGAAACCACGACCCAACGGCGAAAAAGCAAAAAGAACAAGCTATTGCCGATTCGCAGGTTGTTCTTCAGGGGCTACCAACATGCTTGACCGGGACGAGTCCTTGTCGTGTTCGGTTGTCGTTGTTAGGATCTCTTTTGAACCTCTGCTGCCGGAAGAGGGGGGCAGTTTCAGCACAAATTGAACCAGGCACCCTCAATTTGAGGGCTGACATGTTGGGACCTTGTGTCCGATTGACGGTGCAAAATCTACTAACTCGAAAATATATCCTTTCAAATCGGAGGGTCCTCACCTGAAGCAGACGTCGCTTGTTACCGCCAGACGTGGACTTACATCTACTATACTTGCCATATGGCTACGAGGTAGCAGTTCACATATATCAGGGCAAGAACTTCGGCACGCTTCGCTCATGCTGTGCAGACATCAGAAGATGGCAGAAGAACGGTAGCATCGGTGCCACACCTCACCACAGCTTGAGTTGCCGCCTGATGCATTCGAAGCTCTCTGCGAGGAGGTTGAGGGCGCTCTCACTGGCCTGGAGCTCCCGCCCAATTGGCGAGTGCTACGTCAGAAGACTACCAAGTCCAACGACGGCTGAAGACTCTTGCTTATTAACACTGAGTTTGGGACTTGCGTTGATGGATCCAAAGTGCTCTTCACGTATGCTGTTGTTGATGGGCGTACTGGACAGGCTCTCGCTCATCATGCAATTGATTACGGTTTCAGTTGGGTTGAGATGCAGGAGAAGTACCTTCAGCCGTGGTATGCGAAGCAGAAAGCTGAAAAGTTGGATGGATTACCGATGCGTGGCCAGATGATGAGGCATCTCTGCTCAAGTACTACAGATCACATCAGCCACGTCACCGAGTTACAGTCAGCACAGCCCGGGCCTTTCTGCAGTCGATTCAGTTCAGCAAAGCACACGTTGTTGGGTGGAGCATGATGTCCTACGATCTCGCGCTACTGTCGTCAAACTTTGGTGAGAACATCGTACAACCAAATACGAATTGGTGGTCTGGGCTGAACCTTCTCTGGACAGACGTTGGCAAACACGGAGGTCTCAAAAGCGAAGCATATGGGCGATATCAAATCAAGGGTCTTGGATCTTGCGCACTCGAGCGACTCCACCAGCTGCTGATTCCTAAGGGAGCCTTTGCGAGGGTCCATCACGAAGCAGACATCGACTCATTGAAACTGAAGGCGGTCCTCGATCGACTGTTTGAGATTCTTGTATGAGGGAAGACGAGCGTGGCGGCAAGGACTAGCAGAAGAACCAGTAATAGTCTTACCGGGGGGAAGATTCAACCAAGGAAGATATCATAGAATATCTATGACAGTGCAGAGGTTTCGAAAGGCATATTTATTGTCAGCGGAAGGACCAGCAAACGTCTTGGGGCTTGGAGGGCGATCCACCCCGTCACGCCGTCACCCAGCACAACGGTAGATTGATTCAAGGAAGACATTATGGAACGTATATGGCAGTGCAGAGGTTTCGAAAAGCATATTCATTGTCAGAAGCATGTGTCGGTAGCAAGCACCCGAGCGTAACTTATGCGAATTTTTCTTGAACAACTTCGCCTCCCTCAAGAGCTTCTCATTGATCAGCGTTGGCAAGAGTTTGATTGCCTTGTCCTCCTTTGTCGTCCCCAATAGCGCCCCTTCAGCCACCTTCTTCTCGTGGATCCCCTGTAACTCCCCTCCCGAGCCTCCGCTGCGACGACCAACTGTAGGACGCGACCAAGCTGAACATGCTCCGGTACATCATCTGTCTGCTCACAGTCATAGCCCACATACACCTCCCATGCGGCAGCAGACCGAAGAAAGTGATTCTGTAGGCGTAACAGAAGACTTGGCGTGTCGAGCGAGAGCATGTCGACATGATATTTGGGGATGTAGAGCTGACGGATTAGGCGATGGTCTTGAAGTCGAGGGCGCTTGGAAGGGGTCTCGTCTTCTTCGTCCACTGGACGGCCATGCTTTGTGCCTTGGCGTTGAGGTCGCGGAGTAGTGCCACCTTCGTCCGTGGACCTAGCAGGAATAGTCAGGTATTGCGATCATCAATGGTCATATCACTCACTGAGACGACGGGTAACTGCTCGCGTAATGAGGGGCAGCAGGGAATGATGCAGGTGCTGGGGTGGCGGATGTGCTGCGGTAGAAAGCGGTATTGGCATCTGGACATGGGGCAGCTTGGACCGTTGATGACTCGAGAGGCGCGCTGATCTCGCGGTTCTGAGCCGGTCAGCACATAATAGTGACACGTTTGACTACGATCTTGCGATGATGTCACTGGACACAAGAAGAACATTTGGTTTGAACCTCGAATGATAATTGTATCTAAACGACAGCAATGCTGGTCGTCCGAGGCAGATCTCAACTGCATCCCACAAAAACTAAGTAACATACCTACCTCACCGTACCTAGGTAGTCCACTTACCTGTGACTAGCCACAAGGAATGCCACTACCCGATTCAAAGACGTCCCACTGGTCCACTTCCTCTCGGCCAGTCCCAATACTCCATCTGCTCTTCCTCGTGAACATGACTTCAGACTCGCAGTACTTCTTACTTAGCCGGACACACCTCGGGCGTCCAGTACGTACATCAACTTCCGCTACCGACCACGGACCTGGCGGCTGGAAGCATGCTTCCGTAAGGAGTGCTGGTTCAGACACCATGTAGGGCACACGATCTGCGTCGGCGATTCCGGGGCGGAGGCTGCGGAGCTGCGTTAGTAGAGCCTCGGCTGATTCCATGTTAGTCAACTCGCTTTGCATTGCACGCTCCAGATCCTTGAGGTACGCGCCGACGATACGAGTGAACATAGCTCCGTCGCATGTCCGCCACGCGCCATAGCGTTGCAGCACGCGAGGCAGGTCTACCAACGTATCATACGCACGTAACAACGCTGGATCCTCGTCCCTCAGGCGCTCGCGAGCTTCGGGCTGGACTGTCAGATCGTTGAAGTTCTTGCCGTTGATGGCATATGCAACCGTGCTAGCAATCCCCTTCAGATCACGCTGGACTGCTTGGGGAGTATCTCGCAAGACGTGCTGTTCCTGCGCGGTGGCGTTGGGTGGTAGGGAATATGCCACGCCGAAATCGCCCAGAAAGAACTCTGGCAGGTAGGACTCAAGTGATGACTCTGCAGGGTCGTTGGAGGGGTCGGGCCAGTGCACGAAGACGTTGTCGGGAATGATGTCGCCGTGAGCAATGTTGTTGGCGTGGATGTGGATTGCGGTGCTGAGCAGGGTGTGAATCAGATGGTAGATAAGGAGCGGTGGAAGCCCTGGAGGCTCTGGGGCAGCTGCGATCAGATGTCCGAGGTCGCGACCGTTGCAGAAGGAATAGAGGTCGGCGGTGCCTGCACGGTCAATTGAGCCAGCGAGAGAGGTGCGGGAGAGCAGCCTGGGGATATTAGGGTGGCAAAGAGCACGCTTGAAATCGTTGTTGGCTTCAAGGGACGGGCATGAATGATCCTCATCCTGCCGCTTGCGGACGTACAGCTTACCGTTCAGAACAGAGCGGACTAGCATAGCCGCGCCCTGATGTCCGGATCCGAGGAATGATACGAACAGGCTCGGATGTCTGTCCGGAAAGTAGATTGCATACTCTGTCTCCGACTCAGTATCATGAGAGGGAGATGTTGGTGGTGTGAGCAGGCTATCAGTCATGGTAGGATATTGATTCATCATGACTGGTAGCGCTGCAGGCATTGAGTGACATCGGTAAAGGCTGTGCGAATGGCGGTGTCGCTATATAGCCACGATTTTGATGGGTGAAGCTCTCGAACAGGGCCATTGTAGTCGTGCTTTGTCTGGCATGAAAGACATTGACCCATTCGACAAAGGCAACAGGCTCGTGGACATGGTCATTGTCTGGATTTCTTTGAAAACAAAGCCGCCGACTGAATGAGTCATGAAGACTAGGTGGCGACGCTTGTCGACAGACGCGGCGAGGAGTGGCTCTGGAAAAGACTGGGTCGTGTCTTGGACAGAGCGAAGAATGATCGTGGGAGCCAGACCACTCAGGTGACTTTGTTCAAGTCAGTCAAGATTTGAATTGAGACTTACCTAGTGGGATTGCTGGGCATCTTTCTCTCTGACATGTACACAACTGAAGTCAGCGTCATTGCTCTCGGGAAGACTATCGATCTCATTGGGTTGAGCACCTTCCTTCAGTCCCCACTTCATCGTCCACGCCGTTCTTTTGCTCACTAGGAGTACGTTTGCGATTTGCTTCGCGAAGCGCCATGACCAGCTCACGGACCCTGTCGTTTTCTCGCGCAGTAAAGAAGGGGCCTCCCTTAGCAGCATGAATCACATGATAAGGAGGAGTGTAAGCCCAACTCGCAAGCAGGTTCACCTCAGGAGGTGGACGATGCTTCAGCAGGTGGTCCACGTCTCGCCGCATAGATTCATACCACTGTATTGTCTCTTGTGAGTACTTGGCCTTGAACCTGTCGAAATGGGCCGAGTACCTCAGATGCAGGACGCCTTTCAACGGATTGATCCACTGTCGATGCATCCTAGCTAGTGCCGTCAAGACGTCTGCAGTCGCCTTTTGTGCCGCCGGATCTGTGCGGTAGAGCTTCTGGTACACTCCACCCAGATACTGCATGTTGATCTCGATGGCCATCTGACTGTAGCTATCGGCATTGAGGAAGGCTCCGTGGGTACCCTTTTGCAGATGTGGCAGGAGCTTGCATTTGGTCTTACCGTATGCTTTCGTGCCCACATTCCACTCGGAGCAACCGTGGTCAGTAAGGACTTTGGTCTCTTCGGGAGTAGCGAAATCCAGCATGTTTATGTCCGTGATACTAAGAGAGTGAAAGCGAGCGTAGAAGAGCCCGTGGCGTAGCGATTCAGGCAAATCCGATTGGCAAAATCCTACTTTGCCGAGAAATGACTGGGCGCAGAAAGCACCTACCAGGTGAACTAACTCATGGATCAAAGTACCTGCCGCATTGCGACTCGAGATCAAGTCCGCAAAAGGCTCAACGCGGAGCTGGTGGAAGTCTCGGAGGCTTACCTTTGATTCCCATGTGGATGGGTATAGTCTGATGGTCGAAATATATCTCTCGTTCGGGGCCGAACCTACTTCGACGGCGGGCTCAAATCGGGCGGCGATACCATCGTTGTGTCCTCGCTCGTCGCAAACGATTCTGAATTCCACATCACGCCCAGTCCAGACATGATCGGATTGCAGCTTGTGCATTGGATTAAACCCCTCCAAATAGGCAGTGATGAAGTTGAACATTTGACGAAACACGAACTTTACCGATGGAAGGAACGAACGGTCAAAGTACTCGTGATATGGCGTCGGATCGCTCCCAGACAAGGAGGTTGGAACCTTCGCCAGTTGAAGAAGGACGACATGGACCATCCAACGGGCTTCTTTCATCGCTGCATCGAGTTGCGCGAAGCTCTCATCGGACAGTGGGCCGAGTCGTGGCTGCTTGGTATCTCGAGATTCGGTAGAGGGCACTTCGTAAAGCATTACCCCTTTGTGGATTTGCGAGACACGTTCGGTGGTCTGCCGATTAGTGTCCATGTTGCAATGTGAAGTTGAGAACGTTCTGGTGGAACAACAGCAGACGGCTTCGGACAGAGCCCTACGTCTGGCAATATGTAGCCCACGGGCGAGAACAATGCCGACGCCGACAAGAGAAACAATGCCTCTGCATTCTTGGACAAAGATGGGCGAATCGAGAGCTTTCATCTTGTTGCTGCCTTTGTATGTGCGCTCTAGTTCATGGCCATGGTACACAAGTTGGCGCGGCCATGTCGACACTTGCGCCGCAGTAGACATCGAGAGGTGCACGAAGAAAGCAGTGTGAAGATCCATCTTAGCATGGCCACAGCTTCTGCAGCGTAGTCGTTGCCCTTCAGATCATTCTCGAGGCACAAGTCGGGCCGTCGGTGAATGAGGCGACTGTTCGGACCTGGACCTGGAAAAGCGGCATGGTGTCGCTAGGCTTGTCACAACCAGGCGGGCAGTGTTGTCGTCTCCGGACAGCAGAGACCGAGACCCTGGGTAGTACCAATCAAGCCAGGCATCCTCGCTTCCCCCACGATGTAGATGCCTGGTGGATGGAGAAACGAGGTTCAAACATGATTCGACGCGTCGCGTGGCGGTGGCCTTCCATGCCAAGCCTTTCCGGCAGGTACATAAGTTGGGCGCATCCATCCCAGCTTCCTTTCCTTTCTGCGCGCATCTGTGAGTCGGCAAACACGCGTCCGGAATCTGCTTCACCAGAAGTGGTTTCGTACCCAAGTTCTCGAGGTGACTTGACCGAAGCCATTTGACCTGTTCTCGCGAGCAAGTCTTATGGTCAAAGAAGAGTCATTCGAAGAACTTCGCAGCTCCTCCTCAATCACATGGTCCCGATTGTGAATCAAGCGTCAATCTCTCAGGAAACCTACACGCTCTCTACTCGAATCTAGGTTCTTCCGCCGCTCGTTTCTTCCTTGACACTCAAATCACTCATTCGTTCGATGATTTGGACTCGACAATCTTCTACTAGTAGACCCGACTTCAACACCATGTTCAAGCGATCGTTTAACACCAAGGACGGTCGTGTGACCAAGCCGTTGAAGGCGACCAAGAATGCCTATCCCGAACATTTGAAGAGGAAGATGCAGGAGAGCATGGAAAGTCCGCCGATCGGAAGGTGCGGCTCTTCACCGCCTTAGTAGTGATGAAAGTGCTAATGCACAGCAGTTCTCTGACCAGCCCCATCATCACTATCGTGGTGGGTCGTGAGCAGCGTCTTTTCGCTGCCCATGAGGACGTTCTATGCAATTCACCTTATTTCGCCACCGCCTTGAAAGGTCACTTTCTTGATGGCGGCGCAAAGAAGCTGATCCTGCCTGACGAAGAGCCCGAGATCCTGTCGGCAATCCTCGAGTTCCTGTATAAGGGTGATTATTATCCTCGATTGTTGCACAATAAGAGACGTAACACCTGGGATCTCGAAGATGCAGATACTAAACCTGGTGGTCGCGGACACACTGAGTCAAGTATCTATCTGTCCAGTCTTGGTGGCGATGTCCTTCGCGACACCGTCGTCTATTGTGCAGCTGAGAAGTACGGCTTGGACGAGCTGAAGCGCCTTGCTCTTCGGAAACAAGGTCTGCAGTCTGGTATACAGGTCGACGTCATCTTGCGCTCAGCACGATACTGCTATGCAGCGACACCAGATACCGAATCACGTCTCCGCGCTCATTATCTTGCTCTGATCATCCGAAGTCGCAAGACTTTCAAGAGGAGCGGAACCATGCAGATGGAAATGGAGAATGGGGGCAAATTGTTCTTCGATCTTTTCGTAGCAATGTGCAACCACATCGACGACATTGTCGAGATCAGGTAGGTCACTTGCTCGCTTGACTGACATTACAGGTGCTTATGTATTGCAGTAACAACCGATCACCCAAAGTCATCTGAATGCTGGTTGTACACTTGTTACGGTAGACCGACGGTTCAGAGCTGTAATGGAGGTAGGATGAAAGCACCAGACTGGTCTAATTGGAAAAATGCAAACACCGAGCTTTGGAATCGTCGCGGGCCATCGAATGGCAGCAACATACACTCCACTTCGTCTCAAGGTTGGCCGCCGATTTATTTCTGGTTCCACGAACCCTACTCTTTCTAATAGCCAATCCGGCGCAATGGGCTCTTTCCACTCGATCATGTTCCTTCTGGTAAGGAAAGGAATGATCTCAACTTCATCAAAAGACAAAAGACATCAAGTTCGCGGCTTCCTCCGCGCGATTTCCTGGATTTTGTTGTGTATGATAGTGTTATCTTTCTCGACTTAGTCGACATCTGTCAGCTCATGGCGATGCTAGGCTTCTGTTCTTTGGTCTGACCAGGTCGTTGGACTGGGGCAGAAGCACCTCTGATGATCATATACAAGAAAATGAGAGATTCGGCCACCTCACAACACCTTTCCATATTAAATTGTGATTGAGATGAATTGCTGATCTACTTAGGACTTCTGGCAACACACTTCACTCACAGGATATGACAGTCACTGCCACGATGCGCTTATCGACGCCTGGTGAGCGCAACAAGTCTGCAATTGACTGAAGTCGACCTCTACGCGAGGCGTATATCTCTGCCTCGAGACCATGGGACCGCTCTCAATTTCCTGCGTCACCTTTTCTTCTGTACCATGGCGGACTTCGTCGATCAGACTCATGCGCGAAATTTGTCCCCAACAATGTCACCAGAGGGCTCCTGGCTGCCTTTGGCAGAGAATGTATCCCCTCGTGCTGGCACATTCCTGTTCGCCGAGGTCGACCCATCTGCTGACGATGTAGGAAGTAGATACTGGATCGTGCTGGTCGTGCCGGAACGGTTCCTACCAAGACACATGCAAGATCGACTATCGAGAGTTGGCGAGACGATCTTTCCCTGTTGGCTAATGAATTGGCCAGGTTCGCCCCATCAATTGTATGCGCTTATGCTCTGGACCGGTCAACTTATCGCTGACTTATGATTCAGCAAATTCCTAGGCAAATCGAAGCTCTACAGCCTCCAAGCTGATATGATGAATTCAATCCGATTTGACTGGAAGAGTCACTACCGTCGAACTTATCAAGAAGCTACTGGCGCCGCGAGCCACGATTCGATAGCTTACTACGAAGCTACGATCTCTGAGCAAAGCCACATGGTCAATGAGCAGCGTCGTGCCGCGCGTGCGATCCATGCGCAAGGCACCGGTCCACACGGTCGACGACGCAGGCGTGATGATGATGACGACGACGTCCTGACCAGAGGCCAACTACCACCACGACCACGCCGTCAAGGCAGGGCATCTGACCATTCTTCGCAGCATATGTTCTTTCCCGAGCAGAGTCCTCCAGAGCCAGGTTCCCCCTCACCAGAGGTCATAAGTGACCAAGCATCAGCGAAGCCTCACATCAAGACCGAGGAGGAGCTGGCGCAAATCAGCGCGATATCAGACGTGCAGTCAAATAAAGTGGTCACAATCCACGCCGGAACACCTAACCACATACATCGTCTACCGCAGGCTTTCATCGACAAGTCTCCCGTCCTGACCGCTTGGCTGCAGCCAGCTGCGAAGTTGACTGACCCATGGATCATGCATCCGGCATTGGTTTCCGTCGACAGCTCCATCTTCGCCAAATTGGTGCAATATCTCATCACAAACACATACTCGCCACAAGTCAGCGCTGAGCCGCCTCTGAAGCTGGAGGGCGTCGAACAGTCCAGAGCATCCTACTCAGCTGAGCTTCTCAAAGCCGGACATCTGTTCATCCTCGCTGAACAATTCGAAATTGCGACCCTTGCGGATCATATCTACACTAAGATCACGACAGTAGAGCCATACGGTTATACGCGTCCGGGCCTGCTCCATTTCGCTGAGATCATCTTCTCGCGCCCGAATTTCCGCGACGGCGTTGCTGACACTACAATCCGACGAAGCGATTCCAGTGAGGTTGGCGAGGACAAGGAGGCCGCTCAGGAGAATCCTGTAGACACGGGACTTCGAGTGCACAGCCAGGGGATGGAGGAATGGGTGGTAAGTCGCTTGGCCAATGAGCTTATGGACATCATGAAATATGAGCTGCCGTTGTGGGAGCGTGTCACGGCGAAAACCATACGAAGAGGCTTGCAGCCACGGGTTTTCGCTGCCAAGGCTGCCTTGGACAAACCTTTCGGTGGACCACTCGTCGTGATCAAGGACGAAAATTGAGGTCGTCACTGCTCGACCGTGTTGGGTCAGGGAGGACGCTGAAGTCTGAGATTCCTTCGCTGACCTGCTCGATTGGCCTAGAATGGGCCTCACTTGAGTACCGCCTAGAGGAAGACATGCAACCCGGACATGCGAAACTTGGAGGGTGCTGATTGCCCGGCGCAGCCGACAGAATCGATTTGTTATCCGAATAGACATAGCTAAGAGTGTCCCCAATACAGTACGGCGACCAGGGCCGCCTGCCCAGATGGCCCAGCCAGGCAGTCGCTTCTGAAGCGATCGGTCATGCCTCGGCTACGTTTCAAACCCCCGCAATTTCCCCACAACCCTGGCTATCAGCATCATCGCTTCGCGAACACCGGGTTACGCGTGCTCATTGAGCCGTGCAGAGTGACAAGCAACGAGTTCGCAAGCCCGTATCCTTCCCGTGGATGGCCTGTCTTTTCCCTGCGTGCTCCAGGCCGGGCTTAAGCCGTCCAATGAGCCGCCTTCGTACGCGATTGTGTGCACTCGAGTCAGTGGTTCCCTACAAGTCGCGAACGGGCAGCAATGACGGACGAGCCAGTCGCGAAAGTATGCCATCATACTTTCTCCGTGACTCGGTGCGGGCACGGTAGTATATTATGGAAACACCCCTCTTTCTTGACCATGAAGCCGCAGTCCGGTACAGATATCTTCGAGCTCGAGCAATCCCTCATAAGTCCTACACATTGCTGCTGCCCTCGACACAACAATACCCGTGATCTCGCCAGATAACACACGTATAGCCATTATGGGAGAAGCCACCGTCGATATCCCCAAGGAGTGCTGGGGAGCAGGTGCGTCTGTACACTGCCGGTTTGCCTATACTGATGCATTTTCAACAGTCGTCAAGAATGAGGGACCAGACGTAAGTCTATCCGCTTTTCGTGAGCCTGAACCATCCGTCGACCAGGGGGTTGTTTCGATTCAGCAACAGAGTCACTTGTTCTGAACAATGTCTCGGATCATCTGATCGTTCTTGAGCGAGGCGCTGCCAACCTTGAAGCTCTCCTGGCGGCGAGTTGACGATTGTCTGACCTCAAGCCTATCTCGCCTTCCACTACCTGTCGTGATTTCCCGAGTATCCAGTTCAGGCTGACCAATATCGGCAGTTCTACGTGGAAGTGGAAAAGGTGCCTGTGCCAGAGATCGGTAGGATTCCTTCCGCTGCGGCCGACGCATGCTCCGTGGCAGCCAGATTGCTGACCGTGCCCATCGCCAGGACCCAACGAGATTTTGATAAAACTGAACGCTACTGGCTTGTGTCTCTCGGACATTCACTTCATGCTGAATGACTGGAAGCTGCCGAAGATGTCAGATATTGGAACACAGTGTGCTGGGCACGAGGTATGGCAAGAATGTTCCAAACCGGCACGCAGAGACTGATGTAGGACCATACAGGGCGCCGGCGTAATTGTCAAAGTCGGTGATCAGGTCAAGAACTACCAAGTCGGCCAGCGAGCAGGCTATAAGCCGATCCAGGACGTCTGCCACAGCTGTCAATACTGCCATGCAGGAAAAGAGACTTATTGCACAAAAGCAGTCTTCACTGGGCTTGCATGTGACGGTAAGTGACTGAAGGGGGCCAACTGTGTGGCCCAAGAGAAGATGTGCTGACATTATCGTCAGGATCCTACAAGCAATATGTCAAGTGTCCAGAGAACTATATGACTTTGATTCCAGATGGTGTCTCAGATTATGTTGCCGGGCCGGTGATGTGCTCGGCTTCAACGATCTACGCCTCCATTAAGGAGTCAGGCTTGCGAGCTGGCAATTGGGCCGTATTTCCAGGTAAATTTACCGACCTTACAACGGGACCACTACTAATCAGTGTGTCCAGGCGGTGGCGGCGGTGTCGGTATTCAGGGTGTCCAGCTAGCACACGCCATGGGCATGCGCGCGATCGTTGTCGATACTGGGGAGGAGCGTGAGAAGCTCGCGAAGCACCTGGGAGCTGAATACTTCTTCGACTTCCAGAAAGGAGATCCGGTGGCTGAAGTGCTCAAAATCACCGGTGGTGGTGCACATGGTGTTTTTGTCACGGGTGTGCAGGCTTACCCTACCTCGTTAGGTTATCTCGGCACTCAAGGCGGTGGCAAAGTCATGTGGTATGTCCGATTACGTCCGAGTCGCGGATCAGATAACTGACTATGTGACCTTAGCATCGGGCTTCCTCCTGCCGGGAAGTATCACATCGACCTCGACCCCTCGCAGCTGGTGTTCAGGAACCAATCCGTTCAAGGAACATTGGTAGCCAGTCTGCAGGACATCGACGAGACACTGGAGTTCGCGGCAAGAGGCAAGCTGCGTCTGGAGCCTACCGTCGTGGGTCGGAGTAAGTTCAACGAGTCAGTACAGAAACTGAAGAATGGTCAAGTAGCTGGGTAAGTCATCTTCAACGAGCGCCTCGACTCTGCTAACGCTCTGACAGAAGAATTGTTGTGGATTTTAACCAAGACTGATGCAAGGGCAAATGGGTTCTGCAAGAACATGTGCCAATGGCGGTCGATCATAGGGACGCATAGTGTGTAATACCTGTGTAGTGAACATGATCCGACATATGTCCAGTACGGCCAGGCGACCCGCTTGAGCCAACATTCGTATATTCAGTCATACAACTCACCGAAGCAGCGTGTGTACCTTGGGCTTGACCATGCTTGACCATGAACGATGTACATTTGAAAGGTCCTATTCTTAGTGCCCACCAATGAAGTCTGAGATGCACCTTGAACCCTTGCCAAGCAGTCGTGTAGGCGCCCTCGGCTACGCTTCCAGCTCTCAATCCTGGTCTTCTCCTCACCTTCTTTCCCAATGACCTTCAGTCCTTTTCTCAGGTGGATTCCATGGGCGGCTCTCAGTTGTGATGGCTGCTTGATGGCATGCAGCCTCTCCATTCGTGCCGCCGACCTCCAGATTTGCGAGGGCAAGATGGACATCTGCAAATGCATATGCATGACCGCACCCAAATTTGGGTCACTGCCAGTTGCGATGGTGAAGTTGTTGTCCTTTCCCTTACCTCCCATCGCCTTCATTTCGTGCAGTCCTGGTGACGCTCTCTTCGTGCTGTTTCCTTGATCTCTATTACCGTCATCGCGTCTTCAATTCGTACCGCAGCAGCAGGTCTGCGCGAAAAGTTGTTGGAATACCATCGGGCTGGGAGGACGGGTACCGGCATCGCGCGACATGGCACAACCATTCTCGCTTTTCCCCCGATCAGGTGTTCCGATCTTGTCTCAACCAAATCCTCATAAGCGGCAAGCCAGTCTCCATGCCCCGAAGGGACTCTACGATGACAGGCAGGAAAAGCAGGAGCCACTCCCACATGGCGGTGCAATTCCTCTTCACGACCGAGCACCGTCGCGTTCACGGACGCCCTCAGCAGAGAACATTGGAGTGGCAGTGACGACTTCCTCGCCGCTGTACGGGGCCACACCGTCACCTATTGTCACTGCCCCGCCCAAAAGGGAGGTCATGACGCCGCCTCCACCCCCTCCGCCTGCTCCAGCAAAGGCATACTCACCAAAAGTACCGTCTTCTGGCAGGTCCGGATCTGTGACACTAGTCTGTCCTGACAACAGATCCCCCGTTACACCAGTCGTTCCATTCCGGTCCATGTTCCCCACCTACAACCCAAATGTCCCGCTTGCCCAGCAGAGTTATTACCCTCAGCGTTCTTTTCCTGGTCGGTCTTCCAGTCTATACTCCCGCAATAATGTTTCCCGACAAGAATACCGCGACAGCATTGCCACGCCCATAGATCGCCAGCTGGGTCATCGAACCGCACCGCCTTCAGTAATCAACTTCAATGATACAGCTAGCATCATGGCTGCACCGGTGTTCTCGTCGCAGAGGGAGCTCGAGAAGCTTTGGGCAGCCTCCCATGGTACAGAACCCAATATGTTGATCAAGACCTTTGACCTGGAAATGGCAAGGTATGTCCGAGTCTTCTACTGCTTGTTCACAGCTGACGCAAAGCAGAACTTCTGAAGCAACGTTCACATTCGGCACTGATCCACAGTTTCCATTTTACACGCTCAAGACATTCGACACCAGCGAGATTTCTGTCTCAAAGACCAATCCAGTGAAACGGTCACAGGTGCACGAAATAGTCATGTCGTCTATCGAGCCACCAGCCCGTCGGCAGGCTCCTAATGATGGCTTGATTGCCTTCATCTTTCCCAAGATGGCTGCTATGCTCGCTTTGAACCAATCGGCAGAGCTAGCCAAAGCCCACCACTTGGCCCCGACAGACAAAGACGAGCTAGAGGCTTCTGCCATTCGACGTGCCGCTGCACAAGAAGCCTGTCACCTTCGCTGGAATGCGAGACACAACCGATACGAGCTTGAGCACCCAGCTGTGGCCCGTCAAGCGCGCGACCCGAACTTTCTGAAGTCACCAGTGTCAGATGACAATGGAAGCATGATGCTCAAGATTCACGACCCAATGATGCACATTACTATCTCTTCACCCACGGCAGATTCCTCGCCAATCATCAACATTATCAATCCCAACAAGGTAGGCCAGGTCGGCACCCCGCAGACTTCTGCTGGTGCTGGCATACGCCTTTCCACCATCCCTCAGTCCGACAGTGACCCATCACTAAGCTCGCCACTAGCCTCTCTCGACCTGAATACTCAATCTCTGCATATTGATGCCGATCAGATCTTGACGGTCATGCCCTCACTGTTCAGCATCGATAGCATAGTCTGCGCGCTCTTTGCAGTAGCCATCGCAGACGAGAACACCAATCCAGTCTTGGGTGGCCTACCAATCTGGACGCCTCGCCCAAAAGCTCCCATGAGTCAGTACGGCGGGAGTGTCAAAAGCTACAACGGAAGCCAGTACTTCGCGACGCTCGCAGAGCGAGAGGAGGCTGAAGGCGAGGCCAAGGAGATGGCACGGGAGTTCAAGAAAGATCTGAAAGACAACAAATCGAGGAAGATCTCAGCTTCGCCGCTCAGCTCTATAGATGAGAAAGACGACGCCGAGTCCCAACAGACTGAGCATAGAGGCAGAACTTGGTATGGTGCACGAAGGAAGCGCTCGCGGTCACGGGGGAAGAAGAGCAGGACGAAGAAGGTCGTGATCGGAGAGTTCGATCTGGAGAAGTTGGGTCGGTACCAGGCTGGACAGAGGGAAGGGCAGGAGTTGCCGGCGCCCGTTCGGTGGTTCATGGAGGTGCTCGTGGCGATGTTGCGATGCGTCACATGGTTATTGACGACCATCGTGAGCATCATCGTCTGGGTGCTTGTAAGACTGACGAGGTGTGTGACTAGCGAGCGTTTCTGAGAAAGCATCTGAGGACACTCATTTGGGGGCATCTCTACGTAATAGTGCTACTGTAGAGAGCATAATGATCAACAGAACACAATCGTCTTGATCTTGTGCCCAGCCTGATAACCTAACCTCACCTGCACCTGCTATTCTACCCTCCCATATATATTACTCGTCGCCTGTGCACCAGATGTGAAACAAGTATGCATTGATTGAATAATTCCACTGTGTTGGGTATCTCTTAGACGCTTAGGTGTCCCGCTACTTAGCAAATTGATCTAGAGGCAGGTATGATCTCGCCCACGGCATCGCCTAGAAGAGGACTCGATAGATCTTGGTCATCCGGTCTCGTATAGCTCGGATTGTCATCCGGTCTTGCATAATGTGGACGGAAATTGCCACCCTCGGTCGCTCTTGCCTACCTCGTTGAGCGAGCGTCATGGTGGCATGTCCACGATCCTTCCTTCGGATATCACCAGTTGTCGGAATGAGAATGTACTGTTCACCGGCATTACCAAGCCGGTCACAAGGGCATTGCTACCCATATCCCCCGATTGGACACAGCTCGAACCATAACTCCGTGTCGTTCGATCTCGGTGCGGATGGCAGGCCCGAGGGACTTGCCTAGACTCCGTGCTTACATGAACAACCAACGAACCTACCCCAGATTTTAGTATTCAGGCTGCCGCATCACGTATAGTGTCCTTCGCAAACGATACTTATAACAGAAGGGGTAGAGCGAGGTCTTGGCTGCTGATGCCCATTTTGGCGATCGCCGTGAGGATTTCTAAGGAAGGCACGATCTGGGCCTTTGGGACGCGAATGGCGGAAATATAAATGCCTTTGTGGCGAACGCCTTCTGATTGACATCACCCTAGAAGGTGTCCTAGATGCATGAACATCGAGTCATATCCTCGCTGCTTCGGCCACGACTGATCAACGCACGACCAGTAGCCGCCAAACCCATTCATACTGCTTCATACCTGGTCAAGTCGCCGGCTCCAGCTCACAAAATAGTCCACTTACCAACAAGGACAACCAGAACGCCTGTCCGCTTACTCACATCCACCACCATGACCGCTGCAACGGCCAGCGCGATCCATCTCAGCCCAGAAACTCCGGGCAGTACACACGCTGAGCTATCACGCATCACCGATTCATCCTCGTCCAAAGCCTCTTCGCTCCTCCAGCTAAATCATGACCAGAACCACATCTTCTTCAACCCTGAAGGCTTCCACAACCACATCGCCCACCAACTGCTTGCCATGTTCGCCCTCGGCGCCTCGCCCGAAGAGCTTCAGCGTGCATATGACGATAATTCGGGCTACCAGCGTCCGCTAGGGAAGGTCAATGAGGCCAACGTCAAAGCATTTGTTGAAGAAGAGGATGGGGACTCGTCAAATGGCACAGGAGCGCAAGTGAAAGCAGGTGCAAGGAAAGTGGAAGGAGTGTCTAGGAAAGCAGAAGCACTTCCATGATTTCGAGGAGTATTTCCAACGAAGGATCGACGAGAAGGGCTGGCAAGAGGTAGTAAAAGAGGCGTTGTTTGCAGGGACGGAAAGGAGTGAGGATCTGTTGATTCGGATGTTTGGCGGTATGTGTTCCTGTTCTGCTTGCTTGTCTAGACTGATCTGACTTGTGATGCACAGGCTTCTATCATCCCATCATCCATCTTGGCTACGGGATCGAATTCAGCCAGCCAGCCATCGTAGCAGAAGCCCTCGCACAGGCTTGCGTGCACGATAACTGGATGAAACAATTCCTCATACCGCTCGACCCGAAGCACTACACGCCTGCAACGGACTCGCATCCCACACCGCTAGCCAAATTGATCAACGACATTCGCTCCAATACTAAGCTCGTCAACTCGCCTCACGAGTCTGATGGCAACAAGATTCGCGACGGCATACTTGTTCGCGCCGGCGATGAGATGATCGCCGAAGCGAAAAAGTGGTGGATTCCACGCAATAACAACAACAGGATCACCGAACAAGCCCTTCAACGTTGCCTCGCCGAAATGATCAACACATGCGTCTGGTTCGCCGGTGCAGCTCAACGACCAGATCGAGAAGTCAAATTCGATTTCTTCTACATGCACTGTGTCAACCTCAGCGTCTTCTACCGCGCTTTGATGAGCAGCTCGTGGATCGATCTTGAAGATAGGGGACGATTGCTAGAGATGAAGGCACGAACTGATCTTGCGCTGTATGTGAGTCGAGGCAGCCCGGGGTTGAAGGGCGATGAGATTAGAAACTATGTTCCTCGGACAAGCAATGGAAAGCTGGATTCATGGGAGGCAATCATTGCGCGAGTAACGGCGTTGCCGAACGACGATGGGCATGCGAGTAAGCTGATTAGGGCGCTGAAGGGTGGCGAAGAGGTTTGTGTACCGCTGGAGAAGGAGCTCGGCGAGGAGGAGATGCCAATTAGGGGCGATATGTGGTTGAAGCTGGCGAATATGGCGATCGATAGTGTTGAATCTGGTGGGCCAAAGTGGGTCAGGAACGTTGGGTGGGATAGTGCTTGGGAAGAGGTACCTCTGAGGAAAGACAGGGAGAGTCGGTTGTAAGCAGATTGTGAGACTGAGCTGGGGATATGATTCTGAGGACTCAAGTTGCGGTCCGATCCTGATAATCAATGGAAAGCCTGTGGGAACAAGAAACAGGGCGTAGCACGCAGAGTATTTATGACATGCCTGACGGTATAATATCGTCTGGAGACGTGTCAGGTACCATGCTATCTACGTGAGATTTCTGGCCACGCTGTCTTTTCGCTTCTTCACACGTGTCAAGTCCCCACGACTTCAGCCGCACCGACGCGAAATCATTCGACCACCATGGCTTCAAAAATGAATGCAACAGGAAACTTGAAAACGCACAATCAGTGTGTGCAGGAACCAACAACGCGACTTCTGCGGCTATCCGACAAGGACCGCACACATGGACGCCGTCCCAGCTGTCCTCGTCCTCCTCATCTTCCTGACTTCCGTTCTCCCCACCTTCCTCCTCGGCCCAGACCTGACTCTGATGCTCAGTGCCTACCTCAGAAGCGGCATATGCTACGGCACACCGTCCTACAACCGCTCGAGAATCTTCAGCCCGTTTTTTGATCGATTGCTGGTCCTGGCGTACTTCGCGGCGTGCTGTTACGGAATGTGGCAGGTCGTCAATGGTATAGCCGCTGGTGGAACAGATGAGACAATCAATTATATCGGAGTTGGACAGTCCGGTAAGGGAATACTAGGAATGGTGAAGACGGCTTTGGTATTGCTAGGAGCGGCTCTTGGGTGTGCGCCGTGCATGTTCCTGACTATGGCAGAGGGGATCCTGCTGTGGCGGTGGACTCGAGATAGAGTCGGACGTCTCGTGGCAAGAGCTGCTGCTGGAGTGGAAGTCCTACATCGGAGTCAAAAATGGCTTGCCTTGGAAGAATTTGTCGACGGATTCGTTAGCGGATTCGAAGCGGGATTTGAAGCAGCATATGACACGACGAAAGCCCGTGACAGCATCGAAGCGGGCTTCGACGCGACAAACGCTTGTGACAGTATGGTTGACGGCGACTCCTCCGGAAATGCAACAATCGTGTCGTCGGATCGACAGGTGACCGGAGGTCCTTCGACTGTGTTAAAACTGTCATAGAGGAAGCAAGCAGCCGCAGTGGATCCCTAAGAGGTAGCAGCGAGCCTAACAACAGCAACTTGGTCACAAGACGGCTCAAATGCTGCGCACATGCCGCAGTCGACTTGTGTGCATCGCGTACCGTGCGTCCTGCTCGTCCTCGATCATAGCCTCTAACGCCGCCAGGACCTCGCTTGGATCCGGCAGCGTTATCGGCAGCGCAGAAACCTTTTGTCGCTCGATGAGGTTATCCCTCATTTTGCGCACCAAGATCCCTCTTTCGGTCAGGAAATCCCTCAAGTCGCCTCGGTCTCTCGCTGGCCCGCACCGATCGCGCAACTGGTTCAACAGCCTTTCGCCCTCCTGTGCTGCTCTGATGATCAAGAACTCTGTTTCTGTGCGTCGCATGCCTGGCTTCAAAGGTGGCGGCAGCGTCGACCTCACAAGCGTCTCAAATGCATCGTACATCTCATCAAGGTCAATGACTGCCTCTGTCGAGGTCGCAGCTTCGACCAGCATCTCCGTGAAGGCTTCATCTGCTCCGTAGCAGGTGAAGCTCTCCCGGTTTCGGATGTAGCTCAGCGGCAACAATGGCTGCACCTTCAGCGGCCACAGATTCTCCGCGTCACACAGTGGACTGTCGTAGAATGTGCATGCTCGTAGCTTTACATGCGTCCAGTTGGGCCGGTTCTTCAACGACTGCGCCACGTCTCGCATTTGAGCTTGAATGTGGTCCACGCGATAGAAGTCGTCTGAGCGATGTGCCCAGATCTGCACGTTGCATTTGGTAGTCCTCTCCCGGATCGCTTGGGGGAGTTTGTCACAGGTGAAGGTCCGACCTAGATAGATGACTCGACAGGCATAGGCGTCGCCGCCAGTCACTCCGCGGAAAGGAGAGGCTTTGCGTCGGACCTCAAGGTGTACAGTGCTATCATAGAAGTACGGAAGTGCCTCGGCATAGATCAGTCGACAAGTGCGTAAAATGGCTGGGCACAGCGACGGAACGACATCGCTAAGAAACCTGGGGAGCTGGCCGTCACATTCTGGACGGTGTAGAAGCTTGTGTAAAATGAGCTGGCGTATCTCGGTGGGCAGGGACAGAAGTGAGGGACTTCCGATGGCCCCCTGGATGTCCATGATGTAGAACTGCTGTAGGCTGAAGATATGGGAGGCGGACTGTCAGGTCTGCTACAACACTGTTCGGCCTACTCGTGCATAATGCACATGGCCTTCGCCAGAGTCTCACTCAGCACGTGGGCTTTGTTGCTGATTAGTGGTAGACTCACGAGCAGTCGGGTCGAAGATCGTCATCGACGTGCCAAGAAATGTCAAATGCTCGGCTAACTTTCTCCATTGTACCGTAGACATCACGGGCCGAGGGAAGGGACGTGATGATGTTGGGACTGTTCACTGTGACTCCTTGACTTTCTCAGCTAAGCCCAAGTGCTCGAAGTCATCGGCAGTCAGAGCAAGCTGTGCTTCGCCACCGCCTTCGATGGCTTCAGATACCTTCCTAGCCTGATCGTTCTCAAACTCAGCAGCGCTAGGACTATCTGCACCACTAGCAGTACCAGAGGGGTCCTCGAATCTGCCCCATGCCTTCGCTCGCTTCTGATCTTCGCCTCGCCCGGTAGATCTCATTTGATAGCCTCTCATTCTTGGTCCTCGATCTTCGCCCTCGCCAGCAGGAAATGCGTCAGCATAGCATGCAATGAACGCGTTTGCGTCGCGCTCAAAAGTCGCAGCATCGAGACTGTGACGAATGGCCACAAACAGCTTATCCAGTACATGGAAATTGTGCACCTGTAGCAGCGTCCAAGCCAGCATCTCTTTCGCTTGCAGTAGGTGATGGAGATATGCACGATGGTGCCGTTTGCATGTATAGCAGGTGCATTCTGTAGATAAAGCTGTGACTGATGTAGCATGCGAGGTTGACCACATGTCGATGCCGAGCTGCTGGTGGTCGGATGATTGAGGTGGAGGGAACTTAAAGGCGAAAGCGATGCCACGCTCTGTAGTCGCGGTAACGAATGATGTCGTTATTAAATCTGCACCAGATAATATCGCCCGCAGAACATCCTGAGGCGTGCTGGGGTTCGAGATGCAAAATCGTGCGTGCTCTGATAATTCTGCGGGTAGTGTAGCAGCTGCCTCAAACTCGTAAAGAGCCAGACCAGCGGGACCGCCGCTTGGCGATTCGTCGTCCGCTAAGTCGGATAGATACAGTTGTTGCTGCACATTGTCCAGCGGCAGGATCGAAGCATACAGCTGTGTTCGAGCCTTCGTCGGAGCCAATTCGGATGCCGCTTCTGTGAACCAGCTGTGCGTCCTATCTACCATTTTCTCTGTCCTTTTCCTGCTGATCGTGTCCGTGTCCGCAATATCCGCCATCGAAACAACGACATCGGGTCGAAGACTGCTCGCTGCGTGAAGGTAGTCCTCTGCGGTCAGTGACCGGAAGCCGACTGATGTGCATATGGAAATCGCCTTGTCTGTGCTCTGTGCAGGACATGTCACTCGAGGGACCCGTCGCGGACCGAGGATTGTGGCTATTCGTCCTGGAAGACCGGTGAATTTATGCAGCGCAGATCCATCGCTGGTCTTTTCCAGTGTCTGGGATGTGGTGAGGATGGGCGCATCTACTGAAGACTTCTCGACGACTAGCCAGATGCTGGTAAGTGGACGGTCAGTAAACCGATTGTGGGATGCTTATCGCATACTTACAATCCTCAAGTCCAAAGTATACAGCTTTGATGCTGGTGTGCCTAGCCAGGACATCTGGCGACACGTGCGGCACGACACCGCGAGAGGTTACAGCGACATAGTGCGGTGTCTCGATGGCTTTGCCTGTCAAGGAGATCAACCTCCGTCGTGCTAACGACGAGGCGGTGGACTTAAGCATCTCTTCAGACTCCATGCCTCGAGCCATCGTAGAACCCTTCAGAGTGGATGCCGGAGGAAGCGGTCATGGTTACGATGATTTACTATTCCATCTCCATTAAATTTATGGTACTTACAACGGAAGTTCAGGTTGATGTATTAGGTAGGTTCAGGCCCTTTTCAATTTCCTGTTTGGTTTGCCACCTCTACCTATCCCTCTAACCTCAACCAACAATTGTCTCCCACAACCTGGTCTAAATCCGAGCGTTGAACGAAACCCTTTATACTTCCAGACCCGTTTGAAGCTCTTGCTGCCAAAACAGCTCTCATGCTTCGCTCAGGAGATCTCCCGCTTGCTACCTCACGATAGGAATTATCGTCGTAATCCTGGCCACCTCCAGAGGCCCCAGAAGGTGTCCCTAACCGCTCTGGCCACGAGCAGAGTTCCCTCTGCTAATTGACTGCGCTGTCGTAACTGGATATCCCATCATAATGTCCCTGCATGAACTTCTGAAACCCCAACACCAGAAGAAGCACCATGGCGTATCGATGCACCCGACATATATTCGCCCATGAGTTGTGTTTTGTGGGTTCCAGGACGCGTAGCAGGTTCAGATCGGAACAAAACCCTCTGACGTGCTTAGCGACAGTCTCCTCTTTGGAGGACGAGTCTTCCAAGCAGTAGAGCTCTGCCAATTTAGGGTTCGCTGGACGCCATCTCCGATGCGCAAGAGTCGAAAGCAGTGGTCTCGACTTTCTATACGAACAAGTCTTGACTTGATCTCGTCTGACTACTCCTGTGCAATGCACGCAATTCAGCCTTCCGGACTCAATGAACCACTTGATTGCACATTCGAGGTGAAAGGTGTGGCCACAGGCAAGATGAATTACTAGGTCGTCTCGCTGAAAGTCGGAGACGCATATAGGACATTGTAAGTCGTCTTGGTCGCGGTATGGGAAATTGACAGGGCGGAGTTCGTGGTCAGAACGAATCTCTCCTAGAGGCAGCTGATCACCGGGACTGAACCGCGCAGAGGATTCCATACAGGAGTCTTGCGTCCACTGCAGGATGCAGATTCGATGGGCTACAACGGCGGGTGCCGTGAAGATAGATTGTGCCATTGAATGGTCGCTGTGCTGGCTCTGAGGTGAATCAGACAAGGGTCGATGTTCTCTTTTGCACAGGCCAGGTGTTGGTCTTTGAGTTGGGTCCCAGGCGAGAACCGCTCGTGATTGAGGCGTGTTGTTGCACTTCAAGCTGGTATCGATCGTCGATGGAGATTCACAGATCCGAACCCAAGAGCCAAATGAGTCGACTCTACGCTGAGTGACCGAAAGGAAGCTTCAACAGTGTTATCTTTGGTGCCTGGCCTTCGTATTGTATAGTAACTACCTACTAAAGGTACTCATGAGCCAGGAAGAAGCACGCTTGGCAACTTCTTGCCCAGGATCATATTGCCCATTTGAATGCTTTATCTAGATATTCTACATATGCTCGTAAGCTGTACCCGTGACCAAGGTTCTTGTTGAACTTCAAATTGTGTCTTCCGGAAAGGCTTTTTGTCCCTGGGCACCATCCTCTCCTCGCTTTCACATCTCTCGACCGTTAGCCTTGGACCGGCTGTTACTGACGACAACCTTCGTACTAATTTCTCTTGCCCGAGATTCCGTTAGATGATTTGAAAGAGCGGCACCTGCGCGCCGCTTGCTGGACATCTGAGTCCCTGGAGGAGGAAGACGTGGCCATTGGGCGTCGTCAGATAGATCCAGGTCTTCAAAGACCTCATTGTTGGGAGTGGATGGACTGGCGTCCACAGGAGTCGTCATGCTTTCGGTCTCGCCGGCGTTCTGCTCAGAGTCTGGCTGTTCCAATATGTATTGCGATAAAGACCATTGGGTGTCATCAGAGAGATCTAGGTCTTCAAAGACCTCATTGTTGGGAGTGGATGGACTGGCGTCCACAGGAGTCGGCATGCTCTCGGTCTCGCCGGCGTTCTGCTCAGAGTCTAGCTGTTCCCGTATATATTGCGATAAAGTAACTGGAAGTGAAGACTCCGGTCTGTCTTGCACTTCAAGGGAGGGCAGAGTCTGTTGCCCTTCCAGACTCGTCTGCCCCGGCACAGACGGGGGATCAGGCTGCGTTGTCCGAAGATAACGTCTCTTCCGACGTTTCCCAAGTGCAAGCGCACTGTCCAGAAGATCCGCTATCAGAAACCCGTCTTTGTCGAACATCATAGATCTGCTGCCTTCAAGTGCCAGTACATCGTCCTGAAAGTCTAACAGCCGAAGGAGTACCTTGGCGTATCGCATCACCATGGTGTCCCACGTGCTGTACAGGTAGTTCTGCAATTTGAGATCGGAAGAATACTTTTTCACGCTCTCGTTGGTGGACCTCCTATCGCCAAACTCGTCATACAACCAGCAATGATGAAGTGCCGGACGATGAGCAAAGTGAATTGTTGAAAGCAGTGGCGCTAAATCCATATAGGCGATAGACTTGACGTGGTCTCGTAGGATGGGCTTCGTGCACTGCAGGCAATTGAGTTTTCCGGACTCCAGGAACCAGCTCATAGCGCACGGTAGGTGGATCATGTGACAACAGGCAAGACTGACGATGAGATCGCCTCGCTGGTACTTATCGTTGCAGATGGGACAGCACAAGTCATCCTCGTCACGGTACGTGAGATTGACGTGGTCTAGTATTTTCCAGTAGTCCGAATAGTCCGAGACAACCGGTCCAATGGGCAATTGATCTGATGTAGTGAATGAACAAGATTCCACATTGGGCTCAAGGAGCCATATCAGCATGAAGATTCGTTGGGGCATCTTGGCCGTTGTCGAGAATGGTCGCGCGATCGACTTTTGGAAGTGTTATTTTGACCAGAGGCAATTGTGGAGGGTAGGGTCGCTTTTGGAAAGACCAAGTTGGTCTGATTGGTTGCGCGGTTGGGAGATAGGCGTTGCGAGGTTAACAGCTTTGGTTTCTGGCGTTCGTGTTGGCTTCGTTACCGTTGTTTGGTAGTCTTGACGAGGTGTACCGAAGTCTGGCTGAAAAGTGCAGAGGGCCGCAGAGGCGGCCTGTACATATAAGGTGACTCGACCCGAAGGTACTCATGGTACTCATGGTACTCATGGCCCCAAGACAGGACAGGCCAGCTGGCGACCTTGGCAAAACATACCAGAGAAGGTAGTATTTTAAGTTTGGGTCGCGTACCTGGGACATCCAGCTCGGCAGCAATCCACAAGACAACTAGCCTTGGAACTTGTGATCTCACGGTCCCAACACGACGAATGAGTATACTCTGGACTGGTTTGGTCTTGCCAGTGGCCTCCTCAATCGACCTGAATCCACTGATCCATTTTGACATTTTTAATAATGGTGCTCCAGCCTTTGCTCTTCAGGCGAAATGCCTTGTCTCTCTTCTTGCCCTCGACTAGTCTTTCGTCGTTCTGCTTCTTGTTGTCCGGATCATCTCCTTTCGGATACTCGACGTGGAAGATCGGCTTGCCTTTCTTCAAGTAGATAGAGAACGCTTCTTCGTCGTCGTACTGAACGGCTTGTTCTTGCACGCAATACTCGACATGGTCTACCACGTCTTTTGAGACGTCGCCGCCGTTCTTCATGCCCACGCTCAAACCGCGTGCATGGCCTTCCCGTGATAGGAACGTTACATAGTCGATAGCATCTCGCTTGGTGAGGCCGAGCCCGTTCTTGTTGTCGTAGCCGTCGACATTGTCAGGGTCAATGCCGTCGAAGCCTTTCTGGACAGCGAGATCCATACGCTTCAACACGATATCCCGCACATTAGTCGACTTGACTTGCAGCCACTTCTCACCCTCCCAGCCGTCCATGTTGCGGCCCAGATCAGACTTGGCGAATTTCGAGGCATCTGGTCGCCAGTCTTCGTAAGAGCCGGCGGAGAAGTAGGCGATGACTTTTCGCCCTTGCGCATGCAGAGCAGAGACACTTTCGGCAGGTGTGTCGAACAGGTCTACAATCCATACGGCGGCTTGCGAAACCGGGCAGGTTCTGTGATTAAGCTGAACAGGATGGCTGAGGACATACTGGAAAGAGGTGCCCACTGCTGGTTGCCAGATTTCTCTCGACGACCTACCATCATGATGAGCAGGCACCGTCGGTCTTTGCGGCACTGGCGGAGGACGTATGGGCAAAGAAGGTTGTTGTTGAGACGGCGTCAAATGCGACTGGTGAGCGGATGGGGGTGTGCGGTGGTCCGCGGCTGCAAGACCAGCCGCGTAGCCTGCATCGAACCCAGCTTTGTGGCCTGCATCATAGCCAGCCTGGAACGCGTCGCGATTCATCTGCAGCTCGCTCTACGGGCGTGGATGAAAGAATGTAAGACGAAAGAGCGTGGATCAACAGCGGCTGATGAGCGATGAAGTCCGTCGTAGCAACGTCATTTTGGCCCCTTTTTTGGGCCGCCTTTATGTAGGAATTTGCAGTGCACCAGAGGCCGCCTTATCAAGTCATGCGCAGTGTTCGTTGAAATCTCATCCATTGTTCACTATGGAGGCTTCCAAACGGAGACAGAATGCTGGCTAGGGATCCTATGTCATCCGACTCGCTTTTTAACGCCAATCAACGCAACCCCTTGACTCCGTTGCTTGTACGCTCACGCAAACAATGACAGCTGCTCAGTCCTCATCTGTCGCCGGGTCACCTCCATCGGCCCATTCCTTCCTTTCCTCATCGACAAGACTGGGCGTTGGAGTTCCCTGCCGCGTTTCACCTGCCAGATCCTCGGCAGGCACAGCAGCCTCTTGCTCGAGTACTGTGTTGACCCATTCGGCAGCACCCTTGACCGCGCTCTTCGGGTCACCGAAGCGTGGGATGAAGTACTCCTGCACCTGCGCTACCGACATGACGTACTCGGGAACGAGCTTGACGAATTCTTCTGCCAGCTCCTCGAGCTGTGGCTGTGAGAGACCGTGCTTTTGATCGATGGGGAAGGAGGTCAGACCGATGGCGAGTTCCGGCTCTGCGACCTTGCTGTCGGCAGCAGCAGACGACGTCACAGGAACATTGTCAGTACCATTTGTTCCGGCAGTGACTTCGTCCTCGGCGTCTTCTTCGTTCGACGGCACTTTGCTTTGATTCTCTTCTTCCTCCTCGGTGAAGAACCGCACGAACATCCCCCGCAGCTGCTCAGAACTCGCGTTCTTGAACTCCATCCACACATCAACACGGCCCGGACGCGTAAGGGCCTTGTCAAGGTCTGCGGGGCAGTTGGATGACATGATGAGTATGTGTCCTTCCGGAGCAGTCGCACCGTCGATCGCGTTGAGCAGACCTGTGAGGGTGACTTGGCTAGTCTTGGTCTTAACCGCGTTCTGGTTTTCGACAGTGATCTGCTTGCTTCGCATCTCTGTGGCAGTGGTTTCGCGGCCAATGCCAGCGGCATCAACGTCTTCGAGGAGGATCACTGCGCGCGACTCCTCGGTTCCTGCGACAAGCCTTGCCAGAGTTGAATCAGTGAGCTCGGGGTCGGCGAGACTGAGACTGTAGACCGACAACTTGAAGTGACCAGCAATGGCGACAGCAAGAGAACTCTTTCCGCTGCCCGGAGGACCATGGAAGAGATAGCCACGGCGATATGGTATGCATCGTGCTTTGTATTTCGTCTTGGTTTTGCGATGGAGGAAGCGGGCCACGTCGTTGATGATGGCTTGTTTGGTGATCTGGTCAAGTTGGACAGTATCCAGGACACGAGCCGGCTTGTGAGACTGCAGGCGCCATTGGGGAGGTTTGCTGGTGTGTTCAGGGACATACATTGCAGTGTAAGGAATTGCCTCTGTCGCTTTCCTTTGGCTCTTCGTTTCCAGGACAGCTTGCACAAGCTTAGTTAAAGGGCTTGCTGAGCGCGTGAAGCATCGAAGAGTGTGCTCCGATTCTCGCGGCCGGTGCTGGTCCTTCTGGAAAGTATGCGAGAAAAGGACACCGCCGTACCAGAAGAGACGATAATCGATCCGCGGGTCGACTACGAAGCCCAAGCCCTCGCGATCGACCTCATAGCCTCTCGGATCGCCGGACCATCGGAGGCCCTCCAAACTGCTGCACAATTCGACAGGTCGCTGTGGCCAGATGGTGATCTGCTTGCTTAGCCAAGGTCGCAAAAGTGCGGCCATGGGATCTTTCTCCTGGATTTGGTATGTAGTCGAGACAAACGGCAGCAGATACTCCAGCATCGATAGCAACTTGCCTTTGATGAGCTTGAACGGAAGCATCGCCGCAAGAAGCACACCTAGAAGCCGTGTGGTCTTGGGATACTTGCGACACAGGCGGATTAGGACTGGCGTAACGCTGCTGAGGAGTGCGGTAGGGATGCCGAAGATGTTGCCGTGCTCCGCCAGGTTGCTACGTACGTCTCAATATTGACTGGGAATAGCGCCGCGATACTGCCAGCGTTCGCGCCTTCAGCGGCTGGTGCAGGCGGCGACATGATTGACTTGGTTTGGTTTTGATTCGCCTGATTGAGTACGATGGTCGCTCTCGACCACGGAGGCTAGAGGCCTCCTGAGAATAACAGAGAATGAATTGGTCACAAAGATGGGATCTCGGTCAATGCTGAACGTTTATATAAGTCGAAATCTGTCGGGAGTCTGCAATTCACTTCACTGTCGCTGACTCGAATGACTCAGGCCAGTGGAGTAATAAGGCATGTTCTGAGAAGTCAGCTAAGTCAGAGCCTTCCCTGAGCCGAACTTGAGAGGCATCCAAGGCTGAAGCCAGGGGCGACACCTACCATTCTGTTGACGCAACTTTGGTCGGGCGAGCTCCAAGTCATGACGCCCATTCTGGACTGCCGCTGGCGGCGCTTTTTTCAAGAACTTACCTGAAGCTCGATATTCATTTTCTCCATGAAATCAGCACCGAAGCTCAATCTCATCGCGTCTCCTGCGCTGTCAGAGTGTGCAGAAGACCACCTACCGTCGAGCCACGGGGTGACAAGCCTGCGCTATACATCAAGCGTTATGACTCCTTCACGACTGGTTGCACGTCCGCCGATGGTACAATATAGGCAGTATTGACTCACCTGTTCCTGACCTGCAACTATAACCAGATCTAAGCACCAGTCCTGAAAAGCATAAGTAGTCTCTGTGCTCTCAAAATGACAACTTCTGCATCACACTGAATCATCTCAGGCCAGGTGCTGTAGGTAAGTGAGATGCTTGACATTCCTCGTTCGTATTGAAGGTATGTCTGGTGGCAGGATGGAAGTCTACATGGAACATGAGGATGAGGGAAAGTCAAAGAAGCAAGTGATCTGAATTAACACCGCCCCGGGATAGCTTCGGCTATCTGCCAGTGCTATTGTGCAGCTCAGAACACGTGACCATTATCTACTGTGTGCACTTAATTGAGTACTTCCAAGATTCAAGTCAAGTACAAGTTCATGTGCTTGTTGTGGGAGACAAAGGCATGCCAGGGAAGACTAGCGCAGTGGAGGGCAGCAGCAGCTCCGAGGCAGTCCAGGGTAGACGCCGAACAAAGCCTGCTTGATTGAGTCCCAGCGGTCGTACCTGACAGCAGTACCGCGTTGAATAGCAAAAGGGGATGCAAACTCCTGCGCCCTAACCGCGAAATCACCCTGGCGATCGTCATCAGCGAGCAACCTCGATTGTCAGTCGTGGAGAACGAGAACTCTCGTTGAGCCACCCAGTACATCTACAACTTCGAGCTCGTCTCCTTCCTCTTGCTACCGCCGACACCCGTGACCTGCTGCCCGGAGAGTAGGAAGTCTGGATAAGGAAACGACGATCCAGGACCAGTCTGTACATGCCATGCGCCGCCATCCACAATCGTGGTCTGACCCGTCACATAATTCGCAGCATCACTAAACAGCCATACTGTAGCATCTGCAATCTCCTTGATACTGCCCCATCTGCCGAGCGGTAGCCGCTGACCAGGTCTCTCATTTGCCCTCAGCTTCCCACCAAGGCGATCCATGCCCTCGGTGCCGGCAATCGGGCCAGGTGCAATGATGTTCGATGTGATGCCCAGAGGGCCGTACTCGAGGGCGACGTTGTGCGAGATAGCGTCGACTGCAGCCTTTGCGGCAACGACATGTGTCTGTAGTGCCATACCAGTATAATGCATCGTAGCAGAGACGTAGATGATTCGCCCACTTGGCCCTGCTGTATCCGACTTGGGAAGGCCTCCTTGTGAGTTGTACTTCTTCACGCTTTCGAGCAGATATGGAATGCAGACTTTTGTGACGTTATAGGAGCCGAGGACATCGATGTCCATGACGGTCTTGAAGGCGTTGGCGGAGAGTTGTGCCATTGGGGCGAGGAAGTTTCCTGCCGCTCCTGCAATCAAGAAGTCGATGCCTCCGAGCTCTTTGGCGCACCGCTCAGCAGCTTTTGAAAGCAGATCGATATCTCGGACGTCGATGTTGCCGATCCCAATGACTTTTGCTCCCTGTCTCTGTGCTGCGAGATCCTTGGCCATATCCAGAGTCTTCTGCTCATTCCTGCCGACGATGCATGCGTTTGCGCCCAAGTATACCAGTGCTCTCACTTGCGCTGAGCAGATCGTGCCATTGCCTCCGGTGCAGAAGACGACTTTGCCTTTGAACAGCCCATCTTGCCAGACGTGCGACAAGAACTCGGACTTCTTGAGAGGCATGTTGGGTCGCGCTGATGGGCGTGATACGCAGGAGAGGGATAGTACACGATTCGCCAACCGGAAGTAAAGACTGAATGGTGCAGCACGCGTCCAAAGGAGATATATATCTTGACTGCGGCCGTAAGATTGCGGAGGTACAGATCTGTTCGCAACGTTAAGCGGATCGAGAGGCACCTTGAAGCTGACTGCGCATCCTCGGGGTCACTCCATCATTTGAAGTGCCGAGGTTCGTCAATAGACACGAATTAGTCATGTCCTGGTCCAAGTACGAAGTACAATCGATTCTGGTCTATCTGCTCCTATATTCTGAACTACATCATACACCTACGAGTGAAAAGGACCAGATCGAGGAATTGGTGCAAAGTGTCCCACAATGAAGTGATCATCGACTTGCATATCATGGCAGGGTGACCTACCTACGGCCGTTCTACCTCACGGCAAGGTTGCTATTTGACCCAGAGGCTACCATTTGCCCCAACGAGGCCCTGCAGCATCTTCCTCTTTGCACCAGATCATGTTCTGTACGAGATCTTTGTGGTTTGAGCAGATGAGCAGACGGCTGTAGGACGTACATTCAGCTTCAGAGTTCACGACAGCTCGACGGCAAGTGGTAACGATCTTGAAGGTGGTGCACCAGCTGATTTTGGCTGTGGTGGATGTAACGAGGCACTATCGGGTCGGGAGGTGGTAGACGAGAGAACAGGAGGCCGATGAACGACGAGCATGAATAACGTCCTGAAGACAGCCACGTTGGACCTTCGACTCAATAAATGCGACTTGTGCACAGTCCAGAAAATGAAGCTCTGCTTCTTCCTTCTGGATGGATTTTTCTGGACTG